ATTAATTATTTAATAAAGATAAAGTACTTTCTTTCTTATATTAGGATAATTAATACTAAAGAAATAATTAATCTATACTTTAAATATATTTAGAAACTCTATAATATTCTTAAAATAATTATATTAAATTATAGAATCTAGTTTATTATTATTTTTTAGAAATACCTAATATTCTATCTAAAGATTTATAACCTACTATTTATTATTTATTATTTTAAAATTAATAGCTAAATTAAATATATTAATACTATCTTAAAATAATACTTATAAGTATATATATTATATTTATAAGATAATTAGTCTAAATAATTACTAATAATTAAATTTATTATTAATTTTATTTACTCTAAATTTATAAGAGTATTATTATTTATAGCTAATTATAGATTTTACCTAATATTAAAATTTAAATTAAGCTATCTTACTATCTATTTTACTAAAAAAAATATTAAGAAGTTTACTAATATTATATATAAGATTTATAAGTTTATTTATATTAAAATTTTATTTACTTAAGTTTATTATAAAGTATAAGTTAATTATTAAAGATAATTTATATATTATTATATTATAAGATAAGAAGTTTAACTAGATATTTATAATATTTAAATACTTTATTTATAGAAAAAATTAGATTAAAAAAATTTTAAATTATATTATATTAAGAAAATTATTAGTTTATATATTTATAAATTTAAATTATTTAAAAGTATAAGAATTTATTTTATATTTAATATATTTTTACTCTACTTTATTATTAATAACTTTTTATTTAATTAATATCTTAATCTATTATTACTTATTAAAGTAGAAAAATTAAAAAAATAAGAAATTAAGGAAGTTCTTAATTTCTAATAAGTTTATTAAGACTATAATAAATCTAAGCTATAATATATTATTAAATAAATTAAATATAATAAGCTAATTAAAGAGCCTGCTAAGTATTTAAAGAATACTTATTAACTAATAAATAATTACTATTTTTATTATCCTAAGAAACTCTAGCTAATTCCTTCCTAGTCTTAATAGAGCTTAATCTTAAGAAGGGGGATACTATTATAGTATAAAGTTATAATACTTATCTAGTTAGATTCTACCTTAATTATCTACCCTTATTCCTATATTTAAGCTATATTATTCTTAATCTTATTATAGCTCTTTAAGCTATGTCCTGTCTATTACCTAATACCTACTATTCTGCTATTCTATCTAGTTAGCTCCTAGTCAATGAATATCTGAATCCGACTCTGCCCCCTAACAAGTAGTAAGATAGGTATAATAATAATAATTAATTTCTAGTAAAGAGGAGCTATATAATATTAGGAGATAAAGTTAGATTTAGATATTTATTAACTAGGAGCTAACTAGACAGAATAGTAGAATAGTAAATATTAGGTAATAAATAGGATATAGCTTAAAGAGCTATAACAGGATCAAGAACAACATGGCTTAAATACAGGAATAAGGGCGGATAGTCAAGGCAGAATCTAACTAGATAGGTACTACGGCTTCGCGCCATGACACTACTATACTAGATACTCTAGGTATTATATAGTTATACTACTTTTATAAGATATAGATATTAGTTATATCTAGTATATTCTTTATAATACTTATTACCTTCTTTATTACTAGAAGGTTCTAAATAATAAGATTATTTAGGATAACTACCTATCTAATTCTAATTAGATTAATCCTGGATATTATACTAAGGGTTATAAGCTCTAGAATATACTTTACTAGAGCTTAATATATTATATAAGCCTTAGAGTATATAAGAAGGAGCCTTCCTAGTAAAATAATTAGAATTCTATAGTTATTTCTAGTATTTATTAATATAATTAATCTATTCTAGGCTAACTTTATTATAGTAATAGGGGTAGTTTTATCTAAATTAAGTATAAATTACCTAATATTATATACTCTAGCTAGTATAGGTTCTTTTCTTAAATTTTCTAGAATTTATATAGCTTCCTAGGCTATAAATTTATTAAAAATTTTACTTAAGATTACTAATATTATTATAATTATAAGCTAATTATATATATATATAAGTATATAATTATTTATAATAATATAATTTTTAATAATAATAAATTAAATAAATTTATTATAAATTATTATTATATAAACTCTCTTATTCTAATTTTTCTAGATATTAATAAACTTATTTATTATAATAACTAGCTTAATTAATATCTTATAATATATTTTTACCTAATATTCCTTTTTATTAAGGTAATCCTAAAGAGTCCTTGTAGTAAAGCCTAGATTAGTAGTTAAGATACTAGTACCTTTATAAATTAGAGGAGGTATATAGAGGATACTCTTTTCTTACTATTTCTTTATAATATATAGGTTAAAGAGAGATAAAAGTTCCTATAGCTATATAAAATTAGTTATATTTATACCTCTAGATAAGTAGTTAGGGGTTAGCACCTCTATCTTAGCTTGCTATATGTTAAAACATGATTAGAGGAGGGGGGGAGGGATAGAATATATAATAATAAGTCTAAAATATATATATTACTAGATTTTATAGTAATTTAGGCCCTTCTTTAAAGGTACCCCTGGGTTGCTGAGTGTTATAAAGGTGAGTTGTATAGATGTGTGTGTGCTAAGTGGTTCTATACGAACTTTACATCGGTGGCACCTGGATTTTGGCCCTCTTATAAGGCATATCAAAACAGGATCGGATTAGGTGCCTTCATCCATCTTGTCAAAACAAGTGGTACAGTGTCCTCGGACTCCGACAGCATTTTCTCGACGCCCACTCCATTGAAGCGCCTCGCAAGGAACCCAAGATTACCAAACTGGAATAGACGCCTGTACATATCTTCTGGGTTACTAGGAATATATAGGCTGCGATTAGCATCTACTATGATGGTAACCCTTTGCTTTGCACTTCTCGAATGTATGGTAGGTATTAGGATGTTTGCAGGCAGGACAATTGCGTCCTTGGCTGGAGGAATAGAACTGCTAGGAAAGTTACGCTCTGGATATGTATAGAATGGATTTCTCTAACGATTTTTTATTGGCGCTGCGCCGAAGTTATACTTGAAGATGGGAGATGGTTCAGTTATGCTTATAGCCTTGCTGTAAGTACGACATAGTATTTAATGCCCAAACCTGTGCTATCTCGATCTGTGCACACGCAGGCGAACCAAAGCAACGTCTCGGGGAGGACTGTATGGAGTGTGTACTCAGGCCAGAGAAAATAAGTGAGTTATAAAAAAAAAAACTAGTGTGTCGTAGATTTAAATATAGTGAACTATTTCTAGATCTCACCCTTTGTCTTTTGTAGCAGCATGAGTGGTAGGACTGGAACTGCTTAAACTATTGGGCCTCGGAAATACCTGTAGGTGACTTTGTGCTGCCTTTTTGCGCTGACAGACCCTCACCCTAGTCATTCTGGCACGGCATAGGTATGGTACGAGAGGGGTAGGGAGAGCTGCCGATGTCCTTGTGAATAGGTGAGTGTATTGGAATGAAGCTGGTGATCCGAGGTAACCTGCAGGTCCTTCCATGGATAGATATGCATCAAGCGATGTATTAATAGTATTGTTGCACGGAATGTCTATAAAAGATGAGAATTTTATGTTCTTTGAAAATATTGAAATCCTTATTCTGCAGAACCACCTGCAGGTGCGATTGAATGGGACAACCCTACGGGGAGCATATCGATGTATCTGAGATGATAGAAGGGAGGAATGTTTGTAGCCAGGCTATTAGATCGACCCGACAACGAATCGTGCTGTCACTACCATACTTGTCGTTAGGAGAGTGGGCTCAAGAAACGCCTGGATGTGTAGAAAACATATGACAGGTGAAGAGTGCTGTTCTCTGACGTGCATTACTGGCTGGGATGGCCATGCTATAATCCCTCGATTCGAGAATCAAGGGAGATTTTCAGGGGCATATATTCACAAAGGTCACACCGCAGAACACTCCATGGTGTTCGCATATTGATTGTGACTACCCTCTTGGTTCTCTGAATTAAGTCTATCCCCGTCATAAGCTACCAGTAATCGTCGTATCATAAGCCAAAGTACAATATAACCGTCTACTTAGGAGTATTTACGCGCTCTAAAGATGGAAGGAAGTTTTGAATTACCCGGACTCCGATTTCACTCAAGACCAGAGTATTAAGAGCAAGGGACGAGGTATTCCTAGTTTGGCCCCTTGCATTGCAGGAGGACAGGATATAATAATACCTCCGAAGGGTGGTGAGACATGATTCGGAGAGCAGCAGGGGAGCCAATTAGATACACTTATGTATGTCAACGCTTTTTAGTGCCTACATATACAGCATTATACAGCATGTGCAGGAACTGTGCAGCATCCATTTTACGTACCTGTAAACTGTGAGCGAGAGGACGAGCGTGCTTTATAGCTTTCAAAACTTTGTCGATGATTTATCAGTACCTCTCCTAAACGATAACATAGAGGCAAAAGTGTTCTCGACCTTCCAGAAGTACCGTTGATTCACCTTTCCCCGTAACATATGGCTGCTGGTTGAATATTAGTTCGGCCGTTGATACCTTCCTCAACCAACTCTGTGAGAGAGCCCAGCCAGGTTCGGGACCAACAATCCATGCAGAAGAGTTTCTGCAAACAATCAACAAGTAAGCATGACAAAGTTAGCATGGCTTTTCCAGAGTGATCAATTCCATTTCTCGCCTGCCCTTGATTCGAGATTCCGTACATCCATCTGCGTATAATAGCCCTATCTAAAGGTATGCGAGTTCGGCCACCCCGCGCCACACCTGAGAGAATCAACAATTAGCTGGAATCTGGTCTTTCGCAATATCTGGTGATTGCAATGGCGACATTTCTGCAGAAATCACCTCACATTCAGTGAGCTGGTTATTGTGCCAAAGTTCAAGACACCAGCACAATGTATTTAAAGATAGCTTGCGCGCTCAGCTCTAGATTCCCAATACATCTACCCCAACCTGTTTTTACGCTTCCACAATTATATACACCGGACTGATTCCAAATTAATGAAATATTTGTCGGATTCGACCAACCAAACTCCGAAGACAGCTCTTTGGAACCAGGCTCCCCGTGTGCTCTGGCTCTGACTTGGGTGAAAGCATAGAGCTGTGAGATTCGGAAGATTTCTCTAGGAAAGAGGATTCAACGATCGAGTCGAGATAATTGCAACTAAGCCACTCTAAAAAGGCATCCACGTCTGCCGTCGTGCTCATTGCCCCTAAGCTGACTCGAACAATGCCAGTCGCCTGACCGTGGACCTCCTGAATGGGATCTGAACAACGATGGCCCGCATTCCAAGCGGCTTTCATATCTTCCATTCGTATCCATCCCAGGTAAGCCATTCCACCGGGATTGCAAACGCTACCGCTGCGGAGGAATATCTTTGCTTTGTCCGCATGGCGCTCAACATCTGCATAACCATGGGGATTACCGGATATATCCAGCACAGAGAACGCAACTGTGGGCCCTTGAAGAGACGAATCTCCAAACCCGTGCTGTTCAGAGCCCGTATAAATCCGGCAAAGAGGGCTATCGTTGGAGTGGTGAAGAGATGCCAAGCCTCGATAGAGACGAGCAACCAGAAAGGCACAATGTGAGGAAACGTTCCTCATACTCCCGTATAAACGTTTATGTGTCTGAATTGCATGTGAAATGGCTATTAGAGAGTGAAAGTTGAGCGTACCGTCTTCCAAAGCATCATGCAGGGACTCTGTCTTGGTAGCATGCCATGGAGCCACTCGAACTGATGGCGAGTTTATCACCATGTCAACTGTGCCTCCGCCGAAGTATCGGCGTTGCTGGAGGACGTGTGCTGCAGCCTTGCGCACAATCAAGCAACCCACGTCAGGTAGGCCGAATATCTTATATAACGAGACCGCAGTGAAGTCTGGAGCGGCGGATACGTCAGACAGTTCTAATGGGGCGGTTGAGGCCAGAGCAGCGGCATCAAAGAGGATATAGGTGTCTCCGTGATTCTGACGGATTGCTTGCGGCCTGCCAGTTACACAACAATATCAGCTTATCATGTATGTACGTTTTCGGGCGAATCCCGATACTGGGAGTCTTACCATGACCGGGGTAAACGCCGGCCTGTCATATTACTTTGGCCCGGATAAGCGAAGAGAGTTACTGTCTTTGGCTTATGGCTGCAACGATTGCGATTGATCCAGTTCTCGACTGCAGTGTCTCCGACGAGGCACAAACTACCACCACTCGCCACTTGTCGCAGCCCGACAAGACTTGTGTGGGAGTCTTGATGATAGACATAATGGAACCCCCGCCGCTTGCTTGTGGGGGATACATTTGGTGACCTTGAAAATGACGCCATGCAGTCGCCAACGAGCTTGATAGAGGCCGTGGCATTTGCGGTGAAAATCAGATCGAAGTCATTTGGATTGGCACCAAAGAACTGCAAGATTTCTCCGCGAATGGCATCTACCCGAGCACCAGCCACGCGGGATGGTGTGTTATCAGAATGAGGGTTGCCGTACAGATTCGCCTGCAGGTCGGCGGCATACGACTGAACCAAGGACCGAGCATACACCGTTGACCCAGCATGGTCTAGGTATACCACACCCTCCAGACTGGGATACTCCGCCGCTCGAATATTATCCACATTATCATTGTATATGGGGGCTTTCTCAGGATGACGAGCGAAGGACTCCTCTAACGCCATGATAGACAGGGGACAGAAGTTTGTAATAAATGATGTTGCGCGGGAAAGGATTGGACTGAACTCGAGCGCGATCTGCCTGAAGTGCAGGGGCTTTTACAATAAATCCTGGAGTCTGCTAGATATTTATCTATCCACACGCTGGCAGCAATGCCTGTACTTTCGGAAACAGATCAAAGTCAGCTGTGAGTCTCCAGCTACCTAGATGATGACAAGCGTCACTGAGCAATAAACCCAGCTGCCGAATAGCTATTCTATCTCCGAACCCGAGTCCTTGTTTTCCTTTTTGAGCAGGGGTGTCCGGGCCAAAGGTTGATTCTCGTCTAGCCGGTCCACATTCAAACCCGGCGCAGTTGGATTGCATGGGCGTCCTACATATCGGGCAAGGGGACTGACTGACCAATCCATACTACCTATACTTCCCAGTAACCCGGATTCGAAAACGAAGTTCTCAATCTTAGAATAGCCATGCACTTTCGGATACTACATGGCCAGGATAGCTCGTCCTCTTCATCAATCAGTGATACCCCCCTTCCTTTCACATTCCATGATGAACCAAATATTGGCGTATGCATTGACCAGGTGCCCTTAGCTTTCCAAGTATGGCCAGCTTCCCATCTATGACCAATTTCCCACGCCGACCCTGGTTAAACACGGTCTAGGGCTAAACGCCACTTGACCAGGATTCCAACTATAGGGATCCACATATCCTTAGTGGCTCTCTGACGTGGCTAGGCCAAGGTGGGCTGAAATCGTATTCCATTGCCCGATGAAGATCAAAACGGCCTGCAAAGGTTGATTGGGGGGCGGTCACTAGTTTCAAGAGTATGCTCGTCTACTCTCGTGGCACAGTTACCTAGCAAGGACAATATCATAAAACATATTCATTGGTCGTTTCTCCTCGCAAGAAATTCTCATATTGCGGTTGCAGCTTTCGTCTCTACAGCATGTTCAGCGCAAAGCTTCAATGTCGTAGGTTATTTCACCGCGATTTAACTTGCCGGAATGCACATCCAACCAGTCGTAGGACCCGTTTGCCTGCCAGAATGTGCTTCCAGTTCAGTCCTTTGCGCATTGGGCTGTATCGCAGCATCCACTTACCAAGGCCATGCATGGATGCCATTTTTTGAAGCTGTCAATAAGTTTTATATCCACATGAGATTGAATGCGTGCACAACCACTCAGCCCGAGCCTTTGGTTTTCTGGCAGGAAGAACCCAAAAGTAGCTTCGGCTATAATACCCTCCAACGTAAAGGTTAGAACCAGCTAGTGGAGGAAACTTGCCATGAGCGTGCGGGGTATTCCAAGTCGCCCTGGCGAGTTCTTTGTGAATGCGCTGTTCGAACTGAAGAGTCCGGACCAAGATACTCCAGAGGAGAATCAGCTCAGCTCGATTAATGAAGAGCGAAACCAGAGTGTTCGAGTTGCTTGGGACAACCAGGTCAACTATACCAATCCCTGTTCCCTTGTCTGGTCCCCCATGCGATTACTAGAAGTAGACGACCCGTTTTAGGGAACGGCTTTCATATGGGCACAGGGGTATCCTGAATCTAGATACGTGGATGCCAGGTGACATGACAATTCAAACGATATGACCACAATTCGCATAAATTAGGATGAATCCTCAGCCTCGAAACGCAGGCAAGAGAGTTACTAAATGCACTGACTAGCTAGTAAGTGGTCCTCCCGCTCCTACTCTGCATTTAAGATTTACGCTGACGGTACTATGTATGCCTTGCCTAGCTATTCTGTGAGGGTTCGCGCTATATCAAAGGTGCACCCTCCCCAGTGCATCGATAGTACGGTTACGAAGAGCCCAAGCCGGATGATCCCGGTGGAGACAAAGAGGAGGGATCAGCGAGATAGTCTCCATCTGCTGCCGTGTCCGGAGTAAATACACAAAGAGATTAGTTTGCTGGCGATGGTCTCCATGTACAATGCATTTCCTGTTATAGGAGAAGAGTACCCAACTCGTTGCAGGCGTATGATCAAAGCCGGCCGCAAGGGTCTGGTTGAAAGAGACCGAAGACAAAGGATCAAAAAAAAGACTATAATCAATTGAACAAGATATCATAGTTCCAGGGATTACGGGAAATATCCTATATTGGCTCCAGGGTAGTTGTCGGTGAAGACAACCACATAATAGAACTCTGCCCTAACTCAACCCCAAAGCAATCTCAAGCAAGATAGGACGGAAGGAGCACTCTTGTTCTGAAGAATTACTAATGTGAATTTTTAGGGAATTTTTAGGAAATTTAAAATAGTGCGAGCAATAGTTTCCAGCCCTTACTAGGCGATCGCATGGGCTGAACTAGTAAGAGTTACTATTTACCAGTATATGCAAGATAATGAAATGGGTAAAGTAGGCAACTACCTGCACGTGCGCAGGCCAAATTATTAAAAACAATACAGCTGGATTATGTCTGCAGAAGATTAAAGCTATGAAAATACCAGGGTTCAAATTGCTTTCATGCACAGATATCAGTTACCTTTAGTACCTTTCTAATATTGAACTTTATGGGCATGCTGCTCCTGAAAAGTACAACTAATGAAGATAGAAGATCAAGTACAGAGAGCATAATAAAACAGCCTCGAATATCAGAAAGAGAAACATTAAATATCCACTTATGTAGAGCCATAGCTACTAATACAACTGTAATTCATCAATAGAAGTAGTAAATTAACACCACCTCTTTAGGTGTAGTAAATATCCCAGCGCCATGATACCACGCAATGTGCCGGCCGGCAATCCATATCACCTTCAAATCCCGCCAGACTAGACTGCAACAGACCAATTAAAAAGTGGAAAAGTGGATTAATCTGATGATATCTTGGTTGTTGGCGCATGAGCTTCTGCTGCAATCAACAGTGATGCCGAATGTGTACCTAAGGTGTTGCATTGGACTAGCCAGTGCTATCTAAGGGATCAGCAGCAACTACTCGGGTAACAATCTGCTAGTAATTAAACGGAAGAATAGCCCCTATCTAGTAATCCTGATGGAAAAGATTGAATCGCCGCAGCCGTTGATTGAATTACACTAGAACTTTGGTAGAGTAACAGTGATTGTAAGTATTATGTTGATGATGAGGATGTATGAGGAATGACTGGGTCTGATTCTATCAATATTGATCTATGATCTTGAAAATGCAGATGGCTTGCTGTTGATTGATTCTTATATAGTGTCCTGAAGATATATATTGATGAAGGTCGTCAAACTATGACGGTAGAAAGTTGACCGAAATGGATTCAATTGGTCTAACTAGGAAATAGAGAGAAGGAGATGCTTGGAGGAAGCATGGAGATCTAGAAGGAAATAGTGGCCTTAAATATATAAAGTAGTCACATGTTACTATCTTCTTCTTTATGGTGATGCTGCTTTATAGTAATGCTGGTTATATTTACTAAGTATAGTACTTTAATATACCCCTCTTAGTAATATATCTATTTTATAAAGCTATTTAAAGTTTATCTCTAACCTGCTAAAACCTAATCTCTTAATAAATTTATTAAATTTTATAGTTAGTAGTACCTTAATTAGCTTATTAATAATATTATCCTCTCTACTAACTATTTATAGCTAAATTCTGCTATTTTTAATTATCTTTTTAATAAAGAAATAGTAAATATCTATCTAATAAAATATAGATATATAATTTAGTTTCTTTACTAAAGTAATAATATTTATAGAATTAGTATATAAAGGTATAGTACTTTTTATAAACTTTTCTAATCTAATAACTATATATAATTTTTATAATTATATAACTAGCTTTATTATTATATTCTATATAATAAATTTAGTAATAGTTAAATTTAGAGTAACTAGTAATTACTTTACTAATCTTTATATAATTAGTATTCTAAATATAAAAAATATAAAGTCTTTTATTAATTTCTTATCTTTATAATCTATATAAGAGGTATTAATATATATATATAATAAATTATCTAAATAATCTAAGATTATTATATAATTTAAGGTCTTCTTTAAATATTAGAAAACTTATTTAACTATATTATAGTTTAACTTACTAGGATTATAATTCCTCTATAATAGTTATATTATTATATATTAAATATCTAGTTAGGTCTAAATAATAATCTAATTTAATAATCTAGTTAACTCTTAGTAATAAGTAATATTATCTTTACCTGTAAAGGCATATATGGTGTCTAGAATAATATTACTAGTATCTTGGATAATATTACTAGATTCTAGTATTTCTTTAATTAATTTCTATTCTAGAGTTATTAGTATATAACATGGCTAAAGATTATAGAAATTCTATTTATAGAGCATCTTTTAAATATATATATATTAGAATATTAATATTAGACTATTAAGTAATCTATAAATATTATATCCCAAGAATTATATAGGTTCACCTAGTTACTTTAATTTAAAATATTTTTCTAGCTTATCCATAAATTATTAAATATTTACTTTATTAGGGCCAGTAACTATTATATTATTAATATAGATAATAAGTATTAGTTACTAATTTAGATTATAGTAGAAGTATAAGTCTTTATTAATTACCTTTATACTAATTTTTACTAGAATATTATAGAATTCCTTATACTAAAGAAATACTAACTATTATAATCTATATAAGGCTTGAAGTAGTAGATATACTATACTATCTTACTTATTAAAACTAGTTAATTAATATATATAGATTTTTTAATCCTTAATTATTATATTAAGATAAGTAATTACTATATTAAATTATACTTATTTTAAATTAAAATAAGTAACTATACTTAAAAATAGCTTTATTAAAGTATCTACTATTATTAGGGAGTAGACTTAGTTAAAGTCTATACCTAATTTTTAGAAATTTCTATATATAACTTATCTTATATAAAATTATAATATATTATTATTTATATCTAATTTTAAGTTATATACTTATTTTCCTAGTAAAACCTTTATATTCTTTAGTAATAGTATAAATTTATAAGTCTAAATAACTTTAAGCTTGCTAATTTAACTTTATATTACTTATATTTAGTAATCTTTTTATAGTAACTTTATTACTTAAATATAGATTTATAGGATTCTAATTTTATAAGTCTTTATAAACTTAATTTCTAGTATAAAACTATTAGAATCTGGTAATATTATAGTAATTATATTAGGTAATTCTCCTAGCTTTAGATAAGATTCTAGTAAATAAGGTATTTCTAGAAGTATTTTTAGAGGTAATATAGACTAGAATTAAGATTATTATTCTTATTTTACCTTCTCTTCCTATAGTTACTTTACCTACTTATCTTTAAAATAAATACTTTAGTATTAATTCTTTATAGATCTTAAAGATCTCTATAGAATAGTAATATTATTACTAGTATCTTTACTAGCAGGATTTTATATCTTTACTTAGTTAACTATTTCTATATTCCTAATATTAAATTTAATTTACTTTCTAGTCTTTAAATACTTCCTTTTTAGTATATCTAGAGTTATTAGAATATAGTTATCTTTAGAAGGTTTTAAAACTAGTAAGATCTTTCTATATTAAGTAAATAACTTTAGAAGCCTTTATATTAGTTATAATATTAGTATTTTTTTAAAAATAGGTTAACTAGTATATAGATTATTTATAATAAAATAGTTAATTATCTCTTTATATTTACCCTGCCTAGATTATTTTTCTATACTAAGTCTTACTATCTCCTCTATATCCTTGCTAATTACTTGATTATTTTGCTTGGTAATGGTTTTAGAAACAGCCCTGGAGGCAGGCCCAGAGGCAGGTATCTGCTCTGGTATGATAAGCTTGGTAGTTTTGGAGATAGCCCTAGGGGCAGCCCTAGAGGCAGGTGGCTGCTCGGGTATGATGAGTTTGATACCTGCCTCTGGGTCAGGTAGGGTAGTTTTAGAGACAGCCCTAGAGGCAGGTAGGTACAGATATATCAAGTTGGTACCTGCCTCTAGGTTGGATAGGCTTGGTTTGGGTAGGGCTAGATTAGGTATTAATATTTAAATTCTCCCTATAATAACTTTATTATTAATTACTAATAATAAGATTTAAGAAATAATATTACTTTAAGATACTTTATTATAGGTTATTCTTTTTTTTTTAATATTAATAAGTATAGTTACTCTAGATAAACTATTATTATTTAGTTTTAATTTATTAGAAAGTTATAATTATATTCTATTTATTTTATTAATATTATCTTTATTAAATATTATATCCCTTAACTAAATTATCTTCCCTATATCTAGATACTATACCTTATAGATATAATCTCTATTATATTTAACTAGTTAACTAATTTTTACTCTAGATAATATTTTTATACTTTTAATTTTATTCTTATATAGGATATTTATAAATATCTTATATTTTTATATATAAATATATTATAAATTAATATCTCTAATTAAGATATTTAATTCTTTATAAAAAAATTATATAAGTAGCTTTCCTTTATTATTACCTTCTCTAACTAACCTATTTAAAATATAGACTACTATATTAATACTATATAGCTATATAATTAGTTCTATTTTTACTTATATATATATTATGCGGGCAGTCTAGATTATATAGTTATCAAACTATTTAATAGTACTGTTTTCCTCAGGGGTTTATGGTAGTATTGGTTTATATATAGTATTAAAATCCTTACTTTACCTAGTATACTTATTAAATTCAGAAGTAGAGTTAAATCTAACCCTTCTAATATAGATACTAGTTATATTTAGCTAACTATTATATATTTCCTTTAATACCTTTAAAGATTTACTTTTTGCCTTTAAATATTATATAAAAAGGTATCTAGAATAGTTATCTAGAACTAGTAGAATATACCTAATACTATCTCTTCTAATTAGTTTGATTTCTTAGAGATTTATATATATAAATTATAATAGTTTTATTATATATAATTATAGTTTTTAGGATATCCTTTTCTTTAATTTTAATAATTAACATGCTTTACAGTATGGCTCAGTATTTTAATTAGTAGCAGGCAAGTCATTAGTAGCCAAGTTATTACTTTTATTATAAAATATTACCTTATTATACTTTAATTATTTAATAGATAGATAACCTAGTTATTAATATAATAAGTCTATTAGTATAGTAGGCATAATTACTACCTTATTTAAAACTAAAAATAAGATATTATTATCTAAAATAGTATATCTAATTACCTTATCTATTACTATCTTATAAATATATTAATTTTTCAAGTTAAAATAGATTCTTAATTCTATCTTTATTCTTTCTACTAGTATTAGGTTATATAATATATTTAGATTCTAAAAATATTTTATTTAATATAATATTAAAGTATTATTATCTAATTTAAATTAAATTATTACTTTTTTATAACCTTGGAGATATACTACCTTACTATTAAAGATAATAAAATTATAATTTTTAAAGTTATTTAGATCTTTAATTAGATTATTAAAGAGATTATAATTATTATATATTATATAGCCTGCTCTGGAGTTATATAACTACCTATTTCTAAAAGTAGTTAATATTAAAGTTATTAATATATTAACTCTAGATAGTATAAAATTATTAGTATTTAGAATTATATTAGCTTATATAGCTAGAGTAATAGCTTAATTTTAGGTTAAATTATTTTTATTCTTTAATTTATGTGGCTTGAAATACTAAAGTATTAAAATTAGTTTTTACCCTTTCTTTTATTTATTAATTATTAAATATAGATAATCCTTAATATTATATTTTTCCTTCTTATAAAATAGGTATAGTATTTTAGATTTTTTAGATTACTTTAACTAATAATTAATATAGCTAGTAACTATTATATTCTATAATAATATATATTTCTACTATTACTACTACCTCCTTTTATTATTTATTATTAGTTAAGAATTTAATATATTTATAGCTAGTATTATAATATTAAATATAATATTAGATAATAGATTCTCCTAAACTTTATCCTTTACTATACTATATATAGTATAAAAATACTTCTATATAGTTATTTTAATAAAATTATTATCTAAGTTATTTAAGATTAAATTTATAAAGCTTATATTATTTCTTTTAAGCTCCTGAAGTATTATAATAATTACTTAATAGGATATAATAACTATTTTTAACTTATTAAAAGTATTTATTTTCTAGATAAAATTTAATATAAACTTATTAATAATTATATAATTCTTATACTTAATTTTAATAACTTTTCTTTATATCTAATATATATATTTTTAATTATTACTAATAATTATTTTTTATAACTTCTATATAAAATTATTTATAAAGATATATAAAGTAGTATTTATTAATAATTTCTCTACTAGTTTCTTACTTATTAAATATAGTATCTAACTAGCTATTATTTATAAAAGAAGTTCCTATAATTTATACTTAAAATTATTAAATTATAATCTAGAAATATTACTTTTAAAAAGCTTATCTATCTTATAAAGCCTTAGCTCTATTTATATAAATAAAGCTTAGATTTTGAATTTTAAATTATTTTCTAATATTATTATTAGGCTTAAGTTAAATATGCCATTCTTCAGCTTTATTGCTTAATTTTAGCTATTAGTAAATGGGGTAGTAGCTATTAAAGGTAGGTGTGGTAAGTTAGGGATGTCAGGATATCTGCTAGGGGTAGGTTTAGTTACTATTTTAGTTAAATTATAGAGATTTTTCATATACTATTACCCAGGTAGAGTAATACTATAGTAGTATAGGTAGTATAATATAATAGTAGTAGGTAATATTTTTACCAGGATCTCTTTTTAATTAGGGAGCAGATTACTATATAGGAGTATAGAAATATAATAAGAGTTTTAAAAATCTATAAAGCATAAAATAGAACCTTAAGGAGGGCTTATAACCTAATAAAGGTTATTAAATTATGATGGTAGAAAGTTGACTGAAATGGATTTAATTGGTCTAACTAGGAAATAGAGAGAAGGAGATGCTTGGAGGAAGCATGGAGATCTAGAAGAAAATGGTGGCCTTAAATACACAAAGTAGTCATGTGTCGCTATCTTCTTCTTTATGGTGATGCTGCTTTATGGTGGTGCTGGTTGCATTCACTGAGTGCAGCACTCCAACATATATCAAGTAAGATATCGCAGGTTTATTAGTGGCATGATATCTAATGTACTCAAAGCATTTAGTATACAGTTCTTCCTCAGCCTTCACACACCATAGTAGTAATATCTCCAACTAGTTTTAATGTCTTTATCGGACCCTATATAGAATTTAATAATGGGACCTAGCTCTAAATGATCTCTTGAAGCTGGGCTAGGCATGTTTATAGGGTACATGTTGGATAATTTTACCACCCACACTGCCACCCTAACCATGTTGTTTATTAGAGTAAAGATGAGTGTATTGAAAATAAAAGTTCAACCCAATAATATTTCTATGAAACAAGGCATGATGTTGGTGATCTCCTAAGTAGGGGCAGGGAAGTACGGAGTATACCTACCTAGATAATACATATATAGGTAGAAGTGGCGGTGGTGCCTAAAGTACCCCACTACACAAAACAGCTCCTATATTAGTCATTTAAATATTATTAACTAACTAATTAAATAATTAAATAATCTGATAACTCATCCATAATATATATATCTGAAGGGTGTGTTGGATATTATATTAGATATCAAAGTTAGATTGATAAGGGTAGGGTTTGAATCAAACCCACCTTAATGGCCTTGAGATCTTGATATTTAGCATGCTAGAGATATATTCTTGATTCTCTGGAATCACGGAAGTCATGGAAGTCATGGATAGAGACAACCATGACTCATCAGCTAAATACGAGGCTGAGCGCGTTGTTGTTGTTGACGCTAATTCATCTCTGTCTCGTCCAGAATTCATCATAATCACTCGACACTCTTCACCATCAAGCGCAGTGGAATCAGTCATCAGAAGAGAGGAGAAATGGTCTTGTCGTTGCGATCACGTACTTTAGGATCCATTTGGGGCGTTTGCGTTACTGATGCACTCGGCGGGCCTGTACAGTTCTCAGAACCAAAAAGTTTCGAGCCCATTACTGGCCTTGCCTTTGTGGCCCCCTTTGAACAGCCAGCTGGGTAGGCTCCTCTGCAATCACCTCTTTTTTTTTAAGTGCCTGTCGCAGCAAAAATTCATAGTAACATGCAATAGGTCCTACTCTGATGATGGCGCGATGACGCTAGCCCTTGCAAAGTCGTTTATCGACGCTCAAGGAAAATACGACCATGAATTGTCCATTGAATACTTCGTACAGTGGCTTGAGAACGGTCGGTTTAGCACGGTCAATTATTCCTGGGATGTAGGCTTATCCACTCGACGAGCCCTGTGTCTCTGGAGGGACCACGGTACGCGGGATACCGAGGGGACTCAACGCCAGGTAAACCATAGCCTTGACAAGGAGAGTAGTTCAGGGAATGGCAGTCTGATGAGAATTGCGTCTGTTGGTTTGGTCTTGTGGAGGGATCCCCTCGAGGCGCGAGCTGTAGCAATCAGGCAAAGTAGGATCACACACCCTGCTCTGGCATGTACCGAAGCTTGTGAGATTTACACGTATCTCATGGGTAAGATAATGCGAGGTATGGCTATAATTTGGTATATGGATGGAAGACGAGGACTAAAGTGACAATTATAGGGAAGAGCAAGGAGCAGCTTTGCAGTGTTATCCGGTCCCATAAATTTAAGCATGATGCCCTGGCTCTCCGGATGTTCAAATACAAAACATTGTTGGACTGGGCCGAGGCAGATTATTCCAGTATTAAAAGCAGCGGTTGGGTGGTGGACACTCTTGAAGCGGCTCTATGGGGATTCTTCAAGTTCAAATCCTATGTTGACGGCGCGCTGGCAGTCGTCAATTTAGGACACGACTCAGACACAGTGGGTGCGGTATACGGCGGAATAGCAGGTGCCTACTATGGCTACGAGTCAATACCAGCGGATTGGATTGCTCAGATGCAGAATCAGAGTTTGATAGGGGAAATTGCTGACGGCCTTGTGGATTTCGTCGTGCGTGAATAAATAATCCTGCAAGTTCCAAAGTAAATGTTTGGTATTTTATATCTCTGTCCTTTATTATTATTTTGGATTTCTGAACCGCCGTTTCCCCTCGAAACAGCACGTAAAATGCACAGGCATATACATACATAAAAAACTCATATTCGATCCTCAACCGTCCTCTTCGGTCCTGGAACTCCCATCTCACTGCTATACTCGCTGTGCACAATCACTTCCGTGGTTTGTACAATCCCAGATGTATTTATCCTATGGGACTGCCTATTCGTTGCAAGGTTCTCTTCACTGCCCCCATCCGACTCAGAGACCGAGGGGTGGTTGGCATGGATCTGTACCTGGTACTTCTGCTCCTCTCTATCCATTCGACTGCCTTGCATTGAGCCCATTGCATGACTATTCGGACCGTAGGCAGAGGGATCACAATAGGCGTTGCCGGTGCGCTTTCGAGAACGGGATCCGTAGGATCTGCCTCTGCTGCTGCCGATAATGGACTTGACGAGTGGTTTGATGGTAGGGAAGCAGGCGGCAAGGATTCCTATGTTTAGCTCAATGCTAGGATGGTTAGCCGGGCACTGCTAGATTAAAGGGATAATTCTCAAAAAAAAAAAAGGCATTTACCAATTCCATATGAGATAGTTGCCATCGCTACATAATGTTAGATTTCTCTGTAGACACTACAGGGTTGAGGATGGGATGGACATACCGAAAAAATTCCGGCTGGGTGTAGACCCTCGGTTGAAGCACTGCCTTAGCTATAGCTGCAGCACACGCACTATATTCACACATTAAGAACTGTTTACGATCAAGTATGGGCAGTATAGAGGGATTAGTCACAAGTATCCTAGACTGAGAATACCCATCAGAGATGTCTTGGTTCGCTTATTGACTTGGATGTTCCAAAACATCCATACGGGCAGAGTTGTGTAGAGAAAATCCGTGGTAATATTAATGGCTACACCATTTGTTAGCTGTATAGAGCCTGGAACCTAGAAGCCGATTCTTGGGAAACATACCACTATTAAATTGGCCGATTGCCAGGTAAGTCTTGTTGGAGTAACACTTTGCATTCTTTCTTAGAGAATAATCCCAGGCAGCTTGAACCGGAATGCACTGAAGAATCAACGTCAAAATACAACCAACTGTAGCGAGCACCAAAAAGACTTTGGGAGTCAGCAGATGGACGAAGACATTCGATAACACAATGTAAAGTGCAACTCACTGACTGTTCCTAAAATGAACTTCTTCAATCCCTTTTTCTGGCCGGCAAATCGAATCAGAAAGATCCCAAGGGATATCTTCACCAGGCTGATCCCCAAAACGATAATAATGGAGTGATACCATAGCCATTTGGCCAGTAGTTCATAGTCATTCGGGCCAATGTCCTTGAAGAAACGACCAAGACCGTGGTCACATTCCCCGACGAAGCACGCAAGTACGCCAACTGCACATGCCTGCGCGGTGATATTACATCAGAACTTTGATCTCTAAGTGAGGAGCAAAGTGATACAGGCACCCCGTTGACCCTCTATGGCCTATATCGCATGGGGCAAACACTCACCAAAGATATTATCATGATGCCGTCTTCGACATGAAACCGGCGCAGGACGAAGATCCGAACATAACACCGTAGGATTACCAAAAGGGCTGAAAGACCGGTAAGCGTGCCCACAATTGCAATGATCCGTGGAGCATTTGTGTACGGCACTGAATCTGGGATATTAGTTTGGCTTGGTGCTTGTCGTGCTAGAAGCGACGACAAGGAGTTGGTAGTCGCCATGATCATTTCACGGGTCGTGACAAGAGCACGGAAAAGTGGAACAAGAAAGCCCAGGGATGCGGTCTGGGGATAGAGCTTGAGAAATACTGTCTTATATTGTTGCTACTATTGCTCAAGGCTAGGCTCCTGCACACACAGGCTAGAGGCGAATGCGTCGGCAAAAGGCTGGGTCTCAACCGTACTGGCGGTAGAAGAGTATCGCAAATGGTAGTTCTTTCAGTGCTAAAAATGGCTCGCTCCTTTCAATTCAGTTTAGGATCTGGATACTCCGTCCTGCTGAAATGGAAGTATGAATCTGAAATAACACTCGAGGACCTCCACGGAGGGGCTCGCCAACTCATTCTCAAGCCACGCATCTATACAATTCCTAGCATCAAGCAGGATACGTACATCTTGGATGCGATAAGACTTTCCAGCGACAAAGGAAGAGCCCCATAGCGTCTCGAGTCGGTCCGACGTACGCCTCCTCCGCACCGGGGGCTTACTCCCTGCAGGGGCTGAAACGTGAATTGCCAGGCCCAAACATCTGATTCATTCCGGTCGAATAACCCTATCCGTACTCCGTATAAAAATTGATAAACGAAGGATTAAACCCACGCAGAAAACCAAGCTCATTATAGACGGCCAATATGACCTTCTAGACTAATGGAACTCAGCCATCGGGGACCGTATTGATGCCTAGATCACGCATTCCAATTCGTTGCGGAAGGAAAGGGATTTCTGCCGGAGATATCTTCCTATACATACGTATCTTCTGAAACCTTCCACGAATCCATAAATCTCCAGGCAAATACTATGTATTGCAGAGGGGGATATTCCAGAGGGCAGAGCACTGGGAGATGGTTCGGGGTAGGAATTCAGTCCACTGTCCGCGGATATTACCACGGACGATATTGGAATTCTAGCTCCGACGAGGGTTCAACTCCTGCGAGTACAAGATTCCCAAGATGGTTAAATATGCCAAGGGAATCCTTTGACTTCGAAGACAGGGATATAGTGCACTAGCCTATACCAAAGTTAGACATAGCAGAGGCATCGGGACGTAAGCAATTCATTTCCTGTAGTGGAAGTGATCGAGTACTTATCCGGTCACCCCTGACTGCTCCCGTTATTATCGGAGTACAGACTGCTTCTATTGCAGAGCGCTTGTTGTCTCCTCGAGTCTCTTCCGTTCTTAGACAACGTCGCATTCAGAAAGACACCCAGGGTCCAGGATTGTTGCCTTGATGTGAAACATCATGGGACCAGATTTGACGCTAATCACCATAGTTCGGAGAAGATCTTTTTTTATTATTGCCCCTACTCCAGTTCTGTCACCGCAGAGCGCGGATCCTGATAGTTGTATTCTGAACTCGATCCTCCCATTGGTTATTTCTCGTCTGTATCCTGTTCGCCTGGTCCTTGCTCGATGCCTCCTCGAAGCTGATAACACCCTCCCCAAACGAGGAACAACAATATCCTTCCAGATACTCCCGATATTCACGGCAACGAGGCCGCCGTTTGCAGTCTTATTACGCAGCACAGCCCGGGGATTAACCCCCAGCACGGCCTTCAGAAGGGGAGCACTGAAGAGAGAGTCAGTACCAACAAGTTGGCTATAATTATCTCCGGCAGAAACCATCCGCGCGATCCACAAGGGATTTACATATAGAAGCGGGAAATCTGCCGTGGTCTGGCCGAGAGAGCTTATTAGAAGGGAATAACCCCATTTTTTTAACCTCCAAGCGAGCGATCAGAAAGGGCAAAGAAAGCGATTGGATGCCATGTTTGACCATCGGCATCGCCAAGTGATTCTTTGGTTAAAATCAGGCCACGAAGAGGATCACATCGCGGTGTAACCCTTGCGGCCAAGCTGAAGTAAAATGCCGCTATCCAGACCAAATACGATGGGAGATTAACGTTAATATTGGACCCCGGCAATCAGGGCTCGGCCGGCCGGCGCCCTGATCCTTTACTAGCTTCGTCCCACGCCGCTTGCCTCTTTTCTAGCGGGGGTTAGTTGTATAGATCCTGGAGCGATAGTACTTGCCCCTCCGATGGAGATTTTTCTTCTGCCTGGCTCTTGTCTTCCCCGGGGTAAACCAACTCGGGTCTTGGGTAGAAACCAGAGAAAGTCAATCCACTGTGGTATATGCAACGGTGCGTCGTTCTATATTTATAAAACGGTCATATTCTGCCACCATCTTTGGCGTTCAGCCCCCCCGGGGAATATGCAGTAGGCTAATCGTAGAGAATATCCCCTCGATCTACGGAGTGCTACTATGTCCACTCCGTTTGAGCCAACCAAGGCTCCATCTCCTCAGATCAAATGATATTCCAGGCAGAGTTGGCGGGACCTTGGGCACATTAATCGACTCGGTCATGATCCGGGCCGTCGGGCAGATACTAAGTTGCTAGGCAATCCCAACGCAGTAGCTTAGCCTGGCTCCACGCCGTATACTAGGAATATCATTTCTCAAGGTTTTCATTTGTGCCGTATGAGAAGCTCTCAGGGCAGCCAACATTCGTACCGTGCATGTTAGCTAGTCTTTTTTTGTCCCTAGATGCGGTCAAAAGGAATTGGAGTCAACGTCCCTAGCTTTTATGTTACAGGGGCTCTCATCTCCATGCAAGAAACAATACTGCGTGACTACCTCGTGGTTCGGAATTATTTCTCCTTTGCCCTGAGCCAAACGAATTATAAAGCCAGTACCTGACCAACCGGTCGATCGCTGTTTGCTTTCTTTTTCTGTCATCATTGTCGGTTCTATATTCTTTTTCCTCTTTTGTCTTCCGTTCATATTTCTCCTTTTATAGAGAGAGAAACGTGACAATGCGCTTCTCACTCATTGCTGCTGCTGCTGCTGCTCTAGTCACTGCTCCCCAAGCCGCAGCCACTCCCATAGATGGGTGGGATCTGCTTGCTGGAAAAGCTCTTGCCAATCAAGTTCTTTACCAGTATTCCAAGCCGAACTCTGGAAGCCCATGTACCCCTTTCAATGCTGCTGTTCGTAGGGAATGGTAAGCATTTTCGTCATCTATATTCGCATCTTCAGAATGCTGGACTAATCGGCTCATTGTTCAGGGGCTCTCTCTCGAAGAGCGAACGCAAGGAGTACACTGACGCCGTTAACTGCCTTGCGTCCAAACCCTCTCAGGATCGTGCCCTTGCTCCCGGAGCGCGTAACCGGTTCGACGACTTTGTTGCTGTGCACATCAACCAAACGTGGACCATCCACGGGACGGTAAATAGCCCGTGCTTGTCGAGGCAATCCGTGGGAGCTCATCACTAAACTTAGTTTAGGGCAGTTTTTTGACATGGCACCGTTACTTCACGTGGGCCTATGAACAGGCTCTACGCAATGAGTGTGGTTATACCGGCTACCAGCCCTACTGGTCCTGGGGCAAGTATGCGGATGACCCAGAAAATTCTCCGATTTTCGACGGCTCCCCGTACAGTATGTCCGGCAATGGCGAATTCATCCCCCACAACGGGAGTTTGGCTGCTCCTGGAATTGTGCTGAAGCCTGGAACTGGAGGCGGCTGCGTGAAGACCGGCCCGTTCAAGGAGTACGTTCTGATACGATACCGCTCTCAATAACAAAGCACAAGCTAACTCATCTCCCAGCTGGCAAGTCAACCTGGGCCCTCGTTTCCCTAGCCTGAAGCTTCCGGGAATTGTTGCGCAGAACGGCTCCGGGCTCAATTACAACCCGCGTTGTCTGCGCCGGGACGTCTGCAAGGATGCCGCTCGCTGGACCACAGTCGACCAAATTGTCGACTTGATCGACAACTACAAGAATATCACCCTGTTCCAGAACCGACTCCAAGGCGATTTCCCCAAGGGCTTTCTTGGTATTCACAGTGGCGGCCACTATACCATTGGCGGTGACCCCGGTGGTGTATGTCTTTCTATTTCCGCATTCCCCAGGCATACCACAAGCTGAGTGACTGACTGACTTGGGATGTTAGGATTTCTTTGCTTCCCCTGGCGACCCAGCATTCTTCCTCCACCATTCCGCTATCGACCGTCTCTTCTGGACGTGGCAAAACCTTGATCCCGCACATCGCACGTTCGTGGTTGACGGCCCTACCATCATGGCGGGCCTCGTCGACAACCCCCCAAATACCACCCTTGACGATATGCAGCACTTTGGCACCTTGACCGAACCTAAGACTATTCGTCAACTGCTGGACACTACCGCTGGGCCATTCTGTTACGTCTATTTGTAATAACACGTTTCCAACGTTGGGGTTAGCGGGGAGGATCCCTTGAGCCAAGTATAATAGTTCTACATAAAAATATAATATAAACAGTCAACCATAGCTCCGGAGTGGAGATGTGAATTAGGGCGCAAGCTGGGTTTAATCCCTTTCGGTCATGTTGATAGCGCAGAGTGCTGCTGAATCATTTCCTCCGTGACCAACTCCCCAAGAATCTCTTCTAGGTGTTTGATCAGGGTGTAATGTGTTTCACCTGCAAACTCGCGCAGGCTACAATGAGGCAGCCGAGCAGCCAGATACCGCGTCATCTCCACCGGAGAATTCGCATCCTTTTCTCCATGCCAGATCTGGATCCTGTTGTACGGGACGTCTTCAAATCGGAACCCCCAATCGTGCGATAGCAGAACAGCTTCCTGGACCGACGCCCCCGCACCTTGAGCAAAGGCCTCGAACAAGGTTTTCAGCAACCTCTCCCGCTCCTCCTCAGTCGAGAGCGTGGTTTCGTCTCTGCTCTCCTGTTTCTCAAGCCAGGCATCCAGCCATTTTGTCACTGGGCCGCTTGTCGCACACCATCGCGAAGCCCCAACCACACCGTCAACGAATACCCTCAGGGCTGCCGGGGAATTCGTGGCCGCACATGAGAGCATCCTCCGCGTGCGCGAGACATACCGCATCCCCGCGGCCCATGGTCCAGCCCCAGCCAGAATCCCCACCGCGGACAGCATCTCGTACGGGAGAGCATACGCGCAAGCCACGGCGTAAGGCCCACCACCGGAGCCCCCCAGAACAGCGAAGCGCGGGATCCGGAGATGGTCCACGAGGGACTTGACGTCTGCGGGCCAGTCCGTGATCCGCCGCTGTTTCTGGAACGTGGAGAGTCCGTATCCGGGCCGGTCGGGTGCAATAACGCGCAGACCTCGTCGTCGGGCCATTCCGTCAACAGCCCAGCCTTCCAGCCGTGACGACGGGAAGCCATGGAAGTAGAGTATCGGGTAGCCGGTTGGAGAGCCATACTCTGCGTAACCCAACCGGCGACCGTCAGGGAGAGAGAGAGTTTGATGGAGGCGGGATATGTTGTTGGTCTTAGCGCCAGTTGCAGCAGCAGGAGTGATGTTGTTGCCTACGGGCAGGGGGACGCGGAGTCTCAGCCCTGGCTTCATGGTTGGTGATATGATATGGAAAATAATCAATGAATACGGGCAGCGAGGGAGTCCGGTAGAATATTCGGTGTTGAGTCAGAGACTTGCTGACCTTTAAATTTGTACGGGAATCCTGCTTCGGCTGCATAATTCCGACACGATACTACAATAAGCATAGTGAGGCTAATTTCACTAGAATAGCCTCTAATCATACATCAAGAGAATTCTCAACAAGAACAGGGTAATATTAGCATGATCCCAACATCTTTCACAGTTGATATTCTAGTTATTGTAGCCGCTGGGAACAGCTGGGCTGATTGACCATATAGAACATGCAGACATCGGTTGTAACTTGGAATAAGCAGCATACCCTATATTCGTCTTCTATCCTCAGTTTGCTACCGTCTTCATACTGACTGCCATGGTAAGGTTTGGACAACATACGTAAGTCTGACTGTGTGAACATCTGTCATGCCACCCCGAAGTATTGATATAAAAATAGTTCTTTTCTTTTCTTTTGCCTTGACCATATGAATTTTATTGGCGGGCTCCTCTTGCAATGACGCAAATGACAGTCAAACTCTCATCATTCAACCCAATATTCGTGAATCAAATGGTTCAGATCTGCAGGACAGTCAAATATAAATATCCGGATGTGATCACTACTCTAAGTCCGTGCAGTTGAGAGTAATTTATATATATGCCCGCTAGCTCCACGGATTTCCCCGTCATGATGTATTTGGCTGCCGTCCTCGTCTCTCTGCTCGCCATGGGCACATCTACAAATGCACTTGCGGTCTGCGATCGAGACAATAATCAAGGCCAGGACGACGACCCCAACAACGAATCCGGTCAAAACCGGATCTGCCCGGGTCTCAGAACAACGGACAATGGCTGCATTCGATTCACTCGAGGCTTCGACGTTACCGGTGTTACGACTGAAGTCGACCTTACCTTCCCACAGATCCAAACCGAATGCGACTGTATCCAGGAGTGTATCAATCGACTCGGCACCTGTGCCAACTATGTGTGGAAGTTCTCCACTCCAGAGTCCGTCCAATCTGGCCATCGCACCTGTACCCTGTACTCCGATTTCAACCTGCCCGCGGACGTGACGCTGGCTTTCGATGTGAACGGGTCCATGAACATCCAGACTTTGAGTCCAGACAACAATCCGCAGCGCGGAGGCCTTGTTCCTCAAGCCTTCAAGGATAGTAATCTCAGTACTGAGGCGGACCATGATGCTGTTTCGGGCCCTGTTTGGGCACTGGCGGATGGCTCTGTTCAGTGCTAGAAGAAAAGAACCTAGTGATCAGGTGGATTTCATCTGATTCTACGATCTTTCTCATATCAGTTGGGTGCGCATAGGGCGAATATGCAACTTGTGTACTACCTTGGAGTTCTTTCCCCTTTTTTTTTGTATTATCGTAAAGTATACCTAGGTACTAGGAAATTGAAGATGCGAGCTTGTTCCCTGAAAATTTTTCTTTTGATGATAATACACCAGTATACTAGCCTGGATGGACAAGGGCAAGGCACTTGCGTAGGGTGAGGAAATATGTCCTACATCAGAATATGCACAAGTCGTACTCTTTCTTATACAAACTCTTGCAGGTTGCCATCTTTATCGCCCTGGCCGCTCCCTGGCCGTGTCCCAGATTTACTTTGAAACGAGCCGATCCACTGAGAATGATGCGGAGATGAGAATGTGTCTTCTGGATAGATATCATAGGGATCGAGTCTTGACTTTTGCGGCCTCTCTCGTTTCGAGGCGAGTATATCCAGGCTTTTCATGTCAGCGGGGGCTCGCCTTCGTAGGACAGAGTTGCTAGATTTGACTCACAGTAGGATTACTGGAAAGAGACACTCAAGCGTGTATACAAATCGATCAATTTGGGATGCAACAGTAGTTGCACTCTGCTGGAGTACGTGACTGCGCGCGCAATGCCAATGCAGAAAAGACTGGCCAGGCGTAACTCGGCGCTTCGTGTTAAATAAAGAAAAGTCTCGCGAGAAGACGAAACATAGGGGGATCTCAGATAAGCCCGTGCTAGCTGTTTAATGAGGAAGAATGAACTCCAGGTCTCTAGCAGCGCAAGAGAAACAAAGTATCCAGTGTGTAAGTGGCTGATCCTGTGCTGTTCGGAGAGATTTCCCCTTGCAAGCTGCATCGCTCTATACACTGTGATGGTGATGCGAAGCCCGAGAATATCGAGGATTAAAGCCCAAAAGATGACCAGAAAGATCATGAGTTGGCGTCCGTGGAGGATACGTGAAATGATTAAATAACTATAGAAGGAGATCCCGGGCCCTTGGATCTTTGATATATCAGCTCAGTTCAGCCGTTTCTCCTTGACCGTGGCTGATTCGAACTCACCAGCCAGAATATTTCCGCGAAGATACAGGCAAGCTAGTCTCGGTGTAATCGACCCATTTGTGTAGTATGCGAACCAGCACATCCCGTTTGCTATGGCACAGCTCGCTGAGACAACGAGAGGTACAAAGTTCAGGATACATGCATGTGTGATGGCTATGACTGAGATAGAGGCGAAGGTCAGGAAGATCCCGATAGTACTTAGAATGGACCAGCTCGTCTCAAAATACGCGGGTACATCCATTGTCATGCAGGAGAAGCACAGGCTCTCAAAACTCTTTCATATCGACAAGCTTTATGAAATGAATACCAAAGGACTTTAAATACTAGATGGAGGATGAGTGACTTCAAAGACTCGGGACGCATGTTAGTGACCAAAATAGACGACGCATTGCGCATGATATCGCCAATAGATATACACGAAGCCACACAAACCCGGAAAACTGTTCCCAAGTCGGAGATTATGCATTAAATCCTGGGGATCTGTCTGTTATTCCAATGGTTCCAGTGGCAAGCCTCGAAGCGCAAAACCCTAATGTGAACCTTTGTTTTTCTTGACCAGCCCTGTTGCCGAATGTATCTCGCTCGCGGGGACTGTACGGAGTAGCCTCTCTTGATTTGATAAGCTTTAGCTGTGCTTGGCCGATTCTATGGACTCTTAGCTCGTGTTCGGGACCTCCTATGGAGCCCATTGTTGGTATTTGGATGGCTTCATTGTCTCCAAGAATTCCGGGCAAAATGCCGGTATTTCGCAATTCATCGCCCATAATAAAATGCCACCTGTCCTAGGATTAAAACCCGAATATACTTCATATTGCGCAAAGAACTAAAGTGCTCCAGAGTATTTGATCTAGACCCTTATGGCCATCACTTGTCCAGCACGCACCTCGCAAGAGTACTAGGTTTTTTCAACGAGCAACAATATTTTAGGTCACGTAAATTTTATCCATAAAAGCCAGACTCAAAACAGTTAAAAGCCGACTTGGGAAAACGCTCAAATTGAACAGCCAGAAAAGGTTATTGTTATGAAACTGGATGGCTGAAACCCTGGGCTGCGACTAAGGGTCCGCTTGGATAATCCACATACATAAGAAACATCCGGCCCACTTTAGCCATATGTAGTGACCAAGATCTACAAGGAGAAAAGGTCTCCTCCACTTACCTCTGCTAGGATTTCATCACTTGTTTGTTGTCACAGTGTGTGAGTGGCATGGTGTGTGTATTGCTTTAGGCTATAACCTCTGTGCTGGATATTAGCCTCCTTCAGCTCTTCAAGCTGGTTTGAGTAAAGTACGAGAATACATACTCAGGCCTCATCTAGTGGAGACCAGAAAACTAGTCGGGCTCTCAGGGCTAAGGAGATGTCGAGGTGTTTCACGGTAGCCACGCTCACTCTCTCCAGTTTTATCTAGATTGGAGGGTTCTAAATATCCGCTCATTCGATTGTATATATTAGGCCTTTGGGGTGCTGCCGGGGTCTTTGCGGCTAAAGTTCAATATTCAGTTATCGTCATCGATTTCAAAATATATTGCTGTTCAATTAACGGACAAGGACTCAGGAGGTATATAAGGCCCGGATTGCCTTCCCAACAACAAAGGTAAACAACAAAGCTAAACAAGCAAGCAAACGATTCATATTTCATTCCCTCAAAGCCCGATCAATACAATACCTTGATTACTTCACCATGCGTTGGAATCAAGCGAGTCTTCTACTCCTTGGCTGTGCCATGGCTGAGGATGTCGGCGTTGGGAAGCGCGACAGTTGCCCTCAGATACATGTCTTTGGAGCCCGGGAGACCACGGCAGCTGCCGGTTATGGCTCTTCTAGCACCGTTGTCAACCTCGTTCTGAATGCCTATTCCGGGTCTACCTCGGAGGCAATCGACTATCCTGCCTGTGGAGGCCAGTCCTCTTGTGGTGGTGTTAGCTATTCAGACTCTGTGGTTGCTGGTGTCAAAGCGGCGGCCTCCGCTGTCAATTCATTCAATTCGAAGTGTCCCAGCACAGAGCTAGTTCTGGTCGGATACTCCCAGGTAGGCCGTTCCTAATTATCCTTGGATTCCCTCAACTGCCCAACTGATCCTTCCCTAGGGCGGCGAAATCTTCGACGCCGCACTGTGCGGTGGTGGCATCCCCAACCAGGGCTATACGGATACCTCCGTCGTTCTGTCCTCGTCCGCCGTCAGCATGGTCAAGGCAGCGATCTTTATGGGTGATCCTATGTATGAGACTGGGCTACCATATGATGTCGGTTCTTGTACCGCGGGAGGAGTAAGTTCCTATCTCTTTCCATTTAGGATTCAGCTCCGTCTGCTCTAACAGCTTGCCACTACATAGTTTGACGCACGGCCTTCCGGTTTTAGCTGCCCATCTGCCAGCAAGATTCAATCTTATTGTGATGCATCTGACCCGTATTGCTGCAATGGTAGCGACGATGCCACTCACAACGGCTATGGGGCTGAATACGGCCAAGATGCATTCAAGTTTATTGAGAGCGCCCTCGGATCCAGCTCCGGGAAATAGCTGTAAATGCAGCTCCAAAGAGACCTCTGGTAGCACTGTTGCCAGGTGGCTTTGAACCAGTGGTACCCGCAGTGCCAGTGAGGAGTGAGGAAGGAGTGAGGAGTGAAGAATGAGGCGATGATTGAACAGAACACCGGTTCTATAGAAAATGTTGAGCTGGGTCTTGATTACCCTGGATAATTGTACCTTGTCAATAACACTACAAATACAGACCTCGTTAAACACATTTTCCTGGTTCAATATAGTTGAGATTCCGCCCCGAACGGGGACAATATCAACAATAATAGAGCACCTACAAGCTGGGGGGTTATTTTTGTCCCAGAACGGCTCTATGCTCTCCGTATCCCCCTTGTAGATACTTTCCGTTCTACCCAAGTCTCAGGTTACCCGAAGGATAGGCTCTGGCCGGCGTCGAGAAACAAACAGTTACATTCGTGCTCCAGATAAAGGAAGGTTGCAAGGTAGTCTGCTTTAATGGGATCAGAGGAGACACTGTATCTATATGTTATAATTCATTTCATCTGCTGTAGTAAATGAAGCTCCGTTTACCGGAATCTTTCAGCTTGTCCAGCTTCTTCATATAGTAGCTCTCGTGCCTCAGTCCTATCCATTAGCCTGGTTATTTCCAGCCTATATCCTGGTGATGTAGATCTAGAGCGGGGTTTACAGCGGGGAAGCGGGCAGTCAAGGACATACATATTCTCTGTCGACCAAGAAGCTCCTCCGATCCGAGGCTGGGAATTTACCTCCCCGTGCTCTCCTCGCGGCCTTTGATTCAAGGGTTTGTCGAAGAGGCATTAGACGCCACATTGGCTCCTTTTCCCTGGCTGGGCGTATGCGATAACACTGCGGAATCCTCGCCTAGCTGAATCCCATACATTGTTAGTACAGTACAGGTCTCGGAAGGGCTGAAAACCAAAAAGGCTAACGTTTACCTTCACTGCCGACATAAATATAACCGGAGTGTCTGCAGCGCTGCGTTGGTCCGCAATCCGAGGGGAGTATCGTTATATAGAGCGCAAGCCGACGGTCAAGAACCAGTTTCTAGCCTGGCGTTTTCGCATGTGCCAGGGCTTTTCCAAATGGCACAGGTTAGTACGGATCAGATTAAAGAATGGCGTTCCATCATAACCCTGGTCGTCTTTGTCATTGCTAGTAGGTCCAAACAAGGGTCTCTCAGTGGCCTCGGAGGATCGGAAAGACCCTCATCTAATGGCGTTGCGGTGGTGCAGATATTATCGTCCTCTTTCCCTTCCACGTTCCTATTTACATACCCCGACGTCTTTCAAATGCAATCTTGGACACGCTCAGCGCTTGGAGGGTGATATCCTCGCCGCGACGAGAAGATCACACAGTTCGCGGGTTCGTGCGCTTCAATTTTCCTCTCAACTTCGTCACTGCGCCATTGATCGCGGATCTCTTTCTACTGGCTATCTCGGCTATTGGTCGCAAGGAGGTCCATGATGGCACGGTAGGTGCCGATAACATCTCGCCGATTGATATCATGGCCTTTTTTCTGACCCTGGCCTATATTGCAATCTCAATCGATGCATCCGGCCTCGTTCGGTTTCTGGCATTCAAGGTCCTGCAGAAAGGAGGGAAAGAAGGACATAGGCTATTCTTCTACCTCTATGCATTCTTCTTTGGCTTGGGTAGCTTCATGGGAAACGACCCCATTATTCTCTCCGGCACGGCGTTTCTCGCTTATATGACTCGTGTGTCCAGCAATATTCTGCACCCCCGAGCATGGATTTTCACCCAGTTCGCTGTGGCCAACATTGCGTCGGCCATTCTGGTCTCGTCTAATCCCACGAACCTCGTTCTGGCTGGGGCGTTCAAGATCAAGTTTCTCGAATACACCGCGAATATGATCGTGCCTGTTGCCGTGACGGCCATCGTTCTTTTTCCTTTCTTGCTTTACATCATCTTCGCCGATGAGTCGCTAGTCCCGGTGGCAATTGAAATGCACGAATTACCTGAAGAGGCCAAAGCACGGAAACCAGTTAATCCAAATATCCCGAATGCGCGCGGCAGGGCGGATGGCGAAGAGGGGAAGCTTCTGTCTCTCGAAGAAATCATGAATCCGTTTCTCGACAAGGGCGGAGCGATATTTGGTACCGCCATCATGGCTGCGACCCTCATCACGATCCTCGCGATTAATGCGGCTTCTCAAGAGCGTGGTGAGCACCCCGTGTTTTGGGTAACTCTGCCAGCGGCCGTCGTGATGTTCTGTTGGGATCTTGCTTTTGGGTGGAAGAACCGGCATGAGACGCGGGAGATCGCTCGCAAGGGCCGTCAAGAGCTCGAACAATCTAGAGCCGACTGGTGGATGACATCGCGGCCAGACTTACTCCCAGGCTCTACCAGCCCGGGAGGTGACCAGTCCCGGGAGGAGCAGCTGTCGCCAAGTGGAGTTAGGACTCTGGATGAGGAGAGGCAGGATTTAACGCAACTTGGGAGGGAGAATTCACGTCCGCGAGTCTCAATGGCCAACCGTCCGGTGGCGGATACACAGGATAGTGCGCTGCCTACTGGGCTTCCCTCCAACCATCCCGAGGCTCAGCACCAGACTGAGCGAACAACGATCGTGTCCTGGTCGATAGACACATACCGGTGGCTCCAGGAGACCTTTCCAACCGCTACAGCAGTGGTATCCCATATGCCTTTCGCAGTTGTTCCGTTTGCCTTGTCGATGTTTGTCCTGGTGCAGGCTCTCGCCACAAAAGGATGGATCGAAGTCTTCGCCCGCGGATGGGACCACTGGGTGAAGAGAACAGGAACAGTGGGCAGTATCGGCGGCATGGGCTTCTTGTCTGTGATTCTATGCAATGCGAGTCCCACGCTCTTCACGTATACCCATATCCCTCTCTGCCCCGTCATACACTAATAAGTTACCTCGTCCAGTTCGCCGGCACAAACATCGGCACGACCATTCTCCTATCCCGCGTCATCCAACAGTGGCAAATAATCCACGAGGCCGACGGAATCCCCATTTCCAACCGGACCTTTTGGGCAACAGTGTATAGCATGGCTCTTGGTGTCAACTACGGTGCGTTCAGTGCCGTGTTCAGTACCTCCCTCGCTGGACTTTTGTGGCGCGATATTCTCGCCCGAAAGCACATCCGGGTCGACAGTCGGGACTTTGCGCGCGTCAATCTTCCGATTATTGCTGTTTCTATGGCTGTGGGGTGTGCTGTGCTTGTTGGCGAGGTGTATATTACGAGAGAGGAAACTCCTTATAGGAAACTCTAGGATCACTCCAAGGTAAAACTACCACAAAGGTTTCGGTCAACTTTACCGTTCCGCTAAAAAGGTGGCCAAGACAGTCATTTCTAGCTAATATACAGTATTATATCGGTTAGGGTTAGGGTTAGGGTATATGTGGTGATACTGTTTCTATTAGAATCAGCTGATTTGAAGCTATAATCACATCCACGTAAAGAGATGATCCAGAACTAAACCGGGGGGAGGTTAAAGCCACCCATGGAAATATTCATATCATACAAGTCGCCTGGTGGATCTGTCTGGAGATTACGAGGGAAATTCCAAACAGGGCCAGGTCCAGACATCATTCCGAACATATCCAATGCCGGTGGACCAACCCCTCCAATGCCAGTCGTGTAAGGAAATACGCTCCAACAAGGGTCTAACGGCTCCTCTGCAAAGTCAGAGGGGCCGCCGCCGGTCCCAGACCGGGAAGGAATACCGCGTCCAGCCTGGCTGTGGTCAAATTCCAGTTCAGATGTCGTTGGCCTGTCCTCCCGGGACCGATGGTCTGGCGTTGGGGCTACGGATCCAGTTGCAACTTTCCAGCGGTGTTGTTGGCTAGTACTACCACGACTCTTCTGAACATCTCGCACGTACTGCGCTTTGGCCATCAATCTCTTGATCGGTCTCCACAGCATGCCCCGTTTGTCATTTCCTCTCCCTTCCCAATGGTGGTAGACTTTGTTCACACATTCCCAGGCAAGTTCACACTCTGGGGATGGTGGTCGCCAGCAGATCTCGGCAAGCACGAAAGCCACGGCGTGCCACTGGATATGTGTCTTGGAATGCCAGGCCCATTGATGAGTCTCCTCATCTGTGAGAAGCGAGCTGGAAAGTTGCAGGATTTGGGTGGAGATGCGGAAGAGACGAGCTCGCGTATCCCGCAGTAGAGTGTTTGATAGATCCTTTGAGCAGCGCGGATACAGGACAGACACCCACATCCTCAGGGTAATCAGCTGCGCGACCTTCGAAATCACACGAAGGAATGGCGCAGATGGGTCGGAATGGTTTACATAACGACTTTGGAAGCGTGTTTGCAGGTCTTCTGCCAGTGCCTCCCGAGCTTCGAAGCATGAGCCGTTTCCTGGATCCTCGTCGCTTTCACCAGGTGTTGTGTGGCAGAGCTTCCGGACGGCACGTATAGTTTCACATCGCATCAGGCTGTAGGTCATCTCTGTTATCCCCTCGCGCTCCTGGGGCGGCTCGGTCATTTGGGCTGTCAGGTCACTGTCATTGATATTCAACGGTGCTTTTGTATCGTATGTCGATCCTTGGGCAATCGGCTCGCAGCCATGGTATTCCGTGGATCGGTTATCCAGAAAAAGAATGTGCCACCATAGCCGTCTTCGTAGCTCGGTTTCCAGCGGCCTCAGTCCAAACGACGCTCCGTCTCGGTGGAGGCCCATGGCCTGGGCAATGTGAAAGATGAGGGAGGTCAAAGACCATACAGTCCGGGAATAATCTTCATTGCGTAAGGCGGAAAGAAACAGCACCGCAGCCTGCAGTAGAATCATATTCTGAGTGTTCAAGAGATCTGCGCGAGCCATCGCCTGCTCTGCAGCAAATCGATATGTTTCCAACGCGCGGGATCTGGGGACTCCCAATTGATCGAGACACTCCTCTGGTTCCAAACTAATCATTGCCGAGTAGTAAATTGCAAACAGAAGTGCCTCCACATTCTTGTCGAGGGAATCCAGGGACGCCATTGAGTCCCAGAATAGTTGAATGAGGGTTGGCATATGGAAAATCCGGATTAGTCGGGAGACATTCTCTTTGAAAATCTCAAAGAGTGCCACCGCTTGAGAGACCGGGGGGTGATAGTTGCGGAGGGAATGCGCGAGCGACCTAAAGCCCATCACGGCTGCATTCGAGCCCAAGCTCCCGAGTGCTGCTGATGCTGCTGGCTGCTCGGAAACTGACTCATGGTCTTCATCGTCTGAATCGGGCTCATGGAGGAAATCCCGCAGTTCTTCGATCTAACCTCTGTGTTAGGGTTATGTGGAGAGAAAGGTGTTCAGTTGCATACCTCATCCCCTAATCTGGCCCAAACCGCGCTGCTAACGTAGCAGCTCTGCGTCTCGTCAATTATCAACCGGCCAATTTGTAGGTCAGTTTCGGGTTCTGAATGAGCCGTCGAGCTTGTGGGCGGTGCGATGCTTTCGCGATCTTGATCCGCTCTCTCTGCATGAGTCTGGCCCGACGAAGCACGATCTGACCTGCCCGCACCCTCTGGCTCGAGGCATCTCACAATCGTCTCCAGCCGAGACAGCTGGGCCAACAGTCGAGCTTCCACGGCCTTTCGCGGTCGCTTTGGTGCACGACCAGGTCCTGCGGGGTAAACACACTTGGCTGCCACGCGGATACAACTAGCACAGGGTTGTTGCCGGTCACATCTGATCTTACGTTGTCGACACAATGTGCAGCTCCGAATAGGAGGCCGAGCGAAGCTGATCGAGGAAACATCGTCAGGGCGCACGCTGCTGTCATTGTTTCTAGAGCCTGCGGTTGTGTCTGATGCCTCGGTGCAGAACGAGGAGTCCATAATCACTAAAATAAATAGAGGCTATCTCTCTCTCTCTCTTTGCTTTTTCACTCAGTGACATAAACTCTGCAGGTTGGGAGGAAACGAAGGGCGTTTTGCCCCTGTGGAGAATGCCGCATAAGCTTATGCGGGCCCGATCTGGTATCCGATTTCGACGCCGACTCCGCAATATAACTTGGATAAAGATCTCGCAGAGAAGAAATACTATAGTGATGCAAACCCTCGGTTTACTCGGATCCTTATTTGCTGGGCTGGTGGGCCGAAACAGGCCTACGTTACTGGCAGTGGCCTCTATCGATTCCTGGTCACTATATCAACTTCGGTACTCTGTCTGTAGTTAGCCCAGATCGGGACTCTCGAAGACGATAAGCAGGATACAATAGATCATGTCTGCATGCTGTCTTTGGATTCAGTTATAAGCCAGTCGTGGTGTTCAATATCAAGGTATTAATGTCAACATATATAACGCATAAATCATGAATTCAGCCTCCCAGGATATCACCATATCATAATCATATCCGATCCCAATGACAGAAAAAAGGGCTCATCTTCTATATGAACGCTCGCTGCTACCCGGTCGAAGCAACGCCTTCCCGCATCGTCGAACCTGCTTATACACCAGCTCCTTGGCCAGATAATCCTGCGTCGCATCCACAATGGTCTCCATCTCCTGGACGGAATCAAGTTCAATATCGGCTAAGCCATTGGGCACATCGAAGCGGAATAGCCGGTTATCATCATCCAACTCGGAATGCTCCTGGATGAACTTGTTCGTTTCAACCTCCGGGTCCAGCGCCAGCGCTTCCTGCGTCTTCGAGAACCCAAACATGCCCCCCGTTTTCGCACCACGCTTAATACAGGGCATTCCGGTGCCAATGGACACCATGCACCGCAACTGCGTCTCCAGCGCCGTCAACCGCCAAACATTCTTCGCCTCGATCCACACCTCACGGATCGGGTTGTTCGCCTGCAGCGAGCTATCCTGGAACCGACGGCGCGAGGGCCCCAGTGGAACGGGTTCGAAAAGCAGAGCGTTCGCAAAACAGGCCACCCCAGCCTCCCACACTTTGGTTGTTTTATATAGTTCCGTGGGACAGTATTTGCTCAGATAGCTAGCAAGAGGGACGAGCTTTCGGGTCGAATCATCGGTTACACATACAAAACTACACCATTAGTACTTTTTTTCCTCCCCCCCCAGTATAATGGGGGAAAAAAAAAGAAAAGAACAACATACACTCTACACGATGTATCCATATCCTGCAGCAACATATCACGATCCTCGTGTCCCAACTCCCGCAGAATCGACTTGAGCGCGGACTCGACCTTCTTCCCCTCGTATTTCGGTTTCCCGCGAATGTTGCCCATCGTGGTTAGGGAGAGACGCTTCTTGTGCCCGAAGACGTGCTTGCACAGGCGAGTGTATGCGACGATGCACTGGTCGATATCCATCTTCAGCCGGCCGAGCATAATCGCCAGCAGTCTGTGTATGTCGAGTCATTCACCGATTCGCATCTACAAAACGAATAGGAAACGAGAGAGAACTCCAACTTACCCACCCGACCCCGTCCCCCCGATCATATCAAAAAACTCGCATGGTTTGGGGGGGTTCTCGCGATCGATCGCCTCCATGACATGTTTGAGGATGTAAAGCGTTGACAGCGCGCGCACACCACCGCCATCCAGGCTCAGGAGGTTGAGTTCTCTATCTGCCATTTCCAGACCAGACCACAGATTCTAGTCGGCGTACCCTGAGTGCAGCATGCTATAGGGTAGATGTTGGCAGGACCCGCTACTTATACGAGCTGCAATTAAACCTTTCGCCCTGGGGGCCACTTTTTAAGCCGTCTCGGCGGAGCGAATGAGAGGCAAGGTAGGGCGAAAGACAACCTTTGTGAAAGTCCATACCCAAAATGACGTGGCGGTTCCTATCAGCTTTTACTGTCTATCCTGTTTAATTGGCGTTTTGTAAAGCCTGAATGAAGCGTGGCTAGTCCACGTCAACTCCGGGATACAAACGAGTAGGAAGCCTGTATCCCACTGCCTAACCCTGTCATTTAGCACCCGATTGCAAGTATTGGGTGTTAGGGTTTGAATGTCAGTGTCAGACGTCATTTGAATAGTTACCTAAGTAATGGGATGATTAACTAGATTATATCTCTAGAGACAACGTGGCAGCCTAATACGCGCTTTTTAGTAGGATTCACGTCGTCGTAGATACAGCTTCAGGACTTGCACTTCCCACTGGTGCCTTTCCCTTGTCTCGACAGACATGATCATCATTTCCAGGAGCCTCTCCGCCCTGTTCCTCGGTATGTATGTATTAGACGCGGGATTCTCAGTATTTCCTTCCGTCACTGCATCTGCCCCCTCACCACCACTCTCGAAAGAGCTATGATGAACCCCCCTCTGAATCCAAAATCCTCATCAAATCATCCACACAGTTCCTTCCCTTCGCTACCTTGTTGCAGGTGTAACTCACTGCGCAGCGACGCGGGCAAAGGATTGTGCATGCCCTTGGGCATTTGGACGATTCCGACGCTGGCGCCGGGAGAAATCAGGATGTTGTTGAGGCCATCCAAATACATACTCCGTACGACATGCGATTAAAAGCCTGAAATGAGAGACCAACAAACTAGCGCATAAATCAACACAATTAAATAGCTTGGTATTACTACGATGCTCTCGGTAGCTTGAAGGCTGATGAAGGTCTGAAATCAAAACCCAACTACCCTGTATACGTATGGTATACATGTATGTACATGTCCATCATCCGGGCTGTCTCTAATCGCAAAATTCTCCCATGTCTGCACGCAGGGGTCATGCTGAAGCTGCCATCTATTTCTCGCGGAATCATTGGGATCGTGATATACGGCAATGCCTAAGATTCTGCTAAGACAGATAAATAGGCCTGTAGATGCGTCGAATATAGCCTTGCTTGGCCTAAATAGCAACCGGCTCTGCATAGGATGGCCCGCCTGTCGTCTTCCTTTGCTTTTGCCTGATTGGCACGGGGGGCGCAGCTTTTCGCTTTGGAACGGATGTGATAGTCGCCTGGTTAAAATCGATCGCCATCACTTGCTGTCGTTCAGAGTTCCACACCAGGTTGGACCGTCGGATGTCATCATGACGGACACCAAATTGGGCCAATGTCTTTAGTGTTTTGTCTGTCTCTTTCTTGATATCCACGTCTTCAGACCAGGTATTGTGGCATAAACTGGTTCCAGCCCACGACATTAGCATCATCTTCGTGACTTTTGCCATACTGACAAGGGGATATGGCCGCGTAAGAGCGATCTTGCCAAGATAGACCGGAAGATTCCTCCCTTGTAGAGGCGACAGATATGAGTACACGGTGGATTCATAATCCAAGTCACTTTCATTTGCCTTCTGCACGCCTTTGGCCACAAACGTGTATCCATATTCAGTTAAAGTGACTGTAAAGAGCACCCCGATGGCTCCGAATAAACCTTTTCTATCTAAACATTCACAATCTTGATCAAGACTCTGATCAAGCTGCTTTTGAAGAAGGAAACAAAGATCTTCTTTGGTGATCGGGTGCTTGCCGCGAGCAGAGCTCTGCTTGTGTATGGAAAAGTTGGGACAGCTCACGTCCAGCGGCAGATCCTGAACCAGGCCGAACATACAAGCCTGTGTGCAATATTCCCGGACGGGGCATTGAGTTCGTTTCCGTGGAGACCGTCGACGCTCGCCCTGGGATCGAGATTGCTGGTCCGGTTGGGACCTGGACTGTCTTCTTCGAGGTGAGGTATTATAATCAATGTCATTCAGGTCATCGTCTTCTCCGCTAATTTCACTTGTTTCTCCGTGATACGTTTGCCGCTGCAGTGAGATGTTTTCCTGGAGGGACCTGTGAGGGACCAGGGGCCATTGATAAATACCGCAATTTTCAGCCTGTGTGATCCAATCGCGGGGCATCTCTCTTTCGCACAGTGCGAGGAGTGCAAATGTTGCTAATTTGGTAGCAGGCGCATATCGAGCTTCAAATTCATGCCCTTGTCCGATCAAATCCACAGGAGTAAAATAAAAATATAACCTCCATGGCGCGGACTTCTCAATTTTCAGGAGAATCAAAGTCTCGCCTGACGTTATGTATCCAAAGAGAAGGCCACTTTGAATCATATAATGAAAAGCCTGACAAAGAACCTGTGCCACAAGCTCCTGCATTCCTTCGTCTTCTTCAGAATTGGTCTTTCCTGACTGCTTTCGCCAAAGCACCTCTAGAAACAGGTTTTTGGGTGCAGTGTCGAGGACCTGTCTGATTTCTTCGTCGGGCGTCTTGTGTGCTGCTTTGTACTCTCCGACACATACACGACGCAGACCTCCTTCTTCCTCACAGATACCCCAGCGGTCGGGAATTGGCTGGCTTTTCTTGCGTTCTGGAGATCTCTTCTTACTAGGAGAAGAACCTTGACGCTCAACCCCTGTCTCAGGATCTCGATACTCCAGGCTGTAGGCATTATTTTGAAAGTAGAATATGTCCTGCCGATTAGTCTGGTCATAATAAGCTCTCACTATCCGCGCGGCTGGTTTCTCGATCGCACTCCGGACAAAGGGGCGGATATCCTGCTCGTCCTTTCGACTGGTGGGCGAGAGTTCACGCCGAACACCAAGGACATCTGTTTCGGAAGGAAAGAGAGGTTTGCTCGAGAAAGTCGCGGTGAGTTGATTGAATGTTTGCTCCAGTTGGTTCTCGAAATCGTGCCACCTATAAAGCTCCAATGGATAATATTTCCCATTCACAGCCGTCACAGACCCAGATGCTGACTTCATTGGGTTGGACTCGATCGACAAGGTCGTCACAAGGCGCTGTTGGACAAGCCTGAGATAATGCTCCAGAGTTGTAGGGGCCTGTCTTGCCTCTGCTCGGTCGGCCCGTTCTCGCTCTTTCGCGAGTTGATGAAGTAATTCATCTAGATTGGGAGAAGCCATAAGGAATGATGGGGAGTGGAAATGAATCAAGAGTATGGAGCAACAAGGGGAGGGAGGTGCTTACAGCTCTGGGTAGAAACCCGGAACGGATTAACCCTCGGCGTGGGTAGAGATTCTTCTATCCAGAATATGAAGGATCAAATGGAATTTGTGGCCCAATTCTTAAATCTAATAAAATATTGTAATTGCACAAATGTATCATTTAAAATAAAACGCCATCCACTCATGCCATCCACGGCCCGGTGCTCATGATTAAAAAAGAATATCCCAACAACACAGCTCCAGAAAATAATAGAAGGTACCACAAATGCGATTGAATTAAAGTCCAAAAGTCCACCCACCGTTCAGACGCAGCCGTTGTCGCTCCGCAATGTCGCGGCGAATCTCCTCCTGGGTCAGTCCATCCGGCCCTGACCAGTTTGCGCTGCTGGTTCGGTCGCGGAACTTCTTGACCCTCTTGTCTGCCTTGAACGTTTCCTCCAGCGAAAAGGGTGCAATGGGTCCGAAAATAGAGTCCGCCTCCAGCCCTTCCTGGTCCCTCAGAAGACCCTCAAGCTGCTTCGGCTGCGCCCACTTGGGAACAGGGAGCATCTCGGCATCGGAATCCTCATCTTCGCTATCCGTCGCAATCTCTGGGAGATGAATATTCTCGCCGTTGGGGTAATGGGGAGATGACTTCGCGGGTGCTTTGCCAGAAGAGCTTGCACCGGGAGTTCTATGCGACTGGGATGGTGCCGCAGCGCTGGAGGATTCTGCAAATGGGATCTTGCCGCTGGCATACTTGGCCATGTCCATGGGATGCGCAGGCTTCTGCGCTGAGACGGTCTTGAAGTTTGAGGAGCTGGCTTGGGGTACCGCAGAGTGCGGAGCATGACCGTATATGGAGAGCTTGGTAGGTTCCTAGAAAACCGGAATGAGCAAACACGTCAAGTGACCTCAGGATAAACAACACTTACCTTGCGAATAGTCGACTGGCGGATTGGCGGGGCCATAGTTGGTCGCATGGATGCGCGGTTCTGTTCATCGTCCGTCCTTCTACGCTTCGTTTCACCGGATGACTGTATCGTTGCGGGTTTCGCGGTAGCAGGGCGGTTATTGGCCTCTTCATCCAGCCCTCTCTTGGGCGGCTTGGCCGGGTTGGGCTGGGGTTGATTGATCGGTCGACCGAGCGCCGAGCCCAGACGTGAGGCCGGGCGGTTGTTGCCCATTTCGCTGCGCTGAGAGGATTGAGGAGCTGCCTCCGGTTGCTGGCTGCCCTGTCGTTCGAGTCTGCGTGCATTCTCTAGCCTGCGCTTCTCAATCGCCTGCATCTGAGCCGCCTTCTTGGGGTCTTCAGCAAGTTTCTCCCTTCGCTCAACTTCTGCCCGGCTCCGCATCTCCTGGCGACGGGCTTCTTCCTGTTGCTGTGCTGCGCGTTTGCGCTCTATTTCGCGTCTCTGCTCCTCCTTTCGTCGTGCCTCACGTTCTTCCTGCTCTCTCTTCCTTTCGCTTGCAAGCTGTGCTTTACGTTGTGTTTGGCTTGAGACAGAACTCTTAAAGCTACTATTGGAGGCAGCCGTATGAAGGGATGAGTTGCTTGCCTTTTTCTTCAGCGTTGGCGGTTTTGCTGCCGATGCGGGGGCCGTGGGTGCAGGGAGATTAGACTCTTGAGAGCCGGCAGCCACGGAGGAAGCTAGAGGCATTTGTCGAGAGAGGGCACTGTTGACACGGATTGACACAGGCTGAGGTTTTGGTTTCTGTTGGATTTCACGGGTAGGCCGAGTAGGGCGATTGTTACCGAGTCTGGAAGGAGCCTGAGACGCGGCAGGCTGTGAAGGAGCTTTGATGACATTCTCAGTGGGGGTTTCCAGTTCTTTCATTTGAGGCTTCGCTTGCGGCGCTCGGTTTGGCGAGGTTAGTGTCGATAAAGACACGGGCTGTCCGCGTGCATCGGACTCAGTGTGTGACCTTTCACGCGCAGTCTTTTGCTGCATAGCGCGCGGCTTCTCCTGCTGGCGGGCCTTTTCCGCAAGCTCCTCTTCGCGTTTGCGGTCTTCCAGCTCCTGTTGCTTACGCCTCTCCTCCTTTTCGGTGGAGCTTCGGGTCCGACGTCCTTCATGCCGCGGCGGGCTGAAAACCGACAGAGGTCGGTGGTTGCTTTGAGAAACATCCGTAGTCGCGCGTTCTAATTGCACCCTGGGCTCCTCCGGCGAGGAGGCCTCCATCCTCGCAACTGCCGACACCCCCCCGGAGCTTGTGAAAAGTCCCTTGGCAGTTCTTACAATGGACTGAAGTCTTGACTTAGATGCGCTCAAAGGGCCAACGTGGCGGCTAGGAGAGCCCACTGGAGTTGTCGAAATTGTATCGTCAAGATGAACAGACGCACTTTTCTGGTGACCGTAGCCTCGTGGCGATGAGAATATCGGGGTCGATGATTTACCACGGATTGTTCCCGACCTCTGCCTGGCTTCAGTTCGTGGGGCCTCGTCATCAGCGGCCTTACTACGGGGAGCAGAAGAGGCAGGTTCATCGGAAACCCCATTTTTGGAAGGAACCGACACCTTTGGCTTGCTCTCGGGCGCCTGACTTCTGGGGAAATTGAGCTGGTACGGAGAATTCAAGGGCTTAATCCAGTCATCTTCAGCATTCGTGGGGGGCTCCGCGGTCACCGTTTCACGCGATTTGGACGCAGATGCGTCGGGTTTATCCTCTGGTTTGGCTGCAGGGAGCTCAGGATAGGAAACCTGTGCAGAGGAGAGACCAGCAACTGCAGGGATCGATTTGGTAGGGCGTGATGGTTGAAGTTTACCCAACATACTGATCTTCTCATGTAGTCTTTGGGTAGAGGATTTGTTATGAAGTTTACTGGCCCTAGTATCCGCATCTGACTCATCAGCATTAGAAGTATCTTTGATCTCGTCAATATCCATCTTCTCTGCGGGCGTAGGGTTTTCTTCCACAGGGGCTTGAGTGGACCGTTGACCGCCAGTCTGCCGGCCAAAGTAATTCGAACCACCTGAAGGATTGGACTTGACGATGTCAACATGGCTAGTCCGTGAAAGCCTTGACCCTCCAAGACTCTTTGTTGTAAGCGGTTCTCGGGCAGGAAGGGACGCGAAACTGAGGCTGCTCTTGCGGATGACGGGGCGTTCCGGGGTGAATCCATCCGAAGGGGTATCAATATCATCCAAGGTATCCAGAGCCATTTCATCTTTTTCAGGCGCTACTTCTTGATGAGGAGAGGATGGTTGAGCACTAGAGCCTTTCACTGGGGATGATGATTTCGCATCTTTATCCTGGTTATCGTCGACGTCTGGCTTAGATAATGTCTCCTGCTTGGATGGAGGTGTAGTTTTGCGTGGGGTATCAGATTTCCGTTTTGGCTCTGATTCCTTCCTTGATTCTGGCTGGGGGGTACATCCCTCGCCGCTTTGTTCTGGTGAGTCGATATGCATGGGTTCGACAGTCTCTCCGCGCTGGCGAACCTCTTCGTGGGCGGAATGGAACGACGTATCTGTGGTACGGCGATCGACGGACGAACGGGGTGCTTCATCAACCGGGATGGGCTCAAGGTCCAACGGTTGGGTGGATAGCTGGGACTCTGGAGCCACCTGCGTTAAAACAATATCGTCGTCGTCGTCCTCATCTTCCGGAATTCCATGATAACCAGAGTCTGCATTGTATTGTGAGAAGGAGTTGAGATTCTGACTCAGGTCAGGATACTGGGGTTGGGGCTGTGACGTCTTCGTCGTGATATTCGTGGGTTTGAGCGGGGGAGTAGGAGCTGAGGGTGGGATTACGGCCTTGGTAGGTGAGCGATAAACTGCAGGGCTCGGAGAAAATCGACTCTCAGCTCGATTCTTTTGGACGGATGAAAAGATTTCACTCAAGGGCTGTTAAGGGTCAATAAGCGCGCACAAGGAGAAGCTCGAGGATGGATGCTTCACGAACCACACGACTCTCCGTTGCATCACGTTTCCGTAAAGTCCGAGGGGTCTTGCCTCGAAGCTTGCCGGGAGTCTTGAAAACGTCTGTAAAATTACTATTGTCATATTAGCGTGGCCAACGCGATGCGAGCTGCCCTCCTTGCAACACACAATTGATTATTCGAGAAGACTTCCGCCATGTGCTCGTTCAACCATTCCATCTCATATCGCACAGGAAACTCAATCTCTTCCATCTCCTGATCCACCAATTGGCCACAGTTCTCCTTTTCGGTCGAAATCCAAGCTGCAGAGCCTACAGGCTTCTGCGCCCTCGCGCCGGCTGCGGCCATGGTGATGTAAACAAAGGCGATCGAACGCGGCAGTCGAGTGAGACACGAAACAAACCCAACCGTGGAAATTCAAGGGCTAGAGCCCATTCAAATATAACTATTATAACAGGCGATTCATCGAATTCGAAGGTGGAGAGGGGTTGATTTAGGACAAGATAATGTGGGCGGAGGTTGATCAGTGACTGCGGGAGACGAGACATCAAAACATTGGCTCCACGCGTGAATTCTGTCGGAAATACGATGTTCCCGTAGGGCTACATTATATTCTCCAGTTTTTCAACTCAGGGGTTGTATTGACGGGATTTGTTGATTCCTACTATCTTTATATAATAGAGTCTATTTCCTGATGAATAATATAGTTGAATAATGGAGGTCAAACGTTCTGTTGCTTGGTGAATTCTAATTCTTTTCTCTACTCTGTAATAGATTCTATTTCCTAATTGGGGATAATCAGATTCGACAGTTCCTTCTGCCTCAGGCATTTGTTTTCTGCCCCGCGGGTCCTACCACAGTACTAGAACTAGTAAAAGGGGTACGGATGGATAGAATGTACCATTTTTTTGGCACAATATTTCTCTTTCAATACCGTTATATTTAATATCCTGGTTTACGCTCCCCCAACCACGGAATTCATGTCTTTTGACCCATGGATGGCCTGATATCATGGAGGATTCTAAGCACGGACGCTGCGGTCACCTCCCTCGGATCTCATCGTCATAACGAGTGGATTGACAAGAGATATGAAAATATGGAAATCATTCTCTCTGATAGTCCTCTACGGGATATTACAGTATTTTTTACCGTCGAAGAAGCTCAAAGTAAAACAAAGATCCCTAAAGGGGAGATTGCGCTGGTCTCGTAGTGAGGTCGCCAGCCAAGGTGTACAATATACAGATAGATAAACGATCTTATCCCCTATTATTTCTTGTAGTAGTACCTAGTCCTAGTAGTAGTCTAATACCAGATGGTGGTTATATGAATCAATTATATATTCTAACATCTGAAATGAATATAGAATCGTAATCTGGAATCAAATGTAGGTTTAAAAATAGGGCTAAAACTGACGTGCCATTACTTACCTAGGTAGTATAGGATCGATTTCATATTCCATCAACATGAAGCGGTGGAGGATACTTAGAATTGTAGCTGCGAGTAGTTCCCTTGCATATTCACACCGTCTAGATGAGGATTCCTTTGGTTTCTCTGTCTTTCTGATTCCGGAGTGAAGAGCGGTTGAGAGTCGAAAGCTCCATCATATGCCGATTGTTCTGGCCCGACTCTGACGTGGGAGATGAAGTACCATCCAGCTAGTTATTTAAGAAAGGAAAAAAATAAAAATAAATAAAACCCCGAACTCCGCGACCGTAATAACTTCAACAACAAGAGAGACTCTTTCACTTATTTTGAATCCAGAATTGTACTATATTCAAGATAGGGGTGGAACCTTCCGTTGACTCGAGCCCAAGTACTCCGTAGAGCACACGACATGCCTGTTGGAGTCTCGCTTGTCAATTGCATCACATCACCCTGACTTGATCTCTCCTATCTTTTTTTTTCTCATTCTTCCTCCTCTTCTTCTTCTTTTCCCTGGTGTCGGCTTCCTTTCTTCACTTCTTCTACCAATTTCCCCCTCTTCTTTTTTTAATCCTTCTTCTTCCCCCGTCTTTGCCCTCTTCTCGTCAATATTTTTAATTTTCCTTTCCTTCTCGTCCCCCATCTTCAACTCCTTCCTTCCCCTTGTCTTCCACGGAAAGCTCGATTCACTAGCTTCCGCACATATACACTTCCGACATGGCGGACTATACTGGTGAGGTGAGGTATCCAGACACTAATGGTGTTAGTAAGGTACGTGATACTGTCGACTCAAGTAGGGATCGGTTTTCTGAGGGTTGAATTGGTACTAATATACTATCGTTTTACTAGTAAATCCCTACCATCTACCCTGCTCCTCGGTGCCCTCCCCCAAAGTTACACAACCCTCCCCCCCCCCCTTAGGCACTAAGGATGCTATCACAAAAGGTTGGCGGGGGCACCTGTACTCACAAAATTGCCGGAGAGAGAAAAAAAAAAGGAATAAAAGAAAAAGAAAAGCACAAAAACTGATTGGTTTTCATTGACTAGGTCCCATCAAATCCGAGGTCTCCCGCACTGAACAAGAGTCGCATGACTTGAAAAACTCGAGGGTCGTTCCCTCCACAACCACTGCTACTGGGCAGCCCCTGACCTGTATGCCCCTTATCTCGAACGCGAGTCCGTGGAAACTTGGCTAATTGCTCCCAGACTATCACTCGTTGCTGTACAGCTTGCTCAGCGTAAGTCCCCGCGTCCAGTGGTGCAATTCCGGCATATCCCCTAACCTTGTTTTGCGATGTCTAGTGGGAAGAACCCCGTGCTACGGCTGCATCTTTCGCAAGTGTTGTTGCCTTCATTTTCGCCGCCCGTTACCTGCCTCTCCTTCGCTGGTTCTTCAAATTCCTTTACGTCGCTCTCGGATGTAAGCTTGATTCTGCGCTGGTTTCCTGGCTCTGGAGGATATAGTGTTGACATAGGCTCAGTTACCGCTGCACTGGAGATTGGTGGGAGAATTGTTCTATCTCAAGGCCTCGCTAGTTCCTTCCGTCCTCGCAAATACTATACGATTCCCAAGGAGACCATCGAAGCTGTGTTGGAGGATTTTGAACAGCTCGTTGACTTTGTTCTCATCGAGTTCCAACGTATTCTCTTTGCTGAGAATGTGATTCACACTGTGGCTGTAAGTGCGAAGAATTGCCGATCGCTTGCATAATAATGGCTTGCGCATCTAACGCAAAAATTTTAGGCTTTCTCCGCCGCATTCACTGCTTATTGGCTGATCAAGTTCCTCTCCTTCTGGGGACTGTCCCTCCTGGCTGTCACCATTGCGTATCTCGGACCCCTCGTCTACATTAATAACCGCGAAATCATTGATGCGCAGATTGAGAATGCCCAGGCAATTGTTAGCTCTCAAGCACACCAGCTGAAGGACTTGGCTGGTGAGCATACTTCTCATGCTACCGATGTTGTGAAGCAGTATGTTGGAGGCTACAGCTCCAAGGCTCAGGAGTATATTGGACATCGTCGTTCCGCCTCGCCCGAGATGACCAAGGCTCCTAGCCCCGTCATCAAACAGGAGCCAGAGGCGGAGTCTCTGATCACAACCACTGACTTCCCTGAAGCTCCCAAGGATGAGCCCGTGATGCAATCAATCGAGCATTCTCCCCAACCTGCGGAGGAGGAGCCCGTTTTAGCCGTTTAGGCGGAGATTCTATGAACATCTATTGGTCCTAGTTCTCGCCCAGCTCATTCTCCCAGAAGGTTGCCAGGAAGAAGATAAATAGGTGGTTCTTACTGGCAGTACACTATGCTGAAGGGCTACTCTTGTGAATTGGAAATACTGGTAAAGAGCTTGGATGATGTAGCAAAGGGACGATTCGCTTGGCCGTGTACGATGACGAGATGGTACGATTTCTTTTGAAAGCTTCTTTCAACCCTATTTTTTTTTTCATTTTCCTTTTCTTCTCTCTCTCGCATTTTTCCCCCTCTTCTTTTTCGCCCTGTTTGCTTCTTCTTCTTCTTCTCCTTCTTTCTTCTGGCCCTATTACTTTCCCCTTCTTTGCAGTATAGAATTTTATCAAGTCTTCGTTTCTTCATATGGAATTGTTATTTTTGTACATGCAATTTTGTACCCAGTAAATAGTATTGAGTAATAGCCATTCTTCAATTCACGGTATCACGTCCACAACCCACCGGTGGCGGTCCATGTGCAGCTCGCGCAGTTCCGAGCATGGCTCCAGCGAATTGCCGTCTTCGGCCGATGATCAAGCATAGGACCGGGGCACTGCCCCATCGGCTGGGATCCTCTTACCCCGGATTAAGGGCCGTTGTACAGGTGTTCCCAGAATGTTTTATGATGCCGTTGGAAACCAGGATAACCCGGGAAGCAAAGGACGGGGAATCTATCCGCCAACGGTCTTGGATCGAAGCCTGTGACAATGGAGCGCGTTTGATGAAAGGCGGGACTGGGCCAAGGCCTTGTTTACCCCTAAGTAGATACTAGACAAGGTTAGAGCCTACCTAGGTAGTGTCGAGGATGTCTCCGGAAACTCCTGATGGGAGACTCGGAAATGAGGACTGGCCTAATCTGGGCAAGAAGCAATATTGATACAGGGGATGTTTGTTTGGTTTGCACTTGCTACTCCATCCGTCTTGTTGTACACGGGCGACTTTCCCATCATATTCTCATATTTCCAGTCCCCATTGTGTATTACCGATATTCTTCTCTGATTTGGGAACCATCGATCTCTATGCATATCCATCTGCCTTCATCTGGCAAAAGCTGTCTAAACCACATCACATAGTTACCTGCTCCTCCACATTGGTTCGAACCACGGCTTCTAGTGCGCGGCTTGTTTTCATCCTTTCTTTCCCCCTCATAGCATCCACATTGAGTGTGCCGGAGGATCATCCTGAACCTGCATGGGTATTTGGCTTAAGAAATCTCCTTCGTGCCTACTCCTTCACTACAAGTCATTGTGGAGACCAATCTCATCCTCAAGGTAAGCTGCATATTCAGAAGATCTAAACGACCACTGAGGGGACAAAAAAGAAAGAAAGAAAGAAAATAATACCATGAGAAGGGGGAAAAAGGAATAAACCCATCAAAGGACTAGATATGGCATTGTGGCAACAGTGCGAACTCCACATGCTGCAGTCATGCTGCAGAGAAGCCTGCGTGGAAGATTCTCTGGGATACTTTCGCCCGTTTACGTCCTCCTACACTGAACACACAGCATCTACATTGTCAAATGCGCCATTAATGCTATGACTCTGCCACGGCAACGATCCATCGGAGCCGAGCAACACAACCATCGCGGGTGTTACGCTTGAGGAAGTGAGGCTTGCACTAACCTATCCATACGCTGAAGTCGCCTGACGAAAGGAGGGGAGACCTGTGCTAGACTCCATGCCTCTTTTGGATTATTGTCAATGTAACAACTTTGCCGGTAAGGTGACTAAACCAATCCATTATGGCCTCTAGGATTAGGGGGTCGGGATGTCTCTGCAAGTGACTGAAACCGCCCAAGAAAAAGACCACAGGTTTCTGTTCACCCCTTTGGGATTTATCTTTTGATACTTTCCCCAATCATAGATCCACTCCAATGAAAAAAGCTGTCTTACCAAAATTTCCTGGTATTTTCTTGGGCACAGGAGCTGAGTCAGTGGGACTCGTTGGTTGGTAGGGACAGCAGCTTCCCGTCATACAAGAAGAAAGTATCATGCAGGTTTCCGTGGTCTCAGGCCTCTCTCATACCTACTTCGCTCATCAATACCGGTTTAAATCCGTCCGTCGATTGGTTAGCCGTTGGTAGGGGCTAATATTCCCGTTGCTCCAGCAGCTCCTTCCACTTAATGGTCGAGTTCGTTCACATATGACGATCGATATGAGAAATAGGAAACTTAACGACTCGGGAATGGAATCAGGCTTGCCTACACATTCGAAAAGTGTGTAGAATTAAACAAGCCTGACAAAATTCTTGTTCTTTTTTTGGGGGGGGTTCTCATCCCCCTCCTTGGCCATCAGGCTGCCATCTCCATCTGTTTGTATGGCCGCGAAAGATCTGGATCAAAGGAGGCAATGGGTCTAGTTCTAATTTACGGCCAGCTATGCAAGACCTCCACATGGTTGCAGGAGTTCCTGAAACGTGATCTACCATGTCTTCTCTCTCAGAGTCTGCGTCGTCCTTAGTTTTGGGTAGTTGCAGGTGGGGAGTGAAACAAGTGAAGCCTCGACAAGTTGGGCGCCATAGGGGGTATTCCTGGTACTTATGAGAGTAAATTAGGTATATCCTAGATGGCAGTTCACTTTTTACGCTTGTTCGAACCCTAAAAGGGGAAAGGAACGTTGCAAATACAGGGTGGTCGGGTCTAGGATGAGGTGTACTTGGTATACTAAAATTGGGGATGAGGTATGGCAGATCCAGGCTCACGAACGGCGTCTAATCCAATCTTGATGTGTGCCTCGTGATGCCTCCTTGGTCTACGAACCGGTGAGGTTATTCTCATGCCGAAAGCCCCATCCATCCAAGACATCCGCCAAACCTAGTTGTCTAGATCAGGGATTTGGCCATGACCTGGGTTCACCGCTGTCCCATATCCTCGAAGAAAGATTCCACGCGAGCTTCCCTTCTATACCAAAACGGGGCAAACAGAGGGGAGAAGGCCATCTGAGCTTTCTATCAAATGCCGTCACGTATCCACTACAGGAAGACTTCTAAAGAGCAACCCTCCTGACAAAGGGAAAAGATTGCTTCTGATTTCCGATGTCTCTTTTCCTTTATTTCTTTACTTTGCCCTCTTCTTTTGTCCGTTCTATGATTGCCTACTGATACAGAGAGCCGCAGACCTCAGACACCCGCGTGGTGATATCAAGCCTCTCTTCCTTTTTGTCCTCATTGTATCCCACCTCTTTGACACATCGCCAGACCTTCTAGAATATTTTTTCCCTCCCATGTCTTGGTATCATACAAGAGCGGTCAATCTATTCTTAATCTTTTTGGAATCACTAAAGCAGACAAAACCAGCCCTTTCCCTTACCCGTTCCTCTAGCTATTCATTTATCAGGAAGGACAGGTTCCTCCTGAGCACATAAACAAGAATAACCCACAACTACCTACCTACCAGCCAGACTTGAATCAATAGCCACACGACCGGATTAGACTTAAGTCGATAGTTCATGGCGTCGATACAGTCTCTACTCAACCCTCTACCCGAACTTGATCGGCACTCTCTTCCTACCCCTTCGGTAACAAGCTCAACGAGTACTGTGGCGCTGCGAGCTCATCGACACAAGAAACAGAAGATTGCGAAAGATGCCCCAATTTTCAACCGGGGAAAGATCAGAGGGGAGCTGCGGTACCACCCATGCGAGGAGCGAGATGAGGAGCTTACGAAGTTGCATAGGGAGTTTCGTCTTCATCCTATGGGTGATATAGCGGCTTATCCAAGACATATCCCCTATAATAGTGACAAGAAGTCGTTCCAGGAGCGGACTGGGCGAGAGAGTTTTGAGGGTAAGACCTCTGTCTAAGCTTGGCGGAGAATGATACAGAATGCTGACTCTTCCCAGTCTTTCAGTATACGTTTGAGATTCCAGGCGAAGAAAAGCAATGGACAGTGATGTGGGACTACAACATCGGGCTCGTTCGAACAACACATCTCTTCAAATGCAACGACTATTCCAAGGTAAACCCACCCCCACAAGGTTGGACAACAAGCAGCTAACTGAAGTAGACCACACCTGCAAAAATGCTGAATGCAAACCCAGGTCTACGGGATATCTGTCACAGCATTACGGGAGGGGCTCTCGCGGCACAGGGTAAGAGCAGATAAAGTTCACTATTACTCCGGTTATTCCTAGCTAACATCCAAAGGATACTGGATGCCATTTGAGGCCGCAAAAGCTGTAGCGGCAACCTTCTGCTGGAAAATCCGTCATGCACTCACTCCCCTCTTTGGCCTCGAATTCCCATCTCTCTGCATCCCACCTAGCGACCGTTCCCGATACGGCCGAATGGTTATCGACCCAAGCATTGTCCGAAAGGCTACCGAAACAGCCCACTTATATCGAGTGTTGGAAATTCGTTCTCCACCCCCAAACACCCTTCGGGTAGGATGCCGTCCTAGCTCTGCTAGAGACAACAATGCCCTTGGGAAACACCTTCTTCCTAAATCCCATCACCATCATGATCTGTTCTCAGACAGGCTGGCCGGATACGGATCTTCGCCGGAATATAATACAGACGCTTACTGCGTCTCGCCAGTTAGTCCGATCCGTAACACCTTCACCCCCGTGAACCCCCCGCGGAGCACAGACACCCTGTGTTCTAGCATTCCCTCACCACAACATGTTCTTGCGTCTCTTGCGGCAATTTCAAACGCCAATGCAATGGATGTCAGTGACGTCGACCCCGAAACTGGATCCGATGAATCCAGCTCCTCAACTCTCTATTCTGAAAGTAGCGTTGCAACCGACTGTCCCTCCTCTGATCTGGACGAAGACTACAGAGATAGCGACGCCGATGTCGAATCACGCGCAGGTAATGCGCCGATGAAAACTAAAGGAAAGGGCAAGATACAGCCTACCTCGACGAGCGGGCCACGTATTGAGACGCGCTCCCGAAAACACAGCTCTGCTCTCTTCGCGTGTGAAGTCAAAGCGGCCCATGCCCTGCTTAGTCTCTATATGCAGGACGCAATCGGTAGCGACAATGATGATAGCTACGAGCCATTCGGGTGGAAGGGGCGAAAGAGACGGAGGGCATCTACCTGAATTCCTACCCTGATACAATCTGGTGAGCCATGACAGTTGCAATGCAGCTCGAGGGCACCACACTCTCGAGGAAGGACAGAAACCGGAAACTGATGAGGAATGACACCACCGATAGAAGGTTCCAATGGAGTTTAGAGTTTAGGTCAAGGCGGTGTTTGGTTATGGTTACAGGCTTGATTCTCTGATTATTTCTGCGTGCTTTTTTGTTTTATTTCTATCTCAATATCAAATCTCTCTTTCTTTCTGTCTGTCTCTCTCTCTCTCTCTCTCTCTCTCTGTGTGTGTGTGTGTGTGTGTCGGAGATTCTAGTAACCCTTGTTTGTATATCCAAGACCATAGCTATGTTATGTGAGATTCATACAGAGTACAAGAACTAATCTGGATATCGCTCTATTCCCTGAATTTGACATGATACGATGGCCATTTGTAAAGCTGAAGAAGTGCCGTGAGAAGAATACTGAAGAAAAAAAAAAAAAAAAAAAACCTCCACTGCTATATAAGATATCGGGATCGAGATTAACTATCTACTGGGTAGGGTTCTTTATCCGTTTCTCTACAGTACCTAGTTGTGGACTTGAAGGATCTAAACTCGTAATATTATATCTAGGGCACGAAGCCAGGATAAACCAGGAGGAAGGAGTCAAGGAGCCGCTTTTCAATGGCGAATAGTAATCTAGTAACATTTATTCTTGCCGTTTTCTGATTAGAGGTATGGTACTTCGTATATCAGGTAGGAATTCTCTCGACTGTATACCAGGATACCTTATTGCCAGTGTCTGCTGCGCAGTGCAAGCTCCATATTACTGGCTTAATCAAGGCGCGGGCTTGTCCGGCGAAAAGCAAAAGGGTTACTGTAAAACTGGTGTGGAATGGAAAGCTCTCATTAAACTAAACGCCTCAAGGCTTGATAGAAATGAGATAATAATTATCGCAGGCAAGGAGTAACATTAAGAAGAAAGAACCCAAACTAGAAAATAAAAGATAACCTCCTGAGACGATCAACGTCTTAAGAACCCTGTACAACCACCGCATTTATTCGCTGTCAAGATCAAAATCATCCTCCGAAGCCGCACCCCCTGCATCTTCACTATCATCATCAATCACATACGACTTCTTCTTCGTCACTGCGGTCCGTCTGGCTGGCCGGGCCGCTGTTTTGCGTGTAGGAGCATCGGCCTTTCCTGTAGCAGGGGAGTCCAAGATGTCATTAGCCATCGCGTCAATATCGTCGTCTGACAAGTCATCGGCGAGCTGCTTCTTCTTGCTGGTCGTCTTAGCCTGCTTGGAGGCATAAGCCTTGGCCGCAGGCGAAAGCGCTGTCTTCTTCTTGGAAGCAGGGGCAATGGTGGCTGAAGCATCCTTCTTTGGGCGGCCCCGGGGCTTAGCGGTACTTGACTTGGCTGCTGCACTTGCCTTGGGTTTGGCAGCAGCCCTACCCTTAGTGGGTTTAACTGGCTCATCATCCTCGTCGTCGTCATCCACATCGTGATCATCCGACATCTTCACGTCTTTGGACTTGACCTGAAGCGACCGGCGTGGAGAGTTTTGAGGAACGAGCTTGCTGTAGTCTGTTTCGTCCGCGTCAAAGTCCTTGGAAAACTTGGATGCCTTCGCGCTGGTAGGCAAACTGGTACTGCTGCCAGGCCGGGAAAGCTCAGAGAAAAGCTGTCGGGAATCCGACTTGGAAGAAGTGCCAGCCGCTCCGCCAATGCCCTTGACCATGTTGCTCACATCACCGAGCAGATCATCGCCGTTATCACTATCCGAGTCGTCCAAGGTATACTTAGGAGCTGGTTTGCGACCTGTGCGGCTGGCTTGGGGCGCGGTTTTAGCAGCTTCTGCCTTCGTGATCTCCATGAAATCGTCGTCATCAAGGTCGTCCTCCTCCTCTTCAAGTTTAGGAACTACTCGACTCTTCTTCGGCATTATCTCAATATCCGAGTTATCCATGTCGATATCACCATCCTCATCCTTGGGCTTGGTTGCGCGCTTGGCTGCAGCCTGGGGTACAGCCCGGCTCTTCGTAGGGAGCACCTCAACATCAAAATCATCGTCCGAATCCTTAGATGCGGGTTTGGCGGATGATTTGCCGAGGAAACTGAGAATGCCACCCTTTGCCTCCTTCTTTTTCACGGCAGATTTCTTGGACTTGGGCGCAGCAAAATCTTCATCTGAATCATCGGCGGCTGCCTTGCGCTTTTTCGCGCCGGCTCCGCGACCTGCCGTCGCAAGCTTCATCGAGGCTCGACGGCCCATCTTGGCGTACTTACGCCGACGGCGTTCCTGGTCCTCCAGCTGGAAGCGCCATTCGTTGATAAATTCATCAAGATCCTTCGTCCAGATGTCTTCTTTGGACAGCTTGATGAGCACGTCAACCTCCAGCTCTTTCTCGCCAATCTGGCGGCGGAGCTTTTCCACGCGCTCCTGGGTCAAAGACCAAATTGCCATTCCCAAGAGATAATCATAGGCGGTGGAAAGATCATCCGTGCCTTCAGCGTCCTCCACTGCCTCTGCTTCGGACTCCTCCACGACCTTCTCGGTTTCACCAGCTTTGACGGCATCCGCTACCTTGGGGAATGGTCTGAAACCCTTCTCCTTCAACTCCAAAACCAGGACCTGCTTCTTCTTCTTGGAAACCACCAACTCGCCGTCAATAATCATCTGGACAAATCTTGCCTGGTTGCTAAGCTTATCGAGTTCTTTTTGAAGTTGAGAGAGCTGGTATTGCTGCAATTGAGGTTAGTGTCGTTGAACTACGATGAAAGCGGCAGGTGCTTACCTTGCGTCGCTCGTAATACTTCAGACGAACAGCGAAGAATTCTTTCATGATATCATCAACGGTGTTATACTTAGTGATCCGGCCTTCAGGGTCGAAGGCAACCAAATTCGTGGTTGCGACAGTCTTGGCCAGCTTGAATTTCTCTTCCAAGCCCTCACCCACGGCTGTCTTCATGTTCTTCTCATCCATCTGGATGACGAAGTGAACATCGGTATGGGTGTTATAATCCCTATAATCCTTGATGAATGATGGAGTCTTTTCGGCCTTGATGATATCCTCCAGTTTGTCCTTGAAGTCCTGCGTCCAGGTACGAACTGGGAGTTCAGTGATTTCAACCTCTTTTTCCGAGAGCTCCCTGATGATGCCACTGAACTTATACTTGTCCGGTCCGAGGGGAGTGACTTCACCCTTGAAACCGCGGAACCATGGTTGCATGGGCTTTATTTCTTCACCCTTCATCATACGGCGCAAATTATCCACAATATCCTCGGGATTATAGTTAGGGATGGTGGAACTCCAACCAGTACCGATACCGTCCGCACCATTAATCAGGATCATGGGTACGACGGGAACGTAGACTTCGGGCTCGATAATTTTGCCATCGTCTACGTTGTTTGTGAGCAGGGGCTCATCCTGCACGTTGAATACGCGTCTAGCAAACGGGGAGAGGCGAGTGTAAATATAACGCGCACTTGCACAATCGGCACCACCTTGGAGACGACTACCAAAGTTGCCACTGGGTTCAAGGCAATTGATATTGTTGGATCCGACAAAGTCTTGGGCAAGACCGACAATGGTTTGCTGCAAAGAGGCATCGCCATGGTGATAGGCGGTCATACCCGAAACGTGACCGGCGAGTTCAACGACCTTCATATCCTTCTTGAGATTCCGGCGAAAACAGGTGTATAAAACTTTGCGTTGACCCGGTTTCAACCCATCGACAACGGATGGAATGGATCGAATATTGTCCGCCATACTGAACAGGATGAGCTCCTTGTTGATGAAGTCGGTGTAGGTGATTTTCTCAACGGAGTGATCCAAATAGGTACCAGGCTTGAATTGGCGCAGCCACTCCTTTCGCTCATCGGCTTTCTTCTTCGAAAAAGCAAGTTCAATCAGTTCGGCCTCTTTATCCTGCATCGTATGGAACTCCTTCAGGTGGCGATCGAGATCACGGAAGTAGATCTGGGCATCTTCGGTGGTACTAGTACCCAAACCCTTGTAGTATTTGTGGTCCCAGCCGCGCTGATGGCCGGGCAATTCTTTCCATGCCTCATACTCAGGCATGGTGAAGAACGAGACAGACTTGGTTGGGTTCTTGGCGTCCCCCTTCCAGACCTTGATGATAGGCGTGATGAACTCAATCAAAAACTCGGGAATCTTCAACAAACTTGGGAACTGAGCTTGGAGGAAGTTGATAAGCAACCCCTTAATATGACTACCATCGTGATCTTGGTCAGTCATGATCATCAGGTGGCCATAGCGGAGGCCCCGGGTCTCTGTGTACTCTTTCTTGTGCTGCAACCCCATAAAATTTTTGATGTTTTGGATTTCCTGGTTCTTGGAAATTTGCTCAAACGAAGCATCCCGCACGTTAAGCATCTTTCCACGGAGCGGATACACACCGAAGAGATCAGGACCAACCACTGCACGCCCAGCCATAGCAAGACCCTTGGCCGAGTCACCCTCAGTCAGGATGAGGGTACAGTGATGACCTTCCTTCGTACCCGCCTTGTTTGCATCAGTAAGTTTGGGGTTATTCATACGGGTACGGCGACCACCATCAGATTTCTTGAGCATCTGGTCGGCCTTTTGCTGAGCAAAATGCAGGATGTTGTTCATGATGTCGGTCTTGAGAATTTTCTTTAAGAAGTCATCCTCCAGCACACACTTGCTACCGAATTGCGAGGGTTTGGTTGTCAATTGTTCCTTCGTTTGTGAGGTAAAAGCCGGGTTCACGATCAGAGCATTGACGAAAAGGAAGATGTGATTGCGAATCTGTGCGGTTTTTAATGTGGCGCCATTCTTATTCTTCTTTTTAACGGCGTCAGCCAGCTTAGTACAGATTTGGTCGGCAATGTAGTTCACGTGGGAACCGCCAGAAGTGGTGGCGATGGCATTGGCAAACGAAACTTGCTGGAATGAGCCGTCGGATACAGCAAAGCCAATCTCCCATCTAGGGTCCGGGCTGCAGGTAATAATCTCGTCCTTGGGAGCAGGGCCGTCTTCACCACGCTCCTTGCGGATGGCTTTGGTGTACATTTCCATGTACTTTTTGAAATTACGAACCGGAATGCGGGACCCATTGAGCTTGACAGCCACCTTCGTAGTACCTGCCAAGTCATACACTCGACGCTTAACGAGAGCTTCAAAGTCGTCATCCATACCCTCCATGCCAAATTTGGCATAATCTGGCTTAAACGTGACTTTTGTGTAGTCATCGCTCTTCGAGGCATCGGTGATCTTTGGCTTGCCGATCTTAGTCATATTATCAGTCCAGGTCTGCTTGTACTTTTTCTTTTGACGCGAGTCGACTGTTTCAATGGAAAACTCCGTAGAGAAAACGTTACAAAGCTTCGCACCAAAGCCATTACGACCTCCAGTGACTTTTTGTTGGCTGTCATTGTAGTTGGAAGATGTCAGGAGGTTACCGAAAATCAGTTCTGGGATGTAGATTTTGTGTTTCTCGTGGATCTCAATGGGAATACCACGGCCATTGTTCCAGACACTAATTTCCCCCGTCTCACGACTCACGGTAACGCGAATCTCGTCCATATTGGCGTCGTTTTGCTTATTATCAGCGGCGTTCACGACGATTTCGTCAAAGATCTTATAAAGACCGGGGACGTAAGAGACCTCGCGATACTCCATGCTATCTGTCTCCGAATTGTAGACCCACATTTCTTGGGAGGTGCGCTCAACGGATCCGATATACGTGTCTGGACGTTTCACGATGTGTTCGAGATGTGAGAGCTAGGGGCGACCGACATTGGTTAGCCGAGATATCAAGCGAGTTGTCGAATGCGCACGCCTACCTTTTCATATTTCTCCGATACATTTACTTCCTTGGATGGTTCCTCAGTGCCGTCGACTGAGAACGATTCATTCTCCACATCGGCCAGGGGTTTCGAGCCTCCCTTCTTCGACGGCGCCGCCTTCTTCACCTTCTGGGGAGGGGTATGAGAGAGGACGGAATCGTCATCGAAGGGATCATCGTTGTCAGACATGTCGTCTTCCATATCCGCTTTGGCGCGCTTCTTTGACTTTGGCGATGTCTTCGCAGTCAATTTTGTCTGTGTCAACTTTTTGGGTGCTGCCTTCTTTGCGGCAGCCTTTGCCTTGGGCTTCTACAATCATGGTTGCTGTTAGCACTGGTTTCCTGCAGGGGGTGAACTGGAACATACGGGAGCTGGTTCAGGCATGAAGTCAGAGCTAGCGTCGTCCTCGAAGACGGAGTCGTCCATCAAGGAGTCATCCATCTTGACTTAAAAGATCTGACAAAGGTGAAATATAAAAAAAGAGAGAGAGAGAGAGAGAAAGAGAGAGAAAATGGGTGAAAAAGAAATTGAGGGCGGCTGTCGAGTGGTAGTTAACGAGTGACCAAAAAAAAGTCGCAAGAGTAACAGGGTAGGAGACAAAGATTCTGCCTCCTCCGCAAAAAATCCTTTGATCAGAAGGGAATAAAAGAGCGAAACACACAACTGGCGATTCCCCTCCAAGATCCCCTCTTTGACTGTTGCTGGTGTTGATCCTTTGTTGTTGACGCGCTGGTTGATTTGTTGCTGCTGCAGCAAGAGAAGACTTGACTTGCTTGATTTGCCTCTCGGATCGCGGGTTGTTCCGATCCGCGTCCTAATGCGGAAAATTCAAAACACATCAACCCAAATAGGAAACCGCCATCAAAACACACCCATAAATTAAGGCAAACATTCGCGGGGTCACCTTTTAACACTTGTATAGAGTACAGAGTATGGAGTAGATAATGTTCTTTCATACTCAGGATTTAACCTACTTTACCTTTTTCTCTCTCATCTTGATCTTAATTCCAGAGCACTTCTTTCATCGTCGACAGAGCGAGTCTCCCTAGACAACCTCACACAAAGAAGCCGTCATTATTCTTCTCAACAAAGGCTTACTTGAGCAACACAGGATGGATAAATTTAGTAGATATTACTCTGTAACTATGATTTTGAATGGATTCTAGCATCTCACATGGCTTGTGACATGATTCTGGTAGCATGTAGTCGACGGAGTACTTTGTTGAAAGCTAGAGAAAGTATATACATGCCTTATATAACTATATTTATGTTACTTCTCAATAACTTCACTTTGTTCTCGCTATCTAACTACAACACTTTTACCCACTTCTTTCTTGTTTTCAAAAGCAGCTTGAAATATAGTTACTCCCCCTTTATTATCCCGTCTTTCAACTCGAGTAGTGCATGCTCTCTTTATGAATGGATGACGTGCGGGTGTCTGGAATGGAAAGCTTCGGCAGTATACCCATACTAACCCAAGTCCTGTAATTTTGACAGCAAAAATTCAAGATCAGCCAATCATAGTAACTGAAGTCACTATTGCACCAATCATATAGCAAAAGATTGGGTACATGAATCGCACTGAAACAGTCATAGGACGATTTAATACATTCAGGAGGCATTTTTAATTGAATGAACCCAATCCTCCCAAAGGGTAAAGGAGAGAGGGAAAAAAAAGATTCGAATGACAAGGATTATAGAATCATGACTCAGGGATGTTGTTATATTATCCTTCCGATTATAAAAGACCTAGTAGAAGTTGGATGTGTCTTCGTCAGGTCATGTCTGTCGCCTGCTAACTATCCAGAGAGTCTGGACCACTGTCACTTCGGCTAGGGATTCCATATTCCATGGTTTGGCCGACGGAGAGATCAGGGACTAGGGATCTGAATTCGGTACCTTGTATGTATACATTATCGTTAGTTATTGTTGTTAATTGGGTGGGAAATTGGGATAGAAGTCTTTCCTTACTGAATCTGTAGTTTGAACAGCCTTTTCTTTCAAGAAACAACTCAAATATTGAAGAGACAATTATTGAAGATCGACACCGAGCGAAACTCGGTGGAGCTGGAAAGGAGAAGATTCAAGAAAGTGAGTTGCTGCCGCCCCTGAAGTTGTAACTAAGGAAGAGCCGGGTCGAACGCTAGGCTAGTGACGGGTTCTTGTTGCATGTTCCCGAGTCCCTTCTTCTTTCCTGGACTTGGGTTAGTATCTCTCTCTCTCTCTCCTATCTGTCAATTCCCCCTTTCTCTCAACGCTGGGTGCTGCTTCTTAACAGCTCTCATCTCCTTCCATCAACCCCCATTCCACGCCGTGAAGCGATGCTGTCAGTTGGACCGTCCCTCCTTGCGCTGTTCTTCTCCTCCCGTCTTGTTTGAGGCCCTCCGTCTTTGTCCGCCCCTTGCACCCCTCGAATCCTGGTAGTGAGCTTGCACGCGAGGATCTCCCCGAGGAATGTGTCATTGAAGTTTCACCGTCATCCACCATATACTACATCCTAAAATTTGAGTTACCATGGTCCATTCCGATCAGAACTCGCCGCGGGCTAGCTCCGATTCCACCGGGACTTCCGTGACCCAGACCGATTCCATGGTAACCGTGCCTCTATCGTCCAATTCAGAACACACGCAACCCGAATGGCGAACTCTCCAACTTCCTCAGACTCCTACTGAAGCGGCAGGCTCGGATGATAAAATTGACCCAAAAGCCACCCCGACAGCGACGACCCTCGAGCCCGGGAAACCGGAGCTGGAGCCTGGACCAATTCAAGGATCAAGAGCAGCCTCGATTAGATCGCGCAGTAGTCAAGACAATGGCCAGGGAGAAGCTCAAGAAGGTGACCTCGTGGACTGGGAAGAATTGGAAAAATCAGAGAAACAAGAGCATCGCCTGGAAGGGTCAGACGAGGTAGGTGTGGCACCGATCACAACTAGAGAAAAAGAAAACATTAACCTTGCCAGACAACCGCCCTTCTGTTAGCCCGTCTAGAGCAAGAAAACAACGCCTTGGCCACCAATCCGAAATCTGGCCTAGCAAAAGTCGCTTCGAAGCGAAGGCAAGCGCGCCCGTCCCGGTCACAGTCCTTGCATCACATCAAGCGATTAATCAACGAGGGTCCTCGACCATCTCTCCGCTATTCCCAGCTGCCAACTCCGCCTATGACGGAGCTCGAATTCTGGGCCGCTCTCGTTGCGGATTACCCACAAACCGTTCAAAGACTCCCAACTCTGACGTCAAATAAGATTCGAGGAGGAGTTCCGCCTCCCTTGCGAGGTGTGGTATGGCCCAGCCTCGCCGGCGCGAGAGATCCAACGCTATTGACCGAATATCAAAGGCTTTGCGGGGAAACTAGCCCGTACGAAGGATTAATCGGAAAAGACATCGGCCGTAGTTTCCCCAATGTTGAGATGTTCCGCGACCCACACGGCGAAGGACAGCAGATGCTGGGCCAAGTTTTGAAGTGTTTCAGTCTTTACGACACCAAAATTGGATACTGCCAGGGTCTGGGCTTCGTTGTTGGCCCTCTGTTGATGCACATGTCGGATGCGGAGGCCTTCTGCGTGCTGGTTCGGTATGTTGAATTGACCCCTACTTGGAGAATGTTACTGACCTCCCAAAAGCCTCATGGATCATTATGATCTGCGAACCTGCTACCTTCCGGATCTTTCAGGCCTTCAACTTCGAGTTTACCAGTTCCAAAACCTCCTCTCCCGTCTTCGTCCCACTCTCTTTGAACATCTTGAAGCTCTTCATGTTGAGCCGATTTATGTCTCGCAGTGGTTTCTATCATTTTTTGCCGTCTCCTGCCCTCTGCCGATGCTCTTGCGCATTTACGATGTAATTTTCCTTGAAGGGGCATGTGAGACATTGATGCGTGTCGCGCTCTCTCTGATGCAGCGGAACGAGAAGAAGATACTCAGCTGCTCAGAATTTGAGGACGTCATGCAACTACTCTTGTCTCGAAGTCTCTGGGATACGTGAGTAGATTTCCCTAGTTTGGATGCTCAAGCTGATTTGATGTAGCTATGCCTGCCACGCAGATGATTTCGTCAACAACTTTGTTTCCCTCACCTCGCTGGTGACGAAGGAGAGTCTCCAAGCCTTGGAGGCTAGCTACAATCAATCCCAAGGGGTTCCAACGGGAATTTCCTTTCCTCAGATGCAGGCTGCTGCCTCTCGATTTTTGGGCCGATTCTGGGCAGGATCTGGCCAACACAGCTCGGTCAAATCGATCAACCTCAGCCCAAATAGCAGCGCTTCAAATTGTCTCCGTCGATCGACATCAAAACAGAGCATGACGTCGACTCTCAACTCTATAGAGTCTATATCCGATGCTAGCACCGCTCCGACCGAATTGTCGCTCGAGCCAAAACCACGGGCAAAGTCGACAGTTTCGCAAAACAAGGACCGTGACCTACATACTCAGATTGAGGATTTATTGGTGGCGCTCGGCGATCTGCAACGTCAACATTCAGACCTCACCCGACAACTCCAACAGGAACGGGAAGAGCGGGAGGAAGACCACGCGATTGCACGCTCGATGCTGGAGCTTATCAAAGAATCGGAGAACGAACCCCCCTCTGCCGAAATTTTACGCAAAGCAGAGGAGAGATTCGCCCCCATGGATACCACTAAACGCGCGTCGAATGACCAAACCAAACAGCAACTACGCGAGGATCTTGACCGCTGGAAGAATATGCACTCAGTGGAATCAGGTCGATGCCTAGATCTCACACGACGAATCGATGACCACGAGCGGGAAAACTCGTCCCTCCGAGAACAACTCCGCGAGGCGCGGGGCCGTATCCAAGACGGGTATCGCGAGCGACAGCGCCTGGAACGGATGATTCGTGAACTCCGCACAGCCAAGACACACAACCCCGACACACCTCCCGAATCATACGGCTCGCCGACCAGTGATAATGGCGAGACTCTGACTTCTGGACTGCGCGAGCTGAAACTCGTGCGCTCCAACTCCCAAAAGGGCATCTTCAACAAGCGATCCAGCAGTTTAGGTCTCCAAACTGTGCTCGCAACTGAGAACCACAAACCGGTGCCCGAGGACGCGTTACTGCTCGAGTTAGTGAACGCCAAAACAGCAGAGGCAGTGGCCACACAAGAACTGGAAGAGGTCAAGGCAAAACTGGACTCGTTACGCAAGATGGTGAGCGGATCCCAGCGCGGAGCCTCGGGGAGTCCGCCCTCCAAGCAAACTCGCAACTCTACGTTAGGCCTACCGCCTAATTCCGGCATCACCAAAGCCAATACAGAGCCGGTGCAATCCGGGGGGTTTTTTAGTGGATGGGGCCGATGAGTACTGTAGACCGTTGGGGTTTCGGCGGTTGTAATAGACGTGACTGTATTACTACCTTGCAGGATATACATGATAGGATACCTTGTCCACCCAAGACTAGCCATTTTCCCGCGTGGCTGCGTATTTTCCCCAAAGTAGAGATCTCAGGATTGCTCAAACTCGTTGCGTTAGTACTTAGGGTTCTGAGATTAACGGATCTGCGATATTCCAACATCATTTTCCAGGGGTACAAAGCTCAAAGCTCCTTACCAACCAGCTACTACTAACTACTTACAAGGTCGGGGCGTTCGCTTCCAACTTCTCCAACGACAAGGCTCCTACCAAGTCCACCAGCGCCAGGTCTGCGCGACGTTAACATGGAAATCTGTCTGCAAGTTCAGCATAGAGTATCGCATCTGTCAGACAGACCTTGTAACCTGGAAATAACCCAGGGTATTATGATATATACAAGAATTTCCTTTCGATGCGGGCACTGATATGATATCAGGTCGCAATCAATCCTCTGCTTCGAACCAAACAAGTACTCCCAGTCCGTCCAGAAAGAATGAATAGTTAAGGGGTCACTCGCGTAACAAAGTACACGATAATTTATCTAATCGAGAGTTTTGCGTTGGCTGTTCATCCGGATGATTGATCATCCTTGTGTAACTCGACTCGTTTCAATTCAATGTACTCTGTATATAGAATAGATTCCACCGTTTTGTTTAACTTTCCCCCCCTCCCCGAAAAAAAAAATAAATTGCGGTCTACCAGTCCATCTCGACTTCTCTAATCAAGAAAAAAAAAAAAAAAAAAAAAAAAACACACACACACATAAAAAGGTGAATACTGGATAGTGTTCTATACCCGATCTCGAGAGGGAATCTTAGCGTACAGAGTGCCCTGCTCCAGCGCCGGTTCGAGATTGGTTTCCCGCGCTGGATCACTAGCAGGATCAACCACCCGTTTTGTAGCCGGGATCATGAAGCCAGTCCCGATGTAAATCCAGACCACAATGTACTCCATTACCGCGGTCATGACGACAAATGGACCAATATCTCCGTCTAGGTTGCTCCAGCGCGGATCGTCGGGATGGTAGATGGACAGGAAAAGCCAAGAAATGCGCACAATGAGAAATGGAACGGCGAGGGCTATTCCTTTTAGGATCTATGGGGGGGAAAGGAAAAGTTAACATGGCGTTTCCATAGTTGGTAGAGTAGAGCAAGGGAGCGAGACGAACCGTTACACTTGGGCGAGACAGACGAGAGTATTGCGTCCAGAAGTAGCCCTGAAAGACGATTAATACTGCCATGAAGATAGCAACAACAATGTAGCCATCTTTGGTAAGTGCTCTTCCTGTCGTCAAGGAGTTGGCCTCGGTAGTGTTCCCCATCACGGAACCGCCTGAAATCACCAATGCAATGCCGATAAGGAATAAGATCCTGGACAGGATCATAGGCAGATTGAGACTCTTGTTGCTTTGGAAGTCATAAAAGATGCTAAATTTTTGTTAGGGAAAGGGTGTAACGCGGCTGAAGACCAGGGACTTCCGTACATGAGCCGTAAGAGGCCGAGAGTAGCCCCGATCAAGGGCAACAGTCCGGCATTCAAAAGAACCAGGGCGGCAATATAAAGATTGACGCTCTTTGGGCTATTCTCATATAGAATCACAACAACGCCACAAGCAACTCGAACTGAGCAACTAGAAGTTAGCGCCTCTATATTGAGGGGGTGAAAACCGACAATGCTTACCTGCGCAGAAGATTTGCAGGATGTACCATGGCAATCGAGGGGGTCCATGGCGGTAGAACAACAGAATTGCTGCGAGCACAATAACGGGGATGTAAAAGATGATCTGCGCTATTGCTACTTTGGAATGATCTGTGAGCATCTTGGAGAAGGGATAAAGCTATCAAGGAAAAGATGTGTAGGGAAGGATTTGTTGTTGGGGAGGAGAATGGGCTCTCACTGACCTTTATAACTTGGACTGGCGCTCCACCCATACCGATGTGCCTACTCTGTAGAACTGAGGACTAAAAAGAAGCTGTATGCCTGAGGCCCATCCATGCCGCTGCTGGAGTATGTATGTTGACCAATCAATCGCTTTGTTTTAAGGAGAGGTCGGGGCTAAGTCACCTGACTTCGCAGGTTTTGTCCCAAAAAGGACTAGTGTCGGGGCTGAGAAAAAAAGCTTGTCGCCTGCTTATCAAACGTCATCCACGATCTTTCGCAGGTACAACCCAAAGGTGGTTAGGTACGGAGGACTCGAGTAGCTGTTGCTTTTGTAGCCCCGCCTCCTGGGGCTGTGCAGCTGGCGGCTCTCATATGTATTGCCACAGGGGCAGGCCGTAACGCATCTTTTCCTGCACGCTGGATATCCAGGTAACTTCTCGATCGCCATGGTGGGTCCGGTTTCGTATCGCCCAAGTTGCGAGTGTAATCGGTGTAGAGGCCACGAGCGCACCCGTCAGCATTATGCTTTCCTGTAAGCAAAACTCCAGAGACTGGAAGACATTGCGCGCCATGATTAGATAGTTCTCTTGATCATATCGGGGGGCAATAATTTGAACAGCCGGTTGGGAGGAAATTTGGGAGCAAGTATCGTCGGGTGAATCCCCGAGTAATTCAACAACAGCGGGCGCATGGGTAGTGCGTACGCCATGAGACTCTAGAATATCGCACAAGTTGCTAATTGAAGACCACAATAGAGCCTTGGTGGACCAGTACAGCATCAACATATTTGCAATCCTAAGGTCCGGGAAGTGGTAAACGATGGGGAAGGATGTTCCGCCGGGAGCATTGCTGGAGAACGTTGGCGGGAAAACGGGCCAGAACAAAGGGCCCGACGACTGGAGCCGAATCTCTTCATATGCTTGGAGCCGAATCTCTTCATATGCTTCTTGTAAACTTTGGTCCATAGCCAAGCATTCGTCCCTCAGATCGTAAGCGATGCTAATGTTCTCCTCGTGAGACAGCGATGCTAGCTGATCGTAGCGCTGAAGGATGGAAGGGATTCCAGCGAGACAGTCTGCGATGCGATCGGGGATGCGTTTAGAGGTTGATATCCAGGGGTTTCGGCACCAGACACGGTCACACAAGAAGTTCGGGGTACGATTGCTTATGGCGTCTAAGATCTATGCCAATGTCAATCAATGATTTTCATCACCTAGGAAGTCCCCAGCGATAAAGGATAGCATTCAACGTACCCCGGGAAACCGAACCCCGAGGAAAAGTTCGTGGCTAATCCCCGATGTATGCGCGCTAATCCCACGAGCCTGAATCAGGGACAGAAACCCCCTGCAGTGGCTGACATATGCCTGAAATCCTTTATCAGGGCACTCTATAAGCTCATACAAGCTCAAAACTAGACAGGCCGCCAGAGTTTCGTGATCGTGCATCCGTTTTTCACTCCAGAGCGCTGTTTGTAACTCACGGAGCCCCCTGGTATACGCTGTTAGGCTTTGATGCACCATGGAGTAGTCATGGAATTTCCGACCCAAAGCGACAGACGCGATGGCCATCATCGAAGTCTCCAACGCCTTAGACTTCATGGGCAGATCGGGGAGAAGCAAGAGCCACGGCTTCTGATGCTTTTTCAAACGCAACTGCGGATGAAGGAGACATTGACCGAGAAAGTGGTCGAGGAGTTGCCTGCGCAGGTGGCAGTTTATGACCATCTCATAGCCCGGGCCTTGCTCGGGTCGCGCAGACTGCACGGCGGTGTCTTGCTTGCGACCAGGGCGACGAGCATCCTTTGCACCCGGTTGGACCAGGACGAAGACTGTGTCGCGCCGATACCCAGTACATTGGCGCTGAGACTTGATACATTGAGCGCAACTAGGTCTTTCCTGTCCGCACTAGGGGAATAGTCAACAACGGTTGGATCGAAAGGTTTCCTTGGGGATGAAACTAACTGCAATCTTGCGCGCTCGACACGTCCCGCAGCCACGAGACTGTCCTCGTACGCCCGCCATCTTCCCTGGCCGCTATATATGGTCAGCTTCAGAGATCATAGGCAGTGAAACTGTCGTTTCCTAGTTCGCCAGGTGGTGATAATCGGGAATGACTTTGGATTACTTGTTTTAATACAGCTATAGGCTGTAGGCCCGTTTTAGAAGTCATGGATATTAGTCAGTCAAGGCGGTGGAGGCAACCCCGCCATTACTATTTTAGGAAGAAGTATCTTGTCGTATAGCACAGATATAGATACAATCACCGTCCAACCTTAGTATTCAGAAGGGGAAATAAAAATTCAGAAAAATAAAGAGTTCCTGGCGCCAAACTTTATCTCCGCTCATGAAACCCGAAAGTCTGATTTAAGCTTGGAAATTGGGTTTTCCAGGAAGATTCACGGCATTTCCGACACGTGAGCCAAGGGGGAAAATAAAGTAAAAATAAAAAAGAATGCATCAACCGCGAATCGAACGCGGGCCTCATCGATGGCAACGATGAATTCTACCACTAGACCATTGATGCTTTGATGGAGAATGGGGCCGAATTGTGACATTATAACGTAGATTGTGGCAGATTAATTTTCCAAAATCTACCTGATTGAATTGATCAGCCAGGTACTTTTCATACCTCGGTGGCTCCAGGACAATTCCCAAAATAAGCAAACAGTAAGATTTCTCCTTTGAGGAATCAGGAATCCTACAGGCTAGCTTTTTATAGAGAATATGGCTACAAATCCCTCCGCTTCGGTATCTCATCGCTAGGCATGACTGTTGATATATATCTTGGTATCTAACTCCGTTACTATGATACAAACACACTCTATATGCCTACAACAGTCACTACAACCCCATGAGATGATTTGTCGAAATACGGAAATATCATTCAAAATGTCCAGGAAATAGCTATCGACACAGGTCCAGGGTAGCCGGGTGGTTCCTTCTCCCCAGCTAGGGCAATGAGCTTTTCCGCCTCCTGGCTAGTTGCCGTGAACGGTTTCTCTAGCTAACGCTGTTCCCAGTTGTGCTGAGGCGGTACTAATCCATACCATGCTTCTGGGCATTCAAAGCTCTCTCTGCAAACTCAGCATGACTATCAGTGTGCGTACTGCCAATTACAAGGTCAATATTCTCGTCTCCAAAGAACTCATCAGCCGTTCGATGATGTTTGGCCTTGGGAAAGTCTACAGTGCAAGTGGGAGCCGGCTTTCGCAGTTCCTGGATCCCGGGGTGGAGCAGAGCGCTGGAGAAAGACACAGATCACGAACTCTGGATTTGGGAGCAGCCCCATGTCTACTCTATTTCCGAGAACTTATATACCGTACAAAGCCAAGCATCTCCACATTTAGGCTATAATGAAGCAATCGCGGAGTGTCGGAGAGAATTGAGCGTATCCCCAACCCTGGCCATTCCCGTTGAGGTCGCCGGGGAGTATCGGCTCTCCACAACACTTACTCCACAAGGCTTGCGTTGGCTAAATTCCCGTATTTGGATAACCCCGGAAGCTCCTTAAGTATTGGGATATTATTTATATATAGTTAAATGTCATTCCTCCAAGCCGATACTACGCTCCGTAGGAGAGGTATACCCAAACTCGGATTTGCAGAATATACGTCGTTTGAGCAAGAAAGAACGCAGAGATGACACCAACGCAAGAGAAACCTCAGCTTCGATGGGGCATCATTGGTATGAAGTAGTTAGCACAATTCAGAACTGAATAACTAACATTCTCCTTCCATCTAGCCACCGGATGGATCTCCTCGATGTTTGTGCAAGACCTTCTCGCACCTCGAGCAGATGCCCCCGCCCGCCACATTGTTTCCTCGATCGGTTCTTCCTCAGTAGAAAAAGCCAACGCATTCATCGATAAGATGTGGAAAGCCAGCGCGGAGCCACGTCCGAGCCCGTACGGCACATACCAGGAGGTCTATAACGACCCAAATGTGGATATTGTATACATCGGGACACCGCACGTCCTTCACAAGCAGAACTGCCTGGACGCGATTGCGGCGGGAAAGAATGTTTTATGCGAGAAGCCTTTCGCGATGAACGAACGGGAGGCTCAAGAGATTGTCGACGCTGCTAAAAATAGGGGAGTCTTCATTATGGAAGGTTTGTCTCCCCCACTAGCTGTTAGAGAAGATTATCGGATCGTGATTAACTCGTTTTCGTGGTAAAGCCATGTGGACCAAGTTTTTCCCCGTTGTCCAAGCCCTCTACGATCATATCTACGTTAAAAAGTCAATTGGCCAGGTGCGCCGTGCATTTGTGGATTTCGGGTCCTCAATGGACTTTGATGCCATCCCAGGCGATTCGCGCCTGAAAGACCCAAAGCTAGGAGCTGGAGCTATACTCGATATAGGAATCTATACTCTCACATATGCGTCGATTATCATGGGCGAGGGCAAGTTAGGCGACGAGCATCCCCACCCCAAAATATCTTCCTCTATGGAAATTATCAACGGCGTCGACGAGTCCGATAGTGTGATTCTCACCTACGATGCTGGCGCAGCCAAGAAGACTGCCGTGTGTACCGCGACAATGCGCGTAAAAGGTTCCCCCGACTTTGCTCGAGTTGATGGCAGTGAGGGATCGATAACTGTGTTTTCTGATATCGGACCAAGCTGCCCTAAAGGATTCAGAGTGACAAGGGAGGGAGAAGAGCCAGTTGTTTATCGGTTTGACTCTCCTGAAGGCACTCTAGGATTTTTCTACGAAGCAGATGCTGTTGCTTGTGATATTGCCCAGGGCAAACTCGAGAATGATGTGATGCCATTGAGCGAGACTCTAAGAATGATGAGGTTGATCGACGAGTGCCGTCGTCAGAATGGGCACAAGTATCCGCAAGACGACGCTTGATCTTGATCACAGGGGGTTCTACAGCTATTGATCGCCCCTCGTGTATATATATTTATCTTATTTAGGACAATGGGGATATTTGGTGTGGTGACATTGATTGAAATTCATTAATTTGTTGTTCAATGGCTGCATAATCGCCGTGCCTTTACTGTCGTGAATTGCCTTAGATGAGGCTTATCAGGTCCGTGTTAGGTAAAGTAGGGTCGTCTCTTGCGGGAAACTTATTCTGACCAGAGTTGTAATTTCTAGTTCTTCTTCATAGGCTATTGCTGGGGAGAACTTGCATCCGCCGCGTTGACATTCGCCTACTCACATAGTCTACTATATACGTAGTACACTGCTTTACTTCAATCAGAACTCCAAATCCTTATTGATCACCAATGAAGATCACCCTTGAGGTTCTATTGCGCGCTCTCAAACAGCATACGGAAAATTTCTAAATCCTTCTTCGCATCCTCTGCTGTGGTCTTGACAGGTTTCCCATTCACCACCATTTCGTAGAGTTCCTTCAGCTCCAGTGTATAAGGGTCCTCGTAGCTCTTGCGGGTGATCGTCTCTCTAAGACTGCCATTTATGTTTTCTTGGACTCGCATGGTGATCGGAAGGCCTTTCACATATGGTGTGTCGTAGGTTATGCGTACAGCCTTGTCGCCGCCGTAGACTTCGATGTGGGCGTCGAAACGGGGGACGGAATCAAGACCTGATTCGTAGGCCACGGTGAACGTTGGATATTTCAGGAGAGCACTACAGTCTGATTAGAAAGAATCCACCAACTTTCGTGCAGTAGGGGGCAAACCTCCAGAAGGGAAACTCCAAGGAGGCCCCAACAACTCCCGTGGGCATTCCCAAGACCTCCCTCATCGCGCTGAGGTCGTGAGAACCTAGACCACCGAGGGCTCTCCACATCATCGGATTAACTGTGGAATTTTTGATCCCGGCTTCTGTTTCTATGGCCTGGGATACGATCTCATTTCCACGGGCGGATTTGTCCAGTATGGCGTCCTCGGGGATGTCCGTGAATTTTTGAGGAAAGGTCCCAGACTGGTCAACGAAAACACTGTTAGGGCCGATAATATCTATATTCTGTCAAAGATCATGCTGATAGTAGTCCAGTATGGAGACATAATAAAAAGCGAACCTCTGACACGCGCATAAAGAATTTTGTCCAACCCACCCACTTCCCGGACGACGTCTTCGAAAACTGCGGCATATCGTCGCATGTAACCCACCATCACCCTAGCCTTTGAAGCGCGCTCGGCAGCGATTATGGCGTCGGCATCTCTCATACTGAGCGCCATGGGTTTCTCTACCAAAACATGTTTCCCATGCTCCAAAGCAAGAATTGTGTGCTCTGTATGGTACTCATCGGCATTCGCTACTAGAACCACATCCACTAGGGGGGATGCGCACAGCTCCTTAGGGTCGGTTGTTGTTCGAGGGGCCTCATATCCAGCAACCTTAGCACGACAATGCTTCAGAGCCTCCTGCGAAATGTCACAGAGATAAGTCACTGTGTATAGGTGGGAGAGATGGTTGAGAGTCGGTAAATGGACGACCTGGGAAATTTCTCCGCAGCCAATCACCCCGACTCGAACCAACTTTGGAGTTTCGGATGCCATGTTAAGGGGACAGATGAATAAACGGGATCCGATGTGAAAAATATGCCTTGGACGATCCTTGTGCCGAGAAAACCTCTCTCCGGCTTCTTAAATAGTTTGTTAAGCTGGCACCGGAGGATGGTGTATGTATACTGAGTACTCCGTGTATATATATGTACATCGCTTCGGCTTAAGCCCGGGAAACTCAGACCCGAGACTCCCCGGAAATTGGGGTTGGCCCCCCCGCATTATAACCGCTTGTCCCCGGGTTGATATGCAGGTTTTTCTTGCCCTCAACCCTTCCAGACTGTCCGGACGACGCGACTAGGCCAGAAATTGAGGACCACATCACGGAGCAGGATAATCCTGGCGCATGCATCATGTTAGAGTGCGATGCTGAGTCTGGACCTTCTCCCACAACGCACCCGGCCAAGTTGCCGGTATTTGGGGATTTGCCTCCGTTATCGCACGACCTACAAAGCCCCATTGAGGTGAGCGAGCCAGTCAAGGAGGCGGGTTCGAAGAAAAGGAAGATCGAGCGAGGGCTTTCCTATCCTAGGAAACGTTCGGTTCGAGCTTGTCAACTGTGCCGGCGTCGAAAGACCAAATGCGACAATGCGCTGCCCAAGTGCGGCCTGTGCAATGAAGTTGGGACTACCTGTACCTACGAGGATAGTGACTCTAATCTGTTTTCGTAAGTAGTTGCTCCAGATCCCCCCCTCCTGTTGGAACACAGACTGCCGTTCTAAATGAAGTCCCTAGGCACGACCCGACAACTCTCGCCATATTTGAGCGGATCAGCCATTTAGTGCAGCTGGTTGAGGATCTTAGAAGTGCGCGAGTAGTAGCGAACGAGACCTCTCCATTGCCCTCTCGTACGCCTTCTCTCACTTACAATAATGGAATGTCTGGCTTGGTGTCCCCTGCAATCCCCTCGCGCTGCAACTTGACATTTCGCATCTCGACATGGGAAATATTCGATGGACAGTGTCTATCGCTAGATCCCGACGCACAGTTCCAGGGACTCAACCAATGCGCCCCAAAAGTCAATGCCCAGCATACAGGAGCCCGGATTGTGGAAGAGGACGCCCCTCGTCTGATTCGTCGCTTCTTGTCTAACGTCCACCCCAAGAACCCGGTAGTAGACCATAATTTGCTGCTCGTATATGCTAAGGATGTTGCAGAAAAAGGTCTCTGGTGGGATGGGCCCACATGTCTGGTCGTAAGTTATTCAACCTTGGAAAGGAGAAAGCGCGACAAGTCGAAAAGTGGTCAGAGGCTTTGGCTAATCTTCCTCCTTTGTCCGTAGCTGGTCGCATGTGCATTAGGCTGCATCTCCTCCGAGTTCCGTCGAGTATCTGTTACTGCGCCGGGAGAGACTGAGGGCAATCGCGTTTTGGCCGACGCATACTATGCCGCAGCACAACGGCGCATTGCTTCCCTTGATTTTTGCTCGCTTGAATACTTGCAATGTCTCTTCCTTTCTGGCATGTACGAGACATACAATCTGCGTTTACTTGCAGCATGGCACTCGTTTCATTCTGCCTGTGGTGCCATCCAGATCTACTTCCATCGATGGGGGGGGTCTCAGAGCAGGGACGAACGCACCACTCAGATTGAGCGACAGCTGTATTGGTCCAGTTTGCGGTCCGAAAGGTGCAATTTTGCCATCTAGTCCTCGATAAAGCCTATCACTGACTGACAATACGTTTTGCCTTGCAACAGGGAACTGTGTATCGAGCTGAATCTCCCATGCTCCCAGCTTTCTGACTTCCCTATTGCCGACCAATTCCCAACGCCGCCACAGCAGGCCAACCTTCTGGAAGCGTACGAGGGGTTTTCAGTCGAAGAGATGTGGTACTACTATCTCACGGAAATCTCTCAACGGTGTATCTCCGATCGCATTCTCAACACATTTTACACCGAAGACAATGATAGGAAATGGCTGACCTGTCCAGTGGACGAAATGGTCAAAGTCGCAACCGAGCTGGAAGAAAACCTCAATTTTGCTATTTCAAACCTACCAGCACAGCTGCGGTATGAGCAAGAAGAGCTGCAACACCGAGAACTACCCTTCTTCACAAGCATGCGAATCATGACCGCCAGGGAATCTCTCTATCGTCCCTTTTTGTACCGCGTGGTACACTCCCTCCAGGCCCAGCCGGCGGTAGTCCAAGACCTAGCGTCCCGGTGCTTGGATTTGTGCCGGACTTTGACCCACCACGTTGCGATCCAATACCGCCACCATGGAAGCTGGCTAATGGCTCGATGCGCGTTTCGATGCGGCCTTTCCATCCTTGCTGCTGCAAGAAGCGGCAGGATTCCTGTTCCTCCTGATTGGAGGGAGTGTGTTGAAAAGGCCATTGCCACAGTGAGATTCTGGGCCAAAGACGCCAGTGATTTGGAAACGCTGGATAAGTCGCTGTGTAGGGTTTATGAGACTACGAAATGAAGGCGCCGTACACACCCCTGAATATCTAGAATATTCCAAATACATGTCTCTTGAAACCGGTTACCCCGCGAATGAACGGTCCTAAGGCTCGGATGCTGGAATGCGGGATTTCATCAATCAAGGCGTGACAATGTGGCTGGACCCTAAAGTTAATCTACTGGGGGGAGGTCGATCATCTCCTGGAACGTAACCCTAAATTGATAATCATCGACCAGAGGAACAGGGGGGGGTGCCACGGCCTCCAGTCACAGATAAAACGCACCGGGATACACCCTGCCCGGACAGCAAGGTTCGGCGATATGAGGACGAAAAGCACAGCAAATCGACGAGTTAACCGAGGCTATAGAGCAGATACTTTAGACACTAAAGGGGTTAGGATCGGGTTCTCTCTGCCTCATTTTTTACAGACTTAGCTTAGTTGTCGGAGGACGAGTCAGTCAGGTCGAGTCCGGAAATGCGTACTTTGTACAGAGAGTAATAAGAACGGCTACCTAATATTCCTTTAGCTGAGAATCGAGCCACCCACCACCGTTCTTGGAGTGGAACGCAGGAGCAGACAACACCGATCCCGGCCCCTTTCCCAGTGGTCAAGCGGATATCAGTATGGAGTACCGATTCCTGGACATTGAGCTCCTAGGCTACGCTGATTGGTGGCCATGACTAGAAAGTTGAAATATTTTGCACCCGAGACTCCCCGGACCAGGATTTGTGGAGCAAGCCCGGTAGTTCCTGGGGAAGTATATACTATATAGGAATAATCTATCCAGTATCTGGGATTGTCGGTTATTGGTTGTCGCCCGGAGAGAGATCTGCACACATATCTAGGGCTTTCCCCCCCCCTGGGGATCTCGACCTCATTTTTCCTTCATTTATCAATTATACCAAAGCTAGTTAATATCATGGCGAGGACAAAAGCTGACAAGTCCATTTCAGAGGCTTTACTTGCGGTAAGATCGGCGCGGTCTCCCCAATACCTAGGGTTTGTTATGTTATGCTCACTGGAGTTCTATCAATACATAGGTCCTACCTTCGGATCGGAGGCCGTGGTACAAGGTCCCTCACTTGATCCGACTGAATGCCATTCTTGTTGGAATTTTACTATTTTCCAGCACCGTGGGCTATGATATTTCTCTGATGAATGGGCTTCAGTCCATGGGCCAATGGACGGAGTTTATGAACCACCCAGCTGGCGCGTGGCTTGGGTTCATCGGAGCAATTCAATCCCTTGGTGGAGTCATCGGAATGCCCCTACAGGCCTCGTTCTCTAACCGATATGGCCGGAAGCCCTCTCTCTGGGTGGGATACATCTTCCTGGCTGGGGGGGTTGCCATGCAAACCGCGACTCCCATCCCAGCATTGTTCATTGTTTCGCGATTCATTGTCGGTTTCTCGTCGGCATGGTTTATGAGTGCCCCGGTTCTCATTGCTGAACTTGCTTATCCGACACAGCGTTCCAAGGTGGTTGCCTTATATCAACCCATGTACTATGTCGGCTCTGTCCTGTCCTCATGGGCAACGTTTGGCTGTCGCAATATGGCATCGTCGTGGGGCTGGAGGATCCCTGTGGTTCTCCAGATCACATTCCCAGTTATATCCATTCCTTTTGTTTTGTTGTGTCCCGAGAGCCCCCGCTGGCTGGTTCGCAACGGTAAATCAGACCAGGCCCGCCAAATCCTGACCAAGTACCACGCCGGTGGGGATGAGCAATCTCCGCTTGTGAACTTCCAGATGGAGGAGATCGCGGATGCCATCCGAGTCGAAAATGAATTGGCTTATACGGCAAGCTGGATGGATATGCTCAGGACCAAAGGAAACCGCCGCAGGCTGTATATCAGCGCGACTCTGGGTGTCTCTGCGCAGTGGAATGGAGTGTACGTCCCGTTGTTTGACGCCTTTTTTTTTTTTTTTTTTTTGACTTCGTGTGGACTGACCTTGGATATCTCTTCGCAGGGGAATTGTATCCTACTACCTTAGCCTGATTCTTAATAGCGTCGGGATCACTTCAGTTACGCAACAGACGATGGTCAACGGCTTCCTGCAAATCTGGAATCTTATTCTGGCTATCGTTGGAGCGCAATTCGTGGATTTCGCCGGCCGCCGCATGCTTTTCATCATCTCCACCGTCACAATGCTGATCAGTTACATCCTTATCACTGGCCTCGCCGGTAGCTTTGCCACGACCCAAGTCAGTGCGGTCGGAACAGCGGTGATTCCATTCTTATTCATCTTCTACGGAGGATATGATCTCGCGTGGACGCCGCTGTTGGTTTCGTATCCCGCCGAGATCTGGTCATACTCCTTGCGAGCCAAGGGCGTTTCGCTGGCCTACATGTTCACTTACCTTGCCCTGCTTTTCAACCAGTAAGCCGCATTAAAGCATCCATCCCCGGACGAAAATAACTGGGCGGGCTCACTGACGATATCGCAGATTAGTGAACCCGATCGCTCTGGACGCAATCGGATGGAAATACTATATTCTTTACATCGCTCTCCTGGTCATTATCCTGGTTAATGTATGGTTCACGTATCCCGAGACCCGTGGCTACTCCCTGGAGGAAATGGCCGTGCTTTTTGACCAGGACGACCTGGGCGAAGACGAACGGGGATCGAAGATGAAGCGAGAAGCTTCTCACACTGAACACGTCGAGACATCCGAGAAATCCGGAATCTAAAAGGTTGAAGAATAGTCTACTCTCTGTTGAGGAGATAGAAGGACCCTCTGACCCTAGCTTTGTTAAGATTTGCTTCCATTGCCGGACTCAAATCAGCTAGATATCATGTAGTGAATGTACAGTTGATATGCTCTCCCTAAGTTATTAATTCCCGAACGAAAATGTGCAATTTAGATACATACATACCACACGCACCAAATATCGAATTCCCTACTGATACAAAGAATTAACTGTGAAACCACCTATTATTCTAACCCATTGACATGCCTCCAAATCAAACCAAACCACCGGGTTCCACCCCACAGCCTCTTCCAGCACGCTGCCTAAACGCAGCAGCACCCAGCGCACCCCAAAACCCGCCCCGGACTGGCTCCAATCGTCTACCGCAACTTGGCCCTTCCTCGCATGCGGCCCGCGAGCGCCAGCACCGAAAAACCCCGTTCCGACAGCGCCTCCAACGCCAGCAGACCGGAATCAGAAGAGCAGGTGTTCTTTTATGCGAGTGATCGCGGGGCTGGCGATGAGACCCGCCGCGGTAGAGGACGTGTGTGTGGCGAGGATGGTGTGGAAGAGCGAGGTTGGTCTTCTTGTAGGCCTTGATTTTTGCTGTAAAGAGAATTTTGAATTCCAGTATCTCAAGAGAGGGTTTACTTTCCAATCTGCATGAGTATATATGCTTGTGGCACATTGTATTAGAGAATAACCACCCTAACCCTAACTTTGAGTCCACATTCCCAAAGCTTGCAGAACTGTTAACTATCACCTTCGCACAATGAATAAGTTGATCTAAATTATCGTAGACGTGGATTCTCAGTTCCAACCAAATGACCTCTCTCTCCATGCCTCCCTTTCTAGAGCCAATTCATACCTAAGGAAGAGTCGGCGGGACACGAACTCGCTGTAGTTCCACCAAGATCCGTTCCGTTCCGGTATTGTATGTATTGCTTCACACTGCGTTATCTGCCGGGGATTTCACGCGAGGATGTCGAGAATTACTTTTCTACCCACGGTGAGCTGTATCCCCGAGCCGTCCTGCATGTCGAGCCGTCGGGATCGTGCAAGCGCGCGGGCCCGGAGCCCTTAGCCCTTCGGATACGCGTTGAGCCGTCCCTGCACCTGGGAAGACTTAGGGTTCGGGTACCGGATGGAGGAGACTTGTAGTCTTGGACTCCATACGGAGGCGGGTATCTGAATATCCCGAGACGCTAAATTCTTACTTTACTGCATGCGGCTGGGGATAAGTCTGTCCAGAAGCACTAGTTAGTTACAGTACGGGGAGTATACATACGGAGTACTGAACCAAGAAGCTCATGATTATGGGAAAGTTGTCAGGTTTGGAATGAATTATGGGATGTATCTCAATTCGATCTGTATACATACATAATACAACTGTGATTTGTCTTGATGCTCTCGACTAAACTAAACTATTCTAAAATAGATCGCGTTATACATATGTGGAATGATTCCAGGCCTACTATCCGTAGATACTATGTAACTAGGTTGCAAAATTGAACTGCTCGAAGATTGTAGGCCCACTGAGGTTCTTCCCATCCACGATCCCGCTTAATATACCGGACCATCTGGTATAAGGCTCTCCACTGTAGCCGGCAACAATATACCTCCCAGTGGCCTTCAAGTGGAGATCTCCATCAGGAAGCGTGATGTTGATCTGGAATCCTGTCGGAGCGCCTTCCCCCGCTGTTGGCGGATATGTCGCGTTTTCGCCATACGGGCGAGTAGTGATTCCCGAGCATTGCGCCACCAGAATCTCATCATCCTTCGCGACGTACGAAGAGACGTAGTTCTCCCCTTGTGGGGATAGGAAATCGAACCACACGATGCTGTAAGGACCGATATGCCCGTGGCCCCAATACCACGATCCGACATTCGAGAGGAAGTTTTGGTCCCCCCAGTTCTAGTTTATATCAGCTCTCTTTTTCTCCCTCCGGGGGGGTTTGATGTGGAGCGACCTACCTTGTCGTGATATCCCGCACCAACGAAGCTCAGTTTCTCGCCTCGGACAGCCAGCTCCACGGCCGCACTGGCATCGGGAATTGCATTGATCCATCCGATGTGAGGAGCAATCTGGAGACTTTGCCCGGGAGTCGCGGGCCCGCAGGGGCAATGCGCCGGAGCAACCTATACATACCGCGTCGTACGGCCTTAGCAAAACGGTTCTGGTCGAGGGGTGCTCTGGGTGGAAAAGAGCCGCCCGCGACTTACCGACTGAAGAACCAACGACCCAAATATTCCTTGCTCCGGAGAATTTATCTGCACGTAGTATGCGGATAAATCCGGAGCGCCTGCAAAAGACAACCCAGTGCCCACGTAGGAACCGCTGGTACCGTCTCCGATGGTCGCGAATTGGGCCTCCGTCGCGTTGAAGAGATATTGGTCCTGGGTCCCATTGGGCCAGGTAACGGTCACTTGCGCGAGGTCGACACTGGTATAGCCTGCCGCGGCAAATTCGCTGAGCATCTGAAATCCCCCAGCTGTGGCCGTATAGAGGACAGCCACAACGGAGGCCTGCTCTCCGCTTGCGGTAAACGGTTGCACAACGTCAAAATACCACCAGTCCCAGGTTGAGCTGTTGATGGGGACGACTTTCGGACCGTCCAGCCCACCCTCACAGTATGTCCATTGAACTTCGGAGGGCTCTGAGGCGGGACCCCGAGGGACGGTTATTGCCTGCGCGAGGGTTTGGTGAACACCAAGGGCGAAGCACAAGTATCGAAACCCCTTCATTTTGTTTTTTTTTTTTTAGTTTCTTCCTCGCAGGGAGTATAGGGTTGTCCTTTTTTTTTTTTTTTTTTTTGGCAAGGAGCTTGCGTGGATTTTACCACGCTTTTATATGTGGGATTCGTTATTAGCACGCTGCCTGTTTTTTTTTTTATGTCTCACCTCAGCGCCGCTGGACTTGCCCTCCGGCAGGTGTAGTAGTATAGGTGCTAGTATAGATACTAGTAGTTATAGAAGTTAAACGAATTATAGTCAATGCAATGGGGCAGCGAGCGGGCCCCGGGTCAACCACCCACGCTGCAGTGATGACAATGTACAGCCAAATTAGGGCATAAAAAGAGCTGGATGCCTAATAGAACTAACTCTCTCCTAGTCAGCTAGCCATTGGAAAACACAGTACTAAAACAGGTGGTTTAATAGTGGTCAAATTCGACGATGAATGACCGATTACGCTACGAATCTTGCAAAGGAAACAGGTAACGCTTCATCGACAAAGGGTTTCCTTCTCTTGTGTGCTGTGTATGCCGTGAGCATTCTTCGCCTTCGTAGATCCTTATCTTGATGTGGAAAACAGACACTCCGGTGGACCTCTCTGTCCTCTTTGTTATAGTAGCTGAAGCCGGATCTCCTTCTGTTTAATAGGTAGGGAGTAACTCCGCTCTACCTAGGTACGGAATAGTATGGAACTATTTTCTGGCCACTGAAGATCCATCCTTCGGGGGCACAATATCCTGCGGATGAGGGCGCTGATATTGTTCTCTGCTAGTTGACGGATATTGGCCAGCAGTTCCTCCACTGAAAGTCTATCCAACAGCTCTCTAAACACCATCGGCTTTTATATCCGCGCATCAGAAAAGAAAAAGAAAAAAAAAAAAAAAAAAAACCCGGCACTTGAACTTTATCCCGGGGTCGAATTAGCCCTGAATATTGAGCACTGCTTGAGTATGCTAGATGAAACTAGTTAGTTAATGAAAATGAAATTAATAATATAATAAATTGTCAACGTTACCGTAGCTAATACAGTATTATATTGGTCCACATAAATACTATAGCTTACACATGTTGCTTTAGTATTTGTTGGCGCCGACGGCCAAATAGAATCCGGTGAGGTATTTTTCTCGTCTGTAATCTCAGGGGCAGAGAGAGATAATGGTGGAAATGAATGGAATAGTGATCCTGAAAGAAATCCAGGATGGGTAGCTCCATTACCGTCAAGATAGACCCGTCGGAGTTCCAAGGAGCTGGAAGTATCTCCTCCCTAGGGACTTGGTTAATATCAAGTATGTATGTGTAGGGTAGTTCCTGTCACTTACTGTTCAGCTGAAAAGGTGTCTAGACGACCATTTCGTCCTGACAGTATTATTTTTGGTCACCATATTTACCTATTTCCGGCCTAGCTAAGCAACCTTCCACAGAGGTACAGAGTATAAAAATGATAAGCAATGGAATCCTCACTCCTCTGCAATGCGCACACCAGGTGCTCGAGTTCTCTCCTGAATGTCTGCTACCCAGAATCTCCAGCTCTTGAGAAGACACCACCTTTGTATCCTAGAGCGGAGTGTTCTATCGTAGGCACCTGAACAAGGCCGCCATCCGTCCTCTCCTCCCCCACCACCGCGGGCATAAGCAACCCGTACTTTCCCTTACCAAGCCCGGGAGCTTCTACCCTCAAAATAGAGATCTATCTCGGGAAGATCATGAAGGATTTCAGGTCCAGTATCCCTCAGGTATCTTCCGTCTTTAGTCTATAGCAAGTGAGCTCATGAACAAGATGCAGAGAATGAGGCATAAAGGAAAACTCACTGTATTAGGCCCTTCGCGACCCTTTTCAACTTCAATCAAAGCCCAATCAACATTCATCCACGAGTCAATGTTCGCAGAAGGGTGCTTGCGGCGTCTGAGCCCTGAACCTGCAATGACTGAACCAAACTTGTTTCGATTTCCGGCGCAAAAATCATGAATCTCCTTCACAAAATCTGTTTCAGCATCAATGGTTGCTTTTATGTGTGTAAATTGTCTTCTGTCAATCCTGGGCATTATGTCTAAGAGACCTTTCTGCTCCATTGCCAGGCCTTTCTTGTACAGTGGGTGGGCGAGGCCTTGAGCAATGCTGGTATCAAGCTCTTGAATTTTTTTTGTTTAATATCTGCATGACTTGGGCTCTGCAGGTGAAGATCTCCCTATACAAAAAAAAAAAAAAAAAAAATAAAAAATTAGCAACAACATCTCAAGTGCATTATCGAAGGGAACATACCTGTAAGTTTCATTGTACAGAGTACCAATTTTAGGATAGAACTGGTTGTCTCTGGTCATCCTAATCGTACGAGCAGGAAGGGAGCACAGATTCGGGCCGCCAACCCTCAGGTCTTCATCTGTGAAGTTGTCAAATGTTGTGCTCCCTTCATCATCGCTTGATCCTCTACTTCTTTCTTTTCCTGCCATCTGGCCCCGGTTTTCCCTCTTCATCGCTGATGACGCTTGCTGCCCGCTTTCGTTCATGACGACTGATACTTTCTGCATCCCCTCCTGTGATTCTTAGAACGACCGGGGATGCATATGCTAGTTCCAGGTCGGAACCTAGCGATACTGAGCGTGTCGTCATTCTCTGCTGGCTAGCAACGTATAGTGATGACTAGAGGGAATAGATGACTGGGGAGGAACCCACTAGGTGAAAAGGCAACAGAAAAAAGAGATGGGAATAATCCAGGAAAGGAAGAATCTGCTTGATGAAAGAAAGAGTTTAAAAATATCAAATTCACCTGCATATATTGTTGTGGTAATTATGTTGGAATAATTATGTAATTCTCTCCAGGTTATGATTTATGTATCCCGCATACTGAGGTGTATAGTATAGTTACCTATATCAATTGAATTATTAGGTACATACCGCGCTACAGAATCGCAATTGCATTTGCATGTGTACTGATTCCACCTAGGACCGCGTTAGAAGACATGCAACGCCATACGTTTGAAATAAGAAAATACCTACCAGGCACATTCGCCGGCGCACTCGTCATGAAAAACGTCCAGCGCTGCCTCTCGGCACACTTCGCCGCCAGTCTGTCCAAATCCCACATTTCTCCCAAGGGCATGCCCCAGAGCGCCAGAATGAACTCGTGCAGGTAATATTCCTGTGGCGTGGGCCAGCGCTCAAACGAAGGGGAATCGCCCGCAACCCCAGCAAAATAGCAATCGTGAAGCCAGTCCACCATCGGCTCCTCCTGCTGGAGCCCGGCAAACCTCATATCATAGAGGCTAGGGGCTTCCGTCTGCGCGATGAGCTTTGCGCGCTCTTCCTGGCTGGTGGTGGCTTGGTACCGTTCAACAAACCCCGAGCGGACCAGAAGAATGTCACCGATTTTAATGTCGCCGCCCTGGGCCCAGGGCCGGATATCAATTCCCTGCGCCCTTCCACATTCGTGGAGGTCTTTGTAGGAAATCGCGTGGCCGCTGCATGGATCGTAGTTTATGCCCTTGGATTTGGCGTATCGGCGGTAATCCAGGAGGATGCCGCGGCCGGCAATGCCGTGGGTGGCCCAGTGATGGATACTGCATTTGTGGTTTGCATGGGGACCGACGATGTCTTGACCGGTGGTCTAATCTATTGTTCAGCTGGGATATAGTTACTACAGAAAGGGTAAGGAACACGATAGTTACAGGGACATACACCATTGTAAAACACCTTGGACGGCATATGCGCGAACTATACACCGGTCAAACACCCACCGTCAGGGTTACATATCGATGGAAGGGACAGGAAATAATACATGTCTGAACCCATCCCACTGCGTTGAACTCTGAGTGTTCAGGGTGTAAGTATCGTCGAAGATCACATCCTCGGTCAGACTTTTGATGGAATGGACAAAGTCCTCGCGATGAAATGTTGCTGGCTGTGGCATATTCAGGGGGAGGCTGTGCGAACAGCAAGTTCCGCATATTATTAGCCCAGTAACTAAGGAGTCTTGACCACTGTGATTCACGTACTTGAGAGGCACCACTTCTCCTGTCTTGATCTCAGAAGAAGCGTCACGCACTCTCCGTGGCGTCAAGAGATTCAATCGACCAAGCTTGAATATCAAGTCAACTCAATCCAACCGGCTTAGTTAGCTCCAAGCGGCAAACAGAACGAAGGCCATACATTGTCATCTTCCCCCCAGAACCAGGCAGCACCATCAGGGGCACCTTCAATCTTAGGTAGATCCTTTCGACGAGGAAAGGAGTCCGAATCCGGATTCCACGGAGCTGTCAGGGGAAGCTGTTGGTGGGAAGACATAATGAGGAGTAAACGGGCCAGGGAAAGTGACTTGCATAGATTCAGGACTTAGATATACACCCAAAACAAAACAGCAGATGGGTTCTTAATATACAGCACTTCAAGCAATCATCAACCCCGCCAATAACTAGACGCCGGGACCCCGCCGGGACCTCGTAAACCGAGGATACAACAGAATGAATCGAGGATGCATCAGGCCCCGCAATTGCGCTGTCATTGCATCCCGCATGGGCCAGATCACATCAGATGTACTTACCGTATCTCTCCAATCGTCGTCTTAAACTCTGCGCAGAGGATGGTGCATGTTCTGCAGAAGTTACAACCGAGCGTACCCGATAGATGTCATGAATCTATTCAACGACCTAGGTAGTGGTGGATTGTAGGGTGTGGAAAGGATTGGAGCGGATGAACGAGAGAAGCTGGTCTATAATATATTGCTGATACCCCCTTGGTGAAGTCTGCTGGGTGTAGCTATCACGCTCTAGAATATACAGCCACATACATATATCTATCTTCACTATACATGTGCTTCCGGCTCCATATCACTTCCTCCCTCGAAACCCTCGTCCATGGCGTCTGGGTTAAGATTGGCCACATCCGCCGCGATTCCATCCCTCTGGTTCTTGTCGTGCGAGATCGTCCGCCACCCCGATGGTTGCGCATCATCCTTAACATATTCAGACATGGGGAACTAAAAGAGTCAACACATCTGCAAATCCCCACACGGGGGAAATCAAAGACATACATAGTGGTCGTTTTTCTTCATAGTCACAACCCAGGGAACGTTGTCGAACGTCACGGCGCGGAGTCGGAAGTATGTGTTGTCCGGGATTTTGCTGACTTCCTCCACAAAGCGGTCGAGGGTAGGCGTTGGAACCCCGTTGACCGCCGTGATGAAGTTAGTGGGCGAGAGACCGTACTGATAGGCCGGGGATCCTCGGCTCTAGAAAATCATCAGTAACCCAATACACTTCCTCTTGAATACTCATGAAACATACCCGTGCGCTGACGTAGATCTCGCTGTGAAGCTTAGAGATCTGTTGCCGGACGGCGTGGTGCGGCTTCTGCAGTACCGCGCCACAGAAAACAACTGCCCGGTCGGTCTCTAGATCCTCTGTCGGCACTGTCGGCACTTGGATCCGCATTTCCTCCCCATTTCGGACAATAAGAGCCTCCAGAATCTCCTTTTCATACATAATATCCAACTCAGAGACACGAGTGATGAGCTGCCCGTCTAGGGTGAGGATAATATCACCCTCCTGGAAGTCGTCGGCCGTCGATGCGAACCCCGCTGGAGGACAGTCGACCTTGCGAACCATGAAGAGTTGGTGTCGGGACGGGTTAGCCTGGGTCACCTTCTGAATCCACTCCTCTGAGACCCCCATGATACGAGCCTGGCTCATCTGCACCACGTAGCTCTCCATGTTCAAAATGCGCAACTTGGGAATAACCCCCTGTTGAATCTTTGAAACAACTGGCAACAGTGCAGGCGTAGCGAATCCGAGATGATACTCAACATCCTTGTGTGAGTTGGGCGTACGTTCGCCGAGGTAGTTCAGCCACAACGCGTGTACAACGCCGTCTTCGCCAACGAGGACACCGTTCGAGCACTGGCCACTCAAACCCGTGTCCACTGTGACCGCATCCAAGTTGATCGCTCGATAGCGGGGCGCAGAAGTATTGGCCGGAATCGAGACCGTGGTAATGTCTGTCACCGCAGTCCTGGCCACCACAATACGGAAGTTCTGGTTGAAACCAACAAAAATCGTATCCTGCCCTTGTTTGATGTACTCGGAATTGAGCTTTGCGCTCTGAACTGGTGCCTGCACAAGGGTGGGGTCATATTGAACAATGCAGTAGTTTTGCAATGGATGAAGGAATATAACTTTGGCAGAAACGATAATCGAGTCAGCGACGGTGATGTTGATGTCACAGAGGTTGTACGGGACGATAGCACGCGAAACCACCACCAAACCTTTCTCTGCGTCGATTACCAACCCGAAGCCCGTCTTCTTGGCCTGTGGATATCCATCAAGCTTCAAAGGCATCGTGCAGGATACCCGGACGAAGCTGCGCACTATCTCAGCAGCAGCTGGCTGGGAGACTCCATCCAGCTGGATGAAGTCAGCCTTCCTCGGCACAGGAGGGACGGCTGCGACTGGGTCCGCAAGGTCAGAAAAGTCCCAGAGGCCAGTGTTGTCATTCCGAACTGCGAGTCGCATCTTGGGGTGCCAGTGTCGGTCGATGTAGACAATACTAGTACCTCGGGTGTGGAGGTCACGAATATGACGATATGAAATCACAACTCTAGAGCGATCGGGGATCGTCCTCATCACCTCGACAAACTCGTCCAGATCGCGGGTCTTCCGCTTGTTGACCGAATCAATCAACCATCCTGATAGGGTGTTCTCGAGTTTGAAGGAGCCGGCTGCTTCGCACACGTAAACACCCTTGGTGGCAATGGCATAGAGGCGGGCCTGCTGGTAGGACAGATTATGAAATGTTCCACCAGCCACTGTGACAAAGCGATCGGGCGTGATGGCATGCAGGTCGCCAACCTGGCACTCGATCTCCACATTCTGACCGCCTCTCTGCACCAGCAGTCTCACGGTCTGGCCAACATTGGAATCCAGAATGTCATCCAAGCGGATAAACTGCGTGAGGAGCTCTCCGTTCACCTGCAAGAGCACGTCTCCTTCCTGAAGCTTTCCATCGGCGGGTCCCTCGGGCAAAATGATTTCAGCGACCAGCATACTAGTCTCGCTGGGGGCAGCCTTGCGGACTGCGGCCTCCCACTCAGGAGTCAAACCCAAACGGCGACACTCATCGAAGGGTTTCAGAATCCACTGGGTCTGGATAGTACCTCTGGTGACAGGTTCCCCCCTGCGAATGCATTCCAGCGCACGCAGTGGGCGATCCAGGGGGAGGAAGTAATCGGTTGCAGCCCCGTCTGCACGACCACCGGCCTGCAGAGCAATGGCATGACCATCAATATTGACTACAGGACTACCAGAGCTTCCACCGCTCGCTGCGGCCGCAGCTTGGATGTAATTCGTGTTAAAATCACTATAACCTTCACCATACTCAGGAGCGTTCCTATCAAGTCGACTGATGACACCGGACAAGATGCTCAATTTTTCTCCTGCATCATTACCCACAACCCGAATCTCTGAGCCCACACGAGCTGCGTCTGGGTGAAGCTTAAGCTCCGTCAGTTTCATGTAGCGGATCGCGTTAGGATCGAATTTTAGGATACCGAAATCGTGGACGGGGTCTCGATACACAGGGCGAACATCGCACTATAGATAACCCCCCTTCCTGTCAGCCATCAATAATCATCTCCAGCTCTACTACTGGATTGTGCTTCACTTCACACTTACCTCTTCGTGGTTATCAAAGATACAGTACCCCCAAAACGGGCCCGGACAGACAACATGCCGATTTGTTAGGATATATCCACGCTCCGCATCCACCACAAAACCCGTAGCCTGACTACTCATAGAGAGCTCCGTATCGAACGAACAAGTCTGACAAAAATGGATAGACACAACACTCTTGACAACTTCCTCAATCGTCGCCTGCCACTCCGGCGAATCAGCCTGTGTAGGCCCGATGGCCATCAACGGACTGGAATCCTCCTGATCCTCAACATCGTAGACAGTTCCGTTGGCTGGCGTGGTGTCTCCAGGTGTTAACGCAGTGTTCTCAGGTTTGAGGTGTTTCACCGGCCGCTCAGCGGGAGCGGCGATCGAGCTGCGTTTGCGTTTTGCGCCTGCTTCCCCATTCATGTCCATGTTATCGGCGCGGGAGACCCCACGAAAGATCGGAGAAGTAAACTGCGAATGTCCTCGCGAATAGATCGACCGGGCGGGCGTGCGACTGGTGAGGCTGAAAGCGGGTACTCCTGTGGCGGCTAATGACCACTGCACCAGTGTCGGGGTTAGTCGTCGCCAATGCGCCAACGGAGCTCGACTCCTACCCAAGGTAGTAGTTCGCAAGGAGCCTCGAGTAAGGGAAGGTGCGCGTGATACGGCAGGGGGCAGAGACGGAGGTAACGCGCTGGTAACAGGAGGAGGAGTGGTAGAAGCGGCAGCAGAGGCAGAATTCGTAGCGACAGACAGGCTCCTTCTGTAAGCTAGGAGCCAGCAAGACATTCACAGAGCCCCAGCAGAGACAGAGACAACGAAGAAGAAGAGGAGAAGGAGAGAGAGAAGAAAAGCAAAAGCAAAAGCAAAAGGACAAAGGACAAAGGAGGGGGGAAGGGCTGAGGGAGAAAAGAAAAAGTCAGGCAAGGCCAAAAGATGAGCCAGGCTGCTGGGCGGAGAGGCTCCGGATACGTCCGCATTGATTGGGCCATCGCCCTCCTTCCGTCTGCAATTACGATCTATGTATCCCAAGCAAGTATATGCCACTGAGGTTTTAGATGATCCATGATATTCTATCTTTTTTTGGTTTTCTACATATAAATAGGGATCTAATATACAAAATACCGTCGCAATCCACGTCCAGGCTCCATCGGCGCCTATTTACACAAACGGGCTGCGCTATGTCCCCATACACTGATATCGCGCCCTTACGGAGCTCTCCCCTTCCGTGTCTCTCAGTGTGCAATGGCTTCTCCTGGAACCACTCTTCCATCTGAGGGGGGTTATCCAAATCTGTCCCTTTTCCCCTGTAAAACCCAAAACGGAAGAGGTGGCTGGAGTAGTACAGAGCCCGCCTCCATCCGGACTGGTTAATTTTGGGCTGTTTCTTCCGACCTTCCTCAGAGAGACCCCGAGTCGAACACCCACGATCAGGAGATGACAACAACAGTGAATGTTGCAGGACGGTGATCAAAACCTAGGTGGAGAAAGTTATCCACTCGTTTCGCAGGATGACCCGGTTTGGTCGGATACCCCTATTTTATTCCGATCCGTGTGCGCAACCTAGGTGGGACAATGCTAAGCTGGCCCCCCTTTCCATTGTACCAGGGCTTTCAAACAACACTTTCGCCAGCGGGAGATGGGCTAGGACCACCATTTCCTTGCGAGCCTTGCGGGCTAGGTTGAGATGTATTCGCAGCTCCCTGGGCTGCACGGGGGAACAACTCGTTCAGCTTGGTGTAAAGCTCGTTGATAGCGGGCATGTTAGGAGGCGGCGTCATATATGCGGGTGCTGTGGGAACCACGCCTCCGGCCTTTTTCGGTCTATCTGCCACATGCGCCAAGTACGCGAGGTTAGCCTGCAAGCGGCGCATGCAAGCTACGTACTCTGGACTCCTCTGAGTGGTTTTATCCGAGACTAGGTCGGAGGCCGGTGACGGATGAGACTCTTGTGAGGCTTGCGGGACCGGAGGCCCGCCTGCCTTTCCTGCCGACTGAAGGTTGATGACCTCCTGTAGCAACAGGGAGTTTATATCTAGAAGCACCGAAACGCGATCCTTCTCACGTGCGGCTGCCGCCGGGGATTGGACGGCCTGAACAGGGGTATGTGACGCTGGCTGCTGGATAGGAGGCTTGTGTTGTGCGGGAACCATATTCTTAGCCGATACAGAGGCCATATTCTGGGGTACTGCTTGTACTGTCGTCGTTGGGATGTTCGAGGTTGAGGTCGTTGGTTGGGGGAAAACACTAGGTGGCTGGGCAAAGGGCGTAGCAAAGTTGGCGTGGGGTCCTGCGAGGCGGGAAGCTCACACACCGGTTAGCCACTTGTTCTTGCTCCCAATATGATATTAAAGTAGGTACCCCAGGTGAATACTAGGGAATGTGTAGTCCGAATGTCATCGGCCAGGGCCAATTAATGCCTGGGGAGAATGTCTCGAGACGCTGGTAGAGCTGGGAAAGTGGTAGCAATATTTGTCTGACATCTCGCGCCAGAACTTGAGCGGAGAGGAAGATTGCCAGAAAGAAAGTAGCGGCACAGTTGCACCAGCAGAAGCTAGAGAAGCCACCACAAAATACAAAGAAGAAAGAAAGGCAATAAGACAGAGTATCTAAAAGTACGTACCAGTTGACTGCTGGGGAAAGCCTGACGGCATCATAGCTCCACCAGGACCACCAGCTTGCAATGGGACAGCACCGAAAGAATGTTGAGACGGTGCGTTCGACTGGGGAAAGGAAGGCATCTGATTCGGATAGTAGGGAAACTGCTGCGGATTATTCTGGGAGGGGACAGGATAACCCGTGTTAGGCTGCATTGCTGGATAGCCGGGCGCGTTGGGGTCCATGATCATTTCTTGTTCAGGAGTCTTGGAAGCGCAATATTAATGGAGGTCCAATGGTCGGGCCCGTAACCAAAGCCAACAGGACGGCCAGACGCGAAACAATAATCGGTAAATAGTGAATAATAATAATGATATTAATAATAAATAATGGAATAAAACCAATCGACAAGAGCGATTATCCTTGATTCCTTTGGACTTGGTCAAAACCGGCGCGATTTCCCGCACAGACAGTCAAATAATATGGGAGAGTAGGGGCACAATCTCTGAGACGGCGAGTCTCAGGTAACGTCGACGGGCCGTTGGAGAGGATGATGGCGCGGTGAACCTTTTGCGTCGCTGGTCCCCCAGGTTTTTTTTTTTTTTTTTTTTTTTGTTTCTTAGCTTTTCCCTATTGATTCTGGAAAAATCTGAGAAAAAGAAAAGGCAAGACTAGCGAGATTCAGACGCGGATGATTGGCCAGCGGAAATATTGCATTTGATAGAGAAAGGGGGAACCGGGAAGAGGGAATATGAAATTATGAATTCAGGATTGAGAGCACGATCGACTGAAAGACTCGGAACAAAAGAGACCAAATCCAGCGAGATCAGCCTTGGGGCGGACAGACTAATGCAGCGAACTTGCCTGGGCAGTGGAGAGGACGATTGATGGATGGATGGATAGGCGGACGGACTGAATTAAAGGTGGACCACTGGAATGAAAGGAACCATGCTATTGGGGAAGAAATATTGCACTGGGGCTAGACCAGCGGACTAGAAGACTGTGGGTGAGATGATATATGATGAAGAGGACGACGATCTTTGGATAACAATAAGAGAAGATGAAGGAAAGAGTGGAAGAGATGGAAAGAGAGGAAGATGGAGCGAAATCGAAGTCACGATGTGTTGGCCACCGGAGGGAAGGGTATTATGGTGTTACGTCTGATTACCTGTATTAATTACCTGTATTTTATACCCTCTGCCGTATGATCCGCAAAGAGATCGTCTGCGCGTCAAGTATTTTTGTACCTGTTCTGTAGCAAACATACCAAGACCACCAGTCGCCTCCTCTTCCACCTCCTATCCACGGAGGCCTTCATATCAACTACGAGAGCCCAACCTTCCTCCTCATGTCCCAATTACATCGACAAAAGATGCACACAACCCAGGCACTGCCTAGACCTGATCCTTCAGTTATCAATTCATCCTTTACCTATTCCCCAACCAGCCCCTGGTTCAACGCGGGCATATTGGACAATGCTCCCCAGCTTTGGCCAAGCAGAGGTACCGCTTCGATTAGATTCTGGACGAACGTCGAACGCACTTAATCAGGCATCCTAGTCAGGATCTACCGGATCTACCTTGCAGATCGCTCAGGTATTCTGGGGATACAAAAAGCAACGAACAAAAGATGACAGAGAAACACTAACTCCAGAGGTCGGGAGCCTCGCAACCTCAGTATTGAAGCCGTTGCCATTCCATAAGAAGGAACATGCCAGTTGGGTGATAAAAGAGAGACCCTTCCCTTCGTCTTTATTATTTTTTTTCTCTCGAAGTTTTTGGTATTCATATGTGAACAGTGGGCTGTGCAGAAGCAATGAGAACGGTGCAGGGTGTTCTTGGTACAACTGGCTACTATCTGCTGTATGATATGTACATCACTGGAGAGTCAGACCCATGATGGTGGCGCTGAAACAGTACTATGTACTATGTAGTCGCTGCGATCCATCGTGAGGCTGATCAGCCACCGAAATTATTCAGAACTGACATATATGGTCTTAGAGCGGTATTGAAAGATTCCGTCGGTCACCAATCGAGAACTCGTCAGCCCCGATACAAACGGCCATATTGGTTTTGAATCAGATGGAAGCATAATCGGTTAATGAATCGTGTTCGCAATTGACCGCCAGATAAATGGCTATCGGGTGATCTGCACCCTCAGGAAACCACCCCCGCCGATAGTTTCGCAGGATAGTGCTGTTGACGCCACCTTAAAGTGTCTATTTATTTCAAATCCCCAACCCATCAAGTGACAATAGATCCTTGACAGCAGTACCCACTCAGCCTTAGATAGCTGAGTGAAACGGAGCTAGCCCGTGAGACGCGATGTGGAAAATCAACCACAAATGATAGGAATGACGAGTCATATATTCTACGGGTGGAGCGATGTTCGCCTGTTCATACATCCAACGCCGACACATCAGACATTCGACACCTGCAATCCAGGTACTGGGTTATCTACTTCTAACCTAGTTAATGTTTTCCCCGGCGAATAAGATGTCGCTAAGTTATCGTGATGTTGTTCAGTCTCTGGATTCGGAAATCCCCAAAGGCTCAGCTCTTTCATTATGAAAAATGACCACCAGAGCGACTTGATAGGCCTGGTGTGGTGTACCGATCCCTGCTTCATGCCCCACAGCAATCTATTTCTTGCATTTGAACCAGAGGCCATCGTTTACCTCTACAACAAATATCCCTAACAAATTCCAAAGGCCGTCAAAAGATGGGAGGGGAAGTATTTAAGCGCGGGTACAAAGGGATACAAGCGTATCCGGGGGTTGTAAATGTCGTAACGCAATGACCAGATGTCTCTACCTTTGATTATAGCTCCCACATGATGGTCTTCATTTCCTTCCATTCCATTTGGGCCATGGACGATGCTTTTTACAGACCCATTCACTCGGGACGGCTGTCAGCATCTGCCTAGACTATTGGCTGCTCGAAATCTAGACCCCGGCAATTGATATTCATTGACAGCCTGACACCTAGCCATGTGGATAGCTGGACTAGTGGAAACGTTGAGTTGTTCGTCCAGAAGCAATAGCCTGAAGCCAAGCCAGCGCTTCACGCCACAGGTTCGTCAATGTTGTCCGGTGCCAATCATCTGCTTGCATCGTATTTGCCCCCCGATGGCTACTTCGACTAATGCATTAAAGGATATACATGCATGGACTGCTCTCCGGCTCCCTCTACCATTCATCCAATCCTTCTAACAAGCATTATGCTCCTCTGGGAATTGGAGAAACTCCCACCTACGTCAGTGTGTTGCATTTCTGGTAGAACACGTAGAAGAGGTAGCATTGGGTTTGTTTTCTGTTTATTTCGGTTCTCTGAATCGACGATAATAATTATACCTTTGGTATTTTCATTCTTCTTTCCTCAAACGGCTTTGTTCGAGTTGGAACTAACTTCCGTCAGTGACCAGTAGTCCGCGCTTGACAGCCGATGCATCAGGTAAGGGATATTTCCAGCAAGCGACAAAATTCGGTAAAACGAAAATAAGCAGGAACGCGAATTGAAAATATACGAGAAATCGACTGTGGTTGAGAAGAGGATTATCCCTGTTTCCCTGGCAATTCTCGAGCATCATACTCAAACCTCTGGGCGGGACCCGAAAGATTCTGGAGCTATCTCTTGTACCTAAGCAGGGCCAGGCTGATACATTCCCATTTGTTTCTTACCAACATTCTTTAGGGAACAATGGCACTCAACCCAAAGGAGGCACAGTCAAAGAGCTGGATAATTGGACAATATTGCCACCATTGGCGTCTCACAGTGCATAATGGCCAAGCAAGACGCCCCTCTGGAGTCCAAAAGCAAACCTCTTTCACCCTCCCCCCGCTGTGTGTGTGTTGAATAACCCGCATGTACGGAGCTGCTGGGATCGAAATACGATTCAATGCCCCACCCATATTAATTTCGGGAGTTGATCACTGAATCTTTTTGGAAAAATAGAACGATGCAGAGGGACATTAGCCTCGACGCCCAATGCATTCAAGCGGATGGAGACCCGGTCATATGTTGTGCCACCTAAAGCCACGCACATTAGTGACACAACCTTTGGGCTGATCAATAGGTTCTACTGTCGTTCATGTTGGACTTCTTCGTTGACGGTGTAGAGCCTCGGGTTTCTAGCTTGAGTTACATTTCCAGCCGATGCGTGTCCGACTTGGTTCTATTACTTTTTTTGGTTCAAGATGTTTTGCTGGTGCTAACTTGGTGCCCAGCCCACTCCGAATATTAAACATGGCCTTCCAATCGGCGCTATTTGATACATATATAACTACATCCTGATAGACAGAAGGACAGATTGATTAGTGGATCCCAAGGAAGAAAAAAAAAAAAAAAAAAAAACCAAAACCAAAACAAAGCAAAGCAAAGCAATTTTTAGTTCTGGCATTTGAGTAATTCTGGCATTTCCGCGCCTTTAAGAGAGATGTCTCCTGACCGTAAGTATCCTCCTCAGTTTTCTGTACCTTGATTGGTATCAGGAGAATTTACGAATAACCTAAAAGAAAATACATGGGGAAGGGCCTGGGTTAACGGTGTTCTTGTTTCAGACGATCCTCAGTCACCATCATCCATCCTTGCGAGTCAACCGGCATCTATATACTCCCCATCTATGGTATGGAACAAAGGAAATCAACCTGTAATATAGAATGAACGAACGAAACTGACAATATTTCTTCTAGTCTCACACTCCGATATCAATGGATGCGCCGCTGGACAGCTTAGCGTACCTGCATTTCGCCTTGCTCTATATCGACGAAACTGGGAAACTACGATTCGAAGCTTCTCCCTCGATTGCGAATAACTGTCAGACGATTCTGTCACCAGATGTAACGGACTCTTTTCTACGAGCGGTGGCATTGTCCAACAAAGGAGATACAACCAAGCTTCTTGGTGCGAAAAACCTTCTTACCAACCTTGTTCTAGTAATAACTAATCGGATTAGAATCTTCCGAGGGCAAGTTCGAAGACTCAAGGGGGAGGAGTCCACTCTCGCCAGAATCACCGGACGCTCCGGGTATCAGCCGTAGAGGCTCGATGTATGTAGTCCTTCCTTCCCGGTAGCAGCGAGCTGGGGTATACCGGAAGCTCACACACACGCAATCCAGTTTCCAACATACAGACAGCCAGCAGTCAAAACGAAAACGGGTTTCCCACGAATGCGTGGTACCCATGAGCATAACATGCCATCCGAAGACTATGCTCCCTATTCGGAACCAAAGCCTACTCCGACGATACTATGAGAAAGCTTTCGAGAGCCTGCAACAGATCAACTGCCGCATTTTAGCCAAAGCCTATATCAAGCTCGTTGAGCCTCGGAAACAAGTCAACTACCCTTATAATGGCCGCAAAATCATCTCAGGCTCTTCTCAGCAATTCGATCCCGAGATGACGAAGCCTGCCTGGTGGCCTACAGGCGTTACTCACCGCGAACCAGATCACCTACTGAAAGCTGGTGAGTCTAGCCAACCTCCATTCCCCACAGCTTGTAATATTTTTTTAACCACTTCCAACAGAGAGAATCCGTCTTCTTGTACACATTCTCTGTGAGCTTCGCGAGAGCCACGCAATCTGTGTCGAGAAATTGAAAGAAGCCGATCAATCCATCCGCCGACAAATTTCCCCTGTCGAGCGTCTCCAGGTTCTTGATGAGATCTACCGTGTGCGTGAGGAAGAGGAAAGCTACCTCGATGGCAGAACAGGTTAGTCCACTTATTTCCTCCCCAGCTAGAATTTCACTCACGCGTCCTTCCCCCCAACGCAGATGGCCAGGCTGTTGTCTGTATCTCTCGCGTTCACCTCCCAGACATGACAGATGCCCAAGCATCTCTTTGCTCCCCAACTGGCTCAATGCTGAGATCGGACTCCATGTATCGCAAAGAGATTCCCGACCTAGAATCTCACACCTCAGTTTTCCCATCCTCTGGCAGCTCCCCTACCAGCGACATCCACACAACCCGGAAAGCACATTCGTCCCAGTCGCCCTCAGCTGCAGCCTGGGATGCGTGCGCTCCAGCCAACGCATTACCGCCTATAAATAGCGTCAGCAAGCGACCCACACCGGATACTGCCACTCCATACACGCTTGACCTCACCACTTCCGCCCTTTTCCCACACCAAGAACCCAGCACACCTCTAGATGGACAATCCTTTACCCTGAAATACTACACAGATCCGCACCTGGCTGCTCACCACCCGCTCCAGCCGGGTGTACAGGGACACTCACAGTCCCAAGCCTCCATGCCTGTCATGGGTCTATCAGGCGCCGATCTGGGTTGTACAAATCCTTACTATTTTAATTATTAGCGGTTCCTTTCTCCCTCCATTTTTCTTCTTCACCTTCCTATCCTTCTCCTCGGGGCTGTGCTTCGGACGTGTTTGAGTATCGTTGAGAACCAGGTTCAAGCACGTCAGCCATGGAATTTACTGTACTTACTATTTCCTCTCCTTTGATTTCCTTTGTCTTTGTCTGCTTTCGGGTTCACTCCAAGGAGTCCTGGTGTACATCTAACTAATACAGCTAATGGGAAAGGGGGTGGCAGGCGTCCAAGATAGACAACTTTTACTGCTTCATGTGTGGTACATGGCAAGAGTACCTTATCTAGCGATATGTACAAAGATACCTAGTCTCATAATAAACATCTTATTGTCTACTTCCACTGTAAATCTTTTTCTTTCTCCTTGCGTAGTTCTAATCATTTATGCTTGTATACATGGAGGAACTCACGTCCTCTTAGACAAAAGACGACAGCCCAGTAAAGTAATAGATGATGACCCTACCGATTAGTTACTCCAGCTCCAGCTTTGTACCCAATTTTCTAGATTTTAATCATGAAAGATCATTTCTTAAAACAGTCTGCCAGTTTAGTCTTTCCTAATGCGGTAAATCCCGATAACATCCGGCAATCCGATTTTGTGGTTAGCGTCATTCGACCCAAATAATTAGTTAGTTACAGGCAGAGTGAATAGTTAGTTAACCATTTAGTAACGACGTTGCTTCAGGTGGGGAAACGGTCTTAAAGGGAATCAGGATGAGATTTATTTCCGATAGTTATCGTAATGTAATGGGTTCCGGTTTAGTTTATTTGGGTGGGTGGATGGATTGCTGTTGCTTATATATGTATATATATAGAGCTAGGAAGCCCTAACTAACCACTCACTAGTACTATAGCTGCGGCGGAGAGAAAGACCATGCGTGTTGTATCTATTCAAGCGCTATGACTCGGAGTAGATTCATCTGAAAAGGAACACAGCCTTTTCCGGGTGCGTTGGTGTTGGTAACGGATCTCCCTTGGTTGAGATCTTGTATCCTATGTATATAATAGGGCCCTATCTAGACAACCTCTTAGATCTATAACGGATGGGTATTAGCGGTGAATCGGACTTAAGTATACATACATAATAATTAAATAATCAGCCTCATCTAGGAGAATAAAAAGGTTGTCAGCCGTCGTGCTCATGATTTTCTCCTTCCCCGGACTCCTCCACTGTGGTGCAACATTTCAGAATCTTGTCCAGCAATTTATATACCTCGTTAAGCACTTCCTTGGACTGTATTCCCCGAATTGCATCCAGATTCCCATGTTTCACCATGTGGAATTTCCGGCTCCCAACGCAGGTGGCCACTCTCTACCCGACACAACCCACACCAACGGCCCGAAAACGAGATTTCGACCACGCACTCACAAGGCCTGCGATAGATGTCGGCAGATGAAAATAAAATGCGATGGCGTTGTGCCATGCGGACACTGTACCCGTTTTTTTTACGGTTGGTTTTGCTCTCTCGTCTTCCCTCGTTCTGGGTACGTACCTGGGCCGGTGCTGATGTGACAAGATGACTGCGCGTATTCCGAGTCCAGGCGGAAAAGGAGGAGAGCTTCATCGCCCGCAAGAGATTTTCACCACCTAGAAAGACGCATTCGAGCTGTGGAGGAATCTTGTCAGAGACTTGCGGATGCAAGCACTCCGTCTACCATTTCTCCTGGAACCCCTTCGCAATCTGCGAGGCTTCTTCCTTCCAATGCGCCCAATGACATGGTTGCAGCTACGGAGCCCGATCTAGATACTGCAGACCGCAGTATCGAAAGCCGCCCAAATCAGGGGGAAGCCCGGTTTGTGAGATCATCAGCAGACTACGGGTTTGTGGAACGTTTGAAAGCGGAGCTGGGCGACTGGCCTGGCACCGACTACAAACACAGGCTGAAAATCCTCGAGCAACCAACTCCCTCTCTGTTCACCGGTCCAGGCGCATCCATTGGCTCAGCTCCACTTCCACCGCTCACAAGAGCAGAGCAGCTGGTGAACCTGGCTCTAGACGCGCATACCCTGTACCAAGTGGTCCACCGGCAGAGGTTCAATTGGTTTTTCCGCTTGTTATTCTCCCTGAACCGGCAGGATTACAGCGAAGAGGAAAAGAGGCATATTCCGCTGGTCTATGCCCTCATGGCTCTTGGATGTCTGCAGGAGAAACGAAACGATCTCACAGACAATCCGGAAAGCCCGATGATGATGGTGGAGGGGTACTCAGCAATCTAATGACCTGTTGAAAAAAGAATGCATGGGCTAACGAGAATAGAACGAAATATTTCGAAACCTGCCGCAGCCTGGTCGACCTCATGGGTTGCGACGATCTGATCACGCTGCAAACCATCTTTTACCTGAACCTGTTCCTCTTGAGTACAGCCCGAATCGGACCGTGCTATACATCCCTCAATCATGCTTTGACTATAGCTTTTCGTATGAATCTGCACCAGACTCGCGAGGGCGATAGTCCATGCACGACGGAGGTCCGAGCAAGGTTGTTTTGGTCGATTAAGCACCTTCTGACTATGGTGTGCGCAATGTCTGGCCTTCCCAAACCCATTGCCGATGATGAGTGTGATCTTCCTTTCCCTCGTGGTATGGATGATTCCGGTCCGGAAACGGTCCCAGTGCTGGCACAACCTCCAGCGAATGGACCCCCAGGGCACCTCTCCTTTTTGAAGCTGCATCGTATCCTGGGCCGCGTTGTAAGAAGACTGTATCCGTTGAATGGAACCAAAAACACCCGTGAAGGCGGTGCAAGGAGTCATTTGGTTAGCACCGAAACAATTGCGGCGCTCGAGGCAGAGCTGCAATCGTGGACAGAGTCTTTACCCAATGATTGCCGGTTAGGCCAACAGAAGCATGCCCTCTACCTCGAAAGGTTGGCTCATATCTTTACTGGATCCCCGCAATACCCTGGCTAAAAGGTCAAATAGATCCAAGTACGAGCTATGCATGACCTTTTGCCATGTTCAGATATTTTTATATCGCCCATTCCTTCACTACTTGGTCCCAAAGAGTAACGGGCATAGCCACACAGGCCAGGAGTTTCAAAAATACGCGTCTGCATGTATTCACGCGAGCCGCAACATCATCCGTCTTGCAGAGGACATGGATCGCAACGGTCTTCTCTTTGGGTCGCAGTGGAGACTAGTACATATGCTGGCCACCTCCTCGATATCCCTACTCTACGTTGTTCTGGGATGCAAGACATCTCCGCTTGCACAAAAGGTTCTTTGCGACTTGAATATAGCCAAGGGGTTGTTGACTCGTCTTCGTCCCTATCTCGTTCTAGCGCATCGCGCGCATGTTGCGTTAACAGTAACCCCCCCCTGCCCTACGAGAAGATACGAGAATCGTGCCCAACTCACGTATACAGATACTAACGTCGATCTTTTTCAATCCCTCTCCATCCGCACAGGGCCAGAGTCCCCAAGTGGATGATGGGTTGTTCGAGCACCGTACCCCGGAAAAGCCTGACAACGCATATACTGCCACAATAGCCGAAACCGCTCTCAGCATCTCCTCCCGCCGACTCCAGAATCTGGCCCTGTATGCTGTACCTCCGACAGAGGGTGGGGATTCCCATTCCACAGAGACAGCCCGTTCGACTACCACCACAGTCGTCGCTAGATCGGAAGCAGAAGCATCCACCAGCCGAACCGCAGCACCCCAGATTGACCGGGTATCCTCATTGCCATTACGCACCGACGGCTCCTCCCATTTTGATTCAAGGTTTCTCTCTTCCCAGGATAATCACATAATACCATCCTCCTCCTCCTTACCTACTGTCGCCCTGATCCAAGACCAACTCAACCCTCTTCCCGGAAACGAAGCATTCCCCGCGGACCTCCCATTTAGCGACAATACCTGCTGCTTCTTGGAAGCTCGGCCCTTTACCCTCTTGCAGAATACAGATACAAGCAATGAAGACTTTTTGCAACTGCTAGGGTGCGAGGGGGCGGATTGGGACGGAATCACAGACACCTTCCCTAGACTTGGGGGGGTGTTCTAGAGAGATTATTTTATATATATATATATATACATCCACATTCCATTCTTCAACCCTTGATATAGATCTTTTTTTTTTTTTTTGAAAATTACTCTGACTGGCAGTATCCAGGAATTATAATTACAATTACAAGTACAAGTAGTTAGATCTCCCGTGGGCAATGGCCTCAACCCCAATAATGCGTAGACGTATACCATCCATATAGCCAAGTGTTTGGTCTGACCATTCTCAAGAGCTAAGATACATGGGGGTTATTCGTGAGAGCCCTAAGACCCCCTGGAACCATCGTCACCCACGTAAGGTGGATAGGACTCTTGGGTTTTGATTTGATCACTGGTGTATACAATATGGGAGACGTTAATAGCATCTATTCCCCTTTGTTGGATTAAATGGACCGCATTGACCCATAATGTTGTTGTTGTGTCTTCTAACCCTAACCCTATGGGAACAAGCAGTTACCACCGGGTTGAGCAATGTTGGCTGATTTATTTCTATTCGTAATAGCAACAGCAAAGATTCTGTACCGACCCGGTGTGGCCTCGATCGGTAGGCTATCATTCATAATCTCATGATCGGTTCAGGTCTGCATCGCCACACTGTAAATAATGCGAATCTCGATCTCATCTACATAAACAGAGTAGATGGGGTCTGGATTCGTCATGGGATCTGATGCAGAGTCTCCGAACGTTTCTTCCTTTCGGCAGAGACGCCGTACAGAGTAGTAGGTAGTCGTTCCCTTACTCCGGACTCCCCCGTGGGTCGTAGATGCCGGCATCCACTATCTGGAACCAAGCAAGGTATTTCTCACTCAGCCAGTTTTGCGCGCTTTGATGGCTGCAATGAACTCTGCACTCTTGGCGGTCGGCACCACGTAGATGCGGACCATCTCGTCGACCACTTCGACCTTGCCTCCGCTCAGAATCTGCAACAGCGGCAGCTTCTTGCCTGCCTTGATCAGACCCCCGGTGTTGGTCTCCATGAAGCAGTCCACGCCTGCGATCGTATACTCCTTCCTCGTATCCCATGGCAACGGGAAGATGTACTCAAGGTGGTCCGTGATCGAAGACATTTCAGAGAAGCCCTTGATGAAATCCGACTGCGCATCCATCGGGTACAGCAGCACTGTGGGGAATTCAAGGGTGCTTTCAGGCGACAGAGGGTCCGGGGTCAGACGGATGCCCGCGTCCTCCATCTCGGGTGGCTGGTTGGTCTTGCGTGTTCTGATCTGCCTGGCCTTCAGCGCAGTGTCCAGTAATAGCTTCTCCTTGCGTTCTCTTTCCCCCTCGGCCTTCTTCTTCGCCGCAATACGTTCCAGGACAGTCTTGCGCTCGGCAATCTTCGACGCAACAATCTGCAATGGCTTATTCTCCGGTTCAAGCGCCAACCCACGTGCCGCTGCATCCTCCGCTTCGGGAATCCTATCGAGCGCAAACAACGCCATCGAGGAACGGTAATACGCCTTGACATTCCGAGGATTCAACTTGATCACCTCAGCACAATCAAGTGTTGTAGACCGGTAATTTTCTGCTTTTATTAGCCCAGCCTTTCTCATTCCCAACGTTCAAGACCCCCCTCCCCCCCCAAAAAAAAGAGAAAGAAACATACTCAGTTCCAAATTGCACAGAGCACGATTGATATATGAAGCCACCTCGGCCTCCCGAAGAAGCTTCTTCTCCTCCTTGAGATCCTCAGGCTTATCCCACTTATCCTCCTTGGACTTGATAACCGCAATACTCTTCGTGTAGAACTCCTTTGCGTCGATCCACCGCTTCTCCTTCGCCCGCTCGTTACCCTGTTCTCGGAAATTCTGCGCCACCTCGCCGCGGGTACCTTCATTCTGGAGCGCGCGCAAGGCATCTAGAAGGACATTTTCGCCATCTAGCGCAATAATCATCAGCATCTTTCCCTAGCCCGCCACACACACACACACTCTCTCTCTCTCTGTCTCTCTCTGTCTCCTCCAATAATATCACACATAAAATAGAAAAGTTGAAGACTCACTCTCATCTCCGGCCTTGCTAATATCCGTCATGAACAACGGAGTCTTGTTCAGAATATCCGCCAATTCGTCCGTCGTATGCGAGTCTACGGCCGCCATCGCCGGGGGCATCTTCGGCGCCGTAGGGTCCTTTTCCATCTCCTTGAGTCGTTCCGCATTGCCGGGGATGGGGAGCGCCTCGGGGGGTGCCAAGTTCGGAGGCGGGGCGTTGAGATCGAGAGACTCGTCAAAGTCGTCGGGGAGTTCTTCTATGCGCGCCATGGTTCGTTTTTTTTTTTTTTTCCGGTTTAAAAAAAAAGGCCAACAGGAGGGAATTATGCCGTTGGGTATGATTTTGATTTCTTCGTCGTTCGTCGCTCGCGAACATTTTTGAGACAAACAGGGCAAACAGGAGGGGGAGGGGTGATAGGGCTAGCCCTATCTTTGTCCGAAAGAGGAACAGGATACATAAAGAAAGGGAGGAGGAGCGTAATGTCTCAGTTCTATGGTGGTTGATGGTTTCTTTCTTTAATTGAACAAAGGAAAGATGGAGATAGAGATGGAAATGGAAATGGAAATGTGCAGAAGAGTTTGCTGCCTACTGTAGTGTAACAGAAGTGACCACCAGTATAGATACAGAGAGATATATATATATATATCTATCTATACGCAGACATTCATACCCCCAATAATACTTCAACATCTCTGAGAGTATTGATCCATCTTACAGAGCATATTTCTCTCTCATTCTTCATCTTCAATACACCCCGTCCTGATCATGCACTCATCAGCTTCATTGGAAAATATCCACACTCTCTCCCCCGCCGCCAAAACCGCCTTGATGCAATCGCTCGCCCACGAGATGACCAGTACCTTCATCGCCATCTCCAAGGAAATCCAACGCGGCACTCTCACTCCCCACAACACAGTCCCTCTGCACCAGGTCATCCGCACCATAACCCACACCACGGCAGCCGCGCACCGCAAACTCGAGCGGAAACTGACGGCATACGAACGGCGGGCAAAACGGTGGCGGGCCGAGCGCCGGTGGATACGGCAAGAATTTGCGCAAGTGGTGTGGCGGTCGAAAATGGTGCACTTGCGGTGGAAGACGCGGGTCGAAAGGCACTTGAAGTGGAAACAGTGTTTAAACTGGGGGAGGGAGGAGTTTTGGTGACGAATCAAGATGAGAGAGCATCACAAGTAGAATGGGTCCTCCGCAAAGGGTCCAAAGGCAGGTTCATCATTTCATGGGGTCTGGTGGTGGTCCATGATTCGGATTGTCCAGAACTAAGAAATTCAAATAGAATCTTGTCTTTTTCTCATTTCTTGATGCTGTTGTTGTTGTTGTTGTTGTTGCTGCTGGAGTGTGTGTAAATCGTGAGAAACCTCGGCTTTTCCCTTTTCGACCTGCCGAGGCCCCCTTCGACTTTTGCTTTGAATCGCGCATGTGTGTTGCCTTTCCCCCCCATAATTTACGAAGGTATCTTCTGGTCTCCTTTTCTTTTCTTTCTTCTGCTTTAGTTCTCTCGAGTGGCTTTCAGTTAGCTTCATTCATTGCATTTTCTCATGTCCAAACTCGGGGATTATGACGCCGTCCGCCGTGACATCGTCGCCCAATTGAAGAAACCCGACTACGACGACGGCAGCGCAGGCCCAGTCTTCGTCCGACTAGCATGGTGCGTTCTTCCCTTCTCTTCTTATTCCTCATACCTTGGATACCACAGACTGACTGGAGAAACCAATGAAGGCACTCAGCCGGCACCTATGATGCTCAAAGCGACACAGGCGGCTCCAATGGCGCCGGTATGCGCTACGAAGCCGAAGGTGGCGACCCAGCCAACGCAGGCCTGCAATATGGACGCGCCTTCCTTGAGCCCGTCAAAGAGAACCACCCCTGGATCACATATAGCGATCTGTGGACGTTAGCCGGGGTCGTGGCCATCGAGGAGATGGGCGGTCCCAAGGTCGAATGGAAGCCCGGTCGTACGGATCTCGTGGACGACTCCAAGGTGCCCCCGCGTGGCCGGTTACCCGATGCAGCCCAGGGCGCTGATCATCTGCGCTTGATCTTCCACCGCATGGGGTTCAATGACCAGGAGATCGTGGCGCTCGCGGGTGGCCATAATCTGGGCCGGTGCCACGGTGACCGCAGCGGGTTCCAGGGTCCCTGGGTGAACAACCCCACGCGATTCTCGAACCAGTTCTTCAAGTTGCTGTTGAATCTGGAGTGGGAGCCCAAGACGTTGGAGAACGGGATGAGCCAGTTTGTGCATGAGGATCCGGATCTCGCGGATGGCGACGACGACGACGAGGAGGAGCCGCTCATGATGCTGCCCACGGATATTGCGTTGCGGGATGATCCTGCGTTTCGTCCCTGGGTAGAAAAGTACGCCAACGACAAGGACCTATTTTTTGACCATTTTGCCAAGGTGTTTGCCAAGTTGATTGAACTGGGGATTCGCCGTGATGCAAATGACAATATCCTCAACACAGATAACGTCAAGGGCGGGTATGTCTCTGCACCGAAGAAGAGTAATGTGGCCACTGGACCGTCCCGTGCTCGGCTATAGATTTTGGCGTCTTTATTTCCCTTTTTTTTTTTTTGAGAGACTTCTTGTGTTTGTGTATAGAGATTTTGTTATGTCCTGTTTTTGCTCTGTGAATTAGATTAGATTAGACCTTAGAGACGTTATGTAGAACAAGACTAGATGGAAGTAGGAATATACCACTTCGATTTTCTTTTCTTTTTTTCCCTTTAACAAAAAAGACCCTAAGACTCTGGTGAGAACCCGGTGGCTGCAGCATTTATATAATAACTTCCACGGTCATACTGATGTCTGGGGTTGGGCTTCCTCCGGTATTGGCTTTCATTATGGAATTCTTTTTGAACGGGTATTCAAGGACAGATTGATTTTGTAATTCACTGTTCTTTGTACACAATTATAACACATCTATATACTAGGTATGTACCCAACCATGACCCCCCCCCCCCCCCAAAGCAGATCTAAACAGATATACGCACCGGGGTATAACGCTAACAACATCAAAAACATGTAGAAAGACTCCGAAAAAGAAAGAGAGAAAAAAAAAAAAAGATCAGAAAAGGGAGAAGGATCACTTGCGTGTTCCCTTTCGTTGGCTGGGCTTCGTCACCCGCGAGATTGCCGACGAATTTCGCGTACTTTGCGTGGTGCGACGTACTGGCCCACCCGCTCGTGAAGTGCTTGCCCCTGAACGCCCTGCCCCTGAAGGTCCTGCTCCTGTATCGCCTACTCCAGAGTCGTCCTGATCGTCACTGCTACTATCATCCACCTCTATCACTCGCTGCAACGGCGGTGACTGTGGTGGCTGTGGTGGCGGTTGTAGGGAAGTGGTTTGTCCGGCTTGCGTTAACAAATATGTCTGCGGCGAGCTTCCGTGCGTCGTAGTAACAGTGATCGACCCCCCATTCCCCCCTGGTGGTGGTTGTTGCGGTTGTTGCTGATACGAGATTTGCAGCATGTCAGACCCTGAAGACGAAGAGGGGGTGTTGAAAAATTGTTCAAGATCGCCGGTTACCGTGGCCTGCTCCAAGTCCCCCGGGTTAACTATAGACCCCGTTGAAGCATCGTTGTTAGTGGTCGGAGCAGCAGCCACACTCCGTTTCCATCCCGGATGCGCGACTGAAGTTGAACCCATGAGCGCGCCACTAGATGTCATGACAGCTGTTCCAGGAGGGGTCGCGAACCAAATCTGCTGCGGCTGGTCATGCGAGACAACCCCCGCTCCTGTACCCTGTGTAGGCGGTGTTGGGGTCCGGGGCTGGACAGAAGCGCTAGTAGCTCCTTGGGTAGTGGCAGGAACTACCTGGACTGTGGTAGCAACAGTGCCAGCTGCGGGCGGCGCCTGGGCAAAGGTCCCAGTAACCGGTGCGAAATTTCCTGGTGGTGGTACGAAGTAAAAGCCTTGGGGCTGCAAGTTTAACCCTTGAAAACCGCCCGTGGAAAGCCCCGAAGGGCTCCTTATTCCCAATGTAGGGGTTGCAGTAGTCTGCGTAGCGGTCGTCGAAGTAGTCGCAGTCGACGTGGTGTCTGCAGGTACTTGAGCAGTTCTACCTGTCAATGGTTGCGTCGTGAAGACTGGAACCCCAGGGGCCAGGCTAGCAAGGACACCTGTCGGGCTGCTTCCTACCGACGGCAGAGGTGGATAGGGTGGGTCTGTCGAAGCGAACTGCGTAGTTTGCGGCTGTTGGCCGACTGGTGCTTGGTTGAAGGTGGTTGTAGTGCCCGTTGCCGTTCTTACAGTCACCACGCGGTCCCGGTTGTGAGTAGGGTTGTAAACATTCTGGGACAAATGAAAGCGTTGAGAATCCGAGGGCAGGGTGTGGCGTTGTGGCCATGGATAATTGCCGATAGACCTAGAGGCGTGAGGCGTGGACCAAACATAGCGATGCTGCCTTAGGATTAATTTATGTTCTTCATCTAGCTTCTTCATCTGGCCCACTGCTTGCAGGGCCATGCCGATAATGTCCGAGGATGGATTCGTCACTCGTTCGTATATCAAGAGAGGGATCGACCTGTTCACCCACCAATCGTCAGGCACTCGGTCATTTTGACTGGCCGGTGGAATACCTCCCACAATGAGTCCCATATTCGCCGGCTCGTACATACGAATCGTTCGTCGTTCCTCCTCTCCCCGCTCGGTGTCGGTCCAAAAGAGGCGATGTTCATTGTTGTCGCCACGGTAAATACCACCCAGCCAGCGATAGGTTACAGTCTTATCCACAAGGTCGGTATTTCGATATTTAAAGGTAACATCATTGGTGTGGTTCCAGATAGAGACACTGTCATGGAGCTTCACCACCATTCGCAAGGGAACCTCCGAGAAGTACCGCCGAAAATGTGTGCCGTTGTGCTGGCCACATAAAGAACAGTCCCTGGACTGCCGATCCTCGAAGGCACGCTCAAGTAAGTCTTGCATGGTTACCCCGTGTTGGTCCGTGTCTCGGAATGAAGGTTGGACAAAGTAGGTATTGAAATACCCAGTAGTATCAGCGCCAATGGTACATTGGCAAGGGCTAACCTGTTCTTCGAAAGAAATCCTAAATTGCTGGAGGTTTTCACTAACCGCGCCCCAAATGAATCTTGCGGCATAATGGGCGTTCTCGGAAAATCCAGGGACGGCAGCAGCCAACAAGGTTCGAAATTGGTGTTTCAATTGGTATCCAGATTCCGCGCTACACAAATCCCAGTTTACATCGGTAAGCTCAATAAAAGATTGCTCGACTGGGTGAAGTTTCATTTCCCATCCAGGATCTTCCCGGTCAATATTTGTTGACCCAGCGTCTAGAAGTTTGCCTGCCGTGATCAGGCAGTCCACTGCAGAGGAATTACCCTGTAAAACCGGGCCCCGGCCTCTAATGGGGTAGTACTGGCCATCTGAGTCCAGACGCATCCTGGCATAGAACGCTTCCGGGGTGAGTCGTACATGAGAAGCCGCCGGGAATGACCCGATTGTTGCCTTGAATATATCGGCCGCACTTGTGGCGATTATGTGGCGAGGAGCATGCATCGGCGCAGACCTGGGATGACGCTCAAGATCCTTGTATGCGAACCGCATGACAGTTCGCTCTACCGCCTCAATCACTTCCCTAGCGACGTCTTCAGGCAGATTGGGAAAGTTGACAAAATCTGGGTTACATCGGGAAGGAGCCTGAGCCGGGGGAAGAGGTGTAGCTGAAATGCCATCCAGGACGGCAGCATCAGAAACCGATGGTGTATTTGGAATAGCAATATCATCATCGTCGTCGATACTCATCGCAGTAGCGATGCCGGTGAGTCCCGCATCGTTGTTGTTGTTGTTGTTGACCGCCGGGGTTGGTTTTACCGCGGACGAGAAGAGAAACTGTTCTAGGTATAAATCCGGCCACTCTGACTTGGCGTGGCTGGGCCTGATATAGCCAGGTTCGAGATTCTTGAGTATGTCCGGAAGATCAGGGTAAAACCGACTAACAGGCAGAATTTCATTGAACCGAAAATGCTTCCAATCGAGGAGTCGAGGACCAGCATCTCGGGTGAAGTCTAGGAGTTCGCTGAATGTCGCTGGTCGGTGTTGGTTTGCGTGGTAGTAAAATAACTTCCAAAGACCTTTGAGCATAACCGGATTGGTGACTCGCGTTGGAAATCCATGGTCGATTCCCCAGAAATGAAATTCAACTAGCTTCGTAATGTCTGTCTTCCGCAGTCTACGAGTGCGGATTATACTTTCAGATGTCTCTCCAAGGAACTTGTAATCCTGAGGAGGATCAGGCAAAACATCCAGTATGAAGTTGGCAACAGGACTTGGAGGATTCGGATATTGGACCATCCACCAGGATTCCTGTTTCTTGGCCATTTTGTAAGCGAAAAACTATTAGATTCATGTAAAAGAAAAGTAAGGTTGTGGCCCGGGAGCTGAAATGTAGGGAAACCGCCAATGAATAAATGTACAAGGCGGCCTCGCCTTAAGGCTCGTTGCGTCGAGTCCCAATCACCATAAATAGGTTGACACAGAATCGAACAGAGCAGAAAAATAAGGAGATCTCTATGTTCAAAGACCATGTCCCACATCTAATGACAGGTCTAGTTCTTTCATCAACGTGAAAAGCCACTGCGCACTAACCATAGTATCGGGACTCCCTTTTGCTTTGTGCAAGGACCATCCGTACTTGGTGATGGTTGTGTTGATTGATTGGAGAATACTCCTGAACAAAGCGCGCAAATTGCATGTCTACTAAGTTAGATTCTTTATATCAAAGAGGCCTCTTTGGTCTGGAAGACTGTGTCAAGAATTGAAGAAGCTATTTTAAGAAACGCGTTAGCAGCCATTCCTAAACACTGTCAAGCCATTCAACAGTAAATCTAGGTGGTTTCTGATCAAAGAAATTGCCCGAAATGAGGGCTCCTCCCTGGTCTCCATTGTCTTCAAGGTCTATACGGAGCCAATTGTATCTCGAGGCGAGACACCGAACAAAGAAGTAAGTATCGAGTCCGTATCGGCAGCAAAACATCGAGTCTGCCTAGCAGGTAAGCCGTTTGGCAATGCACCGATGAACGACGGCTCAGGGTACCCGGTAACGTCTGGCCTCCTTCGAGAAGCAACCGTGGAACCTGCTTGGATGATGAAGAGTGAAGAGTGAAGGAGAAGGAGTCACTCACTGTTCAAGGTAAATGTGAATGTGAATGCGAATGCACACATCTCCAAAAAGGGAAAGTGTCTTAGTCATCAGGGATAGGGCGCACGTGCAGTCATCTGACCAACGAGTCACCTGACCACTAACCTATTTCGATTAGCGCCAGAACAAGCGAGCCCTGGAGTGGGCCAGACCTAATATGGCTAGATCGATACTTACGCGATCCCACAACGGGCGAGCAAAGTTGAAGCGCTGGCGAAGCCCTCGACTTCACTCCTCTTCACACCTCTCGCTGTCGACAACCCATCGCGATCCCGTTCGCGCCATCGCCCATCATGTGTACGTTCTATGCCTTTTCCTAAGCCATCTGGAGTCTATCCGTGTGGCTTTCGGTGTTCTGTCTGTGTTCTGGATGGGGGAGATTTGAGGAAGGAAGTTGGGACATGAGACCGTCGAAATGTCATACGGATAAGAAGAAGAAGAAGAAGAAGAAGAAGAAGAAGAAACAAAACAATACAAAAAGAACTCTACGAAGGAATGGAAATGGCTGACTTGGATTGTTTCAAATTTACAGCGCTCGTGTCCGGCGAGAAGACGAACTTCCAGTACATCTTGCGTCTGCTCAACACCAATGTTGACGGCAAGCAGAAGATCATGTACGCCTTGACCCAGATCAAGGGTGTTGGTCGCCGTTACTCCAACTTGGTCTGCAAGAAGGCCGATGTTGACCTCAACAAGCGGTACGTGGTTTTTTTTTTTTTTTTTTTTTTTTTTTTTTCTCTTCTCCTTTTGCAAAAGAGACATTGTAATTGACATGAGGGATTTTCCATCTACAGTGCCGGTGAACTCACCACCGAAGAGCTCGAGCGTGTCGTCACCATCCTCCAGAACCCCACCCAGTACAAGATCCCCTCGTGGTTCCTCAACAGACAGCGCGACATCACCGATGGCAAGGACTCCCAGGTTCTGTCCAACGCTCTCGACAGCAAGTACCGTGAGGATCTCGAGCGCCTGAAGAAGATCCGCTCCCACCGTGGTCTTCGTCACTACTGGGGTCTCCGTGTCCGTGGACAGCACACCAAGACCACCGGTCGCCGTGGCCGCACCGTCGGTGTCAGCAAGAAGAAGGGCTAAGTCATACGGTTTATCGTTGTTTGCTTTCATTCCTTTCTGCTTGCTGGAGTGGATCGAGCGGTCAGGGATGCGAAGGTTTTTCTTGTGTATGTTGGTTGGTGTGTTTTAACGAATACCTATAGTGGGACCAGGTGTTGATCATTAAAAAAGGCAGCACGGGGTCCATAAAATGAAAAAGAACCATACCAATATGAAATCAAAAAAATTAAGTCAAATTTCATGAGGCCTTTGGCGTAGATGGCATTCTCGACTTGCCTTCCGATCATTCAAGGCGATTCCAACCCGTGGGACAAGAGTGTCTACGCTACAGATACACGTTCCAGATACCCAAGAGAATTTCTCTATGAAACCTGTCTAGTTATGCACTAAATCCGGGACTATGTATGCACTCCGAGCGAATCCAGAGCAATGGAAACTATAATAACCGGTCATTGGCAAGGCAATTCGCAAAACTATCGTAAACCAAAAAAAAAAAAAAAAGAAAAGAAAATCATGTTCCAGCGTATGCTCTAGCGAGAAGCAAGATGATATATTATCAACCATCCGTGTTACACATTTAAAACCATTCGCCTCCCAACCAGCGGTTGAAGAACTCCAGAGAAGATTCGGGCTGGTCCATGGGAACCATGTGGCCACCACCGAAGATACGCATGAAGGTAAAGTTACCGTGGCTCTTCAGTTCGCCAATCTTCTTGCCCTTGTGCTCGTTGTCGACAATCGCGAGGTCCTCCATAGGAGCGGCAGCAAACTCAGTGTGGCCGGGCCACTCCAGAGCCTCAGCCCAAGCCTTGTTACCAAGCCAGTTGCAAATGTAATCAGCATCACCCGCATAAATCAAGACAGGGATCTGCTCCAGAATGCCAGGAACGAGACGGTGGTAGGGCTTCATCCAGTCACCGTGGAAGAGGAAGTTCCGGTTAATGTCAAAGTTGCAAGAGTCATAGCCATCGACCTCAGCACCCACAGCCTCACGAACTGCAGCCTCGTTTAGGTAGTCGCTAACATAACCCATGCCCTTGTAGCAGAGGTTGTTAGAGTCCTCACACTTGCCGCGAACATCATAAACGTTCTGTCCAGTACGTTGGTAGGGGCCAATGAGGGCGTTGTTACAGTAAATAGAGGCAGGGACGCAGATCCAGGTGCTTTCGCTGTTGTAGCAGGACTCGATCATGGACTGGCACCGGGGAAGAGCGTTGTCCATGGCACGGCAGCTGCTCTCATCCAGGACAGCGGGATAACCACCGTCACCACAGGCCATGGGGCGGTAGTATTCGTACTGAGTGAGGCCATCCGTGAGGCCGTTGCCAATGAGGACGGACTTCAGGTTAATGTTACGCTTCTTGTGGGAAAGAATCTCCGAGGCAAAGACGGGGATGTAGTGGCCAGCATAAGACTCGCCGGCAATATGAAAGTCCTGCTTCGCATATTCAGGGAACTGCTTAAAGAACAGGGTGAGCAAGGCATAAACATCCTTGCCAGCAGCAACAGTATCGCTAACAGCAGAGCCACTGTAGGAGTAGCCAACGTTGACAGGCTGGTCTAGGAAGATAACGGAAGCGTTAGAGTTCCATGAGAACTCGTTGTAGACGGGCTTGATGTTCTTATCGATACTGCTGGGGCCGAGCTCCATGAAGAGACCAGTAAGGGAAGAGCAGCCAGGGCCACCGTTCAGCCACAGAACAACAGGGTCGTTCTTGGGGTCATTACGAGATTCAAAGAACCCTGCAAAGTCAGAACTTCGTATTCATCAAAATTGGGGGAACTTTGTTTTTTTTATCGGGTAGACTTACAGTAGAAAAGATGCTTGTCATTCTCGTTATCATCAAGATAACCGGTGAGTTGCTTCACGCCGGGGTCGATACCCAAGACGCTTGGGTCGGTCTTCTTGACCCTCAGATCATAAGAATCCAGCTTTCCCTCGATCTCTCGCTCTTTCTCACCGCCGGCGCCAGTCACCCAGACACTCTGGACATCAGAGCCACGAATAATGTGGTCCCAGTGGGAGTCAGGACGACGGGTGTGCTTCTTAGGCAGGGAGAAGAGGGGATTATGATCCATAGAGTTGGGAAAGGCATTTGCCGCCTCCTCCCAAAGCGCACGAGCCTCATCCGAGAGCGTTTTGAGCTGTTCTTCAAAGGCTTCAAGGGGCTTGCTCAGCTTGGGCATGTTGTGCTGCAGAGTGTCCTGCAGGTTGCTACCGAAGTCCTTGAGTCCACCCAAGACCTGCTGGGCAGGACCAGCCGCAGCGGCCGCTCCAACGAGCAAGGTCGCTGGCAAAACTCTCATTGTGGTCTAAATATATCGATGTGAAGGGAAAGGGAAGAAAGGAGATGGGTACCTGGGGAGAGAGCCTATCAGCAATGGGGTCTATCAAGGGAAGAATGATGAAAAGCTGGAGATGGAGATGGAGGGGGAAGGAGGTACATACAGTTAGGAGATAGAGAACCCAGAAAGAAGCAACTGATGAAGCAGTTACTTACGGACGAGGGAGCAGGGAGATAAGAAGAGACGAAGGTCGTGAAGGAGGTGACGAGGCGGTGGGCGGCCTGAGGTATCCAATGACGACGATAGGAGGTAGCAGAAAGCGGAGGGCAGCCAATCAGAGCGGGATTTCCATTTCGGGCTGTCAGGTGATGTTATTCCTAGTTAGGAAATAGCCTCCAGTACCCGCCTCTCCGTAGTCAATGACATGACCAGGTTTATTCCACTCGATTTCTGACTTTCCCAGTAAATTTCCACTGGGATACTTTAAGTATGTTTGGAATGGGGTCCTTCCAAAGATGAACGAACGATGCCGCTGAAGCAGAGCAACCATAGCAACTTAAGACGATTGTAGATTCGATTGATTTTAGGCTTGTGCTGTAGCTTAGTGATTGATTCCGGCTTTACTATCTCCCGATACCTACCGGATAAACATCAATCCGCGGCGTTGCCAAGTCACGGGACTGACTCGATTGCTGAGTCATCAAGACACGTGCGCCCCACCAGGAAAATACCGCCGGCCAATCAGCAGCGAGCACCCCACTTGGGCTCATCCATCCGACACTGACGTCGATGTCAACATTTTCCACATTCTAATAAGTGAAGCAGGAGGCTCGCTCGCAGCAAAAATGCCCATCAACCAGCCTTCCAACCAGATCAAATTTACGAATGTGTCGATAGTGAAGCTGAAAAAGGGTATGTTTTTCTTTCTTTCCCGCTGTCCAACGCAAGCAAGCAAGCAAGCAACCGAATTCACACGTGAGAAACAAATCCAGGCAAGAAACGATTCGAACTCGCCTGCTACAAAAACAAACTCCTCGAGTACCGGTCGGGCGCGGAGAAAGACCTGGACAATGTGCTGCAAGTGCCGACGATTTTCCTGTCCGTGTCCAAGGCGCAGACGGCGCCAGCGGCGGAGCTAAGCAAGGCGTTTGGCGGGGACACGCCGGCGGATGCCATCCGGGAGGAGATTCTGCGCAAGGGCGAGGTGCAGGTTGGGGAGCGCGAGCGGAAGGAGATCGCGGAGCGCGTGGAGAGGGAAGTGCTGGATATTGTGTCCGGGCGGTTGGTGGACCCGACGACGAAGCGGGTGTATACGTCTGGGATGATTTCGAAGGCGCTGGACCAGTTGACGGCGGCGAGTGGGCAGGTACAGCAGCAGCAGCAGCAGCAGCAGCAGAATAGTGCGGCGGAGGCGGTGGAAGGCGAGGTCGAGGAGAGGGAGGCCGCGCTGAGAAAGCCCGTGTGGACGGGGGTGAATGCGAGCAAGTCGGCCAAGAGTCAAGCGCTCGAGGCTATGAAGGCGTTGATTGCGTGGCAGCCGATTCCGGTGATGCGGGCGCGCATGCGGCTGCGCGTGACGTGTCCCGTGTCGATGCTGAAACAAAGCGTCAAGACGGGCGGCGGGGCGAATAAGGATAAAGAGTCGCTGCCGGGGGGGGGTGGTGGTGGTGGTGGTGGTGGTTCCAAGGCGAAGAAGGGAGCGAAGGGAGGCAAGAAGGCGGCTCGACAGCAGGATTCGGATGGGTCGTCCGATGCAGAGGGATCCCCTGCGCCGGCCAAGGGGCCGAGCACCGTCAAGGATAAGATCCTCAGTTATATCGAATCGGTCGAGTCACAGGAAGTGGTTGGGAGCGATGAGTGGGAGGTGGTCGGGTTCGCTGAGCCCGGCGCCTACAAGGGATTGAACGAGTTTGTAGGCAACGAGACCCGCGGGCGAGGCCGAGTAGAGGTTCTTGATATGACGGTTACTCACGATGAGTAGACGGTATGTTATGAATGAGTGGGGAGAGATCTTGGAACGGTCATGATTGACGATAGTATATATCCTAGTCGGATGCAATGGAAATAAAGGTACGAACGTCGTCTTATCTATTATATGCATAGATATCTGGAACAAATTGTATCATCAGGAGAAAAGAGCCAGCCCACCAACCAACACAAGGTATCAAAGAGATTGCACCGAGCCATACATGAAGCAGAAGAAGAAGAAGAAGAAGAAGAAGAAAAAAGCTAACCAGACACAAGCAAGACAACATTTCTACCCGGGCCCAACTCCCTCGCCAATCTGATAGTCTCCAAAACCGCATGTCCCGTTGCCAAACCAGGCACAATGCCCTCCTGCTCACAGAGCAGTCTCAACCCCCGCACAGCCTCCTCACTGGACGCCGTCACGGTCTCCAAGCGATCGATATCCTTCCAATGGGCCAGCTCCGGCCCGGCACAGGGGAAGTTCAAATCCGGCGCGATAGAACGCGACGGGAGGATCTGGCCGTCCTCATCCTGCAGCATCAGCGTCCGACAGCCGTACATCACACCCAGGGAGCCATGCGTTAGAGGTGCGGCGTCGGCCGGTTCCACGCCCACCAGGCGCACGGCGGGGTCATCGATAAACGGCGCAAACATGCCGAGGGCAGCGGCGCCGGACCCGACAGCGGAAACCAGGGCGTCGGGGCCCCTCTGTGGTGATGGTCGTTGTTGTTGTTGTTGTTGTTGTTGTTGTTGTTGTTGTTGTTGTTGTTGTCGTCGTCCCCCCCCCGTCAAGCTGGACATATGCGCTTTGATCTCCTCCCCCAGGAGCGCCTGGAAGGTGCGAGTGATGGTGGGCATCGGATGCGGGCCCACCGTGCCGCTGAGGATATGGTAGGCGGAATCCAAGCGCGAGAGCGAATACTGGAGCGCCGAGTTCATGGCCGCCCGAAGCGTGCCACCACCAGCAGCAACGCCCGTCCCCGCGGTGAGGACCTGCGCGCCGAGTTGCTTCACTTTCGCCACGGCGTCCGGTTGCGCCGCGAGATCCGCGGCGCCCATTACAATCGTGCATTGGAGGTTGAGGCGCGCGCACATGGTGGCGCAGACCAGCGCGTGGCCCGCGAAGCCGCACTCCATGATGATTTCGGATTTGTGGAGGCGCTGCGCGAACAGGACCTGGCCGACAATGGTGCGGGTTTGGGCGCTGGCAAAGGCGTTGAGGTCTTCGCGTTTGAGCCAGATGTTGGCGCCGCCGCCCGCGAGCTGGGTGAGGTTGCGGGCCAGGTGCAGCGGGCTCGGGCGTGCGAGCGGGCAGTCGGCGAAGTCGGTCCAGAAGGAGTCGTCGACGGTGAGCGTGTGGTGGAAGATGCTGGGGAGGCTGAGGAGGATGTCCATTTGGAGCTCCGGGGCGAATTGGCCGCCGAATTGGCCGAAGCGGGTCGGGCAGTCGGCGGCTGGGATGGAGAGCTGGGATCTGGGCCTGGCTGGGGTGTTCTGGAGGTGGCGGAGGTCGGAGATGTTGAGGTTTAGTAGGTATGTCTCTTCAGCGACGCGGAAGGGGTGGTTGTCGTTCTTGTTCCGGCGCCATCGCTTTGTATACGGCGGTCTGGAATGGAGGGTGGTTGACTTGACAGATACAAGCATTGTATTGTGATGTCGATGCAGATGCGTACAGCCGTCTCAACAAAACCGCACGGATAAAAGCTGGCTTAAATACTTTCTTCCTTCAACAAGTCTCCCCGACAAGGTCCGAATGATTCTTCGCATACTCTCCAGTGAATCACCGAATCATTCACGTATGCAGTCGCCACCTAACGTGAACACCAACTGTCCAATAATGCCAAGTTTAGTACGGTACTTTGATCTCGGTACAGTGTGTACTCTGCATGAGGATCAGAAGGATCGCTAGACCCATCGAAGACGCAGTAGATTTCCCGCCATCGAACCTCCTACTGGACCCCAACCTGGTCAGCGAATCAACCCATCATAGGATACCTGCAGCCTGTAGATGGTATAGATGCTGCAGGATCCGCCGCACGTTCCCCCCGGCGAACCCAGAGACCTGGATACTTACTACTCGGTACTTATTCTTGCTGGGATTCCCTGGGACTCCCATGAACCCCCCCTTCCCCCCCCCCCCCCCGCTTTTGTTAGCGCTAGGGATGGTGATAGGTTCATCGAGAAGGAACATGTTGACGAGTTCTGGACTAGAGTACGGAACTCTGTAGATAGAACCGGTGTAGCAGTCTCGACTCGGGGGACAAGATCGGAAAACAACTAATATAGAGGAGGCGCGTAAGCAGAACGAGTGGCAGCAAAAGTACTATTACGTGCCAATCGACACACTAGTCACTTTGCTTTCATACGTTCCATAGGTTCTTTCTTATGGGAACAGATCCAGACACGAGTCAGTACTGGTACCTAGGTAATACTCGATGTAATACCGTAGTAGAAGTACAGGAAAGTCACCAAGGAGGTGACCTATAGTCCTATACAAACTACTACCGATCGATCGATCGATCGAGTCCCGGAAACCGGGAACTTGAACTCGTTACCTAGCCAAGTAGAATCGATAAAGACGCATCACCACTGGGTGGACAGAAAACTGTCTGATATGATTGTCATTCTCTAGTCACCAGATACAATACATAATGCCGTACCTCGTCGGAGGCAATTCTAGTCATCGAAAGAGAACAAAAAATTCTGGGAACGGGTATTCGCTCAGTCGCCATGCAAGATAAGAGAAAAAGAAAAAAGTCCAGGAGAAAAGTGGAAACATGAGTCGTATTGGGGGGGTGAGAATAATTCTGGACCACGAGGCCACGACCCAGGAATTCAGGGTGAACCAGTCTGCATATCGCAAATTGGAGGCCGGGAAGGATCCGCGGACATTCTCCCGCAAAAAAAGAAAAAAAGATTGCAAATGACTGGTCATCGGCCGTGTTCGCGGTGAAATCACGTGACATGAAACGAAGTCTTCACAGAAGAGGGTAATAATAGAAGTCTTTTTATCATCATCAAAAAAAAGAAAAAAAAGAAAAAGAAATATCGGGGTTTACGTATAGATCTGCACTGCGTTCAACGCTCGTGTAAGATCCTCGGGTGTGAAAGGCATCGGAGCACCCTTGACCGGGAGAGGCGGCGAGGAGACCGTGTGGATGATCGGGGACGAGGTGTGACGGACGGAGTTCTTGACGTTGATAATCAGATCGTCCTCGAGAGGATCCAGAAAGAGGGTCATGGTCGAGTCGCTAAAGCTTTCAGGGTCGACGGCGGTAATGGAGGACAGCGATCCTGTGGTTGTTCCCTGGCGATCGCGGGCAAACTCGTCGTGATAAATCGAGGCAGTGGCTACGTGGAGGGTTAGATCTGACACGGTCAATCAATCTACTCGAGGGGCACGGCACACATACCTCCGTCAGACAGGCCGGACACTAGCGACGGAGCCTGGTTCAGATAATCTGGAAGGGTGGCACACGGGGAGAGCGATAGATCAATGGAACGCGGACGATCGGCCTGGGCCTGCTGGAACGACCAAGCGGCTAATCGTCGCTGGTGTTCCTTGTCGAAAGGACCCTTGAACTTGGAGGGGGGGATCTCTCCGCGGCGGTAATATTCAATCTTAATTCCGGAGGTGGAGGCATTGGATTTGGGGTTGGCATCCCGACGGAAGACCTTGCGTACTTTTTCTCGAAAACTCATTGTGATCATCTGAGGGAGGGGAGGTGGTGGTGGGAGTCAGGAATGTCGACCCAGCAATCAATACGTCACCGCAGCGGCAAACCGGTCCCAGCTAGGGGATGGGCGCGACAGAGTGTGCAAGAGAGAGTAGGAAGACGTTAGGATCATGGCTTGGGGGAGTATTTTGTGGGAGGATAGAAGGGAGAGAGGGAGTTGAAGGAGAGAAGAAAAGAAAAGCAAAAAGAAGAGTCAAGTAAAGAAGTGGATGTAAGGAGAAGCCGGTGAAATGAGGAAATGCCGGTTTTCCGTTCTCCTACCAGAAAAGTGGTTATCTCCACTGGGTGATTGGGAATCAATCTGACTGTTACATTTGCATAATTCTATTATTATTATTTATTGCCTCTCGGGTTGGCCGGATCTGAAGTCCGGAAAGAGTTTAGGGTCTTGGGGTCTTGATCTGGGGTTGGAAGCCCTAACCCTGAAAAGTGATAACCCTAACCCTAACCTGAACAAGGAAACCCTGACAAGTGACGAACCCTAGGGCAACTCCATGATGTCATCGGCCTGATCGCCTGCAGTTCACGAAGCAGCAGCTCCCTAGGTGATTGCCTGCAAGAAATAAATCCAAGGCAATCATTTTCAACTGAGGAGAGAGAAGATCCCAGTTCACCGGAAACAGCAGAAAGAATCATAGGATGATGATGGACAACAACCTGCATGCAGAAGGGCCCCTTGAACCACCAACACGCGACATCCCATCCGGATTAACCTCTTCTCCCTGGGACTCGGGAACGCGCAAATCCCCTAACTTCCCTCCTTCATTCATTTCCTTTTTTTCTTCTTCTGCTTTTTTTTCTCTCTCAATTCTTTCTTGATCTTCTTCTCTCTCCATAACTCGCTAGTAAGTCTCTCTCTCTCATCTTCATCTTCATCCCCATCCCCATCGCCTGCGCCTGCGCCCATTCGTTAGCTCGTCGTGACGTGATCAGTTTCTTACCCTCGTGGCCAGCTCAATCGATCCATCATCATCATCATCATCATGGCGAAGAAAGGAGGAAAGAATAAGGGCAAGGGAAAGAAAACCGGTGGTGCCGCTGCCGCTGCCACTGCCAACATGCCCACCGAGGCCGTGAACCTTGCGTAAGTCTTCGTTCGTCCTCCACTCAGAAATTTTGTCGTTGCGTTGCGTCATCGCAACTTTTGGCGGGACTTGAAGGAAGCCAAAACTAACAGCCTCGGTGGATAGCGCCCCTACCCAACAGGTCGAGGAGACCATCGCAACGACGGAGGATAAGGTGGAAAGTATCCCTACCCCAGCGGTGGAGGCGGCTTCCTCTGTTGCGCCGGCGACTACTGTTGCCACCACTGCTGAGTCGGCCACCAAGGGCCCCGCGACTGCCCCGCCAAACTTCACGGAGGCCGCTTCGAACGCAGCCAAGATCGCGTTCCCCACGACCGAAGGACAGACTATCCAAGATGCTGTGGACAAGGCGCAAGCATCGAAGATGGGCCGGATTGGATCCCTCGAGGGTGAGGCCACTAATGGTATGGAAAAAAAAAAAAAAAAAAAAAAAAAAACTTATCGCGCTTGCTTAGCTCACCTACTGATTTTTACCTTACCTTGTGACAATAGTTCTGCCCGAGACGACGGTTAAGGAATCCACGTTGACCACTGGTACTGTCGAGTCTGGTGCTGCTACCTCCACCGCGCTGCCGGATCGATCCAAGGAGCTGGAGACCGCTGCGGAGGCCCACAAGCGACCTCATGAGAACGGACTCACTACCAAGGAGGAAGACCAGAAGCCTCCCAAGATTGCCAAGATGGACGATGTGCCGGCCGTGAAGACCGCTGCGCCGCCTGTTGCGGTGGGAAAGGAGAACGTCGCCACTGCACCTGTCGCTCCGGCTGGAACAACTCTCGTGCAGCCCCAGATGGTCCCCGGGCTTGGTGCGGATCCCACGGATCATACATCCAAGTCTCTTGAAGTGCCCGGTCTTTCCGACGTGAGCAGTAAGGATGCTGCGCCTGCGGCTTCTCCCGCCTCGAAACAGCCCCAGGCGGTTGAGGCGGTTGCGGACGCAGCGGAGAAGAAGCTTGCCCCGGTGGAAACCCAGGCGAAGGAGGAGACTGTGAGCAAGCCGGTGGCTGCCGCATCTGGCATTGCTGCTACAGGCGCTGCCGCGACTGTCGGCGCCTCGACCATTGACACTGCAAAGGAGGAGACTGCTGGCAAGCCTGTGGCTGCCGCATCTGGCATTGCTGCTACAGGCGCTGCCGCGACTGTCGGCGCCACGACTATTGACACTGCGAAGGAGATGCCGGCTGTGACCAAGCCCTCCGCTGAAGCTCCTGTCACGGGCCCCACCTTGACGTCAACCCTCGAGCCCGTCAAGGAGAAGGTAACTGACGTGAAAGAGAAAGCAAAGGAAGCTGTTAAAGGCCCTGAAACCCCCCCTGTCGCAGCGGCGCCTTCCGCGGCAGCGACTGGCGTGACTGGCCTTGACACGAGCAAGGCCACCTCGACGGTGGATGCCGCCAAGGAGCAGGCTAAGGAAGTCACCCCCCCTGAGCAGGCTCATACGGCACCGGCCGTGAGCCAACCCGGGACTGCAACCACCGCACCCACGGGCACCGCTGAACCCATTGGCATGCCGTCCAGCATCTATCCTCAGGCCGAGAAAGCCAAAGAGGTGGCACAGGAGGCCCAACCGACCAATCCAGTCGCGTCGCCAGCCGCCCAAGCCGCCCGCGCAGCCCACGAGGCCCAGACCGGAACTGATAGTACCCCTGCCGCCCAACCCGAAGAGGGCAAGACTGTTCCCGACCAGGCCCAGGATGTTGCGGGTAAGGAAGCAGCCAAGATCGAGAAGCGCAAGAGTGGTGGTGGCTTCTGGGGATGGGTCAAGCGTAAGGTTAAGGGAGCCTGATTGAGTGATTTTGAATTCTTTTCTTTTTCTTTTTCTTAATTCGCTCTGATTTAACCGAGCGAATACCGTTGTTGTTGTTGTTTTTTTTTTTTTTTTTTTTCTTTTCCTCGGGAGGGGGTTTGGCGGACTGACCCCCCGCATGGCTGATACCCGATCACCATTTGGTTGGACCAGACCCGGATGATGATAAAAGACTGATTCTATGAGGGATGCAGACTGTATGATATGACAACGGCTGGATTCTGGATGGGGAATCCCACGGCGGTTGGGCAGGCTTTGTTTGGATTAATCGTTTATTTTTTTTTTCGTTCTCTTTTCTTGTATTCGTAGAAGAGTCGAAGAGTAGAATCGTAATCGAGTACCTCACCGCTATATCAGATCGGATCGTCGACCATGCCCACTACATAATTTTCCCCTCTCTCCCTCTCTCTTCTCTATCGATCCTCTCAGAGATGATGCCGGATTCCCGGTTGCACCCAGCACCTCTCTTCCCTGAATCCACGGGGATCGACGGAACTCGGTCTGTTTCACCTCCCTACCACTACGATGGAAGACTAACTCATGCGGATAGTATGTGGATAATCCCGCTAAGCTTTCTCTAAGCTTTCGTGGTTGTTGTCTCGTCCTCTGTTCGATCATTCGTCGTCCCAGGAGGCAATGAGCCATATTCCCTGGTTGGATGTACGGTGTCGGAGCTAGCGTTTCCCCCCTCTCCCTCCCGTTTTGGTCCGAACGTATGATACCGCAGGGGAAAAGCCCACCAGGGAGACGATGACGATTGACCATCGGTAGACCGGTCAACTAGAGGAGGGGTGATGCAGTCAGGGGAGATGGATGGTGATCGTGGAGGAGGGAGTATTTGATCCTCTCGTGCCCTCCTCATCTCTCTCTTCCTCTTTTTCTTTTTCTTTCTTCTACTGTCGTTCCTGGTGAAATTGACATCTCATCTTATTGTTTTGTTTTTTTTTTTTGACTCCTTATCCTTCGATTGTTGTTTGTAATTGACTATACTGCCACCATGGTTCATCTCGCTACTATCACCAAGGACTCCGAGTTCGAACCCTCCCTCGTCAAGCGCGTGGATTCCATCAAGCTCGAAACCTGTGAGGAAGATGGCTTCTATTCCACCGTGTACGGAACGCGGTTTGCGACTGAACAGCTCCCAAGCATGGAAATGCCCGAGCAGGAGATGCCCCGGGAGGTCGCCTACCGTATGATCAAGGACGAGCTGAGCTTGGACGGTAACCCGATGCTCAAGTAGGTTTTTTTTTTTTTTTTTTTTTCTTTTTCTTCCGAAATTACATTGTCTCGGGGCGCTAATTGGGTTAGTTTGGCGAGTTTCGTGACCACCTACATGGTATGACTTGGATTGATTTTTGCGTCGTCTGATCTTGTTGTAGCCTCCACTCACTCCCCACAGGAAGAGGAAGCAGAGAAGCTCATGAGCGAGTCCTTCAGCAAAAACTTCATCGATTATGAAGAGTACCCACAGTCCGCCGAGATCCAGAACCGATGTGTAAACATGATTGCCCGTCTCTTCAATGCCCCCACCAAGAGTGAGGAGGAGCACCCCATGGGCACCTCCACCGTCGGATCCTCCGAGGCTATCATGCTGGGTACCTTGGCAATGAAGAGACGGTGGCAGAACAGGCGCAAGGCCGAGGGTAAGGACTACTCCAGGCCCAACATCGTCATGAACAGTGCCGTCCAGGTCTGCTGGGAAAAGGCCGCCCGCTACTTCGATGTCGAGGAGCGTTACGTCTATTGTACCGAGGACCGCTATGTGATTGACCCCGCGCAGGCGGTGGATCTCGTGGACGAGAACACCATCGGTATCTGTGCGATTCTGGGCACCACCTACACGGGCGAGTATGAGGACGTGAAAGCGATCAACGACCTCCTGGTCGAGCGAGGCATTGACTGCCCCATCCACGTCGACGCGGCCTCTGGGGGCTTCGTCGCCCCCTTCATCCACCCGACTCTCCAGTGGGACTTCCGCCTGGAGAAGGTCGTCTCCATCAACGTGTCCGGCCACAAGTACGGTCTCGTCTACCCCGGGGTCGGCTGGGTCGTCTGGCGGTCCCCGGAATACCTGCCCAAGGACCTGATCTTCAACATCAACTACCTGGGTGCGGAGCAGGCCAGCTTCACGCTGAACTTCTCCAAGGGGGCTTCCCAGGTGATCGGACAGTACTACCAGATGATTCGTCTGGGCAAGCGCGGCTACCGCTCGATCATGGTGAACATCACCCGCATTGCGGACTACCTCGCCCAAGAGCTCGAGAAGATGGGATTCATCATCATGAGCCAGCGCGGCGGTCGGGGTCTGCCCCTGGTTGCCTTCCGTCTTCCGGCCGGCCGGAAGGAACACTTTGATGAGTTCGCCCTGGCCCATCAGCTGCGCGAGCGCGGATGGGTGGTCCCGGCCTACACGATGGCGCCGCACAGCAACGCCTTGAAGCTGATGCGGGTGGTGGTGCGCGAGGACTTTAGCATGAGCCGCTGCGACACCTTGTTGAACGATGTGAAGCTTGCAATGAAGACGTTGAGCGACATGGACCATGCGATGTTGGCCAGGTATACCGTGTATGTTCTTGCCCCCCTCCCTCCCCTCCCTCCCTCCTAGCTCAGGGTTGACTTGGATGAACTGACGATGATAGGCATGTTCGGACGCATTCGACCAACTCGCACAAGGCGAAGCACACCCACCCGGAGTATAAGAACGAGACACACTCTTTGCAGGGCAAGACCGGCAAGACGCATGGAATCTGCTAGACCATTATGATATCCTGTGTAGATTTATTTCTAATTCCAGTCGAGGTTATTCTTCTTGTAAATCTTGCCCAATGACATCCCGTCTATCCAGCCTCGTCTTCGTACCCAATCATCATCTTCTCGTCCCACTTCGACTCCTCCTCCACAGCCACCGCCCATTATGTATTATTATATATATATGATAAAAAGGACCAGACTCGACGAACCTCTTCCTGTCTCTTGAGTCTTTTTTTTCGTCTGCTTTCTCCCGCGCCTGCGTTGGCCCGATCATCTCCATGCCCCTCTTCCGCAAGAAGCCTAAGCCGTCGTCGCTCTCTTCTGCATTCCGATCGGTCGAGCATCTGCCTTTCTCCTCTTCTGCCGCGTCAGCCCCTCGTGTTGTCGACGACCCTTCGTCCTCTGTCTCCCCCTCCCCGAACTTCCCATCGCAATCGGCGCCTGCCCACGCGCCGCTGCAGCGATCGCTCACGCAACGGCTGCGTACCCCGCCGTCCATCGATGCGGACGCTTCCGACCAGTCGTGGCCCTCATCTCCCACTGACAAGCCAGAAGACCCCGAACCCCGACGCTCCAAGCGGAGTCTCTTCTCTTTCCACTCCGCCGCCTCCGCTTCCTCGGTGCGCGACCAGTCGGGTTTGCTGCGGCCCAACCGCTCTGTGAAGCGCTCTTCTGGCCCGAACCGTCGCCAGTCCCACCAACCGCGTCTGTCGGTGGACACTTGGCCCCAAGTTGATGCGGGAGACTCTACGGAGCCTGAGCAGCATCAATCCTCCATGCCGCAGCCCACCCGTCTCGTTCCAGCCGCTCGTGCTCCGCAATCCCCATCGATCCCGCGATCGAACACCGATTCGAATCTTCTTGAGCATCCTAGACGCGCGGGTGAATTCGCGTCCACACCGCACCACCAGCTAACCCCCCGACCACCCTCTCGCCAATCAATAATTGGGCCCCCTTCCCCGTTACCCGGGCTTCCTCCAACCGAACCGTCCTCGGCGGCACAGCTGAGTGTAATGTCTGATCGACCGGCCGGCGGGGCCCAGCAGAACCAGCCGGCGGCTGCTGCTGCTCATCCCGCGTACCAGTCGGAAGCTGGCTTCCGGAACAATCCAGCCCAGCAAAGCGGGCCCGACCCGGGACACAGCACCCCGACGTCGTCCAGAGACAGTCGGAATCGGGAGGATGGAAGTGAGATCGATGTCCGTGCGTTGCTTCAGAAGCACGAGGAGCTCCGTAAGCCACTCTCTCTCTCTCTCTTTTTTTTGGGACATGTCCACTGACCCAACCCCCCCCCCCCCACAGAGGCGAAATATTCCAAAGTCAAACGATACTATTTTGAGCGAGACACGCAAGTCCAACAATTGCAGAACACCGTCGCCCACCAACGCATGGCAGTCTCGCGAACCGTCCTGGATGACAACGAGTATGCTAACCGGTTTGGCCGCCTCGACGGCGCCATCAAGGACCTCGCGTTCTCCATTCGCAAGGACTGGAAGACCCTTCCCGGCTGGCTGGGCGGGTTTGTTAACGAGGATGCCCCCACCACCGGTACCAAAGAAATGACCGCCATTGGGCGCGCTCTGATGAGCCGGTGGCTGGTCGACGAGCTCTTCGCGCGATACTTTCACCCTGTTCTCGAGCCGACCTTGAGCCGGCAGCTGAAGGGCATCGAGATGAACCTGCGCCGGCAGCAGGGAGGCGCCTACACGGACGAAGACAAGGAGAACTCCCTCGCGCGAATCTCCAACTGGCGCCGCACGACGCTGGACGGCCTCGCCGATGCCCTCCAGGGCCCGGCCGCCGACGAATCCCGCGCGCAGCTCATCGAGACCCTGGTCGAAACTCTCGTGGCCACGCTGGCCCGCAACCTGACCGACCCGCCGCCGCCGGGACTGGACAACGGCGTGCGCATGATCGTCGAAAACGCCGTGGGGATCGCGGAAAAGATCCCGCTCGAGTCGCGCGATATCGGCGTCGATTACATTCTCCCGGGCACCGCGCTGCACGAGGGGACGATGAAAATCGAGGCGGGCGTCCTGCCCCCGCTAACCAACGTGAGCGCTGGCTGCGACTCTCCATCCCACCCCCGCCGCTCGGGCGAACACGACACTACGCACCATTCGGACGCGGGCCCTGAAGATGCGGACCCCGAGCGGGAGCCGTCAAGCTCGGGAAACCCCGCCGCGCCGCCGCCTGACGCCAGCAGCCAGGGCCGCGAACAGCGCATCCGCTCTGTCTTTTCGAACATGCTGGGCCGGAAATCCGGACAAGGACCGTCGCCGCCGCCGCCGCCGCCACCACCACCACCGCCGGGACCTGGCGATTCCGTCCGCAGCACATCGACCGAGGAGCGTCGCGTGGCGAGCGGGGGGGCTGGGTCGGCTCCGACAGGACGCATCCGGTTTGCATCGTTCGTTGTGGCGGAAGTCCGGGGGCGGGGGCCGTTGAATGTGCTCGTGAAGGCGCCAGTATATCCTCTAGATGCATAGGGGTTTGTTGATTGGCCCTTGTACAGATGATGTCTTGATTGCATTAGGGTCTAGCTGTGAGAGTATACTAGTTTATCAATACAAGACGGATTCATAACAGAACAGAACAGAACAGAACAGAACACGGAGAGTAACTATACATACATACTACATAATTGGAAATTCAGCTTCCACCAGCCGCGCATACCGCTCATTCGCCAACCCCAGAATCCCCTCCCGGTACTCCCTCGCCAGCTCGCGCGCGTTTCGATAAGCCGCCACGCCCGCCCGGAAGCAGCTCCGCGCATCCCCCCCCGCCGCTTGCCCATCCAACGCCCACTCCCCAACCAACGTAACCACGTAGTCGGACTGCTGGGCGCCTTGCCCTGGCCGCGACTGCACATGAACACAATAGACCCGCAGCTGGCCCGCGCGGTACGTCACCGCAAACGTGTACGCCCTGCCGTCGCCATCACCGCCACCCGCCGCCGCCGTGGCGAACCCGCCCAGCGCGCGCATGGCCCGCGCCCCAAGCGCCCCGTGATAACACGCCCGGCGGCGCATCGCTGCCGCACCACCGCCCACCTCGAGGAAAAAGTTCGGGGCGAGCACGCGGCTGGCGTTGTGGCGTGCTGCTGCTGCTGCTGCTGCTGCTGCCGTGATCGCAATCTGCTTGTCCAGGTGCCGGTGGATCTCCGGGTGCAGTTGCGCCGCCGGGGATGCGTGGTAGAAATCCGGCCGGGCGGGGGGCAGCGTGCCGTCCGTGAGGGGGGCGAGGTTGGTGAATACCCTGCCGCTGCCACCACCAGAAGAGGCCAGGGCCCGCGGCTGCGGCGTTCCCTCGAGAATGGAGAGGAGGTGCTGGAGCGGTAGGTGCTTGGGATACGCGGCCGCGGAGAGTCTGCGGAACCGCGTGTACGCCTGGTCCAGCGAGGAGTCTGCGGGCAAGGGGATGTGCAGGCGGTGCTGGAGTTCGGCCCAGTTCGCGGGTCGTCGAGCGGGCGTTGCCGTCGCCGCCGCCGTGCCGTCCGGGTCGCTGGACGCGGATGGCGAGGGCGGCGGGTAGATGCCGTGGCGGACGAGGTGGTCTTGGAAGTGCACGTCGTAGACGGCTGTGGAGGAGGAGGAGGAGGAGGAGGAGGAGCTTGGGGTGGTCGCTGGCGGCGTGGATGGCTGCGAGTCGTACTTGGTGGGATAGAGAGAGTACTGGTAGAAATGGGGCGGGGGGAGATGCTAGATCCAGTAGTACAGTTAGGATAGATATCAGAGACAAGTGTTGGAGGATTGGAATCAAAACCCACGCCGCGGATATCAGACAGGTCCGGCCCCCCGCGGCGGGAAAGCTGTCGAACCCCCTGCAGACAAGCCGCCGAGCAGTCGCGCAGAAACACCGGCGCCGAGATGTAACTGATAGCCAGGGCGCGCTGGCGGGGGGATCGGAATTTGTGCTGGTTTCTGCGGTTGGATTCTCGCAGGGCGCCCTTGGTCAGGTACAGCTTGGTCAGGTTGTCCCAGAACAACGGCGGAGGATGTCGCTCCCGTTGTCGGTAGCGATGCCTGGAGGATGGCATATGGGGGTGGTTAAGAGATAGTGACCGATGAGAATGAAATCAAGTCAATCTGTCAATCTCCGGTGGAGGCGGTGGTTATAATAAGGGCTTGACAACAGCCATAATGGAGGTTAGGGCTATTCGGTGAACAAAGAGCAACTGTATATCGGATTCCATATTTAGCATCAAAGGTTCATTCATCAGGATGAACCCAAGCATACAAAGGATCGGTGTATTATATTTAGTTCTCCATACGTTGAGGCATTACCCAGGAAACGGAGAGACTGCCATTGAAGAAAGTAAGATGTTCCAAGTTGTAGCCGGGTCTTGTACTACATCGTTCATACTATCCATACTATTATACATCCAGCTCGGTCTATGTACATCACAAGCAACGCTAGCACTGCAGAAATGAACTTATGCCGGGTATAGCGCCTCGCTTAACGCCAATTCTTCGAAAGAAAAAAAAAAAAAAAAAAGAACTTTAGTAAACCCTGCTCTGTGTTACAGCCGCCTGCTGCAACACCCGGGGCCAACGAGACATGAATTCAACATCGTCCAGTGCGCCCTTGCCTTGGTTCCGCACGTACTGCGTGCTGGGGTCAATGCGCGGCTCGTAGTCCCAGATCGCCGGCGTGCCCTGGAGCAAGGCCGAGTACACCAGGCGCCGGCGGCGCTGCGAGATCACCACGTCTTCCGTGATGCGCTCCAGGTTCCAGCGCGTGTGCACCTCGTCCACAAAGTAGGCCAGCAGCTTGGTGGGATCGCGCGTGGCGGGCACCGTGGCCGCGCCCTGGCCAGGGCTGGGAGTGCGTGGCGGGGTCGGGAAGGCGTGGTGGTGCGCGGCGTGAGCCGGGCTGCGCTGCTGCTGCAGCGGAGTCACACGAGGCGAGTCCACCGGGGTCGGCAGGGCGGCCGGCGGCGGCAATTGGGTAGATACCGAGGCCAGCTTGGCTGCGGTCAGGGTGGCTTCCGATCTCGGCGGCGCGCGCGAAGGATCCGGCAGACCCGCGACCAGGTTCACCGTCTCGAGGGGGTCGGCTTCGAGATCAAAGAGCATGGGGGGGTCGATCAGGGAGTAGATGAACTTCCAGCGGCCGCGGCGGATCATGACGACGGGCGACTGGGTGCCTTCGGCCATGTACTCGCCCAGCACGGTATCGGTCTTGATGCCGTCCTCGCCCGTCAAGTAGGGCATCAGCGAAACGCCATCCAGGGGCAGGCCGCGGATCAGAGGCGCGCCCACCATCTCCGCAAACGTCGGCAGCAGATCCATGGTGGACACATTCTGGGGAATGCGCTTGGCGGCGTAGCGCTGGGGCGCGTGCACGATAAACGGCACGCGGGCGGAATTCTCATACCAGGTCATCTTGTACCAGAGGCCGCGCTCGCCGAGCATGTCCCCGTGGTCCCCGGTAAAGACGACAATGGTGTCGTCCCGCAGACCACAGTCGTCCAAGACCTTGAGCAGCTTGCCGACATTGGTGTCGACGTAGGTGCAAGCGGCATAGTAGGCGCGGCGGGCGGCCTTGATGCGCTCCTCGGGCAGTTCCTTGCCCCAGAGGTCGATGCACTTGAGCACCCGCTGGGAGTGCGGATCCTGCTGGTGCTGGGGGATTGCGGGATTCTTGGGCAGAGGAATGTCCACCTCTTCGTACAGATCCCAGAATTCCTTGGTCATGGCGTAGGGATCATGCGGGTGGGTCATGGAGACGGTCAGGCAAAACGGTTGGTCGGTACGGTGGCGGACATGGTTGTACAGATACTGGGTGGACTTGTAAATGACCTCTTCATCAAAGTCCAGTTGGTTCGTTCGCACGACGGGGCCAGCATCCAAGACGGAGGACATGTTGTGGTACCAATCGGGGCGGATGTCCTATTTTGGTCAATATTTCCAGAAAGAAAAAAAAAAAAAAAAAAAAAAAGCAAAGATAGAATCGGGGGTACTTACAGGCTCATCCCAGTTGACAGACCAGCCATAATCCCCCGGATAGATATCGCTCGTCAATCGTTGCTCATACCCATGTAGCTGGTCTGGACCGCAGAAGTGCATCTTGCCGGCCAACGCGGTGTGATAGCCCTCCTTGCGCAGATAGTGTGCGTACGTGGGGACGTCGGCGGGCAAATCGGCGGCATTGTCATAGGCACCGATTTTGGAGGGCAGTTGACCGGTCACCATGACATAACGCGAGGGAGCGCACAAGGGAGAATTGCAGTAGGCGGAATCGAAAACGACGCCTTCATCCGCGAGGCGATTGAGATGGGGGGTTTGGATGGGAGAGTTTTTGTCGTCATGGAAGGCCAGCAGGGGGGCGGCCATCTGGTCAGCCATGATGTAGAGGATGTTGGGTTTTTTGGCGGCCATTTTCTTTCTTCTTTTTCTTTCTTCTGAATGTGTAAGGTAGAGAAAGAAGACAAGAAGGGAAGAGAGGAAGAGAAGAAGAAGAAGAGAGAGAGAGAGAGAGAGAGAGGCGGATAAGTAAGAGAATCAATGGAATATGTGGGGAAATTTCAAAAAAATCCAATCCGAGTGGTTCCCGATCTCATCAAGAATAGAACCATCCGTGGAGACGATGGTGTGATTGGGGATCTTTGGTCCAAGTCGATGATTGATTTCTTCATATTTCTTGATGGAGATGAGATGAAGTAGCGGTGACTCAGGATTCAGGATGGAATTCCTTGCTGGTCATTCACTCCACCAAAACCCATCCTCCATCCGTCAGCATTCCTTCTCGGGTTTATACCTTTGCAAATATCCCAATGATCCTACCTATACCTTATGGTCTGAATTGTCGAGTTTTATTCTGGATTACAAGGATGGGATAGGAGGATGGGATAGGAGGATGGATAGGAGGATGGAGATGTCTCGTGATCGGATTCGGGGTCATGTGTCCAACTACCAAAAAGGGATCATCATATAGTTAGTTAGTACTAGGACTATCCTAATGATCATCCATAGTTACAGAGTACTCTCTTCTTCAACGAAATATCTTTAATCCACTTTGATCGACCTATGTTCGTTAGCTTAATCACTCATCAAACACCCGACTTACCTGTAGATCCGCCGCAGAAACGCATACGCCGTCAGGAATCCAACCGTCCCCGTCAACAGTCCGTACACCGTGCACGCCAGCAGACTGTAGCTGAAAAAGAGCAGGCTCGACACGAACCCCGTGATATGCAGATGGAAGGAATAATACCAAATGCAGTACCCAAATACCCAGACGGCGCTGCTGCCCCCCGTAAGGAAACTCTGCCACCACCAGTGGTAGTTCTGCCCCAGGTAAGTTAGTAGTGGGCCCTCGCCAGACGCACCATCTCAAGCACTCACCTCCGAACAGAGCTGGCTGTATGTCGCGATGATCGTCACCTCGCTCACGGTCACCATCAGAATCGTGGTAACCGCACTGAGGAATCCAAACACGTAGTAGTATCCGCTCTTGTCCTGCCACAGATTTTGGAACACAAACAGCAGCTCAATGAACAGCACCGCAAATGGTGCCAGCCCCGTGAAAAGCGTGCCTTGGATGCTGTGCAGGTACCACGGCTGGGCCGGGATTGGGCGCGCAATCGATGCCGTCTTGGTCGGCTGCTCCCACGCCGTAGCTCGCACGTATCCATACCAGCTGCCCGCGTAGACTAGCGGAACTTGGATCAAGAGCCACAGTGCCACAATCCCCACCAGCGTGCCAAAGGGAATCGCCGTGCTCGACGCTTGCGCCCACACAAACAGATTGAGGATGAAGATTAGACAAAAGGCCAGGCCGGGGAAAAGCAAGGCAGTCTAGATCGTTAGCACGCACGTCTCAGAACTAAAAGGACCAGGACGATCTTACAATCAACGTGTTCTTCCGCCAACTCACACCGCCAAAGGTTTTGTACAACCGCCCCGAGAAGTATCCAGAAAACAAACCCGCAAACACGAACAAGCCCATCCCGACACTGACAAACCCGCCTCGGAAACTAGGATTCAAGATGCCCAGGCAGCTGAGAAGGAGAAGACCAGAAGTCATGAAGAATAGCTGCATCCCCGAGCCCACCAACGGCGCAAGCAGTCCACTGTATTCCGGCACGCGAAAGACATCGCCGTGGAGAAGCTTCCACCCGCTGACATCGTCCAAGCCCTCGTCCTCAGAACCGACATCGGCATCCCGTTCCACGTCCGGCTGATCCAGCAGTCCCTCTATCTTTCTCTCCGATGACGATCGAGATTTGCTCCCTCTTTGGAGTTTGCTGTCATCCATCGCACCGTCACCCCGACCCTTGATGTCGCCTTGTACCGTCCGACCCCAGATCACACAGACCGCGACACCCAAAACACCGGATATGGTCAGAGAATTAAGGACCGCTAACCAATGTGTCATCGAGCTATCCTCTTGGTTGCTAAAGTAGAGATCCCAGCGGTTCCACCACTCGACCCCGTTTTCTTCCTTAAAGTATACCGAATAGCTGTACGGGATTTTCAGAGTCGCCCCATCATCGAGATCATCATCGTCTTCTGGGAGATACGAGGAACCTGGGTACATCTTCCGTAACCGCTCCATGTTGGGCGGAAGATACAACTCCAGCCCTTCATGATCGTCATGGATGCGCCTAGGGCACCCATCCGGTCCATGATCTTCAGCACGGATACTCCTGGGGTAAACTTCAAACCCCACAATCACCTTCCCTCCCTCCGGCGCTGACCGCCAGCGGATGACGATCGTGAAGTGATTATGCATATAGAACCGCTGTTTGCCGTCAACCGGAGAATAGTCCTGGAACCCGAGCTTGAACCCAGTAGCGTAGTACTTCCGGCTGCGGTCAACGGTGACAAAGCTCGTCGCCCCGGGCAAATTATCCGCGATCCATTCTGCCACGTAGCCGTCGCGAATAAGCTGTCGGCTCCCTTTCACATCCTTGCGTCCGACCTCCCGTGTGCACAGCGCCTGGCATTCGATATTCTTGCCCATCTGCATCTCAAAGTCCGAAGTCATGATCCGGTCCCCACGCAGTATTTCCCCCAGATTGAGCGAAACACTTTGTCCGGAACCAAAAGGAGAGCCACCATGCGCGCGCCCACTCGGGGGGCAGACGAAGGGCAGATCAAAGTAGGCATATTGAAGCTGCGTATGGTCCGAGAAGATCTTATTCACAAGGAGAGGGATCGATTCATCATCGTTATAGCGCTTGATTGAGTAACCTGTCGGACTGTTAGTTGATCCTTGGACCAACATATGGCAGAAATAGAGAGACAAACCGGGCAAGTAGAACGCGCTGGTATACGAAACAAACAACAACCATAGTATCCAATGCAGACGACACGCAACCCATCGCAACTCCATCATTGAGAAGATAGCAGAGATAATTTAGCCCGCACGGCCCAAAAATAGATAGCTACCAGGTAAATATGCACCGGTATGTTGCGGTCTAGGATCACTCAACGTGGCGGGTATGAGATGGCCTAGTGCCGATCAACCACTTCTCTTCTTCACGGGGGGGGGGGGGGGGATTTATAAAATGAATGGGCAAAGGGATAATTAAAAGATTATATATAGGGAAATCGCAAGGCAGGAGGGAAAGGACAATTCTTTCAAAACAGTGTCGTAGAAGCGACCAGCAAATGCGACGTAATAGAGCGAAGTAAATGAAAGCTTCTAGCTTCCCACAAAAAGACGGGGGGATTATCCGAAAATCAAGGACACAGTCGTAGAGAGCTAACGAGTGTAACTGGCAGCAGGAAGTGCCTGGGTAAAGGGAAGAATTAGGTATGGTGAGGATGAAGGTTGAAAGGGGGGGGGGGAAAGCAGACTGAAGGGGGGTTTGATGATGTTGTCCCACAGGGCATTAGTTGGCATTGAAGATCGACGACGGTCCAGCCCACTCTCCACTGAATCAGTTTACAAATTACAGCTTACCTTCTGGACAAAAACTACATCCTCTTTGGATTGTTAACTTGAATTAGCTATAAGGATGGGGGTTATAACCATGTTTTGGTGTTGTTTATGGGTCCTGGTAGAGTTAGACGACCGGGTACGTACCAAGGACTACTCTATCTAGCACACACTCCACACACACATACAGATGGTTAAACAGTTACATAGATGTGAAATTCACTATCATACTCGGTCATGACAAGGCATCAAAGGATCAACTGCAGCTGCTTGCGAATGTAATGCCTGTCTACAAACAACGAGGGAAGAATTATTACAGAAACCGTTCCTCATATTGCACACCCAAGATAAAAAGCAAAGCCGCAGTCAATGTGCTAGAAAATCACCAATGATCTCATTTCGGGAATCGAGGGAATATTAGGACGGATGGCTCAGCAGATACTCCACTGCGCCTTGTACGCTGCCGCCAGCTCGCCGAAGGGCTTCGATATTCCTTTCAAACTCGTAGAATCCCATGTCATTAAGCTGACGCAGCTGGTCGGCGTATCGCTCCTCGGGCGGTCGGTTGTCTGGAGGAGCGGCACTGCCCAGGCCGGAGCCGCCAAACAGTGCTGCCAGAGGATTCACACCACCTCCTCCTTCGCCGCCTTGGCCTTCCATTAACTGCATGGCCTGTGCCAGCAACTGGGGGTCACGGAGGAATGGATTTTGTTGGGGATTAAACGGGTTAACGCCTCCCGGACCAGCTTGACCAGCCTGGGCTCCAAAAAGGGCAGGGTTCAGGAGAAGACCGAATGGATTCTGCGCGTTCGGTGCATTCGGTGTATTCTGACCTTCCGCGGGCGCCGCTGTACCGGCAGTCGTTCCCGTCGCCTCTCGCACCGCTGCGCCGGCCTGGTCACCTCCGGATGTGTTGCTGGGTGGGTTGAGTCCGAAGCCCTGGTTGCCGCCAAACAAGGCAGCAAACGGATTACCCGCACCAAGACCTTGTGATAAGAACGGGTTGAATGGCGGAGCACTCGGGATAGTGTTCGTGTCGTTGGTGTTCTGGGAGTTATTCCGGTTCTCCTCCGGTGTTGTGTTTGTGACCCCAGGGGCGGGGAAAGCGCCGCTGCCAAAACCTGTACCTCCCATGGCTCTTTGCATCTGCATCATCCGACGAATGGAATTGGGATCGGTCAGCATACGACGGAACTCAGGGCTCTGCATCATTTGCCGCACACCCGGGCCCATATCACGCAGCATTGGGTTCTGTTGAATCATCATATCGATCATGGCTGGGTTCTGTAGAGCCTCATTAATTGTAGACTGGAATTGGGGATTTTCGAGCATATTGAGCATGGATTCAGCGTCAGGAGGAGGACCCATCTAGAAATCAATCGATCAGAACCGAAAATCTACCTGCCAGGATATTTCGATTTTGTCAAATACTTACCCCACCATCTGGCCCAAACATTCCAGCGCCCGGAAGCTGCGCAAACCCAGCATACCTTGCGCCAGTCAAGCCGGCGAGAGGATTGTTGCCTGTACCGGCAGCGAGGTTGGTTGGGACACCAGCAGTCGACGGGTTGGCGGCAGCGCCCGTAGATGTGGATGTTGAAGCGCTCGGGGCGGCGCCACTTGCACGTTGATTGCTGGCAGCGCTCTTGACCAGATGAATAGTATGTCCATCTTTGATCTTGTAAGTCGCCAGGGTCTCATTATCCTTGAGCACTCTTCCCGAATAGATCAAGCGCTGGCGCTCTGCTGGGGTGTCGGCATATTCAGAGGAAGCGAGTTTCTCCTTCAACTCCAACACTGGCGTCGAGGCGGGTAATGTGAGAGTAAATTTGGCGTCATTTGAAGCTTTGATGTGGAAGGTGATGGGTGAATCCTCTGCCGTGGCGGTGTCATCGGCCATGATGATATATGACTTTGGGAGGGAAAGGGAGGGAAGGTTGAGGGGTACCGAGGCGAGGCAACAGTAAGGTACCTAGTATAGGATCACGTCACACGCAGGAGAAGCAGTTGAACCAGCTGGGAGGAAGAATTAATACAAGGGAGATAAAGAAAAAAGACTGAGGGACTGAATGAACAACTCAGTGAGAAAGAGCTGTTTCGTTTGGCGGCGGTTCCTTCCTGCCTTTGGTTGTTAGTTAACAAAGAAGCCGGCAGAAACCCATCGTCCGCCTAGTACGGAGTAGGTGGCAGTGTTTTGGCAATACCGGTATTACGGACTGTCTTTATGTGGTCCGGCTGTTCGTATTGTCACACTGGTACCGGAACGTGTTCGGGGTTACGGGTTTATCCGGTAGGGGTAGCTCAGTGGTCCAACATGGCAGAATTCTGATCTCTGATCTCTACTAGACTGCCTCGATTCGTTTTTGGCAATACCTAGGTATTCTGACCGTCTGAGGATATCCTTTACGGAGCACTTCCACCTCCTAGTTAGTTAGTTAGTTGGTTAGTTGTTAGTTAGTTAACTCACCCGTTGACTAATTACATGGGGATCGCCCAAGTCGACAACACGGGAATATCACGTGAGACTCTGCAAACACTGCAAACACCAGCTAGCTGAGCTCCACAACTGCAATTTTTCACCTTCTCGCTTCTTCCCAACCGAAAGACCTCACTTCCAGCTCTACCTCTCTCCCATCTTCTCTTCCTTCCCAACATCCCTTCCTTAGGGGACCTCTCGTTTTCGAGTGTCCTCGAAATTAGCGGCTCTCTCCGCAGCAATGGGACTGCTTCCACTATAGTTTCAACCATTTTGGCTGCAATTGTGTCGTAAACAAAAACACCTAGGCATACGCGAGGCTCGACCTGCGAGCTTAGTTGTCCCCATCATGGCTACCACTTCGCACATGTTCATGTACTCTCTGACCATCCAGCCTCCCACTGCGGTCAGTCAAGCGATCTTGGGCCAGTTTGCCGGGACCAAGGAGCAGCAGATCGTCACGGCCTCCGGGTCGAGGCTGACAATCCACCGTCCCGATCCCACCCAGGGCAAGGTCACCCCGTTGTACTCCCAGGATGTCTTCGGCATTATTCGTTCCTTGGCTGCGTTCAGGCTGGCGGGTAGTAACAAAGGTATGTTTATGCGTTCTCCCCCGTGCGGCATTCCAAGATCATTTTAGTGATTCTCCAAGCTTCCGGGCAGCACGACCCGTTACTGTCGAGCTAGCTCCCCCTGGAGCTGGGACGTGCCCCGGTCCGCGATGTGGACGCTAGGTGGTAGTTTCTAAACACTGCTGAGACATGCGTATAGATTACATAATTATTGGCTCGGACTCGGGGCGAATCACCATCATCGAGTATGTCCCCTCGCAGAATCGGTTTAACCGAATTCACCTGGAGACTTTTGGCAAGTCGGGTGTGCGCCGGGTCATTCCTGGCCAATATCTGGCAGTGGATCCCAAGGGCAGAGCTTGCCTGATTGCTTCGATAGAGAAGAACAAGCTTGTTTATGTCTTGAATCGGAACTCGCAGGCCGAGCTCACGATTTCATCCCCTCTTGAAGCACACAAGCCCCAGACCTTGGTCTTTGCAATTACCGCCCTAGATATTGGGTATGAAAACCCTATCTTTGCGGCTCTTGAAGTCGATTACTCCGAATCTGACCAGGACCCAACCGGCCGGGCTTACGAAGAAGCTGAAAAGCTTCTCGTTTACTACGAGCTCGATCTTGGTCTCAACCACGTTGTTCGCAAGTGGGCGGACCCTGTCGACCGGACTGCATCCATGCTCTTCCAAGTGCCTGGTGGAGCGGATGGCCCTAGTGGTGTCTTGGTCTGTGGTGAGGATACTGTGGCGTACCGACACTCGAACCAAGATGCCTTCAAGGTACCAATTCCTCGTCGCAAGGGCGCAACAGAGAATCCAGAACGTAAGCGCCGCATTACAGCGGGCGTAATGCATAAAATGCGGGGAGCCTTCTTCTTTCTCTTGCAGACGGACGACGGAGATCTTTTCAAGCTGACCATCGACATGGTGGAAGATGATAACGGCCAGCTGACTGGGGAAGTCAAGGCACTCAAAATCAAATACTTTGATACAGTCCCACTTGCCTCAGCCTTGTTGATTCTCAAGAGCGGTTTCCTCTATGTCGCCAGTGAGGCTGGAAATCATCACTTTTACCAGTTTGAAAAGCTTGGTGACGATGACGAAGAAATCGAGTTCTGCAGCGATGCCTTTTCTTCCGATCCTTCTGTTCCCTGTGAGCCCGTTTTCTTTCAGCCTAGAGGTGCGGAGAACCTGAACCTCGTCGAGACTATCAACTCCTTGAACCCCTTGATCGACAGCAAAGTCGCGAACCTTTCAGAGGACGATGCTCCTCAGATTTTCACTATCTCCGGTACGGGTGCCCGGAGCACTTTTAGGACCTTGAAACATGGGTTGGAAGTCTCGGAGATTGTTGAATCTGAGCTCCCAAGCGTTCCTTCCGCGGTGTGGACAACAAAACTTACCCGAGCGGATGAGTTTGATGCATATATCGTCTTGTCTTTCGCCAACGGCACTCTTGTTCTTAGTATCGGGGAAACAGTGGAAGAAGTCACTGATACTGGTTTCCTTTCGACTGCCCCCACGCTTGCAGTCCAACAACTTGGAGAAGACACCATGATTCAGATTCACCCACGAGGCATTCGTCATATCCTGGAAGATCGACGAGTAAATGAGTGGCCTGCGCCGCAGCATCGTTCAATCGTGGCGGCTGCAACAAATGAGCGTCAGGTTGCAGTTGCGCTTAGTTCTGGTGAAATTGTCTATTTCGAGATGGATGCCGATGGTTCCCTCGCCGAATACGATGAACGGCGGCAAATGTCCGGCACAGTGACATGTCTTAGTCTGGGCGAAGTTCCAGAAGGCCGTGTTCGAAGCTCCTTTTTGGCTGTCGGGTGTGATGACTCCACCGTCCGTATTTTGAGTTTGGATCCAGACTCGACATTGGAGAACAAATCTGTTCAAGCTTTGACCGCCGCGCCGTCCGCTTTGAACATTATGTCAATGTCTGACTCCAGCTCTGGGGGTACTACGCTCTATCTCCACATCGGTCTTCATTCTGGTGTGTATCTGCGGACCGTCCTGGATGAGGTAACTGGTGAACTTTCAGACACTCGCACCCGTTTCTTGGGATCTAAAGCTGTGAAGCTGTTCCAGGTTTCCGTCAAGGGGCAAACAGCTGTACTTGCTTTAAGCTCCCGGCCTTGGCTCGGTTACTCGGATATCCAGACCAAGGGCTTTATGCTCACGCCTCTGGATTACGTTGGACTTGAATGGGGTTGGAACTTTTCAAGCGAGCAGTGCATCGAGGGCATGGTCGGTATTCAGGGCCAGAACCTAAGGTATGTGACTTCTCTCCAAAATCTTCCCGTATTCTCCCACCTGTGTGATCATATGATGAGAAAGGATTTTCCGAAACAAAAAATATGTGGATCATCAATCTTATTATTTTTTCCAATTGTTCCTACTGAGATCGCAACCCCTTCTTTGCCTCTGCGGAGCAAAATGCCATGTTTATTATCGCGCTCTGACATGATTGCTAGAATCTTTTCCATCGAGAAACTCGAAAACAACATGCTACAACAGTCGATTCCCCTCGCATATACTCCCCGTCGTTTCCTAAAGCACCCCTCGCAGCCCCTGTTTTACGTGGCTGAGGCCGATAACAATGTCCTCTCACCAGCCACTCGAGCCCGGCTGCTGGATGATGCTGCCTCCCGTAATGGTGACACAACTGTGCTCCCACCGGAAGACTTTGGCTACCCTCGCGGTGATGGCCATTGGGCTTCATGCATTCAGATTGTCGATCCAGTCGATGCAAAGGCGGTGATTGGAACAGTAGAATTAGAGGAAAATGAATCTGCCGTCAGTATTGCGGCTGTTCCTTTCACCAGTCAGGATGATGAAACATTCTTAGTCGTTGGCACTGCGAAAGATTTGACAGTCAATCCTCCTTCCTCCGCTGGAGGCTACATCCATATCTACCGCTTCCAAGAAGACGGAAGAGAACTCGAATTCATTCATAAAACTAAGGTTGACGAGCCGCCTCTTGCTATGCTTCCATTCCAGGGTCGCTTGTTGGCTGGAATTGGCTCAGTACTTCGCATATACGATCTAGGTATGAAGCAGTTGCTTCGTAAATGCCAAGCTGCCGTTGTTCCCAGAACGATTGTTGGTCTTCAAACCCAGGGCAGCAGAATCGTGGTCAGTGACGTCCGGGAGAGCGTCACCTACGTCGTATACAAGTATCAAGAGAACGTCCTGATTCCGTTCGTGGATGATTCCGTCTCACGTTGGGCTACCTCGACAACGATGGTGGACTACGAGACAACTGCAGGAGGGGACAAATTCGGAAATCTCTGGTTACTCCGGTGTCCTAAGAAAACCTCCGACGAAGCAGACGAGGATGGATCAGGAGCTCATCTTATCCACGAGCGTGGCTATCTCCAAGGCACTCCCAATCGTCTGGAGCTCATGATCCATGTTTACACCCAAGATATCCCCACGAGCCTTCATAAGACGCAACTGGTAGCCGGAGGACGGGACATTCTCCTGTGGACTGGCTTCCAGGGCACGATTGGCATGCTTGTGCCATTTGTTAGCCGTGAAGATGTCGACTTCTTCCAAAGTCTGGAAATGCAGTTGGCCTCGCAATGCCCTCCTCTTGCGGGCCGAGACCATCTCATCTACCGAAGCTACTATGCACCCGTGAAGGGTGTTATTGATGGAGACCTATGCGAAATGTATTTCCTTCTGCCTAATGACACGAAGATGATGATTGCTGCGGAACTTGATCGCTCAGTCCGTGAAATTGAGCGAAAGATTTCTGTGAGCTTCTTCCCCCCCCTTTTTTTTTTTTTTTTTTGAGAGATACGCATACTAATTTTGTATAGGATATGCGGACAAGAGTGGCGTATTGATTGGGCTTTTGGGCGTCCGGTACGGTATACAAGGGCTTTAATTCCCCATAATGTTGATCTTGACTAGACTAGGTACCGAATTAATTGTGTACACTCCTGAGGAAGGCCTTGTTCCTGTTCCGCGCGTATCCGGTCTGGAGTCCAGTAGGATTGGGGTCTCTTGCCTCGCTCGGTCTTCTGCTCCCGTCGGTTGATCTTGAGCTGGATGCAGAGTGCACTAGATGTTCTCTGTATGAGACGAGAGAAAGCTTGCCTTCAACGATTTTTGAGTACGATTTTATCCGCATCCCACGGGTATGATCGTAATTTATCCGTTGGGACATTTTGTAGATCTTCCCGTAGTCTCTTACTGTCTGCGGTTAGGTTGTTGCTTCCTATCCCAGGCATGATGCCGGATTGACATTTACTAGCATACTAATCCCTTGTTACGAGCCTACTAGGGGTATGTTTATCCCGGCTTCACGAACGATGATCGATCACTTAAATTGAGGATCAGTACATATATAATTTCATGCTCATCATCATCATCATCTTATGTTTCTTTTTGGGGGAATCGATGACCGAACTTGACCACCTGCATATGAACTCAATATCAGTATAGCCGTGGCTGGAACCCAATACTGCCACCAATTGGAATGCTGCAGTACATATCGTAGACGATATCCCGCGTTATACGATCTCGTTAAGGAAAGGCGCGTCTTGTTAATGGTGAAGCCCCATTTGCTGCCATCTCCAGTCTTGTCATCGCAAGGGCGTGGAATTCAAGCCACCAGTGGATTTCGAGTCACTGTGACTCTGAAGCTATTAACTACCAGGGTTTCGGTGCAAGATGCTTCTCCATGGATTTCTCAGAAAAAGGATAAAGCTATCGACTACACGCATTCTTGGTGTCCCTGTATTCCTCTCTTCCAACTCCTCTCCAGCTCAATGACTGCCTCTACTCTCAGTCGGGGCTCACGCTCCTTTGAGGTCTTTGCGCGCCTGGCTCGTCCCAATATCACCATCGAGCTTAAACATGAGGCAGAGGGCATCGCCCATTCCTATACCACTGGAGACCAGATCCAAGGCACTGTCATCGTCACCGCAGAACATCTTACCAGCTTCGACGAAATTGAGATCAAACTCGAGGGTAAGTTGTAGCTGTGAACCGCAGGGGACGAGGGACGTGTGCTAATGAGTCAGGCATACAATCGGTAACAGTAGAACGGGGGCAAATCCCAGGCCGTTCAGGGGCGTACCAGACATTCCTGCGACTTCGCCAGCCCATGGAGGAGTCAACTTATCCGATGCCTCGAGTTTTGGAGCCTGGCCTCACATACAAGTTCCCATTCACCTTTGTTGTCCCCCAGCGTCTTCTACCACACGCCTGCAGCCACGACAAAAAGAACGTCCATCTTGAACATGCCCACACCCTCCTTCCACCCACTCTAGGAGACCCCCTCCTAGCCAGTGACGGCCGATCGCTCTTGGATGACTTGGCGCCTCATATGTGCCGGATCACGTATCAGGTCAGTGCGGATGTGATACAAAAACCGGTCGTGGGGCCCCCGAAGTCTCTGCAACTCGTGAACAAGAAGATTCGCATTGTTCCAGCTGTTGAAGAGGAGCCCCCGCTAACAGTGCTGGACACTGATCCTGTCTATTGCACTCGCAAGGAAAAGGATGTGAGGCGCGGCACGATGAGACCGAAGCTCGGCCGACTGGTCGCAGCTGCATCGCAGCCAAAACCCGTACAGCTAAACCCTCCCAACGTCGAGCCCTGTGACTCGGTGAGCACATGCGCCACTATCCATCTACGCTTCGACCCCGTGGGCAACGAAACACCGCCCAGTCTCGGAATTGTCTGGAGCAAGCTGCGCGCCTCGACTTACGCCGCTGCTTCCCCCTGGCAGGACTACCCAAACACGTCCAGTGTCTCCGCCCTGGGACAGATGGGACAAATGGTCTACACCGAGTCGGTGCCGCTATCCACCATGTGCGTTGAATCTGCGCAATGGACAAAGCATACCATCGGCGACCTCATCCGCCGGGACTCGCTCCAATCGACTTCCTCACGGGAGTCCTTGACAGGTCCTCCTCCGTCGAGCTCCTTCTCGGGTACCGCATTCTACCTCGCCTCCATCACAGTCCCCGTGACTCTTCCTAAGAACAAGCTCTTCCTCCCGACTTTCCACTCCTGCCTGATCTCGCGCATCTACACCCTAGAGCTCTGCACCTCCTACCATACCCCCAACATGAACATCCTCACCCCAACAGTCTCGTTGAAACTCCCCATCCAGTTCACAAGTCGCCCCCGCCCTCGAGCGACACTAACCCAGTTGCCCGAGATCACGCAAGACGAGGTAAACGCCGAGTTTTTCTGTCCTCGAAGCGTCGCCCCGCCCGCTGCTACCTCGCTCCCGGACCCCGCTCCCCCAGCTTACTCGGGCTTCCTTGCACCGCCGCAACGTCGCGCATTGCCCGCTTCCTCTCAGCCGCCTACTCGGCAAGTACGATGTCAGTGACATACGACACACACTACACGAAAAGTTTTCTTTCTTTCTTTCTTTTTTTTTTTTTTTTTTGCGTTTACTTAAGGTCACGACACGGCGTTTAGGATTTTGATACCCGGGATCGATTTACGGGATTAACATGGTTTCATGATTCGATAGTTATGGCTTTTTGAATACTACTACTGCTGCTGCTGCTGCTGCTAGGTTATTAATAGCGTGCTCTGAGAAATGATAGTATTTTCATACACAATCCGATCACCTTCGAGTCTGTCCTTCTTTTTCTTTTCTTTTGGGCATAACTATATGCTCGACACGAGGGAATGGTTTCTATGGGGAATTCGGTAGGATGTACACCACTATACATATGTTCTTCATCTCCCGTTTAGTTCCGAGAAGCTATGAGGGTCAAGTTTTCGAACGTTGGATTTGGGGGAGTGTGAGATGGAATATGAATACTATTTACAGTTCGTGAAATGGAAGAGTGAGTATTTAACTATGAGGGAGTTAGGGTTAGAGAGAGAGAGAGAGAGAGAGAGAACCTACAGATTCACTAGAAAATGCAACAATAGGCAAATGAATGGATCATGAAATTGACAAGTCTATACATAACCAACTTTTACTATATACAGTACATGTCTCCGATGTATGTATCCGTAACGCCAACCAACACAGCGGGAATCAACGGCTAGGTCAACATGTCATCGAGTCTCTCGCCTAGGACTCCCTCGATCTGCTTCACCCACTTACGTACTTCCCTTTCGACATTCTCGTCCTCGTCCTCCATGAGTTCGCTAATATACGGCAACATCTCCGGGAGAAGCGCGAGCCAGTCCTCGCCTAGGTGCTCCGTAAGAGACTGCTCTGCCTTGAGGGCTGCGAGACGCGTGTGCGGGTTTTCACCGCCGGCGGCCTTGCCTGTTGGGCCGGCGGACGGCCGCAGGAAACGCATCAGCGCTGTGTTTAGTTCCTTGTGGTTATCGGTAGAGTCTGCGGCGACGGCGAGCTCGGTGATGGCCGGGACAGCCTCCTCAATGACGATGGCCGCAGTGGTCGGGTTCGTGGCATGGCCGAGCTGGGAGATCAAAGGTTGCGAGATCTTGGTCAAGTGCGAAGGAGATTGCCAGAATTCTGCTCATGTTAGTCGACCGCTGTAGCACGCGGGGGTGGACAAGAAAAAAAAAGGCAGTGAATTACCGTCTTGGTCATGCTCAAATGCACTCCGAAGCATGCGCATCGTCGCAAGCCAAAGAGACTTGCTATTTGGGTTGGATGGGCTTGCCTTTCCAAGAACCGCAACCACGCTGTCGATGATGTAGCTAGCATATCCAGTAACGATGGACTACATAGGTTAGAGTATGAAACAGTCGACTGACTGGCTTTAAGCAAATGAAACTCACCTGGAGGGTGCCAAAGAAGAGCTGGAGGAAGCGGTAAAATGTAGTCAAGCGTGCCAAACTGCCTTGCGTATCCTTCTTCGGAAGGCTAGTAGTCGCCCACTCAACCAATTTGCTGAAGATGGGCCGGAAAGTGGTGTCGTTGAGCTTGTAAATCATCTTGATGGTGACGCCGTTGACAAGATCCTCGATGGCTTCCAGGTCCGAAACAGCAAAGGTAGCCTTAGAGCCCAAAGCCACTTGCTCCCTTCGTAGATCAAAAGCCCGGAAGAGGATGTTTGTCAGAACTGTCAAGTTCTTCATCGTAGCAGATTTGGCGTGCTTCTCAATGCTAAGACTAACAACTTCGAGAATCTCCCGTGTTGCTGCAGGGCCAGCGGCAACTGCCAGTTGCCAGTTGCGATCTACTGCTCCAAGGCTCGAGCCCATGTCGACTTTGCGAGCCATGAGTTGCAGAGCCTCTTGTCGGCTTCCATCTTCAAGATCTTCTGAAACTGCGGATTTGTAGGACAGTGTAAGCACATGGTCAAGGTGAGGTCCAGAGATCATGTATGGAAGGTGGACGAAAAGTGCAGAGAACAAAGAGAAAACAGCATCGTGCAGTCTAGCATTCTCCTTTCCGTCCTCCAAGCTAACCTCAAGCAAGCCTAGCGACCGGTTGAGGACTTCAGGTAGGGCTGGAATCATTGCCTCCCCGAGCACCTCTGCCATGGATGCGAGGCACAGCACACCCATGATACGAATGCGATCGTCGTCCTGTCCAATGCAAGCAGGGCTGGCAACCACCTGAGCAGCACGTGTGACCTTGGACGGCTCCTTCTTGCCATACTTCTCGGCAATGCGGTCGATGCAAGCCACTGCCGCATGTTTAAGAAGGATATCCGGGGAAGACTGGACAATGTCAACCAAAATGGGCAGGAAGTCAAGCATCCGCATTTGCGATTCACTATCACGCTCAGGGCTCTGGTTGAGCCGGCCTTCGAGAAGACGTAGAACCTTGCGGCGAAGCTCATCGTTGGGCCTCTTTAGCAGAGCCTCCACAGTATCGATGAAGTCCACTGTGGTAAGAGTTCCGAAGAGCGCGCTAAGAACATCACCACTGGCTTGGTGAACGGGCTTGACGTTTTGCATGGATTCTCCAATTGACAAAACTTGTTCAAGGATCTTTGAGAAGAATTCGCGAATATGCACCGGTGCATCGCCCATCTCAGTTGCGAAAGCCTTGGCCATCTTCACTTTCAGCGAAGAATGCTTAAAGAGATAGGCCAGCGCACGAAGTAGATCAACCGCAACCTTATGAGGCTCTCGGCCATCGTCGCTTCCAATGCCAAGGAGGACCTGTGAAATGCCAGGCTTAGATTTCAGTGAGTCGCTGACGAGATCGAGGAATTTGCTGTAGGTCTACAGGGTCGTTAGCAGCTCTCCTCCACAAAAGAAGGAAGGGGTTTACTTACACTAAGCTCCACAGCTGCACTAGCGTCAGAAACCAGGCCGGTCATCAGAACAAGAACCGCCTTATCCATCGAATATCGGTTCGCCAGCATTGCCAAAACCGCAAATAAGAACTCTTCTGTTCCTAGCTTGGTGATGAGAGCATGGAATAGTCGCAAGCGGCGATGGGAAGGAATATGCTCAAATGCGGCAGTGAAACTGAGCAGGAGCTCAGATGTGCCGGACACAACGTCTCGCTTCTGGTGTCTTAGTGACTGGATGAGAGCTGGAACAACTTGATCGATTGTCTGATCAATGACGGAAACAGAGTAATCGTCATCCTTTCTGAGTACGCTGGAGCCCATAAACGTGAATATTGGCATCACGCTATGCAGAACAAGCTCTGGCGCAATAACGGACAGGCCAGCGACCAGGAGGAGGGCTGTATTCTGCACTTGAGGGCTTTCCGTGGTGCGAACACAATCCACAACCATGTCAGCACGGACAACTGAAGTATCAAACTGCGACTTGCCCGATTCCTTTGATCGATTGACGATGGCAAGAAGGCTTCCGAGGGTCAAGCTAAGCAAGTAACTCATGCCAGACTGGATCTGCGACTTGAAATGGTGCAGGGCGGCCAGGGTTTGGAACAAGCCCTCGACAAGTTCGGGGTGGGCCTCAGGATTAGAGCCATCCACCAGCTCCAGGATGAATGTCATTTTCTCCATCAGCTTACTTAGTTTGGCCTCATCTTTAGTCGTCATTGCAACCATATTATTCTGGCTGGTTCGTCTCCTCTTCGGCGCGGGACCAAGGGCATCAATGTCTGTAATTGAGGTGGGAATTTGCTGGATGAAGCTGAGGAGCACTGCTCCAGGAAGCTCTACACTGCGGAGAACATCCCGGCAGTTATTGATAAGAGGGGATTCTGGGTTCCGGATAGAGATCTCGAAAAGACTTTCAGAGGCAGCAATTTGTCGGTCCTCGGCGACGTTGGACCAGATGTCCTTCATGCGGCTGAACACAGAGGAAACAAAGGAAGATCTCAGAGATGCTGAATAAGGATTCACAGTAGACAGCAGCAATGATATGGCATCTTTTTCCTTTGGAGTCACCGTTTTCATGATCTGATCCTCCATCTCCATCGCGGGGACACGCTCCCTTTCACAGATATCCTTAACTTCTTGCTCTGTCATGTCCCGCCACTTTTTCAATAATGGTTCAAGTTCCTTAGTTCTAGTTGTACCGCCGGCTTTATCAATCCGATTAAGAAGGTTTAGCAATCTAAACTTGGGGGCAAAAAGTGGGATCTGGACAGCGTGCGAACAAAGGAATGTGAAGAATCCCAATCGCAATGGTTTCTTGAGTTCTGATGCTGCAGAGTCTGAGGTAGGTGTCGCTCGCATAGCATTCTCGAGAGCTCGGCCGATATGAGCCTGGTCGAATACATATTCTTCCAATCCAGGGAGGAGAGCCCGTTCCAAGACCTTCTGCATATCGCGACTAGAAAGCCAAGGAATGTCCTTCGACTGCTTTTCCTGTCCGTAAAGAGTGTCTCGTGCCCAGATATCATCAGAGCTCTTCTTTTTCTTCTGGTACAGATTTCCAATGACGGCCAAAACGCCAGCTGCCTCGCGACGGATTCTTTCTGAGGGGTCTGACAAAGCCAATAGTATGAATGGCAGTAGAGCCTGGAGATCAAGTTCGTTAAAAGAAGCCGATGTAAGAAGAGACGAAACAATACTCAATGCCGACGCCCTTGTGCCAATAGGGTAGGGGCCAGTAAAAACACGCGCGAAAAAGGATAGATACTGCGGTGTTTTGGGGGCATTCGCTTTGCCCAACACCGGCAACTCGAGAAAGGAATCAATTCTCTCTTTTGACCCAACCGCCAATGCAAAAGCCTGCACAAGCTTTTCAAACACAGGAATGGATTGTGCGCTGAGGAAGGAGGCTTTAAAGACTCCCTCATTTCTTAACGGCTCTACAGCAGATTCGTAGCCATCAATCACCTCCTCCGTATTCTCGACGTCCTCCATTTCAACATCTTCGATTGCCCGAGTCGCAGAAACCGACTCAATTGTCGTCTGTAGATTGTGCTCCAAGAGAGACACGTCGAAAGACAATTCCTCAATGGTTTTCTGAAAGACGGGCTGGAGAGACTGTGAGCGACTGAAATATTGCACAAGGTCTGCAAGATGTGTCTGGGCATCCAAAGACATCGCTCCGTCCTTGTGAATATGGCTTGCCGCATGAAGGACAAGTGCAATAGCTTTGGCCATTTCCGCCTCGCCCAAAAGCTGGCTTTCGAACATGAGGGACAATAGGTCTAGCCGGGACGAGTCCTTCTGGCTAGAAATGTTCCTAAGACATCCAGCCACTATTCCAAGAATAAGCTGGGATGTCTTGCATTCCACCGAAATCTCGGAAAGCTGCTTTAAAGGATCATCCAATCGAGTAACGGCCTTAAATACTCGCTTTGGCAGAACTGGCTCGGGCTTCTGTTGCGCGAGAACAGCTACACAAATAAGTCCTGAGCTCAAGGTCTCTTCTGTCCATGATTCTGCAACAGCCTCCATAAGCCCGTCCAAGACCTGGTCTTGAAGAGATGCCTTTTGCGCCAGGACAACGCAAACCATGTAGCACCCAATCACCAATTCCGAAACGTTCTTCATAGAGAGGCCATCATTTAAAACCGGAAGAATCGCGAGGATAACATCGTCATGCTTTTGTTTTTCAAGGGATCGTCGGCCAGAGCGTGACGAATCCAGCATGCCTGCAACTCCTTCAGAGATGATTCCCGCCCAGAATGATAGAAGGGCGTGGTGGTGCGCCTGCTGCTTGCTGACTTGAATGACATGATTATTCAAAGCAGTCAGAATTCCGTGGTTGGCGATAGCGCTTTGCACGATAGCACCACGGACCGGATTGATTGAGCTGCGCTTATATGGAATAAGCACTTTGAAAGCGGGTGGCAGGTCTTCGGGAAGAATCGAGAGTAGGGTGAGGAAAACCGGGGTAGTATAATACGGCAAAAAGGTGAGAATAGTGAACTCGGTGTTATACTCATGTACTCTGTGCTTTGTTAGCCATCAATCACACAAGGAGAAAATTTTCGAGAGGCCAATCCAGGCTCGCCCAGTCGTACCGGAAGCGCCTTATAAGCCATTCCACAGCCTTCACAGCTGGGCTCAATAACAATCTCCCACCAACTAATGCAAGGAAAGCCTCCAATACTGAATCTAGCTCCTTATTCTGGGCCACATTCATCTCCGTTCGATCCTCCGCCTTGCTTTGCTCGCTGAAAATCGAGCGCTCGAATTGTGTGAAACGAGGATCCAGCTGGCATAGCTCCCGGAATCCATCATAGCAAATATCGTAGATCGTATCAAAATCCTGCGACCCAGCGACCCTTCTGCTAAAAATCAGGGATTGCGAATGCGCGAGCCTCTGGGCTTTGAGGTTCAACTGGTTGGTGGAGTTGGCCGCAATCTGCGACAACTGCGCGGCGAGGGACGACGCCATTTTCGAAAAAGAAAACTGTCCTTATGGAATTAAAACACCGTGCCCATCCCTCAGTAGTCTCTTCTCTGCTTTCTCCAGAAGAAACCCGGGGTGTTGGTTGTTGAAAGTGTTCCGCAAGAATTCACTACCGGCGGAAATCTTCAAAGCTCCGTAACTTTTTTTTTTTACTCCCCAGAAAAGGCGGAAACGGGAGCGGAGTTTTTCCAGCCAACAACAACCGCCGCCGCTTGGGTTATAGAGTGAGAGTCCAGACACGCTGCTTGACAATGCCTCACATCCAGGAGCATGGATTCATCTGGCTCCCAGGTAAGTGGATTTCACACTACTCCTCTTTTTATGGCTTCTCATATTTATTATTTCCAGGAGAAAACGGCTGTTCCGCGATTCGCCAGCTTCAAACCCCAGCCGCCCACCAAACTCCCTAGTCGCGAGCGAAGCGAAAGAGACGAAAGGCCTAGACACCATTCGAAGCATCAGTCGAGGCATAGAAGCCACCGCGATGGCCGTTCGCGATCGCGGGAGCGCAGAAGAGATCGTAAGGAGCCTCATTCCCGCAAAGAGGCTGGTCGTCGGGGACTTGAACATGAACAAACGCCTATATCGAGAAGCGCCGTAAGAGAACCGTCCGAAGACGTGAAAGATTTATACGTGGTGGATCTGAAAGGCGACAAATATAATCTTATATATGGAACAATACATCGGTATAGTGTCCCTCGCTACTACCGCTTTGGTGCAGGGCGTGTCCTGGGACTGCCGTCGAATAACAGAATCGACCGTGATACTGCTGGCGAAAATGAGATCGTGGTGAAACCTGAGACATGGCGCACGGATTCTTCAAAGCCCAAAGCAAAGAGTTTATTCTCCAAGCTTGACAACCAGCCTACCAAGTTGCTTCGAGTTCGCCCAACCTCTTTTGTGGACAATGCGGATTTTTCCAAGGATTTTTTGCCTCTCAAGGCCTCCAGAAGTCGACAACCAAAGGATGATTTAGAAGCATCTGATACAGAAGACGATAAATATGGGTATCGCTCAATTCACGGAAAACTAAAGCACAGTGAAGATATCTCTAGTGGTCTAGAGTCTATGTCAGATCTAGAGTCCGGTGGTGAAGGCCCGCGAGATGATCTCGACGTGGAAGTCAAACAACGGAGTGCACAGCTATATAGGAACATTGAACGAAATTCTACCGATGTCAAGGCCTGGCTCCAGCTCATTGGCCACCAAGAATTAGTTCTTCGGGGTTCAGCGAAACAATCCAGCTCCTTGACAAACGCAGAGCAGAAAAGCTTGGCCGATATCAAGCTGTCCTTATACGAAAAAGCGCTGAAAAAGGTAGGCCAAAGCTCTTCGCGAGACCGTCTACTACTTGGACTTTTGGAGGAGGGTGCAAAGCTATGGGATACAAAAAAGCTTTTAGCGCAATGGCACTCCATATTGAAATCCAACTCCCAATTTATCAGTCTATGGATCAAGTATCTCGACTTCCGTCAAACTGAGTTCCTAAATTTCACCTATAGCCAATGTCTCACTACCTTCATCGAATGCTTGAATTTGAATAAAGCTACCTCGGATAGTCCTGGTAAAACGCAAGTTCAAATGTACCTGTTCCTTCGCTTAACTCTTTTCCTGCGAGAAACAGGGTACGCAGAGCATGCAACAGCCCTATGGCAAGCTATCTTTGAATTCACATTCTTCCGACCAAATGATTTAGATGCCAACACCAGCACGGATCAGGTCTTATCAGCTTTCGCAGATTTCTGGGACTCTGAAGTTGCGCGTATCGGCGATGCTGGAGCGAAAGGCTGGAAAAACATGAGCACAGCTTCTTTTCACCCTAAAGTATTTGAACCTCAATTCAACTTGGAACTGAAGTCAATAATGCCATCTTGGGCTGCTTGTGAGCGAGAATGCATCCTCAATGCTCAACTTCCAGCTCGCAGCTTGGATGAGCCCAGTGATGATCCATACCGTGTTATTCTTGCTTCCGATCTGAAAGAATTCCTCCCCCTTGTTTCTTCGGCGGACTCAAAATCGGAGCTTATTGATAGCTTCCTATACTTCTGCCAGCTCCCCCCATTTATCACAACCCATAATTTCAAGACTACTGGTCGTTGGATGGGTGACGGTTTTCTACGAAACGAATTGGTCTCTACTTCCTTTTCGGCCCTCACAGATTGGCTTCCTAACTTAAGTACCGACACCGATCCGGAAGTAGTCTCACCGACTATGTTTCCAAACCAACACTTCATTCCTGCGCTCGAGACCTACTTTACGGATCCCAAAACTTGGTTCTCTTCCTTTGGTGCTTGGGTAAAAGCAACATCAGATCCAGCTTGCGTTGTTGTACGCGATTGGAATCGCCGAACTCTCCGATTGCTAGTTGAAGCGATGCCTCAGAATGATGATCTAGCTGAATACGCCGTCGCGGTCGAGTTTGTTTGCAATAACAAGGAAGCTAAAAAGTATGCAAAGTCGCTGCTCAAAAAGCGGCCGTCTAATCTTCGGCTATATAACTCCTACGCTCTTATGGAATGGCGAACGGGAAACCATGCAGCAGCTGATCATGTGTGGGCAACAGCAGTCTCTATGAGTAACACTTTCTCTAGCGATGACAGAATCAGTAACATTCTTCTCTGGCATACTTGGATATGGGAGCTTCTAGAGGCTCGTAAAATAGCTCATGCATCCCATCTCCTGGCTTCTATGCCACAGAGTAATGTTGACCTGAAAGCTTTCCATGATATCTCGAGCCAACCGGAGTTCAGCCCGACAGTCCTACTCAAGATACACAACGTACGTTACTGTACCGTACCCCCTATATTCCTAACCACCACTGACTCTTCCAGCATTTATTGGAAACTCAGGAAAGTGCATTCATAAACGGGAACGTCGACATCATCCGAGCCTGCACAGATTGTCAAGCTATCCTATTATACCTCACCCACTCTCAAGACTTGAGCAAATGTCTGGAAGCGTACAACGCCTCAATCAACAGGATATCTTCATTCCCCGGTTCGGCCGACACCTTCAAATCGTACACCATCGAACTCCTACACCAGTCCCGTGCAAGGCTCATCTACTATCACCTTCGAGCAAGCAAACTTTACCAGCCGTCGTACATCCGCACACTCCTCGCCGAGAGCATCGCCCTCTTCCCACACAACACAATCTTCCTATCCCTATTCTCCTGGAACGAGTCCCGATTCCGCATTGAAGAGCGTGTCCGCGACATCATCCGCGACATAACGACAGCCTCACAACACCACCACCACTACGACGACGACGACGACGACCCCTCAACAACCCCAACTCAGATCCCCATCACAACACACTTATTTTCAATCTACACAGAGCTCAACCGGCCCGTGTACGCCGGGTCCACCCTCCATTCCGCCCGAGCTGCGTTCGAAAACGCCATTGGCGAGCAACCTGGAACATCTTCGCCAAGCAGCAGCCTCGGATCCGGCGCCCATTCCAGCCCTTCCCTCTGGAAACTCTACATTCTCTTCGAACTCTCCCGCAACGAAGTCAACCGGGCAAAGGACGTCTTTTACAGAGCGATGCGCGCCTGTCCCTGGTCGAAGGAAATCCTCATGCTCGCATTTAGCCATCTCCGTGATGATGTGATTTGCCGCCGCACAGGTGACAATCCACGCCAAGGCGAGAAGGGGATGCCCTTCCACGACTTATGTCGCCTGTATAATGTTCTAGTCGAGAAGGAGCTGAGAATTCATCTCGACATAGAGCGGGAATTGGATGACCTTGCCTCGCAAATGGAGCAGAAGAGTCTTGCTCTCGGAATGCCCATTGCAATTCCCGATGACCTCGATAGTGAAGATGAGCCGATGCAAATGTAAATAGAATTCAAAATGTAATGTTACTTACCTTTTTTTTTTTTTTTTTTTTCGGTTCAGTTACATACTAGGTACGGAGTACAAGCAATCGCTAGTCATTGTTTGAGGAAGCATTTTGGCGCTTTGCCATGCCAAGTAGTTATTAATATGTATCGCTTTGCGCGTAGGTTTGATTTCTAAGAACAACACTATATACTAACTAGTTATATAGTTACTAACTAGCTTAAGAGTATAATACAGCGGGTATTATTGCAAGCATCATCATCATCAGACAAACCCAGAGGAATGCAAAATCCAAAGAAAAACTTGCAAAGAACAGGGTCAGGGTCAGGGTCAGGGTCATCAGTCATCACAAATCCTTACAAAAGATATGCATGTAGAAATTATTTATCTTTTTTTTTTTTTTTCTTTTTATGATTTTCTTTCGTGAATTCCGTTCAAGAAAGAAAGGGCACGGCTAGAAGTGCTCCTTCCAGAATTTAAATTTGACATCCCTCGTCGAAGACGCAATTGTGGCCGCCTTGATCTGCCGTGCCGCAGCATTAGGTCCGCAGAAGTAAACTCCAATCTCTGTTGTCGAATGCCCGTATAAGCCCGACATGTAGGACTGGTCCTGCAGTCCCTTACACATGGCAGTAAAGAGACGCTTAAAGTCTGGGCGACCGAAGTTGGTTCGACTCTTGAGTTCGGTCAAGGGGTCGAGTTCTTGGCCGACAGAGTTCAGGTAGATATTCGCGGCGGTGTCCGCATCAAGGCGTTGTGTGAGGTAGGTGTGGATGCGAAGGAACTCGGTTCTTCCTTCGTATGCGGCGTCGCTAGCGGATTGGGCTTCAAGGGACGAAAGAAGCGCCTGGAACCATTCGAAGGAGGTAGTGTCCTTGCAGACCCAGATGAACTCGACACGCCGGAGACGACGGGGCGGGTTAGGACTCGCGCGGAGATGCCAGATGTTCTTCAGGATAGAGGCCCATGGAGTGACACCGATGCCAGTTCCAATAAGAACGGCAATTTCATTCTCGAAAACATCTTCAGCAGGCGCTCCATATGGTCCGTCAACGCGAAGTTTAGGCATCATCTGTCCATTTTGGAGCGCGACTTCATACATCCCCATGGGGTCAAGGCCTTCCAGGTCTCTTGCCTGTGCTGGACCGCAGCCCACGGCATCACCGAGTGCGCGTGTAAAGTCACCGACTTGGCGAACATGGACGCTGACATAGGGGTCGAAGGGACAAGAGGTGATGGTAAAGGGGTGCCATTGGGTGTTGGACACTTCAGGTACTTGGATGAAGAGCCATTGTCCAGGCTTATACTTGAAACTGGGTTTGCGGAACTGGATTTCCATGGCATCTATAGAGATGGTTAGCCCAAACGGACCGAGGTTTGCACGTCTGTAGATAAAGCATACCGTATGGGTGACGGATAACCTTGGTAATCTCGGTTTCCCGTCGGGCTCGAATCTCACGCCAGAGACGTTCAAACAGATACAGAGCACCTGCCACGAGTTCCCATCTCCATCCTTCATATCCAATGCAATGATGCCAAAATCGGGATCCAGCGAATGGTGATACCGGTTCAGCAGAGTCCCGAACAAAGCAGCCCGTGGCGTGGGTGTAGAGCGCCAAAAAGAACGGAACGAACAGGTGGTGCGTATACCAAAAAGTTTCAAAGGATTGTTGGCGGATTCGGTGATGAGATGTGGTGTACATGAGCATCATGCAAAAGAGCATTACATGTCCGGTAACTCCAGCTGGTTCCGTGAAATGAGCCTGTACGGCTAGAATTGGACGTAAATGCCACTCCTCGATGTGATAGAAGCTGCAGGTTGTTAGACATTAGACCTATTTCTCGGTCAATGTTTGGGACTCACTTCACATAGTGAGAGGAAACATGGACAATCGAAAAGAAAAGCAGGGCATATGCAACCTGGCGATGGAACCATATCGTTTCATCAAGTGGGAGCCATCTCAGCCTAGGCCGTAAGCTCTTCATGATGTTCCGACACATAGGCAATAATATTATCGTTCCATCCATAGTCAACACCAAGCCAGCTCCTCTTGAGATCCAAACTGAGTAAGCGAGCGCATTGAGTGGCTTTAATCGTTCGCTGGACGCTTGGATATACCTAAAATATTTTCCATGAGCAATTTCACTGACGGCAAATTGAAGAGAGAGAAAGAAAACCCTACCATCCAGCTGCAAATACGCCGAAATGTAGGCCCCAAAACCAGATGTAGAAGAACAGTTTTGAGGGAGCAAAGTATGATTTCAGCGGGTATCGACCCATGATTGAAAAGCTCAACTAGGGGAGAAAACAGGGGGATCTTCAAACACAATTACTTTCATCGACCCGCGATGAGTGTATTATAGAAAGAAAAGCGAAAGAGGATGCTTTCTGATCCCCTTCTTCGAGACAACGCCTAGACCAAAGATCAAAGGAACAATGTTGATATAGTCATGAAATCGGAAATCTATCAGATCACACAGCTCCGTGGCCGTGAATGTCTTGATTGACAAGGACTATCAATCTCGGATTGAGTGTAGGGAAGAGGAAAGGCAATCGTAGTGGAGGGCCCCAAGCCGAGTAGATATCTCCCGTACGTATTCCCCCTCCAGGTTTATCAATACCACATGTCCTGACACGCGTCTCTTAGAAGAAGAAGAAGAAGAAAACGGCGCTGAGGGAGTTGCTCTCGAGGCCTGTGCGAAAAGAGATGGAAGCAGGATCTCTCACGTTGTTTAACGGACGAGAATCACAATAGCGGGGGGGGGTTAAGAATGGGCGATGGGCGACACTCGGACCATCGTTGGTTATCTCGACGAAGCTCAAACCTTCCAAAGAAGGAATTCAAATTGAACGATGTGGGGATCTTTTTGGCAAAGAAATTGGTGGTTTGCGAAACCCAGAGATGTGGTTTTGATTTGCAGGGAAGAGGAGGAGGGGAGAAAGAAGCGCCAGACGAGCCAAGGGGAAAATGAGTTACATACAACTTGGCAGCGACCTTATGACTCGGTAAGTTGGATTTTGAAAAGAAAAGAAAAGAAATAAAAAATATCTTCTATATTTACACCATCCCTGCTAATCGATTGGACAGAGTTTATTTAAATTAACGCTCGATGGTGGTAGAGTTCTGGTCGTTCTGCGATTTGGGTCTCATCCTTCCATCTCTTCCGAGAGGTTGATGGTGAGACTCTACAGGCCTTCAAAATTAGCGATTGGATATGACTCCAAAGGTAAAGCAATGGGTTATCACTACGGAGTACTTCCAATGTTCCCAGCCTTCCTCTTATCCTAGCCTCGTCATTTCTAATGATTTGCTGGTGCATCGGTGGAGTCTCTGTCACTCAGGAAATCGTCGTCCTATGAGAAGAGTTCTGCAAGCGCCGTTCCCTCATAAATTTTCGACCATCGTGGTATCCCAGTGCTCCATCAGAAAGCGAGGCGTTCGGAATGATGCTGCTTCCAAATATAGCCCCGACCAGGAGGCAAGTCTCGGACTGGACACAAAGCGAAATCATCTCGGTACTCCGTCCATATACATATAGTTCCATTCGGCCCCTTGGCGCCTAAGGGCTGGAGGCCCGAGAGGGTCTTTTGAGGAGGATCTGATTCTTGGGTTTTGGGCCCTTTGGTGCTGCACGGTTGCCAACTCGTCACAGCCAGTGAACACCGGAATGGGACTCGGGTCCTGTAAGGAAAAGCGTAGGATGAAGATTGATCTTCTCCGAACTAGTCCTCACTTCCGATCTGTTGAAAAGACGGTGAAGCTGGACAAGCCCGGAACCGTCTCCATCACGAACAATACTTATTGTTCCTTTCGGGCTTTTTTTTTAACTTGGTTCTCTGTAATCTATCCGCTGCCTGCTTTGGCAGTAATCATTGTAAGGGCTATCACCCTTATGGCACGGGGAGACGGTCCTCGAAGGATCAATTATGGCCTGATGGGCAATTCTCAAAATTATACTCCGTACCTAGACTCGGAACCAAATGCCAAGTGAGGATAAAAATGGAAACATCCAAAAGATAATCAATTCTAGGAAAGAGAATGAGGTTTCCCCCGCTTCACGAGTCTCGAATCTTCAGAATTTGGCCCTAGGTCCTCTCGCATGGTCGTCGTCGTCCGGTCAATCAGAGCGCATCGAGCGGCCGCTAAGGCGGGTTCCCTCGAAACTCCTGCAGGATTTCTCCTCCCCCATCACACTCTGGCGCGTCGCTAATGCAGTCAATCTTCCCGTCTCTACAAACCTCCCGTTCCTATTCGTTCAAGGTCTGGTTCTCGTCACTCATCTAAGCGCTAAGCCAGGAATGCCCTTGCTCATTTGCTAGGGGTCCTTCCAATCACCTTGTCTTAGCACTCAGGCCATGAAGAAGCTCGGCGGGGAGTCCCATCTCTAGCACCGCATCTTGTTCTTCATTGGTCTGTGGCTAGAAAGTGTATTACCGAAATGATTTTCACTTGCATCCAGCCTATAATGGGTGTCCTGGGAGGCACTGGACATCAGGCGGCATGCCTCATTTGCGCCGGGAAGCTATGTAATCTTGTCCCCTCCCAGCGTGGCATAATTTTACCACCTATTTACGCTCGATCCCTTTACGACTCATCTCGGCGGGGATGTGACAGCTGTGATACGATATCTTATCAACTCTTCTCTCTCCAGTGAGGCCTGGGAAGAATAAAGCTACGAATACCACCCCCTCGGCTCCGCTTACCATGTCAATTTGCACGACAATTCCCCGCGCGATATCCCTTGACGAGCTGAGCGACTGAAAGATATTTCGAGCTATCCTTCAATCGAGTTCACTTTCCTGTGAACATACACCACTCTTTTAGTGCAGAGCTCTTTCGCTGGACGAAAGCTGCTTCATCGCCTTCTACTCGACCTCTACCGAACCACGAGAATCAACAATGGGTAGGCTCATTAAAAACCACTGGGCCAGGTTGATCATCCTTACAGCAGCAGCCTGTACGTGACTCTATTTCTTCAACCCCTAGGCATAGCTAACGCGCCAGTTCAACAACAGACCAAGTAGGTAGCGCAGTTGAGGGGTTCATCTGGCCCAAAGTCTTCTGGGACTTCATAACCAAAAATCTTAACGGAGCCGTGACACCAGTTCCTGTACTCCAGATTTTGAATCTCGTTATGGGGTTGGTTGGCCTCGCATGGGAATGGCCATTAAAATACGTCGCGGGAACAATGCCACACCGCAGTATTGAGTTCCGCCTGATGATGTATCCTTTGAGCGCTATCATCGCCATCCTCCTATACCAAGGCACAGATGCAGCTCTCTACTATCTTGTCGGAATTGCTGTTTACTTCTGGGCCTATAGTGAAGGCGAGGTGAGTTTTGCCCAGCCTCCGCCTCGTCATATCGGCGTACCTGACCCCCCTCCACAGGTTGTATGTGCTGAGCCGTGGACTCTACCGAAACGAAGTTCACTCAAGGCCTAAGACTAACATAGAACTGGTTTCCGAGAAATTGGCTCGGTGCCTTGATTTATTCCGATGCTCTGGCAGCACGGTTTTATGTATAGAGATACCCCGTTCATGTATAGAACTAATGTCGGAACATGAGAACCGAATGATATGTAACCACTGTGCAATACAACGATTTTTTACTCGTTCCATTAGGTACTTGTTACCTGGTTCTTGAATACTCAATTTGATTCCACGTGACCGTTTCTCTTCTGGTGGAATGACAATGTTCCTAATAACAGTGCTAATTAAGAGAACACTAATCACCTTGTAAAGCTCTGTGTGGTATAGTTCTCTCTAGTTTTTGCGTGAGAGATAGCAGTCGTTATACCCGCAATAGAGTCTACTTCCGAATTCGGAATAGTAGTACCCCAGGCAACAGTCTCAATCAACCTCGGGTAGAACGAGCCTCAAACCTAGAACACGAATATATATATATATATATATATATATACAATTACGAGCTTGCATACTCATGAGACAGGTCTGAAATCACCCTACTAATAGTCAGACTTATCACAACAGCTTCCCAGGACTCGCGCAAGAACCTCCTCCATCCAACTCAAGAGAACCAAGCATGACGCTTCCCAAACAGAACGACGAGACCAGCAGCGATCCTGGCCCTGTGCCCAGCGACGACGATGTACCCGTTAACAAGATAACGAGTTTCAACGGAGGACTGAAAAGATACATCCATGTCTCGCAAACAGTCACCAGTAGCACCACCAGCGGGCCCACACAGCAAGACGCAAAACGCGATTCCGACACCACCCTCCCCCTCGACAACGAACCCGCCTCCTCCAAACGGAGAAAGAAGCTCGAGTCTCCCACAGTAACAACAATCACATCAAGCTCGACAGCGACAGTAATTCCAGCCAGAAGCCGAAGAAGCCGCCAGCAAACATCCGCGCCGTCCTCGCCAACAAAGACCCCGCGAACCCCGACTCCCTCTGCCTCAGTCTCCCGCCTCCAAGACACCCTCCCCCCCAACCTTGACCTCCTTCTCGTCGGTGTCAACCCTGGCATCATGACGGGCGCCACCGGCTTCGCGTACGCCCACCCGTCAAACCTCTTCTGGAAACTGCTTCATTCCTCGGGCATCACGCCCATCCGCCACCCGCCCTCGGACACCTACAGGCTTCCGGGCCTGTACAATATCGGCAACACGAATATTGTGGAGCGCCCCACGCGCGACGCCAGCATGCTGGGCAAGGCCGAGATGGACGCGGGCGTGCCGGTCCTGGAAGAAAAGGTCGCGGCGAAGCGGCCCCAGGCTGTGTGTTTGGTTGGCAAGGGCATCTGGGAAGCTGTGTGGCGGGCGAGGAAGGGGCGGGCGATCCGCAAGGAGGAGTTTCGGTATGGGTGGCAGGATGCCGCGGAGAATATGGGGAGGTCCAAGGAGTGGGCTGGGGCGAGGGTGTTTGTGGCTACGACGACGAGTGGGTTGGCTGCTTCGATGACGCTGGCCGAGAAGGAAGCCGTATGGAATCAATTAGGGGAATGGGTTGTTCAGAAGCGGGAGGAGAAGAGTGTAGAATGTAAGTGATAATTTTTTTTTTTTTTTGTTTTTTTACAACCGATATATAGAAGCACACAAGTGTACAACTACTACTACTACTATACACCTGATCTCACAATCACAGAAATACAACACAGCGAGCTCATCGCTTCATCCTGCACAAGCAGACATACATACATAAAAACCCTGCACCGAGAATCACCGCATTAACCCCCCAGGCCCATTAGAAGGGTTCGTATCACCCTCTCTATCCCGTTGCTAGACAAAAAAAAAAAAAAAAGAACCAATGAAGTCAGCATATACGATTTCTTTCTTATATCGTCCAAAAAGCAACAGAAAAAAAAAAAAAAAAAAAAATCCATACCGAGTAAGCCTGATAATCACCCTTCTCAAGAATCTTCCTCATACATTCTTCGTCGTTATAGGTCCCGAATTCGTTTTCCAGGGAAGCCCGACTAGCTCCGTCAAGGACACCTTGGGCACCATGTCTGTATGTCGATAGAAAAAAGAAAAGAAAAGGCTCAATTAGCAATCATGAAGATTCCCTAGGATTAAACAACAAGCAGAGCTTCATACCGATGCGTAACGAAGATCTTCCATCCGTTCACCACATCAGCCAAGGGCACTGTGGAATCGGTCTTCCATTTCTGGAGGGTGTTCAGGTCGTCTACGAAGACAATGAAGTCATCGGATTTGCCCTTGTAGAAGATCTTGGAGCTGGGGTCGCTGGCACGCATGATGATGGGGGGGGGGATGAGATAGGAGGAAAGAGTCAATGGTGTGAACGGTACTTGAGAGAGGTAGGGGGGGAAGTGAAGAAGATGGTGGAAGGTCGCGTGAGGGTTTTGAAGGGCTGTTATAGATGGTCCGGACGGGGGTGGGAATGATGTAAGTGACGTCACCAATCTGGTTCGGGGGGGCAATTGAGAACAGGCAACGGGCAGAGAATCAAGAGGTTTCCCAGCAATGAAGAATAAATGTTAACAGTCGGAAAGAATAGACAATTGGCTGGATGAGATGTATGTGTTGATTGCGATACCCCCCAGGCTGAACACCCATCATCATGTCCTTTGAATAACGTCCCTCCCACTAACATGCCACTTCATCCCCCCCACGACGTCATTGACCTCATACGCTTCGTCTTATGTGGGAATCCGCTATGGTCCAGAGACTCTGATCAACATTATCCATTCCTTCTTCTAGCATATCTTACAAATGTGGAGTCTACCAAGTAGGTACTCGTTACAGAATTGAATGCCTTTCATCGTCATTAATATTGCAGAAGCTCTCATACCTATGACGCCTAGGCCGGGATATGCCCCTGTTTCTCCACAGCTGTCGAATCGACTAGACTATACGGTAGTTTCTGTATACGGATAGACCTGATGCAATACCGCAACCGTGTTCGTAGCCAGTTGCATCATCATCATCATCATCATGCTCCACTAAGACTTGGGCGAGCATTCTTCCTTGACTTTCTTAGTGACATGGAATTTATCACCGATCGAATAGTTTTGAGTGAAATCGCATCAGAGTGTTCAGAACTCTTATCTCCCTTAGCCGCGGGCTGAGGTTGAGAGCTCGACGTCAGTTTTGGACTGCTTTTCGTCTTCATGGTCTTCGATCGCCCGATAATTATCGAACTATCTTGCCGCTGTGTCCGGCCTTTCTCATTATCGAGACCTATACTGGACTCTGAAGCCTCCCGTCTTCCTGTTTTGCCCGAGACTTGCATTTTCTCGTTATCCTTATCAAGGCCGGGGGAGTCACGAACGTTACGCCAGGAGGTTGGTAAATTAACAGATCTAGACCGTTTATAACGCTTTGCTCGAAGGCTCAGATGTCTCATGAGTGAGCTAGACCCAAACAAGATCTCACCTGTGGCCAAAAACATTCCAGGGTATGGGAGTGCATCTCGCGTATATATGGGCAAAATAGCGCGTTCCAGGCGAATGCGATCCTGTCTTTTAGCGGTCAGGACCACGGCTGAGTACGAAGACGGTGTCTTTGGTCTATCTATTTCGCCATCTACCTGGTGTGTTTGGCCGTGTTTCTGTGGGCAATACGTCTTCTTGATGATTACATGTTGTGACTCCGAACGGGTTCTTTTGATGGCTAGTGAATGCACAGACGGCCGCCGTGACAGCCGAGGAAGCGTTGAGTCTTGTTCCAATGAGTTGACATCCAGGGATAGAAAGCTGCAGGCCCTCAACTCGGACGAAACCGAGCCATGCACATCTGTCGAAGCAGCGGCTGACTTGAGAATGCCTGTCTTCCATCGCCTTTCTTCTGTTGCAGATGAGGCGCTCAAGACTATTTCAAACTTCTCACCTTGATATTGGAATATCAATTTCCACGAGAATAAGCAAAAGTATTCGATGCCTACCAAACCATTAGCAGCAGTTAAAAAAAGAGGGAATGGGGAAGATGCTGACTTACCTTTCCCATTCGTGGGGCTATCAATTTTCACATCATTAATATATAAACAGGCAATTGGGCGAAGCTTTCGGTATTCGTCGTTCATCTTGGCGAGAAAAAAATGGTGTTTGAATAAAACACAAACCATGTAAACTCCTACTACATGTCGGGACACATGGTAAGTGACGTGGAGAACGCCACAAAGAGACATAGGCCCCAATTGCTTGTAGATATCGAAGCTCGTTGCCTATGAATAGCGATAAGTGGTTATTACCCTCTAGTAGCATAGAATTCTTGGGCTCACCGGATCGGGAAACTCCAGCATCTCCTGTAAGGAGAAAGTCTTGTCAACCAAAGCTGTATTGAGAGGATTGGTGGTGGCTTCATTGATCCCAGCAAGACTTGCACGAACACCCTCCAATATCTGGCGAATCTCGTCATGCACCGATGGGTCATCTTGGATATGAGTGTATTTCAATAATTCTTGTAGCAGCAGTGGATATTTACAGAGGCGCTGAGCTGGCTATGTTTCGTTAGTATATAGTTCCCCCTCTATTAAAATAATGATGTAGTCAAACCTTGACAAGAAGATCGTTCAAGCACATGGATTTGTTTTCATATACTGCCCGAGCTTCTGTAGATGCCGTTGATTTTGCTATAGCCTCAACTCCTTGCTCAAAGGCTGGCCCATTTCGAACTGATTTTCGTATAACAGCAGCATCTTCAACCATCAGTTGGTAATTATCACAAAACTCTTTGTAGTTCGCAAAGGACCGTGACTGCAAGAACGTAGTTTAGTATAATCTTAAGAGGTGGAACTTTAAGCACCTACCAACTTTCCGATTTCTCTAGCGACTACCAAAGCTTCATGTGCTTCCGCAGTTGAGGCCTTATGGCGATAATTGAGGGAGGCCTTGAGATTATGCATCCTTGCGGATCGACTTTGGATGCCTTTGAAGCTCCAGTCAACGGCTTGAAGTTCTTTTTGTGATACATTGTATAAAGGTTTACCGAGATCCGCTTTAGCAATCGGGACCACAGCCCGGATTTGTTGATAAAAATGCTCATGCGTTTCACGAATACGTTGGACATTGTGGTATACTTCGGCGCGGGCTGAGGTATATAAAAGCAACTATAACCACAGACCAATTAATCACGGCTGCTCATGGGGAGTGGAAGAAGAACTGGGTAATTATACATACACTGGTAAGAGCCTTCAGCCCAAAAATATAGTCATTCTCAGTGGAAATTATTTCCTGGAGAACTTGACGCCGCTTTATGGCACGCTTCTGTGCTTCCTCATCAATGGAAGAACTCAATGCAGGTCTCAAACTGTCAATTGAAGCTCGCAGGTCCGACTTTATGCTTGGATTTGTGGTACTCTGGGTAGTCCTCCTCGATCTCACTACACTCTGGCTCGCAGTACTCATTGTAGCCGTCTTAATCGTTCCTAGGTGAGATGAATTGCCAGACAACTTCTCCCATTGTTGTTCCTGAGATTCCTGGTAAGGAGAAACATGAGAGGTATTGTCACAACTGCCTGGTAGTGTGTCAGCCCACCCATCAACATGTCGCTGAGACTGATGAAGGGCGATGCTCTTCCGAGCTCGGAAGCTGTTTACCCATCGTCTAAATGGGTGCAAAGTACCGACTCTTTCGGCAGTTTCATGGACATCATCCGTTTCCTGAAGGCTCAAATCATTCTTTCGTTCTCGATCCCACCCTGTGACGACTGGGGGCTGGCTCGTAGCCTCTTTAAACTCTTCCATCGTGCGACCAGATTCGATCGACACGTCTTTTTGAGAAAAGATGATTATGGAGGAAGAATAAAGAAGTACACGCTCCTTCAGATAAAGGCAGCGTTTGTCTTCCTCATAGGAAAGATCGGAAGTAACGATCTTTTCAACCAACTGATTTGCAAAGAAGGAAAGGACGAACCCTCCGAGTAATTCCTCAGGTGTCCAACATATCAATACTTGCCAGCTTAGATCAAAAACATCAAAGAGTCCTGTGGAGATCAGATTGAAGCTTCTCAATTATTACCCCATTGTGTATCTCAATTGAGGCCTAACCCCCGAGCAACCAATCCCAATACCAGCCATCCAGTGTTAACATAAAATCACGCAGCATTTTTACCGCGAGTATCTCTGTATACCTTTGGTCAAGGCTTCATTGCTATCCCCAAGTTCTCAGCCATACCTAGGCTGGTCTTTGTAGCCCAGATCTCCGAGTCCTTGACATTATCATAGAGAGGCTTCAGCATAAACGTCCCGTTGACCCAGAAAGGCGGGAAAAGAAGGAGCATAGTCAACCAGACACTGCAAGAAACTTGCTAGCGATAGAAAAAAAAATGGATAAATACCTCCCATATCTAATTTACTAGTAATGTATTACACGATCGAGCAATTTATCCAGCAAATCGAGCTGTTTTACTGGAATAAATATTCCGTGCTCTCCCAGAGTAGGTGTATATATATATAGTTATGACGTGCCAGGCGGGGGGAGAGACGATACGAGATCTTCTCCAACCATCTCTCCCGTGCTGGGGATCTCTCCCGCCACCATCTTCATTATCTTCCCATTATCTGACCGCAACACTCGCCATCATCCCTATGTCATCCCAAATGTTTTTCTAAATATCCATTCTGCGTAGAATGGGCATCCCCATGGACAGCAATATTCATGCCCCGACAGTATCCTCCGGACCAACATCCGGAGGGATCCCCGCCCGCGATCTGTCCAAGCTCTCGATGACTGATCTGATGAAGCACAAGGAAAAGATTGAGGAAGAGCTTTCGGCGCTCAGCAGTGTACTAAGTTCTGTGGGTATTTTGGATTGCTCATCGACCATGTATTTTATATATCGCTTACTGACTCACTCTCCTTTGTGTAGCATGGCGTTAACATGGGCACTTCACTTACAACATTCGACGGCTTTCCACGCGATGATATTGACGTGGCTCAGAGTAAGGCATCACTCGTTGTCTGCAACTCATTCGCTAAAATTGGGACAGTACGCACTATAAGAGCGCAGATTATCCGACTTCGTTACGACCACAAGGAGGCCATGAACCACATCGAAAAAGGTATTCACGCTCATTTTGCCAGCCTTCAGAGCGCCAGGGACAGTACCGCTACCTCTGGAACTACGAACGGCTCTGCCAGCCTTGGCTCCGAAGCAAACACGCCAGAGACTGTGATGGGTGGGATAAGACCATTTGCGAAAGTGAACAGTGTTGTGTCTGGAAGCCCTGCTGATCGGGCCGGCTTGAAGACCGGTGATGCTATACGAAGTTTTGGAAGTGTAAATTGGCTTAACCACGAGCGCCTATCCAAGGTGGCGGAAGTGGTTCAACAAAATGAAGGGGTAAGCACCTCCTATGCCTACTACTGTCTCCTTGGGTCTGCCATCTAGGTAGGCGGTATCGATTATGTCTAACTGATCTCACTCAGCGCGCCATTACTGTCAAAATTTCTCGAAAGGAGGGGGCGTCTGATCACACCGTCGAACTAGATCTGGAACTTATCCCACGCCGCGATTGGGGCGGTCGCGGTTTATTGGGCTGCCACCTTCTCCCTTTGTAATGACACCATCTTCCATCGGCTGCAGCCACATGGAAATACTGGCGGATGAACATGTACAACAAGGCGGTAAAATACGGGGGAAAGAATGAGAAGGGAATGTCAGGAATGGGACACGATTTCACGACTGATTCTACTGTTTTGAAGAGGCATGAATGGCGTTAGTTTAATTTGGGTCAATAGCAGTCAACGTATTTCTGTCGACGAGGAATGGGCATCAGAATGGTGATGTCTATGTCAGCAATAATTCATAGTTACTAGAGTCAGTTACTGTACTAGTAGTAACACGAAAAAACATCCTGAAAAGCTGATGCGTCGTCAGGTACAAAAGACCAAAAAAAAGGATGCATTCATTGTGACGCCGCGGGGCATGGCGGCCTGAGGCAACAGCACGTGACCATGGACGCAGTGACCGACTCGGGGCAAAAATTCCATCACCAGAATCACCTCGTTCACTCTATTTTCTCCCTGGCCTCATCCCATTCGGTTCCCCACCTGATACATCGATCATCGTCTGTCGTGTGTTTAACCGTTGGTTTTAATTCCTTCTATCTTGCATTTGAAATCTTTTTGATTTCTTCGGTTTTTGTTCTTTCCAACTTCATATAAACATCATCGCCATGGCCCAGCAAACCCCAACCTTCAAGCTCGTCCTCGTTGGTGACGGTGGTACTGGAAAGGCAAGTATCTTGGATTTTTTCAAAGAGAAACTATTTATCTAGTTATCGCTCTATGGTCATCCCGATTCACCTCCATTGTCTACCTGTATCCCTTCGTTCATATTGTTTTTTTTTTCCCTATCGCAGCCATCGTCAACAATGGAGGAAAAAATTCAGCCCCGCGGCCATCTCAGCCTGTTTATCAGAATATCGACTAACTGAAAATTTCCTCTCCAGACCACCTTCGTCAAGCGCCACCTTACTGGTGAATTTGAAAAGAAATACATCGCCACTCTCGGTGTCGAGGTTCACCCTCTTGTCTTCACCACTGTATGCCATGCCCCGCTGGCGACCCCGCTTTGGCCTTCTGCCGTCCAGTTTCGCATTTGACTAATGGTTGTATTAGAACCTGGGAACAATCCAGTTTGATGTGTGGGATACCGCCGGTCAAGAGAAGTTCGGTGGTCTGAGAGATGGATACTATATCAACGGACAGTGCGGTATCATCATGTTTGATGTTACCTCGCGTATTACCTACAAGAACGTTCCCAACTGGCACCGTAAGTAATTCTTCGTATACTCCATCTTTGAGCGGGCCATTCTAACTCCCCCCATCATAGGTGATCTCGTCCGTGTCTGCGAGAACATCCCCATCGTCCTCTGCGGTAACAAGGTCGACGTCAAGGAGCGTAAGGTGAAGGCTAAGACCATTACCTTCCACCGCAAGAAGAACCTGCAGTACTACGATATCTCCGCCAAGTCCAACTACAACTTCGAGAAGCCTTTCCTGTGGCTTGCCCGGAAACTGGTTGGCAACCCTCAGCTGGTGAGTGATACTTTAGGCCCTGTCCCTTCAAAGGACCCTTTTGCTGATTAAAACGCTTCCAGGAATTCGTTGCCGCTCCTGCCCTTGCTCCTCCTGAGGTCCAGGTTGACGCCGCCCTCATGCAGAAGTACCAGGAGGAGATGAACGCTGCCTCCCAGATGCCTCTGCCCGACGAGGAGGATGCCGATCTCTAGATGTCTAAATCGATGAGAGTTTTGGGTGGGACTTCGGTCATATGCCAATGACCGTTTGTCTACTCCGGGTGGGTTACTTGGAACGATACGCAAAGTCTCGAATTACGATACAACGATAGCGGTCGGTGGATTGGTTTGAGGACGGCTGGCATGATTTGCTTTTTTTTATCCCTTTTTTTTTTTTCCTTTTTTTCACCCAATATTTAACCACTAGTAGTCTAGACTCCTTATCTCTACAAAGTTCATATGAATCGCAGCTATAACCATAGTTGTCGGGAAAGAAAAAGTTTCCATCTCGTTACATAATTCTATTCTACTTGAACTAATAACCAAAGGAACAGCAGAATCTTCACTAGCCCCTTACCTTCCTTATATAACTATACCAGTATCCTACAAGGACCTCGGCAATATACCAAATCAACCCCCCCCCCCCCCCAAAAACGAAACTCTCAGCATCGACTCAGGTCCTCCGTCCAGGTGGTGTATCCAGTATCCATGTATGCGGACTCAGTACTTGGTAGGAATTACTAGTACGGAGCACAGAGTCCTAGAACTAGGTAACCTACCTACTAACTACGCAGTACTGTACAATAAGAAGATACCGTAGGGCAGCAAACCATTTTCCTCTCTCTCTGCACCTGCGCATTTAGCGAGATAACGCAATGACGTCGTTTCTGTGAGGGGAGAACCCAAGGTATTTATTTACTTCTAGGTGCAGTAGCAGTAGCAGTAGTAAGAGTAGGGTAAGAGTAAGTGTAAGTTGGGTACCTAGAGAACTCCACGGTCAATTGTTGGGCAGAAACAGGCAAGGCAAGGCAAGGCGAGGAGGATTTGTAAAGGAACTAAGTAGTACCTAAGTAACTAGTTACCTAGTAGGTAACTAGGTAAGTAAGTAGTCCTGGACCGTATGATGGATGGATGGATGGATTGTACTCTCACCCTTGCTTCATCATTATGATTCCTACAAAGTTTACTTTGTGCCTTGCTTCTACTACTAGGAAGAAGAGGAGGAGGAGGAGGAGGAGGAGGAGGAGGAAAGTAGCTGTAAACCATCATTTATTTTTATCTATCCTCATGAAAACGAAGCATGTCATGTCTCATGCAATATCGAGGTAAATCCGCTAAGAAAACGCTTGCACAAGGTGAATAAGTAGCCCGAGAACCGGCAAGGGGGGAACAGTCGAAGAAGGCAGATACTGTTGACTGAAACTAAAAGCATGAAGTCGAATTGGCAAAGTAGTAAAACACAACAAAGGTTAAATAAATCCCGGGCAACCATTCAAAAAAGGAGAGGGTAAAATCAAAGTCTTGGGTATCTAAGGAAACTCTTGTGTACAAAAAAAAAATCCCAGAAATCCGCTAACGCCGGGTCGTAGGAGGAGTAGCATAGCATATGTAAAGTGGGATGGCTAATTTTACCGGATGCCCTAGACAAAAAAAATATTAGTATGGCCAGAGATCTGGGATTTGAGAGTGCAAGGGAACGGACAAATAGATAACGTAATTCGGTGGTACTAAGCCTGGAAATACTTTTTGAAGCGTTTTCATCCAATGCACCTTCGATGAGCTGGCGCTTCTTATCTTGAAGCTCCAGGATGCGGTCCTCCACAGTGTTTGGTACTAGAATTCGGTGGATGTGTACCTCGCGGGTTTGCCCAATGCGATGAGCCCGGTCAATTGCCTGCTCCTCAATATATGGATTCCAGAACGGATCGAAAAGAATCACATGGGAGGCTGCGACAAGATTCAACCCGGAATTGCCAGCTTTCAAGGACACCAACATAACCCGGCACTCAGGGTCGTCGGTAAAGTCGAGCACCGCCGAATTCCTGTCCCCAACCTTCATACTCCCGTCATAGCGTCGATAATGAAATCCTTCACGTGCAATGGGGACCTCAAGCAAGTCAAGAAGGGAAGTAAACTGGCTGAATATAATCGTCTTCCCGCTGCCTTCGTCGTGCTCAATGTCTCGCAGGATTTCCATGGTCTTCTCGATCTTCGCGCTTGTGATCCAGCTTTTCTCCAGACGACGCAGGTACTTGCGTTTCGCAGTTTGGTTCTTCATTGCTTCCTTCTTGAGTACCGCAAGGGTTTTCTTAGTCTTCTGGGGCTTTTTCCCCTTGCCTTTCCGTTTTCTTTTCAACTGTTTAGATGAACTTTCATCCTCACTGTCATCCCTAAGGAAGCGTGACAAGCTGTCATCTTCATCATCCTCACTGCTGTCACTCTCATCATCATCATTATCATTGGCAGCCGGCTGGGATAGCAGCTCCGTCGAGTCAGCCGATGAATCAGGATAGTGAACTTTTCGAAAGGTGACATGATCGGTGATTTTCTTGGTGTCAACTATGCCACGACAGTTGGGGCATTTCACCTCCGGCGTGCCGTCAACCCCCTGTCTCAGGGCAAGGGCTGGATCTGAGATCCTCGCAAAACATTCGGCACATGTGCTATGGCCACACGGAAAGAAAATTATCGGATTATCCACTGCATCCATGCAGATAGGGCACTCGAGGTCGGCGTTATCTTTGAGGCGAATAATAACATTCTCCCTGAATAGCTTTGCATTGGCGGTAAGATCTAGCTCATTCGTGTTCTCGTTAAGTTTGACACTCATGTCGGAAATCAGGTGCGGGTGACAGCATGCCTGTCGAAGACGGAGGAGGAGGACGAGAATGTTGGAATAATTGCGCCCCACAGTACCAGATTGCAGATACTTATTGAATTGTAGTTGGGTTCGGGTCTCAAGCGCAGTGTATAATTCGAGCTCGTCCTCGCTGAAAGCTGCGTGTACCTTTTCAGAGATGCGGGCAGGGAGTTCTAGAATAGGGTTGCCATCTATCTTCTTTGAATCCTTCGTTCGTCGTAAGAGAACCGCCTTCAACAAAACTCGAAGTTGCGTCATTGCTTTCTCCTGCAGACGTACATTGCCCCCTTGGAGCGGCCGCGTAAAGTCCTGGTTTGTGGGAGTTAACCATCATCGTCATCAACTTCGAACATCAAGACAAACGGTACTTACCCGATTAAACTGATCAAGGCCACAGTAAGGGCGAATACGCAAAAACTTCAACAGTGAGTGCAATTCCTCCACACTATTCATCATTGGGGTTCCACTCATGCACCAACGGTAGGTGGAGTCGATACGGCAACACGCCATGGCCGACTTGGTATTCCTATTCTTGATGCATTGAGCTTCATCGATGATAACACGATACCACTTGCTGGTAGGCCCGAGACAAGGTAGTGACTTCAGGTATTGACTAGTCAGTGTCGGCTCTTCCGCACCCGACTTAAGGAGTTCCTCGTACTTCTCTACACGCTTCAGCTCCGACGACAGGGTGCCAAAGGTAGTCAAAACAACATCATAACATTTAAGGTCCCTGAAGGTTGCCCCTCGCTTCTCACCGTGTAGAATATAGACCTTGAGTTGGTATTTGGGTCGAAGCATCTTCTCGATTTCCCGCTTCCACTGTTGTAATAACGCAACAGGAGCGATAATCAATGTTGTCTTCCTCTCCGGATCAGTCGACTGGCGAGAGACAATAAGAGATATCGCCTGAATGGTCTTTCCCAGCCCCATATCATCGGCAAGAATGCCACCTTTCTGTTCTTGCTCCTCCATCGACTTCATCCAGGCCAATCCTAGCGTCTGGTGTTCCAACAGGGTACATTTTAAGGCTTCGGGGGTCCCTTGTCGGTCTTTCAGAGAGATGTCAGAATCAGGGCGGATGGTTTCAAGTAGTTGCTTGATTTCTTTGTTTAGCTGTGCCGGATCAGCTCCGGGCTCACTATATAGATTGGACGTTAACAAATATAAATATCCAGACAGGGGATCAACCTACCTGACATAGCTCCAAGGGTCATCAAACCTGTCGGGAATGAAATCTGTGACGATATGTCCCAAAGGATCATGAGAATTCCTTGCATTTGCTAAAAACTCTCTCCCGGCTTTGAGTCTCTCCGTAGGGTTCTGGTACATCCTAGAGCCATAAACGGGGTAAGAACGAGCGATCCCGCTAGGTCCAGGGTGTGCAAAATTTTCAGCTGGGATCTCAGCGACATCGCTATCATCGCTATCAATGACAAGAACTGGGGCGGATTTCGGAAATCTTGAACTTTGTTGCGGGGCCTCCTCTGTATGTCCCTGACGCGTGGGAAAGGGTGCGGCGCGTACGGGAAAAGACGTCCTGGACTGACGGATAGATGAAAATGCAGGATGCGACAATGGGTGCGCAGGCTCGGGAGCGCCCATAAGCGAGCGAGCGAACTCCGCATCGCGACGCTCTTGTTCCTTCCGTTCTTTGAGCCATTTCTCGGCTTCTCTCTGTTCCTCTCTAAGGAAGCGGAGATGGTCTTGATTGTCGACCCCAAAAATGCGCAAAAGTTCATCCACGTCTTCCGCATTTTCAAACTCATTATCCGACTCCGCTTGCGTGCTGCCCTGGGTGGATGACGATGGGCGAGTCGACGCAAGCGCAGTTTCGTAAGCTCGCTTAGACGGAGGCTGTCTCAGGTCATCTTCCAAGCTAGGATCATCTCCATCGTCGACGAAACGCTGGCGTTTTTGTACTGGGGGCATTTTCGAGAGCATATACCGGCCGGGGGGTGGATGAGATTGAGATCGGGAGGAGGGAGGAGGCGAAGCGGATGAGGAGGGCGAAGGACTCGATGGACTCGTTCCGTAAATAATTCCAGGGCCGTCTAGCTGCGCCCCAGACAGCGTTGAATTTTCACTATTCTCGTCCGACGATTGAGGGCGGCCGAGCGAGCCGTTCGTAGGGTCTCCGCGTAGGTGGGAAAGCCTTGATTCTAATGCGTTGATAATAACCACAGTTTCTTGCCTCTCGTCCACGGCATCAGGCCGTTGTTCGTCTAAGCTCTGCAAGATCGCACGGTAGAGGTTGAGCTCTTCCAAGACATCGTCAGTCGACGAGCCAGCGGGGGACGCCATGTTTAAGTAGAAGGGTGTTCCGTTTGTCGGGACCAAAGGCTTCGACACGCGAGGCTCTCCAGACGCACAACGGCCTCGATGGCACGACCAATCAAGGACGATACGACGTGGGCGACTCCAAGACCACAATTCTGAGGTGGCGGAAGAGAACAAAAGAGATGCGGAAGTGATAAAAAGAAAGTTGCGGCTTAAGGGGTCCGGTTGGTCCTTCTTGGCGGAGACGATAAAAGAATGTGTTTCAAAGCTGAGAGATTCTTTGTGTTTAATTCACAATTCTCTCAAAGAAGGTCTTATTTATAACATATCATGCAGGAAGGTAGTGAATAACTATTTCCTCAAAGGTGGTGAACTGATTTATTTTTGGGGGGGTTGGGGGGAATTTTTTGGATATACTCTTTTCAGGAACCTTGGGTTATGTATCCATATTGTATGTATATTGAAGTATTCCCCTCTTATTCAGATCACTGAGAGTTGGACAGAGCACCCACTCTTTCAGTACAATATTCTTCCAAGCTTCTATTGCTGACCGCAGAGAGCTTCCTCTATATATATCCGGTTGTCTGCACGTTGACAGGGGTACCTCTGAAGATTCCACCAAGACTGGATTGGGTGAACAGGTAGGTCATCAGGCATACTCGTAGGTAGATATTGTAACTAAGTTACTCTTTAAAGGACCTTTTCGCTTAGGAGGGTGGTATACTGTGAATCCACAATAGTAATAGGGTTCCAGTCAAGCATTCAAATTCTGATAGGGGCATTCCTGTCATATGAAAAACAAGCACCACATATGGCCAGGTAACGAGGTAGATACGTACTCCAGGAGCCAGGCCCTGCTATAAGGCTCGTTTCCTCTCATTCAAAATCTTCAGGCTTCAGGTAGAGTCTGTAAGCCCAGCAAAACTCTGTGGAACTAAGAAGTGACCGACATGTCAGATCGTGTGCAGGTTTAAACCCAGAAGCCTCGGTACAGCGGCCTCTTCCCCTACCGCCTCCATTCACATGTCCCAATCCCCGATTTCTCCGGATTGACAAGGCTGCTATTAATACGCTCTTCTTCTGTGTCTTTGGTAGTTACACCATCTTACTTCTCCTCCTTTCTTCAAGTGTCCCTATATAATAAATCTCACCAACACCATGTCTCTCAAAGTTGGTAAGTTGGTACCTCCATCCACCACCGCCACCTGTCACTAATCATCTTGTCCCCATCTAGACGATTTCCCTTCCTCCGCCGCCTTCGACGTGATCAACTCCACTCTGCAGGGCGATGCCGCTGGCCGCAAGGAGGCGATTGATAACGCTAAGGCTGTCGTCGCATTTACCCTGAAGAACTCCAAGGGCAAGGAGGAGAGCTGGCACCTCGACCTCAAGGACAAGGGTGTTGTGGGCCGTGGTGTTGCTCCCGCTGGCGGAAAGGCGGATGGTGAGTTTCTCTCTTCATAGTCAAGGGTTCATGCTGATTAATGGCTTTGCAAGTCACCCTTTCTCTCTCCGACACAGACTTCGCCTCGTTGGTCTCCGGGAACGCCAACGCCCAAAAGCTCTTCATGGGCGGCAAGCTCAAGATTAAGGGCAACATCATGAAAGCCACCAAGATGGAGCCCATTATGAAGAAGGCCCAGGGCAAGGCCAAGCTATAGATACCCCCTTTTTATATTCTCACCGATGTATTTCCTAGCTGTATGACCTTTGATTTGGGAAAATAAATATGTTATTTCTAAATTTTTGGGCGTAGTATAGTTGCTATCCGAGATTGTCATATCTTAACCTCATATCATCTATTTGACTCTGTAGTATGTAGCTATTGGTAAAATGAGATGTGTTGACCATTATTTTATATACAGTCTACTCCATATAAATTCCTCAATGCTCAAGACAGATTGAATCTTTTAGACAGACGTCATTTCCTGTATGTTTTTAGCCACCACGAGTGGTTCCATCTGTCTTTGATGTGCATTTGATGTACATTCCTTATTTATGCTATGGAAACCATGCAATTTCCTGTAGTCTATCTGTATTGGAATACCAGGCCAATCAATGGTCTGAACAATCGGCCAGCCACTTTCTTTTATTCTTTGTACCCGGTCAAAACAATCAACATCCTGTAGATTTAAGTACTGTATCTACTACAATGTTCATTTTATTATTATTATTAGCTCTATATAGAAATACCCCCTTTGCAATCTACAGGTATTACAGCGTAATTTTCTTTCGTTGCCAAGACCAGCCTTGCATGATATCACGTGACTGTCGTTTTTTCCCTCAGGTGTCTCTTTTTTTCTCCTCCTCCCGGCGAAAAGGCGAGAGCCCACCGGGTGTTACTTGAAGGTTTCAAAAAAAAAAAAAGGTAGCTCGACCAGAGCCAACCTCCCATCCTTTCTCAGGTAGAGCACATCACTCTACTACAGACACTTTCCATCCAACGGCTCTGCCTTTCCACTTTTTATCCTTCTCCTTCCCTTCCGCCTTCCTCCTTACTCTCGCGATTCGCGACCTACCCACTACTTCGCCCGTCAAGTGGACCGAGCGCGTGTGCGTCTCTTGAACCACGATTTTTAAGACTGCTTGAAATCGGAGATTTCCTGAATTGTCTTGATTTATCGATCACGGATCCGCTTGACAACATCGCGGATACCTCGTCCTTCGTCGTTCGCGAATCTAGACGCACATCCTCCTCCCGCGCTTCGGACCCTCTCGCAACCAACTCGCCTCTGCGGTTGTTGTGGCCACGAGTGCTGGGCCCCTTGAGTATCATCAAGAGGCGATCATATTTACTGCAAGGAAGTGCTGAAAATTGCGCAAGACTTCACTGTGGATGAGATCCGTCTGTTAAGACGCTCGCTCGGGAATTTAGGCAGGGGTTGAAGCGGATCAGGATTTCACAATCTACGACCGCAGGTGCTGTGTTGCCATATTGATAGATGTCTAAAAGATCGGCTCAGGGCCCTCAAGGGGATAAAGATACTGATCTATTTCAATTCAACATGTCGAGCACACCGGACGAGAAGCCGCAGCGGGCGACCGCGGCGCAGATGGCGCAGAGAAGGTAAGTGAACGCTGACCGACCTTTGCGACCAACTTTATTCCTGTCCCTTCCTGCAGCTCCACCCCAGAAAATCGAGTTGTTGTTTTTTTTTCTTATTTAATAAACCCAACGAAATTTTTGGTGTCGATTGTTACCGACTTTCTGGTTTTGTGTTACTTTGTTAACTTTTTACCCCCTTTGCCTGGTTTCCCTGTGATTGACTCGATTCCCCCCGAAAGCTCCTTCAATTACCTTGCTTCGATTCCATCTGCATATGTCTCTTCTGTATGTTATCATAGCATGTCTGATGCGTTGTCTAACGACTCGAGCAGAATCAAGGAAATTCGAAGGCGACCGCGTCCTGGGGCCTCCGCCGCTTCTGGTGCTCCGGCTGCGTCCTTCGGTGGCCCCTTCAGTTCCATCGATCCCAACACAGTTTCTTCTACATCTACGGCCCCCCAGCCGGTGACGAATGGATTTACATTTGGTCAGTCACAAAGCTTTCCAGGGGCTGGATCAACTCCCAAACCTGCAACTGAAAACGGAGGATCTGGCTTCTCCTTTGGCTCTGGCACTGGCGGCTCATCATCCTTTAACTTTTCCTCGTCCTTCGGTGGAGCAGGAGCATCTGCAAATCCTTTCGCCAGTATAAATACTGGTGCTACTAGCCAGCAGTCGGACGCGGGCAGCTTCTCCGGCTTCAAAGGCAATCTATTCAACATCCCGGCCAATAGTCAGTCTCCAGCCCAGCAGCCTCTACCTACGGGAGGAATTTTTGGGACTGGATCCCAGAGTACTTCTACTGGGGGCTTATTCGGTACCACTACGACCACTGCACCGGCTCCTAAGTCTGGCGCTACTACTCCACCAAACGGAAGCATTTTTGGCCAGTCTACTACCACTGCTCCTTCTACGAATATCTTTGGTCAATCTGCGGTAGAGAAGCCCACACCGTTTGCCCAGTCCTCCGCATTTAGCAGCGATTCAATGCAGACTTCTCCGGATGCTAAGACAACAGCTCCAAAATCGACGATGTTTGGGAGTGGTACCGGTGGCTTCGGAGTGACTGCGCACTTTGGTGGTTCTGGAACTAGCAACTTGTTCGGGGCTACAACCTCAACACCAGCTGACAGTGCATCGAAGCCTTTGTTCGGAGCCAAGCCTGAACAACCTTCACCTGCATCCACATCTCTCTTCGGTGCTACAACTCAACCTACATCCTCAACCACTGTAGCCCCAGCTTCTAGTGCAGCAGCCCCTGTCGCTTCTTCAACATCTCTCTTCAGCACTTCTTCATCGAAACCTACGGCGCCGTCTCAGAATCCTTTCCAATCCGCGAACCTCTTCGGGGCACCGACTCCATCCTCCACCCTGAAATCTGCGGAGGAGAAAGGGAAAGAAGAGGCAAAGGCTGTCGTCGAGCCGGCTCAAACACCACCAGTGTTCAAATTCCCATCTACAACCGCTAGCACATCCTTATTCTCTAAGAGTGAAACTGCCCCTCCTACTCAATCGGCGGGTGGTTTGTTCCAGCCACCATCCTCTGGGAGTCTGTTCGCCCCGCAGACCACTACTTCGATGGGGCAAGAGAAGCCCAAGCCTGCAGGCAGCAACCCCTTCAGCACCTTGTTTTCCCCTAAGCCAACCAGTCCAGAAAAGTCACAGACGGAACAAAAGCCGCTACCATCTGCGACACCGTTCGCAAACCTTTTTGCTCCAAAATCTAGCACACCCGGCGAGGGGACGAAAACAAATGAGCCTTCAAAAGCGCCTGCTCTCTCCTCATCTTTTTCGGCTTCTGCATCAGCTAAACCATCAAGTTCTCTTACATCTCAACCCGCAGCATTTTCGTTTTCAGGCTCACAGGCCAACGGCTCTGCATCTGCCCCCACTTCTGCAGGGACTTCGCAGAGCCTCTTCAAGGCTAATGGGACTAAGCCAACACTCGCTACGCCCCCGACTCCTTCCGCTCTGGATGCACCAAGTCAAAGCTTCGACAAACTGCAGCCCGTCAAAATGCCTTCGGGTCTTGACAAGGGTACAAAGGATGAGGTTGAAATGCTGTACCGAGTGCGTCTGTTGAATGAGTGTTTCCGACGCGAGGTCGAGAAATTGGATCCCACTACGGAGGGTTTCGATGCTTTGGTGCGATTTTATGTGCGGGTTCGTGAGACGATTGGTGCACCAATTGAAGGCGCTGGATCTAAGCGCAAAACCCCTGATAGCGAAGAGGCAGCAGCTAATAAACAGCCTGCGAAGAAGATCAAACCGTTTGGTCCTGGGGAAGGACTCGTCAGTGGTGCAGGCTCAACCCCCACCGCGGCAGCATCGAGTGCTCAACTCTTCGGAACTAGCCAAAGCACACCTTCTTCCCACAAAAGAAAAGCTACTGAGGATGGCGAAGCTGATACAGCGCCGACTCCACAGCCAACAAAGCGTGTTAACGGAGACTCTACTACCGCTAGTATCTTCGCAAGCTCTTTTTCCAGATCGAAGACGTCTGATGCCGAGAATGATTCGGCGAGCACTGAGTCTCCCCAAATACCGAGCACTCCCTCATTCAAACCAACTTCTCCTGAAACAAACGGACCTTCCTTGTTTTCCACCACACCGACATCGTCGCCCACTAAACCATTATTTTCCGCCCCAGTGCCTGCTAAAGAGGCTACTTCAACATCGAGCTCATCCACCTCTCAGCCAATTTCTGGGTTTAAGCCTACCTTTACGGCGCCTACAAGCAGCAACCCTCCTGCAAATCCGTTTGTTTTGAAGACTTCGGGCGATGCGGCTGCGGGTACTTCAACGCCATCGCTCTCCATGCCAAAGTTCGGTTCCGGCAGCGTCACAAATTTCTTTGCTCAGTTTAAAGCTCAGTCCGACAAGAACGCCGAAAAGGAGAAGGAAAAGCGCAAGGCTGAGGACTTTGACTCTGATGAGGAAGATGAAGCTGAATGGGAACGCAAGGACGCAGAGAATCAGCGCAAGAAGCGTGAAGAGCTAGAAGCGCAAAAAAGCAAGCGGACTAAATTCGTCCCGGGGCAAGGTTTTTCTTTTGAGGAAGAGAATGATACGGCCGATGAGGCAAAGGCAGATAATAGCCCTGCTTCTTCTCCTGCTAGTACCTCTGTTTTTAACGCTCCACCCAATACTTCCGGGAAATCAACCAACATTTTCGGTCACTTGTCTGCGACGCCCTCCGAGACGGAGGAAAATGACCATGACGACGCTGAGGACACCGAGGAAGCATCGGTCTCTGGCGATGACGTGGCTAAGGATCCATCTTTTGTGCCGGCTAGCGAGGAGGAGGATAGCAGGGCATCCTCAATTGGTATCTGTGAATCATCTGTCCAGGAAAGCAGTGACGAGGGTGACCTTTCTAAAGCCCTCAAGAAGTCCAAGCAAGCGACCAAAGAACAGGCCTCAGCCGAAGGCTCTGGCAGTCGTAGCTTGTTTGACCGGGTTCAATATGACCAGGACGGAAAGCCAAAGCGAGGGGGCGAGGGTGATAAGGGCCTTTCGACATTCTTCAATTCATCTAAATTTGCGTCATCGTTCAATAGCCCAGTGTCGACTCCTAACCCCTTCGCTCCTACCGGCCAACAGGTGGCTGATAAAGCGGACGAGAGTTCTGCAGCTAAGCCGGCATCAACCAACAACATTTTTGGCTCCGCAAGTGCAACAGGCAGTCTCTTCGGGTCGCCCGCGCCCACTCCATCAGGCGCAAGTACTCCTTCTGTCTTTGGGGCCTCGTCGAGTGCTACCAAGCCAGGCGCTGATAACACATGGAAGATAAATTCTCCCATTAAGTTTGCTCCTGACTCAGCAACGCCCAAAGCAACGCCCAAGTCTGAGTCGACTTTGGCAGCACCTGCTGCTGATCCTGCAAAACCATTCTCGACGCTTTTCGGCGCACCACCTGCGGGGTCCAAGTCTTCTTCAGGCGGTGGAGCGCCAACCTTGGGATTCTCCTTTGGTGGCCCGTCCTCTCAACCAAGCTCGTCCTTCTTGGCCCCTCCGACATTCAATTCTACTGCCACCAGCCGTGCGTCGACCCCTGGGATCCCTTCTGACGCAGGAGCGGAAGAGTCTGGGGATGGCGATGCACCGGAATCCCTGCCACAAGTTGATCTTTCTCGAAGTGGAGCTGGCGAAGAGAACGAGGACGTGGTGATGGAAACTAGAGCACGGGGTATGAAACTCAGTGCCGAAGCCGGCTGGGAGAGTCAAGGCGTCGGCTTTTTGCGTGTGTTGAAGGATCGCACCACATCTCGCGGTCGAATTCTTCTCCGAGCAGACCCTAGTGGAAAGGTAGTCCTGAACGTCGCATTGATGAAGGAGATCACGTATAGTGTTTCTGGAACAAGTGTACAGTTCCTTGTCCCTCAGGCCGATGGTCCCCCCGAAAAGTGGGCTGTTCGAGTGAAGAAAGAAGAGGCAGAGCGATTAGGCAAAGCAATGGAGGAGACAAAATCTTAATTACTATTAAGAATTGGTGGATCGAAACGAACTTGACATGGTACATTATCCCGCATCTGAACAGCCTCCTTTTTGCTTCTCTCTTGTTCTTCCTATCATGGTATTCTTGCCGCCTTACAAACTGTCTGGTGATGTATTATTTGTTTCAAAATTTCCCTCGGTTTCTATGCATTTACTTTTGGACGTTGCCTTTTCTCTTCTCTTCCTTTCCCCCCCCCACCTATCAGCTGCCCAAGGACAGCCCCCCATGCAAATATGCATCAGTTTGGAGTTTTTGCTTTTTTTCTTTTTCTTTTTCGAATTAATATACATATTTTTCGCATTTCCGAAGCATGAAGGGTGCAACTTGATCGCTCCTGTAAAGATTGGAGTTTGTAGTTACTGGAGCTTTGAGCATGGTACAAAAAGAATTTTAGCTGTGGAAATAATCATGCCAAACATGACTCTCACCTACATGGAGCGCTTTTTTTTTTTTTTTTTTTTTTTTTTTTTTCTTGTCCTTTTATGGGTGCTTTTCAATCTCATTATGGATCTGAGAAGAAATAGAAGAGAAAGCAAATGAGCAAGAGGAGGAGGACATTGGACGAGAGAATCCAATTTTTCATCATTAGTGCACTCCAAGTGGGCAATTATTAATCATTGCACCCAAGTCTATTAACTATCTCCAATGAGCCTACTGTCGTATATTATTATATTTACGGATTAGGATCTCTGATGTTTTTTTTTTTTGTCCCCATCTAGTCTCTTCCATTGCGGACATACATAATACAATAAAAGGTCTCATATCATATCATATCATGTCATGTCATGCCATGCCAGCCCATATAAGCGAGCCCGGGCGTTGAAATAGAATCAAGTACTAGTACTACATTAGAATAGATGAAGAAACAAGATATATCAATCGTGGTCACAGAAAAAAAAAATTTTTTACTTTATTTTATTTTATTTTTTTTTTTTCCCTCTGATTCCTCTCCAGGTTCCAACAACTCAAACCGGTTAGAAGGACCCGTTTACTCCTCGTCCACAACAGCGGTGTGCAGACCCTTGGCATCCTTGACGTTGACGGCCTGGACAAAGGAGTACAGTCTCTCCTTAGCACCCTCCTCGTCGTTACGCTTGCGGGAGATGCGGACACGGAGACGGAAAGGAACGCCCTTGATGCCGGCTTCCCAGACCTTCTTGTTCAGCTGGGGGTCGAGGCGGACGTCCTTGGTGCCCTGGATTTTCCATTATTGTTAGTCCAGGAACAGGGAGAAGATAGATGAGGAAGGAAAATAAAACTTACCATAGCACGCTCGGCGAAGGCGCGGATCTCCTTGATAGCACGAGGAGCACGCTTCTTGAAACTAACACCGTGCGTCTAATAAACCAAAAAAAAGAGTAGAAATTAGTCTTCCGCCCGAAATGCCATCTTGAAACAAGATAGAAAATGTTGCATGCATATTATTATGGTGCTGCGGCCATAAGAGGTGGACTTCATAAAACTAATTCATTCTTTTTTTTTTTTGTGAACGCGAGCGAGAATCTTTCTTTCTTTTTCCTTTTTTTTTTTGAATTTCTTCAAAAAAAAGTAAAAGACTTTTCCAAGCTCATGTGGGTGGACATTCTTGTCATTGTTCCTCCACACACAAAAAAAAATTTTCTGCTCGAAACGACAATCGACAACATCCACTCAAATCACTGAGGTATTATTCCCAGAAGAGAGAAGTGTACGGTCGCCTCGCCATGTTCTCCATCCATGTCTCTCACGGTTCAAAAGGTGTATTTCATCCTTCTTCCGCAACCGCAATAATCGCTGGGTTCAGGGTCGGTCGATCGATTGGTAGATGCGACCGGGTTTTGCAAATCCAGAAAGGAAGAAAAAAAAAAAAAAAAAGAAGGGGGAGCAATAGCAGATTTTTCCGCTCTTCAACATACTCTCTTGTGCAGGTTGATGGTGTACTCGCGGGTGACGACGTCGGCGATGGCCGAACGGGTCTTCTTGCCGGTCTGGACGTTGGACATTTCTGTGATGCAGAAGAAAAAAGAATTGTTAGTTTTTTTGTTATCTGGGCAGTTAAAGAATACCACAGGGAATTCGCTTTTCTCAAAAACAAGCGAAAAAAAATACTCACTGTCTGTTTTTCGGCGGTTGTTGGCTGAAGTGGTCGACTGTCGGAGGAGAAGAGGATTTCGAGATATCTTTTTGGCGGTGGTCGAAATTCCAGTGTGGCTCGCTTACTGTGTGCGCTTATTCTGATTGGCTGTATTCGTACCACGTGATTCTCCCGAGCGAGGCGAGATTTAGGTAGACTATGGAGAAATATATCAGGTACCTAGGTACATCACTAGTGGTGAGTGACGAATTATAGAAATAGAAAGATTGCTATTGTAGTTAATTAATTCACCTACGTCCAGAACTCGATAAATATCCCTTTCGGAAGTTGGAGATTAGTCAGACGAGGCGATCGATTTCTACAAGAAAAATCACATGAAATATACGGGTATTACCTAATATAGACCAAAATATTCAACCTCAGGCACAAAATTACGTCGACTAGTACTCATTTAAATGGCGATGGACGCATTTCAAATGTCTTGGAATCAAACTCATATTAAACCCACTTTAGCCATATTGAATCTAGTCTAGTTCTTGCTGGCGCTAACATCCGGATATAGGTCAAACCGCCGCTGAGCATAGATCGGGATACCCTTCCTTGCGTTCTGGATGGTTTCGTCATTCAACTCCGCGTAGACAATGTCTTCCTTTTCGTCTGTCTCTGCCAGAACGTTGGCACTAGGGTCAACTATCACACTATGGCCCCAAGCGTGGTAGGTCGCACTCATGTCGCGGGCGGGGCTGCACAAGGCAACATATGCTTGGTTATCTACTGCGCGGGCACGGCCCAGCAGCTGCCAGTGCAGAGGACCGGTAGTCATATTGAACGCGCCAGGGTAGACGAGCATAAAAGCACCTTTCCGGGCAGCGATCATGGCAGACTCTGGGAATCGAATATCGTAGCAGATAGCAAGTCCGATTTTTCCATATTCTGGGAGGTCGATGATAGTCAACTGGTTACCCGGCGACAGAACCTCGCTCTCCTTGAAAGTAATCTTCCCCGGAATATCAATATCAAATAGATGTGTCTTGCGGTGGGTTCCAATCAGCGCGCCGGTTGGCGAGAAAACCAGCGAGGTGTTGTAGTATTTGTTCGTCGATGTCTCGAGTTCAGGAATGCTGCCTCCTACAAGGTATGCCTTGGCTTCAGCAGCGATGGCTGATAGGGCGTGGTAGGAAGGGGACTGTTCTTTTGTTGGAGGAGAAGGGAGGAGAGTTTCGGCATATTTAGGGAAGTACTGTGTTCCGTAGGGGGAGTTGAAACATTCAGGAAGTACGATGAGGGAGGCGCCTGCTGTTGCAGCCTCCAGGACCTTTGTGCGAGCATGGGCGAGATTGGCAACTTTGTCTGCTCCTGTATTCCCGGGTATATAATAAGCATTCGTCCGAGAAGCGATTGGGAACGCGGGAAGGGGAAGACAGAGACGTACCTGATGCCAGTTGCACCAAGGCGAGTTTCAGAGGTTTCTTCAGCAAGGCAGCCATGACTGTGGAAAAATGCGATGGGATGCTGAGTTTTGGGTTGTGAATGTCGACAGAGTTTAGAAGGAACAATGCGGGGATCCACTTGGAGTAAAGACTGAGGGGTAACCGTTTCTTTCCTTTTTGGGACGAGAGTTCGCCTGGATATCACGTGTTCCTTCTTGTCTATAGATCAAGGACTACATTTCTCTTACATCTCGCATGAGGGTGTAAATCTGCTTCCTATTTTGTGGGTCTAGTTGTCTATTAGTGGATGAGAGAAATATCACCTATAATGCATATACCTCCGTGCCTCGTTATCATCTTGAAAATGGAAGCCCTAACCCCGAGGCCAAAGGTTGAGCATTGCAAACTCTAGAGACTACCAGGCACGCATAGAATCAAGTGAAAATCCAAAATAAACCATTAATTCATATTAATTCATATCAAAAGCATCCTACTTAAGACTAGTTAGATTACTTACAAATTAATAAACCAGAATTGAGCCCCAAAGACACCACTCCCTGTACTTCCCACCTGGGCCACAGATCCAGAGGCCGCAGATTTCGCATCATCTGCCAACTGGAGGACCTCGTCGCGCTGTTCTGACTGGGGAAGTTTGGAATCGGGTGCGACAGACCTCAGGTCTTCGGTTGCGCGTCCAGGCCAGCTTCTTTGTCCTTACCGACGACGACGGTATCCTGGTTCGTGTCTGGTGCGATGCTGGAGCTAGAGTTTTGCTCTGGGTTGCCGACTGTATCGCGTTAGGTGGCGTTAGCGGACTTTCCGATTCCAAGATGAGAGGACCACATTCTGTATCGTTAAGCGTTTTTTTTTAGCAATGGTCAGAGTATATTCTGAATAATATATGTTTGGCGATAGTCATTAAACTTGGGTATGATATATAATCCCAACCACACCAGCAGGGACAAGATGATTCAAGATCTTACACAGTAGGTTGGTACACACATCGCCGATCTGGCGGATCATCATTGCGTCAACGTGCAGGGTGGGTAGGTATAGTACAGTATTCAAGAGAACCGGACTGAAACGCGGAATTTATTTCAGATATAAGAGTCAGGTTGGGATGATCTCGATTGGAGCGTGAGAATTGTTGCAACGGGGTTGCTCCAGGTGTAGCTCTATACTAACTGTTTCCTGTCATACAATCTGGCGGCATGGAGTGGTTAACTATTGTAATCATTTAGCAAAACGTCTGTCTAGCTTTATAGAGCCATAAAGTTGACTAACTTTCATCACAAAGGCAAGGTGGCCGAGCGGTCTAAGGCGCGCGGTTAAGGTGTCCAACTCGGATCCCCTCTTGTACAACAAGTTTCCGCGTCATTAATTTGGCGTGGGTTCGAATCCCACCCTTGTCATATTTTTTTTCTTCTTTTACTTTTTTTATCTTGTTTGTTGTCTCAGGGGGCGAATTAATGAGAAGAGAAGAAAGAAAGAGGAAGGAGGAGTCTCAATTTTTAATTAAGAATACGAGAATTTCCATTTGGGCCACCACTGTTTCACAATATTGTTACTATACATACATATACATACATCTGACATTCGTCCAAAATCACATGAAATAGCTGCCTGCCTATTCATTTCATCACTCTATAACTAACTAGGTATCTATTGAGATCACTCAAATCAGGAGTAAAGCAGAATCATGTTATTGGGGCTTGTATTTGCTTGCTTGCCGCCATGTAACAGCCTTTTTGACCAGTCAAATTCGCTTCACCACTCCATCGAGAACTATGTCACATTCCTCCCGTGCGTGTCTCATTTAATCCCAGGTATGAAGTTGTAGGTAATAAATCCAGAGTAAACATATCTATCCTATCCATCTAGGCTTCTGCGTACTTGATTTCTTTTCTTGTACGGATACATGGAGAAAAAACATCGTGCGGGTGAATATCGGAGTCTAGATCGGGCGATCTGCTATTCCGAAATCAGAAATATGCATACATAATAACCGAATAATAATGCACATAAATCCTAAACTCTAGGTAGTTAGGCACGGAGTATCCTCCCTTTGTCTTGCCACTAGGGCGCCTCTAAAACTGTCTGGAGACGGACTCAATTAAATTGAGTCAATTTATTAGGGGGTCCACTCCATCAGCAGTGTCTTCTGTAAGTCTTTTTGGATTGTGAAGGGTGTCCGTACTTTCGGGATTGAAGAAGAAAACCACCAAATTATACTCGGTCAAATAGTGGAAATGAAAGGGAGAGAGACGGAAAAGGGGGGAAGGAAGACAATCTTTTCCTCTATATAACTCTTTCTTCTCTTCAACCCCCTTCGATCGACCCAGGGTTCGCTAACTATTCGTTGTTGAATTTCGCCCTTGGAAAATTTCTTCTTTTTTTTTTTTTTTGCCTCTTTTCCACTTATATAACTTGGCCAGACATGGTCTGTTCTCCTCCGACCGCGACTTCACCTCTCACCCCTCTTATCTTACTGTACACACGGTCTTTATCGGTCCTCTCGTCTCGATCACTATCGCCGCCATCATGTTTGAGGATTTCTCCTTCTCTTCCCCCTCCTCATCCAGGCCACCCCGCCTCGCTCTGGACGGGGACGACAGACTCATGGTCGACTGCGACGGCTCTCCGATCTCGCCAATGTCCTCGCGATGTCCCTCACCTCGATCCTCGTCAACCTCTCGCTTCCCTCGCAGCATTCCCCGCTCGCGATCCCTCTACTTCCGCTCCCCTCAACCTCCCCCAACCTCCGTTCCCTTCTCCGCCTATGATGACCACAAACGTCTCTCCATAAGCACCCTTACCAGGAAACTCCACGAACACACCATCCAGAACCCCTCGAGCCTCGATACCTCGTGTCCTGCATCCCCGACGACTCCACAATCCGCCACGTCCTCCTCCCGCTACTTCCAGGGCTACAGCTATGTCCTTACCCCGCCCGACACCGACCACGACGACGAGAGCTACTACGCAGACTCGACCTCCTCTCCACTGACCTCTCTTTCGCCTTCTCTCTCTCCGCAACCCCAGTCTCCGTTCCTCGGCCCAACTTCTGTCCCGGTAGACCTTCCGTTCCTTTCAGCGGTGGAACAACCACTCCAGCCGCAGCCGCAGCCGCAGCCGCAGCAACAGCAACAGCCGAACGACCCCGCCACCGGCACCACCACCGGCACCGCAGATACTTGGGCCGCTATCCGCGCCCGCCGTCAACACATGTCTCGAATGCAATGCCACTCCTCAGACCTCGAGGCTATCCGTCGGGCCCTTCTCTCCAACGAGGATACCATCCGCATCCATCCCATTCTCACGGAAGATTGCCACCCGAGTTCGCTCCCGCCGCAGCAATCGCCCCGGAGACGCACGATCTCATCGCATTCGCACCGGACTCGCGTTCGTTCGCAGATGAGTTACGAAAGCGCCAGCCCTAGCACGAGTACGGGTCCTAGCATCAGCACGGAACACCCCCCACTGCGCAGAAAAAGCAGTGTCGGAATCCCAGCTCCTACCATGACACCTCTCGCGCCGCACCCGCACCGCATTGAGAAAAGTTACCAGCATTCATTGGACCACCGCAAGAAAAGCGAGCAGGGCTTAAGGAGGAAGAGTCTGGTCAGTGCCGCTTTGGCCTCGATGATTGAGAGGGAGAGGGGGGAGTAGTTTTTTTTTTTTTTTGGTATAAGTTTTTCTGTTCATGTATATATATATTATTATATTTATATTTATTCTGACTTTTTTTTTTTTGAAAAGATCCCATTTCATTTTCCTTTTCTTTTGGTTGGTGGATGGTGGATGCATGCATGATGGGGTTAACTTGTTTTATGTATGTATGTAAGTATATACTTATATATGTATGTAGGTATATTGGATGTATGTATGCATGCATGTCCAGTAGAGTGGGGTGGACCTTGGTTTAATATTTTTCTGCACACCTTTTTTAGGTAAATCTCCCCCAGTTTCTCGCTAGTCTAGCTAGATAGGCAGTTTCAGAGATTGATCATCCCATCCCAGAATAAAAAGAACAGTGTTCGTTTTTTTTTTTTTTTTTTTTTTTTCTGTAGAATAATAAATACTCTTAATGACGTTTCCTACTTAGTAGCAAGTACCTCTTTTTAACATGCTTGTTCTCCTCGATTGGGTTGATGGATTCATCCAGATGGCAAAATACAGATAGATTAGAGACAGACCCATGGTGATCATCCGGCCTACAGACTAGTATTAGACCTATCAAAGGACTACTAGACTCTAGTACTCTGTATTAATTGACTTGGATCGTTCAACGATCTCTTTGATCCAGTTCAATGGAATAAATGTAAGAAATGAACCCAATGATATAAGACACCGTCAGAAGAAAAAAAAAAAAACCCGCCAGATAACAATGCAATGAGATCAACATAAAAAAAGCGAAAAAGAAGAAGGAAGGAGTACTAAGACAAATTCGCCCTTGGAAATGTCTTCTTGCGAAGTGCATGCGCAATCCCTCTTAATCGCTTTAGCGGATTTGGGATATTCGTACGCGCACTCCGAGACGGTAAGAACCCCGAAGTAGAAGGAGACGAGAATCCTTTCCTCTTTTTTCTTCCGACGGTGGATTTCTTCCGTAGTGGCTTGTGCTGGCTGTATATGATTGTTGTTGGGTTATCGGTTCCTTTGCCCTGTTCAGGTAGGTAGCCGATATCGTATAGGGCTGCGATATCAATACCGATATCTCGATTTCCAGTTCCGATACCAATTCCGTATTCCTCGCCGTATCCCTCGCCGTATCCGTCTCTGTCTGGAGAGGTAAGCGGGGTATTCGAGGAATCGTCAAAAGAAACTGGAGGACCCGGTTCACCGAGATCGCTATCATTGTGCGCAGTCCACGGTCGTATCATAGATAGGGTTCTAGATAAAGGTCTAACAGAGGGTGAGTAGCAAGACTCCGCGTCTGGCTCCTCAAGGCGCTCCGAGATAGAAGGCATAGGGTGGTGCGGGGAGTCGCCAACAAGGTCATCGTGAACCTTTTGGTTGGCCTCTGGTTCGAATGGAGGAAGGGTTCCCCAATACGAATCATGGTGGCCGGCAGGGAAGGTGGTTGATGCGTTTGGGTAAGAGTCTCGATGGTTACTGTTAGAGTAGGCATCTACGTCTTCGATGTAGGAGACTATCCGGGCAACGTTTAGAGATTCACGGGGGTTAAGGATCTCGAATGAGGTTCCTTGGTGGATTACCGTGGTGGGGGCTGCTGCTTTTCTGGCCCGTCTAGCTTTGAAGAGGACGGAGTCGGAGCGAGCCCTGTTGTGGCCGGGACCCAGGATGGAAATGAGGTCCGGAGGGTCCGGGTCGGGGAACTTTTCTAGTCGGGCGCGAAAGGTGTCCTGAACTTTTGTTAACCAAGGCAAAAATGATAGATTGACAATGAAACACACCAACAGTTTGTATGAGCTTTGCTTCTCATCCATGACGCTGTCATAGTGGCTCACATCTACAAGAGAAGACCCCGGAACTGGATTCGTCAGTTACAACCATTGCGGAAAAAAAACCTAGGAGACAAACATACAGCTAAGTCCATCCAGTATTTCAGGCAATTGCTCACTCAGGGTACTAGGTGAATACGACGGAGACAACGGTGGCAGGGGGCTCGACGCTGTCGAGGACGCAGAGAACGGATAGGCATGGTAAGTCGAGCCCATCTGAGTCGTCGTCCGGTTGAGATTGGACGCCGCGCTCATCCGCCGCAGCGTCTTTCCTTCTTGCGCGTCGACAGTCGGGGAAGTGTCGCCAACCTGAGACAGGGACTTACGGTAGTTATGGAGGGAGAGGACGCCTGGGGGTCCCGTCGAAAGCGATGGCGACGGCGACAGCAGACGTTCACCGGTAGAGATCGTTGGGGAACTGTAGGACGGTAAGGGGAACGAGGGGGGAGGCGTTATTGTTGGAGTTGAACTTGTGGTAATGGCATTCATTTGATGGTGGTGGTAGTAGGGATGCATAGGCTCATGAGGCGCAGGATAGATCTCCATGGTCGGTTTGACACAGCACAAAGCGGCTTTTGATACATAAAATTTCCATCCAGCGACACTGGGGCTATTGGGAACATAACCTCGACAAGCATGAGCTGCGCAGCTCCAATCTGATCGTTTTCTGGATTTCAAATTTTTTGAAGAATAAAAGAAACCCGCGCCTAAGAACCGGTCGACGCTTCTATAGTAGTAGTAGTAGTCATATCACCCCTAGGATTAAAATTAGAAAAAGGCGTATGTAGACATAAAAATCGAATCAGATGAAGCAATGAGTGACAGCAATGAAAAAGAAAAGAAAAGAAAGGGAAGACTGCCAGGGATCTCGCAAGGGAGGTGGAAGAAAGAGAGAGAGAGAGAGAGAGAGAGAGAGAGAGAGAAAAGAATACAGATCCAAGTGCGACGTCACATTGCCAGGTCAAAACCTGTGAGACCAACCAATCTCACAGCCTCGCCTGGACGTCTTCTTGGTCTCTTAATATCTTATACTATTCAATAGCAGGCACTAGAAACGTGGCTCCAGACTTCTCCCTTGCCGAATCTCCCTTCCATCTGAAGCAGTTGTGTCCCTCCGATTCGTCCACGCTGGTTCGTGCTTTCCACCAATCGTTCTCTATAGTGGAGGTTTCGTTTCGCATCGCTAACTACCTAGTTGATCTGTCTAACGGCTGACGCTGATTAGTTTTACTTTTTCAGGCTTGGATTATCAATGATGTGTTGTCCTGCTCTCCATGAGTGGATGGGATTGTTATGCGTGGCTGGCTGGTCGTACTGATTATATATATATATATATATATCTTACTATATTACCATGGCATTTCATCTCCAGACGAGCAAAATTGATTCGAGAACAAAAACTGAAACATTCCCCCAGGAATTAAGGCCATCATCAGGTCTGTAGCAAATCTAATCTCGCCCGTTTCATGCCCAGTCTGCCATTCTGATACAACAGTCATTCAGCCTCAATGTCACCTTCCCACATTCCAAACTCCAGGTGATGCTGGAAAAAGAGAAACATATATATATAAATAGATATAGTAATTGTAGAAATGAAAGAATAGCAGCAGATCATGGAATGAGTCGTCTGTATCGTCGTCATCATGAAACCATAAAATTCACTTCTTCCCTGCTAACAAACTCAATCTCAGATGCCTGAAAAAAATAAAATAAAAACCTATGTAGTATGTACCAGGTCGCTCTCATATCGGACAAAGAAAGAAAGAAAGAAAGAAAGAAAGAAAGAAGAAAGAAAGAAAAAAAAAAATAAAATAAATCGCGTCGCGGGGAATCTTTGAATGATAGTCGCAAATAATACGCCGAATAAGACTAATGCCGTTTATATTTCTGGACAGACAAAAAAGCGAGAAAGTTAGCGTTTGTCAACTAGGGTAAAATAAGTGGCTGGCCCGGCGTAAAACTCACATCTTCCATTTTGCGGCGATTGCTCGGATCCAAGGAATTCCCAGCCCCCAATAACGTCTGTCCCACGGCTTTGGAAACACCGATTGCTGGGCGGAGAATAACTGTCGGTGTCCGTCGCAAAACTGCTTTTGCAGCATCTTTGGCGCTACTACTCTCGGCCACCTCGCCAGGAACCGCGATGATAGCATCGCGAGCCAGCAGAAGGTCGCGCTCTAACCCTCTGAATGCTCCGCGAAGGCCTTGCACCACTCCAACCGGTTGATCGGCATAGAGCGAGATTTTGTTGCCTGTCTCTTCGTCGCCTTGATCCTCGTCGTTACCGGTCGATTTCCCACCGGATGTGGTGAGAATCTCCTCGGCGCCCTGCAATACCGTCTGAGTACCAATGGCAAGCTTCGCGCCCAACTTCACAAGTTCATTGGACGTGGTTTTGGCAAATGCAAGCGCCCCCTTTTGGATGCTACGCACAATTCGTCCATCCTTACGGTATTCGCGCATCGGAACCACCACCAGATCCTTCACGCCGCCTCCGACGTTGACGAGTGATCTGATAGGGGCCAGACCCGACAACACACCTGGAAGCTGGTTCCTCTTAATATCCGGCATCCAGATGTCATTCAGCGTCTGTCCTAGCTTGTCAAACCCGGACACTCCGTATAGGATGACGTGGCGCATCACCATATCCGCCTCGTCCAGGACGAAGAAATTCATGAACTCGGTGGTGCGGCCCGATCTCAGCCCCGCGTAATCCACCCGCTTTGGCTTGAAATCGAGCTTTACGGGGACTGCGCTGATTTCTACTCTCTGTAGGAACGGTATTTCCGCAGGAGTTCCAGGAGTGGGAGTAGAATCGTCCCGGAATTCAAAGAAGCGAGTGAGGAAATCAAGAGCATCTTGATCCACATGGAGCCGAAGCGGGAGAATAGTAGCCTGTAATATCATCAGAATAACCCAAACACCATGCTACTGATAGCACCAGAAATGGTTTACCTTGAGAACGATCTCGGATGCCGCCAACTCAGGCACAGGCCTTACTGTCAAAATTTCCAGATGGACCATACTTGTCCCGCTTTCTTTTTCACCTGCTTCATGCATATACGTGGCAAACTTCTTCCATGTCGAAGTAGGCACATGGTCAAATATCTCCAGGTCCTTGACTCGGACGTCTACTGAGCTTTGTGTTTCTCCCGAGTCCGGTGGGAAAACCACTAGATCCGCACAGATGCCTTTGAGCTCGAACGTCATTTTGTGATATTTGCTCCGGGATAATCGCAGCTTCTTCCCTCTCAAACTGGGCGAGTGACTTTGTCGTACGGTGGCGCCAGTAACTGTGGTAGTAGTTGCATAACTGCCCGTCTCGCTGACAAGGTCATCAATGTTACGGTTAATATCACCGCGAATTTCCCGAGGGTCCTTGTTGGCAGGTATACCGATATATATGGAGTTAAATAGACAATCCCCAATAACGGACCCCTCGTCATCGAAGCCTGGAGATGCTCGACTACCAACTCTGGCACGACGTTCCGTAGCCTTCTTCTCCACATCTTTTACAGCCTTGGATATTGTATCCCTCGTTCGTTGCCAGTCATATCCATCGAATAGATTCCAAATCACATGGGCATCGCGTACTCGAACTCTCAAGGGACTTTTCTGGAGCTTCAAGTCATCTGAGAGTCCGTACGTATTTTGAGCAGAATCCCATCTGTGCGCGGTACCTCCAACCGCGGACTGCTGTGCGAAGTGGTCGTCCCGAAACTCAAGCTCAGAGACGCTGGATGACACGTAGTACTGCGAGTGGAAGCTATCTAAAAGCTCATTTCCTTCATTTGAAGACTCGTGTTGGGGGCTTGCGCTCACTGGATAAAAGTCGCTCACGTACTCGAGTTCATCATCTGTTGGAATTTCTGTAGTGTTTGGGATAACTTCCGGAGCTTCTTCCGATAAGTCAGTGGTAAATGCATCACCCGTAAAAGATGCAAGCATATCTTGGATGGGGATAACTTCCGTCCGATATTTGACGGCCACACTAGGTGGGGTGGGGGGTTGCAGTCCGTTAATTATGCTGATGAGTGTTTGAGTGGAGTCGGCGCAGGTTTCAAGAATGAGCAAATCATCGCGAAGTTCAACATCAAGCGACTTTGTTCCATCATCACTCAGACGCATTATCTTTACGGTAGCCGTTGCTGACGATATTGTTGAGACACTGACATAGCCCAGATCCATCAGACATTGAATTTGACTACGCCGAGGGATAGCTGCTCGTCCTGGAGGTAGAGTGTTGTCGCACTCCGAATTTTTCACGTCGTCAATGATCATGATCGAGGCTTTCCGGAGATCCAAAATGGCCTCAGAGGACGAAGGGTCATGAATCGTACCCGAAAAATTTGCGTGAGTCAAGACGACGAGGCCCTTTGCCGCCGTGCCGCGTGGGTTGAGACCGATGATACAGCCTCGCATGGCTACGGCTAATTTTGTAGGTTTTGCTGGGCTAGCAGGGCTATCTTTCTTGTTCGAAGACTGTTGGGATGGTGGATGCAGCTCCGCAAGATTGGCCAAGGAAGTGGCCATGTTGGCAGCAACGTCCCCTGATGTCATTTCTTCGCTTATTCCAAGAAACGCGGTCATAGATGGGAGGGTATATTCGACCCTCAAGTTATGTAGCTTGACCTTGAATGTCGGGTCCATTTCGTCAGCAATAAACCGTGCCATAAAAACTGGAATGTGTGTCTGTTCAAGTGTGGAAGATACAGCCTCTCCCACTAGCTCCTCAATGTCGTTTCTGACAACCCTGATCGACCCCAACTGGGCAGCTACGAGGGAGGGGAGACTAATATGGGCCGCCTCAGCATTTTGGAGTTGTGCAGTAATGTTGCCCACTTTACCACCAACATGCAGGTGGGCTTCAAGCTCTCGGATTAATACCAGGGTCAAAATACCGGGCCTGTCATCTTCAGGCAAGTACTTAGCAACGTTGGAAAGTCTGCTCAACTCGTCCCCGAGTTGTGATAGAGAATCTAGATCAGACGTGCGAGAAACAGAAGCATTAGCCCCAGTGACGGTTACCCGAAGAACAGAGCCTTGTTTTCGCTGTCGGAAGAGGGTATCTAGCATGATATCGTCATCCTCGTCGTATTTATCCTTAGATGGTGTAATCAGCGCCAGGAGTCGATCGAGATCAGGTTCTTTCGGAATAAACAGGTATTCCACTCGAATACTATTGAGGTTGATCTTGGCTGGTGCATCCCTGGAATCATCCAGGGGCAACGGTCCGCTGAGCTTAGCTTTATCGATCTGGAGCGCGATGCCTTCAAACCTGCTCACAATCTTGGCAGCCGTTGTCCGCAATTTGAGGTAATGACTTTCTCCTGCGACATCTAATGCAATGCCACCTATTCGAGCGTTTACCTTCCAAGGCGTCGAGGTCCTTTCGGGTGCAGGAACAGGAGAAGACGCGGCCTCGAAATGAACACCACGAGGGCGTTTTAGCACATCCTTCTTTAATCCCTTGGTGCCAGATATAGATGAAATAGAGCTTCCAAGTTCCATAATAGAACTTAAGCCTCCAAACCAGCCTAGAACCTCTTCTAATCGCTGAATATTAAGACATATTTGCAAAGGAAGAGTAGTAACATTCAACCTTGCTGACTCCAAAGTCTGGCTCAATGATAGAGAAATATCTCCATGGATTGGTGATAGGATGTCTCTAGTCGATTCTCTCATTTTCAAGTCCTCGCTGAACGAAATCAGGTCCTCAGAAGCAAAGCCCAGGGTAAACTTCGAGACCTCTAAGGAGAATTTTGTTATGTCCTTACTGGCTAAAAAATTAGCCTTTAAGCCAGAAGCCGTAGTCTGAAGAATGATATCATCGTGTAAGAAATCGAGGAAGGTGGTAGAATACGGCCGATGTTCGTCAAGAGGATACGCATTTCCTGGGACATGCTCAACAAATTTGATGGAAAAGGTGCCTAGTGCGAGACTAAAAGATTGTGGCTTCTGAACATCCTTCTGCGAGGAACTTTCGCTGATGTTGGCTGCTCCATCGCCCCCGAATGCTTGCAGGATTCTCTGGCCGAACTTAGTTACTAGCCACCCGATAGATATATCGAAATGAATCTCTACAGACGAGATCTCAACTGCAATTTCGTTATCGCTGCCACTCGACCCAAGACCTTTCTTGTCATCCGATGTATGATGGGCATGTTTTGGATCACTACTTTCCGCGGCAAACGAGAGGTCGGCTGGATCACTATTATACCGTAAAGAGGACGGAAACTTGGAGGTAGATACCGCATCGCCAAGAGCCTCGGATTTTCCTAACTGCTCTGGTGATGGCCCTGAGCTATCAATTGCAATCTTCGAGTGAGGTGATGTTGGACTCTCAGCATGTTCCCCTTCATGTTTAGAGGAAGGGATCCAGACGCGTATTTCCTCTATTTTGAAAAACCGTTTGGCTACAGCTCTAATTCTGTTCAAACTTGGAGAAGGTGGAGTGGAGGGTCTTTCAGCTGGTTCGGGATGGAAATTATATGTTTCATCGAAGATCGTGTGTTGTGAAGAGTGTGTTGCGTCTTGGGCAGTGAGTTTCGGCGTTGACACGGTTGTTTCATCATGTTCGGCCTGGTCGATGTCATCATGCTCGGCTGACACAATACCAGAGGAATTATGGTAGTTCTCTTCTCTCATTACTGTGGACTCAGATGAGTCCCAGGCACCCGGAATATTGGGCATGAAACTTCTCGATGTGGAATCTTGACTCATGGCACTCATGTACATGCTCTGCGCCTCTTCATTTGAAAACAGCTTCGATTCTGAAAGATCATTGTTGAAATAACTCGAGGCCGAGCTAGCGTTGCTAGCCTCAGAGGGTGATGCAGGAAGGCGTCTCGATTCTTGTATATCGTTATTATGGAAATCTTGCGTGGGGAGTGATAATGTTGGCATTGATGACTGGGGGCCAGTCGTCCTATCTCCGAGTAGATGGCCCATTCCTCTTCTTATATTAGGCTCCGACGCCGCCGCTTCTGGAATATTGACCTGCGTTGGATTGTTGGAGGTTGATGCTGTGTACCCTACTTCGGAGCTTTGTAGGCGGGGTGTATACTCATAAGTATTATGAGAATTGGCGTTACCGAGAGCCAGATCATCTAGGCCTTCAATGTCGTCATCCTGAAGGTGAGAATCAATCACAGAATCAAGATACGCCGGGTTATCAAATAGTCTCTCGTCATCTAAGGAATTATGCGACTCCTCGAGGTACCTGTAACTCCTAGTTTCATCATCTGTATCTGCATCGGAAAATCTACCATCATAGGTATAAACCGATTCTTCAAGTTTGGGAACGCTATGTTCACCAATCATTGGGCCCGCGAGATCGTGGGGAGGCTCGAAAATAGTCGACCTCATTAAAGCATGAGTGGAGCTGGATATAGATGAAGGAGGGGGCGCAGGCGACGAAGCTCGACTAGGGGACTGACTGGGTTTCGAAGCCACGGCAGTGGACGGAGATGCGGGAACGGTAAATCGGGAGTAGTTCGAGAATACCACTGGCTCGGATACGAGAGCGAGATTGATATCGGAAAGAGAAACTGGCCGTTTCCCCCGATGCAAAGGAAGTTCATCTGAGCTAGAAACTGCGGAGACTGCTCCTACAGTGACTTGACGAACGCTCAAGAGACCTGTAATCAAGTCAGGCTTCTCCTCAGGCTGTCTTTTAGATGACCCCTCCTGTTTTGTTTCCACGTCTACTCGTATCGAGATGTCATCAACCTGAATCTGAAAGCGGTCCACAACCCCCTTTAAGAACGCGGCAACGAAGCTGGGTAGGGATACAGATTCATTTCCAAGACCCAGTTCCTCCTCCTCATCGCCTATTGCTGTTGAAGTGCGGTGTAGGACTTGAGATTGTGTAGTTATCGCCGCTTGCAGTTCCTCCTTTTCCTCTTTTGGCTCTGCCTGCAAGAATGATTCGGCGAGGTCTGTAGGATCGGGAATGATAGACTCATGATTTTGTTCATGGCCTGCGGGAAAGCTGTCCTTTGCAACGCAAGCTTCCTCCGAGGGGAGCCTCAAATGCACATCGATTCCGCTAGCCTCGCAGATGATGCCACTGCTGTAGATATCGGCCGGAACAGTGAGCTTTAAATATCGAACCCGAGCGCTGAGAAGTTCACTTGACGATGGAAGGCGAAGAAGTGTGGCTAGTTTCTGTTAAGACGTCATGTTTATTAGCATAGGTTGATAGCGGTGGACGGCACCGAATTGTGGGGGGAAAGCAATCCAGCCCACTTACCTCCAGCTGCAAGCCGATATCCCGGAGCTCAACGGTGCTTCGCTGCCCCCAGCGAATGCCTAGGCTGTCGAGATCCAAGGCTTCTGTGTCGACTAACTCAAGACGAGAGAGGGCATATCGCAGCAAACGCTTCTGGAAGAACCAAGGTAGAAAGTAGGCCATTTTGGGCGTCAAAGAGCCGACCGGGGCTCATTTAAAATGACATTTAGGGTTATCGAAAAACAAACATAATAAAAGAATAGAAAAGAGAAAAAGAAAAGAAGGGAAAAAGAGACAGCGACGATTTGGACAGCAGTTCCTTTCACGGGGAGATGGTTGGATGCACAAGTGCCTGTTAGAATGACGTTTGGGGGGAACCACGGCACTAGTTGAGTCGGACTGTCGGAGGAGGAGAGGAGAGGAGAGGAGGAGGAGGCAGGTTGAATGATAGCGAAGATCAACCGTAGGAGTCAGGCGGAGAAGACCAAGCCAAATCCCACGATGACAACGCACACGTACATTGAGGTAAGCTCCTCGTTAAGAATAAGTACCTTTTACATATATAGTATAATAAAACCACTGTAGGAAACCATGGTAAAAAGCGTGTGGTGGTTGGTGGTGGTGGTGTTGCTCATATCACCCTAAGTGGGGAGGCTGGAGTGGAAGCTCTTGTTGGGCAGAGGAGACAGAATAGTAAATCTTAATGATTCCATTATTGAATAGGAGTATAATTCTTACAGAGTAATTTTCATATCTAGACCTCACTTCCAGAGACTTTGAAACAACTTAATAGAGTAATTGATGTATTTATTGTGAGGAGTTAGTAAATAGTTATGCATCGTGAGATGACTCAGCTATTCAGGGATCTAGTCCCAAAGCAGAGCTATCCCTGATTTCATAAAGCCTGTTTCGGAAATTTAATTTTCCAGTTTCCGTGGTCATCCGAAATAGGCTAGACTGTGCTTGCTGGCCGAAAACAGCTTAAGGTTATTATAATTATACCTGAGGCATCAACAAGGTCTACATATCCTACATTGTTTATCTTATTTCACTAAAAATTAACTTCCTCTAGAGAAGTGATCAAGATGACTGCAGAGTTCCTTCGCAGGATAGATAAATAGTCCTGGAGATTTGTAGACTGGATTTCCAGCTCCAAAGACAACAGAGCAGTAGTAGTAGTAGTAGTAGCCTAAAAAAGTACAAACTCCATAGGAACACCAATATAAACCATAAATACTATATTTATACATAAAATAGTCAAGGTGAACCAACCTAATTTCATTAAATGCATTCTCTTTGGAAAAAGAAAAACATCTAGACCTCAACTGGATACTTCTCCCCGTACTCCCGCACAACCCACTGGCAGAAACTTTCGAACTCCGCATAAAACGCATGTAACCGGGCAGCCTTCTCTCCCTCCCCCAGAATCCCCTCCTGTATATCTGAGCCCCACTCAGATTGCGTTTGATCCTCGTAACAGCTCCACCGGATCGAGTTCTCTACTAACATGGCGAGCCCTGTTAACCCCATATTCTGGAATGCTAAGAGAGCCTGCCAGAACTCAGAGGAAAGACCGTTCTCCCCGTTTCCGAAGATACCGGGAGAGTCGTTGCAGAGTGCGACAGATACTTCACGAGAAAGAAGAGCGGGGATTGGATGTGCTTGGAAAGAGTTTGTGAATCCGAACCCTTTATTTGAAGTGGGCGAGCACTCGATGAGGATATTCTTTTTTTTGATGATGTCGATAAGCAACGGATGTGTGTAGAGGGATAAACCCTGGCTTATTCTGCGAGAGCTTAGCAGAACGGCGTCGAAGAGGTTACCATCTGCATCATCACCAGCGCCCATGGACTGGCCTGCAGAGAAGATGAAGGGGATATTTACGGTCTCCTCGGCGCAGCGACCGCGGAACCAAAAAAGAATTGGTAAAAGATTATGGAGTGGTCTCTCGGTGGATTCTTGACCCAGGAGATCGAAACCGCAGATTAGGGCGGGGAATCTTTTCTTCATGATGATACATTCTTTCATGCTTTCTCCAATGTCCTTGTTTGAGAGGTTACGTGGGGCTGCCCATATGATGCGTGCGCCGTAGAAGTTTTTGCCCTCATCGAGGGATTGGAAAAGGGAGATTTCTTCTTGGAAAATATGGAACCAGGCGAAGTAGTCTGCTTCCGGCTTTTCTGCTCCTTCACGTGTATACTGGAAGTCGAAGGCGAGTCTGAACTCGACGTAGTTTATCTTGTCAGCGACAAGTTGGGAGAAAATGCGGCGCAGACAGACGCGCAGTATAGGTTCATGGTGGAAAAGAGGGCTAACAATTGGCAGATAATGGTTGAATAGATTTGAAATGGGGGAGGTTCTACGACCACAAGGATGGTTTTCGGAGCTCACCGCGCATCGCCTCTTTAGCCAATCACGGAACCCTATCTGACCACCATGAGGAAATAAAGCCGCGGCTGTCTGCAGGTCTAGTGAAGCTGATGGTTCATAGCTGTCGGACCACAGGGACAGCTCGGGCTTATCTTTGGATCCCTCTACTTCTGCCTGATGGGCAGGCATATAATGGAAGAAGAATGTGGCGTTCTCGAAGTCATGGTGGGTGATTAGCGGATTGGGCGCGGATATGTAAATTCCGGGTGTCGCCAACGCCTGGTCGATAAGGAAATCTATATCGATCATAACAGGCAGGTGACCATACAGTAAGGAGCCTTTGGGAAGATTGCGCACGATCTTCCATAGATCTGAACTTTCCAATCGTTCCCTATCTGGGTCTGACATGAGGCTTGGGTGTGGAATCCCCCCGTGCTCCAGCCTGGTCGCGGAACAGATCCGGGAGACAATTTTGCGCGCTCTGATGGCGACCTCGGGTAAGGCCTTACAAAGATTGGAGTCTGATAACCATGGTTAGAAGAGATAAAAAGAGAATATAGATTAGTCTGACCATGTTGTTGGGATTTCTCTTCTTGAATCAGGGAACGGCGCCCCGCGAGGAACTTCTGGATAAAGGGGTCGAGGAGCTGTGGCACGCCCTCTTCAATTTCCCACAATCTATTATCGGGATCCATAATCTCTGGAAGAAGAGCCAAGAAGCGTATCTTTAAGATATTATTCGAGTCTCAGAAGTGATAGATAGTCCCTTGCACAGCGCACGGAGATCAAGGACGAAGTGAGGATGGTGTGTTGAGCTAGAAGTCTTGGCGGTCTTGGATGAGGGTGGAGAGGGACAAAGAGAGTGAGCGGAGTCAGCGGAATACTATGTAAATTCCGGTTCTTGGATAACTAGTTATGGATATTTGGGGTTACCAATGAAGATAATATAAAATAATAATCATCCGTAACGTGCAAGATATGGAGTACAGAAATACTGAAAACAGAAGTGAAGTGAATGTAACCTTAATGCCTGCGAGCGGGGCGTTTTTTAGCTTTTGCCACTTATGTACTTTGTTACATTATTTATTTACTCCTATATTCCTACCTTAGTTACTCGTAGTAGATGTCTAACTACCTACTAGTATTATATCTATGGCAAATTTATTCGTTCTCTCAACTTCTCTTGGCAGATTTACCCTCAGAAATCGAAGCTTACCCGGTGGTGGCATAGCTTTATGGTCTTTAGCGTTGTAACAGTCTTATCAGTGATCCTCTTAAGTACCTACAAAGTAGCAAATCCTGTTTTCCGAGCTCTTGTGTGTGGTCAGATGCCTACCTACCTAGGCAGGTTCCCACGCGTTGAACTAATTTGGTGTCAACACTATCCCCGCACATGCTCACTTGCCTATTGATAACTCTGGCGGAAAACTCCTAAAATTTTTTTTCCCATTCATTCTTTGCTCTTCCTGGTTGCCTTATCTGTCAGGTGGCGGATATGGCCTAACTGACTTCTCTTCTTTAACCCCCAGTTTCCCTCTTGACTTTCAACTTCTCAGCTCCTGTGGTTTCTGGGTCAAACTCATGTCAAAGGTCTCTTCTCTTTCCCTTTGAAAACACCCGTGTGACCCCCGATCTAACAGCTAACATTCGATTCCTAAACTATAGTAGCGTAGCACCATGACGAATGACGGTGTCTTGGAGGGCGTAACTCCCAAAGAAATATCTCCCGCCTCTCAGGACCCTATTAGTCCTTCTTCGCATCAAGGAAGCCCCAGAACTGTGTCCGATGATGATCTGAGCTGCTCCAAAGGAGCTGACGTGGAGAAGAAGGTCATTCCCGAGTCACGTCCCATCGATAACAGCAGCGAGAACAGAAGTGATCGAGATGTAGAAGCAACTGGTCGTTCATCTGCTATGAAGATGAAGCTCCATCGCTACTACAAGCTGTATTTCAAACATGTGGCATTGGCTGTTGTGTGGCTCCTATTTACTGGGTGAGTTGACCATCCGATTGTGGTTTGGGGCAGAGGCTTATGCTTGTATTACGTGTGAAGATGGTGGATTGCTGGACTCATTCTCCATCGCTATGATCTGGGTTGGCTGGTGCCATTCCTTCTATACCTGGCTATTACTTTGCGAGTCATCTTCCTCTATGTCCCAATTGCCATTCTCATGCGGCCGGTCCGCTTCATCTGGGACCAGACGGCTCCTCGCGTTGTGGGTGTTATCCCAGAGCATCTTCGCATCCCAGGAGCCGCTTTGTTGACAATTGCCGTGATTCTGATCGGTTCTTTTGCCTCTCCCGAGACTGCAGATAACACTCGGGCTAACCGTGCTGTCAGTCTGTTTGGACTCTTTGTGTTCCTTTTTATCCTATGGCTCACTTCAAGACGTCGTGACAGGATTGTCTGGCACACCGTCATCGTGGGTATGCTGGTGCAGTTCATTGTTGCTCTATTCGTGCTCCGCACCAAAGCCGGTTATGACATCTTTGATTTCATTTCTGGATTGGCCAGGGACTTACTGGGGTTTGCACAAGACGGTGTCAACTTCTTGCTCGCAGATAACTTTGCCGCAGACCACCCTTACTTCCTGATCACCGTCATCCCCGCCATCATCTTCTTCGTCTCCCTTGTCCAACTGCTCTACTACTCCGGAGTCCTTCAGTGGGCGGTCCGTAAGTTTGCCGTTTTCTTCTTCTGGTCTATGCGCGTCTCTGGTGCGGAAGCCGTGGTAGCAGCAGCCTCCCCCTTCATCGGCCAAGGAGAATCCGCTATGCTCATCAGACCTTTCATCCCCTACCTCACCCTCGCCGAAATCCACCAAGTGATGTGCTCTGGATTTGCCACAATCGCCGGTTCCGTGCTCGTCGCCTACCTCGGAATGGGCGTCAATGCCCAGGCCCTCATTTCCTCTTGCGTGATGAGTATCCCCGCCTCCCTGGCAGCATCTAAACTTCGCTGGCCCGAGGAAGAAGAAACCCTCACAGCAGGCCGCGTCGTCATCCCCGAAGAACAGGACGATAGACCCGCCAACGTTCTCGACGCCTTCACCAAGGGCGCTTGGATAGGTATTAAAATCGCCGGTATGATCGGCGCCACCCTGCTGTGCATCATCTCCCTTGTCGGTCTGATCGATGGTCTCCTGACTTGGTGGGGTCACTACCTGAACATCAACGATCCCCCTCTAACCCTTGACCTGATTGTCGGCTACATCTGCTACCCTATCGCTTTCCTCCTGGGTGTTTCTCGCGACGGGGACCTCCTAAAAGTTGGAAAACTCATCGGAACAAAGCTCGTCATTGTACGTTTCCCCCCAATTCTTTTCTTCCCACGAAACACTTTCTTACCTTTTGTTTTTTTTTTTTGCGTTGGTTGGTTGGTTGGAAAAATAGAACGAATTCGCCGCCTATACAGCTCTCCAAAAAGACGTAGAATACCAAGACCTCTCCAATCGCTCCCGATTAATTGCTACCTACGCTCTCTGCGGCTTCGCAAACATCGGCTCCCTAGGAAACCAAATCGGTGTGCTGGCTCAACTGGCGCCCACTCGGTCAGGCGATGTTTCCCGCGTTGCGGTGAGCGCGTTGCTCACGGGTGCGATTAGTACGTTTACAAGTGCAGCAATTGCAGGGATGCTAATTACGAATGAGAGTCAGTTTATATTTTCTGCGGATAGTGCTTAGGTTAGGTTTTTTTTTTTTCAATATCAAGTACCTAGGTAGTACTTTGTGGTGTGGTCTATGTATGGTCTATGTAGATAATGGTATGTATATGCTCTGTTTTTCCTGAGTCTCGGTCTCATCGTGGGTGGGTTAGGGATTTGGAGGGAAGATTGTGTATGCTTTGCTGATATCCGTTGCTGATACTCCAGGCCGTTCTTTTTCTCTCTTCTCTCCTCGATCAAGATAGTAAAAATAACAGTAGCAGCAGTAGTAGTAGTGAAGCATTATCAATTATAGATGGCATTATTCGTACATAACAGGGGCATAACAACAATCCAGTTTTTCATAGACAAAATCAAGATAATAAAGGAAGACAGAGGAAGAACAAAAGGCAGAGGAAATGCCCAGGTTAAGCATCAGGTGTGTACACTGCATCTTTACAAAGCAGTACCACCTTCTTAAAGAATCGGCGCCATTCAAGCGGGTCTCCCTTGCCCTTGGTAAACTCAATCTCGAACAATCCCTCGGAGACACACTCGATCATGACCTTTCCGTGCAAAGGACACATTCTTCCATCTCGGGTGATGATTCGAATCATGGCGGAGTCGTCGCCCGGCGAAATTGCCGGAACAGTGGGAACAGGTACGCCAAGACGATGCAGCGCTTCGCAGATGAGAGGGACAAGGAGCTTCAGCTCCCAGGTTGAGAAGAAGCGGGCCATAGATCGAGACGGGACAATGTCGTGGAAGCGCTGGGCGTTTTGGGTACGGCTCAGAGGCACGGAAGGATGAGGAGAGAATTGGGACATGGACGGTTCGTCTTCTAATATATCTGATGTTTGGGCGTCCGCTGAGGAGAAGGGTTTGCCCATTGGCTGGCTGGATGAGAAGACATCTGTGAGATGAGGCGCGTCCCAGTCTATCAGCATGTCGCCTCTTGGAACTTCAGGCTGGGTGGATGAGATTCTATGTTCTGCGCCCAAGCTGTCGCCTATGTCCACGTCCATACGGTCCACGTTGAAACTACTTCCGTTCAGAGCTCGGGTAATAGGGGTTTGAGACAGATCGATATGTAGAGATTCAAACATAGACGTAGCTACTTTAATGGGGTCCCTCAGCCTGCCGTCTGGGGCTAAATATTTGTTCTGTCGCGTGAACCACGGATGTCTTCGTACATCTTCAAGGGAGAATCGGTTGGCAGGATCGATGTTCAACATGCCGCGGAGAAGTGACAGAGTTGCAGTAGGAAGTTTTCGCCATAGCTCATCTGACGTTCGTGCATTTGTCGTCACATACTCGTGAAACTCGTAGCTGTCCTCGGTAGGGCTGTCCCAAGGTGTATTTCCAGCGAGCAGGACAAAGAGCACAATCCCACAAGACCAGATATCTGCCAAGTCTGGCCGATATCCTGAGCCCCTGACTTGACTGCGTGTGCTGCAGGTGATAACCTCCGGGGCAATATAGGGAGGGCTTCCACAAAAGGTTGTGGACAGTTTCGTACCCCCCTTGTATTCGAAGAGTGTTGCCAGCCCGAAATCAGCGATCTTCAGATTTCCGTCTGCAGTTAAGAGAATATTTTCCGGTTTGATGTCACGATGCCCTACACCTTTCGAATGCATGTACCCTACGGCACTGACAAGTTGAGAAAAGTATACATGGCCAATATCCTCGCCGACGCCCTCGTCCGCTTCGATTTTGTCGAAGAGATCCCCGCCTTCGGCCAATTCCATGGCAATCCATCGCCACGCGCCATCCTCGCCGGTCTGGAAGAACGAGATAATGTTATTATGATCTCCGATGTGCTTGTGCACAGTCGCTTCCATCAGCAGTTGTCGCGGGCTAATCTTACCATGGCGAGCGGCGTAGTCTTTGTTGATGAATTTCACGGCGAACACAGGGTTATCGGCGTTCAAAGGGCAGGCTTTTTTCAAACTACAACACAAACATTAACAATGCTCTTACCCAGCGACTGTACCATGAACTTAGCTATAAATCTGTCACACATACCTCGCATAAGCGCCTTGACCAAAGGTCTTCGAGACGATTCGAAAGGGCAGGTCGATAGGCAGTGGCGCTAGTTGAGAGTGGTGCATCGTGAAAAAATAACGGTGCACAATTAGGGGGGTTCTCGAGCAGAGAGCTTTAGACTTGCTTCTCAGGTTCTATCACGGAACATTGAAACCGTGATTCATTATTTGGAGAGCTGGGAGTCAAGCAAGGGTGATAAATTGAAGTCAGACCAGACTGGTGGGAGACGCGCTGGTCGGCACGCGCAAAGCCACTTTATCCTCTTTGGGAAGTCTGTTATTGGGTCGGAGAGCCTCAAGTCCAAATAAGCCATATTATAGACATCATTACTAGCATTAGAGGTAGGAGAAGTAGAGAAAATATAGACTATGGATTATCGACGATATCTGAATGGTTCCCAGTGCTTCGTAGACTATCTGTAGTATGTTGGTTATACGTTTATTTATGACCCACTGGTGGAACTGCATGCATCTTATTATACAAAGGATTACGGGATGAAAGGATCTATAATTATATTCTGGATCTCTAGCTAAAGATTTGAATAATATTGGAAGAAATAAGACGTATTGGTAGTTATAGAGATGATATAAAGCTCTACTATGAAAGGGCTCATAGTATCCTTTGGACAAAGTATTCCATTAACAAAGAATTATAAAATCATGTGGATATAATGTTAAAATTAATATTATATATATATATTTTTTTTCATTATTTCAATAGTCAAGTACAGAGTATAGGTATAATAAATCAAATAATTTCTTACAGATTATGTGCGCGGGCCAGACGTCCTTTTTTGATGTCCTTGTGCTGGTTGCCCCGGACAAAAGAACGTAAACAAAAAACGCCCCTCTTTTAACCTTCACAGCAATTCTCCTCTTCTTCCTCACCTGCATCCAGATATTCTTTTTACCAGCCTGCATCCCCTGCATTGTCTGCGACATTAACAGTTCTCTCTGTTTGTTACAACCTGTCTCTAGCATCTTCTAATTCCGATCCTCCGAACTTCTTCTTGTGGGTCGATCCGTCCATTCCAACCACCCGTCGTCCGTCTGCTTTCGGATTCAGTCATCATTCCAGACAGCAACCTTATCCTGCTACTGTTGCTGGCGGTTGAACCTGGAAATTTTCATACTTCCCTTTTCGGTCTTCTCGTTAGACAGCTCCTTGTCTCTGTCTAGCCCTTCTCTCTCTTGTCAAGCCACTTTTCTTATCCCTCATTCCACCTCACAGCAAAACCGTAATGGACTACAGCATGGAAGATACTCAGAACTCAGCCCCTCACGCGCACGAAGCCTCGAAGCTGGGGTCATCTGCCCAGAGGAGTGACACGCAGGGCGTGACCAAGCGGTATGTGGATGTAGACGAATTTATGGATTTATGTCTCGTGAACCTGATGCTGACTGACGTTATCTCCTTATCTAGCTTGCAGTCCGAACTCATGCAGCTGATGATGTCTCCTTCTCCTGGTATCTCAGCTTTCCCCGATGCCGATGGGAACCTCCTTTCATGGACCGCTACTATCAGCGGACCGTCCGAGACGCCCTATGAGGGTTTGACATTCAAACTCTCCTTCTCGTTCCCCAACAACTATCCCTACTCTCCACCTACTGTGCTCTTCAAGACCCCAATCTACCATCCGAATGTCGACTTCTCCGGCCGTATCTGTCTGGATATCCTGAGGGATAAGTGGAGTGCCGTATACAATGTGCAGAACGTCTTGCTGAGTCTCCAGAGTCTTCTTGGGGAGCCCAACAAGTAAGAACTTAGCCTTCATTGTAAACCTTTGTGGTTATTAACGTGAAATAGTGCGAGCCCCTTGAACGCTCAAGCCGCCGAACTTTGGGACACAAACCAGGAGGAATACAAGCGTCATGTCCTCGCTAGACACCGTGACATTGAAGATATTGAATAAACTGCTAATTTCTAGACTGGTTACCGGGCGTTATGGTCAGTTTGCTATTCTTTGGGGTGCATTGCATAGGACTGGGGTCAGCATTATTCTTTGGTTAATCGCACCTCTCGTGGTGACAGCCTTGTTCCTGTGAAAGCGAAGATATCCCGTCCTAACAACGGATCACGGAGTTATTGGAAAGGCGGCTAAGGGAGCAGCATCTCCTGCAACGCTATCGGATGATTCTTTACCGTTTCGCTTGTTTCATAGTGGCTTTTTTATTCGAAGGCTGTATCAGCCACCCGTATTTATTTATTATTTTTATTTATTTTCGTATCGACCTTGATTATCTTGTAAATGATTTCTCTCCTCTCTGAAAGCAGAGATTTTCAAGTCAACGTTCCATCAATTAGCCATCCCAAAAGGAAACATCGTATTTCCGACACTTTGGCATGAAAAATGTGACTTGGAGCGATCTGTTCGATGGCACAATGGACGCACCAACCTCCACAGTATACAGAGTATACCAGATCTATAAATATTACTTCTATTTAGACCAAACCTCAATAAATAATGGATGAGATGGTGGATATACTCCACAGTCTTTATTGTCCTAAATTTGGCAGATCTCTTTGGTGCCAAAGAGATTATCTAATTCAATTGACACTTACTCCGATACATCCAGAAGCTATCTGCATCATACTAGTACATATATACATTTCAAGGATTGCTGAGTTTCCATTCTCATCAGAAGATGACAGTTTAGTTGTGGAGGTTTTTGACTGCATCCCCTATGTACAGGAACATCGTATTTCCGACAATCTAGACTTGCTGATCGCGGGGAAAATAAAACGGACTTTTAATCCCTACCAAGATGATTATGCTCTTCGTCTTGCATCCTGCAGTAAGCCAGGTGAGCCCGGTCTGCCCTCAATGGTGGTCCTCCACAATTTTTCCTCATGGAGAAGTTGCCTGTGGAAATTCTTACCAAAATCATTGAGCGTAAGCATTCTTCCCCCACTCCATCCGCGGAATATTTACCCCACATCGCCCGCGCAGTGTTGGGTGTTGGATGCCCTCAAGGGGAACAAGTTGACTGACTCTCTATGTAGATCTCACTCCGCCAGAGCAGGTGCAGTTACAGTCTGTTTCCAAGCGATTTTTCACACTCGCTCGCGACAATAACCTGTGGAGACTCCACTGCTACGAGAAGACATGTCCCGCTTTAGCCGCCACACGCCTCAAAAAGACCATCTCCGAAAGCCTCGTCACGAATCCTACGGCATCTCTTACATCGCTGGGCCAGACATCACTACGTTCGTTGATCCAGCCTCAACTCGGTGATGGCACACCGGATGGCCATCCTCAGGTTCCGTCCTTTGGTGAGAGGGCAAGGGCAGTGGCCGCGTGGGATCCCTCTGGGGAGGGGGAAAATGTCGACTGGTATTCAGAATATGTCGCTCGGAATGGACCAATTTCATTAAGTTGGCTTCAGCAACCATTTATAAAGAGCCAAGGCGGTAAGACTTATATCGAAGTGAAAGGAATGGGCCTTTTGCGCGACTGGAGTACGGCAAGACAAAATAGAGTGGTCTCACCCTTAGGTGACGGTAGCGTATGTGTTTGGGATCTCAATCACTCCCATTCTATTGGCTCTCAGGCTACGAAGGGCAATATTCTTGGAATGAGTGCTCCAGGTATTTTAACGGCCGATCTGTCTCGAAGACGAGAAAGCTCGGCGGCCAAGTCTGCGCTCGAATTTATCAACCTCGGAGAGTGCGTGAGCGTCGATTCAATTCGCCAAAGGGCTTATCTAGCTGTTGGAAATGTTTTGAACGAAGTGGACCTAGAAACCCTGAGAGTCGTCTCTCAACAACGCTTCCCCTGGTCGGTTTTTGCTATATCGCAGGAAACCGACTATTCTGTGCCGCTAACTGTGGCAACCACGCTGAGCTTGCACATATACGACGGCAGACTGTCTGAAGTAGAGGAGAAGGAAGCTATCACATTACGCTGCGAGCAGCCAGCCATTCCTTTAGTTCCAGATTCGGAGATCTATCCTCCACCAGACTCGCCTCTATTTCAGCTTCAGGCAAACGGGAAGCCTCCGCATCGGATTCGAAGCCCCGGGCCATCGGACACAAGCGACAACTACGCTCCTCTATTTCAACCGGGGCCTCTAACCCTTCTACATCCTCCAGCTCCGCACGTGAATTCGATCTTCCTCGCAGGCCGTTTCCCAAGTATACTGCAATATGATCGCCGGTATTTCCCCAGACTACAAAGTACTGTCCACTCAGGTGGACGGCTCTGCGGTCTTGTGTCAGTCCCTGCACCGCGATTCCCCGTATTTTCTAGCTCTGCATTTCCGGATTCGCACATGGTGGTAGCTTGTGGGGAATATAACGGTAAGGGTTCGCTTGAGCTCTACAGTCTTACTCCCTCGGGCGAAAACGACGAAAACCGACCCTCAGGTTGCTCTTCAACCATGTCTATCAAGTATCAAAATCGACAAAGTGCCGCACGGTCGAAAATTCTCTCCGTTGAATCGCACGGGACTCGCATCGTGTATTCCGACGGAGATGGTAACATCAAATGGGTCGAGCGCGACGGCCGTAGTGAAGTCCGACGACTAAATATTAACTCCTATCGGTCACCTTTCGGAACAACTTTGAAGTCAACTACCCAAGCCTCGCCCTTTGATGATGACGATGAAGCAGCTACAGCGTCTGGTCTGTGGGCTAGTGTCTCCCGTGCCCAGAATGAGGGCGATGTGGCACGTAAGATCCTTCCAACAGGCGGAAATCTGACTGGAGATGAACTCCTCATTTGGACAGGGGAGCGACTGGGCCGCGTCAGGTTTTCAGACACCCTAGATTTGGAGTATACAGACGAAGAGGACGAGATGTCTCTTGACGGAGAAACCGACGAAGTGGCGCGCGAAGAAATCAGGTCTAGAAAACGAGAATTGAAGGCTCGTGAACGCGAGTACTCTAAGATGATGCGCAGAGCCCTCGAAAGACAAGCAGATGAAGTACGGCGGATGGGTGATTTTGGTCTTTAAACTCATTTCTACTCTCCCTTTCACCCCTCGTGTTTTTGTTTATTGGGCATGACGCATCCCACTTATCTATCGAAAGTCCGAAGCCTGTTTCCCTTTTTTTTTTTTTTTTTTTTTTTTTTTTTTTTTCTTCTTCGGTTGGCATTTATTACATTCAGCGGGTTTCTTTGTATATCTAGAGAGCCTTTTGTTTTGTTTTGTTCCATACATATATACTTAGATCTATGTGAATATTCAGGTGCAAGGTACATTTGTGATTATGATTCTACTTGCATGTGCACTATCCCATGATTTGTAGAGTTGATTTTGTCTATTACTCATGCTTAGAAATAAAGCCTCTTTAACTAAATTGCATTGGAGGACTTGTTCATGATCATCTGGGATTACATATATCAATTACAGTTCAGGGCGGGTAATGGCTGGTTCCGATCGAAACATATACCTAACTATATACTGGAGGTTCATTCTGGGATGAAATAGAACAAGATATACTAGATATAAGTGAATTGCACCCTGTTCACTATCAATAGTTAGTTAGAAGAAAAAGTTTGGATCATAAAGCGTAATATATCTTCACTTCTTGTGTGTGGACAGGCCCGTCTTCGGACACGCCTCGGGTTAATCGCTGGATTTGGAGACGGATTCTATGGCGGTCCATGACAAACCATTTGCAATCGCTTCCTTGCTATTCTTTCTTCCTCTTTCCACCCAACGCCCTCCTCAATTCCGCTCATTGACTTCAATTATCACAGATCCTATCCTTTATATCCATTCTGTCCCTGCTAATCCATTCTGCACAATCAATTCTGCTTTCAGCGCACCCCCCGCAGACCGAGATAGCCCGAGACTCCCGCTCTGACTCAGAAACCGCCACCCGCACCCTCCTTGGATCTCCTTCGAGCCTTCTTAGGAAGAGAGTTTGAGACTGGAATTATAAAATTCAACCGTGGGAATTGACCGTCGGAGCTGGAATCAAGACGAGTGGAGTTGGAAGCCAAAACCTCAACCTCGTCCGACTTGCCCCGCATTCATCCCGATTACAGTGAATATGCCTTCACCAACAGAGCCTGCCCTTCAGTTCGACTCCATTGAAGATACAATCCAAGCGTTCAGTGAGTACCCGGGGTCGCCTTTTGTCTGTCTTTTCGATCATCGTCACCATTAGCCCAGACCGGTTAAGAAGGGCTCACTGATCTATTTTTCTGTACGGAGTGGCGCTAACTATGCCATTGTTATCTAGAGAATGGGGAATTCATTGTTGCACTTGATTCGCAAGATCGCGAAAACGAGGGCGACCTCATAATTGCCGCAGACTCCATTACAGATGCCCAAATGGCTTTCTTGGTCCGCTACACAAGGTAGGATACGATACCCGTTCCCCTTCCCCCCTCACCTGGCCTCAACTACGTCAGAATCAATCAGTGGCCCGTTCAAGTAACCCACATAATCTGTGATATAATGCTGACCATACCATGACCAATATAGCGGTTTAATTTGCGCACCTGTTTCTCCCGAAATCGCTACCCGACTCCAGCTTCCTCAGATGGTGGTCGAAAACGCCGACCCCAAGGGAACGGCCTACACAATCTCAGTCGACGCCAACCATCCCTCTATTACAACCGGTATCTCAGCACAGGACCGCTCTCTCGCCTGCCGAATTCTTGCGTCTCCTAGCGCCCGTCCCGAAGACCTGCGCAGACCTGGCCATATCATTCCCTTGCAAGCGAAGGCCGGGGGTGTGCGCCAAAGGAAAGGACACACCGAGGCTGCTGTTGAGCTGTGTCGTTTGGCTGGCAAGGCACCTGCAGCTGTCATTGCTGAACTAGTCGAGGACGGGGACGTGGTTGAAGGCGTCGCGGAGATCTCTGGTAGCAATGGCATGATGAGACGCGATGGATGTCTAAAGTTTGGCCGCAAATGGGGTCTTAAGGTCTGCACTATCGAAGATCTCGTAGAGTATGTCGAGCGGACGGAGGGATCTTCCTCGACTGTTACGAATGGCAAGCATTGAGTGATGACTGACTGATTCTGTTTTGCTTTACATGTAAATTTTATGTATGCATATTCTTATTTTCACCCCCCCCCCCCCCTTTTTTTTTTTTTTTTTTCTTTCTTTCTTCTTTCTGATTTATTAGTACACATACATACTTGTGCTGTGGCTTATACTGCTTTCCCTCTTCTGATTTGGATGGCCTGGCGATGCCATCTTATGTCTTGTTGAAAGACACGGCGAGGGATAGCTACAAAGCTAGTTACCAGATGCATCTAAGATAGATTAGATAACTTAGGTACCTACCATGGACTAAGAAGTATATACCGATGTGAATATTAACCCTTGATTTTGAAACGGGTGCAGTAGGCAAGAGGAGTCTAGAAGTTCTCTACTGGTTTCGGGATAGTAGTTGCAAGTGCCTCATGGAGAAGGGACTAGGGAGATAGGATGGATGTTAGGATGTGGACGATGTGGATTTATTATATATTAAGTATTACAAAGTCCTTCGGTAGGCCGTTGGATGTATGTAACTGATGAAATGCAGCCTGGAATAACGAACTCATTGTATCATTTTTGGGTATCTATCGTTTTTAGGTATATAGTAATGTACAGCAGCACGCGCGCGAGACCAGAATAAGAAACCATGACGAGGAGCCTGGAGGGTGTACAGCTCCACCGGAACGCCGTTGAAATGCAAACTGTGAAACGAATTTCTGCGAGAATACTTGCCATTTTTTTGGGGGGGGGGGGGGGGGGTTGAATGGATCGTTTTTTTTCAAATGTCGAGAAACGCAGACAAGAACGGCCGGAAAATCTATCGCTTGAGATGCGAATAATCGCGCAAAACACCCATCATATGTGTGTTGGTTGTCTTGCCGCTGCGACGGGGCTTTTTCACTTTCTTATGTTCCACTTTGGGTCGTGCCTTGACGACCTTGTTCTTGTTTGTCGGAGTGATACCGGCCTTCTCCAGCTCCTCCTTGACAGTCTGCTGGTCAGGGATTTTAATATTCTCCCAGATCTGCTTGAACTCGTCGTCGAAATGCTGGATGAGCGAGGGATCATTCGCCCAAACCATCTTCGCATGGTCATCCTTCTTATTCCTTGTCACAAGCAACTTCCCTTCCTTCTCCAGCTTGTTAATCGCATTCTCGACATTCGGCCACCCCTCCCTAAGCTCTCGCACACTCATGCCCACGCCAGTTGACTGGCCCTGCAGCTTCTGAAGCAACTGCTCCGCAGTCCGAATATTATGGGGCGGCCGGAAACTAAACGTTCCCTCCCCACCCGCTCCACTCGGGTCATACTGCACCTTCTCGTGCATCTGCAAGATGCTCCGGAGCGCTTGCACATACCCCTGGTCGTTGGCGCGGTGCTGCAGCGAAAGGTATGATACAATATCGCCGAACTTAAGCGGAACCCCCTTGGACTTCATGTGCTCGATCGCGAAGATCACCTGGGTCATGATGTCCTTGCCAGTGCCCGTGTTGGCGGGCTGTGAGTAAACGATATCCGCATCGTGGCGTTTGCGCTTGGGATCGTTGCTGCCGCCGCCGGGCGTGGGTGTGGATGTGGACGAAGGCACTTGGGAGCTACTGGCGGAGGCGTTGGTGGTGGTGGTGGTAGTGGTAGTAGTGTTGTTGTTGTTGTTGCTCACGAAACGCCGCTGTTGCGGCATGCGGTTCGCATAGTCGACAACACTGGCGCTGAAGCTCTTTAACTGTTGCTGGAGGTGTGACATCGTTGCGGCGATGAAGGGGGAGGACAGCCGGTGAAAACGGATGAAGTGGGAGGGAGGTAAGGCGAGACTGAGCTCGTCAGAGCCTGCGTAAGCTCTAGGAACGATCGTAATATGTCATATGAGATTTCAGGTCCGAAGAGATTGCCAACACGAGGCAGATGGGGTGCTGTGTTTTACAGCCCGACGAAAAGAGACGTCGATAGTTCTGATGCGCAAAGTTCTTGTGAGCGAATCTCGAGATGACGGGGATGCTTTGATGTCTATGGATCCTCAGGCAGAATTCGGTCACGTGAGTGAATGGGCACTAACTATATTTGGAATTGGAATATCCAAGTGTAAGCCTTGAGTTGAGGTAGCTGCATAGAATTGCGAACAGTCTGAAAAATCATTTAGATAGGTGAATATCTTGAATGAATATTATACTTATGTATGGAATAAACCCACAAGCTAAAAGTCACTACTGTAGGAAAGTGAAAGTCTTGATGCAGGTAAAGGTACTTTTGGGCCGAGTTAGTCCTGCACGTGACGCGCTTTGCAAACAATGAACTCAACGGCGGGAAGGCTGGAGAGCTTCTTGCTTGATCGACAACGACGGTTGCTTCGCGACACCCTGGATTGTTGGTTGGAACCCTTTAAGCAGCTCTTTGCTGCAACCATCCTACAGCCAGTATGGCTGCCGCTACGATCGAATTGCCGTTCCTTTCCTCCCATTACTCCATTGCAGAGTCCACCCTGAGCACTCTAACCCAAACTCCGACGGTCGAGCTTGTCAACCAGCTGCTAGAAGCCATCACTAAGAAGGCGCGGGAGGTCGATGAGCTGAAGTCCGACAAACTTCGCCTGGAAGTTGAGCTGGAAAATGCTGTTCGCAGCAGCGACTCCAAGATCAAGGTCTTGAAGAGCTCGGTTGAAAAGGGCCACGCGGAGGTTGAAGAAACAAGGAAGAAACTACACGAATCAGGTAATTATAGCTTGTGGTTTTAATCGCATCTTGCTTACGTGTGGTAGAAAACATCCGATCGAATTTAGAATCCGAAATCGCGACCCTCAAGTCGTCCTCCACGTCCAATGAATCCGAGGTCAGCTCTCTGAAATCTCGCATTTCCTCCCTGGAAACGTCCAACCGCGATACTTTGGCTTTGTTGGAATCCAAATCGGCAGCTTACGACAAGTTAGCGGAGGAACTTTCTACACAACATAAGAAGGCGATTGAATTGAGACGCGAGCTTTCTACGGCGGAACAGAACCTCCAGGCTGCAAACTCTGCCTCTGCTAGCGCCCGTTTCCGTGAACAAAGCCTTCAGCAGGATCTGGAGTTGACAAAGAAGAACAATGAGTGGTTTGAGGCAGAGCTGAAAACGAAGTCTGCCGAGTACCTCAAGTTCCGCAAGGAGAAGAGTGCCCGGATTTCAGAGCTTCAGCGTGAAAACGAAGAGGCTATTGCAACTATCGATTCCTTAAGACGTAGCGAGAATGCTCTCAAGAGTCGTCTTGATGAAGTTGAGCAGCGTTGTGAAGAATCATTCTCGTCCATTCAACAACTCAAGGAGGAGGCTATCCAAGCGGCTGAATCTTTCAGAATCGAATTGGACAGCGCCAACCGCCTCGCTGAGCTTCAAGGAAATGCCGCAGGGACAGCAAAGAAACGTGTACAGGAATGTCAGTTGACGTTGGAGAAGGTGAGGGACGATGCTGCGGAGGAGATCTCTCGTCTCCGCGTAGAGGTTGAGACCGAACATAATGATAAGGAAGCAGCTGAACGCCGCATTGCCGAGCTTGAACTCACCATCAGCCAATTGGAGTCAGATGGTATTCCTGGGCGAAGAAGGTCCATGAGCCCAGCTGTTGGCTTGAATGGCGGTACTCCCAGCACCCCAATTCGTGCTGGAACACCCGTTGGCACTTTCTCCCCTAGGGCATCAAGATCTAAGGGCGGTCTTACTCTTACACAAATGTATACGGAATATGACAAGATGCGGACGTTGCTTGCTGCTGAGCAGAAGACCAACCAAGAACTGAGGTCAACATTAGACGAAATGGTTCAGGATCTCGAAGCAAGCAAGCCCGAAATCGATGAATTGCGCGCTGATCACTCAAGACTAGAGAATGCAGTTGTTGAAATGTCTAACATCCTCGAAACTGCTGGAAAGGAAAGAGATGATGCCACGAAGGAGGCCAGGAAATGGCAGGGCCAAGTGGAGGGGCTGGCTCGTGAAGGTGATATCTTGCGTCAGCAGCTCAGAGATTTGAGTTCTCAGATCAAGGTCCTTGTGCTGGAGGTGACCCTCTTGAAGGAAGGGGAAGCAAGTTACGATAGGGAGGAACTGGAAAAGATCGCACGCAAAGAAATTGACGAATCAGCGGCTGATCTTACTCCTACTGGACGTTTTATTAGCCACAACCTGATGGCATTCAAAGATCTTCATGATTTGCAAGAGCAGAACGTGACCCTTCGTCGCATGCTGAGGGAATTGGGTGATAAGATGGAGGGCGCTGAAGCTCGTGAGAAGGATGCTGTTCGTCAGCAAGAACAGGAAGAATTGAAGGAGCTCCGGATCCGAGTCCAGACATACCGGGATGAAATAGCTAACCTTGTTGCTCAAACCAAGAGCTACGTCAAGGAACGCGATACATTCCGCAGCATGCTGACGAGAAGAAGACAAACTATTGGCGATGCTTCGGTCTTCTCTCAATCTCTTCCCTTGGGTGCTGTTCCACCAGTCGCTCCTGAGGACCAAGCCAAGGGCGTCCCTGACTATGCGGAGCTACTCCGTAAGGTCCAAGCCCACTTCGACAGCTTCAGAGAGGAAACCGCCACAGACCATTCTGCCCTGAAACAGCAAGTCAATGACCTTTCACGCAAGAACAGTGAGTTGATGAGCGAAGTTAGTCGCTCGAACAGCCAGCTTGTCGCTGCTACCCAACGAGCTGAGCTGCTGCAAAGTAACTTCAATATGCTAAAGAGCGAAAACACAGATCTCCAAAAACGCTATGCAACGCTTTTGGAGAACGCCAATCGACAAGATCTTAGGACACAACAAGCTGCCGAAGACCTAGTTGAAACGAAGGGCCTCGTCGAAAGTCTTCAGCGTGAGAGCGCAAACTTGAAGGCTGAGAAGACACTCTGGAAAAACATTGAAAAGCGACTAATTGAAGACAACGAGACGCTCAGAAATGAAAGAAGCCGACTTGACTCTCTCAATGCAAACTTGCAAAACATTTTGAACGAGCGTGAACACACTGACTCCGAAAGCCGCAGGCGACTCCAGGCGAGTGTGGAGACTCTGGAATCGGAACTGCAGTCGACGAAACGGAAGCTCAACGACGAGATGGAAGAGGCGAAGAAATCAACTCTGCGAAGAGAGTACGAGCACGAGCAGAATCAAAAACGTATCGACGACTTGGTGACGACCTTGGGTTCAGTCAAGGAGGAATTAGTTGCAACAAAGACTACTAGAGATCACCTGCAATCGAGGGTTGATGAACTCACTGTTGAGCTTCGAAGCGCCGAAGAGCGTCTTCAAGTGGTTCAATCTCGACCTAGTATCTCTAACGCACCTGCTGACACAACCAACGGAGCTGAGGAAGGCACAGAGGAGACCGGACTCACCCGGGAACAAGAGCTAAGCATTCAGGTTTCAGAGTTGAAGCGTGATCTGGAATTAGCCAAGAGCGAACTCGAACATGCTCAGGAGCAGGTGGAGGATTACAAGGCTATTAGCCAGGCAACTGAGGAACGATTGCAGTCAGTTACAGAGACAAACGAGCAGTATCGCGAAGAAACCGAGCGCCTGGTGGAGGACAAAGATAAGAAGGTCCAGGATCTTGAGCAACGGATTGAAGAGATCTCATCCGAACTTTCTACAACTAACAACGAGCTTTCCAAGCTTCGTGATGAACAAGGGGAGGCTGCCCGCCGCCTGGAAGAACAGAAGTCTGTGCTGGAAGCCGAAAATAAGAGACTGGCCGAAGAAAACGAGCGCCAGATTGCTGCCGCTCAATATCATCAAGAGGATCTGAAGGCACAGGCTGAAATCGCTCAGCACGCACAACAGAACTACGAGAACGAACTGGTTAAGCATGCTGAAGCAGCCAAGAACTTGCAATTGGTCCGCGCTGAAGCAAACCAACTAAAACTTGAGGCTGTTGAGCTCCGAACCCATGCTGAGACGTACAAGAAGGACCTTTCCCAAAAGGCAGAAAGCTGGAATGAACTCAAGAACCGATACGAAAGCGAGCTGTTAGAGCTTCAGAAACGCCGAGAGGAGGTTCTTCACCAGAATTCATTGCTTCACTCTCAGCTCGAGAACATCACGAATCAGATATCTGCCTTGCAGCGTGATCGCGCCAACATCCCCGACAATGAACAAGAAGATGGAGAATCTACGGCACCAAATCTCGAAGGTCTTCAGGAAGTCATTAAATTCTTGCGCCGTGAGAAGGAGATTGTTGATGTGCAATATCACCTGTCTACTCAGGAGAGCAAGCGCCTTCGCCAGCAGCTTGAATACACCCAGTCTCAGCTGGATGAGGCGCGACTCAAGCTCGAGCAGCAACGTCGCGCTGCGGCTGATAGTGATCACACCGCTTTGAGCCACAGCAAGCTTATGGAAACTTTGAACGAGCTTAATCTTTTCCGTGAGAGTAGTGTCACCCTCCGTAGCCAGGTCAAACAAACAGAGACGGCCCTTGCCGAGAAATCCGCTCGTGTCGATGAGCTGACACAACAAATCGAGCCCCTTGAGACTCGCATCAGGGAGCTTGAGAATGTTGTCGAAACAAAGGACGGAGAGTTGAAGCTCTTACAAGCCGATAGAGATCACTGGCAACAACGCACTCAAAATATCCTTCAGAAATACGATCGTGTGGATCCGGCTGAGATGGAAGGATTGAAGGAGAAGCTAGCGACCTTGGAAAAAGAGCGAGATGATGCCGTGTCAGCACGGGAAGCCATGGAGGCTCGGGCTGCTTCATCCCAAGAACAGTTGAAAAATGCGGAGGATAGGATACAAGAAAGTCGTGCCAGACTTACGGAGCAGTTCAAGGCTCGATCTAAGGATCTTACGGGTCGTATCAACGCCAAGCAAGTGGAGTTAACCGCGATGATTCAAGAGAAGGAGGTTCTTCAGGAGGAGTTGAAAACAACCAAAGAGGAGCTGAATCAGCTGAAGACTAAGATGGCTGAGAAACCTGTAGCACCCGCTACCCAGGAGGGATCTGGTGTCGACTCCACTCCAGCATCCCAGTTCCCAGCTCCTACAACCCAACTGCCTGCCCCAAGCGAAGATGAAAGAGTTAAGGTTCTGGAGGAGAAGGCTCAGCGTCTCGAGGCGGCTCTTGTCGAAAAGGATGCTGCCTTGGCTGCTAAAGATGCTGAGATTGAGACGAAGATTAAGGAGAGATCAGAAAAGTTGAAAGAAATCTTCAATGGCAAGATGGCAGAAGCCCGAGCAGCACATCGACAGGAGGTTGCACGATTAACTGCTGGGCAACAAACAGCCCCTGCGCCGCAAGCCGACCAGGAGGCCCCAGCCACTCCATCCAAGAGCGAGGGTGGTCTCCCCGAGTTGACCGAAAGCCAGGCGAAAGAGCTTGTTTCCAAAAACGAAACCATTCGAATGATCATTCGCAACAACATTCGAACCATGCTTGCCAAGGAAAAAGAAAAGCAAGAAACCCAACAAGCCCAACAAGCCCAACAAGTCCAGCCGACCCAGCCGACCCCAGAGGCCCTCGCTGCGATGGAACAAAAGTTCAATGATGAAAGAGAGGCCCTCAAGAAAGCCCACGAGGAGGGCATGGAAGAGAAGATCAAATCTGCTGTCGAGCTGTCAGACAAGAAATCTTTAGCTAGGATTAGTATGCTTGACTCCAGATGCAGAACTGCACAGGCCAAGATCGAAGTGGTCCAGAAAGCGGCTGCAGAAACTCCTCAGAAAGCGGTTGTCGAGGTTTGGGAGATTGCTAAAGTTGCCAGGGCTCCACCTGTGCAAGCACAAACCCCCAAAGCCGCCGTTCCAGCGGCAACCCCAGTTCCTGTGCCCTCACCTGCCCCCCAAGTCCTCCAGGCTGCTCCTGCGACGCCGTCACCTGCCCCACGTGTCATTCCTGCAGCTCAACAAGCGCCCACCCCTGCAGCTGCCACCGAAACAACTGCTCCGTCGGCAAGCGCAACCCCGGCGCAGGCTGAGGCACAGCCGCAGACAAATGAGCGACCCCAAGAGCAATCACAGGTGGACGGTGGTGCTACAGCAACAGCAAATGCAACCCCTGCCAACCCATTCGGACAGATTCAAAACAAACAGCCCCCTTCTTTACCAAGTAAACCTCCAGCTGGAACCGGCCCTGGAGTACTACGAGCTCTGCAATCTGGACTTCCGGTTGCAAGAGGTGGCCGTGCTGTTGGTCGAGGTGGCTCTCACCAGCAGAATCCTTTCGGTCAATCTTCACAACAGCCACCGCAAGCGCAGGTCCAGTCCCAAGGGCAGCAACAGCAAGCACCGCCGCAGTCTCAGAGCCAGCGCGGTACCGGCCTTCTACGCGGTCGAGGTGGACGAGGCGGCCATCAAGGTCGGGGTGGAAACCAGAACGTGCAGACGTCTAATGTCCCTCCTGGACAAGGCCAAGCAAGCCCCGGTGGTGGTCGAGGAGCCTTGAGCGCTTCGGCGCGCCAGTTTGTCCCCCAGGGAAATAAGCGGGCCCGAGAAGATGGAGGAGACACTGCTAGCGAAGGAAGTGCCAGTGGAGGAAAGAGAATTAGAGGTGGAGGACATGCAAGGGGCTCTTAGGCGTCTTGCATCCGGTTATTCACCCATGCGTTCTTTAATTATGTCCTTGTTCACGTTTGAATTCCATTTATTTTGCCATGGGTGGGGAAAGCATAACAAGCATTTCAAAAGGTTTATATCCCTCTATTTGGACGGAAGACGAAAGCTAAGAGGGGAATCTTCTTATTTCCTTTGTTTTAAAGGGTGACTATCCATTTTAGTTTCTTATTTTATGAAAGGACTCGGTTGATTGTATAGACATTCGATGTTCTCTTGCCTGCGTACTACTCTAGTTAAGCCAGTACAAGTGGTCTCTCTCACATTGTATAACTACAGAGGCTAATTAAATTGGATTTCTCGAGTTCAAAATTCTTAAATCTGGCTTCGCACCGACAGCCGGCTTTTGCTCTTTTGGCCTTCCCAACTTGGCGTTTAGAAGCAACTGCACGATATCATCAAAGTTCAGAAGAGACGCAAAACCCAGCGCTGACCTCTTCCGCCTGGTTCTCTGGTAGATATCAGCCCCAGCGTCTAGTAAATATTCAACGGCAAGATGATTGCCTGCAATAGCCGCCATATGCAAAGCAGTTACCGAATCAAGTTCCTGACCAACATCAGCCCCGGAACGAAGCAGGAGCCGTACCATCTCCGCATACAATCTTTTCTGCCCGAGCTTCCACGCCAACCGCGGCGACTGACATATCTCACTGACGCCCATCTCGGCTATCGACATTGCCTCTATCGCACGAGGCCCCCCAGCAGCCAGAAGCAGCGGGAAAGACCACTCCCCGCATTTCAACCGCTGCTCCCCCGAGACCGAGACCGCTGCGCCAGCATCTAGCAGGGCCTCGACGCACGCAAGGTGCCCATTGCAAATGGCGAGCGCGAGAGCCGTGACACCGCGCCGGGGCAGTTCCAGCTCGGCCCCACGAGCAGCCAGCAAGCGGACGATCTCCGCGTGGCCATTCCCCGCGGCTCCATGGATGGGCGCGCCAATGTCGAAGTTCAGGTTCTGTGTAGCGCCGGAATCCAGAAGCAGGCGGACGATCTGGGCATGGCCAGCTTCGGAAGCGTAGTGTAGTGCGGACACGCCGCTCCAGTCCCATTCGTGAACACTTGCGCCGTGATCGAGAAGCATTCGCGCAATCGCCAGGTTCCCTTGCCTGGAAGCGAGCAGTAACGGGGTGGTGTTTGGGTCTCGCGCCCCAGGTCCCATATGGGCGCTTGGGTGCGCACCGGCGGAAAGCAGGAACTTCGCGGCGCTCACGAAATTTTCCCGGGCTGCCAAGTGCAAGAGACTGTTGCCGTCGTCGTCGTATTTGTTTACGTCTTCGATTCTCATTATCCATAGAGGAGGCAGGAGTTTACTTTCGACCAAGGACAGTTTTGCCTGGAAATCCAGACGCGCGATGATCAGGAGCTGCACCTCCGGTATTAGATTGGTGAAGGAGGGGCTCATTCTCTGAATAAAGAGATCAATCCAAGAATCTATTCTTTGATCAAGTCTGTAATGAACGGTGTCAATTGGCCTGAGTTATATATACATTCCAAGAAAGATCCGAGAGCACGCAGCAAGTTTAGGCTGGAGACTCAGTAGGCAGCCACCAATTAAGCGTGGATGGATCGAACTATTCCTTCCTCTTGACAATAAAACAAGAAATATATATAGAATATATGGGTTATTGGCAACTTCAAAGAGTTGGAATATTAATATGACAATATATAGACAGCCTTCTAATCAACAGAAAGGTGTATACATATCTATCCATGTGTAGCTGGATGTGTGTGTATATATGTATTTTCTTGCCCTATTTCAGTCAAGTTTACAGCACATGTAGTGAGCACCGTTTTGATATTGAAAATTCCGCAAGAATAATCAAGTTTAGATCCCATATCTGGTTTATCAAACTGACAAGACTCTTCTTATAATGATTCATGGTTCGCTCCTTCCAAGCACAACTGTCCACATGAAGAGAGCCCAGTCTTATATCTTTCTCTTGAAGCATAGGCTTAACAAATTTCCCCCTATTTATCCTCATCTCTTTAATGATCCTATCTAGAACTAAAATCCAGTCTTTCCAGTAATTCATATTCAATATGCCAATCACTATTAATCCGTCAAAAAACAGTGCAGCTGCTTGGCAGCCCGCCAATCGCTTTCCAGCCGCTTCGTCTGCGAAAGACCTCCTTCACTCCATTCTGAAAAACAAACGCACATCCTGTCCCAATCCGATCAACCCGTTCAAGATGATCATTCAGAGCTCATTTAACCATCCTATCGAGAGCTCACACTACTTTGCCAGCAAAAACGGCTTCGTCCACGGATGCATCGAGGCGTACAACTACCACCATCATCTAGTCCTTCGGCCTGACGATGTGTGGTTCGCAATGCTGACCCAGTTGAGCGTACATGTCCATGCTCATCTTGAAGACCAGTATCACTTCTTGGTGGACCACGAAGGCCAAAAGGAGCTTGTCATTCAAGTGGCCTCGATTGACCGGACCGATAAGGGTGCTTTTGCCGTGATAATCGCCTTTGAAATGCAGAAATGCATCATAGACGCAGATCTTCGAGAATGGGTTGTGCCTGAGTTCACGACGACCACAGTCACTGATCGGGCTACTGCGAGCGCCGTGATGATGGGCACGATGCAGAAGCATTTTGTCTCCGTCTGTGAGATGTCCTGTGGCTTGCCGTCCGTGACCCTTCTGGGGACTTTCGAGGACTGGGTAAAGCTTCGGGAGAAAAGCAAGAGGCTGATCATCTATGGTGATGAGCCGAGGAGATGGTATGAGAAGCTGAGGCCTGTGCTGGATAGCTTTGTGAATACCTTTATCCATCCGGAGAGTGACGCGGTGCGAGACTTTTGGCAGTCTATTTGTGACATCAAGGGGGAAAGTGGAAGCTCGACCTTTTCCGGCTGGATCACGACGTTCTGTTTCTGGGATGAGAACGGGGTCTGCTTGCATGACACGAAGCCGGGAGAGACCACGGAGCTTGGATTAGATGAGATGCCCGTGGGGTTTGTAAAGTTGCCTGCTCGGCTGGAATATAGCCGGATCACTGTCGAAACAGAGATCCTAGCCGGTTCGGTGGCTGTTCGGGCCAGCAAGCAGTCAACGCAGGGTCAGCTTGATACAGTTCAACCGGAATGTGGATGGTTTATGTATGAGGTGTGAATACGTACTTTAGGCAGTATAGCGTAGTTATTCTTTCCGGCATCTTTAACGATGTTTCACTAGGTCTAAATATAAATCCAACTTTGGAATTCTTTCAATAACCAACAATACAGCATTATAGGTCTAGCCAGGGGTATATAAAATCCGAATGTAACAAAACTCGCCAAGTACACCACATAATCGAACCCACCAAGCTGGGATACATCCTGAAGCAAAATACAAAAAAAAAAAAAAAAAATCATCTCCTCCTCCCTCCCCCAGAAGATGCAATATACTTCACAAGCACCTCCCTCTCCTTATGCAAGCCAACCATCCTCGCATCCTCCGCGGCCCGACCCTCCAGCGTCATCTCCAACGCCTGCACACTCCCCCCCCCAGCAGCAGCAGCAGCAGCAGCAGCAAGCGCCACAGGCCCAGCCTTCTTCCCTACAACCTTAATCTTCCTCCGGATTCCAAAACCAGCCCCGATCCCCCAAACAACCGCCCACTCAGGCACCTTGGTGTTCGTAGGGACTTCGCACCGCGCACAGATTTTCGCATGCGCACCGATGGACACCCGCCGGTGGACGATAGCAAGAGCGTCAACGACAGCGGCGGAATGGATCTGCACTCCGGGGTGAACCGTAGCCACGGGACCGATTGTAACGTTTGCCGAGATGCGAATCGGAAGCTCACCACCACCACCTCCTTCTCCGTATCCGCTGGCACTGGCACTGGCTGCATTTCGTGCTCGTCCTTGTCCCCGGGTAGACGCTCCAGATCCAGGGGCGATTCCAACCGAGGCCTTCTCGCTAATTATGCATCCGTCGCCGATTACAACGGGTCCGTCGTGCGAGTATATCCGGGCGCGAGGGTGGATGATTGAGCCGGACCCGATTGTGATCCGGTGTGGTCCTTGGAAGACGGCCGAGTCGGAGATGGTTGCGGTGGGGTGTGCGGTGACGGGGGCTCGGGGGGGAGCTGAGGCTGGGGGGGCGGAGCTGGCTGTTGTTGCTAAGGGACGGTGGTGCGGAGGGGGTCGTAGGTGGCTTTGTTGGGGGGTGGGGCGGGATGAGCTGTGTCTTGGGTCCATTGAATATATTTTTTATTGTTGTTGTTATTGGGATTGATTGAGTTGAGGTGGAATGGTAGAATGGTGGTGGTGGTGGTGGTGTTGGAGATGACAGTTGTGGGACGCGGAAGAGGTAAATTACGTGGTTGGTACTTTAATTCAACCTCAACTTCAAAATGCGATTCTGGGTAAATAAATCAATAGCTCCTTTATCTCTTCCTTTCATGCCTTCTTTCGAGGCTGGGTATCTCATAACAAGTCTAAATACCGACTTCAAACCAAATCCAATATCAAATCAATTCAACCCCTCACTGCCCTCCCCAAGTTACAGCAGGCTTAATCCCATTTCTCTTCCGCCATGCCCAAACCCCCCGATCCACCTCCTCCTTGGTCATGCCATCTCTAACCAAACAAAACGTCACCCCGAGCTCCATCTCCACATTTCGGTTCCGAGCCTCGTCGTCGAAAAAGAGCATATCCTCGTACGCAACCCCACTCGCCTGATGAATGCGCGAAAAATGCTGTGTCTTGGTCGCGGGGAAAATCTGCACGTAGTCGAAGTAGTCTAGGGCACGAATAGATTTGGTCTTGTTGGCCGGGTTATCCGAGAAATTCGGGATGATGTGTAAGGCCTTGAGCATGTCGCGGGCTAGATCTGGTGCGTGGGTGCGCGAGGCGAGAGCCAGCGGGATCGAGCGGTTTTTGCAAGCGTAGATGATGGAGGAGACGCCCGGGTAGAAGGCAAAGGATTCATTCCACCTAGACCAACACAAGGTTAGTATGTTTTGTCTCTTACACGAGCCAGGAGGGCATACTTGTCAGTGCAACGGGAGTTGTTGTCGCGGGGCTTAATTGGTGCGCTGACATGGGTGTCGACCCAAAACGGCCATAGAGTGTAGTCCAGATCAAAGGCGATCAGCTTAGGGAGTGGGAGACCATCGTTGAATGTAGCAGGCGCATTGGAGCTGTCTTCCAACGGCTGGGTATTTGTTCTCTTTGCGCGGATCATTCTCCGGCCGGTTGTCTAATTAATGAAAAAAAGAAGATATGCGGGACTTGATCTGGGATCCTAATGCGGCTCCTGATTAAAAAAAAAACAAAACAAAACAGACGCTAGTGTCTATAGTATTGGAACGAGTGTACAAGTCCTGTAGAGAAGGACAAGAAGGCATAACTTGATAATTGATCGATGTTGCGGGGGAATCGGGGGGGGTCACGTGCGATTCCCCATCTTCGACAAGCCCTACTTTCGAACAACTTCAGTCTTTGAGAACCTTCATTAGTATTCATTCGAGGGTGAAATGTACATCTGGTTGAATCCTGCTATTTCAGTTACCCCTAATATGTCATACAAACCAGTCACATCATCACCCCAAGCTTGATTAATCTGTTCCCAACCCGTTTTTGGTTCCTTTCCTTGTGCCTTGTTTTTTTTTTTTTTTTTTTTTTTTTTTTGGTTTCCCTGCTTAAAATCCATCATGATCACCCCCAATATTAACAGATTAAAAGTACACACATGGATGAAACTTTGTAGTCAAGGTAAACAAGACATGCGCCCTCAAAATTCAAGCCAAAGGGGTATAAGCAAAGCAGTTCACAGTCTCCAAGAACTTCCAGATCTGCTGGTGGTCTTCGGTACCCTTGATAGTCAGCTCGTAAGCGACTATATCCCAATCGGAGGCGTAGTGGAGAATTTGGTCTTGCTGTTCTTGGTCCAAAATGCCATCGGCACCGACTGCCTCCGCGATAATTCGACGCCAGATGTCCAACGGAACTCTAAAGCGTCCTTCCCCCTTGCGAGTCTTGTGAGGAGCACTCAAGTGACGAGCAGGTACATTTTCGCAACGGTGAGACTGGTTGCCGCTCGCCTCTAATGATTGTTCGGTCTTCAGCTCGACAGGCTTAGCAGCAACAGGGGGTGCGGCAGGGACGTCTTTGTAGTTGGTTGGCCGAAGGGCAGGAAACTCAGCATCGAACCTCTCAGCGGCTGGGTGGAATGGCCCGATAGGAAATGAATATTTCGGCTCTAAATCGCATAAAAAGCGCACGGTTCGCCTAGGCTTTTCCGGCTTGGGCTCAGGCTCTTCAATGCGCTCTTCAACTGCAACTTCCTCGACAGCTGATTCTTCCTCTTCTTCTGACCCAGTCTCCGCGTTCCGATCCTGATCATTGAGCAAAAGGGCACGGGCGACGATCATCATCTTCAACGCCGTGATGGAAATTTGACTGGCATGCACTCCTTCGTGCTTAAGAAATTCCATGCGAACTCGCTTGGAGAGCCGGCTATACTCAAGCACACGCTTGCTCTGTAGCTTTCTCTGGTCATCGCCGTCGGTTCCAGACTCCTCATCCTCAAACGAAACATGGACTCTGGACTCATGGATAGTCTCAGCCACTTCAAGGAGCTTCGTCGCAAATGGTGCAAGGCCGCCATTGGGCTTCCAAACAATACTTTTGGAGCTTTTTTCGCATTCGTGAATGGTATAGGCTTTTCCCGTAGGGAGGAACGCCAAAAGCTGCTCGGGAGTACGCTGCATCTGGAGCATACAGGATAAATGCACAGCGCTGCAGACGCTGATCCCGGAATCTGACAAATTAAGATAGGGGATTGAGCGGAGACCTCTAGTGCAGGTGTACTTCTTCAAGTCCGCGGCAGTAAAAGCCTTGCTGTTTGCAACCGCAGTTGAGTGGGAGGCAGCTATACCCAGAAACTGTCAGCTTGTTTTACTTTCAAATCAAAGTCAAGGGTGGATGTGGATGTGTGTCTTACCATTCTGACGAACAACCTTTCCCTTACAAGGCGATTTCTTCACACGACCCGCACGAGAACTCTCATTTTCTTTCTCGCTGTTCAAATTTTTCAAAGCAGCAAGCTCTTCAGAAACAACATCAACTTCCTCATCCAGCTTTGTTCCGATAATAGCCCCAGCATCAGCTTCAAGATAATCAAGGTCACTCTTGATGTAAACACGGGCCAGGATCTCCAACCCCACAGGTCCAAGTGGGTTACCACTAAGATCCAGTTTCTTAAGCATAAAGCAGTTGGTAAATGATTTCAAAAAGGAATTCCAGATCATCTGCTCCTCTGCGCTAACAACCTGGATTTCATTCTGAGATAAATCAAGCTCTCGCAGATCTCCAGGACTGAGAGTGATCACCTCAGCTAGCTTCGCCAGGGACTGGATGGTGAGCTGGTTACTCTGCAGATGGAACTCGGTAACCTTGGTCAGGCCAGATGGGTGCTGCTCATTGCGGTACTTGACACAATCAATCAGATCATCGATGAACTGGGCGAATCCCGCATCAGTAAGGTCTTTGCAAGCGATGTCAATTTCAAGAGTTGGGTCTCTTGCTGCTGCCTTGGATCCGGTGCCTGGGGGGATACGTTTCTTCTATGAAAGCGGGTTAGTCTTGGGGTATTTGGATAAAACTAGAGATAGATTTTGATGGATTTTTGAAATAGATATGACGGATAGAAAAGCAAGGAGACTTACGAGGTCCTTAGAGACAACCTGGCCCGCCTTAATTCCACCGATCTTTCTCTATATGTTTCATACTTGTCAGTCATGCTCTAGTCAGAAGATGCTTTGGATGTAGACATAGACATACCGCTGAATAATTGAGCTTCCCCATTCTGAGCCAATTCTGCAGGTCTACAGGTGGTGGCTATCTGTCTGAATTTCAACGTCAGTGTTGGGAACCCTCATAACAATACATGACAGAATGGACCAATAGCTAGAGAAACAAACAGATAGAACAAAAAAGAATAGAATACATAGGTAGATGATGTTATTATTTTCAACACAAAGCTTGGGAGAGTGATGCCATCCAGTTCACGCGCGCGGTCGCGACGCAACGCAAAAGAAACAAAGTATAGAAGAGCTTGATACCCCACCCCACCTAAATAGAGAAGACTTGATAGTACTACTCACCTTACAGTGTTTCTGATAAGAACCCTCTACCCTAGAGAGTTAGGCTAGAAAGAATAGATGGATGTCTTCGATCAAGGTGTAGAGGAGTGCAAGAGTACTGAAACCACAAGAGAATCTCGTAGATCAATAAGGGCAAGGATGTTAGCTGAGTATATCATGATCCTATTTAATAGAATTGACTGGAAAGAGAAGATATGTTGTTTTAGGAGAGTCTTTCTTACTTACCTTCTTCTTGATGCTTTGATACTGGGTATCAAGAATGGATGTAAGAGCTTGGGAGAAAAGCATGGGAAAGAAGAAGAAGAAGAAAGAAGAAATAGGATGCGTAGGGTTCTTGTCAAACAGAGACAAAAGGGAGTTTCTTGTTGCTAGGTAGATATCAAGAGCTAGGAATCATATTCACTCATTCACTATTACATGCAATATTCGCTTAGTTTAGTAAGTCCCCTTAAGCGAGCCTCAAAAACCGCTAAGTAGTCTGTTACTGCTTTGAATTTGATGAATGAAAGATATTAACGCTTCATATCGCTTTAGAATTCACATTTGTAGCACTTCTGCAAGCTTCAAGGGCTAACTAGGCTTCGGCAGCCATTCAGACAAGATCAAAAGGCAGTTGAAAGCATAACAACCTTCATATGATTAGTATTAGTACCATGCAAAGGACCATATTCTTCTAAAAGAAATCAACAATATCTTTGAACTCGTTCAGTAGATCAGGATCGATACCCTCCCAGTCTGTTGAGACAGAACTTATACCTGATATCTCGAACAACCCACGAGACTCGACTGCATTATATTTGAAACCAGCTCCAGGATTATCCGTTTTTCCTAGTGGGAAAGAATCCACTTGGGAGTCACCGTCATATTTTAACTTCTTAGTGTAGGATCTGCTGTCATCCACTAGAGAATTTTTTCGTTTTTGCCATCCGCAGGGGTTTTCTGGATGTCCCTCGACCAACAAATCGGCAACCACGTGTTGAGGTTCCGGGTATGTGAGATCTATCAAAGAAGTTTCCGGAATAGTATTTTCTTTGCGTAAAGGCTCCATCAAAGGCGAATGCACTGGGGATAGCATAATATCACACTCAAGCCAAGGTTCCGCAGGCACGGGTCTATTTTGAATGACAGCTGGAGTGTCGGGGGCTTGTTGGGAGTCCGTCTTCATCGAATCACCTATAACACCGAAGAACAATGTTGATAATGACGGTATATCACTAAGACCATCACTTCCATAATCGCTCGAAGAATCCACAGTATTGCCTTTTTGACTAGCCATCCGGGATAATCCTGGTACGGTGGAATCTTGCAATAGGCTCTCTGTTGAAGTCGAAACTGTCAAACTGTCTTTGTTCCTTTCATTTTCAGAAAATTTGCGAACAACTGTTGGACATGCAGGCCTTTTTAATATGTTAGCTGACAGTGTCGATTGACTAAGCCTCATGGTCCCCTGGCCTCCTCCATCAGATTGTTTCTTGAATGATTTAGGAGGCTTTTTAAGGCCTTCTCGACAGCAAAGGTGTTTACACCTGGTCTCCTTAGTTTAATTCTTCTAACGATCTGATAGGATCTTACGTTAATTTATCCTTGCACTTGTGGTTGCATGCCCGTAGTCCATTGTCCAGCCGGGTTGGTTCTTTGTAAGTTTCATGGTTGCCTTTTATCTTTTCCTTCATTTTGATCTCTTTCCCAGTTGCTTTTGGATATCCTATGCTTGTGGCTGAACCTGAAGCTCTGTGGGGCTCTTCATTATTCCCGTTATTTAGAAATTTTGGTCTTTGTTCAAACTACAAGCTAATCAAGTATAACAAATCCAAGGGAATGACACATACCTGCTTCAAGAAACTCACCAAACAATGCATCATCGCTATCAAAGGAATCAACATTATTCGTACCAGTAGATTTTACTACGCAAGTTTCTTTGCTTATAGTTTCTTCCTGGTCTGCCATCTTAATTAGGCTTTTCCCATGATTTCCTGGAAACGATGACGGTGGAAGCTCCGGTTTCAACACAGCACTTCTCAGAGTTCCAGCTATGTACGGCTCCTTAGTCCCAAGCAACGACCAGATACTGCATTAAGACGGCCATCCTGAAGTACGTACCGATTTCATCACACATAACATGGCATGTAACAAACTGAGTCGGGCTCTTCAATTCCGCGATCAAGAGTATCTCATGGCTATTCTGGATTCCACTCACACTGGTTGACATTAATGCCATAGCCTCCCCGGAAAAGAAAAGTGCTGACTTACCTGATGCGTCGGAAGTCAATGAGATAACCATCAGAAATTTCCGCCAGAAAGCAAACATGGACGGGTCGCCTCTGAAAGAATTTCGGACACTTTTCATTTATGAATCCAATTTCCGCTTTGAATCGTATCTTCGCTATAGGTCCCGGTCTGACGTCCTAGAAATATCCAAGTTAGGAACATCGTCTTATGTGATATCAAATGATTCTTTATACCTTTCCTGTCATTTTTACCGAGACCCGTAGCTTCGGGAAATCTGCAAGACGACCGCGTAGCTTAACCCCGAATGGCGGGTTTCTGCTCAATATCATGTCAATCTGATGAGGCTCGGTCTCTTCTAAAGTCTCAATGCTCGTGATTCCATTTGCTGCCAGCTTCCTGACTGCGACTACTCCCACCTGTTCAATCTGTTTGATCTGGAGCGGTGACCTATCCCAAACCTTTGCAGCCAAGCTTCTTGCAAGCTCTAACGCATTCATAGCTGTCACTGAGTCCTGAAGGTGTACTTGGCAGTCTATAATGCATCTAATCAGGCGGTTGACATGAGAAAAGACAAAATTCTTGTCCTGTTGAAATGCAAATTTGTATTTCTGAAATTGCTCTCCGTCAGGAAATTCAACCGCTCCGAGTTCAGATTGAATTAGAAGAGATACTTTGTGAGCCGGAAGCGCTATATCAACTTTGATCGGAATGCTGATATCTGGAGAGCGGTTGATTTCTTTATACAGAGTCTTTTCTCCTACTTTGAGACGAGCATTGTGAAACTCTTCTGCTTCGGATATCGCTGAAAGCTGTGTTGAATCAGTATCACTTTCTAAGTCCGTAAAAAATCTAGACTTACAATCTGAGCGATACCTGCCTGCTTGTTTAAAGCAAGGAAGGACTGCATCGTCTTAAATCGTACATAATACCGGGCCATAGCGTCCCCGAATGGTGTAGAGCGGAGACCTTCAAGGGTAACTAACCCACATTCTTGGAGAAGCTTGATATCCTTCTGGCAAATCTGGCGAAGCATTTCATCTTCGTCGTCCTGGTTGGCACCTTCTCTGAGTTGATAATGTGTCGGGTTCCTTCTCAGCCTCACAAATAGAAACGTTCCAGCAAGCCACCTGATAGCGGACTCTATATCTGTAACAGTTCCAAGCCCGATTTCAGCGTTCAAGTGGTCAATTAGGTTCAGATGCAAGCAGCTTTCGAGGCTCTCAGAACCAGATACCAACTTTTCATAGTGACTTACACGCTCTTTCCGGGTGAGGATGACCGCTGTTGCGCTGTCGTCAAACTGCGGCCGGCCTGCGCGTCCAAGCATTTGCATTATCTCGAGATCTGAGTACTCCTGGCAGCAGCCATCTTGCCATCCTACCGTATTTTTAATAATAACCAGATGACATGGTAGATTTACTCCGACTGCGAGAGTTGAAGTGCAGCATATAATACTTATTTGCCCCCCGAGAAACCCATTCTCAACTTGATGTCGATCTGCAGCATCAAGGCCAGCATGATGAAAACCAACTCCTGCACTCACTGTAGCTGTGGCATGCCAGTTAGCATAGAACCAGGCCAGTAAAGATAAACTTACTCTTCAAATCTAGATTTTTAACCTCCATCGGCTTGTTCAAACCTTTCCACAGTCTCGCCGGAGGATTCGATATCGACCATAGGCGTGCAAGCTCCTTGGCAGTTGCGACAGCCGAATTTCTTGTGCAACAGAATATCATAATAGGCTTTCTGCATGAATGTGTCGTAATAATATCAAGGAGTCTAAGAACTCAATGTTTAGTTCAGGCATCGGAAAACGTTACACAAGTCTTACTTCGAGTTGCACATCTTATCGAATGCAAAGTCATTGCTGTGCGACTGATATCCGTACACAACTTTCTGCAGCTTTACGGGACGAAACTCCTCATCGAAGTGTTCCCTCTGTGCGGGAACATGCTGGTTCGTAGAATTCCTACCAAGCCAGGTTGCAATATCTTCGGAATTGGGGATGGTCGCACTCAATGCAATGAATCGAACAGTAGATCCAATAGATTTCATTCGAGACACAACCGCCTCCAAAGTCGCGCCGCGAGCTTCTTTGAGTGTATGCACCTCGTCAATGAGAAATAGTTTCACCAATTGCATTAATCGTGCATGGTCCTTCCATTTTCGTGTCATACTGTCCCATTTTTCCGGAGTTGTAACAATGATTTGACTGTTCTGGACGTGTCTTAATTGCGTCTGATCCGTATCACCAGTGAGCTCCGCACACTGAAGCCCAAGTGCATGAAACTTTCGATTCCAATCACGAAACCTTTCAGAGCAAAGAGACTTGGTAGGCGCTTGATAAATAACCTTGAACCGTTCATCCTTCAAATTGTTGAGCAAGCGACAAATTGCCAATTCCATGACAACTGTCTTGCCGCTTCCCGTAGGTGCTGCTAGAACGAGGTTATCATCGCTCCTATAGACCGACTGAAAACACTTGGACTGAACCGCGTTGAACACGGGGAAATGAAAAAGTGATCTATAGTTATCTGGGAGCTCGCGCAGAGATACTAGAACAATACCTCGACTAGAAACCGGCAAATTTTGGAAAACCGTATTCTTTCCAGAACTCATTGTTGATGAAATATCAGGATTATCATAAGAGTGAGGTGTCCCAAGCCCCGTGAAACGGAACTGAGAATCCTGATGTGACCTCCTCGTTGTAATGTCCTGATCTCGAAACGGTGCAGCTGCTCTTCCATTCTGGAGCCTTGTCAATGCACTAGAAGCATCTCCTATGTCGACATCTGATGAACTGGAGCCCAAGGTTCTATGTAAAGTGGCCTGCGAATCTAAATTATTTGATTAGCTCAAATTCGATCAATTGCGGCAGTTTAGCGTTTCGGTACATGCCATTGAAAAATCTAGATACCTGAGTTGGAGGATGTTCCTGTCGCTGATGATATGTCGAGTGGTGGTCTGTATTAGAGGAAGACTGGATGCTCCCGGAAGGTTCGTCAGTGTGTGCTAACAGCTCAAGGTCTAGTAAGTAGTTAGTGAGTACATAATTCAAAGATAAGGTATATATCAGGTAGTTTTCAATCTACTTACCAAATGCATCTAGTTGTAAATCATCATTATAGCCATCCTCCCCAGCGGGAATGAATCCACTATCAGGATAGAACAATTGAAATTTCTGCTTCTGAGATGTATCAAGGGCCGGTGGAGTCTGAGCTCCATCGATAAGCTTTTGATCGATTATACGACTAGACTGAGGTTGGCCGGATGTGGGAAACTGGCCATTAGTCCTTCTTTTGAACGAGAGACCACGTCCATGGCGAGGGGTGCAGAACGGGCGATTCATTTCTCTCCTCATGGTGAGTGAAATTCGATTTTTTGAAAGCTCTGTTTTTGAAGAAAGCTGATGATCCAATTGGTTTAAAGATGAGGGATTGATGCAGATCCAAGATGATGAATAGGAATCTCTCATCATCAGATAGGACATAAGTCACCTGCACCCACGTGGATGCAGTACTCGGGAGAAGTATCATTAACATAGTGTAGACTAAAATGCTAGTATTTGACCGGAATATCAGGGCGGCTATGGAGTCAGAATCTTTTCATGTGCTCCATAATGATATCAAACTATTAGTATTCAATAGTTTTAGGCCCGCGTAGCAATAGGTTCAGCTTATGCTAGAGAAACAATTGGAGTCAGGTAGCAGCCCAATAATTTTGTATTTGCAACCCAAGGCAATGGTGCAAGATGGTTTCTACTTATGTTTTTATTCACTTCCAATGCCAAATATTCAAAGGAACAAATACAAGGTATGATATTCACACAGGAAATGCGACATTCGTAGCCATATCATCAATATCAGTCAATTCGTAAGTACGTATCATTTGAAGAACCCACCCCCCCCGGTTCGCGAGTTACCGATTCTTGCATGGCCTGGCGAGGTAGGCCTTGACGTTGAGATGCCTGCATCCGACAAGAAAGGGGTACTTGGGAGCTTGATAGAAATCTCGTTAGGCGAGGATGAAGGCGAGGCTTCAGCACTCTTGCTATCTTTATCAAAGCGCTCGATACGAATTGGTGGTGGACGAAGGACCTGTCGCTTAACCTGAACAGACCCTGAGTTAGGGTTATCACTGAGGTAGGTAGCCACCAACACCGCAAAGGTGCCAATGAGAAACTAAGAAGAATGGCGTGTTAGAAAAGTCTAAAGAACAGTTGATCTGCAAATTTGTTATCGCAATACGTACTGAGAGAGTGGGTTCAAACTCGAAGAGCCAAACACTAGCCACTGTTGTGACGACAATACTTGTGGCCGAGGCAACATTCGTGCTATCTGCATAAGCACACCCAGTGCAGAAAGATGCAGTAATCCCTCCAACAGCTTGCACCAGGATCGTAGACCAAACAACCCAGTTGTAGCCATCGAAAAGTCCACCGGTTGCAATCTTCTCCCCATCCAGGAATACAACGCCAATGAATAACGCAGGGAAGATCGAGTAGATAGCGAGTTGCACATTCCGGATCCAAAGTGAAGTTGCCTTTACGCTATCCTTGAGCACCTTCTCAAAATATACACCGGCAACGCCAGAGGCTCCACAAGCAGCAATGGCGGCCAAAAGGCCAACCGCCGCATTCAATTGCGGGGTCGCAGTCAGCAGATCCTCCTGGATTCCCTCATAGGTCGCGGAACGTTTATGCAGGTTCCCGCCATTTAGCTTCACCGACTTCCACTCTTCCAGCGAGCGTGGGAAATCAAAGTGCGAAGCTGCATGCTCCAATGCATTCTCATCTAGGCTACCGTTGGGAATCTGGGCCAGGCCCACCCCCAGCAGGAGTAGAAGCATCAAGGCCCATTTGCGTGGGGAAATAGTTCTCTTCAACAGCACCAGACCGAATATCGAGCTCACAATAAGCTGCAGCTGGTATGATACTTGAAACGTCGCAGCTTGTAGATTGGAAAGTGCAATATATTGAAGCGAATTCGCCAGGGTATAAAGACCGGCCGGTATCGCAAGCTTCCAACTGTCACCGGAAAAGACAGCTGCTGTGAGAGATAAAAGAAGGGAGGTCGCAGGCACAGACGGAGGGGCTGTTTTTGAGACTTCATATAGTGCAACTGTCAAGGATACAGCGAGTTTGATAACTTCGCTAAAAAAGACGGCGGTTGATGTTAGATATCGCTTGCCACCAGTGGGTGGCATAATCCTGGAGTAATGCGCTAGCTAGAAGAGAAAATATTTAAATCAGATGTCTATCAAACGGGCCAAGGCATCCCGGGGTGGGGGGTTCAACGAACAAGGACGAATGTGGTATACTGCGCAGTCAACTGCATGCGAAAGCAGAATTAGCCCAATATTTACTCTAATGTCAATAATAATCGCAGCCCATTATTCCTCTGCATGATTCTTTCTTTTCTTTTTCTTTCTTTCTTTAACAAATCGACTAACCAGAATCCAAGAAGAACTCCTCCAAACCGCCACGCGCCCCGCAGGCTGTCGTTGGACTGTTTCCCCCATGGTGATTGATAGCTGTGTCCTCCCAGCAGACACGATGAATGGTGTCAGACAGGCGCACAAAATGTGAAAACAGAGGCCGTTGTGATGTTGTATGGTAATAGGGGCTAGGCTTAATCTGCCGAGGATGTTTCATGCAGTTCACAGTGCGCGTGGAAGTACTGGGGTCGTGGGTTATCGATTTCCAATGGGGGGGTTGGTCCACCAAGACGAAAATCGACTCCAACTATATATCGACGATAGTTAAAAGAGGGAACTTTCCTCTCATTCAGTCAAGACAAGGAGGAAAATCATCCAGCGGCGAGAAATCAAGACAAAAGTTATCATGCAGTGTTTCTTTTCTCTTTCTTAGTGGGCGGTGTGGATCATGGGGGAGGGTGGGCGGTCGCACTATTTCAGCAATATCGACCAGTGATTCCTCAGGCAGGACACCGATTCGCCCAGGCGGCGCCCCTGATCGCTGGTAAGAAAGAGAAGAGTTCCCCTGAATCCATGGTTGATGGACGTCACTGGTAACAGTAAAGTGGGTAAAATAATATGGGGAAAAAATGATCAAAACTATGAGCTGTTAACTGATAATTCCTAATGAATTTAACTAGTTCTATTCCTGATAGCAATAACTGTACGAGAGAGAGAAAACGAAGGAAGGAAGAAAAAAAAGACACATACCTACCTGATAGAAAGATCAGGTAGCTTTTATTATATAGCGGGTAATTATAAGAAATGCCTATAAACTAATTTTTCCTGATAAAGATTTTCTAGGAAGAAATTAAAACAAAAAATAATAGTAGTAGTAGTAGTAGTAGTAGCTATTGTATCTAAGACTTATTGTAAACATGATAACCCCTTGGCACATACATACCTGGCCCAGCCGCCCAGGTAACCTGGGCCAGGGATCGTATCCACCCAAGCCAACGAAGCTCTGGGCTCAGATTGCTCAGATCACAGTGATCTGATGGAGGCTGTTAAATTACCATCGGAGAAATACCAGGAAACAGCACCCGGCTTTCGAGAGAGATTATCCCCCGGTCTCGTAGACGGTCGAGTCGCGGTGGGGAAGCGTATCTTGGTGTCCTCATGGGTTGCGGTATGGCCTCCCTGGCTTTGAAGACGCACTCCATGGCGAGAAGATCTTGTGGCTTTGACGACTTGGATTGATTCAACAACGCCTTTCCTATATACGCAGACGGTAAAAGTCTCCGGCACGGATCAACTATAGTCCATCCATAGGTCACGCGACCGCAGACAGGGGGCTCGAGCGCCCCCTTAAAGCGGCAATGGCAATGTCCGAACGAGGTAGGAAAGAAGGCGCTTGGGGTTTTTTTGAACAGTACGGAGTACTTAGGTACTACTACTTACTAACTAGTAGGTAGTAACTACTAGTAGACTACTGTGTACATTGTAACTAGGTAGAACTACCTAGGTACCTACTCTGGAGGTCGGTCACTTAATCGAGGGAAGATATAGGGTACCGTTGGACCGTACTACTATGGTATTATTTAGACTCATCTCCCCAAAGGCTAAACCTCTTTCTTGATCTTCGCTTCGGATTTCAAAGGCACACGCATTTTAGCATTTCTTCTCCCTTGCATCTCCGAGTGATCTGCCACGTTGCTGGAGTGACGCCATTCAATATTTTCCGGCAGTCACAGATTGTATACATGGGAGTCAGATAGTGGAGTACAAGGTAAATGCCATCAACCGCATGCCGATCTCTAATGAAGCAGCTAAACAAGGAGATCCCCGATGCGTCAACTTCAATCCACATTGTGGTACAGTACATATGATTATTCTATATTTATTTTTATTTTTTTTTCCTTTGCTACCTATTATCCAAAACTTGTCGTGAACAATGTAATCTAATGCACGCTGCTAGCACTCAACCCTCACAATAGATGAAACAGGGGGAATAAATATGTCGAGGACATGAAAAAAAAAAGGGTAGGGAGAAAAAAGAAGAAAGTATATAGAGAGCGAAAGGTGTGATTGATGTGTCTGTCACGGTTATAATGGGTCATGAAGGATTGACATAAAAAGAAAATATGGATGATTAGTGAACGCGATCGAGGGAGACGCCAGGTCGTGAGAGGATCAAAGTTAATTATAAAAGTTGTTAATGTACGGCCGTCACACTGCTACCACCTATCGTTATTCCAGCCCAAAGCCCAAATCGGAAAATCGTTGCTTCCTTTCGAGGTTTCAGTAGGGCTGCTAAGCACAATTGCCTCGCTGCTGTCAGTCCGCCTTCTCGAATGCTGTCTTCGAACTTCGGGAACTGGGGGTGGCGGTTGGCGCGGCGGGGGCTTTTGTGATGGTAAAGGTGAGAAGCGGTGAATAGGAAGGGTCGGGGTCAAAGGAGATGTCCCGCTGGTCGCGGGAGAAGGGAGGCTTTCAGAGTACGCTAAACTCACACGGGGCGACGCACCAGAGTTTGTGGTCTTGTGTTCGGAGTCAGAACTCGCACCATGCGGTGTGCGTGCCGTACCTGGAGGAGGAAATCCAGGGCTTAAACGCAAGAATGACGTGTCGGAGCAATAGAACGAATCGCGAGATGGGCCAGAAATTACGGAATGACGATCAGGTTCCAGAGCTTCTTGGAAGAGGCTTGGAGTAATTTTGCCTTTCCGCTGTCTCACTGCCTCGAGCAAATGCTCTTCTTGCCGAGTGACCGCAACGAGTCGGCTCCTCCTATTGATCTCTTTGTGAGACACGATGCTTTGAGATGGCGTATTTTGAGAGATGGTAGAATTTCTCATCTGGCGGAAGATAGGGTCATTGTGAAAAAAGTCAGGCTCTAATATAGTTGGGACGCCGCTGGAGCGGCGAGACTGGCTATTTAAAGATGATGGCTTTGCGGTAGTACTAGCAGTAGTAGCAGCAGAAGGCTCACGTCGGACCTTGGCTGTTCTCGGAATAGGGCGTGAGCTTCGGGTGCTTGATGATGGAGGACGCTCAACACTCCTTAACGTGCCCTTAGTAGCCTGAGCAGCTGCAGCTGTGCAAATCTCGGCATCGGATTCCCCGTATGTAGCCACGCTGTCTCGCTGGGCCCGGCGAACCTTTTCTGCAGGTTTGAACAAGTCTTCCTCCTCGTCCTCGTCCTCAGAAGACGAAAGACATAGGACACTGGATTTATTGAGATCCGAGGTTTTCAATGCACTTTTACTACTCTTCTTAGACACCATCGGGCTCTTACGAGCATTGGCACGCAAGTTAGACTGGGATGATGGAGGTAGGCTTGCCATTGCCTGCGGTTTGGGCCCAGAAGATGCCTTTGCAGACAAGTAGGTTTCTTTACCCCGGTCACCGACGGTGTGGTGTGAAGGCATATTACGAACTGTTGTTTGTGAAGAGACCGTTGATTTGCCAGACAGGGGGGCTGATTCAGTAGACTTGGAGTCGCCTTGTCGAAGTTGCTCCCTGCTCCGGGAGCTAAAGTTTAGCAGGCTATATCGAACACGGTCATTTGAACGGGGAGTCAGCTGGGTATCATGTTTCTTCTCCAAAGCCAGGTCCATCTCGCTAGTTTGCACTATTCTTTCCGTCGAAGGTTCTACCCACTGCGGGCTCTTCGTAACGGGCGATCCAGGAGAATTGAGCACCCCATTAATGGTCTGGTGGCTGTTCTCCAGGCGAGTAGAGACTCTTGGCAGCGGCGGTACCTTTGTAAGCTTCCTTCCAGGTGAACGGTTTCCCTGTTTAGCTGCCTTTGCTGTAGAATGTTCCGAGGTTACCGAAATTGGAGAGGGAGACGACATCAGGCGTGTAGGTGAAAGAAGAGGTGGGGTGGCTGATTGTGGTTTGGGGAAGAGTAAAGAAAGATCGATTCTTGGAGGGCGACTCTTTCGTCTCGAGTCCTTCGTAGAGCCTTTTGGTCGTTCGAATGATGGGCTCGTTTTGTCATTCGAGTGCTGTCCAATGATATCCATAGTCTGACCATTCTCCCTTGCCACTGTGCCAAAGCTTGGGTTCAAGTCTGCCGGCAATTCTCTCGAGCGATAATGTGAGAACAAGGCTGATGATGAGCCAGACTGATGGAGTTTCTTTGAGTGTTGGAGAGCGGGGGGAGGGTCATTTGTCGCGCGATACTCCTGACCCAACAAAGGGGATGAAGCTCGGACCCGCAGGTGTGGTAGAGGCAGGATGTTTTCTGTGTCAAAGCTTTTGGGTGTGATTTCGGGAGCATTCAGGAAGCTTGGTCGTCTGCTTGTTCGCTTATCGGGTGGCCTATGATATTCATTATCTAGAGCAATGCTTGTCGTTCCCAGGATTTTCTGGGCCTTGCTCATTCTCCTCGACCTCATGTCCCCCTGATCATTTCTGGCGGAAAGCATGTCGCTTGTGGGAGCATTCATGCTCGATGTCCTGAGTGGTATATGGAAAGACATTTTGACCACCGCCTCTATTAAAGGCGGATCAGCCGTGTGTTTCAAGGCAGATTTGCAGTCTCGAGTGTACTCTTTTCAGGAGAGTTTCGGGGTCGGTCAAGCGAACGTGTTTCAGTGTCGCTGAAGAATAAAAATGCAGGTTGGCAGTCTTGTAGTGAAGGAATTGGAGGATGCTTTCGAGTATTCTCACCAGATGGAGGTCGTGTTGTTGCTGGCGTCCAACAGAGAAATCTTCCCCACCCTAAGAAAATTCGGCAAATTAAAGACGTTGAAACAAACTGACAGGTGCCTGCACCGGAGAGTTTTGTTTACTTTTTTATTTCGAAATTTGACTACCTAGAGTCGCAAAAGAATTGGAAAGAATGATTGATGGATTGGTCTGAAGAAAGAGTAAGAGAGTGGGAAATATGGATAAAAGAACGACAAGGGCCAACAACAAAGCGCAGAAGGAGGGAAATAATTATTCTGAAGGACTGTGGACGAGCGCAAGCAGCAGCCCACCTGGTTTTATCAGTTGACAAGCACCAGGAGAGGGTCTGGTCGGAGGAGAAGTGGGTTAAATAAATGGGGGGTTATGTAGCGGCGCAGAGATGAAGATTATTATTAGTAGCGAGGAATCGGAGTACAACAGCCTCTCGCCTATGTACACTTCCGCCCGCGCCATTTTCGCAGTGTCCACCTTCGCGCACCATCAACCGGGTTCTTTTCTCTTCTTTAATTAAGTCTTAATTTATTCTAGTACGCAATTGATCGTCTAGACCCTCGACTCTCCGCGTTCTTTCATCCAAACCCGGAGTCAACGAGGTCTTTTTAAGGGGATCTAAACAGCAACAACGGCAGCTCATCAGTGTATCTTAGGAGTCTAACTCGCTTATTTGGAGGAGACAGGGGGAGTCAATGATCAGTACTTCGTACACGCGTGAGGTTCCTCAAATAGCCCTGCACATCGGGGAGAGAACCGCAGGACCGGTTCACGATCGATCAAGAAAGTTGTTACTGATCAATTCGGGAAGGAGTGGTGTGAAGCCTCATACTCTATGCAGTAAAGCATCGACAGGGACTCTGATATAGTCCACAAAGGAACGACCCAGTTGTCATCGACCATTGACAGCTTTGGAGAAAGGCCACTACAATTGGAAGTATTTATGGGGAAACTGGGGCAGACTTTCCTCGCTCCTTGGTTATGGACTTCAAGATATCTCAAGACATACTCTGTGCGCACTACTGAGTGAGTGAGTGTCGGGGAAACAACACACACGGGGCAACTTCCGTCAGTCAATGCAAAGTGGATTAAAAGCTTTTGCTGCTTTTTGTCTCGAATTATCTTTTACTAGCGCCGACTGTGGCCCCAACCCACCCGCCGCGACTTCTCCCAGTCTTTCGGACCAGGACGACGGCAGATGGCTGTCATACACACAGGACTAGCTCTGGCGCGAATGCTGGGCAAAAGGCATGGTTGCTTTTTTCTCCCTTGCCCTTTTTCCTACTCTGTATGGACTATGGAGTAGGTATCGCGTACACCTCTTCCCTTGTGGGTTGTTCCTGGGACATCTTCTAGGAGCCTTTCTGCGGACAATAATAGTCAATGCAGATAATACAGTAAGTAGTACACAGTACCAATCCACAGCTAGACACATGTAATTGGAAACCCAGCGACAATATTATTGGTATCCCCGTCCACCCCTGTCACTAAACTGTGGGAATTAGCCTCCCACCATTTGCAATAGGGAGAAAAAGAGAGACGAGCAACAGAAAAAAAAAATCTGTACTGATTGTCAAGGCCTCTTCATAGGATTCACGGGCTGCTTGTTTGAAAATGCACTGAAATTACTCTTGATTTCACAAGTCTAATCAAACAATCAAAAAGGGGTCAAATTTCCTTAGTCTCCTTAGTCTCCATCCATACTGCTCCACCGGTTCTGCGTACCACTCGATCGACACACACGATCCCGCTAAAGTCAACGAGGAACCGCTTGGAAACTCCTTGCTCGCTCATTCATCTCTCAATCATCTTCCAATAGGAGACACAAACTATGCTGATCCTCATCCTAGTTCGCCAATACCATTCTTAGGCGGTACAGTAGAGGAGTCGCTACAAAGACCTATTCGATTCTGGTCAGCCCGACACCTCTATTCTGCAAAAGGGAAAAGGGACATTAATGATTACCTTACAATTGGGTTTAGAATTCAAATAGTGCCGAATGGAAAGTTATGATTCTCGACTCCGCATTCACCGTGCTGTGTGGGTGGTCAGACGTGTCGGGCGATTGAACATAGTCGGATTATCTTATTATTGAGTTAACAGGTGAAAAGCTCGAGAGAAACAGGGGCGATGTAACTATCGCGGCCGACGATTGCATTCATATTCTCTTTTCGTGCAGGTGGAATGTGAGGACTTACCTGCACTAATAGCCGTTTCAGGATTATCTAGCACAACTGTATTATTTGGGACAGAACCCATATTCTACAGCGATTGGGTTTATAGAGACTCAGGCGCCATCCCAAATGAGTTACGCTGTCTCATCTTGCAGTCAACTTGGCAATTCCTGATCTAGTGTCGGAAATTGTAGTTGTACAACCAGGAGGATCGAATCTCATGCCTCCCGAGGCTCTCAGCCTCTCTCACACTTGGTCATACCGTCATCCCCTGTTTCATTTAGCACGGTGATTTGTCCCACGACCGGAAAAAGCAAAAAAGTTCCATCTCGAGGCACCACTACGGAGTATTCTGGGGCCCTTTCCCTAGGGCCTACCTTCAATCCTTTGCAGATCTTTTACTTAACTATCGGGTACTACCGTCGTCCACCCCATCCTAATTGCTTTTGACATAAATTATCTTCGGAAACACTCAGCTAATATTAATGCAGAAGATTGGCTGAACTTGACAATCGTATCCGCCAGCCCTCCAGTCTAGCCGAAGATGAACTTCTTTCAGCATTGTCTTACCAATATGCGATGCTCGAAATCTAAGTTATCAATCGTTCTATAGCACAGGCAACACTAGGTATAACGTGCAGAACAAGGTTAAAAACAGCTACCAGGTGTGGGAACCTAATCTCACTCGATAAAAGCCTCGCTACCTACGAGGCAGGGATTCTCACAATGCCAATCCACAGGATTCCAACGGTCTGGAACCTTAAGCGAGTCTTATGGTGGCCTTTATTGGTGGTGAACTCATCCAGGCATTCCCAAGACAATAACAACCACTCAGGAGGTGGATTTAGTCAATGTTAATGCCTGCAAAGGCTGTATACCCTATACCACCAACGACACAGCCCCCTCCTGCGTGATCCTGATAAGTTGATCAGAGTCACATCGCACATCTTGAGTGTGACAGTGTGACCGTGTGACGACCGACGAAGCTAGGCACGCACCTGCCAGGAACCCGCAGATCCATCTGCCTGGGGCCAGCTGGTCTCGGCCTTCACGAGCTTGGCTCCGCACAGAACAAGATCAGTTACCACAATGCTCTTCGATCAACCCTACTCCGGACCATTTATGGAATCCCCTTGTGCTAACCATAAATCTCACCCCCACAACTTACAAGTACGGAGTAGTTCATCCCACGTACCCAGGAGAGAAAGTAAGAAGCACTAGTTAACTAGGAGCTATGGACAAGATCATCCTCCGATCTCTGAGTTTCACTCATCACAGCCGGAAATTACCCAAGGGGCAATTGCGTTCGAAAAAGCAACACTTCTCTCCACTCATCACAATCGCCCCTTTCAGGTTTCTACCAATAACCTACTTATGTAGTTAGCCTGCAGGCATCTGCCCGAGAATCAAGATGGTCCAGGATCGGGAGCAAGCTAAACTATCTACCTGCAGTCTCAATAGCAATGTTTAGCACACAGTACGGAGTACTCAACAGCGATAGTCAATGAACCTTTACCTCAGTAAGGAGTAAACGGGAGCCAGCCGCGCAAATTTCATTCCTATCGACAGTAACTAACTGCCTAGTTCATGAGAGCTTGCTCCTAGCTTGCCCTTAGGAGAGTACGCTATACGTATGTATCTACTCCGTATAATAGTTACTTGGTTATCTAACTATGTCTCATCCCGAACTCGTGCTCCAGTGGTGTCGGTGTCGTCTATTTCCAGGCCATCAATTAGGACGCAGTACTACTGTTCACCTAGGTAGTGAGTCGGGGTGGTATCTGAAAGCTTTCGTGCTGTAAAGTAGTTTATGCATTCATGATAAAGTATTATTAGATTCGTTGCTGACAACACTACTTGTAAGGTTTTCATACTTCGAAATCAGAGGGAGCTTCTCTCTAATCATACAATTGAAAAAAAAAAAAAAAAAAAAGGCATTCGGAAACCCGCCGTAGCAATTTTTAGAGCATAACACATACAATTGCTTTTTTGGTTTTTTTTTTTGGTTTTTTTTTAGGGTAAATCTTGTCTGTCCTGCTTTTCTTTTTTTCTACATTAGAGATATTCTGTTTTGTGGATAGACTAGGGCTGTGAAGATGTCACAGGCTGCTCGCTGTCACTTGTCTCGGCTCCAACATCGATGAGTTTTGAGTAATTGCTAATTTTGCGTTTCTTTCTCGCGCTGCGCCGAAGTCCATCTCCTGGACTTCCGTGGGTTGGAGTCGTTGGAAGTGGAATTACCCCAGGCTCTGGGTGAATCTGGGAGGATCTAGTTCTCTTGCGAGTCGGTATAGCTGTGTCCGCGGTGGAGGGATTCAAATGGCCAGCCACATACGGCTTGCAGTAAATCAATGATGGCTTATCCTTCCCATTGTGGCTCACCGTAGTTGAAGACGCGAATCTGTCATTGGATTTTTGTGTTCCTTGATTCTCTGTGTCATAGCCACTCGCAGAAATTTCTTCCTGTTGCGAGTTGGGTGTGCTCAGGTTATTGAGGTCAGTCGCAGGGGGGCTAGGTGCCTCGAGCGAATCGTGGGGGAATTGCTTGGTGTACTGGGACAATGTTAGCATACTCTTTGGGAAATTGTGAGTCTCCATGCCACCTACATGATGTTGGATCTTTACCATAGGATCAAGGATTTCCCTTTTCATTCTTTGTCGGATATCTTCGGAGTGAGGAACTCTGAACTTCGGCAATCCTTTTCGCAAAAAGCCCTTGCTTTTAGAGCCTGGAGTTGGTTGCAAAAACCCTTCCTTCCGGAGACGATTCGTTATCTGAATCACAGTCGATCCACTGCAGTCTGCAATGGTCAGATCAAATAATCCAAGTTATGTTGAAACGACCTACGGGTTTTTTCGGAGAATAGCGCCGTTCTGCATGGGTACCCTTCTTCTAATATCACCCGGAGAGTTCTTCTAACGAGCGTGAGTTTCTTCACTTCATGAAGAATTGAGCTTTCGTTTTGCTCGAGGAGGCATCGGTAGCAAGCATGAACATCTGGAATCCTTGGATCCTGTACACCTTCATACCCATAGCAGACTAGGTGCTGTCGCGTATGACAGAAAGCACATTCAAGCTAATAAAATGAGCATCTTTCTCTCAAAATCAGAACCTTTTCGAGCTCACCATGGCTTTTTCTTCTCCTTCCCAGCCACACTCGCATCTAACAGCATGCCTCCAAATCTCGCCGTTCCGCAAAGCACCCGAGTTTCGTGAATCGAAATACTCTCGAATCTCCTCCATCTTTCGCCTGGAAAGAAGGAACCTATGTGTCTGGCATTGACCTGTGGCCTCCATATTATCGGGCCCAGCCACGAGACTAGCCCTCAGGGGCTGTGTGGGAATAAAGTCAGTGTCCGAGGATAGGGTTTCTTGGGACTATTATAGCAACCAAAATTAGATCGAGGCCAGGTAAATGGAGATTTGCATCTATTCTTACAGGAATCATCATTCGCAATCTTTCCCTCTCAGCAACATCCTGCGTCACCTCGTGAAGGTTCCCTGCTTAGAGTATATAACTGAGTGAGCTTTGTTCAGCACAGATTATAGTTGGACAACATCGATAATACCTCCATCTGTAGATTTCTGTTGTTTACTGCAATCCTCAACCCCTATATCGTCTGATCGTGGCACGGTGTCCTTATATTCAAGGTTGGGCGGTATTTGAGGCAATGAGTCTGACCCTTCTGGCTCGGGGCCAGTCCACTTGAGCGATGTCACCTTGAGTCCAACCCTGATTTTTCTTTAGCAACCGCCAATTTGAAGGAATAGATACTCACTTGTGACATCCGCTATCCATCACACCACAGGTCTGGGTCTCTTTTGTCCAATTCTCAGCTAGAGGATAGTGGAGTGTACCATCTCTTGCATCAGTAAAGCCAGGAGGCTCGTAATTGGATGGACAGTCTTCAGTGTAGAACAAGTGAATACCAAGGTTACGTTTGTCTGTGTTGGTTTAGCGAAAGTGAAGGGAGGAACCTCAAGGGGGTCATATACTTGGAAGGGTAGGGAGAAATGAGCTGAGCGTTATTAGACGCCTAACTATTGTTTCCAGCCCTACTCGAGCAGTCTGGGCACACTTCATGTTGGCGGTATAGCCGACGGGTTCTACTGAGATACTTTCCAGGCGGTCATTTAGGTTTCCTTGTCCTCCAGTGTATTTAAATGAGAAGGTATACGATTCCAATACGTTGTCAGGGGCGTTTTTGTCAACGAGAATGGTCAATTGCACGGCTTCGAGAACTCTCTTGCTCATAGCATCAAAGATACCAGTTTCCTAGCCCTGTTAGCATAGTTGCTATGTATTCGGTCATCAATCATACTAGGACATCGAGAATTGAATCCGTCTTAGGATCAGAGCCACGGAGAAGAATCTTTAACGGTTGGCCTCTTCTACCGCTCCCAAAAGTGGCATCGGAATTCTCCCTAGCGATGCTGGATATTAAATTGCCATTGACGAATTCATGGTAGGAAAACTTCTGCTGCCGGTGTGTCTCTTTCAGATCCCTGTCGTCAAAGCATGGAAGTGGCAGAAACTCCCTGGTAGCAAAAATGAGAGGTCCATCAAGATAAGGGCAAAGCAAATTTGACGAACCGAAGATAAAAGAGGGTGCCGAACTGAGAAGACTGCGTTAGCTTGATCGGCAGTAAGATTGAAACTACTGACCGATACATGCAGCATGATCTTTACCATTTCCAAACTTTGTTGTTTTTGCATCAGAAGTGGATCTTCCTGGGCAGTTAATCTAGAGGAATCGTCTATCACACTTCGTACCGGAGATGGCCGAATATAAGAGGAGGTTGTAGTGCTGGAAACAAGGTCATTGTGAGGTTGTGCATGCTGTAACCGGACCGTTGACGCAGGTCCAGTAATCTTGATTCGGACCATCCTGAAGTGAGTTTGATGGTTTCCACACGGTCCAAGTTGAAAAGGAGGGGGGATTAAAGGGAAACAGAGGCAGACTGTGTAAAACTAAAAGAATTGGCTAAGTCGCTGTAAAAAGATATCTGATCAAGTCAGGTTGACGACATTTGGAGAGGAAGCCAAGGGCCGGTCACGGGGGCTCCAGGGGAGTTTCTTAATATCTGGAGTAGCAGATGCTGTACTTTTTTCTGCCTTTTCCGCTTACTTGTTGCTTTTCTTACACATCTACTTTTTTTTCTTTCCAACAGTAGATTGTATAGATCCCAATTTCACACCATATTGAAAATCCTACTAGGCAAGAGAAAGTTTGTTGTTTCTCGCTTACATATATTCAAGATCGCGCCTAGCAGGCTCAAGGTGAGAATATGCCAAAAGCTATTGAGGGTTCATTTGACTAACATCTTCATCATTTGCCGTAGCGGTCCAACAGCAAGTATATGGGAGTAAGGTTGGAATTTTAATGCTTTGTGCCTAAATATAGAAGCGGCCAGTCCGTGGTGTCGGCATCGATAGGCGCAAAGAATGATTTACAAATGGTGTCATGCAGGTACACAAAGACCATGGAGAAAGAGCGGTTTTTATCTCACCAACAGAAGGTAGAAGGTGTTTAGTCCAAGTTGTCCCACTCTACGAATCATCCTCGAATTTACCAGTCGACTCGGATCAATAGAGTCTGGACTCTGGACCTCTTCTCTTCCCCGCAATTCCTGGGAGTTAAGATTTTCCGAAGTATGACAACTTTTCTTAGGGCGGAATGGAAAGACTTGGTGGACCTATACAGAGATAATGAAAGGCATGGATAAATGTCTCTTTGTGTATTTACATGGCTATTTCTATACTCTAGAGTCTACAGAGAATTGCAGACCCTATAGAGTACGACTCGGTGGTGCTGGTGCTGGCGTTTACGGAGTATGTAGTGCCCCACCATGACACGTGATTCGATGGAATAATGGTGGGCTGGGGATTTCTGAATTCTGATTCCCGACTCAAAAAATAATAAAAGATAACAAGTCTAGTAGGGTTAAAATATTCAGGAGATTGTGGATTGATTTATCACTGAAAATGTACACGAGAAGAATGCAGGAGGAGGTGACGTATCACATTGATCTAATCCAACTCCTCTTTCCTCACTTCTTCAAGATTGCCCATCTCCAAATAATAATAGTACCTAATACTCTGTATAAACTACCGAACTGGGATTATTCTTGTAAGCAGGCCTGGGAATGCACGACGGCAAATTCTGAGCCCACCTTGCCTCTTCATCTTTTCGACCCTTTTTTTGTTTCCCTTGCGCATGGTGAAGCAGGCCAAAACCCCCCCTCCCTCCACTTAGTTGTAGTCTCTTGTCCCCTCTGCTTCTTTTCAAAATAATTTTCAATAAAAGCCCAAATATCTCTGTTTTTTTTTTCCCCTCCCTTTATCGAGTTGAATTTAATCTCTCTTTGTTATCACTCGGTTGTGTTTTTCTTTTTTTTTTTTTTTTTTTTTTTTTTTTGCGGAGATTCGGGAAAGCCCCAAATTAGGCTAGTCGCCCAAGTGACGGTGCGACGGTGCTGAGACTGAGTGAGTGAGTGTGAAGAGGGAGGCACAACCAACCACCTCCTCCATCAGCTCCCTCGAATTGTCCTCCGCCCAACACCTTCTTCTCCGAGCACGCCACAGGGTCCCATCCTGTTTCTTATTTACCTCTTTTCCTCAAATCTTCCTCCCCGTTATTCTTCAACAACACACGACGAACCGTTATGACCGTGCTCTAATAAGGCGACCGTTCTCGAATACTTTGGGCAGTCAGATAGATGCTCCTAGCAGGCGTGTAGCGTGCTGACAGCCCACCATTTACCCCAGCTCGTTTTCTCGAGGAAACGCCTGCCGTCCGCTTCGACAACATCAGTTTCTACATCTATTAATTCTAAGAATGATCACCGGTTCTATCTGGTATATCCCATACAACTAGACACGACGAGGCGTACTGAAGCGGAAGCGCCCATCACGACGCGTCTACTTGCAACCTACCTCTTATCATCCCAGGAACGGGACGAAGAAAGCAACATGGACGATCATGAAAACAATAATAACGAGTTCATTCACGGGACCACTTCTGCCTCTCTTGGCCAATTTTCCTTCGCTCCTGCTACTCGGACCACTGTGGTAACTACGACCACAACCACTACGACCACTTTCCCCCCGTTGTTTATCAAACCGCCCCAAGCAATCCGAGAACTTGACCCAAAACTATACCCGCTAGCTGCATCTCCAACACCATCTGCATTGAGAAATATCAAGTTTGATCTGGGAGGGAAATCGGCTGTGTTTAATGAGCCTGAAGATACTGCAGGAGCTCTTGATGAGGTACGAGACACTATGCATCCCTTTCCTCCCAACTAGCAACCAATATCCCGATGCTAACCTGAGACTGTTAGTTAACCGAGAAAAACGATGCACTAAAGTCGTCTAAAGGCTTGGTTCGATCGGTAGCTTCATTTACCTCCGACGACAGTCATTTCCCCCGGCGCTTCGTAGGCTCGCGAGTATCAAGCCAACCCTCTATCCTACCAACGAGTTCTAAACGCCGACCGATGTCCATCCCCGATACTCACCAAGGAAACTTGAAGGTCCAGTCCTCTCGAGTCCTGTCGGAACCTTCAATCCGGTCCTTTCGGTCCAATGGCTCTACCCCTTCTTACCCCAGAGTGGCTGGTTTAGCAACCCCCGAGACCGAAAGTAGTAGCTTTAGCTCCGGAGAAAGTATAGCATCCAGGAGGAGAATTCAAAGTGCGAATTTCCCGCGAAGGGAGCCTCTTCTGCGATCCCCCTTGTCTTCAGAACTTGACTCTCAAGGGAGCTTGCCTGCCATGCATCCAAGGAAAGAACCATCTCGCATCAAAGCTATTGTCTCTGAGAGAAGCAGGCAGGCCGCAGAGATTGTTGCCCCCAAGCCGATGACTCATGAAGCGCAACCTGAACCAAAGCAACATGACTTGACCTTCAGCGCAAGCCAGGACACTGAATATGCTGCAGATGATGTTTCCCAACCTCAGACTACAGACTCAGCCTCGCAACTTACTCTGGTTGATAATGTCGTTGCTCAGGATATGTGTTTGCCCAGCCCTAGTTTGTCCCCCGTTGCCGCTATGAATGCTTTGCACGCCGATTCTTCTTTCGAATCAGCTGAAGACCCGGAAAATGAAACAGACTCGAGTTTCGAGCAGAATGATGCCCAATTCACAGACTCCTTGCCCAGAGGGGCTTTGAAGTCCCGCGTGCCTGTCATTATAGCTCCCGAATCCGACGGCTTCCCTGTGCCTTCGAGAATCCCAAAGGCGTCGACCTTGATGGATATACCAAATGTTTTGGACTTCTTCGACTCGGTGCCTGAGGAATTGAAGACATATTTAATTTACCATCTCCTCAGACGCTGTCCGAAGCCGACACTACATTTTGTTGCAGACGTGGTTAATCCAGCCCTCAAATGCGATTTCCTAACGCTTCTACCACTTGAACTGAGCCTCAATATTGTCAAATATTTTGACGCTCAGACCATGTGTCGGGCGGCACAAGTGTCGAAGAAATGGAGACATATCATCAATTCCGACGAAAAATCTTGGAAAGAGCTCTTTGATAGAGATGGATATGTCCTCCCAGAAGGGGAGTTGGCGCGCGCAATCAGAGAAGGCTGGGGATGGCAATTTCCAAACGGAAATGCTGACTACGAGAAGGATATAAGCATGTCTGCTTTAATTAAACCCGATCCAGAATCCTCTTCTGCTCCCGCTTTGTCACCCCTAGCCGGACCTAGCGAGCGGTCTTCTTCTGTAAATCGCCGCCCAAAGAGGAAAGCTTGCACTCGAGTCTCTAGTAGAAAGTTCTCCAAGCGGAAGATTTCATCTAGCGGAACCGATCAGTCAGACTCTTCAGACTGGAAGAAAGAAGCCTCGGCGGCAGAAGGGCCGTATGCAGCTGCCAGCGCTGCAGCCGCAGCCGTTCCCTACCCGGACATCGGCTTATCATCCTTGCGAGGCCTCCATCTCTATAAATCCCTATACCAACGACACCACTCAATTCACAAAGGCTGGATGAAACCTGGAGTCAAGCCAAGACATATTGCGTTCCGTGCTCATGATCGTCATGTAGTCACTTGCCTTCAGTTTGATACTGACAAAATTTTGACTGGCAGCGACGACACGAACATTAATGTATATGATACCAAAACCGGAGTTTTGAGGGCAACACTCGAAGGTCATGAAGGCGGGGTTTGGGCTCTCGAATACTACGGCAATACTCTGGTATCTGGGTCTACAGATAGGTCCGTTCGCGTCTGGGATATTGAAAGAGCCAGATGTACCCAGGTTTTCCATGGTCATACCTCCACAGTACGTTGCTTGCAAATCGTTCTCCCCGCCGAAGTAGGGAAAAGGCCGGATGGTACCCCTGAAATGATGCCCAAAGAGCCATTAATTATCACCGGATCGAGGGATTCCAACCTGCGTGTATGGAAACTCCCCAAACCGGGCGATCCCGGCTACTATCAGAGCTCACCGCATGTCGACGATGCGGATTGCCCTTACTTTGTCCGTGTCCTCACCGGCCATCAACACTCCGTTCGTGCGATTGCGGCTCATGGCGACACCCTAGTAAGTGGGAGCTATGATTGTACTGTCCGGGTTTGGAAGATCTCTACAGGAGAAACTTTGCACCGACTTTCAGGCCATTCTCTGAAGGTTTACAGCGTGGTTCTGGACCACAAAAGAAACCGCTGTATCAGTGGATCCATGGATAATATGGTCAAGGTGTGGTCCCTAGAGACAGGGTCTATTTTATACAACCTAGAAGGTCATACATCCCTTGTGGGTTTGCTGGACCTGAAGTGTGATCGTCTGGTCTCTGCAGCCGCGGACTCTACCCTGAGGATATGGGATCCGGAAAGCGGCCAATGTAAGAGTACGCTAAGCGCCCACACAGGTGCCATCACTTGTTTCCAGCACGACGGCCAGAAAGTGATTTCAGGTTCCGATCGAACCCTCAAAATGTGGGATGTGCGAACAGGGGAATGCGTCCGGGATCTTTTAACAAACCTTGGTGGCGTGTGGCAAGTTAAATTTAATGACCGCAGATGTGTAGCTGCAGTGCAGCGTGATGGCCTAACTTATATTGAGGTAAGTCCCAATCCCTTGATCGAAGGGTCTGTTTCGAGCTAATCATGACTAGGTCCTTGACTTTGGGGCTTCCCGCGATGGGGTTCCAAATGATCAACTTGGTAGGCGCATCGTCGTCAACCGATGGGGCCAGGAGGTCAGCGACACTGATGAAGACTACGACCTCTCTGATGGGTGATTGCGCCTCCCCAAAGCTAGAACGCGGTTTCTATGCTGCGCCCGCTGGTAGGGCCATTCCCATCAAGGACCCTCCTTCTCTGTTCACCGCATGATACAACCGGCGGCGGCACCCCTTTTTTTTTTTTTTTTTTTTTTCTCTATTCAACCCCCTCCCTTTTAACACACTCAAGTCATGCACTATTTACGATACCCATTCTCACGGAAATGTTTCTCATTACATGGCGTTGCATAGCACGATTACCAACCAGCATTACTCAACATGCGGTTCATGACGGACAGGCGTACTGGCATTCAAAACAATCATATATCATCATTATATCATCACCCTTGTTTTTAGTATCTATTCCATCCTACCCCTATGCACTCTCATGCCATGCTTTATATCCTCCCCCTGTTGTTTTAGAGCATATTTTCAATATTTGGTGCCCGAAAAGGGGCAGTTCGACATTTTGTCACCTCATGGCTTGGACTTGTCCTGTTAAGTTCTGATATTCATGCGTTATAGAAGAAATACGAGTACAATGCATTTGTTTATCAAAGTACCCTGGGCCATCCTCTATAGGCGCAGAGCTTGTTTCTTTGTAGTACAATCAGCCCAAAGCGTCCTTGCATGGATAGAATTCGTTTTTCTTTCGAAGAGATGATCATAGAAGCCTAGTGGATCTTATCTGAGGCCCGAGAACTCTTAAAACGCCTCATTCGGTACGGATCCGATGGCCTTTTCTAGTACCTCAGGTTCGATCGATGTCTGCAAACCCCAAGGTTCCCAGACCAGCCAGCAGTAGCGGTCTCGAGTTCCCATCAGAAATTGCGAGTCGCAGCAGCCCGTATTAATAAATAGCTTTGGAGAGTAACCCCCAGGAGTGAGGTGATAATTGTATCAAAGGGTTCGGCAGATATCAGGATGCAGCCCCCGAAGTATTCGACACGCATGAATCAGAGATAGCGTTGGTTTTCGCCTCAACGTTCCCGTCGAATCCAGCCGCAGAAATTATCGCCCAGCGAATAGCACTAATACCCAAGAACTGACCTTGGCCGATCGATGTTTCTGAACTGCATGTCAAGATCTCTCCTAGGGCCCCGGGACCTTCAGTGCGGCCGTCGGGTTGGATAATAGGTCTTAGACCCTCCAGCATCCTCTGCAACGCTGCGGCCCCTGCGACAGATGCGCCGCTCTTCATCTGGCTTCTGTTCTTCACTAGAACCTTATCCACCTTGGAGAGAATTATTTGGTGCGGAATGGCGTATCTCCGGAATAACATGAGGATATCCTCGTCTTTTTTCTTGATGCCGTGATGACTGTCGATCAAGACAAAGGCACGTCGAAGTCTAAGCATCCCAAGCCAGATGGATTAGTCGAGCCCCCAACCCCTCTCATCACAGATTGAAAGTGTGTACTCACTGCTTTCTCCCTTGGAGATACTTCATAATCTCCACCCCCCACTCCGCTCGACTCGCCTTCCCGTACCCCGGCATATCAAGCAGAACAATCTTCGACTCGCCGCCCTTTGTACCTCCAATCCCAAAGGCATTCATTTCCCTCGTTCGACCCGGTTTAGACGAAGTCCAGCATATCTCTTCCCCCATTATGGCGTTCAGCAGCGAGCTTTTCCCCACGTTCGAGCGGCCCAGGAACGCGACTTCGGGCTCGACTGAGGAAAGAGGCGTGGTGCGGAATTTGCTGGCAGACCATAGTTTTATGGGGGAGTGGCGCGAGGGAAGAAAGAATTTGTCTGCGTAGGCCAGTTGCGATGTATCTGGCGCTTGTGTGTCCCAGTAGGAGGAGAGGCGCGAGGGCGTTAGGTCCTGGAGTGGGATTTTATTAGGATTTGGAGGGTGAGGATTGGAAGTAGCATTGGCATTGGGAGCTGGAGGTGCGGTCTTGGTACTCAGTTTTCGGCTGAGAAAATGAAATGGTGGTTTGTAGTCTGAGCAAAAGCGGCAGATGTACGGTGAGCGCTTCATTTTCATTCGGAATAGGGATTGTTGCTCGTTGAAGACATGCTGGTTGAATTTCAGGATCATGATTTCTTGCGCCGCCGCCAGAGCTTCTCCGGACTGCCGGCCAGGATAAGGAGCTTTGCCGAGATTATCGAAATTTGGCATGTTTACCGAGATCCCCGCGATAAGAAAGAAACGCAGCATTCAGGATGAAGGTCGATAACTTTGACCTCACTCACTTGTCCGTTACTACTTCTTCTGAAACGATACCAATCCCCCCTTCAACTAATATATTCAGTCTATTGGTTTACACAACCCCTACGACTCAGATCTCACCACAATGATCAACGCCGTCCTCGTTTTCAATAATAATGGACAACCGCGTCTCACCAAGTTCTACACCCAAATAGTCAGTCAACCACCATAAGCCCTTTTCCCCTCTCCATCTTGCAATTAAACTTAACATGCGTATCCTTAGGACACACAAACAAAACAATCCCTCATCGCACAGATCTACGAACTGGTCGCGCAACGCCCGTCTACCGCTTGCAACTTCCTCCCTCTCCCGCCTATCCTCGCCCGCGGCGCCAGCTCGAACACCAGCACCGGCCCCTCCGACGCCCCAACACAAATCACCTACCGCACATACGCCACGCTCTCCTTCATCATGATCTCAACAGCCACAGAGTCCCCGTTGGCGCTGATCGACCTCATCCAGGTGTTCGTCGAAGCGTTGGACCGGATCTTCGAGAACGTCTGCGAACTAGACCTTATCTTCGGGTACGAGACCATGCATGCAGTTTTGAGCGAGATGATTGTGGGTGGGGTCGTGGTTGAGACGAACATCGATAAGATTGTTGCGGGCGTGCAGAGTCAGGAGGGAAATTCGGGGAAGAAGAAGGCGATGCAGGCGGCGAGTTCTGGGGTAGGGAGGGGCGGGTTGTCGGGTTTGGCTGCTTGGCGATGATGCCTTCCTCTACAACGGTTTATCCGAAGAAGTAGATTTTAGGAATGGGTGTATCCCAGGGTCAGGTATTTGTTTTTAATATATGAGCAAAGGTCTTGGTTTCCTGACCGTGTATGTTGAAATCCGGGATGGTTAGATTTAGAATATGGGCGTTATGGGACCATGTGGAGTTAGGGAAATTATAGGCGTATCAACCTATCCATTCATTTCTTTTACATTCCTGAATGTAGGGAGGGGCCGGAGGGCTACTGGAACTCCATGAAGCTTTGATCTAGGTGTATTGCATGTTCAAAGTATACTGTCCAAATCGGGAGGTTTAGGGCAAGCCCTGATTGCACGTGATTATTCGAAAATTGGGTCGGCGTGAGAGTTTTTCCGTGCTAGCGAGATCCACCGAAGCAACGGCGTCTTTTTTCTTGCACAATTGGAACTTCGCAATCTTCTTCTTCTCTCTCCCTTTGTCAACCACGTCAACCAGCACGCCGCGGATAACAGTCGACAAAATGGTAAGCACATAACGTCCAGTTTGATGTCTCTTTTATTGTAAAAGAGCTCTCGATCTCCTCTGCGACATGTCGTGAGATAATTGGTCTCTACTTCATCGCTCGTGAAGTTTTTCGGAGCAACAATTTTTTTTTTTTTCCATTGATCGCACAATTCCTTCGGGATGCGAGCATCAGTGATGATTTGGCTGGAGTCACAAGTCTCGTCTTAGGACAGGCTTGTGTTCTCTCTAGAGTTCAAGGAAGATGCAGCATTAGGTGGATAAGACGCTGATCTTCTTTTCTCAATGATAGCCTCCCAAGTCCGGAAAGAAGGCCGCTCCCCTCCCTTACCCCCAGGGCAAGGCTGGTGCTGGCAAGAAGGGCCCCAAGGTACGGTTTTTTTTTTTTTTTTAGATCTTCTCAAATATTCTGATCAATGCAGTATGCTAACTTGTGCTAGAACCCTCTCATCGAGAGACGTCCCCGCAACTTCGGTATTGGCCAGGACATCCAGCCCAAGCGCAACCTGAGCCGCTTCGTTAAGTGGCCCGAGTATGTCCGTCTGCAGCGCCAGAAGAAGGTCCTGAACCTCCGCCTCAAGGTTCCTCCTTCCATCGCTCAGTTCCAGAGCACTCTGGACCGCAACACCGCTGCCCAGACCTTCAAGTTCCTCAACAAGTACCGCCCTGAGACCAAGGCCGAGAAGAAGGAGCGTCTCCTCGCCGAGGCTACCGCTGTTGCCGAGGGTAAGAAGAAGGAGGACGTCAGCAAGAAGCCCTACAACGTCAAGTACGGTCTCAACCACGTTGTTGGCCTTGTTGAGAACAAGAAGGCTTCTCTCGTCCTGATCGCCCACGACGTTGACCCCATTGAGCTGGTTGTTTTCCTTCCCGCTCTCTGCCGCAAGATGGGTGTCCCCTATGCCATTGTCAAGGGCAAGGCTCGTCTCGGTACCGTCGTCCACAAGAAGGTCAGTCCATCTTCTATTCCCATCTATCTTTTGGTCGTTTCACATTGCTAATTTCTTAGACCGCTGCTGTCCTCGCTCTCACCGAGGTCCGCGCTGAGGACAAGGCCGAGTTCGCCAAGCTCCTCTCTGCCGTCAAGGAGGGTTACAGCGACAAGCACGAGGAGTCCCGCCGCCACTGGGGTGGTGGTATCATGGGTCCCAAGGCCGTCGCCCGCCAGGAGAAGAAGCGCAAGGCTGCTGAGGCTGCCATCCGTGTCTAAGCTTATCCTTTGTTTTTCGCTTACTACACACGATGACGGGTTCTCCTTCCTAAACGACAATGATGACTTGGGGCTCCAAAAAAAAAAAAAAAAAAAAAAAGGCATTTCGATAATATAAAAGTCGGGATTAATTGAATTGAATCCAATATACCTCTTTTGTTTTCCATTCAAGTATATGGAGAAAGGTGTTATAAGGCTCATCGTTCTTCTTAGCTTAGTGGTGGGTGGAACAAGAAAAAACCAAAACAGCTTTTTTTTTTTTGGCACCCGATCCTGAATCCCATTCCATCTTGATGGTCTACCTTACCTGGCTTTTCACTCTACTTTACTCTCTATTTTACTCTTTATGTACACGTCGCAGATACCCATGAATGCATTTCAGACATCATCATACCCTGTTACCCCCTCCGACCCCGTTTTGTAAAATTTGATCCCTCTTAAGCATTCATGAGACGTCTGCGTGTTGTACTTTTTTTTTTTTCTTTTTTTTTATGCGCTGTACCTCGTAGGATCTTGTAATATCCCTCCCTATGTAGAATCTGTGTCTTACATTCTTCCCACAACCTGTCTATCTATTTGTGAAAAAAAAAAAAAAAATTCCAAGTGAAAGAAACCTAAAATAAAATCCAACTCGTTCCTTGGACTTTGCCTACTATGCGAGCACAAGTGCAAGTACATGACTAACTAGTAATCCCTCTTACATGATAGACTAAACGAACAAATTAGATCGATAGGTCGATAGATGGGTAAATGGATGGGATGATTGGGTATCGTACAGGAACTTCCATACATCAAATCAAGTCAAGTCAAGTCAAACGAAGCAATCAGCACTCAAAGCTCCCAGAGGGGCTATGAAAATATAAAGCAGAAGTAGAAAGCACAAAGCACAAAACCCAAACATATGCAAACCAGATGATAATTACCCACCCGCCTTGCAAAACCACGCAGTTTATTTTGATTGCTCTCCAGCCTAAGCGGATGAGATGAAAGAAAACGAAATGAGACAAAACCAGCATAAAAAAGGGATGAAGGATGACCGGCCATTAATACAGCTTGACAAAAAGAGTATAAGAAAGAGATAAGGGAAGCGAAAGAGCTAACCAGCCCGCCGAAGCTAAGGAACCCTCGTCGTTGAACCGTACAAGTTCATGATAGAAAAAAGGATGAGACAAAATAAACAAACAACACAAGTTATGTCGTTTTGTAAGGAGGAGCGGAGGTAAGAGGAGGAAAGGAAAAACGTCGTTCATTCAATCATTAGCGCTGTGCGGGTGGTCGTGTAAGTCCTTGTCTAGCCTATTGTAGGAGTTTGAAATTAGCTATTTTTGTCCCAAGGACGAGGGTGCTCGAAAAATACGAGTAAAAGGTGGCATACCTTCATCTGTTCGATTCGTGCCTTTAACTGGCTGGTCACTTCAGCTGCTCTCTTCCAATTCTCCGCTGGCTCGGTACTTCTTGCGGGCTGGTCTTCTCCAGAGGCACTACCGGATCCTATGATCGAGGACCGTGTTGGGCTGCCCAACCCAGAATAGGCAGTCCCAAATGTTGGGCTGAACTTCCGACGGCCCAGTCCTCCCTCTCTGCCACCCAGTCCTGGGGATTCGAGTCCATTGTTCTCTTTCTCTTCGCTAGGGCTTGCCGAAGCATAGCTACGGGGCCGTGTGCTCTCGAACCGGGATCCCAAATGAAGCCCACTTCGCGAAATAGCGCCATGGCCATTGCTGCCGGGATCTTGGTAGATAGATGCGGCCTCGGGAATCGGCATATTAAATTGATCGGTGATAGCATTGGGTGGGCTCATTGCACCAGAGCGGAGAGCTCTAGTGAGTTCACGCTTGAGACGGTCGATCTCGCGCTGTTGCTTCTGAACTGTTTGCTCTGCTGACTCTGCGTCACTCCGAGCTCTGACCAGCTGGGTCTCTTTGGCCTTAATGCTTAGGACATCTCTTGTATGGTCTTCAATGAGTTGTGCATTCTGGTTTTGAAGCTCTGTCACTTGTGAGTTAAGCCTGGATCTGTCGGACTTCAAGTCCTCGATCATTCGGATAAATCGCTCTTTTTCGGCTCTAAGTTCGTCCAATTCTGCCCTTTCAATAGCTGAGATGCCGCTGAGAGCAGGGGCAGGGGCAGGCGCTGGTGCTGGTGGTTCACTGGCTGGCTTGGCGATGGGGCGGCCTGCAAGGCCTCGTCCAAGTCCAAACTTTGATACAGGGGCATGTTGTGGCTGTTCTTCGGACGGCGGTGAAATAACCCGTCTCTGGGGAGATGCCAGCCCCCCCGGTCCGCCGAGCTTTTTCTGGAGCTTCAGCCCTGAGCCTGGTGCCGGAAGACCGCCTGGCTTTCCTAGACCGCCCAGTTTGGACGGCATAGATTTCGCGGATGGCTTCGGCGGGGAAGGAGCTGGCTCTTCGGCTGGAGGTGGTGCTGCTGCTGGAGCTTTCTTCAATCCTAATGCTGGCTTCCTGCCCCCAACAACCTTCTTCCCAGCCGCAGATGCGACCTTGGGTGGGCCAACAATAGGCTTTGGCCTATCCTTTGCTTTCACCTCCGCTGTTTCAAAATATTCCTTAATCTTTGTCTTTCGGATATCATCCAGGCCATCTAGGAAGGGGTTCATTGCTCGCTCGCCCATGATCTTCATCAAAGTACCAAGGATTTCTGCGCCTCCTGCACGATTTACCTCGCTAGACTCTGTGAGAAGTTTGGTAGCTGCATCAGCAATCGACTTGACTTCTGTTTTCGACGGGACTTCTCTGGTAGTTCGAAGACAACGAATCAAAAACTTGACAGTTTCCTGCTTTACCTGTGGGTTTTTGTGTTTCAAAAATTCAAAAGTTTCTTCTAAGCAGTCTGTCAAGCTAGTCGCAATAAAAACCGCGTCCAAAGCCTGGCCCAAAGCGTCTGCGACACTTTGTTTCTTCTCCTTCAAGCGTTCCATAATCGGGGACATGACGGTAGAACGATACTTGCCAAATCCACTGCGAAGACCTTTGGCTAAAAGCTCAATACAATTCGCCGCCACGGTCACAACTGAGATGTTAGCATCTTTCATGCACTTGGCCAGCACCCTAGAAATTTCGTCAAACGGGCCGTCCTTGATTTTCGGAACATTCAAGGCCGTATATAGAGCATCAAGACCCTCCTTCCTATCCTTCCATTTTGACGACGCCAGTTGATCATGGAAGTCTTTAGGAATCTTAGGAAATACATCGACGGGTTCCGCAAGATCAAAGACGTCGACTTCCCCGGCTTCTTCTTCAGCATACTCCTCTCCTCCATCCATTTCACCGCTCTCTGCCACAGCACTTGCTGTAGCCATGGCATCTTGTTGGGCGCGTGTAAGTCTTTCTTGCTTCGGGGCTGGTTCTTGTTTTACTGTCTCAAAAAGCTTCTCGAGATCTTGCTGTTGGACTGGCTTCAATTCACCCCAAAAGAGGGGCTTAATGGCTTCTTTCAGCCATCTATAAAGTTCCACAGTGAGGTTCTGTGCCTCCGCACGGACGTTCTTATCGGCATGACCGAAAACCTTTGGCAAGGCCTTCAATACTGGTTTGGGGTCGACGATCTTACAGCCGAAATTGTGATACAGAGCGGTCAATCCAGCTAGTGTAGCGGCAATAACCTTGGGAACTTTGTGTGAGAGCAAAGGAATTATTTCTTCGATCACTGGGTCGGCCTTATCAAGTTCCACGCACAGGAGCAGTGCCTCGAGCGCACTAGCTTTCGCAGCGGGCCTGGTAGACGGTAGGCCTTTCTCGACAATACCGGCAACTGTAGATCCTCGAGTTCTTCATGGCAGGTTAGCCAACCCCCCTCCCCGGTACAATAAAAACAAAGTATCGAAATTATCGACAGAGAGAAGTCCAGGAAGAAATACCTAACACAGGCCGCCACTCCACCAAATTTAAGGAATGCACAGTAAGCCGCTAGACCATCTTGTTGGGCTGCAACGTTGGAATCTGTGACCGCGCCTTTCCACAAGCCAGGATCTTGGAGAAACGGGGCGAATACTGGATCCGACTCGTCTGGTGATTTTTCGATTTGTACCTTAGCATCTTCGTATCCCCCTTTTCGAACTTTCCAGTTCTAATCCACAGAAATAGCATATCAGTATTTGGGCTCGACATTATCGATACGACCGGAGAAACGGAGGGTAGTAAACAAACAAGCTGACCTTGTGTGCGAAGCGTTCGGGTAACGGCAAGGAAGAGAAATCGTCCTCTCCCTCGGCCATGATAACGGTTTATTATGTCCTAGAAGGGATCAAGGGAATTAGCGATGTTAAGGGAGAGCCGGATGCGGTCAGGTCGGGTCAGGTCATAAGCCAAACCTGGAGGGCATGTGAAGAAAGTGCAGACTAGGTATCGTGCTTGAGAGCGAACCCTGGGGACAGAATCCTTTGTCCAACGAGGAACCGGCGGGAATGTCATTATGGGGTCAACACACCTTGGTCTTGCAGACGATTGCAGATCTTGTGCACAGAGGCGGAGTGTGAACGGGATGTTGGGAGACAAACAACACACTTACACCACACCATGCACCACAGAGAATTGCGAACGGTGATCACTGGAGAGAGGATGATGTGTAATAGATGATGATAATAGTTAGGGCGGGTTTGCCAAATAATGAGCCGATAGAAAGTTGGCTAGATAGATCGATCGATGGGGCGGAGAGAGGGGGAGATGGAGAGAGGGAGGGAGAGAGTAAACAATCAACGTCGGTGTTGCTGCTGGGGTGACTTTGCGACCTAAAAAGTTTGGGCTTGGCGGCGGGTTTACTCTGGAAAAAAAAAAAAAAAAAAAAAAAAGAGGTGAGAGACAGAAAGAGACAAAAGTTCCTGCTACTGTCAATCTATATATGAACCACAATAAGAATTAACTCTTATTATTTGTTTGCACTTTGTCTAAATAAATTTGATTGAATTATAAAAGAGGAGTTCTGCAGAGGACTTGTGTACCCTGGAGAATCAAGTTATCGTTCTTTATTCTTCCGCAGGTACTTGACCCCGCCAGTGACATAACTCACTCATACCTTGGGTAGCAATATCCTTTAGGGATTCTATGATATAGGCTAGGCTCTAGATAATAAAGGAGGTTGTGTTTGTGGTATCTGTAGAAGTAGTGTAGCCATAGAGTATTGATTTGACTAGACCAGCCCCCATTCAAGATATTATAGGATATTGCATACCTGTACATCCCATGAGTCTAGTATAATCTAGGGTTGTATGAAAAACCGAATTCGTGTCTGTTGATTGAGTATTGATATGGTAAAGGTTGTGTAGCATATATATATATATATAAAGGTACCTACCTGTAGGGTACCTTTTCCTAGTAATGTGGAAAGCCCGCAGGTAGCTTTTATAACAATCTATTCCCAGCAAAACATACCCATAGTATGAAATACCTTATGAACTATCTAATATAACAATATAATACACATCTCCTCCCCCAACCACCTTGCCTAAACTACAACCCCCCATTGCATCATCTATGCCTGAGTAGAGGTAGTCCGCTCCAAAACCAACCTCCGAATACGCCCGACATGTTCATGTCCATGGATCTGTCCCTGTCCCTGCATTTGCACCTCCTCCTCCTCCTCCCCTCTCCTCTCTTCCCTCCTGGTAGCCTTGGCCGCCCGCTTCTGTGCACGTAGCGCATCCCTCTCCTCCCGGGACAAAACCGCCGGACGACCCTCAATGGATTCTCCAAATGGCGCAATGATCCGCTCTACGACATGACGCACGCGACGGCTCTTCGGGAACCCAGACGAGAACTCAATCACGTCACCCTCGCGCAGCGAGTTCTGCGGATCCGAGACCAGGTAGGTTGTGATCTTGGGGTAGCTCTTGCGTAGATAGCTGTCCCACATGGTGTGGCGGTGGTCGACGCGGACGGTGCGGTCCATGTGGCCGACGGAAACGACGGTGCCGGTTTTCAGGCTGTAGGGGTAGTTGCGGAGAGAGGGGAGGGTGGTGGCGGTAGTGGTGGATGGGAGGGTGGTTTGTTGTTGCTGCGGCTGCGGCTGCGGCTGCTGCTGCTGCTCTTGAAGCTCTGAGGCTGGAGAAGGGGTAGAGGATAGGGATCGGCGGGGAATGAAAGCTGGTCGAGTGGAATAGAGAGACGCCAGTTCTGCTGTAGAGGAGGTTGTCGTGGTTCTTCGGATGATGGAGGACCGGAGGGGCTGCATCGCCCGGAAAATATGGGTTGGAGACATTTCCCCCAAGCCGTATGTATGAATAAATGTTGACTCCGAAAATGGTCGATAAATCAACCAAGACGGTTCTTACCCTGTAACGCACTTGATCGAGATTTGAGGAGGCTTGACGGAGATTTTGCAGAGGCGAAAGGCTGCAAAATCCGAAGATCTGGAGAAATTGTCGTCAAAATAGGTAACGAATGGACTCCCCAAAATTTATAATGGAAGTAAAAGGACTATCACCCCTGTTTGCTGCTGCAATTGCCTTCAATGAAAGTTTGATCAGTTCGATGCCGATTCTTGCGCAAGTTGAATATCGAGGAATTTCTTGACGGGTCTGTTTGCATTGTTTGCAATCCCAACCCGATTTGGCATACCTACTACTAACAGCCCAACGACGATATGCCTATTTAGAGACCAAAATTAAAACGAAAACGACTATAATTATGCTGGAAAAAAAACCAAGCCCTTTTTCAGAAATATCTCGTTGTTGTTCATTAAGTACATAAAACGTGTTTAACCCTCAGAGGGACCGGCATATATAGTCTCTCCTCCATGTACAAGACTCTAACCCCTTCCACCCACATCGAGAGACTGAGCGCGACGTAAAGTATGTATAAATAGGGTAAAAGAATGCAATGCAGGTATAACAGATCAAATCCACTTTCGCCGTGTCCTGTGCTAATACTAATCTTTTGAACCAGAGTGTTCACATGTTGCCATGTTTTGCTTTTATTTTTTCATTTACAGTCTCAATCAGGACTGAAAAGGAAAAAGAAAAGAAAAATAAGAAGAAGAAAAATTTTATGACCAGGGGCCACCAGGTGTTATCGTTCCCCTTTCTCCTTGCCTACGCCATCTGGCAAAGAGTTATTGGTGAGAGCCTTTTTGGCTTGGAATTTCTCTGCTGACTGGGCTGAAATCCTCGTCAATTCAGACACAAAAGACTGACCCCAGAAAGCACTATAACATGTTAACTTCTCTCCCCTGACTCAATGGATGACAATGTAGACGCACCTTGTGTACTTGTTGATATATTTGTCGAGCTTGGAGAAGTTCAGCGCCCTTTGCTCGTCACTCATAGTAACAGCTTCCTGATAGGCACCGGCAAGTTCCTCGGTATTCCACGGGTTAATAATTATACTTCCATTAAGACTCTGAGCTGCGCCGGCAAATTCGGATAGAACCAGTACTCCATGTCTTTTCTGTTGGGTGGCTATGTATTCGTACGCAACGAGGTTCATGCCATCTCGAGTTGAGGATACAATACAGGCGTCTGATACGGCATACAAAGCAATCAACTCGTCGAAGTTGACCGACTTGTGGAGGAAATGGATAGGCATGAACTCGACAGTGCCTGCCAGCAAATTAATAAAGAGGGGATCATGATTATTTTGGAAGGAAACTCACCGAATTTACCATTGATCCTGCCTACAAGTTCGTTTACAACAGCCCTCAAGTTTTGGTACTCCTCTACATCTTGTCGACTGGGAACAGCAACCTGAACGAGAACCACTTTTCCTACCCATTCTGGATGGTCACTGAGGAATACCTCGAGGGCGTGCAATTTCTGGGGCACACCCTTGATATAATCCAATCGATCAACACCCACCATGAGCTTCACGCCTTGGAATTTTTGTTCGAGCATTGCAATTCGTTTTTGGACCTTTTCCTTCTTCAGTCCTTCTTGAAACTTCTCCGGATCGATACCGATGGGGAATGCGCCACAGGCAATTATCTTGCCTTGAAACTCTATCCCGTTGGGAGTTGTTGGGAGCCCGCTGTAATTGCAGTTAGTGTCTGCCTCCTTAAGACGCAGGGAAAAAAGAGGAGTTCAAGTACAGTAACCGTGAGCAAGCGCTCAAGAAGTGTCTTGTGTAGTCGTAGGTATGGAAACCAATGAGATCGCAATGGAGAACACCTAGCAAGAGCTCATTTCTTACGGGAAGAATGCGGTAGATCTCACTGCTAGGGAACGGGGTGTGGAGGAAGAATCCGATCTTGACGTTTTGCTTGGTATCCCCAATTTCTTCTCGAAGCATCTCCGGAAGAAGCATCAAATGGTAATCATGGACCCAGATTAAGTCTCCATCTTGGACCTCCTTCGCAACGGCCTTGGCGAACAGACGGTTCGCTTCCTTGTAAGCCTCCCAGGCGGATTCATCGAAAGTGATTTCCCCAGGATGGTAGTGAAAGAGTGGCCAAAGGATAGAATCTGGTCAACACGAAGAATTTGTCAGTACAGGACACCTCTATCCTAGAATCCATACCGTAGACTGACTGGAAAATCCATTATAGTGGCGGTCTGCAAGATCATTATCAATGAAAACCGGAATGGCACCATATTCGTCCTTCAAGCGCTGTTTGACCACGGGGATTTCTTCCTCTGGAACCTCCAAACCGGGCCAGCCGTACCATTGGAAGGTAGTGGATTTCGTGAGACCGCTCAGACCGCTCACCAAGCCGCCGGAGGACATGGAAAAGTCATACCGGCCATCTTCGGAGCGTTTGATGGTAATTGGTAGCCGGTTTGAAACAAGAAGAAGCCTGGCTTCACTCTGTGTGGGGGTCTCAAGGGTGGGCATGTTGGAGAGGGAGCGGAAGCGTCCAGTATAGATGCAAGATACGTCAAAGAAACGAGAAGGATCAGGGATCCGGGGCTGGCAAGGACCAATAAAAGTGACAAAGAGGCGAGATTATCACAGGGGATCCGATCCCACCTGAAGACAAGAAGAGCGCAGTAAGGGTCCACAGGGATGATTGTTTGTTCTCCTTTCAGCGAGGGTAAGAGGAGGGGGGGGGGGGGGGGGGGGAAGTGTCGTCAGGCAAGCTTCTTGATGCGGAAAAAAAAATTAGTAAACCTCTAATTGAAAATGAGAAGGCACAGTACAAGACATGGAAGATAAACAGGGAGAAGATAGATTGACAAGTCACTTACTCTCTGGATCTTTGTTCTCCTTCACTCTCCTTCATACACTCTCTCTTTGTCTGTAGGCGGGGGAGCTGTCAAAGGGGAGCCAAAGAGGGGCGTTAACTAGAGTCCAGCGCGCGGACCAATCGACCCAAGAAGCTTGGGTAAGAAGATAACCAGAGAAGCCACACAATATCTCACACTCCTCACTAACGAACTCATCAGTTTTAGGTATGCATATGTGAAATTGGATTTTGCAAAATCAATTTTCTTTTTGTACTGGAGGAGGAGGGGGGGAAAAAAAAGCGGGCGCCTTTTGCCTAAGGAATGCAGGTGATGACGAAGAGGATGACGGCTCAGGGCGGGAGAAATTTAGTCCAATACCGATGAAGTCAGGCTGGAAGCCAGGTGCTTCGGATTGTCCAGTAGGTACTTGATTCTTCACTCCAAATAATGTTAGTCTGATATCATACGAGTCGCGGGGTCTCACAACCGCTCTGGACCGAGTCCAGGCATCTAGTGACATTTATTTCTTATTGAAACTACTGTAAGAACATGCACGCCTGTAGTCCCTGTCTCGAAAGATGACCGAAACCAATGATTACTCCTTGCTCGTTCTATGCTCTGTATCAACGTTGGGTATCGAAAGGTTGTAATAGAGTCTGGCGCTCGGACAATGATATGGTTCTGCACGAAACATCATCAAATCTCAAGTCTTCTTGCCCGGTGGTTCGCATGATGTCGGAATCACAAGGTAGACTTCTCGCTGTTCAATGCCCATCTCCCTAAATCCCCGTCGTGGACCACCCTCCTTTCCTCTTCAAGCTTGCCCAATACCTGGATGACGCCATTCGCGGCAGGAAGGTGGAGGTTCTCGGGGACATTGTGATATATTACCTTCACGATTTCAAGAGGGGTCCAGCCCGTCTGTCGTTCAGGGGAGTGCTCGGTCTCACCTACATCGAGTTTGCCATACCGAAGAACTCGGATGATCTCGTCCTCGCGCTGCTGCCTGTGTTTGATATATTCCACAATCCTCGTCGTCGCTTTCTCAATCACTTGGCCATGGCCTGGGTATCCGCGTCCGGACACCCGGGTTTGCATCCGTTGTAAACTGTCGAGATAGACGTTCAGTTCTTCAAAAACTGCTGTTCCGTGGCCCAGGACATCTTGCAGACACGTATTAGCTCTTCGGAAATGATCCACGGAGCGAGAGTCACTCACTATCCCCAGTGAAGATGGCATCTTCTTCTTCGAGCAAAAACATCATGTGGTCAACAGTATGCCCAGGTGTATGGCAGGCTTTTAAGGTTGCTCCCTCGACACGGAAAATCTGTCCATCTTCGATATCGTTTTGCCCCTCACCTGGCTGGTGCTTGTAAATAGTCACATCGGGACAAAGCCTGAGGAGATCTGGAATACCGCTGACATGATCATGGTGCCAGTGTGTTAGGAGAGCTTGATGCACCGTAGCATTTTCATCTGACAGCACTTTTTTCAGGTGAGTTGCCCAGAACGGTCTGCCTTCACCGGTGTCGATGAGAATTCGTTGAGGCCCTTGGCCGACAAGGTAAGTGTTTGTTCCTATAGAACAGTGTAAGAGTCAACACCCGTGAGTGATACCAGGGGGGGGGGGTTGGATTTTGATTAGAACAAACCTTGTAGAGTAAACTGTTTCGAAGCAAATAATAGTCAGTCAGTAAGACAATCAATCAATCACACCAGGTCGCAACTTAACGAGAAGTCATGCCGTCGGAAGTTCACAACCCACAACCCCCCCCAGTCCTTAGGTAGATGTCATCTTACCTTCCCCGGATTCCCACCAAGTATGCGCAGCACCGAAGCACTAAGCCTCTCCACCTCCGGCAAAGGAACAAACTGAGCCATTCTCTTTCGCCCACCCTTAGCCGTCTCAGTAACCTTCAAGTAAACTGCACGTTATGGGAAAAAAAAAAAAAAAAAACAAAGAAGGTTGGAGTTAGCGCAGGAACCAAGTCAACTAACTGAACCTGTTTTAAAACCCCAAAAAATAATCTGCTGGAGAAATCGCCAGAATTCTCGGGAAACTGCACAAGAGTTGCCGGGAAAGTTGGGAAATTGGCTCACCGCTGGCAAGCTTATGTTTATAGTTAGCGAGCTACTTTATCAAAGTCGGATGCTATTTTGATTTACCTGGATAGATATTCTGGGCAGGTGGAGAAAACCAAACAACAGTATTACGAATGAAGACAAGCTACCTAAAGAGGTTCGAACGTTCATTCATTATGAGGGTGACAGGTCACACTTGACCCCATAAAATCTTCTCCTCTCTCCCCGGGTCTATCTGGACTTCTTTCACGCTGAAAACCTGCCGATACCTAACGAACTAAAGTCTAATGGTTACCTCCGGGGCGGGGCAGCGGCGGATGCACATTGATTGCCATTGGCCTCGGCCAGTTCGGCAAAACCAGTGAGCACGCGATATTATGTCATCGGTCATCGGTCATCGTGATTTTGTACAGAGGATTTTTTCAAGTTGGGGGACAGGAGCATCAAGGATTCACGTAAAGCGCTCATATACACTTGCATGTACTATGTAGAGCAGCAGGTGCTTGGAATAGGGGGTTAAGACGGGGGAACGGGGTGAACAGAAGGAAATAATATTGGTATGCATCCAGTCCCTAACATACAGTGGATGGTGTAGAAAAAGCAAATGCTATATCCATATAGTCCACCCAAAGGGGTGCAAAAAACAACCCTTAAAGACGTGAACAAAACGCGATTCGTAAAATTTTCTCAGAACTCCCACCCCACCCCATCATAGAAAGACCATTAGCAGCTGCTACCAACCCCATGACTGCTTCCACCTCCAGGGAGACAGCCCTTGGACAGGTGTTCCAAGGTGTCCAGACCACCGAATATGTTTCTTGCTGATTGTTCGAAGCATACAAAATATAATTTACATATGAGCCTTCATTATCTGAGGGTGAAGGTCCATGTCTCCCTACATGCTGTCACATGCTGTTTATTTGCCAGACTTGCGAGCCATGGTGTTGAGGGCGGAGCCGTCCTTGAACCACTCAATCTGGGACTCGTTGAAGGTGTGGGAGAGCTTGACGTCAAAGGAAGCGCCATCCTTGGGGTGGACACGGAGAGTCATGGGCTTATCGACAGCAATCTCAGTGCAGAGCAGGTCAACGGTGTCATCGGGCTTGATCTTGTCGTAGTCGGCGGGGTCGGAGAAGGTCAGAGGAAGCATACCCTGCTTCTTCAGGTTGGTTTCGTGCTAAGAAAAGAATCCAAAGGTTAGTTTTGCGCGAACGAAGTCAGTTACGCAAGCCAAGGTGGAACTTACAATACGGGCAAAGCTGCGAGTGATGATGGCAAGACCACCAAGGTGGCGGGGCTCAAGAGCAGCATGCTCACGAGAGCTACCCTCACCATAGTTCCAGTCACCAATGACGACCCACTTAATACCGCGAGCCTTGTAGTCACGGGCGGTAGCGGGAACAGCATCATAAGCACCAGTGAAGGCGTTCTTGACCTTGTTGGCCTCACCGTTCTCGGCGTTGACAGCACCGATCAGCATGTTGTTGGAGATGTTGTCAAGATGTCCACGGTACTTGAGCCATGGGCCAGCCATGGAAATGTGATCGGTGGTAGTCTTGCCCTTGCACTTGATCAGGATAGGAATGTTGGTGGCATCCTTTCCATCCCAAGCGTCGAATCCAGCAAGAAGCTGGAGACGGTCAGAAGAGGGGGAGACAGCGACTTCAACAGTGCTGCGGTCAGCAGGAGGAGCCTGGTAGGTGTCACGGCCTGGGTCATAGCCGAGGGAAGGAAGACCAGCACCAGTAGGGGCCTTGAGCTTGAATTCCTTGCCGTCCTTATCCTTGAGGGTGTCGGTGAGAGGGTTGAAGTTGAGGGTACCTGCGACGGTCATGGCGACGACGAGATCGGGGGAAGCGACGAAGGCATGGGTAGCAGGGTTGGCATCGTTACGACCAGTGAAGTTACGGTTGTAAGAAGAGATGATAGAGTTAGCAGTACCCTTCTTCACGTCCTTGCGGTCCCACTGTCCGATACAGGGACCGCAGGCGTTGGCAAGGATAACACCACCGTATTCTTCCAGGGTCTTGAGCTGACCATCGCGAGAGACGGTGGCACGAATCTGTTCGGAACCGGGGGTGATGGTAAAGAGGGACTTGGCCTTCAGGCCGTGGTCAAGAGCATCCTGGGCAATGGAGGCCGCACGGGACATATCCTCGTAGGAAGAGTTGGTGCAAGAACCAATCAGACCAACCTTCAGTTCCTCGGGCCAGCCATTGGCCTTGACAGCGTCCCTGAACTTGGAGATGGGGGTGGCAAGATCGGGAGTGAAGGGACCGTTGATGTGGGGCTCGAGCTCAGAAAGGTTGATCTCGATAAGCTGATCGTACTCAGCACCCTCATCCTCGCGGAGATCCTTGGCATAGGAGCGAGCAAAGTCACCAATGCGCTCACGCTTGGTAGCCTTCAGGTACTCGTACATGCGGTCGTTGAAGGGGAAGAGAGAGGTGGTGGCACCAATCTCAGCACCCATGTTACAGATGGTGGCCATACCAGTGCAAGAAAGAGAGTCAACACCGGGTCCGTGGTATTCAATGATAGCACCAGTACCACCCTTGACGGTAAGCAAACCAGCAACCTTGAGGATAATATCTAAAAACTAGTTAGCGGATGCGCCCTGCTGGACACTGGCGAAAAAAGTGCAACTCACCCTTAGGGGTGGCCCATCCGCTCAGCTCACCGGTGAGCTTGACACCAATGACCTTGGGGGCTTTCAGTTCCCAAGGAAGACCAGCCATGACGTCGACAGCATCAGCACCACCAACACCGATGGCGGCAATAGCAAGACCACCAGCGTTAGGGGTGTGAGAGTCGGTACCGATCATAAGACCACCGGGGAAGGCGTAGTTCTCGAGGATAATCTGGTGAATAATACCAGAGCCAGGCTTCCAGAAACCAATGTTGTACTTGGCGGTAGCACTGGCAAGGAAGTCGTAAACTTCCTTGTTGATCTTGTTGGCACGAGCAAGATCCTTCTCGCCACCAAGCTGGGCCTCAATCAAGTGGTCGCAGTGGACGGTGGTGGGGGTAGCGACGGCGGGCATGCCAGCGGACATGAACTGCAGAATGGCCATCTGGGCAGTAGCATCCTGGCAAGCAACACGATCGGGGCGCAGCTTGAGGTAGGACTTGCCACGCTCGATGTCCTGGCCATGAGGATCGTCAAGATGAGAGTACAGAACCTTCTCGGCGTATGTGAGAGGGCGGCTCAGACGAGCGCGAACGATGTCCAAGTTCTCGGACATCTTCCTATTCAATTGAACATCATGTTAGTCAATGCGAGTTAATTGACATATGGGAGCAAAATTTTTGAGCGCCCAAAAATCAAGGCGAATGCGTACTTGTAGTTGATGTAGTTACCCTACACAGTATCGTTAGCGGACTTTGTCCCGTGCACAGGCATTTTCTCGCCCGAGGCAACCCAAAAGAGCGCAGGGTCGGAAATCACCACTCACCTTCTCGGTATTGCACATCTCGACCTTCTGGTCAAGAGGGTTGACGGTGGCCATACCCCTAGTCCCGAGAAGCTACAAAAATGTTAGTTTTTCCCAGAATGTAAAAAAAAATTTTGACCATAATTCAAATTCTCCCAGTACTCTATCCTGGGGTGGGAGGTGACGTCTTACAAGACGGGACTTGGGGGCCTGCGAGAATACCATGTTAGCTTTCCCATACTGCTTAGAGTCCGTACTAACCGACATCCATTGCTTGAATAACAGCAACTTCTCTCGGTTGGATGAACAAAGAATTCGGAGCGACTTACCAGCGCACCGATGCGCGCAAGCCTTGTGGAGATCATGATGGAAGCTCTCTATGCAAAGTGGGCAACGCCGCAACACACTCGAGAGCTAATCCAAGCAGCAACAAAAGCTACAACCTGGGGAAGCAAAGGATGGAGTGGAGAGTGAAGGGAGGAAAGGGAAAGAGTTTAAAGAGAAAGGGAAAAGTGTTGGTTAAAAGGAAGCTTGGATTTTCCAGTGCGAGAATTCTTGTTTTACCATAGCGACCATTCTTCCTACTGAACCGGAGACAAGGACCCGTAATCGCTCATTACAATACGCCTATCCGTACGCATCTGGGACCACCCGTACCAAACCCCTACCTAATAATAAACATGCAACCGGACTCGGGTCGGGAGACCAGGGGGATTGCTTAAATGGGATTGGACATACTCCAGAACTAATAATATTTGGCATTTTTGTTCAACTTCTTTTTCTTTGGTGGTCAGGATCCATAATTTTATTTTACTTAGCAGTTGTGTCGAGTGTATAGATTTGCTGCTTTCCTACACTCCCACAGCGACAGACCCAGCATAGCTGTCCGTGTATTGTAATTACTGCAACAGTAACTTTGGAAACCGCTGCATGTGAGACCGGGTATTTATGGTAACCCAATCAACGTATAGTGATTACGTCGTAGTATCAAAGGTCAGCCTTACCTCTACTACATCATGGGGCGTCTGCAAAGTTCACCCAGAGCCAAAGATATGACGCCAGCACCGCACCGACAGCTTTCAGAATAGAGTACATAGTCGCTAAGAGGATAATGTCCATAAAAAGAGAAAGAAAACCCGGATGAGTATCATAACCGATTACTTTACTTCAATTGCAAGTGGCCGGTGATAGTTCGGAGGAAGGTGCCGAAAAAAGATGGAATCGTCATAAATTACTCTGTACGCAGGGCGGGACAAAGGGAAGCTGGTCGTACGGACGGAGCAAAGCACCACCTTCAGAAGAATTCAAAGTGCTGACTGAACCGAACCAGAACCGAGGCCTACCGATGGCACCAATTCCGCGGCCTGCCTGTAGTCGACTTGGGCCAATGACAACCCCTTGGTTTCTCACAATTCATCCCACACACACAAAACCCCCCGTTTGGATGTCTTGACCCGCTCTCGCTACGCCGCCTACTTTAGCTTCCTTCCGTATATCGGTGGATGCTGATTTCTTGCATTGTTGCTATAGCAAACCTTTGAAGTTGCCTAGGGCCGACACAATTATCAAAATGGGTGCCGTGAGAAGATCCAAGACGAAGCGTAGGACTAGGTATTTTTTTTTTTAAAGATTTTTTCTGACCCTTTTTTTTTTTGTCCATACTACCATACATATCTCTCTCTCTCTCTCCTGATCTGAATAAATCTTGCGACAGAATATCCCATCGCTAACATAGGGCTACCTTTCTAGAGACTATGATCAGGTCCGCGCGGACGTCGATAGCCCCAAGCATCTCGCGCAATACAAAGCAACGAAGGATGCAGAAGATCTCCCAGGGCTAGGAAAACATTATTGCGTTGAATGCGCAAAATGGTTTGAAAGCGAATTCAACTTGGTTGCCCACAGGAAGGGCAAGAACCACAAGAGAAGGTCAGCCAGTTTGCGACAAATTTTTTCTCCCAGTCCGAGAGACTCTTCATGCTGACCTAGAGTCGTTGCTTTTCATTCAGACTTCGCCTCCTACGTGAAGAGCCTTACACACAAAAGTCCGCCGAAGCTGCTGTAGGCTTGGGTACAGATAATGGCATTCGACCAAAGGAAGCTGATATCGACATGGAATCCTAAGGCTTTCACGCCAAGTTCGACATGAAATCGGGGGATGGTTTCTGCACCCTTTACGCGGACGTCTACGCAAACCAATTACGTACGACCTTTGTTTTTCGTATTCAACTATCTCAAACCGTCTCCAGAGGCAAATGTTTCTCACACCGTCCCCCTGCGCCATACTCTTTCGCTCTTAACGAGGCATGGCGATGGCCATCCCTGCGGGTGGCTATATTGAAAAAAAAAAAATTTTCAGCCAATCAGAAGCTCGAGAATTCAACCTGCACGTGAAACAACAAGTGCCGGAAATCGCCAGTCGTGCGTGACCGCTTCCGAGCCCGCAGCTTCCGTTTTGCGGTTACCCACGCTAGAATCGCCGTTTATCGGAAATGGTATGGAGAGAGGTTCCACTTTACCAGACCATTTTCAACACGAAATTTACAAGCTGCCGCTACTCCCTTTAGCCCTCGGGGCTGGGGGGGGGGGGGGGGAAACGCGCTTCACCGGTAGCTATCACAGTTAATGCAATTATAGATTCTTGCGATGAAGGCGTTTCCTTGAGAGCTAAAATCTGTAGTGCGTAGGTAGAAGTTCCCTGTAGGGTTCGTAAACACTGGTATGCCGATACGCTCCGTACATTTTATCCGTATACTTCCTATCTGTACTTCTCACTGTTCAAAGCTTAGCTAGAGTTACATAGAGGAGATGGGTCTCCAAAGGGGTTGGATCCAAAAGACATGGTCCAATTGACATGTAATGTTTTGTTTTAAATACTTGTTCTACGGGTCCGTTCTAAAAGGTCGTAATTTCTTATAGGTCATAGTTGATTTTCGGGTATGTGATGTATATATATATATATACATACACACATCTGGGAACTACTCCCTCAATCCCATTGCCCCAACTTTGTGGAGCGAGCGACGTTGAGCCGACGGTTCCAGCCTGTGTCCATAGAGTTTTCCGAAGCTCCCGGCTAACGTCATCTTCCGACGAAGGCGCTCGGGCGAGCTAAGCGCAGTAACCTCCTCACTATACCAGGTATCCGACAATGGACCGACGTATCAAGCTGGGTCCAATTGCCCTTTATAGTTTATCCAAAGTGAAATCGTGGAGGAACTGGGGAACACCCGGCTTGAGGTCGTCTCGAGCATGGTATCGATATTGAGCAATATGACACCAACATATACTATGGCAGATGATCGAATGTCTTACTCCACGCAGGACTCTGGAAATACTTCATGAGCCACTCGTATGTTGCCCACTAATTCAAAAACCGTCAGTCCTCGACTCAGCAAGATTAGCTTAGGGTAGAGAATACCTGAGCAGCATTTACAATGAAAGCCCTTAAACTGCAAACCCCTAGGCCCCTATAGAAAGCCTTAACCCCTTCTGTCGTGTACACCTCCCTGGTAAGCTGGTAGGCGTTCAGGGTGCGGCGGTTGCGTTGAGATTGCAACAATGGGCGGTCCTCAACATGAGGCTCAATTGTACTCGCCTGGAGTCGTGTTTTGATTACATCTAGAGGAAAGACAGAAGCCCAGGTGACAATTCCCGCAATACCGCCGCAGAGAAGCACCTTCATGGCTAGGTAATTCGAGCTTTCATCGTCCCCAGACGACATCAAGCGCTTGCAATATTCGTAGGACCAGAAACTGGTATTCTAGGTCAGTCAAGAGTCTTGTAAAGATAGCGGAGAAATTCCTGGGCATTGGTTTCGCCTACTAAAATCCATAACCTATGGAGTCCCTTGCACAGGTAATACCGCCTGCGTAATATAGGCCCCTCCATCCATGGTTTCGAATGATGTCCTTTGCGATAGTCCAGGATGAGACCCCCGGGCGTGCGTCAAGCTGAGCCCTACATTTGATGAATTCAGTCGGAGACGACACAGTCCAGCTGGCGACTCCGCCTACAGCTCCAGCAAGCCATAGCTTGTAAAGGGCGCAATTTGAAGGGTTTGTCGGATCAGTAATAGAGGGATCCAAGATCATCAAAGACCGGTTATAGGCCACAAAAAGTAGGGCATTGAGAGCCCCATATCCCAGAATTGGAGCTGCAGCGCCTGGTATTGGTGTTAGGAGAGTTCGATTCTGGGTATTTTATTCCATCCAGGGCAGAGAGTCACCTCGCACAAGAGAACTGGCGGTCTCGAATTGGCCTAATTGCCGAGGGGACACAACGCCATCTGTAGCACGGCTGGCTTGTAATCGAACTTTGAGGAGATCGAGCGGATTTCCGATAATTATACCAATAGCGCCGCTAATATAGCCGGCCCAAAAGTCCGACGACATGGAGACGCACACCGAAACCAAAAATCTAAGAGCAAGACATGTTGTAACGAACTCCAGGTCTTGCGGACTGTGTGAATGCGGGGGGTCTTTCGGCTTCCGTGATAATCACGTGATTCCGTGATACTTTGGTGTTTGACGCGCTAGGATAGCGACACGCGTAAATCCGAAGGAGACGACAGCCTTCGCCATAACACACCGAATGTGTAGCAGGAATAGACCAGGCCGAATTTACTCGTGTCAGAAATGTGAGTACCCCCCATTATATACACTCGAATTCTGGAGTTTTCATTCTCATCAACCAAGGTATCGACCGCGACCCGCCGTAAACCAGGATGGCGATTCCACCCCGGTATCCAAAACCCAACGCACAGGCTCATCCTTGAACTCCGTCGACCGTCTCTCGAAGCCATTCAAGTGTCCGGGCTCAGCCACACCAACGCGAGCGTCCGATAAGCCAGCGAGGAAGCGAAGAAAGGTAAACTACGCAGGGGCCGATGGAAGTATTGATGATGGGAGTGTGAAGCCATACACGAACGAGGAGAGACTAGCGCTCGCGACAAGGGATGTTAACAGGTTTCCTGTTTTCAAAGCCAAGGATAAAGATGTGGCATTTAGACAGAGGTTCAGGGTTCCTCTCATAAACAAGTCCGCAGACTCATATGATCCCTCGCGGCCAGCACCCACATTGGGAATGAGGCAGGGCGTGAGCTTCGTCGTAAAGCCATTGCACGACCCGAGCGGAGAGTTTGCGATTGTTCTCTATGATCCAACCGTCGATGACGTTGATAATTCTGAGCCCAAGGAGCAGGAAAATAAGGCCGAAGATACGAGTACAAAGCTGGATGAGCCTTTGGTGCATAAAAGCTTAGCGGACATACTTGGGCTTAAAAAGAAGGTGGAAGACCGGCCAAAAGTTCCAGTGGTGATCGATCCAAAGATCGCCAAAATTCTACGTCCGCATCAAGTGGAAGGAGTGAAGGTGAGTTTTACTGCTCATGGGCTAATTATAACACGTTGAGTAACGTTTTTTTTTTTTTTCTAGTTTCTTTACCGATGCACTACTGGCATGATTGATAAAGATGCCAACGGCTGTATTATGGCAGATGGAATGGGACTGGGCAAAACAGTAGGTTAAACTGTCCCTTGATTGATCTCAAAACTCATATCGATAGCTTCAATGTATCTCGTTGATGTGGACGCTTCTCAAACAATCCCCTGAAGCAGGGAAGACAACTATCCAAAAGTGCATTATCGCCTGCCCATCGAGTTTGGTCGGAAATTGGGCCAACGAACTTGGTAAGCGGGATTTCCCTCTTATTTTGGATAATTCCATTAACTAGAGTAGGGAAATGGCTTGGGAAGGGTACTATCACACCCTTTGCGGTGGATGGGAAGGTTTCGAAGACAGAACTTACGACCCAATTAAGGCAATGGGCAATTGCTTCTGGCCGCTCCGTTGTCAGGCCCGTCCTTATTGTTTCTTATGAGACTCTACGTATGTATGTCGAGACGTTGAAGGACAGCCCGATTGGTTTACTTCTATGTGATGAGGGCCACAGATTGAAAAATAAAGAGAGCTTGACCTGGATGGCGCTCAACAGTCTAAACGTCCAGCGTCGGGTCATTTTATCAGGAACCCCAATCCAAAATGACCTGTCGGAGTATTTCGCTCTCCTCAATTTTGCAAACCCAGACTTGCTTGGATCACAGAACGAATTCCGCAAACGATTTGAGATACCTATTCTCAAAGGAAGAGATGCGGCTGGAACGGAGGAAGATCGCAAGAAGGGCGACGAACGTCTCGCAGAACTATCCGGTATTGTTAACAAATTTATCATTCGTCGCACAAACGATATTTTGTCGAAGTACTTGCCAGTCAAGTACGAACACGTTGTTTTCTGCAACTTATCCCAGTTTCAACTCGACCTTTATAAGCATTTCATCGAGAGCCCCGAGATCAAGAGTTTGCTTAGAGGCAAAGGAAGTCAGCCTCTCAAAGCAATTGGTTTACTGAAAAAACTGTGCAATCATCCCGATCTGCTCAACCTTTCCAATGATCTTCCTGGGTGTGAGCACGCTTTCCCAGACGACTATGTCCCTCCCGACGGTAGGGGACGTGATAGAGATGTTAGATCCTGGTATTCGGGGAAGATGATGGTTCTTGACCGGATGCTTGCACGCATTCGCCAGGATACGAATGACAAGATTGTTCTCATTAGCAACTACACGCAAACGCTCGATCTCTTTGAGAAGCTGTGCAGATCAAGAGCATATGGTTGTTTGAGGCTTGACGGCACTATGAACATTAATAAGCGGCAAAAGCTGGTTGACAAGTTCAATGACCCAGACGGTGAAGAGTTTGTGTTCCTCCTTAGCAGCAAAGCTGGTGGGTGTGGATTGAATTTGATAGGTGCAAATCGACTCGTGCTGTTCGATCCAGATTGGAATCCAGCAGCCGACCAGCAAGCCCTGGCTCGAGTCTGGCGTGATGGCCAGAAGAAAGATTGCTTTGTGTACCGCTTCATTGCGGCGGGATCCATTGAGGAGAAGATCTTCCAGCGTCAATCACATAAACAGTCCCTTTCTTCCTGTGTTGTCGACTCAGCCGAGGATGTAGAAAGACACTTCTCCCTGGAGTCACTTCGTGAACTGTTCCAATTTAAGCCTGAAACACGCAGCGACACACATGACACATTCAAATGCAAGAGATGCCGACCCGACGGGACGCAGTATATCAAGGCCCCAGCCATGTTGTATGGCGACACAAGTTCTTGGAACCATTTTGTGAACGATGGAGAGAAGGGCCTGCTCAGCAAGATCCAGGACTTGCTGATTCGGCAAGAGACGCAAGAAAAAGATGTCTCCGCGGTATTTCAATATATCAGTCACTGAGCACAGAATGATGAAGTATTTGGGCTTTTTTTATATCCCTATATATGTTTTGACGATTGCATTGATTATTGGAACAGCGAGTGGTCTTCCTCCCATAGAGCCGGTCTGGACCCGAGAAGAGCGCTTAATTAGGAGTATATTTTGATATTGAATTACTGGGTTTTTGTTCAGGAACAGCGTCTAGCATCATTAGAAAACCACATGTAGAAAAACCGTTCGATCGAATGGTCGAGCCTTCAGGACGGCAACTCGACGTCACTCCGCATCCGCTAAGACGCCAACCTCCCTGCCAACGCATCTTCGCCGCGATTTCTCCCCACACTGGCATTTCGGTGACCAGGAAACCGCTGACTCGACAGAGCTTTTTCCACCGATCCTTTTTATTATTATTATTTTTGCTCCCTTGCGTATTTTGACGTCCTCCGAACACAGAGCCTCCGAATCCGACCCCCTCACCCGCGATAACGACAGCTTCGAACTCCCATCGGCATCACCGCCTCACGGCCCCGTCCAACCGTTTTCCACCATGAAGATTGTCGCCTAGAGCTTAAGACTCGGTGCAGTTAGGTTTTCATGAACGATGGATCACTCAATCCAGCGGTTGTTGAATGATAAGCTCTATGACCGGAGGAAACAGGGAGCCTTAGAGTATGAATTAGTGATTCCAAGCAAATGCCTCTTTATCATAGCTTCAGCTCCTAATTTTGTGTACGTATTCATAGGCTCGAGAAGGTCGTTCGCGATTCTGCATTTCGAGGGGATCATGAAGTCATCCAAAAAATCGTCGACCAGCTTTGTCACGACTATGCCTACGCCGTCCATCAACCTCATGCTAGAAATGGTGGTTTAATCGGGCTAGCTGCAGCTTCGATAGCTTTGGGATCTGTGAGTCTCTGCTGGAGAGTATAGGGTTTAATTATCGATACTGAGATCTTGGGACAACAGGAGGGTGTTGCACCTTATCTGAAAGAGATCGTACCGCCGGTACTAGCTTGTTTCTCCGATCAGGATGCAAGGGTCAGATATTATGCTTGCGAAAGCATGTATAATATCGCAAAAGTCGCTAAGGGAGAAATACTGCTTTTCTTTAATGATATATTCGATGCGCTAAGCAAGGTGTGTTTCCAACCTGGCCTTTTTTTAATCCTGGGCTTCTCTTTAACCTCAACTCAGCTTGCTTCGGACTCTGAACTCTCCGTGAAAAATGGCGCGGAACTGCTTGATCGACTTGTCAAAGATATTGTCTCTGAATCTGCTGCCCACCACGTTTCAGTTCTGCAACTCTCCGAAAAGAACGCCTCGGATCCTGAGGGTCTAGCAGAGGCAGACCTGCCAACCGCCTTTTCGCTTCCGAAGTTTATACCTCTGCTGAAAGAGCGAATTCATGTTATCAGTGCATTTACAAGAACATTCTTGGTATCATGGCTCACTTTGCTAGATACGATTCCAGATCTAGAGCTAGTGTCTTACTTACCAGAGTTCCTCGGAGGATTGATCAAATTTCTAGGCGCCCCAAACAGGGATGTGAATGTTGCCACTCAAAGCCTTCTTGACAGGTTCCTGGCTGAAATTAAAAGAATCGCACGCGTCAAGAAAGGACTAGAAGAAAGCCGTAAGGGGCAAGGAGGCGACAATCGACAGTCTATTGCGAGTGATAGCGCGAGCATGACTACAGATCAGACCGTCGCCCTTGATACCGAGTCCCATGAGAACGCGATCGAAGATTCTGAGGCTGGTTCTGTCCTCGACGAAGATGGGCTGCATGTTGATGGTGACTGGATTCCAGGACAAGATGTCCAAATTGACTATCCAAGAATTCTGGATATTCTCGTAGGCTTCGTCGACACGTCTTTCGGTAAGAAGCCATCCCCCCCTCAAATACCAGTTGCTTACAAGGGAATCAGATGAGGAGATGCAATTAACTGCATTGCGTTGGGTCGATAGCTTTTTCGAAATTAGCCCCGAAGATATTCTTCCCTTCGTCCCACGTCTCCTAACGCAGGTGCTTCCAGCAATGTCCAGCGGCTCGGACCAGGTACGGCAGGCTGCCAACCGTGTCAATACGTCCCTTCTTGAATATATTGTCACCCTTTCTGAAGACTTCGACGAATCCCGCCAAATGGCGTCCTCAAAGTTATCCAATACTATCACTAAGGAATTTGATGAAAGAAGAGGGTCTACACCAAGCAGTAGACCCGAAGCACCTTCAATTGATTCCAAGAAGCCATCGCCCCGGAGTAGTATCATCTCTACAGCTCCATTACCTCCCGCAGACCTTGATTATGCAGCCGCTGTTAATTCTCTCACTCTGCAATTTCTCAACGAAAATGAAGCTACAAGAGTTGCCGCCCTCTCGTGGCTTATCATGCTACACCGTAAAGCCCCTAAGAAGGTTGTTGCATTTAATGACGGGACTTTCCCAGCTCTACTGAAGACGCTTTCCGACCCAGCAGAGGCTGTCGTTACAAAAGACCTCCAACTCCTCTCTCAGATATCGAGGAATAGTGAGGACAGCTACTTCAAGTCATTCATGGTCAACCTCCTCCAGCTTTTCTCGACGGACAGAAATCTACTGGAAGTCCGTGGCAATCTCATCATTCGACAACTTTGCATGAATTTGAGCCCAGAGCGTATATATCGAACCCTTGCTGACTGTCTGGAGAAAGAAGAGGTCGGTTTTTTTTTTTTTGCTTTTATGGAGTGGCTTGATGCTGATTTTTGTTCTTCTTCAGGACATCGAATTTGCGAGTATCATGGTCCAGAATTTGAATAACAACTTAATTACTGCGCCAGAGCTTTCAGAGCTACGAAAGCGATTACGCAATGTAGACTCGAGGGTAATGAGACCATCTTTGCATCTTTTATGGAAATGGGGCTAATGTTATCTCTAGGAAGGCCAAACATTTTTCATGGCGCTATTCAGGTCTTGGTGTCACAATGCAGTCTCGACCTTCTCTCTTTGTCTGCTTGCGCAAGCCTATGAACAGGCATATAATCTCCTCCAGGTTTTGTAAGAAGAGCAATTCGCGAACTTCTTGAATAGAATCTAACCCTCCTAGTGCTGAACTTGAAATGACAGTCAATATGTTGATTCAAATTGACAAGTTGGTCCAACTCTTGGAGTCCCCTGTCTTTACCTGTTGGTTCTCCCGAAAACTCCCCATCTCCCACGAAAGCCGGTGGCTAAAGTTTTACATCAGACCTTCGTCTCCAGCTCCTCGAACCTGAAAGATACCCATACCTGTATAAGTGCCTTTTCGGGGTCCTCATGCTTCTCCCCCAAAGTTCGGCGTTTGCAGCACTTAAAAACCGCCTAAATAGTGTCAGCAACATCGGTCTCCTCCACACAGGACCTCGCTTGTATGTTATCAACCTCGGCCTATTCCCCCCCAATGCCTTTGTCCACATCCGCATAACTAATAAACCCCCTTCCCCCCCCCCAGAACCACCATGACATCAGCTTCCTCCTCGTCCTCGTCTTCCGCAACATCCACCTACGACCGCTCCGCCAACCGCCTCAAACAACGCGAAGAAAGCTCCATCCGCTGGGTCGAACTCCTCGAGAAATTCAAGACCGTCCAAGAAAAGGCCCGACGCTCCCAACGCGTCGCCTCCCAGCGACCCTTCGAGCAAGACCTCCTGCAACCCTCGACACTAACCTCGGCGCTCTCCGCCGCCGACCAAGCCCGCGGCATTGGGATCGGCGTCGGCAGGGAAAAGAGTCTCCCTGAGACTCCAAGAGCCGGATTCGGAGGCGGAGCGTCGGGCCGCGCTTCCCCCGCCGAAGGCGCAAGCGGACAAAAGGGCACCCCGAGACAGAAATCGGGGCTTCCCAATCTAGGTCGGTTGGGGATTGGAGGGCGGAGGAATAAGCGGTGATTGGATGACTTCGTTTTTCTCTTTCTCTTCTGTCTCTTCCTTTCCCTGTGTGTACGTTGTTCTATTCCTTCTTGCGGTGATACCAATATGCAGTTGCTGAGAAGAAGGGGGGGGGGAAGGGGGGGTTACAAAGAAATATCTTTCTAAATACAGGCGCACATGGATTGTGCCGTAGCTCTTCTAGTTGTTATATATGCTGTTCTCTGGGGTGTTGAGATGAGTGAGAGGGAGAGAGGGAGGGGTTGTATCCTGTAGCACAGGATGAAGAGACGGTTGATGTTGATAATAATTGATTCTTCTGAGTAGGATATTTATGTAAGTATGTATGTGTGTCTATATTGTTTACGACCTCTGAGAGGTCTACAGTTCAAAAAAGGGGGTGAATATAAATTCTTATTGTGCAGGGGTGATAACATCTATATTTCCCTTGCAAAGAAACAGAAGAAGAACCTTTATATACAAAAAAGAGGGTTATAACGCCCTTGACCACACCCCCAAAAAGAAAATATACCAAAAAAGGCACCAAAGGATCTCGCTCATGGTCTTTGGTACAGATGTAACAGTCGAAAAGAAAATAGATATATAAACAAAAAAAAAGGTTGGTTGACCCCAGCCACTATCTCCTTATGTGAGGACATAGTAGATAGGTGCAGACTCGGGAATATGAAAAAAAAAAAAAAATATTCCAAACCAGAAAAGTACAAAAGATGCTCGTGAAGATAGCGTCAATGAAGATGCCAAGATAGAAAAGCCGTCAGAGCAGATCAACCGACTCGCTGAATAAAGTAACAGTGTTCTTCCTCATTGTATCATGGGCTGTATTGTATGTACCCGATGACTGAGGAGAACCCAAGAAAAGAGAGAGGGAAAAAAAAAAAAAAAAAAAAAAAAAAGCCGTAAGAGTTTCGTTCCTGCTGTGAACGGTGAGTGGAGGGAGGACAAGAGTTGAAGTATCGTCGCATCCTTTACGCGGGACATAACGTCGAGGATACATCGTGGCAGGAAAATGGGGGGTAAATATCCCAGATATCACCGGTATCGCGCGTCGTTTCCGAAGGTGCCCCAGGTCGAGGCCTTCCAGTGGGAGCCGGTCGAGTGTTTGGAGACGGTTCCTGTAGACGAGTTGGAGCTATTCGAGAAGACGTATTCTCCGTCGACGTATTGCACCCCGGAAAATGTGCTGCGATGCTTGCGTCGGGCGTAGCGCTGCTCTAGCCTGTAGAGCTCAAGCTCTTTGTGATGGGATAATTAGCATCGAAGATCCCAGAGGACCAGCGGAAGCCCAGGTAACAGGTTGGAAACCTACTTGCTTGCAATTTCTCGATAAAACCCATTGTGAAGGATGTTTTTGGCGTGGGTTTTAACTTTGTACAGGGAATTGGACTTCTTCAACCGGTGTCCTATGCGACAATTTCACGGGTGGCGTGGTTGGTGCTCAAGAAAGAGGAACGAACGGTCTGGTGGGTTGGATTTCCTGGATAATCTGTGTCAGGAGAGTAAAGCCTCGGGTGGACATGCAAGTAGAGAAGAAAGAGACGGTAAGGAGGATGGTACCGGGAAGGGTGCGGACGAAGCCAAGTAAAGTGAGAACAATGTGCTTGAATGCGAGACAAGCCGATGGGCAAATGGTTCTCGAAAAAGCGCAGCAAAAGGGAGAACCACCAGGGCTTTTGAAAGAGGCTAGGAAAGAAGTGGGGGGGGGGGGAGACAAACAAATGAGAGAGAGCCCGGAACACTAAGGACGAAAAGGTAGTTAATATTGGATAATTGGAGTTCGATAGTGTCTTTGGAGACCAGACAAGTGGCGAGATGATAGTTATAGAAAGAGAGTGTTTAATCAAGCCCAATAAACGACTATTGCTAAGAAGCCACAATAAACTAGGTAGATGACGGCTTGTCCTAAAAGAGGGTTGGATATACCAGAAGAGGTAAAAAAAGGAATATATAGATATATGTATAGATAATAGATATAAAAATATATAAGGAAAGAAAAACAAGGAAAGAAAGTAGATGAAGAAGAAGAAGAAGAAGAACAATAGAGGGGAAAAGAGGTGAGAGAGAGAGAGAGAGAGAGAGAGAGAGATTCAGATCCAAAGATTCTGAAAAAAGGGTCAGACTGCTTTGGGTTTAGCCAGGGGGGAAATGGTTCACGTTAGTCTGTGTGTGATTTATTAACATTTCATTTGTCTGACTTCCTTAGTCTCCCCTCTAATGTCTTACTTTTGTTCCTTCTCTGAGGCTTCTCCTACTCTGGATCCTGTGTGAGAGAGGTTTCCTGGGCTGTGTGGCCGCCAATACATTAGCTCAATTGTCTCCCCACAGATCAAAAGGGAGCTTACCATTCCACAACTCCGCATAAATCCCATTCAGTTCGAGAAGCTCTCGATGCGATCCCAACTCTGCCACATGTCCTTCCTTCAACACCAGGATCTGATCACAGTCGTAGATCGTGCGCAATCGGTGTGCCACGAACACGCTGGTTCGACCCTTCTCCTTCAGAATGCTATTGATGTTTTGCATCAACGCCTGTTCGGTATATGTGTCAAGCGCAGATGTCTGGATGGACCTGGTCAGCCATCGAATCGTCGAATACCCTTGATCGCCAAAAACTTACCGCTTCGTCAAAGAATAGAAGTTGTGGGTCCTTCAGCAGCAATCGCGAGATGGCCAATCGCTGTTTTTCACCACCGGAAATCATCATTCCACGCTCCCCTACTGCCGTTTTATAGCCTTCAGGTAACTTCTCGATAAGCGCGTGGATGTGTGCTCGTCGCGCAACCCGGCGCACCTCCTCGTCCGAGGCATCCATTCGGCCATAGCGGATGTTGTGTTCAATCGTGTCGTTGAACAATGGTGTGTCCTGGGGCACAACACCAATTGCCTTCCGTAAGCTTTCCACGGTAACGTCCCGAATATCTTGGCCGTCGACCAGAATCCGGCCCTGTTGGACATCGTAGTACCGAAACAATAATCTCAGAATCGTCGACTTTCCACAGCCACTCGGCCCCACGATAGCAAACTTCTGACCAGCAGGGATTGTAAAGCTAGTGTTCTTGAGGATGGGCCGTTCGGGATGGTATCCGAAAGTCACGTTTTCGAATCGGATTTCCCCTCCCTGTCGGAGATCCAACGCCTTGGCATGAGGGCGCTCGGTGATGTTCACATTCACCTTTTGCAGGTTAAATAATGTCTCCATGTCTAGTAATGACTGGCGCAATTCCCGGTATACAGAGCCTAAAAAGTTCAGTGGAACCGACAGCTGGAAGACGAGCTGGTTAACCATGACCAGATCACCAACGGTCAGGCTACCGGCAGCCACACCATCAGCAGCGAGATACATCATTGCGGCAAGGGCGCTGGAGAAGATCATGTTCTGTCCCGAATTGAGAAAAGCCAGGGAGGTCGTGACCTTGATCGAGGCATCCTCGTAGGCCTTGAGAGCCTTGTCATAACGCGCGACCTCGAATTTCTCGTTGTTGAAGTATTTGACTGCTTCGTAGTTGATCAGGGAATCGACTGCAACGGTGGCCCCCCGGTTATCGGCTGCGTTGGCTTGCTTGCGGAATTTGGTTCTCCAAGCAGTTGTCGTTATAGTGAAAGCGGAATAGGCGACCATAGTAGCCGCAGTAATAGCGGCGAACTTGAGTCCATATTGATAGGTCTATGTAGCGATGTGAAAATTAGTGCATGCATGCATATGCCTATAAGAGGATTTCTTTTCTCATACCAAGATACTACACACGAGGGAGATCTCGAGGGCTGTAGGTACCACGTGAAACACCATGGATGTCAGCAGGAAGCTGATACCTTTTGTTCCACGATCAATTGCCCTGGTGAGTCCACCGGTCTGCCGGGAGAGATGGAAGTTGAGGTCTAGTCGCAAGAGATGGTCGAAAACATTCCGTGCAACCTTGCGGATAGCCTTCTGGGCCACACTCGCGAAAACCGCATTTCGAAGCTCTTGAAAAAGCGTAGCACCGATTCTAGTAGCGCCATCTGGGGGGTCCAGCGGGTTAGAAGCCTTTAGTTCGCAAAAGAAACAGACCTTGCTTACAGGCAATGATCATCGATCCCGCTACTGTATAGGCAGTCCCGCCAACAGCCGCAAAGTCTACGTTCATCGAGTCCACGATGCTCTTGAAATAGAATGGGACCTCAACATTCAAAACCTAGGCAACGTGCCATCAGTATTCAAGCCCATACACTTGTTCCGGGGGTGAGCCCAACCTTTGCTCCAACTAGCAACGACAGAGCAGTTCCAACCCGAAGTTTCGTTCCCCAGTCATCCTACAGCATGTCCGATTAGTCACAAGACGTAGACAACGCACAGGTCTTCCCGAGCTTCACCTTTGGCCAGAGATATTTCGCCATCTCCTTCATAATAGCCAAGTCTGCCTTTCTTTGTTCCTTACTGGCCACAGTGGCCTCACTGAGCAAGTCCTTCTTCTTAGTCGTGGTGGTGGTGGTGGTGGTGGTGGCTGCATTTTGAGTTGTCGGAGGGCTTGAAGCGGGTTTATTGACTGACGGCCCAGGTGTCGAGGTGTTAGGAGTAGATGTGGATGTCTTCGTGTCTGAGAGCGAGGTGGTCTCTTCTTGTTTCCGTAGAGGGCCCTTGGTAACCGAAAAGGCTCTGTGTTGAGCTGCGCACAGGGTCGCGGGACGACGAGGTATAAAACGCGGCGAAATGCGCCAGCAAGGCGATCGAGAAGCGCGAGGCAACATGGTCCCCGGTATATTGTCTTCACGAGAACCGGGACACAGGAGCCTGACTTTCTCTCTGCTCAGTGGAGCATTGCTAGGGTGGTGTCGAGGTGGTTATCGCTGTGCGCGTGCGCTCCCACTTGGCTTTGCGGAGCACCGGCTTCGGAGGGGAAAAAAGGACGAGCGGGATGAGGCGGTTTGCTGGAAGGCCCGGATTAGGTTACCCCTCCCACATTGGAAACTTGGAAACACGGAGGATACTTACTTGTCTGTTCCTCCTAGGGATTTGTATATTACCTCCAGAGTAATGATATATGTTGTACTCTATTTTCATAGTTATAAATCGGAGGGTACCTGGAAGACAATTTGGGGAGAGGTGTTTTTAGCTGCAGATCAGATGCAGCTCTTTTAAGCTCTATATATATGTATACTACTTGGGATAGGCCGATAACATTGGAATCCAACCCCCCTTCACCAATGATTGTTCCAGAGGTTAACAGACAACTTCCAGTTATTAATGCCCAAACTGCGAAATCAACCTGGAGATAACTATTGTACATATATTGTATATATTGTATATATTGTATATATTGTATATATTGTATATATTGTACAGTTCAATATAAACATTTAAAGCTGTGCCAAGCCCACCTAAACGCCTTTCCCGATTAGGAACCGCAAATCCGGGAAGCTGAGGAGAGCAAGAATTCCCGCGGAGGACAAGCAGTTGAAGACCACCCTGTCGTTCTCTCTTCCCTACCCTGATCTCGCTAGGTTTTCTCAAGCAAGACAATGAGTCAACCCCTGAGGAGAGGTGTTAGGACGCTTTCCTGGACTCGGGTCCTCCCTCCCCGAGCGCGACAGGCACGAAGCATCCAAATTCGAGCTGCGCCCACGGAGCGACCAGCGACTGTCAATGGGAGTAACCTACCTCTTGCTGATACTCCCAGCTTTGCAGAGTCTGCAGGTATGCTCCTACACCCGGGAGAAAGAATTTCTTATATATGTATATAAAAGAAGGGTCCTTGCTAATTCTTGACCCAAACAGATGCGCGGTTTGATGTCATCGGTGCACCATACTCCCTCCTATCGGTTTCGCTCTCGGCTTCACAGAACCTCTTCACACGGCGGGGAACCTTGGTGGGATTAAGTGGAAAGGCGGACAATGTATGTTGATGCCTACGATATACCCTCCCTCCGCTCTCTAACTGACTGTTGTTCGTGGTGCAGGTGGTTTCGACATTGAGTGTCTTGGAGCCTTTCCGAAGGGCTCCCGTCGGTGTCCCCTTCCTCTACCAGAAGGTATAATAGGCCTACTTGGAGGATAAATAACTGGAATGTTCATTGACAGAAACTAGATCTCCTCCGCTAGCCCGGTGACCGCTTTAATATCCGTTCGGTCTCCTGTTACATCGTTTGCTGTTGTCCACCTCAATGGATCTGTGGATTGGATGGTAGCCCAGAAACGGGCCCTACTTGCTTGGACAGGCCGCTCGCTTAATATTCGACCCACGATTAACACCAGCTTGGTTCGTTGACCTCCTATACCGCGTTTCTTGAAGACTGGGCTAACTTGTGAAGAGCGTGGCTCACTGGGGTAGCTCTGAGGTCACTGGTAGGGGACTGCTGGCACTGGTTGGAAACGGCCAACTGTACTCGGTTGAGCTTAAGGCTGGAGAACAATACATTGTCCATCCCAGGTAAGTTATATTGACACCATCTAGACGCCGTGTACTTACTGATGTTTGAAAGCAATGTTGTTGCTTACACCATGAGCTCCAACCCCCCTCGTCCATACCGCTTCAAATCCACAACATTGAAATTCCAGGTTCCAGGCTTAAAAGGTCTTCCTGACTTCATTCAGAGCTCCAAGTTTATCCAGAATATGTCGGATTCAGATACATGGAAAACCGCCATGCGGATCTGGCATAGAGTCCGTACCTGGTCTCGAATGACTATCTGGGGAGATAGGGTGTGTGTTACTGGCCCCCATGCAAACTCAAGGCGTAGAGCTAATTTTGCGAATAGTTGTTTCTTCAATTTGACGGGCCGTCGACTATCCTTCTACAGTCTCGGGGCCCCCGAATCAACGAGGTTCTGACCAACCACGAGGTCAACGAGATCGCTCGCTCACCCCGAGGCCTGACAATTGTCCCTGCGAAGCCCGAGTCTGTAGCAACGGGGCCCAAGACCCCCGAGGACATCGAAAGTGAACTCCACGTCGTCAGTCAAAGCATCGCGCACCTGACCAAGGAGGGCAGGGTGGTATTTGAAAATCAAGGGAAAAAGAACTAAGCTCCGGGATGAAGGGTTTGGTATCATTGTTTTATATGCATAGAGTCAAGAGCCTATTTCATTTTTGTTGAGGCGGCAGGTGGGGAATTTTTCATTGCGGGATCAATGTATCATAGATTTTAGCCTTTGTATAGGCAGACTTTCCATATGGATTTCCTTTTCTCTGTGTACTCCGTTTTTTACGTATTACTACTACTACTACTACTACTACTACTACTACTACTGCATTCTAGACATGAATCTAGGCATAGATAAATAGACACAGTCCCGTCGAGTAACTCAACCCTTGCTTCTTCGCCAAGTGAGGTGGGCGAAGACGATGTTTCCGGGGGTCGCGAGGAATGCAACGCCATACTGTAACTTACTCACTCGTTCGCGAGAACGGACTGACATGGAGTACTAGTAGGTTAGTATACGGAGCACTGTTCTGCGAAACCCACCCAACTCATTTTCTAGATGTTCTAGGTGCACAAAACGCTACTAGTTCTCCTCCTCTCCGCGGACTTCAAACTGCCTACCTACCTACCTACCTACCTATACTCCAGTACGACGATAGTCTGTCAGCTGGGATGTTCTGAAACAAACGGGGGCTTTCTTTCGCTAATTCTTCTCGCATTTTTACCGATATCGTCGCGGGGTCAAGTCGCCTCCTCGCAGCATGGATAACTCGTCTAGTAGTGATACTATCGCTGAGGGTAGGGAGGGCACTGGTAGTCGCCCTTCTTGTGCTTCGCATGCGCACCTCACTACCGAGATCGAGGCGCAAACTCGGACCGGAGGACCGGAGGGGACAGGAACACAGAGCTCGCATGGAGCTGCAGCAGAACTGGTACTACTTGGGAACGGCGCTCGCGGATCTCAAGGTGGTTGTGGGAGTGAGGCAGGAGAAGAGAAAACAGGCGGGAATGTTGCGACTCGCGACGCAGCAGTGCGTGATGGACCGCCGCCGGATGGAGGGCTTCGTGCGTGGTGGACGGTTGCTGGAGGGTTTTGTGGGCTGTTTGTGAGTTTTGGGTGGATTAATTGTGAGCCAAGCTAGAGATTGATATTGAGCTATTGATATCAAGTCTTGACGTGTTGAACGTGTGTTGTGTTGGCTGACATGTGTCGAGTTAGGTATCGGGGTTTTCATCGACTACTACAAAACTCACCAGCTGAGAGACTTTCCAACCAGCACCATCACATGGATCACTTCGCTGGAGATCTTTATGATGTTTTTCGGGGTACGCTTTTGATTCCAAGGTCCCCCCCCTCCCCCCCCCCCCTCTGCTTTCCTTTCTTGACCGACCCGCAGCAAGAAGCTAACTATAGATATGCTCTATCGGAGACAATAGGGTCCCGTTGTAGGAGCCCTATTCGACAACTTTGGCCCTCGCTGGATTCTCATCATCGGCTCCTTCTTCCACGTCTTCGGACTAATGATGACCTCCATTTCCTCCGAATACTACCAGTTCCTGCTCGCCCAAGGCATCTGCAGCCCCATCGGCACAAGTGCAATCTTCCACGCCTGCCTCAACTCCGTAAGCACCTGGTTTAGACGCCGTCGAGCTCTCGCCCTCGGAATCACAACCTGCGGCTCGAGCTTCGGGGGGATCATCTTCCCCATCATGGTGACTCGGCTGATTCCGATCCTGGGGTTCGGCTGGGCCATGCGGATCTGCGCATTCACAAGCCTGTTCCTTCTCATCATCACGAATCTGACCACGCAGTCGAGATTAGAACATCGCAGGAAGCCCTTCCACCCGGGAGACTTTCTGCGTCCGCTTCGTGAAATTCCCTTCTTGCTTACCACTGCAGGGTCTTTCGCGGTATACTGGGGTCTGTTTCTGCCGTTTGCGTTTATTCCAACTCAAGCAGAAAGATATGGCATGTCGTCGTATCTAGCGTCGTACCTGATTCCGATTTTGAATGCAGCAAGGTTAGTCTTCCAACTGTCTTAGGCTTCCCTCCTTCCCTCCTTTTTTTTTTGGCCATTCTCTCTCTCTCTCTCTTTTTTTTTTTTTTTTTTCCCCCATCGAGCCTCGATACTGATGAAGAAAATATGGTAGTGTCTTCGGAAGAATCCTTCCACCGTACCTCGCTGACCTGCTCGGCCGCTTCAACCTTATGATCCTCACCTCTCTATTCGGCGTCATCGTAGTCCTCGCCCTCTGGCTCCCATCCCGCGGAAACGCCCCGGCAATCACATTCGCCGCACTGTACGGGTTCAGTTCTGGGGCGGTGGTTTCTCTAGCCCCGGCTCTGGTCGCCCAGATCTCGGATATCCGGGAGATCGGTATTCGGAGCGGAACTTATTTCGCGATTATCGCGTTTGCTGCGTTGACGGGGATGCCGATTGCTGGTGCACTTTTGCCTGACCCGTTGCAGGGTTCGTATTTGAAGTTGGATATTTTCTGTTCTGTTGTCATGTTTGGTGGAGTTGTTTTTTATATTCTGGCGAGGTGGAGGATTAGTGGGTGGGGGTTGACAGCTAAAGTATGAGGGGAAAAAAAAATAGACACTGGGAATTGGTTATTTCTTCTTGCTCATTCGTTCAAGCAATGAAACTGGATATGGGTTGGATACCGAAAGGATTCCGCAGAATTGATATTTGAATTGAGCATGCTAGCAAAATGATAACCAAAATCATACAATATTAATCAAGCGCCACAACGCCCTCGCTGTAACAACTTGAACACAGATGCATAGATGCAACCCGTAACTGATGCAATCGCAATCGCAAAGCAAAACAGAAAACCAAATAAGCAAGCAATATGGGGAATGCCAAAACGTAAATGAGATCATGATGCAATGCGGTTCAAGGCTCCAGCAAATGCAAAGAAAAGTGCAAAGAATGGCAACTCGTCGTCTATACCAAAACACCGTTTCGCATGCTTTGAACAGTCTTCGCTCCTACACCCTTGAGTGTGCTTAATTCTGCAAGACTGTTGATTTGGACTTGCGGTTCCTCGTAACTTTCTAGATTCTGGTCCATCTCACAGAGGCAATCGACAATCGCCTCTGCCTTCTTGACTCCAACACCTTTCAACAGCTTGATCTGACTTACATCACGAGAATTTATGATGGACAGGAGGTGGATTGTTCGGGGGGAAGGGGCAGAGTCATTACAGTCTGCTTGCTCGGAGATTTCATCGAGAACCATTTTGGTCTTGGTACGCTTCGTGCGCTTGCTCCGAGACAAGGTCTCGAATTCATCTTCTGAACTGAATTGCTCCAACTCATGCTCCTCGTAATCTGCGTCTGAATCTTCAGCATATCGTTTCGTTCCCTGCTTTGATGGATGCCTCTTGAGAGACAACATGCTACCGAATTCCCGCTTTGCTTCTGGGATTGCAGGGGCGCTGAAATTTTCCACGTCGTGGTGAATTTTCTTGTGGATGCGCTGCTTCAATTTATCGATTTTGGCCACCAGCTTCTCGTTCTGGGGGAAGAAAGGAAGCGCTAGTTGGTACATCTTCAAGGCTGAGCTGTCTTCCCCGCGTGCTTGGTGTTGTTTTGCCATGAGGAGATATGACAATCCCTCAGCTCTCGCATCTTCGCTGCCTTCTATCCGCTGTTCTAGCAGCTCTAGGCGCCGTTGTACCTGCTCATTGAGCTCGCGGACTTGAGTCTGCCTTGATCGCTCACTAACAGCACGCACAGCCAGTATCTGTTCCACCTTCTTCTCCACCAGTTCCTCGATTCTGGCTGACATTTCTTCCTGGTTTTTTTGCGAGTAAGATGAAGGTTGTGCAAGCCTACCAGTCTTCAGTGGGCGTGCTTCAGGGAGCTCAGAACTCAACGAAGGCCGGCTGAGAACCTCTGACGTTTTAAATTGAGCCGAGTTTCTAGGTCGCGGTTTGTCAGAGTACACGTGGAATGCCTTCACTGGTTTGCCGTCACCAGGTTTGGAGGCGTCCTTGTCCTTGTTAGTAACAGCCGCGAGATTGACATTAACGGAGGCCGTGAGTGGGCGTAAAGGTTGCCGTTGGGAACTTGTAACTGATGGGCGTGCTGCAGGTCTGGGGGGCCCTCTGAATATTGGCTCGTTCTCGACCTCACGCACCTCGATTTTTTTGGTGCGATTGGCGAAATTGAGTGAACTAATTGTATCCAAGTGGTATGATCTTACAGAAGCAAGGTTTAGGATCATAACAGTCAGCCCATTGTTTTGGCCCAGGGACAGAATTCTGGTCATCTTTGATTCCCGATATGGAATCCGCTGGTGCTTCTTAGTAATTGCTTCCACGCACTGTGCTAGAACGAATAGGCTCTTGTTGATGCTAGCCGATTCGACCATGCGCTCTTTGCCATTGTCCGTCCGGCGATTATCCTCCGAGCCAGCAAGATCAATAGCAGATGCGGTGCTAATTCGGGTCTTATCCTCCGAGGTAATTGCAACTTTCACGCAGAGGATAGCATGAGATCGTGACGAATGCGCGTTGAGCTGTGACAAGAGTCAGTCTATATCCCGCGATGCGTACGATATGAATTAGCGGAGAGCGAACCTTGGTTGCAGATGTTGATCTATTCGTGTTCGCTTGATCATATAAGCTCTCAAACTCTTTAAGGGTATAGCATGGCTTCTCCGTCAACCCTACGACTACAGTCTTCCCACCGTTGTCTCTTAGGGGCAATCCCGCGAGCGTTCTCTTCTCTGGTGGCTCAAATAGATCGAAGACCTTGTCATTGTAGATTTCATAGTAACTCAAGGAGACGTTGACTGAAGTTTTGCCCTCACTGTCCTTCTCGATCTTTCGGCTGCGCCTGTATATGCTACTTAAGAGGCGAGGAATAACACCTCTCTCAGCGAGGCTTTTACCACCCCGCATTGTGTGTGTCTTTCCGGTTCCGGTTACTCCGTAGGCAAACAGTGTCACATCAAACCCGTTGAATAAATGCTTGGTTGTCGGCGCAACTGTGGGTATGGTTAGCATACTATCCTATCACATCACACTCCCAAAGGGGCTGCTCGGCACGAACTTTCTGCATCAAAGAGCTCTTGCTGAGACACACCCGCATCGTAAACGGCGTTGAACTGAAAAGAGTATTCCTCATTTTCATTCTTCGGGTTTGGGACCCGCACTATTGTATCCCGATCTCTCAACGCCGCCAGCTTGGAATTATCCTGCGAGCTCTTCCTGTCCCCCTTGCTGGATACAGTGTTGTTCGTGCCAGTGTGAAGGATCACATCCAACTCGCGCTCCGATTTCAAAAGGGGCCTAACCCGTGCAACAACTCGTACACTCATTGTGATAAGGCTGGAAGGTCTCTGTTGCCCCGATATCGATTTTCAGTCACCGCGTTTCGATGAAGACCCGTTGTCGCCTGAGTAGCTCATACACTCCAGATCCGACCCTGATGTGTGTATTCTATAGTCCCTGCATAAGAATAATGCCGCTAACAGGAAACCGCAAGGAGCTGTCTCCCAAAACGTTCTGTAGATAAACTTCTGGTGCTTCAGAAATTGAAGGTGAAACGCGAAATCCGGTGCAGTTCGTTCTTAGTCGGGACACAAGCGAACAATGCTTCCGAAATGAGAAGTAGCAAAAAGATAGGAAAGGAGGACAGGAAACCGGCGAAAGACGTTGAGGTGAAGTGAGAGAACCGGTGGAGGAGATCTGTGCGAACTGCAAAGCGACAGGGAGAGAGCTTCGTTGTGGTGTGACTTGCGGTCAGTCCTGTTGGCACGGCAACCTCTACTACTTGATTCTTCGCTTAACCCTTCTTAGAGAGAGGTATGCTGGGGTATAAGAATAAAATCGTCGAATTAAACTTACTTGGACGTATAGTAGTATGGCTTGATTTGAAGAACAGAGTCTATGTTTTTTTTCTCTTATTGTTCTATTATTCTGTGTTGTGTGTATATGGTCCCAAGGACACCACCACGTACTAACTATTTGACATACAAGTTGCTTATACCTTTACTTTAGCAGTCTCTTCTTAAATCAGTGAATTTTACCTTCAACCTACAGTATTTTAGTATATAATGCGGGATACTCATTAGTAGACTGAACTGATGTATATTAATCGTGCTATCATATGGAGGTTATACACTGCTAGTGGTATTTTGCGTCTTCAGAGAACAACTACAATCATCCAGCATACCCCAGTAATTATATACACTATAATGGAGAGATTTATTACAGGTTTCTCCGGGAAGATTAGCAGCAAATATCTAAATATTTGGTAAGGAGCTGGGTATCTAGGTATACATATATACCAGGTAGTTAGGTACCTTGTAGAATAGGTGTAGTTTTTGGCCTATGAGATCATCGCACAAGAACAGATTCATACATACCTAGGTACCTAATGGAGACGACAATTTCCTTGCACAGCCTCTCTACTGCTCTAAGAACACCCCAGTCGCTCCAACCGAGAACAAGATCTGGCCACATTGAAAAAACAGCTATTCACGAGGTCGCTCTGAGTTGAAGCTACTAGAAACCTCGCCCTGATCGGTTAACCTGCGGGGCTCTCTGATTGGCGCAAGGAGTTCAAACCATCCGCAAAGGCCACCGTACACCACCACCACCTCATCGCCCGACTCCAGACGGCCTTCCGCTCCCACAGTTGCTCCAAACTCCCCTCCATAACTCCTCGTCTGTTTCTTTCGAGGTGGTGTTGCAGGGCGCCTCTACTCAATTTCTGCTTTATTCTCTTGGCTCCCCGATTCGCTATCTCTGGCTGTTAGTATGCAAGTGTTCTCCCCATCCATCATGACCAACCATTGACTCCCCTCCGAAACAGTGAGCCTGTAGCGATTTCCGCGACGTTACATCAATCCCTTGACTCGCGGTCCAGAGAATCATCGAAAATCAGTGAAAGACGAGAAAGCATACAGCAAATTTCCTCATGGCGTCACCACAAGGGGATTATCCTCCGCAGGAAGGGTATGGTCAGCCGGTCCCCCAGCAAGCCGCGGGGGCTCCTCCCGCTGCTGCTCAGGGTCAAGCTGCTGGGAAAAAGAAGCGAGCATATGCCGGCGAGGCTTTTGAGTTTGGCTCTGGTGCCAATGCTGCCCTAGGGGGACAACTCCCCGCTGGAGGTAGCTATGGAGCATACCATCCGCCGCAACAGCAACAACCTGCCTATGGAGTTGATCCGTCCCAAATGGCCCAAGGATATGCTCCGCCTGCTGCCCCAGGTGTCGCGCAGATGACCCAGCAATTTGGTGCTATGGGGGTGACTGATCCACACCTTATGCCCCCCCAGTCCGCTCCTCAACCAGCTTCACAGGCTCCGCGACCAGTTCCTCTCAATCAGCTTTATCCGACCGATTTGATCACCCAGCCTTTCAATGTTGCCGAACTTGACTACCCTCCACCTCCCATTGTTTTGCCCCCAGGGGTACGTGCTTGTTGAGAGTCTGCATATGTGTAATATTGATGCTAACTCATTCATTAGACTAGCGTTTATCCCTCTCCTTATGCCAACTGCCCTCCGAAATATGTGCGGTCAACATTGAATGCCGTCCCGACAACCCATTCGCTTTTGAAGAAGTCCAAGCTTCCTTTTGCCCTTGTTATCCAACCCTACGCTGCGCTCCATGACGCCGAAGATCCGATCCCTGTCATCCCAGACCAAGTCATCTCACGTTGTCGACGCTGTCGATCATATATCAACCCTTTCGTGACCTTCCTCGACCACGGACATCGGTGGCGCTGCAATATGTGTAACCTGACCAACGATGTACCTCAGGCTTTTGATTGGGATACAACTCTACAAAAACCCGCAGATCGGTCATTGAGACCTGATCTCAACCATGCGGTAGTGGAATTTGTCGCCCCCCAGGAATATATGGTTCGCCCTCCGCAGCCCCTTGTCTATCTTTTCCTGATCGACGTGAGCTACGCTTCGGTCACCAACGGTCTCTTGGCTACAAGCGCTCGGTGCATCAAGGAGAGCCTGGACCGAATTCCAAATGCAGACCGACGAACCAGGTTGGGCTTTGTTGCGGTTGATTCTAGCCTTCATTATTTCACCATCCCTCGGGATGGATCGGAGATTTCTGACCCTCGCATGTTGGTTGTCAGCGACTTGGATGAACCTTTCCTTCCTATCCCCGGTGATCTTCTGGTGACTCTTAGCGAGTGCCGCGAAAACATTGAGGTGTTCCTTGACAAGCTGCAGGAGATGTTCCAAAATACCCAGAACAACGGCTGTGCGATGGGATCCGCTCTGCGTGCTGGTTACAAGCTGATTGCCCCCGTCGGAGGAAAGATGACCGTTCTTAGCTCTTCTCTGCCGAATGTGGGACATGGCTCCTTGACTATGAGGGAGGATAAGAAGGTTTTGGGAACGAGCAAGGAGAACAGCTTGCTCCAGACTGCGAATAGCTTCTACAAGAGCTTCGCGGTGGAGTGCTCCAAGGCACAGGTTTCAGTGGATATGTTCCTGTTCTCCTCCCAGTACCAGGATGTGGCCTCGCTCAGCAATCTTCCAAGGTATACTGGTGGTCAAACGTATTTCTATCCTGCTTGGAATGCTGCTCGTGGGGAAGATGCTATTAAATTTGCGCGTGAGTTCTCCGACTATCTCTCGTCAGAGATTGGATTAGAAGCCGTGCTCCGCGTCCGTGCCACCACCGGTCTGCGTATGAACACGTTCTACGGAAACTTCTTCAACCGTAGCTCCGACCTGTGTGCATTCCCAGCCTTCCCGCGTGATCAGGCATATGTTGTTGAAGTTGCCATCGATGAGACCGTCACGAAACCCGTCGTCTGCCTGCAGACCGCCGTTCTTCACACCACCTGCAACGGCGAGCGAAGAATTCGAGTTTTGACCCTGGCACTTCCTACCACTCAGAATTTGGCGGATGTTTTTGCATCCGCAGATCAGCAGGCGGTCGCCACCTTTTTCAGCCACAAGGCCGTTGAAAGGGCGCTTGGAAGTGGTCTTGAACCCGCCCGAGAGGCCATCCAAGCGAAAGCCGTGGAGTTGCTTTCGACTTACCGCAAGGAACTTGCTGGTGGAAGCGTTGGTGGCGGCGGCCTTCAGTTCCCCGCGAACCTGAGGGGTCTTCCTGTTCTTTTCCTTGCCATGATTAAAAATGTAACGCTTCCTCTTTATCTTTTGTTGATTCGTGGATTGACTGACGATGATCATGATGTAGCTCGGCCTGCGGAAATCCGCCCAAATTCCCACGGATATGAGATCTGCCGCCCTCTGCCTGCTCTCAACCCTCCCCCTTCCTCTTCTTATCCAGTACATCTATCCGAAGATGTATTCTCTTCACGACATGCCCGACAGCGCGGGACTGCCCGATGACCAGACCGGCGAGATCGTCCTTCCCCCGCCAATCAACCTGTCTTCCGAACGGATCGTCCCCTACGGCCTCTACCTCATTGATGATGGCCAGAACCAATTCCTGTGGGTTGGACGCGATGCGGTGCCTCAGCTGGTCCTGGACGTCTTTGGCTTCCCTGACAAGTCGCAACTCCGCGTGGGCAAACAAAACCTCCCCGAGCTGGATAATGACTTCAACGGACGTGTCCGTGCGGTTATTGAAAAGAGTCGAGACCACCGGGCCAAGGGTGTTGGTAGTATTGTGGTGCCACACTTATACATTGTCAAAGAGGATGGCGAGCCTGGGCTCCGGCTGTGGGCACAGTCGATGCTGGTGGAGGACCGAGCCGACCAGGGTGTCAGCCTGGTGCAATGGATGGGCTCGCTGCGGGAAAAGGTTTGATCCCTCTCCGTTTTCTAGGTTCTAATTCTTCTTCTCTTTCCCCCCCCCGCCCGCCGTCATCAAAGTCTACCCATGTTGCACCTGGAAACAGTTTAGACTGACGAGCTTTGAACCACGAACAGGTTGTTCAGTAATGATAGCTTCTACAAATTTTGGTAAACTATATGAGATATACAACAATTCACCTGAATTCCTATTCCATTCTTTGCTTTAACCTTTTATTTCGTCCCTTTTTTTTTGATTTCCCGGGCTGTGGTTTTCATTCCGATGGGTTAACTTTTGGCACATCCCAACCGTTCTCTATTGTATGATTATGAATTTTTTTTTTTTTTCTTTTTCAATTTCCCGACTGGCTAGACCCGTTAACGATAGCTTAAGCCTGATCCGTAGCAACAAAAACAAACATAAAATAAATAAATAAAAAGCTAATCCTCTCCTGCAGTTCGTAGTTCATCCGCCTTTTTTTTTTTTCGGGGAGGGGTTTGGAGAGAGGGGGTGTTCTCGGACAAGAACCAAGCATATTAATAGTAGCTGCCCAGAATTTTTTTTTTTTAGATAGACCTGGAGTCTGGTACGCACGAGTTACAACTCATACTATGATGATAAAAATAACCAAAGCATGCGAGTGAGTAGGCTCAGGATCCGAAGCAGACAGCTGCATTGGTCTGGGCGTCTGTTTGGCGGATCATGCAGTGTAAACTTTAGATCACAGCTTAGCCTGCCAGGCAGGACTCACGCGGAGAGAACAGACAGGCAAATCAAAAGGTAAAGCAAGGCCAACGAAAGAGGTCATCATCCTGTATAAACTGACAGGGGGGTACAGTGGGAAATTTGAGAGACAGGTAGGTATCCGTACCGTAGTGTAGAGTGTAGATAGAGAAAGAAGTAGGGAACTTGCAAGTAAACTCAAATTCAGACTCACACAGTGGCCCGGGTTGAGTCTAGTCTCGAGAGCTGATTTGATTCGACGGTTGTCTGTGATATGTGATAGTTGTGATCAATTGAAGCTGGCGGCAGGAGTAGCGGCAGTTTCCAGGATAGCATTGCCCCCCCCTCCTCTCTTTAAGTCTCTTCGCCAATGAATCTCTTAGACTTTGGGAAGTTGGAAACTGGAGTGACCCGGTGTGGGACCATGGTGTTTGGAGTGGGAAGACAGTTAGCGCTGCGACTCGTCTGGAGGTAGTGATGGTGGAGGAAGGAGGACGACTATTGAAACACTGGTTGAAGAGGTGAGACGTTGAGCCTGAATGTTTGTTATGTTAGTTTGGACCGAGAGGAATTATTCAAGAGGGTAGTTAGAGGGAAATAGGTACCTTAGGTTAGGTAGTGGTTAGGTATTAATTAGTTGGGATGATGATATTCAATACATAATGGCCAAATCCTTGGAGAAGAATTATGATATAGTTTAGGTACTCTACATATGTACTGATTGTAATACTTTTTAAATCCTCCTTAATTCTCCTAAGTGTCAGGAACATCTCCATCTTTCCTGAACCACCGGTTCCTCCGTCTCTCTAACCAAGGTTCTTCATCTTCTCCTGAACATCTACATAGTACATCTTCTTCCGCATACTTCAACCTACGATCTGGACTCTGGTCTTCCGCTTTGATCTCCCGCAATCTCAATTTCCTTCTGACAGGTACGAATCAACCCCTCATCCTCTCTTCCTTCTCTTCTTCCTCCCGATGATGATTGCTTTGACTCGTACCATATACATGAATGAGTAATTATTTTCATCTGGTTAACTATTTATTCCTCTTCCTGCCCCACCCCACTATGGCCGATCTGCGCCCGGTTTATTAACTTACTGCTATTCCCTTTAGTCCTGGACTACGTGCGCATCTCTCTCTGCTTGCTCTTTCTTTCCTGCTTCTCCAGCCCCTCCGCAATACCTAAAGCTCATTCTCTCCCTCATATCCCCTTGAGCTGACCTCTGTGATCGACGTAGCCCGTCTGTCTGTCAAATACCTTCTCACAGGGACAACACTCCCCAAAAATTAATAAAATTAGACCCCGGCTGTGAAACATCCACCAGGAAAAGGCCACGGATCAGTCCTGCACATCGGTAGGGTTCTCCTTTTCAATCGCACTTGCTACCTTGCTTGCTATCCCCATCTCCCGAACATTCCCTTTGATTCTTCTGTCTCCTTCTGTGTGAGTGGTTGATTGACCCCGTCGGCGACTAGGTAGGAGACTTGGAATTGTTCCACGTCGGCACTTCGACCAGCTTCCATTCTCTCTCAGTCCCCCTCCCTGTTCAGCCAAATCTTACGAATCAAGTCTGAACTCGCATCTCTCTCTCTCTCTCTCTCTCTCTCTCTCCCCCAAGGCCTTTTCTTTTTCTTTTTACCTAATTCCCTGGTTCACCCGATCGTCTGGGGTTATCGTGCGCAACGAGGATCGATAACAGCAAGCACGCGCCATACATACCCCGCTTTCGATCTTGGAGAGAATCCCGAATTTCTGCCACCCGTTCAGCGCACAATCTAAGAACGCCGATTCGCTGTCACAGCGCTTTTCATATCGATTGAATTACAGAGACACCGGAAAGCTCAGCAAATGTAAGCGCCAATTTTATGTTCTAAATATGTTGGTGTGCGGTGGACCTGCAGCGGATATCGCAGACTGCTGCGGCATGCTCCTTTTATACTCGGCTGCCTGGTTTGGTCCATGCATTGATTTATCTGCACAAAGCCCTAATGTTGCTTGCTTGGGTGATATTCTTGTAGAGCGCATCTGAATGTGTGGTCGTTTTAATATCGCATGTTTTTGTAACCGTGTTCACTGACACTTTTTTTTTTTTCAGTTCGAAATCAACAAACATGGTTCAGCAAGCACCTCCTCAAGGGGGGTCAAGGAAGATCTCCTTCAACGTCTCCGATCAGTATGAGATTCAAGATGTGATCGGTGAAGGTGCCTACGGTGTTGTCTGGTGAGTACTGGTTGGTTTCATTCGACCGGCTACTTAGTGACCCTGTCAGTTCCGCTATCCACAAGCCGTCCGGCCAGAAAGTCGCCATCAAGAAAATCACCCCATTTGACCATTCGATGTTTTGCCTGCGAACCTTGCGAGAAATGAAGCTGCTGCGGTACTTTAACCATGAAAACATCATCTCCATCTTGGATATCCAAAGGCCCCGGAATTACGAAAGCTTCAACGAGGTTTACCTTATTCAGGTACTACCTGCAACCCGAAATCCTAAACAATCTGTAAAATTAACAGACGATAGGAATTGATGGAAACAGATATGCATCGTGTTATCCGTACGCAGGATCTGTCGGATGACCACTGCCAATATTTCATTTACCAGACCTTGCGTGCCTTGAAAGCCATGCACTCCGCGAACGTCCTCCACCGTGATTTAAAGCCTTCGAACCTCCTCCTCAATGCTAACTGCGATCTGAAAGTCTGTGACTTTGGTCTTGCTCGGTCAGCTGCTTCGACCGACGATAACTCCGGCTTCATGACGGAATACGTGGCAACGCGCTGGTACCGTGCCCCAGAAATCATGCTGACGTTCAAGGAATACACGAAAGCTATTGATGTGTGGAGTGTTGGTTGTATTCTGGCAGAGATGCTCAGTGGCAAACCTCTGTTCCCTGGAAAAGATTGTATGTGTCCCGCATTGAACGTTATGATCGTCAACTAACTTGAGCAGACCACCATCAGCTTACCCTTATTTTGGATGTTCTTGGAACACCTACGATGGAAGATTATTATGGCATCAAGTCCCGACGGGCTCGGGAGTACATCCGTTCCCTTCCTTTCAAAAAGAAGATTCCCTTCAAGGCGCTATTCCCCAAGAGCAATGACTTGGCTTTGGACCTTCTAGAGAACCTGCTGGCATTCAATCCCACAAAGCGAATTACCGTCGAAGATGCGCTACGTCACCCATATCTGGAACCGTATCACGACCCGGAGGATGAGCCGACAGCACCTCCAATTCCGGAGGGATTCTTTGATTTTGACAAGAACAAGGATGCACTAAGCAAGGAGCAGTTGAAGAGTTTGTCCACCCTATTTTTCCTTTCTTTTTTTTTTTTTTTTTCCTAACATGTTATACAGCTCTAATCTACGAAGAGATCATGCGGTAGAGGATTCGCTCAGTTACAGAGGTAGGAAGTGAAAGGGCAGCCAGCACCTATAAGGAAATGAAGTCGAGTAACGTTGCACATACCATAGCTGCATAGAAGAAACATCTGGGAATCTATTACCTATGCTCACGCATTTGATCTTAATCTTGCTCCATTTGGCCGTTTTCTCTCTCTCTTTTTTTTTTTTTTTTTTCTTTCCGTTTTGTTTTAACTCCCCTATCCAAGACGTTTGGGACTTTGATACTCCTCGGTAACAGCGTCAGTTTGAGCATAAACACAATTCGCAGTTTTAAAATTTAAATTTGACATAAAGTTATAAAGTTAACACAGTGTGTCAAGATATACATAGGGTATCACAATTCCTGATAGATAGATATAAAACGCCACTACTTCCCCTCCCACGCTTTCATAAACTCCTCAATCCCACTCCCAACGCCTTCAGGCGACGGCTTCTTCGCACACACTTCCGGCGCAAACCTATACTCATTAATCAAATGGTCTCTCGTCGTAGGACCAATGGTCGCAACAAAAACCCTCCTCTCAGATGCTTCTCGATTCGGTTCTCGCCCAAAGACAAGTCCATCTTCCCGGCTTAGAACCTTCAACATCGCATCACACCCGGTCGGCGAGAAAACAACAACCCAGATTGTCTTCCGCGGATGGCTTCCAGCCGAACTACACTGCGAACGAGAAAAACAGCAGGCAAGTTCCCTACGAACAACGCCTTCAAAATCCCCTTCGAACCCAGCCACCACACCAGTCTGATACACGACCACCTCGTCAACACGGATCCTGTCCCTCTCTGGCACGGCACCCATAAGCGTCTTCGGAATGATATCTCGGCGCTGCTCACCGACCAGAAACAACAACGCGGGTTTCCTCATCCCGGCCTCGTTCCCTTGCTTCCCCCGCTCTTCCGCGTGGTGCTCGGAGGATACGCCCATGCCGCCGTATACAGAGTTATAATGGCGCAGCATCACGGCAGCTAGGTTTTCGCCCGTGCCGGAGTCGGCACCGAAGATGTTCGCGCCGGGTAGGTAGGCGTCGCGAAGCGTGGCTAGGGATCGGGCGGTTGCGGGTCCGACAGTGTACAGGATTAGAGACGGGGCGAGGGATTTTCGAATTTGTTCTGTTTTGAAAAGAATAAATAAATAGCACATTCACTTATACATTAATCCTACTTCTTTTTTTTTTTTCTGTTTGTTTTTCTTGGTAGAAAGGGAAATGAAGAAGGAAAAACAAACCATCTATCTCCCCCGCTAGCTCGGCAAACGCCTCCACGGCTCGCTGCGACGTGAAGATTAACCCGCCATATTTCCTGCGCGGCCCGGGACTCAACGCGCCCCCCTCGAAGAGGGATTTTATGTACTGGAGGTTTTCCTTGTGGAATTGGTGCTCGAGGACGGGGATGAAAGTTGGGTCGTATTCTCTCTCGTTGCTGCTGGCGGAGAAGAACTCGTGGTAGCCGTCGTGCGGGGTTGATTTGGTTTTTAGGAGCAGGATGGGGGTTTTGTGTTTCGTGTTGGTTGAGAGGGATGTCATTCTCTCTCTTTTGGCGCTTTCTATTTCCTTCTCTTGTCCGGTTTAGGATTTCTTGTTCGATGGGTTGGTTTTTTTGGGGGGGGGGGTTGTGGGTTTGGTGAGTTCGGAGAAAGCGGATGCGGGAGGTTTTCTAGTCCCTCGCCGTGTTAAATGTGTAAGGGCACTTTTATAGATCTACCAGGAGCAAAGCGTAGGTGAAGTAACTGAACAAACGAAATCAATGCGTCTAGTAAGCTTATGTACACTAAAAAAACAAGACTACTGGTCGTCGAGAACGTGCAGGTACTTCCTCTCCTCCTGTCGCTCGCGCTCGGTAGCAGGTGGCAGATCGTAGTACGAAGAGCTTCGGTATCCTTTCTGCGCAAAAGTTAGCTACTCAGCCTCTACATATGCACGCCAAGGAACTCACCAAGTAGTGGAAAGTAAGGTTGCTGAGGTCGGCAGGCTCAATTCCGAGGTCCTTGAATGTCTTGGCGCTCTCATCGATCTCCTGGTCGATGAATTCCCGCTCAACCTCATCGGCGCTCAGGGTGTGCCACCAGAGGTACTTGTTCAGGAGGTTGGCCACAGGCTTCAGGGCAGCCTTGGGGATGTTGATGTGGCGGCGGCGCTTGACGATTTCGCGGTCAACCAGTTCCGCAATCTCCGCGGGAGAGTAGTTCTTGGGACCGTACAGTTCGAAAGTCTGGCCGGCAGTGGTGTCGTCGTGCAGCATGCGCTCGAGGGCGGTACCGACATCAATTGCCTATTCAATGTCAGAACTGCTCTCTTCTATAAATTCGCGCGGACTTACGTGAACAGGCCAGAAGCGTTGCTGGAGGTGGTTGGCAGTGAAGAGGTTGGTAGCGCTGGCGAGTCTGTGGAGGAGTCTGTCCTCAAAACCGAACATGGGGGCAGGTCGGACAATGGTGGTCTCGGGGTAGATAGAGCGTGCGACCTCCTCTCCCCATCCCTATGACCATCAGTAACTGGGTTTGGTTGGCGTGAATTGTCCAGTCAAACCTTGGTAGCAAAGAATTCAGAAGGGGAGTTCTTGTTAGCGTTGTAGGAAGAGACGTGGATGAACCGGTCAACGTCGTACTTGGCGACTGCCTCCGCGATGCGCTCGGTTCCGTCAACGTGGACATCGGTGTAGGTGAAGTTCCTAGACAGCATCAGCACATTGGTTCAGCAACGAGATATCCTTGAAACGAACTTGGTAGGATATTCACGGCCAACAAGATTGTAGACGACGTCGGAGTGGCGGACGCTCTCCTCGATTGACTGGGTGTTGCGTAGATCATATTCCTGGAGACGAGTTAGTGTCACGGCTGGGGGGCAAGTCCGGCAAACATTGGATTCCCATACTATGAAAACAACACGTCCGAGATCACCGGTAACCTTCAGATGTCGCTTCGCCATCTCCTCGCGGTAGGGAACAACGACGGTGCATCCCTGCGTAGCTGATGGATGTCAGCTTCTGGACGTTCCTTCAACGGCTCTGTGTGACCTACCGAGCTTGTTGACGATGTATCGACCTAGGAAGCCAGTGGCACCAAAGACAGTCGCGGTGTGTCCTAAAGCACAATTTCGTGTTAATATACGTAGTAGGTTCATGAGAGGTAGGCGAGAAGGGAATCAGGCTAAGTACCGCCGAGGGATGAACTGTAAGAAGAGGCTCGTCAGCACCATCCAACTATACACAATGGACCAATTGGGTCCTTACCGTCCACCCTGAACCTTCAGAAGAGGCTTTCCAGTCCTGGTGATCGTGACATCTTGGAGATTTCGGCGTTGCACCTGGGACTGAACTCGGGGGGTGGGGACGAATGCCTTGGACCCCAGGACGGGATTAACGGCCCGGCACTTCTGCATTGTGTCTATTTTGCTTGTTAATTAAATGAGATAGTGGAATTGCATCTGGACGAAAGGATCATACAACAAGAAGTGAGAATGGAGAGGGAGAGGGCGCAAAGCTCGGGCGAGAGATCTTGGTTCTCGTTGAGGTCGAAAGTCGTCCATCTTCAAGAGACAATCTGCTCACGGGACTATCACGCTAGTCCTAATTCAGACAGCACCTTTGACGACGTCAACAACCAGCCCAGGCTTAAGGATACTTAACACTCTTTATCTTTATCAAGTATTAAGCTCTTGGGTAATATTTAACCCATTGTTACAGTACAAGACCCTCATACCCCGGGACCACCGCGAGTTCTGGCGACATTTCTCGATCTGAGCACCTTCATGTCTGACTATTCCTGGCCTATGATTGGCCAGCTGCTGTCCCCTCGCTTGTGTCGGTATACCTAGAACCTCCAGCAGGAGATATCTATATACGCCATTCAGACAAGGGACTGGCCTCTAAAGCTTTCATATTCCTATCTATGACATACTATGGCTCAGCTACCGCCCCATCCGGCTCGCTGATAAATGGCAACATTGGTGGAACAGTGACTTGGTTCCTGGGAAGTCTCCGAGAACTCTCCGATTTTCTGATGAGAAGGGTGGGAAAGGTATAAAGAGGGCCTAACCTACCTACCTGTCCAACAGAATTCTTATTCACGATACTTTTTTGTATCAAATTATTCCCGAAGACCACCACCGCCACTCTTAGTATACCCAGATCAGTCCTTCAACGTCTATTTCCATTCCATATACCTCCATATACTATTCCTCGGTCTCCTAGCAACAATGAGTAGCGACTGGACGGAAAAGAACCGGCAGACGTTCGAGTAAGTTCTGAAATGATTTTACGAGAACCCCCAAAGAATGATGTCTCACAATAGCACAGGAAAATGTCTCGCAGCTACCGTGCCGACTTCGCAGAGGGACTCAAAATACTGTTCAAGACCGTTCAAGCGAAACGTGGCTGGGCTAGTGATATATGGACAGATACCGAAGCAGGAAAGGGGAGAGAAATCAAGATGCTTGAATATGCATGTGGCCCAGGGATGGTCTCTATGGTGCGTAATGACCCTAAGTAACAATATCAAGTATCGGGCTGATTTGTCCAACAAGGCGTTGGCGCCGTTTGTCACCCGCATTATTGGCATGGACGTTTCAGACGGCATGGTTGACGAGTTTAACAAGAATGCTCAAGAAGAAGGCATGTCAGACAAAATGGTCGGAATCAAAGCCGATCTTCTAGGGGAGTCTGTGCCGGCTGAAATCTCGGGACCGGAGTTCTATGACTTTGATGTCATCGTCGTTAGCATGGCGCTCCATCACTTCCAGAAACCTGAGTTAGCCATGAGCCGCCTTGCTGAGCGGTTGAAGAAGGGCGGCGTATTGACTATCATTGACATAATCCCAGAGCATCAGGATGATAAGGATAATGGACTGCGGCATGTAACGCCCTCAGAAGTCGCCGAAACGATACATAGGCATGGGTTTAGCCAAGAGGACATGAATAAATTGTACGGGGACGCTGGATTCGCAACAGGCTTCAAGTATCAAGTGATAGAAGAGCCTTTGGTGTTTAAGAAGGGTGACAACGTGTTTCACAGGACAATTTTCATGGCTCGAGCTGAGCTCTAGGTTAGAAGTTCATGATCTCATTCCACTATGGGCTTAGATAATGCATGTTGCACTTTGAATTGCATAAATGATAATCAGGCTGGAAAAGTTAATATCCTGTAGTTGCCATGATTGTTGTGCTTGTGGTAGAGAAACCCAAGGAGTGAGGAAGAACAAATGATGCATGCCATGTCATGTGCCTATGTAGGGCCGCGCAGAGACACCGCTTTAAGCTTCGACTCCGCTGAACCATCCAACTTCCTTTCCATCAGAACAGCTTCCTATCTCTCTCAAGTCCGTTAATCAACATACATCCCTTCTCTCTCTTCCGGTTATCTCACCTATTCGATATTTGGGATTTTCGTCTTTCCTTCCCCCACGATGGAGAACCAAAAGATCTCCGATTTCCTCGCTGAGCAGCTGCAACAAGCTCCGGAGCAGTGCCAGGCCTCGTTCTTGAGCTTTGAAGACTACTGGGAGCGAAAACTATGGCACCAGCTAACCAATGCCCTGATCGATTTCTTCCGTCTACCAGAGAGCGCTCCCCAGCGGCTACCGATATTCAAAACCTTTGTTCTCAGTTTTGCCGACAAGATCAACCAGCTCAAGTTCGTCTCGCTCGGGTTGATGGCGTCAACACAGTGCGCAAGTAGGTTTTCATCCTCCACCCACTCTTGTACATGAACAGAGGGTTGCTGACCGTTTTATCTTGCGATAGATGACCAAGAGCGACTATCCTTCCTCACATCACTTGCCGATAAAGTGAATAAGCCCGAGACACAAGACGCTTACATCTACGCCCTGGCGGAAGTCGCAAATGTCAAGCAACGCCTACAGGACCTGGAGGGAGCGCAGAAAGACCTAGCAGCATGCCAGCGAGTATTGGATTCGTTTGACTCTGTTGAGAATGTCGTGCACGCATCGTTCTATAAAGTCAACGCCGATTACTACCACGTAAGCTATTCCATGCCCCTCACAAGCTTAACTCTGGAACAACAATTTTAACAAAGCACCCGACAGGCCAAAGAAGAATTCGCCTCCTTTTACAAAAATGCCCTACTATACCTTGCCTGCATTAACCTGGAGGACCTCCCCGAATCGGAGCGCGTTTCCCGCGCCTACAATCTCAGTGTTGCCGCCCTCGTCTCGGATTCTATTTACAATTTTGGCGAACTGCTCCTGCACCCGATCCTGGATTCCCTAACCGAAACGCCGCACAGCTGGCTACGCGACCTCCTCTTTGCCTTTAACCGCGGCGATTTAACAGCCTACGATGTCCTCGCGGGCAACATTTCCAAGAACAAGCTACTTGAGCAACATCGCATCTTCCTATACCAGAAGATCTCCCTCTCAGCTCTGACAGAGATGGTCTTTCGCCGCCCACCCCACGACCGCAACTTGACCTTCGCGTCCATCTCTGCCGAGACGAAGGTGAAACCTGGAGAAATCGAGCATCTCGTTATGAAGGCGCTCTCTCTGGGCCTGCTTAAGGGAGCCATCGACCAGGTGGCCCAGATCGCACAGATCCACTGGGTGCAGCCCAAGGTACTGGATATGAAACAAATTGAGGGCATGCGGAACCGGCTGAAGGATTGGGATGCGGGCGTTAACCAACTAGGTCACTGGATTGAAGGCGTAGGAAAGGATGTGTGGGCTGCGTAAGGGAGACGGCTCATTTTCAATAGATCCTTTCCTTTTCTCTTTTCTAACCTAGGCAAAAAGAGCATTTTTGCATGTGTGTACGGCAGTGTACTAGAATCCTCATAATCAAAGACTTGGTCATGAAGACAACCAAATATGAATTTATATTTCTGTGGCCGTTAAAACACCACCACATAGTATATACTATATAGTATATATACCTAATACATTCTCACTAGACAACCATAACCTATCTCCAAATACAGCAAGGCTAAAATGCAAGGATTATCAGATACATAAAATAAAGAAGTAGATATAGATAGATAACCAAATCAGAGAGAGAGAGAGAGAAATAGACAAAAAGAGGTAATAATATAAGAAATCATATCTAGAGCGAACGCTTACGCTTTGGCTCATGCACATGCACATATACATATACACGCTCATGCCTTGCTCTTGAGTTTGAGAAGAAGAAGAAAAAGCTCAGAACAAGGAAAATCCTAACAACGCACACCCTGTAACCCAAGCAGGCCACCAGACACACCACACAACCACCTGAGTCCACATACCCCAGACATCCCACCCAAAGGCGGCCTCAGTGAGGACCGTTTCCACAGAGACACCAAAGTACCAGCAGACTCCTAGGAGAACAACAGGGGGAGAAAGGATGTTTAGGGAGATGAGACCTAGGGTGGAGACGGCGTAGCGGAGGGCAGGCCTGGTTTGGGTGCTGATATGGCCGACGAAGCTGAGCGGAGCGCAGAGTAGGCCGATCATGAAGGAGAGCGAGAAGTTGAGCGTGGCAAGAGTGGAGAGGAAGAGACCGAGGAGGAGGAGGGAGAGGGATTTGATAAGGTGGGATTGTTGAGTGTTTGTGTTTGGGGAGGAGGTGGAGCTTTGGCTTAGAATTGCGGCGAGGATGAGGGGGAGGGAGGCGTTGACGCCGATGCAAGTATAGGTTGCGAGTGTGAAGGACTGGTTTTGGTTTTGTTAGGCTGGGTTTTATGAGAAACGGAATGTGGTTGGAGAGGGCTTACTTCGTGGGGAAGATTATTGAAGATGTAGAGGGGGATGAGACCGAGTATATGCAAGCCAACGACAAGAGTAAGAGGGAGCGCAAGCTGGCGCTCTGTAATGCCGTTGGATGATTCCTCTATTGGCGCAACAGTGCCTTTATCATCAGGCTTCTTTTGCGAGGCTGCCGACTTCTCGCCAGTGGTTGTTTTCTTAACAGTAGATGATGTAGTGCTTTTGGGGCTCATGTAGTATCCGGTTCGGAGCCAAAGAGCAATAGCCATGATGGTGAAATTTCCTGCAATGAGCATGGCACTAGGGAGGTACGTGCCAATACTGACGAACCGGTGCGTTTGCATGAGAAGATAGAAGAAGAAGCTTTGGTGCAGATGTTCCAATAGGTTATTCAAGCTGCGACATAGACCTTCGACAGTACGGCCTAGAGCCATCTCATCTTGCCAGCCGTCTCCCTTTGTCTGGAGGGTAATAGCATCGATGTGGTACGGCATAAAGCTGCTATGAGCACCAGTAGCGTACCCGAAACCCTGCTTGACCATTCCTCTGAGCATGGTTTCCAGCCGCTTTTCGTAGCTATCATTATGTTGCCACATCTCTTGCAGTCGGGTTCCGATTCCCATCTGGCCGCTCGCAATCGAGACTGCTGTATTAAAAAGATCCAAGTTGGGCAGCTGGCCATTGACGCCGTCGTAGACAATGTGCAGGGATTCAAATCGGTGGTCGAAAGGATACTCGATTACCAGACCACCCTGTAATGCACCGCTCTTCAGGGGCAGCGGCTGGACCGTTTCTGGCTGCATATCATGGTATGCATCGATCCACGCTTGAGTTCCTGTTTTGCTATCAGGAGGAAACACGAATATGATATCCTTGGACCATAACGACCACCCTAAAGGCAACGGCTCATTAGTAAACTTTTTGATTCCCCAAAGACCACAAGAAGCTCACGTTTAAAGTATCGCGCCAGAGTCAGTGCGAGAGTGACTCCATTAAGATTCAGCTCGCCATCCACGGTCTTCCAAGCTGCCACGAGCACAATTGCCTCCGTTGCATCTCCGCGGGGGGCGTGAATGATACCATACACGTTCTTCCCCTTGTGTGTGACACCGGCAGGTGTGTACTCGTAGCTCTGCGTCGCAACCTTCAATCCTCCAGCCCTCAAAATCGACTGTATTTTATCCGAAATCCTAGTAGTAAGAAGAGGTCCAAGCTTAGCAAAGCTCCGACAAGATGTTTAATCAGAAAGGCGCGCGCGCCCACATACTCCGGGGTGAGCTCGTCATTTCTCCCTTCTTGTCCTTCGACCCGATGCTTATCCAACAACCCTTCTATTTCCTTCTTGTACCCGCGAAAGATATGCTGTTCACTGCCGGAGAAGTATGCATGGACCTGGCCTGGTAGAAGCGCGTTTTCAGAGATGTAGGTTCGGCGGGAGTAGTCATCGAGGGGTAGGAGGAGAAGCCAGATTACTCCAGCGACAATGCAAAGAAACGATAAGATGTACGGCAAGCGCACGAACAGCAAATGAGGATTGCTCCGCAGTTTGCGGATTGCAGCTGTCATTGGTATTCGTTAGTGTTGTTGTTTGGAGCCTTGAGCTGTGTGTCCTTTGCGACAATCCGGGGTAAGAGATTCAGGTAGCGGTGGGGATTAAGAGGGCGCAAGATGGTGTGTGTGTGTGTGTGTGTGTGTGGTTCCAAAATCAAGGACCTCGATGTCTTTTGCAGGAAAAGAAACGGACTTACAATTCAATGCCATGGAACCGGAGACATTCAGCGATCCTGGTCCATGGGGTGGGAAAGTTGATGTTCGAGAGTTGATCGGGGCTCCACATGGAAATTTACGTCGACCGCTAAAGACCACCTGCACAACTTGATTACCAGCAACACTATCATCGCCATCATTTATCCAGATCCATGATATTAACTTATCTGCCGAAGCAGCTGATTATATAAGGCGCTATGGTAATAAATATGCACAAGAAATCCGAATGTCTAGAGAGATCAAATATCCTCACGGCCCGAGACGCTGTGTTGAGCCACTCAGAAAGCTCATCGGTGTTCCTCGTTCGCCCCCTGGAGCGTTAGCCGTTGGGAGGACCCCATAACGACCGTATGTCTTCTGGTCCACGGACACATAGTGTGGAAGACGTCCAAGGAGGTTCAGTTTTCCTTCAATCCACCTCAAAACCTTCTCTGGCGGGACAAACACCTTGAGGTAACCGAGGCCGACTGGGGAGGAATTAGATACCAGGACACAAGATAGGAAGACGGGGAAACACTCACGCAAATAACCAATGAGAATGGCGCAAAGATGTCCAAGGAGACTGGTATTGGGTATAAGGATAGAGACCAGGACGCACGCAAACAGGGGCGAAGTCCAAGTTGGAATCTTGTAATTTCCGAGGCTATGATCCATTAATAAGGTGTAAAACAGCAGGCAGGCAGGGTATCAAAGGTACCTGAAATATGGGTTGGATTTAAATGTTCTGATGGACTCAGAACCCAAAAGAAGGAACACCCAGACACTGGAAATGTCAGAAGAGGAGTAACTGAAACAGTACGGAGTCCTCACCTTGCACCAACCACTGCAGTATTCCTGTGCAGAATAAATTTCTCGATCAAAAGATAGATACCCGCTGGGAATGTGGAAAGAGCTAGACAAGAAAAGACATGTTAGTATGAATAATTATTCGGCTTGGCTAATTTCGTAGGCATGTAACTCGGTGGGCAGTACTTACGCCCAATGAACAAAGCAACAGCGGTCAAAGTACCATGCTCCGCTTCAAATCGCTCTAGCAATGGTGTAAGGGCTAGAAGATTCATGAAAGTGTGAAAGAACCCCGTGTGAATTAACGGATAGGTATTGAGCCGGTACACTGTCTCAAGGTCAGAATCCTGCCTTCAGCTGCGAGGCTACAGTATAGAGAACATACTGGTACCTAGTCCAATCTCGTCCGGTACTAAAGCTCCCCATTGTACAACAGCCCAAACCGTCTGCAACTCAAGCAACCAGAATATAATTATTGCGAGAAGGATCAGTCGTGTGAAGAGCGGTAGTCGAAGCAAGTAGGACCGAACCCTTGAAGGGTTGAATGGTAGCGGAGGGAGAGCAGCGGGCGTAGCCATGGTTTCCAAGGCAGTAATTGGGACAATTAACGGCTATTCGAAGGAAAAATGGGGAGGATGGTGTTGCAAGTAATTTCCTGGAGTAATCGGGTCAAAACGCGTTTGGGATTGCGAAAACCTAGCCAATACGCGGCTTCGAATGCAGCGACTATTCTTGAAATGGTAGGCCCAAGTAAGGAACACAAGGCGTAATTTCGTTAGGAATTCGTGCGAGACTAAGGGTTCAAGAAGCTCATCGAGGGGAATTCAATAATTCAGTGAATTCAAAGGATACACCAAGAAGACTGCCAGGAACCGGCCACGCGCGGAACAAAGCGAGATCGACGACTTTGGACCAAGGGGGTAGGGCGCAGAAAGCGCGAGCCGTCGAGAAACTGAAGTAAACACAAAAGCCTAGGCAGCTTCAACGGCAAGAAACAAAACGCACAGGATAATTTCTCCTCTGGCTTCGAGACACAAAAGAACACCTCGTCCTCCTTGGGTTCTTCCTGCAGCGGGCCGTTTTCAGGGTGCAGATCTCCAGGTCACGTGTAAGATAGTGCTTATCTGGATTGATGAGAATACGAGCTCTTATTTTACTTTAGACACATCTCTCTTATTATAATGGAGGGAAAATAAGGTCATGTATTTTTGGAATATATCATGCATACTCTCCATATATTGAAAAAAAAAAGGCACTAAACCCCGGACCCTAGCTAGGTAGGTTTACAAGTACTGGCAGAACCAGCTAATAGCCTGAGCGAAGGCCTGCTCCTTGGCGAACTTGAAGTGGGGGACGCTCAGGTCTGAACGAACGGCGAACCCGTGGGAGACACCGCTGTATAGGTTGATCTGCCAGGGCTGCTTTGTATCAATCAGGATTTCCTCGGACTTGTGACGGAGGGCGGTTGTGAAAATTGGGTCGATTTCTATGGGGGAAAGCGGGTTAACAATGGGGGTCTCCGCGCTAACTTTGACCAGGTGCTGATGCACGATAGGGCAGGACTAACCAGCAGCAGCAATCGACAGGGGGCCACTAATCGAAGCAAGTTCCTCCTCAGTGATGAAGGATGGGTGAGCAGTGTAGCCGGCATCAACCTTTCCAGGCTTCAGGAAACGGCAGGTGTACTATAATTGACAAGACAAGACGCATTAGGAAATCCAAAAATGACCGATGATTCCTGCGATGATATGTTGAACCTACCTTGCCGCCGAAGCAGTAGCCGACAGCACCAATGCGCTTAATACCAAGCTCCTGCCTCAGGTATTTGATGCTAGCTTCCACCACGGGGTCGACCACCGCAGACTGGTGGTTAGTAAGCCATGATGGAAGGTCGGCGTTGCCAGACTCAAATTGTTCCAGAGTGCGGCAGTCACCCCGGAAAAGATCGGGAACAACGCATAGGTACCCATTGGCAGCATAAGCATCGGCCAACAGTTGGGTGTTGGTGTAGATGCCTAGGATATCACTCAGGATCAAAATGGCCTTCTCCGGGGTCTGGTTACCCTTGGGATAGACAATGTAGGTTTCAGCTAGAACCACACGGTGGGATTAGATACTGCTAGGTACAAGCTGAATTGAAGAGGTGGGGTCTGGTCTGGGTTAAACCTACTTCCGTTGATGTTCTTGATTTCGCCGATGGGGGTACCTTCGTGCTTGAAACCGGTAGCACAGCAGGCGCCAGGAGGATTGGAGGCCATTTTGGAAGAGGGTATAACGGAGAAGAGACGAAAGGGACCGTAAAACTGGAATGAAGTAGAAGAGATGAAGAAGGTATCGGGGTATAAGGGAGGACTTAAGGGGGGACTTAAGGGGGGACTTAAGGGACTTAAGGGAAATGGAGAGGATTAGGCATTTATTTGCCGCGTCCTCTAGCGAAATATGGTGGCCATCTTATCATCATTTGCTCCCCACTCTTGCCCCTCTTCACCTTACTAACAATGCCTTTTCCCGACAGACAATTCACATTTCTGTCTACGGAGCATAACCCGACCTAGCCCACTCCCTTCAACGTAAGTGTAGCTGCCTACTTATCACTGGTGACGCATTTCTTTTGATTGATCGCAATTGTCCACGATGGAGGAGCTGCTTGATGGACCTCCAAAGTAGAAAGTCCCCGGCTTGAGCCGCCAATTTGACTACAGTGGGGGTTCTCGTCCCTCGGCATAAATGTCGGCATGACCTCAGAATCTACATATAACGCGATGACAAATGCGGGTTCCTAGTTTCTTACAGATTATTAAACATGAATCCCATAAATTCTTCATGACAGCATGAAAAGAATGACTCACGGGGCGGTAATCATTAAGTTAATTGAACTAATTTTGTTCCATCAAGTGGATGCGTACTGAATCGAGCTCCACTCCATCCGTTGCTTCGGAGTAGGTACTAAGTTATGGATGATAGCCCTAGGTACGGAGTACATGTGCTTAAAGCTCAAACTGCCTACTTTGTAGACTAAAATGATTGGGTCATGCATGTTTCACTTTATCTACCTAGGTAGTAGCTTACTATTAACTATTGTATATTCAGATCCTGTAAACCAACTTGCGCAGATTAACTCGTACACTAATGCCAATGCTGTTCAATTGCTAAAGACGACTATAAAGTATAAATTCAAGATTTGGATAGAGCATTCAATACTAGGAGAGTACCAAGTAGAAACTAGATAGATTATATATAGCATATTCATTGTATCACTAGCTATTCAGCATCTCATTTAACCATATCCATATCCATAACTCAGAGCCTCATTACTTGACATAGAAACATCATTATTAAGGGGAACAGCAAGGAAAAGGGCAAAAAAATAGGTAAACGGTCCCTGGTATATATAATGCAGCCAGGCGCATATTATCGCAGATCATACCAACTGAGGCATGTGTGCGTTATGTCACTGTCACTTGAAGCCCCATACACCAGGCTAGAAGAAATCAAACGGTTTAAGGGGTATAATACTTTCGAAACTCCATGCAATGTTTTTGGGGGGTTTTCTTCTCTTTTCTCTTGTTTTTTTTTTTCTTCTTTTCATTTGTGGAGATGTAATGGCGATGGCGCCGGTGATGTCGACGTTGACGTAGATGTTGCTATCCATGTCGATCGATTGGATAGGTTGATGTTTCCCACGATGGTTCCAAAATTGTCACTTAAAATATCGCCCCGAGATTATCGATGAAAACGCTCGTAGGATTAAGCAGGGAATCGGAAGGGAGCGAGCCGAGGAGGAGATTCGCGCTTCACCGCCCAGGCCTTGATGGAAATAGCCAAGATTTCCATCGCCATGATGAAAGCGGTGAGTCCCATACCAACAGTGAAGACGAACATCGCATCGAGATCGTAGTATTCGATCGCGTCGATAACGTTGCGGGTCTACCCAGCATCCAAATGTTAGCCCCCATCTCCTTTCCAAACTTTATTTCCTTGTTTGGTTTAAACTTACACTCAACATAAATATCAATCCACCGGCTGTCAAGCAAAACGCAGCAATAATCTCCGTCGGTGGACGAGATGGCAGATACGAGGTGGGCGGCTTAATATAGAGCAGGACATATGTCATGCCGCGGGCCAGCGCAAAGCCAACCAACATATTACCCCACTGTTTGTGGACCATGGAGGACACCATGCTAGTCTGGTGATGCGAGCCCATCATCATTCCCAGGAGGAGGATAACTAGCGCAGGCATCGGGTTCAGTGACACCCCCTGGGTGTCGGGAACGCGCCAGGCAGCGTCGGGAGCTCCGCGGGCCTCGAGGTGAGAAGGGTATCGCAGAACGCTGCTATTCAACCAGTTCTTGACGCGCTTGGATTCGAAAAGCATACCGCACAGACCACCACCAAAGAACATGATGGAGATCGATACGTGTTCGAGATCTGTGGCGGTCCACGCGCCACCCGCGCTGCCAAGGTGTTCGAGGAACATGTTGCTCGCGCCGTAAGTGAAAATCACTGCGGATTCGGTAAATTCACCGGTAGCCACCCGGGCCTTCCAGCCGACGATTTCGCGCGTCGGTTTGATATTCCAGGCCCAGCCTAGATCCGCCCAGCAGCCCATCATGCGTCCTAGTGTGAGCAATCCGTACCAGAAGAAAATGCCGCCTTTGATGAAGTGTGCCAGACCGTTGAAGACTTCTCGTTCCCGCTGGATTCGGTTAGCACCTGATTGCTAAACATTGACGAGGAAGAAGTTCTTACCATGATACCACCATATGTCACTGCGCCGGTCACGACAGCGATGAAGCCAAATGGCAGAATGATCCTGTCAATAACCAGATAGAGAAAGTTAAGGACACGGAGAACACGACCGGAGACCATTTGAGGCACGCGACTGGTAAGGAAACGGTCGAAAAAGGTACTGTGAAACCAACCGCCACGAGCCTGAGCTGGCATTTCGGGGGCCTGTTCTTCCGGCTTCTCAAAACCCTCGTATTCGTCGGGACAGGACGAGGAGCTAGCACGGCTGTGAATAGAGGAAGAGTTCCTCTCCGTGCCTTGGCCGCTATCTCGCGACCAGCGGTATTCATGACAAATACCAGTGGGGTAGCTGTGAGGGCTCTCGGCCATGTCATCCGTGGAGACAGGAAGGAATTGAGCGCGCTCATATGCAGAGGTATCGTTTTCGCCTCTGCCCGCATAGGTAAAAATCAGCGACATGATGATCTGCGCGCTGATGACCCAGGTCACGATCCACCCGATCTTATGGTGCGCGTTGTTTTGGTAAAGATCAGGAGTCTGACTGTTGTAGATGGTTCCGAGGAGCAATCCGAACGCATTAAACACCAGGAAGAAGAATTGCGACAGCAGCGCAAAGCGTGATCGCGCAACACTCAGCATAACAGCTAAGAATTATCGTTAGGGGTTTTTTTTTTTTTTTTTTTTTTTTTGCGCCCGAGCTCAGTGGAACACGGTGGGAGGGAGACCATACCTATTGGCAATGCGAAACACCAAGCCAGAACCATGAGCGCAATATGCGCCACGATTGTCCCGCGATGCTTGTCGTAGGCAAAGTAACTCATGGGCGAGTGGTCACTTGGCTCTGTTTGCGTCTGCGCTTGAGTGTTGTTCATGTTCATTCCCATGTCCATATCCATGCCCATTCCGTGTTCATCATCATGGCCATGGGCGATCGCACTCGCAAGCGAGGCTAATAGGGAAACCGCCAGGGCGGCGCGAACTGGATGTCGCCACATGTGCCCCAAGAACTTTTTTATTTAAGCTAGAAAACAGATAAGAAGAAGAAGAGGGAACCCGCTCCCTCCTGTTATAATTATGACGCTGTAGCTAGTACGAGAGCTGAACCCAGACGGATGAGGGGGGGTCACGTCAGCGTATGGAATACGCTGCTGGCGGGAGGAGTCTCCTCGATCGGGCTGAGTACGTCGTCGCACGAGGCGAGGGAGAGAGAGAGAGAGAGAGGTAGAGAGGGAAGATAAATGGGAAACTATTCAGAGGAAGAAGGTAGTATGAGAGTCTACTAGGTAGAGAGGGGGAGAGGAGAATTGGGGGGGGAAGGGGGGGAAAAAAAAAAGTAAAAGACAGGGTCATGACAGTCTTTTAATCATTCTTATTTTTCTTTTTCTTTTTCTTTTTCTTTTTTTTTTTTTGGCGTGCTGTACATACGGAGTACCTGGTGAATCAATCAATGGATTCGGAGGCAGTCGGGGATAGCATGCAGTGAGGCCGAGAGGGCCGTGGAAACAAGAAGCAGAGCTCCCAACTGCTAAGCTCCGTGAGCCGAGAGTGGAGATGTTCCCGGGATACATTTCTTTCTTTCTTTACTTAGTTAGTTACTAGTAGTAAGTTACTAAGTAGACCTGAAAGATGTCATCATGAGGTGTCAGCAGTGGTGTGTATCTTTCCGAGAGTTTGGTTACCTGACGGGAGATGGTCTGGGCCTTGGATTTCATCATCTCAATTCCTTTATTGAAGACTTGTGACATAAGTATATATCCATGAAATAGTGAATAAGAAATCCTTTTCTTATCATATGATTATTTCCTGTTCTTCTTATGGTGTGAATTATCATTTGGTGTATTTGCAGGGTAACTGACCGGCATCTCGGAGGATCCGGAAGAGAGCGACAAAAGTCCAGGTCACTCAAGGCTGACGCACCCGTGCAAAATGACCTCATCCAAGGTACTTCCTTTTTAGCGTCTTGTCATCGGGTAGTCGAAGTCACTCCAGAGTTTGCAGTAGTGGAGTCCCCGACGACTATGCAGTATGCACAGATTAATCGGCGTTTACTTTAAACCTCTTTTTTTTCTCTCTTCTTCCCTGACACTCATGGTGAAATTCGAATGAGATCATGGTTCCTCGACCCTTGCATATATAAGGTTGTGGAGACAATGTTCAGCGTTCGTGATCGCTCAAGATGAGATAAGAAACGTGGTTTTAGCTAGGTTGCTGAACAGAGGGGTGAAGATTGAGATGAAGATACATATAATACAAAATTAGTTAAATTGAGATGATTTTTAAAGAAATTTCCTCCTTGGGTTAACTCCCGGCACAACCCAACCGAGAGAGGACTACTGGGCACCCCTCTTCTGCATGAAGTTGAGGTCACCGACATTCTTTCGCCCTCCCCAAGAGCGTACAACTTGGGCGGCGGAGAAGATATTACTCCCGGGAAGGGCGGACAAACGAGGTAGAAACTACTAGAGAGAGAAATATCAAACCTGGTCAGACCATACTCGTACCACACCTTTGATATACCCCAGCCCAATGATACTTGTGAGAGAAAGTCGTACTGTGTACTCTCTATGTACCTGCAAGCTGACTTGTTCTGTCCAAGAAAACCAAAGTTCCACAACTGCTAACTATTGAGAGCACAAGACTCCTCTATCCCGAGTACGATTAATGCATGTTGAACTAGCCAGCCCTGTCCCTTCGCATAAGCTAACTACATACATACTAAGATAGCACCTCGGATTATTCCTGCTTTACGGAGGATGATCCGTCTGTGCTTGGCGGCCAAGGAATCATACATCCGCGCTCTTCCGTTGGACTATGAAGATATCCACACGCACTACCGGCTTTTCATCCACAGCCAACCCCGACCACTCAATGAATCATTGCACACTCTCCTTTCTATATAATATAATATAATATAGGTAATATTATATTTTTTTTTTGCTTCCCGTCCCGCGTGAGGTGGTATGACTCATTGGCGCTTATGGGAATATCCCTCATTGATAATTAAGTCTTCTGTCTACTAACTAAGTAGTTATACATCTTTCTACCTGCACAAACAAAAGAAACAAGAGGGAAAGAAGAAACCCATACAATATGGATCTTCCCCGCAACTGATAATTCAATCCTGTAGCTATTTACTCCATCTCATCCGAAGTCCTAACTCCAAGTACTTAGAGTACTTGGATAGTGATCCTGGGGTATCCAGCTGAGCGCAACAACAATCCTACGTGTTTTCCTCACTGCATCTCCACGCTCAACCAACTAACTACCGTAGAGCCAAAGTAGATTACTCCGGTAGATACCTGACCCGTTAGAATAGAATAGAACAGAGTCTAAAAACCTTCTTCTTCATAATAAAGAGTGAGAAAAAAGAGGTAGATAGTGGACCCAGCGGCCGACATATCCGCCCAATAAATGCTAGTTAGTTCTTTTCTCACTCGGAGACTTTCAACGTTTTCAGGCTTTTTTCAACCTCTGTAGTTTTAGTTAGTATCTCTGAATCATTTCAGCTAAAAAAATTATTATTAATCATGATCTCTGGTGTCCAGCCACTTAATATCAACGTCGACCACTACATTACTACCTAGTTTTAGTTAACTACATAGTTAGTTAACTAGTTAGTTATCTCCCTACCCTTAATAAGCAAGTCTCAACATTCAACTTGGAATGGACTTGGACAGCTCCACCACCTTCCAGTATACCCGAAATCGAAGCCAACCGCCCAAACCCTCACAGTATAGAATTACCCTATAGGTAAAAGGATGTTCGGAAATCCGGCACCACGTACAGAGTATTATTTTGCTTCTTACCTATTACCTATACCTATTATCCCTCGATCTCATCCATTATACCCTTCTTTGTTTCGAAACTAGCAGATCACCAGTTGGTTCTTTTAAGAACTGAGACCATATGGAACTTCAATGGCTACTTGTAGGTCCCGGACTGAACATGTTTTACTAGGTAGACTTACCTTTTCCTAATAAACTAGGCTTTTCTATTTGAATTCTAACCTCGCTTAGTTGTAGAGCTACCTAGCTAACTATGTACTCCTAACCCTGGGGCCTGGAGAAGTGCAGTCTATACTCCGTGTAGCGAGCGAACGAGTAATGTTTCCCTAGTCTATTCTGTCTGTCTATTCTCTGGTCTCCGCGTTCATGCTTATCCGTAAATCCGAAGTCGCGGAATTGGCGTTTTAACTACTAGTACGGAGGACTCCGTAGATAAAGTTCTAACCCTCGGGATGTGGGTCTGTCCATAAGCCCGAACTAAGGATTTGGTGGCCGTAAAGTAAGTGTCTAGTAAGGCTTACCAATATGCTGATAATAACTAACCTAGTTAACTAGCGAAGTGAGAGAAACCAGTCTCAGCGGGATTCGAAAAGCATATTCATAGCGACCGCGCAGCAATAGGAGGAGGAGGAGGAGGAAGAAGAAGAAGAAGAAGGAGGAGAAGAAGAACATCCCTGCCCTTTCCACGCATTAATAAGGTATACATAACGTATATCTAAACGCTACATAAGAATATATACCTTGCAGGGGACAACGCTTGACCGACTATTTGAAGAGCAGAGCTATCCAACATGGCCTCCACATTTTCTCACTCCTTAAGAAAACTTGCGGGGAACAGCATAATACCTACATCAATTAACCGGTCCTCTGCTGCAGGCATCAGCGGTACGAAATCTCCATTCCTGTGCCGGCTGAACCATCACACATCTTCATCTGCAGCCATGTGTCAAACAGACAGCTTTATCGACCTTGCGCGAAACCGTCGCACTATCTACAAACTCGGCAGTAACAGCCCGGTCCCCGATGCCAAGATCAAGGAGCTCCTGCACGCTGCCATCGAGCACGTCCCCAGCGCCTTCAATACCCAGTCAACGCGGCTCGTGTCCCTGCTTCACGACGACCACCGGAAGTTCTGGGATATTGTGATCGAGACCTTTGCCGGGCTGGTGAAGTCTGGGAGAATCCCCGAAGAGCTGTTCCAGAAGCAGACCCGTCCGAAGTTGGAGGGTATGAAGGCTGGGGTTGGAACGGTGCGTTGCAGCCTCTTTCTTCCCCTCAACCCACGAGCGTTGCACTAATATTTATTTGCCCTCAGATTCTCTTCTACGAGGACCCTTCGCACATAGCTCCATTCTCAGAGAAATTCCGTACCTACAAAGATCATTTCCAACCCTGGGCAGAGCACTCGAACGCGATGCACCAGTATTTCCGTAAGCTCTCTTTGATTCTCCGTTCCTCCGAGTGACACCAACTAATTATTCTGAAGTCTGGGCGGGACTGGAATCCTTAGGCTTTGGTGCCAACCTCCAACATTATAACCCCCTCATCGATGCTCCTGTTGCCAAGGAGTGGGACGTTCCATCTGACTGGCGTTTGATCGCACAGCTTGTGTTTGGATCACGCGAGGGGGAGGCAGGAGAGAAGGCCCAGAAGCCCATTGAAGATCGCCTTAAAATTTATGGCAGTGCTTGAGATGTATGGCCGTAGGATTGGGACACTTAATTATACGGGAGAGCGTTATCGATTCTTTGTGCTATAGAACTGCCTGTGTAAATGGGGGGTTGCTAGAGCCTTAACAAACCTGCTTAGACACGATATAAATGCAATTATGGTTCCTGGTCCAGCGCTGTGTGTCATGGATAATACGGCCGGCATAAACTTCACTTACTGGAAGCCAACCTCTTGAAAAAAAAATCCTGGAGAACCTGGAGAAAAAGTGGTATGAACTCAGCAAAACCTGGGTAGGCTCATGTGGAGCTTGTAAGTAGAAAACGGGCCACACGACAGAGCACTTTAGACTGAGGACCCGAATCAACCAAGGCTGGAAAAACGACGAAAGGAACCAGCCGGAGTAAAGATGAGGCGGCGGAGGAAAGCACGATTACCCCAGCTTCTATCAGTTTAAAGCATGATGGGACTAAGTGGACTGGACAATAAGCTAAGGAATGAATATAGACGCTTAGCCTAGCTATTCACGTTCAAAAGGATGGTCAAAACGATGCTTGTTTAGTTTTGCATTTTCAAAGAGGAAAAAAAAAAGGAATAATCCCAGGTCTAGGACTCGAACCTAGAGCTACGGATTCCGTCGTGGGCCCCCAGGAACCGTTATGTTCCCATTACACCAACCTGGGCAATCACAGAAAACCAATCTTCGGGTTATAACACCCGCCCAAGCCCCAGGATTCCCTTCTCAATCGATCGCCGTGTTTACCTGTTACACTAGCCGGAGCGAAGTTTGGTAAATAGGCCATTGGGTTGACTGGAATTTCTATCAGCTTGTGAAGGAAAGGACGCCAAAAAAAAAGGAAGTATTCGGGTCTGGGATTTGAACCCAGAGAAGCAAGCACCCTTCAAAGGGGAATGCATGTTACCCATTACACTAACCCAACCGATTACATCATACCTGGCAGGTAAATTGACTGTAATGACCACACCGGATGAAGTCAGACGCGGGGGGGAGAAAAAAAAATAAATGATCCCAGGCCTGGGATTTGAACCCAGAGCTGCGCCGCTCCCACCCATCCCATCGCCGTGTTAACCATTACACCAACCTGGGCAGAGGTAATATCTTCTAATTCGGTTTATAATGGCAGCCACGGCAACGCGTTTTGTAGTTAAACCCCATTATTCCGAGCGTTCTCACTCTTCATTGGAGTAAAAAGGCCATCCTCTGAGTAGCTGCACTTCACGGCAAGAAGAAGAGAAAAAAACTTCGAGTAATTTTCGAGAGCTCGCTGCATCACCTGTAAATTGCACACTGAGGGGAAGTAAGCCATCACGGCAGCGATCACGATGGCGGTGTAGACGTCCGTCCCACAGCTGTTTCCTGGCTTTGCAATAATGATGAAGTCATTGTTTTTTCATCACCAGGCACACGGGCCGGAGAAAGAAATCCCCCGGATAAACATCGAATTAATCGTTAACTCATCAGTTACTCCGTACTTCAGCGAGATGGGGGCTTTGATGACTTGCTTTAAAGCATACGGATTGATGGTTTCGGGGGTGATAAAAGCTATATTTATATTCGAGAGGTCAAAAGTGGGTCTCTAATGCACAGCCTTTGTCCCAAAGAGGATTAGTGTTCACAGGGCTTGACCCTGAAGAATACCTTAGTTTAATGGCATGGCATACATTGGATACAACCAGGGGCCATTTACTGGGGGACACTTGGTGCAGAATTAGAAGATGGAGTCTTCTGCAGGACAATCCTCGGTTCCCTATCAAGAACGCTGCATTAACGGAGTAAATTTTCAGTATTCCGGTATGTATTCCGACACAACTAAAACGGAAAGGTCATAAATATTCCCGAGGCGCAAGTCTCTGCCAAATACATAAGAAAACATGCCTGGGGCATTTCTCCGCAGTTATTAAGTGGGCATGGATTGAGCACCTAATTAACTACATCCCGGAAACCAAAATACAAATACTAAAAAAGGTTACAGGGATCACGCTTTGCTAGAGGGATAGCGGGAAAATTAATAGAGACTCATATTTGAACTTCATGGCAAACATTTCATGACCCATGCAAGAGCGTTGGATTCTTCGCACTAGAGAACTCAATCTATCCAGCCTGAGGTGTCGTTATACATTTCTTCCAGCAAACACTTCCTAACAAGCGACATTAACCTGCTTAAACTTTCTATATACAATTTCAAGATGACTTTCTGCTTCAGAATCATTCCTTCCTTGTTAAACTATCAGACCATATGTAGTGTTATGTTTATACAGGCGAGTTAAGCGGGCCCATTGACTACTAGTAGGCTTGACGCAGATTCTACTACAGTTAAGGCTACTGCACTTGTATCGTATATACCTGATAGTGGCCCCATGTTGCACTTGTAATGTTTAATAATATGCAACTACCCAGGGTATGGATGGACAGAAGAAAATGAGATGCCTGTTCCGGCTTGGACCTGGCTCTAGATCAGGTCTCTACCAACTCCCTACCTCGAGGATGTTTTCTCAGAGCCAAAGTTTATTGATATGCTCGACTCGATTCATCCATTAATTTCTTTATCGTGCAGGATCAGACCTTCGGGATTAGAGATTCCAGCTGAGCACGGTGCTTTCGCAAGCACTCTTATAACACCAATATTGGCGGCTGCAACCGGGGAAAGCTGAATACTTTCTTGTGGTTGAAGATCCGGATGCACCACTGTTGTCCATGGTATAAAGTACACCGTTTCACACTCAATGACCAAAATGTCGCATGATGACTTGAAGAGGCTGGGTGGTGGACTGTTGGTAGAAGCTATCACCTCCGCCTAACGATTGCAGGAACTGTAGATGTGCAATTTAGATCATGAATTAGTAGACCTTATGAGAATACAGTCCACGATGATATGATTAGTGCTGTTTGCTGTCGGTCTATCCACTTGCACATATCAACAAAGAGCCACAATGGAACAAACAATTTATGCGCACAGACTCGGCGTATGTATGGAGTAAAAACCCCGGGGAAACAAACTAACCCTAAAAGGGCCACGAAGGTCACATGATGGGTACCTTGATTCGTGACCACCCCAAAGAGGATTAGTGTCCATCAAGCGAGATGGTCTAAGCGCCCGCTCGGAACAGTCAGCAAAGAAGCACACAACGCAATTTCAACCCTAACCTTTTTGTTTCGACAATCCCTTCAACGCCCAGCGACGACAAACCCGCCTGTCAACCACCGTCTCACCACCCCTCAGGTTCTTCCTCGCCTCATATTCAAGATGACTCACGAATCTGTGTGGTACAGCCGGCCCCGCAAGTAAGGAATCCCTCGAAGAAAACGAATAATGAAGCGAAGTGCTGTTTGGAGGTATAAATGCTAACGGAGACCTTTTTTCTTTTGATGAATAGGTTCGGCAAGGGCTCCCGTCAGTGGTGCGTAAATAGATGAAATCCCTCGTCCCTCTCTCTGCGTCTCTCGACTTCCAAGACGAAAAGAAGGAACCCAAAAATGCGATTGGAATTGGGATGTTTTATTGACTGAATTTCGATGTGAAAACAGCCGTGTCTGCTCCCACCGCGCCGGTCTTATCCGCAAGTACGGGGTATGGAATATCAATCTCCTTGGGAATTTTATGAATGTTTTGTGTGTGCGTGCGTGTGCGTTTTGGGCCGTATAACTGATCGAGAATCTCTTTTGCGATTTAGATGAACATCTGCCGTCAGTGCTTCCGTGAGAAGTCCTCCGACATTGGCTTCCACAAGGTTGGTTTACACCGCTGGATCTTTCCTTTTCCCCACCCATACATACACACACAATCGAACGAAACGACAAGCGGCTTGATATTCGACCTCAGAACGAAACCAAGGAAGAGGAGGGAGGGGGAATACAAATCACAAGAACCTACTAAGGACAATCTCGCTAACGAACTTTCTCCACCTCCAGTACCGATAAATTAATTTCCCCGATTTATTCCTGTTCATGACGAATTCGTTACGTGCTCGGCGCTCGGTAGCAGCCCAGGAGGAAATGATTCACTGAGAAAGGAAAAAATCCGAATGTATTTGGGATTGAATGGTTTTCGTTCCGCGGGGGGGCGCAGGGTACAGAGGCCTTCTCTTATAATGGGGTTCTGTTGTTAAGAGCATGGTCAAAAAAAAAAGGAAAACAAAATTTGAGGAAAGTTATGCGTGGACGTCGTCGTCGTCGTCGGTGTTGACAATTTCTTTTAAGGGTGTCATGTCCAACCTTTATTTTTCTTCAAATGTCATATTCGGTTTTGAAATGAGGAATTCTTGATAGACCGGTCTTCTGTTTGTCTCTGGCAGTACAGTACTCCTTGTCCTGTTTCTCTGAGATGTACTTTTGCTGGGCATTCGGAGAGTAGAGTACCTTGTAGAATCGTATGGAGTGTTTCGATGCATTGGCTGGATTTCAGTGGGCTGTGGACCTGCCAATGTACGGTTTTAACTATCAACCCCACGACTCAACAAAGAGAGACCTCCGGAGTCATCGAGATTGTAGCCAATATGAAGAAATCGAGTCCAAAATAAATGCAATCATATTGACATGAAAAGCTCTAAGCCCGACTAATAAAAACCACCATCTAACAAAGGAAATAATCTCAACGTGGAGTTGCAGTTCTCTGCCTCGCCTGTTTGGATGGATGCTACCCAGCTACCCAATTCAACCAGAGCTCCAGATAGGTATGCAAGCCAAAGAATGAACCTTATCCAACTCCTTACCGTAGACTCCAGGTCGCTGAACCGAACATGCGATGACGAACAAGCCACCATTTAAAACAATAGAAATAAGAACCTGTAGTGCGGGCTAGAAGTCGTTATGGTGGTGCGGTAGATAGTGATCGAAGATTATAGAACAAGAGGTAAGCGTCAACTCCGAGGACATCTGCTTCGGATACAGCGGTGACCTGGTCATCGTTAAAGAGCATCCACTGTTGGGAGTTAGTACAGTAATCTAAGATATTGAACTGCTACATGTGAGTTGGTAGGGGGTACGGAGATGACGAACCTGGTCACCCTGGCGACAATAGACGTAGTAATGGCCTGCCTCGAGCTTTCCTTTGTGGACCACTGCTGACGATAGGTCATAGATGTAGCGGGATTTGTCAACGCGAGAGTTCGGGTTGGTTGTATATGGAAGCATATTAATCGACAATGGAAAGTCAATTCGGCCTTCTACCTTCTCTGAGACGGAAAACGTATGCTCAAAACGCTATGGGTGGTGTTAGTTAGGCTCCCACAGAAGAGAGAAGTGTCGGCATCTTACTTTGAGCTGCATGCAGAGAATTGCGGGTAATTTTTTGATACGCAGCTGCTTTGTTGCCTTTTGCGGCGTTCCACCACATCCGCTACAGTTGTACACACCTGCCATGAGCTTTTCGGGAGAGGTGAAGCTTTCTAAGCAACCATTCAAAGTTGGGGTTGTTGGAGGGCCAACAGCGCCGCCCATGGCTCGCTTCTTCGCCTGAACCTGAACGTCCAAGCTTAGATCTACCATAGGGTCTTCGGTTCGTGTGATATTGCCGCATTTATCACAGGTTACACTGCTTCGAAGTTTGCCGTAGAACGTTCTGTGGAAGAAACAGCTGCATCCTTTTCCATGACCCTCCCGGTGTCCATCGGTGCTGGCGTGTAACTTGTCGACCAGAAACTGGTAATATTCATGAGCATCTTGTTGTTGATACCCAGCCAAAGCCTGAAAATTGAGTAAGTAATGGTTACGGCAGGGGTCAATGGTGCACCTACCGGACTCGCACGCCATGAGGCCAAGAGAAGGTTGAGTGCCGCAAACCCTTCCGCCTTGTCGCAACTATTGAAATCGGCAAATGCCTCTGAAACAGCGCATCCCACGCAATCGGGCACCGTGCAATCATGGGGTTGATGACCATTCCCAAGGAAATAAGTATTGAGAATCGGGTCATGCAAAAGCGTCTGTAGTATGACGTTCAAATAGCAGGTCTGTCCAAGATTGAACAGGCCTCTGACTCCTTGCTTTGCACAGGGGCGCTTGGTTGCATTGCTCCTCACATAAAGTTCATCAGCTGAACTATCACTGAACCGGCGTTTCTTTGAAACTGCAATCGGTCAGCTTTAAATCACAATGGCGGCTTGAAGGGTCTCACACGAACCCTGTAGTGTAACTTCTGGAGTCGACGATCGGAAGCGTTCAAGTCCGTGGTCGTAAACGAAGTCCTCACAAGATTGACAAAATAGGGCGCGGCTCCTGGACTCCATATCTAACCAGAAGAAGCGGTCTATTAGCCAGCTATCGTAAGCATTGAATCCTCAAGCACTTACAGAATTGATGTCCAGTTTTATCCGCATGGGCTTTACGGTCGCCATTCATAAACACCTCGGAACAGGCCACACATGTATATTTGGGTTTTAGAAACCTGGAGGATATGATTTTCGTCGACGAGCCATCGAGGTTGGTGCGCCCCAAGGCGTTATTGGCATTTAGGAAGGATTTCTTGAACTGGTCGCTGGCGGGTCCGTCATTTGTAAGCTTGGAGGCAAGATGCTCTTCAAGGTGGATTAGCCCCCCGTATATCCAAGGTAACAACTTATATTATTATGCATTCATACCGCATCCAAACTCCGCCTCCGACAGGAGGGACACCGAAGCTACGCTTGCCATTTTGAAAGTGTAGGAAGAAGTTATGCAAGCCAAAAGCAGTCCGCAACGGTCAAGGTTTGTAGTTCGATCGCGCGATGGAGAATCAGAGGTAGGCGATAGCCGGGGTAAGAACACTGAGGTCACGAAAGCGTAGAGGGTCGATTGTCCAGTTCACCTTTCGGATACAGACAAAGAAGCCATGGATTGAAACACCGTCTCGGGAGCGCTGCACTTGTCAAATCTGCATGTCGTATTGTGGAGTCCAGCTCACAATCATCAATAAAAGTCTTCAATGGGGGTGTGTTTCAAGATAATGGCGCTTGTGAATTGTTGACTTGATCGTGGTGAATGGACGGCTCTCCGCGGTCAGTTGGTGTTCCGTTGTCGGGATCGGGACCGAGCACTGCTTAAACCCATACGTCAGGACAACGGGGTTCAGCCTTCGAGAAACGACAATTTACTTACCAAAAAGCGAGGAATCTTTGTTGTCTCCGCGTGGACACCCCCAAGGCTGATTCTCAATATCAAAAAGAACTAGTAAATATTCGAGTTCGAGAGGTGGAAGTGCTCATAACCGCCTGACAGATCTTTTTTTTTTCGCCAGGGTTCGCTCCGCGCGATAAGAAACCGGACCTGCATTTGATCCGATGGCTAAAAGGGAAACTATATTGAGTATCCATGTGCCTTTGGCTGTATCTCTCTTGTTTTGATTTATTTATATTTATTTATATTTGTTTTTGTAAAAGTGTTGGTTATTGAAAATTGACTGTAGGTTTGTTGTTAACAATTAAATAACCATGCTTGCTTCACGACTATTCAGATGGAGATTATTCTCCGACCCAACAGAAAGTCTTCACCAACTATCAGTCTAGATATCAAATATCATGACCTGGAAAGCAATCTTGTGGGTTACAATCCCCAGCTAACTCCCGCCCTTGGGTATTCCTGCCCAAGATATCGTTGTGCTAAAAATGTGCAACTATCCTCTAACCGTAAAACTTCCCAAGAGGTTTGATGGCTGCTGGCTGTGGAGCAATGGTGCTCTCTTGTGAGTGCGTGTAACTGCATGCGCACCCTGAGATATAGCTTCCCGAGTATCAAAGGTGTTTCGCCGTGCATAGCGAGTCATCATCGTGTCCCCCTTCCTCGTGGCAAGGCGCTTGGACGACCTCGACTAGCTCCTCTCGTTGCATAGCGACCAGTGGTTGATCCGCGCCTACTCAATCCTCGACCAGTGCCACGACCTTGCGTAGAAGACTTGGAAGTAGGCTTAGAAGAGACCGTACTTGGGGGGTTCTCAACGAAAGTGGTATCCGTAGTCCTGGATCGGGAGTGTCAGACGGAGGATACAATAACACCCAGGCCTAATAGAGGACTTTTTTGAAGAGTTTTTACTTACATAAAGGTCATGTCCCCATCGTGGGTGGGTTTTGTTGATTCCGCTTCAGCCTCTAGCCATGCTGTTAGCCCAATGATATGTTCTAGATACGCAGGAGACAGTACCTTTCTCTGCTTCAGCTTGCTTCGCCCTCCGAAACGAGTCGGGAATCGGGGCCTAAAATAGCCAGTTAGCACGGGCGACATATTCTTAGAAAAGGCAACTGAAATGGTACCTCGGGGAAATCCACGCAGAACGCGTTCATATTCAATCCATAGAGAAAACTTGCAAAGCTCTCGCTAAAACGCGTCAAACTCTCGTGCATGAGCTGCAGGTGCATAAAATTGGCTTCCAGATCCGCCATGGAATCGGCAAGCTCTGCAAATTGGGGCTCGAGGGCATGAATGGCCGGTTGGGTATAGCCAGTACTCCCAATACTTGCGCCATACCCATGGGCCTCACGGATCGATGATCGCGAGCTCGGTCTCAAGGGAGTGGTGGGCCTGGACGATGGCGGTGGTCGCGACGACGACCGGGGAACAGAAGCAACATCCATCCTCGACATGCAAGAGTTGGAGCAAGGATTCCGAGGTTGTTTAGAAACAGAAGACTTCTTCTCCCGCCATTTGGGTCTTCCTCCCAAGCCCTCTTGTTTATGTCTTGGGCGACGGTGAAGTTCGCAAAAGAGTTAAGCGTGCCGATTTGGGTTTAGCGCTTCCCTGCGCTTTACTATCGCCGTGCGTGTTTCTATAGTTATAGCAACTTCGATACCTAATAAAACGAGCTACTAATTACGAACAGCAGGCTCCGACGGAGAAAAGCATGGCGAGCCACAGGCTCTCCAAAGCGGGGTCGCTTTCGATCGTTGTCTTTTTTTGGGATTCTCGAATGCGTCTGCATACAGAGCAGTTCTTTGGCAGCTCAAATAAACCCCCACTCCGCAACTTTTAAGTAGCTTAGACATTTTCCCTCTCACCCAGGGCTCTATTCGTATTCTCTGATCTCCGTGCTAAGCCTAGGTAGAGGGGATTGCAGGGAACCTCGTCGCAGAAGAGAATTTACAGTATTTGGTGATTTGTTGCCACAATATACACCCAGATTTGCGGGCGAATTTATTAGATCAAATAAGAGGCTGGACGAACATTTCTGCTTCATCCTCAACTACCATTTCCATCGTGAATTTATCATAGTGCTTAATTCTTCTGCTAGGGGTTCTGAAATGATGGTCAAACATGGAGATTGTGCTCGCCAACGGGACTATTATACAGGTCCAAGCTATCTCTCATCCTGATCTTTTAGGCACTATAAGGCAGTTCAAGCAACTATAGTATCGTAATACAATTTAATGCGAAAACATTCCCGCAATAAGCTAGAGAGGTTTGTCAAAGAAAGCAATACAGCAAACAATACTCTACTTGAGCTAAATGATCATCTTGAGGGACGCTGCTAACACACTCAAGCCTGCATTACTGACCGCAACGACCTGGGTATCTGGACCAGGAATTCGAATTGTACCTCTTCCCTCTCTAGACTGAGAGATTGCCCCTCTGATCACATCCGTGTCCTAGCTAGCAGGAACTCGCGCTCGCGCATTTGATAATATGTGCCCTGTCTAATAAGTGATGATGACTGTCCACTCATTACTGCTTGGCTCCCAAACATTCAATCGCTGAAAGTCGGGGTTCTGAAAGACCATAAGCGCCCCTTGAGCCCCTGTAGCGCCTGCTCAAGGGATGGCGTGGTATATATCCCCTCGCTCTTATCACGTGACCGCTGCATAGGAGGTTAGCGGCAGAATTTGGAAGGCAGACCGGAGCTCGGCGAGATCAATGGCATGTTGGGTCGAAACGTCTCAAAGGGCGCATCGAGACAGGCCAGGCCTGGTGAATCGAGATATTCTGCGAGAAATGCGGCGGCAATTGGCAACGGAATTGCCTTCTGTCCTTGGAAGACAGGGTCTTCCCGGAATTGCTTTTAGTGCAAAACCCCGTATAGTTTCAGATGGTCGTCGTCAGATTTGATGACTGAATAGACTTCAATTTAGAGGTCAAACTATGGAAAGAAGATGCTTGAAGGAAGCATGAAGGTCTGGAGCAAAATGATGGCCTAAATACTCTGTGTCGCTAAGCCTTTGCTTTGTGGTGATGGTGACAGTGACTGAATCCAGCATCCCAACAGTTTCTTCCTAGGAAAAAAAAAAAATACAAAGAAATGTTAGAGAGAGGGTCTAGTAAGAAGAGCGGAAGTACGGAGTAGTAGAGGTTAAAAGCTGTAATACTAAAATAATACCTATAGTTACTACTATTAGTATAGACTAATCCCAGTTAATTAAATCTCTTAAGGTACCTAAAATCTTATCAAAGTTATCCCCTCGTCCGCCCCGGAGGCACAAGTAGCGTGATATTTTGAGCGGATACAATCCACGATTCTCCCTCCAAAGGCCACGCACAATCGTGGTCATCTCGATTAGCACATGCATGCTTATTCCCTTTTCCATCGCCGTCTCTACTATTCCTCGGCCAAACCGATCCAATCTGCGTCTTGTCTGCTGCATCCCTCGAGAAGTGTACAGATCTTCCCCCCATCATTGCGTCTAGGTCTCAGCCCTTCGACGTTCTCTTACTCGCCTAAACGGACAATCTCTACCTCCTCATCGTCTTCGTTTCAGGATCCGAGGAAGGCTTCAACTTTCTGGGCGATCACATTCACTGCTTTTGTCGTTGGTGGAGGAGCCTGGTTAGTGGATAAATACCGTCACGCCCTTGGAAACGAACCCCTTCCGCAGACGACCGACCACGTCCACAACCCTCCACAGCAAGAAGAAGAAGATCTCTTTCTTGGTGTAATTGATACCCTAAAAACCATGTCTACCGAAGCAGCACCCGGAACCGTGCGTAACCTCACCCCAGAACAGGAACTCAAGCTCCAGGAGTTTTGGATTCTGCTGTTCAAGGTGTGCGGTGTGCACATGGAAGGCGTTCAGCAGGAGACCGACAACGCCCCCCCAAGCCCCGTCGAGAAGAAACAACCCAAACGGAGATTTGGTATCTTTAGCAGATCCCAAGAAGAGGATGATTCCGCCAGCCTCAAGTCGGCAAATGGAGTTGCCGCAGGCGTTGCATCTCTCGTAATCACGGATGGAGATGACAAGTTCGGACAGTCGAAGGAGTTCCAAAAGGCTCTTGTGGAGATGAAACCGGAGGAGATCCGGACCACATTCTGGAACATGGTGAAGCAGGATAACCCAGACGGCTTGCTTTTGCGTTTCTTACGGGCACGCAAGTGGGACGTGAAGAAGGCACTGATCATGTTGATCTCAACAATCCGGTGGAGGTTGCTCGAAGCCAAGGTGGATGATGATATCATGCAGCATGGCGAACATCTTGCTCTGGAGCAGATCGCGGGCTCCAACGCTGCCGAGAAGAAACAGGCGGAAGAGTTTATGAAGCAGTTCCGCTTGGGCAAAAGTTTCCTCCATGGTGTCGACAAGCTTGGCCGACCAATCTGTATCATCCGGGTTCGTCTGCACAAACCCGGTGACCAGGGCACCGAAAGTTTGGATAGGTATACCGTTTTCACGATTGAATCGGCCCGGATGATGCTGGCACCTCCGGTCGAAACAGCTGTAAGTCTCGAATGACCCAAGGGGTTTAAGACAGTTCTACCTAACAGATTAATAGTGCATTATCTTCGATATGACCAACTTTGCCCTTGCGAACATGGTATGCATCCCTACTTTACGCTTACGATGAACGTTTGCTAAGCAAATTCCAGGACTATCATCCCGTAAAGTTCATGATCAAGTGCTTTGAAGCCAACTACCCCGAGTCCCTCGGAGTGATCCTCATCCACAAAGCTCCCTGGATCTTCTCCAGTTCGTCCCTCCTCCTCCTCCTCCTCCTCACCCTTTTCTCGTCACATGTAAGTTAACCAACACACAGGCATTTGGAACATCATCAAAGGCTGGCTTGACCCCGTTGTCGCCCAGAAGATTCACTTCACAAAGAGTGTCGAGGACCTCGAGCAATTTATCCCCAAGGAGCGCATTATTAAAGAGCTTGAAGGTGGCGAAGACTGGGAGTACGAATACGTCGAAGTCCAGGAGGGTGAAAACACCCATATCAAAGACACCGCAAAACGCGCAGAGCTGCTGGCCCAGCGACAGCAGCTTGCTAAAGAGATCCAGGACTTGACCATTACCTGGATTGCATCTAATAAGAAAAAGGAGGAAGAGAAGGCCAAGGAAGCCGCAGAAAAGAGAAATAGCCTAATCGAGCGTCTCCGCGTTCAGTACTGGGAGATGGACCCGTACATCCGATGCACTACTTTGTACGACAGACTGAATATTATCCAGGGCGGTGGAAAGCTTGACTTCTACCCATCTGCTCGCAAGGAAAGCAACGGCGCCGCCGAGAAAGCGAAGGAAGAGCCCAAGGAGAGCGGATCCGAGACGAACGGCGAGACAGCCGTGGCTGCGTAAACGTTCTTATATAAACCCCCCTTTCCCTTCCTTTTCTTTCTGGCCATTTCTCCTCTTTTTTTTTTAGATTGACATTAATAGAGCTATCTTCTTGATGTCTCTCAAAGTTCCTTCATGTTACTTCTTGTCTGTATATATATATATATCGCTTGTTCTCATCTCATTAGGTTAGCATTGGATACGGAAATTTGGGACAGGATTTATCATCAATCCTTTTTGTCTACACCTACTCGACGTAACTATACCCTACAGGTTGTCTACCTAGTTAACAAGGACCACGGGGATTACGCATCCACCTGAAACCCCGCAAGATTGCCAACATACTATATTTTACGATGAGAGTCCAGTTAGTAGTTTACAACCCCTTCAGGAATACGATACAGTCTCCCTCTGAATTCAAGATCGATAGACATAAAAAAATAAACAAGTTACATCTTCGCCTTGACCTCTTCATAAAGAGCCTTCAGTTTATCCATATCCGTCGCCTGGGTAGGCCATCCAACACCAAGACCCTCCGCCTCGTTGGGTTTGGGGATCTACTCGAAGTTAGTATGTACATTTCTCTATCTACTTACTTTAGATGTGAACGGTAATATACCATATGGAAATGGACCTATTAAGTTGATATGAATGAAGCTTAGCATTTGAGGGGAAACAGCACAAGAAAGGTCAAACGGAACATACATGGTCGACGACCTGGTGGGCTATACGGCCGTTGTTCTGCAGGATATTGAAATCGACAGCACCGGTTGCTTCGGCGAGTTTCTTAGCGACGGGCTGTTTCGGTTTTTTTTTTTTTTTTTTTTTTTTCAAATGAATTAGCTCGCTTGGTCCATCTGGTCTGGAAGACGAATAGAAGGGCACTGGACAAAAGGGGGGGGGGGGGGGGGGGGAATTCCCCAAGGTCCTCGGGGATTATTGGCTATCTTGGTATATTATAAAAGACGAGGCACGGCTGTATGCGTTGCTCTGGGTCTATTTCCATCGCTGATTCTTCTTCTTATTCAGGTAGGCACGTACCAGGATTTCGGTGAGATGCTCGTCAGGGATATCGGTGAGCTTTGCGCCGTGGAATTTGGGGATCACGAGCTAGAGCATTACATAGATAAGTAGGTCTGATTAGCATTTGTTTTTTTTTTTCTCTTCTTCTACTTTTGGATAAGACAGTGAGGAACTCGAACTCTCAACTGAGGCTCCCATATGGGGTGGTGGGAATATAGTCCATCAAGTACTCACCGCGTGTCCACGACTCAGAGGTTGGATATCAAGGAAGGCGAACACTTTGTCGCTCTCAAAGAGCTTGAAGGAAGGGATTTCTCCTGTCTCATGAAAATGCAGAGTTGTTAGCGCACTGCACTAGGTCGAGGTCGAGGCCGAGGCCTTCCATGCGGATTTTCCAGAGTTGGGGTAGAGTATTGCACTGGATGCAGCGCAGGAACGAGTAAAGCGTACCCTTGATGATCTTGCAGAAGATACAAGCAGGAGAGGACGCCATTTTTCAAGTGATGAGGCGAATGTATAGACTCTGGGTGGAAAGATGTGAGGTGGAGCGAGTATCAACGTCAAGACGCTGTCGATGCGGGGGTTTGGCGCGTGTCGATTCGGAAACGCGAGGCGGCGGGACCAGTTGGACGGACGATGGCATCAACGAGCGGAATCGAACAGCCATCAGTTAATTAGCATTGTTATATAGTTTATATGGGGTTTACTCCAGGCAGTTCGGCTCTATTTGCATCTAGTAGAGAGGACCTAGCTTCCCTCTAGCTAGATAGCTTATTTGATCCTTTTTTTCAAGAGCTCCAACTCTCTTCTATGTCATACCCCGTTGCTCTATACCAACTCACCAGGGAAGATGCCGTTCATCTACACTCACCACCTCTCTCTTTTCATTTCAATATCTCCAAGCCCAGATTGTAGACGTGGTTCTCTGTTCTTCTTCGACAGCCGTGAATTCGCCCTTATCGCAGCTGATTCGACCAGAAAGCCGACTCCAACATTCAACCCCACTTGACACTTTTGCCCGCAATCATTGTTTCATCGTTGGATGGAGCCTTTCTATCTTTATCGCCCGTTGTATCTCGTGGAGATTGACAGGCTGGCGCGCGGTCTTTGAAGGGCCCGTTCGCATGACTTATATAGGGAGCCATACCCCTCCCAGTCGTCTCCAAAATGGCCTCCATGGTGCATATTCGAACTACTGCCACGGCGTTTAAATCATCCTTCAAACACACATTCTTCATCCCTACTAGAACCCCTTCTATACATCCACGTCGTGCATTCACAGTCTCTTGGAAACAAGCCATGTTGTCGACTGAGTTGACAGAAGCCCAAGTGTCGGCCCTCAGAGCCAACAAAGAGCGTTTGGCCCAGGACCTTCATCACAGCTGCCAATGGGGCTATGGAATCCGGTGGGCAGAGTAGGTGCACTTCTTTTATATGGGACATCTCTACTATGGCAATTGGTTATACCCACGACAAACCACTAGTTAACACATCACTCGGGGGTCCCACCGACACGGGCATGCAGCGTCTGGCCCTGTCGCAGGAGGATAAGCAAGTACGAGATTGGTTTATTGAGACAACAAAGGCTTTGGCATGCAGCATTACAGTAGACGCCATGGGGAATATCTTTGCGGTCCGTCCTGGACGTCGAACCGATGTCCCCGCAACATTTATCGGTAGCCATTTAGATGCCCAACCAAGAGGTGGTCGTTATGACGGCATCCTAGGTGTTCTTTCAGGTATTGAGTTCCTCAAGACTTTGGAAGAGATGGGGTTGGAGACAGAGGGCGGCGTAGGGCTTGTGAACTGGACAAAGTATGCGACACTCCCATAGGAGTTCCTCGATTCACGTTGTGGAGTACTTAGAAGACTGATACACCTACAGTGAAGAAGGTGCCCGATTCCCAATCAGCATGGTCTCCTCCGGAGTATGGGCGGAATGTATTCCTCTTGAAAAAGCGCATGCCCTTAAGGAGGTTCCCACTGTTGTCTCTCTTCCCACCGCTGCTTCTGCCCCCGAGTCTATGAAAACAGCCCTCGAGAAGATCGGTTACCTCGGAGGTGTACCTTGTTCTTACAAGGAAACTCCAATGGCAGCCTACTTCGAGTTACACATTCAACAAGGTCCTCACCTCATCACGGCAGGCCAGCAAATTGGTGTCGTGACAGCTGTCCAGGCATACCGCTGGTATCGTCTCAACATTTTCGGAAGAGACACCCACACCGGCACCACTGCTTTCGAACATCGCGCAGATGCCCTTTACGCTTTCGCCCGTATGATGGTCCGTGCTCGAGAAGTTGCCTCCTCCCATGGCTGCTGTCTCGCCAGTGTGGGTACCATCGAAGCGAAACCAGGCAGTGTAAACACCGTCCCAGGTACCGTTAGCTTCAGTCTCGATATCCGTGGCCCAAAGACCGCACTAGTCACCCAGGTCGAGGCCGAATTGCGCAAAGATTTCGACTCGCCAGCAGTGAACTTTCACTCTGACTGCATTGAGTGTGTACAGCTGTCTGCAGAGGCTGTTGCCACGGACGCTGGTGTTGCGAACCCCAAATCTCTCGTGCGTACCATCATGAGCGGTGCAGGCCACGACAGTGTCTTCACATCTAAGAGAGTCCCCACGAGCATGATCTTCGTGCCGTGCAAGGATGGCCTGAGCCATCACCCTGAAGAATTTTGCTCCGCGGATGATTGTGCCCGAGGGACATCTGTCATTCTGCAGGCAGTTATTCGATATGACCGTAAGCGTTTTTCTGCATGAAATTAGTATTCACTTATAGTATACAATACCATCTTATTCAAGTTTCTCTGTCCTTCTTTCTTGCTTTCTTTCTTTCTTTTTCTCCTTGCCAGAAAAAAATTCATCTTCTTCCTAAGGCAATAAAATCGGTTATAGTCATACAAGGGGAAAAATTCGGCATATTTTGTATAATAATCATGTCATTATCCTAGCTATTTCATTAAAACAGACGTAGAGGAAATGCACATAATTCCAACTTTTGTTTTTTTTTTCCTTTTATAGGATGTGCAAAGATGCAGTAATTTCTGACTTCCGTTTTAAGAAAGCCTACTCAAACCACACTCGCAAGCATCCACTGAAAATGCCTCGGAAGACCGGGCGACATCAACTTAAGAACGGGGAGCGCCACGGCCGAATCCACCACGGAAGTTAGGAGCGAACTCGCCGGGGGCACCGCCCTCCTTGCCTTCCTGCTCACGGCGTCTGTATCCACCCTCGCGGGCACCCTCACGGGGAGGGCGGGGACGACGCTCGCGCTCCTCACCACCCATCATGCCGCGGGGGGGGGCGTGGGAACGCTGCTGCTTGATGTGGGTGGCAGGGACAACCTCAGCGGGGAGGTGGAGCCATTCACGGAGGTAGTCAAGACCCTACACGCAGAAACATTAGCCTTGGTTCCCTTCCCTTTTTTTTTTTTTTTCCTTCTGTTCCCGCTGGCTCATGGTCCAACTGGTTGAGTAATAGTGAGAGAACGTACCTCGGGGGTGAGGGTGTAGTAGTAGTACTGCCAGGAGAACTGGGTCTTGACGAAGCCGCGGGAGTTGAGGGACTGGCAGGCCTTGATCACGTAGAGGTTCTTGGTATCAATGTCGCCATGCTTGGGAAGGTTGAAGTCCTTCTTGGCCACGAGCACACCCTCTATTCATTCAGTCAGTAAAAAAAGACTCTTCATTCCAATTCGCCTCTTCTGTTCAATTGCTAATTGACAGAAAGAAGATTTTTTTTTTCTTTTGGCCGGATGTTCAAATATATGAGAACCCGGCCGAGGGAGACAGCATCGTGCACATACCGCGGAAGAGGTACTCGTGGATCTTCTTGCGGTCTTCCTTGGGGATAAGCCTAGAGAGGACATATTAGTCTATTAAATCCCATATTCAATCAATAATTGAATGATATACTCACATTGTTGCGAGTTCCTGGTGCTCTTCGGGGAATCGCTCTAACAATGCGCGAAGAGGTTGGTTGAAATTGGTTGTGATGCGAGTGGAGCGACAGCCGGCAAGTGAAAAGTGTGATGCTTTCTCATTCGGGGAGCGTCCAGGGCTAGGGCCCTAATCATGACACTAGTCTTGATAAAGAATTATCACGTGGATATAGTCAGGTGATTAAGATACTTGTGCCTGAGGTGTCTATTTTAGCTTATTGCTCCATCGACTTCGCGACGTCTTGACTCTAGTAATATCCTTCCTCTGTTGCACGGATAACCCTCAACGCCACTCCATTTTTAGGGAGGACCTGGCATCTTAAGTTCAAAATCGACGTATTCGATTCCTCGAATTATCTATTCTAAGAGAAGAAACGCATCTCCAACAGCTCAAGATGGCTCCGTCGCAAGTGAACATCCTCCTCTCGTCCTTCCCAGGCCTTTCTCTCCCATCTACAATCTCCTTCTCCCTCCCATCGACGTCGACTCTCTCAGACCTTACAGAAAAAGTCTCGACATATATCCCATCTTCGGTTCCTTTCCAGTCCCTAACTCTCACAACCACAAGCAACAAACAACTTCTTCCCTCTCCACGTCTAGTCTCCGACCTTATCTCCTACAATGACGAAACCACCGCGCCATCCAACCTCCTCCCCCTCCGCCTCAGCGTTCCCATCCGCGGAGGAAAAGGTGGTTTTGGTTCGCAGCTGCGCGCCGCTGGTGGTCGCATGTCTAGCAAGCGCAAGCGCAACCAGGGCGATGATAATGGATCCAGCCGAAACCTTGATGGGCGGCGGCTCCGTACCGTTAACGAAGCAAAGGCACTCGCGGAGTACCTAGCCGTGAAGCCTGAAATGGACCGGAAGGAGAAAGAAGAGCGCCGACGAAGGTGGCAGGCTGTCGTGGAGGCAGCCGAGAAGCGCCAGGAGGAGCTGAAGAATGGCGATGGAAAGCAAAAGGTTGATGGTCAGTGGATGGAGGATAGAGATGAGATGAATGAGAAGGCAAGGGAGGCTGTTTTGGCGGCTATGAAGGAAGGCACTTGGACGGATAATCTCCGGGATGTCCTTCTGGGCGGGTCTAGTACAAGTGCGAGTGAGGGAAGTGGTCAGGAGGGATCATCTAGCTCGGAGGAAAGTGAGGAGGAGGAGGGAGATGAGATGCAGGATGCGCCTGCACAGCCTGGGTCATCACAGCCCTCTGCTGCGCCTAGGAGGTATATTGGGTTTGATGAGGATGATGAATTCATGAGTGACTCTGAGGAGGAGGAGGAGGAGCCCGAAGATGTCAAAGGAAAGGGGAAAGCGAAGGCCTAAATTACCAAAAGCAGATTGATCCTATCTTTTATGTTCACGACTATTTCTTCTTTGCTAAGTATTCAAGACACTAATTAATTTGGGTTTAAATAAGTGTATAGTAATATATTCTACTTGTATACTGCCATGTATAACTTGATGATTCAGGCTGCTCAGGCTAGGCTAACAGCTATCAACCAGCATCCATGTGAACATAGGGTGCGACAGAACCTTACCCTGCTCGGCTTTAGATATTTATATGACAGACAGTTAATAAGGTCGTAGTTATAACTAACTAGTTAACTACTCCGTACCAAGTGCTTATATGTTAAATTAGTTATTGCACTTTTGTCCCGACAGTCCTCCGTACTAACTATTTATTACGTCTACCCAGACGGACCATCAATGCTTTACGATACGAATCGGATTTCTATCGCAAATCTTCCATGCTTTTCTAACACTCTGAAATTTCAGTTACCATGTTGCTGCCCCTGAAGCGCGTGGTTCCACGGGTTCCCAGGTTAATGCGACCTACATTACACATTCAACAGCGCCAACCGCGCTTCCTCCTGGAACGGTCAACCCGGCTTCTTTTTTCACGGCCGGAGGTAGTTTCCAGCCAAAGCCTCACCACCCAACTGCCGACAACGCAATTACGCAGCCTATCCTTGAGCACAACTTGTCGCGCTAAATCCTCGGAGCTTGTTGATTCTGTACTTCCTGTCTGCTGTCCGGGATGTGGTGCGTATGCGCAGACCGTCGAGGCCAACGAGCCAGGGTACTATAGCAAAACTCGAAAGCAAACACGAAGGCTTTTATCTGAGTTACAGGAGAGGGAGGCAGATGAGTCTATAAGGGAGAAAGCAGTAGCAACGATACAGGATGTCATTACAGAGGCGGACACTATTCCCAAGCCGCGTCGTATGTGCTATTCACTTTCGTTATAGTTTGTGGCGGTACTAATTCCGCCTCGTTTAGACAACGCCTTGCTAGAAAATGCGACAGGCACCCTCAGCCAATACCTCGAGAAGTCGCAATCTCCAGTTCAGGTATGTGACAGGTGCCACGACCTGTTACATCACAACAAAGCGGTTTCCGCTGTCTCGCCGTCGATATACTCTATTAGCGCTTATCTTGACGAGACACCTTATAAAGACAACCGGGTCTACCATGTGATTGATGCTGCAGACTTTCCTATGTCGCTGGTTGATGACATATACGACGAGCTTTCTCTTCAGGACCAGCGCTCACGGAATCGGCGATCAGCAACGGAGAAATATAGCCGTGGACGAAAACTACCAACTGTCTCATTTGTCATAACGCGTTCTGATCTCCTAGCGCCCACTAAGGACTTGGTTGATTCGAAGATGGAGTACGTCCGGTCCGTTCTTCGTGAGAAATTGAACCTTTCTTCCGAGGAATTCCGTCTGGGGAATGTCCATATGATTAGCTCCCACCGAGGTTGGTGGACAAAGAAAGTCAAAGAGGAGATTCAGGAACACGGAGGTGGTATTTGGATCGTGGGTAAAGCGAACGTTGGCAAGAGCAGCTTTGTGGAGGCCTGTCTTCCGAAAGACTCAAAGAATCTGGAGAAAATGGCCGAGCTTGTGGAACGTCGACAGGCGGAATCTGAGACTACTAATCAACAGAACCACACATTCATCTCTTCAGACGGGCTTCTCCCACCTGCGCCACGAGAGGACCTCTACCCTATCCTTCCTGTAGTGTCGTCACTACCAGGTACCACTGTGTCACCAATTAGAATACCCTTCGGCCGTGGTAAGGGCGAGGTTATTGACTTACCTGGTCTTGATCGTGGAGATCTAGCAGAATATGTTCTTGACCAGTACAAGCGTGATCTCATCATGACCAAACGAATAAAACCTGAACGCTACACCATTAAACCAGGCCAGTCCTTACTACTTGGAGGCGGCCTCGTTCGGATTACCCCTCTAGATCCAGATGCTATTGTAATGGCAGCTTGCTTCGTCCCCATCGAAGTTCATCTTACAAAAACTGAAAAGGCTATTGAAATGCAAGCCGGGACTCGCCCATACCCCGGAACCAGCATTGTCAAAGAAGGCATCAGTGAGATCATTTCCTCCGCAGGAGCCTATGACCTGAAATGGGACGTCACTCAATCACATCTCCCCACGTCAATAGAAAAAGCCATAGAAGATAAAGGAATACGACCACCCTCTTTGCCCTACAAAGTGATGTCAACGGATATCTTGATTGAGGGCTGTGGCTGGATCGAACTGACGACTCAAATCCGAGCCAAGTACTTGCAGCATCAAGACGAACCTACCGCCTCCTTTCCACAGGTGGAAGTCTTCACGCCAAATGGGCAGCATATTGGGTCCCGACGACCCATTGAATGCTGGAAATTCACGGCTAAGAAATTAACGTCTGACCGGCGAAAGAATACTTCCCGGGGACGTCAAAACGTCGGACAGAAGAAGCGAACTCAGCATTCAGCGAAACTTTGAATGACGACTCATAAGGATGGTTTGTGATACATCCTGAAGCATTATATCACTACTTTGTATACTATAAGCATAGCGACTGGTGTTGATAAATAAATACCCCTTGTATTAAAAGTACTTCATTTAGATATATACTTTTGTGTCATAGGATATGCGTTGTCACAAGATAGCGGAGAATGGACTCTATCTAACTATCAGGAAGGACAAACCATTTCGTTCACCTTGCAGTAGAGATTAAGGAATGGAGGAGGTAGTTTTCAGCCTATAGGGGGGGGATGGGTGCGGGAATATTGAACATAACTCGTATCATTGTGGGTCTTCTTCTTGCCTTTATTTTTTTTTAAATTTTTAGATCTGATGTGTATGTATATCTAGAGTAGAAATGCATGGGAGAGAGAGAAAAAAAAAATTACTCCTCTCCCCATTTACTCAACATTAACGAAAATAAAGGTAGGTTGACCTGGAACAGCATTTTCGGCCTGGAGACCCTCTCTCTTCTCTCCAGAGCCTAGAACCTCACCGGTCTTACCACCCTCATCTACGGCAATAACCTCGAGCTCCTTGCATCCTGTAGTCTTCTTCAGGTTGACGGTCATCTCCTTGAGGACGGCAAACTCATCGAAGGGCAGCTTGCGGTCGAAGACGATCTCGGGAGCTTCCTTGCCCTGGACCAGGCGCTTCTTCAGGCCCTGAACGAAGGGCATGGCCTTCTTCATTTCACCGAGCTTGCCAACCTTGGCGTTCAGATCCTTGTCGTTGATTGACAGGCTAATGGCATCGAAGGCTTCCCGGACCAGGTCGATATACTTCTCTTGCCAGGAGGGGAACTTCTTGGCAGCGAAGATGGTGATCTTCTTGGGCTTGCGGGGGTCGAAAGCGGACGCCTTACCCTTAGAGAGCTTCTTGACATAAGAGGCCTCCGCAGAAAGAATGCTGGAGGAGGTTGTACGGACGTAGTTCGCGGCAGCGGACAGCTCTGCAGCAGGTTCGGGGACATCAGGGAATTGCGCACGATGGATGGTTTCGGGCTGCAGATTAGAAGAATTAGAAACGAGCATTTGTATGATTGATAATTTGTAGACGCACCTTCTTCAGGATTTCAAGCCAAATGTATTCAGACCAGTGAGGAGCAATTGGCGACATCATAAGCGCTTGCAGTTCAATATATCTCTGGACCATATCACGGTGCATGCCAACACCAGCAGATGTAGCAGCCTCGCGGTAGGTATCACGAGCGCTGGTCAAGTCGTACAAGCTAGACTTCAGAGCAAGCTTGAAGTTGGTACTAGTCAAAGTCAGTATCTGAGAAGTACAAACATGTCGTATCTTGATACTTACTCTTGGTAGTTCTTCTTAGCTTCACGAACCAGAATGTTCAGTTCGTTGTCAAAAACCTTATCCCAGAACAGATCTGCAGGTCCAGTGCGGAGGGTATCATCGTTAACAACATCCTCAATCCACTCCTTGAGAGTGAACAGACGCAGAATGTTGCTGTTGGCAACGGTCTCCTCGAAATTGGCATCTTCGATTCCATCACCGGCATCGGCAAAAGCAATTCGGGTGGCATCGGCACCGAATTTCTCAACCGCATCCTTGAGAGTCAAGAAGTTACCAGTACTCTTGCTCATCTTCTCACCGTTCAGAAGCAAGTGTCCGTTGGCACGAACACCGCGGGGCCAGTACTCTGGTGGGAAGAGGGCAACGTGGATGTAAATGAAGAAGGTCAAATGGTTTGGAATGAGATCCTTTCCGGAAACTCTGACGTCTAAGGGGTACCAATATTCAAACTCTCTTCGCATGGCCTGGAGAGCTTCCTTACTGATCCCGCTCTTTGTGACGAGGTCATCGCTGATCTCACGTCTGGTGAACACGTAGTCCCATACTTCGTCGATCATCTGCTCTGCCGTGATGTTGAGAGAGCCTGTGGTCTTACCATAGCGGTCGCCGTGCAGCAAGTGAGCAATCGTGTAGTAGGCCATGTAGACGGTGCTGTCGCTCAAACTCTCAACTAGGAACTGAGGGTCCCATGGGAGCTTGGAACCTAAACCGTAGGTTCTGGCACAGGCCCAGCGGTTAAGCCAGCTCAGGTTCTTTTCGAAACCATGCTTGGTCTCGTTGGCGTAAGTGTTAAGGTTGTTAACAACGTGGTTCAAGGTATCCTGCTGCCATTTGGCGTCGTTCTCACCATAGTTCAAGAACCACTGACCGAGGTAGGCAACAACACAGTCGTCGCCACTTCGGCTGACAACCTTGCCCATGGGGTCAGCGAAGGCGAAGGCATCGCCGCTCTCGTACAAGGCCTTGCGGATCTTATCCTTAGCAGCGCTCACGGGCTCGCCCTTGAACTCTCCGACAAGCATAGTACCCTTGTAGAAAGCCTCACCGTATGCCAGCTCCTTAGCCTGGGCGAGCTGGTTAACATCCTTAGGCGAGTTGATCTTGAGCTGCTTCACCAGTGCAGGAGCAGTGAGGTTACCATATGTGGGAGTATCGATCAGAGGGAAAATCTCAAGTTCGGCCCACTCCTTCTTGATGCCGTAGTATTCGGATTTCTTGGCAAGATCCATTAGGGTGGCGTAGTCGTCAGGGCTGTCCGATGGCACAGAAGTGACAACACCAGTACCCTTGCTAGCCGAAACACTCTCCATAGGCAGAATGCGCACACCCTCAGTGTGGAAGGAGAGGGGGGCGTTGACCAGTGTACCGATAAATGCGGAACCTGGAGCTGTAAGAACGGTAGGGAGCTGGTCCTGAGTCTTAGGGAAGTGCTCGCTATCGAAAAAGGTACCCTGGAAGGCCATATTCCAAGCACCCCTCTTGGTGCAAATATAGTACTCCTTCTCTTTGACCTTGAAGATGCCGTACTCAACCTTTGGTCCCAGGAAGCAGCAGGTTTGACCGTACATGGTTTCAGGGCGAAGAGTAGCGGGGACAAAATACACGTTGGCGTCATCCTCAATCTTACCCTTCACCAGCTCTGCAATTTCTGGCGCCCATTCTTTGACCTTGAGCTTCATAGCGGTGTATTCTTGAGGCCCGATGCCCTCACCCTCAGTTCGGTCGTGGTCCATACAAGGTTGGCCGTCCTTGGGAGAGTAGACGGTATATCGGTTGCCGTACTGGATCTTGCCAAGTTCGTGAAGACGGTTCATTTGCCAGCGCACAAAGGCATCGTAGTAAGGGTTCGCATCAGTGGTGACGAATTGACGGCGCCAATCGATTCCAGCGCCTAGGCTATCAAGATCGCGGATCGCAAGAGGAGGGAAGTGTTGGAGCCAGTGAGAAGCATCGGCAAACTTGTGGATTTCCTCGATAGGAAGGCCAATGGCCAACATAATCTGGAATTGGTACTTCATCTTCACAGTTTTGGCGGCGGCCTTGCTCTTCTTCCCGGAGAACTTTTCCTGCTGCTCAGCCTTGACCTCCTGGGCAGAGGCGGCGACTGAAGTGGTCTCTTCCTCGCTCTCTTCCTTGTAACCTTCGAAGTTTTGACCAAACTTCTTCACCTCATCGGCAAGCTTATCCGCACAGGCCTTGATAGGCATACCGGTACAGTGGAACCCAAGGGGGAAAAGGGCCTTCTTTCCCTCCATACGGGCGACCGCAGCCATGAATTCGACCTTACTAGCAGTGAAACTGTGTCCTGCGTGCAGAGTACCGTTCATATAAGGGTAGGCCATAGTTCCGAAAAATTTGGGGTATTTCTCACGAAGCTCCGCGGCGGACATAGTACCGGCGGGCACCTCGGAAAGGGTGGGAGCGTCGACCTCGAAAACCTTGTTTTCCTTCCATTGTGCCTGATATTTCTTCTCAATAGCGATGAGATTATCTCGCTTCTCAGTCTATGAGGTTAAATCAACATTAGCTCGATCTGGACAATACAAGCGCCTCGATGGGCCGAGAGGGAGGGGCAAATGAGTAAAAACATTTTCAAGCTTCAGGGTGTTTTTGGTGCTGTTGCCCAGGTCGAGCGCAGCAGCGGCTGCCATGGCTCTCTAGTATAGTCTGCTTTCTTGCAAACTAAAAGAAAAGAGCCCAAAGGCGTAGGAGGCAGGGAAAAGTGAGTCGATATATACAACAACCGCGGGGTCAAGGCTTTATCAAAAGTTCTCAAAAGAATAACTATGTGGGAATGGATGAGTCATTCACCGCCTGCCGCAACAGGCACAATTCCAATTCCAAGATGGTCACGTGTGTCTATATAGGACTTCGTTTCTTTCCGCCGACATGGCCAAAAATTGACGATGAGCTGGAGTCGGAGTTTCACGCAATTCTACCTCGCATTCATTCAGCTTGCCTAGGCCAGCCTCCCAGTAATTTGCCTGCACTCCCGCCCATTCTCAGGGCTACCAATACTCGCCCCATTAGCCAACATGGTGAACCTTTTCAAGCGGATGCGGAAGCTGAATACTGTATGTTGTTCTTCGCGCTGAGAGATCCAAGATGTGAAATTGAAAGCTAATATTTCCCCTGCAGCGGGTAATTATTCCATTCAAACCTCATCTCCTTCCATATACCCCCCCCCCCCCCCCCGGAGCCCATCCGGATTATGAATTGTACTACGGGCTATTATCGGGCTACCCGACATTCACTGCCGATGAAACTCCAGGGAAAAAAAAAAAAAAACACATCTAGCTAACTCGCGCAATCACACACATCCAGCTCCTGGACGTTCGCGTAGGAACCGGCGCCGCAACATTCCCCTCCGCCGCCTCCGCGACAAACGAATTCCCAGCTATCACCCGTCTACATCTCACATACGCCCGCAAGATCTACGGCGGCCACCAAGGCGCTCGACATTTCTGGCGCAACTGCCTCCCACGCCTCAAGTTCCATAACCCCAGTGTGCAGATGACAGTTAAACAAACCGACAACCAGGACGGTCCTGCCGTGCTGACGATATACTTTTCCGAGAAGCTCAGCAACGCTGCGTCGCTAAGTCCCGCGAAGATCGAGGATAAGTTTGCCCCACAACCGGGCGAGACGGAGAAGGCGGCCGTCATGGATGTGAGGAACTTGACTTACAAGGAGATCTGGGCGAAGGTGAAGATGATGACGGGGGCGGCGGAGATCGCGGCAACTGCGCAGGAGGAGGCAGAGTTGAAAAAGTTGGAGCAGATGCGTGTACAGGCTGAGAAGGATAGAGTGCGGGTAGCGGGTATTCGGCAGGCGAAGAAGGACCAGGAGAGGATGCTGCAGGAGGCTAGGGGAGAGGTTGAGAGGTTGAAGCAAATGTAGAGCTCTATTGTCTTTGGGTTGGATATATCCTTGGTCTGTGTCTCTGCTCTTTAGATGGTGGAAAAGTATGGGCATGGTCACTGTAGCATAGCATTCTCTTGTTCTTTCTGTTATATGTAGTTCTAGGATCTCTTTTGTGCAATTACAAACAATATTTTCCACTTCCAGTTCTTCCTTCTTCCTTCTTGGTGGACCTTGGATGAGGTATGGATATTGTTTTCTATCAAGGAGTGATAGTGTTCTCATATAAATCTAGAATCGAGGTGGAAAATCCACCACGACTCTTTTGGGGGTATTTAATTAAGCAAGCAGAGGCAATTATAAGTACAAAGAAAAATAAAGGTTAGTATACCACAGATATTAGTCACAAGTAGCGCCAGCTTTAGCAACCCCAGGTCATTCGAGACCAAATCATTCCGCATTTGTTCCCGATAAGAAGCAAATTCGCTCATCTGGCCCCAGATCTTATACCGCGTTCGCCCTTGTTTCATCCTAAAAGATTAACCAAACTCCATAAAGAACACCAAATGCAGTTCCGCCAATTTTAAGCATGATCCGGTGTATAGCTTGTTTCTCCCAGCATGCTCTGCCCAGCGGCAACTGCTGGTGTCGGAGTTTGGGTTTGGCTATTACCTGGCTGAGGAGCGCCGGGCTGAGTTCTTCCCGCAACTGCAGCCTGGAGTCTCTGGTCTAACGCCTTCAGTGCGACGGCTCGTCTTCGCTCAGCCTCCTCGCGCTTGGCCATAGTTCTCGATCCTCCTCTATGGTTTCCGAGAAGACTTGGGAGACCCGCCTCCCCTCGGGCAAGTGCTTGCTGGTTGCCTGACGCGATTTCCTCCGCCGAAAACGGGGTACAGATCTTCAGGGAGACGAGGGCGGAGTAAACAATATCGGAAATGAATGCAACCGGTGGCTGCATGATGTCTGGGAAGAGGCATGCGAATGCAAAAGTTTCGCTGGCATCACCCTTGATGCCGAGACCGTCGGTAGATGTCCCAGTAAGATCCGGCTGTCTCTTAAAAAATCGAAGATACGTCCAACTTGTCAATAGGCCAAACCAGGACAAAAGCGCTGCCACATGTGTCCCAAGTATTACTCCGCTGAGTGTATTTAATAGCAGGAAGACAGCAGGGAAATGCTTCACCCGCATTTTCACCAGGCCTTTGAAGATGGTAACGGTGTGCTCGGGGACTAGCTGCTTGAAAGCGACAAGGAAGGAGGCTTGAATAGAGATTCCGCCACAGATTTGGGTGACACTTAGAGAAGGGGGGTTAGCAGGGAAAGCGCAAGAAGTTGTACATTCTTCGGGAGAGAACAAGGCGTACCCGCTGCTTGAACCACCCCTAATAGTAATCCACATCAGGTGTAGCAATACCATCGCCACGTTCGGGATCACCGCGATGGCGATAATAAATTTCGCAAACTCGCGAGAACCCCATGCGCGCTCCAAGTACTTCCCACCATAGAAAAGGGTAGAGGCGTTTAAGAGGACGGTAAAGATGTTCTGCTCCACGAAGGTCGCTGTGAGAAGGGTCCAAGGATAGAAGATAAACTGCGACGGGACCAGTGTGAGGTAGGGGATGATAGGAGAAATGATAGGAGTGCCGGTGCTGGTGCTGGTTTTTCCTGTGATGTCAAGTTGCCGCCATCGAGCGATGTTGTACAAAAGGGAGAGCGTGAGCAGGCTAATAAGACAAACCCGGGTCGCGGGGGGGATATTGACTCGAAGCGCCATAGTGCGATGTGAGTGTTTATGGCCGCTACAAGAGGCAGGCCACAGGCTGAGGATGAAGCCTAATCACACTTGGCAAAAGGGTTATGGAACCTTGGAAGGAAGATGGTTGTCGATGGTGTTTTGGGGGGGGGGTTCAGCCACCGAAGTTTGGACAGCGGTGGCAGTGCCAAGTTCGGAAGCCTCGATCTGATTGGACACCCTACCATACCTGTAAAGAGGTTGTTGCTCAAGTGTTGTGCGACTTTCAAGGCTGTCAGCTAGGTAGATCCTGTACGGAGTATGCAGAGAGTCTACTACCTGATAAACTAAATGGAATGTAGACATGTTTAATATAGCTAGAAACCCTCAAGGCGATCGCGTCTTTGGGTACTTTTGGGGGGGGGAGGGGTTGATATAGCTTGAAAAGTACCGTGTAACGTGATAAATGCCCCTGTGATAGATTGTAGTGCTTCTCATAAATCAAGCAATCTGCACCAAATACCCATCATTCAGACATGGTTTCCAGTCATGATCACAACAGATCGGGATACCGAATTATGAACGAATACGCTAATGATGAGTCAGCTCAATGAATAATGAAGTTGTTAACTAGTTAACTAGTTAACTACCATGGCGAACTGGCACATGAATACGTACGTTGGGATGGAGTAATACCTAAAAACAACCCCTATATATAGGTTTCAAACTCCATAATAATGCTCTGTGATAATCCTGATGATAAGGTAATCAATACATACAACTTCCTCCTCCAGATGATGAGCCGGATCATAACATTCAAGAAAAGATTGTGGAGAATCCTAGTTATTAGACTTGTGATTTATTAGTCATACCGTACCAGTCTTAACTAGCACAACCTATAGTTCCCTGCGAGAAATTCTCCTCGAGGATTCAAGATTCAAGGTAGATGAAAGGAGTCGATATTCAAATCTCACTCACCTATCAGCTGCGTGAAATATAAAAATCTCCAGGTCCACTGGCAACTAAACTCCAAGCAGACAAGCGCGCAGGCCGATCCTGTGGCCGTCAGAACCGCACCAGGACAAGGGCCCAGTGGATTTTCCCTCTTCCCACCTGCACGCTAAACCGTGGGCTAGACGCCACAAGGAGACAAGCCCAAAAAAGGTCCCAAGTCAAAAAAAAAAAAAGTCCACTCTGGAGCGCCAGCGCCTGATCTGTGTTCGTTCTGTGTTCAGTAATATTGAGTGTGAAACAGCATCCCAGAGCCGCCTGGAGAAATTCCCAGCTTTTCTTCACTTTCTTGACTTCTTCCTTAGCAGGTCAGTCCAGTCTCCGTTGGTTCCATCCATCCATACTTTGAACTGATCTCACATCTCGCAGCTCGCGTCCTTCTAAACTTCTTCTTTCCTTTTTCTCTTCCCTCCCCGTTCCAACCGTCTTTCTCCCTCCCTCTCTCTCTCTCTCTCTCTCTCGCTGTCTTCCACACCACCCCCCTCAAAAAGAGTCTAACCCCAGTGTCGAGAATCCAGCCTTTTGCAGTTCGCTAGCGGGTCTACTATCTCGAGGCCACACGTTGGTGTCGATTTCGTCCCGTCCCGGCATTATTCTTCATTCTTCACCTTCCACCTCTCCAGACCATCAGTCTCGACTCTTCCTCTAACGCTTCCCACTAGGTGCATAAGGATGTTTGACAGTCCTTAGCCCTTTCTTTGATCATCTGTTTCTCGATCTCCCCACTTAGCACTTCTATTCCCATACCTACCTTCCTCTCTCTCTCTCTCTCTCTCTCTCTTTTCCTTTTCTCCCTTCAAATCATCTTGCTTCCTCCTGCTAGCTGCGTCCTCCATCTTCCCTTCCGATTCTTTCTCCCAAACTTCCCCAACAATCCCCTTCTTGACTCTACTGGAACTCAAATTTCCCGCAGAGTTTTCCACCGTTTCTTAAGAGGTCTCGAAGTCAATTCCTTGCATATCTGCACATCTCGCGCCTCGTTTCTCGTCATTTCCTTTTTGTCGTGTTGCCCAGCTAAGTTCTCGCCTCTGGCATGCTTGTGGATCATTCACCCTCCCAACTGTCATATATGTAACAAAAACAATGGCAAATCCTGATCTAACATCCCATCACGTCAACTACCTGATATGGAGGTACGTCGTCTCGAACTCTTCGCTTGTGAGAGCTAAGCATCGCGAAATCCTCCGCTCTTCCTCCCCAATAACCCGGTAATTACCCAACTGACCCATATTACAGGTACCTTCAAGAATCAGGTTGGTCCAAACTTTTGTTTTTCTTTCCACTTTCTCCGCCCCTTTTCCGAACCCTCCTTAAATGGCAATCATGACTCTATTTTCGTGATCTGAACTGCGTCTTCCCACCCGTGAATAATATTCCAACTAACTTTCGCAGGCCATGGTGAAGCCGCTGTAACACTACAACGCGCTTGGAATGATAATCCGGAGAGCCTACCTTTTGCTCCTTATATTAGAACTCATGCGCTAGTATCCCTGGTTCAAAAGGGTCTACAGTACTACGAACTCGAGCAGTCACTCGACAGGGTAAGTTTCCTTTTTTTTCTTTCGATATTTTCTATTTTCGGTTTCCCCCCTCTTCCCGATTAATTTTTTTTTTTTTCATTGCCGATATTATATCCTTGGGGCAGAGGGGGAAAAAAGGTGGTGTCTAATTATTTTACAGGAAGGAAATCCAGCACCATTTACGCCTTCGAAATATTTCTTTGGACCGGTACCCCTGGAATCGGAAATTCAAAAGGGTCCAACCGAGACAAGTGCTGGCGCAGGCCAAGGGCCTTTCTCGCCGTCGAACAAAGCGCAAGATGGAGGCCTGATCAACGGCCACTTAACGGCTGATGCTGCCGTTGCCCAAATTACCCCAACTGTCAAGAAAACCCGCAAAGGCGATCGCGCGGAAACTAATGGAGATGAAGTTCCGATGGAAGTGGATTCCAACGGCATCGCCAACGAGACCAAATCGCATACCGTGGATTCAGCATCTCTCGGGGAGACAGCTGTCGATGGCGATGGCGATGTTAATATGGGTATCCGACCTGAGTTAGCCGACCAAGAACCTCCCGCGGCACCGACGTTCACCAGTGTTGGCGTCCAGATCACCCCCGCCAAGGCCGCCGACCTTAGCCCCGACACCGCCCTATTGGACGTGGCTGTTGATGATCACGTGACCAGGACATTGTGGCGCCCCCAGGACGCTACAGTTGTAGTTGCAGCAGGTGACACCTTCTGCAGCTTGTGGAAGTTATCTTCGACATCGGCACCAGTGCAGGAGAAACTTGTTGAAAGTAAAGGAGATAACACTTGCGTTTCAGCGGTTGCTTGGGATCCGCTGGGTCAGAAATTAGCCGTTGCGACATACAATGACATGCGAGGATCTATTACCATGTACGACGTGGCCGGAAATGCTGTTGACCTTTTACCGGAAGTTCCTCGGATGATAACTGGCCTAAATTGGGCTGAAAAAGGATCGCATTTGATCGTTGTCGCGTCCGATAGCAAAATATCCGAGCTAGCTCTCTGGGACGACTCTGTACGGCCAGAGGAGTTTCCTTCTCCCCAGGTAATTGATGGCTCAATCTACGATCTTAGCTGGCTGGGGCGTAGCCAAGCTTTTGCCTGTGGAGGTACCTTTGTATATCAATGTGACATCGATTCAAGCATCCACATCTCTAAGACATTCTCTGCCGGTCGCCCCGACAAGCCCTGGACTTTTGTTCGCTGCACTAGTACAGAGTTATCGCCTGTGGCTGTGGCAGCATCCTCATCTGGCGCTTCATTTTGGATTCCCACTCATGATATCCATATGGATAACGCTCATGATGGCGATATCACAGCTATTGAACTGAAACCCAACCCGTCGGAGCATTCGCAATTTAATCAGCCTCTAATTCTTGCCTCATCCTCTACCGATGATACCTTGAAGGTATGGCATGTCGATCTAGAGCTAAGAAAGTTCGACTGCATTCACCGCCTATCCCTCGGCCAGTCGTCGCCGATTCTGGCCAGTTGTTTTTCTCCCGATGGGTATGCTATTGCTGCTGCTAGCAAAAACAGTCTCTCTATTTGGAATGCACAGCGGGGTGGCACTGCAATGGCTACATGGAAATCTTCAAGCAGCGATAAAGCGAAAAAGGAAGAGGGGCAAAGCCCTATCCTCAATGGACATAATGGAAGCATAGAAGCCATGCAAGATCGCTCTCTAAGCTGGGATACTGACGGGAAGAAGCTTGCCTTTGGGTTTGGCAATCAGGTACGTTATCTCCCTTCTTCTCTAAACGTATTATAGATGTTGAAACTGACCGTTTAAAATAGCTGGCAATTATAAATCTGCAACGGTGAGCGATTAATTTGTCCGCAATACGCAGCTCTCCATCGGGATGCATAAGGAAATTACCCTTGATGGGTGGAATTTCCTCCGTATGCAATATTCTGCCTATTTAATACGAGATAATCTTTTATTGCTGAGCAATAAATGAAGGCTAGACCCAAGATACGAGACCTAAGGAGCGGTCCCTTGAGAAGGTCCCTCCATGCATTTCGCCGGTCTTCTCCGCAAAAAATAGGAGTATGAAACGAATTTTACTGGATTCGGTTCGACCGGCGAGAACTCCGGCAAATTATGTCGTCTTAACGGTTTCCATCACTTCTTCTAATGCCTTCATAATTACATTTATACCTTTATATATGTTTGGTTAGACGATACAAAATGGCGCGGTCTACTTGGAATTGGGCAAAAAGGTGTGGTTGGCGAATAGCATGGGGTCATGGGCGGATCTACTGGCTTTTTTGAATCCTTGTTCCTTCTTGAACTGTAAACATTTATCTCTTGGTCGGTATGGCCTACTGAATATCAGACATCTCAAATTCAACTCGAGCATCTTGGTTGACCTTTTCCCCCAATTGGGATCAAGTTCCAATTGTGGTATCTGAACGCAGTTTCTTCCATAACACTGAAGGATGAGCCGTAAATATTTTTTAAAGGCTCTTCGCTTACATTACACCGGCCGTCGTTCGGCTCCTCCATCTTTCATTTCTTTTCAGCTGGCGATTACCCTCTCGGTTCCGAAATCCTTCCTCGACATCTCTCCATCCTCGCATCCACGCCGTTATGCCTTCAAGTAAAGCATCGGTTTTGGTCTCATGAGGCTGATTCGTTTTATTTTTAGCCCACCATGTTCGCCCACCTTGTCGGGGGGGCTTCGTTGGTTGCTTCATAATCGCTAAGTCGCGTTGCGCCTGCCACCCACTAATCCAAGATTCCAACCCAGAGACTGTTCCCTGGAGCGCTTCCCGCTCAGCCAGATCCTCAATCATGTCAGTTCGTCTATATTTTTTTTTTTTAAAAAAAAAAAAAAAAAAAAATTAGTTCAATCCATAGTATCAAGGTAAATCCAATCGTTCACAATGTAGAAAAGGGTTCGTCTCACAATTCACGGATTTCAGTTTCCAGCTCCGAAATCTTACTCGCTAGCTTTTCTCGTTCTTGGGAAAGTAGGCCGTAGATCTGGAAAGCTTCGTTGCGTCTCTGATTCAATTGAACGCTAAGCATCGCAACATCGTCACGGAGTTCCTCTAGTTGAGAATGTTGCGATTTCTCTGAGGTCTGAGTTGGAGAAGTAGTGAATGCCATAGACCGATCAGAGGTAAGAGCCGAAGAGGAAGAGACAAGCTGGGGCCTTGGAGGTTGAAGTTTAGGCATGGAGTGAGGGCTCGACGGACGGCATCGGATGATTTCCCGCGTGATATTTGGTCGCGGATCCAGTAGCAACGATTCTATGGTGTCCAGGCAGTCGTGGAGAACATTCGAGTCGGATTCTGCAATGTCTGGGGTTTGCGATGCGAGCTGGATCAGTCGGGTTAGGCGCTCTGGTAGCCATTTGGTGGTGGTAGTCTGATCTCTATTCCTGTCCTGGCTGTCTTCCCAAGAAAGGTGGCAGGAAGAGTCGGGGCTTGGAAGAGCCTTCTCTGGACTGCTAGCTTGGTTTTCTGTTGTAAAGTGAGTGGGCGATAGTGCGAGTTGGTGGCCTATGTCGTTTGGAGGAATTGGTGAATCCATTAGTGATTAGTTAGTTAACTAATGCTGGGATTCTTTAGTTAGCTACCTACTACTGTTGTTGGTGTTGGTGTCCGTTCTTAGGGATCTTACATGTGAGTATGTGTCTGTATAGGTCTGAAGAAATAAGATCCGAGTCGTAGAGTATGTTATGTTATTTTATGCCGTGTATCTGTATCTTGTTCGGGGAGATAATAAAGCAAGAAGATGGTGTATCAGTACAGCTGGCCGTTCAAAAGTGAGTAAGAGATCACGAGATGTTGACTGTTATTGTTGATGGTAGTGGAGAAATCCATCAACAATCATCCACTGCACTTTCCTATCTATCGGTTATAGAACCTGATAGGATCTTAGACCTGCTCAAGGCGGGTCCTAACAATAAAAGATGCGACTTCAGTGTCCCTCGTTGTCAATAATGGGATCCACTGCCGAGAATGAAGAGTTTTTACCCAGCCTCAACATTCTTTCCATTCCTGCGCGCTGTGATCGATAACTCGCTGGCATCGGGAATCGGCTACGAAAGACTTGTTGGCTGATTGTTCTTGGTCTCTTTGAAATCACCGCTTTTTTCTTGTGCTTCTGCACAGTCTAGAAAATATATCTAGCTGATCAGATTTGTGCTAATGGGCTTAGGGGATGAAAATATCGGGCACCTCAGCATTGCAGAACTTGTGTCTCTTTTCAACCAACGCACAAACCACAAGGTATAGTGTTATGTGGTACCTAAATGACAATTCCAATAACAGATATACGAAATTCAGGGTATCAATCAAAAAAAAAAAAAAAAAAAAAACAAAGACTACCAATCCCGTACGAGTATCGAGTCCTTTTGCCAATGAAATATCAGGGACTCGCACAGATATTCCTCACCTTGAGTCTCGAGAATCGACTGTGATTGAAATCGGGGTTTCAGGTTAAACGAAGCGAATACCTAATGATGTGACATGCTCCTGAAGTGCTCGTCAAGAGAAGGATGGCAAGCCAGTTCGTCTTCTGTTTGTCTCCGTATAGGACTAGGCGTTGCAACCTCGCTCAAAGCGCGATACAAGTCCCCCTGGTGATGTTCACCGGGCTCTGTACAATGCGACAACCGTTGATCCAAGGATGCACGACGTGTGATCTTTGGCGATTCTTCCGCGGGGCATTCGCAAGGCTCGGGCGCTCCGATTTCACTTAAGGCGCCACATGCATTTCTATCAGAGTCTTCATCTGGTTTCCCATGTTCCGGGTGTTTTCTAGGCGACGATGCACCTGGGTCTCGGTGGGCGGGTTCTTTCTGCTTTGGACGCTTGAAGATGCCAGCTAGTTTTTCAAAGGCTGCCATTTTGAATATAGCTTCGATATGGCTGGCTAAAAAGAGGAGTTTTCGATTAACAGGTCGATTACAAAACTCGTTATGAGGCCTGGATCTCACGGTTATTTTATGCATAATCAGAAACCATCTGCCACAGACTGTCCAGAACGTCATCGAATGACATCACACACCTTTTTTCCGCGAGTATCTGGATCCCACTTGCAGCCATCGACATGATATTATCGCAATTAACGAATCGATTCTTACTTATATTATGTTAACGTTAATGTTAAAATCAAATCTCAACTTAGACTTCAGCATTGACTCATAAAGAATTGCTCACTAAATTAACACCGCATGATGAAACAAATTCAAGCTGCACAGAAACTAGATTCGAGAGGAATCCGGTACTCAACAGGTCGGGTTTACCGTCCCTCAGCTGTTTTCACAGGCGCAAAATGAAATGTCATTCTGGGCGTCAGCTTGGCATGTGCCAGAGCGGGGACAGCGCAGCTGGTTCGTGAACGGTTATATTACCTGCAGCATATGGATCTGAACTATTAATAGGTTTCCAGTGAGTTCCCTGTTTGGGTTCCTTCGAGTAGAATCCGGGGCTAAACGCTATACGTCGGCGCGGTGCATTCGGGAAATGCAATAGCGTTCCAATAGAATCCGGTTACACCTGTGGGAGACAACTGATGATGATTTCCTCACAGACCTTGTGGTGGGCCTTCGCACTGTCCCCGGGAGAGAGTCGCTAAACACAACGGGTTGATGGATACTGAGGCAGAGCTCAAGGCCAAAGAAAGGGGAGACCGGTCTTTATGCTGAGCAACATTTTAAAACAGTGCATGCGAAATAAATCGAGCCTTGAAGCTATTCACAAAGCAGTGTGGGAAATTAAGAGCTATGATAATCATGTCAACACCAAGTAGACAAAGATCTCTGACCATTCTTGGTTCCACTCACAGGGTCTTGAAATATGTAGTGAAGAGGACAGAATAAAGTGTGTGTTAGCCATTTTGGTTTAAGAATCCTGATGTTTCGATTGATTTCTCTCTTTAATATTAGACAGGGCGCGGCGAGTAGTCACAATAGTTGAATAGGTAGATATTTATTAATAGTCCTGACTCGGTAGTTATTTGCCTCACCTCCGTGGCAGGCTTTCCTAAATACCTAGGTACTTTCGTTCTCCCCCTGCATTCCAAGGTTCCTTTTCTTCTCCTTTTCTACTCCGTACGTCTTTATAATATCTCTGTTGACTTTGGAGTTCACCGCAATTGAGTCGTTCAGGACTAGTACATACATAACTAGTAGATTAGCGATCCGTCAGCGGTGAATCCAAACCCGCCGCTTCTCCGCCAAATCTCCTCCTTGCAAGTCCCCGCACAAGAGACAGTTTGCTACAACTTATTGGCAAAGTATCAGTTACGATGGCGCCATCTGTAAGTATTTCCGCTCAATTCTCCCCCCCGGTTGCTATTTACGACCGGTCATGGCGAAGAAAACCGTGGTGTTGGAGGACTGTGTGACCAACGCTGATTCCGTTGCTTTGAATGACTCAAGATCACAATCGTGCCGGCATTGGAGACGGCCAAAGATGTGATCAGTCAGTCTAGAAATTCACAATACCCTCCTAATCTCCTCCCTCTCACTGCGTCTATCCCGGCCGACCTCTTGACCCCTACGCTCGCATACCTCAAGCTTGCTGAAAAGTGAGTACCCCGCCTGGAATACACTTCCTATGCCGGTGGCGGCACAGGCACTAACCGAGTCAACCACCCCTCCCTGGAATAGATCGAAGTTGTCATTCCTTTATGAAAGCGCGGCCACTACGGAGACAATTGGAAGATATAGTTTTGTCGGAGCTGGTATGCGAGATCGCGCGCATGCAACCCTTTTGAAACCGAGACTAACCCGTGCGGCGACCTAGATCCCCGTAAAGTTCTCAAGACTGGGCCCGGACATGGGCCCGAGTGCGATCCTCTTCCGATTCTGGAAGAAGAACTCGCCAACTACCGCATTGCGACAGTCCCTGGGTTGACCCTTCCCCCGCTTACTGGTGGTGCGATTGGATATGTTGGGTATGACTGTGTCCGGTATTTCGAGCCCAAGACCGCACGACCGGTCAAAGATATTCTCCATATCCCGGAGTCGCTATTTATGCTGTTCAATACTATCGTCGCCTTTGATCACTTCTTCCAGGTTGTCAAGGTCGTTACCTACGTCCCCATTCCCAGCACCGATGCGGAGCTTGAAGCCAGCTACAACCAAGGCCAAGCAGAAATCCAGCGTATTATTGATACCCTCCTACAACCAGGTTACCCTCTGCCTCCCCAGGGCCCAATCATCCCCAACCAGGAGTACACCTCCAACATCGGCCGGGAAGGGTACGAACGACACGTCGTCCGTCTGAAGGAGCATATCTCCAAGGGCGATATCTTCCAGACTGTGCCATCGCAACGTCTATCGCGACCCACCTCTCTCCACCCATTCAACCTCTTCCGTCACCTACGCACCGTCAATCCGTCCCCCTACCTCTTCTACATTGACTGCGAGGAGTTCCAGCTTGTAGGAGCTAGTCCCGAACTCCTAGTTAAGGAAGAAAAGGGCCGGATTATCACTCACCCTATTGCGGGTACGGTGACACGCGGCAAGACCGTTGAGGAAGACGATGCACTTGCTGAAGAACTCCGGGGAAGTTTGAAGGACCGTGCTGAGCACGTCATGCTAGTTGATCTGGCGCGCAACGATGTGAACCGGGTGTGCGACCCAGCTACCACTCAGGTTGACCGCCTCATGGTGGTAGAGAAGTTCTCGCACGTCCAGCACCTGGTATCTCAGGTCTCCGGCGTCCTCCGGCCCGAGAAGACGCGTTTCGACGCGTTCCGATCAATCTTCCCTGCGGGCACGGTGTCTGGGGCACCCAAGGTGCGTGCCATGCAACTGATTGCAGAACTGGAGGGCGAAAAGCGAGGTGTCTATGCTGGAGCGGTCGGATACTTTGGATTTAACATTGCCACCATCGACGGTTCCACAGAGCTGCCTGGTGCCATGGACACGTGCATTGCGCTACGCACGATGATGGTTAAGGATGGCGTGGCATATCTTCAGGCTGGCGGTGGGATTGTGTTCGACTCGGATCCGTACGACGAGTATGTTGAGACGCTGAACAAGCTGGGGGCGAACATTGCTTGTATCAAGGGGGCGGAGGAGAAGTACTTGAGTATGGAGGGGAAATAAAGAAAAGAGAGAGAGAGAGAGAGAGATCTACATTTTATTTTAAGACTTTTTGGCTATTAGAGATGATTTCAAGAAATTGGAAATGAGTTAACGTCCAGAAGATCGTTATACAGCCGATGACGTCGTCAGGGAATCTGCAGGTATATATATATACACAGTCTGTTGAGAATTCAGCAGACTCATTCGAAGTAAATTACATCGAAATAAAGAACTAGAGAATTACAAGGACTTTCAGGGTGCTAATAGTAATACTCCAGCAGTTCCGCCTGAACCCGTCTGGTAATTAGGCATTCGCATTATTAGCTGGACTATTGACAGCCCTCCCCTATTCTTCTTCAATCCATTCTGCTCTACTCTATCCCATAATCTTCACCTCTCATCAATTGAATGCTTACTGTTTGAAGAAGAAAAAAAAAGAAAAAAAAGATAGAAAGATAGAAAGATACTCGTATTCTTTGTATGATTCTGGCCAGCGTCGTCAGCTTCTCAGTGCCACCACCACCAACCACACCAACTCCTCGTTATTAATCCCAAGCTTGACTCCAGCCCAAAAAGCCTCTTTCTTCTGCTTCTAATTTACCACTTTTTGCCCCCCTCTTGTTCTTTTTTTTTTTCTTCTTTATATTTTTTCTCCTCACTACGGGAGTAGAGAATTATCCTCCCTATTTCCCTCGTGCTCTTTTTATTCCTCCTGGTGACCCCTCCTTTGGCCAATACCAACCATTCCGCACACGGCTTACATACGCCACAGCCGCCATACTGACCTCCATCACCTCGACGGACGACCACGACTCTCTCTCTCTCGCTTTCCCATTCCTACTTCCCAACGCACCTGCTGAACTGGCTCTGTTCCGATCGCGCTATTCTTTTCATTTCACTCAAATCTCTTTCTGTTCGCACAGTTTTAGATCCACCACACTCCCCTCCAAGGCCAGACTGAATCCGAGCCTCACCTAGTCGGGTTTCCACCCCCCCCCCCCCCCCCCCAAAGTCTGTTGCGACCGTTCTCTCTCGACCTCCCCTGTTCCTCCTCCCCCCACAGCCGTCACCATGTCTAAAGTTGTGCGCAGCGTAAAGAATGTCACCAAGGGTTACTCCGCAGTTCAGGTGAAAGTCCGAAATGGTATGGTTCTTGCTTCGATCCATCCCGTCCAGCTTGGGCCCTCTCCGATCGCTGGACTCATTTTTCGAGTTTCTGTATAGCACATTCTAACATTGGCAACCTGCAGCTACGAGTAATGATCATTGGGGCCCCACCGGGACTGAAATGGCTGAAATCGCCTCCCTGACATTCGGCAGGTAAGCTCGATGGGCCTCCTCGCATATGCGGTGAATCATGACAGGTCTGATATTGATATGATTGCACAGCCCCACGGATTTCTACGAGATCATGGATATGCTCGATAAGCGACTCAACGACAAGGGGAAAAACTGGCGACATGTTCTCAAGTCATTAAAGGTGCTCGACTATGCTCTTCATGAAGGGTCTGAACTAGTCGTTACATGGGCCCGGAAGAACGTCTACATTATCAAGACCCTGCGCGAGTTCCAGTATGTTGACGAAGATGGTAGAGATGTGGGTCAAGATGGTGAGTTGTCTTTATTTGTTCGTGTCAATTAACTTGGGCTAACCTACGTGTTCGGATCGAATTAGTTCGCGTTGCTGCCAAAGAACTTACAGCCCTCATTCTCGATGAAGATCGCCTGCGTAGCGAGCGATCTGACCGTAAACTTTGGAAATCACGAGTAAATGGCCTCGACGACTACCAGAGCTACGGGAATGGTGCGCAACCACGTCGGGCAGAACGGCGGGAACGTCGGCGTCAGACGGATGATGACGATGCAGAGTACCGTTTGGCGATTGAGGCTAGCAAACACGAAGCCGACGAAGAGCGCAAGCGACGCGCCAAGCAAGCTGTAAACGGAGATGACGATGAGGAATTGGCTCAGGCTATTAAGCTGAGCAAAGAAGAGGAGGAGCTTCGCCGGAGGGAGTTGGAGCAAAGCAATGCGCAGTCGCTTTTCGACGATGCCCCTCCAGCTCAGCCTCAACCTACTGGATATAACCAGGGATACCAGCAGCAGAGCGCCGTCGACTGGTTTGGCAACCCGATCAACCCCCAGCAACCGCTGACAACAGGGTACCTGAACAATCAATACGCGAACACCACCGGATTCCAGGGACAGGTCACTGGATATAACCAGAATCCGTACGGTCAGAATAATTTCCTCCAGCCGCAGGCTACTCTACAACCACAACACACGGCCTTCAGCAACAACAACCCATACGGAACCGATGTTTACTCGCAGCAGCACCAGCAGCAGCCTCAGGACAACAACATGCTTTCAGCAGGGAGCAACAACCCATGGGCCACCGGCCCACAGGCAGATGCTCTTAAGCCCATGCCCACCGGCTCTAATAACCCCTTCGCTCAGCGTACACAATTCCAACAACCTCGCCCCGCCACCTCAAGCGCAAGCGCTCCCTCTCTCAACACCTTGTCGGAGGAGCGGGCAACCAACCAGTTTGCATCCGTTAACCCTATCACCAGCTATCAAACACCACAAATTCAGCAACCCATGCAGCCTTACGCACCCCCCAGGAGCACCCCTCCCCAGATGGACCCGCATACCGCTCGTCTCAACGCTCTTTTGGCCTCCGGAGAGGGCCAGGATACCTTTGGCAACACTGGAGATCTACGTATTCCGGCGCAACACACTGCACCAGGAACCTTTGTCAACTCTGCAGGTCAAGGGTTGGATCGTCTGCGAGCTACACGAACCGGAAACAATCCGTTTTATGGCCAGCCGCAGCAACAGTTTGTCCCACAGCAGACGGGCTTCACGCAGCCGACCAACAATCCTTGGGGTGGCCAGCCAGCTTACCAACCCCAGCAACAGGGCGGTAGCTTGATAGATCTGTAGTGGTAGAGAGGGATGACGAAATGCCTTGGTTTTTACCCCGTCTTGTTTCTTCTTTTTGTGTCTTGCCTAACTCGACCCCGGGATGTTTTCTTTTGTATGTTTTTTTTTTTGTTTTATCTTTTTCATTGTGCAGTTTCGATTGACTATCTATTATGGTGCCCAGATACCAGAGGTTTTTTTTTTTTTTTTTTTTTTTTTGCACTTTTTATGTTTCTTTTTCATACTCACCTTTCCTATACATGCAACTTACTTCTTCCTCCTCTTTTTCTCTCTTTGCCTTATTTTCTTTTTCTCTGTCTCTCTATTTACCATGATACTGGCTGGGTGTTTACTTTTTTTTACTCTTATTCTGCATGGAGAAGTTCAGGAATGGGAACTTATATTTACTTTATACTACCTAACTTAACTTCTACTCTACTCCGCTCTATCTCTTATGTCTCCGTATAGCTAACTCCTTGAACTGGTCCCATCTACGCCTACTCTCCGCCAATCACTTCCTATAGTAAGAGCAACCCTCCAAGAAATGAAGCCAATGGGCAACTACTACAACTACCAGAGTAGACCAGAGAATATGAAGGGAAGAATCCCTCTGGATACTAAGGAAATTGAATATGTTAAAGAAAGAAATGTATATAGAGGAAATAATGATTCACTAGGTTAGGTAGGTATATAAGACTTCAAAGAGACCAACCATCTAGACAAGGAAAAAATACAAGCAGAGTATAATATTAGAATCAAATGGCACAATGAAAAAAAAAAAAATAGGTGAAAGTGATCCATTCCACCCTTTCCATCTTCTTGATCAAATTACCTCCCAAGTATAGATTGGCTGACAGTAAACAAAGGGTCCAGTCCATAACCGGGTGTAAAAGTGAGAGACAGTCAGGCGCTGAGGCATATCAACCTCAATAACCGGCAATCGAAGAGATCGCGATCACAATCAATCTCAACTGATTGTGGACGGCTGCGACCATTCTTGTCAAACAGTGAAAACAGTGAGAGCAGTTCCATTTGGAATGCCAAGTTCATGCGCATACATATAGTTAGGGCCATCAGCTACGTATTATTACATTTGCTTGAGATGAAAGGCGGCTTTATGCGGCGGCCGTCAACGTAATGGCCCAGTGCCAGAAGACATTGCAGAATCGAGATCGGAAGCCCGTCTCCAGGTGGATTTAACACCCTCTCTCCTCAGGCCGTCCGCCCGGAAATCGATTCATCCAGGGGAAAGAATGGCTGAAGGATGTCGTTGATGGGTATATAATGAGCCAGACCACGCGTGCACAAGGCTTGAAAATGGTTGACATTCTCGGAAAAACCCAGAGGCGAAAACGCTTGGAATCAAAGCCGAATAAGAAATCGCCATACACAGCGCAAGAGGACATGTTTACTTTACTTCCCTTACTTGACAGCAGAAATCAAATACGGGAACCACCAGGCTCTCGAAATTGCTGACCGGCAGAATACATACATATGCCCAGTACATATGTATGTGCATTGCTCTCCGGGCTGTGTGTGGTCTCTCTGGCCCCAGGCAGCTGGTTGCCCAGAAAAAAAGTGCATCGGAGACTCTTGGGATTTTCCATATCACATGAACTCGAAAACACCTCCGAATATACGGCTACTATCCCGAGATAGATGACGGTAAAGTATCATTTTACCGGTGGCCTATCGCCCAACTGAATATCTGGATGATGCAGGATAGTGTGGGCATGTTATCGTTTCGTGGAGAAACCTTGACCGTGAATTTCTACCGGTTCATATCGACCGGCTGATGCGGTTCCTGGAAGAGGGTCCCGACCCCGAAGAATATTCTTCGCGCGTCGATTTTGATGATATCGATTCCCAGGTGTCAGGGATCGGCTCGCAGACACGTTCTGGGTACATATCGCCGGGCCGCATCCTCACAGGGTGGTCGAGGTTTACAACCGGAGGAGCCAGGTATGCTGGTTGATACATACGTTATTACAGCAGCAACTCGAAAATCCAAGGCTATGTACAGGAAGAGAAACGGTTAGCAGAGGATAGGATGCGCGAAGAGAAACGAAAAGCAGAACAGAGGCTGCGGGAAGATAAGCTAGTTAGCACATTCTCCTGCGGCCCTTTAGGAAGCTCGCGTTAACTCCATACCTACTTCTACTTGTATAGTAAGGTAGTAAAACTCAACTCCTGGACGAGAAAAGGAATAGAAAAGATAAAATAAATGAACCAACCAACTGAGCCCTAACCTAGCCTTTATCCGTACACACACAAGTCTGTTAATAATGTCATACCTAACCTACCGTAACCAACCCATCCAATCCAATCCAACCAAAAAGAAATGAAATAAAAATGAAAAGCAAGTCCAGTCCAGCCCCACCCAGTGCAATCCGTTTATGCATCATTCGCCGCTCGTCGCTGTATAATAGTCAGCCCAGCTAGGCTCAGATAACCAGGTACAACTCCAACCAAGAAACAGAAGTAGGAAGAACAAAGGAAAACACAAAGTGGGTAAATTATCCTCCGCGCTCCCCAAACTGTCGAGCCCAGTCTTCATACGCGCGAAGGCCATCTTTACTAACGCTAGGACGGATAGAGAGCAAACTAGCTTCAAAGTCCTGGAAGTGAATGGGCCGGATCTGGTCCATGGGTGTGTGGAGGAGGGCTTCGCCTAGGTTGCGGAGAGGTCCCATGGCGGCATCCTTGGCGAGGGCTGTGATGTCCGAGCCGGAGAAGCCTGTATGATTCATTATTGTTAGCTTAATGCGAAGCGAAAGGAGCGAAAGAGGGGGTAAGAGGCTAGGAGGGAAAGCACCGTCTGTAACCTGGACTAAGACTTCGATATCTTCGTCGCTGAGTTCGTGAACTTGGTGGCTGAGGAGTCGGCGGAGCTGCTGTTCCCGGACGTGATGTTCGGGAAGAGGGATGTACTGGCGACGGACGAAACGACGGCGCGCGGCTTCGTCAATGTCCCAGGGCATGTTTGTCGCGGCAAGCACGAGGACCCGGCTTGCGTCGCCCGTTTTGCCTGGCTGTTCCCGCCCGGCTGCAGCCCGCTGCAAGTCCGACCATTGGATGAGAAATTCGGTCTTTGAGCGGCGGGATGCTTCATTCTCTGTTCCTGATGACCGCGCGGAGAGAAGCGAGTCGATCTCGTCGACAAAGATGATCGATGGAGCGAGCGCCTTGGCTAGTCCAAAAAGTGCGCGAACGAGCTTCTCGCTCTCTCCATGCCATTTGGATGTCAGGGTTGACGCTGATACAGAGAAAAAGGTTGATTTTGACTCTGTAGCAACTGCCCGCGCAAGCATCGTCTTCCCCGTCCCGGGAGGCCCAAAGAGAAGCATACCGCGGGCCGGTTCTCGTAGCCCAGAAAACAAATCTGGACGTAAGAACGGATAGACCACGGCTTCTTTGAGAGCCTTTTTGGCAGCCTCCAGGCCAGCAATATCGTCCCAGTGGACTTCGTCTCCGCGGACAACAATGTCATTCAGAACCTGTCGCGCAGCATTCACATCAACCCCCCTCGGCAGCTTTTTCAGTACATTCATGATGGAATCGTCTTCGGCTCCGTCAGGGTCGTAGTCTTCGATATCATCTTCGTCAGCATCAGTAGATTTGAGACCCCAAGATTCAGGATCACTTGACGGTGGCGTCACGGCACGTTTGGGGACCGGGGTACGTCGAACCGGGCCCTTTGGCAAAAGAGACATATTACTCATACCAGGAACTAGATGTTTGTCTGTGGCAGATCCGCGTGGTGCTTGGGGCTTTGATGTCGGTTTGACATCTGACTTTGGGCTATCTACAGCTCCCAGGGACGGGCCAGGAGATGAAGAAGACGGCGGGGGTGGTGGTGGTGGTGGTGGTGGTGGTTGCAACGCTCTTAAAGATACAGGCTTAGGCTTAACCAGTGGTTTGGGGGAAGGACATGGTGCAGGCACATCTTTCGGTTCTGGCGCCAAAGAAGCAGATTGGGAACGCGCGGTACTAGCCCGTTGCTGTCGGATCTCAGCTGAACCACGATGTTTGGGTACAGGGGTTGTTGGAGTAGATGACGACGTTCTTTTCGCGGGAGACTTTTTGATTGGTTTATCGGCCGCTGTTTTGAGCTTTCGCCCTTCTCGACGGTCCTCTGCATTTTCAGCAGGACGGTGGGGAGTCGTCCTTCTCAAGCGCTGTTCTTCAGCAGAATTAGCCCGAGGCAGCTCAAAGTCCCTTCGAAAGCCCGAGTCATTCGAGAGACTTTGGCGAGAGGAGGCTAAAGCGGCATCATTGGCCGTTTTATCAGGGGAGGAAGGAGTACGATAGATACTCCCCCAGGCGAGACCCGCCGCCTGCGAGGCGGCAGCGGGCCGCAATTCCTTCCGTCGCGATGAACTCTCCTTCTTCTTCGGCTTTTTCAAGGTTAGATTGCGCAAGGAGGGCATCATCAACTTTCGCCGTTCGGGGCTCGGTGTGCGAGAACTCGATTTAGCAGCAGAAGACTGCGATTCCGACCGCATTGGAGCGGTAGGGCGGGGAGGAGGTGGTGGCGGCGGCGGCGGCGGCAGCGCTGGGTCCGATGCAGGGGGGGTAGTCGCTGCGCTCGACACCGACGAGCGACCGGCGATGGTGGGCGGCTTGGAGAGATCAGTATATCCGACCGCGGGGACGGTTCCCTCTCCAATCCAGCCGCGAGTGGCGTTGCTACCTGGAGGCGGAGACTTCCCCGAAACGGAATCCTTTCTGCTCTCGCGAAGGGCACCCAGGAGGTCGACTCGCTCACGGCATTGAAGCTCCAGCTGGCGGATGGACTCTTGCAAAGCGCGTTCTGTCTCAGAATTTGGGGTGTATCTTGCAGGGAGTCGGTAGGCGTTGTGGTAGTAGATGGTTTCCAAGGCGGAGCGCCAAGATTTCAAGGCTTCTTCTTCATTATTCTGGAGTCGAGGAGGAAAACGCAATTAAGTCAGCCAGACGGCATCAGAGTGGAGGGTGTGGGCTACAGACTTGACCCTCAAAATAAACAGCCGTCGAGCACATCAAATAGCAGTCGTCGTAGGTCTTCTGCAGCGACGACACGGGCTTAGGGCGCATCATTCATACAATGAATGAAGTCACAGCTAGCGGAGAGATTGCAGGGCCAGCCCGCAACACCGCCATGCGTGAAGAAGAAAGAAGAGGACAAAAAGGGGGGGGGGGAAGAAAGAATGAATTGATGAATCAGGAAAATTATAAAGAAGACAAGAAACAAAAGAGGTCCTTGAGGATGATCTGACAAGAGGCACGACAGGGGAGATGGGAGAGGAAAGAGAGTAGAAGTGAAGACGACGAATTGAGCGGAGGGGCGGCAGTTTTTTTTCCCCTCGTGACGTCGTTGTTGTCTGTTGCGTGGCATCGAAAATTCTGCAAGTTATATTTCCTACCTCGACCGTTTTATGGGATGTATAGAATTACTGGATAGAAGAGAATGAGCTCTGGATAAATATTATTCGGATATCTTCATCCAATCTGGCGGGGTGGCCAGCCATCTCGTCGGTCTATCAGTACAATGTTGTTCACACTCCCATATCCACAAAATGTATCCAAAAAAGAAAAAAGAAGCAGAAACCAGACAAATAAAGGATCATAGGGATGTACGATATGAAAAAGAAATGGGTAAAGAAAAGAAAAACAGAAGAGGAAAAGGATGAAAAAAAAAAAATCCCCAAAAGTGTCCCCCCTGCGTCCCAACGCCATAACAATATAGCATAGCATACATCGGGCCAGGGCCGGCTCCAATCCAAAAAAGATAATGCCCACAGTGTGTCTCGTCAAGCCATAAAGCAGTCAATCAGAATGCCAAAGAGGCATTTCCAAAGCAGCCCGCAATGCCTGGTCCAGAAAAAGAACAAGAGTATATACAATGTGAGAACAGAAGATGAGTAGCAAGCATGCGCGCATGCCCTGCCCTTCCCCCAATAGCTCGGACCAGGAGCTTGTTCGCTTTGAACCTTTTTGTCTTTTATTTCCTTTATATTTCTCCCTCTCCTTTTGTATGGGGATTTATTGTGTGGGTCCCAATGTGGTTTTCATATTTTTATGATCTGTGGATATTCTGCATCATTATCACAGTCAGAAAGGCTGCCAAGCGCCTATGCTGATGTGAATTGAATTCATGCGGTCGGACTTGTCATCAGTCCGTCTAGTGGTCGACCTGGCCCTTGAAATAAGCCTTGGCCATTTCGTAGGAAGTCCTGCCACAATGTTAGCGATCAAATTTGATCCAAAAATGAAAAAAAAAAAAAATTCAACTCACCAACAAATCGCAGTGCTAGGCATCGTAGAAATAATGCGAGGACGAGCGCCACGCAGGAAACCCCGCCAGCCGAACTGGCGCTTGATAATGCTGGCTGCATTGACCAAGCCCTTGGCCGACCGGATCTCCTCGTTCTGGGCCAGACCACGGGTCTGGAGGAGAGTCTTCACCACATCAAGTGGTGTGGTGATACCGGCGGCAAAAGCGCCAGCCAGACCACCCGCAATACAATGTGTGAAGGGATCGTAATCCTGGGATGGGTTCATGACCTTGGAAATCGACTCGTAGGCAACAAATTGGGTGGCGGTGAAGGGAACGGTCATACAGAGCGTGGTGGGGTAGGAGACGTAGAATGCTTGGAAACCTTCCGTCCGATAGACGGACCTGGCGCATTGCAGGAGAGTCTTATGTACGGAGCCATGAACTTGCATTCGTTGTTTGATCACTATTCAAGTTAGATGATATGTAGTGGGGAACTCGGGGTGTGGCGTGCTCACCGTCAAACGGATTCATCAAGGCATCGCTGGCGATAGTCGCGGATGCGCCACTCATAGCTGTAGAGCGTCAGTAAATAGAAGTCAAGTTGAGAAATCCAAGATATCGACTTACCAGCTGCCAACGGATGGTGCCCGTCGTCTGCATTTCCACCGGCCATGTCCTTCACGAACTCGTATGTACCGAAATAGACAGCGTGGGCGGGTCCTGCAAAAAGAAAAGAGGGGAAAGTCAGCCCCCGAACGAAGACCCCCAATATCCAACTCCCGATCGACGGAATTGCTCACCAGCACCGACAATCACGCTCGAAACACCCTTCCATAGTGTCCGCCAGCCTTCAATCCGGTAGATTGTTGACACCGCATTTGTGAGTCCTGTGTAGAGGCCGCCAGTTGTAGGGTGCAAGATCTGCATTCGAGTCTGAGGGCAGAAGAATCCAACGGTCAGCAAGTGTACAGACTCATCAAGACGTAGCAAATGCAGGCAACAGCAGCGCTGCCATGGGCGAGGAGCAATTGACATACCTTGAGTAAATCCACGGGGTACATGACCGAATGCTCCTGTTATTAAACACGCATCACATCAGTTTGAAATCCCAACGCCGAGTCAATAGTCCCGGTAATTTTTTGGCGACATACTGCTATCCCGGCGAAAGCGCCAGCCAACATATTCCGGCCCAGGCCATAGTTTGAAGGGAGGGCTTCGTAACTATCATGACAGGGTTAGCTCTATCCAAACCGACCATGTTGACTTTTTTTTTTTTCGCCCCCCTCTAGTCTTCGTCCCAATAGAGCCAAAGAGGAGGGGGGGGGGGAAACAATCTGCGCAGCCTAAAATCCGAGGATCAAGCATCCATCAATCCGTCTTGGAGACTCGGATTTATTCGTGCGAGGTTGTCCGAGGCCGAAGGACAGGGGGGAGCGGATACGGGAAAGCACGAGGACATACTCAAACTCCTGCCCGGACATCTGCTCGGATACAGCCATCGAGCAAGGAGAGCTCTAGTAGCAGCCGTAGCCGCAAGGAGGGGAGAAAAAGAAGGGAGAGGTAGGAGGAGGAGGAGGGGGGAGGGGGGAGGAGGTTATAAGGCGAAAGTGAGTGCGAGAGGACGGAGGGCGCGCCGGTGGTGGTGGTGGAGGAGGAGAGAAAAAGCAGTTGGTGTTGAATATGCCGAAGAAAACGGAATCTGCGGAGTGGAGAGGAACCGAAGCCGACGAGCGGAGGAGAAAAAGTTCTGGAGAATGGAGGGAGAAGGAAGACAAAAGCGAAGACAAAAACAAGATTCAATGAGGGGGGAGAAGAAAGGAGTTGGACAGAGGAAGAGAGTAGGTCGGGGATGATTTTTTTTTTTTGGCCGGGCTGGGAGGAGAGGTAGGTAGGTTATGGAGGATTATTGAGGATTCTTAGACTATGTATGCTAGAGTGAGAGAGAGAGGTGTTGTTCTCACCCACTTTTTTAGCAGCTGGTCGGGGACTTTACTAATCTTCAACTTCATGCTAATTGGGATAAATTCTAGAATGAATTAGTTTGTAATAATGTACCTTTTTTTCCCTGTATTGACACTATTTGGCTGAGATGTATCGAGATCCAGATTCTGGCTATCAGATCTTCCTATCAATCAGTCAGCCTCACTCTACGAATCCTACGGAGGATCACTCCTCGTATAGTCTATAGTCTGTACTCTCCTTTCTTCCATCATTCTATATTTTAACCAGAGATATGGATAGATAGTCATCGGAATTGCCCAAATTGGACTCTCTCAATTCAGAAATCGACTCTATTATGCAAAGATCCCAGCAATCGACGAAGAAGGAAGGAAAGAGAAAGCGAGAGATTCTGGCCTAAAGGATAAATCATAAATCCGACAATCTCCCGTCCGATTCCGGACCGCTTGCTGGTCTGAGTCAAGGAATTCCCCGTCTTATCTGATGCTCTGAATACTTCGATAGCCACAAATCTGATTTTATATGTAGTACTATCCCATATGTTGTATGGATTTGGTTATTGATACATGCATTGGAACCGCCCTCGTTCATCCCTAGATAATGGTTTTCATGGTCAAGCAACGCCTTTTGCGATGAAATTGAATCCAGTTCTCGCTGTTCGGCAGTAAGGTAGTCAGTCATGTACGTCGTGAAAAACTCGTCCCACTCACCCTCCATGGGGTAGGAACCAAAAAATAATAATAATAATATAGTCTTGTCCTTCTTCTGACCTTTCCTCTCTTTCCTTTTTTTCTCTTTACTCTGCCCACCAGTGCAACAAGAAAATGGGCCCATCTATACAATCTAACATTTACCATTCCACATTGAACGACCATTCTCCTGCAATATCGTTAGTACAGTAACCTGCGCAGAGACACAGCGAGATGCATACCATTTTTCAGATTCTCCGCCGTGTCGCTCAACAAAATCACCCGGCGCTTGTTACAGTACGCCGTCTTGTCCAGGATATCTACCTTCAGGTTCGCCAGTTCTGGCACGGGTTTCTCAAACATCTCACTGAGACTCTCCACCGCCAGTTCCAAATCCTTCTGGTTGTCTTCGAAGATTTCCGTCAGATTGTTCCGCGCAAGGTAATAGGCAAAGGCATAGGTCCATTTGAGGGTCTGTCGGCACTGTTGCAGGGCCTGGGACGCAGTGTCCAGGAACTGCACTTCAATCCAGGAAAGGCCCGACTGGGATTGCAAGCTCGTCATCTTCTTCTCCGTCTTTAGATACAAGTCCTTGTCAAGCTTGGCTGACTGCTCGTGGTTGGCATATCGGTTATAATAATGTAGATAACGCTCCAGCGAGGCTCGGGAACGTGCCTGTGCAGTGCGTGCATCCGACCCTGACTTTTCCTCATACCGATTGCAGTTGTACCAACTGGTGCCGTGTTCGGACCACAGCCCCATGCACATCCAGCAGAACTCGTGCTTGCACTTGCGACACGTCATGTGATTGCAACCGCCATTCTTCTCGATTGTGGAGTTGCACTTAGGACACTCTTTAGTATTAGCAGAGATCCAGTTGGCCGTCTCGGAATCATCCTCGCATTTTTTGAGCCACATCTTGACCAGTGTACACGGCGAAGGTTGGTGATCGTTGAGGGTACACCCAAAGCAGAAGTAATGTTTGCAGTTGCACTGGACCGTGGGTACGATTCGGTGTAGATCACGTTGTTTCACATGACAATCAATTGCATACTCGCAGTTCGGGGCGGGGCACCACTTGAGGTTTTCCTTGTCATCGACGTAGGTTCTTATGAGGAGTGTTTGGTATCTGTAGAGAACATGTTAATACCACAAGCAGGTCGGAAACAAGACGTTAAAAAAAAACAAAAAAAACAAAGTAACTCACCTCTCTTTCAGCTCCTCCGTGACCAGCAAGCTCAAAGACTTAGAATCGACAATCATATGGCAACCATCCCCAGGACACTCTATCCTCGCAGCCTCTCCTTCCTCCCGAATCTTTTGTGCTAAATAATGTCGATAACAGTCAACGCAAAACCGATGTCCACAACGCATGGCATATGTCTTAAGGTCATCACTATCTTCGCAGCAAATATCGCACATGAAGCCCGACACCACCTCAGCCTTGGGCACTGATTCAAAGTTTGTTCCCAAACCGGCTTCATCTAGTGTCTTTTCCGGGTGATCCATGTAAGACTCTATCAGCTTCTCTCGGTTCCACCGACCGAATCGCAAAAGAATAGCAGACCACTCTGGAGGCAGTCCCAAAATCGATGAAACTTCATTGATCTGCAGATTTTGTTCCCTCTCGATCTCTTCCGGACTGAGAACCTTGAAGTCTACTTCGTAGGGTTTTCGCGTCGTTGCAACGATGTCTTTGTCTTTAGAAAAGCCGCCGTCAAAATCGTCGCCGAAATCTAATCAAGAAGAAACGTGACCAACATTAGCAACATTCAAATCAAACCAAGAGGAGAGATTTTGTGTTCGTAAGGGGAGAAAAGAAAAAAAAAAAAGGAAAAATTACCCTCTCCTAGACTCTCATCGTCACTACCCTGAGTCCCTAGAAAATCATCGGGACTGGACGCAACACTCATAAAATCATCATCTGACTCCATGCTGGTCGAGGCCGGAGTGACCAGATCGGGGACTTTCTTTCCCGTAGGCTCCGAGATAGGCTGGGAGGACTCGGAAGCCGAATCTGTACCGGGATCTTGTTCTTGTGTAGTCCTCTGCTTCTTACGAAGAGGGTTGGTATCACTGCCCGAGGGGTTGTCGGTGGCGGCTCGTAATCGGGCAGTTAGAGGCTTGGTGGCGGCAGGAGAGGTTGACTCGTTTTCAGCGATCGCCGCCAGGGCCGCCTTGCGTTTTCTCGTGAAAGGAGGCGTGGTGAAAGGTGTTTGTGGTCTATGGAGGCTAGAGAGGGTGCTGACTCGAAAAAAAAAGGTAGGTCTCAAGATTTGACTCTGTTAAGACCTCGTCTTTTTTTTTTTTTTCGGGACAACACACGTCACAGCCTACCGATAGTTGGGTGCTGCAGCCGACCAAAGCGTTGGACGATGACTGTGAGGGAATGGGAGGGAGGGGGAAAGTGGATGGGGGAAGAGGGGGGGGGAGAAGCACTAGCTAGCTCCGTCCACCTTATCGAGCGTTGGAGCTCTCTAGGCAGAAGTAACCAACAGAGGGGAGGAAATAGACAGGTTAAGAGTCAGAGAGAGATCGATCTCTACTAGTTAATTAACTCTCGGGCGGCTCGACTTCACAGGGAGAAATGTGGGGAAGTAGCAAAACAAGAGCCTCACTCAACACAGCCTGAGAGGATTTACTGTCCGACCCGAGTCATTTGGGGAGGAGAACAATGAGAAGGGATGAGAAGGGATAAACAACGAGGAGGCAGAGTGGGAAAAAAGTCGAACTTGTCAAATAGAAAGAAAGGGGCATGACATGACGGTGCCAGTGCAAATCCTCTATCTGTGTTGGAAAAGCAACCCCTCCTTCTTTCGCATTATAATAATACCTGGTACTCCGTGCCTAGGTATAAATGGGAGGAAATTAGTCCAATGATATCAATTGCGGCTGGAAGAGATGAGGACTTGCGGGATCTTTGCACCTTCTTGACTGGGAAACAATCTTGAAAAATAAAGAAGGTCTTCATTCATTGCATTTTTGATGCTAAGAATAGATAGGATAGATAGATACTTCGGATGAATATCGGACAAGTCACGCTATGCTAAGGCATCCATCCACCAGGCAGCCAGGCAACACTACATCATGAACCGATCTTTGATTCTTTGATTCTTTCAGAAGGCGCTCAAATATTCTGAGGTAGGTAGATTCAATGCTCAATCATCTTCTTCTTCACTCTCTTCCTCTTCCTCTTCACTACTTTCCTCTTCTTCGGCGTTCGCAAGCCAATCCACAAACTGTTGCGTTTGGCTTCGCACCTTTCGCATTTCCTCACTGTTACTAGACCGTTCATCTGCCCACCACTGCTCATACGCTTCTTCTTCCAACACCTCCAGATCATACAATTCCTTGGCCGCGAACAACAGGACAGTCTCGCCGCGAACACGATGCACAAGATCCTGCTGCAGCAGAACCAACAGATCCACTTGATCCGTCTTCGCACTACGCTCACGGTCGAACAATGCGCGATCGATAATCTCATGATACTTGCCGAAGATGTCCTTGACGGCTTCCCCTGCCCCCTGGCCGCCCTCCATTAATTGCGCAATGCGCTTCATGAAGGCGGACACGACAGCTCGTCGGACTTGGTAATCCGAGGCGTTCGCTGTCATACGGAGACTCACCAGCTCCAGTTGCACAACATCAGAGGAAACGCCGTCCCGTAAGCTGTCGTAGATACTGGTCGTGGCGTCGTGAACGAAATGGTGATCCTGTTCGTCATCATCTGAAACTGAAGTTGCAAAACTTCCGGAGCGGGATCTGCCGTAGTCTGAGATCTCAGAAGATAGAGTAGAGATCGATTCTGTAGAAAGGGAAAGTCGTGCCATATTGTAAACTACAGCAGGCAATGTTAGCGTTATCATCTCCCTCAGCAACTAAATGGGCTGCATGAATAAAGGGGGGGGGGCAGCATACTCAGGCCTGACGAGGCGTTACTGGCAGTCTCATCCTCGTCCTCGTCTTCATAAGGGACGTATTCGTAGCCCTCTCCGCCTTCCCCAACAATATCTGCGTCGTTTTCTGGCTGACTTCCATCTTCTTGGCTCAAGGCCTTTGTGATACGCATTCCCTCACTCACAGTGATCCCGTCGGCGATCTTCACACCAAAAGAAATTAAGGCACCAGGCTCAACCTTACAGCTGTTGCCTACTACCACACCATCGGCGATAATCGCCTGGAAAACTGTCGTCCCATCACCAATGACAGCATTGTCCCAAATGTAAGCGCCATCCAAGGTGACATTCTTCCCGATCTTACAATTTCTTCCCAGTACTGTATTCTTCACGGTCGTCTTGTCGCCAAGGCTCGTGCCTTGGCCGATTACCGTTCTCCGGCCCACGATGCACGAACGAGCTAGAGTAACACCCTGTTCCTGATATAGGTTTCCTTTTCGGAGGTCGTAGTTGTGTCCGGGTAGCAGATTAGTGTCTGGGCACAGGGGGTATGCCCACCGCGAAATGACATCCTTGCTAATCGCGTCATAAGCTTTCAGGTTCCTCACACGGGCTACGTAGTAATCTGTAATGATATGTGTATGTATCGTCTTCCCGTTCAGTTCGTAATCTTTCAGAATGCCGAAAAGAAATTGCTTCCGTGGGGTCTGATAATCGAAACTGTCGGACCACAGACTCAGGACGTCGGGAGTGCAGATGTCAATGTTGCAGTCAATGAGGTCCTGGCGGATGTCGATCTCCGCGTGTGTTTCAAGGAGTTCGGTGTCGATAGTCAGGCGAGATGATTCGGGAGAATAATGGTCAATCTCCTCGTAATGGAGACAGCGGTCCTTGGTCGGGTCGACAATGAAGACAGGTGAAACAGAAGAGGCCTTTGTCCGGTGGTTCCCGCCAGCCTCCCGCAATATCATAGTCATAATCGCATTTTTGTCGGCCTCACGGCGAGCACGGTGCGCGGCCAACGCACCTTCGATGGGCAGATTGCTAATCACATCGCCGCTCACGACAAGGAAATCACCGGTGATCAGGTGTTTGCCGTCGAGGTCTCGCATGACATCTCCGACGGATGTAGAAGTTGACTTGAGGAAGGTAAATTGTTTAAACGGTGACGAAGGGGATCTCCATTTCGATGTGCTTTCAACCTCTCTGTCAGTCTCCGTACCAGCCACTACCCTCCCGAATGTGTTCCACATACTTGATGTAATTCTCCAGCTGATCCGAGTGTGCACCGCCGTACAAAAAGACTTCCTCGACGCCTGCATTGGCAAGAAACTCGAACGTATACTCAATCAATGGGGTGTTCGCGAGCGGCAGTAAACACTAAAGAGACAAACATCAGCTCCATAGGACTCCCACTTGCTTCGTGCTAGATCCGACTCTTTTCTTTTCCCGCTGTCAATCTTCAGCGCAACGCATGGCAGCACATACTCTAGGCTTATCAAGGGTGAAAGGCTCGAATCTAGTCTCGAAAGTATCCGCAAGGACCTGTTCGAACAAAATATTAGCGCCCCGCAAATTCCTCTCGGGAAACATAGGAAAGTTACGTACGACAGCCTGCAATGTCTCCTCTACTTCTTCAGTAGCATTTCCCCGCGACTTGTTCGCGGTGCCACCCTTTTTCGGTGCCATCTTGCTAACAAAGACGTCAGTTAGAAAGTAAAAGATGTTGAGCACAATTTATTGCACTCACTCCTAGTTCCGACTTTTTTTTTTTCGCACTAGGGGAGCACCGATGACGTGCGAAAGACAACAACGAAACAAGAGAAAGTTAGGATCAGTAGAGCACAAGGCGAAACCACTAGGCTAACGAATCCCAATATTAGATGAATTGCCCCAAGGTAGTTCCAGACAACAGTTGGCTCACAAAAACATGTGTACCCTCGGAGTCATCCCATCCCACCTCCTTTACCGCCCGGCAGATTTTCTTTGTTTGTGTTGTTTGTGTTGTTTGTGCTGTTTGCCTTTCCCAATGACACGTGACCTATCGATGCAGCACCGCCACATCCACCAGGCGGTCATTCCAGCCTTGAAAAGTCCAGAACTCAAGGAAAGGCCTGGGCCCTCCTGGACTCAAAGGGGATAGATATCCCTGAACAAGGGACAATGGTCTAGACCTTGACCTGGAGCCTGGAAGGCTCGAAAAGTCGAAATTTCAATGCTGGCGGCCTGGGGTTGGGCTTCCTGGGGCTTGGGTTCGCCGATCCCGATCGATAGTTGTTTATCACATGCAGGGATTTACTTGTGTATATATTTGCTTGTTTATAAAAATGCCTCGCTTCTGCGCTAGACAGGACAATTTGGTTAGTTCCTTTTCTGAAGGTATCTACAAGTTTGAATACGGATGGTGTTCAAAGATTACCGACAATATCATACTAATAACGGTGCCTGCAAAAGTGTCATATTCCCTAGACTCTCGGGCAGCAACAGGAAAGAGTAAATCTCAATCGGGACAAGATAACCAAGTGTCCCAAAAATAGCACAAGAGAAAGAGCAAAAAAAATTCCTCCATAACCAAGAAAAATAAGGTAAACCTGAGATGCAAAAGCAAGGCAAAACGATCACAGGCTATATAAACACGACACGCTGCCAACCCGGGTTCCAAATTCCCAAAGGAGCCAAGTTATCTAGGTGTTCCGTTTTCCAAATATGAATCGAACAGCTCTTAAGCGATCCAATAGAAAATGACAAGTAAACCAATTTGCTATAAACGCATGCACACTGGATGCGAAGTATACCCCAGGAACGCCACAATTTCTCAAATAAGAGCCCGAAGATAAAGAAAAACAGGGCCCAATTCCCTGGTAGTAGGCAATAAAATCAAAAAAAAAAAAAAAGGCAAATGTCGTGCGGCTAGGGGTTCATTAAAGCAGGAGGAAAGGTCGTCATCAATCCAAGATGTGGCTATACAGAAATTAACAAAGTCAAGCTGGGCTGGAATAAAGGGAATGAATGGCGGCAATTTGTCGATAAAAAATATACAAAAGAAAGGCTTCAAAACATGATCTTTAACCAGTACGAGTAGCCTGCATTGGGTTGACCATTGACTGAGGCGGATGTGCGTACATGCGTGGCCGCTTCGCTAAATTGGGGTTCTCTGCAGCATTGGCGATTTCGGAGACCTGGCGGCGTGGTTGCGGGCGGGGCCCCGCTGCGGCAAGTGCCACTGCAGGGGGTGCGGGATATTGCACCCCATTTTGATCTACAGCATAAGCAGCGGCCGCTGGATTGGTAGGAACGTATTGGCCTGGAACTTGTTGAAGGGTGGCAGGAACCGTCGCCATTCCCTGGAATTGGCCCGGGGATTGCCAAGTGTTCATCGAAGTAGCAGGTGACTGGCCAGGGGAGCTGTCTTCTTTAACAGACTGTGCAGCTGAGCTTTGCGCAGCCATCGTGACAGCTGTCGGGGGCTGGGGAGCCTCCATGCCTTGCGACATGGTCTTCAGATGAACCAGGTGCTTCTCTAGCATATCTAGAAGACTTTTTCTTGTAAAGGGTTTCGGGAGCACGTCGTCCATTCCTAGTCAAGTTAGCAAGGCACGCAGTAGAGCAGTAAGAAGATCAGCTCACCGTGCTGGAAGTAAAGTTGAATGTCATCGCTTCGAATATTCGAGGTCATGGCGATAATAGGGGTTCGGTCGAATTGGCGAATGAGGTGACACGCGGAAACTCCATCCAGGTTTGGCATAATGATGTCCATAAGAATCAGATCATACTTGGAACCATCCTGAATCTTATTTACAGCTTCCAGTCCATCAAACTACGCAAATATTAGCGACAGTCCAGTCATTCAAGCTTATATAAGGGAAAACTTGCCGCTGTATCAATTTCACAAGAGAAGGAATAAAGGAATTTTCCACCAATCTGACGACACGTTGCATCATCCTCGACAAGCAAGATCCGTGGACTACGCACCCATCCTGGGTCAACATTGGTGCTCTTCTTCCTGTTCTCAGGAAACTGTCTCCGGGAATCATCAATTTCCTGTTTGGGAGGAATCGGATACGGGACGTTGTTGACATGTTCACCGTACATGGGGTCAATCCCATTAGTTGCACCGACGGGATACACGACAGACTCCATATCGCCATTCATCTTTTGATAGACCAAAGCCGGGTTCGCAGCCGTGACAGTAGGTGGGCGCACGACCCCGTTACGCGGAGCAGTTTCTAGTGCAGAGGTAGCGACAACTCCAGCTGTTTTGGAGGGTTCTCCCATAGATTCGAGACCGGCAAGGTTGAATTGAATCTCGGCATTCATATCGTTTAAGAGCTTTGAAGCTTGCTGTAACGGGGAGGAAGGTTCGTCGTCCATGGCAGCAACCTGGGAGGGACTCAGGTTGGAACCAGCCTGACCCTGAGCTTGGAAAGGGCCGGATTTACCATCGCGCTTCTGTCGTGCATCCACCGAAAGCAAGTAGTTCATCACCTGGTGAATAACGTTCTCGTGGTTAAGGACGGTTTTCTGGACCCTCATTACCTCCTGCAGCATCAGCTGATGATCCACTGTCAGCTGTGCATAGCGGTCTGACAGGTGTTGAATCTGCTGTTGTTGTGCTACAATCTGCTGGTTAAGTAGATCGATCTGCTGCGTGGGAACGGAGTCGTCGTGGGTCTGGGTCTGCTTCCGCGGGGCTGGCGCCTTCCGTCGAATGTTGTCGAGAGAGTCCTTGCTGTTCGCGCGGAACTCGGGGTGTTTAAACTCCCATGCCTGAAACTCCAATCAGATAAAGATATTCCCTCTGCATAAAGCTGTAAGCCCTTACATTCTGACCATACGGCGATTGTCCATTTTCCTCATTATTCTGCCGTACTTTATGAAAATCGTACTTATTCAGCTGCCGCACGAAACTGGCGAAGTTGCTGTGTTTAAAATGCTTGGGAAGAATGGTTTTGGTAAATTTTTCGCACTGTAATCAGGTATTCACAATTAGCCGGGTGGGGGGAAAGGGAGGGGTTTCACGATCGCAGAAGTGCGCGCTGCTTGGGGAGGGGGAGCGTTACCTCCAAGACAACGAAACTGTCTCCTTCATCACCCCACCGTACGATTTCCGCATACGACGGGTCCTCCAGCATCCTTATGCAACGAAATCAGTAAGAAATTGTCCGTACAACGAGCAATCCATCTTTTCCAGAACAAGAGTAGCCAATAACAGGGGGAAGCTAAGGGACAATGAGGTTGAGGACCAGGGAGGTTGAAGACGGGGGAGAAAAATGGAGAGAGAAAAAAAGAGCGAAGAAGGAACCCACTTGTAAAGCTTCCGTACCTATCCATATTGTTAGCATCCAGATTAAAACGGTAGCACAACAAATCAATGATGGTAACAAAAAATCCTTCCGTCACCACCAGCAGGACAATAATACTTACAAAATCGCTGGAGTTGCCCGCGGAGGCGGTACTGGTCGTGGTCTGGCCACCGTCCATCGTGGGCTAGATGGGTCGCGACCGATCGAACAAGCAACAGACTTCAGAGCTCTCAGAACTTGAAAAACAAAAGGAGCGGGATCGAGTGGGAAAAGAGTAAATTTTGCGCGGGTTGCGGGGAGAAAGTTCCTGGTGAAAGGAAGCTGAGGAATGATAAAAGAAGAAGAAGAAGAGAGAGAAAAAAAAGACGCAGTTAGTCTTGACCGAAGGTGAAGAAGGAGGAGAAAGAAGAGGAGCCCAAGTCGCAGTAGTTTGGGTGGGACGGGAGAGAGAGAGAGAGAGAGAGAGACACACACACACTCTCTCTCTCTCTCCCTCTCCGACTCAAGAGAGAGTGTGAGTGGATAGAGGCATTATGGTTGAATAATCTTTTATTAGTTGCTTCAGTTAACTAGTACCTATTTCTCTTAAAAAAAAAAAAAAAAAAAAAAAACTACGGGACAGTCGGAGTGAGTTCCTTTTAAGTACGTGGTCACTAGCCACACCCGTTTACTATTAGGAAAAGAAAGAGACGAGAGAGGGGAGGAATTTATTTTCTTTTTTTTAAGCCCATCTTTCCTTAAATTCTTCTTTATAGATTAGGTCTTTTAATAAATATTTAAGAACAACCTCAGCTGTCTCTCTCTCGTTCTTGAGCCAAGCAAGGAGGGGAAATGAGGGAGACAGGAATTTTAATGTCAAAAAGGAAAAAAGTCTCAGCCCTCGGGAAACTTGGAAGCTGTCCTGTCCGTTTCTGTCTGGCTCCAAATCAAAGGTCATGAAAAGAAAGTAAAACAAGGTATCAGAATTTCTCCAGCGGGAAAAGCAGGCCGAAATTCGTCCATGCGTCTGACGATGCAGCAGAAATGCATGAGAAGACGGCGAGGATGGAGGGGGAGACATACAGATAGGCTGCTTGGGGCTTTTTGGGGACCCCAGTGGAGGGCCATCGTCCCACGCACGCATGGATCAACAGCATGAAATGGTTGGGATTATTGGTGGCCAGATCTCCTCCAGTATGACAGTCCAGACTCCGGCTTCATTGGAGAAGACATTAGCTTCGTCCAGCGCTGCAGATCTGTTGCTACTTTGCAGACCATGACTTCATCGCGAGCAACAAACCGGATAGCAGGAGCGAACAAGGCAAATGTACACCGACCTACGAGTAATTGTGGCCGCTATGTACTCCGTACAGAAGGTTCCTTCTTTGGTACGTAGTATCCTGTGTGAGCATCTTTTCAAAACCTCTTCTCGGCGTGGGTAGAACTAGCGCCAAGAAATTTCTACCCACGATGAGCTTATCTCTACCCATGGTGAGCTGTATCCCAGATTTCGGTATATCAGGCTCCAAATGGCGTGACAGAGGTCCATGCCGTTCGTGCTATTCCTTTAGTTGATGTTGATCCGACCTGTATTGTTCCAGAAAAATTCTTTCCGAGGGATTATAATCCAGTGTGGACCAATATAATACTATATCAGCTAGAAATGGCTGTCTTGACACCTTTTTGACCGAACGGTATAACCGACATCCAGGTAACCTAATTCAAATTGCTTTGTGCAACACTCCGGGCAGTAATGATTGATGATCTGAAGGAATTTGATGACGAAAGGTTTATAATGTTCCATTCCATCACTTTTTGGCATATCTTGCAGAGTTGTGCACAACCCAAACCTCTGAGGACTCAATCAACAGAGCACACCAAAGAGCATTTAGTCAAAGCTCAGTCTGTTCCGAAATGTCCACCTCCAGTAATGAGGGGAAAAGCGCAATCGTCAGCGACGAAGCTCTCAAACTCTTCGTAACGGATATCTTGCCAGTGATGGGAGATGATACGTTCTTGGGTACATCGAATGGAGCTAAAATAACATGGTAATCAGGTTAAGCCCCAATCAAGTAGTATTTGCTAACTCACTTACCTAGGTAACAGCTTCGCCTCTCCAAATCAGTTCCAGTGGACTAAAGCACGTTGCGGCAAACGACGGCTCTATTGGAGTCAACTATCCTGGATTTTTTGGCTCTGATAGAAACACAGAACCCCCCGTAATTAATTTTGAGGTCAGTGGTATCACGAGCTATTTTTACTTAAGGACTCTTCTAACTAATATTGTCTTTTGGATAACAACAGTGTAAACCACGGAACGCTGGGGCGAGAACGTTTCAACCCATCAGTTTTCGCTAAGGAGGTTGCTGAGATGATTGGAAGCATGTTTACTCAGAGATCTAAGATACCCGGCACCAGGCACAATGACCAGGAAACATTCATTGCTAGTATGCATGGAACACTTTTCTATATCAGTGCAGCATACTTCTCGCCTGAGTACATCAAATATCTCGAGGCGCCACCCCAACACGCTGAGACAAACTTGTGGGTAAGACGATCGATCTACTTTGATATGAAAGAAGGAAAGGAGAGAGTGGAGGGAGGCCCTTCGACTTCAGTGGGCCCTGATAAACTATGTCGCAAGTGGGGAAGCAAAAATCAATATTGTGACTGCAGCAATTGACGCAGCTCCACGCTAGCATTGCTATCTTTCTCTGGATAGCTTCATGTTCGTGTTGATTACTTATTTAACTACTTATTATTAGTTATTTTGGCCCCAGATTGTGACTTCCATAGGCCTTTGTTTTTTGTTATTCAGACCTTTCACGCTGAGAAAGTCTAGAGTAGTTTAGCCTTCGTCATTCATTCTTCTAGTATCATGCATTTTATCAGCTATATATATAGCAAAGTCCTATTTTATTCAAGCTATTCACCCTCATAACTATTCTAGTTGTATGGTCCCAATAGTCCTGGTAAAGGTTTAAACACTGCCACCTGCTTCCCTTTGTAGAAATGCTTGTTATTGCGCCAACCTTTGCATCGCCACTTAGGAGGTATTGATATAATCTTGACAAAGCTTGTGTGGCTTCGAACCAATCTTTCCTTAAACATAGATTATAGCCCCGTGAGAAGTTTATTTTAAAAACCTCATTTTCTCTACACCCCTTCAGATGTATCCTGGAAATTACATCAGCTGCGAAAAATCCACGTGCAATATGGATATAAAGCCCATGGAAGCCAATGACGAAAACATCCTGACCTTGGATACCAGCGCTGCTATACCGGATGTTTTTAGCAAGCTGCCCTAGCATTACACTAATGGTCTCCTCTAGAAATTCTCTCCAAGTCTGCCCCTCAAACCACTAAGAAATATTAGAAAGTTGGTATATGAGGAATGGCTATTTCATAAACATACACCAGTGCAAGAGATAATTGGCAGGCCCTCAATAGTAGCTGCGCCCTCTGCTCTAGTGAGGAATTTTTCGCCGCCAATTACATATTTCATCTTCAAGATTGAGACGGGGAAGCTTTTAGTATTGTTAATATAAAATCACATATAAGAACTGTTCATGGTGGCTTACCGAACTTTAGGACCTTGTATTCGAGCATCAAGATTGAAATAGACAATTTTCATTAATACCCTTAACATCATACCCTGCCGTCGTATAAAGGGCTCAGAATCCTCCCTTGCTGGCACTTTCCAAGTTTTCCTAGGTAAGGTGATCATCTCACTTGGCCTTAAAGCGTTTTCAACTCCTATGCTACCAGAGTTATATTCCTTCACCTCAGCACAATAAGAAGAGAGATCATCGAAAAGATTTCGAAGGTCCCACTCATGATCTGGCCAATTATCTGTGCAATTTTCCTCTGCTGTATCACAGTGCTGGAATATCCAAGGGGATAATTTCTTGATATTCTCATCTTGATATTCTCATCTTAAATAATACATCAGTAAATGAAATGACATTGTTTTAAAAGAGTTTTTGGTTTTCATACCTTCATTATCCACAGCTCTAGGGATTAAGTTATCGATATCAACGATCTCGAAGCAGATAGTCGCTGACATGACGCCAAAGAGGATGGATGTATTTGAACATCAACAACAAGGATGTGTGTTGGGAGCAGCAAGGGACGCTGATTCACACGTGACGTTATATGCTTGTTGAATTGAAGGGGTATCTTGTGATGTACTTAGTAAGCAAAGGGGGGTTATTACCCTATATTAAGGCCTTAGACAAGCACACAACCCCCCAATAAATATACATATCAATATATCTAATTACCTGTTTCTATTAAGCTACCCCTAGGATTATTATATATTTAATAATTAAGAGTCTTATTTTTACTTAAAGTATATAAATCTATATTAACAACCCCTACTAAAACTTACTAATTATTAAAATACTAATAATCCTTACCAAACCTACTAATTAGTAAAATACTAAGCGTAATGCCTCCAACTATTAATAATAAAGATAATATAGTGAGGCTTACCAAGCAGGAAGACTAGCTAATATAGTAATCCTTGTTTAAAGTATAGATAAGAGACAATAATTTATAGGAAATAATAGAAGATAGTAAGAATTATTTATAATAACTTACTAGATTAATTAGGGATAGTAGAGAAACTCTACTAGTAAATAGTACTAGGAGTTTTATAGTATTATTATAAGATTTTAACTCTAAAATAGTATTCTATAAAATAGAAATAGATAAGTATAATTATTAGGTTATAGAACTTAAGAAATTAAAAGATTAGATCTAATATATTATTTCCTTAAAGGTCTATTATTTCTACTGTAAGCTAATAAAAATCCTAGAGAAGTAGTACCTTAAACTAAAAGAATATATAATAGTTAACTAGAGATAAATTTAAAATATAGCCTATAATACCTATATAAAGGTAATCTAATCTCTAAAAGGTAATCTAGTTAGTTAGTTAAATAATTAGGAATTTACTATTTAATAGGTAATTAAAGTAAACCTTAGAGTTATAATATTATTACTAGACTAGATAGAAGACTTCCTAAATATAATATGTTACCTAACTCTATCCTAGACTATATCCTATTAATTAGACTATAAGAAGGAGATACTAGCAAGAATACTATTATTCTATATTATAGTAAATAACTTCTATAATACTATTAATATATTCCTATAGTAATATAGTAAGACTAGTAAAGGGGCTTTTAGACTAATATTTGCTATTAAAGATATAATAGATATAACTAGTAATAAAGAAATATCCCTGCCACAGGATAAGGGAATAAAATATAGATATAGATATAATAGTATAGGAAGAATAGATTCTAAAAGGAGTGCTTCTAAGAACTTATATTAATTATATAATATATATTTTTAAAGGTATAAATAGATATAATACTTTTATCTATTCCTAGAAAAGGTGCCCAAGAACTTTAAAGAAAGAAGTATAATAAGGAAGCTAGTTAATATATAACTTAAGATAAATAAGGCTCTAGCTAAAAAGGTAGTAAAGAAGCAAGAATAAAATAAATAAGATCTAGAATAATTAAAAGAAAGAAGTAATTAAGGAGTAGATTAAATAAAAGGTAGGAATAGAAATAAAGTTAAAGCTTTATTTAATATCTAATTTAAAACTATATTATATCTATTATAGTACTTTATTATTCTTAACTTAGAATTATTAATTTATATATTTAATAAGTTATATTAATTTAAATAATATATAGAATTAATATAAAATAACTATATATAGGCAGGAGACTTAAAAGTACTTATTATAAGATATAAAGATATTAGTATATAGGTTATAACTTAATAAGATAAAGGTATAAAATATAGCTATATAATCCTTAAGAATATAGCTTATTATAAAAAAATAGTATATAATCTAGTATTACTTATATTACTAAATTAAATAGGTATCTATTTTAAGAATAATCCTGACTCTAACCTACTCTATACCTCTAAAGGTATAGTAGCAGCCTATCTTAATAAGAAATATAGCTAATTTATAATAAAATATAATAGTAAACTATATAGTATAACAGGCCAGGTAATATTCTAAATTATTACTAGTATTAGAGATATAAAATAGTAGTATTTATGCCTTGGATATCTAGAACCACAGATATTAGATTATCTAGTTAAGAATACTGAGGGGGTAAGGATTAGAGGACTTACTATAGTAGAATATAATACCTATAGTATAGTAAAAATAAAGTAAAGAATTAATTAAAAGGATTATATTACTATAAAAGGATTAAGTCTATAGTTAGTAATTAACTTTTATAACTTTAAAATAGGGATAGATAATTATTAAGCCCTACTATTAATTATAGATAAATAGTCAGGTTTTATATAGGACTACTACTTTTTAGACTAATATATAGAGATAATTAAAAATGCCCTGCTTAATTTATTTACCCTCCTAGAGAGGTAATATAATATCAAATCCTAAGTAATTAAGTTAGATAGTAAGATAAAGGGATAATTAGAAAACTTTATATAATCTAAAGGAATAAGACTTAACTACTCTACTCTATATATACTAGCCCAAAATAAAGGTATAGAGTACTTAGGGGGTATAATAAAAGAGAAAGTATATATAATAAGATAGGGAGTAAAACTACCTATATTCCTATAGCCTGAATATATTTATATAGTAATATACTTATATAACTAAATACCTAAATATTAGGTAGAATAGAAAATACTAATTAATTAATTCTATACTTATATTGCCTATTAAGATAGAGTAGTAGTAGAATATAAGAAACCCTAAGGAGCTTATTTAAAGGTATATAGTTATAAGATATTTATAATAATTAAACTATAAGTAACTATAATAGTAAAGTATAGAAAGTAGTTTAACCTAAGAGTATTTATAGAATATATAATAGGATATAAATTTATTAATATCTATTAAATATAGAACTTAAGGAAGGAAAGGAAGATTATCTGTATAAGAGATATTATATTTAATAAGAAAGAATTCTTCTTAGAAGATAGAGATATATTTATTTAAGTAATAAAAAATAACTTCCTAATAATTAAAATTAATAAATTTAAATAAATAATTAAGAATATTAAAGTTAAAATCTATATTCTAATCTAAAAAGTATTAAATATAGATTACCCTATAATAGGAAATATTCTAGAAGGTAATTTTAACTTACTTAATTATCTAGTTTAAATATTAAAATTAGTACTTGAAGCCATGAATAAGGATAAGGATACTAATATAAATAAGTAAATAGTCTATCTAATACTACTAGGTAGCAGCCTAGAATAGTTAGTAGTAATGTTGGCAGGTGCTTACTAATATGAGACAGCCAAAATTAAAGAAGAAACTAAGCTAAATAAAAGCTACTAAATTGCATGGAAATTAGTATTCATGGCAGGGAGGTTAATATAACTAACCTAATAAGATAGAATACTAGTCTCCAAGGCAGAAATATAAAGACAGAATAGGTAACTAGAGAGTCTAATTAGGACCTACTTAGATTAGCTACTAACCTTTCTAAAGATATATTACTAAGTTAAAAACTACTTACTATCTAAAGAATTTATAAAGGTAGAGTAGGACTATCTAGCTAGTTATAAAATAATAAAAATATAGATAGAAGTAGATAGATCTAAGTATATAAAAGTACTAGAATGCAAATAGATATATATATATAAAAGTAATTAAGGTAGTAACCTAATTAAATATAAAGCATGCCTAGTAGTAAGAGAAAATTAATAAAAGGATTTAATAAAGGACTTATATACTATAACTCTAGTAATAAGATCTCTCTAAACCTTCCTGGTAATAATAGCCTAATTTAATCTAGAATTAAAGTAATATAATATTATAAATATATTTATTAATATAGATAATAATAAAGAAATATATATAGAAATATCTCTAAAATATTAAAAACTAGGTAAAGTATTAAAGCTAAAGAAAGTACTATATAAACTTAAATAATCTCCTTATTTATAGTAGATAACTCTTTAAAAGGTCTTAAAGTTACTAGAATATAAATCTATTCTATATAAACTATATTATATTACTAGAGGCAGGATCCTAATATTCTTTTATATAGATAATATTATATTTACCTATTACTAAAAATTATTAGTATAAATACAGGCCACTGTATAAGAGCTTTAGAACTAGTTTAAAATAATAGGAGGAAATAACCTATAATAGTTCCTAGGAATAGAGATTACCTAGAATAGAGAAAATAGACTTATCTAGCTAGGTTAGTTAGTATATATTAACAAGATTACTAATCTAGTAGATAAAAAGGAAGATCTAGATACTACTCCTATATTAGTAAAAATAGTGCCCTAGAAAGATTAAGATAGAGTATCTTGCCTATATATCTAATAATATTAATAGAAGGTAAGATCTATAATATATATAATAATTATAATATAACTAGATATTATATTTATAGTATTCTAGCTATCCTAGTACCTTATAAACCCTAGTAAAAAATACTATACTAAAGTAGATTAATACCTATAATATTTAAAAAGAATAAATAAACTTACCCTATAACTTAGAGATTTAGATAATTACCTATTATATAGTAATACCTTATTTATAGATAATTAGAACTAGAGAAGCTCGCAGGGATATATTATAAAGTTATTTAGAGGTATAATAGGGTAGAAAGCTAGTAAGTAAGTAATTATAATAACCTTTATAACTAAAGTAGAATTATTAATATTATTATATATAATAAAGGAAGAAATCTTTACTAAATATTTATTAGATAAAATCTAGGTAGAGTTAGAGAATCTAATTATTAATATTTAATATAATAACATGCAAACTATCCAACTAGTAAATAAGGAAATTAACTACCTAAATATAAGGCTATGCTATATAGATATCTATAACTATTAGATTAGGCAGGAAGCCTAGAAGAAAAGAATAAAAGTATTATATTATTCTATTATTAAGATAATTATAGATAGGTTAACCAAGGTACTACCCTACTAAAGCTTTAAGGTATTTATAAAGGATTTAGGGATAGTAAAGAGATTAAAGTTAATAGATAATCTATTACTAGATATAGTTTAAATCTATCTAGGATAAGGATAGCATCTTAAATTATATAATTATAGATTTAAACTAGATAAAATCCTTTAAACCTAAGGGAGTATGTTGAATTGAAGGGGTATCTTATGATATACTTAATAAGTAAAGGGGGGTTATTACCCTATATTAAGGCCTTAGGCAAGCACACAACCCCCCAACAGATACACACATCAATATATCCAATCACCTGCTTCCATTGAGCTACCCCTAGGATCATCATATATCCGACAATGCTAGAGCCTAGTTTAGTAGTAACCTATAAGATAATGAGGGTGTATAGATTCTAGATAATAATAATTTCCCCTTAAATATACATGAAGTTGTAGAGACCTGGGGTTGTTGGTAGATCTACGGAGGAATGACGTACTAAAACTCACGGCCCACCAGCCACCGGATTCTAACGTTTCCAAGTTGCTTCTTCCTCCACAACTCATATGTACCTCAACCCATCCCGCTTCTCCCAGGAACTATACCTGAATCACTTCCCAGCCAGTACTATCCCATAACAGTTACTCCCATTTCATCTTCATCAATTGCCTGACGAGCCATAGCCATGTTCGCTACCCGTCGTCTGACCAACGGTCTTCCCCGAGCTCTCGGCCAAAGGGCTTTGTTCCACAACACTGTGCCGGCCTTCGTTCAAAAGGGGGATTCTATCCCAAACCTAGATGTCTTGGTCGAAGACTCCCCCGGCAACAAAGTCAACCTCGCCAAGGAAATCAAGGGAAAGGCCATCATCATTGGTGTTCCTGCGGCGTTCAGTATGTCTCATTTTTGTCGCCCTACAGCTACCATTTATCAGATCCAAAATTACCTAACCTTGTGATTCACAGGCCCTGCTTGCTCCAGCACCCATGTTCCCGGGTACATCAAGCACCCTAAACTCAAGGAGGCTGGCCAGGTTTTCGTGGTTGCTGTCAATGACCCATTCGTGTAAGTCACCACATCACACCCTACGACAATTGAACATGTCATCTGTGATTTCATGGTATTGATAATATCACAGGACCAAGGCCTGGGGTGCTTCCCTGGACCCCGAAGGCACGAGCGGCGTAAGCTCACCTTTCTTCATGCATCCGACTCAATGTTACCTCATATCTGTTGCTAACCTCTATCAAGGTCCGCTTCCTTGGTGACCCCACTGGCAAGTTCTCAGAGGCCCTCGATGTTACCTTTGACAGCACTGCGATCTTTGGAAACCACCGTAGCAAGCGCTATGCGCTTCTTGTTGAAGATGGAAAGGTCAAGGAGGCCTTTGTGGAGCCCGACAACACCGGTGTCAATGGTAAAAGCTCCGATCTGGGAATTTACAAATTATGCTAACGAAAAATTAGTGTCTGCGGCCGAGAAGGTCCTTGGCTAGAGGAAGGCTATTAGGACAGTACAATATAATCCAGTGTCCATTATCTATGGGTATAAAATGCTAATCTTTCTTATCTTTTACAATCCTCGCACAATGATATATATATCGTTGCCAGATTATACAACAAATGTACATGAATCAACCTTCCAACGCCTGCCTGCATGCTTTTAACCCGCATGCCAATCAATACCCGGGATATATCAATGCCCAGCTGTAACCGATGCCGGGCGCATCCATCGTAATAAACAAATCTCCTTAGGAAGAACCTTGCTGCAGCGCCTGCCACTGCTCGGGAGTATAGCACTTCGGAGTCCAAGCGTGAATAGCCGCAATCTCCGCCTTCAGAGCTGAATTCACCAACCGGTGACGAGCAAGCATAGTCTTCTTCTCGAACTGTGGGGAAACAATAATTGCCTGGAACGCCTGGCCGCAGCCTCCTATAAACCAATCATTCCATTAGTATCAATCCACCAGGGGGGAGGGCAAAGCATTATATATATATAGAGTATATATGCACACCTGACAAATCTTCAATCTCAACATGCTGTGCCTCCAACTGGGCAGTCAGTTTGCTCTTCAGCAGATCTGCCGTGACACCACCAGAGGTAGCATCCGCCATTGCTGCGTTTATGGCTGCAAAGGAGCGTGCGGAAATAGAGAAGGTTGCGTTCTGGTGGGAGGTGGGAGGAGACCGTAGGAGGTATCGGCAGGTTCTGCTCAACAAGGTCGTAGTGCGGGAGTACATCAAGCACTGGTACACTGACGCGAGTGTCAGGAGGATGGCGTATTCGATGAAAAATAACAACAAACGAGGTCTGTTATTTGAGAAGGGGAGTGTGCTGCTTTCTCTCTGTTTGCGGTAGCCGGATGGAGGATGACGGAATTATTAATCTTTTCGGTAACTTTGTTACGACGGCCGGACAAGTTTTTTATTTTACAATACCGTGGTTGCTTAGTAAAGTTAGAAGGTGTGGCTGTGTATAACTGTGCCTCAGGCCGTAAAGTGTGGCGTCAGCTCCCCTCCCCAAACCGCGGGAAATTCAATCAAGTTGTTCGCGCAACGACTTCGAAACTTCAAAAGATTGAGGATTATATTCTCTACATTGTTGAATTCAAGGACAAACAGTGGTCCTCTATGAAAACCTGCTTCCGTTCCGCTAGTCGTTTGTTCTCCACTATGTCTACTCTACCCCCAACCTCGTCGCCGTTCACACAGGCCGTAGTGAGCTCCATGAGGAAGATGTATGCTTGACCAGCCGCAAAAGATTTTAGGTTTTAGGACAAAACACAGCTAATATATATATATATATATATTTAGCTACCCGGAATCTTTGGCGGACAAAAGCTTTGATAATACTGGCCGTGAGTTAGAATCCATCCTACCAAGTTAAAGATGCCTACTGACGTCCCTGAAGTACTCCTCGAAGCACCCTACAACCATACTCGAAGGCAGAGAAACTCGGTCCTCCTAACCATTGACCTCACCAAAGCCGTCGCTGATGAAGCTATCGCACGGAAAGATTCGGTCGTGGTAGCCTACCGTACGCCAATGCTCTTCCTCCTCCCCATCAACCCAGAAGCATCACCAACTAACATACTACCAACCCCAAACCAGACCCGATTATATTCCGCGGCCTGAGATCCCTCACCTTCAACGATCCACAACAACAATCCCTCCTCCGATTAGCACAGGAGGGCATCAGCGTCTACTCACCACACACAGCTGTCGACGCCACACCAGGCGGAATGGGCGACTGGCTCTGCGATATCGTCACCGACGCAATCACCCCATCAGAGCCCACACCGGCAATCCAAAAGTCCTCTTCCCAGCTCTACTCCCAACCCACATATCCTCGACCGGGCCCTGTTTCCCCTTCTTCTTCTTCTTCTTCCGCCTCTGTAGTTCCACATACCCGCAGCACCATCCATCCCTCCCCACCCCCTGTCCCCGAAGGCATGGAGTCCGCAGGCATGGGCCGCCTTGTTACATTCGACACCCCGCAGCCTCTAACCGCCATAATCGACCGAATTGCGCGCGGGGTTGGCGCCCCCGGCGGAATCCCCGTTGCCATTCCGCAGTCCGCGTCAGTGGATACGATGAACATCCGCACTGTTGGTGTCTGCCCGGGCTCGGGATCGAGTATCCTGCTCAAGGTGCCCCGCGGTAAAGTTCCCGATTTGCTCTTCACGGGCGAAATGAGCCACCATGAGACGTTGTCTGCGATCGAGGGCGGCGCTGTGGTGGTTGCGCTCGCGCATTCGAATACAGAGAGGGGATACCTGCATGCGGTTATGCGGGGGAAACTAGAGGAGGTATTAAAGAAGGAGTGGGAGGCTTCGAGGGCTGAGGGTGCACAGTCGAGTGATCTGAGGGAGATCTACAATGACAGCGAGTGCATGGTGCATGTTAGTGAAAAGGATCGGGATCCGTACGGGATCATGATTCGACAGGCCTGATTTTTACATTTAGACTTGAGCAAGCAAGCAAGCAAGCAAGCAAGCAAGCAAGCCCTGCTTGTTTGTTTGGCTTGGTCTAATAGTTAGTTTTATATACAGGACAAAATAAAATAAACTACTACTACATTTACATACAAAGATGTAAGTCTAGGCAATAATAAATAACAGCCAGCATCTTGAGATTATGGTAAATAAGAATAAAATAGTAGTGACTTCTTCAGCTCAACAACACCCTAATCTCACCAGTAGTACGAGGGAATAACCGTCTCAGACTCTGCTCTTCTTGCTCTTCGTCTTCGTCTTCGCCTTCGCTGTCCTTCTCACTACCCAACTCATCCTCACCACTCTTCCTACCCTTCATAATATCAACTCCACTCCTAGCCTCATCCGCCCCAATAATCATACCTTCTACAAACTCGAAATCCCTGCAGAAAGCCTCGACCGCCTCCTCTGTGACGCTCTTGATAAACGCCACGCTGTGAACACGCTTAAGATTATCCGTTGCGTCCATGAGCGCAGACGGGAGGAAGTCATCGAGCTGCTGGCTGATCGTGACGAGAGCCTCGGGCTGAAAGGCCGGGAGGTGAGCAATGTCAGCGATGTTGGGTGGCTTGGAATCTCCCGATGGGTTGGTTTCTGATGTGGCGGATGGGGAGGAAGAAAATGGTGCAAGGGCTGCGAGAAGCACTTGTAGACCGGAGGCGTCGAGGAGGTAGCGGTGTTGAATTTCGAGGAGCTCGACGCGGAGCGTAGAGAGGGCAGTGGATAGGGGTGTGAGATGTGTTGCGCTGGCGAATGTGTAAGGGGAGATGACAGAGCGCGTGGTGAGGTGAATGTTGGTGAGGTAGATGGAGCGGGCTGTTTGGGTGGGTAGTAGTTCCTTTGCGCAGGATTTGGCTAGGTCGAAGAAGGGGTCGAGGCCTGCATGGAGGACAGGAGTGAATCTGTTCTCTTTGCCTTCGGAGGTGGAGTCGGCATCGTCTGCCCCGAATGAGGCTTGGTGCGTCTTCATGAGGGATGTGAGGACTTCAAGGGCGTCGAGAAGGAACTGTGGCGCAGAGAGGTCTTCAGATGGTTTCAAGGCATTGTGGTCTGTTGAGAGGCTGTTGGCTTCTTCCTGCATGATCGTCTTGAAACGGGCTAAGGTGAACTTCTCCAGATTTTGCAGCAGTTCGGCCAAGTTAGAACTGGGGCCGACGAGTTTGGAGAAAGTGGTCTGGTAGAAGGAGAGTACATTGACGACTTTGTAGCAAGTGACCGGGTCATCGTGGCCCTGGATGACGAGCTCCACTCGCTGGCGAAGGGATCGAGCAACTCCTATCAGATCGCGATTGACAAGGTCGCTGAGGGCTTTTTGGCCGTCAAAGGTGACTTCCTCGTCTTCGTCGATCCGAGCCCACGGCTCACTACTAAGACCAGCTTGGATTCCCTTTGCCAACTCATCCCCGTCCGCGACAAAAAGTGCCTCCAAGGCTTCCCGCTCTGAGACCGTGGTGGAGTGGACCCAGGCAAGCATATCGCCAATATACCTCAGCGGGTCATGCGCAGAAAACTCAATGGGTTTGACGTTAGTATCGCCTCCAGTACCAGATACCGCATCTGTCAAGGCGTAGTGGAATGCGTCTGACAGGACATAATCCCTAGCCTCCGCAAAAAAATCCAGGCAACTATGGAACAAGCTTGGTCGCTCAGCCAGCACCCGCAGAGCGCGTCGGATTGAGCTGCTAATTCGGGGATCCTCAAGATTCAAAGACTTGAATTCCTTCTGAACCCATCGATAGAGCTTCTGATAGGCGGAGTTGAGACTTCTCGAGCTCTTCTCCATCAGCTCTAGCCCAAGCCTCTCGTTCTCCCCCCCAAGGAGGGCTTCGCAGTCACGATGAACTTGCTTCACCCGGGAGAGAACATTGAAGAACTCATCGTCAATAGGCTCCTCGGCCGAAGTCATAATCATTAAATCATCGTCTGGAATAATAAAATGCTTTGTAAAGGCGTCGAGTAAGCATTGTTTCGTTTCGGCTTCCTGCCTCTGGAGCATCAAGGCAGATGCTTCCTCCAACACCGGGGCCGTGTCCTGCCTAGCTAGCACAATATGCCTCTTCATTTCCTCGCACGTTTGGTTCAGACTCGATATAACCGTGCCAATCCGTTTCAATTGCTGTTATTACCAGAAAGTTAGCAAAGCCCGCAGCCTTCCCACCCTCCTCCCCAGTGTAGCTGCTCACCTCTGCGACTTTGCCAAAGTCCCTTACGATTTCCGCATTGCAATCAACCACTTCCTTTTGAACATCCAGACGTAATTGTCTCCGGACCTCTGCCGTATTATGTATCCCTCTGGTACTGAGAGTCTCGAGCGCATCGCGTATATCGGAGTCCGCATACGAGGCCGAAAGTACACTTGTCAGCCGGTTCGACAAGGCATTGGAGCGTTGTTGAGGCGGGGGTGAAAGCGGAGAAGAAGCCGGGGAAGATGTCCGAGGGGGTGCATAGCTCGTGGCTCCGGAAGGTGGGAAATAGCTCGCCATTGGAGCTGATGTTGTTTGGGTATGCGATGGGCTTTTAACTGTGAGTAGACCAGGTGTTTGATCTGGCGGAGATGGAGGCGGCGAGACCCAGGTTTAGCGGATCAACCAACGGGACGAACTTCACCCTTTTCCCAGCACCTCGAAACCATCTACATTTTAAATTCATTTCAGAGCTTGTACATATATACCAATTCGTTTCTAAATTTATTTGGTTCTTTGTCTCCTTTTTTGGGGCGAAACCAGATTGCCAATTCCGATGGACAGCCCGCTTGTCTCCCCCGCAAAGGCGCGTCAAGCAGCTATTCAGGCCAAAGACTGGGCCTACGTGAACTCATGGCTAAGTCGCCAGTACGCGCCAAATCCAGTGCCTAAATTCGAGCGCAATGATGATACTTTACGAACTCTTTTGGCTCTGGCAGCAGCCAACGATGCAGCGGACGAGGAAGCAACGCTAATTCAGCACGCTCGTGAACAAACCATCAGAGGCTTTAAAGCTCGAGAAAACACGGAAAATAAGCAGAAGGTGGAGATATTGGATGAAGTCGAGCATTGTCTAGATGAGGATGGCACTCGAAATCTGGAGGATTTGGCAGAGACGGTTGTCCTATTGAGTTCGTTAGAAACGAGTACGAAGGAGATCGGCCAGTCAATCATTGAGCTAACGAGGGAAGAGTTCAATATCAAAGAGCAAATGACGCGCGTGGAGATGTTGCATGACTATCTGAAAAGAGAGCTTGCAACTCTACGGGAACAGCTCGAAGATTTCAGGTCAAACCCGGCCTTTGAAACGCCTGCCAATCTTCCTACGCTTACGTCTGAGTGGACGAGAAGCACTAAATTACTTACTCCCAAGGTTGGCGAATATCAAGATCGGGTGGCTGCATCGGAGCGAACTAAGAATAAAGGAGCCACCCTTGAGGATGTCATGGCGGACGAAGAGGAGGTCAGCCGAATGATAGAATCGGTCAAGGGGCTCGAGAGTAGGGTCAACATGTTCCATGATCTCCCCAGAGATCTAGCCGGGGCTCGTGCCAAGTACCGAGAACTTGAAGCGGAACTGAACAAACTCACCCGGAAGCGAGACTCTATGTTTGAAGGACTAGTAGAGCGGTAGTACGTTCTGCGATTTACAACAGAGTAGGTATATTCAATGGACATAATCACATTGGTATTAATCTCAATTTACAGGCAGAGAGACGTATCGTCAACTCGTCATAACACGATCATAAAACGGAAATCATATTCAAAGCGACAACCCGAATCCAGTCAGGCGCAGGCAATCTAGTGGTCACCGAGGCCAACAGCGTTCTTGATCTTGTCGGCACTGCCTGGCTGTCAGAGCTATGATCGTGGGAGAAAACCATCAACGAGTACTTACATGGACTGGCCGGCACCGCCATTGTGGTTGTCATGAGCACGCTGGCCCTTGTCGAAGGCCTGTTGGGCAGCACCCTTCTGGTCATCGGGCTGCAGGCCACGAGAGATACGATCAGTGGTATCAGTGAAGGTCTCCTTGATCTTGTCCTGAGTGGACTTGGTGGAGTCAGGAGTCATCTCCTCCTTGGCCTCTGCAAACAGTGTTAGCGGCCATACATCTGTAGGTGGAATTTGTTGCGATCTCAACATACTGGTGGTGAAATCCTTGCGACCGGTGTCAGACATGTTGGTTGTTTATGCAATTGAAGAATGTTTTCTGGAAGAATGTTCAGAGGCTGAGATATTTGAGAGAATCTGGATTGATGGAAACCAAGTCCCGATACATCCTGAAGGGGTTTATATAGCTTTCTTCCTTGCCCATGAGCTCGTCATTCACCATTGAACAACAGACCATGACGTCGATACACCTGGAATTATGAGGTTATCCCTTGGTTCTTGTTAATGCCCATGCTCCTATACTATTCCCCAGGGAACGTGCTGGTACGCTACGGAATCCGTCCCGCAAATCGGCAGTCGTACCGCAAATACTAGGGCGGGCAATAGTTTGGGAATGCCATCATTTGAAGCCAATGTTAGATGATATCTTGCACTCAGGGTCGAGAAATGACGTCCCAATGACTATCGTCCTTCCAGAACAGGCTTAGTTTCATCGGAGCCGTGGCTACCGAATCCGTCGGATTATTGTTGGCCCGCATTCCGATGAAGTCATGACTGGCTCTTTTAGGACTAGTCTATTTTGTCTATTTATAGAAGGCGGTGTTCGTTGGCAGAACCTGCACAGCCCAACAACAGACAAAGAAAGCGACGGTCAGACCACTACGACGGGGAGTCATAGAAAAGACACTGAATGATCACTGTGATTTTCCCATTACTTTCGGGTCTTACGACCTTCATCATGTTCATCTGTTTTCCTCCTTCTGCCCCTGCTGCTTTTGTTGTTAGCCCTTTTTAGCCAGTTGTCTCTAGCTCTCAATCCAGTTTTCTTCCTGGACCGCCATAGTCATCATCAGATACGCCCTTCACCATCCTTGATTCTCGTCAATGTCACCATCGTCTTCGTCAACTTCAAACTGGGATTTCACTCCGGTGATTAACCTCCTTCGGTCTTCCCCATGCCAAAGTGGGGACCATCCGGTTCTCGATCATCGCCTGCGTTCCTCCACCGGTCGATCTGGATCCCACCCTTCGAACACGGATGACGTCAAAACTCCGAGTATCCAGGCTGGTTCCTTAAAACATGCGAACAGTTATAGTAATATCCCGAGGCTGGGGGATTTCGGCGCTCTCTGGGAGCTTTTGGGTAGCACCAGCTCTTCCCCCACCCCAGTAGACCATCGGTCTCATCGGGAGGAGATCCAGACTCCGCCATCGATCTTAGCCCCCCATCCAACGAAGCCAATTGTCATATTCAAACGACCGCCTACCACAACCTCCGATGTTGAGCAATGCGGAGCAACATCCCAACCCTCTCCAAAACACATACCCCTTCTAACCTGTACGGAGCCTTGCGATGATTTCTTGCAGGAGAAAATCGTCATTGAGCCCAGGACGCCTCGTCGAAATGACCACACGCGTACTGGGCCCCGGCACGAACGTAGCTCTTCTGAGAGCAATGCCGGAGGGGAATCTGATGGCGCTGTCAGCGTTTTCGACCGCCCTTTCGTGAAGAAGCAGCGCGGTGCCCGTCCCATGGTCCCCCCGCAGATCGGGATTGCTGAGGCTATACCAGAAGCCTTTGAAACCCCCCCTTCCTCTTTTGATGAACTCGATGAGTTCTTGACGCCTAACGGTGTCAAGTACATGCCCAGCACTGGCACAATCCGTGTGCAGCCATTAGCATATAAGTCGGCAGCAGACCGACGTGTTGGCCTCTTAACCAAACTCTTGAATACCTTTCCGGACTATGCAGATCTAATCGTTCAAGCCGGACGGTCGGGCAAGTCTAAGGAAGACACGGTCTCGACCCGTCCTATCCATGTCTTCGTCGACATGTCGAATGTAAGTCGACCCATCTATGCAGATGATGTGTTCAGCCACTAACACTTATGTCGAAGATTATGGTAGGGTTTCATGATACGATGAAAATCTCACGGAACATACCTATCAAGACACGAATTCGACGCTTACCCCTCTCGTTTCAAAGTTTCTCGTTGATTTTGGAACGTGGCCGTCCTACGGCTAAACGAATACTTGTCGGGTCAGACCGATTTGCCGCAATCAGCGAAGGCAAATTGCTCGGCTACGAGGCGAATATCCTCGACCGAGTGCAGAAGGTCAAACAACCCACGTCTCGTCAGCTGAAGTACCGTAAGAATCCACGAGTAGGCTCGCACGAGGCAGGCCATGGTTCTGAAACGAACGATGCGCCCGAAGAGCGATGGGTCGAGCAAGGTGTCGACGAAATTCTACACCTAAAGATCTTAGAAAGCCTGTTGGATACGGACAAGCCGGCGACGATTGTGCTGGCCACGGGAGACGCCGCGGAAGCGGAGTTTTCTGGTGGGTTTATGAAGATGGTCGAACGTGCCCTCCAGCGTGGATGGAGAGTGGAACTAATTAGCTTCTCCCAAGTGACAAGCTATGCGTATCGTAAGAAGGAATTCCGCTCCCGCTGGGGGGGGCAGTTCCAGATGATAGCGTTGGATGACTACCTGGAAGAGCTTTTAGAGATATAGAGAGTACATACATCGGTTCGTCTCTCAAGTCATAGATTTCATATTTCGTAGATTAGGCTCATAATGGCACTATCGATACCTTAAATGTCAGGTTGTCTTGTGGTTTCGTGCGGAACCAATCAACAAACAGCCTAAGGCTCCTTCCGTCTCCAAACCCGACGTCATTTGCCATCGACCTCGAGAAGATCTCGATTGATCCCTCAGCGAAGCTCTACTTGATGCTTTGCCCGTTAGCAAAAACTCATAGTTAGTTACAGAGGAGCAGGTAGACTCTTAAACATCAAGACTACCTACCGCCCTATCTACCCCACGCCGCTCCCCACCACCATCGTCTCTCCCTCGCTCTACACAACGACTACAAAGAAGCACAATACCGTGACCCCCCCCCCCCTCATAGCATGACGACATTTACAACGCAAGACCTCTACGGAGGCGCCATAAAGGGCATAATCCCCGAAGGATGGCTGGACGCCAGGTACGTGTTTCCTTCCTTCCTTCCTTCCCCACCAAAGAAACGAAAAGAAAAGAAAAAAACAAGAGCAATAACTAACGCGCGCGCGAAAAGCGACCTCCGACAAATCCCAGACCACCAAGAAATCTTCCTGTCGCCGACCACGCTGTCCCACGTCATAATCGAAGTCAACGAGCGCGTGGCGCAGGAAACCGCGCTCGCCGGCGTCCGCACCCGCCTGCAGGACCTGACCGACTTCCTGGGCGCAAACCCCGAAGCCACGCCCGAGACCATCGACAAGGCCGCGGCGCTCTACCACATCAACGATATCCGGGAGAACGGCGAGGCGGATCACCTGCGGATTGTGCTGGCTCCGCACCGCGTGGCGATGGCGCGGTTCCCGGCGGCGATGCGGGTGCGTGCGTACAAGGGGGTGGTGGCGCTGAGTTCGTCCGAGCGGGCGAGGGGAGGGGGCGTGGTGCAGAGGGTTTCGGCGTCGATTGGCGGGGCGGCGGCCGGGTCGAGTGCGGATGGTGCCTTGGGGTCGACGGTTAGTTGTCATTATCTGCTTGTGAGGTTGGAGGAGCAGGATACCGATGTGCTTGTTTTGGTCAATGTGCCGCATAGGGAGTTTGATGAGAATGGGGATCCCAGAGGGTTGTCGAGGGAGGAGGAGTTGGCGAGTGAGCTGGTGGAAGGGTTGGTGGAAAAGTTGCATGTTGTGGATTGGGGGTTGTTTGGATGATTTTTTTTTTCTTTCTTTCTTTCTCTCTTTTGAAGGGAATGAATGAATGGCTTACATGGTATGGTTATTTATGTATGTGGGTATGTATGTATGTAGTCTTTACATTGATCATGGATGCATCTTATTTGCAGGTATTTAGTGTAGTATTTACACCTCATGTCATATCGCATGTCTTGCCGTACAGGATTGAAAATAGATCAAGGAAAGAAAAGTAGCCAATGCTACAGGGCAGCTCCAACAACTCCTATCTATGGTATCCAGCTCAATCATAAAGAGAGACAAAAATTAAATCGCCCAAATCAAGGCCATCACAGTAGTAGCATTGTCAAACATCCAAATTCACCTCCTCCAAGCCTCTCGCTACATCATCCACCTCACGGCCGGGAGGCTGCTTCTTCCGAGGCGACACGCTTCTGGGCTTGGGCTTGATCTGCTGCAGGAGTCCCTTGCATTTCCCACATCGAGACTTAGTAGGATCGATACTCTTCGAGTGGCGTCCATAGCTCTGGCCGCAGTCAACGCAAGTCCAGACATACTTGTAGTCGATCTTGTAGCTGTGTCTTGTCTTCACTTCGACGCGCCCACCATACACGGGGTGGTTCTTCAGCGCTTCTTTGCACTTGCGTCCCCAGTTCTGGAAACTGGACCCGTGCGGGTTATTGTGCACGTTTGAAATCATAAAGTTAGCTAGATGACAGTATTCATGGGCTAGAGTATTGATGAGCCGGTCCTCATTGTCAATGATTCGTTCGGCTAGTTCGATGGTAGCGGTGCGCTTGCTGGGCTTGATTGCTGGTGTTTCGCGGCCGGACGATGATAATTCGCTCGACGAGGAGCTATCTCGTTTCCAGCTGGCTCGTCCAGCAGTCGTTTGAAGGGTTTTGCTCCAGACAATGCGGACACCGCCAGTATCTGCAGAGCGCTTTTGAACTTGGCCATCCGCCACGGCGTCGTCCAGCGCTTTGAGGAACTCCTCTGCCAGGGAAGCTTTCTTGCTATCGAATGATTTCTTTCGCTCCAGTGCTGCCTTCTTCGCCTCCGTCTCTGCCCTCTTCAGTGCTGCCTTACTAGGCGTCTTAGTCTGTTTCAGGACGACCGAGCGTCGAGGCATGATTTCCATATCGACTTCGCAGTCAGACTCGTCAAATTCCTGTAGCTGAATATCGAGTTTGTGTGGAGAGTGCTGGTCTATCCAGTCGTTGGTGGCCTCTTGGCTCCAAAAGGCATCAACACTTTCACGATGAGGGGTGGGTGGAATGTTGACTTTTTCTTTCACTGGAGAGCGTAGGCAACCTTTGGTGGGGCTAGATGGGGGTGTTTTAAATGCAGAATTATCATTCTGAGATGTCTGGGATGGAGATTGCAGCTCGATGGCAGTTCTAGGTAGGGTTAGCAAATACTTCCTTAGATCACCAGAGGGATACCAGGCAATAGAGCTTACGCAAGGAGATCTTGTTGAAGCTGGGATGAAGGATCAAAATCATCCAGCTTTAGACGATCCATCTTTTCGGAGACCTCTGTGTGATTCTGAAATAGTTTCCTTGGGATTCTATTCCGTGTAGGAGAGGGAATCGTAATGGCAGCTGGCAGCGACGGTTCCAGGCGAAGGTCTGGGTTTTTTGCTGACTCTAGCAAAGCCTTTTCCAACTCGACGGTCGGATCTGCCCTTCTACCTCTAAATAGCCTCCTTCTAGGTGGTAGTGGTGGTGGTGGTGGTGGTGGTGGCGGAGACTGAGGCTCCCGGTGTTGCCTTTCCTCTTCTGTCTCATCCCCTGACGTTTCATGATAGCTGAGCTCCTCATTGTCACTGACAATAAAGTCCTCCAGTGAATTAAAGCTATCTTCCTCCCCGCTTTCGTCCCCAGAATTGGGCTCTTGCTGCCGATACCTCGTGAACTGCTGTGGGTTTCGCGATCTGGTTGGCGATCTTCGTGTAGAGGACGCATCGGACGGGTTCCTAGACAGCGAAGGTGTTTCCTCTTCCACCACTTCCTCAACTGGATCATTCTCCTTGTCATAATTGTATAGTTCCGACTTGCGGTTTGTCCGAGCCCGTGGTGCTTGTGGCAGTGGTAGAATCAAAGAATTGGCGCGTGCAAGCTTCAAAGGACTGGCCTTTTTGCTCTTCGGTGTACCATCCCCACCCCGCTCGCTCGCTCCATCGCTGTCGGCAAAGATATCGAAATTCAGGTCAGAAAACGTCCCTGACCTTGCTAACCTGCCCCGCTCTTGTGGTTGTTTGTCCGTTGTTCCGGCTGGCCATTTCTTGAACATCGTCTCCCGCATTGCTGGGCTCCATTGTTCTCTAGTGCCTGCTGCTATTGAAGAGGCAGGTGACCTCCTCTCTTGGAATTCGCGTCGAAGAACGGTCGCGGTTCTTTTGGGCTGGCCATTTCCGCTGGGGGCCTCCTGCAACGCATTTTGTTTCGCCTGGCTTCTGGTGTTGAGTCGAGCCATTGTATACGTAATGTAATGTATATCGATGGTATCCGGGTCCGGTGGCTGCACTTTCCTTGTTGGGGGAATGTGAGAGGTCGTAAGAGGGGGGCTCACCGACCCCTTCGCTGCGGTCTTTGTACCTGTATGTCCGGTATTGTGTGGAATTCCGCAGCTGCAGGTACCGGAAGGCAGAGAGCGCTGTTCTTTCAGGATATTTATGTGACCAGTATACAAATGTGCGAAGAACAATGCCGGTTGGGGGAGCCACAGTTGGCACGGCAACAGCCTAATGATCCCATGATCAACAAACGGCTTGGCCGGGCGCCGCATCTAGTGCTATCGATTAAGCTTTGATGTGTATGTACTCCGTATGTATAGTAAGTACTCTGGTACCTAGATACATGGATAGATACATATTTATTATATATATTCCGTGGGTTCGTAGTGGAAAAAAAAAAAAAAAATACAAGGCCCGAGCCGCGGATCGAACGCGGGACCTCTCGCAGATATGCTTGGGTTAAATCCCTAAGCGAGAATCATACCACTAGACCACCCGGGCTTGTTATGATATTGGCTTGTATTAATGACTATATAAGCCTCACCTATCCTCCAGTATCATAATTCACACCAACGCAAACTACTACCCAACTTCGGTTTATATTTCCCTGATACAAATAAGCATATTATTATTGAGAGTCTTGGAAGGATGATTATCTACATGTTTCTTCAAGTTGCTGGTTTATTTCTCCTACTCTATATCTGAATATTACTAGTCCAATGTGTGATTTACTGTCTGGCATGGAAATGTCTTGCTTATATATATGTTGGACGAGTACTCCTTTGCATCTTCATTCTATCTAACTCCTCCAAGTCACGCACACACACACACACATATATAAAAACCACACAAACACGACATTGTCATCCCAAGAGGCATTTGATTCATCAAGCTTCAGGTATCTGCGTGCCCGCTTAGAGCTGGTCTTACCTATTACAGGTCTTGATCAACACCGGGAACGCAGCGGGAGAAGGAGAACATGCAGCCGGAGAGGAACGAGATACAGAGTCCTAGCAATAACTAGCGAAAGCAGCTTTCTAGAAATTGAGCGTCTCTCGCCAAATCCCCTCTTCAGTAACTCTGGTAACCTGAATGATAGACGATGATACCAACCATAGTAATATGTCGACGTATGGCTAGCCGCCTAACGTCTATCCCTCGTAAACCACCACAGCATCACAAATACAACACAACATACCCTGCTCACCAAGTATACAGATCGGCAAACAGTACTACGAACACAAAGCTGGGAAAAAAAAAAAAAATAGATTAACGAGCGAAATGTACTCGCACCCAGGCGAGCATCTACCCGGGGGAAGCAAATCCGAGAATTAAAAAGAGTAACAAAACAACACCCAAGGAACCATAGAATCAAGCATCAGACTATCATAAAGTCTACCTAACCGAACCAAGCCGGCCCGCCCAAGCGAGGGGCGAATCCATCTACAGCCAGATCATCCCCACGCCCGCAACAACAGCAGTGGCAACGTAGGCACCAAGGTGGAGGAATCCAAAGTCGACCATGCCAGGGGCGACGGCATAAGCGGCGCCCTGAGAGCTGGAAGCACTGCTCGAGGCGCCCGCGGCAGCTGCGGAGGCTTTAACGGAGCCAGTACCGGAGGTGCCAGCCTGGCGCAGAAGAGGAGTGCAGGTGCTGCCGCCGGACTGGCTGGCAGACTGGATGGATGCCGCGCCGTTGAAGTTACAAGCGTCCTCGCCGTTGCCCTGGCTGACCTGGTTTTTATAATAGAGGTTCATGGCGAAAGAGAGCTGCTCCTCCGGGGTACAGACACTGTAAGCGCCGTATTCGCCGGTGGTGGCGTTTGCATCGATCCCCTTGCAGAACTTGCCATCCTGGTATCCACAGACACTGCTGAACGTCGTAGAAAGGAACTTGGAAGCGAGATTATCGCGCGCTACGCAGGTCAGGGAGTCCACCATGCACGAGCAAAGCTGCTGGTTGGGAGCAGGAGGGAGTGGGGTGGCGGTGGCAAGCCAGTTGGTGTTGACTGGGGGGCAAGATTGGAGTGCGGTGTTGGTGGGGGTGTAATCAGCCTTGTTAACGCCAGTGGGAGTAGCAGTGGCTAGTCGCTTTGAGAGGTAGCTGTAATCAGCACGGGGGCTGACCTGGCCGTTGTTGACATTTACCAGACCTACTCGTAGATTATTAGACGATGGATATCACGATGATTGATCATGGGGTGGGGATTGGGAGTGACAGTACCATAGTTGTTCTGCTCCTGGAAGTACATATAGACAATACCGCCGGACCAAACGCCATTCATCTGAGGTCCATACAGGGTGTCAACTTCAGTGAACGTGCGGGGTTCGACTGCATTGCAGCCGTATTCGGCGAAGAATACGGGAACGGAGTAGTCGTGGAACTCGTTGGTGCGCACGTCATAACCAGACTTCTGGAAGCTAGAGTCTCCACACCAGGAATAGATGTTATAGCCCCAGAAGTCAATGCTTTCATCCGCGCGTTCACAGTTAAAATAATTCGCCATGGCGACCCGAATTGAAGCATCATCGTTGGTAGCATAACCAACGCCCATTGGGCGGTAGTTTTTGGCCTTGATGTACCGCTTCATATCACGGACAGCAGCCTTGACAAAGGCACTGGCATCAGTAGTCTGGGGGTTGTTCGATACCTCATTTCCTGCGAAGAAACCGATAACATTGGTATACTGGGACAGGTCATCAATGACGGCGGCGTAGCGGGCGAATAGTGGATATGTCCATTGGGGGTCGTTGCGGATGATGGACTCCCCGGGGGAGGACAGGTCTGCAATGACATAGATTCCGGCGTTGCTGAGGAGGTTCATACACGCGGAATGATCTGCGGTAGGGTCCACGGCGTAAACACGGATCACATTGGCGTTGAGCTTTTGAAGATATGGGACGTCACGCTTGCACGCATCGGCGTCGGCTAGAGGGTCTTTGAAGCTGTTGGGAGTATCGTCGGAGCCGGAGTATTCCTCTGTGGGATATGAGCATTCTTGATATCGGCTGTTCTTAGCAGATTACTTTTTACTCACGTTGATAAGCAACGCCACGGAGGTAGCTAGAACAATCAGTCAGTTGGCCAGGCAGGCATCATATATGGTATGGATAGGAAATTCGTACAATTGGGTGTTGTTGCTTTTGTAGAAGAATTTGGAACCCTAAGAGAAGGTATTAGCCTCCTGTGGTTTATGAGAAAGTATCACCGGCAACCATGCCTTGATCACAATAGGGTCCAGGTCGGCAGCAAGAACGCTGCTAGCAAAGAGCGCAGTGCTTGCAATGATGTTTGAAAGCTTCATGGCGAAACTGTACGATGCATATGAGAGTCTAGAATGTTGTGACGGTAGTATCAAATCTGGGCACCGGCCTGACTGTATCTGATATCAAACCGTCGAAGTCGGTTAAAGAAAGTGGCGTCAAAGGCTAGCTTTACGAATAATCAAGGAGTGATGTATAATCAAACGACTGAGATAATAGTTAAAAAAGTGAGTGTATAGAAAAAACTGCGATAAAAATCATGGAGAAATGGCGGAAAAAGAAAAGAGGGAGTGGCTCTTTGAGATACACAAAGAATGATAGCTGGTAAAAGGGAGAACATGAACAGTAACGCTCTTGGGCCCTTAGGGGTTTCATACTCTTCTATGAAGGATACCCGGCTCCCATGAATTGGCAGTAAGCTTAAAGGACAGCCCACTCTTCTTGAGCTCGAGAGAGAATCAGACGGGACGAGGGTCAAGAATATCCACTGTTGTGCAATTCTCACGATACAACGAGATGTTGATCACCGAGGATTTTCAGTGATGTGCACTTCTCTAGGCTATCATTTGCCCAGAGCCCGCGATGGCTTCCCCATGACGGGAGACACTGATATCACAGGGTGCAAAAATACACAAGCTAGCTCCACAGCAGGGAATAGCTCAGGGGATGAAGGGTTTGAGCAAAGGCTTAATTATCTCTTCACCCAAGATGTACAGGGACGAACCCTGGAGTTGAAGCCAGATAAAGGTGGACGGTAATGCGACCATACACTGGGCAATCCGCGTTGAAGCTGAGAGCCAGGGACGAGAACGTGTCTATCAGAGGGACCTGCTGCATGGCTTTGTGTCTTCAAGTTGCGCATGTTGGGGGTTTCGAGCTGGGACGGCTCCTGCTGCCGAATGCGGACAGCGGTTGTTTGACAGGTTTCTCCTTACGGTTGGTGCATGTACGACAATTTTAAGATTTGTCTATCGCGGAATCTGTGGAACAAGCACTCGATACTCCGTACACAGGCCTGTCGGCTGTGCCTTGTAGTTGGTATCTTGGTGTACAGAGTAGGGATGACGGTCGCTGCTGCGTTCGGTATGTTCTCAGGTTTGCTAGTGTAGGTAAGTTATGCTCTTCAGATGCCACAGTACGTTGAGTTGAGTTGTTTATTGGTTATAGCAGAAGGGTCAGCCAAATTAAGATTATCGAGTGTCCATTTATGATGTTCTGGTGTGTCGGATCATGTATCAAGTATGTGACAAAATATATTGAGACTCTGATGGCAGACGGGACTGCAGCTTGGAGATCGTTGCCTGCTCTGTTCTCAGGAGATTGAACGATAGACTCAAAGACTCATTGGCTGTATGCATGCTCTTTTGCGAGACCTTCGTCTATCGAGTAAGACATCTGGACCTATTCCCGTGGGATATCATGCAGGTATATACAGAGACAGAGGCACCAAGGGGCATGATCATGGATTTGGACACGACTACAGCAATCAAGTCAAGGCTTCTAGTGCTATACTCTATTCATCGTATGGCAAACGCTGGTACGTCTCCATATACTCCGTAGGACAGCCAAAATTGCCCGTTTTCACTAAGAATTCAGACCATGCTCGAAATTCACTCTTTCCCAATTGAAGCACAACTGGATGAGTCTAGAGACCCGCCAGATGGACCTTTTCTGAAACATTAAACCCCCCCCCTTTCGCAAATCCTGTTGGACGGGACCATGGAACATCCCCACCTCAGTTGCAATTAATGCACTTGCCACCCATTCCCCCTAGTAACTTACAGTACCTAGGTACCTAGTAGGTACCTAGTAGGTACCTATGGAGTACATACAGTAGTAGGTACTTGTAACTGTTGAAAGTACTGTCGTTTTAGTGTCCACAAACTCCAACTTCCACGCAATCACTCAGCTTGTTTCGAGATTGGTTTAAACTGAGATGATGAAACTGCGCTGGCAAAATACCACAAACTTCAAAGAGCCTGGCTGGCCATTCTGATAATCTTAGAACGGATAACTCCGGATCATGTATTTTTAGTTTGGTCCATCCTGGTACCCTACGGAGTAGTTAACTACAGTAACTTAGGTACCAGGAAGTATTGACAGCTTGCATCCTTTTTTTTTTTTTTTTTTTTTTTTTTCTCCGACAGTGATACTATTCTTGTCGGGAACAGAAAGAATTTGTTTTCAAAGATTCTAAGGTTGGTTCTGCAAGGGCGAGGGCAAAGTCCGATTCAGAATTCATCGGCATCTCCTCACACGGAAGACGAGCTGATAACCCGCCACCAAAAGGCGTGTGTGGCTGACCCGCCAGCCTGCAACTAGCTTGTTCATCCTCCACTATTTTCTTATTCCCACTGTCGACTCGTCCAGTTATTCTCGTACGGACTCCTGGAGTAGCTCGCGTACCTAAATAATTACTCCTCTGAGCCGAAAGAGTTGAGGTCCACGCCATCCATTCCAGCGGCGGAGAATAAAGAAATGGTACGGCGTAGAAGAGAACAGTGGACACAACAGCGGGTTCCGTGGATGTAGAGATCTTAAGTCCGATGCTCGTTATTTTTGGAAAACTGGCCTGTGACAATGATTACAGGACAATACCAAGTTCACGCATAGGGGATCTTGGAATATTTGACCCTCCAAGGTGTTAAAAAATTTAGCAGATCTGATCTTGTAGACTTTAGAGTTTTTAACTAAGATTTTTGTTCACTCTGTTAAGGAAATTATGAAGCATAAATGATGAAGTTGTAGATGGATGTATTTGGTGCGGGGGTACTTAGTACACTACCCAGGTACGGAGTACTTAGTAGGTACTTAAAGAGATTTAATAATACCATGTTTCCAAGTTTACCATGCGTATTCTTTCCAGGATGGATATCATCCAATTTCAAAAAGGAACGCCCCGAATCAAAATGAGGGACAATTACATAGTAGATTTACTAGATTATTCTTGAAATTATGGCTAGCTATTAATTTTGTAGATCCTTTTGATGAAAAATTTAATTAACTAGGAAAAAGTTAATATTAATATCCAAGAGGGGTTTCTCAAACTTGGAAGACGATCAAGCGAAGCCCAAAAAGGATCCCTGGGAGAGCCACTTCATCATCGACTTGACCAAAGTGGGGTTTTATCATTTCCATCGATTATCTGTGATGGGATCATTACAACTTCTGTAACGTACTGTGTTGATTGGCTTTGTCTAATATACATTTAATACTTAAGTCACTACTGTAGTCTGGGTATACTTAGGTGTCCACCCAGGTGGTAGAAGGCTGGAAATGGAAATGGTACATACTTGGTCGAGGCTGAAATCTATGGCATCCATCCATGAGACAACCTTGGAAGACAACATGCCGTACCAGGTTTTATTTTATTTGGGACATAGTGTTGATATAGTCGAAAGAGAGACCAGCAAAAAACTCTTCTAGAGAGGAAACAAATCCGAAAATACGTTTGCTTTCAATAGTCCGCCATTAATAGTCGTGTCTAGGTTCCATACGACTTATTTTAGGAAAGCTGTCCTTCTACTAGTAGTAATAGAATATGAGGATATTGAAGTCAACGACAGAGTACAAGTACTGTAACTTCCACTTGACATATGCACGACTCTCGAAAATTGATCAATATCATAACAATAAACAGTGCATAGCGACGCATGCATAGGCTTGTCACTAGGCAAAGCACTGTGGTATGGCGAGTTAGGAGGCAATTGCCAGAACAAGGTTGGATGAGGAATGAGATAAAGGCATCCCTGCATACCAACTGAAGGCAGTAAATGTATCTTCCTCCGGAGTACAGTGTTGTAACTAAAGATAATGCAATGCGTAAAACAATTACACAACGCGGACGGAGTGTATTTGAAGTCTCCATACCGGTGTATTTATCCCCATGATCCTGTTGTCCATTGGTGGCCAGCCAGATAGATGGTGGGGTCTTGGTTCAGGGGCCGCTCTCCGGTAAATTCCACCCATGGATTTCCAGACCCTCATGCTTTGGGTAATTTGTTGGAAACCCACCAAAGTTCCTGGAAATTTGAACCAGTTCCTGGCATAAACATTGAGTACAATCATAACATTTGATTACGGAGTATTGAAAAAAAAAAAGAGATCCCTGCGAGAGAATATATCATAAGTGTATTGAGAATCCCTATGCCCGGGAAGGGATTTTTAATGTTCAGGGGTGCGTTTGGGGAATAGACGACAGATTACTCCGTATACAGAGTGGCCAACAAAAGAGTAAAAACAGGGCGGTAATCTTTTTCCCCTCAACCAGTCCAACGAGTTGAAGATCTTGATAGGTCCAGAATTTTGAAGACAACGACCACCCAAACCCAATCAGAATACTCATTTTATGGAGACCTACCTGTTCTAGAAGAACTGAATATTCAACAGCCCAATAAGCTGTAAAAATGAAATAAAAACCCCCCCCCAGGGGTGTTTTGTGTGTACATTGGGGAGGTATCTTCCTGACTAATCCGCAAGGTACGTAATAATACCAATGGGCTGTATTGTGTATAATTGTTGTGGCACCATCCCATGTCCCGCGTTCGGTAATACCAGAGAAAGAACATTACGCGGAACCCCCCATCCCCAGCGGAGATACCTCTGGCAAGCTTGGGAAGGGGAAGGTACCTATGCTGGGACTCCGGAGTAATATATACAGTATTGCGGTGTATTACTCTGCGCAAATACTTACACGACTCGGGGCTGCACAGTAATTTAGCAGATCCAGAAGCCCAAAATAGACACAAACCTCCCTCCCTCCCAGTCTTAGTGTTGGTGGTCAATCGATTCCCTTTTTACGCTGACCGTCCAACCTCTCTAGCCTCCTCCCTCCCTTCGTCCTTCTCTTGGTTCTTTCCTTTCCATTTTTCGACTTCACTTTTTTCTTTCTTTCGTTGACTCTTGCCTTTCTCTTCTTCTTCTTCTTCTTCTTCTTTTCACTCCCTGATCGCTCTTTTGTGGTTCGTACCCGCGAAACTTCTTCGACAACACGGCCTAACCCCCCTTCCTTCCTTCCTTTCGTTTGGGGAAAGAAGAGGAGGCTCTCGGCTGAGACATTTGGGTCGTCCAGTCCTCTCGTGAACCTTTTTATCTGCGAAAACAGTCATCCTCTCGTTTCCTTACTCTTGCACTCGTTTGACTTGACGGCTTTCCGAATCCCACCTAGGGAATCCCCCCCCCCCAAAAAAAATCGATCTTCCTGGTTGAGATCGACTCGTACGTACACGGACAGGACCGGTGCCTTCACAAGAACAACAAGCCCGAGGAAATTTACGACGCGCCTATTGCATCGAAAACTTCCCCGATTACTTGTCGACCACGTCCGAAATACTGTTCGTCCATGTGTTGATATCTCAGGATTAGTCAGGTTAATATTTAATGGGCCACTGTTTTTGTAAGTCTATTTTGGAGTCCGAACGGGTTCAAGATGGACTTTTTACTTACGAATTAAGCAGAAGCTGCAAACACAGTGATTGTGGCTAGTCGAAATGTCGGGCTATCCAGCAGGCCATTACGATGATGGCTATGGCCAAGGCCAGGGCCAGGGCCAGGGCCAGGGTGGTGGTGGTGGTGGTGGCCATCAGGACCAGCATGCCGATGCTTACTACCAGGATGAACATGGCCAGGGTGGCTATTATGACCCTCATGACTATGGGGATGGCTATTACGACAACAGAGGGTTTGTCTACCATCATGAGATAGTTACTGGAGATCATTTTTGCTGATATCTGATAGCGGCTATTACAACGCGGAGGGGGGCAATGAGAATGCCTACCACCAAGAGGGTGGATATTACGACGCTGGCCACCAGGATGACTACTACGGCGACCAGTACTACGACCAAGGAAATGGGGCTAGAGGTAGACGTGGAGGTCGCGATTCAGAGGAAGAATCCGAAACGTTTAGCGACTTTACCATGAGATCTGAGACTGCTCGTGCAGCTGACATGGATTACTATGGTCGCGGAGACGAAAGGTACAACAGCTATACTGATAGCCAGTATGCAGGACGAGGCTATCGCCCTCCCTCTTCGCAAGTATCCTATGGCGGTAATCGGTCTTCTGGAGCCTCGACCCCCGTGTATGGCATGGACTACGGCAATTCCTTGCCCGCGAGCCAGCGATCTCGAGAGCCATACCCCGCCTGGGCTTCAGACGGCCAAATCCCCGTCTCTAAGGAAGAGATCGAAGATATCTTCCTCGACTTGGTTAATAAATTCGGTTTCCAGCGCGACAGCATGCGAAATATGTATGATCATCTGATGACGCAGTTGGACTCTCGTGCTTCCCGCATGACTCCAAACCAGGCTCTTTTGTCGTTGCATGCTGATTACATTGGGGGTGACAATGCAAACTACCGACGCTGGTATTTTGCAGCCCACTTGGATCTCGACGATGCGGTGGGTTTCTCCAATATGAATCTGGGCAAAGCAGACCGTAAGACCAGAAAGGCCCGCAACGCGGCCAAGAAAAAGGCCCAAGAGAACCCCGAAAATGTTGAAGAAAACCTCGAGGCTTTGGAGGGCGATAATAGTTTGGAAGCTGCTGAATATCGATGGAAGACGCGGATGAACCGAATGTCTCAGCATGACCGCGTGCGCCAATTAGCATTGTTCTTGCTTTGCTGGGGTGAGGCAAACCAAGTCCGTTTCCTGCCGGAGTGTTTGTGCTTCATCTTCAAGTGTGCAGACGATTATTACAACTCTCCCGAATGCCAGAATCGCGTGGAACCGGTTGAGGAGTTCACTTATCTGAACGAGATTATTACACCCCTCTACCAGTTCTGCCGTGACCAAGGGTACGAAATCATGGATGGCAAATATGTTCGTCGGGAGCGCGACCACAACCAAATCATCGGATACGACGATATGAACCAGCTTTTCTGGTATCCAGAAGGTATTGAGCGAATCGCACTGGAGGATAAGACTCGACTGGTTGATATCCCGGCTGCCGAGAGATGGGTCAAGCTGAAGGAAGTCAACTGGAAAAAAGCCTTCTTCAAGACTTTCAAGGAAACACGGTCATGGTTCCACTTGATCACCAACTTCAACCGCATCTGGGTTATCCACTTTGGCGCTTTCTGGTTCTTTACTGCCTACAATGCGCCTACTCTCTACACGCACGATTACAAGCAGCAGGTGAATAACAAACCCCCAGGCTCGAGGTATTGGTCTGCTGTTGGTTTCGGCGGTGCGGTCGTTGCGTTGGTCCAAGTTCTCGCCACGCTGGCTGAATGGTTGTACGTGCCCCGACGCTGGGCGGGCGCTCAACATCTCACGAAGCGCCTGCTGTTCCTCCTTGCGCTCCTCGTCATCAATCTGGCCCCCGGTGTTTTTGTCTTTGGATTCTCTGACAGCGTTAATGCCAAAATTCCTCTTGCTGTCGGCATCGTACATTTCTTCATCGCTCTGGCCACATTCTTTTTCTGTGGTATCATGCCTCTCGGTGGTTTATTTGGCAGCTATCTGAAGAAGAATGGTCGTCAATACGTTGCCAGTCAGACGTTTACTGCGAGCTATCCAAGGTTGAAAGGCAATGACATGTGGATGTCCTATGGTCTGTGGGTTTGTGTGTTTGGCGCCAAGTTGTGTGAGTCGTACTTCTTCTTGACGCTCTCTCTCAAAGACCCCATTCGCATTCTGTCGCCGATGAAGATTCATCACTGTGCCGGTGTCACGTATATTCCGAACGTCCTCTGCCGTGCCCAACCTCAGATTCTTCTCGGCCTCATGTTCTTCATGGATTTGACGCTCTTCTTCCTCGACAGCTACCTGTGGTATATTATCTGTAATACCATTTTCTCTGTCGCTCGGTCTTTCTATCTGGGTGTCTCCATCTGGTCCCCCTGGAGAAACATCTTCTCTCGCCTCCCCAAGCGTATTTACTCGAAGGTTTTGGCTACCACGGACATGGAAATCAAGTACAAGCCAAAGGTCTTAATTTCCCAAGTGTGGAATGCCATCATCATTTCTATGTACCGGGAGCATCTGCTTGCTATCGATCATGTTCAGAAATTGCTCTACCATCAAGTTCCCTCGGAGCAAGAAGGCAAGCGAACTCTTCGAGCACCCACTTTCTTCGTTTCCCAGGAGGATCAGTCCTTCAAGACCGAATTCTTTCCCTCAGGCAGTGAAGCTGAGCGTCGTATTTCATTCTTTGCGCAATCTGTATCCACTCCCATGCCTGAGCCTCTGCCTGTTGACAACATGCCAACATTCACGGTCTTGATCCCGCATTATGGCGAGAAGATTCTGCTGTCTCTTCGTGAAATTATCCGTGAAGATGAACCTTACTCTCGCGTGACTCTTCTGGAGTACCTGAAGCAGCTTCATCCCCATGAGTGGGACTGCTTTGTTAAGGATACCAAGATCTTGGCTGATGAGACCTCTCAGTTCAATGGAGAATCTGAGAAAACTGAGAAAGACGCTGCCAAAAGCAAAATCGATGATCTTCCATTCTACTGCATTGGTTTTAAGTCCGCTGCCCCGGAATACACCCTCCGAACCCGTATTTGGTCTTCGTTGCGTTCCCAGACGCTCTATAGAACTATTTCTGGTTTCATGAACTATAGCAGGGCTATCAAGCTCCTCTACCGTGTCGAGAACCCTGAAGTTGTCCAGATGTTTGGCGGAAACTCAGAGAAACTGGAGCGTGAGCTAGAGCGAATGGCTCGTCGCAAGTTCAAGATTTGCGTCTCTATGCAGCGTTATGCCAAGTTCACCAAAGAGGAACGTGAAAACACAGAATTCCTTCTTCGCGCTTATCCCGACCTTCAAATCGCATACCTGGATGAAGAACCTCCTGCCGAGGAGGGCGAAGAGCCCCGCCTGTATTCTGCTCTGATTGATGGACACTGCGAGCTCCTCGAGAATGGCATGCGTAAACCTAAATTCAGAATTCAACTTTCCGGAAACCCGATTCTTGGTGACGGCAAATCCGATAACCAAAACCATTCGATCATCTTCTACCGTGGTGAATATATTCAGGTCATTGATGCCAATCAGGATAACTATCTTGAAGAATGCTTGAAGATCCGTAGCGTTCTGGCTGAATTCGAGGAATTGACAACTGATAACGTCTCCCCTTACACCCCTGGCGTTCCCTCCTCCGGCGAGACTCCCGTTGCTATTCTCGGTGCCCGTGAATACATTTTCTCCGAGAACATTGGTGTTCTGGGTGACGTTGCTGCTGGAAAAGAACAGACGTTCGGTACCTTGTTCGCACGTACCCTTGCTCAGATCGGCGGAAAGCTTCATTACGGTCACCCGGATTTCCTCAATGGCATCTTCATGACCACTAGAGGTGGTATTTCCAAAGCGCAGAAGGGTCTGCACTTGAACGAGGATATTTATGCTGGTATGAATGCTATGATTCGTGGCGGCCGCATCAAGCACTGTGAATACTTCCAATGCGGTAAAGGTCGTGATCTTGGCTTCGGTTCTATTCTCAACTTCACAACCAAGATTGGTACTGGTATGGGTGAACAGATGCTGTCTAGAGAGTACTATTACCTTGGTACCCAGCTTCCTCTTGACCGGTTTTTGTCATTCTATTATGCGCACGCTGGTTTCCACATTAACAACATGTTTATCATGTTGTCAGTGCAAATGTTCATGATTGTCCTCATTAACCTGGGTGCCCTGAAGCACGAGACGATCATGTGCCACTATAACCCGAACTTGCCTATCACTGACCCTCTCCGACCTACCGGATGTGCAAATCTCACCCCTATCGTCAACTGGGTCAATCGTTGTATTATTTCCATCTTTATTGTGTTCTTCATCTCCTTCGTGCCCCTGGCGGTTCAAGAGTTGACTGAGAGAGGATTGTGGCGCATGGCTACACGTCTAGCAAAGCACTTTGGTTCTTTCTCGTTCATGTTTGAGGTGTTTGTGTGCCAGATCTATGCTAATGCTGTTCACCAAAACTTGTCTTTCGGTGGTGCTCGCTACATTGGTACTGGTCGTGGGTTTGCCACTGCTCGTATTCCATTTGGTGTGTTGTACTCTCGTTTTGCCGGTCCCTCAATCTACGCTGGGGCTCGCGCTCTCCTCATGCTTCTCTTTGCCACATCCACCGTCTGGACGGCGTCTCTCATTTGGTTCTGGGTTTCTCTGCTCGCCCTCTGCATCTCGCCGTTCCTCTTCAACCCCCACCAATTCGCCTGGAATGACTTCTTTATTGATTATCGTGATTATATCCGTTGGCTTTCTCGCGGTAACTCTCGATCGCATGCATCTTCCTGGATTGGTTTCTGTCGGTTGTCTCGTACCCGTCTCACTGGTTACAAGCGCAAACTTCTCGGTGTGCCTTCGGAGAAAGGATCTGGCGATGTTCCCCGAGCTCGCATCACCAATATCTTCTTTAGTGAGATCATCGCCCCCTTGGTTTTGGTTGCCGTAACGCTCGTTCCGTACCTTTACATCAACTCTCGAACTGGTGTTGTGAATGCTACGGCCAGAAACGCCATTGTCCGTATCGCAATCGTCGCATTTGGACCTATTGCTGTCAATGCTGGCGTTTCTGGTATGTTCTTCGGCATGGCCTGTTGTATGGGTCCACTCTTGGGTATGTGCTGCAAGAAATTTGGTTCTGTTTTGGCTGCTATCGCCCACGCTGTTGCCGTCATCATCCTCCTTGTAATTTTTGAGGTTATGTTTTTCCTCGAACACTGGTCTTGGCCTCGTTGCGTGTTGGGCATGATTGCTATGGCTGCAATCCAACGCTTCATCTACAAGCTTATCATCTCACTGGCTCTCACTCGCGAGTTCAAGCATGATCAGTCAAATATTGCCTGGTGGACTGGAAAATGGTATAGCATGGGATGGCACACTCTCTCCCAACCAGGCCGCGAATTTCTCTGCAAGATCACTGAGTTGGGCTATTTCGCCGCGGACTTTGTCCTTGGCCATATTCTCTTGTTTGTCATGTTGCCTGCACTTTGCGTCCCCTACATCGACAACTTCCATTCCGTTATCCTTTTCTGGCTGCGACCAAGGTAAGCTCCCCTGTTGCGCTATCGTTTTCTTTTGGGTCTTCTAACCTTCATCTAGTCGACAAATTCGTCCTCCCATCTATTCTATCAAGCAGTCTAAACTCCGCAAGAGAAGGGTCGTTCGTTTCGCTATCTTGTACTTTGCGATGCTTGTCTTGTTCCTCGTCCTTCTCATCGCGCCCCTGATTGCCCGGAATATGAGTATCTCGTTACCCACCATTCCGATGGATCTCATGCAGCCCCTGGACGCCAACAACAACGACACTACCACCGACTACACGGGTGCGGGTCTCCCTAAGGGCTACATCGCCGCATCGTCGGCCGCAACGACATCGTAAAGGCTGTCTTGTTTCTTTCAAAACTACACTTTGCTACATTATCCGGATATTGATCATGGAAACGAGTTGTATAAACTATTCAGCGCCTTGAAGTTGCTGCTGAACCTTGTTTGTTTGTTTTTTTTTCCCCCTTATTTTTGAATTTCTTTCCTTCTTGTCGGAATCTCTTCATGGACGGTTCCTCTGTTAACATTAATGGACCCGATATTTACCAACTTGTTCTGTATTCGCGAGGTGTCTTGTTCTGTCCTTTGTGCGAGCTCATTAGACTAGCAAATTTCCATCTACTGCTTTCGTTTGTTAAATCTCCTGAGAAATTGTAAGAATGAAATTGCTCTGCTCCCATAGACACCAACTGTCCCATGAAGGTCACGTGTCGGCTGTACCCGGCAATTGGTCCGTTCCCGCCTTACGAGTACGGTTGAAACAACCACGAATTAATCTCCTGTCTACACATCACATCGTCTCTCCTAGAGTTTACCTGCCCTGATTCCAACCTCTCTTTTCTGTGTTTGCTACTTCAATGCCATCATCCTTATCGTGACGTTTCTGTTCTCCTTTCAGGCCTTCTTAAATTTTTTTTTTTCTTTTTGGTTTTCCTTTTCTGCGCCGCGAGCGCTTCTGCCTAATTCCCCCGGTTCCATCATGGATATCCAGGAGACCCAACGCCTCCTTTCGGAGTACCTACATGAGCTCGCAAACCTATTCCATCGAGTCCCTGGGTCCGCTATTTTCTTGCGCTATGTGAAGTCCAGCTACCAGAATGATCCGATCCGCTCTGCCGTGGAGTTGTTTCTGTTTCTTTTCGCCGTACGATATTTGCTTGCCCCGAAATATTCCACGAAACCTGGTGTCGTCCAGCTCTCGGAGGATGAAATTGATGATTTGGTGGATGAGTGGACGCCAGAGCCACTTGTGGGCAACCCTACTCCCCTAGAAGAGATGGAAGTTGATAAGAGGACGGTTATTGTTGGGTAAAATCCCTGGAGTATCGTTTGAAATTGTTGCCTTGCGCCGATGAGAATACTGACCTTGGAACCACTACAGCCCAGTTGGCCCTAAATCGAAGCTTTCCAACGGTCGAACGGTGATGAACCTCGGTTCCTATAACTTCTATAACTTCAACACGAACGAATCCATCAAAGAAAAGGCAATTCAGACTCTGCGAAACTACGGTGTTGGACCCTGTGGCCCTCGCGGTTTCTACGGTACCCAGGATGTTCATATGAAGACAGAGGCTGATGTTGCGTCTTTCCTTGGCACCGCTTCGTGTATTATTTACGCGCAGGCCTTCTCAACCATCTCTAGCGTGATCCCTGCCTTTTCCAAGCGCGGAGATATCATCGTTGCCGATAAGGGTGTGAGCTTTGCTGTTCGGAAAGGCATTCAGATCTCTCGAAGCATAGTCCGGTGGTATGAGCATAATGATATGGAGGATTTGGAGAGGGTTTTGGCCAAGATCACCAAGGAACAAGCAAGGAAACCCCTTACCAGGCGTTTCATCATAACAGAGGGCTTATTCGAGTCGTATGGTGACCTGGTTGACCTTCCTAAGATCGTTAGTGCCCTTTTCTCGCTTCATTTTCTTGTCCTGGGGACGTAAAAAAAATATAAACTAACTGATAGGTTTAGATTGAACTGAAGCTGAAGTACAAGTTCCGCTTGATTCTTGACGAGTCATCATCATTTGGTGTCCTTGGAAGGACTGGCCGTGGCGTGACTGAACACCAAAACGTCGACGCTGCAGAAGTTGATATGATTGTGGGTTCGCTGGCCGGTCCATTAGTTGCAGGAGGAGGATTCTGTGCCGGCTCCGAGGAGATTGTTCATCACCAGCGTATTTCCGCAGCTGCATACACCTTTTCTGCAGCTCTTCCTGCTCTTTTGTCTACAACTGCCAGTGCAACGATCAATATTCTCCAGAACAGCCCAGAAACAGTTTCACAATTGCGTGACCTTACCAAGGCCATGTGGTCTCAGCTCGATCCCCGGAGTGATTGGGTTTACTGCACCAGCGCTCCTGAAAACCCCGTCATGATCCTCGTTCTCAAGCCCGAGGTGGTTGCTGCAAAGAGACTTTCTTATGCAGACCAACAATTCCTCCTTCAAGATGTCGTTGATGAGGTATGGGATCTGCCATCACTACCCCTGGGCTGCTTTCTTTGTCTCGGAAATACTGACATCTTTCTTCTATTTTAGTGCCTCACAAACGGCGTTCTAATCACTCGCCGTAAGACCCTTGATGATAACTATGAGCCCAGGCAAATCGTTCCTCCTGGCTTGAAAGTGTGCGTAACGATCGGCTTAACGAAAAAAGAAATCGAAAAGGCCGGAATTATTATTCGCCATGCTATCACGAAGGTTCTTAGCAGAAAGAAGTAACGGCTTCATGAATTTTCCTTCCGTCACCTTCCTAAGGACCCGGTCATGAAATCCCACTAATGCGACCATGATTTTGCCCGTCGAATTCCCATCCGTTCGTTTCCGGGCCTTTCTTCTACCTATACTTGCTCTTCCACACCCTGGCTGTATAGAGTACACGAACGTGGACTCGGGTTGCGGTGAGTTTGCGCTCGTGTACTAAACGGGACTTTGGTACTGAGCCTATAGCTTCATACAAAACATAAGGTTGCTTTCTTCTTTTGGCCAACAGAATGAGCCCTCCCTTTAATAACTCTTGACCCTAATCATCTGGCTTCTGTTCTGGCATTGTGGTGTGCATTATTAGATATTATATTTTTTTTTTAATGAAAATTCGGTTTTTGTCTTGTTTTGGGCTCTCCTGTTCTGTGTTCGAAACGAACCCTCTTAAGAGTTTGTCCAAGGAAGGGGTAATATAGGGATGTCTTGTCTCACAGAGAAAGGAATAATTCACTGTCGATTCATGGAGGTATGAACCCAAACATTCCACCAAAGTCAAAGATTGATTATTTGCATTCTTCCTGTCAAGTGAAGGAGTCGAGGAGTCGAGGAGTCTAGAAGGGGCTCCCTTGTGAAGCCTTGAGGAGATATCCATGCTTTATTCACTATGGTGGACAGAGGTGAATTTCTTAGTGAATTTGTGGCCTTCCTTGAATCTCACACATTTTTATTTTCTCCTCATGGCCCAGATTTATTCGTGCTGAAGTGTTGCTTCCTCGCGCCAGCTATCCTGGTGAGTCTTGTGCTAAAGCATCCTTTACCAACAGCGGCTTTCTTGCCTTTGGATTGGGATCGAAAAACACATTCAAACCAGAAAGAACAACTACAAGCACTGCACTTAGCAATCAATGAAGGGGATTACTGGCGTCTTGGCTGCGCTCCTGCTTGGCTATCAGGTTGCTGGCTTTGGGCACGGTGCGTCGATTACGCAGAAGAGGAGAACGAACTCACTAGGACTATACTGACTCGAAGGTTGTAAATAGATGGCCACCATGCGTTGAGAGTTCGGGATGTCGTCACGGAACCAGAACCGCTTACAATAGAAGTGACCGTCTATGTGGACCAGAATGGGAAGACGCTGGGGACTCAGAGAAAGGGCCACCACCCAAGCACAACTGTGAATAGTGTAAGGTCTGGATGGACAAGGGATACAATCGGGAGCCAATGCTAATCCCAATATAGGCACCCACGGATCTCCCTCCTATTATTGGCGTGCCCAATTTGGATATTCCCAATGAGCTTGTACCGACCCTGGCAACCGATGTCGCGAACCACAACCCACAGCAGTCGCAGCCGCAGCCGCAGCCGCAAAATGGTCGCCGCTTTGGAATTTCATACTCTCCGTACAACGCGGATAACACGTGCAAGTCCCAGGACCAAGTCAACAGCGACATGGACACGCTGGGCCGCTACGCTTTTGTCCGTATCTACGGCGTGGACTGTGACCAAACCAACAAGGTAGTTTCAGCAGCAAGACAACGAAACCTGAAAGTGTTCACGGGCGTATACGACCTCCAGAACCTGGACGCCAGTCTGAAACTCATCTCTGACGCCGCCGCGGGGGACTGGACCACTATCCACACCGTTTCTGTGGGCAACGAGCTGATCAACCGCGGTCAAAATTCGGTCCCGGATGTGACCAACGCCGTCCGGTCTGCGCGCACTTACCTCCGCAATGCCGGATACAAGGGCCCCGTAGTGACGATCGACACCTTCTCGAAGATGCTCGAACACCCGGAGCTCTGCCAGGCATCGGATTACTGCGCTGCAAACTGCCATGCCTTTTTCGATAACGCGCAGACCGCCGAGCAAGCCGGAGAGTATGTCCGCAGGCAAGCGCACGATATTTCCGCTGCCGCGGGCGGCAAACGCACCATGATCAGCGAGTCCGGCTGGCCCCATGCCGGCCAAGTCAACGGCGCAGCGGTGCCTTCCCCCGAGAACCAGCAAAGGGCCATCGAGAGTCTTCGACAGGCGTTTGCCCATAACCATGGCAATCTTGTTCTCTTCAGTGCGTTTGACGATGCCTGGAAGCAGGATTCCCCGGGGACCTTTGGGGCCGAGAAGTTCTGGGGCATTGAGCGGCATTGATTTTTTTTTTTTTTTCTTCCTTCCTTCCTTCCTTCCTTCCCCCTGGCTTCTCTCTCGAGTGGAAGTTGTGTGCCGGGCTTTTTTTTTTTTTTTTTTTTTTTTTTTCTCGTTTCCTTTTCCGTTCATTAGTTATGTTGGGCATGGGCATGGGCATGGGCAAACCGGAGACAAGCCCGCCGGCCTCTTTGTTATTTCGTCCCGCTATATTTGCCTTCTTCAATAAATAATTTCACCCTTTCCAGAATCACGTGCGGTATTTCCAGCGGGTCGCTGATTCCATTCTCGAGCAGTGCTGGCATTGTCACAGTTTACCTCGTGGTAGGAAAAGGAAATACGTCGGATGAGCTTCTTTTCCTCTAGTTATTTTGTTCTGCTGGACAGTTGAGATCCTAGTAGTAGTAGTAGTAGTAGTAGTAGTTCTTGTCCTGTCAAAAGTCTTGGATTTCCATTGGTAACGAGTTACTAGTAGTTAGTTAACTAACTGACTAACTAGTTAACTAGTGAAAAATACAAGCTTTAGTAACCGGGAGCCCCTTCAAGCGTTGGCCTGGTTTATTCATTTGCGTCGAACCCGCGTGTGTCTTTCTTTGCGAGAACATTCTGGTCTCCAGTGTAGCACTCGACGCCATGATATGGGTTCGTTCTCATTCAAGGAGATGGAGAGAGAGAGAGAGAGAGAGTGTGTGTTTAGGCAGTCGAAGGAAGCCATGATCTGCTCCGGTCTTTTTCTCCCCGGGGGGGGGGGGGGGGGGTTATGGGTTCGATTTCAGGGTTGCCGGGGGGGTAAGATCATATGGAAAAAGGAGATCACTTCATAGCCAGCTATCATGAGTGTGTTTACGTTATTCATCCATCATATATCAAGACTTCCCTTCCTCTCAGAGATGCCCTGTTTCCTCCCTCCTTCTTTTTATCTCCACAGTTCGGTCCAAGGTCCAAACCCAAACCTAAACCCGAGAACCCGGGCCGGGGGGAGGCGGAGAGAGAGGAGAGAGAGGAGAGAGAAGGAAAGGGGAGGATCTGCTTTATTTCTTCTCGACAGGCCACATATCCGCGACATCCTTTTCTCTATACTCCGGCGGCTGATCCGAACAATGCTCCATGATCTGCTTCTCCGCATCGGCCCAGCTCAACCGATCATCCACATCCTTCTGGATACGACTGCCCACTTCCATCTCATCGCAGGTGTCGTCCCCCCCCCGGCTCGCATCCCGACGACGCGACCTGCGCGAAGAAGAACAAGCACGGATGCATCCCGCAACCCCGAGGACAGTCGTCAGAAGCCACAGCAGCATATTCACCAAGCTAATCCAAACGCCGGCGCGCATGCGGGAGATCGACAGCGTAGCCGTTTCGTACTCCGGTGGAATGGCCGTCAAAGGAGCGCAGTAGATTGTGCCGAAGACGCCTACCTGGGCCAGCCAGAGGATGAAGACCACGGCGTCGAATAGATCCCACGCGGGCTTGGGGGCGGAGACGATGGCCGTGGCGAGGATGTGGATTGTGCAGGTGAGTCCCGACACGCAGGCGAGGAATTCCGCGTAGATCCAGGGGGCTTCGGCGTGGGCTTGGGTTTTGGTTGCGTGGGCCAGGTCGATTCCGTATAGTGCGGCCACGACGACGGCGAAGAGGAACTGGAGGGCGCGGGGGATGAGATGGAAAATGCGGGAATCGATCCAGCGCTTCTTCTCTGGAGCCGTGGCTGACGGGATATAGTGGTTGCTTGTATCCATGATGCTACTGAGGTAGTGCACTATTCTTGTTCGTTCTGAGGGTAGTAGTAGTAGTAGTAGTAGCAGGAGAGGAGAGGAGAGGAGTAGATATTGTTAATGAAAGACAACCAGCATCATTTAAAAATGGGTTCACCTGTGGCAATTGAGTCGCAACGATCTAATAATAAATATGCGGTGGATCTTGAGGACTGGCGATATTTGCCCAAATAGGAAAATCCAGCGTACTCGTACTTGGCAGTCTTGTCGGATCCAATAATGAATCGCTGTCCAGGACTCTGTACCTCTGGCTCTTTTCCTTTATGACGATTGGTTCTTCTAGAGAATCTATCCACATTCCTGCCATGGAATCAACCCCTGATCCGTTCCAGGGAGACGGCGGTTGGTTGTGGTCAAAACCGGAAATGAGGAAGGGATTCTGATTCTATTCGGATGAGTGCTGTGACTTGTCTCACTTATACGGAGTTCGGCACTTATGACGAGTTTTATCATGCGTGGATTTCATTGTAGTATGAAAAAAAAAAAAAAAAAAAAAAAAAAAAACCCTCCAGACTATGCTATGCGAATGGTAGAGTACTAATACAAATGTAGTCGGTCGTAACATGGCATCAAGATATCATGGGCCGCGGCCGCTGCCCTTGCCGCTCAGTGCAGGGTGACATTTTGCACTGCCTGTTCAACACTGATCACAGCGGTATCATTGGTAGAAGGAATTCCCGCAGACTGCTCTCGGTGCTGTGTGGACGCAGTGCTGTGGACGCTGCTGATGCTGGTCTGGCTGCGACGCGATTCTTCCGAGTCCGTCTGCGCGTGTCTCCCGCGCCCCCAGCGACGAGCTTTCGGGGGTTCTGGCTTCGGGATGGATTTGTGGCTGGGGCATTGCTGTGGCATTCTGGAGGGACTGGTGACGGGGGTAGAGTGGCTGGAAAGGTGGTGGACGACCGAACGTCTTGGGGGCGGTACAGCCGGCGGTGGGTTCGAAGCAGAGCGACGGGCGTGGGTTGGTGGTAAGGGCGGAACAAGACCAGACGTCGTGGTCGAGTTTCGTCGGTCGGTCTCCGGGAGAAGATGCGGGGTGGCCGCGAGAGGCGTAGATGGATGAAGGGGGCTCGGACTGTTTTGCCCTGGGCTGATGCTCTCTTCTGTGATCTTCTCTGCGGTGATGTTGGGGATGCTGTCTTCGTCGCCCGTGGCGCGTCTGCCGCGCCAACGTCTTGCCTTCGGGGGCATCGGCTTGATTTTGGACTTGGTGGGACTCGTCTGGGGATCAGGTGGTTGGGTGTCATGGCGACTGGGCGTGATGACGCCCGGTTTCTCGCGTTGGGATGCGACCTCATGTACGCTGAGGCTAGATGAGGAGGCGGGGTCCAAATGCATCCCTAATCGCTCGGCCTGGCTAAACTTGTGATCTGTCGCGAGAGTAGGCGTGGAAGCGTCGAGTCCATCCAGAGCAGTGGCTGACAAAGGTTCAGGCGAGCTCTCTCTGGTACTCGGAGAGGAGAGGGTTTGGGATGACTCCAAAGATGCGCCAGGATCAACCTCGGAATTCAACACAATATCCGCTGCGGTCAAAGATGCGAACCCACTATCCTCCTTCTGCGGAACTCGTAGAAGCTTACACGGTTCCTGTGGTTCATCGCGTAGCCAGTCGACGGAAGCGCATCGTAAAACCAGTCGTCTTGTCGTCTCATCAACTTCGTCAAAATGCATAATCTTCTCACCGTCTGCTTCGCCGTTCCCGGAGAGCTGGCCGCGGACAAGAAGCGTCAGCATCCGCCTCAGCTCCGCTCGCTTGTAATGCGGCGGCGACTTGAGCTGTGTGTGTGCAAGTAACGGGTACAGCACCCGAAGATAGGTGTGTCGAAGAGCGGAAGCCTCCTCGGGCAAGTCGAGGAGATTTCGAATTAGGATATCCACCAGGACATGAAGATCATTGGTGAAAAAGTATTCATAGGTGCTAGGGGTCGTGAAAATCAGATATAAGAGTTTCAAGGTGAGAAGCTGCAACGACGTTTCCGCTATTCAGGGTTAGAGTTGTTGGTTTAGATCGATCTGGATTGTAGGTGGAAGCTACCTTCTCTATTAATAAGGAGGATAATATTTTCTCCAAAAGTTTTGTATAGATTTCCATGCATCGACAATATTTTGATGACCTTATTTGTCAACGAATTCGCAGGCGATTGGCCGTCCTCGGGGGTATGGGCAGATATCATAAATTGTTCATTCAAAACCAACTATCAGGAACCGTCAGCGGGTTCTCTTGATGGAGCTAGGGAAAGAGGGACATACCAGCACGCGAATCACGGGATAATGATACGGATCGTTAGCATCAAATGAAAGGTCCTCGATAATATCAAAAAGCCCTCTGATGAAATCATCGTCCACGAGAACTGTTATTCCCAACCACGTCAGAAAACCAACCCCTTCAGGATATGCTGCGGCGGGCAAACCGCCACCGGCACAAGGACGCGACTCACCCAGATCTTCAATCTTGACTTTCTGTACCCTCGACATCTCATACAGCAGATCCATCAAAAGTCGACGTAACCCGGCCGTGTTGTCATCCCCCTCCCTTGTCTGTATATGTAGCAGCTCCAGCAACCGCGGAAACACACCCTCCTCGTTCATCATATGAAACAAAACCTCATGCTGCCGGCCATCGAACAGGAGGCAGGACGCAATCAACTGGAGGGTCACGAAATCATCTTCCTGTCTGGACTGTGAGAAACAAGATCACCTCGACCTTCCAAAGCCTGCGTACCTGCAATAGACCGTAGATCATTTGTCGCCGGACATAATCGGTATGGGCGACGAAGATCGTCGACGAGATCAATTTGAACGAACATCTCGTCACCTCTAACTCGGACTGGAGGTATTGCTCTTGCCCAGAATTAGAACCAGGAATAAGCCCCCACGAAGAGAAAAACGAAACCAAATCCAGTACACACCTTTATAATTAGTAGCAAAACTCAAATACGCCCGTAACGCATTATCAATTAAGTCTTCCGAGGAGCAAGGGGTGGAAACAATCTCTTGGATGTCTGTTTGCGGAGCCACAACATCATGGTGTTAGTTCAATGATTCGGAGAATCGCCCACACAGAGAGAAGAAGAATAAAAAAAAAAAAAAAAGAAAAGAAAAAGGGCAAACGCACTGGCCCAGAATTGCTGCTCATTTTCCACGGAGACCTCAAACTCCATTTCCCACAACTACTCGATCGTCGTCGTCGGGCCGGACGAGTCTCTGCACTCATCCCGTCTTGCGCCCGTCACACCAGTTGGCTGGGGGGGGGGGGAGGGGGGCTCCGCAGGGAGGGAGGAAGAGAAGCGATGACGCTTCTGGTAAAAGAGGTTGTAGAAGGGCGTTCAGTTGTAAAAGGAGCAGGAAACCGAGCGATGTGAGAGGAAGGCGAAACAGGAGGGAGGGAAAAGAGGAATTCCAGATGGCCCGGAAGATTATTGATGACCACGCCTGAGTTGGCGGTGCGGCGGGGAATTCGCCCTGTGGTCCACCTTCTCAACCATGGCCACCAATTTCTATCTTTATCTCTCTGCTAAAATGGTAGATTTGGAATGGGTTCCCTTTGGCAATTTCCGACATTATCGACAGGTACGTCTAACAGCTCAACTACTGCTCAATACAGGGACCCAAATGCAGACATCTATGTACGCTGCTAAACACCGCGGGGGACAATCCAATACAGCCCAATTAACAGGGTACAGATGAATTAAAAAAAAAGAAAAGGAAAAGAAAAAAAAAAAAAAGGCCTCCCCGACTCGAGGTTCAGGGTTCAGAAAGGACTTGGAAACGTGGTATCGATACTTTTACAAAGAGCCGGTCAGCAAAATAGCAACAACGGCGACGGGTATATCGCAAGGGGATATAGAGCGAAAGGTTATTAGCATTAGTAGACTGGGCGCTTAAAGGGATGCGCCTCGGTGTTTCTATAGGTCAAGGTCAGTCGGTATCGGCCCAGGGAGTTTCGGGGAATTTAGCCCTTACAGAACATATTCGTCAAGGCTCACCACATCCGTGTCGCTAAAGAGGAGATAGAAATATTTCAAGGTCTCTGCCAGCCAGAACGACTCCATACTATCCAGCGGTCGGGGACTCTCTACCGTCACGTCGTCAATGGCTGAGTTGGCCAACTCAGTCTTCGTGTATTCGGCAACGGCTTGGTACATTTTCCAGCCCTTCTCGCGCCAGGAAGGGTCTCCGGTAAGGCGAAACATGATGAACACAGACTCGATAGCCTCAGGGCGCAGAATGTATTGACGAGACGAGATTCCAATGACTCCGGGTGGGAGGCGCTCGCTTCGAATTCGTGCGGTAACATATTCCTCGTGCGAGGGAGTATTCACCTCTTCGGCAGCTGGCTCCAGATCCTTCTTCTCAATTTCTTCACTGGTGTCGCTCTCATCATCTTCCTGCTTGCCGGATTCGCCGGTGGCAATGACGTGCCAGCTACTGTTCTTGGAAGCACGCTTGCGGTGAGACTTTGGTCGCTCGTCTGCGTACGGATCCAAGGCGCGGTAGTACGCAGTCTCGCTCCATTCACATGGTTTGTCCTTTTGGCAAGGGACCAGCTTAAAGGCCTCGGGCATAATTCCAGTTTTGGTGGTCTCATAGGCCCACACACAACCATCCGTTAGCTGGCGGCCCAGCTCCAGATCACCTTCAATTCCAAACAGCTTAGAACCGATCGCGAACATACCACCAGCAAAGCAGGTAAGGTGGGTACCCTCGTAGGCAAAGATCGTACGAGCTAGGTGACTTTCATCGACCTTCTTTGTCATCGTGACAGTGGCCAGGAACCGGACATCACGGTTGTTCTTGAGCATGGGTTGGAACACGAGATGCTCTCGGGCAGCGTCCATGGCCTTGGCATACATGGTGCGGTATTGTTCGTTGTTCCCACCAAGCAGCATGTACTCTTTGGGCAAGTACTCATATGTCGAATCTCCAAGAGCTCCAAACCCAAACTTATCCGTTCCGGAGACCTGATTGTTGAGGCCCTCGGTGCAAGCCGGATTTGTTGGAGGCGGCGGCCGGTCCCTGTACCGTTCTGAAGTAGTATCGGATTCCGTAGCGTAGAAACTCCCTGTAGAATCATCGTCATAAGTGGCTGCCTGTGCACCTTCATGGAGTTGTCTCCGAGCGTGTGAGATCGAGGCTGTCGAATTGAGTTCTATTCCATAGGGGAGCGTTGAAGCCTTGACAGGTTGTCCCTTGGAGATATCTCGCCCGGAAGGAGCGGGTTTTCTGCATCCAGAAGCGTCGAGCTGCAGAGGCCACAAACCAGGAAACTTGGTTGCATCTTGGAACTGTTCCAGGGCGTTGGTAATGCGGGCAATGGCGTCATAGTACTTATTGTCCTTGGTCAATTGGGCCAACCGAGTAAATTCAAGGGAGAGCGAGCCAAGTTCCGCGAGAACTGCCTTGTAATCCCCCCGGCGCGATTGATAAGCGTAGTCCCTTGAAACATCTCTCTGTCAGCCCAGCGCAATCGTGATACAATGGAGACTGCAGAGAAGCGATCGATATAAACTTACGGAGTCCACTTGTAAAATAGGGTAGGCATCCGGTTCGGTGTATCAAAAGCACCCATCAAGATATCGGCAAGTTCAACGGCCTTTTCCAGGAGCACATTGTACTTGTGTCCCGAGATGTCATATGCACCAAGCAGTCCGCCAAGGTAACGAATCACCGTTTCAAAAACCGGGATATCTTTTCTCTTGCTCGTGGTGAAGTCAATTCTCTTGACATGGTCGATTGCAATAGAAAACTCCTCCTTCAACCCCATGATCCATAGAGTATCCAAGGTATCAACCAGCGTCGCTCCCCAGCCATTGAAAGTATCCTTGAATCCACCACGAAGAGGCTTGACCTCATCGTGACCCATGGCGGAGACCTTGTAACCGTTCCACGCGTGCTGGAAGGTTGCCTTGACCGCGTCCAGTCTCTGTAGCCGCTGCATCTTGTCCGCAGACGACTCATCCTTGAATTTCGCCTGGAGTCTGGGGAGGAGTTTCGGCTGCCGGGGAGGCAATGGAATCTGGGCCTCGGGGTTAATAGGGTATTGCTCGGGCATTGGTTTCCAGTGAACGGGCGAAGGGACGTCATCTTCAGCCTCTTCCTCGTTGTGATGGGCCTGCGTTTGAGCGCCAGACTGCGGCCTGGGACCTTCATTACTATTCTTTGGCGGCCTGTCGATGTCAATCCCTGTATGTCCTGCAGATGACGCCGGACCTTTATCGGAGACAGAGGAAGAGTCTTGGGAAGGAGATTGTTGCTGTTGCGACGGGCGTTGTTGTGAGGGTCGCTGGGGCTGCGCCTGCGGCCGTTGTTGCTCCTGATGTTGTTGTTGTTCTAGGAGTTCTGGAGCTGCTGGGATACCGGGATTTCTAGCACCTCCATTATCGTAGTTATTGTTGTTGCTGTTGTATCCATTTTTAAGCTGGTCATTTGCTTGCTTGGGGAATTGGGGAGAGGAATAGTGATCGGCAGCAGGCGGCGGCGGCGGAGGGACCTGTAGGATAGTAGGTGGATCGTGAGATCCGGTAAAATGGAGGATCACCAGGACAAAAACCACGGCAATCACCAAAGAAATCCGATATCTTCGTGCACGAAACATGGTCAACGAAACGAAGCTCGCGTGGGAAACAAGACTATACAAGAAAAAAAAAAAAAAAAAAAGGAGGGGCACGAGACGCGATTGAGGGAAACGAGGGCGCCGCGGAAACCACGCCAGCGAAGAAGAAACGAATAAGAAGAGTTTGGATCGTCTTCAGGGCATTATTAAAGGTGAGGTGTTGTAAACGAGCGACGGAGAGAGCAGCCTGTGTGGGATCACTGATATTTAACAAAAATGGCAGGGAAAAGGATCCAGCCAAGCAAGCCCAGACCTGGGGCTTCTGAGAGACAACAAACACAGGATGAGCCTATAAGACCCTGAATCATGCACAGGTTAAAGCACTTTGAAGAACCGAGATAGAATCGAATCTAAACAGGGTCCCCAGAAAGCTAGAAATCAACGGCTCTTCCAACTACCAGTTAGTGAACTCCCTCAGTTACGAGTAGTTAATAGACCTGGACCCTGATAGTAGGAGTAGTATTTAATTTACGATTGATTCCCTTAATTTCAACCCCGGATCCACCCATACGGGAGTTAACTACTGTGTGTATACGAGCAGTAGAGCAACTGATTTTCCAAAGCCAACATAACATGCAGGTAATCTAGATCTCAATTCATTCTTCAAGTTCTTGCCTATTTGATAGGTGTACCGTGTCCATAGTACTACTAGTAGTGCAGTGCAGTGCATACATATGTATGTACGGCGTAAGAATCCTGACAATACAATACAGTACGATATGATACATCCATACTCCACAATAATAATATTCAATATCCGGACCCTGCAGCCACATCCTACTACTAGTACTACTACTAGGAGTCAGTTTCTATAAATATCTCCTTTCAGGGAGAGGATACAGAGCAAAGGAATGTGTCCAAGTTTCTTTTATTCTCGATCATAATTTCCACTCAAGTAGTTAGTTAGTTAGTAACAGAGGTTCTGAATAAGCAGACCTACCAGGCAGAATAATCATCCTAACTAGTAACTAGATGATTCATATTTATTCCTACTGCATACTATGCTGGCAGACAGTCCAAATACTGTATCTAGACCACTTTCTTAATTTGTAATATATGTATAAAAAGGTCAAGGTGATATTCTCCAAATATAATTATGTTATAAACCAACCGATGGACGCCCGCGGTTATCCTGATTCACTTTCTGAAACTGTTGAATCAGCCCGAGAACGCCGTCTCCCTTAACAATGGCGTCGACATTCTCTCCCTCTCCGCCTTCGTCGTCGTCGTCGTCGTCGTCCTCATCCCCCACCAAGTTCATTCGCCAAGACTCGCCTAGGCTGTCGCCCGTGCCGATTGCACCACTTGACTCCGTCACCGCATGGAGGGGTCTCGTTCTCGGCCCAGAAGCCGGGCTACGTGTTGCCGCAGCTAGTATCTCGCTATTATCGGCGATAGCGTCTGAGATAGGTGGCCCAGGTGGGCGTGAGGGACGAGGACGCTGTTGAGAAAGCACGCGACCCGTCGCCGTTCGGAACCCCGAGGCTGAAGGTTGGTGGTGCGGATCGAGGAGGACCGAAGGAGCTAGAGAGCCGCCATCACCGATGTTAGGGGCCATAAATCGGGTGGCTCCAAAGCCTGACTGTTGGCCCGTGAGGCCAGCTACCGGTCCAGGGCGAGTGTGGGTCAGATCCAGTCGTTCCCCAATATTACCCATCTCGACCATATATGGAGACCCTAGGGTCGGAAAGTTGGGAGGCGGATGGAAATGGCGCTTGTTCAAATGCGGTCCGCGCGGGTTGTTGGGGCCGTAGTTATCCAAGAATCCATAATAGGACGCTAGCATCTTTCCATCCTTGGTGGAGAAATAATCCGCACGCAGGTCCTGCCTGGCGTTGTCTCGTCGGCCGTTCTCCCCCTGAGTGATGACATTTGTGCCCTTCTTGAAATCAAAGACCGCAAAGGAGCAAAGATAGCCCATTCCGTCCACATGCACTGTGAATTCACGGAAGAAATCAATCAAGCGGTCACTGCACTTTGGCAGACTGAACCACAGAATGAAAGGCGTGAAGATCATGCTCAGAATTTCTTCCAAGAAGATCACTATCCTCATCTGATACATCGTAGCAAAGTCTTTGCGGACATCGTCACTGTGCAGCCTCCCTTTCCAATGGCCTGGGAAATAATGGGTGAAATTGATCACTTCGAGAAGTGCGTACTCGGGGTCAAATACGTCCGTTTCTTCAGGGACCATCCCGCGCGCAAAGGCCCAAACCGATCCAAAGACCCCGAGATAGAAGAGGACGGTCCGGTCGTGGGTAATCTCAAACCCCAGGAACAGCTCCGGGTCCACGACAGATGCCAGCGCCAGCACCGAGGCAAGCGCACCAGAGACAAAAGCCACAAAACCAGCTATCTGGACAGTCTTGTCCTTCGGGAACTGGTCCACATAGCGGGTAGCAAAAGGGTAGGACATGTTGATGCGGCGCTCAAAGAGATGCCATAGCTCGTTAAACTCCCGAAACTTCCACTCGGCTAGAGGAGTGTACTGACGAGAGGACATCTGAGAGGGATTCTTCTGGTACTCGTTGAAATAACGGAAGAAATAATGCATCATGAAATAAACCACGATGAAGGGGGCTACAAAGATATTCATAATTCCTGCAAATATAAAGCGCCGCCGCAAGCCTTCACTCAACGCTCGTCGGTGGGTATCTTTCAAAAACAGCGTGCGGACCTGACCTTGTTCATTGAAAACATAATCCATAATGCATAGGTTGATATTCCACTCTAGTGTGCGCGAGAACAATTGTCTGTTTCTCAAGAACGGGATGGGAAGCGTTAGGTCTAGGATATCCTTATTCACCAATGCAATCAAGTAATTCTCTTTGCGCATCAAGCGGTTGGCAATATCATGAGCATCCATACGCTGCTTGGATTGACTACCCATGAACTTGCGGTGTTTCGCCGAGACAGCCCCAGCGGTAGCCGGATTTGAATCCCTGAGGGTCATTAATCGACTGACAACTTCCTGCCACGAAATCGTCTGGATCTCTGCATCTGTTATCCCGAGCAAATAGTGATAGAAATCATGCATATGTTTGAGTCGTCGTATATCTAACGCATACTGGAAGACCTTTCCAATCCAGAAAAAAAGGAGCAGCCAGAGCAGAAAGGTTGAGGAAAAGGACATTTTCTTGGTGCACTGCTGGATTAGAATATCATCCAGGGTTTTGCTCCCACGGACCTGATGATAGTCAATACAGTTCGTGAGGAAGATACTGAACCCAACAACAAATGCAAATGTTCTGTTGACGATTAGCATCCATTTTATAGGCGACGTCATGAGAAAGGAGGGGAAGAGCTCTCGGGGGAAGGCGTACAATAAACTTAAAACCCTGTTTAGCAGGATGGACCACATCCCATTCCCTAAGAAATACGTATAAACCTCCTTCAAGAAATTATCCAGGTTGTCCACATTGGCCCACATCCACATCGCCTTCACCTTAGGATCTACCGCGGCCATATTTGGGTGCCCTGCCGACCATATTCCAGCTGGGCGATTTCTCCGCGGCAAGTCATGCGGCGATCTTTGGTCTCTATTATTGTCCCATTGAATGTGCTCACGGCGTGGTGACGGGGCAGGCTGGGGGGGATTAGGGGTTGAAAGATGGTGGGACGGAGGAGGAGGGAGGCGCGGTTTGGGGTCATCATCGTCATTGTCCTGATGTCCCTCCATGAGAAGGGACGCGGGAACATCGTCATCGTGATCATAATCATCGTCGTTATCGTCGTCGTCGGGATCGGGTCGTGGCGATATTGACTGCATCCACCGAGGGTTACCGGCTTTGCGGCGGCGAGGACCGGTGTTAACCGTACTGTCCCCAGGGCCCTGTTGTCTACTTTGTGAGGTGAGGAAAGTGTGGCTTGGGCTCGGGGATTCATCCCTCCCTGCATCCGCCAGTGCCTCCTCCAGCTCGCGATCACTAAACCGATCCCTCGCATCGTCTTCGAAAGTCAGCCCTGCTCGTTCCTCTACATCGGATGTCTGTGAGCCCTCATCGTGTTGGCGGATCGTCTCGTATACCGATGCAGGGCCGTTCGGAGGGAGGAACCGAGACAAGATATTTGATGCCATCATCTTGGCAGGAAAGTCCGTACGAATCAACGTGTCTACGATCGGTATATGCTGAGGGAAGCATTAGAACGCCTCCACGGCCAGTGAGCCAATGATCGTGCTCAGAAGATGGCCCATTCACAGGACAGATATATACGTGGGCGGTATCTGAGTGGTTGTTGATGGAATGGCGGAAGTGACTGGGCCGGGGTCCAAACAGAGGGGGGTATATAGGATGAGAAGACCGTAGAGGCTTATTCTATATCATTCAAACGGGAAGGGAGAAGAAGGATGGATTGTTAGGATAGGTCTTTCGGCTGCCAATAGTTCGATAATTGGCAGCTGATGAATAGCGGAGATCCCATGATAGAAGCTCAGGAGCCGCCATGAGGCAAGAAAGTATGATGCAAGGCGGTCACCAGGCATGCATTTTCCGAACTACGTGTGGGTGCCTGAGGCATCACATGAAAGGGTTCAGGTAATATTGTTCTCCTTCCCGGGGTAAAAATACAAGCAATAATTCACGGGTATAGAGTATAAACAATCGTTTACTAGAGAATTACTGAAGAAGCAGAAGAAGAAGAAGAAGAAGAAGAAAAAAGCTAGGAGAGTCAGGAACAAAACTCCTCCAAAAACTTTCATATTATCTACTCCCCGATTAGGGATTCGGTTGATGTAGTAATTACCATGATAAGAACCTGAAGCCAATAGAGGCCCTCCATGTTGGGATGACTTGCAGGTCCAAGGCTGGGATCATCAGCGGAGAAGAGAAATGTACTCCGTAATTCGGGAAGTATATAGGAATTCCCAAATCTCGGAGCCTCGACGACTCGTCATAGAGCCCAATCAAGCCACTAGGCTCTGGGGGGCTGTATTCCCCAGGACTCGAGTCCGTCGAGCTTCAGGAGCAAGCCTGCTGCCTTCGTCAATATTCATTGGGACGGTCGCAGTCGCTGACGACACGAGTCAGGACAAGTGGGATACTCTCAGGAGCAACCGCCAATGAGGGCTGTTGGTTGTCGTGCGGAATAACATGCACGGGGTGGTTCGAGCGGGGTGTTCTTTTCCCTGGATTCTCCTTTATAGTACGGGATGTTGGTGTCAGCATCATTGCCATCCATCCAATTTGCTGTCAACAAAAGAGTCCTGCTGAGAAATCAACATATCAACGCCAACCTATAGTCCTATACTCTCAGGATCTAGAATGGTTGGTATAAGCTTTACCGCTATTGAGGGGCAAGATGTTGGACTCTCCCCATATGTTGGACATGGGCAAACTTTAATAAGATGAGTATCCGCATTGATTTGGGATCAAGGGCCGAGATCATCATTAGGATATCGTCTCCCCAGAATTGCAGTGGCATTTACAAAGTAAGAGATCGCTGGAGTCGGGATGCGGCAGTCCACTGCTCTCTAACCACGGATCCGAATGATGGTCCTTCCAGTTCGGTCATAGTAACTAGTTAGTATTATAGAGATTAATAACGAGGATAAAGTGGATAGCTATGTGTTTCATTTCGGAGACTCTTGCTCAGACATCTCCAGGATCTGGTTTCCAGGGGGAAATCACGGACTGAAGCCAACGTGGGAACCGTACAGTACAACACCATAATAAAGTATCAGGTGTGTTTCCAGGGAAAATACCTTGGTTCACTTTGATACCTCACCAAGCAAACTTTACCGTCTCGTAGAATTCATCTTTTGCCTGGACGCAAAAGCTAAGCATATTACAAATGAGCCCATCAGGCTACTCTACCTCAAACCAAGCCTTTCACACTTAGCATATGATGGTCCCATCCACCTTTCTGACATGAAGGCCGAACAGATTGGTTAAATACGGGATGCTTAGCCAGATATCCGCTGGAATAGCACGTAGTATACGGGTAGTACTAGCTAGAATTCCGTTGGTGGACAGATATCCCGTCCACGGTACCTGCCATTTATTCCTTGAAACAGACACGATTCGGCTACAAAAAGACGCTATGACACTGATTCCCGTTCTTTAGAATATCAAGGACAACCAAAGGTTCTGGCCCTGGAATATGACGTGCGAGCCCGAACCGCTGGCAGCTGAATCTTGCCATCTTTACGGGCTGGCGGTTGGCAGACTGGGTAACCTATGAAACGATTCAGTGTAGTTACCTAATAACTGTTCGTAAGACGCCCACTTTAGGTCCTGACCACGGACTACCCCAGGGCTGGCGCAATGACCTGCAGAGTGCAGGCCATCCCGAGAGTTGAGGCACTGGCCAACGCCGCCATGCAGCTCTCGTGATATTGTTTCTGTCGGCCGACGGGAATTTCGGAGTAACCAAATACAGATATAAACAAATATTGACAGATTGAGTAATTGTCCAATCACAAGAAAATGGCATTAGGCACGGTGTGCTGGACGAACCCGGCTACTCATTGGCTCTTAGCAACGGCGTCGGTCGTCTTCGGAGATAGGAAACGAAATAATACCAGGGGAGGGGGCGGAAAAAGAGTGCGACTACTCGAGCTCATGAATTGTGGGAGGGTTTCCTCCTAAAGCAGGATGATTCGGCCGTGAAGAAGATAAAAAAGGGACTTACTACCAAGTGGGCTCCAATAATAATGGTATCTTGACTGGGATCAAATGCTCCTTGACAACACCGACTCAGTCATCTCCATAGTGGCCATCCTGAGTTTCAGCGTCCATGATTCAGCAACGGCTCTATCGGAACTGCGTCGCTCCTTTTCGCCTTTCCATGGGAATTGTCAAGGAGAAGGAGCTGAGCTGAGAGTTAACTTGTCAGTCCACGCCACCACAGAATGGTGCTTTAATAGTTAGTACAAACTTCACCCATCGCCATCCATGGTGGATCTCATCATCAAAAGGCCCGAACCCAACACTAACTAACGCCATTCCTATCCAGGAACCCTCTTTTTTTTTTTTTGTTTTTTTTTTTAATTTGCCCGGGGGGAAAGAAACTGAGAGGAACTTTGGAATGATGGCAGAAGTATGGCGGAATTGGGTTTTCTTTTTACCATTGTCAGTATCGAGTAGACAGTAGTTGGATCAGGACAGTACCTAGGTATGTAGAGTAGTACTAGGTAGACATGGAGACCTGTTTGATCCAATAACAGATCGAGTAGTGGAGGAGGATTCCTTCTAGAAACGCGTTCGACCGTCTTGATAGATCATCCGCATAGGTAGAGGTGGACAGGAAGAGAGAGAGAGAGGGAGACCAAGGAGGGGAAATTGACCACAGAACGGATAGTTACTTGGTATCTCATTGTAGGGACCTGCTGCTGGCTGTATTAGAGTAGAATCAAGAGAGTCAAGTTAATGAATAGTTTGAACTTGGAAGAATCTGATGTTCTTCTTCACTTACTCCGACTTTACTCCCTTGTCTCTCTTTCCGTCGTCCCGCTTCAATTCTACCTACTCTTTGCCTCCCGCCTTCTCTCTCCCTCTCTCTCTCTCTAGTCTTACTATTATTTTCTCATTTTCTCCTTTCCCCTCCCTCCTCCCCCCTCTCTCTCTCTCCAGCACCATCTTTCGTCCCTCTTTCTCTCTTCCTCTCTCTTTGGCTTACCCACAAACCGAATCGCCCTTGTCGTACAAGAGGGGGAAAATAAATTACCACAATATCCCCTCCCCCGTATTTTGTGCTGGATGTGTGGTCTGCGGCTTCCCAAACCTGCGCATCTCCCACCAAATTAAATCTATCATTCAGCTCCCATCCAGCCAATACCCTGGGGTACATCTTAGGTATCGACCTAATGCTTTCAGTCCAGACAAAAATTCGTTCATGACGGAGGGTACGTACAGCTATTTCGCTTCCCCTCCCTCTCAAAATCTCAACCAAGCTTTTGCTGCAACTCCAATGATATCACGTTTGCCGGTGGTTCAACCAAACCTTGGAGGCTTTCGGACCGCTTTTTCTTCCTCCACATCCCAACCCCAGAGGCTAACCCTGTGCGACCTTCTAGCTGCAAACACCGTGATGCGAAAGTGATCCTCGCACCTCTGGTCTTGTACGCCCTTTTTTCTACGCAATTTGTTTTCCGTGCCATTCACTATTTTTTTCAATCACTCGTCCGCCCCTCCTCTTCGCAAACCCCCCCTAAACCCACAACCGCCGTGGCCCGTTTCGTTGCCTCACCTCCCACCGATAACCCCCCCCCCCCAACCCCAACCGAATGTGCGACTCTAATCGTCTCCCCCTTTTTGGACTCCATGCGTTCCCATAGCGACCCAGCGGACGACAAAGGCTTTCAATTGTGGGCGGTCGGTTGCGCCGTGTGTGTGTAATCCCAACCCGCTGCTGCCAGGTAGCATTTTATCACCAGAGTTATCAGCAATATACCTGTGTTGGCCGTGCATTTCGTAGCGACACCTCTCGAAGTGCCGCGCCCGCCGCGTTGATTGTTGTGCGTTGCGGGCAAAGATGGAGTCGGAAGGCTCGAATGGGTTCAAGCGGAACTCAATGCGCCAGGGAGTCTACAGCCGCCCTGTGGAACGTCGCCCGAGTAAAAAGTCGTCGTCCAAGGACCGTCACGGCATGGTTTACCCTGATAACTTCAGGGAGACCACGATTCGAACGGTGACCCCGGACTCCGCCGAGCCGGGAAATCATTCTCCTTTGTCAGAGGTGGAGCATCTTCCCCCAAGTGCTGCCGCCCCCTCTCCCCGTGCTGCGGCTCGCACAAGAGTCCCCGATCGAGAATCTCGCCGAGATTTCAATCTCTATTATTCCACAGGCGACGAAGATGATACCTATGTGGAATTGACTCGTCAACGTGCGCGATCCCGAACTACTACGCTGGAGGATCAGCGCAGCGAGGTCTCGTCAGGCTCCTTCTTTTCTAGAACCCGGAATCGTTTGGGTTCTATCAACACTGCTACTCCTCAACCCAAAACACCCGAAGACCCATCGTCAATCGGATTTCCGTCCATCCAATCTCCTACCTACCCAAGCCAGACACCGAGTCGTCAACGGTTAAGCAAGTCGCCAGGCACCTCGGCGTTCGTTACAAGCGCGCCAGCCAATACAGGCACTCCGTCCCTGTCGAACACGGACCCTTCCAAAATTCTCCAGCTAATGAAAACAACATGTGGGCGGATGCATGGTATACTTTCTTTTCGCACATCCTCCACGACCGCTTGGACCTCAGGGTACTGTGCGATTAATGTCGCTATGGGAAGTCTGATATACCAAGCCAAGGGGGAGCCTGCCTTAGCAAAAACCCTCGTCCCGGATCTCCGTGGGTGCCAAGTTCGTTCCCTTGTGGACCCGGAGCTGCGCACGAATTATCTGAGCGTGTCTACATTTACATCTGGGCTTGGTGTGGAGTTGCGACCACATGTGAGCGAGACCTTCGATTCTTGGCTTGCTGCCCTGCTATGTTGGCAACCTATCCGCCCCAAAGGCGTTCAAAACAAAATGACAAAACCGCAGCCGGTTACCATAAATGATCGTCGCCTCGTGGACCGCCGACGGAACTCGGAAAGCACGGTTCAGAAGGAGGCTGCCATCATCAAGGTGGGAAAGATGCTTCTATGGGATCGTCCCAGTGCTTCTGGGGTTCGTCCCTCTTCTGGTCGCAGAATCTCAACATTCCGACAACAACGTGCGCTTTCCTCGGCCTGGCAGAAAGTAAGCTGTACGCTCCAGGAGAACGGCGCTTTCAAATTATTCACCGAATCCGATATCACTCTAGTCACTTGCATTCAATTATCGCAGCTCTCCCGCTGTGCGATCCAGCAGCTAAACCCTTCGGTATTGGAGGATGAATTCTGTATTGCAATCTATCCGCAATATGCAGCACATTCTGCATCCGGATTAACACGCCCGGTTTACCTTGCGCTTGAGAGTCGAGTCTTGTTTGAAGTCTGGTTTGTCCTTCTGCGTGCTTTTAGTACCCCCGAGCTCTACGGTCCGGAAAACTCGATCGAGGACGATTCATTAAAGACGCCAGGCTCAATTGATACCAATTCGCCATCGGACATGTTCAGGATCGAGAGATTACTGACTGTCAAAGTCACCGAGGCGAAAATGTTCGGCAGTAAAATCTCGGAAGAAGCCCCCAGAAGCCGGAAGCAGTCTCGCACCCAACTCACTGCGACTCCGGCATCTGCTGTTAATGATTACTACACTGAGTTGCTTCTGGACGGGGAAATCCGTGCCAAGACGGCGGTCAAATATCGCACTGCCAATCCCTTTTGGCGGGAAGAATTCACTTTTAGTGATCTTCCGCCTGTTTTATCTCACGCCTCTATCAAGGTAAAAACCCTTCATTCAGCCCAAAAGGATTGGTCACTGGTGGCACATGGCACCTATTCCCTAAGCCAGGAAACAAATGCTATGCGCCTGTTAGACGACGTCGAAATAACCTCACATGACGCCACATATGGAAGAGTAGATATCAGGTTGGATGATCTAGAACCAGGAACAGAAACCGAAAAATGGTGGCCGATCTTAGATGACAGAGATCAAAGCGTCGGTGAGATGCTGATGAGGGCTCGGATGGAGGAGACAATTGTTCTCATGTCCCACGAGTACGCACCGATGTCTGAACTCCTGCATGCTTTTGCCAACGGCCTTACCATCAACATGGCTCAGATCCTATCTTCCGAACTCAATCAGTTGTCCGAGGCCCTCCTGAACATCTACCAAGTCTCGGGGGCTACAGTTGAATGGATATCAGCATTGGTTGAGGATGAGATCGATGGGGTTCATAAGGAATCAACTGCAAGTCGGCTTCGATATACTACGCGGATTCATTCCAATGATTCCAGAGAATCTGCTCAGGATCGAGAAGTTCTCGTGCGGGATCTAGGCCGAACGGCAACCGTGGAAGCAAATCTCCTTTTCCGAGGAAACTCCGTTCTTACCAAGGCTCTTGACTACCATATGCGCCGGCTTGGAAAGGAGTATCTCGAAGAGACAATTGGCGAGCGGCTTCGTGAAATCGACGAATCTGATCCAGAATGCGAGGTTGATCCCGCCCGAATACATCGATCGGATGACTTCGAGCGTAACTGGAAAAACTTGGTTAGCCTTACTACCAGCGTTTGGAAAGCAATAGCTAGTTCTGCGTCTCGATGCCCTCCCGAGTTGAGGCTCATTTTTCGACACATCCGGGCCTGCGCGGATGATCGCTATGGCGACTTCCTTCGTTCGGTTACCTACAGTAGTGTGTCTGGCTTCCTTTTCTTGCGATTCTTTTGCCCTGCAATCCTCAATCCAAAGCTCTTCGGATTGTTAAAAGGTATGTATTATTTCCCCTCCTTATCCCCACTCAAAAACACATGTTCACGCGTATAGATCATCCCCGTCCTCGAGCGCAACGCACTTTGACTCTAATCGCCAAAGCATTGCAAGGATTGGCAAACATGACTACTTTCGGCAGTAAGGAACCCTGGATGGAGCCAATGAATAAATTTCTCGTTGGAAATCGGGCCGAGTTTAAACAATTCGTGGATTCGATCTGTTCAATTCCGGCCGACCGTCCAACTCCGGTCGTTACGCCGTCATACGCGACCCCCATCCAGATCCTCGGCCGTCTACCTCCTCCATCACGAGAGGGGTTTCCCAGCCTTCCTTTCCTGATCGATCACGCTCGAAGTTTTGCCAGTTTAATCAAGATATGGCTTGCAGTTGCATCGGATAGGCTAGCAGAACTAGACGAAATAGACCCTGCGGTCAAGAAATTCCACGAGATAGCAGGTCATCTCCAGGAACGGACGAAAGAATGCCTGGGCAAGGCGGAGCAAGCAGGGCGACCCAATAACAGCCTCGAGATAAAATGGGAAGAGTTGGTTGACACTTTGGAACGCTCTGCGACCTTTTACGAGGAGAGCTCGTCCAAACCCGCGACGCCTGCCACCGAAGCTATGGCGGGAACCGTGGCCTCTGTTACCGGCAGCCATCGGAATTCGATAGGCTACTTCACCACACGACCGTCTCTTCCTCGCCGTTCCACCGACTATGGTCCCGATGGCGATGAGGAAACTCCTCCAAGTTCGTCATCGGCTACATGGGACCAGAGTCGGGTGCCTTTCTCCATACCACGGTGGTCCGAACCTCGGGACAGCACCAGCAGCTCCAAAAATTCGTCCACTTATTCCCTTGAGTATCCCGATACTGCCAGGTCTCGCAGGTCCAGTATCACACGGGAAACTACCAGTAAATACCGATTCTTTGATTTTGTTCCCGCGCCATCCAGACGCAAGGGCAAGGATCGAGAGACCCCTTCACAACACTCACGCGAAGAGCTTCGGAACGAATTCTAAACCGCTCATAACCCTTGATTGCGGGATTCGCCGGCGGATATGATAGCAGACACCCAATCATGGGCTTTCCCTCTTAAGGTTTCTACCATGACTCGAGATTTACCTAGAATCCCCTTGGTTACATTTGATTTTGATTGAAGCAAAGACAAGAATGGGTTAAATAATCCATATTAGAACAGGCATTGGGCTGTTGCTTTGTATAACATGAGGGTTTTGGACTGACAAAATCCTGCATCTTTTGGTGTACATGTTTCTCTTTTTTTTTTTTTTTTTTTTTTTCTTTCTTGTTTTTCATTTTGGCACTTTCTTTTTTTTTATCCCTCTATCTATCAGATGTGCTCATGATTAACGCTCGTTCTACTCCTCTTCTTTCTTTCTTCTTCTTTTTTTTTTTTTTTTTTTTTTTGGAAAGCATTTGTCATGGTGTTGATACCCTGTTGTGGTGGCTGTTTTTGTGCAAAGAACGAATGAAGAGATGCTGCAAGTAGCAGACAGTTCCATCCTATTTGTTTGTGAATAACAATAGCTCTATATATTCTGTAAATAGTCTTCCCTTTTTCATATTCGATCGGTTCTTTGGCCTAGATGAAATGAGGCTTCAGTGTCGAAGTTGGCCGCTATCCACTTGAGCTCCTGTTGTCGTGGCATCTGCGCTCAAATCGTAGCTGAAGTTGTCAGTAGCTACCTATATTAACATTAACTACATCCTCCGCATACAATTTGGGTTAAGAGTACTGAGGACGGAGTAGTTAGTTAGTTAGTTAGGTTAGAGTAAATCTGCTAAGTGAAAAAGAAGATCCAGAACCCTCCCCTCCCCTCCCCTGCCCGCTTACATAGAAGCAAAAAGCCGAGCTTGCGGTAACGGATTTGCCCGGCTAGCTCAATTGGCAGAGCGTGGGACTGTGAGTTCCCTCCCGACTGACTGACTGAACTTCCAAGTGAAGCTTTTCCGATAACCATGACTAATCTTGCCGGTCTAGTTTAATCCCAAGGTTGTGAGTTCGATCCTCACGTCGGGCGTGTGTTGGCCCTCGGCTTTTTTTTTTTTTCTTCTTCTTCTTCTCTTGGATCATTTAATTCAACTTACTTGACTGACTTGACTGACTGACTGACTGACTGTCTGGTTAATCTTATGTAGTTTCTATCTATATCTACATCCATACACATATCTTCCCGCTCGCCGTGCCCCCAGCAACCCAGTTCCGGCTTCGATGGAAAACAGCCACTGCAGGAACGGCCGTGATGCCGTCGCCACCGAGTTGGGCCAGTTGGTCGCCGGCGCTGCTGTAGATGTCGACGAAACGGTTCATGTTTCCGACACAGAAGCGTTGGATGTTGGATTGAGGGTTTAGCTGCCATTGGGGACGGAGACTTTTTTTTTTTTTTTTTTTTTTTTTTTGGAATTGTTAGTTATTATAATAATAATATAAAAAGGTGAGGATCCGTACATAGTTACCCATCGCCCCGTTTGGCAGTTATGTCGAACCACGGTCTCGGGTGTCATCTGGGTCTCGTCAAGGTTGTGGCCCGGGGTCCAGGCGGCGATGCCCTTGGTGCTGAAGTCGTAGATCTTCAGGGTATCGTCGTAGGAGGAGGTGGCGATTTGGCCGGCGGCGTTGAAGGCTGCGTGCGAGACCGAGAGACGGCTTTGGTGCGCGCCGATCGGGACGGGGTTGGACCGAGACAGCTTCCGCAGGTCCCAGAGGCGCATGGTACGGTCGAGACTGGCGGTTGCAAAGTAGTGCGGGTGGGTTTGATACAGGGAGAACCCGCCGATTTTCTTCTCTGAGAGCTGCCAGGTCGAGACGGACTCTTGTCGCTTGGTGCGCATGTCGTAGCGGCCGAATTCACCGTCGAGCGTGGTCCAGTACAGCGTGTGCGGGTCCTCTGCGGCCATGTCGATGCCGGAAATGGGAATGTCTTCTGATGTCGACGCTGGGGCGTATTTCTCGACTGAGGTGGTTTTCTCGAGGTCCGTTTCGCGGATCGAGCTGTCGTAGCTGGTGGTGTAGAGCTTGGTCGGTGTGGAAGGGTGGATGGTCATCGAACTGATGGTGCGTGTGTGTGGTTTCAGCGTGACGAGGACTGGATCTGGGTCGTCGTCGCCGTCGCCGTCGTTCTCGTCCTCGTCTTCGCTCTTGATGGCCGAGATCGGCTTTTCCTGGGATGCGTCTAGGATTCCCAGATGGCCCATTTTGTCGCCGGCGAAGATTAAAGGCTTTGCTTCGGACGGGTGGAAGGTCATGGAGTAGACTCGCTCGGGGGTGAGCTTGATGCCTTGGTTCATTCGGTGTTAGCCGGCGCAACGACACAACATGGTAGGCTACCGTACGATTTGGCTCCCAGGCTTCCCACAGTTGCAGCCCGCTCATTTCCTTCCGTAGAGCCTTCAAGTCACTGTCCTTGGTAGACTTGATATCCTCCTCCCCAAAGGTTCGCTGGTTCGGCACCGCGAATCCCTTGGTCACCACGTCCACTCCGATTAAAGCATCCGCACTGAGTTTCTGACCCGAGACAAAGATATCATTGAAGGAGAAAGCGTCGGATTTGCGGACCCTCTTAGCCCGCTCTGCTTGCTGTGCAAGTTCATACTCCTCGTCCGCCTTTCGTTTCGCGATCTCGCTATCCGCCTTAATACCCCTCAAGCGGGAAGATGTCCGACGAGGGAGCGGCGCTTCCACCTCCTCCTTCTTCACCTTCTTAGGGGCGACCTTTTTCTTCGGTTTTGTCTGATCTCCAGAGACACCCCTAGGCATCTTGGGAGGGAAAAGCCCCGCGGATTGTGCATCCAAGCTAAGCTTCTTGAGAAGCGCATCGCGCTCTGCGATATTCGCAAGACGCTGCTTCTCGAAATCCGAAATCTCCTCGGTGCCCATGATGACGCCCGGTATTATAACTCAATTAATGCCGATATCAAAATAACACAGCCCGAACAGACTCAAAAAAGAAGCCAAAACCAATGGCGGAAGGATAGATAGACAGCAGAAGTTGAATGCAAACCACCCGGCGCGTGCAGGCAGCCGCGTGGTCACGTGCAGGCACCCTTTCCGCCAAATTCGCCATTAAAAAACAAAAAAAAAAAAAAAAACCTCTTGAAATTCTTGAGAATCTCGTCTCGAGTCCGGAAAATTATGAGTGCCCAGCGCCGCATAGCTTGGACCTGGCTGGCCCAGGCTACATACACTTCTCCTGTTCCGTTTCTCTACCAGACTCGGACCCTCGCTGCTGCTGCTGCTGCTGCTGCTGCTGCTACTCCTCGGCCGCACGGCTTGCGATTCACGAGCCATACCTCCGATCCCCATTCCTCCACGGACCAGCACCCATCGCAGCCGGAAAATGAAGAAGTGCAACCGGACACTAACTCGCTGGGGCGAGATCACGCAAGCCATACACCGCGTGACCTGGAGCCGGAAGTAGCTCCGCGGCGAAGCTACCTCCGCAGACGGGCTGCTGCTGCTGCTGCTGCTGCGTCGTCGACACAGCGCAATGGACCCCGGAGATCCAGGCTTCCCAATTCTCCGGCAATGACGACAAGCGAGAAGCGGGTTTTCGGACAGCTTCTCGAGAAGCTTCAGGTGGAGAGCCGGCAGGACGACTACGTGGAGCCGGTGAAACCGACGACGGAATTCAAGCCGCGCGAGACAAGCTCCAGGAGCACGGAGCGGGACGAATTGTCGCATATCTCTGCGATATTCGACTCCGTGGTGCAGGAGATGAAAAAGCTTAAGATGAGAGGGGCGGAGTCGGAAGGCAAACCGCCTTCTTCATCATCGTCATCTTTGGACACAGATCGCCAGCCAGAGACGGAAGAAGAGGCGGCGGACATGAGGCGGAAGCTGCACCGCTTGGATTTCACCGACGAGGAGCTGCGGAAGATCCTGGATGCCGGCAAGCTCTCCCCCGCAGAGGCGGTTGATCTTATTGTGAAGCGGGAGGCTGCCAGGATTGAACGAGCCCTTCTTGCCGCCGTTGATGCGGGCAAAGGAGAGTCCGAAATCTGGAATGTCTGCCGGGACAGGATCTTCTCGATGGTTCAGCGCCTGGGCGATAGTACCAAACAACCCATTTCCGATGAGAGTTGTGGCCTCGCCGCGGAACCCTCCCTGGAAGTCCCCGCGTGCGTGCCCGTTGAAGCCGTCGTTACAACCCTGTACCCCAAGATGCTCCTCGTCGCATTCCGCTTACTGAATTTACATTTCCCGGATTCCCCGCTCATCAGCGAGTTCCGGTCTACGATCAGGTCGCTCGGTCGCGAGTCCGCCGTCCTTGGGAGTTCGACTGCGCTCTACAACGAGCTGATCTATTTCTACTGGAGCGGATGCCACGATGTGCCTGGGGTGGTGTCGCTGCTCCGCGAGATGGAAGTCACGGGGATCGAACCTGACCGGCGGACGTGTGAGGCACTCAATACCATTGTGCGCCAGCGAGAGCAGGATCTGAAGCAGCATTGGCACCGGACGCGGAGTAACCAGGGTAGTGGCGCCGCCCGAGAGCCTTGGTGGGATCTTCCGCCGAATCGGAAAGCCGTGCGTGAGCTGCTTGGGCCGGACGGGTGGATTGAACGACTCGAGGCGCGGATGAAGGAGAGAAAGGAACGGGAGAGTTTATATCCTTGATTGTACTCTCACAGTCATGCGCCTTGGGGAAAAAAAAGTAGTAGAATAGATAAAATATACAGTAGTACCTACACGATATCCGTAATAGAAATACACCCCACTCTAAATCAGTCAGTCAGTCAGTCAGTCAGTCAGTCATTGAAAGAGTGAGAATTAGACCGAGAAAAGGATTTAAATCTTCAACCCCCAACTCCTACCCAACCCCACAGCGGTCGACCCCATGAACCCAAGACACTGCTTCGCACCGCTCAACTTATCCCCGATCGCTTTACTATCATCGACACGACGATCCACGAACCCCTGGGTGGCAGAGAGATCCGGACTGGAATCACGGGTCATGACCACCTCCGCGGAGGCGTAGATTGCGGAGACAGAAAGGCGCTTGGTATACCAAGACGCATCGACGGAGGTGTCCCCGGCGAGACTGAGGATGTCCGAGGCAAGCGCGTGGAGTTCTGAGAGGGACAAGGGGATGTTTGAGGGGAGGGACATGAGTGCGAGGGCCTGTTTCTTCTGGCGTTAGTATAATCCAATTTCCCTCTCTCTACCATGTATATATATATAGAGAGAGAGAGAGAGAAACATACATCCTGCCACTGGTGCTTAATATCTGCATTCATCTCCAACCGCTCCATAATCAAGGTCTTCGTTTTCTCCTCCACCGAAGCCGACTCTACAGTCTTAGTCGTGAACAGACCATTCTCAACAGCGGCCCGCAAGAGACCCCTCCGACTCGCAAGCCAGAAGAGAACGAGGTCGAATTCACCCCGGGGCAGAAGTTGCACGGAGACGTCGAGGAATCCTGTGTCGCGGGCTCCTAGGGTGAGTGCGTCGCGGGTGAAGCCATGATGGGGGACATGCTTCAGGGCAGCGGTGAGGATTGTCGTTTGGGAGTTGGTGTACTCGTGCACGGGGAGGTCAGGGTGATGCTGGGAGTGGTAGAAACGACGACGAGAGTTCGAGGGTGGTTGGTGGTGTGAGCGGCGGAGGAGTGGATTGGTCGGTGGTTGGTGGGGGATGGAGACGCGGAGGGATCTCTGGGCGCAGGAAGTGAGGATAGGATTGCGACAGGATCGCAATGGGAGGAGGCGTGGGCAGGACATGATGATTATGATGATATATTGAGCTGTGCTTGCTTGTAGGAGATGTTGGTGGTGAGGGTTGGAGACGAGTTTTTGACGGATATAAAACTAAGCGGGTGGCGGCCTCAGCGGGCGGCCGATAAATTATTTGTATAGTTAGTTAACTAGTTATTCTATGAGTATATATGTAATGAATTCATTCGATTCAGGGGTGGAATTTGATTCTGATACTTAGTATAAGAAATCAGAATATTAAGACTCTCACCTGTAGTTAAGTGTTTCTTCTTCCTCTTCTCTCTCTCTCTCTCTCTCTTTATTCTAGATTCTCCCCTTTTCCGTCCTCTTTCTTCTCTTTCTTCTCTTCTTCTCCTCTCCTCCTCTCCAAACCAACATCTTTCATAACTATGGGTGGGTGAATCCTTTTCTATATCCAGCCGCCTTCTTACCCTTTCCACCTCTTAGTCTTGGCTACTAAGTCTCTTTGACTTTCAATCCCATTCTTCCCCTCTTCTCACATCATCTCCTTCTTTTCCTTCTCTCTCTCGGGTGCTTGACTGTAATTCTACCTCTCCCGTTCTCTGGTTCTCTTGCTTTCTATTCTACTCCTCCTCCTCCTCCTCCTCTTCTCCCCTGCACTCTAGTAGCATCTCGGTCTCCTCCGGAAACACCAATCCTGTGGCCTGCTTCCTATCCAAACTGTTTGTGTCTGACACACAGGCTGAACTGCACAGCCTTTTTTTTTTCTTTTTTTCTTTTTTTTCCCACTTTTTTTTCTCCCTTTCCCCCGCTATTATCCTCCTTTTATCTCGTTTCCCTCCTTCCCTCTTTCTTCTCCCCTTCCCTTCCCCTCCTTTCTTTGTCCGTGTGTGCCATCTTTTTATATCTATCCTTCTTCTTCTGTTTTCTGCTGTCTTCCCCTTGCTTCCTGTCGGATGGTGGCTTACACTTAAAGCAAACTGCAGCCGACGTTTATCGACCGTATCAAGTAAGTCGCGTCAATTTTCCTATCTTCAAGCTTCTTTTTTTTCCCCTTGTCTCTTTATTTCGCTTTTCCTGCCACGAGAGTGATTGATGTGACCGGAGGGGTGAAACCCGGACCAGGAATCTATCTGGTTTTGGCCCTATCTTAACTCTCTCAAAATCTATACTTTTCTAAAATCATCTCCTTCTCCTGATCATGTATTCTCCATACACTCTCTGGAACCTCTCCACACTAGGGCCGTTCGGATGCGCCAAAAAAAAAACCCACCGGGTTGCCCCAGAAGGTACTTTTGGTTGCTGCAAGGCTCCATCCGTTTGCCGGTCACCTGATTTTCCGCTGGCCAACTTCTCTCTCTCTCTCTCTCTCTTCCAAGGTTCGGTTGCGCAAAAAAGGTGTTATCGCAACTCAAAGCCAACTTGACTCTCTCTGACTTAGCAGCCCTTACCCTCCTTTTTCTTTCCTCTCTTCTTTCCTCTTTCCTCTTTTTCTTTCTCGTTTAATTTATCTCCCTTAATTTTTCAATGCCTTCCGGCGACTTCGATACTGACCGCGCTCAGCGTGAGAGGTCTCGTTCCCCCCGTCGTCGATCACGCAGCCCTCGACGAACCCGTCGCTCGTATTCGCCACGCAGTCGATCTCGGAGTCGTGACGATTACCGTCGTAGTGACCGCCGTTCCCGTTCTCCTATGAGTGCTGCCCAAGGCGCGTCAGGAGGTCATTCAGGTTCGGGATACAGTGGGCGTGGTAGTTACCCGCCTCCCCCTAGATCGTTTGAGGATCGTGCAGTCGCCAAAGAACAGATGATGCAATCCGTGCGCGAATCATCCCAACAAGACCGCCGCGTCTATGTTGGGAACCTTTCTTACGATGTCAAATGGCATCATCTTAAAGATTTTATGAGACAGGGTGAGCAGGGTCATATCATGTCGGATGTGTGATGGAGCTTTTTTTTTTTTTTTTTCGTCAGTTTGGAATCTGTGGCTGACTTTGGGGGGGGATTGTCGTTCCGCATCGTTCTTACAGCTGGAGAAGTTATCTTTGCCGACGTCTTGCTTCTTCCGAATGGAATGTCGAAGGTGGGCGCCATTGCGTAGCATGACTAGTTCTTTTTTTTTTGTTCTTCCTTTTCCATTCTGTTTTTCTGGTTTCTTTCTTCATCCCCGTTGGTTCGCTTTTGCTTGGACTGTTTGGGTTGACGGGCTGGGCCTGGCTGTCCGGGATTATTGTAGGGATGCGGGTGAGTTGTCTTTTTATTTTATTTTTTTTTTTCTTTGTCTCTAGTCGTCCCAGTGACCCGAGCTGATTTATGGGCCAGGATTGTGGAATACGCGACCAGGGAGCAAGCGCAGAATGCAGTCAACACGCTCAGTAACCAGAATCTTATGGGCCGGCTAGTCTACGTTCGAGAGGTATTCTTCCCCGTTTCCGCTTCCTTTCTTTTATTAACATTCTGTGCCTCCCGTCTAGGACCGAGAACCCGAACCTCGATTTACAGGCGGTCCTGCTCGTGGGGACTTTGGTGGTCCCGGCCGCGGTGGCTTTGGTTACAGCGGTGGCGGCGCCGGCACTGGAGGAAGACAAATTTATGTTTCCAACGTTCGTTCCCCTTCCTTCCCCCCCATTTGTATTGTGATGCCATCAGTGATGGGGCATGGGTATTAATATGACTTGTCTGTAGCTCCCTTTCAATGTTGGCTGGCAAGATTTGAAGGATCTTTTCCGCCAAGCAGGTAAGCCAAGGATGACAGGAATTTTTTTTTTTTATCTTTTTTTTGGACAGCAAAAGCTGTTCCTTGTCATCTCCCCTCCCTATGTGTTAAAATGATCTGATGTTGACCCTGATGTGCCGTCCAGCTCAGCAAGGTGCCGTGATCCGTGCCGATGTCCACACTGATGCCTCTGGCCGTCCCAAGGGCTCCGGAATCGTTGCCTTTGAGTCCCCCGATGATGCTCGCAATGCTATCCAACAATTTAACGGATATGATTGGCAAGGCCGTACCCTGGAGGTTCGCGAGGATCGTTTTGCCGGCCCCGGAATGGGCATGGGTGGCCGCGGTGGCTTCGGTGGTGGCTTTGGCCGGGGTGGTGGCTTCGGAGGTCGCGGAGGATTTAGCGGCCGGGGGGGTGGCTTCGGTGGACCAGGCTTCCGCGGTGGTTATGGTGGAGGCGCCCCTGGCTTTGGCGGCGCTCCTGGTGGGCCCGGCTTCGAGAACGTTGCCTCCGTGCCCCCCAACCCCTTTACAGACTTTGCTACCTCTGGAGGTGACAAGAGCGCTGTTATCTATGTGCGCAATGTAAGTCTAGGGGAATTCTCCGGCTGCTCGGCTGGACCGCGACTAACAGATGATAGCTGCCCTGGTCTACCTGCAACGAAGATCTGGTGGACTTGTTCTCGACTATCGGAAAGGTTGACCGCGCTGAGATTCAGTACGAGCCCAATGGCCGCTCTCGTGGAACCGGTGTAGTCCAATTTGACAGCGCTGAGACTGCAGAGACTGCGATCGGTATGGTTCTTTATCCTTGTCCTCGACTGTGTCCCTCTAACATTTCACAGCCAAGTTCACCGGCTATCAGTATGGTGGTCGCCCTCTTGGCATCACCTTTGTCAAGTACATGACCCCCGGTGCCCCCCAGGGCGACGTGATGGATGGTGGTGAGTCAACTGGCGGCATCACCCAGGATCAGATCATGTAATTTTACCGTATCTTTTGTATTCTTTGGTTTTCCATTCGGAAAAGCTCAAAAGGTGGGGCAAAGCTTGCTTTGAGCCATGGGATTCGGGATTCGTTTTTTGATATGAATGTGATCTGTCTTTGCGTTATTTGGTATCATACTCGTGTCGACATTTTCGGGCGATGAGGTTTTTTTTCAAGGGACAGATCGGATCGTTTGCGTTGATTTCGCCCGACTGCTTTGTATCCGCGTACATGAGATGCGTCTGTGGGAGAGTTAGAAATTGTAAGGTCATTCAATGGTATACACGTGCATGGTGATGATGATGGTAAAGAGATTAGAATAGCTTTAGCCAGCATTCTCAGTATTTCCCCCCAGTTATATATATTTATAGTTCAGTCGGTATCGCCGTAGTGGATGAAATACGATACCCAAGTCAGCTCTGTTGTGTGTGTGTGTGTGCGTGTGTATGTATGTATGTATGTATGTATATACAGTGCTACGCTCGTCCCGTACTCTCTAGGCAGGGGAGGATTCTACCAACAGAATGCAAACACAATGGAAAACAAATCATCATATTCATCATATATATATATAATAGGCTGGTAGAGAGATTGTGTTCGCCCGGCCTTGATATACCTACCCAACTAACCAAGTAAACCCGACAAGCCTGAGAATCCAGCCAAATCCAGCCAAATCCAACCAAACATGCTATCCAGTCCAAAATCCAATCCAAAAGCCAACGTAACGAACGCAAAACACTGATAGTGGAGTAATATGGTACAAGTGAAGTGAAAGACACATAGGAGAAGTAAGTAACAAAAGGAAAAAAATCATCGGATTCGGCTTTCAGAAACCAAGATCCATCGGTCATTCAACCAGTTTCATTACCACAACTTGCTCTCGCAGGATTCAGGTCGTCGTAGCTGACTGAGACCTCCTTGTGAGCTGAAGAATAGAGGCTGGTGATCAAGTAAACCCCAAGAAAGGGTTAGTTATGTACAAAGGAAAAAACAAAAACAAAAAAAAAAAACAACAACCTTATTTGGATTGCATACAATCCGCGATGATTTAGGCAGCCGCATGCGGATAGTTGCCGGGAATCCGCAATTCAATCGTGGATAAACTGTTCTTGGACTGGGCTGTAGGGCGTTTAGGGATCTTCTCGAGTGATGGCCGACCCATGGTGTTTGGTGGGGATGTCTCGGAAGGTGCTGATCGGGGGATAGCGCTGGCCAAAAGAATTGGCTGCGCTGGCTTTGCAGTTGATATGTGGTCAGATCCCACACTCTCATCGACAGATGTCGGGATGGTATTGTGGGTGTGATCCGTCACATTCGAGCTTGTGAACGCTGTCGATGCACTTTCCCCGCGATCTCTCTGTTGAGACTGGTCCTGGTACATAGCTGACGACCCTACCCCAGCGACAAAGTGCGAACGTTCAGTCTTGTCCTTGTTGGAATCAGGGGTGACGCGGTTGCCCATGGAAGTAGGTGGTTGGTGGGCCATGGGTTGTTGGTGGCTTGCAGCACCGGTGCCCATCCATTCACCGTAATAACTGTCGTGTCCGTCAATAGGGAACCGAGTGGGATTGCCCACGGGCTGCACTTGGCTCTGATTCAACAAGCTTGAGTCCAGTTCTCGATCGGACATGGAGTTTTGGCCACCAAAGGGCACTCCTTCTGGTGACGACCCCGCAGCTAGGAGGTCTGTTTCCCCAAGGCTTTCTCCACTGGAAGGCGATAGCGGGGCCTGCGAGTGCCGGTCGATCTGGACATCACTTGGGAACCGGCCACCAGGTTGCCGGGGTTGGGATGTTGGGCGTTCTTGGCTCATCACTACCGACCCGGCGGAGTAGGGTGTCCGGTCAGCCTCGTCTTCATCCATGACTCCATCGCTGCTTCCTGACATTGTCCGGAAGCTCGTACCGCTCACGCTGCGTACATGTCGTCTGACGTACGCATTTCGGGCCTCTCCTGTCTTGGAGATGAGGCTTTCGATGTCTTTGTACCAGGTCATCATGGTCTCGTAAGACTCCGCTCTGAAGACCCATGAGTGGCCGCGGTGCATGGTTCCCGTCTGCCGCCCTTTCAACATAAACTTGTGCGACGTTGAATCGGGCTGCGAATGGGATCCAAGCTTCTGCTCCGGGAGGTACAATGACATCACTGGCGTCTGCCAAGCAACTCGGTCGGCCGACTTGAACTCATGCAGGTGAGTCGGTGACAAGACGTACCTGCGTCCCATGTTAGCACGCAACCCAGACAAAACAGTTGGTAAGACTGACCATCCCGGTGTATAGCTCTTAAGATATTTGCTCTTGCGCTCCAGCATTCCCGACCTAACTTCTGCCGCAGCGGGATGATCCCTTCCAGGATAGGTGATGTTCTCGATGTCACGAAGAGGGACGCGCGGATCCACCAAATCGTCCGTGTTGGCAATGAAAGAGTTCCATTCATGGTCGTGTGGCATTGCAATGGGGCCAACGCGGAGCTTTTCGGCGGTATCAAGGGTTTCCTCCGCCTCTCTTTTCAGAATGCTGGCATAGGCGTTGTACGCCTTTTGGATTTCACTAACCACGATGGACTCGAGTTCCCGTCCCGAATTTTCCAAGTTCAGATATGCCTAAGCTAGTTAGCAGCAACAACAGAGGAACCAGGGTGTGATGGACGAACTCTGTGCAAATAATTCTCCTCCTCAAGCTGCTTTTCGATCTGCTTGTCCACACTCAAACGGATGATGAATGGATCGCCTTTCCCAGAAGTCGCGGCGGGGTCAGTGTCCACGAGGCCTAGGGCTTCGTGCAGATGTCGAACCGACTTGCGCGTCGTTTCAACTTCTTTATCCACCGAGTTGCGGAAATCTCCTGACAGAGCTCTGATTTCTTTGGTTTTTTTCTGGAGGTCGTTGCGAAGCCCCATCAGTTGATTGACTACTTCGCTTTCGATCTCCGCAGCCTTGTTCGCTTCCAGGTATCCCTGCCGGTGGAAATCCCTCAGAATTCCGGTTGCGTCTCCGAGCCCGCCGGACTTGATGAATGTTGGAGGAAGCGAAGTATTGTTGATAATATTTGATGTCGACAGGTATAGTTTGGCTCGAGTTTCATAAGACTTCTGGAGCTCCTTAAAAAAGACGATTAGATCTTTGAGGATCTTGCGCCAGGCTACAGCAAATTAGCAAAAACCAGGATAACCACATATCCAAAGAGGGCTCACATTGAAAGCGGGTTGCCAGAACCTCTGTCGGGTTTCCACCCGTCGGAACAGGAACGTAAAACGCGCTATTCACGTCCTCCTCGCCACCAGCCGCATACTTATCCTTATCTCCTAGTACCAAACTTCGCACACTACCGGCGCGCAAGCTCCTGCGACTTCCACTGCGACGCATACTGCCTCTCTTGCTCAGGGACGACTTTTTCTTCAAAGTGCCGGCACGAGTTGGAGTTGCGGAACGCGAATGCGACATCTGAGACGCGGACCGTTGCATACCTGAAGGACCATCGATCGAACCGCGCGAGCTGGCGATATCAAATTCCTCTTGAAAGCGACCGTAATGGCCTAACGGCGAGGGCTCGACGACAGCACCGTGGGCAACGTTGTAACCGGAACTACTGGCGGCGAAGGAGTTAGGCCGGGAGCCTGAACGTACAGAATAGCCCCGACTCGGCATGAGAGTATCCTGGGGCTGTGAAATAGCGCCATACGTATCTTGTACGGGCGTTTGCGACCGTACAAGCGTGGCCATGGCGGGGGAATCCGGACGGAGAGAGAGGAGAGAGAGAGAGAGAGAGAGAGAGAGAGAGAGAGAGAGAGAGAGAGAGACTATGGAAAGAGGAGGTAGGTATGTAGGTGGACAGAAAAGAAGACGGGAAGACTGAATGAGAAAGAAAGGGAGAAATAGGAAATATATTTAAAAAAGAGGAAGATACCAAGATAGGAGAACAGTGACCCTTTTTTTTTTTTTTGGTTCCTTTCCCTTTTTACTATTTCTGGAGGATGGTTGGTTACCAGGCGAACGGGGAGAGGAAATTAGGTCTGCGATGGGTTTCAAAAGGCCTGGACTGAAGGGCGCGCGGACTGTAACTGTTTGCGGGGAGGGGGAGTTCTCCTATAGTGGTATCGTATCTGGATCTGTATACTACTCCTAAGTCGTTAGAGAGACGTAACAGCAACAGTCGTGGTGGGAACTACCTTGAATAATAATAACCCCAATAATATTCATAAATTGCAGTAAATGATTGAAATAATTCATGAGAAATAGGAGACGATCAGAATGCGCCCTTTTTGGTGAGAGAGAGAGAGAGAGACAGAGAGAGGGGGTTCAGAACTATGAGTCTCCACCCAACTAGGAGAAGGAGGTATGGAGGAGATCTGTTGGTATTTAATATTATTCTCTCTATTCTCTCCGAGTCATCCTCAGTGGGATTTGAATGAGACAGGATGAACAAGGTCTTGAGCTCTCCAAGAAGTAATGACGATGTGAAGAGGGGAAAGTGAAGTTGGTTCAAAAGTTGGGATCTTTCGGTTTTCACCCTCAAGGACGGTTCCGGATGACGTCGACACCGGGAAATGCGACGGTATGACGCTCAAGAAGACCACGGATCCCCCGGACAGTTTCTACGATGTTATACAGAGTTCTCTTCGCTGTACTTGAATCTTGATAACTAGTTAGTTATTGCGACTTGGATTAGTCAGTTTGGTGTTGCCTGCCAGCCTCCTTTTTCAGCTGCCATCCTGACTCCGGGTTCAGTCCGTTGTTATTTTTAAAAAACAACCCTCTCTTCTCTACACAATACAATACAGTTGCCTACAGAATACGGAGTACATCTATATCGATATCATCATACTGTCCTTTTCCCTCCTGTCAGTTCAAAAAAACTGTGGCTATGGACTTGGTCTGTGGACCGCATCGCTTGAATCTGAGTGGATCAAAAACCCACTGTAATGTAATAATCATCATCGCCCAATTCATTCCTAATTTCTTCTCCTTAGCTTAGCGTGTTCTTCATTTCTTTTCTTCTTCTTCTTCTTCTTCTTCTTCTCCTTTTCTATCCACCATCCCCCTTTCAGAAAGTCCGTGGCGACACTCGTCTCCTTTTCCGTAGTAAAGGAGAACTATCCTTGGATCGTCCCTTTGGGGCTCCTTTCCAAGAGAGCCGTCAAGGTTCTAACTGGTTTCCACGTCATGTACGGAACTGGTCCATCAAACTTCCAGATAGATTGATCCGGATGGTAGATTCCCCTGCTACTACTACTAGTATATGCAGGGGAGACACTCATGATCTGCCATTCGTTACACAGTAATATCGACTATCCGTACGAATTCCATTACCTGCCTATAGGTATCCAAGGTACTCGTACTCTAGCGCTGATTGGATCTGCTTAGATCTGATCCGTGAAGGTTCGTGTTGAAAAGGTATCCGTTCTGCACGTGAAATCCAAGTATAGAGGTAGGGAATGCTTCATGATAGAACGTCCAAGTACCTTTCTTATACCTAGCTTGCTGATATCTGATTTCTCGAGTCTAGTCTTTCATCAGGAACTTGACTTCCCATCCATATATACATTCCGTACTCTCGTCAGCACTCTGTTCTCCATTTCTGCGGAAGAGACACTGACTGACACACACACACACACAACATATCTTATCTTGTCTCCACCCGTCAAAATACCGAGAATCCACATTAGGACTCCCTCGAGTCCCTCCCAGTTTCAAAATCCTCTCCCCCCAGTTAAAAGGGGTCGTTGAAATTCGATATCAAATGCAGGTACGCATCAAACACCACGTTAAAACCTCCTATGCTCCACTCCTAATTATAGTGCTATGTATGATTAAGGGTGGTACCTGATTCTGAGAAACTAGCGTTTATAAATAAAGTACGCTTCATTTCTCTGAAATTAAGATAAATGACTAGGCCAATGATGCTGTGCTAGAAGCGTCGAACTTTCTAGCGATGGAGCACTCCCTCCGTCTAGGCGAACTACCTAGGTAGTGTACTCCAACTGCTCCGTACTACTACTACTAGGGCACTCCGTAGTCAAGGATGCCAAAAGTACGAGCGAGAATAATAGAACATTCATTCTTCGCACCAAGTGGATCAGATCAACCTTTACCCTCTGTCTTTTCAAGTGTATTCACTATATTGTCATCTAACTGTCAATTCTACTCCGTACCTTGGGTAGTTAGTATCCCCTTACTGGGTACGAAAACAGCAGAGCTCTATCCACGTAACTGATGAACAAGAAAGAATCGACCCCAGTCTGGTTGCCTTGTTTCGAACCCATGAAGTAGTTAGTGGTCGCACTTGGATATGTCACTCGAGAAACAATTCATGCCCAATTCCTACCTAGGTAGATTCCTAGGTACTGTAACTGACTTTCTATACTACTAGTATGTACTCCGTACTCCGTACAGTACGGTCCCTTGAATCACCCAATAGATTGACAACAGAATTCCCATACTCCGTACTCCGTACACCTTTCATTGGGCTTTCCCTTACTTGAGGTGTGTGGTAGTCATACCCGACGTATCAGAGATCATCCCGGCGAATTTGCACCGAGTCCATGATTTGTTAAAGTGACCATGTGATTGGTTGGGCTCCCCTCATCCACCGACCTACCTAGGTAGGTACATTTTGGAACCTTCAGATATGTATGTGCCTAGGTATGTATAAAGTAACTTAAAGTAACTTAAAAGTACTAGGTAGATATTCGGAAAACTTGGATAATATTCATTTTGCTCGTTGCATTTGGCTGGAAATACTGCGGGGATGGATGCTCGGTAGGTACGGAGTACTTGCGTAGGGTACAAGATATCACCCTCAATACAGATGCGTTAACTCATCTAAGGAACAAAAGGAAATCTTTATTGAGGATTGTTGAGTATGCTAGCTGAAGGCCATGTGATATATTGCAAATAATTTTACACAGAGACACTGGATAAGAGACGCCGACCAAAACCGATTTCATGAGGCGGGAGCACCGGAAGCAGGAACGTCAATGCCATATGCCTCCTTGATTCTCTCTCGTCGTCGCTGTTCATACCCGGGGCCGTAGATACCTAGAGAAAGGCAAGAGTTAGATCTCTCTTTTCCGATCACCGATCGCTACATCACCATAGACATACCTCGTCCCTCGCCCAGCTCAGCCACGGCCTGCTCGCCGGGAGTCCTGTAGTTTGTCCTCAAGTGCTCTCGACGCTCGAACTCATCAACATCCAAGCCCCGCTTCTGACCGAACAGCGATCCGCCAGCGAATTCGAAGGCACCCATTGCGGTGGCCAGCGCCGCACCGTAACCCAGGACGGCGGGGAAAGTTCGGGCTAAATCAGTTGTCAGTACGATACCCTCCTCAATTAGTGTACACAGAACACCCAAAACAAACCTCGCAGTCCGAGAATTGCACCAGAGAAAAAGCCTCCCAGAGCAACGTTGTAGTGATCTTCCTTTTCCCGTAGGTTGGCGGACGCAGTCTTCACGAATTCATAGGTACCTCCCATTGCCGCTGAGCATTGCATGTCAGCCAAGTATTCAAAAAACCACTCCAGGGCCATCAATTCCATCCATACCAAAAACTCCAATTGTGCCACCAGTTCTCACAAAAATACCCCATGGTCCCACGTTCCTCCGTGTGAGGGTGTTCTGGACAGCCGATGCGAACAGACCGACAGCTCCGGTGAGGGCAGTGGCCTTCAATGACCCCGCGATAGCATCCTGCGGGTGATAAACGTGCTCTTCGGTAGCGGAGCCCATGACGACGGTTGGGGATGGGAATAGGTTCGCTTGAGCTTGGTATAGACGAAGTCGGTTCGGTTGCGGAAGGACCGTGACGATGGGATTTTGGACGTCGGAGTTTCTGCCGCGCTATACCGCTTTCACTGGGCTCTCTTTGAGCTCCAAATGGTGTCGACGGTTCATGCAGGCAGATGACCCAAGGGGCACACGCCGGTGTCATTACTATTTACTGTGGGAGTGTGGACAGACATCACAGCCATCGGATTTCTGATTTCTTTCTTCCCCCCCCCCCCCCCTATCGCAAGCTGGTTGCCTCTGGGGTGGTGAACGAAGTTGCAGGCTTGCCGCTCGCTGAGCTCACCAGTACAACTGGTGCCTCCCCGCTATCCCTCCAACACACAGCTCTTGAACGGCATCGAATAGTTTCTCGAATTCAAAGCGGTCTCGTCCGTGGGAATCGCATTAAGCGAAGTTCTGACAAAATAATACATGGCATATTGTTAAGTCTTACTGAATTATTTGTGTCAGTCCTTCCACCAGTGTGAGTAGAGAGGAGCACACTCATGTCGCCCGTCCGCAGTTCAGGTAGGTAGCTTCTCTGAAGTTGACACGATCCCCTTTTCTTACGTGTTATATGCTTACACTACCAATAATGAATTCTAGGCAAGACTGCGCCGCGTCTTGTGCAAGATCTTCTCGACTACGATCCTGCTCATCCTCCCAGCACAGGCCGTAATCTTCTTGCCGACGTACCACCAGTATATCCTGAACACTATAATGGGCCACCGCTAGAATTCATTTCTCCCTCCGCCTGCCATCACAGCTATGTGAGGAAGCCCAACCAAACCTCGCTTCCGCTGCAAGAGGATAGAGGAAGCCATGGGGCTCCAACCAAAGTTTCCACCGTCTGTTCGAAATGCCGATACCATTTGCAGTTTGCTGTGAATTCCACTCCGGGGATTGGCCAGCTGAGTCAGGGCATTTCAGACCACATACATCATTTGGTTTGTAGCTCAGGAAAGCAAATTGGTAGTGGCTCGCCAGAGGTCACCCCCAAGGGACAGACAGTGGAGACATTTCAATATGAATGCTCATACCTCACATGTCCCGTCAAGGTCACCGTTCGAATCGCGTCCCCAGTACTCTCTCCCGAGTGGGTGCGTCAGTTAACTGATCCATCAGTGCTCGAGGCTCGTGCGGATGAGGCCATTGCAGCACATCCAGAGCGTTTGGAAGGAATGGCTCGACCCCAGCCTATTAATGTGTTACTCAATCTCCGTACATATATTACCAATGCCCTCCACGATAGTCAACAAAGCAAGCCGATATCAGCGATCAACAAGAGGTTTATGACATGTTTTGGGGTTGACGGGAAACCTTGCAAAGACCTCCTTCAATTTCTGGGGTTCGCTGTTACGGTTTGTACCTTGACTGACCCTGCATCTGTTTCGTTATCACTCATTATTGAATAGAATGAAGGCTTTTGGGACCCCCCTCGTCCTAACCCATGGGCCGAATTCCCTTATCAGGACAAGCTGAAGATCTTCCTTGACGATGTGTTACATGAACTTTCAATACTTATAGACCAGCGACCTGTCTTGGAGAAGAAAGGCAATCAAATAGAAAATACCTACCACCCGGCATTGGACGATTTTCTCTATGCTATTGATGCATTGGATTGTGGGTATTTCACCTAGTTTCCTCAAGCGCAGGCTAATGGTCTTTTAGATCCCAAAGCCCCCCGGCTAGCTGATTTCCAAATGGCACCTGCACCGTATGTTTGATCCGTCCTGCGTTGGTCTAAAAATACGTTCTAACCCGATGAATAGGTATTACGAAGACTTGGGGGTGGTCGAAGACATGTTGACATCCTCAATCATTGAGGCTTTCAATCGCCAAGTGTCCGTGGACCCAGGGCGAGCACCAGCCTATCTGAAATGCCTGAAAGAAATCGGCTATCTTCGAGGCGGCGAGGATGCAGATGCCATTGACCGTGCTGTTCAGGTGGCTTATGCAGAGGGTAGATATACGGAAGCAGATGTTGTGGACGCGTACAAATACTTCGGTTTAAGCCATGACGATACGCGACTTACCGAAGACAGCATCATCGGGACTTTCTACGCGTATTTGAGCTCCACCACTCAAGAAACGGAAACTCGCAGGCAACTATGGAGAATAGGCGACAGCAGGCGGAGTGAGCGTATCAAGTCTGCCGCGGAAGATAGTAAGTTTGGTTCTTCCCTACTGTTAATTTTCTGCATATCTCCTTCAATCATACTGACCAGACGAATAGGAGTATCAACGGTCGAGCAGGCCCAGGTATTTCTCGGTGTTAATGAAGAAACACCCGATGATTTCATCATGGCTATGTTTACCGCCAAGGTACCGTAGACCTTATATCCCACATATTAGATCATGAACTCATTTCTTCTCAAGATAAACGACAACCCTTCAAGCCGGGACCTTGCGAGACGCGCTGTTGAGCTCATAGCTACGGCACGCAAATCTGATGCTTTGAAACATTTCCTCCAGACCGGCGAGATGACCGCAGGTGAAATGGACGTCGCCGACGCGTACCGCCTTCTACAGATCCCCGACCGTACTGCTGATGAAGGAGCCATCATGGCTGCGTACACGATTTGTATAGATGAAGCCCCAGCGCAAGCTGAAACATACAACAAGGCTCTAAGCATTCTTGCAAGAGAAACGAACAGCCCTCTGCTGAGCAGCATGGTCTCCGGCTCTGCTTTGAAGTCGGACCGTAACTTGGCTGAGTGGCCGGTTGGGTTAAAAAATATTGGCAATACCTGTTACCTCAACAGTCTACTACAATTCTACTTTTCAGTCCGTCCATACCGGAACATGGTTTTGGATTTTGAAAACTTCAAAATGGAAATGGATGACAACAGCTGGAGCCAGAAACAAGTAGGGTCTCGGAAAGTATCCAAGAAAGAGATTGAACGCTCCCAAAGGTGTAAGTACTGCTAGTATAGCCTTCTGGCCACTCAGCTAACTTATCCTCTCTGGCTCTAGTCCTTCGAGAATTGCGGGCTTTGTTTTCAAATATGATCTCATCTCCGGATTCTTATGTCACACCTGGTCAAGAGCTAGCACGACTTACCCTAATCAGCCCGTCTAATGAAGCTGCCATTCGTCGCAGGTCAACGATGTCCGCTAGTAGGGGTGGGAGCCTGGGGGAAATTGATGGGATGCCAGTTGTAGGACCCCTGGGACCTCCGCCACTGATCGCAGAGAACGAACGCGAACAAACGGCAACAGTAGAGCAGGAAAAGGTCCAGCGGCCTAGTGACGAGGATAGTGATGGGACTCTGGTTGCCGATGGTGTGAAGAACGACGCCCCACACGTTCAAAGCGACGATAAGGAAAACGAGCCGTCTCAGGTTGACTCTGTTATGACAGATGTGCCACAAGAGCCGACCCCTTTAGCGGAAGAGGGAAAAGCGCCTTCTAATATAGCAGATTCTGCAGCGGAACCCGTCCAATCCGCCCAAGCTCCACCAGTTCCCCCCCGGCCGACAACAAATGTAGATTCCCAGAGACAAATTCTTGATGAAGTTGAGCTTGGAGCCCAGCAAGATGTCACAGAGGTGATCAACAACGTGCTCTTCCAAAGCCAATGTGCTATCCGGCCTCTGTCGATAGCTGCAGATGGAGAACAGCTGGATCAAGTGAAAGAGTAAGTTGCACTACGATTCACAGGTAACTATACTGTAACTGCTGACAAATCTTCCTTTCCCATAACTAGTCTATTTTACGGGCGTACAGTATCTTATATTGTATCTGAAAAAGGCACTCGGTCCAAGGAGGAATGGTGGTGTGATATCAAGGTCGATGTTGCAAGCGGTTCACGCGACATATACACAGCTATTGACGGTGCGTTTGATGTCCAAAAAGTCAACGTCGAAAACTCGGTGGCAGAGCAATTCGCTGCGATCAGCAAGCTGCCTCCTGTCCTTCAGATCCAGGTTCAACGAGTGCAGTTTGACTCTGTCAAAAAGCGTTCATTTAAATCCACCCATCATTTAGAACTGAAGGAGACTATCTACCTCGATCGATACATGGATACTCGACACCCCGAAATCCTAGATCGTCGAAAGCAATGCTGGGAATGGAAAGATAACTTAAGAGCACTGGAGGCCCGTCGAGCAGAACTCTTGCGTCAAAATGTATGAACTTAATTGTTATAATTGCTATCCTGCGAGAAATACTAACTCTGACGATAGGAAAAGGATGGTCTTGACACACCAGCTCTGTTAAACAGTGCCAGAGAAGTCTTGGAGGATCTCAGCGCTATGAAGGACGACCCCGACACGGCTGAAGAAGCTATCGATGTTGACCCTGAGCTGGTCCCTGAACTTGAACGGCTCTGCCAGTCGGCTCAAGCCGAGCTCCGACGTAGGTCCCCCTGCCCCCCCCAAAGTTTATATATTGTATGAAGCGATGCGGCTAATACGGTCCCAGATCTCGATCAAGAAATCAAAAATACTCAGACTATGATCTCGAGTCAGTTTGTTGACTATAAGCGGTTGCCCTACCGACTATACGCCGTTTTTGTTCACCATGGGTCGGTTGAATTTGGACACTATTACATCTACATTTTCGATTTCGAGCGAAATGTTTGGCGGAAATATAATGACGACTACGTGACCGAAGTGCAGGATCTCGATGAAATCTTCAAGAACCAGGATCGGCACAACCCACCTACGCCGTATTTCCTGGTCTATGTTAACGACACGATAAAGGATCGGCTCGTGAATCCTGTGTGTCGCGAGATGGTCGAGATCCAGCAGGAGACCCAGCCTCATTCGGATTATCAACGCGCGGATAGCGATAAAGCAATGGAAGACGTCACTCCGTCAAAGGAGACAGAAGATGTAGACATGGAAGCACCAGCCTATCGTGAAATCAGCACGGAGAATGGAACATCAGGTGAGGGAGCCGACTCCTCTGGCAGGGAAAAGAAACCGAATATGGTCAATACAGATGAGGGCAAATCTGCTGAGGCGTGGTCGCATGACGGGACTGACTTGCGTGGTGTGAAATGGTAGACTCAGAGAGCAAATCGCCGACAGTCACGACGCCGCCCAACCCATTGAAACGAAAGGGAGACGATAACATGGAGGTAGGACAGACTGGCCGAGAATCCGCAGAATGAAAGATTGTTGTATCGACACCCGCCCCCTCTTTACGCCTGTGGAATACCTCGACGACCTTGTTTTCCACCACTTCGGGCGGCATTTTCCCATGGCTGTCGAATAACGCCACGATGTATGAAGTACATGAAAGACAACGCTAAGCCAGGTACATATATGGATAGACACCTGCGGTATTATTATTATTGCATTAGCTTCCTTTTTCCGCTCAGGTGCTGGTGGAGACTATTTATCTGTGTGTTGGAGCTGGGAGCAGTCCATCTCCTGATGCTTTCCTGTAAATATGGTTGCTATTTATGATGATGATGATGATGATGATGATGATGATGATGATGATGATGAGTATGAGTATGGTCATGACGATTATTTTCGAGCATATCAGCGAGTTCCGAGTGTGGTCTTTTGACGATACCGAAGTGGTCCGCGGGTCGGAAAGGCAGATCCGCAGTCGGCAGAAGTTAGAGAGATCGAGAGAGAAAGGTGTGTAATAGTGTCAGAAGGCAAATAGGGCACAGTTGAATCTAAGTAAAGACAAGAAAGGGACCAAGGATGAGGGCGATAAAAAGGGGAGAAAGCGATAAAACAATCCAATGTTGTCTCTAGATTTGGTATAGAAAGGGAGAAAGGAGTTCTTGAGGTTATTTATTATACTCTATCTACAGTGTACACTACAATTTTCTGCGGGGAAGCGGGTGGCTGATATTCCGCATCTCCGCAACTAACCGTTTGCAGATACGATATAAATCAACGATAATTCCCCTGGTTTCTGTGAATCGTCTTTATACGACTCACTCACTCACTGAGACTCTATTGTAGTCCCCCAGGATTTTATTATGATTATGCCTTCCCCAGTGGCAATGTGCCTGCGCTTTGCCAGGCGGGCTTCGCTGGATCCCAGCAAGGTAATTAATTCACGATTTGCCTCTCGATACTATGCAAGAACTCCCGACTGACGGCGTGTTGAATCGATGTAGCATCAAATCCGGCTGGCACGAACGTTTTCGAGCACCATCCGTCGCGGAGAGATCAACAAGGTTGTCTCCTCTGCCGACCTCGCAATCAAGGACATGCAGTCCAACTCAACCCTGTTGGCCGGTGGATTCGGACTGTCCGGTGTGCCAGATACCCTGATCAATGCTGTCAAAGCAAACCCCTCGATCACCGGGTTGACCGTCGTCAGTAACAACGCCGGGGTGGATGGTGCCGGTTTGGGCCTGCTCCTGCAGTCCAAGCAGATCAAGAAGATGGTCGCGAGTTACGTCGGAGAGAACAAGACCTTTGAGCGCATGTATCTGGGCGGGGAGATTGAGCTCGAGTTGACCCCGCAGGGCACCCTTGCTGAGCGCTGCCGTGCCGGTGGTGCTGGTATCCCGGCCTTTTACACGCCCGCTGCCTTTGGCACAGTCGTGCAGACGGGCGAGCTGCCCCTGAAGCACAACGCGGATGGTACTGTTGCCGTGTACGGCCAGCCCCGCGACGTCAAGGTCTTCGATAACAAGAGCTACGTGATGGAGGAGGCTATCAAGGGAGACTACGCCTTCGTGAAGGCCTGGAAGGCCGACAAGCTGGGGAACTGTCAGTTCCGTTATGCGGCGGCCAACTTCAACGGCGCCATGGGCCGCAACGCGAAGATGACTATCGTCGAGGCCGAAAATATCGTCGAAGTCGGCGCCATCGACCCCGCTGCCATTCATCTGCCGGGGATATACGTCAAGCGGGTCATCCAGAGCACGGCACCCAAGAACATTGAGAAGTACACCTTTGCCAAGGAGGAAGGGGAGGATAACGCTGCTGCCCTTGGCAAGGGGAACACTGCCGCGAAACGTGAGCGCATTGTTCGTCGCGCCGCCAAGGAGTTTAAGAACGGAATGTACGCCAACTTGGGTATCGGGATGCCTATGCTTGCGCCCAACTTCGTCGACCCCTCCGTGGAGGTGATGCTCCAGTCTGAGAACGGCATTCTTGGCTTGGGGCCTTACCCCAAGAAGGGCCAGGAGGACGCTGACCTCATCAACGCGGGCAAGGAAACTGTGACTCTTGCCCCTGGTGCTGCTGTCTTCGGGAGTGATGAGTCCTTTGGGATGATTCGCGCTGGTCGGATTGATCTGACCATCCTGGGTGCGATGCAGGTCAGCGCGAAGGGAGATTTGGCCAACTGTGAGTAGTTCTCTCTCTCTCTCTCTCTCTCTCTCTCTATAACCCCTCGATTTTTAGTACGTTCTCAACATGCTAACACTAATCAAACAGGGATGCTCCCCGGTAAGATCAAGGGCTTCGGTGGTGCTATGGATCTTGTGTCCAACCCGGCTGCCACCAAGGTGGTGGTAACGATGGAGCACACCGACAAGAAAGGCAACCCCAAGATCGTCAAGCAGTGCGAGTTCCCTCTCACTGGCCGCACCTGCGTCAGCCGTATTATCACCGAACTCTGTGTGTTCGATGTTGACTTTACTAATGGTCTAACTCTGATTGAGCTGGCAGACGGCGTGACAGTCGACGAGGTGAAGGCCAAGACAGAGGCTCCATTCAAGGTTTCTGATGACCTGCAGCCCATGTTGTAAGGGCTATCCAAGAAAAGAGAAAAAAAAAAAAAAACTTCTCTTCTACTGTTCTTGTTGGCTTGGGGTATATAAATAGCATTTTGCTGCTGGCGTCTTGTTTTGTTGGGTTCTAAGCGTTACTGTGATACCTAAATAGCATGCATGGCTTGGTTGATACCAGGTCTGTCTGTCTAGCATAATATATCTATACTCTATGATGAATTGTCCAGACCTTTCTTTTTTTCTCTCTTTCTTTCTTAAATACCAGATATATATATAGGCATGTAGCTCCATGTAGTTTGTTTACCCATCACCAATCCAAGTGAAGAAACTACAAGTATGGATGCATCGTTATACATATCATTGCATAACCTATAAAGGGACCTCCTCTCTCTCTCTCAAGCACACAGTCTTACCCATACACAACAACGCATTATAATACATCAAATCAATACTATACAAATCCCAGTAATCGAACCTGCGCACAAATCAAACAAAAACGACCTACGTAAACCGAAACAACCCAGTCAACCGCTTCCCAATCCTTCCCAGCCAATCCCTATTCGGCGCCTCCTCAAACTCCCGAATCACATTGTCATAGTGGTCTGGGTTACTCGCGGGTCGTCGCAACTTGGGCGAAAGCGGATAGCGCCGGGCATATCGGTCTTCTAGGAGGGATGATAGAGCATTGAGCGAAGATTCCGAGATGAGGATGTTGCTGCTGCTGTTGTTGTTGCTTGCCGACGATAGTGACTGCGACTGCGACTGCGACTGCGATTGCGATTGCGATGGTCCTGGCTTGGTTTCGGAGACTGGGGAAGGGGAAAGACGAGATTGCAGGTATGTTTGCATAGAGACGGAGGCTGGACGGACCGGGTCTACGGGCCAGTGTTTGAGGAGGTGTGCAAGGCGGGACTGGACGTTCTGGATACGCATACGATTATTCGAATTAGAGGATGACAGTCTTACCGACCTACCTAGTAGGTAGGAGTTGGTGGGTGAGAGTGACTTACTGTTGTTGGTTTGGCCATGTTTGGCAAATGGTTAGTTGGATGGGTGGGAGAATATATCACTATATGATGCAGGATAGAGAGAAAGACGGATAGATTTCAAGTGGAGCTCGGGGGATTTGAAATCGAGTCAAGTCTTAAATAAGATCAATCGATGTAGTTCTTCTTCTTCTTCTTCTTCTTCTTTTCTTCTCTCTTGTTCGGCTTTCTCGATGCGGCAGAAAATCCCAGTCACGGGAGCGGAAGCCTCTTTGCTGCCTGGGGCTATTACTAAGCGCCTCTTTGGTGATGTTCGGCCACCTTTTTGGGCTTTTTTTTTTTTTTTTTTCTTTTTGGTCCGAGTAAAAAGGGAGCGAGCGAGTGAGGGAGAGAGAGACAGAGAGAGAGAAAGAGAAAGAAAGAGACTCGGATGTGGTTGTGGTGGTGGCTTGGACGTACGGACGAACGAAGGATACATAAGTCACGCATGTCATGATTGACATCTCGCTTCCTCTCTCCATCCTCCCTCCTTTCTATCTTCATCCCACTCCCATCCTATTCTATTTTCTTCTTCTTCTTCTTCTTCTTCTTGTTCTTCTTCTTCTTCTTCTTCTTTTTTTCACCCAGTCAACTGTTCGACCTCCATTGAATTTCTGGTCCTGCTGGGTTCTTCACAGGTCACCTCTCTTACTCCCAGCTCTTCCGTCCCCTCGCTCAGCTCGTCATGAGCTCGCAGCGTTATCAAAGGGTAAGTATCGAGCGCTCCTCCGAAGCAAAGTCCTACCAAGATACCGATGTCGATGCTCCAGCGGCGATTCTTGTCATCAAACACAAAACTAACTGATGCCTGATGTGTCTTATCAGGTCAACGCCCACGACGATGACGATGATGATGAAACATCCGTCCCTCCGTCAGTCCCTCTTCAGCCTACGCCCTCCTCTCCGCCCCCCTCGTTCCACTCCCGTTCTGTCTCGCCCTCTTCAAGACGCCTGCTCCGCGATGACCCCTTGCACCGAAACAGTACAGACCAGACGCTTGCCGATGCGTTCGATGATAGCGAATCCGAGGCCGGTGACGAACCAGATGACCGCCAGCGGCTGATGCGGGCGCAGCCGGAACACTGGCCAGCAGCGGACACCGACAACCCATCTGCACTGACAGAGGCTGCGTCCTCGTCTGGGGCAAGCAGTGGACCGCAGCCAGCGCAGTCGAATGAGCAGCCCACACGACGAATTCCGCGACGGCAAACCCTCTTACCGTTCTTCGGCACCTCCCCCAGTTCCGGATCCGCTCGTGTCATCAGTTCGTCGAATGATGGAGTTTTTGCAAATCTCGCAGCTAAACCGGAACGAGGAGAGAAGACTGAAGATCTACCGCCCGTATGTTCGACCCACCTCTGTCCCTCCTTGGACGTTGGTTATCGTGCGAGATGCTAATTCGTCCTGTAGTCGTATGAAGAAGCCGCCGCGGATGCCACTCCCCCTTACTGGGAGACGACGATTGTGGCCCCGGGGATTTCCTCGGATGAAGTCTATGTGGATGGGCTGCCGGTCGGCTCCATCTTCTCGTTCGTGTGGAATGCCATGATCTCCATGTCTTTCCAGTTGGTAGGCTTTCTCTTAACCTACCTGCTTCATACTACACATGCAGCAAAGAATGGAAGTCGGGCTGGTCTCGGCCTCACTTTGGTACAATACGGCTTTTACATGACAGGCAGCAATGATTCGAAAGGATCGGATGGAGATTCCGGGGACTACATTACTCCCCCGGACCCTAATAGCCATAATTTTGATCCGAATAACGTTGTCGATAGTGCGAGTTCAGGAGGCGACGGAGGTGGTGGCGCAGTATCGTCTATTACCACAAGCGAGTGGATTTCCTATGTCTTGATGATTGTTGGTTGGTTTATCTTAATTCGGGCCATCAGCGACTTCCTCCGGGCTCGACGCCATGAGCAACTGGTCTTGCAGAGTCCCGAGCGCGGGCTCAGCGTTCCGGTAATTGCTGAGGGCGAGAGATCGGAGACTGTCGTCTGAATACTGTTATGCATCCTGCAGAAGAACACCTTTTTGCTTGACTTGGTCGGAAATTTTTTTTGGGGGCGGAGCTTGGGAGTTTTTATTCTCTTTTTCTTTCTTCCTTTCTTTTTTTTTTTTTTTTTTCTTGTCGTGACATTCCCCTTTTATCCTTATTTTTCATTATTCTATCATTGACGGCTACCATATGGTGTCCACCACCTTGTAGCTATATTTCTTTCTTTCTTTCTTTCTTTTTTGTTTAGAGATACCTATTGAAAAAAGAAGATTCTCTTAGCCATGACGAGTCAACGGTTCCAGTTTGTTCGTTTGTATTTTGCCATCAGCAGGCAACTATATTTTTCAGGATGATCTTCTTGGAATGAACACGAAATCCCTTTGGATGATTTTCTCGAATCGACTCTGGATGGGTGCCTAAACACAGCTTCTCTTGGCGGGCGCTGGCTCTCTCCACCGCGATTCCGACTCCTCCGCTGACTGATTTTGTGTGGTTAACTAGGTATGATTTTCGACGTCTTTGATATAACCTGCAGCTGCACCCTCTCCTCCATTTCCATTTCCTTTTCCCTTTTTCTCGGTAAATGGCTAAGGTCGACCCTGTGGATGGGGATTCCGCCGCCGTCCCCGCGTCTCCGAACCAAGGTCCTGTGGAGGCTCGCTCGTTGTCTTCCATCACGACTATCGCGTCCAATCCCCCAGCTTATCCTCGAAACCCCGCCCAGAAGAAACTGGACCCGCTCGTGTTGTACATTGTAAGAGTCCCGGGAAGCAAAGGTATGTCATGTCATGTCTTCTTTCCCCTGCGACAAACCGCAGGACCCTTTCCCCCGCAGTTAGCCATGGAGGCTTTCAGGGTCCTGGAATGAATCCTTCCCGATCATGCTTGGAGAGCACCAGCCACGATTTTGTCGCTGACTTAAGAGCCTCGTCAGATGTCTTTCTTTCCCCTCTGAAACCTCCCACCAAATCCAGCGTCTCTGCAGAAGCCATTAATGCTTCCCTCTACTATCTTCATGTCGCAACTCCGGATGACGACATCCTTCTCCAGGAATGCGAACAGGAGCGCGAGGAGCAGGCCCGCCTACGGAGAGAAGGCCTGCTCCCGGATCCGGACATGCCCTTGCCCTCGAGCGAATTCGCACGCTTAAATAATGTCCGGCGCAAACCCGTACCTGGATTACCGACCAAAGCGAATGCAGATGTTCCTCCTCCTCCTCCTCCTCCTCCTCTTCCCACACGCCCTCCAACCCGATCGCAAGAGCAACAAGAAGAGCAACAGCTGGAGAGTAGCAACCGCTCATTCCAAATTCCAGATTCGAAGGTTCCTCCCGTTCTGCCTGCCCGTCCAACATCTTCAGGCACTTTCTCTCCGGCGAGGGCGACAGCCCACTTCACAGGTGGGGATCGCGAACTGTTTCTTGATCCAATCCCTACGCCGGGACATCCACTTCCTTCCGTCCCACAAGATGAAAATGTGTTTGACAAACATGCGGCGTCCAAGAAGCCCAACCGCTGGAGTGCCTCTGGATATATTTCAGACCGGACTCCGCTGAGTGGGAGAGAGAAATTCGATGGTGTCTCTACTGGTCGCCATAGTCTTGACACGTCTCGACCCCAAGTATGGCCACGCTCGATGCATGAAATTTCATCTTATGCTCGCACGCGCTCCCCGGCAAGAAGCCCCGGGCAATCTCCTAGTCGACGCCCACATGACAGCGCACGCCTACGCCAACCCAAGTTCCATATTACTGTAATCCGTCGCGATCCAGCTCATGGCAGTCAGTGGAACGTCGCAACCTTATCGACTCATGCCGATGGTACCGGCATTGATATCGAGGTGTCAACCCCGGGCTACAGTCGATTTGCTGCCATGAGCGAACCTCTGAATCTGGAGAGCCTCGGACTGGATCTACCCTTCGAAGCTCGCAGCCTGTTATCGCGACCGGGTCTTCATCTATCCCAATCCAATCCCTCAGCATCAGCCGATTCATCGTCCCCTCCCAAGCCATCCCCACCAAAGCGTTTCCGTCGAACACTCGTCGTATCCCGACCCTACACTGCAGACGACTCGCGCAGCTCCCTAGATCTATCCGGCAACCGTGCCTCGATGGACAGCAGCATGTCAGGCAGTCCCGTCAAAGCATACGGGCCGGGCTTCTCCAAACTCAAAAGCGGCTATTACGCCTTCACCTCCCCCTGGAATGGCATCTGCACCTTCTCAACAAGTGTCAACGGCCGAAGCCTCAAATGCAAACACCTGATACCCACCCCGGGGCTCCCTCACTCCTCTACCTCCGTCTCTAACCACAACCACAACCACAACCACAACCACAACCACGACAATCCCCCCATCACCGTCGCCGAAATCCGCTTCAACACCCCCTTCCAAGCCAACTACGTTCACCACCAAGGATCCTCGCACATGTCGCCCTTCGCTCTCAGCCAAACACCCACCCTCAAGGACTCCTCCTCAGACCCCTCCTCCTTCTCCTTCCCCACCTCCTCGAACTCCTCCCACAACCCTCTATTCGCCCCCTCCACTCCCCCTTCAGCTTCTAGCTCCTCTAAACGCGCCGCCCTCGCCCACTTCCTCCACCAAACCACCCGACACTCCCGCAGACTCTCAAATAGCAGCACAAGCAGCGGCGGTGGCGGCGGCAGTGACCCACCCCCACCCCGACCCCCACCACCAGGAGACCCCAAGTCATACGGCTCCCCCGAACGACACGCGGCCCCTCTCCGCCGCCCCCAAAGCGACGACCGGCTCGATCTCTCTCTCGCCCGTGAACCAGCAGGCGGCGGCATGCGCGGTAAAAGCGCAAAGCTCGGCAAACTGATCATCGAGGACGAGGGGATCAAGATGCTGGATTTGGTAGTTGCGGCTTGTATGGGTGTTTGGTGGAGGGGGTATTACTGTTAGGTTGTTCTTACTTGGTCTTTATATTTCAGCCGGGTTCTTTTCTTCCTCCCTATGTTGTTGTTGTTGTTGTTGTTGTTGTTGTTGCTGTACTTGCATCATGTGATGATGATGGATGAATTATATTATTTATATGCATGGATGGACAAATAAATGCCTTATCTTATATACAAAAAAAAAATAAATAAAATAAAATGCAAAATGACACTCGACGCTTACTTGTTGGAATTTTTGTGGGGTTCTTTATCCATTCCTATTGCCATTGCATACATACATATATACATTTACCTAGGTATGTACCTACCTATGTATATTGCCAACGAAAACATGCTAGCTACTAACTACCTAATTAGGTAGCTAAGGTAGAGTTGACCAAGGCGCTTGCGTTTCGACAGCTTGCCAAGTGGGTTGGTGGGGAGGACACTAACAATCGAATGGAAAAGGAGGAAATGAGGATCCTAAGCGATGAAATACCAAAGTGCATGGAATGGATGCGGGAATGAGATGGGCATAGCATTAGTCGGAGGTCAACCGGAAGCGAGACTGATGCTTGGATGCCAAAGAGATAGATTTAGTAATGCTTTTAGAGAAAGGAAAAGAAATGGCAAAAAGGCAACTTTCGGATTTTTGTTCACGCAAGCTAGGATGGGATGTATAAAAAGAAACAACAACAGACTTAGTACTATATTTGCCTTTCTCTGTCTCTGTCTCTTGTCTTGCCTCCCGCTCACTGATGCAACTATATATCCATAACCCATAACCACTCTAGAGAGAAAAACGTCCCCGCGGTTTTCCTAGAAAATAGCTCTGACAAGAATCAATCGACCTGCAGGGAATCTCCAATATATCATCAAATCAGCCCACAGCAACACACATGTACAAGACAAGAAACGACGAGAAGTTCATTACGCGTCCATTCCCCGCTGCAGTGACGATTCCAGATCATTTATGCTGCCGCCCGCGGCGAGCGCTTCCTGGGGTTTGGGTTCCTCTGATCTCCACACGCCCTGTTGGTGCTCGGGGATAGGGACGTTGGTCTGCTGGGCAATCTGTGCTTGTTGAGCGGCGCTTTGGGCCTGGGATTGCTGTCGGACTACTGAGCGGAACCGGACGACCTCATCGTAGATCATACGACGCATTTCGCCAACATCCTCAACAACCTCAAAATGGAAATCGAAGGTTGTGGGGCAGGTTGGCTCATCGGAGGCATCGTGCCAGATCTGCAGGTATGGGTGCTCCAGGGCCTGCTCCACGGAGATACGGGAGGAGGGGTCGAAGGCGAGCATGCGGTCGAGCAGGTCAAGAGCGTCGGGGTTGGCATTGGGGAACAGGCGGTGGAATGGGATCTTGGGCATGAACGGCAGGTTGCGCACGTATTCCTGGGCACGTGGGGAACCAATGCGGCTCAGGGTCTCCTCATTCGGGGTGCCCAGGTAGTGTAGGATTTGGTTAAGCTGGTCGACGTAGTCGCGACCTTTGAAAAAGGGACGACCACCGAGGAGTTCTGCTAGAATACAGCCCACAGACCAGACATCAACTGGCAACCAGTCAGCAAACCAAAACCACTATAACGCACGACAGAACGGGGAACACACTGGCTTTTGTGTAACTTTGGAAGCTAAGCATGATCTCCGGAGCACGGTACCATCTTGTTGCAACATATTCGGTCATGTAGCCTGCATTCTCTTCCGGGTCGATAGAGAACCCACGAGCCAGACCGAAATCACAGATCTTGAGCTCACAATCCGCATTGACCAGCAAATTTCCGGGTTTCAGGTCTCTGTGGAGGACATTGGCGGAGTGAATATACTTAAGTCCGCAAAGAATCTGGTAGATGAAGGACTGGAAGTGGGCATCGGTTAAAGGTTGTCCGGAACGAATGATAGCGGCCAAATCACATTCCATCAATTCTAGAAGAAAGGAATATGCATCATTAGGAAGCTGCAATGTTGGCTTTTGAGATTGGAGGGTGAATCCTCACCTTCATACAGGTATGTCTCATTGAAGTTATCCGGTCGGGGAATATCCATATCATACAAACAAGTGATCTGCCCTAGGTCAGCCCTACAATCCTGAAAAAGGAAGGACAACGTGTTGACTTGCATTGCGATGGCCTCTGAAATGCTGAAGCAACTTGATTTCTCTCAAGGCCCGCTTAGCCAGAATCTTCTTGCTGAAGACATTGGTGACCTTTTTGATGGCAACACCTTCCCCGTTCTGAACATTAGTAGCTGCGCTGTCAAACAAATGAGAATCATTAGCACTCGGACTCGGTCATTGCCATTCTACCCGCGGTTTTGCCCGTTCGCTTCTTCTTCAGGAAGAGGATAGCAACACGACCCCGCTATCCCTGACTAAAGAAAACCAAGGAGCGAGATTGTGAACAGCACCTACCAAACAATACCGTAGGCACCCTGGCCCAGTTCCTTTGTCACGTTGTACCGGTCATCCACGACAAAATCCTGGTTGAAAACCTTGAAAACTTTCCGTCCTTGTAGGTCAGACATGGTGGATTTGGGAGGGGATAATACAGATTGTAAACGATCGACCAGCGGTTAGGGGAATTCGAGCTCGAGGGGTAACGATAAGCGAGGGTGGAGGGACGGCGGCAGCGTTTTGTGTTTAGGGTGGGGAGAAGAAACGAAAGTTATTTCGCTCTCGCCAGAGAGAGAAGATAAAGGGTATTAGCGGCTAAAACGAGAGAGAGAGAGAGAGAGAGAGAGAGAAAGAAAGAAAAGGAAGAGCTGAAGATCTGATGGTGTGGCTGTCAAGGACTGTATGGACGGGTCGAAGCCCCGCAGTGCTGCCGTAGTACACTCAAGTTAATCGCTCCCGCTTGGCCAGTCGCTGCTGGGATTCGTGGGGAAATTTCAGGAATTTGGGACAGGACCCAGAAAAGAAAACAGGGAATATGCAAGTATCTTGGTTTGACGGATAGGATTGTAAGGGACGAGGAGAAGCACTAGATGGAACCGCAGACAGCAGATAAAACGGAGTGGGGAGGCTAAGGGTTCAAAAGGGGAGAATGAGAACCATGGAACAGAATTTGATTGAAAAGGGACTGAAATGAGATGGAGAATGTTGAGAAGTTCGAGTCAAGTTGAGTTGAGTTGAGTTGAGTTGAGTTGATTGCAGAGCAAAAGAATTGGGATACAAGAAGGGGAACCTCAGGCAGCAAGAGGGACAGGAATGGGCTTTGGGCACACTACCTCCTTGTATGTCTTCCTCATTCTTGATTCTTATCAACAAGTAGGTACGGAGTAGATCTGGTATTTAAAAGAAGAACTAGGAAGGAATAATTAATCTAGATTAATTTGACCAAATTTTCCGCACTCGAGACAAAAAGGAAACCCTAAAGATAGAATACCCTGATATAACGTCACTGGGGATAGATAGAGAATTCAATTCACTCGTAGTTTCTCCCCCCCAAAGTGTAGGAATCAATATCCTACTTTGGTCGACGGCTAATGGTCATTGGCATGTCACTCTGGTACACAAACCAGGCATTCCGATACGTCCACTCGTGCTGAGGATCAACCAGTTGCATCTGGATCGATCGTGCCCCTAGTTAGTCATTCCCGACTCTCGACCTATTCAGAAGGATCACTTACATCAAATGCGCTATAGAGAGTTGCAATCAATTTCTTGATCTCCAACATCGCTAGATACCGACCCATGCAAATGCGTCCACCGCCGCCGAACACAAAGTCACAGGTGTCGTTCATTCGTCGATGGCGTTCGTGGTATGCTTCAGCACTTTCGTCGTCCCGTTTGAGCCAACGGTCAGGGCGGAAGACATCTGCGTCATCGCCAAACACTCCGTAGTCTCGATTCGTCACAGCCGGGTTGATGCCCACTTTGGTTCCTGCAGGGATATACCGGCCATCAGGAAGTGTAAACCCTCCGTCCGGTACCACACGCTCAAAGACCATGGCAATTCCTGGGTTGATTCGCATGCCTTCTCGGATGACCGCGTCAAGGTAAGGCAGCTCGCGGATATCCTTCCATTGAGCTGGGAGGGAAAGCGAAGCGGATTCCAACTCCGTCACAAGTTTTTGGTAGGCGTCGGAATCCTTGGCCAGATAATAAACGATCGCACGCATTGTTGAAGATGTGGTATCGCCTCCCGCAAGAATACTCAGCATCAGCCAGTTGACAATCTGCTGGTCGTTGACCATGTCCGGGTAGGTATCCTTGAGTTGGACATACTTGTCCAGTGTGTGGTCCACGGTGCCAGCCTTGATGCGATCTTCCTTCAATTGTGCCTGATATTCTGCAACCACTTTGAAGGCATAGAGAACTCCCGTGAGAGTAGGCTTGGGCCCAATGCGAACAATCGGGTTTTTGTCAAGGAGAAGATCGATCCATGGGATTTGAGAAACCTGTTGAAAAGCACACAGCATCAGCTATCCCGGCCGCAGAAAAGGTCTCATCCAGCAGGTAATTGAGCAACTTACGGGAGCAAAATAAATGAGGCCCTTGGTCGAGTCCGTGATTAGACTATCCACATCTTTCTCCTGGTCGATGAAGCCATAGTGACGGCCGAAACTTATATTGGCGGTCACATCCCATGCGACTTTCCATCCCAAATCAACCAAGCGCCGTCGGGAACGAGGTGAAACCACTTACAGTATCCAATCCATTCATCTGCCGGGCAGACTTTCCCATCCGCAAACTTAGCAGTGATCTTATCGACAAACTTCTGGAGAGTCTCGTCAATTAGGGGCTCGTATTCCAAGACTTTAGTCATTCGCCATAGGTTCCGGATAGGGAGGATGTTTTGATTATGCCATTCTTCATCTTGGGTGTTGAAAAGGTTGGATATGCGGTGACCGTTAATGAGGACGTCGTTAGGGCGATACATGTCACTCTACGGATAGGTTAGACGTAAGCCACAGCCACCATTCCCCACTCGAGCTATACATCACATTCTGATATCAAGAATGCATACCTTCTTCCACGGATTGCGAGTCGAATAGATCACTCGAATTAAGCTCGGGTCTGATATACTCAGGGCGTTTGGACCAACCCGGAGGACAGAGCCGTACCGTCTATGTAGCTGAACATATTTCCGATCGAGAAAGCCACCATACGCTTGGCTGGCTCGCCAGACATCCGTGAATTTTGCAAAAAGGGGCCCTCCAAAACTCCTCAGCGGCGAGAAGAGAATATCCCAAACAAGCTTGGTCAGTATAAGCAGGCCAAACACTGCAGAGATGTGCATCCACAGGTCATCAAAGAGTACGCTGGCCATACTATCTATAGTCGAGCAAACAATGGATGAGAATCAAAAGCAAAGATATGAGCAGCTTGTTTCAGCTTCCACAAGGTCGTAACTGGACACAGCCATGTCGACTAGGGATGATCTGTATTAAAAAAGCGAAGGCCTCCCCGCCTACAAATTCTGCAAGAAGGGGGGTTGTTCCCTGTTGGGGGGCGATGGGATAGTCATGGCGAACCAACCATACGCAGCCCCGACATTTTTAATTAGTCGTTTCAAATCTACTTCTGCTATTACGACGGAGTAAGTGCTGTGTCTCTTGCTGAATGCGGTAAGTGGAGGATTTCTCAACTGCATTCTGCAGGTGACGGACCTGAAGGCTTTCCCACTAACAGACGCCTAGTGTCCGAGCTGACAAGCCCAGCCCTCGTCTATGGAGTAGGCTCAACCCACCTTGGCTAGTAAGGACGCAAAGAGGTGATTTCGATTGTAACCAACTGGAGGCTTACATGATGGTACTTTTGATAAGGAGAAGAAGGAGGGCAAGAAGCCAAGGTTGTGTGGTGTGTGTGTGTGCCAGGTTATAGACCCTAGGGCTGTCAGGGCTCTGTGAACGATGATCTCAATCCTTAGTGCCCGTTATACCTACATGGGTCTTCTTCTTCTCCTTTCTTGTGCTCTATATAAGACTATGCCTGGATAATGCACAGATTGTTCGTCCCCCCCATTCAAGGGACCTCCCCTGCCCATACATCATGTCCTCCGCTGCCGAGACACCATCTCCCGCTTTCCTCGCCGAAAGCCAGACCACGACGGTCAAGGCCGTGATGTGGTTGATGTCGTTGACCCCTCTGGTCTTTGTCATCCTCCGTCTGTATGTGAGGCTTCATCTTAAGCGGGTCTTCGGATGGGATGACTTGATTGCTGCTGCTGCTGTTGTAAGTTATCTGGCTTTTCTCAAGAACTGATCGATGCGGGACTGATTGAAAATCTTTTGTTATATCGCTAGGCTTGTCTCCTCGGTTACGCTGCGGTCTGCCATGCAGCTGCCGACATAGGGCTGGGAAGACACGTCCAAGTGGTCGCGCAGAACCCAAAGGACCTCGTTAACTTAGCCCGGCTGAGCAGCATCAGCCAGACACTGGCTATCATGGCTTGCGCCTGGGGGAAAACCTCGTTTGCGGTCACTTTGTTGCGAATTGTGGTAAAGCGATGGATGACTGTTCTACTCTGCTTTATTATTATTACGGTGAACGTGATCAACCTTCTGGCAGCGTTATTTGTCTTTGTTCAATGCAAAGATCCCAGGAGAAATTGGGATCCGAGTGTAAAGACAAAATGCTGGCCGACTCATGTCTTTACTGATTACTCGCTCTTTGTTGGAGGTATGTGCTCTGCTAACCCTGATCTCATGCCCAGTGCTGACGGATTCCCAGCCTATTCGGGAATGCAGGACTTTATACTCGCACTTCTACCGTGGACTATTGTCTGGAACCTCCAGATGAAGAAGAAGGAAAAGATCGGTGTAGCTATCGCTATGAGCCTGGGAGTCTTGTACGTGCTCTCCTTGAAATCACACCGGGGTTCTTTCTAATTCATACCATATAGTGCTGGTGCAGCCGCGATCGTCAAGACCTGTTATCTGGTGACACTTTCAGCTAAGGCTGATTTCACCTGTATGTTCTATACTTTATCTTGGCCCAATTATGTGGCGCTGACATTTCATCCAGGGGAGCTTACTCCATTACTCAACTGGGCCGCGGTAGAGGATGGTCTGACGATTATTGCCTCTTCAATTCCAACCCTAAAGCCGCTGCTGACCAAAATCTTTCCCACATCCGCTTCCCAGGAGAGCTACAACATGCTGCCTCCTGGCGCCCAGAAGGAGAAGCGCCGCATTAAGTTCGATACGTCTCTCTACGCAACCCAGGTTGACACCGTTCAGGTCCACGAACCAGCCGACGAGGCGCTTACGGGCAGTCAGCAGTCGATCCTCCCGGTTAAGGAGGAGGATAAAATCAACCTAACGACGGAAGTTTCCGTCACATACAAGGCCAACTAGGAAACTTGCTCGGATTCAGGGGATTGCGAGATGATAATTTTGTCTTGAGAACTGGGCCATGTATCTGTTTGGATTGCAATCAGGCACAGGCATTTCTTCAAGAAAGACAAGAAAAAAATAACTAGGGAAAGCCATTTTTCGTCAATTCATTTCTACGGCTAACCCATCTCACATATAATACCAATACGGAGTATACCCATATATTGTGCAATTATAACCAAACTATCAAAAATGGGATAGCTCAACCAAGTCCTATGATAGAGAAGAAAGAAAGAGAACGTCGTCTACTTACGCGCTGAGTATCCTTGGTTTTACAGCCAGCAGACGGAAATACAGAAGCATGTTCCCAAATGACTGTCATTAGTGACTATAATCCAGGATACATACATACATACAATACAAGATAACGCAGATCCGTAGTCTGTACTACCAGTATGTAGTAGCTTCAGTAACCTCCCGTCCCGAACCTTTAGACGTATCATCTCCTCCTCCGCACTCCACTGCCGAAGCCGAAACGGGGAAATGTTGCGGGAAATTGAAAGATTGATTGAATGAAACCTTGCTCCTGGCTTCAGACGGAGGATTCTTTCTGTCTTCAATAGAAGTTTGCCGTGTAACCTGCTGTTCTGTAGGTAACTAGTATGTTCTGGGCCGGAGCTCAGAATATATCGGTTTGAAATCAACCTGGATGAGGAATTTTGTACGTACGTACCTCCTATATATATAACATGTATACCAATACTAATACTACGGAGTACCTACCTACTAGCTAGTACTTACCCCGTGGGTGTCATATTGAACTACTAGTAGGTACCTACCTAGGTACTACTGTCTTATACTTGGGTTAAACAGTCCTATCCGGACCCGGTTTACTTACTACTCCTCACTTAGCTTCTAGGTTAGGTAGTAGGCAGTAAGTAACAAATTCATTGCATCAACCGAAACTCCATAAGAACTTGATTTGCTCTTGATCTTGATTTGGGTTGGGTTAGGTTGCGCATAGCTGCCATAGCATCATGCATTGGAGATCCATCCCTGTTTGATACTACCCCGGAGATTACGATGTGAAATTGGATGCGTTTTATTATCTACTAACTTGGTAGGCTGTCGAGTTGACTGACTACCTAGGTAAGAGTGAGTCCCCGTGCCTTTTTTTTTTTAGCGGTATCTACTCTACTGGCGCATTGGTGGTACCTAGGTGGGGTGGGAAGGTTTGATTGACACCTTCGGGATTGACTGGTGATAGCTGGATTGGAAAGTGGAAGTGATGGGCAAGAAGTAAGGACTTGGAATGCATACGGAGTATTAGATGTCAATAATTTGATATATGGAGCTGGGACGGCTCGGAAGCTAAAGCAGCAGGTCCGGAGAGCCCAGTGTACAATGCGCCTACAAAGGTACGGAGTACTAAGGGGGATTTTACTGTAATTGTACGGAGTAGGAAAGATTGCTGTTATCTGGTGGCGCTGTCTGGCTCATGGGCTTCTTTTTTTCCTTTCGAGGCCAAAGCTCACTCACGGACTTCTTCCCCTTCAAGACACTCTCCAAAGCAGTGAGGTTCGTATCCATGTGCAGACGTCTCATTGGAATCTAGTGTGTATGATCCAGCACCCACTGAATCTCCCGAATGATAGCATCAGGCTGGGTGAGATGCACGCAATGGCCGCTTTCCCGAGGCGTGCTGGAAAACCTGCTATTCGAGGATAACTTCGTAGTCCGTCTTTGGAAACTTTCATCTTTCTCATCGTACGTATCCAATTTCTGCTGGTATGCCATTCTCTCCTCCGGGGAGCCACTGCCCGCTGCCACACCGGCAGCATAGATCTTGCGCAGGTCATACGCAGCGTTTCCCTTTAATACGCTGACAGGCCGGGACCCAAGCAATGGCACCTCAGCCTCCAGCTGCTTCTTTCTCCCTAGAACCGCACAACTCTCTCTGTAGTGCGCCATCTCTGCCGCGGCGGCGCGGCGATGCTTTGCGCTGGCATTCTCCGCAATCATCTCGCTGCGCTCAGCGTCGCTCAGAAACACGGAGTGATTCAGCCCCGTCACTTCCATGGTATCAATTCCGCTACTGACAGCATCGAAATTCGAATCAGGCCATAGCTCGCTGTTGCGTTCCTGGTTTGCGTCGACAAACACCATCCCGGCAATCTCGTGGAGCGTTCCGGATTCCTGTTTCCGGTGCAGGAACTCCCGAGATGTAACTCCGCCGTAGGAATGACAGACCAGGACGTAGGGGGGCTTGATGGCTAGAGTCTGCAGGAGAAGATCCAGTTCGCGTGCAATGGTTTCTGCCGTGGGTGGCTCGCCTGGTGGCGATTCATCGGATGAGCCTAGTCCCGAGCGCTCGTACAGAAACACACGTGTTGATGGTTGGAGCATGCGACGCATGGCGACCCATTCTTTGATGCTGGCTGCTGCACCGGGGAGGATAATCACGACAGGCACGGTGGGGGATGTGCGGTCTGGTCCGAAGATACTTGCGAAGAGTCGGTGGGTACCGATGGAGATGAGACCATCATGCTCGCCTGTTTCCCAGCAGTTTTCTATTGGCATTTTGTATTTGGAAGGGGGACCACAATATGGGAGAGTAAGCTGGGGTTCAGCTGGGGATGAGGGGGTGTGAGAAGACGATGTCATTTATGTCTGATATCACCTGATGACTCCTGATGCCTGATGTTGCCCATTCGGATTAGGTTTATTTCTATAAGTTATGCATGCTATATACACTGTATATATAATTGGGTCCAGAATTAGAATCCACAGATTTGATGTGAAAATAAAAATAGAAAATATAAACAGTAGAAGAAAGGCAAGTGAGGGAGGGACATTCAGTCTCCATCCTCGGATTTCACCGTCCACACAACTTCCAGAACCTGCGGAGGCTTGTCGGACGTCTCATTAAACATATATATTTGTCGGACTTGGTCAAGTTCTTGAACCACATCCACTAACCGGAAAGAAACTTTGTCTGGGTCTAGGCGTCGCAACGGGCCGAGACTATAGGCAAATGGATCAGATCCCTTGTATTTGCTCTTCTTCCATGTCTGTTCCATAGGACGCGGGTTATTCCACAATGTCGCATCCTGAATGATGGAGTATCCGTTGACAAGGAACCATTCCCCCGATAGGTGCCATCTGCGAAGCAGACACTCGTCGCCGCAGATATCAGCAACCCGGCCGAGGGCGACCATATCAGCGTGAAACCATGATTTCCAGTGGTGCACGGAGAGCGGTAGGGGACGACCGGACTCGAAAAAGCCCGAGGCATCCCCGTGGAGGTCTAGTTGGTGGAGCCCCTGTTCCCAGGTGAACTTTGCGTTTGTGTGTGCGTAGATGCACGAAGCAAGCATACGGTCGCCCTCACTTTGAAAGGAGTAGCACATTTCAAATACACGCTGCAGCTCCTCGAGAAGTGGCATGGAAAGGAACACTCCGGCTCCGCCGTACGCCATGTACCCTGAACCGTACAGCTGTGCCAGGTCCTCCGTCAATCCTCCAATATATTGTGGTAGCGTCGAATCATAGGACGCCAGTCGATCGACCAGGTTTTTCATCGAGGGGAAAAATGTGTCTTCGTCAATTAGAACTGCCCACTGGGTCGAATGGTCCCGGTGCTGGTAGAGAATCCGGACTAGAGAGAAATATTGGTCCAGTTGTGTGTCTTCATTTTGAACCATCGTCAGGCGGATGTGCAGCTCGTTCGCTCGCTGCTCTATCCGTTGTCTTGTCTCTGTGTTGCCTGGGTCAACTATAGCCATGATCCGGGCATTGGTGCTACCTGCCCAATGGGCGAAAGCATCCAGGGAATCCTCCAATTTCTCCAGAGATGTCACAACGCCGAAGAGCATGTGGGATGCGTCCGGTCGCGCGACTACTGCAGGAGCCTCAATGGTCACCGAGGTTGCACATGTTTCTTCCGACTGGGCTTCGCGGCTAGCTTCGATATCTAATCGGACGGTGTGGTACGTGGGGAGAGGCACGTCTAGGGAATCGGCAAATGCGGTGAAGTTATCAGTTCGTGTAACAGCGATGTTGAGTCGAGCATAGTCGATGGAAGAGGAATTGTAGGCATGGAGTCTGAGGAGGTTCAGGTCGACGAAGCAGGAGCTGAGATTCTTGGCTGTGAAGCTGGAAGCAAGTCCAGGGTCAGAGAAAGAGTCGAATTCATTGGTAGTTGTATAAGTTAGCAAAACTATGCAGCCAAAAAGACACCCAGCAATGAAGGTTAAAATCTTCCAGGATCTGAATATGCGTTGCTGGAATGGGTGGTGAAGGAGCAGTCGGAGTTGCTGCACCATCGCTTCGCATACGGAAGAATGTGAACAGGTCAATCAAGTTTGATCATAGGAACGATACGATCCAACCCGCATGTTTTACCTCAAAAGCAGGGGGGAAGATTTAGTTCATCTTCCCCTTTCTTTTCCCACCACCTGGTGCTATCCTTCTTTCTCCCTGTAGGAAGCGCTTCCGACGAGAATGAAACAAATAGTGGTCCACCAGCACGGATGTGATTGGTAGGTGTAGTTCTGACCAGCAAATCGTTGCGAGACTATAGAGAAATTTAGGGCTGATCAGATATAGGTACTAGTATACTAAGAGAAAACGGGCACAGTTAAAAATAGTTACACAGGAGAAACCCTCTACTCGGATATGTACAGGAATCAACAGGTACGATGAAAGTCTTCTACATCTCAATGCATGGCTAGAAATACGTCAATAATGAATTTCCCCCTCCTTCATAGCTTCATGGTCTGGTTCTTCCTATTTTCTTCCCTAATTTTGAAACACCAGAAACACCACCACACCACTATATTGCTGGCAGCCCATATGGCTCATATAATATAACGTGGTTGCAATCCTCAATCCCCAGGGTCTTGGATAAGGAATGTTGGGGAAAAGAGGAACAGAATCGGGAAGCAAAATTAGAGAGAGTTGACCAGTCGGCGCTCCTTACGTAAAGCCCGAAGCTTCTCGCGAGCCTCTTCAAGAGGGACCATGATGCCCTTGTTCTGGGTGGCGGGATCATCCCGGTTACGGATGTTGACAGTACGGCTCTCCTTCTCCTGGGCACCAACAACTAGTTCACGGTTAGCGTTGTATTGAGGGAAAGAGCGAAACAAAAAGGGGGATCATGTACCAAAAATGAAGTTATACTGTGCCAGCTGTCCAGTGCGGATCTTCTTCTGCATGGTGTTTCCGCTGATATCAATATCAACATTGAGCTTGTCTCCACGAAGGATCTCTTGCAGCTCTTCGACATAGTCGTTCACCGAGGGCATGACGGGGACAATGAGAATTTGGCGAGGGCTGATCCAGAATGGCCACTTGCCGCCGAAATGTTCAATCAGGATACCCAAGAAACGCTCGAAACTACCGATGATAGCACGGTGGATGACAACGGGTCGGGCACGACCGGCTCCAGGTTCGTTGGACTTGGCTTCACCTTCCGGCTTCTTCTCATCACCAGCAGACTGGCCCTTTTCACCAGCCATATATTCAAGTTTGAAGTTAATAGGAGCTTGGTAGTCAAGCTGGATGGTGGCACACTGGAACTCTCTCTTGAGAGCGTCAGCAATTGTGATGTCGATCTTAGGGCCATAGAATGCACCGTCTCCCTCATCGATAATCCAGTCCTTGCCCTTAAATTTGGTCATGGCTTTCTTTAGCTGCTCCTCGGCGTAGTCCCAGGTCGACAGCTCACCAAGGTACTTCTCGGGACGAGTAGAGAGTTTCAGTTTGAAAGTGAAGCCGAAAAGACCGTAGATAGATTGCAGGAAGTCAAAGAGACCCGCAATTTCGGATTCGATCTTTGGGGTATTAGCTAAACCGTATACTATCTTCGAGTAACACATATTCAATACTAACCTGGTCCTGAGCACAGAAAATATGGGTATCGTCTTGCTGGAATTTGCGAACCCGGGTGAGACCACTCAGCGCACCTGATGCCTCATTTCTGTGCAAGACACCAAAGTCCGCAATTCTCAATGGAAGCTCCCTGTAACTTCTTTCGCGGTGGCCAAAGAGAACGAAGTGGCCGGGGCAGTTCATGGGCTTAAGGGCCCACTCCCGCTTCTCAACATCAAGCTTGAACATGTCATCCTTGTAGTGAGCCCAATGACCAGAAGTCTTCCAGATTCCCACATCATACATGTTGGGAGTCTGGACTTCTTGGTATCCTCGCTTGCGGTACTCGGACCGAAGAAGTGTCTGGAGTGCATTGAAAATCTTGGTACCATTGGGAAGCAGGAAAGGGCATCCCGGAGAAACCTCATCGAAGAAGAAAAGTTCTTGTTCTTTGCCGATTCTCAAATGGTTGCGTTTCTCAGCCTCTTCCAAAAACTTCAGGTGTTCCTGCATCTGTTTCTTATCCGGGAAAGCAACTCCACGAATGCGCTGAAGAGAATCGTTGGATTGATCACCAAGGAAGTATGCAGAAGAGTTCTGTTACGGAGTTAGCATTCTTCCTCTTGCAAATCTGAAAGTCGTGTCGTACCTGCATGATCTTAAATGTCTTGATCTTGCCAGTGCTTTGAATATGAGGACCTCTGCAGAGATCAACTAGGGTACCACATCTGTACACGGTACTCTTTTCTCCAGTAACAAGCTTGTCGATGTAATGTAGCTTGTACTTGCTATAGGCAAACATCTTCTTGAGGTTTTCCTTGGTAACTTCCAATCGGTCAAAGCTCTGCTTCTCCTTGAAGATTCGAGACGCCTTGTTATCAAGGGTAGACCAGTCCGACTCTTTAACAACACGGCTGTGCTAATGTTAGCATTTGGGTTGAATTTTTTTTTTCTTTCACATTTCAATAAGATTCAGAGCACATGACATGATACCTACTTTTCGGGCATGGCCATATCGTAAAAGAAACCCTGGGGGGTGGGAGGTCCATGAGAAAGAAGACATCCAAACTCGCATTCGCAAGCTTCGCCTAGACAGTGAGCGCTAGAATGCCAGAAAACCTCCCTACCCTCGGGGTCCTCGAAGGGAACATAAGAAACAGTGCAGTCGCCCTCCAGGGGACGACCCAAATCCCAAAGTTCCTTCCCATCTACCTTAGCAATAACGATACTGGCGCTCAGTTCCTTCGGGACATGCTTGAGCAGCTGTGCTGGTGTGGTTTCCCAAGCCTTCGCAGGGATGCTGGAGGTATTTCCGTCGCCAAGCTCAAGGGTGACATTTATTTCGGGATGCGGCTTGTTCTTCAGTTCCTCAAGGTGTTCCTGCCAGAGGTCTTCGAATAGATTATTGCGCTCAACCATAAAGTCAGGGAGTGAGTCGACACCTGGCGCAATTGACTCATTAGGAGGGGTTCTGGCAGCATTCGGCGGGGTAGGGATAGGACTTACCTGCGGATTTCGCGCCCTCTGCGGGCCGAACAGGCAAATCCTTCGGGCTTTCAGAAGCCATATTTGTATCCCGCAGCCTCGAGCAACGATCTAGGAATATGAGCAGAGGGAATTGGGAGTGAAGCGGTAACGGGGGACTGCTCAGTATCCCCAAACGCTCTTTTGACTCAAATCTGTGAATCATTCGGAAGGCGGTGAAGCACGTGACCGAAAACTGCCCTTGCGGCTAGCGACACTTTACCCTTTCGAGCTTCCCACCATTTGAAAACTTCTCCGCGCTCACTCCGCAACAGGTCTATCAAAACAACCTAAGAGTCAATATGTCTTTTCGCGGAGGCGGTCGTGGTGGCTTTTCTAGCCGTGGCGGAAGCTTTGGTGGCCGTGGAGGTGAGCAACAGTCGCAATTGATGTCGAAGATTGTTCTGGGTAGAGCTAACGAAAATTTCTTCGGATAGGCCGTGGAGGTTTCCAGCAGCAGTCCTATGGACCCCCAGATCAGGTGCTAGGTAAATTATACATATCAGGCTTCTTTGAGGAAGGGAGATCCACTAATTCAGTGTTAGAGATGGGTACTTTCATGCACGCCTGTGAAGGCGAAATGGTTTGCGAATCGATCAACCCCAAGATCCCGTACTTCAACGCCCCCATTTATCTGGAGAACAAGGTATAATATTACGAAGACCTCGTTTCTGGACGGGCTATATACTAATGTTTATCGCTGATAGACCCCTATTGGCAAGGTCGACGAAATCCTGGGCCCTATCAACCAGGTGTATTTCACCATCAAACCGCAAGAAGGAATTGTCGCAACCTCTTTCAAGCCTGGTGACAAGGTTTTTATTGGCGGTGATAAGCTTCTTCCTCTTGAAAAGTACGGAGTTTCTAAATCCTTTGGAGTGTTATTGCGATCGTTTACTAACTCGTTAACCATAGGTTCCTTCCCAAGCCTAAGCCCCCACCAGGTAAAACATCAAATCACTACCAGCTCTTAGTATGCGCTTTCTCTAACAACCATCTAGGTTCCAAACCAAAGAAGACTATCGGTGGTGCTCGTGGAGGTATGCGCGGCGGGCGTGGTGGACGTGGTGCACCCCGAGGTGGTCGCGGCGGCGCCCCAAGAGGCCGTGGTGGTCCTCGGGGTGGAAGCTTTGGAGGCTTCCGTGGTGGTAGCGGTGGCTTTTCTAGAGGAGGCGGACGGGGAGGACCTCGTGGAGGCTTCCGACGTTAGATAGCCCCTTTGTCTGTGCCTAGTCCTGTCTTATTACGGCGTTATGGGAAAATGGAAATTCTGCAGGAACCTTTTGTCTCGATAATTCTTGGTCCATCCTATGGAAAATTTGCTGCTATTAAATATGTAAGTTCACAAAGGATATAATCTGCTGTCGCTCAGAAAACAAGCGTAAATTTGCACTGTAATTTCTACGGAGTACTCACCGATCCTCGGGGGGCTGGTAAAACTGTGGCTAGTGAGTGGCGCAGCCAAGCACTGCCAACTTACAATGTTGAATGACGTCTGGTCACGCTGGTTCCAACAACTGGGTAGAATCTGCACGTGCATGTGTCAACAGACTTCCTCCTTCAAACTGCAATTGCTTGCTCATTATTTCTTCCCTCTTCTTCCCACCTTTTGCGTTGGCAATTTATCGCCGCACCGAGTTTCGTCTCTTTATTCAATCCCCACCACCCCCTACTTCCTTCAATCCGAATGAGCATGTCTCGTCGGACATCAGCCATGCCTTCGACCTCGTCTACAAACAGCGGTGTCCGGCCGGCCGGAGATGGAGGTGCGCTAGGACCATTATAATGATGGATAAATACTTGATTAGGGCATTCAGCTGATATTCTGCAGGCCAGGAAAAGCAGAAAATGCTCCTTTCGTCCGAGACTGGCCATTTCAGTCTGGTCAGGTTAGGCTCAGCATTCTCCTGGCAGGTGCGGGATAGGTCACTAACAGCCATTTCTATACTAGGGCATTGCATCTAGCAGATCTGGTTACTGAACTCAACGGTATGGCATATAATCTTTTGATCTCCGGTCCAGAAAAACTTTTTCCCGCTGACCATGTTAACTAGGACTCTGTGGAGGCAAGCTCAATTCCAATTAAACAAGCAATGTTGCGGGAAAACAACTAATCATTGTATAACAGTCATGTCCGTCCTTTCATCTATGCGATACTGCCTCGGGGATCCCCATGAGTACGGTGCTATCTGGATTGCCCTCGGGCTGATGCCCTTGGGGCTTTTTTTTGATTTCATGGATGGAAGGATTGCGCGATGGAGGAACAAGTCGTCTTTGATGGGACAGGAGCTTGACTCTTTGGCAGACTTGGTAGGCGGGATCGCCGTTGTCATACATTGAAGCGATTTAACGATTTTTTTTTTTTTTGGCTTAGATTTCTTTCGGTATGTCCCCGGCTGCAGTGGCATTCGCTATCGGAATCCGCACTCCCCTCGACCACTTACTCCTCGCGTTCTTTGTGCTCTGCGGCCTTACCCGTCTCGCTCGATTCAATGTGACTGCTGCCGTTCTGCCAAAGGATAAGACAGGCAAATCCAAATATTTTGAAGGGACTCCCATCCCAACCACGTTATCGATCGCGTCATTGATGGCTTATTGGGTATCGAACGGGTGGATTCTAGAAGATCTTCCGCTGGGCGTTGTTGCTCAAGGCACCATCTTCGAATTCCACCCGATTGTTCTATTGTTTGTTCTGCATGGATGCCTCATGGTCAGCAAGACGCTCCATATTCCGAAGCCATAGACTCCAGAGGGAAAATTTTCCTGGTTTAGGATGCCCATTTCTTGATGGAAATGTTTTGATGAGCATATACAAGGGAAGAAATTCAGGAGCAGAGGCACACATAGCACATTTATTGGAGATAATATGGAAGTTGAAAAATCGATGGCACGGACTGCAGAAATCTTCTTTTGGGGCCGGTTGTGGCTGGCTTATTGTCACATGTATTATTTCTGGGACCCTGCAGAGGCGCAGTGGCTAAAAGTATGATATCCTCCGGCTCTGTCTCTTTCACGGCTCGGATATCTGAGCCGGGATCAGTCTCATGGATTATGTAGAAATTATATTAGCTATTTAATTGTCTATATCGAGCTGAGATGGGACTTGGCACGTAGAAGCTTCAGGAAATGGCATTGAAGGCAGTTGCAGTTGTAAAATGGTAGAAACTGACTGCTCAGCTCCAAAAGGAATTACATGGATTTTCTCCTTGATATCAATCGTGCTTGTTTGTCTCAACTTTGACTGTTGCAACAGAGTACCAAGTACACACAAAAATATATATATAACCAGCACTAGGTAGGTAACTATTGGGGATATCAGCCAGTACCTAGTAGATATCCTATAATAGCTGACTAGATTACTTACTCCGTACTTCCCCTGTGCTCAGTATTTCAAACGAATAATTGGTTTCTTACAGAGGAATTAACCAACTGGTTATTTATACTCAAGGTAGGTACTAGTACAGTAACACAACATGACTGGCGCTTGGAGCCGGCTTCTTTTTGTCCCCCTCCTTTCTTTGACTATTTCCCGTGGAGTCTTGGTCTTTGTACGGAGTAACGATAGTGCAAAACCTGGGGGATATTTTTAGATGTGCTTGTTTTACGAGTGCCCCGTACTACTATACTATGTACCTAGTAATGCTTGAGCCAGCGACGGGTTCTGACGGGTTTTCACTGAATTAATGAGGTAGGTAGGGATTTCTGGATTCTTACTAGGTTATGTAGCCAGGTATCTTATACCTAGTTAACTGTTGGCCTCTCATGGCTGGCTGCTGTGTGGCTTTTTTTTTTTTTTTTTTCTTTGTTCTTATGGAAGTTCGATCCCGCGCAGCCAAAACTAGTTCTTATATTTTGTACGGAGGATTCTTGCATTCTTGAATTTGGGAAATTGGTCGTGGGATTGAGTACGGAGTACGTCTGTGGGCTTACGGAGTACGGAATTGGTCCAGACCAACGGTTAAAGTCCAAGTTTGCAGTCCAGACTCTTCCTTCGCAGGGCTTCAGTTGAATCTGTAATACTACTAGTAAACTGTGGTATTTTTGTTCGTTTCGCAATGCCTGCTCTATTTCGCACTAGAAACTTTATTCCAGTCTATTGACCAGGGACACATTCTTCGACGAGTTTTGAGGGAGGTCTTGTGTGAATATAAAAAACAAGGTAGAGAGGAAAAAGAATCCCACGATAGATAATAGAACTTCCCATACAGCTTCCACGAATCAAGACTACTTTCTTAACCGCTGAGTGAAATCACTTTGCTTTCCAGATTTGTCGAGACTCGAGTAGGGTACCGGGTATCAACAAAATTAACCGGTCCGATCATCTGCCTCCCAGTCGGTGAACTCGCGAGCCTCAGGAACAAATAGACACAGTTCCCTTGAACGACATTAGTTTATTCCGATTGGAAAGTTAGCTCGTGCAGCTCCCCAAGGATTTCTTTAGCCAACTGGGTTAAGAATGTTTTCCATGCTACCAGACTCTCGATCCGGAATCCTCTGTAGACACCCTCGCCGCTGGGGTCGTCTTTCTTGTGAAGTCATGACTGGACTCTTCAATTGTGGCATTTTCTCCTCGCATGTAGCACATACGTAATCGGACGCTGTTAGAAGATCGATATTGCAGTCCAAATTTAAGCGCCAACATGATTCAACGAAAGTTCGCAGGGATCCAAGGTCCACTCCGGGAGTGGCCGCCCAACAAAAAGATACATTATGTCATATAGACCCATGGAAAACTGTAACTAACGTCTATAATTCGAGGATCAAGTGAACGAAATTTTGTTCAGAACCTTTTGTTGTTTCGTTTTTGGGCTCGATGCAGAAAATTCGCGCGCGATTTCCCGTGCCCTCTGTGTTTGAAAGCCTGGGTCAGGGGGGGGGGGCACCTCGCGTTGAAATCATTGGTCTAGTGGGTGATCTGTTTCTGAACTTGCAGTTGCGGCGCCTCGAAGAAGATCTCGAGAAGGTCAAGGCGAGTGGGAGGCAAAAAGCATGATGAAGTGTCAGTGTTCGAGTAGCCTCTGGATATCCATGATGCCATCACCGGACAAATTCAAGGTTGCGACAGAGGAGAACTATTGTATGTGTGGCGTTTTAGGTGTGGTACTAGCCATAATAAGCCAGATACGGAGTCCTGTAGTACTGTTAGGTAATAAATGCAGGTTCCTTACATGGGTGCATTTGACGCCAGGTACTTGAAGTTACCTACTTAATCACACTCACTGTCTTGTATTTCTTTAATCTTGATAAAATACCATCGCATGCTGATCTATATTAATCCCCGAGAATTGAAAGGTGACACGTTGAGGGTCCAGCAGGATTGAATTATCTGTCTATCATCATCCCCTCTTTTCATTAAACAATACCGAGTAGTCAACCCGTCTAATTGCCACCTCTAACCTATTCTAGGTTAGCGGCTTGCTGTTTCTGCCGCCGGTCTTGACTAAAACGGAAAAAGATAAGCAGACCCCTGGGAGGGACAACTTATTTAATACCCACAGCAAGATCTGATTGGATGAAACCTCTGGTACACGGGATGTAAATTACCCGACTGTTAGGTACCTCGTAAGGTCGTACCAAACTAAACCCTTCTTTATACTAAGCTAGGGTATGTTTTGGTTTTGCTGTTTCCTTTTTTGCTTCCACGCGGTTTCACTCGATTATTTCCCCTGAGATCCTGGAGATTGTATACACTTGGCAGCAGGTAATCATTCCAAAGTGCGTTTCCCTAATTACTATGTAGTAACTAAGATTACTCCCTCCTCCTCCGCTTCTAATCTTCCTGGGGAACTCACTGCGCCAGTCACTGACTCTAGCGCGCGCTCTCTCTCTTTCTTTATTCTCTCTCTCTCTCTCACTCACTCACTCTCTTCCCACTTCACTCCCCTTCCTTGAACTCCACCTCTCCCTTTCAAGGACACACTCGTTTCTCTCTCTCTCTCTCTCTCTCTCTCTCTCTCTCTCTTATGCTTCTGCTTTGATTTCCCAGCACCTTTCTCGGTTGTTGGTTAATTTTCTGTCGCCTCTCGTTGCTACTTCTTCCTTCCCCCTTCTCCCCCCTGATTTGATTACTCTCGCCTTACTCATCGTCAAAGGGTCCCGTCCCTCTCGTTTTCTGTCACTCTATCGAGGATATCAACTCCTCCAGTGACTCAATTCATCATTCATCCCGACCTGGACTTCAACAACGACCTCTTGCAGCCTGTTCGTTGTTGTTGTTGTTGTTGTTGTTGTTGTTGTTGTGGTGGTGGCAGACTATACCATCCTATTAATATCCTGCCCTCAGAAAGGGGCCTTGAAACGACTGGATCTCTCTCGCTTCACAACCCCAGGGACCGTTTCTCCAGAACCCTAACACTCGTTATTCATCACCTTCTTTCGCCAGTTTCACCCGGTTTCCTTAATTCCGACCGTCGATATATCTCATCAGCGACGGTCCTGTCGTCCCATCCTGGTCGGCTCTATCAACCAAGGGAACCGACTGTGCAACTTTGTTCCGAGGATCAAAAGGGTTACGCGGGTCGTCCCTTATCCATTGTTTAACCAATCCCCCGATTTCCCATCAAACAAGCACATTCGAATATGAAGTCAATCAGCTTAAGTTCGGTCCTCGCAACCTCCGCCCTTCTTTTCATAGCTGGGCTCCCTTCTGTCAGTGCCCAACAGGAAACAGAAGTCGGATGCTTCTCCAGTTCAGAACCCCTGAAGAGTCAAGGCAGTTATACATACCAGAGTAACGGATATTGTCTTGATCTATGTTACAAAGCAGGCTATTCCGTTTTTGGTCTGTATTCTGGGAATGTATGTCTCTGTGGAAACAAGATCCCACAGAAATCCACCAAAGTGGAAGATTCCCAATGCAATGACCCCTGCGCGGCCTGGCCAGTTGTGATGTGTATGCTTCTTTTTCCTGGCGCCTGAAGAAGCCTATTGATCTCATGCTAATAACTTGATAGGCGGTGGTGATAACGCATTTTCTGTCTACCTAACGGGTCTCACCTCTAGCGTTGAATACTACTCTCCATCTAGCTCGACCTCCACGGCCAATGGTACGTCGACAACAACCACCGACTCCGATAATACTAGCAGCCAGTCGTCGTCTACTAGCACAGGATCAGGAGCAGGACAGACAGTGTTTGAGACGGTGTCCAGTCAAACCACTCAAGCCAGTGCACAAGCCGAAGAAAAATCCGGACCTAATACTGCGGCCATTGCTGCTGGAGTTGTTGTTGGCGTTGTCGGACTCTGCGCTATGATTGGGGCGGGTTTCTTCCTCTGGCGCTTCAAGACTCGCCATCCCGCCGATCAGCGATTCCGCGATGTCAACAATGCTGAAAGTTTCGGCAAGCCCATGTCTCAGGACTCCATGTCCGATTCGAGGTTTGACGGCGACTTTATGGCACAGAGACGCCAGAGCAATGGCAGTATCGACGACGACCGGGATTTTTCACGTCGCATCTTGCAGGTCAGTTCCAACCCGGGGTTTGTGTTGCTTGTCCAGTACTAATTTCTACACAGGTGACGAACCCTGATCGACGCTAAATACGGTTTACCTCCGTGGGATATACCCGAGTTTTGAATTCAATGTATATACATCCTGCCCTGTGCGTCCAAATCATGCCCTTGGTTTCGATTCGCGATCTTGTGCTCGACACCTCCCACCTTCGCTAGTCAAATATCGATTTCCTTTTTTATGACTCTTGTTCAACGCGGCCGCCCAGCCGCTCTACCCTAAAAAAACGATCTGAACAAGACTTGCATTTTATTCCTGGCTTTGCCATCCGCGGTTGTAACGTTTCAGAATCCATGCAACCTTTTCCTCGCTCGAATGCCCTCGACAATGCGGCCCCGCAATTGGGGAAAGTATCACGGCCCCGTATATACCATGAAAGCACATATGAGCGCGATGTTGTCGTCCTACTCTCCCCAGAGACTATCCATGTCGTTCTGGAGTACTGTATTGACGAAAACTCTTATCGGGTTGGATCCCGCGAAATGACCATCAAAGATATTTTATTTGAAAAGGCGTTTGGATGTGGGTTGACTTTTAATTCCAATTCTTTCTTACCTAGTGCTTCTGGACAGCATGCGTGTATATGTTTTGTGCCTGGTATGTTCTTGAGCTGGTAACTACAATTACTTTTTCCCTTGCTTCTCTGTATGATATTTATTATTCTTTGCCGGTTGAAATCCTAAACTACTTTGCTCTTTTGCTCTTGTATCAATGGTTCTGTCCGTAATCATGAGTAGGCTGGTGGTGACTAGGAATGACCGTGTACTCTGGTAAATTTCTATCGTATAGAATTGCCCTGTCGTTGCATTAGTACTATAATGACTGGGAGATAGTTCACTATATATCTAGAAAGTACCCATATATATATATATATATATCTATCTATCTATCTATCTATGTATACGTGGACGATCCAGATACTACACTACTACGCAACCACAACATCAACAACAACAACAACAACCCAGAGTTGTAGTAGAGCATAAGCAAGCAAATGATACCTAGTTACTTTCACTGGTATATCAATTCATCATAGTTAGTTATCATGTTCTCGGCCGACTTGATCATCATGCTCCTCTGTGGCAGGGCACTGGCACTGGCACTGACTCACCCAGACAGAGATTCTAGATCCATATATATATATATATATATATCTAAGTATGTAAGTATGTAAAGTACTCCGGTATAGACTGTTCTACTTTGCTCACGGCCTTGAGCTGGGCCCTGTTGACTTGACTTGACTTGACTTGACTTTGCAGTGCCGGGGATTGCTTGGGTTTCGGGAGGGTAGCGCGGGAAATACATAGATTGACGGATTCTCTTGGGTGAAAGGCCTGGTACTCAAGACCTGGTGGTGCTCAGAGTACCCTAGCTACTTAACCTGGGTATATCTAGGTAGGTATGTAGGTAGGTAGGTATGTATGTATGTATGTAGGTGGATAGGTTCTGTTTATCGATTGTAAGTGTAGATGGATATTCAATTCAAGATACAGGTACGGATGGCGGACAGAACCCCCTTCGAGCAGGCTAGGCAAGGCCAGTAGTGAGTATATGAGTGAATTGAGTTTGGAATCATGGCCTGGGCAAGCTCAACTCAACTCACTTTCCATGGCTCCTGATCGGGTACCTTGGGAGGTTAGGTAGGAAGGAAGGAAGGAAGGAAGGAAGGTAAAAGACAGATAAAGGGAGGCCGGAGGTACTGGTGCACTACCTACTACTACCTTCTGCCTACTAGTATCTTACCGTTCAGCTAAAAAGGTGCCTAGACAGCTATTTCGTCCTCATGCAGTATTGTTGTTTGTTGCTCGACAGTATCTACGTTCACTCGTTGCGAAATGACGCATGAGCAGACTGGCTGCTGGCCTGGGAATAAGCCATGTTTCGCAGTAGGCGTGGTTGCTGGCTTCATGGAGCTTAGGTGGGCGTAGTTCTATGGATGTTTGGTTTTTGTATGGAGGTTTGTGTTGGAAGAAGCGAAGACCGTTGGGAGAGAGACAGAGTAAATTTCTAGGTTGGTCCCGAGGAGGTCTATGGGACGCTACCCGTATGTTGGGCGTGGGATCTGCGTAGTTGGATAACATGAGACTCACCAGCGGAAGCGAGGAGTGAGATGGCAAACCATAAGACGAAAGCTGCAGATCGCAATGCAACCATGATGTGTAACTAGAGGTTGGCTCGGATTGTTGGTTGTGTTGGTAAATCTCTAGATGCCATTGGGTGGATACATGCTGGATAAGTCTACAACAAGCCGGACTTTCTGTGCCATACCTCAATATCAAGAGATAGCGGCTAGAATGAGCCTAAAGGAAAATCGAGCACTGAGTCGGGGGTTTCTGATCTCCGATTGCCAGTTTTAACGTTGATCAAGAAGGGTAAGTATATGATGTTGATAAGGCACTATGCGTACTTAGTAAGGATTCCATGTGCAGGCTGATGAAAACAAGGAGTAAGACTAAGATCCGCGGTAGCAGTTTCTCCAATCGCTGCAGTCGATTCCGTACCGTGGTGTTGCTTCGGTTGCGTGTCAGGTCTATTCATGCATCTGAACGGAGTCTGAGGCCGTTGCCTTCATGCAGACGCAGCAGCGGGATTTTGGCTTCGAGCCAATATAGAATCACTGAATTGTCGGCTACTTTACTGCTTTGATATTGGCTACGAGAGACAGTAATCTACCCAGCCGGAGCGCTTACCTGATTGATCCCAAACAGCAGGCACCTTGCATGGACTCGACATCGATGTGCTCCACGACTCGACCGGGGCAAGAATCCTTTAATGCATCTGGCGGCGGTTGCTTCCGTAACGCGAAGAATCGGCCCCAGAGATTTGGTTTTCTCCCTTGAGCAATCTGTACTCCGTATTCCGTGTTGTTTCGTCTTCTTTGGTAACGTCGATCTGTTATTCCTCATGAGGATGAGCGGAGTTATACTCCGTAGTGTATATCAATATACTCCGGGTAGTGTCCTGAGACCCTTACAGGAACTCCGCCACGCCACCAGCCGTGAAGAAGCCCAACCTTTTGTCATTCTGCACGTCAAAATTCGTTTGAAGCTGCCTATCCAATTCGTTTTTACGACGGATGCTAGCCGGACCCTGACTCCTGGATGGTGGGTGACATGGGTGCTGATCTAGAAACCGACATCTGCGCATTCTCCGGCTGCTCCAGAGGGATAGCTTGTACGGAGTACACGGAGATTTACGTACTTTACCCAACATGGAGATGAGCTCGGAAGACAAAAAGGGGGGGATTTTGCCTAGCCAACGAAGTTGCCGAAGTTTAGGCGAAACTTCGAGCTAGTATAATTGCCGACAGTTGTGTGAATTTCGCATGTTCTTTCCTCGTGGAAGTGAGCCCACGAACTATATCCGTTTCGTCATCAGGAAGAACAATTAAAGCTACGGTGTCTATAGCCGGTTGAATCTCAAGAAGGGGGGTAAAGGTGAAAAAAAAAACACACACTATTGACCCCACTGGCATGGGTTGATATTCGATAGATTGATGTAGGTGAGATTGGATCTAACGGTTTTGATTGGGAGTGGGTATATCTGTGGTTCCGTACTCAAAACAGACTGGTCTGGAGTGCCAGACGGGAAGGTACAGCGACGACAATTCGATTGTTGGATTCATTCTGAAGAGTAATGGTTAGGTAAGAATGATGAGTGAAGAAGTTCAAAACCCGCACCGGAACCGAGATTATCTTCGATTTCCAGCAGCAGCCCCCTTTTTTTTTTTGATGCTTCATTTCGTCTAAATCGTCGGGCACACACCCCTGTCATCTCCAAGTGGGAGACTGGGATAGTTAGTGGGCACACTGTCCTGAGAACTGGGCTCATGGAGAGTACCCGGCAGGTGAGCGTGGCCTGGGCCAACTCTATTGACCCGCTTAGACAATCAAGTAGGGCCACTTGGCGAGGGAGAGATTTAGTGTCACTATGCTAGGGCTGTCGGGCTTTGGTACCTCGCACTATCCAGCTAGTGGAAACCGCTAGTACGGGACGAGAATTTCCCAGCCTACTGTGTACTGTGTAGGTCATTAACACGAGGCGGACTGGCCTGTTTTGGATAAGCAGCACCATCATCAGATAAGCCGGCGCTTTCGAGGTTGCGCTAGCCTCCGACTAATCACCAAAATCCACATCCAAATCCCTCGATCAGTGGTTGCTAAACAGAGCAAATCGGAATCGAGAGCCCTGACTATCTGGCGCAACTTATGGAGGTTAGCCAAACGAACGATACCTTCCGCTGCAGATTGACATTCCCCACTGCTGGGGGGGGGGGGGGGGACGCATCATTTGATGAACTCTGTAGAATGATACTCCGTAGAACCATGATGATTCGTGTGACCGGGAAGCGAAGGATGGTTACCCTCAAGAGGTTTCCGCTCATCGGTGGAGGTCAAATTCAGGAGACGGAACTAGACTCCATCATGAAATTCTTCTCTTGGTTAGCGGTTACGACCTAGGAGCGGATGTTTTGAATGATGAGTATCCAGAGGGCTGAAATGTCCATTTTGGCCACCAATCAGGAGTAGATCTGAGGGGAGAATTCCGGACGCCAGACCCGGACTGGTGTCGGATTATTGAAATCGTTGCCCCTTGTTCCTGTCATCTTGCGATCGGTTGGAGATGGCAATATTAATATGGATGGTTAGGTGAGAGTTGCGCCGGAGTTTTATGAATTGGAAGTGGGAGGTTGAAAAACCAGGTAGGGGGGAGAACGAGTAAAGTCACTCAAAACCCCTCGTGGGCCTTAGCTTACATAAGCCGTTCAGCCCCACCGCCAACGCGGGAAGCCTCAGGCAAGGCAGACTCGCCAATGTGGTACCGAAGAAGCTTAAGAACCCCTACCTGCAAGGCGCAGTGCGATCTTCGTGAGGAACCCAAGTGTGCGTTTCAGATTTTCTGAATGTGGTGAGATGGGACGACACGGCAGGATGAGCTATTATTATCAACGTGTTGTGACCATGATTCAGGCCCGCCATGCCATGCCATCCTCCACCTGGGAAGGGATCTTGACCATCAGAAGTCCTGTCGGAATGGATACTAGTAGTAGATAATTTCGATCCTTCCGCCCGCCGATCGACTGAGTCAATGTTGATGGATTTGATTACGTCTATGAATATGAGTAGCTGCCCGGATGGAGTCTCGATCGTGCAGGAATGACTAGCCGAGGTTCAATTTCGAGACCCCAAGAACCTCACTTTGTCCATATAAATCAAGTTGGTCACCTAGGGAATTGGAGACTTGGAGTACTACTATGTAGCTCCAGCGAAAGCACCTAGGCAGAGAGATATAGATACAGAGTAATGGGTGGAAATCCTCAAGATTTGGAATGAGTTACGGCGGGAACCATGGATCGGGATCGGGCCGGGGCTATTCTACCTACTCTTAAGTTCTTAACTCAAGTGTGGTTCTGTTGGTGGATCCAGAATTAGGAATCGAAATCCCCTCCATACCGAAGGGTCCGAATCGACGCGACGAGGTGGGTTGCACAAAGAATGCCTGCCTCGCCACGAGACAGACGGAGATGGTTACAGCGGAGACGACTCATGTTGTTTGAATGTTTCAGACAAAAACGAGCCAGGAATCAAGTCTGGACTAGTCGAAGATAAGAATAACTTGCTGCAGTCATACATTATTTTCTCCAGGACGAAGACATAATGGGCAAGTGTGCACGAAGACTACCTAGGTAAGTCTGACCATTTTTTGTAAACGACCAATGGTGGCCAGAGTTGAGTGTCGGGTATGCATTATGCCAGGGAAAAAAAAAGAAAAAAAAAAAAAACCTGTTAGTTAGTTAGTTGCTGGGATGTTAAGTTAGATCTTCGCACTCCTTTCCTTATCCAAACATAAAAAAAAAAAAACTGTAAAGAGTTCAGAGCTCCTGGGTTGTGAAGGAGAAGGTCATAGGCCTACACATGATCACTCTGCATCATCATGGTGTGTAGGACTTTCTCAGCTGCTGCGAAGATGGATGGCGAGGAATGATTGTTATTTGGCATCACTATTATCAGCTTCAAGCCTCGTCCGATGTATGGAGGAGATGGATGCATGCAACCAGGCCGGGTAGATGCAGTCGGTCCCTCTTTGGTCTACACTCTGCTGTACTGAGGTCCAAGCTGATCTCTAATGTACATTCTAAACCCAAAGTCATCCGATGAATAATACTTCGAATACCCTCCCAAAAAAAGTAGGACAGAAGCAGTGTGCCTTGTTGGACGTCATGGAATGTTTTGGTGCGTTTCCGGTCTTCCATTCTATCTGTGTACCTAGGTACTGCGACTCTGAGGTCCAGAGTGTGTACTCCGTATTGTTCCATCGGCCACCAAGCAGGATCCCTGCCCTGGTCTAGTCTTCTCCACGTGATGGATACGGAGCCAATGCAAGCTGGGACGATTTCCATCAGTGGCGTCTTGACCATGCATGCCCCAACTGGGCCCGACTCGACCAATGTGCATAGTGACAGTCTATCCTGAGCAAGGACAAGTGTTGACCGGGTTCCCCATTCTCCCGGGCGGCCTAATCACGCATAATGGATCGTTGCAGGGTCGATAAGAGATATTAACGCTGTTTGGTGATTTTTCCTGTTTCTCCGAGCTATGCCGGGGGAATTCGGCACAAGCGGGTTAAAGCGAATCCAAGCGGCTGCACCGAACTTTATTATCCCCGACGACCTTTAGTCGCCAGCCTTGCCTTCTGAGGGAACCTTGAGTAAGGTCATTAATAATTTCTTCGATTAACTAGTTTAAGTTGTTGGATTTCATTGTAAACATTGGAGTGACGCTGCTTATGATGAGGTAATCGCGGCTGTGGTGTATTCCAATCCGGCCAGCAAGGGGTGGTTTACTTCTGGTATCCATACCCACCTTATAGTCAACATTCGGCGATCCGGGTCCCAGTAGAGATCTAATTAAAGTCTTATTTCGTTTAGCATTTCCTCCTTCGCCTCAAGGATTCGGGTTGAGCTGATACCCATAGTAACTACTGCACGCTGCACTCCGTCGTTCCCCGTCGGACGAAGGCCGAATCTTCGAAGCATGACATCGCTAAAGACGGGACAGGAAAAGATCGTCATGGAGTAATCTAGCCTCCGGAAAATATTCCCCAGAAAGGGGTTGAGTTGAGTTCTGGATCTTGTAAACTGATGAACTGTATGGAGTGGGGGGGGGGGGAAGTCCCAGGACATCGCTGACAAAGGATCGAAGTTTGTTTCTTTCTATCCGGTAACTAAAACAAGAAATGAACTCGGGAGTACGTCAGAAAAAGAAAAGAGAAAAGAAGAAAACAAAATCGAAGCCAGAGAACCTTCTGTTGACCAAAATAGGAACTCAAATCGAAGAAGGATGGAAAAGGAAGAAAGTGTGATAGGAATGATGACAATGATGACAATGGTGATGATGTTACGCCGTACTGCATTTGTTCCAGAGAGATAAATCCAGCTCACTGGACAAGAGAAAGTAGGGTCATCCTTGGCAACTCGTGGTGACGGAAGACTTGCCTATTGCCCGGGCGCCTGTTTTTTTTTTTTTCTTTTTCTTCTTCTTCTTCCTTTTTTCCCTGTTCTGTTCAATTATACTCAATAAGAGAATGGAAGGAGTAAAAGAAGGAGGGAAAAATAAATAAATACGTAAACATCGGATCCAGAAGTAAATTTGTCAATCCAACCCATAAATCTCTGTAATTTTGACCCAACCTGAATCAGCTCAATACCAAACTTGCTGGAAATGGAATTTTGGTTGTAATTATTGACGGAGCTTTCCGCTCGAGTTAGTGTAAGCATGTAAGCATGCTCTCGAATCTTGTCGTCTCGTACTTTTTTATTTATTTTTTCCCTTTCGTTCTTTCTTCCTCTCTATAGATATTGGATGAGGGTGGTGGTCTTGGGAAGGATGTAAGGTGCTTATTTCCTTCCTGCGCTGTATATGGAGTAGTATGGACTATGTAGGTATACACAGAAGCAGGTACCAAAACGGAGGACTGGAAAATGAAATCCTCAGGTCGGATCGGACGGCAGAGCGCCAACCCTGCCAACAACTTGAATATCCTCAAGTTTGATTAGGATGGATAGGGAAGACTGTACTAGGCTACTTCGACGACTACTACTTTAGTTTATTGCATGGTGTACTCGGTAACTACTTTGGATCAAATGGTAAGAAGAACAAGAAAACAAGAAGAATCCTCCTAACAATCTTACCGTACTGAGACTGGGGAAAACCTACTTAGTTCTTTGTGAGCATTGGATTGTCACTAAAGTACAGCAGTTATAAAGTGTAAAAAATAACCCCGATCATATCTAATCATGCCTTTTCCCGAATCATATTCCTCTAAGCCTCTCACAATGCCTAGGTAAAGTTATTATTAGGATATTTTGAATGGCCATGAAGATGGCAGTGTATTTTCCGTGCAGGACGAGGTACAGACAAAAGTTCCTGCACGCCTTAACGTTTGTTGTCAAATCCAAATTTCGCAAATTAACCCACAGGATGGTTCCACCGGGCCAATTTTAGTGTTGAATTTTGATAGCCTGGAAAGTGGAGAGAAGCACTTTTCTCAACCAGTCCACAACCCAGCTGGCCTCTTTTAGCACGCCCGGAGGAAATAAGAACTGAAATGCTCAGAAACCAATCAACGCGTCTGAAGAACCAACAGATTGGGACGATTCCCCTTAGCACCTGGCATTTTCCACGCAGGTTAGAATTCCAAGTTTCTCATCGGTAATGACCACGCGCGTGGTTATGCAACGTGCCACCTCGTATTGCTCCGAAGAACCTCGGATCAGGGATGGTTTATTACTGCAGCTACGGAGTAGAGAACCAACAAAACCGTTGAAGCATAAAATTTTACTTGGTCGAGACCCCTGCTATGACTGAGGTAGTGTGTGGTCCATCAAACCCGAACCGGCAAATAACAAGAGACCAACCACAAGAATTTAAAAATAATTCTCCATACAGGGCCTGTTATTTTCCCTTCCCCATCTTTGATTGCGCCTCAGCCGCACCGGCCGAGAGAGAGAGAGAGATTGGCTGGAAGTTCTGATGTTGGTTTCCGTTGCTTGTTCTTCATGCTCTCTCCCCCTCTCCCTGATCTGGTTTTGGAATGCAGACATGAAGAATCCCAAGAAACTAATGTATAATGGGATTGTTATAACTTATTTTTATAAATTTAGGTCCATAGCAGTGGCTTTTGAAGTTTTGGACATAGCCTTGCCCTAGATGATCACCCTGCAGATTGATCATCGAACTGCCTGTCCTCTGTTGCTGCTGCTTAACCTTCTCTGGTAATGATATTATTGTAAGATAATTTGGAAGGGAGGGGGGTGATTTTAGATTATTCATCTATATTTTCTTTTGAACTCCCTGATCAGACTGGTTTTTTTTTTTTTTTTTTTTTTTTTCTCCCAAGGGATCTTCGCAGGACCTCATATTATCCACTCTGGGGTTCGTCGTAAATTGGAAGAAGAATAATATAAATAATCATACTAACTAAGACTAATAATAATAATATAATCATAATACGAATAATATAATAATAATAAGAAGAATAATAATAAGAATAATAATAATAATCTTCTGTTTTCTGCTTCTTCTCGTACGGAGTATATCAAAAATAATAATAAAATAATATGCAATTATAATAATGATTCTTCCTCTTCCCCCTCCTTCGTAACTGAGACTCATCATCTTCTTCTTCTGCTTCTGCTTCTGCTTCTGCTTCTTCTCCGTCCAGTACTGCCACCATTCCAGCCGTTTCACATCATCTTGTTTCTTGTTTCTTATTTTCCTTTTTTTTCCCTTCTCTTCCCTATCAAGTCTGACCTCAAGCTGTTTCTCCATCTTCACTAGTTCTGCTTCACACAGCCCACTTTAGTGACCCTGACACTCTCTTCATCTCATCCCAACCCGTCTCCACATACCGGCTGCAGCTCGACTACAGCCTTCTTGTGCCGTTCCTGACAAGCACGAGGTTAGCAACTGTCGATATATGGGACTCGAAACTATATCTTTGACCCAATTGCCAATCCTTTGAATCCTTCTTGATCACTCCACTCCAACCCAAATTTTCTACTGCTTCCAACCCACCTCTCTCTTCTTATATTCCTTCGTCTAAGCGTTAGACTTTCGTTATCTCCCTGCTGGGACGGCCTCTTGATACTATCACCATCGTCATCATGGGTCGCACGACTGCTGCTTCGGAAATCCCTCTCCCCATTACCTATACTCCTACTACCCACCGCATTAGCAAGGCGAAGAAAGGAAAGCGTGTTCATGCTTGCGAATACCCCGGATGTAACAAGGTTGGTTCATCCTGATTGTTTTATCATCTGTGTCTGGCCTTTCACTGACCCTGCTCAAGGTCTTCACCCGAGCTGAACATCGAAGGTACCTCTATTGACCCTCTGCTAGTCCTCTCTCGCTTTGCGCATCCTAATTTTGTATGTAGGCGTCATGAATTAAACCACAACCCTGAGGCTCTTTTCCGCTGCACTCAGTCTGGGTGCAAGAAAGCCTTCCATCGTCCAGACCTCCTTGCGCGACACATGGAACGACAGTATGTCCCACCGGAACCCCCCCCCCTTCCCTCCCCGCGCCAGTTACGATTGGGTCCGCTAACCCATGTTTGCAGTGAACTTGAGGCTCAGATGGACAACACCACCCAGTGGGAGCGCCATACTCCTACTAGCATCCCATCAGAGCAATACATTTCTAGATGCACCATCGTAGACCCAAACCAACACCATTATCTAGCCATGACTCAGCCCACGACCTCGATCTCGCTGGGCCCGCTCAAGGCCTCTGTTATTCACTCCGACCTTAGTAGCGACGGCTTGCTATGGAACGGAATGGAAATGCCTTCGGAGCACCAGACCCGGATTTATCCCAGCCCTCACATCCACGAATCTGTGGAGGATTCGCGCTTCTACTCCACCCCAGAGGCTTGCTCCTCTCCCTCCTCCGATGGCACAGCACTCTCCGTACCTTCGTACCCCCGATCTTCCGTTTCCTCAACTCCAGCGGGAGTCCTTGATTCATACCCTGACCCGATTGTGGACTCGGAATTAACATCTTCGCCTGTCCCAATGCATTCAACGCTTCGCGGCTGGGACCAACCCGAGCACATGTCCTCCAGCATCTCATCAAACATGGTGCCCATGCCAATTCCCGATAGCCTCATCCATCCGGTAAGGAATCTCTAAGCATACCATCCAAAACAGTGCTAACTAGCATATTAGGCACTTCAGTATCACACACCCTCATGGTCCATTCCCCACCACATGGGCTATGATGACAGTTTCCTACCGCCTGTTACTTACCCAACCCCCATGGCTTCCAAATCGTGGTCTCTATGAACTAGTCAGCAAATATGACCCAATCAATCGCGCCCTAACCTACAAACGCCGATTAAATGAATGCAACAAAATTCTGGGACAAAGCTCGATTTCACCTGCGCCAAACCTGCACTGAACCGACAGTAACAAATCCAATAAAGAAATTATAAAAAGCAAGCAAAAAGAATAAAAGAAAAAAAGAAAAGAAAAGAAAAAAAAAAAAAACAAAAAAAAACCCCACGAAGATCATGCTTACGACCTCTATATCATTTCACCAATCCTGGTTCGAAACCGCCGAGTGGGAGAAAGTTACACCAACACTGGAATTAGGCTGTCTCACCACAGCTGAAAGGAAAACCGCAATTAATATCGAGATGACTCGATCACGAACACGCTTAAAAAAGACACCGAGTTCAAGTCAAGTTTTTATCGGGAAGGGAACGGGTTTGTACTTTTGATTTCCTATGTGTCTCATTTCCTTTGTCTGCGACCATAGAAAAGCGATGTATGTTTGACGATGTTTGGATACCTATGGATACGGATACGGGGTTCTGATTATAGATTTCTGGAGGGTTCAGGCGTTCTATTTGCATCTGGCTGGCTAAATGAGCAGGAAATGTCCTTTTCCCATTTTCCCCCATCCTCTTTCCTACTTTGCATTTTTTGGGTTGTGTTTTTCATTTCCTTTGTACGGAGTACCGAACTCGCTTCCTATATTCCCCTCTCTGGTTTACGAATATATATATACCCTCTTCGTTTCGTCTGGTCAAGTTACGCTGCTGCATACCATCCATCGCATTGGATTGTCACGAGTTACTGTTATTTATTTATGCTATTCTATTTCCTATAGAAATCCATCATTGCATCCGCTTGATCTAGAGTTCAGAATATACCACTGTACTGTGCTTGAAATATACCTACCTAACTCGATACCTGAATAAAGTAATTATTACCTCCCCTCCCTCTAAGCACAACCACCGACCTACAGTCGATACCATCCAACTTGACCTGCCAGTTAAACGCAGCTTAGATACCTAGTACCTAGACAACCTGGCTGAGTCCGAATGCGACTCTGACTCCGTGTGACATGGAATAATAGATCATGACCTACCCTAGGGTATCTAGGGAGTACTCCGCAATGCACACATGCATATCCGACCCTGGTCTCCCTCGTGGATAGGCTCGCACAGGACAGGACAGGACAGGACAGGATAGGATAATCCCCGTAAATAACTATCCAGTCCAGGCACCTACTTTTACCTACCTACTTGTAGCTAGTTTAGTTTAGCACTCACTAGACTAACTAGTTAACAGCCAGCAAGCTTACTCTGACAAGACTTGAGTGCAACTCCAACTCAACCCGAAACCTGCATGTAATATCCTCTGGAGGTAGTTACATAGTTAGTTACCTAACCTAGGGACAGAGTTAAGCATGTCAGCATGTCAGCATGTCAGATCAGATCAGATATGTATATACCTAGCCAGGGAGCCAGTCAGGTGGTTAGTTGGTACACACTTGTGTGTGTACCTAGGTATCATCAGCATGGTACTTGTTGGTACTTGCTGGCAGCTGAAACCCGGGCTCAAAGTATAATAATCTAAGCTGAAAGCCCACACTGCCTTTTTATCGAAAAGTTACTCCCTCCGTACGCATGAGATGATTTGAATTACGGGGGCTGCTGTTCTAAATCTTAGGGTTGGAGCTAAGAGGGTTCAGCTTGGGTTTTCGGAGAACTTGAGTACTCTTGTTAAGAATTGTACAAGTAACTGCTGGGGGGGGGGGGGGGGGGGGGATGGTAATGAGTCAAGAGTCATACTGTTAGAGCCTCAGCTCCGCTCAGTCAAGACTAGACTTGGGTAGGCATCCATCCCTATGCATGATATGATGATGTACAAGACTTTCGCTTCGCTTACCAAAGTATACTACAGAGTAAATCTGCACTGGTGGATATATACTGTTAGATCTGGGGTTTGGATTTATTGTCTGACTGCTACTACTAAGAAGTACAGTATGTTATAGATGGCTCGTAATACTCCTGGACGCAGACCAAGCGCCCAACACTAATAGCTTTTTTCGCCTTGGGCCGGGATAACTCTCCAGCACCAGTCGCACCAGCTTCGATCGAGCCCCTCTTCTTCACGCGTGAGATACTCTCCTGTTTCCCGCTCGTCCTCGTGCTCCACTACGCATGCACCGACCACCACTCGTTTCTTGGCCTTCTGCTTCACAACCCCTCCGATGCCAATGATCTCTTGCCGCAAATAACCGGGCTGTTCCTCATCACGGTGCTCCCATTTTTCATGTGTGTGGTTGTGATGATGTCCAAGATGATATCCGTTATCGGAGGAGGTGCTAGACAGAGAGTCGGCGTCGCACTCGACTTCTAGCTCAATTTCTTGGGCCGCAAGACAGTTCTCTTCTCTGCCGCATTTGACGCCTTGACAGCCTTCGCCAATGCCTGTCCCTAAGCCCCCTAAATATGTGCTGTAGCGTGTCCGCCATGTCCATACCCGACGGTACGTGGTATCATTCCTACGTAATCTGTGTCCACATTGATGGCACAGCCAAATGGATTCTTCACATGTACACGTATCTTGGAAACACACGGGAGAAGCATGGCTTGGGAAATCTGATATCAAATGAGATGGGGAGGAGGCGAGCTTGTTCAATGGCGCGGTGCGGCAGGGCGTACATAGTCGACGAATGCGGTTCTTTAGTGTCGCGTTATTCGGGGGTTTGGCGGTACAATTCTAAACAATATTTAATAAGGTGAAAGCAAACGGCATATAGGAGAGCATTACCCGACACACGATTTTCGAACACCCACGGCACTCTGCAACCATATCCCTTGCACATTTAGAGACTTTGCCGCTTGTAAGTTGGCCAGAACTCAGTGCGTCTCTTCTCAGCAACCGGATTACGGACTTAACACTGTCCGGGATAGCAGCACCGCTGCTCAACATATCTGAGAGCGTCTCGATATATTCATTTTCGCAGCGAAGCGTCTGTTTGACAAGCTGTTGCCGGTAGGGGGCCAGGTTCGCATGGAACTGACGACACGTCCCGGAGAGCGCGTGCAGAGTATTAAGATCAATTGATCGGGCAATCTCCTTCGCGATCCTGGATTTGTGAGTTAGCAACAGAAAGCCGAACCAGACACATACGTGCTTGGTTCAGAAGCGATTCATACGGATAACAGCTTAAAGCGGCCGAGAAAGAATTCCGATTTGGCACTGGCTGCCTATTTTCTTTCTGTAGATCTGTATCATCCGAAGGCGGATTGGCAAGATGGTCGCTGGGCGGTATATCCAGATTCATGAGCTTTGAAACACCAGGTTTCCCGGGTTCTACATAGAGATGTGAAAAACCGCTGGGACCCTTTGAAAAGCTATGCCCGTTGGGGATATCGTGGTCGTAGTCAATAAACACCACCATTTTGACTTAATTGAAGTAGATACGACCAAGGCAGCAAGGTTAGTTAAAGACAAGGGGAAGCAGGAAGCATTGGATAGTCGCCGAATCAAGAGATAGAGGTTCCGTCAAGAGGCTCTTCCATGGCTTTAAAGCACAGAGGCTATATACTGTATGGTTCCCCCCCGTCTTCGTGGGATGATGTGGTTGAGTAACTTCCAGCTCCGTCTTCGGCGCGGGGCTAAGGAGCTCTTCGGTGGTTCGTTTCGGCGATCTTGAAGCCGATGAGGCCTCCGATCCTACCGTTTTGAGACGAAACAAAATGGAATCCTTGCAGATTCCGATGAAAGACGGTCTGGGCCAGGAAGAAAAAGACGTGAGATCTCCTGGTGATCTTATCTCGGGTTTTGCACCAGCCACGCGTGATTCTTCACGTGCTGGGGGCGCTTGCCGAATCAGGAAGGTCAGTAGCCCCGCCGTTGAAACACGTGATACACCTGGGAATGAGGGAGCAAGTTGAAATTATCGCTGGGGTAATTACGTGCTTGCGACTTGGAGAGAATTCAGTATTGTTTCAAAATAGGGAAATTGGATAGGGTGTTCCTTTTTTGAAGTATTCCATGGCGCACGGAACGTTGGCGGCGGAATTGTACGAAACCTGACTTGAGCGTGGGGAATTGGAGTAAGTACAGACACTTGGGCCAGTCATTTACATATAAGAGCGATCATCCTCGCTTCTGACTGTCTTTCTCGTGTTTTGACGTTCATTGTTCACTACAGGAGAATTTATACGTTGATCATTCCACCAAATCAAGCCAGAATGCCCCTCAACTCTAGAGCTGTCTACTCCAGGCAAACCCCCGATTTTGTTCCATTTGCGAGTCGCAGGAGTACAGTGCACAGCACAAATGGAATAGTCTCTTGCACTCAGCCGCTAGCAGCAGCAGCAGGCCAAAGGATTTTGAAGGAAGGGGGAAATGCTGCTGTATGTTTATAGCTTCCTGTATGGTTTGCCTTGCAGCTAACAACTTCGAGGATGCGGCTGTCGCTGTTGGTAAGGGGTAATCTTTTGATGTTAATCATACGGACTCTGTCTGACATGCATGTGTGGATTTAAGCTGCGGCGCTTAATGTCACAGAACCCTCTTCAACAGGAATCGGAGGAGACATGTTTTGTCTCTTTTATGATGCTCAGACGAAAAAGATCCACTCTCTCAATGGGTCGGGTCGCTATCCCGCAAAAGCAAACCTGGAGAAGATTCGTGCGGATTTGAATGTTGGAGCAAACGATGCCGGAGGCATTCCCATGCACAGCGTCCTCGCCGTAACTACTCCTGGAGCTGCTGCGGGGTGGGTTGATACAGTCGAGAAATTCGGTAGCGGCAAGCTTTCCTTGGAGCAGATCCTTCTTCCGGCGATCGAACTTGCAGAAGAAGGCTTCCCTGTGTCTGAACTCGCATCTTTCTTTGTAGGTATAGCCGTCTGGCGTGAAGGAAAACAAATACATTCGGTTGGATTGATTGCTAATCCCTACAGTGGCAAGAAAGCGAGCCCCTGCTCTGGAAGGCATCACCCAATGCAAATGAGATGCTCAAACCAGACCCCAAAGCTAAAAATGGGTTCAGGAGTCCTCTTCCTGGAGAAATTATGAAGAATCCAACAATGGCACAGACATTCCGAAAGCTTGCCGCAGAAGGCAAAAAGGGGTTTTATGAAGGGCGAGTTGCGGAGGAAATTGTCAAAATTATCCAGGACCTTGGAGGCTATATGACTCTTGAGGATCTGAAATACCATGCAGAGACGGGGACTCAACCAACTGAGGCCATTTCGCTAAAATACACGGGTCAGAATATCGCAGAGAAACAGTCCGCCGGAACACAAGGCGAGCCCAACCAAGGTGTCGAAATTTGGGAACATCCTCCAAACGGACAAGGTATTGTTGCGCTTATTGCTTTGGGAATCCTCCAGGAGCTCGAAAAGACGGGTAAAATTCCTGTTTTCACGGAAGCGCAACACAACTCCACAGAATACCTCCATGCAGTGATCGAGAGTCTCCGGATTGCATTCGCCGATGCATCCTGGTGGGTAACTGACCCAGACGTGGAAAAGGTTCCTACACAGGAACTGCTCGACCCAGTATACCTTGCTGAGAGGGCAAAGTTGTTCGACCCTACCAAAGCGTCCGACATTCTTGACCACGGTAGCCCTGCCCACAACCACTGCGACACAGTTTACTTTGCCGTTACCGATAAAGAGGGTAATGGAATCTCCTTTATCAACAGCAACTACGCTGGATTTGGCTCCGCGATTATCCCCAAGGGCTGTGGGTTCACCCTGCAGAACCGTGGTGCCAACTTTTCCCTCGCTCCTGGTCATCCCAATGTTCTCGCACCCGGCAAACGCCCGTATCACACCATCATTCCGGCCATGATAACCAATGTTTCCGACGGGTCTCTTCACTCCGTGTATGGGGTGATGGGTGGCTTCATGCAACCACAAGGTCATGTGCAGGTGTTGCTCAATATGCTGGCATTCAACTTCCACCCCCAGGCTGCTCTGGATTCGCCGCGTATCTGCATCTCAGCGGAAAACCCTGAGATCGGGAAGGTTGCGGATCGCACCGTCTACGTTGAGGAAGGGATTAGTGAAGAAGCCATCGAGGGACTGCGTATACTCGGCCACCAGGTAAAACTCCTGACTGGATGGAAGAGGGGCATGTTTGGCCGAGGCCAGATCATTCGGTGTCACTACGATGATGGAAAGCTTGTATACAGCGCCGGAAGCGATCCACGGGGCGATGGGATGGCAATTCCCGTTGTTTAATATATATACATCGACTGATGAACTACAGTACAGTCCATACTATACCTCACTGACATGCGCTCAAGAGAAATGAATATGAAGTATATGATGATATCCATAACTGTCTAACATAATTCACAATATAGAAGAAGAAGAAGAAGAAGAAGAACAATATATTTGCAAATTCTCTCCCACCCCCTTCATCGCCCGCCTCATCGTCATCATCATCATCATCATCATCAATGCAGACAAAGCCCCACCGTGCAGCATATTCCAAAACCCAGCCATATCCCCCCCTAGCTGCATAAAGACCACGCCCCTCGGAATAAAAAGCGGTCAGAAAGGCGTCGCGTTTATGCAACAGAATATACTGTACGTATGTAGGGTATGCTCCGGTACGTTCCGACCTGGCCGGCGGCCCAGAGAGCTGACTTGTACCATCCCACGGGAATTTTTGGATCGATTCGTCTTGTAGGAACTATGTATCTGTCTGGCTAAGGTCTCCAGGTTTTCACAATTTGAACGCAGTTTCTGGGGTTCGACAGTGATGTTCTCGCATGATAAGACTGGTGGAGCTTTCGAGTGAACACCAATGCAGGAGCAATTACTCCCTGAACTTTCGCAGTTGGTATGGATTTCAACTCAAGATGGCCACTCGATCCAGCGCATACATACCCCGTTGCTTTACCCACATTTATTGCTTAGGGATATGATGGGTATATTTACCAGGCCTCGAAACTGTGATAGGAGAAGAAGCTGTAATAACGGACTCCAGTCTGCTACTTCAAAATCTAGACGCTCCTGGGGACTCAATTATAAGGGCTCGACAAACCAGGTCAACCCAAGGTACGGAAGCCACCGGAATCACTAGAACGGAGTGCACGCGAAAGATAAGCATTTTAGGGGTATGCCTTGTTAATGTTAAGCTTAAATCGGGGGGCAGTGGGTCGGATCCCTTACTGTCGAGTTTTGCTTTCTCCGTGGGGGAATTCGGCGATGTTTACGGAGGATTAGGGTATTGTAGCTGTATTGCCACAACGGGGATGAACGCAAGAACGTAAAGTCGAATACCCTCGGTCCTAAACCCTATCAGAAGCAAATATCAAGGGGAGACAATGATGTAAACCCACACGGATATTTTTCCCGGCTTCGAAGAGGAACGGTTGGTTGGTTGACTTGGGAATGGATAGCGCAGTCCACCTCCATCAATTTTAACTAGCAGTTCGGATGAAACGGCACGCCTCCAGCTCGACTAGACCCTAGTTGGGAGATATATGGTACCTACCTAGGTAGAAACTGGGATTGATTAAAGAATGGAAACTTGGGAAGAGGACGACGACGTATGTAGCTCTTTCGACCCCCGCTTTACAGATCGAAAGCGAGGAAACGACAGCCGTTGATTGTAGCAGAGCTCATGGAGGACGTTCAAGGCAGCAATGCATAGAATATCACCATAAAGCAACCCTTATCGAAAATGAGCCGGAAGCTGCCATGTATGAAGGTGGGAAACGAAAAACAAAGGGAGGTGGAGACGACGTTCAGTCTCGGTAGTCGGTACTGCCTTCCTTAGGGCAAATGATAGAGAACTAGAAAAAAAAATATATATAGAAACTCATCTCTCTTCTTTCTCTTCTTCTTTTCTGCCCTCTTACTGTGCTCTCTTCATGGAACCTGCCTGGCTATAAGGTATGGTTATATTTCCACTCTGTATCCTTACGACTTGCTCCCGCCTCGCCACTACATAGTACTTATTGTTGATTACCCCAGCGGACTAAGGGCGCAGTGCTTTTTTACTTTATCCATTCTGCCAGTCTTTTTTGTCTGCCTGGGTTGCTTTCTGATCATACTGGAGTATCATCATCTGGATGCGATATCACCTGACCGGATTTTCTATACAGAATCTGGGATATTGGCGCAGACCCTGCTTCACCCAACAGGGCACATTCTTACATAGCAAATGACAGCTTTGGATATGGCAGAGAAGGTTGTTGCTGAGAAGAAGGCTCCCGAGAGTTCCAACGTCAATGACAAACCAGAAACTACTGTCACTGATAACGATGACATTGAATCGATTTCCCGGGGCTCAAGCCTGGCTCCAACTGTTGAAGACAAGGACTTGGAAGCTCCCTTGGGGAACTCCTTCTCGTTAGCTGAACAAGACCACCCCGTGGTTGTGCCGAGATCACAGCGAAGGGGCCTCTTTGGTCAACTTACTCTATTAGAAGAAGTTGAAGATCCAAAGTCTTATCCTCGGAATCGAAAATGGTTTATAACTTTCATTGTTTCAGTAGCTGGCTCTACCGCTCCCATGGGAAGTTCCATCTTTTTCCGTAAGTGGTCGATTTATGTCCCCTGATCTTGGATTGCTTCTTACATGCCTCGTATATAGCGGCCCTTTCACAGGTAGCTCAGGATTTAAACACAACCACCACCATCACGAACTTGACAATCTCGCTATACATGCTGAGTATGTCTATATTCCCCTTGTGGTGGTCGTCATTTAGTGAGAGGCTGGGGCGAAGAACGATCTACCTCGTCTCGTTCTGTCTCTTCGTCGTTTTCAATGTCCTTTGTGCCATTTCCCATTCAATAGGCATGCTCACTGTGATGCGGTTGCTGAGTGGCGGTGCATCTGCATCGGTTCAGGCAGTCGGTGCGGGCACCATTGCTGATATTTGGCATCCGCGTGAACGTGGTCGTGCTATGGGGATATTCTATCTAGGCCCACTGTGTGGACCTTTGCTGGCTCCCATTATTGGCGGTGCCCTGGCTCAGCGGTGGAGGTGGAGGAGTACAATGTGGTTTCTTTCGGCCTACGGTGCAGTTGTTGTTATATTTATCCTGTTTGCCCTTCCGGAGACCCTGGCAGTGACAAAAGTTCAAGCCTCAGAGCCGGTCCACGACAAACACGAACCGATTGGGCGCAGGCTGAGTCGAGTCTCTTCCCGACAAGTGATCGGAGCCACCGCACGATGGCTAAAGGTGCTCAAAATGGTTTTCCTTGACCCTTTGAAAATCATTTTATACCTACGGCATATCCCAGTCTTGTTGACAGTATACTATGCGGCCATCACCTTTGGGTCCCTCTACGTATTGAACGTCAGTGTTGAACATACGTTTGGGAGTAATCCATACAACTTCAGCACGCTGGTCGTTGGTTTACTTTATATTCCTAACTCTCTGGGGTATATTGTCTCCAGTCTCTTTGGTGGGCGCTGGATAGATAATATTATGGAACGCGAGGCTAAGAAGGCCAACCGGTACGATGAAAATGGAAAACTGATATATCTTCCCGAAGATCGCATGCGTGAGAATGCCTGGCTGGGTGCTATGCTCTATCCTGCCGCACTGATCTGGTATGGCTGGACAGCTGATCGGGGTGTTTATTGGCTTGCACCGGTATGTTGGTATCCTCGATCCCTACCTCACAGCTTTGCTATGCGTCTGGACTAACATGAGGCATAGATGGTGGCGAATTTCTTCTTTGGCATCGGTTCTATGCTCATTTTCAGCATGGTCACCACTATGTTGACGGAGTTCATGCCCGAAAAATCGTCAGAGGGGGTGGCCCTGAACAATTTCATGCGTAACATCTTTTCCTGTGTGGGCTCTTTTGTCACTGCTCCAATCATCGAAGCTATTGGGAATGGATGGCTGTTCACTATTCTTGGGCTTGTCGCATTCGCCAGCAGCTCGGCGATTTTCGTGATGAAAGTCTATGGTCCCCGCTGGCGGCAATCGATGGATGGTATTAAGCAATAGGGCCAGTTTTCCTTCATCCGTCCAAGCGATTGCGTTTGAGGTAAAAGTCTGGATTTTTGTTTGGGCTGGCGTTCTGTTTTTTTTTTTTTTTTGGATTCCTCTGGAGTCATTGCCAGGCATGTTAAGCGAGCATGATTGAGATACCCAAAACAAGTCCTGTTATTTTTAGACTTATGGAATCAGTCGTTTACCTATCTTTGCTTTCAACACCATTCAGTAATCCGTTGGTACATGTGCTAGCTAATGGAGGCCAGCTCCCTAAGAGGCAAAGAAATCAGTCTCAAGTCCAGGAGAGGAGATTAGTTTTGTAAAGAAGGGAAAAGGTAACTGATATCTGGAAATGCTTTCAATCTCCATTGATTGCATGGCAACTTAGTGAGGGCTTTTCGGGGCTTGATTGGGAAATTTGAGTGGTTTCACTTCCTGACTTTGTATAGGATTCAAAATCCAACCGAAATGGTATTCCATTAACGCATTTTTTATCATCCTTGATGATTTGTAGTACATGAATAAATTGCATTAATCTTGGGAGAATTCAAGAAGCAGTGGATTCCGTAGTACGTTGCTAGGTAGGAGGAATATGGATTTTCGGTACTTAGGGCTAGCTCGTACATATTTCCTAGAACTATGTACATATATGTATCTAGATGCCATGAATCCCCTAGAATAAAGTGACCTCTCCTCTCACCCTAAAAAAATATGACAGGTCAGCCTCGTTCATTATCTAACTATCTAGCTCTAGCGACCCTACTGGCTGGTCTATAGCGATTGATGAGCTCTAGATACACTGAACATATCCAAATATATATATATATATATATATATATAAATCCCTAATAAAGGGGAACATCAAGTTAAACAGTTTTTGCTTCCCTCTTGGGCTGTGTCCTGGCACCCGCTCTGACATAGCTTCGGGTGTCCGACATCTCCGGGATTCTTGCAGTGAAAGAGAATATTCTTCAGGTCGTCGTTTGCGAATTCCGTGCCGTTGAGGACGGCTTTGAGGTCGGCTTCTGTAAATCCTGGGAGATTTTAGTATATATATATATATATATGTATGTATATCTTGTCGAATGGCTACAAGGAGTGAAAATAGAAACCTTACCTTTTTTAACAAGCTCATCTGCGCAGTAGTCGAAGCTAGGCGTGCAGACCTTGGCTGCTAGGCTGGTAGCGGCTATAGACGAGAGTGCAAGAAGGACAGTAGTGAACTTCATGGTGCAGTCCGTGAATAGATGGTAGTTGAGATGTGGTATCAGGAGTTCCGATCAACTCGGAAGATAGGAGGAACCAGTGAACCTTGAAGGGACAGAGTATTAATAGCCCCGAACAGAAACAGCAAAAGAGACGGGCATGGACAGATAGTATCCATCAATACTTATAGGCTGGTTACACATTCTTGTTGTGTTTCGAGGGATATTGACTGGAATGTAGAAATGAGACAAGAACAGAGACACGACACTGTTTGCCAAACTGGGAACATTGGATAGCGTTCAAGGGATTATTTGTTATGATTGAAACTTCATGATCCTATCATTGACACTCTCAATGCCATACCCAGGGAAATTGCTATATTCATGGGACCCATTACTTTGAAAGTGACCAATTCGTTTGATATACTTGCCTGGGGTAATTTCCCCTTCTGCTTTTGAAAGATCGAGACGTCATGATAAGTTCAATTGAATTGCACATACCTGTCCCATATCTTGACTGAACGTTGGGTCTCAATGAAATACTCATGCCTGGAGATGCTTCAGTTGCAGGACAACATTTTACTCGAGTATTCTCGTATTGTCTTCTGTGGCAAGAGACCACGAATCATGTAGCCCTACAAATTGTTTGGTACAAGTACGGCTACCTTAAGTCTTTGTTCTATAGTTACCCTGATAGATTAGTGACGTCGAGGTAAGAAAGATCGGGACCGAGAGATCGATCTGGAGACAAGACACGCAGCTGATGGCTGTTTTTTTTTTTTTTTTTTTTCACCCGCATTGGGTTGAGTGAGTGATGGTTGATGATGTGTTGGTTGCCATTGTGGCCTGACAGAAACATATCGAAGCAATTTCATGACTCAGGCGGGTTCTCCCTCTGCATCGTTTTGCCACGATCAGGTCAAGATGATTGATTCGAGACTCCCAAAGCTGAGGGCGATGATTTCCATTTCGACGTGGAGAACATGAGAATGCCTTTGGCGTTGGGGCTGCTCTTCCCCTTATGTATGCATATAGATGTGGCAGGTCAAATTCCGAAGATCTGATCCTAGTCTATCAAATCAGCAATGGGTTAATCTGGATGTAGATGCAGGAGTTGACCATTTACTGATTGCCAAAACAGCTTCCTGTTGTCCGCCTCACTTTAAGGCAGTGAGTGGGTGCTACTGCACGTTCCCTTGTGTGCAGACTTCCGATTTTTCCTTTTTCTTTCCTTTTTTTTTTGTCCTGGGAAACTGAGGAAGAGAATTCATAATTGATTCTTGTTTTTCATGTATTCATTAAGCAGGCTCAGAGGATTGTTGATGAAAGAAAAAGTGAGGTAGAAAGGTCAGGTGGAGTTCTCGTCCTCCGTTGAATTAATTGTCTCCCCTCCTTCTTTCCTTCTTCCTCTTTTCCACACACCGACTGGGATCGGGATTATTGGTCCTTCTCCATCGAGATTGCATCTCATACAGGTTGCTGCAGTGACCTCCTCATTATTACCATTGAATCAGAACCCGCACCCATGCAGCCAGGGTATGTCGCTCGCCGTAACAGGTGTCGGGCAGAAATCCATGATGGGTGGAGTGTAGCACACCCGACGCTGGGGGATGCAAAAATTATCACTGCCGAGGCTGCATTTTTGCCCTCTTTTCGAATCTCTAATCAAAGCCCAAATTGCGTTGGTTAGGTCAATTACACGCCTGGATCTGGCAGCAATGATGGGATTCCGTTGTTGTTAGGCTATGGGATGCCCCCGCTGCCCTTTTTTCTGCAGCCACCGGATTTTGTGTCGTCTCAGAAATCTGATGACCTAGCAACCCCCCCGCCGCTCCCCCCGAAGATGAAGCACAGAGAAAAAGCTATAGAAAGTATCCCAAAGGAGGGAAAACTAGGTAGCCTGACGAGGTAGTGGCACCACCCACCCCTACCATCACCATCTTCAATATGCCCAATTACTGCCATCTTACTTTCCCTCCTCGACGGTCAATCCTCCCTGGCCGCTGTCACTAACTACTGCAAGCTTTCCATGCAGAGACGCTCATCCTCCGTGTCTCCTGCTTGCACTTGCTCGCAATGTTTTCGGAGGGACCTTCTTCTCCACTTATGGTGGTCCACTAGGGTCATTAGATCCGTGAGACGTGGCCCAATGATAAGAGATGCCGTTGGGTAGTTCGTCCATGACATCCCCATCTCCAAGACCAAAGTTGTATGTCTCGAGAATTGATCCCAAACTACTGGGTGGTCGATGAACTACCATACGTCGCCTCGTCTTGGTCTTCGACAGGGACCAGAATGCGGTTAACGGATAGGCGGGATTTCCGCTGGCTTTTTTTTTTGGTTTTCATTTTTGGTCCTCTAATAATACATAGGCATTTGCTCGAACCTTACCATCTAATATCTACCCTCGTCTCACGTCCCAATCCCAATTTGTTTCATCGCCTCATAATTTTCTTTTTTTCAATTGACTGCTCACCTGCCCCCCAAATTATACGTCTTCGCGGACAATTATACACAAACACATCCAATTTTACACTCATCTGATTTATATTCCTTGTTCAACCCTCGGCCCGTTCAGACCTATTATATTTTTAGATGCCCCGTACCTAGATCATTGCCATGGCCAAAAAGAAGAACGGTAAAAAGAAGAATAATAACAACAATAGCAACAATAGCAACAACAACAACAAGCGTACTCCGGTAAACGACAAGTTATCCAATCCAGAGCTTAATCCTTCTGATCCCGTCCCAGAGGCGGAGTCTGGGGAAAATGGCATCTCCGCTCCAGTACGCACAGCTTCCCAAATATGAGTATCAAACAATTGAAAGTCCATATAATTATCAGGCTTTTGACCGTTTTACTTCTAAATTTTCATATTATCCCATCAATTCTGCATCATCCGATAATCTGACGGCTAAGGATCAGGACAACAACCCCAACCCCGTCGAGACTGAGGAAGCTCAAGCCGCAGCAAGTCCCCCAGGAGATGAATCAAGTAGCTCTCCAAATGATACTTCCACAGGAGAAGAAGGTACGCCATATCCTTTAACTCTACAGCCTCTCTCCCGTTGCCGCCATCCTTCATTCATCGACGTAACATTCCATTTGTATCTCTGCTCACCCTTCTCAAGCTTCCTCGGGAGCAACAACGCCCCCAGATCCGGCAGAGGGACCTAATGACGCTACCCCAGAAACGACAGAGGAAGAAGAAAAGCCTGCTGAGGAGGCTGCTGTAGAACCAGAAGCCGCCCCAGAAGCCGTTCCAGAAGCCGCCGCAGAAGCTGTTCCAGAAACCGTTCCAGAAGCTGCCCCAGAAGCCGCCCCAGAAGCCGCCCCAGAAGCCGTTCCAGAAGCCGCCGCAGAAGCTGTTCCAGAAGCCGCCGCAGAAGCTGTTCCAGAAACCGTTCCAGAAGCTGCCCCAGAAGCCGCCCCAGAAGCCGTTCCAGAAGCCGCCGCAGAAGCTGTTCCAGAAGCCGCCCCAGAAGCCGTTCCAGAAGCCGCCGCAGAAGCTGTTCCAGAAACCGTTCCAGAAGCTGCCCCAGAAGCTGCCCCAGAAGCCGTTCCAGAATCTCCCCAGGAGGAGACTCCGGCTGGGGAGCCAGTTGAACAGCCGGATCCCCCAGTTGCAGAAACCAGCGAGCCAACAGAGACCCTTGCCCCTGAACCTGTGGAGGAAAAAGCGCCTATCACAGATTCATCCGAAGAAGGAAAGCCAGCTCCAGAGCCGTCTGATGAGGAATCAGCCGCAGAGCCCGCAGCTGAACCTGAAGCGGACACAGTCGAGGAAGGGGTGCCTTCTGCAGAGCTACAAGAAGAACCCCCCGCCCCTGGGCAGGAAGCGCCGGAGCAATCAACCGAGGATAAAGTTGAAGCAGCAGTGGACGTCCCATCCACAGAGACGGCGGTGGAACAAGCAACAGAATCTGCAGACTCGCCTGAAGAACCCGTGCCTGCTACAGAATCCAATGACGAAGGAAAGCCTGTCGAAGTTCCTATCGAAGAATCCAAGCCAGCCCCTGAACCAACTGACCAACCTGAGCCAACTGACCAACCTGAGCCAACCGACCACGCTGAGCCAACCGACCACGCTGAGCCAACCGACCACGCTGAGCCAACCGACCACGCTGAGCCAGCCGACCAAGCTGAGCATACGTTGGAGGTGCCGGTCGATACAGAGCCAACAGAAGTGACAGAACCTACGTCAGGGCCAGCTGACGAGGAGGAATCGCCAGTAGAAGACGAGGTGAATGAGCCTATTCTGAAGCTAAGCGAGGAAGCAAACGAGGAGCCGGCACATCCTACAGAACCTACTGAAGACGAGAAGCCTGTTTCTGCTGATACGGCTGAAGAGGTAGAAACCCCCCCTGCGGAAGGAACCGAAGAGATAGCAGTCACTGAGCCTAGTAAGGAGACTGAGAAGGCTGCCGTGGAAACTACTGAAGAGGAGAAGCCTGCTGTGGACTCTGAGGAGGAGGCGAAACCGCTAGAACCAAGCAAAGAACTAGAAACGCCCGCCAGCGAGCCAGAACAGCCCAGTACCGAAGCCGAGGTTGTAGAGGTTGCGGAAGCATCTCCACCAGAACCAAGCCCAGAGCTCAAAGATGACGCGATTTTGGAAGAAGCTGAGCCCTCTAATTCCATGCCAGAGTTAGAGGGGCAAGATGATGCAGCAAATGTGGATGAGCAGCCCTCGGATGAACGCTCCCAACCTGGTCATGGTAAGTTCGGGAGCAATATGAAACTAGTACCTGCCCTAATGTTTCTTAGAAGACGATTTTCCCGAATGTGATCCTTTGGCGGCATCTGATAAAGTCGAGGCCGAGAAAGAAGCTGCAGCACAAGCAGAAGAAGAGGATGCTCAAATAGAAGCCGAGGATGCTTCTAGGCGAGCAGAGGTGTTAATCGAGCTTGATGACGAGGATGACAAGCCGGGTGATGTGGCAGAAGCTCCCAAGGAAATAGAGCAAGAGATAGCTGTTGACACTCAGCCCCCGAGCACGGACGAAACCAGCGAGCCTCTTCTGGAGACACCCACAGAGCCAAAAGAAGAGGACCCGCAAGAACATGCCATTGAAAGTGAAACCACCCCAGAGCCGGGCTCAGTAGAAGCACCAGCTCCGGAAGATGGTGCCTCGGACGATGCTCCATCGGATCTTCCACTCGAAACTCCCGCCCCCGAAGCAGAAGAAAAGGAAGAATCTGTGCCACAGCCTCTAGAAGACACGGTAGCAGGTAGCGTGAAAGCTGAGGAAGAGCCTGCCGCCTCCGCGGCCGAACCAGCCGAAACTTCTTCAGAGGAACCAGCTGAGCCTGCCGGTGGAGCTTTGGTAGTTACCGAAACTCCTTCTGAAGATACTACGACGGGTGGGGCCTCCGCAGACGATGTACATGATGAATTAGAACCCGCACCAGAAGAGGCTTCACAGAGCAACCTAACGCCAGATGAACCCACCGCTGCAGAGACTGCCCCTGGTGGAGCTGACGAACAACCTTCAGCTCCCGTCGACGTATCCGAACCTCAAGAGAGAGACCTTGCCCCAGTGGAAGACCTTGCCGAAGCAACAGAACCACCGCCACCAGAACAACTAGCCGGCGAAAGTCCTGCCGTAGAAGATACTTTTGTGGGGGAAATAGGCGTGGTGGACCCTCCGAGTGAACAAGCTCCCGTCGATGAACGAGAACCAGAACCCAAGATTTCAGCCGCTGCAGAGGCTCCCGAAGAGGCACCAGCCGCACAAGCGCATCCGGATGTACCACTTGTCAAAGAAGCACCGGGCGAAGCACTTCCGGTGGAAGAGGTACCTTCTGAGGAACCCGTTGTGGAAGAGCCCGCTGTGGAAGAGCCCGCTGTGGAAGAACCCGCTGTGGAAGAACCCGCTGTGGAAGAACCCGCTGTGGAAGAACCCGCTGTGGAAGAACCCGCTGTGGAAGAGCCTGCTGTTGAAGAGCCTGCTGTTGAAGAACCTGCTCCCGAGCCAGCAGCGCCCGTCGAGGAGCCAGCAAGGGAAATTGAATGTGTTGAACATTCTGTTCCCCCTGAGCTTATCGCCGAGGAGGCAGTCGTGCCCTCGGATCCCCCAGCGATAGGAGAGCCTCCTAACGAGCCCGACTCTCAAGAACCTCTCGGGGAAAAGGAACTTCCTTCATTCGATGCCCCCCCTGATGGCGGTCTTGCACATGCTGAAGCAGAGAAGCTCGCTCACGAAATCCCGGCTGGTGATCTAGCCACAGCGGGTGAGTCAGAGGGCGATGTTCAAGAAAGAGGGTTGGAGGACGACTCGTTCGCCCCGGATGAGGCCGGTCCGTTGGACCGTGGTATCGACCCTTTGGCCCCTTCTGCTGTAGCCGTAGTAGGGGGTGCAGCTGCTCTAGCAGGTGGTGCAGCTGTACTAGGGCCGAGGAGAAAGAAGCGACGGTCTCATGCCGAACCTGATTACGAACGACGCCATTCAAAGAGTTCCTCGGAAGGGCTCCGGCAGCAACCTCAGAAGACTGACCGAGGAAAGCTGACCCAGCGCTGGGTCATGGCCCTGGATGAATCAAGAAGGCTGTACGAGGAAAAGCAAAAGAAGGAGCAAAGGCGCCAGCAACGAGCAGCGGAAGAGAAGGAACGCATTTCATCCGAAAGGGAACGAGACCGAGACCGAGACCGAGACCGATCAAGACGGGCCGATCGAGTTGAACGCTCGGATAGCACTAGGGACAAGGACAGTAGACACAGCGGATCAAAGCACCGGAGCTCAGGTAGCGACGGACGAGAGCAAGAGCGGAAACTGGACTCGTCTTCGAGACACTCCCACGGGTCAGCCTCCAGGTCTTCCAAACCTCGACATTACCTCAAGTATGAGCTACCTAAGGAAGAGGTTTCAAGCAACGGCCCTCTCCCCAAGGTCAATGGCACCAAGGCGAGCGCGAAGATTATCGAGCCCCCACGTAGGCACTCATCCACCAGCCACTCTCACAGCCATCGCCATTCCACAGAAGGAAGAGGAGATGCCGAGAGATCTAGCGGCTCCCGCCGGAAGGAAGATCATTCTCAATCCGAAGCGAGAAAGAGTCGAAGGAGGACGGAAGAGGCCGTTGATATGCAGGACCGGAAGAGGAATCAGGACAGCGAAGCGCTCCGATCCAAAGAAGAGTCTGATCACAGACGACACCATCACCGCCGTCACCACCACCGACGAGAGCCATCCCCTCCACCAAGTGGAGCTTCAAGACTCAGAGATCTCATCAAAGCAGTTATCCCTGCTCACTGATGCAGACTATTATTTTACTCTATTTTTCGGCCTGTGCATTATCACCGTTTATATTTTCATTGTCGTCTTTTCTTCATCTGTGACATGATTTGAAATTTCTGACAGCTGTCTGTCAGAGCTGCATTGATGAGCTGGGCATTGATAGCGGGAGCATTGATTCATGCATATCTTTTCGGCCTAACTAACATGTCTGGTGTTTTTAGTTTCGCATTAACTATATATTTATATATGTTGTGTTTCCTGAGCGATTGATTTTTCAACGTACATATACTTATATAATGGAATGGTGCCGCCATGTCTTTGTTGTATATGTATCATTCAAATTGTGCCCACTGTGCAGCTCAGCATGAAATATGATTCTATCCAAGCCTGCCCTTGTATACCTAGGCAATGAATAGCATCAGACAATTTCCTGACGCCTTCATTATTTCCAGAAAGCAATTAAATAGACCTACACTATAATGCCCGAGGGGGAAAACAACAAAATCCAAAAAGTCTATTGTGTATATTCATAGTAGCCAGATGGTGTCCAGACATCCATCAGACTAGTGGTATAATAATTGCTTTTAGTATCCCCGCCTTTTTTTTTTCTTCATTGGTTTTGCTTCGTTAAGGCGTTATAATGCTCCCCGAGGCCGTATGTATGCCTATAATAGGCCAACCAAATGACTCGCTTGACTCGCTCTTCCTCGTCAGAACTGTGGGTATCGCCAGATTCGATTTTTTCAATCCGCCCATCGCCCTGGACAACGTTAATATCCACTCCATACGCCCTCGCAATAGCTTGGAGCTCCAGTTGACCTCCCCATTCAGCAGTCAGCTTAATCTTCCTGGTATATTGTTCCAAAGGTTCTTCCATAAATGGCTCGAAATCGTCCTTATGCTCCGTAATGAAATCTGCCGTCACAGCCCGGACCGCTCTATATCCATCATGTTTGGGAGAAACGACCGTATCAACACGAGACTGTGTCGTAGGCTGGAGAACAATCCTACTAGGGTCCGGCGCAAGCCCCAGTCCCATCTCATCCAATTGATTCGCAACTGCAGAGAAAAGACAATGTCCGTCCGGATTTATCTCCACTTCTTGGAGTTTGAACTGTTTAAACACGCTATCCATAACTTCCTTCTCGTTTCCGCGATGATCCGTTAACTTCGCGGCTTCTTCTTCCGCCTGCACTGCTTGGGCCACCTGCTCTGCGGCACGTCGAGCTAACCGGGCCTTTTGGCGGTTCGGCTTTTTACCACGTGTAGCTGGTTGCGAGTTTGGTTGTGATAGGTCCTCCGCTACCGGTGCTTTAGAGCCATTGGTCTCCTGAGTTTGCGTCGCCTCCACGCCATTTGTCTCTCCATTTTTCTTTGTGTCATCGTCGTCGAGTGTTAGGTCGTCTAGGTCCTCGACCGGTGCCGCGGTTGGCTCGCCGTTTAGCTCCGCGATTTCTGCCTGATGCCGCTCAGTGAGCTCTTGTTGGAGTCGGTCGCATTCATCATTAACTCCCCGGCGTGTCTTCTTGGTCGCGGACTTTTTTTTCTGTGTTATGCGTGCTTGAAGATCTTTTTGCTCTTTGCGATGTCGGGAGAGAAGTTCCTCCATTTTACTCTAACTTGAAATGCGAATTTAGCGAATTTGGACGACGGAGGGAAAGCAGGGCTGTGAATATGCAAAAATAAAGAAAAGAAAAGAAAAAGAAAGGTCTTATGGAGGCTTGGATATCAGGAAGAGAGGAAGAGTAGATGCCTCAAAAGTCTTTGGCCCCGCGGCGAGATGGCGCTAACTCTATTAGGAAGCTTACCAGATATGCTGTATTAGTCAGAGTTTCTTGGCCTGATTCAGAAATGCCAACACCGTGACTGTCTGCCTTAAATTCTGGATTTCTCCGGATTTCTCCCAAATTATTTGAGCCAAAAATCATGGTAGAAATACCATGGTTCCTCATATTTATGTAAATATCCCATAAATATAGCGATATATTGAGGACTTGGAATCAAAAGCTCGCCTCCTCGTCGGCATCTCGGGCCTCAGGATCAAAGTTATTCCTACCCCGCGGAACCTCGGTACTTGTCTAACTTGAGCGCCAGCTCGGCCCAGGGAGATCACTGGGGGTGATGGGGATGGGTCTTGTATATAACTTAGCCCCCGGGCGTGATTCCTTATTTCTCGATCCGAAAATCTGTATAATATTCTCCTCCATTGTTAGCAGAAAATCGCCGCCATGGATTCCCAGAGCCTATTCAACGTCAAGGTGAGTTTGCGCCCACCTTTGGCAATAACTAGAACACCTCTAGATCCATTCCAAATGTATTTTCTGTACTAATTGATCCCACCAGGGCAAAGTGGTGCTGGTCACCGGAGGAGCCAAAGGCATTGGTCGCATGATTTCCGAGGGATATGTAACCAACGGAGCTACAGTCTACATTTCGTCCCGGGACGCAAAGGCTTGTGAAAAGGCCGTGGGCGAGCTCAATGCGCTCGGAAAGGGAAAAGCGTACGCCATCCCTGCCGATTTCTATAAAGAAGAAGACGTTAAAAGGCTTGCTGAAGAGCTCGCTAAACGCGAAAGCAGTAAGTGAAGTTCTTCGCCGGCAGCAGAGTTGTAATCCTTGGTGGATTATTGCTAATTTTGAAACTTCGTTCACGCACTCTAGAACTCCACGTCCTTGTTAACAACTCCGGCTCTAACTGGGGTGCCCCTTATGACGAGTACCCATCCGCTGCCTGGACCCGAGTCCTTACCCTGAACCTTCATCGTGTTTTTGACCTTACTAAGCTCGTCACACCCTTACTCGAGAAGGCTGCAGCGCCCAATGATCCCGCTAGGATCATTAACATTGGCAGTATCGATGGCCTGAGGGTCCCTTCGCTGGAGACTTACGCATACAGCGCCAGCAAGGCTGGCTTGCATCATCTGAGCCGGGTGCTAGCGAACCACCTAGGACGGAGGAATATCACGTATGTTGCACACCCCGGGGGGCATCAAACCGCGAACCCAGGCACTAATATAGCTTGCGCTCTACAGATCTAATACCCTTGCCTGCGGCCCATTCGAGAGTAAGATGATGGCCGCCACTCTGAAGACGTTCGGAGACTCAATCAAGGCTGGGGTTCCCCTCGGCCGCATTGGTACTCCGGAGGACGTTGCAGGATCTTGCCTGTTTCTAAGCAGCCGCGCAGGCGCGTACATCAACGGAGCAACAATCACTGTAGATGGAGGTAGTCATCTTGCTGCTAAGATGTAAGCAAGCTAGACATCATACTAGACTTGCACCATATTCTCAACGCCACAAGCTGTCTCCTGTCTTATTGATCAAGTAGAACATGTAAGATGCAGGCTGATGCCATAGTGCCAGGCTATGATCATCCTGAATCAAATTAAAACATGAATCAAGAGCGTAGCACAAGGGTGCCGTACCATCCTCGACTGTAGTTGACGGCGAACCTCTGGGGATATTCACTCAACCACTTGTTCCCAATTAATTCTGTCGCTGGTCCTCCCTGCTGTTACAGGCTCTATATGAAGGGATTCATAGTTTCTCAATCTGACAGTTGAAGACCAGCCGGCACAGATTGGCTTCCTAGGATACATTTCTTTGAATCAGTATTAGGTGCTTCGAATAGTTTATCTTTAAATGCTTAGAATGAAAATTGACCATTGGAGTAATACCTCGGGTCCCAGCTTAGGGTATCCAGGTGTCTCGACATCTTTCAGCCACAGTTCTCAGTCTTCAGTAATCCAGTCATTTGCGCTTCGATGGTCCGAGGACGCCATCACGGCCTTCCAAGTCAGCTGGATCGCGCAATTCTTCTCTCCAGCGAACGTTTGGTAGAGGATGACCATGTCGAGCCACACAATGGGACGCTGTATCGGACGAAGAGCCTGATGAGATGGGCATCAAACCGACCCATAGGGATGCGGAGATACTATACTCGGCAATGAGAGCGAATTCTCTTTTTACTCCCTTTTCGATCTTTTTTTTATATGTGAGTGTAATATGTATGTAGAATTAAAGTAGCTTAGTGTACAATAGATAGCAATTCTTCGACTGGCTCTTCTCACTTACAGCACAAAACAAGTTCAAAAAAAGACACATGTGAAAATCATATGAAATGCACCAGTATGAATTCCCCTGGTTAAATTATGTGTGGAACACCTATATAAAGATGTATAAGTTTCACGAAAATCCACCTGGTGGAGAGGTTGTTGAGGGTTATGTCATCACGGCCATTCTGATGCTGTCATAGGTCTCCAGAGAACCGTACCACCTTTGACGACTTCATTGCTCCAACGCTCATATGCTCTTTCACTTTGGCATATATTATGAGGGTATAAACGTTTCAATCACTCGTGTCTTAGACTTATCAAGCTCTGTGCTACCTTTTAATACCAGATAGCACATCCTATCGTTACAACGAAGTATCATTTTGGGATTATATCCGCCACAAAAGTTCCCCCGCACCTCAAGCATCCGAAAGAAGAAATCGAAACTTCACTTGTTGCTGTATGTCGGGCTTTTCAGTTTGGATACTACATTACGAAAATTCGTGTCTCTGAAAGAGTGCGTGGTGATTGACCCCAATAGCATGACTTCCCCGAATGCTTCGCAGCACCGGCGGGTTAGCTCGTGGGATCCATTTCAGCACCCGGACATTTATTATGGAGATGAGGAGGCTATTGCACGGATAAAGAACCGCCGGCGAGCATTCTCTTCGGTAAGAGCTAGCATATTCCCGAAGAGAATGCAGAAATGACTGATCTATGCTATTCCGTACCCAATAGACGTTGAAATCGTTTAATCGACAGGATATACAAGATCTACTAGGCGAGCACCCTGGAAGAAGGGGTAGTCACGGTATATGCTCCTCCCTCAATCTTAATAAATTGAATAGATTTCAGGAACAGAGGTGTAAACTAATCAGTTTTGGCTGGTAGATGAAAGATCGGTAAATCCTAGGAAGTTCATCATCGATGTCGACGAAACCCTTCATAGTCTTCTGGAAAGAGAGGACACCGACGGGAATATGCAAATCACCATCGAGGATGTCGGACCTAAGGTGGGTGAAATATCGTACACTTAAATCAACATAGCGATACCACGTGCTAACATACATATATACTTTCAGGTTTTCTCCGTAGGAACCGCAGCATCTTCCGGGTACAATCGATTCGACCTTCGAGGAACTTACATGCTCTCTAATCTCCTCCAAGAGCTAACAATTGCCAAGGACCATGGTCGGAAACATATCATTCTAGATGAGGATCGTCTTAGCGAGAACCCAGTCTCACGGCTTTCGCGGCTTATCAAGAACTCTTTCTGGAACGCTCTTACCCGAAGAATCGACGGGTCTAACATCGAAGTGGCTGGACGGGATCCCAAGGATTGGACGGACGACCCGAGACCCCGGATCTACGTACCCCCAGGCGCCCCTGAACAACTCGAGTACTATCGGAAGGTTGCAAAGGAACACCCTCAGCTGCGCCTGGATGTGCAAGTGCTGGATGGGGAGATCACACCGGAGTATGTGAGAGACCTCAATGGTAAACCGGGCCTTCTGGCTTTAGCGATGGAGGAGAAGTATAACGAGTCAAGCAAGGAAACGGAATATGTTGGAGTACCGTTTGTCGTTCCGGGAGGGAGATTTAATGAGCTGTACGGATGGGACAGCTATATGGAATCGTTGGGGCTGATGGCTAGTAGCAAAGTTGATCTGGCTAAAGCTATGGTGATCAACTTCTGTTTCTGCATTAAGCATTATGGAAAGATCTTGAATGCAAACCGCTCATACTACTTGATGCGGTCTCAACCCCCATTCCTAACAGATATGGCCTTGCGCGTGTATGAGCGCATTAAAGGCGAACCAGATGCTTTAGATTTTCTTCGGCAGGCCACTCTTGCTGCTATCAAGGAGTACTACAGCGTCTGGATGTCGGAACCGCGGCTTGACCCTGTCTCCGGATTATCACGATACCGGCCGCAAGGAATCGGAGTGCCTCCAGAAACCGAACCTACGCATTTTATGCATCTTCTCACTCCCTATGCCGAAAAGCACGGTATGAAATTTGAGGACTTTGTCCAAGCTTACAACACCGGTAAGGTTGAGGAGCCTGAGCTTGATGAATATTTTTTGCATGATAGGGCTGTTAGAGAGTCTGGGCACGATACTAGCTACCGTCTTGAAAGAGTCTGTGCCAACCTTGCAACGGTGGATCTGAACTCCCTCTTATTTAAATACGAAGTCGACATTGCCCGTACCATACGGAACTATTTCAAAGACAACCTCGAAATCCCCCCCGAGTTCCGGACACCAATAACCAAGGATATTAAGAGCGAGTCTTCCTCGGTATGGGACCGTCGGGCACGCCGGAGAAAAATGAGGATGGACACGTATCTTTGGGATGAAGAAAAGGGCATGTTCTTTGATTACGATACCGTCCTGCAGAAACGCACAAGCTACGAGAGCGCGACCACTTTCTGGGCTATGTGGGCTGGTCTAGCTACACCGCACCAGGCTGCTGAGATGGTTAACAAGGCTCTTCCACGTCTCGAGGTATTTGGCGGATTAGTCTCCGGCACCGAAGAATCTCGAGGTGCAGTTGGGTTGGATCGACCGACACGGCAGTGGGATTATCCATACGGCTGGGCACCTCAGCAGATGCTCGCGTGGACGGGACTGCTTCGGTACGGGTACCAAGAAGAAGCTGAGAGACTTACCTACAAGTGGCTTTATATGATCACGAAAGCATTTGTTGATTTCAATGGTGTTGTTGTGGAGAAATACGATGTGACTCGGCCTATAGATCCGCACCGTGTTGATGCTGAATATGGAAACCAGGGTGTCGACTTTAAAGGTGCCCCAAGAGAAGGGTAGGATTTCGTTTCCCGCGGATGATTTGTTTCTACCTCGCTAACTCTGTTTATCTTGTAGGTTTGGTTGGGTCAATGCTAGCTATGTGTATGGGTTGGATATTCTGAATGCGCATCAACGGCGTGCTCTGGGAGCAATCACCCCGTATGATACGTATAACAAGGCTGTGTCTATGCAGGATGCGGTGTTTGGAGGATAATCTTGAAGGAATTTCCAGCGTTTTGAGGAAAATTACACTGCAGAGGAGAGATATGGCAGAGATGAATGGAAAGTGAGATCACAGATTTGTTTGGAAGAAACAGAAAATAGAGTGACTCACTTGGGTTGTCTGGTAGATCTCGCCCAACTAGGTATCCAGAGTACATATACTTACTGCTAAGAACGTGATGCGGGGTGGACCCGTATATCGGAAGAAAGGAAGAGAGAGACCTCACTCACACCATCCCGCAAAGGATATAGGTCAATAGATCCTGAACAACCTAGGAGATGTCTCAGTCAACCCGAGTTCCGACAATCCAAATCCGTACCTAGGTAATCAAGCCGTCCGCAACACCAAGTCGAGCATTACCTACCTACCTTAGCGGCATGATCTCGACAATAACACGGGAGAAGGCTCCTTATTTTCCCGAGGAGATTCTCGTGGAGCCCAAAAGCCCAGCTAATCAGTTGCGACGATCATGAATATAACGAAATGGTAGTTAGATAGGTACTCCGTGGGTTGAACTATTTTCTTCGGGCATGCGAGTTTTCAATTCGAAATCTAGTCTGTGGTTGGCCTGAGGGCGACATTTACTTGTTCGGGTAGGTGGAGAATGATTGAGGCCTGAGGTTGAATTCTGACATTCTCGCCGGTTTCGGCACTTTTGATTGGTGAGATTGTGCCGAGGTTTCTACTCTGTAGGTATTTTGAGGCATTTATACGGGGGGGGCTCTAGAGTGAATGAAGAATGAGACTAGATTTTAGGGATCAATCTCCTATAAAGAACACAATAGAGAGTGTATTCTGGTATGAATCTACAGAGGAATCTAGACTAATATACTGTCATGTATTGTCATGTATTGTCATGGTCTACTCCGTCTGAAGCACATGTATTGACGTCATGTGGACTTGCGATTCTTGGAATCTGGAGAGAAAGAATGTGATGAATTGTTGTTGTTTTTTTCTCAAGGGGATTGAATCGAATAGCTCTGAAGAAATTAGATAGACAATGGGCATGCGAAAAAAGGAAAATATCATCTGGTCTTCAACAAGAATTTTCTATGAATAACCCCCAGTTCTCTCTCTCTCGAAATTCCGGGGTAAAAAGAGTTAAAACTCCAGTGGGGAGCCTCAGGCATTCTATCTCCCATTAGACCGAGGATCTGTCAGTCGCCCCAGTGAGTCTCGATCCTCTCTTCCGAACCACACGGCCAGTTAGAGATCCGGATTCTGGCTTGTGAACCTGGGAACACCATAAACCTAATGGTCTCGAATCACTCCAGCAGCTGTTTTGATGCGTAATATTGCCCCGGTTGGCGATATGCCGGCGCCGCTTGCTTCCTGTCTGTCCCGCTGAGCCGAGCGTTTACCGACCACAGTCATACTTCCAGACTGTGACGCATTACAATGGCTCTGGGAGCTTAATTCATAAGGAACGGTCTACGGGGGGTTTTTTTTTTGGCTTGTGATTCTCGGCTTTTCGCGCTGTGTGTCAAATTACATTTCTACCCCCTTTCTTTCCTCCTTCGCTGCTCTGTCGCGTGCTTCCTCTATTGCTTCTGCCAGACAGCACGGCACTGTACTATACACATCGAAAAGTTCTGTCCTGTTTCTGGCCTCGTATATACCTCATCAAACTGTCGTCCAACATGGGTTACCTGGAAGACGAAGACCAGAAGTACTTGGACGACGTCCAGGCTGTGAAGCAGTGGTGGACCGACTCCCGATGGAGATATACCAATCGTCCCTTTACGGCGGAGCAAATCGTTGCTAAACGGGGGAACCTGAAGATTGAGTACGCTTCCAATGTCCAGGCTAAGAAGCTATGGAAAATCCTTGAGGGCAACTTCGAGGTTGGTGGTCTCCCCCTTGGGAACCTCGCTCCATTTGACCGTTACTAACGCCCTGGACAGAAAAAAGTGGCGAGTTACACCTATGGCTGTCTCGATCCCACAATGGTCAGCCAGATGGCCAAATATCTTGACACGGTCTATGTTTCCGGCTGGCAGAGTTCTTCCACCGCCTCTTCTACGGACGAGCCCTCTCCTGATCTCGCCGATTACCCTATGGTATGTTTCTATGGCCGCAAGGACGCAAAACATCAGGGCACTGACTAATGCGCGCTGTGCCATTCACCATATAGAACACTGTCCCCAATAAGGTCAACCAATTGTGGATGGCTCAGCTGTTCCATGACCGCAAACAGCGCGAGGAGCGCATCACTACCCCCAAGGCGCAGCGAGGCAAAGTTGCTAATGTTGACTACCTCCGTCCCATTATCGCCGATGCTGATACTGGACATGGTGGTCTCACCGCTGTGATGAAGCTCACCAAGCTCTTTGTCGAGCGCGGAGCTGCCGGTATCCACATCGAGGACCAGGCTCCTGGAACCAAGAAGTGCGGCCACATGGCTGGAAAGGTCCTCGTGCCTATCAGCGAACACATCAACCGTCTGGTTGCCATTCGTGCGCAGGCTGATATCATGGGTATGTCACAGGAACGTTCTGGCGTTCGTTTTAAAAATAGGGGCTGGGGGTTCGAGGACTAACCACCGCGCATTATAGGCACTGATCTCCTTGCCATTGCTCGTACTGACTCTGAAGCTGCTACCCTCATCACCTCAACTATCGACTACCGTGACCATGCGTTCATTGTCGGCTCAACCAACCCCGACCTCCAGCCTCTGAACGACCTTATGGTGGCTGCGGAGCGTGCTGGTAAGAGTGGAGATCAGCTCCAAGCCATTGAAGACCAGTGGGCCTCCAGGGCCGGCCTGAAGCTGTTCAACGAAGCTGTTATCGAAACTATCAACAAGAGCTCCCTGGCCAACAAGAAGAGTCTTGCGGAACAGTACCTGAAGGCTGTCAAGGGCAAGAGCAACACTGAGGCCCGGGCTATTGCCAAGGGCCTTACGGGCACGGAGATCTACTGGAACTGGGATGCTCCTCGCACGCGCGAAGGTTTCTACCGCTACCAGGGCGGCACCCAGTGCGCCGTCAACCGTGCTGTGGCCTATGCTCCCTTCGCGGACTTGATCTGGATGGAGAGCAAACTTCCCGACTACGCCCAGGCCAAGGAATTCGCTGATGGTGTGCATGCTGTGTGGCCCGAACAAAAGTACGCCCTTCCTTCCCCCGCTTCATGTGATGAAACTCAAATAACTTACCCCTGGGAAAAAAAAAAAAAAAAAAAAAAAAAAAAAAATAGGCTCGCATATAACCTGTCTCCCTCGTTCAACTGGAAGAAGGCAATGCCTCGTGACGAGCAAGAAACCTATATCAAGCGCCTGGGTGCTCTGGGATACTGCTGGCAGTTCATCACCCTGGCGGGTCTGCACACAACGGCGCTGATCACAGATCAGTTCGCCAAGGCGTACGCGAAGCAAGGAATGCGCGCATATGGCGAGTTAGTGCAGGAGCCTGAAATGGAGCAGGGCGTGGATGTGGTTACACACCAGAAATGGAGTGGCGCCAACTACGTTGATGGACTGCTGAAGATGGTTACTGGGGGTGTGAGCAGCACAGCAGCCATGGGTCAAGGTGTGACAGAGGACCAGTTCAAGCCATGATTGAAAAAGCAAATCATTTTTCCTCTTTTTTTTTTTTTTTTCTTTTTCTGTGAGAATATATATACCAATTTCATGAAGTTTTCAATGGTCCAGTTCTTGTCCTTATATGCATAGATATCCCAATTCCATGACTTTGGCTTTTGCATCGTCAACCTCAACTCTTGACGGCAGAGTGGGTCGGCACGGGAGGGACCGTGGAAGATCCAATTGTTACCTGTTGATCTGTGATTGACGGACAGAGATTTCCACGGCAATAGAAGTCTAGAAGATAGTCGTTGACGGTTGAATTGAGCTATTCGAAGGCGATCCCAACTATTAGTACGGAGTAGAAGTTCGCTGATGGCATGATGAATACAGAATACAGAGCGGTGTAGGATTCGGTAAGGTATTGAAAGATTTGCCGTACCAAGTGGGTCATTTTCAATACGGGATCGTCATATACCTTCCCAATGCGGTTAGCCTTTGTGACAGACAACCGGTAATTGCTCGGTTTCAAGTTTCAATGCAGAAAAGCCGCGGTTCAATTTCTGTGCCATCTTTCGTCTCCTTGAATCTGCTGCATATAACTATGTGTATGCATCTTAAGAATAAAACCGTCATTGTTTTCCCGTTGGTTTTTCTTTTTACTATCCCCGTGGGTCACTATGGGTGCCTCTGATATTCCCGACCTTACATTCACTCCCATCGAGGAGATCCAGGAGCGTGTCACTCGTGTGCAAACGACCTTCTTGGAGCACAAGACGCGCGATGTCGAGTTCAGGCTGGTCCAGCTCCGGAAGCTGTACTGGGCGTGAGTTTTCTCCGCACCTGCATCATCAGCTTCAGTACCGTCCACTGACTCGGTTATCGTTTCGGTTAGAATCAAGGACCATGAACAGCAGATTGTCGAAGCGCTCCGGCTCGATCTAAACAAGCCCCGTTTCGAATCCGAAATTGGGGAGAGCAGCTGGTTGGAAAACGACATTGTTTTTATCTCGCGCCATCTGTACAAATGGGTCAAGGACGAGAGCGCTCCAGATATCGACCTGACCTTCAAGTTCATGAGCCCTAAGATCCGCAAGGACCCTCTGGGATGTGTGTTAATTATTGGGTGCGATCCTGGTTTTTTTTTTTTTTTTTTGGATGGAACGAGAGCTAACGAGGGTCTCAATAGTGCTTTCAACTTCCCCTTCCAGCTCACCCTCGGACCTGTCCTCGGCGCTATCGCTGCAGGAAACACGGTCGTGATCAAGCCGAGTGAGAATGCGCCCAGGAGCGCTGCTGTCATGCAGAAGATCGTAGAGTCTGCGCTGGACCCCTCCTGCTACACGATCATTCAGGGAGGCATTCCCGAAACCCAGGCTCTGCTCGCGGAACGATGGGATAAGATCTTCTTCACTGGCGGCGCCACCGTTGGACGTATCATTGCAAAGGCTGCTGCTCCCCATTTGACCCCTGTGGTGCTGGAGCTGGGCGGCATCAATCCCGCGATTATCACCAAGTCTGCAAACCCCCGGCTGGTCGCGCGGAGACTCCTCTGGGGTAAGCTCATGAATGCTGGCCAGATCTGTACCTCGCAGAACTATCTGCTCGTGGATAAGGCTCTCGTGCCCGCCGTGGTTGAGGAGTTCAAGAAAGCGTACAATGAATTCTACCCCCACGGAGCCAAGGCCTCCGCCGACTACGCTCGCATCATCAACGAAGGTGCCTTCCGCCGGATCAAGTCCATGATTGATAACTCCAAGGGCAAGATCCTCATGGGTGGAACTATGGATGAGAAGGACCTCTTTATCGAGCCCACCGTTGTCCAGGTTGACTCGCCCGATGACTCTCTCCTCATCCAGGAAAGTTTTGGGCCTCTGATCCCCATCCTCCCCGTCGAGAACCTCGAGGAGGCGGTCAATATCGCCAATTCAATCCAGAGCACCCCTCTCGGTATCTACCCATTCGGCTCCAAGGCCGATACAGAGAAGAGTATGGCCCTTGTCCATTATTACCCTTCTACTTGAGCAATGATGAACTAATAGCAAATAGTCCTCTCCATGACCCGGTCTGGTGGTGTCTCCGTCAACGATGCCGCATTACACATTCCCACACTCCCCTTCGGCGGCGTGGGCGAATCCGGCTACGGCGCATACCGTGGCCGATCCAGCTTCGACATCTTCGTCCACCGTCGCCCCATCACAAGCAGCCCGGGCTGGCTTGAATCCTTGCTGGCGATCCGCTACCCGCCTTACGCCGGCAAGCTCAGCAAGTTCAAGGCAGGCAGCACTCTGGTGCCTGACTTTGATCGCACAGGCCAGAAAGTTACCCTGGGCTGGTTGCGGTTTGTCTTCACACTCGGTGGAGGATCCGCAAAGGCTGGTGCTGGTAGGGCTGTCATTGTTGCTGCTGGTGAGTGAAACCGGTGTATTGTGTTTGGGATGTAATCTTTTTTTTTTTTGTTTCATTTCCCTTCTATTGATATACCCTACTTATACCTACTTATACCCTACTTATACCCTACTTATACCCTACTTATACCCTACTTATACCCATACACATACCTATACCCATATACCCACATATACCCACATATATATACCCCTTGAATATATGTCTAGATTCATGCGTGTAATGTTGGAAACAGCTCCGCTATGCGATGCTACCAGATATCTAAACCCACTCTTTATCTTTCCTATGTCGAATTTTGTGGTTCTTTCTCTTTGGTCTTCTATCCTTCCCTCGTTTTACACCCTCTTAAGCAGATAAATGCTCACTTTCTTTTTCGTATTTCAGTGGCCTATCTTATCATGAAGATTCTCGAACGACGAGCTTCGAAGCTTTAGGTTTACGCACACCACACCACCTGCTATGTATTATTCCAAATTGGGACGAACGCTCGAGCTGTACTTTTATATTCGGTAACTTGATAATCAAAAGTTTTAGATCTCCACAATTGAAAGTAGGCTATAGCTAGATACATTTCTTGGAAGCTCCTTCAGCAAGCTTGAACTTGTCCGCGATATGAAAGCCAACGCTTCAGACTGAATGAATCCTTGAGTTTATACTATGCTAGTAAAGTATATATATATATATATATATATATATATATACTTCAGGAAAACTCTTCCACGTATACTCTTTTTTAGCTACGGGTGATCAGTGGCAGGAGAATGTCATCCGCCTCGCGGTTACGCACTACACTTGCTATCATATGGCCAGGAATTCAACGTACAACGACGATGATGTGATGTAATGTGTCGCGTCATGATGATAGCTAGCCAGCTCTTGACTGAGCTGCGCCACTATATCTCACAGGGAGTCGGTCGGTCGCCTGCCGCGTTCGCATTTCACTTGAGCAACAAACCTCAAGGACCGCTCAACATCTCCCAACATGTCCAGTGAAAACAGCCCCAGGCCCAGCCCCAGCCCCAGCCCCAGCCGCAGCCGCAGCCGCAGCCCATCCCAACCCCAACCCCAACCCAGACCGATAACCCTACAGGTCGGGGAGCGGCAATTCACCACGACCCACGAAACCCTCACCGCAGAAAGCGACTTCTTCGCCTGCCTGCTCTCAGCCCGCTGGGCCGGCGGCAGCGGCGGCAGCCCGTACTTCATCGACGCGGACCCGGCCCTATTCGAGCACATCCTGCGGTACCTGCGGCGCGGGGTGCTGCCGGTCTTCTACGACATGGCGCGGGGCCACGACCACGCCCGGTACCTGGCGCTGCTGGAGGAGGCGCGGTACTTCCAGATCGCGCGGCTGCAGACGTGGCTCGAGAACCGGCAGTACGTGCATGCGCTGCGGGTGGAGTGCGGGCTGCGGGTTGTTCCAGACGCCTGTGCTGCTGCTTCTACTGCTTCTACAACACTGCCCTCGGACACGGCGGTGGAGTACCATGCGGCGTGGGGGGCGAAGCACGTGTATGTGTGTCCGCGGGGGATCGCTGTGCATAGGGGAGACCCTGGTGCTTGTGGTCGGCGATGCATGAATGCGCTGGGGGACTCGGAGGCGGTTTATGATGAGGAACCGACGGTGAGGTTGTTGGAGGTGGAGAAGAGGGTGGTTTTTGATATGCGTGCTTGTCGGGCGGGTCGGTAAGAACCTCTTCTTTCTCTTTCTCTCTCTCTCTCTCTCTCTATGTATGTATGTATGTATGTGTGTGTAGTACAAGCACTACTTCAGTTTCGGTGCTGATATGTATAATCCCAGGATCGAGGTGGATGACGATATATTCCCGTTGTCATTCACCCAGCTAGTTCCACGCCGCTATTATTAGGCTGGCGTTCATTGAATAAATATGTTGGATCTGGAAGACATGCGAGCTGAGACGTAGTTATAGAGTTATGAGGTATGGTAGTAAGGAATATCCATCGTTATTCGTTTCATACCTATCAAATGCCATCCAATGCGTACACCTGGATCTATGTGAAAATGAATCTTACCAACTATAAGTCCTCGCTTCCAATCACATGCCATGCAATCAACCAGATGGTTTTAGATAAAGAAGAATAAATCCCAGCAATATCAACACCTCCGCTCGATTCCCTTCCGACTTACACATATATACTTTACCCCCTTGTAGGGCTTCACGCCCTCCCCAAGTCCACGACTCCGGCGCGGGTCGATGTTCAGGCTATCCACTTTGATCCCGGAAGGCAACCAACCACGCACCGAGAATGAAACCGATGCGGAATTCGGCATGAGGCTTGCGTTGATCTGACTCTTCGTCTTACGGGGTGCGGGGTGGAAGATGGAGAATGGGGATTGGGTACGGGCCTGTGGCGAGGTTTGTTGCTTTTGCGGCGATGGTGTTGGGTTTTGAGATTGCGGACGTGACGGAGCGGGCGAGCGTGGTGGTGGTGGTGGTGGTGGTGGTTGATCTTCGGAGGCGAGCAAGGTGTTTTCGTGGTCGTTGTCATTGTCGTGATGGAGTTCTGGGGTAGATACAGCGCGGGAGGTTGCCTTCTTGACCTTCTTCTTCTTCTTCTTTTTCTTCTCCGGTTTGGGCTTCCTGAGGTCTGTTGCGGTGCTATGTTGGTAAGACACTGCTGCGGAGTCGTCGTAGTAGCCCTGTAGGAGGGTGGCTTCTGCTTCTGCTTCTGCGTCCTCTGCTTCCTCGTCATCAAATTCCTCGTTTGGGTGACCGATGATCGTGCAGCGCAGTGTGGCGGTTCCGGAAACCGTTCCGGCATCCTTGGTTGGGACGCGCCATTCGAGCATGCCACTCCCAGGGGTGAAGATAGCGTCGCCCCGACTAGCTTTCATGTCGGTGATATTTCGCACCGAGTGTGGGATGGGCACCGTTACAACAACGTCCTCAAGCACCGGGGAAGCAGAGTTCCCTGCGCCGTTTCCACCAAGAAATGACGGGGTGGAGGTCCCCGAGCCATTCCGCCCGCCACCTGGTCGACTTGGTGTCGAGTGGCCCGGGAAACTCGTGTTTAAGGTGAGTCTAACTTCAAAGTCGGCGCCATTTGGCCCCAGAGACTTGCGAATGTCGACAATGGCCGGCAGGAAAACCTTTTCCATGTGGCTAGGAGCCTCGTCAAGCTTAGGGTCTAGCGGCAGGAGATCTACCTCGTACCCCGCAAGGATAAATCGCCCATCCGGGGGTATGAAACTCAATTCACCTGGTCGCTCTCGCCACCTTGCCAATCGAACGCAGGGGTGGAATACGGGGAGGTCGATTTTTCGCCCAATAGCCTGTTGGCCACCGGGAGCCGTCAGGGAGAGAAGCATGTCAGGAACGCCGGATACTTTGGCCGTGAAAGCAATAGTTCCGGACACCAAAGCCGACAGCAGGCGTCCAGATGGTGCCATTGTAACCGAGAGAGATTCTACAATATCGACATAGAGTTCGTTCGAAGTATGCCGGACCCCTGGCCGTCGCCACGGGATCGCAGGCCCTTGTGCGGCGCTCCCAGCTGCCAGTGGCAGCTTCTTCAACGCAGGTTGTCCCAGAATAGCATTTGACGACCTGTCGCCCATGATTCCATACTATCAGCATCGAGAGAGAACAGAGACAATGAACTTTGAGGCTAATAGACTCGCGGGTGAGCGCAAAGAAGACCTACCCAGGCAAAGTCACGTTGCCTAATAGCTTCCCCATCCATCCCGACGTCTCCACTGCCTCCTGCAGGGCATTCAGCTCGGTATTGCACACGATGCCAGCATCGCACATCTCATTAAGCAGTTGAGCCACCACATCGTAATTAGCCTGCACCTTGGTCGAAATCAGCGGTGCTCCGATGAACTCCTCCAGTATATCTACAACGCGATGCAGGAACTCCAGCACAAGCAGGGGTTCTGTGTCCGTTTCCGAAAGCGCCAGAAAATGCAAGTTCGACTGGACTATCGAAAACACCGTCACCGCCGGCGATGTCCCCGGAAGATAGATGAGCGAGGGGCGCGGGGCCGGATGGGCGAAATAGAGGGGTCGGATAGCGGCCGCGGAGGGCGGACGAGAGCGATAGACCTGCTCGACGAGAGGTTGGCTGGGGAGAGGAAGCGCATGGGTTAGTGGAAGCTGAGAATGGTGGTCCGGGATAGAAAGACACGCACTTCTGCTCGTCGTATATGTAGAGGGCATCAATCTCGCCACTCATGGTGTCGACGGCTTTTGAACTTGGTCCTCAAGAGTCGGGAGAAGAAGATTCAAATCCAGACGTCGTTTGATGTCTTCTTCATCAAATGCACGCAAGCTTGATTCTGCCACTGATTGCCGCCTTTTTTTTTTGGCTTCGTCTCTGACATCTGGAGATGCTTCGTTTCGTTTCGTTTCGTTTCGTTTCGTTTCGCTTCTTTTCTCACGTCTACAAGTCCTTCTTTTTGCACAGTCTGTACCTACCAAGCCATCTGTCTAGTATGGCTCCCTCGAATAACGACTCCGCCTGGGATGTCAAGTCTCCCGAGGCCAAGCGCATCATATCAGAGGATCAATATGACGACTGCTTGTCTTGCAGAGTCACTGGTAAGTAGTATTTGCGATCCGATTTCTTGCTCAATTCTTGCTCGATGTATTTGATTGATGGATTACCCAATTCCTAACCCCATACAGGCTCCGCTGCGTTTATTGGTCTTGGAGTCTACAGTTACTACACCGGAATGAACAACCTACGAAACCAAGAACAAACAATCATGCAGAGTGCGACGAAATACAAGATGGGATCCCGCCGGCTGGGGATTGCAACAATTTCCGCCACTTTGGTTGGCATGGGGATTTGGCGGGCGTTTAATTGATATCCCTACGCTTGATGGTGGCTAGACCCTGTACTTTTACTTTCTTCGGTGCAAAAACAGTGTGAATATAAATGATGTGAGTATGTGCATTGCATCAATGATCAAGCGTCGATTCAAGCAATAACTGCCTCACCGGGTATCGCCATATCGGATAATCTCTATAAATGTACCCCTTGTAATCCAAAGAAAAAGAGAAGACAGGATAGAACCCATGGTTCACAGAAAGGAAGTCAAAAAGAAACAAGGAAAAGAATCAGATAACCATATGCAATACTCCTACTAGATGCTCCAAGAATAGAAATAACAAATCAACCGCTGCGTAACTATAAGAATATGAAATGGTCCCATGGTCGAACCCGTATTCTCTAGGCGAAGCGGCCTCGTTTGCCGCCTCCGAACATATCTCTATTATTCCCTATCCCAGAAAGATCAAAGAAATCCGGAAATTGGATTTTTCGTTTGGACCCCAGCGCAACCGGGGATTCCCGAGTGGCTGTTCGAGGGTTTGAGCGTGAGAGGTTGTTGTGGCGGCTTTGCTGGCGAGGATTTCGAGAAAGAACTGAGACGCTTACAGGGGCGTCATCTTGGGATGAAGGGGTCGAGGTCTCTGAGTTCTGCATATCCAAGTCTTGCTCCTGGGGCTGAGGGAAGGCCGGTCCCGCGGAGAAGGTGAAGATGGTAGGTCGATCGAACACGTTGGTTTCAGTGGGTTGGGGGGTGGCAGCGGGAGTGGATAATGGTGGTTGCTGGGCCGCAGTTTGTTCTTCTCGAGTCGGGGACACGGACTTGGTTGTCTGTCGTGGGGCTTCGGACTCGGATTCTTTGCGTACAACCGCAGGAGTAGCACTTCGTGTTCGCTTTTCTGCCTCATCATCGTCGCTCGTAGGCCCCGTTCCATCACTGCGTTCCGTAGCCCACTGCCGAACCCGCCAACCCTGTCCGTCACTCAAGCCAAGGTTTTCCCGGTCGAGGAAATGCAGCAGATCTTCAATCGCCTCCTGATATCCCGCCTGTCTAGCCTGCGCTTCCACATACACCGCATTTTTGTAGAGGTTGGTCACTGATAGGGCGGCGGTCTTGAATGACTGCAATAGTTGCTCAGGGGGCTGCGGGCGGGGAGTTGAGCTGGGTAGCGAGGTGTTGAGAGACCTCATGGAGTCCATTGTAGTTCCAACTCCTGATAGGGCGGCTGTCTTCTTTATTCCAAAGGTTTCCTTTGAGTCTCCCGCTGATTTCGTGGTGTCGCAGCGTCAGTGGAGGAAACTTGAAAGAGGGGTGAGGTGAACCGTGCTCCCCGGGACAACAAGTGACTTGGACAGTGGCAAGCGGGGAGGGCAGGAGGCCAAACGTAAACCTGAGGGGAAGAAAGGAGAGGAATGAAGAAAAGGAGAAAGGAGGGAGAAAGAGCGTCTCACAATGAAAATCCTGACGGTGGATGGAGACGAAACTGATTTTCTTTCCGTCTTTCTTTCTTTCTTTCTTTTCTTTCTTTCTTTCTTTCTCTTTCGGGCTTTGTCATGGTAACGTGACCCACTTCGCGGGGAAACGTGACCGCTGACTCAGTGCTGACTCAGCACTCTTAGCTGCCACGCAGTCCAACCAATCAGAACGCGTCGTGGCCGCGCCGCTCCAGCGAAATTCCATTATTTGCCATCCCAGCGCGACTTTCGACCTCCGTTCTTTCATCTCGCTGCACCATCGTCATCTTTCGACGCTTTGGTTCTGCAAACTGGTCCTGGTCTTGCTCTTTTTGACAGAGTCCTGCCTCTTCGGGGCTTCAATCCCTTCCCTATCCCTCTCATTCTCCGTTTTCTTATCGACCTGTCCGCATCTCATACTTCACTTCACGTCCCCTTCCAGTTCGGAGCAGCTCCCCCCATTTCGCACTCGATCTTGAAATCCTCTTGGGACGCAAGGCGCACGGTGCGCAATTATTCGTCATGGCTCCTTCAGTTGTGCCAACCTCAGATCCACCGTCCCAGGCAGATACTCCTATGACAGATGCAAATGATGAGCCCGTTACCTCGGTGCCTGTCGATCCTATCGACGCGAAGATGGCGGTATGTTGTGGCTAATCTCCTTTCATTCTGGCCGTGATACGATTTGTCACATATCATATTTCTATTTTCAGGTTCTTAGACAAGAAACCCTTTGTTAATCGGCTCTAGGGCTATCAGGATACTCCAGACTATACGGTACAACGCACCCGACCGCTCAACTCCCAGCCCTGCGCTGTACGAACTAACACATCCCCCCTCTAGGACTCCGATACAAACCCCAACACCACCGCAAGCAGTGCTGCAGGCGACACAGTTCCGGTTGATGGCCGAAGGCGGAGGTCTGAGGCCTTCCACATGAGAAAGAACATGTTCGGCAAGAAGCACGGCCACCTGAACGAGAACAAGGTTCGACAGTGTCCCCCTCCCCCCTCGTCCCTTAAATTGGCTTGATTGTACCTCTAACTCGTCACCTCCCATTCCAGGAAGATGACTCTATTCGCAGATTCCGCTACCTTCTCGGTCTGACGGACCTGTTCCGTCACTTCATCGAAACAAACCCTAACCCCCGCATCAAGGAGATCATGGCCGAAATTGACAGGCAGAACAATGAAGAAGAAGCTAGAGCCAAGAAGAAAGGGTCTGCGCGATCCGGAGGTGCAGGTGGCGACCGCCGTCGCAGGACAGAACAGGAGGAAGACGCTGAGTTGCTCCAGGATGAGAGAAGCGGGGGTCAGACCGGTACCGTCTTCCGAGAGTCGCCGCCGTTTATTCAGGGTGAGATGCGTGATTACCAGGTTGCAGGATTGAACTGGCTCGTCTCTCTGCATGAAAACGGTATTTCAGGCATCCTAGCCGATGAGATGGGCTTGGGGAAAACTCTTCAAACCATCTCCTTCCTTGGTTATCTGCGACACGTCTGCGATATCACCGGCCCGCATCTTGTCGCAGTTCCCAAGTCTACCCTAGATAACTGGAAGCGAGAGTTTCAAAAATGGACCCCGGAAGTCAATGTGCTTGTCTTGCAAGGTGATAAGGAGCAGCGACACAAACTGATCAACGAGCGACTTCTGGACGAGGACTTCGACGTCTGCATTACTAGCTACGAAATGGTCTTGCGCGAAAAGTCTCATCTTAAAAAGTTTGCATGGGAGTACATTATCATTGACGAAGCCCATCGAATTAAAAACGAGGAATCGTCGCTCGCGCAGATCATTCGAGTCTTCAACTCCCGAAATCGACTTCTGATTACCGGTACTCCCCTTCAGAACAACCTTCACGAGCTGTGGGCTCTTCTTAACTTTCTGTTGCCGGATGTCTTTGGCGATTCCGACGCATTTGACCAGTGGTTCTCGAATCAGGATTCGGACCAGGACACGGTTGTACAGCAGCTTCATCGCGTCCTCCGTCCATTTCTACTCCGCCGTGTAAAGAGTGATGTGGAAAAGAGCCTGCTGCCAAAGAAGGAGGTCAACCTTTATGTGCCCATGTCGAAGATGCAAGTGAAATGGTATCAAAAGATCCTCGAAAAAGACATCGATGCCGTTAACGGAGCAGCTGGAAAGCGCGAGTCAAAAACCCGTCTGCTCAATATCGTCATGCAGCTCCGGAAATGTTGCAACCACCCTTATCTCTTTGAAGGCGCCGAGCCCGGCCCTCCCTACACGACCGACGAACATCTCGTGGATAACGCCGGGAAGATGGTTATTCTTGACAAACTCCTCAACCGTATGAAGAGCCAGGACAGCAGAGTCCTCATTTTCTCTCAAATGAGCCGTGTTCTGGATATCTTGGAAGATTACTGCGTTTTCCGGGAATATAAATATTGCCGTATCGACGGTACCACAGCCCACGAGGACCGAATTGCAGCCATTGACGATTACAATAAGCCTGGCTCAGAGAAGTTCATCTTCCTTCTCACCACGCGAGCAGGTGGTTTGGGTATCAACTTGACTACTGCGGATATCGTCGTACTCTATGATAGCGATTGGAATCCTCAGGCGGATCTGCAAGCCATGGACCGTGCTCATCGTATTGGTCAGACCAAGCAGGTTGTTGTCTTCAGGTTCGTTACAGAAAATGCCATTGAAGAAAAGGTTTTGGAACGTGCCGCGCAGAAATTACGACTAGATCAACTTGTCATCCAACAAGGTCGCGCCCAGCAACAAACTAAGAATGCCGCTTCAAAGGACGAGTTGCTCGGCATGATTCAGCACGGCGCTGCCAATGTCTTCAATCAGGGTGCTGCCGATGCGCTGAGTGATGATAACCTTGTTTCCGATGACGATATCGATAACATTCTTCGCAAAGGCGAAGAGCGAACGGCAGAATTGAATAAAAAGTACGAGAAACTTGGTATCGATGATCTGCAGAAATTCAGCTCCGAGAGTGCGTATGAGTGGAACGGCAAGGATTTTGCCGACAAGAAGAAGGACATTGGAATCAACTGGATCAACCCTGCTAAGCGTGAGAGAAAGGAGCAATTTTACTCCATTGACAAATACTATCGCCAGGCTCTCTCGACTGGTGGAAGGACAGCCGATCCGAAGCCCAAAGTTCCCCGCGCTCCCAAACAAATTTCCATCCACGACTGGCAATTCTTCCCTCCTGGCCTTCAGGAGCTCCAAGAGAAGGAGACCGCATTTTTTCACAAGGAAATCGGCTACAAAGCTCCGCTCCCTGACGGCCCCGAGGAAGAGCTCAGCGAGCGGGAGGCCGAACGCGACTTGGAACAGCAGGAGATTGACAATGCAGTTGCGCTGACGGAGGATGAACAGGCCGAGAAGGCGAAGATGTCGGAAGAGGGCTTCTCCCACTGGAATCGCCGGGACTTCCAGCAATTTGTCAATGGATCCGCTAAATTCGGCCGTACTGATTACGTTGGAATTGCCACCGAAGTGGACAGCAAAGAGCCTGACGAGGTCGAGGAGTATGCTGAAGTATTCTGGAAGCGATACACCGAGATTCAGGACTACGCGAAGTATCTCCGCGTTATTGAGCAGGGCGAGGAGAAACTCCGCAAGATGGGCCATCAACGAAAGATGCTTCGCAAGAAAATGGAGATGTACCGTGTTCCTCTTCAGCAGCTGAAGATCAACTATACGGTCTCTACCACCAACAAGAAGGTGTATACCGAGGAGGAAGACCGCTTCTTACTAGTCATGCTGGATAAGTATGGCGTCGATGGGGAAGGGCTCTATGAAAAAATCCGGGATGAGATCCGCGAATCACCCCTCTTCCGGTTCGATTGGTTCTTCCTCAGTCGTACACCGGTTGAGATTGGCCGACGATGCACCACGTTGCTGAACACTGTCGCAAAGGAGTTTGAGTCGGATGGAAAGCCCAACGGAGAGAGCGGCAAGGGTCGTGGACGTGACCGAGACGATGACGAGGCTGAGAATGAAGACGATGGACCACCCGCAAAGAAGAAGACCAAGGCCGGTGTAGTTGTAAGTTTCCCCCTTTTATTCCTGTATCCCAACACGCTTGAGTCCGTTTCCTGACAATACCCGCAGAACAAGCAAGTCAAAGCAGTCAAGGGCAACGCTAAGGCAAACTCCAACTCGACATCCAGAGCTGCCAGTGTCTCCTCCAACACCGCTCCCAAGCCCAAAAGCCGAAAGAAGTGATTTGGTATTTACATTTGGATTTCATGCATGTGTGTGTGTGTGTGTGCTTGATTCTTTTTGCTGCCAGGATGGAGCTGCTTACTTCACATTACAATTAATGTACTAACTACCTATTGTATATCACAACGGTCTTATTTGTAGAGAGGAGTGGGCTGGATGGATGGTTGGCGGGTTTGTTTGGTTGGTACAATGAGTATTCTTCTTCTTCTTTTTTTTTTTTTTTTTTTTTATTCCACCCCTATATTTCACGTTTTATTTATGATATTTTTGTTTTGTTTTGTTTTCGATCACATCGATAGGGTCGGCGTTGGCATAGATGCCACTGGTTTATGAGTTATCTTATTTCATCCGGTTGCTTCAAGCTCCTGTTCTTGGGTCTTTTTGCTTCCTTTTCACACAATCATTCGATATAAAAGCAATAATCAAGTAGGTAGATAGATGCTTACTCGAATATCTACCGTAACTAACGTACCCATCACATAACTAAGGCTGGCGACTCTATATTCAAGTCAAGTCAAATCTACGGAGTCCTAGGAACCAACTAACTAGCATTAGGAATGTGCTATCAACTATCATTGACAGGATCAATGAGCAACTCGCATTCAGATATCTATCTTTCCAAGTCGTTGCCAGCAAGGACCGACCACTCACTGCTCCATCAATCAATATCAGTCTCGATCAGACCGAAACGAAACCAGCACTCGCTTAGTAGTACGTAGGTACAAACAGAGATAGAAAAAGCTCGACTCCTCTAAGAAAAAATGTGCATGGGCAGGTGCAGATATCTGTAGGAAGACGGGAAGAAAAGAGAAGAAGAAGAAGAAGAAGAAGAAGAAGAAGAAAAAGGCCATCAAGAACTCCAGATTCCTGCCCACTCCTTGCTTGACACAACAGACAAAACAGACGATATTATACCAAGTGGGAAATGGAAATGGAGAAAACGTCCCAGCAAGAAAAAAGAAGAAGAAGAAGAAGAAGAAGAGGAGGAGGAGGATGACATGAAAAAGATCTCAAATAAAATAAGATGAGCAAGAAACAAAAAAAAAAAAAAAAAAAAAAACAAACGCCCCGGCCCAGTCAAATAAATGCCTTGCTTATCGTACTCCTCCTCTTGCAGTCGCATCGTCTGTGGAATTTTATCGGCGCTTTATCATGATTTTCGTCATCATATCCCGTCCACAGATCTTTGTTTTTCTTTTTTTTTTTTTTTATACCTCCATGTCGATATCGCCCTCTGCGTCGATGTCGCTTCCGTGCATGTCCACATGGTTCTCATCCACGCCGCTCTCGTTCATCGCCACGCCCTCATCTTCGGCAGGTATAAGCATTTCGATCTTCTCCACCACGGACTTCCGTCCTACGGAACGTGTAAGCTTGGTTCGGCCGTCAACGTCCTTCCCTTTGGGAGACGGGGTCACGGCGCCTTCCGCTGCCACTAGAGTTTGCGGATCATGAGTCCCGTTAATTATGGGTGCCGCAGGGTCAACAACGGGATCGGTAACCGGTAATAACTCTAGCTCTGACGGCGCATCAGGTTGCGCTTCGTTCTCCTTTGCGCCGTTAGCGCCAGTTTCTTCCAGATTATCACGCTGGTCAAGCTCAAGTCCATTGGTTGTCACGCTCGTCGACTCAACCGAAGGAGAGTCGATTACTTTGGCACTTCGACCCCTCCTCACGCTAGATCCGTTCGGCATCGGTGTCACAGCGGTCAGGGAAGACGGTCTTCTGGGCGTGCTGCGGCCACTCGTCCGAGCAGTTGTAGGAGTGACAGAGACTTTATTATATGATGACTTGCTTCCGAAGGGACGTCCGGGACGCCTCTTGAAAACTGGTGCTTGAACGGGAGGATATACCTCGAATCGCCAGGCAGGGACCCCTTTGGCTGGATCCGGTTCCGCCGAGGTCAATTCAGCAGGTGTTGTGTCGTGGTGACGGAGGCCGTTAGCGTTAGACAGGAGAGCCGTAGAGGGAGGTCCTGCAGGTTCAGGTTGGAGTCCTCTAGCGGCATGGCCTGTGCCGTTGGTGAGTGGAGTGCCATTTCCCTTGAAGACATCTAAGGAAGCACCCTCAGTCGCCAGTTCCGCCTCTTCGTCTGCTTCTTCATCCTCGAGGCCCTCGCGCGGAGCAACAGCGTGTAGCGGAGCCCGGTCAAATTGCGATTGGTTATTCCGGCCCATGGTGTACGGGGTCCAAACAAGCGCGTCCGGATTTAGAGTGACATATCCTTTACTTTCCCAGCTCTGAATGCACTCTTCGAAGTAATTATAGTCAAGACGCAGGGCATAGATCCTTGTCACCGGGTCCCTGACCAAGGCACGCAGGGCCTCCAACCCTGACACAATGTCATCTGCTGTCATGCCTGTTCGCTCCGAGAGCTCTGCGATGCTAACTGGGGTCTTTTGATTTCGAAGACGGTATGACAAGATGAGGCGCCAGTAATTGCGATAAGAAACCAGACCCATATCGGAAAGTGGTTTCTCTGGAGAGCCTGTTTTGCCTTCAATGCGGGTGAGTAGGTAAGAAAAGTCGATGAGAAGGTTGCCATAACCCTTGCGTTGGTGAATGGGGAGAGTCAGGATGCATGAAACATTGTTTGCAGAACTGGGGCGCTTTTCTTTGCTAAAGTAGCCGACAAAGTGGCATCCTAGGTCGTCAAACTCGGTCATGACATAGAATAAAAACGGCTCAACATCATAGTAGAGCGTCTTGGAGCCCAAGAACAACTTGGCAAGCAAACATAGGTTCTGGCAATAGACCGGATTTTTCCGTCCATCGACCTCGAAAATCGAAATGGAGCCTTCGCGATAGATCTCGTCGCCAGGTGGGTGCTTTGCGGGACATTTCAATTTATGACGCCACGCGACATAATCCGAGTTCATGTATTTCAGGCAAAATTCGCAAATGTAGAGCACGCGGTTCCGACTATACTCTTCTGGATAAGGAGCTGCGTACCATGTTTCGATTTCATAACCGCCAAAGTTGATATACTTGATCCGGGATGGTGGACCCGAGACTTTCTGCGACGCATGTGGCACCGCGTCCCCACTGGGCTCGGCCTCCAAGAGGCGTCGCTGCCAGGCTTCTTCAGCCCTTTGCCGAGCACTTTCAAATCGTTCGCGATCAAGCTGCATCGGCAGGGTTTTAGATGTATCTGCATCCACTTCGGACAGAATTCCACCATACGGCTTGGACTTTGACTCGTCCAGTTCGCGATCGCTCAAGGAATGGAGAGGGGAGATGTAAGAAGCCGGTGTGATGGGTGCAAAATGGGTTTGGGCTTCGTGCGCGGCCGTCGGTGGTTTAGAAATCTTTTTATTTCTACCCAGGGACCGACTGCGCGAGTTAAGGAGTCTAGACAGTTTTGTCTCATTCAATCGGAACGCGACGATGAGTTTCCCAAACTGCCTCGACACTACGCGACAGCTTTCAAGCTCATTCTTACGGACGCGTCGCGAACGAGTCCGAACGGGGGACAGCCCATCTGCACCCTCCTGTAGTTGGTCGCGGGAATCAGACCGTTCGAAACGCGGTGGACTCTGCCTCGAGCGCTTCCGAAGGAAAGGGGTGTTCTCTTCCAGGTCGGCTGATAGAGTTTTCCTCTTCCGGAGTGATCGGGAGCTATTTAGCAAGTCATCGTCGTTGGTCACAGTGTTGAAAATAGAATGGAAGTTTGAGCCTTCCCCACCGCTGTGAGCTGGCAAAAGCTCTTTACGCATATTCTTCGGACCACTTTTCCGCCGCGGTGGAGCGTCTTCCTTGGAACTGGGCTCTAATTTCTCGCGCCGACATGTCGGACATCTCCAAGGACCAGTATCTATGTTGGATTAGCATCACGGACAAAATTCCCAAAGTCAGGAGAAAGTAGTGAGAAACTTTACATACCATCTACATTATTTAGCGCATTCTGTTCGCGGGCGCATTGTCCATGAGCTGTCGGGTTGCCGAGTCAGTAAACTCCATTTCAAGCTCCGTTTTGATAGGGCCGCAATAAATCAACATACAGTGATCGCCACAAACGGCACAGCTCAGATATTCCTCAAACTCCTCACTCGGATCATGATCTTCATCTTGATTGCAGAATCTATCGCAACTTGTCAGTATCAACGGTCGAAACAAAAAAAAAAAAAAAGGAAAAAATAACAAATAAAAAAATAACAAATAGTGTGGCCCTTACATGCAATTTCCGCGAACGATATTATCGACCTCCCTATCCTCACGACCGTTACTCTCTGCTTCCCACTCCTCATCCGACTCCTGAGTGCTGGATGAAGCGCTAGACCCTTCCTGCTCACTGTCACTCTGTTCCTCAAAGGCGAGGTCCTCGTTTGCATCCGCATTTTCGTTATTCGCTGAAGGAGCTGTCTTTGGGATCTTAACAGCGCCAACGGGTTCGGCTTCATCAATTTCACCGTTAGGGTTTACGTCAGGATCCAGCTCTCCTTCTGCGTCCATGTCTTCGTCGAAATCGGCTCCCGCGGTCTCAGCGGCAACTTCACCCGAGTAGGCGCGGTGGACGGCGTCCTGAAGTTGCTGGTCCATGTGATACAGATCAGTCTCTTCCCCCTCTGCATCCTGATCACTATCCACAATGTTCTCCGATGCGGTTTTCAGCTCAGAATCGCTGGGGGCCGGTGGCACGGTTGCCGGCATGGTGTATGTCACAGCAGTCGCCAGGTTGAACAGCAACCGCCTATCTGATAATGATTTATGTCCGGTGAATTCGGTTGTAACGAGAATGGCGGTGCAATAGTTGAGGTTGTTCTCGCTCCCCGCTACAGTGGTCAATCATCGGGTGGCGCATGGAACGGGCATCGGGAAGATGATAAAACGAGTGAAGTTGGACACGGAGGATCCAGTATTAAAAACACCGTCAACGAGCCTGTCGCAAAGTAACACACGAGTTCCTAAGTCTGCGTGGAGCGCAGCCAAAACAAATAATAGTCAGGTCAAGGAGCTGGGGGAACCAGACGTTCGGACAATGGTAGGCAACGCGTGTTAAGAAGAAACGGGAACCATACCTGCCAGAGAGGCAGACCAACCACGTCAGATAGACCAAAGGTAGACGCGTGAATCCACAGCAGAACACTCGTCCAAAGAGTTTTCTTCCAGTATCAAGAGCGCTCGGCGTCGGCCTTCCTTTGCCCCCTTCTCCTGCCTGTGAGGTTGATGGGGGGCGCTGCTGACTCAGCCGCCTGGACCGTCGCAACGGCGCTAGGCCTCTTTCGGACCTGCACCAGACCTCGAGTCGACGACGGGAAATCGGAATGGCTTCACTTGGACGCTCTCTCTGTCTTCTTCCATTCGGCGTTTCCTCCACGGTTTCAACTCCTTCTTGATTACCTTCACTTCATCATGGGTGTTCCTTTCGAGGCCTTGATCCCCTATGGGATTATTGTTGGCGTACGTCTTTCTCCCACCCCCACTCGCTCAACCCCCTCTAACATGACGCCCTCTGGATAGATGTTCGGTGTGACCGGTGTTGGCTTGACGGTAGCTAAGTACATTGCCAACGATGGAAAGAAGGCCCGGTGGAACAAGGATCTATGGGATAGAGTAAGTGCCGTTTGAGATCACACATTGCGACCGGATGAGGTTGGCTAACATCCACACAGCAAAGTATGCCATTGATACCCAACGGATTGAGACTGGACCATTGGTGTCTATTTTATATATCTACGAGTTCATCTGCTAACCCTTGACCGCCTATGACCAGTGATGGAGAGAGATTTGAGAATTACAGGGTCCCTGCGCGGCCAATCCACAAACCCGGAAGCTCCGAAGGGATTCGAACTCAGCAATCCCTGGAAGGTATGGCTTCTGAGCCTGGTGTGATTCCCTATAAACACCTTCTAACTGGGTCACAGCTCGAGAAACGGATCTACTAGGCTTATCGCTGCCCTCTCCTCCCTCCCCCCCCCCCCTTCGTCATGTCTACGTTCCTCCTCCTTTCTTCCGTCTCCTCGCCTGCATTTATTAGATAACATATCCACGCAACGGTTTTCGAGAAACCTTGTTTGTACCATATCAAGGTAGATTAGTGTTAAAATTCTACTTTAACTCAGAAGCCAAGCCCTGAATTCCCGCGATCTCGTACTCGGAGAGGTGCATGCCAAACCACTTCGCAAGAGCATTCACCCTATCCTCTTCGTTCTCTAGCGTTTCCACCACTTCTGTCTTCCCGTGTATCCTCCTCTTCACTTCCTTCTCCGCCATAATATAGAGCCCCTGGAGCCTCTCTCCGGACTCATCTAGAATCAGCTTCACACAGACGAAGACCTGGGTAAACCAGCTGGTAGACTGGTGACTGGTCGCGAAATTCATCACGGCAAAATCTTGGGGTAAGAACTCGATTCCGGAAAACGCATAGATCGGGATCCAGTTACTTTCCGGGTTGTATCGGATTTGGTAAATCCAAACCTTCTGGCCTTGGTCGACTGCCTCGGGGATAGAATCCTGGATCAGGCGCATCTCGGCTGGGGCAATATTCATCGCGATTGAGTTCTCCTCCAGCGGCAGTGGACTAGTGGGCACATTGTTTCCGAATCCAACATCCACCTACAGAGTCATTATGGATCCAAACCCCGCCCTGCGATAGAATGGGTGCACAAACCATGTATTTCCGGTCATCGATAGTGACAATAAGCACCATATGACCTCTACGTTATATTTAGTATCAACCGCCGCACACAGATATTATAAAGGCAACGGTATATAGGTACAAGGTAAAACTTACAGCGCAAAATACGGCGCATTGGGTCCCGCCGTAGGGTCCGCCGCAGCTCCCGACACCCTCGCTGCAGAGGGGTAGACCTGATATCCCAGAGATCGCAGAACAACGTACAGCAGGTTGGTGTTTTCCATACAGTAGCCATCCAGCCGACGAACCACCAGTTTCTCGAAAACGGCAGACGGGTGAATAGAGACGCTATGATGCTGGGAGTAATGGAGAGCGGAATTGCCCCAGGGAATTGCGCCTAGGTGTCGACGTTGAAGCTCTGCGAGGGCAGCCAGCGCATCCTTTTCGATGAATGGTCGCAGTCGCTGTAATCGGGTGAGTCCCGTTTCCGAAGGGGAATCGGCATATCCAATGCGTTCAAGGTAAGACTCCAGCTGATCCTGGGTATATGTGGATATCATTGCGTCTGTACTTCAGATTCAGACATGGGTTGTCTCTGTATAGGAATCGTGGAAGGTGGGGGGGAAAGACAACAACAGTTGTTGACTAGTGGGGGTAGAAATACGAATTGTAGTCATGTTTCTCTTCTCTAATACACCTTGGTTCTGTATAACTAGTGTAGATGATTCAAGGCTTCATTTGATTGAGAGAATATATTCTATCTACACTATAATAATATCCATTGCAGTCCGTCCGCATCAAATGAGGTCAAGCGAACCCGCCCGATCCTCGGTTATTCAAGTACATATACTGAGGTGTACCTCTTCCTCTTCCTCTTCCGCGATCAAACTAGCTGTGTAGATGGAATCATTTCATCTTCTCCCCCTCTCAATCTACCAGTAAAGCGTGATCTTCCAGAGAAACACCGTCCTGCGCTCGACATCATTGATCCCCGCATCCCGCAATATGACGACCTCCCTCCAAGAGAAGCTAGATATCCTACGAAACTACTCTGCATGCGACGTACGAAGAAGCCTTTCCTTCCCTTTCACCAATTTGATCTCCCCCCATACATCTTGCACTTCGCAAAGCCCTAATCCCTCTCATCAGGTATCAGATGCGCTCCTCAAACTCCAAACCCCCGCAGAGGGAGCCGCAGAACGAGCAGGCCATCTAGCCGACTTCAGTGCGTATCTTTTCTTCCGTCGTTACATCTCAAGAGCCAGACCATACACACACACACCACACCCTCCACCAATACCCACCGAATGGATTAAACCTACCTATATGCTAATACAAAACATGCTAAGCCCCCTTCTCGCCCATGCTCGGCCGCAACACAGCTCTCCCCAAAGTCATCGCCCCCGCCTCAACAATCAAATTCATCCCCAAGCACGCCGCTATCCCGACCACAGAGACCCACGGCTTCCCACCCGGAACACACTGGGTAGACTGGGCCGAACCGGGGACAATCGTGCTCGTGGACCAGCCCAGGGGCCAACACTGCGCCGTCGTCGGCGGGATCATGGGCATGCGCATGAAAGCTCTTGGCGTCAGGGGCGTCCTCGTCAACGGGAGGATCAGAGATTTGACGGAATTGCATCAGGCAGAGTTGCCGGTTTGGGCGCTGGGGACGTCGACGGTGGGGACGGGGGCGGAGGCGAAGCCAGCGGCGAGGAATGTGGCTGTTGATGTTGGGGGGGTGGTTGTTGAGCCTGTAGGGTTTTCTTCTTCTTCTTCTTCTTCTTCACCTTCTTTTACTTTGTATCTTTTGGGGTAGGGGGTTGAATGCCTTGTGCTGATTGATTGATTGATTGATTGATAGGGAGATATCATCTTCTGTGATCCGTTAGAAGGCGTGGTTGCTATTCCTCGCAACTTGCTTGATCGGGTTCTCGAGGTGATGCCGAAACTAACTGCTATGGATGAGAGGGTTAAGGACGCGGTTGGGAACGGATCGAGTGTTTTTGATGCTTTCAAGGAGTTCCGGACTAAGATTTGAGCTGTGGTTATTTATACTCATATCCTGCCTTTTTTTTTCTTTACCAGGCTACAGTTTTCTACTGCTTGCAGGTAGTGTCTGGAACTGGGGGAGCAAAGCGTTATTGTTGATATAACGTACAATACATTTATGATATCCTCACACATATACTAAACTATCGCTGCACATGGGGAAAAAAAAAAAAAAAAAGGAAACATGAAAGGGGGAATGAATCTACCTAGCTAATGAAACCAGCTCATTCTTTTTGTTTGTTTTGAATTTGAATTTTTGGGAATTGTTTTTTTTTTTTTGGCTTTGCATTTATTCGGCAACCCAGACAGCAGCCATACCCATACCGGTACCAACACACATGCTGGTGACACCGATCTTCTTGTTGGTGCGCTTCAGCTCTGTGAGCAGTGTGCTGACCTGTCGGGATCCGGTGCAGCCAAGTGGGTGTCCGAAAGCGATCGCTCCACCCTTGGGGTTGATCTTCTCCAAGGGCAGGCCAAGCTCATTGATACACCACACGCACTGGGAGGCGAAAGCCTCGTTAATTTCGTAGATGTCAACGTCCTCCTTGGTGATACCAGCCTTCTCCAGAGCCACAGGGATGGCCTTCCAGGGGCCGATACCCATGAGCAGGGGCTTGACACCGACAACGCTAGCAGCGACATACTTGCCGATGATCTTCTGGCCCAGGCGCTCCGCGGTAGAACGCTTCATGAGAAGGACAGCGGCAGCACCGTCGGAGATCTGAGAGGCATTGCCGGCGTGGATAGAACCGTCCTTGGCAAAAGCGGGACGAATCTTGCCGAGAGACTCGGCGGTTATGCCGTCGCGGATGCCATCATCAGCCTTGACGGTGACGGTCTTCTCCTCGTTGGTCTTGGGATCAGTCCACTTGACCTCGAGGGGAACGATCTCCTCGTTGAAGAGGCCAGCCTTCTGGGCCTTCACAGCCTTCTGGTATGAGGAAGCAGCAAAGGCATCCTGAACCGCACGGGTAATCTTGCGGTCCTTGGCCATCTGCTCGGACAAAACACCCATGGGAACCTTGCAGTTGGCCGACTCAGGGTGGCTCTCAAGGAGTTCGGAGAACTCGGTCACTGCACCGGGACTATTTGATTATTCAGTCAGCTTTGGAACTTCTCCTTCTCCTTCTCCTTCTGTCAGTCAGGAGCGCTTACCCATATTGAGAGGTCATGCTCTCCACCCCCGCACCAATACCAACTTCGATCATTCCAGACTTGATAGCATTGGCAATGTCCACGACGGCCTGGAGACCGCTAGAACACTGACGGTTCAGACCCTTGACGGCAGTGGACTCGGAGAAGCCGGCCACCAGGGCAGCGGCGCGGAACTCGGTGGCACCGCCACCGGGGGCAAGGACAGTGCCGACGGAGATATCCTCAACAAGCTTGGGGTCAATGCTGCTGCGGTCAATAACAGCCTTGAAGACACCAGCGAGCATATCAGCAGCCGCAGTATCCTTGAAGCCACCCTTTCCACCCTTTGTGAGGGCGGTACGGAGGGCACATGTCACGACAACATCATCAGGGTGCTTCTCGGTGATGGCGGAGGCTCCCTGCTTGCCTCCAAAGTGGGAGGCCACCTGGTTCAGACGTTGCTGGGCTACAGAGTGTCAGAGTGTCAGCGATGGATGGATAACTCGTCTAGGGATTGTACTGTATTGTACTGCTTACCAGAGGACATGATGACGTCAACAGGATATATGAAGGTTGAGAAAAGGGAAGATATACAAAGAGATCGCCCAGAGACAAAACGAAAACAACTTTTCAGGAAGAGGGGAAGGACAAACTCCAGGAGAAACAACTGGACAGCAGCTTTTATAACCGACCAGGGAGAGAAACAGCCAGTGTGCTTGTGGTCCCCGGGATCCCTTCTAGGATTATGTCTCCATCCTGTGAAAATACCGAGGTCTATGGATCATTGTTGTTCCCGCGCAGAAGTCACGAGATCTCCCCCTAAAACGCGGGCATTCATGTGAAAATGATGGTCCTCCAGCTTTTTTAGAATTTCCCCGGCTAAGTGCCAACGAGCTAGTTAATCGGCTTCTGATTTCTCATCTGGGCGCTGTCAGTGGTCTCACTGACATCACTGGGTTTAGCACAGCCGGGGAATATACCTGGAATCGATATATCGGCATTGCTGGCTGAGCCTGAAGGCAGTTTACAGATCGGAGATTTAGGCCTTCTGCTTTGGCAAGTACTGATGTTTCAAATCCCTTTCGGAGAAGCGCTCGATTCGAGTTTAGTTGTAATATAGGACGGAGTAACTATTAACTAGCTAATACAGAATTCAGATCACTTCTGGTGCATAATAGAATATATTAGTCATCGTGACGGTGCATAGCCAGTTATGCATGCATAGATAAACTTCATCCATCTTCTCATCTTCATCCCGTCAAAATACTCCGGATAGAGGACCAAATCAACACCACATCTCCCTCACCATGCGTAAACTAACTCCATTCTTCTCTGCTGCCTCGTCAGCCAAACCCGCACAATCATGCCTCGCCATCTCGAGCAGACTCCAACTCCGATCCCAATCGCATGTCTGTTCCCTCCCTCCTCGCAAAGCCTTAACCCCCCCCCCCCCCATAACTAACCAACCTTCCCCCCTAGAGCTCCTCCCCATTCACATACACACCACCAGCACAATGCCAAATCCGAACATACTCCCAATCCCCAACCCTCGCCGCATCCCCGTTCCGTCTCTCCTCCACAACCCCATCCGCAGACCACGACACCGACACCGACTTCGAATCCCAATCCCAATCCCAATCCCAACCCCGAAACCCAAACTCAGACGAATACTACAGCCCCTACAAGCCAAAGCGCCAATGGCCCCCGGATATGTCCAAGCTTTCCCCGAAACACCAGTTCCGGCTTGAGCGCAAGTACCGGCGGCGCGCGGCGCTGAAATACGCCCGGCCGAAGTGGGTGAAAATGACCAAGTTGGCTCAGTGGGCGTCTATTGGATGTATGTTTTTTTTTTTTTTTTTTTTTTCTTCTTTCCCTAGGTTCCTCTCTGGATTTATTTTCTTCTGTGGATGGTGGAGATTATATCAGGTTTCACCGTTTACGTAGGGGGAAAAGAAAAAAAAAAAAAAACAATCTTGCTGATTAGGACTCTCTGCAGTTGTTATTATCTACGCGTTACTATTCATGGAGTGGGATGAGAGGGGGAGTCCATTTGATGAGGTATGTTATCTACCTACCTACTGTTGTAGATTGGTTAGTGGCTAATGGATATCGCTTTTAATAGATTCGACGGGTTGTGTTTTCTAGTATTAAAGGAGTGTTCTCTGCGCCTCCGCCCGCGAGCTCTATGAGACGTTCGGATGATTCGAGTCGAGAGTAGAGTGTAGGTGGGTGGGTACGAACCAAAAGTCTTCTCCGGGTTCAAGGTTGCTTGGGACTGGTACGATGTATATATTCCGGAAATCCATGGACTTGGAGGAGTCTCAAGACCTATTCAGACCAACCTGCTGACGCTGTACATTACAATACAGTACTATCTATGTATATTATCACACAGTAAAACAAAAAAAAGAATGGAAACGAATATAGATAATCAGTCTAACTGAAGCTAAAGCTAACAATTCATTCACTTGTCATAGAGGTGTGCTGGACTACACTGTGTCTGGTTAAGGAACAATTTCTGGCTGACATGCAATCTGGAGGAAGGCTAATGTTCATCGTGTCTGTGGCCCTGTTACTTCATAAAGTCATTTCATTTCGCCGCCTGTTTCAAGCGAAACTGATAGATGCACCCAAAACGCCAAAATGCCAACGCCTTCTGGAGTGGATACCCAAAACAGTCCATTCTGGAGTGGAAGAGTGTTTTGGGGGGGGAAGATTCAAGAGAGAGAGAGAGAGAGAGAGAGAGAGAGAGAGAGAGAGAGAGAACTAACAAAAAAGGAAAAGAAAAAAAGAAATACCGAAACGCCGATGGATGGTCAAAATGTATGTAATGCATGGTGAATACTGTCTGCGAAGTAGTTAAGCAAGAGACCATCATCAAAGATCAATCAAAATAGCACTGGAGTTATTGGAAAGGAGCTGTAGAACATATCCAGCGCTCACAGCCACCCGTCATTCTGCTGCAATGACTGGTTACTGATAGGGACATCCAGGACCAGGTCAAGTCTAGGAGGCTTATCATCCAGAGCACTTTTTTTAGGGCTCCCGCCAGCCGGTTTAATGGGTGACTTGGGAGGCGATGCAGGGTCGGGTCTAGGTGGGCCCTCGCGAACCAACATATAGGGCCACTCGTCTTCCACAGCGGCGGAAATCCAGGTCCTCAGACAGTCGTGCACGGAAGAATAAAACTTCTCCTTACAAGTTCTCAAGCTGCCCCCCATCACCTTTTCGAAACCCGACGCCCGAAGCTCCGAACGGAGCTGGTTCCGTTCATCCCCGGTTGGTAGAGAGGCAACCAGACCATTGAGAAGATCCAAGTGTGCAGCAAGATAATTTGTGGCATCCCATTCGACTCCGCCCACATAAGGAGCAGCAGGAACCGGAGGCCTGGGAACAGGAAAGTGACGTTCTCGATAATTCCGAAGCGAGGATTGGTCAGATTTCACCACTGGGATCACGTTCAGATGGTGCAGAAAGATCCAAAATACTTCCTTGGTCACATTCGAGACTTCTTTGCACCAGACCCGATACGGGCGTGATTGGTATATGTTTGCAATGAAGGAAAGAGGTTGGTTTTCCTCAGCCGGGTCTCGTAGGTAAGACAAAATCCGAGTAGCACGAGAGGCCGCATCCTGCGAGGAAGATGCCATGGAAAGCTGGGTGAATAGGAGGTTGATGATGATGCCACGAGTAGTAAACTCGCTTGGGCCTTTCTTTTCTTTGTCAAATAGCATGTTTAGTAGGGCTGGAAATAATTTGGCTTCCATATCCGTCAAACGCTGCAGTGCAACGGACGTCGTGCAAAGAGCCTTCAGGCACAACAATGTCTCGTGGAGCAGATTGTCTTCGTGCTCTTCCCTATCAGTGCATAAGCAAAGAGGAGTCCTTCTTTCATGGATAGAGCTTCCACATACCTCCATTCGACGTTCATAATCCGGTAGAGCAATTGCACAATCTCATCCATGCCACCCTCCGCAATGAAACCATCAACCCAGCTGACGGTTTCATTTCGAAGCAGGAGTCGAAGCTTATGTATCTTACCAACCTCGATCATTTCAGGTTTCTGGATCTCCTTGAGGTAGTGCACAAAGTCTGACGGGTCAGTGGCCGTGTCGTGACATGCTGTCGCCGCAAGAGAGGTCGTAGAAGTCGCAGGAGTCGAAATTCTCGACAATCCGTTTGGAGCACTGAAATCTGCCGATTTGGGTCGTTGGTGAGAGCCACCGCTTTCTGGGCGCGGCTTCTTGCTGGGGGACGAACTCCCCTTGGAGAATGTAAATCCCCGACTTCTTGAGCGTGATCGGGAACCTTTATGATCATGGCTATTGCGGTCCTCTTTCTTTTCCTTCCCCCGGCCCCGTCGACTGCTTCCATCGGGGAATGCGCCTGCACCTGCGCTATGCGGGGTCGCATTCTCAATCTTGTCTTTTTGAATGAAGTCAGCCTTAATGTTCGTGTCCAAAGACCTCATCTTATCTCTCATATTGTGGGGGATATTTCTTGCATCCTAGGTGTAGGTTAGCATATAATGATTCCCCGGCGATCGGCTTCTCTCGGAAGTACTGACCAGAAGCTTCTCAAATTCACTTTCAAGGTCTTTGGCGTTGAGGCGCTTCTGCAACTCTACTTCTTTTTCCCTTGCATTGAAGGCGGAAATGGCTGCCTGCACACGAGAAGTTCGCTTTGGACTTTGCTGCGGTTCCGGTTCTATTTCTGCACGAGACCCAGAGCCAGACAGTCCACGGGAGCGACCATGCGTCTTCACCGACGCGGATTCTGGCTGATCCACTAAAGACTGCTTACTCAAGGACATACCCTGGAATGGTACAAGCAAGTCCTTCACCTTGTTATTTCCCGCGAAGTAGTCAGACTTGGGACGAGGCTTAGGGTTGGTACAGTTCGAGAGGGACGGCTGATGGTAATCGTAGAAGTTGCGCTGTTGAGACGGTCCGTACCCCTTAGGAGTGTAAAGTGAGACTTCTTCTTGCAAGGTTCTCCTCCTTTGGTGGCTATATGCTGGGGAAGGTTCATCGCAGAACGACTGAGGTGCATCAGGACCCCAAACGGGGGAGCGCATGTGGTCAGCAAGATCAGACGGGCTTCTGTTCTCTTTGTCCCCAGCACTCTTAGACTCCTCTGACTTCCTTCCTCGCTGCGAACGTTTCAGGATTGCGGACAGACTATTGGCCGACTTTGCCTTTTTGGGTTTGTTGTTGGCGTCCTCCGGTGCGTCCTCCGGTTTGCTGTCCTTGCGTTCCATGTAAGTTCTGAGAGACTTCAAGGAAACTGCACTTTTAGTCTTCTTGTGTAACCCGCCCTTTTCCCGCTTCCCAGGCGACCCAGGGTAGAATGCCCCATTCTCGCAAGAATCCCGATTAGGAACAATCTCACTGAGGGGTTGTTGAGTCAAGGCAGCGTAAGCCTGATCCACGGGAGAAACAAATGAGTCAGTAGGGGGTTGGGCCTGGTGGGAACCCTTCGAGTAAACGGCACCGTCCGCGGACTGGTTACGCTTATGGCCCTTGGACGATAGAAGTGATCGAAACACGGACTTTGTCGGGGAGTGAGATGCATCATCGAAAATCTGGGTCGCCTGAGTGCTGGGAGCCATATCCAGAGACCTTTCACCGAAATTCACTTGAACAACACTAGAGCAGGTCAATGGATTTGAGACACGCAGAAGAGAGAGAATCACGGGTAGACGCAGAAGCCTTACAATCGACCAATGCAGGCGAATCAAGTGAATGTAAGAACAACCAGAAAAAGAGCACTAGGGGAAGAAAAATGGCCGCAAGACACGCAGAGCAGATGCAAAAGACATTGAAGGACAACCAAAGCTAGGGCTCACTGCAGGAACGGAATGAGACGAAGTATAAAAGAGACGCTGGGAGAGATAGAGTAGAAGCAAATCTCTACAGCAGGAAAGAAAAGAAACCCCCCTCAAGCGGACAGATGGGGGAATTTGAGGCCTTGCAGAGAGTCAGAAGAGCACAACAAGCATGACCATCACCGGTTGCCCGAGACAATCCATCAACGCCACGGCCGAAGAGACAACGACGTTGGTGGACAGTCGCAAGGCGGAGGGGGGTAAACAGAGGTGCGGGCAGGGGAGGTGTATGGAGGTTGCTGGGGGCAACGCATTTTTAGTACCCGGGGACGGCGGATCTAGGACGCAGAGACAGTTAGATTTAGATTTATCCATCGAATGGTTGTCTGTGATTGTTGTTATTGGGTTGTGGTGAGGTGAGTTTGTGGATATGGATGCAGATGGGAATGACACAATAGTGGGGTTTTATTCTCGAAGGCTACAGTTGACAGTATCCATACTATCTATCTATGGATACCTATACAGTGGCATGTATATATCTAGTGGACGTGGCTCTATGGCACCACACAAGGATACTTTTTCTATAGATACAACACAGTCGGATCTTTTATTTATCTCTCACTACCAACAGGGAGATCAAATAAAAATAATAGAATCAAATCAGGAAACCAAGAAGCAAAATCCTATTATAATTGAATAGATTTATTTTCCCCAGTCCCAGGCATCCTCAGGCATCCTGAGGCATCATCAGGCATTCAGGCATTCAGGCATTCAGGCATTCAGGCATTCAGGCATGCAACCAACATTTAGAGAATTTCTACTCCGTACAACAAACAATATCTTACCTGACTTTTGCTCAATTGATCGAAATACTGATTTCATTCCCTTTCCTCGTGGGTTGATCATTCCAACCGAATACAATATACAATGGAGTCCGTCCGCATTTGGAGTTTGGTGGTCCATGCATCCGCGAGCAGCTAACCTCGGCTTCCTCGTCATCTACAAAGTTGTGTGTCTCGACTCTTGAGCTTCCGCTTGAATCTTGATCGCACGCCTCATCGTTGCCCATCCATCATCCCGATGGATATTCAGGATTGATCTATCGCTTCAAGATCCGATCTCATTCCCCACCTGAACAGCTCCCCCTTTTCTCGCTGGAATCAAGTAGTTTCGGGCCCACCTGCTGTCTTACACAGATCACTTGGCGAAGTTGGTTTCGATTCTGACCGATAAAAAGCTGCCCAATCCCACGGAACTCTAAGATCTGTCTATTCCTCCTCATTTGCAACACGAGGTCTGCCAACGTTTGCTCCCTATCCACCACCATGAACTGTCCCTCCCGCACCGATGACACACTCGAGCACCCGGGCTGGAATCAGAACCCCCCTCCTCTCAATGCGGATTCGACCACCCGGGAGGATTTCAACGGCATGGCCAATTCCAAGGTTCACAGAGGACACACTTCTGGGACCACGGGAGAAGGGATATCGGTAATAGAGCATCGATCGCTCAGTCCGGACAGCGACGAGCCGGGAATCAAGAAGAGGCCTTCGGGGGAGGCGATTTCTGTGACCCCCGGGTACTCAGTACCCGGGGGGAACAGTGAATCGCCTCGCCATGCCTTCAAGTCATTATCCCTCCCTTCTTATTCTCATCTAGTTCAGAGTCTCGTGAAGTTTGGTCGTTTTGTGGGCCCGGGCTTCTTAATTGCGGTTGCCTATATTGACCCCGGCAACTATTCCACCGATGTTGCAGGTGGCGCGGAATATCAATATGCCCTCCTCTTCATAGTGCTGCTTTCTAATATCTTTGCTATCTTTTTGCAGTCACTATGCATTAAGCTGGGCACAGTGACCGGTCTAAACTTGGCCGAAAATTGTAGGGAACATCTACCAAAATGGCTGACGATTATCCTCTATATCTTGGCTGAGGCAGCGATTGTTGCGACGGATATTGCAGAGGTGTGTATTTTTTTTATGGAGGGTGTGAAATGGCTGCTAAATTGCTCAACAGGTTGTTGGATCTGCCATTGCGCTGAACCTTCTCCTACATATCCCCCTGGTTGCTGGCTGCGCCATTACCCTTGCCGATGTTCTCTTTATCCTCATCTTCTACAGACCCAACGGCTCAATGTGGGGACTACGCTTGTTTGAAGTCTTTGTCATGGCCCTCGTGCTGGGTGTTGTCATATGCTTCTGCATTCAGCTTTCTCTCATTAAACACCAGTCCGTTGGAGCAGTTTTCAAGGGTTACCTTCCATCTTCAGCCATTGTACAGTCCGAAGGGTAGGTTGAATCTCTTTTATTTCTCTTTTATTTCTCTTTTATTTCTATTCTTTTCTTTTCTTCTTCTTCCAACCATGATGTACTAATATTTTATTGCTCCTGCATAGTTTATATCAGAGCTGCGGAATTCTTGGAGCCACCGTCATGCCTCATTCATTGTTTCTTGGGAGTGGGATTGTCCAGGCTCGCCTGAAAGAATTTGACGTGACTAAAGGCTATGTAAACTCCACCGTTTGCATTGGAAGCACGGGAGAAGAGGTTGAATATAGACCAACCCTTGACGCCATTCGAGGTTGCATGAAGTACTCCATTGTTGAGCTTGCACTATCCCTATTTACCTTTGCCCTGTTCGTGAATAGCGCGATCTTGATTGTCGCGGGAGCGTCCCTGTACGGCACCTCATCCGCCGATAATGCTGACCTCTTCGGGATTTACGACCTCCTCTCTAGTTCTATCGCCCCCGCTGCAGGACTAGTATTTGCATTAGCTTTGCTTCTCTCGGGCCTCTCCGCAGGTATTGTCTGCACCATGGCCGGTCAGATGGTGAGCGAGGGCATGCTGAATTGGAGCATTCGGCCTTGGCTCCGCAGACTCCTGACCCGCTCTGTTAGTATTATTCCTAGCATCATTATTGCTGCGGCTGTTGGAAGAGATGGGCTGAACCAGACGCTTAATGCCAGCCAAGTGGTGCTGAGCGTCATTCTTCCCTTCGTCAGTGCCCCCCTCGTCTACTTTACTTGCCGCAGCCGATACATGACTGTTCCGGTGGAGCGGGTGCCCGAGGGCGAGGGCCAGGATCACGTAGAGGGCGTGAAGATGAAGAATGGTATTATTGTTTCCGTGCTTGCTGTTCTGATCTGGCTAATTATTGCGGTCATGAACATTGCTTTGCTGGTCCTCGTGGGCCTGGGCAAGGCTTAGCTGATAGCACCCCGCTACGTATGTGTTGATCTGTTTGGCTACCCATGGCAGAACCAAGATCCTACCATACAAGAGAAGGAAGAATGGAGTAGAATTTCGTTAGAACATCTAGAAACCGGAGTTTAGGAAGACTGCAATGAAAAGCGAAGTATAAGCATGAAACGTAAACGGTCATTATTATGCACATCCCAACTCCAGTGCTTCCATAATATATAATTTTTTTTTTTTTTTTAAAAAAAAAAGGACAGGGGGAAGGGAGAACGAGTACATCAGGTACTAGCGATCAACCCAATCCGGTAGCAGGCTCCTTAACTTTCGTGTGCTCCGGAGGCTCATCAATAAACTGCGGCGGCGCCACTTCATCCTGCATGAAGCTCGGCACGGCGCTCTCCGCCATCGAACTCTCGAACAAACTCTCCTCCCCCAAGGCCTCCAGCTCTGCATCCAGTTCAGCCTCATCCACGTCCTCCGGCACATCATAAGCCCTCGAGATACTCTCTTGAATCTCATTCCCGATCTCCATCAAATCCGCCATCTCGTCCTGCATGCGCTCGATCTTATCGATATCGATACTCCCGTATTGCTTCTTCAGCGTCTTGGTCGTGGTTTTCATGGCGTCCACAGTCGTCATCACGTTCTTCAGATTGTCCTGCATCATCCCAGCCTGTTCCATATTCCAGGATTGTTGCGAGAGTTGGTCGCGTTGGGCTTCGTATTGTTTGCGGCGCTGTAGCACTTTCAGCGCTTTCTGTTTGATTGCGTTTTTGCCGGGGCCGTCGCGCATCTTGGACATTTTCGCTTGGTACGATGAGAGCTCTGAGTTCAAGGCGGCTAGTTTAACATCTATACTTGCGATGCGATTGTCGACCTATTTGGTTGGTTCGTTAGGTTAGTCATTCATGTAGTTCTTGTGCGGGGGAGGAGAGCAGAACGGGGTGGAAGGGATAGCGAGCGGGCTTACATTTGAGATGGCGCCTTCGAGCGTTGGCTTAGGAGCCGCGCTCTTTGTGCCGAAAAGTCGATTCATCGTGGAAGTTGTGACTTGGGAGCAGGGGGAGAGAGTTGTTAGGTACTGATTTCATCTATGGTGAGTGGCAAGCTGGATGTCTGTCTGTTTGTAGACAAGGTAGTTAATCGGTGGGGGGTGTCATGTGATCCGAGCGCAATTCATAGACTGCATCTTTCCCATTCATCTATCTTGTTCTATATTCTCCTCTCTTTTGGTTTTTGACAAGGCACCTTTTTATTCTTGCTACCCTATTTATTGCTATCAACCCTGGCTTTATGCGCTCTGGATTCTTGCCACATTGTGGCTCATGATATTGTATGAGCGAACGGTATGGAGATGGGCATGGATTGGGATTAACCACACATCCAAAGGGGAGCTGTGTTTCTGCAGCATTCTATGTTGGTATATACCTAGGTATGTTACTAGATATCTTCTGTTAACATCTCTGGGTAAAACAATTGACATGATCCCTAGGTACCTATGGAGTAGTACGTACCTGTAGGTACCTAGGTATGTATACCCGAGTAGGTGGCCAAGGTCCAGTAAAGCGGCACTCCAGCTTAACCCAAACAGGCATTCGTCTGGAGAACTCCATGAAATAAGAATGAAAATTACTTCCCGGATGCCATCTTCTTTTCTCATCGAGGGTGAAGAAGAATTAAAGGAATCCCAATCATTCTACTTATAATCCTCATTTTCATCCATATCCTCATCCTATCCTCATTGCATATACTCAACTTTTGCACTGCTCCAAATCACACCAAACCACAAAACCAACCCCCACTTGAAACAATCGGTCGCGTACCTCCCTCCTCCGAACTCTTCTCTCTTTCTCACCTTTCCCTCCCCCTCACCATAATTATATATTAATAATAATACATACATATTCCTCAGTCCTTCGTCGATTTTCTTCCACACAGAACTTCCGCGCTTGAAATATTCCTCCCTTTCCCCGCTGCTGCTCATTGGGTTGGAGCCTGGTTCCTTTCCTTCCCCCTCTTCCCCCAAGCAGTGCCTTTTTCCAGGGATCAGAGTTGCCGGCCGATCCAGACACTACCGCCAGCACACTACACCCCAGGACGTAACGGCTTGCTGTCCTTACTTCCTGTCCTTGTCCTGTCCTGTCCTGTTCTGTCCGGCTGGATGACGCCTATCCTTCTGGTAAAGTGACGGTCTAGTTTGGCCTGTGCTTTGCAGCACCCTCGAAGGACTGTCTTACTCTCTAATTCTGCCACCTCCTTCCCTCTCTCCCTCCCTCCCTCTCTCTCTCTCTCTCTCTCTCTCTCGCTAGCAGCTTTGTCGTTCCCTTAGCTCATTGAAGGTATGCATCTCCTCCCCCTTCACCACCTCTCCCTCTTTCCCTCCCCACGCGATTCTGCCTGCTCCGTGATTATTACCCCAGTCAGCTACACCCCTGGTCTGGACTCATTCGGGAGTACTCCCGGTCCCGGCAAAGTGCCACGGTTGTCTCGTGATACGCCGCTCCTGGTCATCGATCTTGCTGCTAACTACATTATTCTCCATTCACAGTGCGCCTGGCTTCTCCGACTGGGTACTCATTTACCGACTATCTACCTCGACCCTACTTTTTTCGTGTCCAACCCGTTCCACCGCGACAAACCAACCCTATTAAACGTAGTATATGGGAGCTATTTTGTCTACACGTGTCCCACCTCCCCTTTCCTCCTCACACACTACACGAGGGCTCATAGATCCTTTTCTCTCTTTTCTCGCCCCACCTTCCAGCCTTATACCCTATAGAGCTCTCCGTTACCAAATTCAGGCGACGGACTGACCGTCGACCGTTGTTTGTGATACATCCATTTCTTTTCCATGACTCGCCGCGCCTGGTTATATAATCCAACATGTTCTGGCGTTTCGGGGGATATGCAAGTATCTCCACTATCGACTCCCTTCTGGACAAGCCCGATGTCGCCCTCGAAGAGCTGCTAGATGAGTCCGAGGTGATACAGGAGCTGAAACAACTGAATACGAAACTGATAGACTATTTACGCGAGGAGGATGTCCTGAAGAAATTGATGGATTATGTGATTGCTCCAAGCATTATAACCGATGACGACGACGACGAAGATGACGACAACGATGAAGAGCATGCCCTTAATGACGGAAAGAAGCGAACGACCGAAGATGATTCTGATCACAAGGAGAAGACGGGCGACCCCCTCAAGGGGCTTTTGGATCCGGAGGATCTTGAACGGGCGGAGAAAGACCGTCTCAAGCGAGCTTACGTTGCCTGTGAGATTCTTTCATCCGAAGTCTGGTCAATTCTAGATTCCATCATGCTCAACCCTGACTATCTGCGGGAATTCTGGGGTTTTATTCGTCGGCCCGCGCCGCTGGATTCTGTTCAGGCGAGCTACTTCACCAAGGTTAATGAGACCCTATTGGATAAGAAGACTAGTGAGATGCTCCGGCTGTTGAAATCTATGGACGCCATCGTCCCTGCAATTCTCCAGCATGTTGATAACCCTATGGTTATGGATCTTTTGTTGAAGTTGATTAGCCTGGAAAGGGCTGAAGACGGCCAGGGAATTGTTGATGTAAGCCCCCCTCCCTTGTGTTTTTTATTCTCTCTTCTCCAAATTTTGTAGTTGCTTTGGTCTGACAGAATATATAGTGGTTGAAATCGCAGGGCCTAATACCTAGGCTTCTTTCTTTCCTATCAACACAGTATCCCCCGTCCGTCCAAACTTCGGCAGGAGACTTTCTGAAAGCTATTATAACTATCTCTGCAAATGCAACGCAAAACGATCAATCCTGTATTGGTCCAAATAGCTTGACTCGCCAACTGGTTTCTCCCCCTTGTGTAGAAACTCTGGTTAAGGCGATGCTCCAAGGTGGGAACCCCTTGACGGTCGGTGTCGGCATTGTGATTGAAGTTATTCGAAAAAACAACTCCGATTATGATCCGGAGCACCTGAATAGCCCGGATTCGATTCCATCGACCTATGACCCTATCTACCTCGGTCATCTACTCCGGATTTTCGCCAAACATATACCCGACTTCATGGCATTAATCAAGAGCTCTAAACATACCGTCAATGAGGGAGGCAAAGTAAAGAGCGTGGAGCGAGGCCAGCTCAGCTCGGCCTGGGGCGCTAAAATTGAACCTTTGGGTTTCGACCGCTTCAAAACGTGCGAATTAATGGCTGAGTTGCTTCACTGCAGTAATATGGGTCTTCTAAACGAGCCCGGAAGCGATGAGTACGTGAAACAGCGTGATGCTGAGCGCGAGGCCGCTCTCCGAGCGGGTGCGGTAGGCCTGCATGGAGACGGAACGTCTACTTTTGATGGCAATGACTCTACCGCTGATTTCGTAAACGGCTCTGTTATTGGCTACGGCTCGCCCGAGGACTCTAGGGTTCTGGAAGTTGCGAATGCTGGTGACGAGGGATTTGAGGATGTAAGCTCCTCGGGTGTTCTTGTTGACAGGGAGAAGGAGGCCAGCGCTCAGGAGCCCCAGAAAGAGTCTTTACCGCAATCGGCTGAGAAGATATCTCTCCCTGCATCTGAGGAGGCATCGATGGGAGTTAACGACTCGGAGACCTCGGAAACGCATACCCCCCCCACTGATCCTCTGTCACCCACTACAACAGGACTCGCTGCTGAAATTGGCGATCTTTCGCTAGACAGTAATCTTATTACACCGGCGCCTCCTGATGTTTCCCCTGCTAGTGGTACTACCTCGGGAACATCGGAGCAAGATTCAGTCTCACCTCCGATGTCCTCGAATCCTGATGCTGTTCCTGCTCCCCTATTCTCTGCAAAGTCGTCGAATGTGGAAGCGGGCTCTTCGGTGGCTGTTCCTGCTCCCCAGGATGTTAATGCTTCGGGCTCGGGGGAAACTGGTCCACAAGAAACAGCCGCACCCGAAACCAATGAAAATACACAGCAACATCAGCATCCGGATGTTCAGATGGATCCAAACGGACAACCCGTTGTTGGTGATTACCTGAAAATCATGTTTGTGGAGAACCGAGTGGTGCCAACTATTCTGGTGAGTTTTTGTAAACGTGGTACTTCAGATAGCAAATATTCTAAAATTCGTTCTCTAGGACTTCTTCTTCCGATTCCCATGGAACAATTTCCTCCACAACGTTGTCTACGATGTTATCCAGCAGGTTTTCAATGGCCCCATGGATCGTGGATACAACAGAGTCTTGGCCGTGGATGTTTTTGAAACCGGCAGGATAACGCAAGCAATTTTCGAGGGTCAAAAGCGGAGTGATGAAACGCAGCGAACTAAGCAGATCAGACTCGGGTACATGGGACATTTAACACTCATTGCGGAGGAAGTCGTCAAGTTCAGCGAACGCCATCCCCCAGAATTGCTGTCCCCTGCGGTGATGGACTACGTACTCAATCCCGACTGGATCGATTATGTGGAACAAACACTTTCGGAAACTAGAGAGCGCGACAATGCAATCCTTGGCGGAGTCCGGCCCGACATCTCCATTGGACATCGCCAGGGTATGTTGAACAATGGCCAGGGAATGAACTCTTCTTCTGCTCTAGCAGAGGCCGGATTGAATGGCTTAGCTAGCGGATCCCACTTCCAGGGCTTTGACATGATGAACCAGGGCAGTGTTTCGGGTGGGGCTTTTGGCCTTGCTGCTGGAAACAGTTCCCTGCTTAGCGGATTTGCAAGTTCTAGTGATGACGACGAAGACGAAGAAATGGAAGACCACGATGATCGGCAGATGATCGAGCAGTCTACGGAAGATGGCTCCGACAATGTAGGTGACCATTCCTCTCTTGATGTTGAGATGCAAGATGTTTGAATTTGTTTGCAATTCCTTTTTTTTTTTTTTTGTATTTCATCCTTGATACCCCTTTCGCTCTTTCCTATTGGCGTATGCTTGGGGGGGGGGGGGGTTTTTTATGGCCAAAAGCAGCTAGGAAAGGGCTCATGCATGATGACGGGAGTGGTGGAGGCCATACAGGGACATACAGATTGAGCGCTTGACTTTCAACGCTTTTTATTTATGTATGAAATCTTTAAGAAATCCCCAACTCCCTGATGCCATGTCGCAACTTCTCCCACAGCTGGCTTTCTCCTGCTAGTTATGTAGCTAGTCTACACCCAGCTTTGGGGGTAGGCTCTGGGTTTTGGATACCTCTTGCGGTGTTTTGTTTTGTGTGTTTTTCGGGGAGGCTGTCTTTGAAGACGTGATGCTGCTCTTGCATTCCATGAGTCAGTGAAAATATGATGTGGAGTCGCTAACTGTATAATAAACAGACCTCCTCGAACTCTACAAGTCAGCCTATTCCAATCCTGCCTCCACCGCCAGCTCCCCTAAGTCTTGGACCCTCTCGGGCGCGACGACAGCTCGCTGCACGGCTTGCCCTTCAGAAACAGCAGGCAGCTGAAAATCCTGAAGGCGACGAGGAGAGAGACTCAACCGATGTGCATGGCAATAACGAGTTCCAGTGGCCCACTAATTCGTTTGTGATTGCGGGTTTTAACGAAGACAGTGACCGAGACCACTCGTCAGACTTCCCATCCTTACATAATGACCAGCCGTTCGCATCACCCACCTTCCCTGATTCCGGGTTCAGCCCGTCCGACTCATTTTCTACTGGTTCCTCTGACGATGGAGATGATATGATGGGAACGCGAAGACGCAAAGAGCGTGTTCCCTTGGAGGTCGATGACGACGAGGACGATATGGGAGAGATGGTTGGCCCATCATTTGGTTCTGACATGATGGACTCCGATGAAGAAGACGAAGCTGTTCTCAATGAATCCTTAGGCTACCCCGAGCTTGGATCCGGGCAGTATAAGAGCTTCCGAGGATCTCGAATGGGGCACTCTCCCTTCGGGAACGACGAGCAAAGTGACAGCAGTGATGGCGAGGATGATGGACTAGTCGAGATCTTAGTTCCTGGCAGGAGGTCTTCCGGATTATAAAAGGCAACCCTCGGTTTCGTTTTGGCTTTCCTCCCCATTATTTTATACCCATCGTCAAATTCCTTGACTGGCAACCCATGTTCTGACTATTTTCCGACGATCCCAAATACTCATGATGATGATTATTATGATGATGTACACTACTATTTCCCTGCATGGCATTGTATATGTTTCGGATGCATACCCGAACGCGCGACGAGAAAGAACAGCGAAGCGGCTACGGCTGGTTTGGATAAAATGTGAGAGCCGCCCTGCGCGACACTCTGATGATATTTGGCTCATGTTGATTCTGATTGATGGTGATTTTTACGAGCTTTTTGTGGCGTTGAAATTTGCGGTTGACCTTTTTTTTTTTTTGATCCTCTTGCATTTGCATTTGTCTATGGCGATATAACTGCTCGAAGACTAGCCTCTGACTGCCAGAGTCTTGTACGATAGTTGAATTAGACGAATGTTTGTTTATTAAGTGCGTGTGCTTGGTAATTTACAGCTGTTATTCGATACATCGTCATATTCTTTTACGCTCTTTTTTAAGGTGACTGACTGTGTATGTCGAGTTGAGTAAGTGTAGAGAGCCAAAAACAAAAAAGTAAAAAAGTGGGACATTACAACATCAGCTCCAGAAATTGTTTCCTCCATTGACTGACATTGCCCAACAGCACACCCAGGCTTTTCTGCCTGGTCCTCCACCACTTGCTTCGAACCACCGACCTTTATTTACCGGATATAAGAGGAGAACGATACCAGAGTGATTAGGACTGAATTCGTGGGATCATGACCACAGAACTTGGCCCGGGCGGGGTTCCTTTAAGGTGAGCTTTACGAGCAATGTGATGGACATCATCACTGTATCGATCGACTGAGCTACTTGACTCGTTGTCTCTACATCTTTCCTTTTGATTCTCTTCCAGCTGGCTTCATATTCTTCATTTATTCTACCGCTCAAACAAACCTGGTCAATGAAATCTCTGACACAATCCAACCCCCAGCACCCAACCCAGCAAAGAAATCTACACTACCCTGCTGGAATGGCTAAAATCCCACGGCGGCAATCTCCATGAAAGTGTCCTAATAGACCAAGATGACACGCGTGGCGTTCATGTCCGTGTAAAGCGCGAGTGGAAGAATGCCACCGGCGTCTCCAGCAACACCCATATCATCCAAACACCCATCACAACAACCATGTCTTATTTCAATGCGATCGATTACCATTCTTCTGACTCAATTAAGTTCCCGGCGCATGGGGTGCAGTTCCCGTCTGCATTTATTGAGAGCGTTGGGCCCGAGGAAGTTGCCATCTTCTTCCTGATCGGTCAGTATTTGCGTGGCGAGCAGGGGTTCTGGTACCCGTATCTGAGGACCCTCCCGCAGCCGGGGTTACTGACCACGCCGCTTTATTATGAGAGTGCAGAGGATTTGGAGTGGCTGCAGGGGACGAGTTTGCTGGCTGCGAGGGAGCAGAAGATGGGGTTGTTGAGAGGGAAGTATGAACAATCTTCTGCGGAGCTTCGTAAGGCTGGGTTTGGGGATGTGGAGAAGTATACCTGGTGAGTTTTTTTTTGACTATTATATCTCTGGTTATCTTTTGATTCGTCGATGTGTGTTGTGGGTGTGCTGCTAAAAAAAGGTACTTAGGGATTTGTATCTTTGGGCCTCGACCATCTTTGTTTCGAGGGCGTTCTCTGCAAAAGTCCTTTCTGGGGTTATTACCGATCTGGGAGTTCCTGAGGAGAATATCTCCGTTCTTTTACCTTTCATTGATATGCTGAACCACCGGCCACTGGCTAAGGTGGAGTGGCGGGCTGGGAGGGAGAATGTCAACTTTGTTGTGTTGGAGGATGTTGGTGCGGACCAGGAAATTGCAAATAACTATGGTCCTCGAAATAATGAGCAGTGTAGGTGTATCCTTTTTTTTTTTTTTTTTTTTGTTTTCGTGATCAGGCTAATATGATAATGGGCAGTAATGATGAACTATGGCTTCTGTCTTGCGGGCAATCCGTGCGACTACCGCACTCTCAGTTTGCGCGCACCACCCGGCAGTCCGCTACAGATTGCAAAAGCCCAGCAGGCACAAATGTTCCCTGATTTGGCCAAGGATGCAGAGGACCCTTACTACGTGTTTAATGTCTTCTATCCTTTGCTTGCCCCTGATATCCCCATGGAGCATTCGATCTTCTCGCCAGCCCTTTTCAATGCCGTTTCCGTTCTGGCTGCCAACAACAGGGAACTAGAAACGCTGGAGATTACGGAGAGCGAAATTCGAATCCCCGGTGCTTACGGCAGTTCACGGTCACTCCTTGCTGCAATCAGCCAAATCGTAATCGAACTCATTACACATATCGTCAAATTGAGGTCATCCGTGCCGGGCCAAAAAGCACCAAGCAATCTCAAACAGTCCCACGCCCAGATCTACCGCGAGAGCCAGATCACGCTCTCAGAAACTGCCCTCGTCATTGCTGCATGGACCATGCATTGCGCACGACAACACGGTTTCCAGGGAAGCTGGAAGGAATCGAAGTGGCTTCTCGGAGCCCATATGGCTAAGATTCCTGCCGGCAAGTTTCCAGAGGAACTAAAATCTCGAATTCAAGTGAGGATTCTAGAGCGGCCGTCCCTGTTGACTAGCAGCGGAGAGCTTTTTACGCTGAGTGAATTACTGCATCTCATTCCTGCTGAAATGCAAAAGTCTTGCCAGGACTGTTTCAAGGCTGTTCTGACAGCTGCAGAGCGAGGCATTCCACCACTCCGAGGAATGACAGATGAAGAATCGCCCTTTCGGTTCCCGCTTTTTTTGTGCTTCATTGCTGCGTTTCATAATGCCGGTGAGGGTAGCTCTTTGCCCTCCCGACTCTCTCGATGGGCTGGTTTCTTACTCGAGCACTATCCACCACCGCCTGATGATGTTGCTTGGGCGCTGGAGGATGAGGATGACGAGGGGTTACTAAGCATGCTTGACGATGTCTTGGAAAACATGCGGGGCCAGAATGCGGAAGTTTTCTCGAACTTGGAGCCGTTCACTGGTGAATGGAGGCAGGACGCCTGGTGGTTGTCTCCCAACTGGTTGCGGTGGGCGTGGATGGTGATAGAGCAAGAATGCGTTCAGGTGCCGGAGAACCCGCTTGGGCTGTTAGAGACGGGGGGTACGGCAGGGAGGGTAATGTTATCGACGGAGACATATTTGTATATTCCGCAAGAGCAGTGACACTTACTTATCTATGAATGACCCATGGATGGATTTGCGATTGTAATTTATATGTAATTTATGCGTATTTGAGGTGTAATTGGCGGTCATCCGGTAAGAATACACCTGCTGACAAACCCTACCACGTGATCATATTCAGCCAATCAGAACGCGGCCAAAGGCGGATATTCAGCAAACGCAGGAATTGAAGCTCGACGACCTCCATCACCAAACCGTCTCCCCCCTCGTGTTGTGCTCTCTCTTTCCCATCTTTCCCTCTCCCGCTCTCCCTCCCACAAGCCATTGGGCTATCGATCACCATGATATCTCGAGCGGTGGCTCCTTCGTCTTCCCCCCTCGCCACCCTTTCCTCCCGTTCTCTCCGCCTCCAGGGTGCAGCCACCCGCTCGTTCGCAACCGTCCAGGACAATGCCCCCCCCGTAAGGCATCACGGCGGTCTGAAGGACCAGGATCGGATTTTCACAAACCTGTACGGACACCATGGCGTGGACCTGAAGTCTGCGATGAAGTTTGGAGACTGGCACAAGACCAAGGAAATTGTGATGAAGGGCGATGACTGGGTAGGTGTTTTCTCCCGGAGGAGGGCTGAGTGTGTCCAGCAACCTCTCTCGGACCACCCGGTAACAAGGTCAATTGGGCCAATGCTAATGCGGTGTTTTTTTTTTTTTTTTTTTTTTTCTGGTGAATAGCTCATCTCGGAACTCAAAGCCTCTGGCCTTCGTGGCCGTGGTGGTGCCGGTTTCCCTTCCGGTCTGAAATACGTAAGCGTCCACTCCCTCCCTTTTTCGACAATGGAGTGCCCCGGGTTATCGGAATTGGGTTTAACATGTTCTCTGGACATAGTCTTTCATGAACTTCAAGGACTGGCAGAAGGACCCCAGACCTCGTTATCTGGTTGTCAATGCCGATGAGGGTGAGCCCGGAACCTGCAAGGACCGTGAGATCATGCGCAAAGACCCCCACAAGCTCATCGAGGGCTGTCTCGTCGTTGGTCGGGCTATGAATGCCAATGCCGCCTACATCTACATCCGTGGTGAATTCTACTACGAAGCTACCGTCCTCCAGCAGGCCATCAACGAGGCCTACCAGGCCGGTCTGATCGGCAAGAACGCCTGCGGAACTGGCTATGACTTCGATGTGTACATCCACCGTGGAATGGGCGCCTACGTCTGCGGCGAGGAGACCTCCCTCATTGAATCGATCGAAGGCAAGGCCGGCAAGCCCCGTCTGAAGCCGCCATTCCCTGCGGCCGTCGGTCTTTTTGGCTGCCCCAGTACCGTCACCAACGTCGAGACCGTCGCTGTTACCCCTACAATCATGCGTCGCGGTGCTAGCTGGTTTTCCTCCTTTGGCCGTGAACGTAATGCCGGAACCAAGCTCTTCTGTATCTCAGGTCATGTCAACAACCCCTGCACAGTGGAAGAGGAGATGTCCATCCCCCTGCGTGAGCTGATCGACCGCCACTGCGGTGGTGTCCGCGGCGGCTGGGACAACCTTCTTGCCGTCATCCCTGGTGGTTCTTCCACCCCTGTTATCCCCAAGTCCGTCTGCGATGACCAGGTCATGGATTTCGACGGTCTCAAGGACTCGCAAACTGGTCTGGGTACCGCCGCCGTCATTGTCATGGACAAGTCCACCGACATTGTGCGCGCCATCTCGCGTCTGTCTGTCTTCTACAAGCACGAGAGTTGCGGCCAGTGCACTCCCTGCCGTGAGGGCAGCACATGGACCATGAAGATGATGCAACGTCTAGAGAAGGGCCAGGCCCGCGAGCGCGAAATCGACATGCTTCAGGAGCTTACCAAGCAGGTCGAGGGTCACACTATCTGTGCTCTGGGTGAGGCTTTCGCGTGGCCCATCCAGGGTCTGATCCGACATTTCCGTCCCGAGCTGGAAGCCCGCATCAAGCAGTTTGAGCAGGATTTGGGTGGCAAGAGCTCCCTCGCTGGTGGCTGGCACCCTAACAGCCGGGCCGAGGGCAAGCTGATTTCCCCGGGCATGTAATTTTACAACATCATACACTTACACAGTTGATTATTCCCCAAAATCGAAATCGAAATCGAAATCGAACTTGAAATTGAAATTGAAATCGAACCCTTGGCTACTATAGCATAGATGGTTGCACGCCTATACTTGGTGATAGAGAAGTGAACTAAACTGTATGTATGGTGGAATAGGTGTTATATTACCTCTCTTTTTTCCTTTTCTTTTACTAGTGTCTCTATTTCTATTCCTGTTTGTTTTGTGTGTGCGTGTCTTTTTCACTGTGTTTTTTTAGATTATTAGGGTTGATCATGTACAGTTTCCCTAGTAGCAATGAATGATTGTTCTCATCCTAGCTTTTACCACGTAACCCCAGGGTGTAAATAAATACTCTATTTCGAGGGGATACACAGTCACAGCTCACCACCGTAAGCTCATTTCGTCATTATCTAAGTGACGTTCAGTTCAATCAAGCAATCAACCCTAAATTAGATAGCATACTGAAGATCTATCTATCGATATATATATATATATAACCTCTGTCTTGTCTCATCACCCCTTGGCTAGTTACCAGCGCAGGCAGCGGTAAAAAAAAAAAAAAAAAAGGAGGTTAATCTAAATACATACTAGATACCCAACCGCTCTAATAAAGGCCTTTTTTAGTACAGGAAGTATCTAGTAGGGGGATTGGATTTCGTTACTTTAAGAGAGAAAGGAGATGGAATAATAATAATAATAATAATAATAATAAGTCTGCTGGCTGACCTAGTAGTATTTATTTCAGTTGCAATTCTATCGTGTGCTCTGCTGCAGGGCTATACAGGAACCACATAGATCATCTCCCTACACATCTACATACATAATTGGATGTAGTCAAACAATGGTGGTTGAAATAAATAAGAGGTGGATGGATGGATCACTGGTGGATTACATACATTATTTGGCCTAGATTTGTTTGTCCTTTGTCCTCTCTCCTTTACATACCTATGTAAGGTACCTTGGTCAACCCTATATTTTAAACCCTAGAAGAAGAAGAAGAAGAAGAAGAAGAAGAATCGCCTAAAGCACAGCAAGAAGAAAGAGAAAAAAAAAAAAAAAAACAAGTCAAGCAACTCCCTTGTCAGCTTCCAGATCCCTTCTCTCCTTTTCCCTCTCCTCCCTTCTCACCCGTCTCTTCTCCCTCCATTTCATCCCGTACAGAAACTCCACATACACCAACCCTAAGCTAAGCAACATCACCAAGCCCAAAAATGTAAAGCACCAGCCCCATCCCATCCCGCTGAGCATGTAATCGATCACAGCCGCGCCCACCGCGCCTAACCAGCACCGAACGAGGTTACAGGCCGCCGACGCGGTCGCGGGCCGATCAGGGAACAGGTCGATGAGCAGGGTGTTCAGGGTATTCGTGGATGCGATCATAGAGAAGCCGAGGATGAATTGGAGGATTAGTGGGGCGGCCAGGGGGGCTCGTTGTTGGAGAACCCAGCCGTAGGGTGTGTAGGTTACTATCGCCAGGAGGATGATGCACAAGAAGGGTTCCAGGCGGGCCTTTTCGATAGGGAAGTTTCGGAGGTCGGTGTTGCGTTTGCGGTCGAGAGGGACGGAGAGGAGCGTGCAGTAGCGGCGGTAGTTGCGGTCGAGGATTTTGCCGTTGATGATTGCACCTAGGGAGGCGCCTGCTCCGAGGGGACTTTTTGAGAGGTTGTCAGTTATGTTAGGGAAGAGACAGAGAGAGAGAAAGGAAAAGGGACATACAGGAAGCAAAGACCAATCTGGAGATCATTGAAGCCGTATATCTTTGTGAAGAGCGTCGGGGTACTAGTTAGAAGAGCGATATTGGCAAACATCACCACGCCGATGTATGAGATGAGAATGAGAGCGTCTGGTTCGAGGAGGATCACGAAGGACTTGAGCGGGTTTGGGAAACGAAGCTTGGATCTTGCTGCACTTCCACCAGGCTGTCCAGCAGCACTCCGAGAAGCATCAACATCAACATCAGGATGACCATCAGAGTTAGGCCTAGTAAGAGCCGCATGACTGCGCAGCTGCCACCATTGAAGAACAGATCTCCTCCACCACTCCGCGGGCAGCACACTCCCATCACCGACAATCCGGCGCGCGGTCTCTGGCACAAGCAGCACAAACACAACCAAGAACCCACCACTGATAATCACTAGGAACCAGAAGACGCTGCGCCAGCCCAGGAACTTGGCAAGGATACCGCCAATAACAGGCCCCAAGGCCGGTGCAACCATTACCCCCGCCGCCATGGGCCCGATATACGTGCCCCGTTCAGCCGGGGTCGCAATATCAGCGATAACGCCGTACCCAAAGGAGATGGTGCCGCTGCTCCCCGCACTTTGGATGCACCGGAGTATCATGAGCGCTGCGTAGCTGTTCTGCAGAGCGAGACCAATATTGGCAGCCGTGTAGATCGTAAAGGCGATGATGTACGCGGGGCGCCGGCCGCCGGAGTCAGCAAAGGTACCCATAAAGCTTGGGGCCAGACCCTGGAGAATCATGTAAGTGGTGATGGTCAGATTGATGAGGGCTGGGGTGAGATGGTAGCTCTTCACGAGCGTAGGCATGACAGGGTAATAGATCTGTCCCGAGAGTGGGGAGAAGAAGGAAGCCAAGGTGACCATGGCCACGATCATGCGCGTCTGGGCTTTGCTAAAGGTAGAGTAGACCTGGGGCTGCTCCTCGGTGGTAGCTGGAGTCGCCTCAGTCTCGTTTTCGGTGTCTTTGGTTGCTGCTGCTGCTGCTGCTGCTGCTGCTGTCGAGGGGGAAGGTTCCTTGGTTGCATCTGATGCAGGATCTCCTGGATCTTTCTGGGAAAGAGACAGAGAAGGGGAGGTGGAGGACGAAGAGACTGCAGAAGAAGCGACATGCTGGATCTCCTCTGCTGAGGATCTCCCTCTTTCAAGAGGTCTGGGCTTTTCAGAGGTCATCGTGACGATGTGGTAGAGAGTGAACAGGGGAATGTGGTTGTATCAGATACTGAAGTTGTACGTCCAATGCAGTCCCATCGACGGACACACGAAGCGGCCAGGGACAGACAGTGTTGCACTGAGGACGGGGGAAGATGAGGCTGGAAGAATCGTCCTCCCCTTTTCCTCTCTTCCATGGCAACATCTCCCAGTGTTTGGATTTTTTTTTTTTGACCTTGGGTGAGGCCCGGTGCCGGCTTCTTTTCTGCTGGGTTAATCCCGGAACAGGCCCTGGAAGCCGGAACCGGGATGGCATCACAATGACTTCCTTCCCGCTTTGTTTGGGGGTTTTTTTTTACAAGAGATACACATTGAAAAGACGGGCAACTTGCTTGATATCATTCAGTTAGCTACCTAATAATCGTATTCACGCCACAGGAACAGAAATAGGAAGGGACCGCGACGGGGCTCGTACAGATAGACATGGATCCATGATACATTCTCCAGCGTCCAAGATGGCTTCATTGAGGAAAACAAGACAATGCAGGGAATCAACTAGGATACAGGATGGTGCTGGTTCATGCAAACACAAAATTACAGGAAGAATAGGGGTAGATGGTGGCATCGGAAGGGGGAAATAGTGGTAGAAGACAAATCACGAGTCAGTGGGAGGAAGTCGACAGTTTTGAAGTAGATGGAGAAAGAGAACGGAATAATCTAAGAACGACATGTCAAAAAAAAAAGAGGAAAATAAAAAAGCTCAATAGCCCCCGGCCATGACAACGCTGTAATAACGACGACTCATCTCCGCCGTCTGTACCAGCCGAGCATCTCCTGTCAGAGGCAGCTGGAGTACGCGGGATAGTTCAATAGCCTAGAATGGGGTCAGCATTCGAAAAGAGAAAGTTTGTTTGTTTTTGAATGAATGGAGAATAAACCAAAATAAATATATATATGGTACATACCTTTGCGTCTTCTTGGACCGTCCAACGAGCAACCACTCGGCTCATCTCCTTAAAAGCCACTCGTTCCTCGAGCCCCTCCACACCGGAACTGTGGCCAATGGTCTCGCCCATCGTGACCAGGGCGTTTACCAAACGGTTCAGGCGATGCGGATCTCGTTGTCCACTCCGAGCAGTGGCCAGACGTAAAAAGTCTTCGTAGACACCCCCACCACTAGCCCAGCCTCGCACATTGCGCTCGGGGCCTTCTCCAAAGCCGGACAGGAGTGTCTCCAAAGTGGCGTAGTCATGCTCAATTACTGCGGTGGGTCCGACAATACGACAGAAGGTTGCATGTGCATCATCCCAGTTCTTGCCACGAACAAGGAAATCGACCTCACGAGCCGCATCACCGGTATCCCGGGCATAGAGGGCCTTGGAAACCCAAATCCAACCCTCAGGGAGCTGAAGATCGTTCGTGAGATGGTGCCAGGTGGTGTTCGGCGAACCTTCCGGAGTAAGTGGGTCAGGGAGATGAGCAGCAAACCGCGCCAGGATTTCTTGAATGGCTCTCTCGCGATCCGAGCCACGGGATAAGTGTAGGAGAACAAACAAGGTGCGAGCTAGCTCCCCACTTGCACTGAGTTCCCAGGCGTAATCCCAAACCAGCTGATCCATATGGGCAACATTGATCGAAAGGCGATCAAATTGGCCAAGAGCAGCAGCAAGGACCCGAGACAGCTGGAACGATAATCTGTTGGATAGTTTGTCCCCAGATACAGACTGAGGCTGAAAAGCGGCGGGTAATTCCAAGGCATGGAGACTTGCGCTCTTAGCCGCGCCCACGGTGGCAGAATAGGCCTGGAGGAGAACCCAGAGGGGAGACTCGCGGCCCAGGGTGTCCTTGGATGTATGCCACACACCACGGTCCTTGTCCTGGTGAGGAGGGCAAGGGAAGGCCGGCTCTTGACCAGTCTCGAGATCATGGGCAAACTTGGCCACAGCGGCTTCAAGGGGGTCGTCATCGCTGATTCCGTACCAAAGACGCAGGCCAAATGCCTGAAACCAATCCAATTCAAACCGTTCGGAGAAGGTGAATGTGGATGCGCGGTCTTCTAATGCACCGCCGGCCTTGCCCTCGCTACGAAGGGCATTGCCCGCGAGCAGTTCATACAAGGCTCGAATCGGCTCATTCATCTCGGAGTAAACGTTATGCTGGCGCCACATTTCAACCTGCTGAGACATGTCCTGGCGAGTAGTGGGATCTCGGCCAATCTGGGACACAAGAGTGGCAAGGTGGAAATTCTGGCTGGTAGTCAAGACGTTGCAAGCTTCCTCAACCCGGTGCGAACACAGCAGGTAGATGGCGCGTTCTTCAGCCGAGCCAGCTTGACCCACAGCATGTGCATTTCTTTCGCGGACAATGCCCTCCCAAAGACGGCTCAGGCGGTCTTTTTTGATGCGGTGAGAATACTTGGACCGAAGTTGTGGAGGCACGCCAGCCGAGATATCATCGTCGATCTCGTCGTTGAACAGGATATTAGCGAGCTGCCAAATTAATCGTTCCGAATCCGAGGGTACCGTGTTTGATGCTTTTGCAAATTGTTCGAAGTTGACCTGGGCCAACCGAGCGAATGGAACTCCGTCAACTTGATCGATAGTGGATTGCTTGATCTGCGCATCAACCATCTCTTGTGACTCGGCACTTGGACCAACCTCCAGGAGAACAATATCTCTGCCTTCACTGAAAAGAGAGAGCTTTTGTTTCCAGTGTGAGTACCCAGCCATCTCGTCTTTGACGCAGATTAGAGAATTCACAGGACCCCATCGAGGTTTGAACGAGCGATGGAAAGCAATGTCGTCTCGGCTCATTTCATTTGATTCTCCTGCGAAGGTCTTTGGTTGCTTGTTGTAAGGCCACTATAAAAAAGAAACAAAGAGGTTAGTTAGTTGCTTACTTCAAAACCTCATATCATCGATTAAAGGTATATTAAAAAAAAAAAAAAAAAAAAAAAAAGGTGAGTCAAACCTCGAACCCTTTAGGCTGTGTACTGGGTGCCTTCGAAGGAATAGATGGTGGTTGCGGCTTTCGCGGTTGTTGGAACAACGAGTTCATGAGGTCAATACTGGTGGCAAAGCCTTTTTGACGAGTGTTCGTCGCAGATTGCTTTGGCGTGCCCTCACCACTCAGCGGTCGGTCACTAAAAGCATTTGCCTGGATTTCACGCAGGGCATCGCGGTTTTGTTTTCTGGGGCTGATGGTTCGCTGCAACTGTTCCGCCCAGTCGCCAGTAAGATCAAGGCAAGCCCTGGGGGGTGTATTCCACGGTTTCAATGAGGGGTGGGTGAGTTCATCGCTGGTGATGCTCTGGGCATCGTCCTGCTCCACGGTACGATCAAGGATCGGAAAGGTACCCGCCATGTCCATTTCCTCACCTGGATCAAATTCAACTTCGGACTCGCCAGAATGCTGGCTGTCGGTGATGGTGTCACCGTCTTGTTCAGTTGAACCCGTGGAGCCTTCCCCTAAAAAAGACTCGTCTTCGTCGTCTTCAGAACCTAGATCGTGCTCGTCGACAGCCTCCCTAGCCTGCTGGTGGTGGCCAAATGCCCCGGGAACCAATTTACGCTTCTTGAAATCGAATGTGTCGTCGTCGACTCCCCCCACCACCGAGCTCATAAAGGAGACATCAGTGGAGAAGATCTCGGAGCCGACGGTCAGATCGTGGTCGGCGGGGGATCGAGCCTTCGGAGTCGGAGTGTCAGGAGCAGCACTCAACGTGCTTTGATTGAGGCTCTCACCTTCTTCTTCTTCTTCCTCCTCATCGTCATAGTCAAGACCATAGGTTGTGTAGTGAGGCACCTTGAAAACCCATGTTCCAGTTTGCGTTTCGTAATCCACAAATTCGGTATTATGAACCTTCCTGAGGCGGTCGACGTGCTTGTCAAAGAGAGGACCGGTGGTAAGGGGCGAAGGGGATTTCTTATCCCGCCCCCCTCGGGGCCAAGAATTTTCAATCCGCAGGGTGGAGGGTACGTTCAATCCCTTGCCCCTAGGGGGTTTGATTGCCTCATCTGGGTACACGGTAATCTTGCGGACCCCGATCTCCACAAGGCCACCGAAGATTTGATCCAGGTCGATCGTTGTCATGTCGACAGGCTCATCAAAGGTCACCGAACCGCAGTGTTGGCGGCCAACAGTGAAGCCGACAAAATGCTTTAGCTGGTCGCGGTTCATCTTGTTAAGCTCGGCGCGTGTAGGCTTCATCCAATAATCTCCCGGCTGTGGGTCCGCACCAGGGATAAAGGGGAGCCGTGAGGAGCTGTCGGCTGCAGCAGGAGGGGTGGTATCTTCTGGGACGGCGGGGAGATCCATGGGACGGACAGACTCCATCTCAGGACGGGTGGCGATCTCCGGGGTTGGTTTAACTCCATTGACGCCGTTGACGGTACCGGTCTTGCGGATAGAGCGCAGGAAGCCTAGCTCCTCCGAGGTGGGCTCGGGGCTTTGAGCCTCCACCGGGATGATCTCTCCGCCAGTTGCAGTATCAGAAGGGGATTCGAAGCTAACCTTCTTTTTGACCTTATCCACGGACTGTGCGGAATCCTCGCCGTTGGTAATCGCAGTAGGGGTGCTCACCGGACGAGTAAAGAGATCATTCCTCAGCCCGCGATCAATCGTGAGGCGCTTCAGGCTACCACTTGACAGACGGGAGGAACCGGAGGACAGAGCGCCAGGAGACAAGATGCTATCCGTCTCGGGGTCAAAGGTCTTGCGCAGATTGCTGGTGGAAAAGCTCTTGCTGAAGGTGCTCCGTCCGAAGCTACCGTTCATGCTCCCACGCAAGCTGCCGCCGAGAAGGCTGCCCCCAAGTCCATTCGGGGTGCTGGCAGTGCTGGAAGGAGACCCATAGGTGGAGTAAGAGAAGCCGTATCCCTGGCGTTTCGGCGGGGTGATCAGACGATTGGCAGCGTTAGGCGTAATTTTGTAAACCGGGAGCGGGGTGCGTTGCTTTTGCTTATTCGCCGACGCGAGAGGTGTTGCCAGGGGGCCAGGGCTGGCGGTGTTGGGAGCTGGCAGACCGGAGAAGATGGACTGGTTTCCATACGGGTTGCCATCAAACAGGGAGGCCTGCAGGCTACCGGGCATAGGCTGGGATTGCTGCATCTGCTGGGGCTGCTGCGCTTGTTGTGCACCGCCGAAGAGACTCGAGGTACCCAGACCTCCGGGTTGGGCCTGGGTGTTACCAAACAGCGAGGAACCTGTGTTTTGGGCCTGTGCGCCTGCACCTCCGAACAAGGAGCCACCGGCGACAGAACCACCGAACATGCTAGGTTTCTGTTGTTGCTGGTTCTGCGCGCCACCAAAGAGACTGTTTGTTCCGGTCTGCTGGGTTTGGGTATTTCCAAATCCTCCAAATGCACCGGTTCCAGTGGCTGTGCCTGTTGTCCCAGCTCCGAACAAGCTCTTTTGTCCTTGCTGCTGGTTTCCGCCGAAAAGAGATCCGCCAGCGGCTTGCTGATTTGCGCCGCCAAAGAGCGAGCCACCAGCCTGCTGTTGGGGTTGCTGCTGATTCTGTCCGAAGAGGGAGGTCCCTGTGTTGGCCGTGTTGCCCCCGAAGAGGCCAGGAGTGGTGGACTGCTGTTGGGTATTTGTTCCGAATCCGCCGCCGAACAAACCTTTGTTCTGGGTCTGGGCTTGATTCTGGTTTTGGCCAAACCCACCGAAAGCGCCCGTGCCAGTCTGTTGCTGCTGCGGCTGCGGCTGCTGCGGCTGCTGGGCACCAAAAGGAGAGGAAGTCGCAGCAGTGCCACCAAATGGAGTGGATGTGCTAGTGTTCTGCGTGCCAAAGCCACCAAAGCCGGGGGTGGTGCCCGTGGTTCCAGTAGCTCCTCCAAACAAGGGTTTGTTTTGCTGTTGCTGCTGGGAGTTATTGCCGAACAACGAGGCGCCAGATCCACCACCAAAGGCACTTCCTGTGTTCGCGGTGGACCCAAAACCACCGGTGGCTGCAGTGGTTCCGCTGAAAAGGCTGGGCTGAGAAGTAGTAGTAGCAGTTGGAGTAGCTCCGCCGAAGAGAGAAGTGGCCGGCTTGGAGGCTCCAAACAAAGGGTTGGAAGATGTTGAGCCGAACCCACCGGCAGTCTGAGTCTGGCCAAAGGCAGAGGGAGCGCTGGTGCCGCTACCAAATCCGGTGGAGGTGGTGCCAAAGCCAGTGGACTGTGGCTGTTGTGTGCCAAATCCCGATCCCCCAAAAGCGGAAGATCCAAAGGCTCCAGCCTGACCACTTCCATTTCCATATCGGCGACCTTGGTTATAATCCCCTAGACGAAGTTCTTCAAAGGAATATTTGCTATACGGCTGCATAAAGGAAACGCTTTGGTAATGGTTGGTGGCACTAGAAGCTCCGTCCTTCTCAGTGAAAGCGCTGAAAGGAGTACTTCCAGTGCCATCAGAGGGGGGGACAGCCTGTTGAAACGCAGTTCCTGTTCCACCGCCAAAGCCCGAACCAGTGCTGCCTCCAAACCCACCACCAGTGCCAAATCCGCCTGTGGTGCCAGTTGTGCTGCCAAAAGCTCCTCCAGTCTTATTCCCAAAGATCCCACCACTGGTGTTTGAGCCAGCACCAAAACCACCACCACCACCACCGCCACCACTAGTGTTTCCAGTAGATCCGAAGCCCCCAAATCCACCGCCGCTAGTCTGGGTCTGGGCGCCGCTGCCAAAGAGGCTACCACCGGAGGATGTCGCGGTTCCGAAACCACCAGTGCGGTTTTGGGATCCAAAAAGCGAGTTTCCTTGGTTTTGAGTGGTTGTTCCGAATCCTAGGCGAGAAAAAGAGAGAGAGAGAGAGAGAGAAACCGTCAGTACCATAATGGATGGTTGGTTGATCAAGGGTTGAAAAAAAAAAAAAACCCCCCCGAGCCCAGGAGAAAACAAGAAGAAGCAAGTAGAAGAAGAAAGCAAAACAAGGCCATCCCAAGGTGCGGATCCTGATAGTTGGTGGCTACTCTAATTGGAATTCCTCGATGGTCTCCAGGCAAGAGCAATTCGATCAAGGGCCAGCTATGGCCAGCTTACGAAGCACCACCATTCGCACCCGCAAAGCAACTCAGGAAGCGCGAAGCAGGTGGCAACAGCAGAGAAAGGATCGCGCAGGTCCTCAAGAGAGACCCATCAAGCACGTACCTCCACCGGAACCAAAGCTACTGGAGGTATTCCCGAACAGGCCACCCCCAGAGGTGTTGCCGCCTCCAAAAGGAGTCGAGGTTGATCCAAAGCCTAGATGATGGGGGCAGAGGCTGTCAGAGACTGTCATCAAGGAGCAATCCTTTCCCTTGCTGCGCGGCTGCATGTTATCTGGCGTCGAGGGCCTCCGGGGGCTGCTTGATGATCGGAAACTGGAGAGGAGCCATGGCGGGTCGTGGACGTCTCAAGCGCCAGCAAGTGATGAACGATAAAAAAAAGAAAAAAAAGAAAAGAAATACAAGCCCAAAAGCAGAGAAAAGAAAAGAAAAGAAAAAGAAAAAAAAAAAAAAACCAAACCTCAAGAGTTGACAGCAAGGGTAAACTGATCGAACCTACCTCCACTAGAACTGGTGGCACCGAACCCAGAGCCAGCCCCAAAGCCAGAGCTCTGCTGGTTGTTCTGGCCAAATCCTCCCCCACTTCCGAATCCGAAAGACATGATGATTGAGTCAACTTTTGTGAAGGTTTATAGAGTCATAGATTCGTCCTGTCAAGCGATAGTTGCGGAGCGATGGCGATGAAGAAAACCCGGCACCGCTGTGGGAAACGGAATCCAAATCAAAACAGACGATGATTTATCCAGGAAACAGGGTATTCGACGATATTAGTGATAAATGCGCTCGCACGAAGACACGGACGATGCACTGAGGAGGTCGGGGGTGATCTCGACGCGCCAGGGAAGGGAAGAAAAAAAAAATGAGGTCGAAGTGAGAAGAAAGTGTTTGTTTTCGGGGGGGGGATAAAATCCGAGGATGAGGAAAGAGAAAAGATGAAAGAGAAAGATATTGAAATCAAAGAGAAGACCCACTGCAGCTACTGACCAGATATCGGAGTCAGAGCGAGGGAGCCGACGAGTCCAGAGGGGGAGAGAAAAAGAAGAGGTGAGGAAACGGACGCGGCCGAGTGTTAGTAGAGGGAGAGAGAGAGAGAGAGATGTGAAGGGGAGGAGGGGACTAACTGGGTTTGGAGCTGTTGGTAATTGAAATAACAGGACAGGACCAGATTTCATCGATCTTGCTGGGGATCTTGGGTGAGGTCCGGTAATTAATGGTAATAAATGGTAATTGATGGTAATCTCTGGGGCCGCCGTTTTGGGAGAGGTTCACGTGATGTGGTGCCACTGCAGCCTGAGGATTGCAACTACTCTGTCCTCTACAGAAAAGGTCCAGGCTCTTTGTTCTTCGACTCCATTCATCGGTTGGATCTGGGAATACACCCGAAATCAACTCAGAAAGATCAAGGTAATGAGGATCATAATAATAAATAATATATATAAGCTATGGAGAAAGTCGTTATACACATCACATCCAGCAAGTGGTTGCGTCAACTCCAACAAAATATGGGAATCACAGAACAGAAAGGGAGCCTAGAAATTATATCATAGTGTATCCATTCAAGAATCCCACCATTGTAAGCCTTTTTTTGGGGTAACTTTGTTCGTTGCAACTGCTTATTTTCCTCGCGCAGCATGCACTGTGGCAATGATCCGGTCCACCACAGAGGGGTCGGACAGCTAGAAGAAAAATAAAATTAGTTGCACTGCTCATATCCACAAGAGAGAACCCGGATCATACCGTTGAGGTGTCACCCAAACTGTCCTCCTCGCCACTGAGAATCTTGCGCAGAATTCGGCGCATAATCTTGCCGCTACGGGTCTTGGGGAGATCATCAACCACAAAGACGGCCTTGGGCGCAGCGAAGGGTCCGATCGACTTGCGAACCTGCATGACCAGATCCTTGCGGACCTGGTCGTTGGTCTCGTTACCTTCCTTGAGAGAAACGAAGGCGTTGACAGCCTGGCCGGTCAGTTCGTCGGCGATACCAACCACAGCGGCCTCGGCGACCATATCTGGTGCACGTTAGTGTCCCTGTCAATGAAAAAAAAATTCCTCTGCAACTTACGGTGTTCAATCAGAGCGGCCTCGATTTCGGCAGTCGATAGACGGTGACCGGAAACGTTGACCACATCATCGACACGGCCACGGATCCAGTAGTATCCTTCGTGATCACGGCCAGCACCATCACCAGTGAACTACACATGTCAGCCAAAAAAAAAAAAAAAGAAAGAAAAAAAGAAAGAAAAAGTAGGGATTCTTACGTAGTAGCCCTTGTACACATTCAGATATGTGTCCATGTAGCGCTTGTGAGCCCCCCACACGGTGCGGGCCATACTTGGCCAGGGCTGCTTGAAAGCAAGCACTCCCTCGACATCATTGCCCAAAATCTCCTCGCCCGAGACCGGGTCGATGATAGCCGGTTCGATTCCAAAGAAGGGCAGAGAGGCACTGCCGGGCTTGGTGGGGGTAATGCCACCCAGGGGAGTAATGACGTTGGAACCGGTTTCTGTTTGCCAGTAGGTCTACCAAGCTGGTCAATGGTCTGTCGCACACACACATATATATATATATATATTCCAAATCACTTACATCGCAAATGTGAGCCTCCTCCTTTCCAACCTTCTCAAAGTACCATTTCCAGATCTCAGCGGCGATGGGCTCGCCCACGGATCCCAGGATCCGGAGGTGTTCCATCTTGTGGTGAATGTGTTCATCGCCGGCCCGCTTCAGCAGGCGCAGGGCGGTGGGGGCGACGTAGAACTGGGTGACCTTGTGCTGTTCAATGACATCCCAGTAGCGGGAGAAGTTGGGGTAGGCGGGGGTACTCTCGAAGACCACGGTAGCGCATCCGAGCAGCAGGGGCGCATAGACTACATAGGTGTGGCCCGTGATCCATCCGACATCACCGCCGCAGAAGTAGCGGTCATCTTCATGGATATCAAAGACGTATTTGCCCGTCATAGCGGCCCCGAGGAGGTACCCGGCGGTGGTGTGCATGACGCCCTTGGGCTTTCCGGTCGACCCGGATGTGTAGAGCAAAAAGAGCGGATCTTCGGAGTTCATGGACTCAGGCGCCAGGTAGCAGGGGTACTTCTCGACCTCTTCGTGCCACCAGACGTCCCGGCCCTCGGTCCAGGGCACATCGGCGCCGGTGCGCTTGTAGACCAGAACACTGGTGACCTCGGGACATTGCTTCAGGGCCTCATCCACGATGCGCTTCGTTCCAATGGCCTTGCCCCCCCGTTTCCCCTCATCGGTTGTGATGACGACCTTGGAGCCTGCATCGAGGACGCGGTCCCGCAGCGAGTCGGAGGAGAAGCCCGCGAAGACCACGGAGTGGACGGCACCGATGCGCGAGCAGGCGAGGAAGGCAATGACGGCCTCGGGAATCATGGGCAGGTAGATGGCGACGGTGTCCCCCTTCTTCACGCCGCGCTGCTTCAGAACCCAGGCGACGCGGGAGACTTCCCGGAGCAGCTCGCCATAGGTGATGGTGCGGCCCTCGTTGGGCTCATCGGCCTCGTAGATGATGGCGACCTTGTCGGGGTTCTTCAGGGCGTGCCGGTCGACGCAGTTGAAGGAGGCGTTCAGTCGGCCCTCAACAAACCAGGCATTATCTCCGTTTGCCAAGGAGCCGACGTGGGTGGTTTGGAAGTCGCGGTCGAAGGTGAGAAGCTCGCGGGCCATGCGAGCCCAGAAAGTGTGGGGGTGGCGGATGGATTCTTCATAGAGCTTCTTGTAGTCGTCGAGATCTTTCAGATGGGTCCCCGTTGGGTGTTTCTCGTAGAAGGCCTTGGGGACGTGGAAGGTGTCGACCTCGTGGGCCTCAACGACCTAGAGCAACACTCGGCATTAGTTCGGGGCCAACAATTTTCTTTTTCCTTTCCCGTCGGGAAAAGCTTACCACCGAGGATTTAGGGGGGGTCCCGCTGCCTCCACTCATGATGAGGAATATTTAATCTAGGTAAGCGGGAGATTTCGTTAGTTCGAGGAAATCTGTGACAATAGAAGGAAGAGACGAGGGAAATCTGGTAAGCAGCGATGGAAACGGCGGGCACGTGAGAGGGGCAAAACCACACGCACCTTAGATTTGTTGAAGCTGTACGGAGTAGAAGGAGAAATTTGGTATAATGATTTGAGATATTAGAGAAAGGGAAAGGATAGAGGGAGGGAGAGAAAGTAAGGATAGAGGGAGGGAGAGAAAGCAAGGATAGAGGGATGGAGAGAGAGAGAAAGATAGAGAGAAAGCAAGACAGAGAGAGAGAGAGAGAGATCAAGACATTAAATGTTGAATCCAGACGCTAAAGAAGAATCATAAATGTTGAGGTCCCGCTCCCCGGCTGTCCGGTGAAGAGGAATGAATGGAGGGGTTTCTGGTGGTTATACGGAGTCCTGGGGAGGATCGGAAAATGTTCGGTCATATATATATATATATTATATATATATATATACTATATAAGTATACTATATAAGTATACTCTATCCTCTAATGATATTTATGATTTAACTACTCTTATTCTCAACTTCATCATAATCACTATTTCTCCTACAAAGTACAATCATCCCACCATCCTCCTAGACTCCGTACTCCGTACTCCGTACTCCAGAAGGAGAATGAATCCAGATGCGTCAAGGAAAGTTGGGTTCGGCCATGCGGGGCTGAGTTACCTTTCGTTTCCGTTGCTCCGGGGGAGAAAAGATCCCGCATTCTGTCCGGGGGATATTCTCACTGGTTGGAATTCGTCCCACCTCTCTCTCTTCCTCTATCCGTACGGGGAGAGGTGAAAGTCACGGACGGAGGGATCACAGGAGTATATGGAGGGGAACCTACCTAGGTACCTACCTAACCTACCTCGTTAGGAAGCTGGACTCGACGGAATTGGATTTCTTTGCACGATTTAAGAATCCTAGTAATTAACTACCTAGGTAACTACATTCTCTTATTAATCGGCATTTTCAACCAGTAGTAGTGTTTTGTAGGTAAAGAGTTCTGGAATCTACTCTGTATATGGAGTACCGTTAACTAGGGTTGAGTCTCTACCAGATCAACCCCTATAATCCTATAGTTAACTAGTTACTACGGAGTAATAGGCTGATGGACCGTTATTACCTGCTCACTCCTACCGCGATCGATCTCTGAATTAAGAGGCTTAACGGGTTGACTAGGTAACTATCATTAAGTTCCTACTTGTGCCCCGAGAATATAATATATATCCAACCTCTATATTATAATCGAGCCTTTGCATTCCACCGCATAGCATCGTTCACGCCCACGGCAAGGGCCGCTCTTCTCTCGTGCACCCAAACCGGAGCCGCATATTCACTCGGGAGCATCGCAAACAGCTGCAAGTCCAGTCGATCCTCCACCGAGAGACTCTCCCAGAGACGCTCCGTCTTGTCGTCGTGGAAATGGAACGAGGTTCCAATCACCGCGTGGAGGCGAGCCACCGGATGCAGCTCCGGCGAGCGCCAATGCAACGACGACGTCCACTCGGGAAGCACAGGCCCCCGCGGGGACGGGTTCAAGATATTGACGGCGCACCACCAATCCTGGAACGTCCATCGCGCGCGTTTCCCACTGACCGCGTGGACGGGCCCTGGGGTCCTCGCCCCCAGATGCGCCAGCAGTCGGTCCACCACAATGTCCACGGGCACTTCGTCCGCCGTGGATTGCGTCGCGGGGTTAGGGCAGCGCGTGTGGAACTTGTACCCCTTGGAGGGGTCGAGGGCGCTGCCTGCAATCATCATGGTCAGCGGGGAGGAGGTCGGGACGCAATACGCCGGAAAGGGGAAGGACTTGGCCGGTCCGATGATGGACGGCCGCAGGATGAGGAGCCGGGATTGCTGCTGCTGCTGTTGGGATCGCGCCTCGAATCGTTCCATGAGCAGTCGCTCCGTGAGATGTTTCGCGTATGCATACGCCCAGGGGAACTCGTGCGCTTCGTATGCGCCACTGCTGCCCTGGCTACGGACCAGGGCCCATTCGTCAGCGGCCCGGCCTTGCGCGTTGCGCAGCGCATACACTTTCTCCTCGACCTCTGTGTCGAGGGCGTCGGTCTCGGCGTAAAGGAATGCATTGACATATGCCGTGGAGATGTACGCAAACTGGTCGAGCTTGGGGCATTTCAGGGCAAACTCCGACACCATCTCGCTGGCCCCGATGATGACCGCGGCGATTTTACTCAGCCGGCTGCCTAGGTTAATGGACGACGCGGAATGAATCACGATCTCAACCACCCCCTGTAACCGTTCGACTTCGCGCGGGGGCAGTCCGAAATCAGGCTTGAGGATATCCCCATCGAGGACGGTGACTCGACGCGGGTCTAGCATGGGATCGGCAAGCTCGGAAGAGAGTATACGGCGCCATTGCTCGCGCAAACGACTAGAAGAAACAATCAATGGTGCTTCCTCTCAGCCAAACAGACTGGATTTGGAATGGCGGATTGATTGATTGATGGCACACTTACGGTAACCCTCCTCGACAGATCAGATACAGATGGCTCGCAGAAGTGCGATCAATGATTCGGTGCACTAACGCCGTGCCCAGGAACCCTGACGCCCCCGTAATGAGAACGCTCTTGCCGTCAAAATGGTCCCAGATCATGATCGCGACGGGTCTCTGGATGCTTGGGAATCCAGATGAAAAACAATGACAACACACCCTTTAGCAGTGCGATTCTCCAGAGTCCTTACCCACTAAAGGATTGGGGACTTTTCTCGTCTATAAACACCCAAACTGACTGCTAGCTTGATGCAGGCCCACTTTAGATGTCTACCTATATATAACTACTCCAATATTAACGATTAGTGTGGAAGTAGTTCGTCTATGGAGTACTGGGAGAAATTTCTAACCTTCTCCGGATAGACAGTTTTTTCTTTTTTTTTTTTTTTTCTTTTTCTCTCTCCAAAAGGTGCAAAGGATTAAGATTCTGATTTTATGAAATGAAAAACAAATTAAACAATCGTCCACTCCTTAGTCCACCATGCACCCATTCCGAAAAGAAACAGCGCAATACTTCCATCCCGGATCAAATCTTTCAGCACCTGAATATACATAAAAGGCCCCGTCAACCCACCATTCCGACTCTTCAGCATCACTCTCGCCCCAGTTAACACCAGCTCGCCAGTCGTAAAGAACAGGAAAGGATTCTGCACCGTGGCCGGAGGCGGCGGTTGGCTGCCATACGTAGCAACCGACGTGCTTGTAATAAAGACCAGGTAGATGCCCACCGCGATAGCAAACACGGTATGCACGATTTTCCACATCATGAGGGCCATCTTCTGTTCTTCCGTTGGCTGCTGCATCACCGATCCAAGCATGTTCGAGACGAATGGTGGAAGGCCCAGAGATGATGCCAGGTCGGGAGATAGTCCTCCTGGAGCGTCGGCGCTGGTCCCAGCACCGCCGCTTGGGTCCGCACCAGGCATGCCTCCCATACCTCCCATGAGAGCGTTGACCAGTTTCATTGTCGGGTCTTCTTCGACGTCTTGTTCCCCTGGAGAGGGTGCAGATTGCCGGAGCAGAGCACGGAAAGCCTCTTGCTGTTCCCGAATCATTTCCGGGGAGAGTTCGTCGACGCTCGGTGACGGTGACGGCATGGACGGTTGTGCTTGGCGAGGTAGGGGCCGGGGTTCGGGGGAGGGAGAGGGAGAGGGAATAACAGTGGGTGGTTGTAATGAAGGAGTGGGAGAGGCTTCTTCACGATCTGTAGCAGAATAATAGATTAGCCATGGGGTCTCTCTATCTTCAAGCGGGGAGGTCAAGACACTCGACGCTCAAAGCTGCGTCCGGAGAGTCGTACGTGCTGAAGGAGTCCGTCCGCTCAGGCTGGTAATCTTATCCAATCGCGCTGCGCCTCCCTCCTTGATTTTAGCTTCACGACGCTCACGTCGTAGGCGAGCTGCTCTTTGAGCCGGGGATTCCTCTGCTGAAGACATTCTGATGATGTGACGTTGTGTGCTGTGCTGTCCTGTCTAGCCGGGTATGTTTTGAGGGGGAATCTCACACAGCTGTGTATGTGAACGGAATATTAAAATAGAGATGGAAACAAGTAAGTACTAGAAACCGATCTCAATATGCAAGCAAGTCGGGATGATGTTGTGAGACTTATCTTGTGATGGTGAAATTCCGCCGACAACTCAAGAGGTGGTGCGATGCCAAATCGGGAATAGCGAATACATAGATACATTTCCAGAGTAGAGGAGCTGAACAACTGAACAAGCACAACTGAACAACATCAACAATACTAAACAGCCAGAAATAGAGATGACCATTCTTTATAGGTCAGTTAAATACGCTAACATGGCATTCTTTAGCATCTATTTCTGTGTTCCTCTGGATAAATCGCCATGTCCAATTTCCACAGCACATCTAAGGTGAAATAAGAATCTACACTATAATCGATTGCAGGTTATCTCATTATTCATCGAGTGATTGTCAATATAGCTAACTAACTGTTATCAAAATAGAATAATTCTCTACTCCATACGTGGGTGTCTGTCGACGGCATCTGGAAACCAACTTGCGGAATACCCTAAGATCAACAACCACCCGCTGAGACGCATCCAGGTTCATCTAAGAGATACTACTCTATGTCTGTAAGATCTATTCTGATGTTATCTGCCGGAGTATATATAGTATAACAAATCCCCGGAGTACTCCGTATAACAAATCATCAATGCGTGGATGACTGCACTAGTGACATCATCCATATCCTCCACATCCTGACTTCACCCTACTTCAGGGATGATCAATGATGTAGAGTCAATCCATCCACAATGACGTATGAAGTGGTGGAATTCCAAGGTTATTGATCCCGTTACTCCCTCGTTGCGATCTACCTAATGCTAAATGCTAGTGCGCCTCCGACTGCACGGGTCCTTGCTGTGGAAGTTGGAGCTGAGACGACGACGACAACGCCAAATATCATCTTAAACTACGGCAATAATCACATTTTTTGACGAAATATCTGATACAAATTTCCAACCATCATGCCGCCCCATCCAAATGGGACCAGCTCCCCTCGAAATCGCCGGGTCGGGGAGCATTGGAGCGGTGCAAACCCGGTCCCAACAATAGGGAGATTCATAGAGCGCCTAGAAGAGAATCGAAGGGACCGCGAAGCCTACGATGAGATGGTCTCTGCGAGAGAAGAAAAGGAGGATAAGGGGGCGGTTCCTCACCGACCGCGAAAGGTCGCAAAGGGGAAAACTCGCCAGGTGACGGATCCCACGACTGGAAGGGAGATCGAAGTGGAGGATTTAGATAAGGATGCCATGGAGCCGGTGCTAGATCCAAAGGTATTGATATCTCCTTTTAAATGGGTTCATTCTCTTAATTCGGAATATTTTGGAAACTATTGTATTACTTACTAAACAATGGTCAGTTGGTCGTTCCAAATGTGAATCTCGGAAAGCCAACGGTGAGTACCCCTTGCTCTTCAAAGAACGGGGAAAGAAAAGAGATTGACAGATCATAGACGGTAAAAGCCGAACCAACTCAGTCTCTTGCCGAATACAAGGAAAATCAAGATATCACCGCACCTCCGGATCCGATCGTGGAGGGAACCACTTCCGATGTTCCCATCCATGGCGAGAAAACAAACGTCCTCTTCTTCCCTACCCCAACAATCACCTATAAGCCGATGTTTGAACAGCTCGAGAAGCGAGGGATGGGACTCTGTATCGGAATCGTAGCCGGGATTGTCGTGCTCGGACGGTTCTTTGGCGCCTCCTTCTGGGGCCTTATTCCGCTGGCGGGATGTATCGCAACCGGGGTGTGGATGTGGGTGCAAGAGGTGATTCGCAGCGGTCGAGAAATGGAATGGAGTAATGAGCAACTCCGAGGAAAGATCGTATGTGTGCTGTTTCTTCCCGCTGAAAATGTTGAGCATCCCAGCTGATACTTGATCTAGGCGACTGCCAACCTGATCCCAGAGTCCGCGGAATGGATCAACACCTTCCTAGATATCCTCTGGGGCTTGGTTAACCCAGAAATGCTGGCCCCAGTCGCTGACACGATCGAAGATATCATGCAGGCGTCTTCGCCCGGAGTCATTGAGAACGTCCGCATCGCCGAAATCGACCAGGGAAGCAACCCGCTGCGGATTCTGAGCTTGCGTGCCCTCCCGGACGAGCAAGTAGGTCAGCTCAAGGAGAACGCGCGCGAAGAGAACCTCAAAGACAAAACTCCCGAGGAAGTAGACGACATCGAGGAGTCAGCCAGTTACTACAACTTCGAAGCGGCCTTTGCGTATCATGCAAAACCGAGTGGTGCGGGGGCCAGTGCGTCAGCCAGGGCTCGCAACATGCACATGCAGATCGTCTTCTATCTGGGCGTTCGCGGGCTCTTTGGAGTCCCCTTCCCCGTCTTTGTGGAGTTGATCGAGATGGTAGGCACGGTGCGTGGACGCCTCCAACTGGTCCCGGAGGCTCCGTTCGTAAAGGACTTGACGTTTAGTCTGATCGGAATCCCTCATATCCGGGCTGGATGTATGCCCATGATCAAGGGAGGCGTGAATATTCTAAACCTCCCATTGATTTCCAGCTTTGTTAACTACGCCATGGCGACTGCGTGTGGCCTTTTTGCGGCCCCCAAGTCGATGACCATGGACCTCAGCATGATGCTTAAGGGCGACGATATTGCCAAAGAGACCCATGCACTAGGTATCATGTGGGTTCGGATTCATCGCGCAGTCGGATTAAGCAAGCAAGACCGTCGTGGTAGTTACGGCGGCGGCAGTGACCCGTACATCAACCTCTCGTTCTCGAAGTACGGGAAGCCGATGTACTGCACGCGTGTGATCACGGACGATCTGAACCCCGTCTGGGAAGAGACAGCCGCGTTGCTGGTAACTCCGGAACTCATCAAAGCAAATGAGAATCTCAGCGTGGAACTTTGGGACTCGGATCGCCACACGGCGGACGATATTGTCGGTAAGGTCGAGCTGCCCATTCGAGAGATGATCCAGCATCCTTGCCGAATGTACCCACAGGTCTCCAAGCTGCAAGGTCTCGACGAAGGCAGCGAAATGCCAGGCGAACTGCACTGGGAGGTTGGATTCTTTGGCAAGCCAAAGCTGCGGGCTGAGCTGAGGACAGATGGGAAGAACCAAGATCTCCCAGAGAACTTCAAGCATGTCCCCGAATTCCAAGATGAGAAGGGCATCATCACGAATGAGGACGAGGAAGCCGTCACTCATACTCCCCCAGATCCCCTATGGCCCAGTGGTATCCTCAGTGTCGTGGTGCACCAGATTGTCAATCTCCAACTCGCTAATATCAACGGCAGCTATGGCAATCGCAACGGCCGTGAGTACGAGCCAGCCAAGGGATACGGCGAAAACACCGAAGAACAAGGCAAAGACCTACCAACCAGCTACTGCAAGATTATCCTCAATGATCAGCTTGTAAGTGTCAACCTGCCTTCTCTCTCTCTCTCTTTGTGTGTGTGTGTGTGTGTGTGTGTGTGTGTGTGTGTGTGTGTCAGCTAATACCCGTAGATCTACCGCACGCGAGCCAAAGCCATCAGTTCCAAACCCATCTTCAATGCCGGAACCGAGCGTTTCGTGCGCGACTGGCGCTCCGCCATCGTCACCGTCACAGTCCGCGACCAGCGATACCGCGAGCACGACCCCATCTTGGGTCTGGTCCCTCTCAAGCTCTCGGACATCTTGCAGACAAGCTCCCAAGTCACGCGGTGGTATCCTCTCGACGGAGGGATAGGGTACGGACGGATCCGCATCTCGCTACTCTTCCGACACGTCGAGACCAAGCTCCCTCCGCAAATGCTCGGGTGGGAGGTAGGAACGTTCAAGTTTACTTCGGACACGATCACCGCGAAGGGGTTCACGCAACGAGCCAAGATCCGTCTCCGAACGGGCGGCAGCACAGGGAAGATCCCGCGGCAGGTCTGCTCGATTAACAGCGGGGACAGTGTCTCGTTTGACCTCTCAAACGAGAGCGTTCGATGCCATCTGCCCGTGAAATCGCGGTACCGGTCCCCCGTGGTGTTTGAAATCCAGACGCAAAACAAACACACCGTCACCGGGTACGCTACTCTGTGGCTTCAGCATCTCACGGACAACGAAGACACCCCGATCGATATCCCCATCTGGGCGACGAAGAAGAACGCGAAACGGCTCACGCAGAACTACATCACGGAGAAAAACTGGGAGATCAAACGCAGCCCCGGCTTAGAAGATCTTCGCGAGATCGGCCGGCTCCGGTTCCGCTGCTGCTTTACGCCGGGGATCGACGAATGGCACGAGCAGTTTGTCGTGGACAATAATTCCCGCGAGACGTTTGAAACATGGGAAGCTTGTATCGCCGAGGGGGTCCGCCCGAAGCGTATCGCCGTGGAAGTCCCCGAAGCGACGGAGCAAATGCATCAGAAATCCCTGGTGCAGGGCCGAGATATTCTCAAACTCGCGCACCCGAAGGAACGTCGCCGATGGATCGACAAGGAAGGTCACGATTGGAGTGGAGCGTTTGGCGAGGATCCTCTTGCATATGTGGAGAGTGCTCCTCCTCCTCCTCCTACTACTACTAGTACCCCCAACGACCTCGTCCATCTCCAAACCCACACACAAGACAACACCAACAACGCCCGTTCCATCCCACTCTCAAACTCCCATAACACCCAATCAAGCAAGAACCAAAAAAACCAAGATGAAGCTAGTCATAACAACAACATCAACAACAACAGCGAAGCCAACACTCCAACATCTACCTCCACCCCGACGTACCCTCACGAACAACGCTCCCTGAACCAGAACCAGAACCAGAACCAGAACCAGAACCAGAACCAGAACCAAGACCAGGCAAGCTACGAATACAGATCCAGATACGCCGACAGCGGCATCAGCGGCCTATCCACAAGGACAGAGGCAAGCCAAGCGGGCTCAAGCTCCACACCGCCATCCAAGCGCGCCGCCCGCCGAAGCGAACAGCGTCACCAACGAGGAATCATGCAGTGGAAACCGGCGCGGAATGCAGTGTTCGCTCGAGACGAGGCAAAGTATGCGCTTCGGAAGATGAAACATAAACTGGGGGCGGGGGCTTTGGCTGGTCGGGAGCCGGATATTGAGACTGAATTGGGCGGGGTGTGATGTATCGTACTCTGTACTTTTCTATCCTTATTTTTTTTTTCCGTTGGTGATATTGTTTATGTGAGTGTATGATATGGTATGGAGGTTTTGTTGAGTATAACTAGGGTTGATAAGATGATTCATTCTGTATACATAACTACAGAGTAATGGTTTTGTATGTAACTACTAGTACTAGGGAGCCCTGTTATAGAGCAATGAATGCTACAAATAATATTCATATTAATCGTAGATCGGCGTCGTATTCGTGACCTTCGTATTCGTGGTCTCGTATTCGAGTTAATTACTCATGGATCATCTCCCTAGTCCACACATGAGAAGAGCAAGTATATATATAGAGAGAGAGATATGTCTCTCTCTATATATATATAATTGTAGGTCTTGGGATGTGTGGGTGTCCAGACAACCCATGGCCCCATGGCAATGATATCCCAGACAGCAACGTAAATTAAAGAAATTATATAGAAGGGGGGAAAAAAAAAAAAGTACATGATCTATGAGGAAATAGCTCTCCCCATCCATGCCTTCTATAGTGCATACATAAATCGTAACCAGCAAGGTAAAAAAAAAAAAAAAAAAAAAAAAAAACATGAAGCAAAAGATCGCCCGGGCGTCTAGTCAATGCGGCGGATGCGGGTCTGCAGGAGTTATTTTGGGCTCGGGAGGGAGGCTAGCCGCCGAGGCTGGCGTGACCAGGTGTAACGGATTGGAAGGAAGTGTCGGGAGCGTGCAGACAAGAGGGAGCGCTGCTTCGACGGGTCCCAGAGTCCACCGCCACTCGCAGCGGCGCTTGAGACGGCCCTGTCGCGGGGTCTGGGGGGTGAGCGAGGTGTAGGGGTCCTCGAACCCATCCATCAAGGCGACGGCGCGGACCTGGCGCTCTGCACTGCGGTACTTTCGTTTCTTCTTTTTCTTCTTTTTATCTGTGGGATTGGAATTTGGATCTGCATCTTCGTCGGAGGTGATAGAGGAGGAGGAGGAGGTAGAGGAGGAGGTGGAGGCGGAATAATCCGACTCCTCGTCGGAGCCTGCTTCACTGATCTCGGGTTCTGGCTCGGAGTCGAGGTCGGAGTGTCGCGCGGTATATACGACGGTTTTGATGACTTCCTCGAGCGGATTTCGGTAGGTGACTTGCTTCTTGGGTGGAAAGTAGACGCGTCGAGAACCGGACGCACCGGTAGGCCCGCCTGGGGCCACAGAATTCGATCGTCGCCGGGTCGGTTCCAACGGGGTGTTGCGCAGAATGCTCCTCACTCCGAGGGGGAGCTGGTATGGGTTGGTCGAGGTGAAGGGGGACGATGGCTTCGAGAGCCGACTGGTCGATCTCGAGGGGGAGGCAGTTGCAGACTGTGGGCAGGGCAGATCGTAGGCATTCTTGAAGGTGTTGCGCACAGTAGGCGAGGCAGTGCCGGCCGCCAACGACAGCGACAGCCCCGTGGACGAGCTGCCAAAGGTGATGGGAAGTGACGAGGTTTGCAGGGTGAGTTTGGGCCGGGAGAGCGCGGAGGGACGACTTGTACTGGAAGTCAAGCCACACGGCATACTGGAGAGAGGAGCAGTCGAGGGAAGGGACGAGGGTTGAGGGGAAATGGCCGGAGAAGATGAAGATGGGAGGGCGTACGGACGATGAGATTTGAGGGGCACAAGAATAAGAGTAATAATAATAGCTCTTATTATTATATTAGAGTCAAGCTGACGACAAGGTAGTTAGTTAGAGAAGACTGCGGCCCGCATAGCAGCGCTTAGTGGGCTGTCCAGGAGATGCGAGTCTGAAAAGAAAGAGCGCGAGGAATATATTAAGAGTCTGAAAAGAAAGAGAGGGAAATATATTAAGAGACCGAAAAGACAGAGAGAGGAATAGATTAAAAGGTATAGTTACTCTATGGAGTACGTATATGTACGCTACAGCCGTTCTAAATATAGCCCGTCTGGCCAACGAAACGCTTCTTATAAATAGATTCCGCTAGTTGGGACTAGTAGTTCTAGTGTTTTTCACGACTCGGTAGAAGAAGAATAGAGATTCAACCTACTGAGTAGGAGAATATGCAATGCTTCTTGTATATATAACTCTGTATAACTACCTGTGATCGTGAAGAGTTATTGTATGCTGACTAATCCTCTGACTCGAACCACGTCGTTGACTTGATTTCAACCTCAACATCTTTTAATTCTACTATATTATATATATTATATATATTAATATCTTGGAATGTCCTCCAGAAATGACTCCCGAATCATTCTCCACTTGGTCAGTCTACTCATGCATGTACAATTCCATACCTCCGCTCTAACCCCCTTCAGGATTACGATTGTTTCTACGCCTCGGTCTTTGAGGTCGAGCAACCAGCCCTCAAGTTGCTGCCTCTCGCTGTCCAGCAAAAACAAATCGTCGTCACCTGTAATTACGAGGCGCGGAGACGAGGATTGCGCAAACTCCAGTTGATCAAAGAAGCGAAACAGGTGTGTCCAGACGTGGTCATCGTCCTCGGGGAAGATTTGTCGAGATTTCGCGATGCGTCAAAGGACCTGTCTCTCTTCCTTCGCGCGTTCATCTGGGGGGACAGGGTCGAAAAACTCGGGGTTGACGAGGTATTCCCTCGCGCTCTCGACTCAACTAACTATCTGCCGACCGACCTACTAACCAATCCAGCTATTTATGGATGTTACGGAGATGGTCAGCTATAATGTTGATCTCCTGAATCCAAATGATTTGGAACACTCCTTCTTCCACCTCGACCGTCGAGAACCTACAGCGGGGTTTGCGTTCGACGCCACTCAAATCCACGGTCCTACCTATCCTCCTGGCCCTAGCAAGACAGATCTCATGTGCGCCCAGCCCCAGGTCGCACAACTCTACCGACGACTACTTCTGGCCTCTCATCTTGCGGGGTACCTTCGCGGCCAATTAGAAGACCAGAAAGGTTACACGGCCACAGTAGGCGTGTCCACTTCGAAATTACTGGCCAAGGTCGTGGGAACGGTTCATAAGCCGAACAGTCAGACAACGCTTCTTCCACCGTATGAGACGGCTCCGAATTTCGAACAGAGCAATGTGCTCCGTTTTCTCGACTCTCGGGGGATCAGAGCCATCCCTGGGATCGGGTCCAAACTATCCCAGAAGCTCACCGCATATCTGGAGTCTACCACCGGCACAGCGGGGGCGGATGGAAAACTCACGGTTCGGGATGTTCGCTTATTCCCTGGCATGGGGCCGTCCGTCCTCCACCAAATTTTGGGCGGACCCGGGGCCCCCAAGGACATCGGCTCCCGAATATGGGGCCTCTTACATGGCGTGGACAATCATGCCGAGATTCGCGAGGCGCGAGATTTGCCAACGCAAATCAGCATCGAGAACTCCTATGGCCGCTTAGATAGCTTTGAAGCAGCCCGGAAGGCAATGCTTTCTATTGCCGCCAGTTTGATTCGCCGGATGCGGGCCGATTTGACCGAAAACCACCACGAGACAGAGGATAGGCCTACAGACGCTGCCGCGGAACCGACGGTGCGTTGGCTTGCTCGCCCACGGACTCTTCGTCTGTCCACGAATCCCCGGCCATCCCCGGGCAGCAGCGACGGCACACATCGCATATCCCACTCTGCTTCCCTCCCCCAGTACGTGTTCAACCTGGATGAGAGCGTGGAAGGCCTGGCACAACGGCTTGTTCACGAGTGTGTCACTCCCTTGTTCCGCAAGCTTCACCAGGGGAGATCCGGGTGGAATCTACGCGTATTAAATCTTGCCGTGACAAACATGGTCGAGGTGGCCGGCAGCCGAAAACACAACAGCGGCCAGGATATTGGCCGGATGTTTCACCGGCAGAGTGAGCCTGGGGAGCCCGTTTCTGTCATTGGGTCAAGGTCGCTGCCTCAGACCCATCCAGCACCAGCCGACCCAGCTTGGGAGGAGAGTGGCGAAGACGAAGAAGATATGCCTGTTGTTTCCTGTGTGCTTTGTGGGGCACAGATCCCTCATTTCGCGCGGGCAGCTCACGAGTTATACCATTCGACATCCGGTCCTTCGACCGGGATTTCTAGTGATCCGAGCAGAGTACTTTACGCATGAGCTGCATTAGAATGTTTGTAGCCGCAGGGCGGTTACAGCTTACAGAGTAGACACAGGTCTTAAATACCAGTCATATCGTTAGGTAATAAACAGAGTATCCTACTCTGGAATTATTCCACAGAATAGGAAGAGAGTAGTAGTAGTAGTAGTAGTAGTAGTAGGATGTACTCTGGAGATTCTGTAGATCCACTTTGGCCGGAAATGTCAACTTCTCACACCTCAACTTCAACATCACAGAATCCCTTCCATCCATCGATTCTTCTTTCTGCCCCATTGATTTTTTTTATCTTCTTGCTCTCTTTCATTGTGGTTTCTCCTCTTCTGTTCTTGTTTGAACGCCTCTGCTGACGACGTCTCCCCGCCAGCCAAGCAAGCCACTCTCGTAGCTGGTTAGCTCCAGCCGCTTGCATTCTCCGTTTCCCCCAAAAGTGCCTAAGAAAGACCCTCTTTCCCCCCCGTCTTCGGAATCCACCGGTGCCCTAGTACGCTGGCCAAGGGTCTAAGGGTTCTAGGGTGGTTGAGGGCATCAGACAGAGACAGTCCGAGAGACGATCCGATCCCTGGAGGGTCCTCCTCACGATAGAGGGATAGAGGGATGATCTTGAGCGGCCTTTTGTGGCTGCCTAATACTTGTCTCACTTGCTAGCTAACTAACGATGCAATGTTAATGGGTTGCTGACAGTCTGCTTCTTTTCTGCCGTTCGTTTACTCTCTCGATCAGACCCTGAAAACCCCTAATTTCCTCCCATGGTCGCCTCGTCATGCGGTTCTTCAGAGACTCAGTGACTAGTATTGCCCTACTTGCCGGGTCTTTTTCGCTCGTTACGACCGGTGTCAATGGTTAGTCTTGATCCTTTCTCAATTCTCCAACTTGAATGCTCATCACCTACGTTGGCAGCCCGGTCGCAGGCGCCAAACGCAATCCAGCGAGTCTCGACTATTGACCAGGCCACAATCAAGACTCCCTCCACTCGAGTGCATCACCTCTCTCATTTTGATATCACTTTCACTATTCTAGATAACCGCCAACGAGTCAAACTCGAACTGGAGCCAAATCACGATATTTTAGCCGAAGATGCCTACGTGCAATACCTCGACGAACACGGAAACATTCACCAGGAGGAGCCCATCGCGCGACATGAACACAAGGTCTTCAAGGGGAGGACTCTCACCGGAAAAGGCAAAGGGACATGGGAGCCTGTGGGATGGGCACGTATATATTTGAAAAGGGACGGTCCTCACCCGCTGTTTGAAGGAGTGTTCAACATCAAGGGCGACAACCATCACATCGAGCTGCAGTCGACATACCTCCAAAATAAACGCCCGCAGGATGTCGAGATTCACCGGCAGAAGGATGACTATATGGTTTTCTATCGGGATTCCGACATGATGCGGCCTCAGACGGAGCACCCCGATTTAAAGCGATCGCTATCCATGTCGGGCTCCTCGACATGCGAGGCCGAGCAGCTGGGGTTTAACTCTAACCCTAACCACCCGGTTTTCCAGTCTTTCCGCCAGGATGAGTCAAGTCGATGGGCGTCTATGCCCCTGACGGACTCCCTCTTTGGTCTCACCAAGCGTCAGTCGGACATTGGCAGCGTGTCGGGCAACGCTGGCGGAGTCAACTTAGCATCAACCATCGGTAGCACCAATGGCTGTCCGACCGCGAAACAGGTTGCCTTGATCGGCATCGCAAGTGATTGCTCGTTTTACGAGATGTTTAACACCAAAGCCGAAGCCCAAGCGTCGATCATCAGCACGGTTAACAGCGCCTCGAATGTCTTTGAGAAGTCTTTTAATATCTCGATCGGCTTGAGGAATCTGACGATTACGGACAAGGAATGTACCAACTCCGCTTCCACTGGCGCGCAGTGGAATATGCCCTGCTCACAGGGCAATATTACCCAGCGCCTTGATCTCTTCTCTCAATGGCGTGGGTCGCAAACCGATGACAACGCCTACTGGACCCTGATGAGCGCCTGCCCCACCGGCTCGGAAGTTGGTCTGTCCTGGCTGGGCCAGCTGTGCAACAATAAAGTGAGTAGTGACGGCTCTAACTACGTGAGCGGAACCAATGTTGTCGTCCGTAGCGCCGGCAGCGGATGGCAGGTCTTTGCCCACGAGTCCGGTCACACTTTTGGAGCGGTTCACGATTGTACTGCAGAGACCTGTGCGCAGGATTTACAGGCCTCATCGCAGTGCTGCCCTCTGAGTACAACCACCTGTAACGCCGACGGACAGTACATCATGAACCCGAGCACGGGCACGGATATTACCCAGTTTTCCGCCTGTACGGTTGGAAATATCTGCTCTGCGCTGGGCCGGAATAGTGTCAAGTCAAGCTGCCTGTCTGCCAATAAAGGCATTGTCACCTACAGTGGGGCTCAATGCGGCAATGGTATTGTCGAGGCCGGAGAAGACTGTGACTGTGGCGGCGAAGAAGGCTGTGGGGACAACAGTTGCTGTGATGCGACGACCTGCAAATTCAAGAATGGAGCCGTCTGTGATGACGCGAATGATACCTGCTGCGTTGCCTGCAAATACGCTTCCGCTGGGACGGTCTGCCGTGCGAGCAGCGGCGAATGTGACCTGCAAGAAACCTGCAGTGGCAATTCCAGCTCTTGCCCATCAGACTCCTTCAAGCAGAATGGGGATAGCTGCGGTAGTAGTGGATCCGGCTTGACCTGCGCCAGCGGCCAGTGTACTAGCCGGGACGCGCAGTGCCAAAGCTTGATGGGCAGCTTGATGCACAGCAACAATACCTATGCGTGCTCTGGTTTCTCCGACTCGTGCGAGTTAATCTGTTATTCCTCTTACTTTGGCGAGTGCATGACCGTCAACCAGAATTTCCTGGACGGTACTCCCTGCGACGACGGCGGTTTCTGCAGTAATGGGAAATGCGCGGGTGCAAAGAACTGGTTCGACGCGCACAAGAACATCGTGATCGGGGTCGCCTGTGGTGTAGGCGGCCTCCTCCTGATCTCGATTCTACTGTGCGCCAGCAGACGCTGTCGCCGAACTCGCTACACCATGAAACCCGTCCCTGCTGGCGCGTATTGGGCTGGTCCAATGGCCCCCCCACCACCCCCTCCTGCCATCTCCCAAATGACCAGATTACCGGGGCAGCCACCTCAGATGCCGTACCAAACCTATCCGTCTCCCCCCGCTGTATATCCAGGACCAGCACCAACACCCGGCGGTCCGGGTGGATACACGTCTCCCATGCGATACGCATAATTTTGTCTTTTTTTTTTTTTTTTGGACTAGTGATCTGTTTTGAGTAATCCGGAATGGGCTGCATGGTGATTTTATGGTTCGGCGCAGGTATACGGAGTAGATTCCCTTCCCCGGGGGTGGGGGTTTATTCGATGATTGGGCAGATTCTATATTCCGCGTCCATTTCCCCGATTTGTTTTCTTCTACTTGGAATCCAGTATCTACTTACTTCCCTCCTTTGGCGAACCACCACACACACACCGGCTGTACATCCAACTTTCTTACATTGATTGAACCTTGGTCCGATTTCTCTCTATTACCTCGCGTAGAACGGGGTAGTCGGGTTTGGGCTCTTGCAGCTTGGGATGACTGGGATGGGATAGGATAGGATAGGATAGGATAGATATATTCCTGTATATGTATGTATGCTGGGAATGAAACATGTACTACCCACGACGCGCGAAGTTTATTCGGGGTGTTGAGTCTTACCAGTCGTAGTTTGTCCGATTACAGTAGGACACAGTACGCAGAGAAAGGTATCGTATGCGGCATCTATCAGAAAAAAAAAAAAAAATCGAATTCACATACATCCAAGAAATTCCCAGTCCTGTAGGAAAGTAAGCTGAAAGCGCGTGAAGACTAGACGAGGAGGAAGTAGTAGTAGTAGCAAGCAAGCAAGCAAGCAAGCAAGCAAGCAAAACAACACAAGTATATAGATCCAGCAAGAGACAAAAAAAAAAAAAAAAACAGAAACAGAAACACTAAAACAGCGCCCAAACCCAATGCCCAAATAAAGAGACGGAAGAACAACAAGTATATGGGAGAATGCAGAGAGACACCTGGAGCAGCAAGACAAAAAACACAAGTGAAGTCAAGTCAAGCCAAGTCAAGTCAAGATAGATAGATAGGGAATGCTTTTCTGGTCCGGAAAGGACGAGTCCAAGAGTCGGTGCTTAACTCAAGGAATACACAACACAACCACCAAACGTATCGCCAATAGTTAAAAAAAAAAAAAAAAAAAAAGAAGCCGAACCCAAACTGTATATCACTGCCAGCAGATGCTCACAAACGCCTCCCGAGTCACACCGCCAACACCTTCCAGGTCGAATTCCTCAATCATCGCGCGCAGCTCTTCCTCTTCCAGGCCGGTTTCGCCGAGTTCTCGCGCGACGCGGCGCAGATCCTCCAGATCGATGTAACCCTTGCCGCCCTCGTCGAACAGCTCGAACGCCCGAAGAATCTCGTCGCGCGGGTCGCGCTCGAGGATCTTAAGCGCCGTCACGGCTTGGAAGGCGGAAAGCGGCATGAGCAGGTTAGACGGGTGTTGGGGGTTCGAGGCCGGAGCAGCCGCCGCCTTCGCCTGTTGCTGTGATGCCTGCTGGGCGGCGGTAGCAGCAGTAGTAGTAGCAGCAGCAGCGGGCTGCTGGACCTGTGGACGGGGAACGCCGTACGTAGTCAAGAGGGAGATGAGTTCTTGTTTGGGCAGGGTGAAGCCAAGAGCGCGAAAGGCGACTCGAAGCTCGTGGTAATCCAGGTGACGGTCACGGTCGAGATCGAACAGGGTGAACTAGAAATGAAACCCCCGGAGTAAGCAAGCAAGCAAGCAAGCAAGCGACTTTTCTTCCCCGCCGGCCACTGGAAAAGGTGGGGGGGGGGGGGGCTTACAGCTTCATTAATCTCTTCGCGCTGCTCCTCCGTTAACCGATTCAGAGGATTCGTGTCTTGGGCAGGGCCGTGTGTCTGCGAATGCGCTGGTTGCCCTGGTGCCTGGTGGGTTGATTTGGCGGCGTCTGGCCCGAAGTCGCCAGTCGCGGGTCCGCCCAGCGCGCGGTGCCGGGAAAAAGAAGAAGCGCTGAATGGAATCGCATTTGTGTTCAGCGATCGATCGGGCAATTTACCTGCCGTGTAGGAGCGCGACCCGAACGGCTGTCCGGACGACGCCATGGGTGGGATGGGCTATGTTGACGTCGAGCTGCTGCTGATGGAGGAGGAGGAGGAGCGGGAATGGTGGTCAAAACCGCGGATAAACTGGAAGCAATGTATCAAAGATCCAGGCGACGATCCGAGAAATGAAGTAAGGAGGGGGGAGAGGCGGCAGGATTGTGAGCTCTCTGCTCTCTGGGGTTGATTTGACGTCGCTTGTGTTGGAGATGAAGACGCGACAAACACGCGAAGCGGTGGGGGGATCCCGTCCTGATTGGTTACTTTATACGTATCGGCGAATGCACTCATTTTGAGATTTATAGTCTTTAAACCAGGGAAACAATGAATCTTTCTTTATTAAATAAGGGAGATAATGAGTATGTGTTATCCTAGGGGGATCATGTCACTGTCATCAAACAGCACTGGCGTTGTGTTAGCGTCCGGATCCCTAGGGATGACTTCTTGTTGGAGGGAACTCTTGCAGCCTCATGTGAGATGTTGGCAGCTATACTAGTATATATTTGAATTGCCTTGCCAATTGGACTCGTGGTCACTGTCATACGAGACCTGGTACCGGACTGTATGGTACGCTGCGGTTTCAGAGTCTCTTCTCTCGCTTGGGGATGATATGGTGTCTCAAGGGGGAAAAAAAGGTGTTTGGCCAATTCTATCTGTTGGACACCAGGTCAGGATCCATTTGATCACCCAAATCCAGATCCTCGAGAAATTGTCGACCTCGAAGACTCTCCGGGAGATACTCCTGGGCCACCTCGCCATTCACATAGTTGGGATTGTACTTGTACTCCTTTCCATATCCCAGCTCCTTCATCAATCGAGTGGGCGCATTACGCAAATGTATCGGGATAGGCAGCCCGGCAACGCCTGGTTCTGCCAGTGCCGCAAAGGCGTTGTTGAGGCCGCGGTAGGCTCGCGTACTCTTGGGAGACAGCGCCATCGCTACAGTGGCATGCGCAAGGTTAATTCGTGCTTCTGGCAGTCCAATCCTTTCCACCGCAGCATGTGTCGAGATTGCCAGCGACAGCATGCTATTATCCGCTAGGCCGATATCCTCCGACGCGACAACAATCAAACGCCGCGCGATATATAGAGGATCCTCTCCAGATTGAATCATGCGGGCCAGGTAGTACAGCGCTGCATCGGGATCACTCCCTCGAAGAGACTTGTGAAATGCAGAGATAGTGTCATAATGTTGGTCTCCAGCGCGATCATACACGAGGGTCCTCGTCAAAGACCGTTTGATTTCCGTTTGGGTCATCCCGGGCCGCTTTGACAAGTTCATAGCGAGCTCTAACAGATTCAGCGAGGTTCGTGCATCCCCGTCGGCGAATTTGGCCAAGTACTCAATCAGTTCGTCGTCCACCAGCTCCGACGGAGAATAGGTTGGTCCTTCGACGTCCAAGGCCCTCGTCAAGATGGTTTTCACATCCTCATCCGTCAGTTTAGACAGCGTAAAGGTTCTACATCGGGAAAGTAAAGCGTTTTGCACTTTGAACGAGGGATTCTCCGTCGTAGCCCCAATCAGTGTGACTTGGCCACTTTCCACGGGGCCCAAAAAGACGTCTTGCTGTGACTTGGAGAACCGATGGATTTCATCACAGAAAATGATTGTTTTCCTCCCAGTCAGGCTGAGCTCACTCCGCGCATCGGAGAAGATCTTCTTGCATTCCGCAACACCTGAGCTCGTGCTGTTGATCTCCACGAACCTGCTGCCCACCATCGATGCAATGACCCGTGCGATTGTAGTCTTTCCTGTCCCAGGGCCGCCCCATAGAATCATGCTCGGTACCCGGTCTTCTTCTATCAATCCGCGAAGAACACCGTGCGGTCCGACCAGCTCCTGGCCGCATACTTCATCCAGTGTCTTCGGTCGCATACGCTCGGGCAACGGTGCTGCTTTTTGGAGGGCATTGATCTTGGGCTTCTTCGAAAGGGACTCCGGGGCGCCATCTTTCTGTACATTAGCAGTACTATCGTGGGGGACGGAATTCCCATTCTGCGCCGCTAGTCTCTTGCCGTTGGCATTGCGGAGCGGCGAGGCATCCGGGAGGGCATCTTTGTGTGCGGTGGACGAACCGGAAACTTTGCGGGCAGAAGTGGGTTGAAAAAAGCTAGGGACCGGAGCTTTCTGAGAAGAAGAGAAGTCTCCCGAGCTTGATGGCTCCTCGATGAATTTCTGGCAGTCGGAGTCGATGTGGTCGTTGATTTTCAGCGACGGGACATACTTGCCGCAGATGGGACAAGACACCATGATATGATGGCTCTAGCATCGACTTCCCATTAGAAGGCCCGTTCAATAACGTCCGGGAATTTCGATATACTATCAAATTGGCATCTGGAGTCGTTCATGAAGCATTCATTCATTCATTCATTCATTAATTCATCGAACGTGTCGAGATCCCTGGATTAGTCAGTCGCTGCCTTGCTGCCTGATCTCCTTAGAACTCCAACACAGCGTAAGAGATCATAATATAATTCCAATACTTCGGTATAGACCTGGTAAGTGCCTCTCTCTCTAAGGATCATTGATTGGCTCAATACTCCCAGTGCCAGGTTGGAGATACAATAGCGATCGTCTCCAACAGAAGATAGCCGAGGACAACTGTGATTGGGTATGTCTATGTATACCACAGTGTGTACTTGTCGTCATAAATCCAAGATATTCCCTCATTTTGCACCGGAATTGGAAATCGCACACATGTAAGATTGAACCGATATCCTGTATTACTGGTGTTTCCTCAGGGATTCGGTGGTGGTGCTCATCTGTCGCAAAGAAGCCCCGCGGACGATGATTCATATCCACCAGTTCTTTGTTAGGATATCCATCCCCCCCCGCAACTTCTTTTACATTAAATCACTTTCTTTGGCCCTCCACTTTCCTCCCTCCCCATGCTCAAAAGTTATTATACTTCTGCTGTCTTAGCTGTCAAATCCTCCTCAAACCCATTAGGTCTCCTTTTGTGTTCTTCCACTGCACGATTTCTGCCGTGCCTTTCACCCCTCCAACTCCAAACAAGAGCGATGTCGGCCACTGCGGGTCGTCCGGATCCATTTCAACCTGCAAAGAGAGTCGCTGGTCAGCGACAGGATGTCTGGTGAGACTTACTATGCGTGGTCCTCGGATTCTTGAGTATTGGTTGTCTAATTGACTGCTAGGTCTATCGTCAATGAAGCCGCGGCGGCTTCTCCCGTCCAGCCGATTGTGAACATGGGACAGGGTTTCTTGTGAGTCACTGCTTATGACGAAAAAAAAGGAAGAAGAAGAAGAAGAAGAAGAACAAGAAATTACCATACTAATGCTCTTCATTGTGGCATAGTGGCTATAACCCTCCCAAGTTCGCTCTCGATGCTGCCAAAGCGGCTCTCGACCGAGTGGAATGCAACCAATATTCCCCCACGAAGGTACACCAACAAACAGGCTTATGGCGCTCGACTTCCGCTTACCATGAACTAGGGTCGCCCACGCCTCAAGAAGGCTATCGCCGACGCATATTCCCCTTACTTTGGTCGAACTATCAACCCCGATACCGAAGTATCGATCACCACTGGCGCAAATGAGGGTGGGTGGCTCCGCGCCGTATACTGGTCCTCTCGCTGACTGAGTGAAAGGAATGCTGAGTGCCTTCATGGGGTTCATCGAACAAGGAGATGAGGTTATTATATTCGAGCCATTTTTTGACCAGTGAGAAATCGCTCATTTCGAGGAAGGGTTTCTTTCCCCCTCTAACAGGATGCAGGTACATCAGCAACATCGAGATGCCTGGTGGCACAATCCGATATGTTCCCCTCCATCCTCCCAAGGACGGAGCGACTCGCACCTCTTCTGCATCAGAATGGACCATTGATTTCGAAGAGCTGGAGAAAACCATCAATCCAAAGACCAAGATGATTGTAAGTTATTCCCTGTTGCGCTCTGGTTTGCTCTGAGATGCTGACTTTTGAGTTACCAGGTCCTGAACTCCCCGTAGGCTAAGCTCTTATAAACGCTTGATTACGTAGCGAACTAACGAGGAACAGTCATAACCCCGTCGGAAAGGTTTTCTCGCGTGAGGAACTTGAGCGCATTGGTGACCTCTGTGTCAAGCATAACCTTATCATTCTCTCCGATGAAGTCTATGACCGCCTTTACTACGTTCCATTTACTAGAATCGCTACTCTGTCTCCAAAGCTGTGGGAACGAACACTCACCGTCGGTTCTGCCGGCAAAGCATTCTACGCAACTGGTTGGCGTGTGGGCTACCTGATCGGACCGGAGCATTTAATCAAGTATGTAGCCGGGGCACATACCCGAATTTGCTACAGCAGCGTGTCCCCCCTTCAAGAAGCGGCTGCTGTTGCCTTCGAACAGGCCGACAAGGAGGGATTCTGGGACCAAAGCCGAACGGAGATGAAGAACAAGATGGAGAGATTCTGTGAGGTCTTTGACGAACTTAACATCCCGGTATGCTGCTACCCTCCCTGTAAAATCATTGCATGAGCTGAACTAATATTCGTAGTACTCGGACCCTGAGGGTGGCTACTTCGTCCTCGTGAACATGGCCTCCGTCCAGCTCCCTGGGAACTACCCGTTCCCTCCCCACGTTGCCAGCCGGCCCCGCGATTTCAAGCTTTGCTGGTTTCTCATCCATGAAGTCGGGGTGGCTGCCATTCCTCCGACCGAGTTCTATACGGATGGAAATTCGCATATTGCCGAGAATTACCTTCGTTTCGCGGTCTGCAAGGAGGATGAGGTTCTGGAGACTGCAAAGGAGAGGCTCCGCGGTTTGAAGAAGTACATTGTGCGATGAACTGCTGCGTCACCGTTTCACTGTAATAAACGATAGTGAGTGGGAGTGATGACGGTTTAATATTTCTACTGGTTATTAAAGAGGGATAGATTACTTCTTAGATAGCCTAGCGGAACCAATACCATATTACTTCTTCTTCTTCTTCTTCTTCTTCTTCTTCAGATATCATGTCTCTTTTTCCTTTTCCTATCTCAATTTCCTATTAGCAGTATTTAATCGAACAGATGCACCTCATGTATGACTTTACAAGATGTCAAAAAAAAAAAAGGTATCCCAGGGCACACGAGTCACGACGTGATCAGAAGGAAACAAACAAAGTCAGAGAATATGTATACAAATTCAAGCATTGATACCCTCAATCTCCATCTCCCCACTACCAGCTCCATCCCACCCATCCCCGCGACGAAACACCTTACGATCTTCCTCCGCCACCTCGTCAAACCCCTCGCCTCTCATTCTGGCCTTGGTGTCTTTCACCGCCGGATGCGTCGTCCTCGCCGCGCGAAGAACCCAGTAGCTTCCTTCCAGATGATCCACCAGCTGGCTGTGTCCCCGTCCACCGAGGGACCCCAGCAGCCGACGGAACTCGGCCCGACACACGGGGTCCGGGCAGTTGCGTCGGTTGCGGCCGTCCCAGTCGGTGTCGCAGGCGTGTCTCTCTCCGGTGATGGGCGGTTGGATGGTCACGGCGAATTCCTGGTGGATCTGGTACATCAGGGCTGTTTCCAGATTGGAGGAGGGTTGTTGTTGTTGGGCTCGGAGGGTATCTCGAATCAGGCGGAAGAGGTAGTCGACGAGTTCGTGGGCTTCGATTGTCACTGTGGGACGAAATTCCACCCGAGAAGGAGAGGAAGGGGGGGGGTTATGGTTAGTAAGGAAAAGGAAAGGGGGGAGGTTTATTGTTATTATGGAAGAAAATGGGAAACGTACTGAAAAGACAAGCTGCCAGCACACGACGAAACCGGTCTTTCTGTTCGGGATCGGAGAACTCAACGGTATGGACCAGCTTGTTCGAGCAGCGGATTGCGATGTTGTTCTCGGGGAATCCGGCGTCGACCATATCGGCCCAATCCGAGAAAATGAAGTAGTCGCCTTTTCTTGCGTTGGCGTTGAAATACACGGCCTGTCTGTGTCGCTCTGGTGTGTCGTATTGGTGCAGACAGGGAACCAGGGGGGCCCCTTCTCGCACATCTCGAGGGATGGATGATTCCCGGCACGGATGGCGGAAGACAAGCTCGCCGCAGGAAATCCAGTGCGCCTTGATGTCCTCTAGCAGGTGCTTGCGGGAACAGTATCGAGTCTCGGAGTAGGGCCCGCAGCGTGGGCAGATCACCGTGGCGCCGTCCCAGAGGTTACAGCGTTTGTCGCAGTCGGATTTCGCGCAGGGAAATCCGTGGCTGTCTAGCTGCCAGAAGAAGCCTTCGGGTTTCTGCGTGGAGATGTTTCGATGGGTGCTTGCGTGTCTGGTGCCTGTGCTGGAGGGGGTGGAGAGGTGTGCCTGTGCTGCCCGCGTGTTATTTGCCTGAGAGGTCGAAGGGCCGGACTTGTGGTGCTTGCCACGCCTGGTTCCTTTGATCGGGGTGTCTGATGGGCCAGTTGTCTGTGGAGTAATCCGTGTGCCTGTATTGCTCCATGCGGTTGATTCTGTTGCAGATGATTTGGGCGTAGATGCGTGCAGGATCTGGGACTCGGGCAATGCACCGCTGTGCTCGACCTGGGCAAGGGTCTTGGGGTTCTTGCCAGATACTTCACGTATAGCAGGAAGACTTTCTTTAACAAGGACTGCACTCTTGCGTGAGCTCTGGCGGGAGAGAGACGACGGACTAGACGATGCAGCAACTGAAGGGGACTTTGCGTTTGCTTCTATCAAGGATTAGCCCTGTGCTTCCTATCTTTGTGCGTGGTGGATAGGAAAGAAATCGAGACACTACTGACTTGCGTTACCTTTCTGGGGAGTTTCAGGTCTGGAATCCAAATGATTGGTTTTTCCTCTGACGGGTAAAAGCCGCTGCTGATTCAATTGTGTGTTATTCGAAGCCTCTCTCTTTTCCAAAGGATCTGGCGTAGTGGCGTGCTGTTTGCCTTTTCCCGCTAGATCAACAGCAGCCTGCCCATCAACTCGGATGCTCGTTTCTTTCCCTTCTTCACACTGGTCAAAGTTCCCAGATGGAGAGATACACTGGGGCTCAGGCTTGCTCTCCGTGTGATCCTGGTTCCCCTCTGCAAGGTCACACGAATTGGCATTCGTAGCTGCCTTTTTCTTAGTCTTCTTCTTCTTCTTCTTCTTGGGCTTCTTCTTCGTCACAAACTCCATAATACTGGCGTGCTCGTACACCATCTCGTTGGATTGGTCCCCTGAAGAGGAAAGGTTCTTGTTAAGCTGATCTAGAGAGTGTTTCAAGGGAGATACCTCTGGCGGAGAGTCCTCTGGTGGAGAGACTCGAATGAGGGTGCGAGCCCGAATTAAAGTGATTGCATCTGAGCGAGGGTTGTGGTCTTTGGAAATTTGGATGTCTTTTTCTTCTAAGAATCCAGTTAATATTCGTTCTTCCAGCAGGAAAGTGGGAAATTCAAGCACAAACGAATGAGGGCTAAAAAAAAAAAAAAATGATAGTGACATTCGCTTACCAGAACAGGATTTTTCAATATCAGGCAGTGAATGATGGCTCACTTCTAGACAGTCCGTGAAAGAGCTTTGATCGTGGTTCCCTGGGCCACTGGGGCCAGTGAAGCCAGCTTCCAGCTCGCTAGTCGGATGACTCTCCTCATGTTCGTCTGTAGAGCTCTTCCCTTCAAGACAACTGCTGGCCCCGACCAAGCCTTCTGGGGCATTTCCAAGAGATGGTATATCGGCTTCCTTTGGCCGCAGTGGTATGGGGGGCTTCGTCTCTGCATCTGTTCCCTGGCTTTCTTTCTCCCTGAGCGAGCCCTCAGAGCTCGTAGACTCCATCTTGGATGTCAACCATGAGGATTTGACTGGAGATTCAGGTATAGGAGAGCCAGATAAGCTTTGTCAACTAAGCCTGATATCAAGGCAGACACAAACAGGTGTTGATAATATACAATTCCTAGAGAGGAGACTTGAGTGGTTCTTGCTGGCTTTGTCCTATGCGGTTGCTGGTATTCCTTTAAAAGAAGAAAAAGAAGAAGAAGAAGAAGAAGAAGAAATCTGCTTTTAATCTGTGATTCACTGTTATGGAGAGGTTCCGGAACAGTCTGTCGCATTATCGCGAGCATCGCAAGCATCACAAGCATCCTACACTCTAACCTGAACAAAAGACACCTTCTCTAGTCCCCTAGGACTATAGTCAAGTATTTCCACTCTGGGAGAATATCAATAGGGAAGAGCTCTTCGCTAGTCTTTCAGTGTTAGGCTCCATATGGGAGATTCCATACATGTGCTTCTAGAATTGATATTTGTTGGAAATAAATGTGTTTTACCCAAAAGTATCTATCCAGGAATCTTAGGAAATCCAATCTAATAAAAACTATCAAAGAATATAGCTTCCATGAGTGGCTGGCACTTAATGAATCACCAATGGCATAGATGTCCGACTTCAGGGCTACTCGTGAAAGTAACCACCTCGACCTCATTTGATGTATTTGCAAGAGAGGCCACTTGGTATGAATACTGGCCCAAGGATCATCATCAGTATCGCCCGTAACCGTCGCAATCGTCCGTGTACGAACTGGAGTCTGCTGGCTTTGCCGTTGAATCGAGAATGTTCCAGCTTACTTTCAGATTCTTGATACTAGCAGAATAACTGCTGGGCTACCGGATGGACGTTTGAGACGAGGTGAGAGGCGAGGAATTCAGCTGGTTTTATAGAGCCCCAACTCCAAGTTAACCCGGCTGCTGTCACACACGAGTCAGCTAGACTCCGATATCTGCATAAAACAAGGCAGTCTGAGGCTTGTCGGGGATGTCGGAGCCTGCAGCTGAGGTTTGCGGCCTTCTCCAAGAAATGCACCCATGGTAATTATATTCAACCCCTGCATAGTAGAGTCAGTCATGCATTATTCAGGATGATAGGATGATACACACTTCTTCACCAGATTATTTACAAAAGGACAAGTTGAAATCCTTTCATTGTTTGGTTTGGCTGTATCTCACGTGAGTCTTCTTCAGGATTCATTTTGATCCTTCGATTTCTTTCATCACTTTCAACTTTCATCCACTAATTATTTATCCTCCTCTATCCATCATAACACCACTTGATCATCTCCAGATATGCTACTAAATATACCACTGGTCTCTCCAGTCACTCCCCCCCGGAAATCCCTTCGATCACTTTCCACCAGTCAAACAATGATCGGCACCCTGATCTCTGGCAGGGTCAGCGGCAAGCGGAACAGAAGCGCCTTTCAACTCGAGAACTATGATCGAACAAAGACCTTTCATCCACGTCATCGTCCAAGCAGAAATATGGAGGCCTTTGTTTCAATGGGAGCCTAAGACTACTCCGTCCTGCCGCTATGATGCTGAAATCAAGGGATTGGCTGACAATGCTGCCCTCTAAGCGCCCAAGATCTGACCTCCCACGCAAAAAAACTGCTGAGAGAAGTATCGCGCGAGATGAAACATGAACATGAGATGGATACATGTCTGAAGAAAGACCAACACCTATTTTGATCGTCTTTGATTCACCTGGCGTGTTACCAGATGATCTGCTGGGATCCCAGCAATAAATTGGATAAATACCCCCTTTGTGGTGAATTCTTTCTATTCAGACCATTGTTCTCTGTTCTTTTCATCCTTTTTCTTTCTTCTCTTTTCCTTTTCTGTTGGTGTTGATACTCAGTTCTCTCCTCTTCTTCCTTCCTGCTTCTTCACCTTGATAGATTTAATGCGCCATGACTTCCCGGTAAACTACATCCTCCTTGTTATAACTTAATCGCTGCTGGTCAGCATCTTTGTCTGAACCTTTCTTTTCTCTTTATCATAGAATCTCTCTCTCTCTCTCTCTCTAGTCGATATCTTCCAACATTGCCGTCGAGCGTTCTATTTCCTCCCTTGAACAACCGACTCCTTGAAGATTGAACCTCCACTCATTTCCATACCTTTCACTATGATATTCTCCAGATCAGGCCGATCTGTTTTCCCACTCCTTCCTCCATATGGAGCTCAAGATCCACATGGAGGGCCAGGACGTATCATTCCGCTGAATCCTGACGGCATTACCCCATACATGGGGTTGAGCGCACGTCTGTCACAAATATGGATGAACCGCTGGACCATTCTGCTATTGCTCGTCTTAGCCAGAGCATTGATTGCTGTCACTGGCATGCAAAGTGATTTTGCCTCGGCGAAACTCCAGGCGCTGTCTGCGTGTACCACTGTCGAGACCCAGGGCAGCACCATGGCTTCCATGCCTCATTATCTATCGCAAGGAGTGAATGAGCTCACTGCCTCCGGTGTCGAATCCGCCGTCAATGGTCTCAAGAGCATGCTAATGTTGACCGTGACTGGCGTGGAAGAACTCGTGCTCTATATCATCAGAACCATGTACCGAACTTACCTCTGTCTGATAAAATTGGCCGTTCATGGCAGTGTCGAAGTCGGTGTCGGGTTGCTGAAAGACGCCACCGACTTTTTGAACTCAACGGTGAAGGATATAGGCGAGGACCTCGGCGATACCATATCAACTTTCCAAGACGCCCTCAACAAATTTCTCGGAGTGGTCAACACAATTGCCAGTTCGATCGGAGTGGACGTTCCCACATTGAATGTTTCAAGCTTTGTTGATAAGCTTGAGAATGCCCGTCTTCCATCGTCAATAGATGAAAGTCTAGACAAGCTTAACAACTCGATGCCAACGTTTGACGAGGCGACCGAGTTTGTCGAGAATGTCATCCGTACTCCCTTCAAGGAGGTCAACCAAAAAATCAACGAATCCTTGGGAACATATACCTTCGACCGTTCTTTACTCCTAGTTCCAGAAAAGCGGCAGTTGAGCTTTTGCAAAGGCAACGATGGAATCGATTCCTTTTTTGATGGTGTCCAGGACATCGCAGAAACAGGCCGCAAGGTCTTCATTGCTGTTTTGATCATTGCCGCAATTCTTGCGTGTTTGCCGGTGGCATGGCAGGAGATCCGCGGTTGGCGGCATATGAAAGAACGATCTCAACTCGTCCGCAAAGAAGCAGACGACCCAATGGATGTGGTCTACATCGTGTCCAGGCCCTACACTGCAGCCGCCGGGATTAAAGCGGCAAGCAGATTCAGCAACAGCCGCAGACAGATACTAGTCCGCTGGGTTATTGCGTACGCCACCTCGCCAAGTGCACTGTTCATTCTCTCTCTCGCGGTGGCCGGTCTCTTCTCCTGTCTCTGCCAATATATACTTCTCAGAGCCGTCGAAAAAACCGTTCCCGAGCTCTCCGCCGAAGTAGGCGCCTTCGCCGACAAAGTCGTAGACGCGCTGGAGAGCACATCTATGGAATGGGCCAACAGGACCAACAGTGTCATCAGCAACGTAAACAGCGACCTCAATGACAAAATCTTCGGCTGGGTCCATACCTCGACAACAGGCGTAAACGACACCCTCAACGCGTTTGTCAATAAAACCACAGGCATCCTGAACGAGACCTTCGCCGGAACGATACTCTACGACCCTATCCTCGACGTCTTGAACTGCCTGATTTTCCTCCAAATCGCCGGTATCTCGAAAGGCCTCACCTGGGTCTCCGACTCCGCATATATTGACCTCCCTACTTTGCCCAACGACACGTTCTCTCGCGGCGCCTCTGACTCCATCTCTTCTTCCGACGGAAGCGACAGCTTCCTCGCCGACGCCGGCGACTCAACCTCCGATCAAATCACCGCGACCGTGTACCGAGTCACCAGCAAGATCGCCAACGGCATCAAAACAGAAACAACCATCTCCGCACTCATCCTCCTTGTGTGGTTCCTCAATCTACTCATCGGACTCACTCGCGCCCTGATCCTATTCTGCAAGCGAGAAAGAACCCGCGGGGAGGGCGGCGGCGCCCCCACACCTTCAGGGCCGCCGGGTCCACATTATAGTGGCGGCGGCAGTGGAGCGGGAGCCCGAGGCGGCGTTTCTGACTCCAATGGCTTCACCGATGTGCCCCTAACCGCAATACCCAATGTCCGTAGCTCTAGCTCTGCTCGCTCTCCACCAGCACCACAATATGAACCTGCCGCGACAGCAAGGGCAGGCTCTGGGATCGCGGTGGCCGTGACCACGACCGTGACCACTGAAACAGAGTCCGGGTATCCCGACGAGAAAATCGGGTTTGCAGGACATCGGAACGCACTCAAAGTTTCGGGGGTGCCGGATCTGCGTGGGAGCAGTTATGTTGAATATGGGATAGAGAAGCGTTAGGGGTGGTATTGTATTGTATTTTACTATAAGATTCTGCCCCTTGCTTACGTCTTTTCTCATCATACCTAGTTATGTTCTTTTGTCATGGTGGCGTGCATGCTCTCTGGCGCTGGATTCTCAGGCATTGTAATGGATTGTTTCGAAACAACTTTAGAACATCCCAATAATGTCCTCTTAGTGGGCAAATCATTCTGAATACTTTTAACTGATATTATTAACTAGAGAATTGATGCACTAGTTATATATAAATCTAGATGTATACATACCCCACCAAGGTCATACTGATATCAATAAAAAGCACACAAGAAAAGCACACAAGAAATAAAACCCTACACTGTACGGTATGTATAGGCATATTCAAAAAAAAGTCATAAACGTCATAACAACATAGAAAATCCAAGCTGCTTCAAATCGCAACAAAGAAACTCTTCTCCCCCTCCCGGGGAAGCACCCTCGCCCGCTCAATAATCGGATCCGCACAACTGATCCTGATCCGCTCCGGGGTAGCAGGACTTTGCAGCTGCAGGACGTCATTAACACCCCACTGCTTCCGGGCCGCCTTCAGCGCATCGCGGATAGCGAAGAACGCCGCGCTGCCCATGAACAGCGGGGGTTCGCCAACACCACGGGAGCGCTGGATCGTGCGCAGATTCTCCCACTCGACATCCTTCAGCAGGCTTACGTTAAAGATCTGGGGGATATCCCGGAACCCCGGGATCTTGTAGTTTCCCGGTCCTCTGGTGGCAATTTGGCCCGACGCCCGGTGCCAGAGAGATTCTTCGGTGGTGAAGAGACCCTGGCCCTGAATGTAGGCGCCTTCGATCTGGCCGTAGTCGATGGAGGGGTTGATTGTGCGCCCTACATCCATTTTGATATCGGCGCGGAGAGGCGTCCAGTCGCCGGTTAGGGTGTCGATTTCGACTTCGGCGGCGGTGACGCCCTGCGTGAAGTAGAAGAACATCTGGCCCTTGTTTTCACCCCAGACGTAGCCGATATCCGGGGTGCGGTAAAATCCCTGTGCGGAGAGATTGACGCGATCGAAATATGCAGCGTGCGCGAGCTCTTTCATCGTCGCGTTAGGCATCTTCTCACGGTAAGGGCGCAAGCGTTCGTTAAGCTGTTCGCAGGCGTTGAAGATGGCATATCCATTGAGGTCAGAACTTGCTGAGGCTGCAGTAGCCGAGGTGTTTGCGACGGTATTTGTAGCAGTCTCGGAGATGAAGACATTGGATTGGGGTATTCCCAAGGCTTCGGCTGCAATCATGGTCATCTTTGTGTGGAGACCTTGGCCCATTTCGACTCCGCCGTGGGCAACGAGAACGCTGCCATCGTGGTAAATGTGCACAAGGGCGCCCGCTTGATTTAGAAAGAGCGCCGTGAAAGAGATGCCAAATTTTGTGGGGACAACGGCCATTCCACGCTTTGACCATTTATGCGTCTGGTTGTACTCCTCTACAGCCTTGCGGCGCTCTGCATACGAGCTCTCTTCCATGACCTGCTTGTACATCAAGGGTACATGCCAGTCTTTGAGCTCCTGGCGGAAGTGAGTCGTTTCACCAGACTGATACATGTTGCGCCATCGTAGATCTTCCACGGGGATGTTGAGGTGGTCCGCAACTTCTGATATGAAGGACTCTGCGAAAAATAGCCCTTGAGGACCACCAAATCCACGGAAAGCAGTATTGGAAACTGTATTTGTTTTGCACACGCGGCCTCGGACGTTGACATTCGGAATCTTGTATACTCCGTCGATGTGCGAGAGACTGCGCTCCACGACAGCGCCCGAGAGATCTTGTGTGTGACCGCCATTGGCATAAACATCTGCATCAAGTGCAAGGAATTTGCCTTCCTTAGTTACTCCGACCTTCCAGCGGCAAAGGAATGGGTGACGTTGTCCAGAAGTTAGGATGTCTTCATCGCGGTTGAGCATGCAACGGACAGGTCGCTTCATTTTCGCAGCAGCAGTAGCGCAGATTGCTGCTAGCTGGACTGAACGGGTTTCTTTGCCACCGAATCCTCCTCCAAGACGTTTAACTCTTGAGACAATCTTGTTGGCAGAGACGCCGGTAACCTGGGCGACATATGCTTGCCTAAAGGCGCTGTTAGACGAAAGTAGACAGTATAACAGAAAGCTTATACTTACGTTTCGGTTGGATTTTGGGTACCGCTCCAGATTTCCATCTCTCCATCTTCAAGTTTGGGAATCGCAACACAAGCCTGGGTTTCCAGGTAGAAGTGCTCCTGGCCGCCCATTCGTGAGACACCTGTGATAACGTGGTCCGCATCCTTGAAAGCACTTTCTGTATCGCCGCACGCAATGTAGCGGTAATGCTCAAAGAAAGACTCTGCCTCAATTGCCTCCTCAATGCTAAGGATCACAGGTAGATCTTCATACTCGACCTTCACAGCCCTTGCACCCTCTTCAGCAGCCTTGGCCGTATTTGCCAGAATCATACCAATTGGCTGACCAGCGGTTGTCACCTTGTCAACTGCAAAGAACACTTCGTCGCGGTTGGGGGCGCCCCACCAGTTGGCTTTTGGGCTTGGTAGATCCTTGTGGTTGACATAGTCCACTACTCCAGGAATATCCAGAGCAGCATCCGCTTCCACACTGATGATTTTGGCATGGGGTTTGGTCGATAGAACCATACAGCCGTACAGTTCATTCTTCTGAACGGGTATGTCGTCCGTGTACTGGGCTTCACCAGTGGCCTGTTTTAGCGCTGAGACGTGGGGACCGGCTTTGCCCAGGACTTTTTGTTGGTATGCTACTGAAGTCTCATGATCCTTTTCGCCTGAAGAAATTGCTCGTTCGATTTCAGCAATGACATCTTCGTCCACATCGGCTTCCTTCACTTCGAGCCCCGATAACACGTCGTGGTAGAATCGATAGAAGAACCCTAAGGCAAGGGACTTGCGGTAAGTCGCCATTCCACCGGGAACGCCGAACTTCAAGTCAAAGTCCTTTTCTAGAGCACCCATTGTGCCCTCAAGAGTAGCTGGGTTGGTGAATTTCTTGCCAATCAGGAAAGCCTCAGCATTCCGTGCAGATACAGTCATAGGTGCCAAACCACCAAAAACCAAATTCACGCTCGTGATGTCGTTTGAGGGGGAGAGAGACACGCGAAAAGCACCATTGACAATGGCAATATCGTCATCTTTCCGCTTGGCTTGTTTATAGGCCCGCATATACTCTCCGTTCTCGCGTGCGATCGGGATTCGGAGGCTGGCAATGACAGCATCTGGTGGAAGGGCTGTGGATCGGTAGCCTTTGAAGAACCGGCCCATGGGGATCTCGGTCTCTTTTTCTAACGATTTGGCGATAAGATGCGTGTTTGTGGCCACGAAGACTGGATTTAAATCAGAAATCGGAGATGCAGTCGCTAGATTGCCAGCTGGAGAAGCCACGTTTCTGATCTGCCTTCCAGCGAAGTAGCGGAGTTGCTTTTTGATCGCACTGAATGGTTGTCCCTTTCTCGGACCGTATCGGTCAAGCGCTAGGTCGCAGACATTTTCCAGGTCGGTCAAGGAGATGTTCGCACCGATTTCCAAGTGGTCATCATGGAAGGAGAATTGTTTCAGCTCGGCGATGTCGCCGACATAGACAGAGGCACTGTAGCGCATGGCCTTGAACTTGATCTCAATCTGAGTTTCGGTGCTTCCACCGATAATCTTTGCGTCCGGGTGAATGTCCTTGATCTCCAAGAGCTGGTGTAGAGTAACTGGCCGGTACCACTTTTTGCGCTTGTTACCAAAAGCCACCGGTCGGGGCTCATTCTTCCAAAGGGCAGGCGGGAAAATTAATTCTGTGTCCGGTTTGTACTCGATAAACTCTGGAGACTTGAACTTTGGAAAATCACCATCCTTCTCGAGCGACGAGGCTTTACAGCATCCCGTTGTGCCATCCTCCCTCTCCTTCTCCTTCTCCATCTCCATACAACATCCAGATCCTCCATTGGCGCGGGATTTGACACAACCAACCGGGGCCGTGAAACTTTGGGCAGCATCTAGAATTGGCCGATAGCCTGTGCATCGACATAGGTTTCCATCAAACGCCTCCTCCACCGCGTGTTCAGAGGGCTGGGGGTTGTTTCGGAGGAGGGCGTAGAGGCTCTGCAAGACATATATACTATTAGCCAAGACTCTCTCTGAGGTATACAAGACCCTATAAGGTAGGTAGCCGAACCATGACGATGCCCGGGGTACAGAAACCACACTGGCTTCCATTCCCAATTGCCAGCCGTTGCTGGATGGCGTGGGGATTCTTGACATTCCCAATACCTTCGACAGTAATCACATGTTTGCCGTCGACACTAACCAGGGGGGCAAGACAGGCGTTGACGGAGGCATGGTAGAGTTTCCTTGTCGTTGGATTTATATGTGAGACCACCTATTTGGAGGTCACCATCTTGGTTAATACCAGCTGAAATTCGGATCTAGCATGGGGAAAGGCCAGAACATACTACTGTACAGGCACCGCAGCCACCCTCTGCACATCCCAGCTTCGTCCCCGTCAAGCCAATACCTCTCAGATATTCCAGCAGGGTAATTTCCGGATCCACAGAGTCCAGAGTCACCTTTGTGCCATTCAGATAGAAGCGAATACAGTCATCCCAGTCCTCTGTGAGCTGGGTCAAGGAGGTCACGGCAGCTTTCGCCGCCGCGGCGACTTCAAGCTCCGACTGAGCTGGTTCAACCAGGACGCCAGGCGCCATGATGGGTAGGGATGAGTGAGGTTCAGCCGTGTTCGACTGGATCAGGGGAGAAAGACAGGCATCGATCGACTTTAATAGTTGTATCGTGCACGAGAAGAGAAGAGAAGAGAAGCAAGGAAATAGCTATCATGGCGGGGAAAGATGACTTATCGCGGGGATCGCCACCATCCGACGCTGTTGGAGTTGGATCATCCAGATTCCAGAGTGGAAGCCAATGATGATTATTTACTCACTTAACTAATGAATTGAATAAAATTAGAATTATATATCCTGGTCGAATAAAACGTCGCTTATAGTAATAAAGATATAATGTTTATCATCCCAACGCCAAAGTGAACGGACAGTACCTCTGTAACCAACTAATTGGACTCCTCGCGCGAATCTTCCTATGCAAAGAAAGGGTCTATTGCGTCCATCTATTATGCCTTGGGTCGGGCCCCGAGAAAGTCCTTTTCATCCTCCTCCCACTTCTGTCGTTCCACAATGCTCCGTGCCCTGTCAAAGTTAGTGTGAGCTTACTGAAGTGGGTGATGTACATGCCGGTATGCCTTGACAAACCGCCACACCTCCGTGTCCGCTAGATTCCACGCTTCTGCCACGTCTTTAATGTTGATCCGGTTGGTATCTTTGCTCTTCAACCCTTCCCGGGCGAGTCGGAGGATCTCGTATTCGGCCGCAACCCCTTGCTGGCTCGGATTGGCATGCTGCATGGATTCTTTGGCTTCACCCTCATTCTTGGCATCGACGTTGGTATCTCGCGGGATCTTGAATCCGAACTGCCACTCAAACTCGTCTAACAATTCGGACGGCAAAGCTTGACCAACCTTGGGAGGCAGCGACTCAACTGTCATCCAGAGAGAAGTCCCGATCACGGAATCGTCCGCGACCGCTTTCTTGAAAACAGCCGCTCGGGGAGCTCCACCGAGGGCGCGGCCTAAATGCTCACTAGTAACCTCCTTTAGCCACGTATCACGCTCGGTTTCTCGTCGGACATGTCGGGTGGTCACCTCTACGGAGTGTTGCTGCAAGCTGATCAAGGTATACGGGTGCGGGAGTGTGCCGATAGTGAAAACTTGGGTGTTGTTCCTGTAGGTCGCGGGCTGGCTGATAAGCATCGGTTGCTCGGGATCACAGGGTCGACATTTTTGTAAGTTTGGAGGGCAAGATGAAGGCTCCACAGAGCCCGAACATTGACCAAGAGCTTTGGCGAGCCGCAATGCTGGCTCAACCAGCGCGGTGGTGTTCTGGGGAAAGGGCTTTAGAATAGCAATGCCTCCGGGAAAGGTGTTCCGAAACGTAGTTCTTAAGTGCGAGTTAATGAGCTCCACCAGCGCGAGCCGGCCGGCCGACGGGGAGGAGGCAGACTTCTCTACGAGAGTTGGGTAGTGAGAGCTAACTGTAGTGGAGTCGTAGAAGGCCAAAGAGCTGGACTCCTCGATCTTGAACATTTCGTTCGGTAAAGCGTCTACCACAGATTTTGAGAATTTTTCGTCTGTCTTGGCGATCGCCTCCTTGATCGCATTGTTAATCTTGTCCTTCTGACCAGAACATAGACCACCGTCAAGTCGGTGAAATCTGGTAATGAAGTCCGGATCAGTGCCTCGTCGCAAATCGGCGAGAGTAGGATCATCATATCTCGCCATTGGGAAGCAGCGCCAGTCAGCGAGCAAGCCATCGCCCATGTGTCCCCAAGCAAGCCACCGGAGAATGTCCTTTTCCAGGTCAACGTTCAAATCCAGGGGTTTCACAACCTCATACAGCGGATTGGCTATCGCCTCTCCGTGGCCTAGAACCACCGGACGGAATCCCTGCGCATACCAAGCGCGACGCCATGCAAGCAGCAATTGGGCATCCGCATCCTCGTCATCCCTGCTATTTCCTTTGTTTGGATCATAGTAGGTGTAGATATAAGGCCGCTCTCGAAGGGGAGGCAGGACAGCTCGGTTTTCGTCGAGGGTAATGGAAGACGAAAAGGGGTTGATCCACTGCCAATTGCTGAACCACTTTGAATCGCCGCTCGAGCTGTTCTGTTGCGCCTCGGGGGGCTGGTGTGCCGTCGGGTGGAAAGAAGGCAGGTGCAAGTCGTCGAACGAGGGGAATTTTGGCACATACTTGGTCGCGGCGGAAATCTCTTCGCTGAAGGAACTGGAACGCGGGGAGGAAGAGAATATTAACAAGAGAAGGGCGACAAATACAATGATTGAGATCAGAGTCGTACTCCGATGGGGTATCATGTTTATAGCAGGCAGCTCGACTGGCTAGGGATATTTAACGCAGCGGGTGGCCGCAGCAATGAGCCAGAGGATGGTGCGAGAAGCTCTGAAACCTGCAGTTAGTTAGTTAGTTAGTTAGCTACAGAAGCGCTGACACATTATGTAGCAGATCAAAATCACAAGAAAGGGTAAAGGATAGGCAAACACATTACTCCGTAGTGGATACCTTCTCGTAGGTTGTGGACAAATCAGTCCATTGCAAATCGTTGAATCATGGCACTGGGCATGTCACATAGGGGTCAGGGTCGTATCCTGCATAGAGTGGAAGCGAATTCAGAATCTTCACCAGGGAACGTTGCTGGTCGATGATAATATTCGCCCTGGTTTCCTATTCCGGGAACCAGTGACCTCATTGCCGAATTGGGTTTAGTCAGGGTCTGTCGGAAATACGATGTTCCAGTAGGGGTAGCAAATCATGGACTGGCGACGATTCTATCCCTTCTTTTTTAAAAGAGGCGTCAAATCGACGTGATACGATCTAGTTCCTAGTTTGGACAATACAATTCGACATCCTGAAGGACTTGGTCTTGTTAGCGGTGCAGAACATTCCCTGGCAGTACCGCCATCATGAACGTTGTATGGTGATTGATATACAGAAAAATGTTACACGCGCCTCACCCACTATTACTTCGTTATCAGGAAAGCCATTCTCCCAACCTCCGAGAGTTGATAGTATTGCTTACCCGGCGGAAGAAGGCTGATATCCATAAAAGGCATCTTAAAACTGCGTCTCATTCAAAAAATCGTATATCTTTTCAAATGGACATAATATATGAAGATCTTATCGGGTGTTGGTACATGTCAATCACGCTATCGACCAAGGTAGAGGACAGAGCCTCGTGCGCGTCATTTCTAGAAGAATATCAAGTTCCTAAGAGACAGGCAGGACGATTGGAACTAATAGTGACCGTGCACCGCTGACTTGGGTACTTGATTCGATGGACACCAACATACTGGTAGCGCTACACATACATGGCTCTTTTGTCCTTTCCCGCATCTATCTGGCCGGCAGTTTACGACACTCGGTACAAGCTGTAATCAAGTGCCTCAGAGCTGGGACCTCTGCAATACTCCACAGTACTGCAGTGGGTAGCTGCTGCTGCTGCTGCTGCAGGAACTACATACAGTGTCCGGATCGTCTTCCGTCCCTGGTTAACCAGTCTCTATTGTACAATTTTGCCAAAAACCGATCCTACATAGTGAGTTGACAGGGATCAATGGGCCATCCCCCACACATATAGCCCGCGCAGGATGAGGCAGGGGGAACAACCTTAATCTCGTCGTTATGTCCCAAATAGACGTGTTGCATGCAAAATCCCGACATCAATTTAGTTAAGTCATAGGGGGCTTGTTTTCAAGTCAAGAGCGCAGTCTGCCAAGAGTTTTTAGAATCGTATCCGTAACTGGCAAGTGAAACCCGATTCCCGCCGAATCTAATCAGATGATCTGATAGAGATTTTTTCCAAGCAGTGGAGCTTTTAATCTCGAGCTTCGCTCACGAGCATGTAAAGCCAAGCTGAAACGGAGTTGTTGGCTCTCAACCAAGGGCGACTGGATGCATTTTGCAATAGCACTCCACCAGAAACGAGAAAAAAAATAAATAAACAAGTTGAAGAAAGGCCAAGAAGAAAGTTATCAGATCCTCCATGCTAGCCCGTGGTTCAAAAACAATGGATCCATCTGATAATACCAAGTGGGCCAGGTATCATTACCAATTTACAATACATCGTATCATGTACACTTGAAACAACTTAGTGTAAGTTACCCAGTATGGTACACTAGTAGTAAGTTAGAATGTAAACAAATGAGAGATGATCATGTTGTGCCCGCCGATGACCGCTCATTATGGAGACAGGGGATGTTATCAGATCCCTGCCCAGGTAGGAAATGTAAGGTGAGTTTTTATTTTACGCAGAATGGGCTTTGTCCCCTCGTTGCTTTGAAAATTCAGCGGTCCATAATCAGTGCATCCGGTCTCCGTCCGCCACTTCGACCACAACCAGGGCAGGCAGAATTGGAGTGAGGATCCACTCACTCCTTTGAAGAAAAAGGCCCCATTGTAGGGTCGTCTGGTCCAGATTGACCTGGCTTTCACGGCAAGATCGGCTGTTTCTCTCTGTGCAGGCTGACCGTCAACTCATTCCAGCATGTGGAGTATGGCGTCGTCGTGCAATCCTTTGCGCCAGGAGACGAGCCTACTCAAGAAAGGCCTTAAGGGGATTCCCGCTGAAAAGTCTGTTACTTTAAAACCTTCCTGTTGGAGATGTGGGATACACTAACCCCCCCCCCCCCCCCCCCCCCCGGTCAATTGGTTTGGCGCGGTGTACTCATATTGGGGCGATTACCCTGCGAGATCCAGAGAAAATTTCAAGTATAGTAGAGGGACGTATGCGGCCGGCTTCAGGAACAGGTTTGCATCCTTGGTCCACGTAACGTAGTGGGTGGTTAGGCGATATCGGTTACGGGACCGATATATGGGCTCTTCGTTGGCAAGCCCGAAGAGAAAGGGTAAATGATAAATGGAGTCAAATTCCAGAACGTCCGAAACATACTACTAGATACGAACTAGGGTTCCAGTCGAATAAGAGTCGACGTGGGTTCGCTTATAATCCTCTCTCATCCAGCCCTCGGCTTACATGCGCTGAACTACCCCCGGACTACAAAACCCATTTACTCGGGCTGCGAAGCTCGTCTTTCCTCACGAAGCTAAAAGTTCTCCAGAGGGGCTTCTGGCAGTCTCGCAAGGAGGCGTTGATCAATGATTGCATATCTGTCGTGTCGCTACTTTCTTGATACCACTGCAAAGGACCGAAGGCCACAACCATGGCGACCAACACAGCACCATCACACAAATACCCGCTGGTAAAGCTCCCACACCCGTTCTTGACTGTATATCGCGTGCGTACTGTTGCCGAAACCACGCCGCAGAGACTCAGCTTGACACTAGACCACCAGCCGGTAGCTGGACGACCTCTGCCCCAACCCTTACATCTTGACACACTCTCCTGGTTTGATTTATTGTCTGTATCTGAAAGCCAAGCTCCTCCGAGCTCCGATAACAGTGCCTGGGCGCGAGCCCGGCGAAGTCCACAGACCACCTTCCAATGGGCGGGAGTCAATCCTCCTTCTTTGGGGCAGATCTGGAATGTGGTCCATGCGATTTATCTCGCGCATCCCACAAACGAGGATTTTCGAGTCACACTGCGCGGCACCGGCAAGGAGATTGTCCGGAATGAGCTGCTCCAAACGGGCTTGGGCCTGGAGCACCCGAAACCATGGCGCTTTTCGGGCAAGAAGATCGAGGATTCGGAAGAGATCTTGATTCTGCGAAGTTCATTCTGGCAGGGTGCAGCTTCTCCGGCTGGTCCGCGCCCGATCTGGGTGGTGGGAGATAACACAGATGGTCCTCTGCGCGAATCGTTAGCTCAGTACCCGGTCATGCCTGAGAACTATCAGTTGACAATGAAGTTCCCGGAGGAGGCGGTCTATACTCGTCACCCGGTCCGTCGCCCCAAGCCCCATCCGGGATCGATTGTCTATAGCCGCTACATTCCCGATCTTGAGGAGCACTTTTCCCTGGAGGCCGTCAACTGGCAAGACCCCGAGCACTTGAAGCTCTTCAATACATGGCAAAACGACCCACGTGTTGCAAAGGGTTGGAACGAGACTGGAACTCTAGACCAACATCGGGAGTATCTACGCAAGCTTCACTTTGATCCTCATGTTCTTTGTCTGTTTGGACGTTTTAATGACTCTCGCTTCTCTTACTATGAGTTGTATTGGGCAAAGGCAAGTTCCCCCCAATTCTCTGGTTTCCCCTTTTTATCTATATTAACAGTTTTCGTTCACAGGAAGATCACTACGGCGCCCATTACGATGCGGGAGACTATGATCGGGGTCGCCACTCTCTTGTCGGCGACGCTTCTTTCCGGGGTGCACAGCGGGTCAATGTGTGGTACTCCAGCTGCATCCATTATTGCTTTTTGGATGATCCGCGAACTGCAAATGTGGTGGGAGAGCCCAAAGCCAGCGGCGCCACTATTCTGTCATACGAGAATGCGCAAGGTCTGGTCATTGGCAAGTACGTGGACCTGGGCCATAAACGCTCCGTGCATTCAATCTGCAGCCGGGAGAAATGGTTTCAGCTGTGTCCACTGTTCTGGGATGGCCGCGAGAGGCCCTTGGAATCTGCGGACCGCGCAGCTTGGAATGCAAAACTCTAGCACCGCTGTGATTCTAGGTTTTTTTTTTGTTTTTTTTTTACAGTACGGAGTAAGGACCAGGATATCATGGATGATGGATTGTTTCAAAGCAGAGTTGACTTTATAGTCTCAGATGCCCCTCCATGGGCATATCCACAGTGACGTGTCGGAGCTTTCCGGCAGAGAAGACTGAATATTTACCTGTCGAATTTGGATCCTTAATTAAAGAACGCATTGAGAGACATTTCCACACGCCATCCCTATAGTCTAGCCTGAACAAGAGTCTACGCCGAGAGACAATCTAATCAGATCGACTGTAACGAACTAAATTCGATTAGGGCTTTGCACTTGTTAGATTACCGGAATGGTTATTACATACAATACCACAATACCTGTATTTGGTACGTATTTCATGACGCTCCGGAATCCACCAAATGTCCCAACGCCATAACCAACGGCTAGCAGCAACTTTACGTAGACAAATAATCCCACACGAGAGCAGCGATTTTTCTCCTGGCTCCTTGGAGTGTGAGACCATTGAGAAAGACCAGAGCCATTCATCGTTAGTGGGTCATTTGTCACGGTGATGCCAACAACCACTGGAAGTCTTGCACGGCGACCAGCACTTGCACAATCCAAGGAACACATTGCACCCATACATAACCGATCTCGGAGACACTAAATTGAACCAAAAAAAATCGCTTTGCAAACGTGTGGGACATCGCTTTGGTTGCCCTCTGATTGATAAGTGGATAGAGAGAGAGGTCTTTTCCGCAACCCGTTCGAGCCAACTCGGAGCGTCTGCCGCAACATCCTCCTCGCACACAGAAACCACACCTATCCTCTCTCCATTTCCAAGATGTACTCTAAATTCTGGCCCAAGGGTGGTCTCCCCGGTATTTTGCATCACTATGTAGGTCCTTTTTCTTCTTCTTCCCAGGGCGAAACTTGATCGCAACTCGCCACGTTCGCTAACGAAGCTCCGGTACCCCCCCCCCCCCCGGGAAATAGACCGAAACCCTCGTCACATTCGAATATACCTCCAGCACCGTTCGCAAACCACACAGTCTCCTCTTCGTCGGCGGCCTCGGCGATGGCCTCGCAACAACGTCATACATGGCCGATCTCGTGCGCGCCCTAGCCCCCACGGAATGGTCGATTTTCACCCTCAACCTCACCTCGTCGTACCAGGCCTGGGGCCTGGGCCATCTGGACCGAGACACGACGGAGATCGCACAATGTCTCACCTACATCAAGGAATACAAGACCGACAAGTTCGGCCCCGGGAAGATCGCCCTGATGGGCCATTCCACGGGGAGCCAGTGCGTGCTGCATTACCTGTGCCGACCAAACCCGCACCCGGGGGTCCCTTTGTTCGACCCGGACTTGGAGCATGTGCGCCGGCCCGAGCTCGACGGCGCGATCATGCAGGCGCCGGTTTCCGATCGGGAGGCGGTCCTGTGGTGCCTGGCCGAGGGAATCGGGGGCAAGTCCCCCGCGGAGGTGCGCGAGGTGTTTGAGAAAGTGGAAGAGCTGGCCAAGGAGGCCGATGATCGCCAGAAGAACCCATGCGACACGGTGCTCCCCATCGACATGACGAGGATTATCTATCCGAGCAATGTGCCGATTAGCGCCCGGCGGCTGCTGAGTCTCATTAGCCCCGAGAGTCCGCAGGCGCCGCGGGAAGACGATCTGTTCAGTTCGGATCTGGGCGAGGAACAGCTCGCGAAGACGTTTGGAGTGGTGCAGCAGCGCGCACTGCTGAAGCATAAGCTGATGGTGTTGATCTCGGGTGCTGACCAGTCCGTCCCGGACTGGGTGGATAAGAGGCAAGTCCTGGAGAAGTTCCGGAATGCGACCACGCGCAATGGGGAGAATGACATTTGGGATGCCGAGCATAGCGCAATTATTCCCGGTGCTTCGCATGCCTTGAGTAATGATGACCAGGCAGAGCCCCGGAAGTTCCTGGTCGAGAAGGTCTTGGGATACTTGCGCGAGGCGGAGAAAGTATCGGCATGAGAGTCTTCTATAAAGCACAAAACTTAGGAACGTTTTTTTCAACCATGTTTTCGTTGTATATAACTTCTCTTTATTATCTTCATAAACAAAATGATAGTCACATTTGATTGTGTAAATTATCAAGTATAATACTCCCTCGTTCATAGTTCACTACCTAGGTACCTAAAAACCTACCTGCTAGAGAGCTGTAAATCTTCCCGTTCCTCCTAAAAAAAAAAAAAAAAAAAAAATTAAATATGTATAATCTAAGATATCACCAAAGCCGTCTAAAACAGAATACCCTTGGTCTGTTGCTTGGTAAGCTTGATGTCCCGGACCAAAAACATCCAGACGAGAGATAGAGACATGACGCAGGTTCCCGCGATCAACATCTTCGTCTGCGCGTCGGCATAGGCAAGGGAAATAGCGTTGCGGACGTCCGACCCTCGTTCGTAGCTGAGCTGGACCTCCAAGTCATCATAGATGGACTCCCAGTCCGGCAAGGCAGATTCCGGCAGACGGCGCTGCAGCGCGCCGGGCAGCGTGTTGGTCCAGATGGCACCGGAGATACTGCTGCCAATGGCACCGCCGGCAGACCCGAAGCAGTTCAGGAAAGCAAGGGCGGAGGCGACGTGGTTGTGGTCAGAGGCAGCCTCGACCGCAACCTGCTGGACGATGATCATCGTGCCGCCGCCGAACGCAATAAAGATCTGGCACAGAATCGGATACCCGACGGACCAGTGCGGGTTGCGGAAGTAGATCATCAAGCCCACCCCGAGCATGTAGAGAGGAACCGAGAAGTAAAGTAGCCAGCGGTACCGACAGGTCTTTTTGATCAACAGCCCCACGATCAAGAGCCAGCAGCCGGACACCACGTCGAAGATGTTGCCGATGTACCCGGCGGTCGAAATGCTGGTTCCGTACACGACCTGGAGGTAGGACGAGTAGTAGTCGCTCCAGCAGTAGTAGGCGACCTGGTAGCAGGCGTCGATGAGGCACGCGCCGATAACGGTGCGGGAGGCCAGCAGGTGCCATGGCAGGAAGGGTACGGGGACGACGAAGCGTTCGGCCAAACCAAAGGCAGCCAGACAAGCGACACCAACGACCAGCATGGTAATAATGGAGGTGGATCGCCATTCATCCTCCATGGAACCGGCAATGGTCAAGGGGAGGAGAAAGAGGACCAGGCCTGCGGCTAGCAGGAAAACGCCCATCACTGAGAATATGGAGTCAAATCTTCCGTCTTGGTAGGGTGAGCGAGGAGGAGGAGGAGGAGGAGGAGGAGGAGGAGGAGGAGGAGGAGGGCTTACGGTCAAACTCGATGATGTAGTAAATGACACTCTGGATCATTGTCCGGCCACTTGCTGGCTTCTCCTTCAAAAGACCCTTCTTCTTCGCCTTGTACAGGTTGTAGCGCAGAAGACCAAACATAGGCAAGGCCACCACGGGAAGTACAATGCAAAACACACCGAATCCCCATCGCCAGTTGAAGGAATAGAAATGCTCAGCAGCCTTGGGACCAGCAAACGCGGTAATAATGTAGGGGGAAGAGGTGAAGGCATAGGCAAGACCTCGATCACGGAGGGTTGATGTATCAGCGGTGATAACATCAATACAAAAGATCATTCCCGAAAATCCGATACTGTAAAACACCTTCCTCATAGTCAGTGCTTCATCATTCGCCATCTGAAAACAAAACAGAGGACCGACATACTTGAGAGGCACAGAACGTGGCAATATCCTTGCAAGTTGCAGACAATATCAAGCCCAAGATCGCGAATAACACCATGAGCATAAACCCCACGGAACGGTCCCAAAGATTGAGGATTTTTGCCAAAGGCATATACGTTGCCGCAGACATAACGCTGGACACAATGTAAATCACAGGAATCAACGAGTGCGACTCGAAGTCACTCGTCACGTAGGCAGACAAACTTCCCGTAATGGTGGACTGGAGAGCGTTCACAAAGTACAAAAGAAACATACTTGACTCTATTGTCAGTCACCATGTTCTCCATGACTGTAGGGCACAACTTACAGAGCGTAAGCCGCTCCCAGGGAAACCTTGTTCCAGGTCAAAGTGATAGCCTCTGCTTGAGTGACACCAGTCTGGGCTTGTTCATCTGGCAAATCCTCCCTGTCCGCGGGATCATCAACAGCCTCCGCAGGGATCTTCAGCTCATTCTGGATTCCTTCTTCGGTAGCACCGCCATTGTCCCGGGAAGGGTCGGTAGGACCCTCTGCCGTTGATGGGTAGCCCGAAGGTCGAGCCAACTTGCGGTGATACGCTTTAAGCATGGCGATTTCGTCAGTATCAGTATCCTCGTCTACCACAGGACCAGCAGAAACAGATTGCCACTTGAGGACAAATTCCGAGAACGGTCAATGGGGGCTGGCCACCCTTTTTACGTTTTTCAAGTTGTTGGATCTATGCTGCACCTATTGGCGCCCAAGGGAAAGCTACTCGAAGCCATCGGAATGTGATCGGACCATACCCAGCTTCAAGTCCAGAGATACAAAAAGTCTCACCACCAACAGAGCCAACGCTGCCAAGTTGCAAGTGCCATCGGCCAAGGCCTCCCCTTATGTGCAATTGGAGAGGAGGTCGTATAAAAGACCTCTCTAGACTCGCGGAAGGACGACGGTATCTGCTTGGCACGAATCCTTGCTAAGCGATGGGAAACCGGAGCTCTTGGTGTCCTTGGCACTTTCTGTTCATCTCTCTTTCTCTCTCTCTCTCTCTCTCTCTCTCTCTGCATTAGGAGGTGGTGGAGAATCAATTTAACAGTAGTTGACGATGGCTGTATTGGTTGTATTGCGGTAAAATATGTTTTGTATGGTATTACAGTACGGTCGTCATTTTGGTATTTCAATACCCCACTAAGCTAGTACAGTACAATACGCCCAGTTGTATGTTTCATTTGTCCAGAGGGGGGGGAAAAAGCCCTCATTCAATACATATCAGATGGATTCCAACGTCACCAACGCGCTTTTAGCGATGTCGGCAGAACTTTAGACCCTCAAGAACTCTGGGCTGAATAATTTCGGATCTGATAACCTTAGGTAACAAGATGATCTCTTCCCTTGGGCGGGTTCTTCATCCAACCATCAAAGCTCCCACCGAGACTGTTCTGTGCCCCCCCCCCTCCTTTCCCTCAGCGGCCTTGGAAAGCCGGTAGGAGTGATTCGGCAGTGGAGAAATCCGAGCTAGTACGGGGCGAAATAAATTGTTGCTCGACCGGCATTCTGCAGCTTTCCACACTTGACCACGACAAGTGCAAAGCGAGCTTCAGGTCAGTCCGTCCGTCCGTCCGCCACCATGAAGTTCGTCCAGAAACTGGCGGGCTACCCGCGTCTGCTTCTGGCCGGCAATCCTACCAAGAGTGATGTAGGCATGCTATTGCTGGGGATCCTATGTGCGATTGCTGCCGGCGTCCCTTTCCCGTTGATTGGTGTTCGGTTTGGTGAGCTGCTGGACGACTTCAATACCGTCACCTGTGACTCCGACTCGAGTACGAGATCCGACGAACGGGGGGACATTAACGGCAACATCCTGATTATTGTCTATCTGGCTATCGCTCAGTTTGTGCTGATCTATGCCCATCTCTCCTTCTGGAGTTTGAACGGCGCTCGACTCGCCCAGAGACTGCGAGAAGTGTATTTACAAAGCCTGCTTCGACAAGAGCCGTCCTATTTTGACAACCTTCCTCCCGGCGAGATCGCATCTCGTCTTAATGGGGACATCCAGGCCATTCGCTCCGGTACGGCGGAGAAGGTGGGCATTTGCATCTCGACGTTTTCCTTTTTCATCACGGCGTACATCGTGGCGTTCATCAAGGACTACACCCTGGCTGCAGAGTTGATCTCCCTGATTCCGGCTTACTTTCTGATGTCCTTTATCGGAAGCCACTATATTGAAAAATATTCCGGCCTGATGTCAGATTACGCCGCCAGCGCTTCATCCATTGCCTCCGAGGCGCTTTCGAACATCACCGTGGTGCAGGCCTTCGGGGCCAATGCTCGCTTGGAAGAAAAATTCTCCAAGGCGCTGAAATCCGCAGAGCATGAAGGTTTGAAGAAGGCTACCGCGGTCGGCATCCAGTCCGGATTCCTGTATTTCATCGCTTACTCGGCGAACGGTCTCGCCTTCTGGCAAGGAAGCAGACATATCGCCGACTCCGTGGGGAATGAGTCCAAAGGCGTCACGGTGGGTGCTACCTTTACGGTGATCTTTATCCTGGTTGAAGGTAAAGCCCCCTCGGGCCACTATCTACTATATAAGCTGGTACTGATGCAATAACAGCTACACTGCTTTTGAGTCAGGTTGCGCCTTTTCTCCATCTGTTTGTGGCAGCGGTGGCCTCGTTCGACAAGCTACGCGAGGACATCGATCGTGAACCCTTGATTGACGGTACTGCCGATTCAGGGCTTCGTCTCCCACAGGCAGAAGAAGGGGGCTTTGAATTCAAAAATGTTTCATTCACTTACCCTTCCCGGCCCGAAGTCACCGTTCTGGATCAAATGAATCTCTCTATCCCCGCCAACAAGCACACGGCCATCGTTGGGCTCTCTGGAAGTGGAAAGTCAACCATCGCAGGGTTGGTAACAAGATTGTATGATCCTACCGAAGGAGAGATCCTGTTCGACGGCCATAGCCTGCGCGAGGTGAATGTCCGCGACCTGAGAAGCTTCCTGAGCTTGGTCCAGCAGGAGCCTTCTCTGCTCGACCGTTCCCTCTTGGAGAATATTGCACACGGCTTGATTAATTCCAGTGACCCGAGCCATTCTCACCTGAAGCCTCTCCTTCTCACTCCCGAGCTAGCCGAACTCGCAACCGAGATTAGGCAAGGCAAGGATCTTATGGCGGCAGCTGCAGAGCGAGGCCCCCAGGTTGTCGAAATCGTCCACTTGGCCCGCAAGGCGGCCACACTGGCAGACGCGGATCCATTCATCTCGGCCTTGCAACACGGATATGGCACGGTTGTGGGTTCGAGCGGACGGTTAATCAGTGGGGGTCAGAAGCAACGAGTAGCCCTTGCCAGAGCCCTTGTCAAGGACCCGGCAGTCCTCATCATGGATGAAGCCACCGCGTCTCTGGATTCAAGGAGTGAACAACGCATCCAGCGGGCGATTTCCAACATCACCAGCGGCAGAACTATGATCACGATTGCTCATCGGCTATCGACAATCACGAGCGCAGACAACATTGTCGTTATGCACAAGGGACATATCGTGGAACAGGGCAGTCACTCGGAGTTGATGGCTAAGAATGGCGCGTACGCCGATTTGGTGAAACTACAAACGATGGGATCCACGTCCGAGAAGACTGAGGTCGCCGTCACCGCAGACAGCATTAATGAATCATCGTCCACGGAAGCCGATATCGAAAAGAGCAGTTATCCCCAGTCTCCCGTCGGACCTGTCCCGGAAACTAGGCCGTCACCTAGTGAGGAAGAAGAAGAAGAAGAAGAAGAAGAAGAAGAAGAAGAAGAAGAAGAGGAGCCCGAAACTCCATCGAAATCTCTGTGGGCCTTGATGAAAGGATACTCTCCAACCCTAAGACCACACCTGCTCATGGTCTTTCTTGCTCTTCTCGCCTCCAGCATTGTTGGCGGAGCATTCTCTGCAGAAGCGGTGATTTTCGGAAATACCGTTGGAAGTCTGAGTCCCTGCAAAACACCGGATAGCATTCGGAATCGCGGTGATTTCTACGGGCTTATGTTCTTCGTCCTCGCAATAATCGAGTTCTTTGCCAACTTGGTCAGTTGGTCGGGATTCGGTTGGGTTTCGGAGAAAATCGTCTACACAGTACGAGTCCTATCCTTCCGGTCCCTTTTCGAGCAAGACCTTCAATGGCACCAGTCCGAAGGCCGGACGCCTGCTCTGCTTCTCTCGTACATCACCCGAGATGGCAATGCCCTGGCGGGCCTGAGCGGCTCTGTTATCGGCACCCTGTTCTCGATTTCGGTGAATCTCATCGCCGCAATCATCTTGACTCACATCATTGCCTGGCGAATTGCGTTGGTCTGTTTGTCTCTGGTACCTCTGCTCCTGGGCGCTGGTCTTCTGGAGCTTCGGATTCTCGGCAAGTTCGAAGAGCGTCACGAAAACGCATACACCAAATCAGTCGACATCGGCGTGGAAGCCGTCTCGTCTATCAAGACCATAGCCGCGCTCTCCCTGGAAGAAGAAACCCTGAGGACCTACCAACGATCCTTGACGGGACCGCGCAAGGAAACCGTCCAAGTCACCGTGCAAGCCAGTCTCTGCCAGGCCATGACTTATTTCCTGGGCAACCTGGTGAATGCACTGGCCTACTGGTGGGGCGCCAAACAGATCATCATCGGCAACTACACGCAGACCCAGTTCCTGATTGTCGTCTTCTCGCTCCTTGTCAGTGCTCTGCTGTGGAGCCAGATGTTTGCCCTGGCCCCGGAACTCACCAGTGCTCGTGCGGCGATGGCACGAATCCTGGGCCTGATTGAGATCGGCTCCGACCAGATGCAAGGACGCGTGCCTCCCCATGCTTTCCCCGGCGTCTCTTCCGACGACGGAAGCCACTTGGAGGCAGCAGCGGAACCGAAGCTTCCCCGGGTCGTGTCCGACAGCCTCGCCTCCAGCGTCCAGCTCCGCGACGTGCACTTTGCTTACCCTGCTCGCCCAGATATCAAAGTTCTCAATGGCCTGAACATCGATATCCAACCGGGGAAGTTCTGCGCCCTCTGTGGGCCCAGCGGCGCGGGTAAATCCACCATCATTTCCCTCGTTGAGCGATTGTACGTGCCAGAGTCCGGAGCCATCGTGATCGATGGCGTCGACGTAACCAAACACCGCGACGTCGCTTTCCGGGACTCGATCGCCCTCGTCCCGCAGGAAAGCGTCCTCTTCGAAGGGAGCATCCAGTTCAACGTTGGTCTGGGGGCCAAACCAGGACAAGAGGTGACTCTAGACGACATCAAAGAGGCCTGCAAGCTGGCCAATATCCACGACACAATCGACGCCTTGCCCGACGGCTACCAGACGCTCTGTGGTCCCAACGGCAGCCAGTTCTCCGGAGGCCAGAAGCAAAGATTATCCATTGCGCGTGCCTTGGTTCGAAAGCCTAAGCTGCTGATTCTGGACGAGTCAACGAGTGCCCTGGATGCGGAATCCGAGAAGCTTCTCCAGGATGGGCTGGAGACGGCCGCAAAGGGTATTACCGTCATTGCCATCGCCCATCGTCTGCACACAATCCAGAAAGCCGATGTCATCTACTTGATTGAAGCTGGTCAGTGTGTTGATCGCGGAACGCATGAAGAGTTGCTGCAGAGGTCAGAGACATATAGGGCAAATGTCTTGCATCAAACCGTTGCATGATGATGATCAATTTATAGATTTGGATACCATTTAGTTTAGATTAAAAAGGCTCCTATTATTACTGTATGATTTTTCATTTTTTTTTTTTTAATACATTTATTTCTATTCCAGGAGTCGATTGGGAAGATTGATCATATATATATACGGAGTAGTAATAGCTACCTGCCATTGAAGATTGCAAATAAGAACCCTACCTAGGTAAGAAGATAATGTCCAAAAAAAACTAGAATTTATATATATATATAAAAAAAAAAAAAATAACAGCAGAAATAACGAGCAGCCTGTCTGTCTCTTGAAAGGCATTCATTCATTCCAATCCACGTCCAAGCTAGAAAGCTCCCTCCTCCTCCTCCTCCAACAACACCAGGTCCGACTTCCCACTGGTCAACGTTTGAACAGCACCAGCCAACTCATCAAGAATTGTCTCTACAAATTCAGCATCGCGTTCGCTTCCCACTACACCAACATGCACCTGCCCATCCCGAACGAACGAAACCGCCTTGACAGGACGAGCAGCGTCCCCGTGCGGATTCATGATCTCAACCCGACACTCAGCGCCCGCAAAGAGCATGGTATCGGAATCATCCCAATCCTGATGATGGACAACGGAGTCAAAGAAGGTCGCCTCCGATGGCCACTGGGTGCACTGCGTGGAAATCGTTTCAAACCCGAGGAAGTCATACGCGGCAGACTCGCCACTCTGCTTCTGAACAGAACGCAGGAGATCCATCGCGGTCCATGGCGTCTCGAACGAGACCCGGACCGGCGTCAGCTGGTAGCATGGGCCCACGACATTCTCGACATTGGCCAAGTCCACCCCACGCCCGGAGGTCACGCTGCCGAAGGTGACGTCTCGCGTGTGCAGACGATTCGCGAGCACCAGTGCCCAGGCCGCCGTGAGGAGGGTTGCGGTCGTGATCTCGTCCGGTGCTTGCGCGGTAGCCACGGCGGCCTTGGTTTGGAAGACGGCTCTATCTGTAAGCTGGCCTGTGCTACCGTCAAGAACGGACCACGACGAGTCCCGCAGAAGATCTCCCCAGTAAGCGAGTGCTTTGGTCTGGCTGTCCTGGTTGGAAACGTGGGAAATATAGGCGGAGAATGGCGCGACATCTGGAGTCTGTTCTGCGCTCCCCGTGTACAAGGCGTCCAGATCCTGGAGCAGCCGGGGCAGCGACACCCCGTCGTATAAGGCGTGGGATAAGCCGAGAACGAGACATGCTTGGCCGTCTCTGCCTTCGACAAGGAAGATTTTCAGGAAGGACGACCCCAGACGGAATTCCGATTCGGCGTGCGACTTGCACAGGTCGGTGACGGATTGCTCGAGGTCCTCGTTGTCTGGCTGCTGCTGCTGCTGCACCGTCACGGGGGACTCCAGCTCGTTCAATACGACCTGGAAGAAGGTTGACTCGTGTTCAATGAAGACCGTGCGCAGAATCTCGTGGGTCTTGACTAGGTTGTTACAAGCGCGGATCAGCTGTTCCCGGTTGATGTCTTTGTGGAGATACAGCATGGTGTATTGGATGGAGGTCCGTGGGGGCTGGACGGTTGCCCTGATGTCGAGGGCTTGAGAATCTGTCACGGGGTATACGTCTCGGATAGACCAAGTTGGATCCGCCAGATTTGGCCGCACCGCTTCAGATAGGAATAGCTCGATATCGGCGAGGCCCAGGGTAGAGAAGGGGACGTAAGCCTGAACCTGCGTTTCAGCAACTTGGCCTGCTTGTTTTAGCCTTCTAGCCGCGTCACCAAGACGCATGTGCTGGAAGATGTCCGCTACCGTCAATCGATGTCCCTGCATGCGAAGACTCGACACCAACTTCATGGCCAGGACAGAGTCCCCACCGAGGCGGAAGAAGTTGTCGTCGACATCAATCTGCTCCGGGCTGATTCGGAGGATCTTCGCCCACGCAGACTGTAGGATGCTCTCTGCGGTAGTCAAAGTGGTTTGAACCGAGCTGTGTGTCCATGCCTGCTGGAAGCCTTCACGAATTTGAGTGAGCATGCCGGAAGTCATTCTCGATGCTAATTGATTGAGCTGGCTGCGGTCGATGTGGTCCTGGTCTCCCGGCAATTTGTCCAGCACAATGTAGGTGGACGGGATCATGAACGACGGAAGAGAGTCACGAATGAATTTATTGAGCTTTTTCAAGGCGAGAGCAAGGCTAACTGGGATCTTAGCGCAGATAGTGGTCTTGGAGCATTGGGAATCGGAGGTTGTGTCGGAAATGATGTCGTGTTGTGCCGACATGACCTCGACAGTGTCCTCGTTGGAAGGTGGATATTCCACGAAAACGACCAGTTCTGGCTCTGATATCTTCTGAACGCCATCGGACAATAATACCTGACATACAGCTCCAGCGGCACGGGCCGTCTCGGGGAGATACCTTGTGAAGTGAGATTCAAGCTCCGCAATGTCCACTGCATGCCCTTGCACTGGAACCACATTCTCCTTTCGCCCAACAAACATCAAGCTGCCATCTTCTCGTAGCTGGACCATATCCCCTGTTGACTGCATTTTCCCTGTTCGTCCAGGGCAACTGGAGCTTCCAGCCACGAGCCAGGCAGGGGATTCAACGGTTTCTCCGGCAAAGAAAGCTCCTTCCAGCCAAAGCTCACCAACACAGCCAATGGGTGACAACAGAGACGGGTTTCGCGAGTTGCAAACCCAGGGAACCACTGCGTTAGGGTACGCCGCTCCTGGCTTAAAGCTCGAATCTGCTCGAAGTGTTTTCGAACTCTCGTCATAGGCCAAAGGGGGTGTTCGATTCCATCGCCAAATCTGGTTCAACTCGGTTTCCGGAAGGCAGCTTATCTCGTCGATTCGCCTGGAAAGGTCCTTGGCTAACTGCAGACAAGCCATCTCTATCTGCGCGAGGATTCGTTGCATTTGCTTGGTCTCAATCAGGCTCGTATCAAAACTGGCGCAAATCCTGAACCCACCCTTTTTAATCCCACATCCTAGCATGAGCGGGTAAGGGTTGAAATGGAGCGCTTCACGGACGACATCCCCAACTTCGAAGCCGAGTTCGCTTCCCACATATTCCGGTTCTGGCTGGATAACCAAGCCTGTGGGGGCTTCGCATGCATGCTGGGCATCCTGACTGACCTTTCGGATGAATTGCATTCCCATGTGTTGGTATGGTGTACGGGCCGACATGGCTTGCTGCACCGTCTGTAAATAAGACCCTACAGAGCTTGATCGGCGAACGTGTATCCGGATAGGCACCGTTGCAATCAACGGACCGACAATGCCTTCAACTCCCGCCAACGCAATGTCTCGACCTGTAAGAGTCTCGCCAAATACGACGTCGTCGCTGCCGGAGTATTGCGACGCCACGAGTGCCCATGCTCCGCGAATCAATGTGGCCATGGTGAATGGCCATCCAGAACTGGTCTCAATGTCTATTTGGTGCTCGACCATACCATCCGGAGTCGGCAGGAAATCTCTAGAAGGCAAACGTGGGAACTGGGGTCCAACGGCTCCTTTCAATTCACGACGCCAGAATTCCTGCATGGCTGTCTCGTCTGTCTCGCGCACGTATTTCACAAACTCCCTCATTTGCGTCTGTACTTCAACGCTCTGGCTTTGCAGCACATCACTAACTTTCTTCAGTATGATAGGCTCCGACCATCCGTCGTAGAGTACGTGATGGACGGTCCACACCATGTATCGCTTGCCATCATTTGAGTCGTCAACAATGGCATATCGAGCAAGGTTCTGTCCAAGTTCCATCTTCTCATTTCTATCAGTCTCCAGATATTGCTCCAGATTGGTTGAATGCTTCCAAGATATGGGATCTTTCAGGACAACCTGTTGCAGGCCAGGGTCTTGCAGTTGGACTAAGCGGGTCCGCAAAATAGGGTTTGCTGCGACAACATCTTCCCAGGCCTTCTTCCAGGAATCAAGGTTTATTGTATTTGACGGTATTTGAGCAACTCTCTGAGCCACATACGCCTCGGCTGATTTGAGCGAAAAGGTGAAAAGTGACTCTTGTGTGGGGGTGCAAGGGTAGATATCCTCGACAGCTGCTGGGGTTGATCCACAGGCCTGTGAAGCTTGCCAGCAGGCGCTCTCCACGGCTTGAGAAATCATTGAAAATGCCTGTGTCTCTGAGACCAATGTCTGAGAGTCGCAAATCTGAACCACACCAGCCATTGCCGTGAGAGTGGGGTGGCTAAAAGTGCTGGCAACACTGAGATCGAGGCCCTGCGCTCTGCAGACAGCAGCGAGTCTCATCGCGGCCAGGGAGTCACCGCCGAGTCCAAAGAAATTATCATCCGGCCGAATGGTGTCTGCATTGAGCTTCAATGTCTCTCCCCATGCCTGTCTTAAACGCTGCTCAATATCACTCAGCTCCCGAGCGGCGGTGTTCCTTGCCCCTTGATCCAGTTGGCGCAAGTCTACAGTTGCACCGAGCTGCCTGAGTCGTTTGCGGTCGGTCTTCCCTGAAATTAAAACCGGGATGTAGTTGACGGGTATGTATGCTGTGGGAACCATATATCGCGGTAGGACTTGAGCCAGCTCCGCATCCGCCTTGGATAAAACTTCACGCTGCTCATCATTCTGCTGTGCGAGCCCCAGTTCCGTGTTCTCATGGCCCTTTGCAGACTGGGGAGCAACGAATGCAACCAAAGTCGGTTGGCTTCCAGATCCCTGAGGAACAATCACCTCGGCAATTACATTGGTCTCCGATGGCAGTCTAGCCCTAAGCTGACTCTCGATCTCACCAAGCTCGACTCGTTGCCCACGCAATTTGACTTGTGTATCCTTACGTCCAACGAACACAATTCCTCCCGAACCATCAGGGTCATATCGTCCAAGGTCTCCCGTCTTGTACAGACGTCCTCGACGACCAGGGTACCCGTTGTGTCCTGCGACCAGCCACTTGGGATCATGAATGAACACGGACGCGGTCTTCTCGGGGTCGTTCAGGTAGCCTTGCCCAACAATCGGGCCCTCGACAAGCAACTCGCCCACGGCGCCAACGGGCATTAGTACGTCATGGTCATTCGGATCCGTAACCCACATCGCTGCTCCATTACCCGGTCCGATAGAGATATAATCCCTGCCAGTCGCAGCGCTGCCGTTAACCGTGCATCCTATCGTACATTCACAGGGTCCATAACCAATAATAATCCTGGTGTCTTGACCCCAGATGGCAACGTCTCTTGCTGAAACCGCCTCTCCTCCAAGGCCAAGACCCTCCATGGACGTTATAACATCAGGATCCAGAATGCGGGCCACTGAAGGGGTCAGACCGGCATAATTGACTCTCATGTCACGGATCACTCCGTTTATATCGTTCAGTCGATCTTCATCTGAGGGGATACAAAGACAGCCACCATTGCCCAAGGTCAATAGCATGCTATCAATGCTGACATCGAAAGCGTAGGATGCAAAATCAAGAACTCTGGAGTTCCCCGTGTAGCCCACCGCTTTCGCTCGAGGAATGGCGCTGCTTGTGTAGGTTTCATGAGAAATAGTGACACCCTTGGGAGTTCCTGTGCTCCCGGAAGTAAAGATGATGTACATGAGGGTAGATGATGGAACGGTTGGTAACTCGGGAAGGACCTGTGATTCCGAAATCTGCGAAAATGTGTCTTCTTCCACAACGATAGATTTTCCACCTGGCATAATTTCATTGCCAAATTCATGCTGCATACGAGATGTGACCCTCATCTTTGCGCCCACTTGGACCGCCATATTTTGGAGGCGAGCAAGCGGAAGGGTCGAATCCATGAGCACAAAGGTTCCTCCTGCTTTCATCACGGCAAGAACGGCGACAATGGTCCATTTTGATTTCTCAAAACACACAGGGATAACATCCCCAAGCTGGATACCCATTTCTCTCAGCAGCTCGGCGACAAAGGTAGAGTACCTGTCAATTTGGCCGTATGTCAAACCGCCATCCCAAGACGCGATGGCATCTTTGTCTGGGGATTTCTGGGCTTGTTTTGAAATCATCTCATGCATGCAAAAGTCATACAGTGGGGGAAGTTCATGATTCCACCCCCATATATCATCCAAGTCACTCATGGTGGGCCTGAGACAGTCCTGCATAGATGCATCTGGAGACAAAAGGCACGTTCTGATGGTGTCCGCCAAAGCGTTGATATGTCGCTTTATTGTATATGGTAGCATACTTTTAGCTTGCCACACGGGACGAATCTTAAATCCATTCTCATGAGAGCATACTTCAAGGTGAAGTACCGGCTTTGTTCATTAGTTGTCAGCCTTGATTAGCAAAAGAGAGAGAGAGAGAGAGAGAGAGAGAGAGAGAGAGACCACCCACCTCATCTTTAGCTTCCTGGGAAAGAGAGCCAGTGCTCAAGAGAAGAGACACAGGACCGGTAATATCCGCGCACTGACTTGGTACAACTTTCGCTATGTGGCTAGAAATGGCTGCCACTGTATGTCCAATAGAACTTTCTAGGCCGGTCATTACTTCATTCATCGACAGAGACGTTTTCACCAGCTCATTTCCAGAACTATTTATGCGATTTTTGTACGCCCAGTCAAACGCAATCTGGCCACCATCGCTGGCCCGTAGCAGTACAATGAGCCAGGACAAAAGGAAAAGATCCTCTCTCAAGCCTGTCGGAGTGGTCTGATCGGGCATAAGACCGATGAGCTCAAGAGAGCGGAAACAACCATCCCCATCAAGCTGGCTGGCAGATAAGCCGTCCGCTTGCCCATTTTCCCGCTGATTATATGTATCTTGAGACTGTATTGAGCCCATTCTCCCGGCCGGCCAGTTCTTCTGTCCTGGGGTGGAAGATTGACTGGTCGTTTGACGTACTAGCGCTGGGTTTGAGTCTAGGAGGACAGAAGTGGTATGGTGTACGTTATATAGCCAAGTAGTAGGCAAATGGCCCTCTCATGCAGGTAGCGCACATAATCGTTCGAGCGAGACCGGTCGTCGCGGGAGATTGTGGATTCGACAGGTTGGAGCCCACGCTGTTTCGAAAGCAAGCAGAGCAGCGAAGCCTGTGGCTGGAAATTTCACCTGCAGAATGGGCATTTACGTTTCATTGCGTCACGTAATTGACTGACGAATTGGACCCTATATTTGGAGCATTCGATGGAGTTTCTGACGGAAAGTTGGGCAACATATGGAATTGGGAGGAAATTGTACGGAGTAGATATGCGTTATTGAGGAAATACACGAACGAGGTAGAAACAGTACTGACTGGTATGGTATGGTATGGTATGGTATGGTAATGTTTCTGGTTTATTACATCTACTATGTTACAAGCTGTACGGCCGCCACCGTGGGCTCCGTTTCTCTACAAATGCCCTCATTCCCTCATGGAAATTCTCCCCCGCCATAAGCCTTGGATACCAGTTGTCTACCAAAGCGGTACTGCCTTCTTCCACACTGGCTATTTCCCATGCATAGTGAAGCCCCTCCATGGTAACGCGGAGGCTGTCGGGACTATTCCCGGAGATGGCTGTTGCGATCTCCACTGCAGTGCGCAGGAGCTGGCTATGCTCCACAACCCGATTCACCAACCCCCAATGTTCGAGCTGGGATGCAGGAAAGCTCATGCCACTCAAGGCCATCTCAGCCGCTCGCTGCTTGCCTATGATGCGAACCAGCCGAGGCAGAGAGCCAGCAACGGCAGCAACTCCACGTTTGACCTCAGGGAGTCCAAAGGTCGCCTTTTCACTGGCAACGACAATATCACAATTGACCACCATTTCAAATCCACCACCTAGGCAGAATCCGTTGACAGCAGCGATGATGGGTTTGCCTCCTCTGCGGCGAGGAAGCCCGGCCAGTCCAGGTGCGGTCATCTCATTTACTGTGCCGCTCTCATTAAGTTGATTCCATTCTGAGATCGAATTAGGGGTCTAAAGCCGGATCCAAAAAAAAAAAAAAAGAAAAAGGAGAGCAGTACCTTTGAGATCAGCCCCAGAGCTGAAGGACTCTCCTGTGCCAGTAATTATCGCCACTTGTAGACTTGGTTCTGTATCAAACCATTCCCAAAGTCGTTGTATCTCAGCACTCATGGCGAGGGATATGCAATTTCGCTTCTCCGGTCGATTCAACGTGAGGAGGAGAATCTGAGGTGCGGGAAACGAAACCAAAGCTCCTTGGACTGGGGGATGCTGCATGTCTATTGTCATAGCTCTATACGTATAGAAGGCTTTAAAACGAGAAGACTTTGGCATTTACCGTATTTTCATCAAACAAGGTATAATGAACATATGTGAAACCGAGGAACGACCACTTTAAGAAGTAGCCCGAGGCTATATCATCCCAACTATTAACTAGTTAGTATTGACCAGTCCATATATCCCTCGATGGACCACGGACCTTTCGCGTTTGGAAAACCCAAGGTAACAAAACAAAGCCCCTCCTCTGTTAGGTATTCTACAAACCCCAGTTATATCCGATTTCCAGTCCAAAGTTACGTCCACATGAAAGATGAATCCACTCAGGTACTCCCTTTAGCTTTATTTTACTCCGTACAAGAACCAATGTTTGGCATGATCCTCCCCCCGCTTCCCCAATTCAGTTATACGTCCTACACCGGAGCATATATTTATTAGATGTGGGCCGGTGCCATCACTGGGCCAGATGGACGAAATTCCGATACACACTGTATCGAATACAATTAGATCCACATGGCTTATAACACAATTCGAGAAAAAAAATTATCCTTCGTACGGTAAGAAAATGGCTTTCGGGTGATGTACGGAGTATTAGATCCACCATCCGTATCAATCTAATCAGATAACCGGATCCCATACGCTATTCAAAGTGGAGCATCGACCTCTTGTAAGTTTGCATCGACTATGGAGTAATGATGAGATGAAAATCGAGACCGGTCAATAATAATTCTCAGATCCGTCCCTCCATTTTTCCGAGTGGTTGAAGAAATGAAAAATGAAAACATTAACAAGGAAGACACGGGAGACAAGAATCGATTGCGTCTTCTCGTATACTACGGTTACATGGAACGATACAGTACCGACGCTAGTATGGATTAATTTACTGCGTAATACCAAGACAAACCACAGCTGGAATTTAGGTGTATGTACCAGCGTCTAGAAAAAAAAAATCACGAAATCAGATTAGATAGAGAGTCATATTTTCGAGTCATTTCCAAGTGGCGTTCTTTCTTAGAAGGACTCAGGAGAATGTCTCGTATTCGGTCCACATCAGATAACTTCAATTCATCGCTGTCGGGTTATCTGATGATCTGATAATCTGCATCTCAACGATTTCCCAGATTTAGCTGTATATGCGTGCGGTGCAACATTCCACGGCTAGAGGCTTCTTTTTCCAGCCAGTATCGACACCTTGAATCTAGTATTACGGACTTGGTTCTACTCTGTCGGTATGGCCAGGGTTGCTCCTCCTCAAAACGGAACGCAGAGGTACTTTCCAAAATAGGAAATCAACAGAATCCTTACATAGGAAGGCGGTGTACTGTCAGCATGTGGCAGAAAAATGAAGCCTGAAAGTCTGCCTGGAAATTCAGGATCCAAGTGGGGGAATCTTTCTTCTTTTTTTTTTAGCAGCGAAATCGGCGGGTGTTTTCACTTTGATGTGCCCCTCCTCCGTCACTACATGCTTAACTCATTGAGTCATAACTATCCTCATTATTTCATCTGCTTATAATCATCTATCCCATTCCATCCTAGTGCAGATTGACGCCCATATTTTTGAAAAGGGACATCGTCACTGCTGCCATGGGGGTCGATTTACAGCAGCGCCTTGAGCGATGGGCTCAGAGACTGCAAAACCTAACCGTCTCCCCCCTCACCCGCGATTATCCCGACACCCAGAGTCAGGACATTCCCAAGAGAGCCATTGAAGCTTTCGAGTCACTCAAGCTTCCCAGTGATACAGCGTCCGCTTTGCAGAAGATCTCCGGATCCTCGTCCGGGTTCTCCGTTTTCCTCACTGCCTTTGTCGTGCTCGTTGCTCGCTTGACTGGGGACGAAGATATCGCCATTGGCACCAGTGTTGGGGATGACGGTCGTCCCTTTGTCCTGAGAGTCCCCATTGACCCCTCCGAGTCATTCCTTCAGCTATATGGCAAGGTCCAGACGGTAGGTTTTGCCAATTGCCTTTCTACTAACACTGCCTGATCTCACACACACACACACATTCTAGGCCTTCGACCAAGGCTCAGCCGACCTTGTTCCTCTAGGTAGCCTACGATCTTATATCCAAGAAAAGTCTCAATCTGAACGAACCCCAATCCTATTCCGCTTCGCCGCATATGACGCTCCCGCTGCCTCCCAAGAATATCCCGCCAATACCTTTGAGACTACCGATCTGGTGCTCAATGTTGCTACCGGCTCGACGATGGAGTTGGGAGCGTACTACAACCAGCGACTCTTTTCGAGCGCCAGGATCTCCACAATCTTGAACCAACTTTCCCAATTGGTTGCAAATGCTACCGGCAATCCCGGAGAGGCAATCGGTCGTATCGATTTCATGACTCCCGAGCAGCGCGCTCTCCTCCCCGACCCGACCGCCGATCTTAAATGGTCCAAATTCCGCGGCCCAATCCACGATATTTTCGCTGAAAACGCCGAAAAGCACCCCGAGAAGCTCTGTGTGGTAGAAACCAAGTCCGCGACGTCCGCTCACCGCGAGTTCACATACCAACAGATCAATGAAGCATCAAATATTCTGGGCCATCACCTAGTCCAGGCGGGGGTCGAGCGGGGAGAGGTTGTCATGGTGTACGCCTACCGTGGTGTCGATCTAGTTGTCGCCGTTATGGGCATTCTCAAGGCCGGAGCAACCTTCTCCGTCATTGATCCTGCATACCCGCCAGAGCGCCAATGCATCTACCTCGACGTTGCCCGTCCTCGGGCACTTATTAACATCCAGAAGGCCACCAAGGATGCTGGCGAGCTATCTGAGAAAGTGCGCGCCTTTATCGATGAAAACCTGGAGCTCCGTACTGAGATCCCTGCTCTTGCCTTGCTTGATGACGGCACTCTGCTAGGAGGCTCGGTTAATGGACAGGAGGATGTCTTTGCCAACGAGGTACCCCTAAAGTCCAAGCGAGTCGGTGTCGTCGTTGGCCCAGACTCTACGCCTACCCTCTCCTTCACCTCTGGTTCCGAAGGTAGACCCAAGGGTGTCCGAGGTCGGCATTTCTCCTTGGCATACTATTTCCCTTGGATGTCTGAGACATTCAACCTGACTCCCAATGATAAATTCACAATGCTCAGCGGAATCGCCCACGACCCAATCCAAAGAGATATTTTCACTCCCCTCTTCTTGGGAGCTCAACTCCTGGTCCCCGCGCGCGAGGACATCCAGAACGAAAAGCTTGCTGAATGGATGCGTGAATATGGAGCCACGATCACTCACCTTACCCCTGCCATGGGTCAAATCCTGGTGGGAGGTGCTTCTGCCCAGTTCCCCGCTCTTCACCATGCCTTCTTTGTCGGAGATATTCTGATCAAGAGAGACTGCCGTTCCCTGCAAGGGCTGGCCCCGAACGTCAACATCGTCAACATGTACGGAACAACTGAAACCCAGCGTGCGGTCAGTTACTTCGAAATTCCAAGCTTCTCAAGCGATGGCGGATATCTTGATACCATGAAGGACGTTATCCCCGCAGGTCGTGGAATGGTGGATGTGCAGATGTTGGTGGTCAACCGCTTTGAACCCAGTCGTATTTGTGCGATTGGTGAGGTGGGCGAGATCTACGTTCGCGCCGCTGGTCTCGCCGAGGGATACCTTGGTTCCCCAGAGCTTAACCAGAAGAAGTTCCTGACCAACTGGTTTGTGGATCCACAAACATGGGTGGAAAAGGACAAGGCTGATTCGCAGGGTGCCAACGAGCCCTGGCGGGAGTTCTACGTCGGGCCAAGAGATCGCTTGTATCGAAGCGGAGATCTTGGCCGATACACACCTTCGGGAAATGTGGAATGTTCCGGTCGCGCTGATGACCAGGTGAAGATCCGTGGTTTCCGCATTGAGCTTGGAGAGATTGATACTCATCTTTCGCGCCATCCTCTCGTGAGAGAGAATGTGACCCTAGTGCGTCGTGACAAATTCGAGGAGCCGACCCTCGTGAGCTATTTCGTCCCTGATATGAGCAAGTGGGCATCGTGGCTGGAGAGCAAGAACCTCAAGGACGATGAATCTGCTGAGGGAATGGTAGGCATGCTCCGACGTTTCCGCCCCCTGCGCGACGATGCTCGAGAGCTTCTTCGCAGCAAGCTCCCTGCCTACGCTGTACCCACCGTTTTCATCCCGCTCAAGCGTATGCCACTCAACCCCAACGGCAAGGTCGATAAGCCCGCATTGCCCTTCCCGGATACTGCAGAACTTAGTGCAGCAGCGCCTCGGCGCAAGTCGTCCCTGTTGCAGGCTCTTTCCGAAACTGAGCAAGCTCTGGCTCAGATTTGGGCCCAGCGTATCCCTAATGTCACCGCTCGCATGATCGGCCCTGATGACTCGTTCTTCGATCTTGGCGGCCACAGTATCCTCGCCCAGCAGATGTTCTTCGATCTCCGACGCAAATGGCGTGGTGTTGATATCAGTATGAACGCCATCTTCCGCAGCCCGACTCTCAGAACATTCGCTGCTGAAATCGATCGTCTCCTCAGCTTTGAATCTTTCGCCAGCAATGATGACAAAGGCCCCAGCGCCGAGGCTGAAACGGCTAAAAAGGAAGCTGACGATGAATACTCCCGCGATGCCCGCAAGTTGGCGGAAACCCTACCAAAAACATTCCCAACTCGCTCCGACGATATTCTTTCTAGTGAGCCGACTATCTTCCTCACTGGCGCCACTGGTTTCCTCGGTGCCCATATCCTTCGGGACCTCCTTACCCGCCAGTCTCCTTCTGCCAAGGTAGTGACTCTGGTGCGAGGCAAGACCGAGGAACAAGCCCTCGAGCGTATTCGCTCCACATGCCGAGCCTACGGCTTCTGGGATGACGCTTGGACTAGCAGACTGCAGTGCGTGTGCGGAAGCCTTGGAGAGCCACGCTTCGGCCTCAGTGAAGCCCTTTGGGACGACTTGACCAAGCGCGTTGATGCAGTGATCCACAATGGCGCTCAGGTCCACTGGGTGTATCCTTACTCTACCCTCAAGCCCGCCAACGTCCTGGGTACCATTGACGCTCTGAACCTTTGCGCCACCGGCAAGCCCAAGCAATTCTCCTTCGTCAGTTCTACCAGTGTCCTTGACAGCGACTACTACGTTGAGGAATCCGAGCGGAGTATCGCGGCTGGCGGTGCTGGGATCAGCGAGGACGACGATCTTGAGGGAAGCAGCGTCGGTCTGGGCACTGGCTACGGCCAGAGCAAGTGGGCAGGAGAGTATCTTGTTCGGGAAGCCGGCCGAAGGGGATTGAAGGGAACTATTGTTCGTCCCGGTTACGTTCTTGGAGACTCCAACAGTGGAAGTGAGTTGACCCCCCCCCCCCCCCTTTTTTTTTTTTTTTTCTCTCTCAATCAAACAATGAACAATGAAGCAATCAAAAACTAATCTAGACTTTTTTTTTCCCTCACAGCTACCAACACCGATGACTTCCTCATTCGAATGATCAAGGGATGTATCCAGCTTTCCGCTCGGCCCAACATCAACAACACCGTCAACATGGTCCCCGTTGACCACGTTGCACGCGTTGTCATTGCCGGCGCCTTCCACCCTCCACGTGCCCCCATCGGTGTTGCCCAAGTCACCGGACATCCCCGTCTTCGCTTCAACCAGTTCCTGGGTGCTCTCCAACTATACGGATACGATGTACCCCAGGTTGACTACGTTCCATGGTCCAAGTTGCTTGAGCAGTATGTCAACGACGGACAGCATGATGACCCTGAGTCCCAGCATGCTCTGTAAGTTTCTCCAATTCAGCTTCGACTCGTGTCACTATTAGCGCATATCTAATGTGGGGTTTCTAGTATGCCCCTCTATCATTTCGTGACAGCGGACCTTCCGTCCAACACTAAGGCCCCTGAACTAGATGACATCCAGGCCGCTGCTTCCCTGCGAGCCGATGCCGCCTGGTCCGGCGTTGATGTTTCTGCTGGCGCTGGAGTAACAGAGGAGCTAGTCGGCCTCTACGTTTCTTATCTCGTCTCCATTGGATTCTTGCCTGCGCCGCCGGCTTCAGATGCCGCTCGTCCACTGCCCGCGGCCAAAATCACCGAGGATCAGAAGAAAGCGCTGGCTAGCGTTGGTGGTCGTGGAGGCACTGCGTAATATTGCTCAATTTTGGGACTTGCCAATTTTATTTTTTTTCCCCTTTGGTATCATTTATATTGGGTTCTAAAAGCAACTCGTTTTAGATAGTGATATGTGTTTTTTTTTTCTTTTTTTTGGTTCCCATGTTGGCAGCCTCTGCGTTTGTATATAGGAAATGAAGTCAAAAGATAGAAGAATACCACCTGATGATAGCCCATCTAGATAACTCACCTTACTTCATAAACCAGCTGACGGGCAATATTCCTGTTAATTAATTTGCCCTTTGGTTGATCATGCAATGCGGCCTCAGCGCGGGACGGGCAGAAGGACCGGAGACTCTCGGTTCACGAGCGTGGGGAAGTTCCCGTCAGGGGGGAAGCAAAAAGGATGTTCTCTCCCTAACAACTTCACCGAACCCATCCTTATATCCCCCTCCCCTCCCCCTCCAAAAAAAAAAAACAAAAGAAAAAGAAAACAAACCGATATACCAGCTTTCTGCCTGCTCGAGAATTCACATCGTTCTTTCGGTCTGTCTGTCCTTTGCATAAACTCTCCAACATGGCGACTTCAGGTAAGTCCAGATTTTCATTTCTTGGCATTTTGAACGGTTGAGCGGCCCGCAACCTCTTTCTCGCGATGATGGATTCTCTGCTTTTCTTCCTGCACACCCTGTCGTTCTTCACCCGCTGTACCGTTGAAGATTGTTGTATATAGCCCAATATTGTTTGTTGGTGTATCGCGGACGACTTTGAGGGGGGATAGATCTCCTTCAGAGATAAGCCAAGTTCTCTTCGGCTGTCCCAACGTTCTTTTTTTTTTTTTTTGAGTCATCGGTCACGTTCTTCAACCCCCTTCAGCCCTGCTTTTTCCTCGACCCAGGCACACAGATAGAATATCAGTCGACGCGATGAATGCCACAAGGCTTCTTCCGCGTCTACTTGCCCCTGGACGAGCCACAGCAATCCGCGGCACCCGGACATCATTATCACGCAACTGCTCCCGGTCGGCAAAGGGCGCTAATAAAGTTTCCTCCATAGACTCATCCTCCACCGATCGATTCATCGCTGCCCTTGGGCTCAACAAGGAGTGGGCATCCAAAATTGCCAAGGAGCAGCCGGAGCTCTTCCCAACGCTTGCTGCTGGCCAGAACCCGGAGATTCTCTGGATCGGTTGCTCCGATTCCCGTTGTCCCGAGACCACCCTCCTAGGCCTCAAACCCGGTGACGTCTTTGTTCACCGAAATATCGCCAATGTCTTGCACCCTAGCGATCTGAGCTCGTCGGCCGTCATCGAATATGCCGTCCGTCACCTGCGGGTGAAACACATCGTTCTCAGCGGACACACTTGCTGTGGAGGTGTTGCTGCTGCGCTTGGCAATAAGCAGCTTGGGATCCTGGACCCCTGGCTTCTGCCTCTGCGACAACTGCGCGAAGAGAACCTCGAACTGCTGCAGTCATTGTCGGCGGACGAAGCGGCTGTTAAGCTGGTGGAGTTCAACGTTCTGGCGGGTGTCAAGGTTCTGAAGCAGAAGAACGTCGTACTGGAGGCTATGCAGCAAGGACTGAAGGTGCACGGAGTGGTGTACGATGTGTCCAGCGGTGTTATTCGGCAGCTGGATACTAGCGAGCCGGCAGATGTGGTGAAGGCACGACTCACCTCATTCAAGACCGATGTCTAGAACGGGGGGTTTTTTTTTTCCTTATCTCATTTGGATATTTAGTTAGCGGGTTTGAACAGGCAGCCCTCGGGCTGTATTTCACTGGGCATATAAGTGAGCGATGCAACGGGCGTATTTTTGGACGGGAGAGATATCACATCGAATTGAAGCAGTGAAGTTAGTTTTTTCCTCTTCTTCTTCTTCTTCTTCTTCTTCTTCTTTCTTCAAACCCCGTAGATGAAAATCAAGGCATGCTTCGCCATGTGATGCTATACTATACCGCAAGGGAATCCCTCAGTGTAGGGGCAGGGAGCGAGTACTTGCAAAGTAACCCGAGAGAATTCAAAGAAAGCATTTGGGTCCATTGCATCTGGGATTCACTTGACAGAGAGCAAGTCAAAGAGACTGGCACTTCTGGCTGGATGAAGTGAAGAAAGAAGAATCGAAAAAAGCGGACAAGACAACGAGGCATCTCCAGCTTAATTAAGATCGGCTTCTCCCTCCCCTCTTCCCAAATAGGAAACCGGCGGACCCAGTGACGCCCGCATCCGGTATAGTCCCGGCCGAACCGGGTTTCAGTCGGTGCGGGCCTTGGTGCCTTGTTTTCCAGGAGTTCAGGCCTTCGAATTGGCTCAGAGTACGGGGTCCTAGTAGGAGGTTGATATAAAGTTGATAGCTAACGAGTTAACTACCTAGACCTAGGGAGATACTGAATAACCTGTAGTGAGCCCGTGACTCGTGGAAATTCCCATCCCCGGATTCAAGTAAGAGAATTCTTTGCTGCGGGTATTGTCATCAGTTCTCAAGCTACATGGGTTCATCAGATACAGTACTCCGTACATTGCGTCAATGTAATCGCCAGCGGAATATCATGAAGAAAAAAAAAAAAAAAAAGAAAAGAAAAGGAACACGATGACAACCAGCTGTCCATGTATGCATGTGCAAGATGAAGAGAGAAAATAAATAGTGGCAAAATGCCTGAAAATGACAAAAAGATCAACATTCGCTAGCTAAACAGTAAACTCCGTTACGCACTGACTCGGCTCCGGGCGTGTCATGGGCATCGTCATGCCCAACAATGCAAAAGTTTTCCCCTCTTCAAGAGGTGCTGTAAAGAAAGATTTTGTGCCAGGACAAAGGGGTGGGGGGTCTATGATTGATGATGGTGTCCCCGTCGGACGAAAAAATCGAAAAGATTGCTGAAACGATGTCGACGCTTTCCTTTGGTTCTTCCCGATCCCACTTGATCGTCAGGGGGCTGAGACGTTTCGAGTTGACGTGGTTGCGAAGCAGGTGTTTCCTCGGGATGGATGGGAACACGAGTAGGTGGCAAGTCGTCCTTCATATCTTCCGCGTCAGCTCTCACGTGTTGAGATCGCGACCTGCAGCATCCCGAGCTCCGAGCGACAGATACGGAATCCGACGCTTCGTCGAAGGATGGACGAGGGCTCGAGAACATACTGTGACGATGGGGTCTGCCATTCACCCCAGACGTTCGTCGATTGGACCGTTCAATGAATGCGGCGCCAGTGGAATTGGAGCGCTTGGATAGGCTACCATATCTGATCGATCGTTCGACCGTTGGTTGTTGAGTGGGCAAGGCACTGGAGATGGTTACTCGCCGATTTGCGTTGGTGGTGACTTCTGGACCGGGCTTGTGGTCTTTTCCGCCGGGGACACTATCGCCGTCTGTGGTCGAGGCTGGTTTCGATGTTTTAGGGGTCGGCTTGCAGTTGGAGTCATTATACCGAAAATTAAGTGACCAACCCTCCCGAAACGCAACCCAGATACTAGTCATGATAATGAGCAGGCGGGTGTTTTCGTCGGTCTCGATCAGATTCTGGTCTAATGGGGCATCCAACTCCGAAGCATCACTGATAACCGACATAGCGGTAGGGGAGGATGGGGCGGTGGAGTTTGGTGGCATTGCGTAGCGGTCATGCACTTCCAGGTGGTTCCGGGTCATGCATGCAATAACAGGATGGCGGCGAGTGTTGGGATTAATGACACTAAAGGTGAAGCGTTTGGTGTCTTCCTGTTCCAGCGAGCCGGGGGGCGCGGATACGCGACGCTTTTTTTGTCCGCGCCGTACCCATCGTACAATCAAAATTCCCGCGTCGGTGTTGGCCGCAAACTCGTACGATCCGTTGGGAAGCGGCGTCGCTTCCCACACCGAACCCGTGTTCAGGCAAATCTCTGCTTTGCCCTTGGACAGGGCGTCCTCTTTGAACAGTTGGCAAATGGTCGCCACAACCTCCCGGTGGTCGCCATTCTCGTCATCCGAGCTCAGACTCCTCTCTGTCGGGTCGATCCCGGTCCGTTCGTATAGATCGCTCGTGGTCACAATCAAATCGTTTGGGCCCAGGCCTTTCTTGCCACGCAGGATCGCCGGGACCTTTCGGGCTAATCTATTCTTGAACACGGTCGATGGCACAACGTCGTAGACGGGGACCGGCCGTGAGGTCGGGGACACTCGCTGGAGTTGGAGGAGAAGCTTTGGTCGGAGTCTGAGCCGCGCCTGACGCGCATTGATTGCCGGATGCGCTAACTGGTACGTGGTTTTTGAGCGCACAGCCGGTGGCCTGGACGACTTCTGATACGAAAATTGGGGTCGAGCTGGCAATGGGCCCGTATGAGAATACCGGTCGTCATCGCTCGACGATAACCGCTCCAGAGCGGTAAGCGGCATGGAGTATCGCTGTTCCAGGCGGGGTATCTCGGGATCTGGGATCTTGTCCTTGCTATATAGATTGCCTAATCCGCAGACTGGCAAGGTTCCGAACGAAAACGGTCGAGAAGAAGAAGACTGACGCGACGGCAGGGAGGAGTGTATGTCGGATTTCGAAGCGACGAGATCACTATTATGCGCCGCGGCGGCATCAGCAGTCATGCCCAAGTTGAAGAGCATAATTCCCAGAGATCAAGCTCTGTAATGTGATCCCGGACCGCATGGACAGGAAGAAAAGCAACCACTGGATGGGGAGGGATCGTCAATGGTGTATGCCTAGGCGATCGGGTTTCATCGATCCGAGAATACCTAGGCAGCTAAATCGTGTGGCTGGCGGATCGCCGGAGAAAGAGGATGGAGTATGTATTCCACAACCAGTATGGCAGATATGAATGACGGATGCAATTTAATCGAGGATAGGAAAGGGGGGTGTTTGATAAGAAGAAGAAGAAGAAGAAGAAGAGAGAGAAAAAAGCAGAAGAAGCAGAAGCAGAAGAAGAAGAAGAAGAATATACAGGCTCCACCAGGAACGGCTGACAAGCAAGTATGTATGTCAGACTCTAGAGACCACCCCTCAGCTGCCGTCAGCAGAACCTAAGCAGAGAACTGCGGGTGTGTCACATCCGATGCCGTCCAGACTCCAGAGAAACAATGCCAGTATGTACGGGCGGAGAATATGTAAGGGAGAGGAGAGAGGAGATGATGTGGAAGAGGGGTGGAGGTGCCTTAATATTCAGGAATCACCAACAGTTTTTTTTGGATCGTGAGGGAAAAAGAAAAGAGGCGGTCTGTAATGTCACGGTGGATGGAGATGTCAAGTAAATAAGTAACTACCTAGCTAAGTACCTGCTTATGCTACGTAGCACAAATCTATTCCTATATTTTATCCTACCTACTTACGATCAGGAACGAACCACGGATGGATGATCCTCGGGCATAGAATAGTCCCGACGCCACGGAGCTACCTATACAGACCTCTAGGGTTTTGGGATTCCTTTCATCACTTTACCCTAGGGTAGTATAATCTATAACCCCCTTTCCTAAAGTAACTTCAATCTCCTGATGGGCATATACATCGGAATCCGGAGTTAAGAATTGTATAATTTTGGGAAATATGAAATTTGCAGAATTCTAAGTGGATCCCATTCGGACAATCGGCGGTTCCGAATTCCGCGCCGTGGACACTATGAGGCTATGAGCATCGTGAACTTCCAGCTTGTTCTGGGTTATTCCTTTAGACTCTGTGCGGCACATCAGTGGCAAAAGTTCCGACTATCCGAATAGTGTACATAGTGAACTACATCATCATCAGAACATGTTACAGAATTTGGGGTAAACCTAGGCTTGCCAAAGTCTTCCGGGTTGGAATTCATATCCCGTGTGGGTTTTCTTCCATAGGGCTGAATACTCGATCCAAGGCACATTTGCACAGCTCTGGTTATACACATAAATCTGCTACATTATTCCTAATGCCTATCAGGATGTCATTAAATATTCACCATGACTCCACCCATGGATCCCGAGACCCAACTTGTAGCTGCCAAGGAATTAATTCAGAAAGAGGCTCAGGATAACTTGCCGATCAATAATTTCATGTAGTTTACGCCAGATGAACTACCTAACCTACCTATGTAGGTAATTAGTTCACTAATTATAGGTTACCTAATAGTTACCTAACTCATTAGTTAATAATAATCGTTAATTAGTCATCACCTTCTGTACTTGGTTAGTGAGTTCCGGATCACATCAACCGAATCAACTTCTTAAGGTAACTAACTAACTAGTTAACTAACTAACTAACTATCCGCTGTGTCTGATGACTTATCTTCATCCTTTTCGGCTCCGATATTATTATTATTATTATCATTACGAGGATTAGCGATGAGCTCGTCGTCTCCTCGTCCCTCCCTCCTGGATCCTAGTCGGCCGATCAGAAGTTTATCCATTGCCTTTGGGGTATGGAAGGCCATTCTGTTCGTGATCATAGCCTGCTGTCCTGGCCTGGGCTATGACACATCTTCAAGCCATCTGCCTTTCCCCTCCACCAGTGCACTCGATGTTCTCATATCATCAGGAGACCCCAGCCATGCCTCCCTTCCAATCCCACTCAAATTTGTCCGATGGGATTCCATCTACTTTGTCCACATCGCACAGGCTGGCTATGTCTTCGAACAAGAATGGGCCTTCAGTTATGTGTATGGTAAACTCGTCGATCGGCTCACCTCAGGTAATTTGCCTTTCCCCGTCTAGGTAAGTCGGTCGTGGCTGGCGCTAATCATAAAATGACACAGTATTTTCTTGGTCAGATGCCTCCAGTGGAGTCGCAAGCCTTGCAGTCACCGCGGTGGTGCTCGCACATCTTACACATTTTCTTTCCGTCTTGGCCTTGTACAAACTCTCCATCAATGTGTTCGGAAATGACTCTGTGCAAAAACAACAACTGCTCTGCTTCCTGTCAGCTGCTTTGCATATTGTGAGTCCTGCAGGCGCATTCCTCTCGTCTCTGAACGCAGAGTCGCTGTTCTCTTTCCTCCACATCACCGGATTTTACATCTATTCCTCCTCTCGCCGAGACCACCATGTTGGAAAACATGTTGCGAGCTATGCAAAGCTCGTGGTGTCCGGCATTTTGTTCGCGGTGGCAACCACCGTCCGGAGCAATGGCATCCTGAGCGGAATTTTGTTGGCATACGATGCCGTCTTGCTACTCCATAGGATCGTCTCCCAGCGTTCCCTGGGAGAGCCTACTGTCCACCTGTGTTTTGTCGTTCTCAGCGGCTGTATTCTTGCCCTGGGGCTAATCATCCCTCAAACCCTGGCTTACATCTCCTACTGTACCACGGAGGATGTATCTCGCCCATGGTGTCAGTTCCTGGTCCCCAGTATTTATAGCTGGGTTCAATCCCATTACTGGTATGTTCCGGATCCCATCAAACCCCGTTATTCCGTCGGCATTAACCCGGAACGATAGGGATGTAGGCTTTTTTAGATACTGGACCCTATCAAACCTCCCCCTCTTCCTCCTTTCTACCCCCATGCTACTCATCCTCTTCCTCTCCTGCTTCTGGGCCCGAGGGGCAACTGTATCTTCCAGCTCGCCTAAGACCTCGCAAGCCAACTCCGATTCAGCATCGGGCCCCGCGTCTACTTTACTGACCCAGCTCGCCATCACGCAATTTTTACTTGCCGTCCTGGCACTTACGAGCTACCATGTCCAAATCATCAACCGGATCTCTTCAGGGTATCCGCTATGGTACTGGTACATTGCATCCCAACTGCTGGACACTCGCAGCCTCCAGTCTACGCTGAAAAGCAGGTCATACTTCTCGCGGGTCGTCCAGCTGATGGTGGTATACGCACTTGTCCAGGCCACCTTGTACGGTTCTTTTCTTCCTCCAGCTTGACCTGGACGAACTTGTATTTTAATTCCTATGATATCCATGATCAAAATCCCTAATTTAGTTCAGATCCTTGGCATCTGTCCTGTATATAAAACAAAGCCTTCTACTACTAGATTAGCTAACCTTGGACTGCCAATGATTTCCCCGAACAGCAAACAGAGCCGAAAATAATTAATTTCAATGACAAATAACCAAAGGGGCAACAGATCTAAGTATGCAGAGAAAGGAGTAATTGAATGGGGCTCCATCTAATACCTACATAATAGGTAGGTACCTAGGGAGTTCTAACTCCGTACTCTAGTGGCTTCAACTAACACCAAGACAAGCTCCATTAACACAGTTCTGAATGCCAATATTAAGGAGCATACTAGAGCTCATCAGAATAATTAGAACTAGTCAAAATACAGACATTTTAGTGGTTGGGAATGGCTTCAAAGTTTGAACGCTCGGTCAAAATCGTTGGGGGGTAGTTAATTAGGCTGCGGCCCTTTACGTAGGTGCATTATTATTATGTCATCCGCGGTCGGACACAACGAAGCGAGACTTTCTACAGATTGAGACCTGCATCCGCTACGCGTGAGCTTCTTTTATCCTCAACTTCGGAGCTGCCCATCGGTGAAAAAGAAGCAGCCTATATAAATCGGGCTCGATCTGCTGGGAATGAGCCTTTGAAGCTTTTCTACCCGTCCGCAACCGTTCTGTACAGCTCTGGGCTGTTTCCGGTCGCTCTGCAAGCCTAGACCATTGAAATCGCCAATGCGAATCCAGGCTCACAGCAGGTTACTGTTGGGCATCGATTTTTGTAGCCTAGGATCTGGAGACAAGCTGCATGGTGAATGTACAATTCGATCTACTTACTTAGACCTCTCAGTCAATCCTCTCGAATCTCTCTAGCTGACATCTCGGTATTTTCATAATAGAGCTTTCCCTCATCATAACGAACCACCACCCCCCCCCCCCCCCCCTACCTTCGACACCACCCACACACTAATCATCGGAGAACCTGAACGAGATTATGGATAATTCCACCCTCAAAACCATCCTCACCCCGGACAATTTCCACAATGCACATATGGTCTCAGGGGCTACCTCCCCGGGTGGTGAACCTGCTGCTGCTGGCCTGAACGGGAATGGCGAACCCAAGGCACGAGTCCGACCTCGTACATACCCATACTTTAAATACCTGCCATATTCATTGGAGGACGAAGCACAGAGAGAGAAGAATTTCCGGGAGATATTAAATCACCTGTATGTTGCGGTGGAGGCTGGTGACTTCAGTCCTGGTGCCGTCCACTGGACCCGCGAGCTCAGAGGATGGTTATCACTCAAGTTTGATCCGACTCGCAGCCAGCGGATCAGCCTTGTTCGGCTGTACTATGAGCTTTCCCTGGCCCCGGGCATTGATCCCAATGTTTCGGAGCGATTTGCTAGCATGTTCATGCTCCTCACCAAGTAAGTGGGACTGCGCCCTTGGTGGTTTTTTTTTTTTTTTTTTTTTTTTTTTGCCCCATCAAGGCTGATAGCTTTTTTAGACGCAAGCACTACCTGAGACCGGTCAAGGACCTAGTATTGGACTGGCGGCCTTTGTACAGAGAACTGAAGGCCTTTGTATTACCAACGGAATCGGGTCTTGTGCATTCTTCAAATCTGAAGCGAAATGTCAAGACTCTGACGAAGCTCTGTGCATTCATTCAGCTATACATCGACCCTTGCGAGCTACCAGCCATGCTTGAAGAATTTCTTCCACACTACACGACCTCCTTCTCTGAGGGAGCGTTTGTAGTGGTTGGCCTGATCAATCTCCTCCTTCCCACATCGCCACCGCCGGAGTCCAGAGAGGACCTCCTCCCACAGAATTATTTCCCTACTTACTTCCATCTCTGGTCCTTGGTCAGTCGGTCAAAGACTTTCGACATTACCTTCCTAGACTATCTTTCTCGCTCGGCTCGCGATTCGCTACCTGCTAGCCACATTCCTTTCTCCGAGTATGGTATCTTTACCAAGGAACAATCGTCCTTGGTTTTCACTGCCATCCTGCGCCTGTTAGAAATCCCAGTAGGGCAGTCCACCTCACCCTATAGTGCTCTTGTGGACATATCTTCAGGGTTGGGGATCATGCTCGATAGAGATACGCGGAAGCATCCTGTAGCCCATCATATCGCTCGGTGGATTGTCATGTCACTCTCTCCGGCATGTGTTGACGCAGAAGAGTCGATTCTGACCCAGCTTGAAGGCCTGGTACAGGCCGTGGAGACCTTCTTCCATCCCTCTAACTCTGGGAGCTGGACCAAAACACTCGCACAGTTGGTATATTACCTCACTGATTTCTTCGTAATGCGTTGGAACAGGGAACAGAGTGGGGAGATGGAGGTACCGGAGGAACGGAGGCTGAATGAAGCTTTAAAACGTCGTTTTGTTCTCTGTATCCGCGACGTCATCTTTATGGGGATCTACTCCAAGAGCGGAACCGCCATGAGCTTCTCATTGTCCACCCTTCAAGGGTTAGCCTATCTAGAACCGCATCTGATTCTCCCGGGCGCCTTGCAAAGAATTTATCCATCTCTTCAGGGCTTGGTTGAGGTCCATCGAACCACATCCTCTCTTCGGGCTCTCCAGGTTCTTTCGCGCATCATTTCCCGGACCAAGGGATATCGGTGCCATTTGACCACTTTGCTTGGATTGGCCCTGCCAGGCATTGATGCCAATGATCTGGAAAAGTCCCTTCATGCGCTATCGTTCATCCAATCTGCATGCTATAACATACCTATGGCAGACTTGACCAAAGGAAGGGAGGAGGTGAATTCCAACATGCTGGCCATGCAATGGGTGCCTGGTGAGATGGAACGAATGGAAGAAGAGGGTGTGCAAGTGCAGTTGAATTATGACAAAGACCTTGATGATGAAACCGAAGAATTGATCCTGCGTTCTTCCACATGTGGTTTCGGTGACTTTATTATCTCTTTTCTGGGTCGAGTCTTCACTCTGCTGGAGAATCTGCCGGATGTCACCCGGGTGCGAAACGGATCGCCCGAGGAGAATATTGTCAACACGCTGCCCGCGACTTTCATGCCCCTCCTTTCCTCTCTCTCTCCAGAATATTACGACATCGCATTGTCGAAGGTGGTCGACTTTGTCTCAAACCATGTCATCCACCAAGCTCGGGATGCTATGGCCTTTATTTGTAACTCTGTCTGCAAAGTCAACCCCGAAAGGGCTCTGAAGCGGTTCATTCCGGTGTTGACCCAGGCCATCCGTACGGAGATTGACGACAATGGCGCCGGCTCAACCAGAACAACCGGCACTGATGTCTTACCGCGCGATCGTGGCCTAGTTTGGAACATCAGTATGCTTAGCATGTGCGTGGTGCATGTTGGAGATGCTGTCCTTGCTCATAAGAAAGAACTCTTTGAGATTGCAGTTTACATGCAGCAGAAGTGCCGGGGTATACCCACGGTGCATATTTCCAACTTTATCCACCACCTCTTGCTTAATCTCACTGGCACGTACACGTCGGATTATTCGCTGTATGAACCTGAGATCGTGGCTCGGGGGATTCAGCCCGATCTGTGGAGTTACCGGCCGGATCCCCAGAACCTCACCGTAAAGTGGCACGTTCCAAGGTGTGAGGAACTCGAATTTGCCGCGGAACTTTTCCAGAACCAGGCTGAGGCTGCTTTGAAGCAGTTAACCGCTTTGACAGACGGAACATCCAGTGTTAAGCGGGATGGAAGCGGCAAGGATTGGTCGGATGAAGTTATCAGAAACCTGATTCTGCTGCGACTCATCCTCTCGGGCATTTCCGTGCTCTTTGACTCCAAAGCCGCATCTAAGACCAAGGATGCCGCTACCAATGGAGCATCCGCAAAATCGAACGATATCGAAATGGTGGATGCCAAGGATGGTGTAGAATCGCCCGGGGTAGGAGATGAAGACGAAGCTTCTTCGCTCGACACCTCGGATGACGGCACTGTCAGAGAGACCTTCCCATACCCGACTGGCTACCCATTACAAGAAAGTGATTCTATCTATATCACGATTCATGACATTAGGGAGCGGGCAGGATGGGTTCTTCACAAGGTTCATCGGTATCTGTCTGACAAGCAGGAGGACGATGTGCCATGCTTTAGTGCTCTGTACTCAGCATACAGGTCCTGGTTCGTCGATGTTGGAATTGAAAGATCTGCTCATGTTTTAGATCGGGTTACGCGCCTTCTTCTTGCCGATATCCACCCTTACAAAATGAGCGGAATACGGAAAGATTATCCTCGTCCTCTGCTCGTCCGACGAGCCAATATGTACCATCTGCAACGCTTGAGGCACAACGCAGCTCCTCGATGCCGATCTGAGTTGGACGAGATATTGCTGCTAGATATTGCCGAGTCTTGTGTCTCTTCCTACACGGAGACACGCCGCAACGCTCAAAGCGCCGGGGAATCAGCCCTCAAAGCCGTGTGGGGCTCTCGGCTGCTTGTGATCCCCCCTCTTCTCAAGGCTCTTCAGAAAGGCATCAAAGAGAACGACTACGCCCGAATTAAGGGTGCGCTGTATTCTCTGCTTTTGAGCAGCGTTGCGAGAACTGTCGGACGTCACTGGAAATATGCACCCGCCTTGATCAGAACCTTCATTGATGCGAGCGCCGTTGATAAACCCTCCGTACAGAGAATTTGCTCGAGTGTGGTATATCAAATCATGGACTATGGCCGGCCTTTGGAGAGAATGGCTATTTTGGACCGGGATATCATTGAGTCGATCGCACCCGTGCAGGGCGTCAACGACCGGGTCTTGCAGAAACGTAACAGCATCAACAACAAGCGCGCCCTGATCGAGAAGAAGAAGGCCGCTCTGGCCGAGGAATTGATAGGCCTCGCGAAGGCTTCTCACTGGAAGGTTGCTAGTCGAGCGGCTATTATTGTGATCTCGATGGGTCTTAGGTTTGATTACATCGCAAGCGAGAACCTGATAGAGTTGGTAACTCAGGGCTCTATTGATGACCATCCTGGTTTGCGTGGTACATATTCTCAGGGACTCACCGCTCTGTTCACGATGCTCGATGTCCGCGCAATCTGTGGCCACGAATACAAGAACTACATTTTGGGTAACCAGAACTTCCCATCCAAGATCAAGGTGGCTACCAAACGACATGAACAGGGATGGACTGAGCAGTTCCTTGCAAACTTTGCCAACCCTGAAGCCGAATACTACGTTGACCATGATTTCCCGGGGTGGCTTGTGTGGTCAGATCACATGCCTGCGTACAAGCCCAATGTGGAACGCGACATCGAATACGATGAAGTTGAATGGAAAGTGCGCTCTCGCATGGGCAAATTATTTACCAGAGCCTGGTTTTCCAAGTTTTTCATGTATCTCAAACAGGAGCCGCGCGATCCTTCTGCCGATAAATTCCGCATGCCATGTGCGATGTTGCTGCTCTACGCTTTCGAGCTAATGCTGCGGGATGGACTCACTGCTGCTAGCTTTAAAGATATTCAAGAGGAAGTAGAAGCGGTGTTCGAGGACGGCAGTGATAAGCACCAGCATCGCGCTACTGCAGAGATTCTTGGTGCTTTGATAAGCTCTGTTGCAGATACCAGTGTTGACAAGCGAACCTTGGTCTGGGAATATGCATTCCCAATCGTACAAAAGATATTCACGGATGGACTAACGCCAGAGAACTCTGGGTACTGGACGACTTTCCTTCACATGATACTTCAATGCCGTGACCCGCGACGAGTCTGGCCCCTGGTCGATTGGCTGGCAAGCTTCCGACTGGATATGTCAACGAACGCAGCTTTCAAGGAAAGCTCCAAAATCCACTTGTTACACCAGTCCATTATCGACGCAGGCTGGCATTTCCAGCTGGACAAGCCTATTCTTGCTGATTTTCTTGCGCACCTTGATCACCCTTATAAGGGTGTTCGCGAAGCGATGGGTCAGACAATCGCTACTCTATTCCGCACACGGTATCACGAATCACATGCAGACATCCATAGTTTGCTGACGGCACAGAAGTCTTCTTCATCGGTTGGTACATATCCATACCTTCCTGACAAAGACTTCAGCGAGACGATCCACGAAGTCTTTGGCCGGATTGAGAAATGGCGGCATGAGCGGACACCAGGTCAACAGACCCCGTCGTCCTATACCTCGGGAAGCAAGACAGTTCTGCTTTGGCTCGATTCTACCCTATCTTCTCACGAATGCACGCAGCTAGTCTCTTTCTTCCCAGATGTCTTTACCGGGCAGCTTTTGCATATGATGGATGTCAAAGAAGACCCTGAACTGCAGTCCTTGGCGTACCATGTTTTCCGGCACCTGCCTAACATCCCTTATCCTGCTGAGGAGAGCTCGGAATTTATTAAATCCCTAATTCTTATCGGACAGACATCGCCTTCCTGGCACCAACGGTTGCGCATCATGATTAACATTCAGATCATCTATTTCCGACGGCTGTTCTTGCTCTCTGTGGCTGATCGCAATAAGCTCTTCGAGTGTGTGGCAAGCATGTTAGAGGATCCACAGCATGAAGTGAGAGCTGGAGCTTCGGCGACCTTGTCAGGAATGGTGCGTTGCTCGCCTGAGTCGCTCCGAAAGGATATAATCCCCCAACTTAAGAGGCGATTTACGAAGATACTGGTCGAGAATCCTCTCCCCAAGAAACCCAAGGCCCTCCGTACTGCTAGCGGTTTAACATCTCCGGCATCTTCTGGCACTGGCACACCAACCCCTGAGCATACTCGATTGATCCTTGTCAGACACGGTGCTATTTTAGGTCTTGGAGCCCTGATTCAGGCTTTCCCCTATAGCAGTCCGCCCCCAGTTTGGATGCCTGAGGCATTGACCACACTAAGTGTTCGCGCTGCCAATGATCCGGGCATTGTTGGGTCAAGCGTGAAATCTATCATCAGCGAATTCAAGAAGACAAGGCAAGATACTTGGCATATTGATGCAAAGGTAAGTTCGACCGAAATATCGGGGCATATGATTCACAAGCTAATATCTGAATTAGGCTTTTACCCCTGACCAATTGGAAGATCTCTCTGGAGTACTTTGGAAGAGCTATTTTGCTTAGCACGTCTATCAACCCCGGAGGTCGTAGGGACGTATCTGGACTTCAGACTCTCCTGGTGCTACCCAAGAAGACCGCTCGGACGAGTTTTGTATACTAGTTGGATTTTGGCAAGCGTTTGGTAGCGCATTGGTGCAGAGGCTCTTCATCAATACCTCTGTATTGTTTTAATGAAGGATGGATCTCTTATGAGGCTTCGTTTGTCCTCGTTCACTTGTCTTTTGTTGTTGGCATTTATGCTCTGGGAGGGCATTATTTTAGTCACCACATTGTGTCTTGCTTGCTTAGTATACTACCATATACATGCGGTTGGTAATAAAAATTTCAGGAGGACTGTCCTTTATTTCTTTATCATCATCATTATTCTTATTACTATTTTGGAGAATTTACTCTTGATAGGTAGCTGCAAACAGCATCAATGGTCTGGTGGCTCTGTATCTGGATGACTAAGCAGTTTGCTAATCACGTGCATCGAAACAGCCACGCGGCTCCGGCATCGACGAGGATCGATCACCAACCAGCGACCCAGGGGTTTGAGCGTCGGATTTCTTTCTGGCAGCACGCCTACCTTTGCCATTCCCACTTCAGTCCCTTTTATCGTTATATTCTATTTACTCACATCCATCTATTGGTTCCAGCGCTATAGCGCATTCCTTGCTGCTGTGGTGTAAAAAGACCGGCTCTAAGTAGCTCACTCTTTCCACCATGGCTCCAAGAGACACCTTCTTCCGCTCGTCGGATATGAGCTTGACCCAGCTCTATATCGCGAATGAGATCGGGCGGGAGGTCGTCAGTGCCCTGGGCGAACTGGGCCAGGTCGAGTTTCGAGACGTACGTTTGTTTTTTGTTCTCTGTTTTCATTCACCACTGCGTTTTTCAAAATGTAACGAGGTGATTCTAACTTGGAGGGGTGGGGGTTTTCTTCTTAACAGCTTAATTCGGACACGAACGCTTTCCAGAAGACATTTACGAAGGAGATTCGGAGGTTGGATAATGTGGAGAGACAGCTGCGTATGTTTGCTTCGATACTAGGCGTTGTTAATAGGGTGAAGATTTGTCGGAAGAGAAAGAGTGGGTGGCTAACTATCCGTGTTCGTATATTTTTTTGGGGGGGCAGGTTACTTCCATTCTCAGATGGATAAAGCTGGTATCTCGATGAGGTCTTCCTCCGAGTTTTCGGATACCCTGGGTGCTCCTCTGGCATCGGAAATCGACGAGCTCGCGGAACGGAGCGAGAGCCTCGAGCAACGAATTTCTTCCCTGAATGATAGTTACGAGACATTGAAGAAGCGTGAGATGGAGTTGACGGAATGGCGTTGGGTGCTTAGGGAGGCCGGTGGTTTCTTCGACCGCGCCCACACCCACACTGAGGAAATTCGCCAGTCCTTTGACAACGATGAGGCGCCTCTTCTCCGTGACGTTGAGCAGCAGAACCATCGCGGTGCGAACGGCGACGCCCAGGGCCAGCAGTCTTTCCTGGAGATGAACATTGGTTTTGTGTCTGGTGTGATTCCTCGGGATCGGATCGGCGCCTTTGAACGTATCTTGTGGCGCACGCTACGTGGTAATCTTTACATGAACCAGTCGGAGATTCCAGAGCCGATTATCGACCCTTCTACAAATGAGGAGACCCACAAGAATGTTTTTGTGATATTTGCTCATGGAAAGAATATCATTGCAAAGATTCGGAAGATTTCGGAGTCTCTGGGTGCGTCGCTTTACAGCGTGGATGAGAATAGCGAGCTTCGACGGGATCAGATCCATGAGGTGAACACCCGCCTGAGCGATGTCAACAATGTTCTGCGCAACACGAAGAACACGCTTGATGCGGAACTTTCTCAGATTGCTCGTTCGTTGGCGGCTTGGATGATCATCGTCAGGAAGGAGAAGGCTGTGTACGATACCCTGAACAGATTTTCGTACGATCAAGCGAGAAAGACACTTATTGCAGAGGCCTGGTGTCCGACCAGCTCTTTGCCCTTGATTAAGTCGACCTTACAAGATGTCAACGATCGTGCCGGTCTGAGCGTACCCACTATTGTCAACCAGATTCGCACCAACAAGACTCCCCCGACTTATGTTCGCACAAACAAATTTACAGAGGGCTTCCAGACCATCGTCAACGCCTACGGTATCCCGAAGTACTCGGAAGCTAACCCTGGTTTGTACACTGTGGTCACTTTCCCCTTCTTGTTTGCCGTCATGTTTGGTGATTTCGGCCACGGTTCTCTCATGACCATGGCTGCGGTTGCCATGATCTTCTGGGAGAGGACACTGCAAAAAACCAAGCTTGATGAACTGACGTACATGGCATTCTACGGTCGCTATATTATGCTGATGATGGGTCTCTTCTCGATGTACACCGGTCTTGTCTACAACGATATCTTCTCCAAGTCTTTTACTGTCTTCGCCAGCTCTTGGAAGTGGCCCGAGGACATTCAGCGTGGACAATCGGTTGAGGCATCGCTCAAGGGTAGCTACCGCTTTCCTTTTGGTCTTGACTGGAACTGGCACGAGGCTGAGAACGGCCTGCTGTTCACGAACAGCATGAAGATGAAAATGAGTATTGTCCTGGGTTGGGCGCACATGACCTATGCGCTGTGTCTGCAGTACGTCAATGCTCGGCATTTCAAGTCCAAGGTCGATATTATTGGCAATTTCCTTCCCGGCATGATTTTCTTCCAATCTATCTTCGGTTATCTGGTCGGCTGCATCCTTTACAAATGGTCCGTGGATTGGATTGCTCGCGACCAGTCCCCCCCCGGCCTTCTCAACATGCTGATCTTCATGTTCCTCTCTCCTGGAACTGTGGAGGAACCCGGTCTTTATCCCGGACAGGGCAAAGTACAGGTTGTCCTATTGCTCCTCGCTGTGATCCAGGTTCCCATCATGCTCTTCTTCAAGCCATTTTACCTTCGTAGGGAACACAACCGTGCTCGCAGTCTTGGCTACCACGGCCTTGGCGAACATTCCCGGGTTAGCGCACTGGATAACGACGGCGACCAGGACGGCAGGGCCTCAGCTCCCCGCGACAGCGTGGCGAGCGACGGTGAAGGCGTCGCCATGATTTCCCAAGATCTCGAAGACGAGGAGCATGAGGAATTCGATTTCGCCGAAATCATGATCCATCAGGTCATCCACACCATTGAATTCTGTCTGAATTGTATCTCCCACACAGCCTCGTACCTTCGTCTGTGGGCACTTTCTCTTGCCCATCAACAGCTCTCTATTGTCCTGTGGACCATGACTTTGGGAGGTGCATTTGAACAGGAGAACCCCACTGTGCGGGTTTTCATGATTGTCGTTACATTCTATCTATGGTTCACATTGACCGTTGTCATTTTATGTGTTATGGAAGGCACCAGTGCCATGCTTCACTCTCTGCGTCTGCATTGGGTCGAGGCCATGAGTAAGCACTTTATGGGTGACGGATTACCGTTTTCGCCCTTTAGCTTCAAGACTCTTCTTGAGGAAGATCCTGTCGATTAATCTGATCATTCTTTTTCTTTTCTTTTCTTTTCTTTTCTCTTTTTTTGTCTCCTTCTGTTTCCCCTTGTCTTGTCTCGTCTCTGTTACATCTTGATGTATTGTATATCTCAAGAATTAGTGAATTGGACCGTTGCATGATGTGATGAGGTGTCTGATTCTGACTGTGGCTTGTGGCCGTGGCTGTGCTCTATTAGAACATCAATATATAACTATTATATATATATATATACCCCTAAAGAAACTTAGATATGATAAAGATAGTTATTGCTCTTCTCTGGCAGAATTTGGAACGCTTTCAATATTTACGAGTAATCATCAACTAGTTAGTTAGTTCATCAACTAACTTGCTAACTAGCTCGGATTCGGGGAAAGGGGGTCGGTCCATTGAGGGTTTTTTTTTTTTTTTTTTTGGCTCGCCAGAGTTCGAGGGAGCTTGATACGATTGTATTATAGATAATGAGTTGAACCATTACTCTGATTTATGGAGTATCATATACCTACATGTGAGTGTGTGTGTGTGGGTGGGTGGGCATATATATATATATATATCTATTCAATTACCAATTGAACTACAACTAAACGAGTCAAGGACCCAAAGTAAAGAACACAAATAATCCGTTCATTGATTGGTATTTTGAAAAAAGGGATATTTCATATGGTATGGTATGGTATGATATGGTATGATAATATGAACATTAATAACTTTCAACTTTCCCATGGAGAAAACCATAGAACTCCAATGGACACTAGCAATGGCTAGAGAGGTAGGTAGATAGGTAGGTAGGTAGGTAGGTAGGTAGGGATGTTTTATGATGCAGGGTTCGCCCTGGCTGATTTCATGACGGCTAGATTCGGGTTGGTTTAGTTCTTGTCTGAAAACTTGTTATACATATCAATGACCTTCTCGATCTCCTCCTTGGAACCGAGGAAGACTCCGCTGCGGTCGTGGATATGTTCGGGCTGCACGGAGAGGAGTCGCTCCATGCGCGAGTTCACCGCCAAGCCGCCGGCGTTTTCAAAGACCATCGCCATGGGTGCGCACTCGTAAAGAATGCGCAGCTTACCCTTGGGGCTCTTCGAGTCTGCGGGGTACGCGAAGATACCGCCGTAGAGCAGCGTGCGGTACGCGTCGGCAACCATGCTGCCGATGTAGCGGGCGCTGTAGGGCTTCTTGCCCTCGCCTGGGTGCTTCAGCGCGTGGAAGTACGCATTCACCCACTCGTCCCAGTACATGCTGTTACCCTCGTTGACGGAGTAAATGGCGCGCCTTGGAGGCAGCCGCATGTTGGGGTGGGTAAGGATGAACTCGCCGAGGGAGTTCTCGAGAGTGAAGCCGTTGACGCTGCCGTTCTTCATGGTGATGACGAGCTGCGCTGAGGCGCCGTACATGGTGAAACCGGATGCGACCATTTCGGTTCCCGGGAGGAGAACGTCCTTGGCTGTGACGGTGCTGTTCTCGCCGACGACTTCATCGGGAAGCTTGAAGATGCCGAAGATGGTGCCAACCGAGACGCCAGCGTCGAGGTTGGAGGAGCCGTCGATGGGGTCGCAGACAACGGCGTAGCGGGCGTGCGGGTGTTCGTTGAAAATGATGGCTTCTTCTTCCTCCTCGGAGACAAGGATGCGGCATTTGCCAGAGCCCTTCATGGCGGAGACGAAGACATCGTTGCCGATCACGTCGAGCTTTTTTTGATCATCGCCAGTTGTGTTGGAGGAACCGGCGAGACCGGTCAGGTTAATGAGGGTAGCACGACGGATGTAGTAGGCGATGGATTTAAAGGCGAATCCGAGAGCGTGGCAGAGGAGGCTGCCGTCGATTCGTCAGCATTGAGGGGGAGAACAAGGAGAGTAGGGCTTACGTGAAGTCACCCGTGGCTTCAGGCACTTTCACTTGCTCTTCCGTGAGGAATCGTGTGAGAGTGACGATATCCGTGTTGATGTTCTCCTGGCCGACGGCACCAGCACCGTTGCCATTGGTGTTTGTTGCCATGTTTAATGAGGATGGATGAGGTCAGTCTTGAGGTAGAGAGAGGGCTGAGGTGAAATTGGTTTTGAGTTCGTGGGGTAGAGTAATAAAGGGGGGATATTTGAAAAGCAACCTCGGTTTAGCGGAGAAAGCAGGAAGATTTACGGGCGAAGATAGGTTTCTCTATCAAGAAAGACAGGAGAGAGGGAGTGTAACCGGAGCCAGTGTGACGATAGTTGGCTGCAGGCCGAGTGAGTGAGCGAGGGAGTGAGTGATTTTTGATGATGTATCTGAGCAGTCACGAGGCCCAACTGAGGACCCATTATTGGGTTTGGAAGGCCCATTATTATGTATTATAGGAGCGCCAGAGCAATAATCTTTTGCCGGTGCGCGTGTGGAGAGGCCTTGACGCCATGAATTCTCTCTGGGTTTTCGTCATATTCCGTTGTCAACCATGGAGGGTCTAGAGGCTCTCCGGTTTATGTTCTTGCGTCCGGATTTCCCCGCCTCTAAAGGCCTAAGAGGTGGAATTATTCTGCCCGAGGAATAGGTATGGAGAAGACTGCCGGCGATATTAGTAAACTGCCTGATTTTGTAAATTGTTAGTAAGAGTAGTAATATGATATGATAATTATTGACCTGATCGTTTCATACGGTGGATTCAACTCAAGTCACCAGACGTGCCAAATTTGGTCCAATTGACTCTAGTTTCTCCGGAGTCGGCAGTTTCTGACTGGAAGAGGGGGATCTAGATCTTCATCAAGGGATCCTGGTAGATCGTCGGATATTCTTCGTCTTCTTCGTCTTCTTCTGACTTGTTGCTTCACAGCCCCGCCAAGATCACATGATCATAATTTAGTCACATGACACTATGTAATCACGTGATGTGATTACGTAACAGAAACGGGACCGAACCAGACTAGCGTCTCGGTAAAACTAGCTCCGTTCTCTGCAGCTCAAAAAACTTCGTTTGATTTTGATTTTTCCTTTTCCCCTACACACTCTTCTGGTCTCTCCAATGTGAGCACTTGACCACTGGACTCGGGAATGACTATTGTAGAATTGCTACTCATCTTCATTTGACTAACTCTGCCTGTTTCTACAGGGTAGTTGGTAAGTGCATCCATTCTTCCCGCGAAGAACCTCCCCCCTACATGATGAAAAAGAGAAACCATTTCAAACTAGAGTCTTTGACCCCTTCCGGGCATGAAAACTCGATTCTTTGCACGTCAGTCTGAACTGTGAAGATCTCTTCTCTTCTGGACTCGCTCATGGCTCTATGTAGTCGCTAACTGGTCTCAAGTTTAGGACTAATCACACAGCTTTTCTCTCGCCAATCCATGATAAAAGGTATGTATCATGTTTGTTTCCCCCCCCCTCTCTCCTACTAGGTTAAATTCCTTGAATGATGCTTTCGTATAACTTATACGCTGGAAATTACCGACTGAGACCTTCGGGCTCTGACGATATCAAATGGCTATTTCTGACTCTTCACCAATACCCTGTTACTCTTGTCGTATCTTCGTTACATGACATCCGCTAACAGCTACAAGGATATAGGATCTTCAAGCCTGATGGTAAGCCCGACCTTTTCTTCTACGCAGACAATCATTCGAAGATGAAACGGCACTGGGCTCCGACGGCGTTTGACAAAACGTTCGGTCTTGACGGATAAGCCATTTTTGTGGCAGGCCTAGAAAACCTCGCCCACTGAGATTTATTTTCATCAACCGCACATGTTTATACCAATCATGTCTAGCTCGAGGCTAACACTCGACCAGTTTTTAGCTGTACTTGATATTCTATCATTAGGTAAACCTTTCCCACTATCCACACCTCCCATAATATGATGATTACCTAGATGACGAGTCTTATTCGAGTTATCGATGCAGACAACATCTTTTTTTTACCATTCATGCATTTCTGACTCCCTTTTTTCAATGTTCACGCATCATTGATTTTTTGCCATGTTGCTAATACTTCCCTGTAAAGTAGCATTTGCTTGAAGCTGTTTCCCCCTGTGATATTCTGTATGTCACTCCGGATTCCTTTTCCCTCCCGACACAATGATGATACGACATTAAAAATAGACAAGCATATGTCCAAGTTGGCTTGCCAACGAAGAAGACAATTGTCATGCCTGATCTGTCATCACACTCTGTTCAGTTGAATGACTTTTATCAGTTTCATTACTGACTAGTCGCCCAAAGGTAGAATAGAGCAATTTCGACATGTCGAGTGTTTCTTTCCTGATTCCGTGAGTCTTACTTTTTCCCTCATTTCTCCCCTTACAATGATGATTTACCTTTTATTTAATCACGACGGTCAACATATATCTACCTTGATGACCACCGCCTGTGACAGGGCATACATCTGAAACCCATTTTTCTCACACTTTGCTGCTTGACCGCTGTCTTGGTTCAAAGCTAACATTCAACAGTAACTTAGGATCGTATGGATTTGGCAGAGCTGGTTGCTTAGCAATACAATTAATATCCTTGAATCTATCCAACTGGGTTTCAAATCTCTCGCGTATATAAATATATATGTATCACCAATCCTAGAAATATTGTAAAGACAGCGTGGACAGCCATCGGAAGCCGCTTGATTAGTTGGTAGCCTCATCTCATCGTCCTCCCTTTGATACAGCGGTTTATACCAATTCTGCTATTTAGTTATATAGGATACACACGCACCATGAGTAAACCAGCTCCCATTTTACAATACGGATCTCTTCCCGCACGAATTTTGCAAGCTGGCCATGTTGGAACAAGTCTCGTATCGACTTTCCCCTCAATTCGTACTCAGGGTCGCCAAATCCAATGGGACAATTCTGGGCCATTCTGCCGTGCCGCCCTACTTCAACCCTGGACTAGCTTGGACAATCTTATAAGTGCTGGATAAAAAAAGATTGTGATCTCAACGCTGGTTTGTTGAAGATGGGAGTGAGCACCGTGGGGAGACCAGGGCCTTGAGCCTGTTAGGACGCGTGAATCCTCGATGTAAGCGCCGGCCTCACGCCGGCTGTGATGAAACCCCCAAGGCTGCATCTAAAGCACCAAACTATCTCCAAAACATGCTGTTTTCGTGTTCTTCAGACCCCAAGCCTGTTGCCATCCAGCCTGGCGGTCCCAGTCTTGGTGTGCTATTTTTATCCCACCATCCCTCTCACCATTTGGTGGATCTGACTCTAGACAAGCCTCCTCCTCCGCACTTGGTTGGCCTAAGATTCATCTGTTGGAAATAATAGAACTTCGTATCGTTCTCTTCTCTCCTCGAGGCTCCTGTTGCGTCTGCAAGGCTGTCTTTGTCTTTGTCTCTGTCTCTGTTCCTCATCCTCTTCCCCATTTCTGAGCGCGGATGTTGGCCATGGCTTCAGGTTTGGTTGGTTCCTGACTGCGCCAGTATGAATAGGTGCGCCAACTCCCCCGTCTTCTTCATCCTTACTCCCTCCGCTGCTCTTGATTCATCTTTGGAACCCACCAAGGACTGACAAAAGTAACTATCAACAGCTGGCGGTCCCCAAGTCTTTCTGGAGACGACCCGTCGTCCAGTCCCTATCCTTCCACCAACGGTTGGCCAACAACTCACACTGTGGTGACCAGCAGCCAGCCGTCTCCCAGTCGTCGCGAATATGCTATACAGCCGCCTCCTTTGACAACAGCGTTGGGTAACCATCAATTCCAGGGACTCGGAGTGGGAATCGGCCAGGGTTACGCCTCAACTCCACTTTCAACTACATCTTTATCCAGCCCATTCACTCATTCTCCTGCTGCGAATACTCCAGCAAGTGCGGCCCTTCTTGGGTCTTCTCCCATGTCTTCTAGGCAGTACAACGTCCCTTACAATCCTCAGGATTGGGGGCCAGTAAGAAACGTACCTATGAATGCAGGCCAGGCGGCCTATCCACAGGCAAATAACATGCTTCGAGTTGTGACCCATCATCGACAAGCTGGACATCAGTCAGGTCGGTTTTCTACTTTCTTCCCCCCATTTTCCCGGCCAAAAAAAAAAAAAAAAAATGGCAGAATCTAATTTGAACTTTAGACATATCTTTGTCACCGCCACCTCCCCCATATTCTCCTCCAAGTCAGTCACAGCAGACCGACCAAATGAACCAAAATGCGCCAGTTTTAGACTCTACTTCTCCTAATTCTGGATCTCCCTTCATTGGCACTGACCGACAGCAAGCTATTCCCCGTACTCGTCCTGTGTCAACGGCCCGGGGCGATGTAGGCCATAGTAGGCAAGTTTCGCTTCCTCCACCACCTCCTCTACCACACGGACTTCCATCCTCCAGATCATCTTCTCAAAGCAGGACAGAGTTCTATCGCGAGCCGTCTTCCCTCAGTACGGGCTCACGACCCTATATCATGGTTTCCGAGGATAATTTACAGCCTCAGTTGAATAACCTCAATTATTCCACCGTCGTTAATCAAGGCGATGACTACCGTGCTCCAAACTCCAGAAGGGCCGTTTCCGCGGGTCCAGTTGTGAGTAGTGCAAGTTCTTCGAGAGCTACGAGTCAATCCAGAAGCCACTCACCCCAGGCCTCTGCTTGGGAGCCAGGAATGCCTCTTCCTCCACCTCCTCCAGGCCCTCCCCCGGCTGCAAGATCGCAGAGTGTGAGTGGCCTCGGCGAAGCTTCATCTTATCGCAGCTCGCAACCCCCTACGCGGACACAAATAGCTCGTCAGCCTCCATCCCTGGGAACTGGCCTGGACAGTATTCCTCCTACGCCGGCAGGCTGGGTAGATGAAACGCCTCTCGACACCACACAACGGAGAGATAAAGCCCCTCTTAGTGTCGACACAGCCAGCGCGGTAATGTCTCGTAATGTTAATGAATCCGCACCTAACGGAAGTGCCCATGCATCTCGAAATTCAATCAGCAGCGGACTCTTTCGCAGTTCAGCGGTTCGAGATTCCAGCGCAAAAGGAATTCGTGAGAGGAGGATTGAGCGCAGGAATCGACAGAGTCAGGTTTTTGACGATTATAGCGCTGTCTCAACCAGTACCAACCCTTGGGCTGATGCGCTAGATCAGGTGAAGCCTTCGAACCTCGTACTTGAAGACCACAATGCAACTGAGACGTCTCGATACGATTCTTCTACAAGGTTTACTCCACGCAGCACACATAGTGTCGCCTCTGATGGACAGATGACTAGCTCCCAATCGAGAGCTTCGTCAGGACTCTTTTCAGGCAACCGGTCTCCATATTCAACCCCTCGCGCTGAGCCAAGTCCTGCTGGGCTACCAGTACAGGGATATGCACCGACCCCGCCGTTCTCTCCAGGTACCGATAAATCATCTTCATTCCAGAAGAGCTCATCACAAGCACTCCCACCAAAGGCGCTTCCAACGCCTCCGCTGCAGTCGGGTCAAGACTCTAGACCGTCTTCGGGGCTTTCACGCAGGGAGGACCGCCCGGCGTCGCACATTCTACATTTACCCAATGAAGCGGTGACTTCCCCGGCTTTACATCCGCGTCGCCTGTCGATTCACCAAGGACCTTCGCTGGACTCTGTCGTCAAGCAAGATGTTGAACTCATCCAGAATGCCACGCGAAGACACAAGGAGTTCATTGAGAAGGAAGCTAGCGCTGCAGACGAAACAGAAGCTTTGAGATTGTTTACTGAATTCATCATCACTGAGTCTCAAATCCGGCGTGAACGCTACGCCAAGGTCTGGGAATCCGACTCTTCCTGCTTTGACGTCGCACAGGTGCATCAGAGACTCTTCAAGGTGCCGCCCAAGCCAGTCCCTGAACCCCAAAGTCGGCGTTCGTTCAATGCTCCAAAACTAGACATCCCTCAAAACCGCGGGGAGTCTTCATGGAACAATTACAAACCTTGTCTCTCGCCAATTGCAAGCCTTAACATGAGTAATGACGAGATGAGCTCTAGAGGGCGTGCCCCGAGTCGCTGGTGGGAGTCAAAGACTGGATCAGGTAGTGAGGGAGGCGAACGCAGAGTGCAACGATCAAAGCGCGAATCCAAGTATATGGGACTACCGCTGGAAGCTCTCCAGTCCCAATTGGACCTGAGTCGAGGCTCTGTAGACGGCAGGAGCGTTGATCAAGTGTTTGACGCGATAAATCTGTATTCGGCCTATGGCCCCGACGAGTACCCCCCTGAAAAAGCTGGATGGCAGGATGAACCACCCATTCCAGACTATTCCGCTCCTGCGAGCCTTAGCAGTCACGGAACTATGAGAGAACCTCGAAAAATGGATGTCTCAAGACTTATCACCCTTCCTCCACCTTACCCACGCCATTACCCAGCCGTCAATAATAGCCATCCCGAACTCGTGACTTATCGAACGGTGGTTCGGTCGATTAGTGATCTCTCTGAGATCAAGTCTACCAGACAACGACATGCCTCGGAGTCCGAGGCTCTAGTTCACAGTCACAAAGCACGAGTCAAAGACGGCCGTCGACAGTTCAAGGCTAATATCCAGAGTCAGATCCAAGATGGCAGTATCAGCTTTGCAGAAGCTGCCGAAGCAGAGGCCGCATTAATCGACGAGGAAAAAAAAAGGGAGAGAGACTTGGCCAAGCAGGTGCTGGACACCTACCAAGAATCGGTCTTAACACCGATGCAGGCGATCCTAACGGATCGAATCGATAGAGCTACTGTGTGCATTGACGAACTACGCAGCAAGCTGTTCGATGACGCTCAACACGAGACCCCTGACCAAACACAGCAAGAGGGAGACGAGAAACCCGAGTTACTTGAAAAGCTCACCCAGCTCAAGTGGCTCTTTGAAGCTCGGGAACAACTGCACCGTGAGATGTATGATTTGATCAGCGACCGCGACGAAAAATATAAGGCCGTTGTGATCCTCCCTTATAAGCAAAAGAAGAATGACGAAAAAGTGCGGGGCACAGAGGACTTCTTCGTCCAAGACGGGTTGGACCGCCGCGTAAACTACGAAGCCAACGCCCTCTCACGACTCGAATCCTTCCTAGATGTAATCGAGGAGAAGGTAGTCCGCGGCGTGGAGATGCAGCTCTCTGCTTTCTGGGACATAGCGCCATCCCTTCTCACCCTGGTCCAACAACTCCCAGAGAACCTCGGTGGTTTCCAAATCCAGATCCCCGCCAATGAGTACGAAGAAAACCCGAGTTACCACTCCCACCCGCTCCAGTATCTGTACACGCTGGTCTCTCATGCTGAAAAATCAAGCTACCAATACATCGAATCCCAAATCAACTTGTTCTGCCTTCTCCATGAGGTTAAGTCTGCGGTTATGCGCGCCCACTCCAAACTCATGGAGACCGAGCGTATTCGCCAGGGTGAGCCTGAGGAGGTCGTAAAGCGGGAGATGCGCCAACCACGCACTGACGAGGAGCGGGCACTGACGAATGACTTGAAGGATAGGGTTGCTACTGTTGAGGGCCAATGGACGGAAGCTCTTGGAAGCCAGATCCAGGCTTTACGTGAACGAGTACGAGAGCAGTTGGAGAGGGAAGATGGATGGGAGGGTTTGGAGCAGCTGGAGCAGGCTTAATGAGAGATGAACCCCGTTCTTTCTATTTTTTTTTTTTTTTTTTTTTGGTCTTGTATTAATGAAAGATACCCATCCGTTCGTTACTGCAGCTATCTTATCGAATATATATGCTTCAATCACTGATATGTTGACAGAATGCTCGTTTGGAGGCAAGATTAACTACCTATGTAAGTAACTAGGAGAAAATGGGTCGTATTACTAAGACGCGGTGGATTGTCACGTGATATATCACGTGCAATTCCACCTTCTAAAGCTTTCCTTCCGAATCTTTCGCTTCACCTTCGTCGACCCGTATTATTTAACCCCCATTCTTCTTCCTCCACAATTCCTCTTGCTCCCCTTGATTCTCCCTACTCTCGCTCCCAGTGCTCTGTGTATTGATCTACTTCTACCACAGCATATTTGGCTCTGCTCTCATTGCCCTGGAACTGTAAGTCAATTTGAAAATTTTTTCTTACTTTCGCTGCCCACACTTCCACTACGAAAACAATTACCCCACGCATGTCAAAATGATGAGATTACTAGCTGGCACCAGTCAGAGGAAGTTGGATATTCGTATCTGTCTTCGTTGCTGATTAGCTTCCTGATCCGGGAACGCTACCCAGATCCTGAAATTTTCACCATGCCCTTGGCTCATATTTGTCTTGTCGAATTGCTTGAGGCTCTTTCAGCTAATTTGAATATTTCTTAGCAGAACCCCTAGCATTGAATATAAAGAACTATTCTAATCGCACTTGGGTGATCCTGTCAATCCCACAATATAAAAGTCTTCTTCTCGGCTAGCAATAAAATATTTTATAAACTATCATCATCATGGTCCTCCACAACCCCAACAATTGGCACTGGGTGAACAAGGATGTCTCCGCCTGGGCCAAGGACTATCTGAAGGAGAATCTCTGCATTCTCTCTGCAGAGGATAATGGAGCTACTGCCAAGATTTCCAATGTATTGACAATGGATGGCGACGTAGATGTCAGCCAGAGAAAAGGCAAGGTCATTACTTTGTTTGATGTGAAACTCCAGCTCGAGTACGAAGGTAGGATAGGCCCTTCTGTAGTTTCCTCCCCCCCCCCCCCCAAAAAAAAAGAAAGAAAGAAAGAAAGAAAAAAACAGGGCTAAGTGTCACTATAGGTAAGACTAAGGACGAGGAGTCTGTTAGTGGCACTATCACTATCCCTGAGGTAGCCCACGACACAGAGGAAGATGAGTATGTCGTATGTTCCCTTAATGTCCCTCAGTATAAACCACTGCCTTTAGAAGCCCGTACTTACTCAAAGCCTCGTAACAGTTTGAGATTGAAAACTACTCGGATTCCTCCGCCAAGCAGCCCGTGAAGGACCTCGTGCGTTCCAAGCTTGTGCCGCAGTTAAGAAAGGCGTTGGCTCAGCTTGCTCCAGCTTTGATCACTGAGCATGGAAAAGATATTCAACACGCTCCCGGCGTAAATCCTTCGAAAGGCTTCGCTGCGCCCACTTATCATCCTCAAGCCTCCAAGAAGGAAGCCACCGCCTCTCAGACTACCACCACTACAACTTCGAATAAGGTCGCTGTCAACACTACCACAGTAACTGCTTCGGATGAATTCCGCACCACAGGTGAGGAGTTGTTCAAGACCTTCACAGACCCCCAGCGTATTGCAGCATTCACCCGTGGAGCCCCTCGCCAGTTCGACGGAGCCCACATTGGTGGAAAGTTTTCCATCTTCGATGGCAATGTTACCGGAGAATTCGTCAAGCTTGAGTCACCTAAGCAGCTGGTTCAAAAGTGGCGTCTGGCCCAGTGGCCTGCCGATCATTTCAGTACTCTTGAGATCAACTTCGATCAGAACGATATTGACGGCGTCACTCAAATGCGTGTGAGCTGGACTGGCGTTCCCATCGGCCAGGAAGATGTCACCAAACAGAACTGGGAAGTTTACTATGTGCGAAGCATTAAGCAGACCTTTGGGTATGTTGTCCCCACGTTTATATCTCAGTCAATTGCTTCCTCACCAACTCCTCCCAGATCTCGCCCATTTGCTTGGAGACAGCTGCTGATTACAATCTTTGTGCTTTTTCTCGGTATAGGTTTGGCACTATTCTCTGATCACGGTAGATCGATTTTGGACAATTTCACGAAATACATTTATTTCATCTGAGGCACGAGGGCAATGGCTATATACGATCCGGGGCGCCACTGCCGCATCACGTAGTAGCTGATGACGAACTTGGCTCTCTATATTTTTTTTTTTTTTTTTTTTTTTTTTTGGACAGTGGAATGGAACCCATTTTTCGCCTTCAAATTTTTACCTCCGTTGACGGTCTAATTATCCCCGTGTTCTCTCTATGAAGGTACTTTTTTTTGTTGGTTTTTTTTTTTTTATCCCACGATTATACGATAGATTTCCCTCCTTCCCCCCCCTACGGTTAGAACATTGTAAAGATGAAAGACTCAATGATGAATGAAAATCAGATTGACGCCCAACCCAACCGCATTACTACGGAATATAGCAAAATCGTACGAAAATCCTCGACGGGGTCTATAAAAAAAAAGTCCATGTTATGTTTTCAATTCATACTTTCGTAGATTCCTTTTATTCTACCAGAATTTTTCTCAGCACATATGTATGTTTATATAGGTTATAACCTCCAAGAGACGACATCCGATATTTTACAGAGTCTTCTCAATCATCTCAATATCGTATTCCTCCTTGAGAACGTTGAGGAGAGGCTCGCAAATGTCCCAGGTCATGGGAGCAAGAACACCCTAGTAAACGGGGGGAAAAGTTAGGTCTGAAATATATATTCTTGGATAGAAAAGAAGGAAAGATGGAAACATACCTTCTGGCTGATAGTACCATCAAGCACCAGCTTGACAGCAACACCGCAAGGAACACCCACGGTCTTGGCCATGGCAGAGTAACCGCCAGGAACACCGTACTCGCAGAGAGTGCTCGTGCGGACCTCGGTAGAACCATCCTTGTGCTGGATACCGAACTTGTGCTGGAGCATAACCAGGTCGCGCTCCTCGGGGGCATACTGCATCTTCTCCTCGAGGGTGGCGCAGAGGGTATCGAGGGGGTTGCCGCGAGGGGTGGTCTTCTCGTCGGAGAAGAGGCCAATCCAGCGCAGACCGGAGATGATGCGGTTGCGCTCGTCGTTGTGAGCGAAGGTGGTCTTGGAGGCAATGGCCCATTCCAGGTCTTTCTCGGAGGAAGAAGTGGCGCCGAGGATCTGCTTGGTGGCGTCCTTCCAGGCGATGGGGGTCTTGAGGAAATCACGGGCTTCGTCGCTCAGGAAGCCGATGTCCACGAGGACCTTGATCATCTCGGGGAAGCCCTGGTAGCGGAGGGTGCCGCGGATGACGGTCTCGGCTTCGGGGATGCCGTAGCGCTCGCGGAAGGAGGTGGAGTCACGGTTGGGGTAGGCGACGAAGGCGAAGCCAGGGTAGATGTAGTAGGGCTTAGCGGTGGCCATGAGGTCGGGCCCGGCAACGCTGATGTCCTTGCCGTCCTGGTAGAATCTGGCAGCATTGCGGAGCGCGAGCAGGACACCACGGCTAGACCAGGAGAACTTGTAACCGAGCGGGTTGTCGGAGCATTCGGGGGCAGGGAGACCACCGCAGTAGGAGAGGAAGGAGGTAATCTTGCCACCAGCGGCATGGACCTATGAATACGATATCACAACATTGTCAGTGGGGTTAACCAACTCTAGAGAATATTTCTCTCAAGACGCTAAAAACCAGGCTAGACATTGGAATTTTTTTTTTTTTTACCTCAGAGATAGTCTTAACAGCATACAGGTGATCGATACCCTAAACGGAACCAGGATTAGCCAATGCACATAAACGAACCCGAAATACAAGAGTTAAGACCTACCGGGTCCAGACCAATCTCGTTCATAACGGTAATACCAGCCTTCTTGCACTCTTCATCCAACTCCATCATGGCAGGGGAGACATAAGAAGTGGTAACGACGTGCTTCTTGGTCCTGATAGCAGACTTGATCACTAGGGCGTGGAAAGTATAAGGGATCAGGGAGATGGCCACGTCGACCTGCTCCAGGGCCTTGTCGAGAGCAGCGGCATCATTGACATCAAGGGCAATGGCCTTGGTGTTCTGGAATCCCTCGCAAAGCTTCTTGGCGCTCTCGAGTGTTCTGCAAGCTGTTTTGTACAGCGGAAATCTCAATTGTTAGATCCTTGTTCTTTCGGGGGCGCGGGGTAGCATGAGGGCGAAGAAGGTGAGGTGTTGGGATAGCCATTCAGCGGTTCAATTGCAAGTACATACCGACAGTAACTTCGACGCCTGCCTTGCTAAGAACCTCGACGGTAGGCTTGGTGACTGTGACTCAAGTTAGATAAAAAAATCCCAGTTCAATTCGTACATAATTTCCCAATGCGGGGCATGGTGGTCCCTTCAACAGAAGGATCGCAGAATGGCTGGGAACGAGGAAAGAGGACATACCGAAGCCTGAACCCAGGAGAAGAGCCTTGGAACCAGCAATTTGCTTAACCATGATGACGACAGTCTTGGACAGAGGGCAAATTTATAGAGGAAAAGAGAATGATTGACTCACACGAAATGCTTGAAATTCATCCCCGCCATGAGTGGGCTGTCACGTGAGACGTATACTCCAAAGCGGTATCGGAGTTGATCTCCAGCAGTCAAGTCCATAAGGATGTATTCACTCCGCTAATATATATATATTATATTATATCTATACACGATTGACAACAGACTGGGCGATGCTTTATTACTTTATCAACAGTGTGCAACCGTGGGGATATCAATCAAGGTAATGTTGCAGAATGAAAGACTCTGGACCGTAAAACGCCCAATGGACCGAATGCTAGAAGTGACAGCGGGAAAGTCAAACATTATTACAAAATCTTCGGTTTGAGGCCAGGGCTGACCAATAGCTCGTCCTGGTCTTTATCTGTAGATTCTGTGACTTCACCATCGAAGTTGCCCTCCGCTTCGGGGTTTTTCCTCTCCTTGGAAATTCGTCGTTGCCACGACAGTAGCACGGGTAGGAAGTGCCACAGATCAAACTGGGGCCAGAGGACTTGCAGGAAGACAATTTCAGTGTTCTCATGACACTGCCAAAGCATGAAGTCGCTGAGACGTTCCACTCGGGACGTTCGGATGAGAAGGTCAAGGGGAGGATTGTCGTGAGTAAGGAGATGGTCCGCCAAGGTTTGACGTGTGATAGTTTCTGGGGACTTGAAAACCGGGGCTTCAACCTCCAATGCAGAGTCTAGCTGACGATTTCGCCCGCTTGGATCCCCGGGAAGGTGGAGGGTTGCGGCGGAAGAGAAAGCCGTCTCGGACTGGTAGACTGTGTGCAGTTGATCAGGCTTGTGCAGCTCGTCATCCCCAAGTGTGGATGATTCAGAGACAGAATCACTCTCCGTATTCGAGTCCTCCAGCTTCCCATTCATTGTGCGAGCGCGGATATTCTGAGTAATATGGGTTTCTGAAAATGGTGTTCGTAGAGGAGAAGGTGAAGCGCGAACCGACGTCAAGGGCTTGCTGTAGTCGGCCACTGTATCTCGGATCGCCCCGGTGATCTCGTCCCGTGATGTGTAGGGAAAGCAGATATTGAGAACCCGCTCGCCGTTGTTTTTGGTCATATCCACTGCGCGGTTCACTGCCGCCAGAACATCCGGTCGAAGGAGATCTAATCGGCCCAACACGCGAACTTTTGCGCCGTATCGATCCAGGATTTCACCATGCTGTGCCATCTGGGCTAATTTGACTCTGGCCATCTCCATTAGAGCATCGACTTCGAACTTCGAGCGCTTGAAATTTTCGATGCTAAAAGCGTAGATGGTAACGACTTTGACTCCACTCCGGTAGCACACCTCAAGGATCTAGACACGAAAACAAAACTTGTTAGCTCTTCTTCTAATAGCAAGCCAAACCAACGCTCCTCTCTAAGAGAATAGAGAAGCAAATGTATAGACCACTTTTCCTGGAGAAAAAAAAAAAAAAACCGGCCACGAAAGACTCACCCGCGCCAATGCCTCAAAGCCCAGATTGTGTCCCTCCACCGTCTCAATACCATGCGTTCGAGCAAATCTCCGGTTTCCATCCATGATGAATGCAATATGCTGTGGAACTGGACCCTGTCTAATCGCCCCAACCAGCAGGTCGCGGAGCCTGGAAATCGCAAACTCCACCGGCGGGGATGCCAGGAACCAATTTCGGAGCTTCGACAGGTGCATTGAGGTAGCCATGGTAGCTAATATTTCGCCAGGGAAAAAAGGATCGGAGGAAAAGAGAGAGATATAAAGAAAAATTAAGATTGTCGTAAGGTATCAAGGGCGGTTGCTGGTAGAGCGAGAAGGGAAGGGAAAAGACCAGCAATGCAAGAAAGAGTCGGGAAATTCACAGGACCAGGAAGAGACGAAATCTAGGCCCAGGGGTATGATTTAGAGATGGATAGGGGGCGCGAGACCGTCAGCAAAAAGAATACTTGTCTAAAAGAAGTGTCAGTGGCCATTAGGCTACGCCGTTTTGATTTTCATCTCACTGGTTTGACGGGGAAACAGGGAAAGGAGAGTCGAGGCGGTGTTGCGGAAGAAGAAGAAGAAGAAGAAGAAGACTTCCAGCTTGAACCCGTCAATTGAACAAGTCCGTCCCGCTTATTTCTAGGGTAGAATAACAGACTGACAGGTACAGAGTAGTTAATGATCGATTTAGAAAAATGCAGTGGATCTCATCGGCCAGTCCGGCGCACGTGTACTTTGTAAAAGTAAGAGAGACAACTTGGACAGTCCGAGGTTCTTCTTCTCTTCTCTCTCTCTCTTCTTCTCTTCCAGGTAGCAGAAACCACTGGTGAATCTAGCTATCTCTGTCTCTTTCTATTCTTAATCTGCTACTCCTTGTCATGATCAAGGACAATCTTGGTCGCATTTACTACTAAACTACCTAGGTAGATACTAACTTAGGTACATGCTGATACAGATACACCAGAAATCACAACGCCAAACACCGCCGCTGTCATGAAATTCAGGGATATCCTCCGATGTGATTATTCATGGCAGAATGAAAAAAAAATAAATATATATATATATATAACTTTTTTTAGTTTTTGTTTTAGATATCCTTGCGGATCTCCTCGCTATGCGGTGTTCCAGGTCCGGAGCTGGCCATATCCCAGCTGCCGTCTTCACTTCGCCGCCGCCGCCGTTCTCCCCGTTCACGCATAGCGTCCCGGATCTTGGAACTGACTTCTTCGAAGCCCTCTTTCGAGTTGAGCTGACTTAGAGGTCTCAGTTGCTGCCCCGAGGTACCAGGCCGCCCCCCGAAAGAGCTACTGCGGCTATGGCTCCGGCTGCGACTGGGGGGTCGGGTCGAGAAGAACCCAATGTTGGCAAGATTATGGAAGGATTCGTTACGCGGAAGAGGTTCCTGGGTGGAAGATCCCTCCCCAATGTCCGCTGTGCTAGCCATCCTGATCTCAACTGTTGGAGGGTGTTCATTTTCCAACTTGGGAGCATGTCGGTTGATTTCGCGGAAAGGATCGGTAACCACTCTTGCAGCATCAAAATCTGGAAACAGCTCGGGGCCCAGTGTATTGATGGTGTCGGTGACCTGCTTGGCGAGCGCAGCGCGCCGCATGCGAAGTTTCACCAACGAGTTCGCCGAGGAAGGGTTGAGCGACAGCAAAAGGGGTCGCAGCGACTTCACAATATCCATACCAACCTCACCGATGCGGAGGGCTGCAAAAGTAACGGTTGGGAATAAGACCATTCCGATGGGCACCAGCGACCACAGTGGCACACTCTCGGGGACAATGCCGTTGATCCGGTTACGGTAGGCCCAGAAGGTAAATGCTGTAGTATAAAAGGCGTACAGAGCAGGAGCAAAGGCCAGGGCGACGAGGAGCTTCCAAGTGGCCATCACATCGCGTGCTTGAAGCTTAACCGTCGACGCAGCCAAAGCCTCCCGCGACTTTTTGATCGAGATAAGTTTGGTCGTAATAAAGACGGGGGTGAAAAGGAGGAGACCGGGTAGTGTTCCGATCGCGAGGAGCGCCAATTTACCCAGACGATAGATCAATGTCGCAATCACTTGGATGAAAGAGAATTTTGCATAGTCGACCTGGTGATCACGGATTCCTAGCAGGCGCAGTTGTTTGTTGTAGTCTACGATAGAGTTCCTCAGGTCGACGATCCGTGGGTCGTCCTTGAAATGCGTGTATCCCTTGACCAGTCGGCGATTTAGCTCAACCACCATTGGCAGTGGAAGCTTCTTTCCCTTGTTGTTGTATAGACGGCGTGCCGCTTGAATAACCTAACTTTCATTAGTGCTGGCACACACCACAAAACGGAAAGCAAGGCACGAACCATCAATGTCTCATAATCAGGGCTAGTCACGGTGACAGCCATAAGACTCTGATATATCATGTCTAAAAGCGCACTGACGGACTCTCTTCTTTCTCCATTTTTAAATTGATCGACTAGTTCTCTGGGGACCTCCAGGGGGGTTCCAAACTCGATCACTGCGCGAGAGCGGAATTTGTGAGCGTGGAAATAGTTCATTCCACAGGGTACAATCTTTAACCCGCAATCCGGGTTATCCGCCAAGGTACCGAGAGCCATTAGAGCCACACCGGCTGAGATTGAACTGGTTAGCTGATATTGCCACATTCAGAGACGGGGGGGGGGGGGGGGAGTACCTTTCAAGGGCAGCAAGTTTGGACGGTCATGACTTCCTCCTTCAGGGAAAATACCGACACAGCCGCCCGCATTAAGTCTCGCAAACACGGCTTCATAAACCCCGGTTTGGTCCACGTGCCGCGACACTTTAAATTTGGAGCCTTTAAAATCTGCAGAGTCCCTGTCAGATGCATCTCCGGTGAATTTTCCATCGTCCGTGATATCCGTGCGACCGGTTAACTGAAAGAGCGCATCCTTGGCTCTGAAGGGTTTCCTCAGGATCAACTCCTCCGGACCATGGATTTCGCCAATAGCTGCACTGTGTGATGTTCCGTTGATAGTTGGCAGCGCGATTGTGCCATCCTTTTCAAAGCCGGGGCCTTCGAAGTTGGTCCCCACACCCCGCACCAGCGTAGGCTGGTTCACAGGATCCGGGAGATAAATTGTACCTTGCCCAGGCTTCATATTATCCATCGCTCTAGCCACGGGCACAGTTCCGATGCCTCTTGCCAACAGCCCGATAAACTTGCGCTGGAAGGATTTGTCCGCGATCAGCCATGAGACCCGTCGGTGCGCCTCACTGCGCATAACACGCATCAGGATTAAGGAATCGACAAACTACACGACAGTAGATTGATTCATCGTCAGTATGTTTGCAAGACAAAAGGCAGAACTAGAAACATTCGAAGGTACGGTACCTGGTTGGCATGAGGAGCTGCCACGATAATCATCGGGCCCCTTCGAGGAATCTTCCATGAGCCACGCGGATGAACCTCCCTAAAGAACAGGTCCACGAGGACCGAGAATGACCAGAGAACAAGATCGTATAACCACCCGATTAGGGGCGGAATGTAGGGTTTATTTGCCATGACGTCAAAGCAGGTGAAGGAGAAAGAAAAAGGAACAAAAGCCTCTCAAACAAGGGAGGCTTCGCGGGGTTTGGAGGTAGAATGAGAAGCAGTCAAGATGAGCCACTTGGTGCTCAGGCGGCAGCAAAAACCAAGCTTATCTAGTCACGTTGTGGTGGAAGGGGATTTTATGCCGTAGAATTAGAAGGAGCACGCGTGGACCCAGAAGGATGAGGGAACATATCCTGTGGCTGCGAACAGCTCTATGTCAGCTGTATCATATAAGGATGAAAAAGCTATCTAAGTCTCGTGTGTGTTTTGTTCGCGAGAGCTATAGATGCTAGTTGTAGTTGGCCTCAACAAAGTTGCAGGGAAGAAGAACCGGAGTGCATGTGATAAAAAAAAAATGGTTAGTGTTGGGAGTCGCAGGATTCAGTGATACGTACCAAGACTTCCGGATGTTCTGGGAGGTATTTTTTGGTTGGTGGGGTCAAGTTGTAATATTACTGTACGGTCTGTATCACCCGGATCCGCGCGATCATAAATATCCCTGATATTGCACAATGCACAGTGGCACACAGCTTGCAGTAGCTCTGTATTATATCCTCTACGTCTGGTAATCTGTTGGTATTCTGTTCATGCTACGGAATATCATTCCTCATTGTGATTCTGAAAGTCAATGGGAGGGGGAAATGCTAGAGGGACCAAAGCCCAATGTTGGTTGAGAAGAGCATGAACTACCTATTCCTTCTGATCGATACCAGAAACTTCCGGAATCTAGACCTACGGTATGACACCTAATGATATGATATGATATGATGCCTTTCGTCATTGGCCACTATTCCAGCTTCCATCCATCGTCGCATCTATAATTAGGTTGTCATTGACATTTACTCCGTAGTAGATGCAAAGGAAGTTGACTACTGCAAAGAACAATAAACGATCAAAAATCCTTATCCAAACCCTTCTACCAGAATTCCTATTTCACTCCAGTAGACTCCGTACGTGTGGCAGTCTCCATAACAGGGATATCACCACCGAATCCAAGACCTGGAAGGAATCCTGCCCAGTTATGTAGACAGACAAAAGCATTGATTTTATTTACCAAGATTGTCCTTACTACTATAGAGTAGGTATACGGCTCTTAGATGGCGGTTTTTGCTATCCTGAACTTACCTGGCATCTACGTAGTAGTCCTAGATACCTCCCAAGACCCGAGAGCTGGAGGAACTCACGCTTCTAAAACCCATTACCAGAGATATTGAACAACGCTGAAAGTATTCTACGAACCCTTAAATCTTTAGTATCGTATGAATCCCGCAGGCTCGAATAACCTCAAGAAAAGAGGCGAGCGCATAGGAGTGCAGAAAGGTCATGTGACTGCCGTTGGAAACACGGCATCTCGGAGGAGGGGTCTTCTTTTTGGACGGCATTTTTCTCGTGTTCAGAGCTCAGTGCTTTCGGGCACCTTGAACGTGGGAAGATCAGGTTGGGGGTCAAAATCATCCAAGTTAGAACATATTTGACACCCGTTCCACCTTAGACATTATTCTTTCTTTTTGTCCCCCCCCCCCCCCAACATCTCTCATCTCTTCTCCTTTCACGAACATCTTACGTCGCTCGCCTCGATATCCCGCCAAAAAGCTTTACTATTCCATTATAAAAAGATGTCGATTAAGTATGTGGATGATCCCCACTTCCCTACTTATCATCCGCCTCGCTGTGGTTGATTCCGTTGGACCCTCTGGCATGGCGCCACTTTGATGATACAGTTTAGCCATCGAGGGTCGAAAACAAAACCATCAATACCCTCGTCATTTTCTTACGACTAAGGAGGGCCTTTTAATCTTTACCGTTTTCTAATTGGTGAAATAGTTGGGTGATGCTCCATGAGCGCGACACCTTTGTTCGTCTTCCCAATGAACAATTGATTTATACATCGCCTCCTCGTACCAGTTTCGCCTTGCAACCCCTGCCTTCGTACACTGGTAGAGATTCATTATCGCTTCAAAGCAGTACTGGACGAGTCTATCTTACGTCTCAGCGGGTAATGCACCTCTTTCCTTTCGCCCGGTTTTTTTTTTTTTTTTTGGATACAGAGTTTTGGGTTAACATGCTAGCACTCAGGTTGTATACATCCCTGCTCAGACGTCCAAAGACCTAGAATCATTCTCAGCGCCACTTCTCAACATTCACGATTCTCACGTTTCTTCCCCCTTTTTCGGTCCGAATGCATGGATCGCTTTAGTCCAGCCCGTAGCCGGGGGTGGGATTCCCCCGTCGTTGGCTGCAGTGCAGCTGAAAGTGACTTTCAAAGAAGGAGGGGCCTTTGAATTTCACAATCAATTCGAGCGCATTAAAGAACGCCTCCAGCATGCAGTTGAGATATCCCGAGAAACCGGGCGGGGGCCCCGAAATGTCGATATGACCAATGTCCACTTGGATGAACTGCCGGCTTACCCTGGTCCCCAGAGCGGCGCAAGTGCAAGTACTCACAATAGCAGCCAGAGAGATCCTCCAAGAGATGCTCAAGGTGTTCCAGAAACTGGCGCCGAACCTATGGGGCCACCTCCAGGTTATGAGGAGGTCCAGCAGCAGAGCGTTGCTAATGAACTCGAAGCAAGGCTACGTCAAGCAAACTGAAATGTGAATGTCATCGTGGCTTGAAATGCGGAATAAAGACTATTAGACATGCGCCCTCCTCACACCACACGCTTCAGCGTCCTTTTGCATCTGAGAAATTCCCAATCCCCCTGTAATGTACATTTAGCGGCACCGTGGGCAATTCTCACATTTCCTTTTACTCAGTTGTCCCCCCCCCCCCACCTTTTTTTTTTCTTCGACTATTACAAATAATGAACATGGATAGAAATGGAATAACGGTACTCTTTTGCAAGATCGAATGAATTAAGAATTCGTTAGTAGTGACTACACTGGTAAATTCCGGCGGCGGACTCGATGCCGGCCAATCACGTGTGCGATAATTGAACATTCGCCGGCGGCCGGGGTGTTCCGATTTTCCTTGGACGGCCAGAGAACAGCCAAAGCTTCGTCAAAACCGCCAAACCTCCCATCGACCTCGCTCGTTACTCCAGTCCATCCCGCCCACCCTCCCCCTCCCGTCTCATCAATTGACTACTCCAAGTCCGATTCAAGATGGGTCTCACCGATTTTTTCTCCGACGTTATCTCTTCCTGGGGCTTCCCTGAGGCCCAGGCCGAGGCTCCCGCCGAAACCGTTGAGCAGACTACCAGCCAGGAGGCCGAACCCGAGGTGAAGGCCGAGGAGACTCCTAGCGAGGAGGCCACTGAGCAGAGCGAGGAATCTGCCGAGGAGACTCCCGAGGAGACCTCTGAGGAAGAGGAGGCTGAAGAGGAAGAGGAAGAAGAGGAGGAGGAAGAGGAGGAGGAGCCTGAGGATATCAAGCCCCAGCTTGAGGAGGGTAAGCTACCTTTTTTTTTTTTTTTTGCCCCTACTAATTCCTCCCCCTTTTTTCAACTACTTTCCTACTTCTTGTGGAAACCTTTTTGGGGGGGGGGTTGAGATTGCGGATTGCGCGATTCGGCAATATCTGTCATGGTTCTGTTCTGTGCTTATATCAACAATTGGGGGGGTTTTTTTTGCCATTGAAGTGCAGAAAATTTTAGAACGTCTAAATTCAAGTTTAGATTGACGGTTGACTGACGTTTTCAAATGATAGAATGTGCCAACTCATCTCAGTGCGCCCCTTACAAGCACCACTTCGATGAGTGCGTTGAGCGTGTAACTCAGCAGCAGGAGGACCCCGACTACAAGGGTGTCAAGGAGGACTGCGTTGAGGAGTGTATGTTTCCTTCCTTCAATTGAGCCAAGCTGGAAACTTGCATCGGTTCTCCTGATCGATTTGAATGACTGACATGTCTCCAAATATAGTCTTCCACCTCTCCCACTGTGCTACCCAGTGTGCTGCTCCCAAGCTCTGGAAGGCTCTCAAATAAACGAGTCGTCCCTGACAATCATCCCCGACCACGACTTCTTCTTCCAACACGGAACTAATGTCCACACCCGTGTTACCTGTGAAATGACCTGGAATGAATTCAGGAGCAAAAAAGTGGAAGGGAACAAGATCAAAATATTGCGATGGCTGAAATGTATACAAAGAAAGACAATTTTTTTTCTCGGTTCCGACATGGAAATGGGAAGGAATCTTGAGAATCTCGCCTGGGATTGGGATACTGTACCATTTTGTTTGTCGGCTTTGCGTTAGAAAGGTGAAGGGATTGAAGGATGGGGTGGTGCTGGCTCCTTCAATGTGTATGTACAGATAGCTGGTCTCCGACTGTTTGAACTGTGCTTTTTTTTTATATCTCCTTGTGTTTTAAGATAAATACTACTTTTCTCTAGATTGCGTCATTTATTATGTTTGTGTATACCAGACAAGTAGGTAAGACAGACGAAATGAGCTGGGGATTCAATGATTTCAGCATGGATCTCATATGTACATGACTTGTATACAGATCAGTGCAACCAACATGAAGAGAGAGAGAGAGAGAGAGAGAGAGAGAGAGAAACAACAAAAGCAAGGAAAGACAAGTGGGTATATCTATAATCAATCAATCAACACTTGCGCACAACCTGCACGACCGCAAGCTGACTCTGACCATCCAAATCCAAGCCCCGATCCACATCCAACCTCCGCCGCGAGACACGCCTCCCAAACAACCCAATGCACAGGGGAAACGGGGCCGCGACACAAGCAACAACGGCAGAGAACACCAAAGCGTGGCGCATATTCTGGGGCGGATCACCCGACGCCGAGGCCTTCAAGGCATCCTGGACAAGAACAAAGACGGCGCCAAGGAACTGGCCCAGGGCCCAGCACATGGTGGTCCCGATCTCGGGGGAAAAGGGATAGGTGATTTCCACGAGGTACTCGAGGACGACGGGGAGGAGGGCGAACGAGGAAGCCCCGAGCAGGGCGCAGATGACATAGGAGGGCGCGATGCCCGCGGGGCTGGAGGGGGCGAAAACCAGGGCGATGTAGGCGATCCCGACCAAGGGGACGAGGACGCGAATGGTGCCCAGGTAGTGTTTGGAGCGGTCGATGAACGGGGAGAGAATCGCCGAGGAGAGCAGGCCGACGATGATGAGGATGCCGCCGGCGATTCCGGCCTGGGTTTCGCTGAAGCCGTAGGGGGAGAGGATCTGGGTGAGCAGGGAGGAGACGCTGTTGAAGAAGCCGACGTACACGCCGAAGGGGGTGAGGATGAGCCAGAACTCGGGCGTTTGGAGCATTTGCGTTAGGGCTGGGAGGAGCGGGGGTTTGCTGGTTAGGGAGGAGGCGCTGGCGGGGGTTGGCGGGTGGGAGGGGATGAAGAATGAGGGAATGGATGCGATAGTTGCCTTTCACCCCCTTTCTGTTTAGTTTCCTGGAAATAGAATTGTAGAAAAAGGGAAAAAAAAAAAAAGAAACCCCTACCATTACTGCGATCCACAAGACCAGGTCGGGAATCTGCGATGGCTCGCTCGCCCAGAACGAATTGATCAATTGTCCCAGCGCAGCTCCCAGTGGGTTAGCGAGAGTCGCTACGGCCGTTGCACTGGTTCGTCCCTGGTCCGAGAACCACAGGTCACTGTACCGGGTTGGAGCAGTGAGACAGAACGGCTGTGCCAGGCCGATCAGGACCTGACCGAACATGACGACTCCGAACATGCCACCTCCCTGCGCCTTGGTCCCTGCGTAACGGACCCAGTTGCCCACCAGCAGGAGAGAGGAAGTGACCATGATGGCCGGTTTGGGACCGCCTTTGTTGAGAGTGAACATCACAACACTATTCAGATTCCGGGGAGCGGATCAGCAACTGCTAGCTACTTTCGTTCCCATCCTGGATGATATGGACTATAACGAGGTATATAGAGCGGATGGGCAATGTTGGGCTCGCGGGGCGAAATGACCACAGATAGAGGAGGAAGAATACTCACGGACTAGCGACACAGAAGGCGAAGAGATAGCCTATGCTCGTCCAATTAATGGCATTCTCAGACACTCCAAAGTATTGTGATGCTGTTGTTGAGACGGCGGAGAAGGTCAACCACTACGAAACGGTGAGGGAGCCATTAGTCTGGGTTTACTTGATAGGTACTTGGAGAGAGAGAGAGAGAGATCTATGTAAACGGGAGGACCACATACGTCCCAGCTCACGATGATATTCAACAGCACCAGCTGCGCTAAACCCCAAAACCGCCGTTTGTAGACCTTGTAGACCGGTCCCGAGGGAGACAACTCGACAGGAGCAGAAGGGAGGTCAGAGTGCTTGGAGACCATGGTGACGGATGGTCTTTGGACAGTTGACGAGGAAGAATGAAGAGGGAGAAAGAAGAGGGGGTTATTGCTGGCATGATAAATACTTCCAACGATATTTTGTCTCGCTCGTGAGGAGACAGTCAAGTACTACTAGACCGGGGGCACATCCCGTCTGATTGGAAGTGTTGAATTAGTGGAGGGCATTAGGTTAAATTCATGAGCATAAGACACACTCTGTGACCCGAGGCCTGTCATGGTTACATTGATCAGATGCTTGACATGCGAGAGACTTTCTCAAGGACAAGGGCTTTTCAGTCTCCGCATTTCGCTTTGAGTATCATTTGCCATTTCCGGATTCCGAGAGCCCATTCGTAATTTGTGGAGAACTGAGGGCGAGTCCATCCAGTTACACCACAACCTTTTGTTCTCAAATATACCATACTTACTTCCCCTAGAATAGAACTGCATGTCAGATCTTTATTACCACGCGGGAATCTAGATAGGGAGGAGAAGGAATGTCATGTCGTCCAGTAAGTGTGGTATGTAAAGAAGTTGGGTAGGGGATGAGATTAAAGAAGTGGGAAGTGGGTATCGGTATCGAAGAAGAACGCTGGGTCTGGGAGCCAGATTTCAAGAGAATTCCCGAGTCAAAGACGAGTCAGATACCATGGAGGTTCTGTCCATTGTTTGAGATGTAGACTGGGTGTATTAAGACTCCAATCTCACTGGTCAACCCGGGGGGAGAGAACCTAGCGCCAATCTCGTTCTCCGCAACCATGGATATCGATCATCGTGACTTTTTTTTTTTTTTCTTCCCCTGTCAGTCTGTCAATCTGTCAGCTTTGGATCTCTGAAATAAGAAGAAAGACAGACAATATTTGTAGATAGATGTGCGGAGTAGTTATGGTGTAGTGAACGTGGATGGGGATGGGAACGAACAAAAGCTTCAAGACAGCCTTGGAAGGAAAATAAGCCACGCATAAAAACAAGGGGAGGAAAACCAAGAAAGAAAACAATGAATGATTTACTTTCTTTCTTTTCTTACCTTTAGGTTAAATTTCCCTTGATCAACCTTCATCTTGCTATTTTCCTTTGTTTTTTTTTTTTGGAGACTGGTTGCAGATCCAGGCTCTTTCTTTCTCGTGATCTCCGAATCCTCAGGCTCTCGTTTCTCTCCCTTTCTTTTCCTACTGGTTGAACTTCTTCTTCTTCTTCTTCTTCTTCTTCCTCCATCTTCTCTCCTCTCTTCTCCTTTCCTTCTACAACCTCTCTCTCTCTCTCTCTACCTTCACTCTCCTCTTCATCCTCTCGTTCGTTCCTTTTATCCAACATCCCACATTCTCTCTGCGATCCCGAGAATTTCTACCTTCCTCCCCCCTGGCGGTAGACCCCGAATCCCAAGAATGTATGTTGCCTGGTAAATCAGGTTTCTCATCGGCCTTGCATACCTGATTGCTTGATTTCTGGGCCTTCTCGTTGTTATTTTTCTTGTCCCCCCCCCTCACAATGAACGGTCTGGATCTCCGCTCTAGCCTGTCGTCTTATGGCGACCCCAGGCATTTTTCTACAACTTCGTTCGGGGTTCCCCAACCGCCTCCAACCAAGGTTCTCCTGGATGGCTACCGCAATGCTCTCGATACTCATAATGCGGGGAAATCCCAGTACAGTGCGGTATGTCTCCCGCCGCTCCTTTTTTCGCATGAATTTATAGTTCAGGAACGCAACCTAATTTCCATGTGTTTGGCTTTTGACATTTCTAGTTGAATTTGACCACACATCCGCACCATTCCGTCCCGCCGCTCAACCCCAATGACCCGGTAGCCATGTATTTACTCACGGAGACCGCCATGGGCGATAGTTTGAACTACGAAATTCTCTCGCTTGAAGAAGTTGAAGGCTTGAAAAGGGATTATCGAGTTCTATCCAGTCGGACCAATACCGCCAAACGAAAACTCGCGCTAGAACTGAAACTCCGTGATGCCGCCATGTCGCTCAGCCGACTCCACAACCACAGAAGCCCAAGAACCAGTGACGACTTTGAGGCAAGCGGCTCTCCCAATCCCAATCGGGGTCGCAGAAATGTGCTGAGCCGGAATGCTGCGGCCCTAGACAAGACGGAGGAGGAACTCGCACTGAGTAACCGAAAATGCGAAGAGTTGGCAATGGAAATCTGGAATCTCGAGCGCAAGGTGCAAGAGACCCAACGGAGATTACTTGAACACACCGCTGGGGTCCTGCAATTGACACACAAAGGTCTGAAGAAGAACCCGAAGAACGGAATCCCCCACACCCCCGAAAGTCTCTCCAGCAACAATACCATGGATGATTTTGATGATCGAAGCTTGTACAAAACGTCAGATCATCTCGAGGATCTGGGAGGCTACGGAGAGCGAGGCCCCGTATCCAACGGAATGGGCCCAGATACAATGAATCAGAATGCAGAAAGGAAACTGGAGTATTTGAGTGCTAGAATGCGCGATATGATAGTACACTCCCGCCCGGACAAGGAATACAGCCAGGTCCCCCAGCCTCCCGACAACGGCGCCCCGATCAATCCATCGGCAATGGTAGAAGCTCATCTGACATATATTGAAAACGGGCTGAGCCTGTTAGCCTCGCAGCCCCGGGGCGGCGGTGAGTCCCATGGTCGAGGCCTGGACGACGAGTCGGCGGAGCAGATCAAGGAGATGAGTGCGCAATTACTCAGCATCATGGAAAACCCCGGCCTTCCTCGCTCGCGAACTCTGCCTCAGCTTCCAGGCCCCTCGAGTGATCTCACTGAACGGCTTTCATATCTTAATACGGGGATCAGTGGCCTCCACGAGCAGATTGAAAAGCTGCTGGACCAAAAGAGCATTCTGACCACTCAAATTCAGCAGCAACGGGAGCTCAACTCCAAGTCAGATGCCGAAAGAGATGCCCATATTGCCGACTTGATCGAACAGCTAGCCCACGTTCGTAAAGAGCTCGAACTCTCCGAACGCCAAGGCCAACAATCAAGAGAGGACCTGGACCTGTCTATGCAAGAACTAGAAGATGTTCGACGGGACTTGGCAGATCACCAGACCCAGACCAGCAAGGATCTTGCTGAACCTGACAAAGACGCTCGTGCTCATGCGGAGGCTGAACTGGAACGCCTACAGAATATCATGGAAGGACTCCAGCATGAACGAGATGAGCATCACGAGACCCGTGTCCATGCAGAAGGCGAGGTTGCTCGTTTGGAGTCTGTGCTTGAGCAGTTACGCTCCGACCACAAAAGCAATACTGAGGAACTCACCACCGCACGGTCACAAGCAGAAGGCGAGGTTGCTCGCTTGGAGTCCATGCTTGAGCAGCTACAGTCCGATCACGAAAACCATACGGAGGAACTCACCACCGCACGGTCACAAGCAGAAGGCGAGGCCGCTCGTTTGGAGTCTGTGCTTGAGCAGTTACGCTCCGACCACAAAAATCATGCAGAGGAACTTACCACAGGCCGGTCACAAGCAGAGGACGAAGTCGCACGCCTACAGGCTGTAATCGGCCAGTTCCAGGACTCGGCAGGGTCCCGGGAAAGTGCCGAACGTCAGGTCGAGCAGCTGGAGGAGACCATCCATCATGTCCGTAACGATGCCGATTCTCGGGTGAAGGAAGCAAGCGACATGCGTATCCAAGCTGAGAGTGAAGTTTCCAGGCTGGAAGCCACGATCACCCAACTCCGAACTAATATGGAGTCACAACTCAAAGAAGTGGATGAAGCACGTAGCGCAGCTGAGGAGAACGCCTCTAGGCTACAGGTAGAGCTGACCCATCTTGAAGGCGAGGTCGTTAGGGTACAGACCGAGCTCACCATGGTCAAGGCTGAGCTTGATGGTGCTTACGGCACTCGTGCGCAAAGGGCCGCGGAAGCAGCGGCCAACCCGGCCCTTCAAAGGGAGTTCGACGAATTAAACACTAGAAACATCGAAATGGCTCTAGAACTGGCTGCCCTCAAGGCTGGAAAACCAGGCGGTGGAGATGCCCAGAATCGGGTCGAAACCCTGGAAAAGGAGTTACGTGAAACGGTTGATGATTACGAAGCCATGACCAAGGCCAGTATTGAGTTCGAGAAAGAGCGCGAAAGGTTCGAAAGTATCATTGACGGGATGCGTGATCGCTGCGAGTACCTCGAGACCCAGCTCAACGAAGAGCGGATCAGCTGGATGGGCCTTCACAGTAGTGCCTCGTCCATGGGCCGAGATGGCCCCTACGAGACAACGTCCACGATGGTACTCAAGAATGAGTTCAAAAAAATGATGCGGGATACCCGTGCAGAAAATATGAAGATTCTCAAGGTACGTTGATCGCTCTGGATCCCGCCATTACGAGGCAACGCTAATTCAAGACAACAGGCGGAACAAGAAGAACGCCGCAGACTCGAGACCATAATCCGGAATTTGAAAAAAGAGCACGCGAATTTGAACGGCAAATCCGGCCTCGGCCAGACCGTCACGGCTTTATGATCACGATCTCTCACCACTGCACCTTTTTTTATATTCTATTTTCTTCGCTTCTCTCTTATTCCATACTTGCTTTCTCCGTTCTGGGTTGTCTTTCGGCCACCCAATTTCGGTTCCATGTCAATCAATATCCCATTCTCCGTATATATTCAGGTTTGTTTCCTAATTCTCCCTCCTCAGTTGGGGCCAGAGACTTTCCCATCTCGCTATTCTTGTCCGGGTCTGCACATATCGATTTCGAAAATCGTGTACCATAATTTTCTTTCTTCTATCATGATTGTTTGTATCAGCGCTTGGGTGTATCTATGATGCTTTCTAGACCTGCTCTTCTTTTTTTTATTCATTTATTACCTGCCTGCCCATGTTCTTTCTGCTAGCAGTGCGTCCGCCCTCTCTTGGTTCTTTGAGAGACGACTCAATTTGGGAAAGTGCAATGGAACATCATCATGCCTGCTTAGAAAATGGCAAATATCTTCCTTAATTCATTTCACACTACTGTGCATTCATCAAGTCTCTCTGTTCAGGATCCCCCACGTTAGTCGAATCCCCAACGGTCTCTGCCTGTTTCTCAGCATGGCTGTCCCCAGAAAAGCTTGCTCGGCCGATGATGACACCATCCCATGCAACCAGCAAGAATGTCCTAATATCGAGCAAGTTCTAATGGAACGCAGTTCACTAAGTGCAAGGCCAGGATCCTTCGACACCAGTTCGAGTAATGACAGTTCATTCTTCAACGCGCTTCGAGCTACCTCTAGCAACGACCTCATCCCACCCGCTGGAAGTGCGATGCGCGATAGTCTGGACAGCAGGGTAGCAGCAAATGTCGCCATGTTCTTTTCTCTCTCCTCTGATATCACGGGTAATTTCCCTCAACCGCAAAGGAACAGAACCAGGCGAAATATGGGCCAGATGGGCAATCCCCGTACGCATTTTCTATCACACGGTTTCCCACAGTCCATTACCGGCGAGGGGATCGGAGGATCTTTGCCCACAGCACTCTCACAACCACACGTCCTTGCGGAAGACGACCAACCTCGCAAGGTGGTAAGCCTGAATGATGCGGATGACATTTCGAGGCCGCCCAAATGGCCCCAGAAGATCAAATCGCCTATGAGTCCAACGCTTCCGAGATATCCTCCTCCGATACGATCACCCACTCCTCCGGGTCTCCCGTCCTTTGGCACGCAGGAAGCTTTGTCGTATGCCTCCCAATTTCCGGTTCAGTCTTCGACCCGTCGCGGGAACAACCTACAAAATGTTCCCGCAGGCTCAAACTCCGCCTCGCGCAAACAACGCGCTCAAGAGTCGAGGCCAGTGTCATATGGGGAGTTACTACGAAGACTTTTCGGTATTCCTTCGACCAATCCTTCTGCCCCAAATAATCGACAAGTATGCCTCCCAGCCCGGGCAGAAGATGGTACTGCCGTCTTAGGACGCTTCCCTTATCGTCAGAGTGGTCACGGCACGAATGCTTCAAGAAGAATCCACGATCATCCATTCCATCGGAGAAATCTCTCTGTGGCTCAGTATGATGGGGCTGATGCAGAAGACAACTCTGGGCTTTCTAGAAAAACATACGCCATGGAACAGCAGAGCAACCAACATCCCCCGTTTGGTCCCGTTGATGTATCCAGTTCTGACGCAATACCTGGGACGTATCCCCCGGGAACGCCAGGACCGTCACCAGCAATGCCTCGTCCAACCTTAGTTCGACGCGATGCCGTGGTTAGCTCACCCACGCCTATTCTTAGAGCTGATTCTTACCACACCTGTGCTTCTGACGTACCCGAAGGGACACCCAGCCACATAACCGGACAGGAGGCAATGCATGCTGACAATACCAGCCTATCTGGATGTTTCCTTGCACCAACGCAATCCCTCACTCCGATTACTACGCCGAACCAGCCGAACAGAGTGCACAACGGGTCAGAATTTGTGTTACAGTGCTTAAAAATAGCCGACTCTATTCTTTGCTGTGGGATCAGAGACACCCCGGAAGATCCGATGTACTCCAATACGTCGTCTCACGATACCTACGTAACTGCTCATGGTTGGGTTCCAGTTCGCGCACAACCATCTCGGCCCAGTGCTGAAGCCCAAGATCAACCCCGACCTACAGAGGCATGATTTTTTTTTCCCCCTCTGCTTGGGGGAGTCTGTCTTGGTTTCTTTGGCTCCTGGTATCCTTTTGGTTATTTATACCCCCTACTTTCCGGTGGGGGGGGGGGGGTTTCACGGTTCCCCCAGCCTCGCCTCCTAGTCTTGAGGCATATTCTATCGTCAAAAAAAATACATATAACGAGACTCAGTTTGGTAATTCAAACAACCTAAAAATGTTGTCCCAAAAAGGAGAACTTTGTTCTACTAAGGAAGCACGCAAACTGGCTCCCCTGCCCTAGTTATGTATTATTATTATTATTATTAGAGTCATTTCTCCAATGAAAAACAAAAAGCAAATACTAGCAATCAGTATCATTCTATATAGTAATTTAGATATTAGAAAACAGTAATCAAAAGGTGGTCATTTCTCATTTCTGATAAGCAAAGAACCAAACAAGACAAGACACCATGCTATGGCTCCAATGCCTAAAAATCTCCGGAAAGAAGTTAAAGAAGGGAGGTATTTATCCTCTAGAATTGAAAAAAGCAAAAAAGATCAAACCAACTCATGAATGAGATAAAACTTGAACAAATGAATGTGAATGAATCAGTGGCTTAATAGCTTAATGACTTGATACCTGAAAAAAAAAAAAAAAAACAAACAACAAATCCTTTTCTCTCTCTGTGTGTGAGAGTGTGTATGTGAGCAAACTAATACAATGCAATCAATCAATCAATCAATGTTCTTTGAAAAAAAAAAAAAAAAAAAAAAAAAGGCCATTGACAACGCTCCTATAGGGCATGTGGAAGTGCAAAATATTAGCATGCTCCAGAACTAAAGGGTAAAGCAAGGTTATAGTAATATTATGCAATGATGAGATGCTGATGATGTGATAATGATAGACATGAATGGCAATATGGCTGGGATGTGAGTTGGTGGTTCATGAAGGGCGTGAAGGAGGAGGGAGGGAGCATTATCCTGAAAGTAGAATAGAAGAGGGAATAGAAGAGGGAAAAGAAGAGAAGGGAAGAATGAAATGAATAGTAAGGGGAGGGAGGTGAGAAAAAAAAAAAAAAAAAAAAAAAAAAAAAAAAAAAAAAGGAGGCCAGGAGTAGGTTATTTATAGACCTGTGAAAAATTGACATGCTTCGTTGAGATCCTCATCATCTCCGACGAAATCCCAGCCGACAATTCGAGGATCCTGGCTAGCACAGATGATTTTGCGGGCATCGAATTGGATTTTGAAAATCCTAGATGTTGGGGGTTGGGCGGGTGGGACGTTCGGTCTGGCGCGGGAATTAGCGTAGTAGTTGGCCATCAGGTTGGGGACGGCAGTGCCGTTAGGAGGTGGGCGATTAGGGAGGTGCTGGCCTTGAGGGAGGGCGGCGTTCGATGATGAAGGAGGTCCTTGTTGTGCAGCTCTGCCAGAACTCCCTTGCTGTTGCTGGGAAGTCAACCGGCTGCTTGAGGCTTGTGGGTTGCTGTTTGCAGGCGGCGACGGCGACGACGACGACGATGATGCTTGTGCGGCTTGAGCGGCTTGCTGGGAAAATGCATTGCCTCGAGAAGAGCTGGTGCGTGCGGAACTACTTAGATAGGAATTATGCGTGGCAGTGACCGCAGCATCAGCCTGTCGCAGCCTCTGGCTGACGACCCATTGGCCTTCTCTATCCTTCTTCCAGATAATAATAGACTCATCGTAGGAGCCAGAGACAATCCTTGCCCACTTGCTGCCGCCGCCTCCTGGTGGAATGTGCGCACCTATTGCCCTGATGTCTCGTGGGTGTTTCGATCCCGCGGTGTTCTGTCGGTAGCCTGCTCGTCTCATGGCTGCGGCGCTGAGATCAACCGCGTGGCCAGAGGTATGGGCGTTCAAGAATTCCCTATCTACTGCTAGTGCTTCTAGCCTTAGAGCTTCTTCCGCCCCTGGGGGATCACCAAACCCCGCTTGGACAGTTCTGACTAAATTGCCATGTCCATGTAGACAAGCCACCTCGGCACCCGAAATGTGGTCGAAGATTCGAACAGTGTCGTCGTTACTTCCACTGACAATCCGCTGGTTGTCGAACTGAACGCACGCGATGCCTTTCTCATGGCCCATAAGGGTCTTTTTACATGTACCGGTTCGAACATTCCAAATCTTGATCAGTCGGTCGCCTGAGGCGGAGACAATCTCGTCCTCGTTCATCTGGATAGCATTGACAGCCGCTGTATGTCCGTCTAGGGTCATTAGGAGAGTGAAGGGTGCAAGGGTACGGAGATGATGCTTGGCAATCTCGGCTTCCAGAACAGGGGAGGGGATCTCGCTTGTGTCGACTATATATGACGGATATGTGACCCCAGACCCCTGGTGGACGCTCGGGTAGTCCTGATCGAGTGGTGATAAATCGCGTCGGCTCCAGATTTTGATGAGTTTGTCCTTGGAGCAAGTTACGAGATACCGGTGGTCGAATCTGAGATTCAGAACAGAATCATCGTGAGCAGGAGCAATCTCGTGAATCTTTTCCCCTGTAGAAAATCTCCATACGATAACATTCTTGTCGCTGCTTCCAGATACGATGATATCTTCAGAGGGACTTGGGTCGAACTGGAGGCACAACACCGACTTCGTGTGGCCAACAAGAGGTCTGTACCACAGTCTCTTCGTCTCCAGATCCCAGACGCGGACGGTTCGATCTCGGCTTCCACTCACCAGCCACTTCCCAATAAATTGGATTGCATAGACGCACTCCCTATGAGCCTCTTCCATATGCGCCGGGTGTGGAAGTTGGAAGTTTGTGAATTTGCCCTTGGTCCAATTATCTTCTAACCGGCGACGTTGTCTGAAGAGGTGTGGCCAGTTGACCTTGACGGACCCATTTGCCATGCGAATCAGAAGAGAGGATTTCGGATGTGTTGACAAGGCTTGTGGCAAGGACTTCGGGGGACTAATCCCGGCCTGGGACTCGCGTCTTTTCCCGAGTTCCTGTGCCCGGGAGAAAAGTGCGCTTCGATCATCCGCGGCATCATTCATTACATGGTCCCCTTCTCGGTCCGCCTCTCGAGGTCTTTCTCCGTTCTCCCGCGTAGTGGAGCCATTCTCCTCTGAAGCCGTCGCCCGCGAGTCCAACCAACCGAGAGGGACGCGCTTCTTGTGTTTGGGCTCACCGATATCTGTATCTGCGTGTCTTGATCGCGATTTACGGGACTGGGGGGACGACAACGCGGATTGTTCCCGTTCGAATGCATGGATCGCATCGATATCAACCCGCCAGCCTTCCCCGATATAAAGGTCCCTCCAGAGACGAGAATCAAATATACGGCTTCGCCAAGCGCGGGATGCAAGTGACGCGGTTAAGAGGGTCTGTGGGTCGAGGTAGGAAAAGATCTCGGAGGTGATCTCGGGGGGGAGTTTAAGGACAGGGTCCATGTGTAGAAGAGGCGACAATCGGTCCACGACTGTGGCGAGGGTGGAGGTGCGCAACGTACGTAAAAGACTATACGCGAGCTCTAAAGCGAAATATCAGGAATAAATCGAGAACCTGGCGGTTAAGGGCAGCACGCGACTGGCTCTGAGGGAGCTACTCACCAGCTCGGTCCGCTTCACTATGAGCAAGAAGCCAGTCAGGAAGCGACATCACATCGTCTGGAGTACCACTCAGGAGCTCCTTATCAGGCTGACTCCGAGTATCATCCGAGTAACCCTCGTCCAGCTTGAAGGGAGTCGATAAAGAGGAGGCGGTGAGGCTGGGCGAGAAATCGGAGGCGTGGAGTTGAAGGAGACGGAGGGGGATCGAGGATTCCGAAGTCTCTTTCGCCATGAAGTCTCCGCTCGAAAACTGCTGGTTTCTCTCTCTCTGGAATAAATTCCGTTGAATGCCAATGCAAAGGATGTAGACCTGGCCTCTGCCTAAGGCGGTGCGGAGGTTCGCGAAGCCTTTCGTTCGCCTTGGGGGACGTTGTTAGTTCGACAACACGGCGAGTAAAATAAGGCAGAGAACATGTATTCGTTCGAGCGCTGGATGGTCGGACTGTATGCGAGATATAGAACATGTGAAACAATAACAAAAGCCAAGGAGGAGAAGGAGAAGTCCAATGTTATGATGAGGCGTGGAAGTTGGGCGAAGCGGTTGTAAGGAACGTCAGCGAATTACTTTTTACTACTACTCCTACTACTACCTACGTAGACTACGAGTCACCAAGTACGGAGTATGAGCTCGAACTCGGAACAGGAACAGGAACAGGAACAGATCTATATAATCTGTGCACTGGGATTTTAGAAATTTCGTTTTTTGTCCCCGATCATGGATCATTTAAGGTTCAAGCAGCGTCTCGTAGGGAATTCTTAGGGGGTGACACTGTGAAGACTGCCTGTGGTGGCTGATTAGCTTCATGGGTACCACCAATCTAGGGACAGGAGAGGGGGATAATATAACCTCTCTTGACACTCTGAAATCTGTTCGGAGCAGGGGACGGGACAGAGTTCAGGAGGAGGAACTAATTCGAATCTCAAACACTTGGTGTGTGAGAAGTGACCAGTGCAGCATCCAATATCTTGAAATCGAATGACTTCTTTTTGCACCCAGGGCGGTTACTGAGCCCCCGTTTTCAAAGTAGAAAAAGGAATAGAGTATATAGATATAGATATAGATATAGATAGAATAATTACCCCTGATCCCCAGCCCTCTCTCTCTCGACCATCTCCAAATCTGGTAACAGGACCATATCCTAAAGCGTTGCCTGGAAATTCAGGTTGGCTTCAATCTTTGTTTCTTTTACTCCTTTGGAACTTTTTCTTCTTCTCTTCTTCATAACTTATCATCATCCTCTTCATCTTCTTCTTCTTCTTCTCTTCCTTCCCTTCTTCTATCATTATCTCTTCCTCTTCTTGTTATTCTTCTTACTCCTCTCCCAAGTATACGAGCTACGGAGTACTACTTACTATCTTAATCCCAGGGTTCCCGTACGCTGGTTGCAGCGGCAAACCCCACACATCCACCCTTTTTTTTTTTTTCTTCAGTGTTCTGGATCCCTCCCAAATTATATCCATTCTTGGGAGGGAGGCTTGTTTTCCCAGCAAGGGTCGGAGAATTATCTTGGGAAATAAAATACTACATCGACTTTGAATTCCAAATTCCGTATCGAAGGAATTTCACCGTGAACCCATACCATTATTTATACATACATTCCTATGCTGGGTTGTTGAACTTGAACCGCCCGACGGGAAACAAAAAAAAAGACAGTTAAGAAAGAAAGAAAGAAAGCCAAAGAAAGAGAGGCCCAAGTCAAAACACAAAAAAAAAAAAACACGGGAAGCAACCACAGCTCGCGGTTTGACTCAGCTAGTCCACCTCAACCAACTACCTACCAGTGAACTACCACGACTATCGCCGACCGCTATCTCCACTGCCCCTTCTTAGCTGCTCGCTTGTGCCCATCCATCCCGCATCGGTCCACTGGCCTCTCGCGTTCTTCAGTGATTCCATGCTCGACAGACTTGACTCTTGGGCAACCTCCTCCGCTTGTCGCTTCCACTGCCTGGTCTCTTCTCCCCGTCCTCTTCGATCTGCTGTGCAGATTTGATCCCTCCCCCTGATTTCCCCTCCAGTTTCGATTGTCCTCCCTTTCGGGTTCTCCTTTCCCCTCCCCCCACAGGCCCCAGTCGGTGGACGTCAGGATGGCCGACACCGCTGGCCTGAACGGCGGTCCTATCGCCGAGGACAACATTATCAACCGTCGCGGCGGTGAGTCGATCTATCAGAGCTGCGTCAACCTCAAAAATCGACTCGCGCAGGTCCCGAATTTCGAGCCCTACCTGAAAGAGATGGAAGAGGAGGATAGCACGCTGGGAAATACCGATCCCGTCGCCTCCCTGTGGAATTATCTGCGGAATGGGTACCCCTTGTTGGCCATCTACAACGCCTCCTGCCCCAGCGAGATCCTCGAAATTGATACCGCGAAAGTCCCTGAGAACAGACGCCCCAAAGCCGCCACCTTCAAATTCCTCCAGGCCGCCCTGCAGGAATTAGCCTTTCCGCAGCAGGACTGTTTCCTCATCACCGACCTTTATGGCGAGAACACGATCGGCTTTACCAAGGTGATTAAGATGGTGAATCGGGTGTTGGACATCCTGGAGATGCAGGGACAGCTGATAAGACCTGACGTGACAACCGCCGCACCCGAGAAAGGCACGGTGAAACTGACGAAACGAGAACATATCCTGAAGGAATTGCTGGAGACGGAGCGCGACTACGCGCATCATCTTCAAAATCTACAAGCGCTCAAGAAGGAGTTGGAGGAGACCGGGGCTCTCACAGGTGATGCTAGCCATCAAATCTTCTTGAACTTGAACAATATCCTGGATTTCGCCCAGCGCTTTCTCATTCGTATCGAACAACACTATGCTTTGCCGGAGGAGAAACAAAACTGGGGTGAGGTTTTCATCCAGCACGAAGAAGCTTTCCGACAGTACGAGCCGTTTATTGCAAACCAGATGCGCTGCGACGCAACCTGCATGAAGGAATGGGAGAAGATCCGAGGTGCCCCGCGCTCTCTTGATCTACAACAGATGGTGGCGCAACCCGCTACCCTCAACGGTTTCTTTGTCAAACCGTTTCAGCGTCTAACAAAATACCCTCTGATGCTTTCGGTGAGTTTCCCTAGCTAACCGGAAGGAACGTTCCTGCGCGAGCTTTCTAGTTGACTGACTATCCTGGGGTAGGAACTCCGCAAACAAATTGAAGACCCGGACCTTCAAGCCGACCTCACTCGCGCCATCGATGTCATTCAGTCTGTTCTAGACTCTGCGAATAATGCAATCGATAAGGAACACCTTGCAACGGCATTTAGAGAGCTTGATGAACGCGTCGATGACTGGAAAGCCTTGAGGATCGACACCTTTGGTGAACTGCTTCGTTTCGGCACATTTACAGTTATTAAGGGCGATAATGGCAAGGATTCAGAAAGAGAGGTTCGTACCCCCTTTTTTTTTTTTTTTTTTTTTTTTTTTTTTTTTTCCCTCATCCCATTATTGTGAAGATTTTTTTGGGCCCTGCGAATCTCATTCATCCCGCACCGGATCTGGCAAAGGCGGTTCGGTTCTTACATGAGCTGTTCCACTGCTCAGAATGCCCTAGCAGAAGCCCTCCTTGGTTTGGAAAGTTTACATGTTCCTCTCGCCCCAAATCCTGGATGGTTTGCTCCCAGACGCTCCTAGTCAACCAGGAGTCCTTGCCAATTCTTTTTGGGCGCACCCCACCCCGCATCCCTCACTTGGAGTTTTGAGTGCAAATGATGCTGCTCCCCACTTGATTCCTATCCCCGAGGCAGCTTGGATCAGTCCAAAGTCGCAGGTGCAATAATGTGCCCTGACATTCTACGCTCCAAGTCCTGTTCTGTTGCCTTACTTTCCCAGCCTTTTCTGATGAAGTGATATTGCTAAATGGAAAGCGGAATATGAGTCAAAACATGCTGCTAACTTGGGATTTTCCCCTTTCGTGAATCTAGTACCACATTTATCTATTCGAACGAATTCTCCTGTGTTGCAAGGACATCAATCCAAACAAACAGAAAACAAAATTGATCGTGGGCAGCAAAGATAAACCAACCACTACTTCAAGGGGTAAAGCCAAGCTCCAGCTCAAAGGTCGCATCTATATGGCAAATGTGACGGATATCGTTTGGTTGCAGAAACCAGGTATGAACAAACAAATCCATGGTCGTGCTGGTGCGCTATTTCTAACTACTATTATCAAAGGTTCTTACCGCATCCAAATCATCTGGAAAGGGGATCCTGGAGTGGTAGACAACTTTGTTATCCGTTATCAAAATGAGGACATCATGCGCAAATGGTACAAGGACATCAACAACCAGCGGGAGATTCAGGCCGAGCAACGCAGCGCTCGGAATACTGGCACATCTGAAACCGAATTTACATACATGAGGTCGATGACCAACATTCCCAACCCGTACCAGCAGGAGTATGATGCCGAAGAGCAAGCTACCAAGGAAGCTGGTTTCTTCTCGGAGTTTCCAATGAGTCGAAATGCATCGAGCACGAGTCTTCGCACCCGCTCTGCGACAGGAGGAAGCGGTAGTTCTGGCCCCCCTCTATCATCTGGCCGACCTCCTCGCTTTCCTGGAATGCCCGACCCAAGTCTATCAGTGCATACCCAGTTCCCCAATCAGTTCCCCGGTGGGAGCATGTCACCCGCAGAGAGAAATGCAAACTCTTATTTTTCCCCCGTCGCCGAAACGCCCTCAACCCGCTCCAGTTCTCAATCAGCTGCCTATTCTTATAATAATCGCCAACTCACCCCATCCACCACATGGAGTGAGGACAGTAATAGATATACGGCTCCTGCATTGTCTCGCGCAACATCAAGGGATGGCCCCGGTTCAAATCCTTATTTCAACGGCGCACCCAATGGGCGAGGTGCCCAGCGCCCTTCTTTGCCTCCCTTGTCTGCTCATGGCCAAACGAATGGCACCGCGCAGAGGATGCGCTCCGCAAGTAGCCCTGACATCCATCATCATAACCCTGAATCTCGTCGGTATATGGGTGCACACACTATGCAGACTATCGATAACGTGCCGGTCCCCCCCATTCCTACCCACATGGCCAACATGAAAGCACCAGTCAACCGCAGCCAGAACAATTCTCCTACCAACAACAACCTCCCAATCCGCTCAGGGAACCACATTCCCAACTCGCAACTGCACCATGAACCGCGGCAAATGCCTTCCACTCACTTCAATGAGCCTCAGTATTCCGAAGGCCGACCAAACGGATCAGCTCCAGACCAACCAACTTCGCCATTAAGCCATGAACCCGATGAGGAACCTGTCATGCCTACCCAACTCAAGGCCAAGGTGAACTTCGATGAGAACTACGTAACGCTGGTTATTTCCAGCAATATCATGTTCCGATCGCTAACTGACCGGGTTGATGCTAAACTTGCTCGATTTACCAACCGCTCAATTGGTAGCAAATCAGTCCGGTTGCGTTACCGCGATGAGGATGGAGACTTTGTGACCATTGATAGCGACGAGGCTGTTCAGCTGGCGTTCATGGAGTGGCGAGAGCAGCACCGGGAGATGCTCTCGCGAGGTCAAGTGGGTGAAATTCAACTTTACTGTCAAGCAGTTGAGAATTAGATTGTCACCTTGGTCCGATAATCCCTATCTTCCTTCCTTCCTTCCTTCCTTCCCCTTCTCCTCAATCTTTGATGCATGTTCTCTCCCGAAAGTATTTCAATGAGCTGGACAAGATAAAAAGAGACAGGCTTAGTCACCGTGGTCTCCTGGTTTATACTTGCACTCATTTCCAACTGGATTGGCTTGAGACTGGCCTAGAGCCGTGTATTTGATTCTCAGAACTCGGGAGAGAAAGAAAGGGAGGGGTGCTTTGTGGTTTTGCTGACTGCATTTTACACAAGGAGTGATTTGACTTGAAATTTCCCTTGCTTACCATTCCCCCCCCCCCTCTCTCTCTTTTATCTGCCTCAAGGAGATATGCTTATGATGATGTTGGTTTTTGTTTCATTCCCCCACCTCCCCGTCGTTTGTTTCCCGCCATCTTCCATGTCCACGGACCATGACTGCATGATGTATGTATACCGCTGCTCGTTTTCCAGCAGGCCTTTATTTTTTTTTTTATTTTTTTTCCTTTTCCCAGGTAACGCGATGTATAGTGTTCTTGCATTGTTAGGACTGGTTCTTGTTGTTGTCCTTGGATGATCCTGCTTCTCAATGCCTAATGTCTGACCCCACAATAGCATTCCATGTCAGGCCCGAAGTCATTGCGATTATGATTGCCATTCCTTTTTTTTCCTTTTCCTCCCCCCTTCTCTCTCTCTCTCTCTCTCTCTCTTTTTATTTACGGAATTAGACCTTGCGTGCTGCATATGATGAGGTTCTCAACTTAGTTAATAGAAAAGTTTTCACCAAGCTATACGTTAGAACTGACCGTTTCCATGGAACCTGCCCGGTTTGTGCCTTAGGGGCGGTGGATCGTCGGTGGATAAATTTTCCGGTATGTTTCAGTACTTACCATTTCCAATCTTGAGCGCTGGACAAGGCTGAGAGAGAGAGAGAGAGAGAGAGAGAATTGATGTGACAGAGGGTTGAACAGGAAAGAAGCAAATATGGACCCGGCTTCGCTCTGGGATCCTAAAAATACTGCTCTCTAGACCTCAGCCCACGGCCTGGAACAGCTCGGGATGTCACGACTGGGAGGGTCGATGTCCCGAACTCGGGTCCTATCCGAAGGAACCCAGGGAAAAGCAGTGTGGATCGATGGGGATTGGGAGAAATAATAGTTATCGGCTAGCAACTTAGCAATGCCTAACGAGTCAACGATGGGAAGGTATTATTCTTGTCACACGAAAGGAGACGAATTGCGGTCCGGTCTGGGACGATCAGAAGGAATAATAATGCGGCATTTTTGAGGATTTGCACCATCAGATCGAGAAAGGAAGTAAGTAGGCAGTGCGCGATTACTTGGATATTATTTGTTATTATGATCTCCGATGACGACGTACGTACCTAATCTGTAGTGAAACGAGTAAGTGGTAATTTATTCAGGCTGTTGTTATGGGGGAGAGAGAGAGAGAGAGAGAAAGAACGGATGATGTGGCGGCCATGGAAAGGACTCATTGAAACCCATCAGGTACGTATTGATATATATATATATATATATATGGATATCTCCCTCCCTCCCTCCCTCTCTCTTTCAAGTTTTGTCGTTTCTCCATATCCATTTCTCATCTTTTTATCTTCATCTTCCTCTCCTAAGCCTTTACTTACCCTTCTATATCTCCATACTAAATCCTCCATTCCCCTCGTCCGTACCCCGCACTGAATTCTGCATCATGTCCTTCTCCGGCCGTCGGGTTAGTATCCTGCGTCCCTCCAATCGTCGCTTTTCCCTGGTCAAGGATCTGTCAGAAAACGGTGCGTTTCTTTTCTTCTCCCGCTTCTTGCTGGCGAAATTAACGAGACGACGACTGTAGAACTCCGATCCGAAACTCACCGTCAATTCCGATCCGCCCACGAAGGTCATCGCCCCCATGCTGGCCTCGACGCTTCTCGTGCCTCTACCGGTGTGGTATGGTGTACAGAACGTGCTTCCGAGCATGGATACGCCGAGAATCCCTCGGAATGGGCCAATCTTGGCCAGGGTGCCCCCGAAGCAGACGACGAGATCGAGGGCAGCTTCCCCCGCCCGGAATCTATCCCTATCAGCTCGGCCGCCCGTGAGTACGGCCCGACCGCCGGTATCAAGCCTCTCCGTGCCGCTGTCGCTCGTCTGTATAATGAACACTATCGTCAGGGCAAGGAAAGCCAGTATACCTGGGAGAATGTCTGCATTGTTCCCGGTGGTCGTGCGGGGTTGATCCGAATTGCCGCTATTCTGGGCAATTCCTACCTTTCCTTCCCAATTCCGGATTACTCGGCGTACTCGGAGATGTTGAGTTTGTTCAAGAACGTGCGTTTGTTCTTCGTACGGGACCATCGAACTTTGCTAATCCGGACTACAGATTGCTCCTATCCCTATCCCGCTCGCTCAAGACGACCATTACCATATCCATCCCGACAAGATCGCCGAGGAAATCGCCCGTGGAACCCAGGTCATTCTGACTTCCAACCCTCGTAACCCGACCGGACACTTTGTCTCCAACGATGAGCTTGCCCAGATTCAGGACATCTGCAGAGACCGTGCTACCCTCATCCTCGATGAGTTCTACGGTGGATACAACTACACCACCGATTGCGACGGTTCCACCATCAGCGGTGCTGCCAACGTGATCGACGTCAACCAGGATGGTATGTTTCTGTGATCCACAAGCAATCCCAATGTTTACGCCCTAACCCTGGTGCATCTAGACGTTCTCCTTATCGACGGTCTCACCAAGCGCTTCCGTCTCCCCGGCTGGCGTATTGCTTGGGTTGTTGGCCCCAAGGAATTCATCAACGCCCTAGGCTCCGCCGGCTCCTACCTCGACGGTGGCGCCAACGCCCCCTTCCAAGAAGCCGCGATTTCCATGCTCGAGCCAAACCTCGTCCGCACTGAAATGAAAGCTCTGCAATTGCACTTTCGCGAAAAGCGTGACTTCGTCCTGAAGCGTCTGCACGAGATTGGCTTCCGCGTCCAGGACATTCCCCAGGCCACCTTCTACATTTGGCTGGACTTGACCTCTCTCGACCCTCCTCTCCCACGCGAGGCTAACATTTCCGATGGTCTGAACTTCTTCAATGCTCTCCTGAGCGAAAAGGTCATTGTTGTCCCCGGTATTTTCTTCGATTTGAACCCCGCCAAGAGACGTGACCTGTTTGATAGTCCTTGCCATCACTTTGTACGTTTGAGTTACGGGCCCAAGATGGATGTGCTAAAGAGGGGTCTGGACGGTATTGAGCGGGTTATCCGTCGCGCGCGCGGGGAGCATTATGAGTCGAAGTGGGAGGATGAGGTCGCTGTTCAGGATGACTAGATTTGGAGACAGGAGCACGACTTCGTAGGATGATACCTTATTATTTATTATTATTTCCCCCCCCCCCTTTAAAATTCATTACATTGAATTAAATCTGACTTTGAAGAGAACGACTGGAATACTCCGTATAAGGGCGAGAAAAGTAAGGGATGATCTATATCGGTCACGTGATAGCACTCCTTATTATCCCAGCTTTCTTAGGATTCAGTCTCGATCAGAAGCCTAAACTCCAGAACATCCCAATAGCCCGGCTTAACAAGAGAAGAAGAAAAAAACAAAAACTAAAGAAAAGCGCACCATGCTGCGCTCACTTCACGCCCCTCACCTTATACTCCGCCTTAAATCCGGATCGTGAATACGAAAGAAGCAAGAAAATGCCCCCCAGCCTGACGCGCCTCCTCAACCTCTTCCACTACAGCGTCTTCATCGTCCTCTCCGTCGCCCTCGCCTGCCTGATCGTTCTCACGCCTGCAGACGCGATCTACCAATGCTACATCACCCAACGGCTCACAAACATCTTTATCATCACGGGCGCATACGTCGTGACCTTCCTCTTGGCGGTGTTGATCTACGCGACCCGTATCTATACGAATCGAAGCGTGCTTGCGGGGATACCGAAGGCCTGGATACCGATTGAGAAAGACGATGTCGGGAAATCAGTCCGAAGACTTGTGAAAGAGGGTTTAGGGAGAAGTGCGTTGATAGCGTTCCAGGCGAGACCGCGGGATGTTTCTTCTCTTGCTGCTCCTGCTGCTGCTGCTTCTCCTGGTACGAGGTATACGGAAGACGAGGAAGGATATACTCCGGGGATGAAAGGAGAATGGCACGGCCAGGCAGGCGATGAACGAGACAACGCAATTCCGGGTATCGACCCGGGAAACCCGCCTTGGGGACATGTGGAGCATCCTGGGTGGTCGTCGCCTTGTTGTGTGGATTTGCCGAATTTACCGTATCGGACTGTTATCCATGAGTTGCCGAATCTGATTGAGGCCAAGGCTGTGTCGCTTGCGCCGCGGCGTCCGGTCCTTCCGGGGCAATTTGCCCGTCGCCGTCAACAGGGGGATTACCGGCCTTACGCTGATGAACGGGAAGAAGAAGAAGAAGAAGAAGAAGAAGAAACGATTCCTGATACCCGGGTTGTGGAAATCCTCCGCCGTCCTGGCTCAATGACATTAAGAGAATACATGTTCCACCTGAGCAGCTTGGGTGTTGTCGATCCACCTGAGATCGCCGGGGAGTTTCTGGCACTGTACGAGCACGCGCGGTTCTCTGACCGAGAGCTTTACCAGGCAGAGTTTCGACAGCTAATGCATGTGTTTGCGGAAATGCTGCGGGGGATGCGGTTGTTTGAGGATTCCCATCTGCGTGTGCTCGGGGATGTGACCGGAACGGATGAATACACGGAGTCGGTGATTGGGCCGTCGGATGAGGAGGGCGAGACGGATTCGTCTGGGTATGTGGACACCGGATTTTATGCAGGCCGAGAGGGGGAGGAGGAAACAGGGAGAGGGAGAGAGAGTGGTCCTTCTCAAAGTCCTGTTGATGCTCATAGTTCGAGTTCTTCTGTGATTGTGAAGGGGTCCACACCTGCTTCTGGTGCAGGTCTTTCTGGGGCATTGAGGCCGGGGAATTGGGCCCGGGAGCCCCCAAGGACCCCGTCACTGCAGTCACTGCGCCCGGTACGGTCGAATGGATCGAGGAGTTCGGCGGGGAGTGTGATTCGGGTTAGTGGAGGCGAGGGGGGTCGGAATTACCGTACGTGATCGATCGATAGATATCCTACAACGCGATGAAGGATAAATTCCTATATACTCTTTATACTCTAGATTCGAATTCGAATTCGAATTGAGCAAGAATGAACCATCGGAAAGTTCCGCCCTTGGCTTGGCATGGCATTGATTGATAAGATTGATTTTGATTTCTTCCCGTCTCTCTTTTTCTTTTTCTTTTTTTCTCTCTCTCTCTCTACAATTTACATGTGTGTCGGATGTCGCTTTAATAATCTCTCTCAGTCAATTGCACAGACAGACCTACTAGTGTAATTTTCAAAAGAGAAAAATGCAATCCCTGCTTCGCCGCGGAGCCTCCTTCTTTACCCCCTCTCCCACCCCGCCCCCCCCCCCGAAGAAACGCTCTCAACCAACAAGCCCCGAAGACTTCCAGAAAGCCTCGTCGGCGGAAAGCCTCTTCGCAAAGACTTCCCCGACCACGGACGGGGACGAATGCCTGCACGACTGCGCAACGTGTTCCACTCGGTACCCGGCGCGGTTTGACGTGGACCAGGAGGACACACTGTACGGGAACGTGGACGGATGGGCGACGCATCTGCTCGTGGCGACGGGGAAGGCGGATTGGGTTAGAGACGTGGCGGACGAAGAGGGAAGTGTGATGGAGGCTGTTGCGAGGGGTGGAGTTGTTGCTGGGAATGGGGTGAGTTGGTCTCTCTCTCTCTCTCTCTCTCTTATCAAGGAATGGATGGAACTCATGCGTGAGAGAGATATCTCGGGTTAGAAAATGAAACTCTCTGCGTCGAATATGCCCGTTCCCGACGAATACCACCAGCACGAGAAAGGCCAGCGACAGCATCAACCGACGACCGTGATGCTGCTACCGGGCTTTACGCTCATCGACCATGTCACTCCGGCGCTGGTGCCGGATTTGATTCGGGATTTTGTGGACCAGGCGCCGACGACGACGACGCCGTTGTTGCGCTGGTCTTTGTCAGATACAGCCGCAGCAGCAGCAGCAGCAGCATCACGGACTCCGCTCCGGTCGCGCCCGTGCCCCCATGCCGCTGTGATCTTGCTCTGCTCGCAGGGCACGCGCGACGCACGGTGCGGCCAGTCGGCGCCGCTGCTGCGTCGAGAGTTCGAGCGCCATCTGCGCCCGCTCGGATTGCATCGGGATCTGGACGACGACCGGCCCGGTGGCGTGGGGATCTACTTTATCAGCCACGTCGGCGGGCACAAGTACGCCGCGAATGTGATTGTATATCGGCGGCGCGACTTTGGCTGGCATCGTGGCCAGCGAGCCGCGGGGGGGACGGATGAGGCGGACGACGAGGGTGCGGCACAGGGGATCTGGCTTGCACGGGTGAGACCCGAGGATTGCGAGAATATCGTCCGGTATACGGTGTTACAGGGGAAGGTTGTGAAACCGGGGCAGCAGTTGCGAGGGGGGTTTGATCGGGAGACGGGGTTGATTAGTTGGTAGTAGTTGTCTACTATCCATTTTTGAATGTGTCATATATAGATTTATCTCCAGGAGGTTATATTCTTTAAAAGGACAGTTCTTCGTTCAGGCCCACCGGGCACCATCTGGGGTAGGATATTGGATACCAGTGACCCCGAGGACGTTGGTGGGTATGTTGAGAACATCCCCACCAGGGGCCCCATCAAGCAAGATTATTGAACGAGGGAGCTGGTTCTAAGGTAGGTATACCAAGTGACTGGCTAGCGATTAACTTCAGCCCCAAGTAAATGATGCGGAAATAGTATTTTCTTCTCCCTACTAGCGGCCACTAATGACTAGGAGATTTGTAGACAACCTCAACGCTCCGTATGACAAGACAGCCCAAAAATGCGGGGGGGGATTCAGTATACGCTCTCTTAACCGAGGCACCAGCGCATCTGAAATGAATCGCAGCTGAACTGCCATCATGGCGGATGGATGTACTCCGCTCTCTATGAGTCTGTACTCTTTCACTCGAAGATATTTATAGATGACGGGAGGACCCCCCTCGATTTCCCCCTTAGGAAGGTCAAGTAGAGATGTCCATCAGCACTAATAGAGAAAAAGCACGCCAAATTCCAGCGTTCGAAGTCAAGAAGACGAATGGAGATGTAATTACAATTACCAGGGAGAGAATATTACTAGTTCTAGGGACTAGTAGATAATTAAACTTGCACATGAATCAGTCAAACAGCCGCTAGTTAAACTACACCATTATATGCTTACATATATTACCTCTGATATTAACTAACTATTCTTCCATCATAAGATCATTTCTTTTCAACATCCCAGGTGAACCTTTCCTTTTTTCTTTTTTATTTTTTTTCTGTTTTCCCAACTCTGATCATCCTTTTTTATCCCCTTTTCTTGTCGCGGAGTGCCTCTGTTCCGTCTGGCTCTTTTGACCGAGACCCTCTTTTCCTTGGATTTGGGGTCATGGCTCCTGGCACTGGTCGCGATTTTAATTGTTCCTGGGAGCATTGTGGAAAGGTATTGATTTGGGTCTCTCTCTCCACTGTACCACCGTTGTCGCTGCAGTTCCTTTGTTGACCTTGGCTAGTCGTTCAATCGCAAGTCGGATCTCTGCAGACATTACCGAATACATACCAATGAGCGACCTTACCACTGTACTGTCCAAGACTGCAACAAGAGCTTCATCCAACGGAGCGCATTGACAGTCCATTCCCGCACGCATACCGGAGAAAAGCCTCATGTCTGTGATCACGAAGGATGTCACAAAGCCTTTTCCGATGTATGCCTGGCCTTTGTACAGCGTGCTATTCGCGAATATATATACTGATGTGTGCCTTTAGTCCTCGAGTCTGGCCCGCCACCGCAGGATCCATACGGGGAAAAGGCCCTACATATGCCAGGAACCCACCTGCGAACGAAGGTCTAAAACTGTTCCAGGGCCACGGATGAAACTGTTGCTGATATTTGCCATAGCTTCTGCCGCAAGACCACTTTGACGAAACACCAGCACCGCTCCCATCCCCCGGGCGTAGTAGTCGCTCGAACGCCGTCGGAAGATGCCGTGTCCGAACAATCCTATCCCGCTCCGATCACCCTCCTGACCCAGCAAGCTTATTACCCGAACGCCTCGACACCGACTCATGAATTTTATTCCCACCCGAATCTCCCAATGACTCCAGTTGCGGTGCCGGAACAACCGCCGATGGGAACCCAGCCCGTTCCAGTCACCTCGCCGGTTGAGGTGCAGCATGCGCAGCAACAGTATCTCCAATTAGTGCAACAACAACAACAACAACAACAACAACGGTACAATCACCCGAGGACTGGGTATCTCCCCCCAGAATTTCAACCTGCATACGTGGGCCTCCCCACTGGCGATGGTCACCCAATTATGGTTTCTTACACGCCTAGTTTCCAGTATAAGCAACCCACTCGGATTTTAAACCAGCCCGAGGGAACTGACTGGACCTTCCTCGGAGTGGGAAGCTGAGCGCGCGGCCTGAAGGCCAATGTATACCATCGGTTTTCGCGAAGTTGCCAAGGCTAGAAAGTAGCGCGCGAAAAAGGAAACAAACCACATTTTTCTAGTGATGTGCATCATGACTGTCTGTCCCTTACGAGCCTGGGAACAGCCCAGGCATGTTCGTTTTATTGCAACTTCTCCCAGCGCGTTTTATTCCCAGATCATCCCTGTCTTTTTCCGGCCTCTTTGATCACCCTTTTTTTGGTTTTTTTTTTTTTTTTTTTTTTTAAGGCAGTGGCGAGGCGTTTTGTTGTGCTACTCTTGATACCTTATGTTTTCTTGCACTTTTATGACGAAGTAATCCTCATGTCATCATTTTTCTGATATTCTTTTATTTTGATTTTTTATTTCCCCCCGTTTCATCTCCTCTCCCTTCCCCTCTGCACCCGCCGATACCGGGTGGTGCGACGATGTGCAGCCCACGACCCGCTACGGATACGGGTCCGTCTTGAAACTAATTATCTAATGTCGACGAGCTTAATGGGATTGGGTTGTGACTTGTACGATGATAATGAACGGGGGACCGTCGAGGGACGATCTGGGATTCAGCGTGGATGGTAGGGAGTTATTTGGAGATATTCTTACTTGAGAAATGGATTCAATCCACTATCCTTTCCCTTGAATTACTTAGGTAGGTACGGAGTACAAAGTAAAGTATCCAATAGATCATCCAGCCCATCATTGTATCTGTATAATCCTGCTAGTCGTCACTAACGGAGTACTCCGTCTCTGCTACTCCAATTAGATCCGGTGAAGTTGGTCTTACTGTACATTACCTACCTTGGGTATGCACGATTAACTCTTGCTATATTGTGGCTTGCGATCAACTGGTAACTTTGTATGTATCTACAAGTACTCGGACCGAGGTAGGTAGAAACTCCCTAACAAATGAGATTCCCGTCAGTGACTCCGTACAGGACTTGATCCTGAGTGCATACCGGAACAGATTCGGAGCAATACCAGCGGGGTCTCTCTATTTTATGCTTTGGTCCTTAATTTGACAGGATGCAGTACTCCACTAGTAGCCTAGTAGTGGTTACTGTCAAGTACCCAACCGGGGCTAATTCTCGTATCCAGAGTCTAGATTACATCTCTAGATTCACTGTCACTTTAGTCGCGGGTTCGGTAAACTCTGGGCTCCAGTATACGGACGTACTCGCCATCTGTTACGGAATCTGGTAAAGGGGTTGAGAGAGCATCTCGATGGATTCCCTCGGATTCAAAGTAACAACAGTAAAAAAGGCGCGGTCTGGATCACATGATCCCAGGCACCTGATTTGCGGCCTGAGGCCTTGTGTTTACGTCATCATCACAGCTTCGTCCAATCAGACCCACGCGTTTTCATTTGGAGCCCGACACGACAATGGCAGATGCTCTCTCTCAACACCAACAAAGTGTTCAGAGCCGGTCTGGAAGAGAAAAGCGTCATGGCTACGGGCGGTCCTCGAGACGCCCTGGAAGACCAGATCTTTGTGCTTGTCACTGGGGCCAACAGGTACTGATTCCCTCACCTCATTTGTTCAATCCCCCCCCCCCTGATCTCCTAATTTTGTTTTTGTTTTTTCGCTCCCTAACCTTGTCCTACAGTGGACTAGGTTATTCAATATGTTGTCGGCTGGTGGATGAATTCCTGACCTCTTGTCAGAATGACCGTCAGTCATTGACAATCATCTTCACAACCCGGAGCTCCAAGAAGGGCCTCGACACCCTGAAAGGCCTCCAAGCCCACCTCCGCAAAGCCACCAGCGATCCCACAGCCTCCCCGGCGCAAGTCAACTTCGTCCCAGAGAACGTCGACCTCTCCGATCTCCTCTCCGTCCGCGCCCTGTCCCGCCGCCTGCAGGCCTTCCCCAAGCTCGACGCCATCGTGCTCAATGCCGGCATAGGCGGGTGGACGGGCATCGACTGGCCCGCGGCCATCTGGGGCGTCGCCACCGACCTGATCCACCAGGTATCCTGGCCCTCCTACAAGATCGCGCCGCTTGGAATGATCACCGAGCCGCAAACCCGCCTCTCAGACCAGGAACCGCGCTTGGGGGCGGTCTTCTGCGCCAACGTCTTTGGCCACTACATGCTGGCGCACAACGTGATGCCTCTCCTGCACCGCTCCGCCGGGTCCCCGCGCGGGCCCGGCAGGGTAATCTGGGTCTCCAGTCTCGAAGCAACAATCAAATTCTTCGACATCAACGACCTCCAGGGCCTCCACACTCCCGCCCCCTACGAATCCTCCAAGGCTCTAACCGATATCCTCTCGCTCACCTCGAACCTCCCCAGCGCCGCACCCTGGGTGAAATCCTTCTATTATGCCACCACACCTCCTTCCGCCTCCGCCTCCGCCAACAACCCCGAACCCGCGAACCTCCTCCCACCACCACCACCAAACATATACCTCTCCCACCCCGGGATCTGCGGCACGGGCATCCTCCCGCTCTCCCTGCCCCTCTTCTACGCCATGCTCGCAGCCTTCTACCTCGCCCGCTTCCTCGGCTCCCCCTGGCACACCGTCGCAACCGACCGGGGCGCCCGCGCGCCCGTCTGGCTCGCCCTCTCCACGCAATCCGCCCTCGACGCCGCCGAAGCACCCTACAAGCAGCACGGCGGCGGGCGCGTAAAATGGGGATCGGCGTGCAGTCGCACGGGGGCCAACTCGGCCGTTTCCACCGAGATAGACGGGTGGGGACACGGAGGCGTCGTCGGCCCCGCTGTGCTCGCGGCGGACCGGAACCGGCGCCGGAAGCGTGGCGCCGAGGATCTCACGGGGCCGGAGAAAGAGCGGTTCGAGGTGCTGGGGAGGGAGTGTTGGAAGCAGATGGAGGAGTTGCGGATCAAGTGGGATGCGCTTTTGGATGAGGAGGAGGAGGAGAGGAGGAGAGGAGAGGAGGAGGAGGAGGAGGAGGAGTAGTAGTAGTAGGTACGCCTATCCTGTCAATTTTAATTTTTTTTTTTTTTTTGACAATTCGAATTCGAATTGGAATTCAAATTTGAATTTGGGAAAAGGAGGATGTATATATTCTGCTTGGCGGATTGTGTTATCGATTTCAATACACGATAGATGATGTAGTTAATCATTGATATCATCATAATGATATACATTCAAAAGAAACTTACACAGAAATTCAGTAGTCATAAAGTAAGTAGTAGTAGTAGTGCATGGATTCATTTTGGGGTTTTCAATTCCTGCCTTCCCATATTTACATTCCTCGTCCACGTACATCATTAAAATAGGGTAGAGAATTAGTCTCTGTGCTCATCATTCTCGAGCCAGGAGAGAGAAAAACAACACCACGTTCGCAAGTTCGCAAGTTCGCAAGACAGAGGAAGCAATACCGATGGGTCTGCATACGACTTTATGAAATGGGGTGGAAAGTAAGATATAAGAAAGAAAATCAAAAAAAAAAAGAAAAAAAGAAAAATTGGGCCAAAGGATTGATCAATGCAAGGTCCAAAGAAGATGTCAAAAAATCGATTACCAAGGCTGTAAGAAATTAAAAAAAAAAAAAAAAAAATCTGATTCAGACATGCATTAACCATCAAGGTGTTGGGCATGGAATGAAACAAATGAGCACCAGACGAACACAAGGGGTGAGTGGGGAAAGAAGGATCAAAGTTTTTTTGCTTCAACAGCAGGAAAGACACAAAACGACTCCGGTTCTATGCATCTGAGAGGGTCGGGGGGAGGGCGAGATATTCGAGAAAGGGCGAGGCGAAGAAAGGGCGATTACATGATAATTGCAGGAACTGAACATGTATTAGTACCTTGAACCAAATTCGGTAGAACATAATCCAACTCACCATCAACATTCTGCTTGATGCTCTTGTGGGGCAGAATGGAGCCACCGTTAACGTAGACCTCATCCGCGATGGTCACGTCGTCTCCAAGAACAGTAACATTCTCCAAACGAGCCCATCGGCCCACGGAGCTGTTCCAGCCAACAATAGTAGACTTGATCCAAGCATGATCCTTGACCTTGCTGTTCTCCATCAGGACACACCGTTGCAAACGGACTCCATCCCCAATTACAACGTTAGGACCGATGACGACGTTGGGGCCGATGCGGCAGTTCTTCCCGATCTTTGCCGAAGGATCCACCATAACGTTTCCGCCGTAAACGTAAGGCTCAGTGCTTGGAGCGAGGAGCTTCGAGTTGCGCTTAGTAAGGGAGGTAAGGTACAAACAGGTGCCGCTGAGGAAATCCTTTGGCTGACCAACATCCATCCAGAACCCTTCCAGGTCGAAGGAGTGGAGTTGGCCGTCGCTGCAGATGGCAGGGAATGTCTCTTGCTCAATAGAGGTTGGGCGCAGTTCAATGCGGTTAAGCACGCTGGGGTTCAGAATGTAGATACCGGCATTGATGCGGTTGCCGACGAATTCGACGGGCTTCTCAACGAATCGGTCGATGCGCGAGGGATGATTGGGCTTATGAACGACGACACCGTACTTGGAGGGCTCGTCGACCTTGGTAACAACAATGGTTCCCTCGTTACCATGGCTCCTGTGGAATTCCGCGAGTTTCTGGAACGGGTAATCGCAGATGATATCCGAGTTCAGGACGAAAAAGGGAGTGTCGTCCTTGGCTAAAATCTTCTCTGCGAGCTTCAGGGGACCAGCAGTACCGAGGGGTTCGGATTCGACGGAGAACTCGATGCGGACATTGTATTGCTCCTCGTACTAAATCAATGGAGAAGTAAGTCATCTAGCTTAGGCAGCAAGTATGGATATAAATATAGGGTATATATACCTTCTTCAGAGCGGAGACCATAACATCTGGGCGGTAGTTGACAGCAAGAACAATATCGGTGACACCCGCAGCAGCCAGACTCTCGACTTGGTGCAGGATCATGGGACGGTTACCAAACTCCACCAGGGGCTTGGGAAGGGTCAAGGTCTAATCACCAAGTTGAGCATATTAGTTTTTGATGTTCCAGTGACGGTGGCATGTCGAGGATCAGAGATCAGCGGCGGTGGAGGGGGGGGGGGGGGGGTTGCTCACCAACGGGCGCAGACGAGTGCCAAAACCTCCGACGAGAATAAGAGCTGTAGACCAGGATAGGAGTTAGAGGAGCCATTGCGGTAGAATAGGGCATATCCAGAACAAGACAAGTACCCTTCATGATTGCGTTGGAATGGTATTAACTTGGATTAAATTAGGATCAGGAGGAGGACTAGAGCTTTTGCTCGAAATGAGTGAAGTAGAGCTAAACAGCGGCGGGGGGTGGATATCAGAAGGAAGGAAGGAAGAAAGAAAGACAAAAGACAGAAAGAGAAAAGGGGGACAGTTCAATGAAGTCAGAGGATGGATAGGAAGAACGGACAGATATGATCGATCGGAGGAAAAAGAGAATGAAGATGAACGACAACGACAACCTTTTGGTGGGTATAAAAAGCCAAGCAGACCAGGAGAACACGTTGAAGAGACTGGAAAGCGTCGTAGACATGTAAGGTACCATCAGGAACCGGCTGCAAACGGTCACATCCAGCGCCACAGGGCGGAATTCTGCATGGTGATTCGCTTGATTTATTACCGGTACGGGTATGATACAGTGTATGGTTCCAGATCCAGATTAGGGAGTCTTCGTGGGGCTCTGAAGCCCCTGGATTTAATTCCGACTTCAATTCATGATTATGATTGACGGGCAAATATTTTGGCTATTGAATTTAGAAATAGTTCACTATCACAAGGAATACAATGGATGAATATTTAAAGGGAAAAAAAAATGGAAAGGAAAGGAAGGGAAGACTTTCTAAGTTTCTATTGAATGTCAATTGGGTTACATCTCGTGACTCCATCAACAGCCAACACAAGATACTCAAAAGTTCTGGTCATGCAACTTGGAGGAACAAAGGATGAGAATTATAGATTAGTACTAGTTATGTATAACTATATTTATTATTAAAGGGGGAAAAGGGCCAGGCAAGGTTGACTGGGAATCGAGAACAAGCTTTAGGGGACAAATCTACGGAGTAGAGCGCAGGCTGATATTTCCTTGCGCTGTGATCTATTCTTTGTTACCATCTTGAGAGATTACAGAGTAGATCATAGGTAGATCACAGTTACTTCATGATCCAAAAGAAAAGAAGAAAAAAACCAAGCCATTAATATGCACATTGCAATGTGATCCCATTTCTATTTTCTAATTATATCGCGCATCCTCCTGGGTATCAGGAGGCAAGGTCACCACCGGTTTCTCTTTACCGCCTACTGGATCCGGGACGAAATCCACAAATCGCCTGATCCACTCGTGTACCCTACGCACCTTCTCCAGCGGCAGATCTTCGCTCTGGGCGGCGTGGTTTGGCGAAAGAATGTCCCGTAGTTTGTAGATACCTCCTGTGTCCGTTGCATCCACCGGTTGTCGATGGAGCAGTTCAATTTTGGTAAGGCCCCGACGGAGACTTTGGCCGTACACCCGTTCGCGGAAAGAGCCGAGTGCTATCGTTCGGAATAAAACAATATCTCGTGGTCGGAGTAGCGTCAGTGACTTTCGCAGCTCTGCTCCTCCCTCGTCGCCAGTGCGAGCGGCTCTCTTGTGACCCCCAGGAGGAACCCAGAACGTAACCCCAAACCCACTTCTTGTCTCATCACCCACTACCACTTCAACAAGGCCAACCTCTCTCTTCCATTGCCTCGTTACAATGCGACGTGCTGGTCGGATCGCGATGATTGCAACGATGAGATTGACGGACATGGTCTGCGGTACAATAGAATGCAAATATGCGGCCTTGGGTATATCTTGAAGATCTGTAAGCCCTCCTGGTATAGGTAACTGTGGCCTCGTAACCTCTCCCTCGTTGTTGCTTGCCATGGACGACACCGTGCTTTCAGACCAGAGACCGCTTTCTTGAACCCCATCTCCTCCTGACAGGGCTCCTGGTGCTGAGACCTCGGATGTTTCGTGAACGGTAAAGGAGTGGTTATAGAATTGGGAGAGTTCTAAATCTTCTAGCGCGGTTTTTGGCATGCCAGTGGGTGTTGTAAGATCATCGGTCAGAAAGAACTCTGCTCCTCTTTCTAATTTAGACCTGTCTTTCAACCGAGGTGTCTCGGAGACAACAGGACCCTGCAAAAGCCTCCATTTCACGGGGTTGATTTCTGAGATAGACGGATAGCTCCTATTTTCTGAGAGGTCGTCTTGAAATGGAGGTATGGGCCCATCGAGTAACTCGCTTTCATCCCATTGAAGGCTTGAGAGCGTGGGAGCCCCCATAAGAAAAATAGTTCGAGCTGACATTGTCGCAGCATGTCAAAGGAGCAGCACATATAGTTTGCCGAGGGATACGTTTCCTAGCACTGTTAGCTTCTACGGCACGAATCAATCAGAACTGTTTAGCCGCAATGGCCGCGAGAAGCTATATACCACATATATATAATGTGCCTGAACAGCGGAGAGACTAAGGTTTCAAAATGTCATAAAAGAATCCCCCCAGTATAAAAGCGGTCTTACGATGATGACAGCAGCAACGACTGGAAAGAACGTCGATGATGTCGAGTTATCTGCATCCGGGGTTGAACCATAGATTGATTCCTGCACCGTAAGCTTTCATGTCGTACTGTACCTTGGGCTAGGACGGTGTGATGATGACGCTATCCATATTGCATCACCACTATCCTAGAATTACAAGACAATAGGCTGAGCGTCCAAAGGAATTTCTCTTTCGCAAGGCGCTCTATTCTCCCGAAAATTTCCTCAAAATATCTAGAGCGCGGAAATCTTGCCGCCTGAGGCACTGAACGCACGTGAGCATCCCCGATATACGGGACGGCATTTGCACTTTAGTGGCAATGCTCGGCAGTGAATTTCGCCGCCGCCGCCGTTTCGTCCGACGAGCAGTCATCAGCCATACTGCTCATCTTTCATCTCACCATCGCCTACATGCAGTCGGGGATGGCACTTACACCCTTTGATTGATACTAACATTCTTTGTCTCTCCCTTTATCCTCCTATCTGTGCTTCCAGAGGGGTGACTACCGTCATTATTGCGGCCAAGAGCCGCTCTCTTCGGACAACCATGGCCTTTCAATTTCCGATCTTCAAGCCGGTAAGAGCCCTCTGACTGTATTCATGTGCACCTAGAGCTTACAGATTTCTTTCCTGGTAGAATATAACGGCCGTGACTTCCGATCTCTGGCCGTCAATGTCGAAATTGCTGAATGCGCCGTGGAAGAGTATCGAACAGACCTCCGCCTCCGCGAGAGTTGCCGCACGGGATTCACAACGCATAGACAGCAAAGTAAGTTCAGCTGCCTATATTATCGGATAGTTGTATTCGTGATAAAAAATGCAGTGTTGATCAATTGTAGGGTACGAATCGAATCCCTTTGCCCGAGTTCCTCGCCGCAGCCCCCTCCGAAGCCTTTGTCCCCGGCACAGTCGATATGCACATGCCACATGGTGTGTCCCGGTCTTTGATTAATGGTGAGAACCCACGCTTACTTGGAGTGACTGTTAGAAATGGTCTGAGTAATTTGGTTATATTAAGGCTCCGCACCCTGGATGTCACCGTCCCTTGCTACTCGTCATACCTCTCTATCTCGTCGCACATATTCTACGCTGGCCATACCTCTAAAACATCTCCGACCTGCCCCCAGTTCAAACCCACTACTCGGAAGACAACAACAGCGGCTCTTGTTTGGAGGTCCTTCCCACAGCTTGCTTGCGCAAAAGGAAAAGACCGCGAATACCAACCCCAACAGTGTCAATGCCCAGAATGCGTTTTACCAGGCCCTTCTCCGAGCCAACATGCCAGCTATAGTGATAGAGCGGTATAGGAGTGGTCATTTCTCTAGCAATGCTGCCTCGGACGCCATTTACCAGAAAGCTCTGGAGCGTGTTGGTGGGGATTCTGGAGCATCGCCCCTGGTGAACCGGGATGTTACTCCCGAGCAAGTTCAAGCTGTTGGACAAGCAATCGCTGCTCAGAGCCATGGTGGCCAGATCGGAGTCTCCGGAAAGCAAACGGGAACAGGAGCCAAGGAGGCTCCTTTGTATGTTATTGTGGAAGAGTCCTTTGGGAGCGCTGTTTTCCGTTGGGTCAAGTTTCTTTTCTACTTCGCATTTTTCACCTACATGTCTCTGGTTTTGGTCACTATCCTCGTGGAAACAACTGGCGTTCTGAAGAATATCAAAGGGCCGGCAAACAACGAAGCCCAGCCTCAACAACAGACCGCGCGGTTTAGCGATGTTCATGGTTGTGATGAAGCAAAGGATGAGCTCCAGGAACTCGTTGAGTTCCTGCTGAACCCCGAACGTTTCTCTTCGCTTGGTGGCAAATTGCCCAAGGGTGTCCTCCTTGTCGGACCTCCTGGTACCGGTAAGACATTGCTCGCCCGTGCTGTTGCCGGAGAAGCTGGTGTTCCCTTCTTCTACATGTCCGGCTCCGAATTTGACGAGGTTTACGTCGGTGTTGGTGCCAAGCGCGTCCGCGACCTGTTTGCCCAAGCTCGGAATAAGTCCCCTGCCATTATTTTCATCGATGAACTGGATGCCATTGGTGCCAAGCGAAACGAAAGGGACGCCGCCTACGTCAAACAGACCCTGAATCAACTTCTGACCGAGCTTGACGGATTTTCGCAAACTAGCGGAGTTATTATCCTTGCTGCCACCAACTATCCTCAGTTACTGGACAAGGCCTTGACTCGTCCTGGTCGATTTGACCGCAAGGTTGTGGTTGATCTTCCGGACGTCCGGGGCCGAATGGATATCTTGAAACACCATATGAAAAACGTACAGATCAGCACTGATGTTGATGTTGCGGTGCTTGCCCGTGGTACTCCCGGTTTCTCTGGTGCCGATCTTGAAAATCTGGTGAACCAGGCTGCTATCTACGCCAGCCGGAATAAGCAGACCAAGGTTATGCCGAGAGACTTTGACTGGGCCAAGGACAAGATCATCATGGGCGCAGAGGCTCGCAGCCGTATTATCCAGGACAAGGACAAGCTCCTGACCGCGTACCACGAGGCTGGCCACGCTCTTGTCGCGTATTTTTCTCCGTCATCCATGCCCCTGTACAAGATTACGATTGTTCCTCGAGGAATGGCGCTGGGTGTGACGCATTTCTTGCCGGAGATGGACATGGTTTCCAAGAACTACACTGAGTACCTGTCGGACATTGACGTATCTATGGGCGGGAAAGCGGCCGAGGAGCTAATCTATGGCCCGGACAAGGTTACCAGTGGCATTTCGGCGGTATGTGCTCCCGCCCTTCCTCCATTTTCGTTTAATCTTCGTGTGTTTTTGTTTTGAGTTCCTGATCCAAATTGATAGGATATTCGAAACGCTACTGAGACGGCTTTCACCTTGATCACCCGGTTCGGCTACTCGAAGAAACTGGGCAACGTGGATCTGTCGACGAACTATGACAGTCTTTCCTCGGAGACGAAGCAGGAGATTGAGGGGGAGGTGCGGCGGTTGGTGGAGGAAGCGCGACAACGAGCCACCAACATCCTGACGGAACGGCGCCACGAGCTGGAGCTGCTGACGAAGGCGCTGCTGGAGTATGAAACGCTGACCAAGGAGGAGATGGAGAAGGTGCTTCGGGGCGAGAAGTTGGATAAGTTGGAGTTGGCGACAGACGCCCCGCTCAAGCTGCCCGAGGCACTCCAGGCGGCGAAATTGAATCCGTCGACCCGAGTGGAAGAAGGCCAACAACACCCTCCCGGTGCAGCGTCTACAGAACCATAGGATACTGTCTTCTTCTTCTTCTTCTTCTTTATCTTTTTTTATTCTGATATTATTAAACATATTATTCCCCTTTCCCTCTCTCACTGTATTTTCCCCTACCATTTTTTTGTTTTGCATCCCTTGTTCATTTTGATATGGAAATTTGCCATTGGACGGAGCGGTGAAAGGGGGGGGGGAGGGGATACTTGTATTGTATGATTGTATTACTCTGTAAGTATACACATTTAAAGAAGAAAAGTATGAGTAGTACATATACACCCGTTGGTTAAAAGAACTGGCCGAAAAGTTCCCAGTTCAACGGAAGAATGGCAGGAGCAGACTGAGCCAGTTTCTCCATGAATCAGAGCGCAAGAGGCTAGGGAAAAAAAGTCCCAGGTCTAGAATGCCCGGTTCCAGTAGTAGAAAATTGCACATTGTCAGGTGCACAGACGATCAGGGGATGGATGATCCATTTACCTAGAGGCTATAGGTATGATTATTCTTTTCTATTAATTAATTCAATCAACCGAGTACTCTGTCAACCGGAATGGAAGAATCCTCCATAGTGAGTTATTCGTGAACTAGTTATTAAGAGAGCATGAAAAATTTCAAGTCATGTGGCAGGAGGGAGAAAATAAGGAAGGCTTGCCGAGGAATTTGTCGGGGGTTTTTTTATTCAGGGTGCTGGGTAACCTTCCGGATTGAGACCCGGCGTCGAAGAAATCTCGAATCCAACCTCACATAATCGCCTTGTCTGCATGAGAGGAAAGGAAGCAGAAGAAGAAGAAGAAAAAAAAAAAGGGCCAGAACTACCGTAAATAGATGACGAACAGGTCGTCTGATCAGAAGAAAAAAAAAGATTAAAGATCAGTAGTCGCAGTCTCGGCTTCTTCCCCACGCCCCCACTAAGACCTTCATCCTCTGATTCTGTAGTCTGTAAGTGTACAGTCTGGAGTGAAGGTGGGAGGAATTCCTATTCAAGTCCTCAAGTAAGGTACACAACCAATGAATTCAGGGATTTCAGGGATTTGGATCTGATCCACCTTTTCTCTCTCTCTCTCTCTCTCTCTCTGTGTGTGTGTGGGATAAAGAGTCACCGCTGCCTCTTCTCCCTCAACTTTCTCCTCCTCTCTTCTCTTCTTCCCAACTTCCCTACTTCCCTACTTCCCAACTTCCCCCAAAACTGGAGTAATTAATCAATTCCTTTCTCGTTTTCTTCATTCCATCATTAGAAGACAACCCTAGGGCTCCGTATCTCACCCCCTCAACTCTCTGTCACCTAATTCTCTAGATCTACTTTCTTACGTCACCATCGTGACCCTCTCCTCTCACTCTCCTCCTCTCCTTGCTGTTTGTATCCCGTCAGCATCGCTACCATCTTCTTGCACTTGACCCTACCTAGTGCTGCAATAATCTTCTTGTTTCGTAGATCAATTCCTCTGCTTCCTCCTCCCTCCTGGCCCCTCAATCAACCCACCATCACCTCTACATCCTTCACACCACTATGCGCAGAAACCCCTTTGACCTGTCAGACCTGGATTCTCAAATTGAGGAGTATGAACCACATCCCAGTGTCGAAATTCATGCCTACAACACATACAATGGGGACCGCTCTTTGATCCAAGATGAAGACCGTCGCAATGACAGCCTGAAGGATCGATTCATTGGGGCCATTGACCAGGGAACCACAAGCACCCGATTCATCATCTTCGATTGTACAGGAAACGCAATCGCCAAGTATCAGACGGAATTCCGTCAGATCCACGAGCATTCGGGGTGAGACCCTCTTTCCTCTTTCCCCTTTCCCCTTTCCCCCGCTGGATGGAAATTGTGATTACTGACGAAACAATTCTTCCTTGCTAGATGGCACGAACAAGACCCCCTGGAATTAGTAGACTCCGTTTACACCTGTATCGAAGAAGCGATGAAGACCTTCCTTGCCCTCGGTCACTCCAAGTCGGATATTGAGGCCATTGGTATCACCAGCCAACGCGAAACGACTCTGTGCTGGGACTGGGAAACTGGCGAGCCTTTATGCCACGCAATTGCATGGCCAGACACCCGAACCAAGGGTCTGGTTCGGGAGCTCAAATTAAAGTCAGGGGCCGATGATTTGAAAAACATCTGCGGTCTGCCCCTCTCGACATACCCTTCCTCCGTCTCGTTAGTGTGGCTGCTTCGCAACAACCCGGTCGTGAAGCAAGCGTATGACGACGGCCGACTTGCATTCGGCACGGTTGATTCGTGGCTTATATACAATCTGAATGGTGGGCGGGACGGGAATCTTCTGGTAACTGACGTGACAAACGCCTCCCGAACCATGTTCATGAACCTTGAGACCCTTGATTACGACGACCGCTTGCTGGAATTTTTTGAAATCGACCGCACCAAGATCCGATTGCCCGCGATCATTCCTTCGTCGGATCCCGAAGGCTATGGCTATATTCGGTCGGGTCCGCTGGAGGGAGTTCCGATTACGAGCTGTCTCGGAGACCAGTCGGCCGCATTGGTCGGACACTGCGCCTTCACCCCCGGCAGTGCCAAGAATACGTACGGTACTGGATGCTTCCTTTTGTATAATGTTGGCGAGAAACCCGTTATTTCCAAGCATGGCCTCCTCGGTACCGTCGGATTCCAGTTGGGACGGAACCGAAAACCCGTTTATGCCCTGGAAGGCAGTGTAGCGGTGGCTGGAAGCGGTGTTTCATTCCTAATGAACAACATGGGCTTCTTCCGGGATTCGCGTAAAGTGAGTGAGGTGGCGGCAACGGTCCCGGACAATGGAGGCTGTGTCTTTGTCACTGCCTTTAGCGGTCTATTCGCCCCTTACTGGATTGATGATGCAAAGGGAACCATTTGTAAGCTGCATTTCGCCTTCCTTGGGGTTGTGTATCTCAATTTCTAATCGAACGATAGTCGGAATCACACAGCACACCCAGCGTGGTCACATTGCGCGCGCCACCATGGAAGCTGCCTGCTTCCAAACCAAGGCCATTCTTGATGCCATGGAGATGGACAGTGGCCACAAACTGTCCGAGTTGGCTGTTGACGGAGGAATGAGCAACTCGGACATTTGTATGCAGGTATGTTTTCTGCGACTTGGAGCCTACCATGGCAAGCACCCGAACTAACTTTTCCCAGACGCAAGCTGATATTATTCAAATCCCCGTGGAACGACCGGCCATGCATGAAACAACAGCGCTGGGCGCCGCAATTGCTGCTGGGTTCGCCATTGACGTTTGGAAGGAGTTTAGCGAATTGAAGAACATGAACCGTGCCAACCGAACCATATTCCACCCCCATGTGTCCATCGAACAAAGCACGAAGATGTACAAGCAGTGGTCCAAAGCCGTCGAAATGTCCCGAGGCTGGGTGGACACGAGTGAGATGCAAGAAGAGTAATCCCCTCCTTTTTTTTTCTTTTTTTTTTTTCTTTTCTTTTTCCTCCTTTTTATAACGAGACCGCAAAGGAATCCGGTTAATTTTTCAACTACCGGGGTATATTTGCATCATGTTCCTCTTTGGCGATTCAGCGTTCCTCTCTCTCTCTCTCTCTCTCTCTCTTTTTGGATCTTTTTTATATATATGTTTCTTCACCCCCCCCCCTTTTTCTTTTCTTCTTTTCGGTTAGATTGGGGATTCGTGGATACCCGATTGTTGAGATCGGTCGATGCACCCGTATGGCGACGATTGATTGGACTTGTTCTACTTTTACTTAGATTAGGTAGGCTGGTTTACACTTAGCTGTATACCGGGATGGATATACAGGGATGACATACATGGCGATGATGTATTTTATTTTATTACCAATTAATAGAAATATACCACTAGCTTTATTTCACCTTTACCGTGTAGTAGTTGGAGCAAGTACAAGCGAGTTAGTACTAATCTGTACCAGGTACCTAACTAAGTCGCCCTGGTGTAGTTAACTAACTACTAGGTACTCCGTACCTAGGGAGTATATGTGTTGCTTTAGAAAAATGAATTGAGGTAAGGGGACTGCGGAATACTACTTTAGTACTCCGTAAGTAAGTAGTTATCGAACAAAGAAAAGGCACCAGTGCATGCTGATGCTGGATTATTGTTGATTCAGCATGTAATCATCAATCTACAAGATAACTAAACGAAGAAAAGAAAAAAAAAAAAAAAAGAAAAGAAACCACCAACTAGACAGAAACACGGGTGACAATCTTTTTATACTATCATCATCCTTTTTACTGCCAGACCTAACCTATCCTATATCCTATATCCGATCCTGCCTTCTATTGCATATACACTGATCATGAATCCTCTTTCTCTTTCGCACGGACACTTCTCACATACATACCCCCCCCCCCCCCGGGCCCCCCCATCTTGACCTAATTTACTCGGACTCCTCCTGCTCAGCCTTGAGGCGGGCCTCGGCCTCCTCCTTCTCCTTCTTCTGGAGGAAGAGCAGGGCACTGACCTTCTCAGTGATAGAGTGTTCCTTGGAGGAAACGATGCCGGAGATCTGCTCGCGGCCGACCAAGCTGGCGACGATACTAGCGCCGACAATGAAGGTCAACACGAAGCGGTACATGCCGTACCAGTGGGGGGCGCGGCCCTGGGCGGCGGCACGGGCATCGTTGTAGTAGAGGAAGGTGAAGGCGAGGAACTGGCTGATCAGGGCGTACTCGACTGGGAGCAGCAAAGTAGGCCAGGCGACGGCGGGCGCGATCACACCGGCGGCGTAGCGCTTGTAGCCGAACTTGCCACCGTAGTTGGCCCATTCGAGACCCCAGTGGATGGCACCGAGGAAGGAGAGGATCTGTTGTGGATTTTGTTTAGATTATTCGTTTTTAAAAAAAATCTTTTTTTACTTTATTGATTTATTTTATGATTAGTCTGTTTGATGAAGGAGTACTCACGACAGCACCGTAGCCGACCTGGACGGTCTCGAGCATGTGAAGCATGAGCTCAGCGCTCTGGCCAGAGAAGATGAGCCCGTCGCCAGCAACAGCAGCGTGGCTGATCTCGTAGGAAAGGTACACGGTCTGGAGGGAGGTAGCCAGGTAAGGAATCACACCCGCCATACCCAGGTAGAGAGCCTCCTTGGGGACATCTGCAAGGCTGAAGGTATCCTTGATCACTTGCTATACAGGGAAAAGACAAGAAATCAGTGGAATGGGTCGTAGAAGAAGAAGTTATATCAAGGAAGATACGATACGTACCGCCTCACCGCGCATACCGGCCATGACATCAACATCCTCATCGCCCTGATGATATGCAAGAATTAGCAATTGATTGTATATTCCACACGCCCCAAGGCATAAACATTCCTCTTTCTTACCTTGGAGGTAGAGGCATATCGGACAAGCGCGGTAGTGACAGGCTTGCGGGCAGCCAGGGCCAAGCTCGGCGACACAGTCGGGCGGGCGGGATAACGAGCGGAAGACGTCAACGGAGCCTTGAAAACATTATTCACCAGAGACGAGCGAGCCACAGAGGCATTGGAACTGGAGAAAGCCCTGAGGACAGAGCGGGCAGCGGTATGTCTGTACAGCATTGTGGTCTGGGACAGCTAATTTTTTTTTTTTTTTACGCGGATCCTTCTGTTAGCAAAGTTGCAGATTGGAACTAGCCGGGTAGAGGTATGCGAGCGATTTCGGGGCCAATTGAGGTGGAAAAAGAAGGGCATCCAAATAACAGGAGGATAATAGAGCTGCTTACCTGGAAGCTGATAGAGATTGACTCGTGGGAGTGGAGTGGAGAGTTCTGAAGGCAGGAAAGCAACCAAGTATCCTAGAGGCAACGAATAAATGAGGTCGGCGATCTTATGCTGGCGCGCGGCGGTAATGCCCGGGTCGGGGAGCCCAGGGAAACCAGTTCTGCAGATCAGCGTTCGTGATGCCCCAGGCAGCTATTCGTCATCGGGAAATCCAGGCATCCAGCCCTTCCGTTTTGGGAAAGGAGCTTACCACGTGATTGAGCTATCTAACTATACCCGAGTTGGTTAGCACGAGGCTGAGTCAGGATCTTGAGGGTTAGCCCTAGTTATTTAGCCTGATTCGGACTACGCATTACTCCGTACTTTCTTCCGCCAAAAGTGAATCCAGGGATACGTCACTCTTGCTGGATTTCCTCCCCAACTGGTAACTAATATTTACCCCCCTTTTTTTTTCTTTGCCAGTCAAAAGCCTGGGGAATAGTTAACTACTAGTACTCCGTACCAAGTTTACATTGCCTGACAGTCATCATCATCATAGGCTGGCTGTCTCTTCATTCCAGTCGCATTTGGACCTCTGGACTGTCCACAGTTGATACCCAACCTCTCCTCCTTCTTTTGCTAGACTTGTTTTTATCCCTCTTTTTATCGAATAAATCCATTGCTTATAATTTCCCAGTTAGCCCTTCGTCCTAGTTCAAGTGTTTATCTCATCTTTGCTGTAGCCGCTCCGGGAATCTTGTCCACCCGCCTCGGTATCGCTTTTGTGTATATGCTTAGCCACTCGTGGATGGCTTTAACTTCAGTCCTTTGCGAGTGCAATTAGACCTCGCCCATGTTGTTGCCTAGGTATTTTGCCCTTTGTCTTGCTGTGTTTGCTACTGCCCTTCTCTCTCTCTCTCTCTCTCTCTCTCTCTCTCTCTCTCTCTGTGCCTCCTTTCATTGTTGCCCCTCACCTTCCTCGGTGGAAAAACTGCCCGGCGCCGAACTTCCTCTTACTAACAAACGGACTTGTGAGTTAGATCGGCGTTGCTATTCGAAATTACTCCTGCCATTTGATCGACCTGTTTCCCCTCCTTCCCCTGGCCCGGGGTACGGCCGCAGCTTGCTACCATGTTAGAAGGCTTGGTTGCTAACCTGCTCAACCGTTTTCTGGGCATCTACGTCAAAGACTTCGATGCTACACAGCTCAATATTGGCATCTGGTCCGGCGATGTGAAGCTTCGAAACCTCGAGTTGCGACGGGAAGCTCTCGATCAACTACGTCTTCCTCTTAACGTCGTCGAAGGCCATGTCGGTCAGCTTACACTCTCCATTCCGTGGTCTAACTTGAGAGGGAAGCCAGTCAAGGTCGATATCGAAGATGTCTTCCTCCTCGCGGCACCAAAGGAAGATACTGATTATGATCCGGAGGAGGAAGAGAGACGAGCCAACGCTCTAAAGATGGAGAAGGTTGAGAGCGCAGAGATCCTGAGGGACAGGAATTCGGAAGGGATGAGCCAGGAAGAACAGCGCCGAAATCAGAGTTTCACCCAAAGCCTCGTTACCGCTGTCGTCGACAACCTCCAGATCTCCATCAAAAACGTTCACTTCCGTTACGAGGACTCGGTAGCCTCCCCCGGACACCCCTTTGCCGCCGGCTTGACCTTGAAGGAGCTTAGCGCGGTGAGCACAGATTCGGAGTGGAAGCCCACCTTTATCCAGTCTACATCTGGTACAACACATAAGCTAGCTATTCTAGGTGCCCTATCTGTGTATTGGGATACCGATGCGCAGCTTCTAGGGACGGGTCGAGGTTCCGACGTGGGCGCTGAGGCGCAAGGCATCGAACATGCGGAGTTGATGGAACGACTCAGATCCGGAATTGATAACGAAGAAGGCAAACAGTTCATACTTCGTCCGGTTAGTGGGCGTGCCGGCTTGGAGTTGGATAAAAACGAGAAACACGATCGCCCAGCTATTAACGCGCGGCTTCTGTTTGATGAGATTGGTTTTGTTGTGGACGACGAACAGTACCGTGACGCTCTGATGCTTGTCGACCTCTTCCACTGCTTCATTCGCCATCAAGAATACAAGAAGTTCCAACCCAAGTGTCGACCAAAGGAGGACCCTCGAGCTTGGTTTAGATATGCCGGGGAAGCCGTCCTGAGCAAGATTCACGACCGAAACAGGCGTTGGAGTTGGGATTATATCAAAGATCGAAGAGACGATCGCATAGCCTATATCGATCTATTCAAAAAGAAAAAGCGAGAGGAGAGTCTAACCGGCCCCGACGCAGAAAAATTCGACCAGCTAGAGCGGAAGCTTGGTTACGAGGATATCCGCTTCTGGAGGTCTCTGGCAAGAAACCAACTGCGGAAGGAAAACATCGGTATTCAAAAGCCTGCACGACAACAGTCCTGGTCGGAGTGGATCTGGGGAGCTAAGAAGGAAGAGTCTGGAGAAACCGCAATGACCGAAGAGCAACGACAAGAACTCTATAGCGCTATTGACTGGGACGAGAAGAAAGCCATTTCCGAAAGCGTCGATGTACCAAGGGAGTGGGTTAAACTCCAGGTGAATGCGGGGCTTAAAGCTGGAAGTTTGACGTTGCTCCGCAGTCCACATGGACAAACAAATGAGATCATGAGGCTGGTGTTCGATAACTTTCGGGCGAAGGCACTGCAGCGCCCTGACTCCTTCTTTATTGATTTAGACCTCGGGGGGCTGAGGGTATATGATGGAACGACAGACGGCAGCCTTTTCCCGCAGATTGTCAAAGTTAAGGACTCTCTTCCAGAGCCCAAGAATCGTCTATCCCAGATCTCTAGCAGCGGAGAGTTTGATACGGAGGCGGCTGAAGAAGCTCTCGACAAAGATAGCTTGTTCCACCTACAACTCGAGAAGAACCCTCTTGACAGCGATGCTGACTCGGTAGTGAAGGTCAAGCTAAAGAGCATTGAAGTCATCTATAATCCCAGGTTTATTGTGGAGATTGCGCGCTTCTTCACCCCGCCCCAGCGCCATATGGAGTCAATTGGAGCTATTTTAGACACGGCTGGCGCCACTGTGGAGGGCATTCGGCAGCAAACCCGAGCGGGCTTGGAGTTTGCGTTGCAGGAGCATAAGAAGGTTGATGTCCAGTTTGACCTTCATGCACCGCTGATAATCGTCCCCGAAAGTATTACCCACGAAAGTTCTCTGTGCTTGATTTTCGATGCCGGCCACGTCAGTGTCAACAGCGAACTGGTTGATAGACAGACCATGAGGGATATCCAAGCGAAGCAGAAGCGCCAGTATGAGACTGGGGACTACAAGGAACTGGAACACCTGCTTTACGATAGGTTTTTGATTAAGCTGGACTCTACGCAGGTCCTTATTGGTCCCGGGATTGAGATGACAAAGTCGCAACTTAGCTCAGATGTTGACTCCAAAAACCTACATATTATTGACCGTATCAACGTGGATTTCGTCTTAGAAATGTGTATCGTCCCAAAACTTACGGAGCTCACCCGAACTCGCATATCTGGCCATCTTCCCGAGCTCCATGCCTCCGTTTCGGACGCTAAGTACAAAGGCTTAATGAAATTGATCGATATTGCCCTCCCACGCTTCGATGATGGGACTAATGAAAGCAAAAGCCCGGCGGGGAAGGCCGAAGAAGCCGCAGTCAATAGCACTCGGGCCAGATCATCCTCTTTCCAGCCAGTAGCCCTGAGGGAACTGCCTGTCGTCGACGACGAATCCGATACCGAGTCGGACAATGACCCAGCTAGCAAAAGCGTGGACAAGCTTCCGGACATTCATCGTCGAGATTTTGAGTTCAAGTTCACAGTTGGCCGTCTTCGTGGTTCTTTGTTTCGCTCTGATTCGACAGATCCCCTGCATGATCACCTCTTGGCCGAACTTGTCGCCGAAGGATTTGGGTTAGACTTCTATATGCGACCTTATGACATGGTGGCCGAAGTGATCCTGAAGTCCCTCAGCGTGGATGATTACATCGAGGCAAACCCAGTTCCAGAATTCAAGAAGATCATTACATCCAAGGGATTCGATGCTGACGACGACAAAGACCTATTTCACTTGAAGTTCGTTAGAGTAAAGCCCGAATCTCCTGAATTACACACCACGTACGAAGGAGTAGCAATGAATCTTGATGTCTCGGTCTCTACAATCAACCTCGTCGTCACCCGGAAGACCCTGCTGACGCTGCTAGATTTCGTTCTGCTGACTTTCACAAATCCTCAACCGCTCGAAAATCAGGACACTCTGGTGGATAGGGCAACCCAGGACACCGATAATGTTGAGCAGCAACCACAGCAAGCAGGTAAAATCCGTATCAAGGCTAACCTGAAGAGTATTGCTTTGATCCTCAACAATGATGGCGTGAGGCTTGCTACCCTCAGTCTCAACACAGCCGATGTTGGAATCTTCCTCGTCGGCCGCTCCATGGTCATCCAGTCCCGGATTGGAAGCCTGACATTGGTAGACGACGTGAATACCGGTGCGCGTGAGACTTCTGATCTGCGTAGGCTCTTGACTATTGAAGGCGATAATTTCGCTGATTTCAAATACGAAACGTTTGATCCTGAAAGCCCTACCTACCCAGGCTATGATTCGGAGGTCTTCCTAAGATCAGGCTCGATCAAGATCAATTTTATAGAAGAGCCCTATCGGAAGATTATCCATTTCCTAGTTAAATTCGGCAAGATGCAGGCCATTTTCAATGCTGCACGGCGAGCTGCAGCGAATCAAGCCAACCAGCTCCAAGGAAATGCGTCGAGGATGCGGTTTGACGTGGTGGTTATGACTCCAATTTTGGTGTTCCCGGGCTCAATGAGGGAGGACCGTCCCTATGATACAGTGACTGCCCATCTTGGTGAAATATATGCAAAAAATACCTTTGTTCCCCTCGAGGATGATGCAGATGGGCCGGCAGTTAATCTGATATCCTCTGGAATTCGCAATATTCGCCTCACTTCTAAATTCCACTTCGAGGGAGGCGCCGTAGAGGAGCTTGAAATGATCCAGAAGGTTAATCTTGACTTTAGCATTTGCTATCTCGAGCACCAGAAAGACAACCCACGTCCAGACATGGAGATTGAAGGAACAATGTCCCCCATCAACCTGAGAGTGTCTCAACAACAATTGAAATTCCTGCTGGACCTTTCGAAGACGGTCCCTAGCGCCTTTGTGTCTGATTCTGAGCAACAAGAGCTTGAGGCCATGGAAGCTCTTCCCCCATCAGTCACCAAGCCTGGAGAGGAGACAGAAGCCAATACGACCCAGAACCGTGAAGAAGGTTCGGATAAAGACACCATTACTAATGGTGAAACTTGGATCCGACTAGATATGATTTTCAAGGCCGACAGTGTTGGCCTGGAGCTTATCCTTGCAGCTGATAATGAACCGGTTGGAAGCCTCGAAGATTCCAGCCTGTCAAAGTTTTCGCTCAACGATACTCGAGTTAAGCTACGTATGCTAACTGATGGTTCGCTGGAATCTGAGCTCTTGATTCACTCCCTTTCTATTCGCGATAGTCGGAAACAGGACACAAATAAGTTCCGAAAGATCATGTCCCTGATTAATAACGACGTCAAGCAGCAATTTATGGCGAGCGTTTCTATCTCTCCAGGCCCGGAGAAGCATCTCATCGCTATGTTGACCATTGATAGTCCGCGTATAATTCTCGCACTGGACTATTTGTCTGCATTGCAGTCGTTCGCAAACTCTGTCTTCGCGACGAACGGGGTCGCCGAAGAAGAGGATGCTGAGGATGAACCCGAGGAGGATGAACCCAGATCTAGCACTGCAGAAAGTACCGACATATCTCTTGTGTCGCCTTCACCAGGGGAGGAACCTGCTGCCGCTGCCCCTGTACAGATGACAGTGGCGTTTAGAGTGAGCTTGGTTGATGCCCAAATTATCACCATCGCCAATCCTGCCATCACGCACACCGAGGCCATTGTCCTCGGGACCAAAGAGGTCCTCTTCTCCCATCAAAATGTTTTAACATTACATGTAAAAAAGGTTGGAATGTTCCTTTGCCGTATGGACAAGTTCGAGACCAGCAGGCTGCGTATTTTAGATGATTTCACTCTTGAACTGTCTATGGATAGGCGTTCACAAGACAAAGGCATGCTATTAACATCTATTGATGTCCATGTTGAACCTCTTGTTCTACGGCTCTCACTTCGAGATATCCTAATGGCAATCCAAATTGTTAATAAGGCCTCTGAGATGAGAGCTCAAAGGGCACTACGGTCCGAATCCAGCGAAGGAGCAAAAACATTATCGGACGGCAAGAGTGCCACTGGTCCAAGGTCGAGAAGAAAGTCTGTTGGCAAGCAATCATTGACCGCGCCCGCTACGAGATCTCATCGGCTTTCTAGCGGCGCTGCTGATTCTCTCGATCCTAGACTGGCTCACCATCGTTCTGCAATCCTGAAACGGGAGGAGCTGAACGCTCACATTGGTGGCATTAGAGTCATTCTTATCGGAGACTTGCACGATCTTCCACTGCTTGACTGGAGCGTTAAGAAATTTAATGTGGATGCCCGCGACTGGTCATCTACCCTGACGGCAGATACCAGCTTTGATACCTTCATCAATGTGTATAATTTCTCTAAGTCAGCGTGGGAGCCACTGATAGAACCCTGGCAACTCGGGTTCCACATGGCAAAGGAAGCAACCCCAGAAGTGTTCTCCATCGAGGCTTATTCGCATAAGACTATGGAACTCACGGTTACGTCAGCCACCATTGATCTGGCCTCTAAATCGTTCAAATTCCTCAATACCGATGAAGATGTGCTTTCCAAACCAAGAGGCGCCGATGCGCCTTATCGGATTCGTAACCACACTGGCTTTGACCTCCACGTTTGGGCTGATGTTAATGAAGGAGAGGATGGACCAGCTGCGAAACTGACTGATGGTGAAGAATTTCCCTGGAGATTCGAGGACTCGACTGCTATGCGTGAGACACTTGCGCCCGAAGGCCATGCTGGTCTCGTTGGAGTGAAGCTTGAAGGAAGTGGCTTCGAGAGTGTGACGCGTATTCCCGTCGTCCGGGAGGGCGAGATCTTATATGGCCTGAAGCCAAAGAAGGACGGTATTCTTCATCGACTCCTTGTGGAAGTCAAGCTCGGCACAGACAATGTGAAATACATCACATTCCGCTCACCGCTTGTCGTGGAGAACAACACCCAAATCCCGGTGGAACTGGGTATCTTCAACCCAGATGATGGCCATCTCCTGAAAATCGAGAAGATTCTTCCCGGAGATGCTCGACCCGCGCCTGTTGGGGCTGCGTATATGCATTCTCTTGTTATCCGCCCAGACCAAGGCTTCGGGTATGACTGGTCGAATGAGCAGCTATATTGGAAAGATCTTATGCGTCGACCTACTCGAACCATTAAATGCTTGAGTGAGGGTGGACAACAGGCGGCCCCATTCTATTTCCAAACCAATGCTACGTTCAACGCACGCGATAACCTCACTAAGGTCTATCCGTATATGCGGATCAGGGTCTTTGCCCCTGTTGAGATCCAGAATCTTCTTCCCTATGACTTCAAGTACCGCATTTATGACAAAAACACCAAAAAAGACTGGACTAATTTCTTGCGTAAGGGCGGTGTCAGCCCAGTCCATGTTGTTGAGCTATCCCACCTTCTCCTACTCAGCATTGACTTGGAGGACACTGTTTTCAAACAAAGCGACTTTTCCATTATCAATGGAAGCACACAGGACTTTAGGAGAGAGGATACCCTGACATTAAAGGACGAGCGCGGTCTCCAGCTCAAATTGAAACTTCATTATTATAATGTACCCGACAGTGGAGGCGCGTTCAAGGTGTCTGTTTACAGCCCTTATCTAGTCCTGAACAAGACAGGCCTTACTATGGAAATTCAAAGTAAGGCCTTCCTACAGTCTGCTCGATCTGCAGCTGGTCAAGGAATTAGAGCCGAATCCGATGTGGGACAGACGGGTCGGGCACTTCCATACATGTATTCTTATCCGTTTGATGACCAGAAAAATCGGTCCATATTGAGGATAGGTGGCTCCGCTTGGAGTAAGCCGCAAAGTTTTGAGGCTATTGGAAGTACATTCGAAGTCGTTCTTCCTGATAAGGATGGCAGATCTGAATTCCACTCTGGAGTGTCGGTTGCCGAAGGCGAAGGCAAATACAAGATGACCAAGATTGTTACTATCGCGCCTCGCTATGTGCTCAAAAACAAACTGAGCGAGGACATTTTGGTTAGAGAACCGGGCTCGTCGATTGTTATAGATATCAAGAGTGGCGAACTGCTGCCTCTTCACTTCTTGCGTCAAGTCGGAGAGAAGCAGCTCTGTCTCTGTTTCCCTGGTGTCAACAATCAATGGTCCTCTCCGTTCAATATCGCCGATATTGGCACAGTATATGTCAAGCTTGCCAAGCAAAACCAACGGCAAAGACTCATCAAGGTCGATATCATCATGGAAGGCGCGACTCTCTTTATCCATTTCAATCTTGAGCACCGAAACTGGCCATTTTCCATGCGGAATGAGAGTGATATGGATTTCATGTTCTACCAAGCCAATCCAAACTTGGAAGATGACGAGGAGGACCGAACAAATACCTGGCGTCCAATCCGCTATCGTCTTCCTCCCCGCAGTATCATGCCATACGCCTGGGATTATCCTGCGACCAAGAACAAATCCCTTGTGTTGACATGCAAGGGTAAGGAAAGGCGGATTAAGCTGGCCGAAATTGGTAACCTGATTCCCATGAGGATACCTCCTGCCCAATACGGGGAGCAGCAGAAGATCATCGATATCAATATCGTCGCTGACGGCCCGACACAGACCCTGGTCTTGTCAAATTTCAAGGCATCGAGGAGTATGTACCGGCAGCAGAGGGGACAGGCTTCGCATTCTAGCATAAGCGCTGGGTTTGAGGTCAAAGAATTGGATTCGGATGTCAACTTTAAGGCCCAGCTTCGTCTTGGAGGCATTGGTATTTCCTTGATCAACCAAAAGATGAAAGAACTGCTCTACATGACTTTCCGTGATATTGAGGTTAAACTCAAGGAATCAAGGGTCTATCAAACGTTGAACACCACAATCAAATGGATCCAGATCGATAACCAGCTTTACGGAGGAATCTTCCCGATGCTTCTGTACCCTAGTGTTGTTCCCAAGACTGGCAAGGAAATGGACGCTCACCCCATCTTCCACACCATGATTACCCGCGTGAAGGATGACTCCTATGGCGTGCTCTACATAAAATATGCTACCTTGCTTCTCCAGCAGATGACCCTTGAGCTTGACGAGGACTTCATTTTCGCAATGCTCGATTTCACGAGGGCTTCTGGTGCCTCATTCTCTGAAAAGCACGAAGGAAAGCTCTGTGACGAAGAGCTAAACATTCCGGAGCCACAGAGCGAAGGCGCTGGCCAGGACGTATACTTTGAGGTTCTGCATCTGCAACCCATGCAACTTGACATCTCTTTGATGCGTACCGAACGTGTCAATGTGGAGGACACCCTTCAGCCATCTAATCCACTGATGTTTATTGTGGACGTCATGACAATGTCAATGGGTAATATCAACGACGCGCCTGTTCGACTCAACGCGCTTATGCTAGAGAATGCTCGAGTCTCCTTCCCTGTGCTTGTCAGCAACATCCAGAGGCACTACACCCAGGAGTTCCTCCGCCAGATTCACGTAGTTCTCGGGTCCGCGGATTTCCTCGGAAACCCTGTTGGGTTGTTTAATAATGTTAGCTCTGGGGTTGCGGCAATCTTCTATGAGCCATATCAAGGTCTTGTCATGACTGACCGGCCTCAAGATCTGGGCTACGGCATTGCCAAGGGGGCCGGAAGCTTTTTGAAGAAATCTGTCTTTGGTTTCTCTGATAGTATGGCTAAGCTTACAGGTAGTATGTCGAAGGGCCTTGCAGCTGCTACCCTTGACAAAGAATTCCAGGACCAGCGACGCATGTCGAAGAACCGTAATCGACCTAAGCATGCCTTATATGGTATAACAGCAGGTGGTAAAGCGTTTGGAAACAGTATCGCTAGCGGCATTGGTGGTCTTGCACGCCATCCATTGCAAGGCGCTGAAAAGGAGGGAATCCAAGGATTTCTCAAAGGTGTCGGCAAGGGTGTTCTAGGCTTGGCTACTAAACCAGCTATCGGGGCCTTTGATCTTGCTTCCAGTATGTTTCCCATCGCATTTTCTTCAAATAATGGCCTAATAACTGACGAATTTCTAGATCTTGCCGAGGGTGTTCGAAACACCACTACAGTGTTCGATGCTGAAGGGCTCGATCGTGTCCGACTCACTCGCTTCATCGGAATGGATGGCATCGTTCGGCCATACTCGCAGCGGGAAGCCCTCGGCCAATTCTGGCTTAAAACAGCCGACGACGGGAAATACTTTAACGAGGACTACATTGCGCATCTTGAGCTTCCGGGACGCGACATACTGGTTATGCTGACCTACGATCGGATCATGCTAGTGCGCACCAAGAAGCTCGAAACTGAATGGGACATTCGACTGACAGATATCCAAACGATTTCGAAGGAGCGAACGGGAATGAGCATCATGCTCAAGGGCGGGGCTAATGGACCATTTATCCCTGTGCAGGATGAGAGTGCACGCAACTGGTTGTACAAGCAAATTGCCGTTGGTAAGTTACACTTTCCACGACCTGGGCCTTGATAAATAATATTCAGCTAACAAACATTGCTCTGTATCCAGCTGTGAATGCATTCAACGAGAAGTATAATAGCAGGGCATGATTCTCTTGGGAGTCTTAATTCATGATAATGTGATGCCGGGGTAAGCATAGCTAGAAGAATCGACAGGGGCTTTTTTTTTTTTTTTGGGGCCTTTCTTATGATTATATCCAGACAAGTACATAATTCTTTTTTAACTTATTTCATGTATGTTTTTAATGTTTTGTCTGTACATACATAGATATACCACACGCTGCTGCTTAGGAGTGGTGGTTTAATGATGTTTCCTAATTTGCGCTACTACACCCCTCAAACTGCAAGTCTTGGATTGTAGCTAGATCACTCCCAAATCTGAAGGGTTTAAGCTCTTCTGCCAGTTTTACTGCTCGAACGTCGCAAGTTCGAGAGACCCAGCCAGATATAAACTATTGGGGGGAGTATATATGTACCCAACCAACACGCCCAAACATCCCACGCATTTTGAGAGTTGATCTCCACCGTAGCCAAGGACTTGGCTGGAATTGGGCCCCCCCCCCCCCCCTCCCCAGGAGGTGAATTCAAGGAAGATAACGAATTTGCAGCTGTTGCATCGCATGCGAAACACATCGTTCATGTTGGGAGACGATTATGCCCTTTTGTTTTTTAATGCGTATATTCATTTCTAGTTGAAGCAATACTAAGAAATAAAATGGGTGCAGAGACCTCTTATCTATCTATCTATCTATCTACTTTATAAAACCACTGTTGTTGTTGAGCCATTAATTCTCCTCATCTGTGGAGAAAAAAGGAGGGCTAGGCTCTAGCTGGCCTTGAAATATATCCAGATGAGAAGTAGACTTATTCTTCAACTAGTTTCAGAGTTACCGCGGCGGTTCTAGATTAGATTGAATGAGGAAAACCTTCGAATCCCCTCCCCCCCCCCAAGACTAGGTCATATCTTATTAACAGTAACCAAAAGAACACTATTATCGTGAGAGCAGTGGCTGGCGCTCGTCTGGTGTTTCCTGGATCGTCTCAGCGTCTGGGTTCGCGATTGGTTCCTCGTCAAGCGATACTATCGAGAAATTAGCCAAATCGAAAAAAAAAAAAAAAAGAAAAAAAAAGAAAATTGAAAAGCCAGGGGGAGGAGAAATATACCATGAGCTTGAATGAAAAGACTCGCGAGAAACGCTAAGCAGACAAGACTAACAAGACACACGAAGACTGCCTGGGGAAACGTAGCCACGGTAAGGCTGTAAATCAGGCCAAGGATGGTCGGTCCAACCACCCGAGCAAGCGCATGCAAGAGTCCCGAGGTACCTAGCAACAAACCGATGCGGTCCTGAGGAACATGTTTGCTGAGGGCAGACTGTAGGGTTGGCGATCCCATGGCTCCGAGAGATGTAAGAATGCCAGACGTGACCATTGACGACGAGTCTCGCGCAAACACGTATCCCATATAACCCACAATATCTAGCACAATGGACGCACGGATAACAATGACCTCTGAGCTATAAGCACCTGGGATTGATTTCCCGTCGATGGGTTTGTCGCGGGACAATCGAGTAATGAGGGGGAGGACAATGAAAAGAGCGAAGACACGCACTACACCGATGGTCGAGGCAAAGAGACTCGTCTCTATACTGCCCCACTGGAGAAGAAATCCAGTGTAGATAATGATTACCTCAATTGCTCCCATGGCGATACCGAAGAGAACGGCATCGATGGAGGCCAGGAGAAGAATGTTGCGTCGGAGCGCTGCTGTGGCTCCTCGGGAGTTTGGGAACAAGGAGCTTGGTCGGCCAACGGCCGGCCAAAGAATGGAAAGAGGTGCAACAATCTTCAACGGGTTGAAGCTCTTCCACCAAGACCGTGTTGACCTATCGAAATTGAGAGACTTGATGCGGTACCTCTCGCGGGCAACTCGCTGTCTTTCTGGCGATAGAGACTCCGGCACAACAAAAAACAGCGCCAAGACAAAGGTGGCATGGAGGGCCATCGCGACGTAAAAGATGATTAGTATAGTTCCAGCTGCTTTGATCAGAATGGCTGCGAGCGTGGGGCCTAATGCGATTCCAAAAAATAAGGCACCTTGGAATAAGCCAAATGCGGCATTTCGGTCTTCAAACCGGGTGCAATCAGAAGCGTAAGCCTGAAATAAGGCCATCGCGGTGGTGAACGATCCCCCAAGGCCCTCTAGCACCGACCCTAAAAACAGCACGTTTTTGGGTATCTGGTCTGGGTAGGAGGCCACCAGGGTGATGATTGCCACATTGAACAACACACCCAGGGCGTTCAGAGCGATAAACCTAGTCCTCCCACGTCGATCTGATAGTTTTCCGAGTTTAGGACTGATCCATGATGAAAGTAACCCAACAATAAGATTAAGGGAGAGTTGAAAACGAGCGACCTGTGATTGAACCGCTGGGATTCGGCATTGCGGGTTGTCTCCTCCCAGACTGACTGGGGGGTATGAGATGCTTGGATCTTGAATGCTCTGATCGGCAAAGTAATCACGACAAACTAGTGATAAGTAAATGTTGACTCTTGGAACGGCAATGCCACCGAACCCAACAGTGAAAAGCATGATAAAGGGCAGCAACCACCAGATCTACATAATCATGGCATCAGAATTCAAGGGGAGAGATGCAAGGGCAGCACAGCACTCTACCCTTGGTTTTGCCCGTGGGAAAAGTTTCCCACAGGAGAAATCATCGTCCCCAACCTCATAAGCATCGTCATCCCCAGGTGCAGCGTGGCGATCCAAAGCCGAGTCGATCGCGGCGTGCGAATCGTCCCTGACGAGTGTCGAGCTCCGCATGATCAGATACTTCACATCAGACGTTCACGCAGCCAGGGACTGACAGATGCGAGACCATGAGGTGATGCAGAGCTGGTGGTGTTGTCTTGGTCTTATCTACGGTGAGCTTACAGAGGACGGAGGACGCATGTATGACGGCCCGGATCGGGATGAAACTCTTCCGACATTCCGATTTTAAACATGTGGACCAAATATAATACTGTTAACTGTATGAGTAAAAATGGCTGTCTTGACACCTTTTACTCCTCGTCATCCTCCTTGAACCATTCATGCTCCAATTCGGTTATATGCTGAAAAGTGAATTAGGATAGATGGGAAGTAGATGAGAGGAGTTGACAAGCGGATGAGGTTCTTAACATCAGGCTTCGTTTACGAATGCCTTAGGTATCAACTTGAAAGGATATCATTCAATGTGAGCTAAAGGGGTATCATATCTATGGACGAGATTCTTTTTTTTTTTTATAGAAAAACAATGGGATTAAATCATTTCCCTTCGGCACGTTCTACTAACCGCTCCTCCAATCCCATCGGTTCCCAAACTTCCTTCGCTTTTTTATTCTGAACCCAGACCACATCTCCTTGGACAAACGCAACCACGCCTCCCTTGCCCGTGGCGCTGGCGGTAATCCGGAACAAAGGCTGACCATTTTGTGGATGTGCTTCACGGAGAGGCAACATGATGAGACCTTCATCGGCACACCAAGATTCGAGGATATCCTTGAAAGCCACCTCCTCGACCACCTTGGGTTTGCGCGACGGGGGTGGTGCTGCTGGCGCAGGCTCTGCCGATTTCGTCGGTTGAGTTGCTTTCGGTTTCGCGCCGACCGCGGTCGGTGCCGGGAGTTCTTCGGCGGCACGATCGCCAAGCTGAGCAGCCAGATCCATAGTGCGAAGAGCCTTGTTCCATTCTTCATCGACGATGGTAAGATCATTGAGATTTTCCGGGACCTGTGATCGCCACCAGGTGAACCACTGTGCGACCTCGTCGTAGTTGGGGTCATTGGTAAGCCAGATGTAGAGAATCTGGTGAAATTTGGGAAAGAACTCAGCGACAAGGAGCAGGCCAAGGACGTTGGGCCGGAACCAATCTTTCCATTGGAGGACATTCTCAAACGCCGTGAGATCCTGGTCTTGAGGGTTGACATCGAAATCGTCCCGCAGACGGCGGGCAAGACGGGGGAGTAGGTGGTTGCGCAAGCAAATATCAAATTCGGAGCCCAGAGCATCGCGCCAGAGGTCCAGGCCGCGGATTGGGCCAGCGCTGAGGTCCCAGGTATCGAGAACAGTGCGGAATTTCCGTTTGGCATCGGAGAGGAGTCCAGTGGCTTGCTTGGGGTTGGTATGCCGCTCATCAAGATATTGGAGCCATGTGAAGAGCCACCAGGGAAACCGGGAGTCGCGCTGGGAGGAAGAGGAAGAGGAAGAACCAGAACGTCTGCTGCTGGGCTTCCATGATTTCAGACCGCTCGTGAGCTTCGGGACCACGAGCTGATCGAGTACATTCGCGTAGACAAACTGCGGAAGAATGTCTTTCCATGAGACGATCAAGGTGGTGGCAGGGGAAGGGTCAAACACATCCCAATCGTTAAGTAAGGCAGATCGCACGCGAGGAAGCCAGAGAGTGTATATCATGGTTTCATAGGGAGAGGTCGACTGGCGCTGCGTTGGTTGCCCGTCGCTCGCCTTGCGGGATAGAAGTGGCTGCAGGCGATGTAGATTAGAGACCAAGTAGGTCGGAGCTTTGAGCGGCTCCCAGCCGTCCATAGCTTCGCGGAATAGAGGATGGAGAGCGGCTATTGCAGTTTCAGAGAGTCTGTACTCGTCAATCTCGTTCCGGTAGCGGATTTCCAATGACTCCAGCTGGTCCGTTACGTGGTCGAGTTTAGCTTGAGAGCTGCCGCTGCTCTCGTCGGGGATCGATTCTAGTGCTCCAAGAGCGGCGACCAAGGCTGTCAGTTGGTCGATTTGATGTTGATGTGTATCCAACTGGTCCACAACCTGCGCTTCTTCTTGTTCGATAAACTGCTTCCTTTCCGTTAACCCCTTCCATTCATCCGCAAAGGCCTCCAGGTCCTGACGCGCACGACGGGCGATCTTCTGAGCCTCGCTCTGGCCAGTGTTGACGAACTCGAGAGGGGTCATTAGTCCGGCTGTGGAGGTCAGGACTCTCTGTTCCTTGCCAGTCGCATCGATAAGAGACTTGAGCACATTCGGCACTTCAAGACCCGCCATATCTGCTTCCATTTCACGAGCGGTACGGAACTGAGGCTTCTTCCTCGCAACCGGGCGTCCCTCTTCTTCTCCATGCTCTCCATGCTTTTTCTGTTGCCGCTTCTTCTTCCTCCTGAACTCCTCGTCTGAGCTCTCCTCGACCGTGTCTCCCCGCAAAACCGCGGCGCGCTTCTCTTCCTCGCGAGCTTGCTTGCTCTTTTCCTTGACAGCTCCCAACCCTATACCCTGCGGACGAGCCTGAGCTTCAATGGGGTTTATAATACCCTGTCCACTCGATCCAAGACCCTGGCCATGGACATAACCCATCTTAGCCAGCATGCGAGCTCCAAAAGAGCTGGCCCCAGGGCCGTTACTGGCGGAAGACTTCGTCGCATTATTATTCCAGGGGCTCCGGCCCATGCCCATACCGATCCCACGACCACGGCCCATCCCAAGACCTAACCCGCCTGTCGGAGGGGATTCAGAACGCGATGCGGCGCGGGTAAACGAACGAAAGGAGGCGCGGGGGGGCGAGTCAGCGTCGTCATCATCAGAGCTCCCATCAGTGTATTTTCGTTTTTGGCCAGCAGAATCCATCCTGAGCTGAGACTCGTATTCAGCGGCAGGAGGTGGATAGAGACTGAGAAGAAAGACCGAACTTTGGAGTCAAGCGGAATAAGAAAAGTTCGGGGCGGCGAAATGCAGATTCCGGACGGGCGATGACGGGATCTGATGAAAATGACGTTTTTACATCTTCATCCTCTCTCTTTCTCTCTTTCTTTTCTTTTCTTTTCACTTCATACCTTGATTCAATTGATTCTCTCCCCTCTGCTGTAATTTTATTAATTCCCCTTGTAAATTACGATGGCTTCTCTCATCCGTTCCTCGCTGCGCACCTCGCTGCGTGCCAGCTCCTCATCCGTTGCGCCCTTGACTTTCACCCGCGGCAAAGCTACCCTGCCCGACTTGACCTGTATGTCATCTAACTTTCCTCTGATGCTGCCTCGGATGGATTAATTGACCCCTCCCAGATGACTATGGAGCTCTGGAACCCTCCATCTCCGGCAAGATCATGGAGCTGCACCACAAGAACCACCACCAAACCTATGTCAACAGCTACAACACCGCCTTGGAACAGCTCCAGGAGGCCCAGGCCACCAACAATATTGCCGCTCAGATCGCCCTCAAGCCTCTGATCAACTTCCACGGGGGTGGCCACTTGAACCACTCTCTCTTCTGGGAGAACCTAGCTCCCAAGAGCGCTGGTGGTGGCGAGCCTCCGTCCGGTGCTTTGGCCAAGGCTATCGATGAGACCTTTGGCAGTCTTGAGAACCTCCAGGGCCAGGTGAACACTGCTCTTGCCGGTATCCAGGGAAGTGGATGGGCTTGGTTGGTCCAGGATAAACAGACTGGTAATCTTTCCGTCAAGACCTACGCTGTACGTTTGTTCTTCCCTTGTATCTTTGCTGGAGGGTCAGCTAATCGAGGAAATAGAACCAGGACCCTGTGGTCGGTCAGTTCAAGCCCCTCCTGGGTATTGATGCGTGGGAACACGCCTACTAGTAAGTTGTTATCTTACTTTGGTCCAATATGACTTTTGTCTAACAATCGAATTATAGTCTGCAATACCAGAACCGCAAGGCCGAGTACTTCAAGGCGATCTGGGAGGTGATCAACTGGAAGGCCGCTGAGAAGCGTTTTTCGTAAATGTAGCGTAAATAGTGTGGAGGGTAGTTGAATCTAAAAAGTCCCTCTTACTTATCTTGTACATGTACTCAAGTATGTAGGAGTAAAGCTTTGCTGTATTTCCCATATTTCCCATATTGCTGTCTGGAGGAAATACCGTGATGTCAGCTTTAGCTTCACATCCGGAGGGGGCCGGAAGTCAACAACAACAACACCATCCGTCCGTGGGGCAATTCCAGCTCTAGAACTCGAAATCCATCTCTTGGGCTCTCATAAGTGACTTTTCCTAAATATGTTTCCAAACTTAATGTAAAGCCATTGACGTGCGTCTCCGCGTCAGCCTCACATTCTTGCTGCTTCAACTCCATGGCCTGAAACCTCCCTCTCCCTTTCTTCTTCTTCTTCTTCCTCCTCTTTCTCCTCGCCTTCTTTTTGTGCCATCTTCCCCTCCTTCTCCTACCTCATTTCTACTGCCAGATCATGCCCGAAGAAAAGCATGGTTTCCGCGCCTTCATTGCCCATGCCCTGCGGCCTAAGAAATCCCGCCAGGTGCTGCGGAAAAACTTCACCACCTCAAACCCCGACCTCTCCACCACCACCTTCACCAAGGATAACGAGACCACTTTAGCCCCCCTCGAGGCCCATCGTCTCAAATATCGTCATCTCCATGCTCAGCAAGACACCCAGCTAGGCGAGACCCACGACCACACAACCATTCTCCACACCATTGGCGTGCACAACTTCGACACCGACAGCGATGCGGATGCTCTCAATATCCGCGATGAGCGGCCCCCCGGAGAGCCTTTTATTGCTAGCCTTCCCGACCATCTCTGGGCTATGATTGCTGAATACCTCTCCCCCGCCGAAGTGGCCTGTCTTGCTTTCGCCAGCCGGACGCTCTACACTCGTTTGGGCCCCGCCCCCTGGCGCATCCTCAACGAACCCGAATCCACGGACGCGCGCGCCGACTTCCTGGTCTCCCAGGACAAACACTACCCACACCATCTCCTCTGCTTCCCCTGCGGCAAATTCCACCGGCGCATTCAGGAAGGCCGTGAGAAACTGCAGCCTGCGAACGTCATCAACCCCCTCTTCGACTGCCCCAACGCCCGCAACAACCTCCGCCCTCCCCCGCGCCACCGCATTACCCACGGCCGCTCCCTCCCCTTCAGCTTCGTCCAGCTCGTCCTCCGCGCGAACCGCTTCCACAGTCCCCGCTATGGTCTCCCTGCGGAATCGCTCTGTCGCCGTTGGCGCCGCGACAACTGGACACACCAGTCGCGGTTCCACGTCCACCACGGCCGTCTCCTCATGCGCGTCGTGAGCTCCACCTTCGCCGAACCCGGGCTCCCCCCTTCCTCTCAACGCCTCCTCCTCTACTCGCGCGAAGACTACTGGCCATACTTTTCCGCCTGCGCCCACTGGCGCGATGGCGAACTGATGTCCGTGGCCAAATGCGCGCTCGGCCACATCCCCGTCTCCCGCGCCACCGCCGGTCTGCAGGGTCTCGAAAACCGCGCAAAGGATATGATCCACCACCGCGCGCACGACCCCAACGCCCTGGCCACGCTATGCGGCCACTGCCGCCCCATGCGTCGCTGCCCCGACTGTCCCTCTGAGTACCTCGTCGAGGTGAAACTCACCGAGGAGCGCGAAGCAGGCACACAGCGCATCCAGAACCGCCGCTTCCGGCACGCGATTGTCGTGACGCGGTGGTGCGATCTAGGCGATGGCTCTTCGCCGCGCCTATCCCGCGAGTGGGCCGCTGGTAATGGGGAGCTAGAGGGCTATGATTCCTTTGCCGTGTTCGGGAAGCGAGCAATCTCGGGGACGTTTGAGGCCGCCTTTACGGATGACACATTGCCGGGACAAAGGATTATATCTATGAATCCGACTGGGAAGAGATTAGGCGAGGAGGGGAATAGTTGGTATTAGTTTTCTCTTTCTCTCTCTCCCCTCCTTCTCCTCTGATTTTCTTCCCCCCTCGATTCCTATTCATATGCCCTGTGTTTTCTTTTCCCTCTAGGCCAGGGCTTCCTTTCTTTTTTCTCTTTTTTTTTTTTTTTTTTTTTTTTTTTTGCGTTTGGGTAATATGCATCGGTAGCGCGATATCTGGATGGAGTTCAGGAAGGGAAATATCATTATATCATTATATCATTGGGTTTGGGGTTGGGGGTTTGGGGTTGGGGGTTGGGGGTTGGCTAGGATCGATCGATCATACATGGCACAGGAAAGGGACAAACGAACGTAATAATAATTAAAAGTCAAGTTAGTTAGCTACCTATATACTAGTTGTATAATGAATGAATTATCAGGGGAAGGAGTGTCCTGTTAGTTCCAAGGTTATATAGAGTGGATAGGCCATCATACTTCGGATTTGAGTACACAATGCTTTAGTTGACTATTAGTTAACTAACTAGTTATCATGTGGTTATGTGTAAGATCCATCATGGACATCCGAGAAAATCAGGCAAATTTTACAAGTCCATAGTCAGTGAGGGCCCGGTGAGCACCCAGTACATACCAGTGCGTGCACTGAGCGGCAGCACCTAAATGAGGATGTTGTACAAGTTGCGGAACTCTGTCAGACTGACTCGTAGTAGATTGTGGTCCTAAAATAGATGCGAAAAAAAAAAACCAATAATAAGACAGAGATAGATGAGCTGTCGACGTGTAGCACTTACACTATTACCCAAAGAAAAGAAACAACAACGGGCACATGTCGGGTAAACTCGTGGGGTATCGTAATACATAAATGGTCATCATGTTGGGTAGGAACAGAGAGATAGGAAAATGAGAGAGCGACAAGAGAGAACAAGGGAATAAATATAAGGAGGGAAAGAGAAAAGGAAAAACGGACTGGGGAACTCCGAGCACACTCAAGGCCGTCGGGACCGTCGTTCCATGTATCTCGGACGCCGGCCCTGTTCGTCCGCGGGCTCGTCCATCCGAGTCGGATGTCTAGTCCGTTTTGCAAAGTCCTCGATCACGGGGTCGACCGGTAGTGTGGTCTCCGGGGTGAGGGTTGTGTTTTCGTGCGTTGTCAGGCGAGAGGAGGCACGTACGGCTGTGATTGCGGAAGAAGATGTGGGCGTCAAGGGACAATCGCTGAGAATAGGCGCTGTATCGGACTTTTTGAGGGAACCCAGTCCGACGCCGGCGCCTTTCATCCACCCAAAAATGCCCAGAGAGCCCCGGCGCTTGTGTTCTTTGCCATTTGCGGTTGAGGGCCTAGTGGTTGAATTCGCGCCAGTACTACCAAGGAAGTTGGCCTCGGTAAAGGAACGGGACATAGGATCTTCTCTATGGTCCGCGTACGTCGGTCCGGATGCGCAAAATTCTCCGTGTCTGGATGGCGGACGCGACGGCTTCGACGGCGGATTCCTCGTCTTTCGAATGACGGGCGATGGGGCGCCATCGTCTTTATCGACAGGATCAGACATAGGCGCCGGGTGGAGACGTCTTGAGGTACCGGAGCGAGTGAAAAACGGCGGGAGGAGACTGATTCTCCGCCGAGGCTCCGGCTCCGGCTCCGTCCGTGGCGAGCCCTCCAGAGCCCGGGGGTTGAGGGTTTGAATGATGGGGAGATCGGGTTCACGGACTGCGGAATCGATACTATGTCTACGACCAAGGAACGAGGATTGGCTAGGCGCTCGTGCTCCTACAAGCCTAGAATTAACAGGCAGGGGCCCCGTCCGGGCCCGAGTCCCGGGACGGGCCGCTTCGATCCAGTCTTCGGCCGTGAGAGATGGAGGAGAGGACCCTGGACTCGATGGTCTGTCACGATACGTCCGTTTGGACGGAGAGTAATAGTCTGCTTCCATTCTGGAAAGCACCTTGTCAAAGTCTCCATGGAACAGTCCATGGTTCGCAGAATATCCGTAGCGCGGTTGAATGCTGTTGAGCGTGAATATTGCAGGGTCTTCTTCGTCTCGTTCATCCAAGCTAGCGCGTGTATGCGTAGCCTCGCTAAAATTTGGATCCAAACTCTCGCTCGGCTCACTATTGATGGAGCTTCTCCGGGTTGTTAGTTCGTCCGCAGAGCGGGCTCGGGAAACCCCTCGTTTTAGGTCAATTTGGCAGTTATCCGCAACCGTGCTACTCGATGATCGGTTTGCCCATCCTGCGTACGCAGTACTCATAGTGTCTGGAGTCGGAGGAAGTCGTGCGCCACCGAATAGGTTCTCCGGCTTGTTCTTGTGGGTGGGGCCGTGGGATAGTCCGCGGTCGAAATATGATTTGCCAGTATCTTCAAATACATCTGATAGACGGCGATTCTTCCCCGTTGGCGTATCCGCAGTGCGGGCAGCTTCCGTCTGCGGCTGGATCCAATGGTCGATTCGCACCAAATCTCGATCCGGATTCCCTAGTGTAGGGGAGGAAAGATTGGATAGTTCACCACTCGTGTCCCTCTGCCGGACAGGAATGTCAATCTGGTCGAATTCATCTAGGCCGGCCGGGCTATCATAGACATTCAGTTCGCTGCATTCACTCAGCGCGCTGAGTCTTGGTGACTCTGGTTCAGTCATGTCAGTCATGGAATTCATGCTTTCAGATTTCGCGATTGCCATCACTGGAGAGACAGGCTCATCTTCTGCCTGGACGTAAAGACTTCGCAATGCTGCAGTGCTCTTGCTCTCCTCAAGGAGGAACGAAGGCGCTCGTTGAAGGCGGCGGGATCCAGAAGACACACGACGGCGCTCAGCAAGCATTGTCCCTCGCTTAGACGACGTTCGCTCTGGGATATCAGGTGTAGAAGCATTCCTAGGTGTAGCAACGCCGGATTCATCGGCGATCTGGGGACAAGTAGTGGCAGGCCGTGAAAGATCTCCACCCATCTCCAGCGCCTCCACCTTTGCCTCAAGCTCGCAGATTAACTCCACAGCCTCTGTGACAGCCTGATCTCGCTTGTCGATTTCTTGTCGCAGTTGCTCATTGGATTCTCGTAGTCGTTGATTATCTTCTTCGGCTGCTCGGAGTTCTTGCACCTCGTCCTCCAAACCACGCATGCGCTGTAGTTCTTCCTCTAGTTCCCGCATTCGCTCGAATTTCTTCTCAAGCGCTGATATTTGCTGCACGCGGTGGAAGATCTCCAGTTTAAGATCGAAGTTTTGTTTACTAATTTTGGAAATGTACTGCGCCGGTCAGCTGTTGTACGGAGGAAGCAAACAAAAAAGCATCTACCTGGTCTGTTTCTCTGACCCCCATCTCCTTCGGCTGTCTTGGACTCGCTGACATTGACATCTTTCCCTTCTCTTTTCTCTCCGGGCTGCGATCTTCCTGGGACTGAGATTGAGATTGAGAGCGCGATTGAGACTGTGAACGACACCACTCCGGAGTGCGCGGTGTGCAATCTGCTAGTTCCTCCGGTCCAGCTGTGCGAGATCCCCGGGTTGCACGCTGCTCCTTCAACAAATCTTGTAACAGGGCGGAAGATGGGTTCACGATGGAGGAGGAATCAGTCTCTGGAGTCTCTGTGGAGTTCATTATAGTTAACACCATGACCGTAGTTTCAAGTCGCCTGGGATAAAGAGATACATACGGGATCGTAATCTATATGGTGCTTGAGGGGTGGCAGTCATCGGCGACGCATCCTGTAGCCATGACATTTCTGTAACGATTAGTATCACGCTCCACGCCACGTCAGGAAATATAACCTCGCACCTGAACCCATTCGCGTTGGAGTTTCCATGGCGATTCTCCCCTTGATTCGGGTGAGTGCAGGAGGTCTCGGCGGATCACATTGATCTGTAACTGTGCATCAGATCAGTTTAATGAGGGTGTCCGTCATGCAGAGGATGAAAGGAGAACCTACCTTTCGCTTTCAAACTGTGTCTCAGAGACTTGCCCCCGGTCTGGATCGTCGCGGCCCCGGAGGGATATAAACAGTGTCGCAAGGAAGACGGGTTGGACGATTGGCCCAGGACGATGCTTCGTCTCTGCATTTTTTGCTCCATTCTGGCTCCTCCAAAAAAAAAATGGCAAAAAAGAAACACAAACTAGTGCGTATCCCTGACAAGATGCACGACACCAGGATCAATGCAGTAAAACGACAGAACCGTATCCACCAGCCGCAAGTCTCTCATAGGTAAAGCTAGGAAAACCGAAGGATAGATTGCGCAAGGGAAAAAAGCAATGTCTCGAAAACGAGCAAGTGCTGACGCGAGGAGCTGGCAAGCTCCAAAAAGAAAAGAAAGATCCCACAGATGGCGCGACTAGAACGGCGGGGGGGCGGGGGCGACGCTGGAGACGAAGGAAGGGACGGAAGAGAGGAGGGGGTCGGTAGAAGGGCCTCAAATGAAGATTGGAGTGAACAAGAGGCGTGAGGGAGGCCCCTTGAAGATGTGACTGGATGTGAGGGGAGAGAAAGAGAAAATTGTGACAAGTCGATCACGAAGAGAGAGAGTAAGAGAGGAGGGAAAAAAAAAAAAAAGGGAGTTAACAAGAGCCAGATCCCCACACTGCACGATGCACCAGGGCATTAATCTCCATATAATGATGCTAATCCTTCATGGAAAGGAGGAGGAGGAGGGGAGATGAGGTGAATTGGGTAGTTTGTTGATCAGAGGTCAGTCATAGCATTCCATCATCCTGATACATCGCAACAAAGCATCTATCTCACATTCCTGTTATTCTTCCTCAATGAGCCCAGGACATAACAAAAGCCCTGGCTGGATCCAGACCAAATTCAAGAGATCCTGTCATTCCAGGGGGGAGAGGGCGTTTAAAGGCTAGATGCTTTCTAGCACCGAACAAGAGTTCAAGCCGCTGAGACTAACGCTAGCAAAGGCCACTTATTAGTTGAGGTTGGGTTCTTAGAGCCAGTAAGAGATTGTTTTTCTTAACTAGTGATATTTTTTTCCTGTCAACTTCCAAGGCTGGGAATTGGAGATGGCTGGGATTTTCGGAGGTTATCCAATCAGAAAGAAAACATGGTGTTCCTACAGAGAAAGAGATTCTTTTTAGGATGTGACACTCTATATGAAACTTTTAGAAACTATATAGAATAATTGAGATAGTAGTTCTCTACTATCCATAGTTATTTTATTTTATGGCATCTTGAGACTTGCAGCATGGAAATGGACATCATCCATCCATACCTATCTACTAGTACTACGACAAGTACCTATTTCGGACTTTCTTCCCAGAATCTTCTCCACAGTCCTCCGTAGTTGTCACAAAAAAATAAGTTGAGTTATAACCAACACGAGGGGCTCCTCAATTAATCTAACGGATGCTGTTACGGAGCGTACCAGTAATCCAAGATTCAGGTCAAACAGACTACAGGTATAATCGTAGAATGATCTATTGGAACTCGAACTCCAGCCAGTCAATGCTAGTATTTTAAAGATTCACTAAAAACGTATAAACAAACCCCTCATCATTAATGCAGCAAAACCAAGTCCCTGGGGATTCCCATAACTCCACCAAATCAGCAGCAGCATGGCCGCAACCCATCCTCACACCCGAACGAGCTCAGCTCAGTTCTCACCAGGGAGGCGGAATTCATCTCTTCTTCGCCTCTCCCGCCCAGATCCGGGTCTCTTTGGCACTATCATGGGCCACGCGGAACACTAAAGCCATGTTAGCACCCACGCATACCCACCACAATAAACTTGCAGAAAGGGACATACACTGCCGTTCCGTCTCATCCAAGCCTTGCAGAAACTCTACCCCGTCTCCAAGCGCCCCTTTCGGGTTATGCGCATGGTCAGCAATTTCAGCAGCCCGCGTCTTAAATGTCTGAAGCGCATGTTAGCCAAACCATAGTCATCGCGCTGGGTCTACATACATTACTGAGGATATCAACCATCTCTTCTTCTTCAAACAGCTCCAGGATCCGTTCACTGAGACTGTAGAAATTTGGAGCCAATGATCGCAGGTCAATCGATCGGGGGTCTGCTTTCAGAGCATTCATTACCCGTTCTGATAGCGCAGAGGGAATGTCGATGGTGACTAAAGGAGACGTGCCCAGGCGCGCTCTGAAATCAAGTCAGGCAAAGTCTTTTTTCAGCCCACGTTCAGAATATCCTTACCCAATAGAAAGCATTTCACCCAGCCATAACGGGAGATCAATTCGAGTGCCGGCTTTGATCTAATTATTTTGGGTGTCAGCCAAGAAAAGGTCTAAAGAAAAAAGAAAGGACCTTACTCACGTTATCTCCAGGATTCCCTTCTAGAATCCCAAGACCTGGCACCTCCAATTCAAAGGTACATGGCAATTTCTAGATCGTGGCGTTAGCTCCAGAAACACACACCCGACGGGCATATGGAAGCTCACCTGGGCATCGGTCAAGATCGAATCAATGTCATAGTAAGACATGTCGAAAACAAATCCAATTGTTCAATAATGCACCCTCTGCCTAGTTACTGTTCATGTTGCTGTTCGTGGCGGGGAAATGTTGATACACTGGGGAGATTCTCCCATTCAGTCGCGTCCCCCACGACACGGTATCACGTGCCTGTCCAGCTTTTTAGTGTCCTGGCCAATTACGATAAGCACCTTAAAAGTGGTAAACAATTGAATAGTCGTGAAGTCATCTTGATTGATTCAATGATTGAAAATTTGATGATTTGTCTTCTGCGATTTAAACTGTCCATCCTAGAGCTTTTTTTTTTTCAAGTTTTATGTATCCCGTAAACGTACACCAACAAATACTACGAGTACAGTCGTCGTTCGGCAATCCATATTGATCAGAGTCAAACGATGCAGGAAACGTTGAGGTTCATACCAAAGGGGAGAGTTATCATGAACGTGCAGATCTGACAGCGTTGGCCGTTTCTAGGATTACATAGTACTTGCTGATCTTAAACTTACCTTGCAATAAAAGATTTCGACGAAGATCAGAATGCTGTTCTTCACATTCTCAAGCGACAACAAGCATGCCTACGAACTGAACTGTATTAATTTCCTTCCGCTGCCCTCGCTCTCGATAAATTCCTAGTCGATATCATATCGACAGCCTCTTTGCTTGGGACAGATTCTCGAAGTTTCATTGGGTTCTAGATTGACAGCGATGGGGGAAACGAAGCCTATGGCGCTATCAATGGGGGGAGTTGCATCCTTGCACTGTCGTGGGGACAGCTCGCTGGAATGCAATATTGTCAACCCCCCTCGCTTTGCAAGGGGATGGTTATCATGGTAGGGTAAGCTTTCTCCTGCATTGCATGCCAGAGCTTATGCGGTGCTTCTGCGGGGAACAGGGGGGAAACATGAACATAGCTAGGTTATTCAATTGATTTTTACGTACTTTGTAAATGGAATGTCAATTTTCTATTACTGTAGTATAGACCTAGTTGCAGTTCTTTGTCCCACTATGCAAGTCCAGGTCGTTTATAGGTATATATATATATATGTAGGTTAGAGGGCTTGTACGAGGATAATGATTCCTGTACCCGTGTCAACCTAGCAACAGCGAAAATTCTATCGGGCGATCGTTGAAACTGGCAACATGATTTGAGGAGAGACCAGCCTGAGCCGTAACGGGCGGAATTTCTTGTCAAACCCGCAGATCACTGGACTAGGCACTTGAAGAGGAAACTGGAAAACTAGTGAAGACAAACCTGGGTTTTTTCTTACTTAGGCCAAGATACGGAGGATCAGTTGCGAGTAATATAGCATCCATGTCTCATCCTGTTGGGAAAACCTGAGCGGACGGAGGGTTCGGATCACAAGAACGGAAAGGAGGCACGCGCAGCGGAAAAGAGACCCGGGCGCCCTCTAAACTTATTTAAAGTCTGGTGAGAAGGATTGATTTGCAGAGCCAGAAGTTAACCCCCCTTTTTTTCATATACGTGCTATCCAGAACGACGTCACAACCGGGTTCGAACTGGGTCCAACTCCTGCCGCTAGTTGGAGGTCGCCGGAGTCGAGGACTACCTAGGTTAGCATCACGGCCAAGTCTAGATCTTACCAGTCGACTTTGATAGGAACGTGGACGGGGGGATACGAGAAGATATAATATGTAGATCGTCGGTTCTTCAATCAACGCATCCGTGTTATCGCACTCAACGCAGCTCTCAGACCTCGACGGTATGTCGAGCGATCAAGATTTTGTTCCTTGGCGGTTGGCCAGAATTGGGGCTCACGCTGCTCGAGCGATAAAGAGAATCAACCTATCAGCGGACCCGAGACGTAAGAGGCGTACAGCAAGAAGACTGACTTGTCCATGGATGATGGTCCATCCAGAGTCTCAGACTGATCGCGCGGGATACCTTGACCTGTACGGTAGGTAACAGTAGGTAACAGCAGCAGTAGTTAACTAACAGCAGTGGCGGAATAAGCATGCAGATACACATACAGCATCAGGATATTAGGAGAATGATAAGAATCCAAATCATCCTGTTAAAAAAAAAAGAAAAAAAAAGAATGTAGGTGGACAATTGGTGTCCCCCTGATGGTATGGTACAGGATAGTGTATGGAAACTTCCCTTACAAGAATCCCAAAATTAGCATCCGGAAGGGAGGGAAAAAAAAAAAAAAAAAAAAAAAAGGTCCAAGCCAGTTTTCCCTGTTAATTAATGATGATGATACTCCGTAGACCCTCCAGGAAAGATCAATCACAAGGGGAATATTAATATTAATACTGTTCGGTATCATTTCAGGTTCACTCTGGAAGAGAAATAATCATAATAATACTACTACTGCTCATAATAACTGCCATTAATATAGAACTCTGGACCCTATTATCATCTATCATCAACCATTCTTGTTTCTCGCTTTCTTTGTCCCTCCTGTGGTGTCTCTTCCTATTATTCTTTACTCCTTAGTGAGTGGACACTTGACAAAACCACTACCACTACCACCACCACCACCACCACTACTACTCCTCCTGCTACTACTCATTACTGAAGTTAGTTTGATTTGGTCCCATCGCTGGACTCTCCATTCAGACTGTCCTTCCTCTGCACGCCTTATCTGTTGGACGGGGGTTGTTCTTGATTGCCTCTTCCTGCCTCGTCCGGTCACACGATCCCTCCTCGTTTATGGACGTGGATTGTGTCGCCGTCCCCCCCCCCGATTCCACTACAAAATGGCATACAACGCCGTGTCCCAGGTCGACCAGGAGTTGGCTTCCAATGCGACCGATTCTGATGATTCCCGCGCTCCTTCGCCGCAGCTACCGCACCCCCACGCTTCCTTTGAACCATTGCCGCTCGACGTCGACCATCTCGGTGCTGGGAGACATATGGAGTCCGCAAAAATCGAGGATGGGAACGGGATTCGAAGTCTGGGTTCTATGATCCGCTCAATGACGGCCGCTAGTTATGATCTAGTGGAGGACGACTACGAAGTCCCCGATCCGTCAGCACGACGGAAGTCCAATAGTCGCAGTAGCTCCAATAGCCCCCCCCGTCGCCTTTCTGCGCTTGATACGGCCACCACTAATGACCACGTTGATCTCCGAACCCCAACCACCGATCATTCTGTGCCTCTCAGCCATCCGACCCCGGGTCTTCAATCACTGCAAGGAGCGTACCTCAATAATGTGGAGAGGCTGGAGAAAAGTGCGGAACGTCTGAGTCTGAGTTCTGCAGATATTGGGAGCGAAATTCGCAAAATGGATCTCGAGCAAAAGAGGCGCTCGAGCGGCTCAGCCTCTAATAATTATGTTCTCGCCAGCAATCCGGATACCTCGCGTCGAGGTTCGATTCAATCTGTTGCTCGTTTGGCTCAAGTTTCAGAGCAAACCCTCGAAGATCTTCACGAAGATCCTACCACTCAACCTCCCACACAACACTACCTTCCCCCGCCCCCTGAGCCGGCTGTTCATCCCGAGGTCAATCCGCCCCAGTCCGCTGAGTACACCCAGGCCATGGATCACCTGGAGATCAAGCGACCAGACACGGCGGCTTCGAATGACACATACCAACAAGCCAGGTTTCTATTTACAGACTTTGATGGAGTTCATTATGTCCCTTCCGATAAGGTGACGGAGCCGGGACCGCGTGTGTCATTGACGCGACCCCCCTTGGCCAGCCGGCCAGAGCCATACAAACAACCCCAAGTGGGGGAGAATATGGTCTACTACCCTGCTCCGGTGCCCATGATGCTCAACCTACCACCGCGACTTTCCCAACGACCAAACAACACGGAGCTAGATAAGCGCCGCACGCAAGTTCTAGACACTGTAACACCCGAGAATAGAAAATCGGCCCCATGGCTATTTGGCCAGAATCAACGTGCTGGTGCCGCCCCTGTCCCCCCCCCGCCGCCGCCGCCGCCCCAACTGCCTCCGGTGATCGCCGACGGACCAAGCGTCTTTCCGAGATGCCTCCCCAGCTCCGTGCCAGTGTTTTCTTTGAGCCACCTTCTGCGTCACTGGAGATTGACCCAACTCAAACCTCCGCGGTTGCGACGCTAGACAGTATCCTCGATGCCTCTGCCACAGCCCCGGTTACTGCTTTCACAGATCATCCATTCGCCGGCCCGATCGGTCCTGACGTATATGGGAACTCGAGGCCTAAGGGAGTCTCCAAAGGCGTAGCTGAACAGAGGAAAAAGCAACGCCCCAAGAGCAGTTTGGGTCTTGGCCCTCGGCCTTCTAACCCTGATATTAGGGCAAGCACTCTGACGATACCTCATGCATACCAAACTACAGAAGCCCAGGCGGCTGAAATGCACGAGGCTACTTCGTTACGAGAACATGAGAGGAGTTCGGATTCAGAGTCTGGCTCCGAGGATGGTTCGGAAGAAGATACGGAGAGTAGTGAAGGAGAGGAAGAGGAAGAGGAAGAAGAGGAGGAGGAGGAGGAATTTCACTACACAGGGCCACCCACTACCTTACTTGCGGAGCTCGAACAACGAAAGCATGAGCTCAAACTCAGGCGGCGAACTGCAGCTAACTCGACCGGCTTGCATTCAACCCTTCTTGAACTTGAAGCCGTCGCAAAAAAACAAAGTGAACACAGACGACAGAAGCCGGTTGCCCTCGCGTGGGAAACCCCTGATGCGCATAATCACGAGGATGACGAAGATGAAGACGTTCCCCTTGGCATGCTCTTCCCCGAGAAAGCTCAGGCTGCCGACGAGACTCGGCCCCTGGGTCTCATGGAAAGGAGAGAATTAGAAGAAAGCGAGCCCCTCAGCAAGCGGCGAGCAAGGTTGCGCGGCGAAATTCTCCCACGCACTCCGGACAGACGCCCGATGACGATGTATTCGCAGGGCGTCCACGGCCCGGTCCAGGATGTCCAAGAAGATAGCGGTAACGAAGAAGAAACTCTGGGCCAGCGCCTAAGGCGATTAAAGGGTCAAGAAGAACGGCCGGTCTCTAAAGCCGGGACTGATTTCACAACCGAAATCCTAACAGAGCTCAAGAACCTGGGTGCTGATGAGAAGAAGGACAGCCAGGAGGAACCGTCACAAGAAGAGGAAACACTGGCGCAAAGACGGGCTCGCCTAAAGAAAGAAGGAGATGCGCAGCAGAATTCTACCGCAAAGATTCCTCGATACCGAAGAAGCATGGCGGATGTGCTCCACGCACAACGCCCAAGCACTGCAGAGCTCTCTCGTCCCCATGGTCCTATTCACCAACGCTCTTTTGACCAGCGCCTGTCCATACAACAGTTTCCTGTCAATCCCAGTCCTCCGAAAACAGCAGTAGGGCTTATGCATTACCAGGCACCCAATATGGCAGCTCCGTACGGCCATGGCATGGCACACCCGAATACGTTTTACAGTGACGCCATACTAGGCATGAGACACCTGAGCTATGCGATGCCAAATAACTACCACTACCCGGGAGTCATGAGAGAAGTGATTGATCCCGGACAACGCGAAATCATTGATCGCTGGAGGCAGGGCATTGTATAGTGTCTCTCTCTCTCTCTCTCTCTCTCTCTCTCTTTTTTTTTTTTTTTTTCATTTCCACTCATACGCATATCTCTTTTTATCTTTCTTATTTTCTTTTCCATCTGTTGTTAGGGTTCTCGTTTCTTAGCGTATATTGTTCTGGGTAGGGAGCATTAGCCATTGAATACCAGGTCGTTTAATTAGCGATGAAACTTGTTGCCTTGTATGATATTCTTTCCGATCTCGTATCATCTGTACTGCACCATGAAGATGTCCTGAACGTGGATCTGATAATTGAACTGGGGGGGACTCTCTCTATATACACCTACTATGTATCGACATCCCTCTAGGTATACATATATAACTGGGGGGGGTTCTGGTCCTTCAGTTCCAAGATAAAATCATCACATCGCGTATTTTCTATGTCAATAATTCAGATATTCATTCATGCATCAATAAATATAATAATAATTATATTTGTTATTTTTTTTTTTTCTCTCCAGGACAAGGTATGTACGCGTTGACCATTTCCGGACTCCATTCTTTGGTCTCTCTCTCTCTCTCTCTATATCTTTGTATTATATATATGCACTGCTCTGACACAACTATCCCTCTCTTATTCCTATTCTCCCCTTCTTTTTCCCTTCAAGCACCTTAATTAATTGATTTTCAGGGCTTGGTTCCCAAGACTAATTTTAGTTACATGCTTGCGCCGCCTCGCCCGCTCCATCGTGCCCCACGCCTCATTTTTTTTTTTTTTTGGCTTTTTTCATTATTATTATTATTATTATTATTCGGATCGAATTCAACTAACCAGCCATTGCTCACCATTATGGACCATTTCCAGGCCTCCTGAGCGGTTCTTTTCTCCCCAGTACTGCAGAAGACACAGTGGGTGTTGATTCGTCATGCCACCGTCCACTGTGTTCTCGTACTGGCGTCGGGACCACCGCCGGTCGTCGCTGTCTCCTGTTCCTCCTCCTGTCGCACAGCCCACCTTGAAAGCAGCTGGCGTCAGCTATGCTCCTCAACTACCACTGATTTCTGACTCGACGCTGACTGCGACCTTTGACGAAACATTTCAGGCAAGAGACCCTTCGACTTTGCAGACCCCCACCGATTATTTTTCTGGTCTCGATGGAGCGAACACAACAAACGTCACCGTATCCACCATCGATGCCCCAGCGTCTGCAATCACCACGCTTACGGTACATCCGCCCTCGGCGGATGACGACCTACGGCCTCGATCCAGCCCGGAAGAACGCGACAGGGAACAGTTGACCTTGACGGCCCAGTCGAATTTCTCGCAGCCTTCCCTCACTCCGTTGACCCCCGACCAAACCACGGCAGACTCCTCCAAGCCTAATTCGCCGTTCCGGCTATCCTTCGGAAAGGGTCTGCGGAATCCTTCGCCGGTTGAGAATACGTCGAAACGCTCGACTACCCCCGGAATGGCGTCGTCCAGCCACCTGCGCTTCCGAACCTCCCCTGTCGAGGCCTCCTCGGGAGACAGAATTACCCCACCACAAAAGGAGGTTCGGTTTGAAGGTCCGAATGGTCGCCGGCTCGTCGAGCGTGACACGTCGATCGAACAGGCGCAGCCCATCCCCCACAGGCCTGGGAAGACAATGCTGCACCTGTTGAATCCGATGTCATTGTTGGCTAAGAGACGTTCTTCTCAGATAGCGGCATTGCGTGCAGAGGATATGAATATCGGCGCCCGCAACTTGGTTCCTGCGATCCCAGATGATTACGACCCCCGCATCCGTGGCAACATTGTGCACGACTTCTCCGCGCCTCGGCCCCGGCGACACTTATCTGCTGCCCCGGTCCTTTTGCATGAAGCGGCTAGTGAACAAACCCTGCAGAATGGCGCTTGCGGCAGCCCTACGGGTAATAGGACGACGAACCTTGGCGTCAGTGACTCCGGGGGTCTAATGCCTCAGCCAGCTGGACAAAGGAAAAGGCATAGTGAATACTCTCCGGTCTTCAAAGAGCATTTCGACGATGACGAAAAGGTTCTCCAGGTTGGGCACAAGGCATATCTACAATCATCCCTTCTGACAGACCCATCCCACCGGGACCCACGTGCCATTCCTGTGTTTGCAAGAAAACTACCCTCCTCGATCCCCAGTCAAGAAAAACCGCCGGATAATCCACCGGGGCGCAAGCGTGGCTCTCAGGGTGGTTCCGCAGTAAGCGAGGTTGCGTTCAAGGGGGCCCAAGATCCGGATACCATCGAGATTGGGCAATACCAGCCATCTGGATTACCCAAGCACTTCAAGAGCAATGCCTCTCGATTCAGCTTTGATATGAACGGTGTTGGATCTTCGACTCAGGAGAAGCTCCTGGAAGAAAAACACAAAGAAAAGGAAGCTGCACGAAAGGCTCAGGCGCGGCTGGAAGACCGGGACTATAGTGATATTGATGATGATTACGACAACGACGTATTGGACGACCTCCACGATTTTGAAGAACAAATTCCTGGCGTTAACGTCGACGCCGAGGAATACGATGATGCGTTTAAGGGCTTTTCAGGCCCGGGAAACCTAATCAATCAATCCTGGCTTGTTCCTGATCTATCTCCCGTCGTCGCTAGCCCTGTCAACCCCTCCGAAAATCCGAATCTACATGATGATCAAGTTTTACCTTCGTCAACCCACGAGGAACTCGAGACTTCTGCCACCAACTGTTCATCGTCTTCTTCTCTGCATAACACCCCTCACCAAGCAGAAAGGGCCACCGCGTCTCCCCACATCTTAGCCCAGGGGTCTGAGGGGTTGTCCACCGCCGCCTTGGAGCTCAATCAAGACGAAGAGGATGATGACCTTTATTTTGACGATGGAGAATTTGGCGAATTGGACACGGAAGAAGACGGAGAAAAGTTTGATGAGTCAATCTTTGACGACCCCACGAGCCATCTATATGAGCGAAAGCCTGTTACAGGATCCGTGACAACTTCTCAAAGCATCATCTCCGCACACGAAGAGTTGGATCGGGAGCTGGTCTCTGACAGCGGGCTGAAACATGTTCCAAGCATGGCCAGTGATTATCGAGGAACCTCATTAAGGCGGGTTGGCGGTATCGCCGAGAACGTGCGTAACCAAGGGTCTGTGAAGGCTCATAACGGAGTGCTGTCCGAGCACAATTTGGAGGCTTTCCATAATGCTTTGGCCGATGCTGCTACGCAAGCGGCCGCGAAGGGCCGGTTCGGTCATACCACGAGCGTCAGCGAACGATCCTTGGGCCAGGAAAGCAGTACGCACACGGTGGACTCGCAACCGGGGCTTATTTCCGATGACAGCCGTCTCAGCCAAACTGTAGACGTGGTGTCATTTGACGAAGTGTTTGAAGACTTCAATTACGATGATAGCGACGATTTGTTTTACGATGATCCTATAATCGCGGCGGCCAACGCAGAAGCGTTGGAGAATGACGATGAGGGGTTTTACGGACAAGAGTTTGGATTCTATGCGCAAGCTTCCGGCCATGGCTTCGAACTCACCAATGGCGGATATTTTGGTCCCCGAGGCGTCGAAGGCATCTCTCGTAGCCACAGTGGTCGTGGCAAATTCAGAGAGCCCAGCCTGACCCCCATCACCGAGCGCAGCGAATGGAGTACGCGCAATTCGATTATTTCAGTCACCGCTCACGGCGCTGCGCATTCCAACCAATCTGTGTCAGGACCCGGACTAGCCCAATTGGTTGATATGGGCAACCTCGACGATGAGATGTCCCTGAGTGCACTCCTGAGGTTGCGACGCGGCGCGTGGGGCGGAAGCAATGGCAGCCTCCGCAGCAGCAGCGGCAGTCCCCCGCCGCACCAACACTCAGCGTCGAATAGAGGCAGCCTTGCTCTTTCTGACGTCAGTCCAACCGTCCACACCGTGCCCCCGGATTTCCTAGGAGCTCCGGTTGCAATCGATCCCCCCATCAAGGAGTCGGAGAAAGGCGCGTGGCTGTCTGCTCTTTCGCAGCCGCGTCTGGAACGCGCGACTACCGGTGATGGCGAGGCATAACCCAGATCACGGGCGATGCTGGCTTGATCTTATATACATCTTTTTTTTTTTTTTTTTTTTGTTGTTGTTGTTGTTGTTGTTCTGATTTTGATTCCCCCGGCGTGGATATTAGCGTTTTGTATAGCTACGACCTGATGAGCTGTGTTGGGCGGGTCTATTGACATTGTGAGCTTCTGTAATGTTATCACGGAGTTGGCACCCGATCCAGCCGATCCGTATCCTTAATGACAGTCTTTCCTGCTGGTTTGTCCCGTTATATATAAGGATCTATCCGTCTGTCCGCAAAGACCCGGTGGGAAATGGTCATATCCGGCCGTGGCGGTGCAGCCTCACCGGCTTGTTTCGGGCCGGGTAGCGGGGCTGAGTCAGCGGAGTAATCCTCATTGATTGGTCCAGACCCTCTCACCGCCTCTGTATCGTAAGTACCGGTATTGAGGGTACTGAAAGTGTGGCTGGTGCTCCGCTATCGCCGTATTCTCTGGTAATTTTGGTCCCGTCCATTCATTTCCCATCTTTGCCGTTCTTCAATTCTTCGTCTGCCTTTTCTTTCGCCAAACCAAACCTTGCAAGTTCTCTCGCTCGCTCTCTCTTTCCTTACTTCCTTACTACCCCATTTATTTGTATTGTCGTGGTTGGAGAGTGTCTTTGCTCTCTCTCTGATGAGTCCCGGCTTTAACTAGTCGACACCTGTTTTTTCTGGTACGTCACGTCACGTAGCCCGGCTGTCCCGTTTAGTCGTTTTTTTTCCCTTCATCCGCTTCCCAAATATGCCTCATCCAAACTGAAGCTTCCTTCTCTGCTGACCTTGCTCTTACCAATGATTCAATAGATTGCAATTCCTTTTCTATTTCCTTGATTTCTCTCCATTGTCATTGTCTCGTTTGACCTTTTATATCAAAAACACCAAAAACTCCCCTCTTCCCCCCCCCCCAAAAAAACCCTCAACCCGTCCGCCCTAGTCCCGAGGTTGACGGTTCTTTTGAACCCGGAAAATTCTCCGCGATGCTTCGCTCAACAGCTGTAAAGGCCACCAGCAGTGGTATGCTGCGCGGTGCTGCCTGTTCTGCCTGTAAACGATCTCTGTCTCTTGCCTCGACCGTCAGACATGCCTCTTCTAGCTCCAGCTCGAGGTTCGGCCTGAGCGCCAGACGCCCCCTCGCTATTGTGAACAGCAAGAGGCATTATGCCGTGTCCGCGCCTGAGACTGGCGTGGTAAGTGAAGAGTTTTGACATTGGTACATTGTTCGCCTTGTGTGTGAATCTCGACTAACCTGGAGGGGGTGCGTCTCCTGTTAGGATGCCAGCGACTCCTTCCTGCAGGGAAACACGGCCAACTATGTCGACGAGATGTACCTCGCGTGGAGGAAAGACCCCTCGAGTGTCCACATCTCGTGGCAGACCTACTTCCGCAACATGGAGGAGGGTAAAATGCCCATCTCCCAGGCCTTCCAGGCCCCCCCAACCCTCGTCCCGACTCCTACCGGTGGCGTTCCCCAAGAGATGCCCGGCGCTGGTCTGGGGTTCTCGGCCGGCACCGACGTGACAAAACACTTGAAGGTCCAGTTGCTCGTTCGCGCATACCAGGCCCGTGGTCACCACAAGGCCAAGATTGACCCCCTGGGGATCCGTGGCGAAGCCGAGGCCTTTGGCTATAACAAGCCCAAGGAGCTCGAGCTCGACCACTACGGTTTCACTGAGCGCGATCTGGATGAGGAATTCGACCTCGGCCCTGGTATTCTCCCCCGGTTCGCCACCGAGAGCCGCAAGAAGATGACCCTCCGCGATATTATTGCCGCCTGCGAGAAGATCTACTGTGGCTCTTACGGAGTTGAGTATATCCACATCCCCGATCGCAAGCCCTGCGACTGGATCCGGGATCGCTTTGAGGTCCCCGAGCCCTACAAGTACTCGGTGGATGACAAGCGCCGCATCCTCGACCGTCTGATCTGGAGTTCCAGCTTTGAGAGCTTCCTCTCCACCAAGTTCCCCAATGACAAGCGTTTCGGCCTGGAGGGATGCGAGTCCCTCGTGCCCGGTATGAAGGCTCTGATCGACCGCAGCGTCGAATACGGTATCAAGGACATCGTCATTGGTATGCCTCACCGTGGTCGTCTGAATGTCCTTTCCAACGTCGTGCGCAAGCCCAACGAGTCCATCTTCAGCGAGTTTTCGGGTACCGCTGAGCCCTCCGACGAAGGCTCCGGTGATGTCAAGTACCATCTTGGTATGAACTTTGAGCGGCCCACCCCCTCTGGCAAGCGCGTGCAGCTTTCTCTGGTCGCCAATCCCTCCCATCTGGAAGCCGAAGACCCCGTCGTGCTCGGAAAGACCCGTGCCATCCAGCACTACAACAATGATGAGAAGAACTTCGACTCTGCGATGGGTGTTCTCCTCCACGGTGATGCCGCCTTTGCCGCTCAGGGTGTCGTGTATGAGACGATGGGCTTCCATTCCCTGCCTGCCTACTCAACCGGAGGTACTATCCACATTGTTGTGAACAACCAGATCGGTTTTACCACTGATCCACGCTTTGCCCGCTCCACCCCTTACTGCTCCGATATTGCCAAGTCGATCGACGCCCCTGTCTTCCACGTGAACGGCGACGACGTGGAGGCTGTCAACTATGTTTGCCAGGTCGCGGCTGACTGGCGTGCTGAGTTCAAGAGCGATGTTGTCATTGACATCGTCTGCTACCGTAAGCAGGGTCACAACGAGACGGACCAGCCCTCTTTCACCCAGCCCTTGATGTACAAGCGCATTGCCGAGCAGAAGAACCAGCTCGACAAGTACGTGGAGAAGCTGATTGCTGAGGGTACCTTCACCAAGGAGGACATCGATGAGCACAAGAAGTGGGTCTGGGGTATGCTGAACGACAGCTTCGATCGCAGCAAGGACTACCAGCCCACGGGCAAGGAATGGCTGACCTCCGCCTGGAATGGCTTCAAGACCCCCAAGGAGCTGGCCACTGAGGTCCTTCCTCATCTCCCCACCGCTGTTGAGTCTCCCATCCTGAAGCATGTCGCCGACAAAATCAGCGGTGCTCCTGAAGGCTTCCACCTGCACCGCAACCTCAAGCGTATTCTCGCCAACCGCAAGAAGACTGTGGAGGAGGGTCAGAACATCGACTGGGCTACTGCCGAAGCTCTCGCCTTCGGTTCCCTCGTCGGCGAAGGCTACCATGTCCGTGTCTCCGGTCAGGATGTGGAGCGTGGTACCTTCTCTCAGCGTCACGCTGTCCTACACGATCAAGAGAACGAGGGTACCTACACCCCTCTCCAGCATATCAGCGAGGGTCAGGGCAGCTTCGCCATCTCTAACTCATCCCTCAGTGAATTCGGAGCGTAGGTTCTTTCTAGGATACGACCCGTGATTCTCAAAAAAACAATTCTCTCTAACATTCTGTGTAGGCTTGGTTTCGAATACGGTTACTCCTTGACCTCTCCCAACGCCCTCGTCATGTGGGAGGCTCAGTTCGGTGACTTTGCCAACAACGCTCAGTGTATCATCGACCAGTTCGTGGCTTCTGGAGAATCGAAATGGCTGCAGCGTTCTGGCCTCGTCCTGTCCCTCCCCCATGGTTACGATGGTCAGGGTCCCGAGCACTCCTCCGGCCGTATGGAGCGTTACCTCCAGCTCTGTAACGAGGAGCCTCGTGTTTTCCCCTCCCCCGACAAGCTCGACCGCCAGCACCAGGACTGCAATATGCAGATTGCCTACATGACCAGCCCCTCTAACTTGTTTCATCTTCTGCGTCGCCAGATTCATCGTCAATTCCGCAAACGTATGTCCAATTATTCCATCAAATTTGATATAACCACTGCTAACTGATTTTTTTTTTTTTTTTTTTTTTCATCCCCTCAGCCCTGGTGATCTTTTTCTCCAAGTCTCTCCTTCGTCACCCGATTGCCCGCTCTCCGCTGGATGAGTTCACTGGTGACTCTCACTTCCAGTGGATCATCCCTGACTCGGCCCACGGAACCGCCATTGATGAGCCCGAGAAGATCGAGCGTGTTATCCTCTGTTCCGGCCAGGTGTACGCTGCCCTCTTGAAGCACCGTGAGACTAACAACATCCGCAACACTGCCATCACCCGTGTTGAGCAGCTGCATCCCTTCCCTTGGGCTCAGCTCAAGGAGAACTTGGACAGCTACCCCAACGCCCGCAACATTGTGTGGGCCCAGGAGGAGCCTCTGAACGCTGGTTCTTGGAGCTACACCCAGCCTCGTATCGAGACCTTGCTGAACCAGACCGTGCACCACAACCGTCGCCACGTTCTCTACGCTGGTCGTGCGCCAAGTGCGTCCGTGGCCACCGGTCTTAAATCTGTCCACCTGAAGGAAGAGCAGGAGCTTCTCCATGACGCTTTCACCGTCCATCAGGAGCGCCTGAAGGGCGAGTAGATTACGTCTCAAGAGTGGTGTTTGGCTTTTCAAGTGCTTTGTTTCTCAAAGGAGCGGGCTTAGCGTCTACTCGATTTGGCCTTCCATTGTATGATCTGATTTCCTTGTTCGTTTCTTTAATTGTTTTTTTTTTTTTTTTTTTTCCTTTTTTCTTTTTCGCATCGGGTTTGGTTGCGCTGGGGCATTGGTATCTCTAGGCTTGATCCCCACTAGATATATCCTGGGCTGGCTTATCTATACCTAGAATGTGTCTTTCTGCGTACGTGTAAATTAAGTGCTTGATATAATACGAGATTATCTGTTTCCTTTGTCGAGCCAAGTTGAGCTGAAGCCGAAAAATAAGTGAACGAAGTGACGTCATAGTAGGTACTGACTCAGCATTCGTCTCTCTGCCCTTTTTTTGAGGCATCAATCACCTGATTGCGGACTGAGGCAGCCTCTCTGCCTGGGGCCGCAATCAGGCCTTCTCCGCACCTTGTCTCTGCTTTTGCTTTTGCTTTTGCTTCATCACCGACTTCAATCTTTGCGTCTCCTTCCTCGTGGTCGATGTTCTTGTTGCACAGCCGTCAGCCGACTGCTATTGGTGTCTGTTTTTCATTGTCCGATTGAAGGCACATTCTTTTTCCCGTTTCCCCCCTCTCCCCTCCCATTTGAGACATGTCCTCCGTCGTCTCTTCGGCCGTCAACTCTCAGGGTCACAGTGCCCGTCAGTCGGCGCGCCAAACAAGGACAAACCCCTCGCGAACATCCAAAAATCTCGGACGCTCTTCCTTTGCATACGGTCATTCCTCAATGGCGGAGGCCTCGACATCGTCGCCCGTTCCCCATGGGTTCTATCCTGCTCTCACGCATTTTACCGACGCCATCACAGCCCTCCCCCGAGAGTTTCGACGACACAATTCACTACTGAAAGAGGTCGATGCGAAGGCTTGGGCTCTGGAGGAGAATTTACTCCAGCTCCTGAAGGCATCGTCGGAGTCGCAGCCGGTTGCTTATCCTTCTAATCCTGCGCCCGTCATCGCTGGGGCTATTCGTGATAATGTCTTATCTACGGTAGGTTGATCTACAACAACTCTCACAGCTCCCCATTACAATCATCATAAAAATCCTAATTTGTCGTTCGCTTTGGCTATTCAGGATCCCTCTCATACTCCCGAATCCCAAGAAAGCAAAAACCGCCGTATCCTCTTCGATCGTGTCCGACACACCCTCTCCGACCTGATGATGACCGCAGACGAGAAGAACCACGTTATCTCCAATGCGAACGACGAACTCGACCGCCAGCTTATGCGACTAGACTCCATATTCCCGTTTATCGCGGGGGAGATTAGTGAAGAGTCTCGTCTGGGTAGCCTGAGTCACTGGGCGTACTCGAATCGAAATGTTCCTAAGCCTCCACCCAACGAGCGTCCGCGCCGTGAAGCCGCCTCGAACAAGGATCTTGTCCATGCTCTACAGGAAGCCGAGGCAGCCTCCCGCAGCGAGGCGAGACGGGAAGCGGCACTCGCACGCAGACAACGTCGGGCGCATGCGGATTCGGATCTTGAGGAAGTTCGCGCTGCTGGCGCCCGCAAGGGCCAGGGGAGTAAATCGCGGGGAGGGGCTGGAGCTGGAGCTGGAGTTGACCAGGCTTCGTTAGGACATACCCAGGGAGGCACGACTGGCTCGTCTGGCCAGACGAAGCGTCGGAAGGTCGAGAGGCCAGCAGCTGTGGAGGCGGCCGGAACACCTATGGAACGGTCTGCTAGCGGTGCCGGAAGCTCTGCGCGAGCTGCATCCAAAGAGGTGGGCGATGCGACCAAGAAACGAGTCCGAGCGCCGAATTCCAATACGACTGCCGGTCGCAAAAGGTACGTCTCTGTTTTCTTCGCTTCTGTTGCGATTTACTAACTGATGTAGAAACAACACTGGCGCTTCTGCCGCAAATTCACCTGTCCTCGCGCCGTTCCCTCTCATTGGAACTGTTACAGCAGCTACAATTCCTCGCAGTGCACCCAGTCCGGGCCCTGGTGCGGCGGGTCGACCGCAATCTTCCCGAGCCCAGCAATCCTCTACACAATTAACCAACGGACGGCAACGGCCCTCATCTTCTGCATCTAACCGTGTACCGAGCTCAGGTATTTTTATTTTTATTTTTTAATACTATAAAGCACGGGTCAGCTGTTCTAACTTATGTAGGGAAACTCACCGAAACCAAAGCACCACCAAGGGAGACACCTGCCAAGACAGAAACGGTCCCTCTCCCCGATCCCCATCGCGAGCTAGACCCCAATACCCTTGACGCCTCAAAGACCTCTGTGCTGCTGGCTCAACAAGATCTAGAAGGCAAGCCCACCGATATAATCGAACCGAGCGAACCACCGGTCCCTATTGTTCCAACCAACGCTCCAAAGGGCAGGTCATCCAAGACGTCAACCCCCATCCTAGCTGCTGCGGAACCCGTGCAGCAGCGGGTGCGACCAACACGGAACACAGACCCGGCGCAGACGAAGCGAACTCAGAAGAAGAACGGCGCTGTGGCAGCGGTGCAGCAGCAGATCGCATCGGAGGGCGAGGAGTCTCTCCACGAAGGGGACGATGAGGATGAGGAAGGCGAGCCACGGTACTGCTACTGCAACGAGATCAGTTTCGGTGAGATGGTTGCATGCGACAATGACGCATGTCCGCGCGAGTGGTTCCACTTATCCTGTGTTGGACTGACGAAACCTCCTGGGCGAAATGGTACGTTTTTTTCTTCATCTTCATCTGTGCCTTGAAACGAAAAAGTAGATTCTGACGAATGACTAGTTAAATGGTACTGCAACGAGTGTAAGGAGAGTATGCGCCGAAGTCGCAGCGGACGGTAGGGTAGATCTACTTGATGTGGCAGCGATTTAGGGCAGTTTTAGAATGGTACCGAGTACCGAGTACATATAAGTTGTTCAAGCATGAAGCCATAAATTGTTACAGCGCGCAGATCACAATCACAATCACAATCCCATTAGATAGTCATCTCCAGAAGTAAATATTTAAGCATATCATATCATATCACATCATATCATATTTTTTTTTTTTTTTTTTTTTTTTACTTTATTCTGTCCAAAATACAATCAATCAATCAATCAATCAATCACCCACCCCTCACAACCCTCTCTGCCTTCCACTCCCACTCCCACCCGCAACCGCAGCCTCGCTCTCCAACCTTCTCCTCAAATCCTCGAACCCGGTTTCCCCTCTAGCGCCAGAGCCCGTCGCAGTCGCAGTCGCAGTCGCAGTCGCAGACGCCGCCGCCGCCGACGACGACAAACGAGACCCCTTCTCCCCAACAACCCACCCGGGAATCCTCCAGCCACCACTCGCCCCGCCACCGGGAAGCAAATCCGCCCGCCAGGCCAATCCCACCACGAAGCCCACCGTGGCCGGGAGCACCATGGTCGGGAACTGCGAGAGCGCGAGCTGCGCGGCGACCAGGTAGGTGATTGATTTGTCGGAGAGGGAGGCGGTTGTTGTCTGTCTGTCTTGTTCTTGTTCTTGTTCTTGTTCTTGTTCTTGTTCTTGCCCAGGCCCGGGCCCAGACCCAGAAAGAGAAATACAGTATTTGTATGTTGACGGGATGCAGGCGTAGTACTGTGCTAGCAGGGCGAATAACGATGCGGTTGGACCTGACGGGAGGGAATTCAATCTGTACAGGGAGAGCGGGCGGACGATGAGAGCTAGGAGGAGAGGCGGGAGGAGGGTTGTGTATGGGAGGGTTGAGAGGAGGAATGTCTATCATCATCATCATCATTATCATCATTTATCATTTATCATTTATCATCGTCAATTCATTATATCGGTATTGATTAAATTGGGGGGGGGGGGGGGTTTCTGGTTCATAAGGAAGGGGGGGAAGCATACAGCTGTCTTCCTTCCACCCCATGCTCGCTCCACAACGCGCATCTGATACGCCAACATCGCGCCAAACAGGGCCTCCGTGGAATTCGCAAATCCGGCGACTTGCCAGATCAGGCAGCGCCAGTATTGCCCGTAGGTGGAGAGGTGCGGGGAGACGAGAATGCCGGGGACATGTTTAAGGTCGAGGATCGAGAGGACGACGGAGGCCGCGATGGTGTAGACGAGGAGAAATTTGGTGATGGGCGCGTTGCTTAAGCCGGATGTTTGCATGCTTTTTTTTTCGTGCTGTTGTTCTGGTTACGTTACCTTGAAGCTCTTCGTGAGGCTCTCGCGGTTGTTGTCGGGGGAGTGAGGTAAGTGTGTGGTGTGGGACACGTTGCGGGAGTCAAGTCCGGGGACTCCGCCTCGGCATGCCGAGATATATACAATATTATATATATAAAAAAAAAAAAAAAAAAAATTCTACGCTACATACAAAATAAGTCTACGTAGAATTCTCCAGTAACGAAGGGGGGTGGGGGGGAGAAAGGTGGATTAACTGGTAGGATCTATCATGTTCTTGGTTTCCTCGACTAACGCCTCCTTATACCGTGTCAAGCCTGTCTCCAATGCCTGGATCGTCGGCCCTAGGAGTCGCTTCACGGCCTTCTCGCCGCCAGGTATATTATCCAAATTCACCCGCAGCCGTTTCCCTGTCGCTTGTAGCACTTCCCGTGCGTGTTGCTTCACTTTATCCACTTCGACCTGGCGCTCTGCCGCCGCGTCCTGCGCCACCGCATTGATCCGCTCCAGGGCGCGGGTCAGCGACTCAACCAACGATGCGACTTCGCCCGCGCGGTCCGGGTTACCAGATAGGAAAGCCTGCCAGAATTGATGCAGGAACTCGGTGGAAGTGGCGTGCGTTAGCGTGAGTCGGTCGTACAGTGTTGACGATAGGCCGTAAGTCTCCGAGCTGGAGGAAGAAACCTCCGTCTGCGCACGACGGTCGCGGATCACGTCGAGGATCTGTTTCGACGCTTGATGTCGGTATGCGCGGGATTTGGAGCCCGGGTCCCTTTCGTCGTCGCTGTCCTCGTCCGGATCCACAAGCTGGCCCAAGGCCGCGGATCCATCATCACGAATGTTCCGTTCCAGGTCTGCGCGTAGATTCTGCAAAATTTGCTCTGGGTCTTGCTGCGCAAAGAGCCGGTTTTGTTCTTCCTCTGCGAGTTTTGCCTGTGCCGAGAAGAACCGGCTCTGATCTCGTATGTTCAGTAGAATGCGGTTTTGCTCTTCGTCTCCTCGTAAATCGCGCAGTTGCAGTTCGTCGTATGTCCCATCGTCGATCGCCCCCACAGGCGCCGACGGATCGCGATCCGCGGGAGCAACATTCGCCATTATCTTCTCGCTCAGAGTATTGAGCGTGCGAATGATAGGCACCTTTTCTACAGCAGATGGCCTCATGTCCAGATCCGGGCGGTTTCCCCGGCGCTGGCTGTTATTCCCCTCGTTTCCTTCTAAATCAAGGAAATGTGGCACATGTACATCACGGTCCAAATTCCCATGCTCATCCGCCTTGAGATATTTATCAAGAACAGCATCTGTAGCATCCGTCTCGGAAATACGCTCTCCGCGAAGCTTTTTAAACAATCGACTTTGGAAAAACCGTGACCAAAACTGCTGCTCGCTCAACTTAGGAACGTTCTCATCATAAACCCGCTTCACGAGTGGATGCTGGTTGAATATCAACTGGATCTGCTCCTTGCTAATATTCAGCTTCGTCACATTATCCTCCACCCGTGGCTTCAGTGTCGACAGCACATTATACGACCCCCGCGTCTGCGATCGCTCAATAGCATGCGCCCGCAGCAGATGCAGCCTGGTTGACCAGAACTGCGACATGAATTGCCCCGCGGTCAGGGCATCTGGTTTCGTATGCAACGACTCCATAAACATGCGCTGTAGGTTTGCATCCGACTTGAGTAGCGACTGCTGCAGCTCCACATCGCCCTTGAGTCGTTTATCGTCATCCCAAAGATTCTTCCCTGATCCTGTAGACGAAACCGCACTCGCCATCGCCATCGCCGCCGACATTCCCTCTCCACCAGCTCCCGGGGTCGGGGTCGGGGTCCCCGGTACAGGAGCAGGTGTAGCCTGCGCAGATTTAGCGGAGTTCATCGCCGCACTCAAAGCATCCTTAATAGCATCTGCCTCTAGACGTGCGTTTGCGCCAGCCGTAAACGAAAATATGTACTGTTCGGGGGCCGCAGAGGGGGCATTTGCGGGGAGAGCGAAGATCTTCAGCATGACTCGGGGGTTACTCGCGGGTGTCTGTTGTAAATCTATCGAGCAGTCAGATATCATACACACCTCCGTCTCATCGCAGACACTGTTGAAGAGAGAGAGAAAAAAAAATTTTAAAAAAAAAAAATACGCACTCGTAATCTGTCCCACAGAGATCGTTATCGTCCCCGAGGCACCGCCTGCCGCTGGAATCCAGGAAATCGACTGTCGATCCTGCGACATGGTCAGGGTGCCATCTTTCTTCTTGTACGCCGCCGACCCGCTCGGAGGTGCCATCGTTGTCGAACTCGACAGCATCCACTGTCCTGGGCGGCGCAGAGAGATCCACCCATCGGGAGGGAAGAAACCCCAGCGGAACAATCGATGGGGAACGCTCGGAAGGTCAAACTGCCTTCAAGATCAAAAATGTGAGTTTGTGGGGGTTAGAAAGCGGGAAAGATAGAAATTTGGAGAATTTGAGATGGAGAGCTTGTCGAGATCGAAGACTTTGGCACGTGACTGGAGCTGGCCACGCCTTTTACCTCACTTCAACAATTTCATCACTAAAGACTTCAGTCAGGAGAGCTGGGTTTTGAATTACTTTATCTTTTACATCTAAAAAGGTTCTTTTTCTCCTTTTTTTCCCCCCCCCAGGAAATGACTAGTATGAACCTAGTAAGCATACTCTCTGACTCCAGAAACTCAGATACCATACAAACTCCAGAAGAGAAGAGATGAAACGTCCAAGCTAATCACGAACAGATACATCGAATTATTAGTTAGCTAAAATCAGTTTGCCATCATCCAAAACATTGCGCTCCGCTATGCAATCAAACCAAAGTTCAACGCTAGATCATGGCCTGAAAAATGAAGTACAAGTCCTCACTTTTGCACCTGCGCTCCTGATGAAATAGAAACCAAAATGAAAACATAACATAGAATCCGGCCCAAACCCAAACACGAAAATTCCAGGAAAATGAGAATAAGACACAAGGGTATATTATTAATTCATTTTTGGAATCACAAATCAAACCAAAAAAGTACGTTCACCGCTTGAACATGTAGTGGCCGTAAATCCCACCCACGTCGCCAACAGCCACGGGGATTTTTCTCATTCCCCACCATCTAGCGCCCATTTTCCAGGAGCGCGAGCCGTCATCTGGGATAGCTTCGGGGATGGAAGTAGGGTCACGGACATACCATCCACGGCGTCCGAGTTCACGGACCGTCCAGCCCGGAGAGGATCTAGGATTCTTGGCTTTCTCCCTCAAGGGAATAATGAGCTTATCACTGAATTCAACAACCTGAAGGGGGTAGCTCTGCTTCGAGAGCAGCAGGTTGGAAGTGGCAAAGATTGTGCCAATGGACAGGCGTGGCGCCTTGTTAAGATCGAGATAGCAAAGAGTAGAAGGCATCCAGGTAGCCACGTCATCAAAATTGTCGGCACCATGCCCATCTGTTAGCTGCGAAGCTGGCACGAAGAAACAATTGAGGTCCTGGGCAGACAGGTCGGCTGAACTCAGGCCTAACTCTTCTAGGTGCTTGGTCAAAGGAATCAAAGCCTTGGTATGAGCAGATGTGATCCTGGCACCACCGAGGTTGAGAGAGCGAAGCGTGGATGGAAGCTTTGGAAGGAGCCCATGCACGTCCTCCTCCTCCAATGTACGATACCGTGTGGCATCAGTCATAACATTCAAGAACACCAAGGAATCACACACAGCTGGGTGAGTTGTCAAGAACTCCACCACCTTCGGTCCGCGCAGACGAATGCATCGAGAAAGGCTCAAATGAGTAATCCTGGCGGTCTCTGGGAGGGAGAATAACGCATCCTCAGTAATCTGCGTATTAGTGACATCGAGGTGAGTCAGATTAACCAGACGGGGAAGAAGAAGTTCGAAGGCTGAGGATGGGATGCCGCTGCATTCGTGGAGCGAAACACGCCTCAGGTTTGGTAGGGTGAGGGGAAGCCCAGATCCAGTAGTCAAGGCCTGCTGGAAAAAGGAGGCGAAGGAATGGGAAGAGCAGCCACAGAAGTCGATAGCACATAAGTTAGGAAGACCAGTCAACAGCTTTTGAATAACTTCCACGCTCAAGTCACCTTCAACGTGCTCCTGGAGCAAGCACTCCTTGAGATTTGGCAGAAGCTCCAAGCACTTGAGGAGGGTTGTGGCTGTCAGGTTCTGGATTTCGGAGTTCATCTGCTTGGTACGGCCCAGGCCAACGGAGGTAAAATGAGAGAAATCGAGGCGACGAACCAGCGTGCCTAATGCAGGATACTGAGACAGGTGGTTAAGGGCCTTGGAGAAGATGATAGAATGCGGGAAGGTCATGTTTCGATACAACACGCTGAGAGTTGCGGCGTGCAACGTCCGGGATGTGAGCAGGCACGCAACGAGGTCCACATTTCGTGGAGTATATCCGTTGGGAGGGACGTCCAATGCGAGGTGGGATATGATTTCATCTGCCAGACAATTAGTTATGAACATATCAGTTGAACATCGACGGAAGGGATCTTACCAAGAACCTCTGGGGGAAGCTTCTCCAGAGGAGAGATGCCCGGCTGTGGTTTCTGTTCCTTCACCCGCAAGGTCTTGTTAACGGGAGGAGCATTTTCCCAGGCCCAACCACGTGTGCTCATACTCCCAAGCCCCCGGATATCGCTATAACTCTTGCTAAGGGATTTGCCTCCCAGGCGAATCTGCTTCCATCCTAGAAATCCTCCACAAGGGCAGCAAAACTCTGGAGTGTGTTGCATATCAAAGGGGTTCGGCCTGGGGAGCTCCTTTTGCGACTGATCGAGGTGGGTATCCACGAATGATTGAGCAATTCCTGTTGGACGATGTTAGACAAGGTGGATAACCGAGGATTGGTACAAACTAGCATTGTTGAACCGCATCTCATAGGCAAAGAATGGAATTCGTACCGTCAATGTCTTCCTTGATGGAACCAAACGACTCACGACGACTGCTGTGTTTGGACGGGCGGGGGGAGGAACATGAGGAATCAGGAGAGGAGCAGCGAGAATAGGTTGCTGGAGAATGGTCTCTAGAAGAAATGGTGGAAGGTCGAGAGAAGGAGGCTTTGTTGACGGGGATTGCGGGCGAGGAGGAAGGGGTAGTAGCAGCAGACATAGTGACGGAGAGGTAGTCCGTTGGAACAGGCCTCTATATAGTTAAGCCGACGGGCCCGTCCACAAGACTGACAAATTGCAGATTGACAAGGAGGGAATAAGTTACAAAACAGAGACAGGGATGCAGGAGAGAGAACGCCAGTTGGGTGTGACAAGTGAAAAAAGCTTTCCTTTCCCCAGACTTCGATGAACCTTTTGGGGTGCAGGATGCAACTAGTGAAGGACTGTAGTGGTCGGTGTGAAGAGGGGTGGCGGAGAAAAAGAAAAACGCTGTTAGTCACAAGAATCCAGGTATAACTAACTAAAAAAGGTTCCCGAGTGGATGCAGACTATCGAGGGGGAAAGGATCCGAGCGAACGATTCAATAATAAGAAACGAGGTGTATGTTGTAATAATAATATAATATGGTGGTGCAATTCCTGAGAAGTACAGAGGAAGGTTAGTTGTAAACAGAGGACCATGGAAAGGATTTTATGAACCTTCTGACCTGGAGAGGCAAAATCGGCACGATGAATGCGGCAAAATGAAGAGACAATTCTAGTTAGTTAGTTAGTTATTATTTACTTGTGAGTCAACAACATCACAGCACAGCTTCCAGATAGACCAAAGGAACATTGGAGTAGTGACTGACAGTAGACTAGTAAGATCCCTAATACCACTAGTAGGTACTCCGTAGTCCGTACTGTTTAACTCCCAGTATCTACTTAGCAGAGATCCTGCAAGGGGATTCGATCCGGTCGGCAAATGGCAAGTTTTTGCTTTTTTCGGATGTTATCAATCTAAGATCCCGACCTGATTCCGGGCCTACTACAAGTTTTCTGTAACACCATAAAGGGTACAAACATATAAGAAGAAATCACTCTGCTGTCAGATGATGTTAAGAATAAATAAATAATCATTTCTAAGATCTCGAAGATCAACAGAAAGACAAAATTATTAGTAAGATCGACGTCTGATTCTAACTATGACATAATAAAAACCGCCTCCTGCAGCCCCGTGACTTGGAAGATGCCGGTTATTCTTGGCGTCTTATTCCTTTATTAAATAATATATGAAAGTCCCCCTCAAACACCCGTGGTATGACCCGTACACCGTGCTGAGTTCTACGCGCGCCGGCGGTTCGGAAGAACTATGGCCCGCAGGGCCATCTTTTCTGTACTATAGAACCTGGGGATGTTGGTTAACCTATTAATTATAGAGATTCCTATATTATCTACTTTTATAAGCTATTACTATGCTAATACCTACTTAAATGCCTACTTGAATGCCTGCTAATACCTACTTTAATACCTTCTTTAATGCCTGCTTTGATGCCTGCTTTGATACCTGCTTTGATGCCTGCTAATACCTGCTAATACCTGCTTTGATGCCTGCTAATACCTGCTAATACCTGCTTTACATAATACTTGCTTTAATACCTGCTTGAATGCCTGCTTTAATACCTACTTAAATGATTACTTGAATGCCTGCTCGTACTTGCTTTAATACCTACTTGAATGCCTACTTAAATACCTACCTAAATACCTACTTGAATGCCTACTTGAATGCCTACTTAAATACCTACTTGAATGCCTACTTAAATGCCTACTTAAATGCCTGCTAATACTTGCTTTAATACTTGCTTTAATACCTACTTAAATGCCTGCTTCAATACCTGCTTGAATACTTACTTAAATGCCTACTTGCTTTTCCATGCTATAGAACCTGGAGATGTTGGTTAACCTGTTAGCTATAAAGATTCCTATATCTACTTTTATAAGCTATTACCATACTAATACTTACTTAAATACCTACTTTAATGCCTATTTTAATTCTAACTTCTATACTTACATTAATATAGTAGCTATTATACTATAATTAAGACTATACTATTAGTTTGCTATATGCCCTAACAAGCCGCCGAGCGTAGCGAGGATTTATACTACAAATTATCTCCTTTTTCTCGTCCATTCTCAACAAACTAAGGTACTGCTCGTCAATTCTTTATTCACGATTTTATCTCCATAGATAGATAGATAGATAAACAGATAAGTAGATAAGTAGATAAATAGATAACGAGGAAATGGATAGATTTTCCCAAAAAACAGAACTGGAGAAGTCTCGAGAAAATTAAATTAATATCACGTAATAATAATACCAGAGGCAAATTCCTTACCTAACAGTTTCTTCTCCCCGAGGTCTCGTGATCCCTTCTCCATCGTCATCCAACTTCTTAGTCTTTTTCTCTTTCAAAGAGGCCAAGGTACTCTGGGGTAAAGAGTGCATGATCCTCTCCCCTGGGGATGGTCCAGAACCACCTGATCTTCCCTCCGCTGCCTCCACTTTCTGATTTGGTCCAATCGCCGAGACTCACCAGAACATGCTGTCAGCTGTATTGACTCAATTACCCCGTATTCCCATGATCCATCATCTAGTTACTTAAACTAATTATTGAGTTAGGTAATAATCAGAAGCGACAAGAAGCGGTAAATGAAACCATGTGCAAAAGGACAATCCCTATTCGTTTCTCCACTTTCTCTGGGCTGGCTGTATGCGTTCGTACCCTATCCAGATGTGTTGTATGTCTTAACAGAACAGAGCTTTGGCATCCGTTGTCTCTGTAACTATTCTCCAATACCTCATATTCCCGCCAACACGTTCGTTGCCCTGTTCATGGGCAGTGCAAGGCACGAAAATACTGCAGCACCAAGGCCCCCACGCTTGCGCTTCCACCCCTGGCCTGGAACATGATCACTATAATTGCATCTTTTATCCGGTTATAGTACACTCCCCCCAAGTACGTCGACACCAGTTATGACCAAAGTGGTCAGTTCAAGCACATCATTCTAGCCTCTCATGATATCACACAATGAGACATTCTCTTGTCATCATCATCTCGTATCACACTTATGAGGTGCTCTATCAACAAAATGAGATGTCTACTCCATACAGAACGAGCGCCGAATGAAACTCAACCCCTACCAAGTTCCAGTCTCCACCTCTACTAAGGTTACACTGGGCAGTATACAGAAGTAAAGCATCCACCTCCATCCAACTCAACATCTCAAACTATCAAACATGATTGGATAGTCCATATAGTCCCCAGTACCTACCTAGGTACCTACACACCTGGGGTATACTTCGACCAAGTATTGATTAACCAAGCCCTTGGCCTCGGTCACAGATACGTGGCAGGCTAGTCAATATCAGCCCTTATGCTCCCGAGGCCAAGGGAAAGACAGATCTAGACATAGACTCGTAAACAAGGATCAATGTATATCTACATCTTTCCCCGAAAGCGCCCTCGGGCATCCATAGAGCCAAGATCCTACCTAGTCAGAAGCAACCTACCTTTACAAAGAACCTAAATCTAGTAGAAGCAGCTTTCCTCCCAAAATTCAACCCAAGAGAAAACAACTCTCTTTAACACGGGTTCCTTCCGATCGTTATAATCCATCACCGTCTCCCCCAATCGACTACTCTCCTTAGCCGCCTCCCTCTTCGCCCTCGCATACAATTCCCCTACCTCACTAACGCCCAGCTCTCTGGTCCGAAAACGTGAAGATTCGCGTACGGCTCCACGTCCCCAAAAAACCCGATGCCTTTTTAATGTGCTGGGTTATACTTGTTTTCTTTTTTTTTCATGTTCTCTATTTTGTTCTGCTGCGAGCTTGTTCATGTATTATAGGTGTGAAGGGTAGGGGTTTGTAGAATTCAGCAAAGCAAGAGACAGAGAGATGGAGGGAGAGATAGTGAGGGGTTATGTTTCATCTACCTAATATGATCTGAATTGCTTCCCTTTCAGTGTTGGTTTAGTGCTTACCCTATATTCCGAAGAATACAAGATGATTCTGTACTCTGGGTTTGAGATTAAGTCATAATAGATAGAAAACTAGTATGAGTCTTGTCTTCTTAAAAGTGATATTATTACTAGGTAGAGTGTTCATGTTGGATCACACCCAGTGCTAGATCTTATACTAGATTAAAAATTCCATGCTCAGCCTCAGACTACATACTATAAGCTTAATTGTATCCCCGCTTTTCTTACTATGCCACTAGAGTTTGATATATCTTTACTTCCAAACAGCTCGTCAGGCATCACATATTCTACAGTGCAATTTGAAATCCCCGAACTATTTCTTACAACTAGAGATTAAATTTGCTATGCATAAATAAAACTCGATACAAAACCCACCGTCACGGCGGGCACCACGTGGTTGGCTCTACCGCATGGCGCTATCGGAAATCATGACTCAACTGCTTTCGAAGATAAGTAAAGGGTTCCACATCATACCTATAACTTTGCAGTCAATTTCCTGACTGGAAACACGAACACGGAATCTAGAGTTACCAATTACAGCAGTGGTCCGTATTGATAAGAATACACGCCGCGATGTGAGGTATATGTATCATTGTCAAGTTCCTTTGGCCTTCATAAAGTGTAAAATAAACCACACTACACGGGATAAAACTGGTAAATATATCTCTATCGGTACTATTAACCAGCTGATATTATGACTCTATCGTACTTTCCTTTCCTAGTCCTAAAACAAGCCCTAATTCCCCATCCAGAGCAACTGCAATGAACTTAATTACCCATTTCGGTAATAAAGATCTTATCTGATAAGATCCCCAACCCCTCATTGATCATGTGAGCGGTAAGTTATATACACCAATAATGGCTTAGCGTTGCGGCAGAATCTATGAATCATCTTTTTTTTTTTTCTCTCGTTTGCCCTCTTATCATCTGTTGGATCTGAACTTGGTTCCGGGGCAAGGTCTTTTCTAGGATCATAGTTCAATTCCCTCCACTATACATCTTCTTCCAATCTCCTAGCTTGTCATTCAACAGGTGATCGTCTTTTCCAAGTATTTCCTGTCAAATCGCCTATCCAACCCCCACCATGGCCACCAACACCATCCCTCATAATTCGTTCGACACGATTCTCGTGTTGGACTTTGGATCCCAATAGTACGTTACCAAGTACATACCCCTCAGAACTACAGGACATGCAATTAACATAAATTTTTGCCAGTACCCACCTTATCACCCGTCGTCTGCGCGAGATCAATGTCTACTCCGAGATGCTCCCTTGCACCCAGAAGCTGGCCGATCTAGGATGGAAGCCCAAGGGAGTCATTCTCTCCGGTGGTCCTTACTCCGTCTACGAGAAGGACGCCCCCCACGTCGACCCTGCCTTCTTTGAGCTTGGAGTTCCTGTTCTCGGTATCTGTTACGGACTCCAGGAGATCGCCCACCGCCTGCACGCGGACAACGTCGTTGCAGGTGTTTCCCGCGAATATGGCCATGCCGACCTGAAGGCCACCAGATTCGGTGGCCATGTCGACAAGCTCTTCGAGGGCCTCGAAGATGATATGACTGTGTGGATGTCCCACGGTGATAAGCTCCGCAACCTGCCCGAGGGATTCCACACCATCGGTACTACCGGGAACTCTGAATACGCGGCCATTGCCCACCAAACGGATGCCGTTTATGGTATCCAGTTCCATCCTGAAGTGACTCGTGAGTTTTCCCCTATATTCTGCAAAAGCAAATGATGTAAATTCTAATACACGGCTTTTCTGTAGACACTCCTCAAGGAGGACAGCTTCTTAAGAACTTCGCTGTGGGTATCTGCGGTGCGGAGCAGAAGTGGACCATGGCAGAATTTATCGGCCAAGAAATCGCAAGAATTCGTTCCCTCGTTGGTCCTAACGGCCAGGTTCTAGGTGCCGTCAGCGGCGGCGTTGATTCCACGGTTGCTGCCAAGCTGATGACAGAGGCCATTGGCGATCGATTCCACGCCGTTCTGGTCGATAACGGCTGCATGCGACTAAACGAATGCGCTAAGGTCAAAGAGGTTCTTCAGGAGCAGCTGGGTATCAACCTGACTGTTGTCGATGCTGGAGAACAGTTCCTTGCTGGTCTGAAGGGCGTCCACGACCCTGAACAGAAGCGCAAGTTCATTGGAGGGAAGTTCATTGACGTCTTCGAGGACGAAGCTAAGAAGATTGAGGCCCAGAACGCCGGAAAGGTGGAATGGTTCCTGCAGGGCACTCTTTATCCTGGTCGGTTCCTATTATTTGATTTAAAATTCTCTCTAGCTAACAAATTCAGACGTCATCGAGAGTATCTCTTTCAAGGGACCCTCCCAGACCATCAAAACCCATCATAACGTCGGCGGTATCGCTGAGCGCCTGATGCGTGGCCACGGCCTCAAGCTCATCGAACCCCTCCGCGAGCTGTTCAAGGACGAAGTCCGCGAACTAGGACGTCAGCTCGGTATTTCTGCTGAGCTGGTCGGCCGTCACCCTTTCCCTGGTACGCCCTCCTCCCCTCCACAACATCCCTACTTACTACCAATCTAACCTGTATTCGTATAGGCCCTGGTATCGCCATCCGTGTTCTCGGCGAAGTCACCCCCGAAAAGGTCGAAATGGCCCGCAAAGCAGACCACATCTTCATCTCCATGATCCGCGAGGCCGGTATCTACGATGAAATCGGCCAGGCCTACGCTGCGTTGGATCCTTCCCGCGCCGTCGGTGTTATGGGCGACAAGCGTGTGTACGCCAACATTATCCTCCTCCGTGCCATCTCCACCAAGGACTTCATGACTGCTACCCCTTACCCATTCACATACGAATTCCTGTCCAAGGTCTCGACACGCATCGTGAACGAGGTTTCTGGTGTGTGCCGGGTCTGCTACGATTACACCAGCAAGCCTCCTGGTACCATTGAGATGGAATAATTGGCGCGGGAGAGCTGGTGGATCGAGAAAAAGTTACACCCTATATTACGAATATAAACTACATCATGAGTTATGCTTAGTTATTATCTTGATCTTGACTTGGTAGTAGAGAATATTATTATTCAAGAACATACTTTCTAATTACTCCGGTAAACATGAAATCGTCCCAGTAGACTGCTAGCAGAGCCTTATTACAAACCCTTTTAGACCTATCGACGACGTCTTTTCTTACCGTAAAGACCAACCACAAAATTTCAAAGCAGAACCCCAAGGCAAAAACAAAAATGAAATCTCCCCGACTGGGAGTCGAACCCAGGTCTCCCGCGCTCGTTTCCTATTAAGGAATGACAAGCGGAAATCATGACCGTTAGACCATCGAGGAATTGATGAGGCAGTTTTGCCCAATTTGGCATTATGGGTGGAGCCATAGATCTAAGAGATGTGTGCAGTCACTTATATATGATAAGCTTAGATATGCCGCCCTTTTTATATGCTGGGTACCCCTTTCTTATATCAAAGTGTATACAGAGAGCATTGGACAAAGTAGTATCCATACTCTGCCATTCATAGAGTCTTGGGATATCACATCTTGGTAGTGGCTATGGTTGTTCTGTAATGCTCTCGGGTGTGCTTGGATATATATTATCAGTCAGCGTACTCCATAAAGTGTAGTTGCCTGCACCTTTCAACTATACTTCTAACCCATCCTCATAAACTCCTCCCAACATGCATGTTAGTCAATATATTTACCCACCCACCCGTACACATAAAAATACACACCTATGGCAGCTCAGCACCTCGCTGTCCGTAATACATGATAGCATGTCTCTGGCAGGCTTGTCCCTGCTGACTGGACTGCAGCAGGAGGTATTTGGATCGCTCATGTCCGATCGGGAGTGGTTGTGTTTGAGGCAGGCGCCTGTTGCTGTGGAGGTGAGAGGAAAGCACCAGGAAGGAGAGTGTGTCTAGATGATTGAATGGTCTCGGACCTGAGGATCGAGGTTCTAGGTGCCCGGACATGCTACCTTATACTATAGATGGTAGAGCGTTCAACTACCACACGTACGTATTACTGGGAAAAGAGGAGCAAGGGGATATGTGACCAGTATAGGAAGGTAGGGTAGAAGTATGGATGTTATCAGATACAGCCAAACAAGGACAAGGCCTGCTCTGATGACAGACACAACGAAAAAAGAAACACGACAAAATTAAAATAATATAGGCTGGAAAGTCATTACCCAATTACCTCAATACTTCCATCTAAATAACAAGTTGCTTCAGGAATATCAAACTATTTGCTTTGTTCATTCTCCTAAACCTTAACTAACACCCCACCATACATCCACATCGAGGTAGGGTTTTTCTTTAAGTGTCTCCTCATGTAGTCAAAATCTGAAACATTATATAACAATTCCTCGATGGTCTAACGGTCATGATTTCCGCTTGTCATTCCTCAATGGAAACGAGCGCGGGAGACCTGGGTTCGACTCCCAGTCGGGGAGGTTTATTTTTTCGCCTCTTCACCTTTACTCGACATCTTTTCGCACCATCATTGGGATATATGCACATCAAAGTTAAGTTACACACACCTAAGCAGCCAAGATGCCCATGGGATCATTGCTTTTTTTTTCCATGCTACAATTCTTATGTATCTCTGCATAGAGTAAAGTATGCCTGCCCCCTGTCACAAGTGTTAAGGGCACGCACGCCCTCGGGTAACCTACCAAAGCCCAAGCAAGGTACGTATAGATAGTTAGTACCCATGCTGTGATAAATATTTATATACAGCTCTAGTTAGTTATAAATATTATTATCTACACCTTTATTCATCCATTCTTTCCTTAGTGTATCATGTAGGCTATATTGAACAACAATATCATCTGTCTGCGGTCCTCCTCTTGCTCCCGCACCGCATCCTGGTCCTCAATCAGCAGCGAGTACATTTTTCTTAGCCATAGAGTAATGGCGGCAAAATAGCGCAGTTCTCTTCATCAATTCCTCGATGGTCTAACGGTCATGATTTCCGCTTGTCATTCCTGAATAGGAAACGAGCGCGGGAGACCTGGGTTCGACTCCCAGTCGGGGAGGATTTCTTTTTTGTTCTTCTTTTTTTTCTTCCAGTTTTTTAACCCGAGTACTGTATAGATGTAAAAACACACTCCCCCCAATACATACACTAGTTAGCATATACCAACAACTCTCGAAATCCAGTTGAAAAGAAACAGTCCTGTTCAACGCATCGTGAGGCCCCCAAGCAATGCCCAGTATCAATTTCTACCTTGTTAACTCTTTCTGCACCACCACAACTAACAAAATGGCTGTTGTACAGAGTCGACGGGACCTATTTGGAATACAGTCTCCGTAAAATAGCGTCCAAATATCGGGGAATACGGATATGTTACTTGAGTCACCCAGCTCCGATAGACCCGTATGTTGGGTGCTAGTATGGCAATGAAAGGCCGTGGTCTATCAAGCATCTCTAGCCACTTCGCGCTGTACGGATGGCCAAGATTATCTGGCCTCCCACAGAATCTCACAAACTCTTGAAGATCCTCAGTAGAGTTCTCACCCTCGAGGCGGTACGAAATACACCCCACCCGGGAATCTATCATTCAGGAAACTATGAAGAAGGAAGTTAGCATCCTTGACGCGGGGTGGCCGATTTTGCTTGTATCTCACCCCGTTTCTCTGAGGTGGGACCCCTCTGATACGATCCGTAGGGATTGCATATCCAAGTTCCAGGCGAACAGCTTCCCACAATTCCTGCAGCAGTTGACCCCCCCCCCCCCCTCGACTTGAAAATCCATCTCGGAAGGGTAGCCAGCGGTGGACTCTTCTCCCAGGGCTCAATCAATCCCATGTTCAGTAAAAGAAAGGGCACGGGACTGAAAGCCGTCATTAGGTATAGCACACGTCGGGCTGCTGACGGTCAATGTCCTTTTCGACCCCGCGGATGTAAGCCACTTGATCTTGATATCCCCACTGGGCTTGATTTCAATGGGAAACCCCTGCAGATCATTTTATCTTCACGCGCTCCGCTGCGAGGAACCACCAAATGCAGCTATAGGATGTGTTCATTCCATTCCTTTGTCTAAGGCGTTCAACCTATGTGTAATGATTTCCTTAAGGCTCCCAATAATCGCCTTAGAATCAAGGCCCGTGACTCGCCCTTTCTTGATTGGAACCTCATCCCTCCAGCTCACATCAACTTTGTCATTTGTCGATCTCACAACAAACTCATTATGTCCTGAGAGGTATTCGCTGGTGCTTTTCAGAACCTCAATTAGCAGGTTATGCTTGGAGCGTTCTGCACCTGTTTTTTACCAGTTCTGTCTAGGACCTCCATGGTACAAGAGGCGACTAGATACGCCAACTGCATTTGAATATAAAAGTTTCACAATATCTTCGGATCTCTGTTACCATATTGACACTTGCCAGGGTGACTGAGTGCGATGTGAATTAAAACGTCGCCGTCTCCGCTTCCGTGGACTCGTGTATTTATTATTTGCACCGTCCCTTCTCTCAACGCGGATAACCCTGGCTGTTTTGAATGGGATTTTTTTCATCCAGGATGCCACAGTTCCATAAGCTCGCTGGCCGTACGTACCAATTATACATGGTTCCAAGCATCTAACGTATTCCCAGAGTATGCGAAGTGCTTGCGCCTTATCCTGGTATCCGGGTAAAGGAAGAGAGTCTATGAAGGTAAATGTCTTTCGCAAGCAGCAGAGTCTGCATTCTAACCCATTGGTTCGATTTTCAATGGTTTGAATGCGGTTAATTAATCGCCTGACAAGGACGCTGGCACTCGCTGATCCCTGGAAAAAGGTATGTCCAGCTTGAAGATGTTTTCGTGAAAGTTCCTCGCCAATGAAGACTATAATAGTATTCCCGTGATACTGATAAGGCCGTGCCTCATCCTTCATTACCTCGAAGTAGTTTTCATGGACCTGATATGATTCACTATTTATCCTAGCGTATCTCTCTCAACCTCGTTGAACTCATCGCAAGTCTGCTCCATCTCTCTAGGGAATCGCAAGCAAGTTCTAGAGAATGTCTCAAAGCATCGTGTTTTAGGCTCGAGGGTGAAAAGCTGTTAGCAGGCTTCAGGTCTGAACATACTGGGATGAGAGAGAAGCAAGGTTGGATTTGGCTCTGCCTAGAGAGAGAAACAAGATGAGCTATTTGAGATGCTGGTTATGCTATAATTATGTATTTTGTTTTCTTGAGAGAACAAACAGGTAATGTTAATCAACATAAATAGACTATACATCCCTAAACACTCAATGGACCCAGAGTGTGATCGTATCTTCTAATACTTATATATTTCCAGGGTAGATAGTATAAATTGCAACCCATAACTACATAGAGGGAACGATACTCTCCAGCCCCAGCCTCATGATGTCAAAAAAGTCGCCGATCCTTCAACCGCCTTCCTCGATGGTCTAACGGTCATGATTTCCGCTTGTCATTCCTTCATGGAAACGAGCGCGGGAGACCTGGGTTCGACTCCCAGTCGGGGAGATTTTTTTTCATCTTTTCTTTCTTCACATATATACATACATATACGTACGTCCTACAACATACAATATATCGAAAGAAGGTGTTTTTTTTTTGCTGTCTTTCTTGCCCGGAGGGGAAAAAAAAGATAGTCTTGCAGGATAATAATACCTTCTTCCTCCCTTGTTGATATACCTAAGCTTCCAGATTCTCACCAAGGATGACCCAATACGGAGGAGATGTTTCTACCTAATTATGGAGGGAGTAGTCAAATGCAATGACTGCAGAGCATATATACAAATAACTCCCTGCTTGTCTTCTTGCGCCATTTGCGTAGTAGGTAGGTAGGTAGGTAGGTAGGTAGATATTAGCAGATTCTGCGCTCTTCGGTTTTCTTGTGCATGGTCCCACTAAATATGACTCACATAAGCATAGGTGCACAATATCTTCACTTCCTCGATGGTCTAACGGTCATGATTTCCGCTTGTCATTCCTTAATAGGAAACGAGCGCGGGAGACCTGGGTTCGACTCCCAGTCAGGGAGATTTCTTTTTGCTTTTTTACTAGGTATATGAAAATTTTATGCATGTGGGTTGAGGCTCCAGATAGGGAGTACGGAGTATAAACATGCATATATTACATATAGAATATAAGGACCTGTGAAATTAATGCTGAAAATGATGACTTTTGATGCCAGAAATGGCTGTCTTTCCACCTGTCATCTTGGATAGTAAACTACTGCTTGACCACCCTACCTTCCATCACTCATCTATTCTGCACCCGCCCAGCACTCTTCATCACCGTCCTCTGATGAAGTTGGCGCCTGCTCAACTGGGCTTACAGCTCAGTGTGGGTAGAACCCTGGAATGGATTAACTATCAGCATGGGTAGAGATTCTACCTGTGATAAGCTTAGTTTATACTAGTTCTACCTATAATAAGCTATATTTTCCTATATTCTCTAGACTAGGACTATAGTTATAGATTTTATAGAATTTAGATTTATTATGTAACATTACGCCGCTGTGGGCTAGATCGCCACGGGGGTTCTGCTCCTGAGCGAGGTCGAAAGGGGAGAGCAAGCATTTTATGCCAGCGCAACAGAAGGCAGAGCTTACAGAACAAGGTATTGGGGCGCTAAACCCAGAACGGCAAAACTAACCACATATGGTGTTTCACAGGTCCGCTGTTTACAGAATACAGCGTTCAACCACCTACCTGGGTATGTCGTAGGTAAGTGGGATATCAAATTTCGACCGTGACCGAGGAACGATGTGGGGTTGCAAGATGGAACAGATAGATTAGGTAAACTGCGAACGAGAAGACCCCAGGGCCCAGGCAATGAATTGTTGATCAGTCAATTTGGACCTCTTGGTGGCCAACTAACTATTAAGATATGTTCGCGCCTGGGTAGTCATTCCCACCACACATAATTTCAATATTGTTCCAAGATGATCATCATACATTCTCTTACATACAGAGCAGTATTTCCTTTTTCTTGGGTGTACTATCAATAAACATATAAGAATGCTACCTCTCTTGTCTCCTACCACCTATATCTAGAATAAAGCTTCACCAAAAATCTTCAGATAATCAGTTATATAGCTAGCGCCTCATAGATGGGCTCGGAGAGCCTGGAATATCTAGGCAAAAGTCCCGACGACACTTCAACAATTCCTCGATGGTCTAACGGTCATGATTTCCGCTTGTCATTCCTGAATAGGAAACGAGCGCGGGAGACCTGGGTTCGACTCCCAGTCGGGGAGGATTCCTTTTTTTTTTGTTCTTCTTTTTTTTTTTTTTTTTTTTTTTTCTTCTTCCAGTGTTTTATCCAGGTACATTAGTACGGAGTAGTTAGTAGTTAGCTTAGCTTAGTCCTGTTTGACCTCGCAGTCCACTGAGGTTGTCTCTAGGTGCGGAGTACTCAGTACGGTACGCGATAGGTTTACGGATCTGGACTAGGGGGGTACGTACCTAGTACTGTAGTACCTATCTATAGTTATGCACAGTACTTAGACTAGCACTTAGCATGCTCCAGGGTAGGTTCTCCTCCGTGTCCGGGTTTCGATATAATATGATATGATATGGGACGATATGCTCCGCCGTATCTGACTGCATACTTGTTTTGGAGGGAATTCGGTAGTCGGGAGGTGTGTGTGTGTGGGTGGGCTTGTTTCCCATGTCCTGTTTGATTTGTGTCGGATATATGATGATCCTAGGGGTAGCTCAATGGAAGCAGGTGATCGGATATATTGTTGTGTGTGTCTGTTGGGGGGTTGTGTGCTTACCTAAGGCCTTAATATAGGGTAATAACCCCTCTTTGCTTACTAAGTATATTATAAGATACCCCTTTAATTTAATACACCCCCTTAGGTTTAAAGGATTTTATCTAGTTTAAACTTGTAATTATATAATTTAAGATGCTATCCTTATCCTGGATAGGTTTAAACTATATCTAGTAATAGGTTATCTATTAACTTTGGTCTCTCTACTATCCCTAAATCCTTTACAAATACCTTAAAGCTTTGGTAGGATAGTACCTTAGTTAATCTATCTATAATTATCTTAGTAATAGAATAATATAATACTTTTATCCTTCCCTTCTAGGCTTCCTACCTAATCTAGTAATTATAGATATCTATATAGTATAGCCTTGTATTTAAATAGTTAATTTCCTTATTTACTAGTTAGATAGTTTACATGTTATTATATTAAATATTAATAATTAGATTCTCTAACTCTACCTAGATTTTATCTAGTAGATATTTAATAAAGATTCCTTCCTTTACTATATATAATAATGCTAATACTTCTACTTTAGTTATAGAGATTATTATAGTTACCTACTTGCTAGCTTTCTACCCTATTATACCTCTAAATAGCTTTATAATATATCCCTATAAGCTTCTCTAGTCCTGATTATCTATAAATAAGGTTGTCACGGCGACCACGTGACATGCAACCACATGCCGAACCACATGCCCAGTAACTGAGGGTAATTAGGAAAATAGTAATATTCAAGTCGCCTGCACTATACTAGTGACTTGACTAGGTAATATAAATAGTAATATAATAACTCCTAAAGTACTAAGAGGCAAGTACTTTATTTTGTTATTTCTAATATCTTCTTACTATCCTTATACTCTATATAGCTTTACTTTCTTTACTAATATTACTTATACCTAAGTACCTTACTAGTAAGATACTTATAATTTAAAGTACTTCTTAACTAAGTAAAGTAATATAGCAAGTATAAGAAGGACTACCTGCTTCTCCTCCTAAGAAGTAGTAAATCTAAACTCTATAGAATTTATAACTATAGTTCTGGAAACTATTATTAAAGAAGGTTTAATAATACTAGTAACTCTCTAGTACTAACCTATTAAGTTAATAAAAGATAATAAGCTATAATATATAGCCTAATATATAGTATAAGCTATATAAATAGATAGAGAGAAGGTACCTAAATCTAAGTTCTTTAAGGTATAAAACCTAAAGGAACTTAGTATCTTTCTAGAAAATCTTTAAGACTATTTTAGATTATAGAAGAAACTTTATAAAAATAATATAATTAAGGTCTATTATACTATAGATTGCCTAAAAAATAATATAAAGTAGGTATAATACTTTAAATATAGAGTAAATCTTAAAAGACTTACTTATTTAGAATTTATTAAGTTCCTATAGAACTTTCTAGAACTAGAGAGAGATTATAAGTAGATAATAGCTTACTAATTCTTATATATAAGATAAGGACTATAATAGAGTATATAAACCTTAATAATCTAGATAAAGGAATTTATTCTAATAATTAAAGCTAATCTTAAAGGATTTCTCTACTAGCTAGCTATTTAAATAGCCTGGCCTGAATTATATAAGGAAATCTAGTAGGATATGATAATATTATAAAGTCTAGTTAAAGTTACTAAACTAAGGGCAAGATATAAGAAATTTTAGAAATAAAAGAAGTAGGAAAAGTTAAATAAAATATAACTAAATTAATCCCTAGGGTCTTGTATATTAAAGGATAATTTAAGAAAGAGAAAGAAAGATAATAATAAAGTAATAAACTCTTAATTAAATAAATTCTAGTAAAAAAAGTTAAAGAAGAAGTAGTAGAATTACTAAAATTAAAGAAAGGAAGGCTAATACTACTAGTATAATTAAATTAATTATATTATAAGAAAATACCCCTAGTATAAAGAAAGTATTAAGGGGATAGGAGAATTAAAGGACTAAAACTAATAATAATTAAATACTCTAGAATTCTTAGTACTCTAATAGAATAAAAAAATACTAGTAAGACTCTTTCTAGCTACTATAATTATTCTAGTAGGTAAGAAATAGATTATAATAAAGATATTTATAGATACTAGAATAAATAAGGACTTTATTTCTTATTATTTTTTAATTAAAGAAGAAATAAA